CCAACACAACCCTTCCTCCGCAAATGATCAGCCTACTCCACTACCACCTTGCCAACATTGTTTCGGAAAGTCTCTCCTTCGGAAAGATGATTCCACCGTGGAATTTTCTCACCACCGCCGTCAGCGAACCCAACTCGAGCACCTTAACCGAAGTTGCGCAAACGATCGATCGAGAGTTGCGGCTTCTCCCGCCGGCCACCAGGAAATTACCACATTCCTCATGTGAATCAGGGTGAAATTCAGAAGACCCACCGCAGGCTCGAGGCGTAGCCGACCGGGAATGGGGCCGCGGATGATCGTGGCCACGGGCCAAGATTCAGAGACATTCTTCGCTGTTCTGGAAGGGAACGGCGCGGCGCGAGCGGGGGAGGCTTGGGCTTTCGGGTTTTGCTACGGGAAGTGGCTGATTTGTGTTGATCGATAGGATATCGGAAGTTAGAACTCAAGTTGTGTTAGAGAGTGAACTGGGCTTTCTACCAGATGTCTGACTGGTGGCCTTCTTCTCTATCAAACTTTCGGCCATGCATGTTGCTAGGTTCTTGTCCTGGTCCTTGGGTTTCCCCGTTGACTTCGCCGACCATTTGGCTTGTATTTTTATTACCAACTTTAGACGTTATATACTTATCACATTTCGATGTATTTATTTATTTACCTACCTGCGCTGGTTGTGCATATAGGATTAGGTGTTTTATTACTTGTTTAACCCCATGTTATCGGCGTCATGATTCAACGTTTTCCTTCCCCAATTTTTCTATCATATTAACCGGTAAGCTAACGGGGTGGCAAATCGGGGTTTGTTTTTTTTCAGGAAATCGGTGATCTTGGAACAGGCCCAATCTAGAACTAGCCAAGTCTTACCCAAAAATCAGGCCTTCGGTAGTTCTAGATCACCGGAGGCGTCCATGCACTTGTACATTCATGGTGGGGGATCTCCATATCATTGCCAGCTTGTGGCTCGTGTGATGTGTTTACTCCAATTGAAATTCCTACGTCCTGCAGACTGTTGCGAGGTTACAATACCTCGGTTGATAATACCAAGTATAGGATAGCTTAGTGATATTCATGGACAGTCAAGTTAAACCTAGTAACCTACCTCTCTTTTGTCCTGCGTCATAGCTGGAATGTGAAAATGACCTCCCACGTTGGCAATTCCCCGGTCATTCAACCCCCCTCTATTCGCGTATCTATTTGCTGTTACATTTCCTAATTCGCACATCAGTCTCCTTGAAGCGATCTGCGAAATCGCTTTTCCCTTAGAATAGATCCAGCTAATTAATCCCTTGCAACAAGTATGCGTTAACTATGCCTTTAATCTTCTGCAACCCAAGTGCATACTTAGCGATTTATGAGTTTCCAAATCTCCAATATTCCCCGCCACCCTTCCCAGTCTACCATAGGTATCTCCAATATACGTTTCTTGAGGCTTCGTAAATGCCCAGAGCCCGAGAGAGTTGATCCTGGAGAACGAACTCGCTGAACCCACAACGTAGAACTTCTTTCTGTCGCAATATTATGGTCCTAGATGGACAAGAACGACAAGCACAGAGTATCGTCTTCCTTTCTCTTTAGTTCTCCAATAGAGATAGCTTTCGGAAGCCTCGAGAATACTGACTCGTAGCCTAGTAGACAGATATCTTCCTTGCATCCCGTCCACCCCATCCAGATTCTGACTTTTACAGCTGTACGATCTGCTTATGATACGATGCAGGCGGAACAAGCATATCCTCTATCGACCTATGCATAGCTCCATCCTCAAAATGCCATCCTTTCTTATCATATACGAGTCTTTACTTAGTCACAACCAAAGAAGTGCTTCTTACTCTTTGTCAAGACCAGCCACCTCTCTACACACTCTTCAACACTGCTTTGAGAAATTTGGTTCGAGTGCCATCAAATTGTGTGGCTCTCTTTCGCTACGATGTTGATTCTCGAGATATAGTTGCGAGAGAAACGATGTCCGATCAAGTTGGAAGTAGCCAACACCCGTCCGCTATAAGAGTTTCGTTGCAAAGGTCAGCTAGCCTTCTAAGTTTTTAGCCTCGTGCAAGAGGTTACCTTTCGCTGGTATTTTCTTCCTCTTATATTTCCTCCATTTCTATTATTCCTATCGTGTTATTATCGCGTCCGAAGGACAACGGGCCACAAGATCGATATAACCAAGCCGGTTAACGATCACGGCAAGCCCTTGGATTTCCCTATATCCTCTTCCGCATCACCAAAGAATAAGTTGTGCTAATCTATATATGAATTTCCTATTCCATCGCCGACGACAGGAGGCTACTCTTCTGCGTTTATTTATACAGGGAAGTGGAGAATCGAAGGTATAAAATGCGAACGATTTGCATACCGTCGCTTCCGTACTCAGGGGCCTTGATATTATATGTGGTCGTTGCACATGGGCTACATTCTGGGCTGTTGCTTCTAGTCGAGGCGGTTCTTTGTGCCTTTATATAATGGTTTGGCTCCTACCATGGTTCATAATCAGTTCTTAAGTAAGGGCTTGTAAGGGACCTCAACTGTCCGGCGCTGGTTCTAGGTTCAGCACAACTACATTAGCCTGACAGTGTCATTATTCGCAATAATAGCCGGTCGTTTCCCATGCTCTGCGTTGGCCTACGACTTACCTCGTGCGCTCATATATAATCTTTTACGGTCGAAAACGAAGCCACCCTTCCCAAGGTCTATAGGAACTACTAGGGGCGTAAGTACTATTCGATTTCGATACTGTTAGATAGGTACTACTACTGTCTATCCACTTTAGATATATGACTTGCTAACTTTGATGCCACTGAACCAAGATTTATTGGTGACATTGGAGATTCAATTTCAACTCCGGACCATCCAAGAGCTTTAACCTAACCCTGTGTTGACATCTATCTGGTCAATCCATGATCCATCCAAGGCTGGGGTTCTCATGAGGATACTTTTCTAGCGCCGTCCATAATTGTTAACCCGGTCGACGGGGATTGAAAGTTGTAAGTCCCCTGTGTTAATTATTGTTTCTTTCGGTGCTTGCTCCTTGAGGGCCAAGACCATATTGATGCCAAGTCGATTTTGAAGATGAGAAGTTACCATTAACGATACCTCTAACTGTATCGGTAACGCCTAGACGCCTTGTCCTGGGTATCAATTGGAGCTAATACCTAGGTATGGTACAATAGATCCTCTCGCTGACAGGAAGGCTTCCACCACCCCATGGTAACGGACAGTGCATTAGTGTGCGCTGGAACATGTGATATTTCCGCGCTACATGCTGGCGATGAGCTAAATTAGACCGTAATTAACCTCAAAAGAATAGTTCACTCTGGTGCCTAATTCTTAAATCGGCATAGGTGCTGCAAGGATCATGGCCAAGGAGCCTGTTGGTAGACCAAGAGTTTAGAATAGGCAGCAATGATAAGGATGGGGGAAATCACACCACAAAATAAAATCGCGCGTTTCAAACGTTTCATGATTGTCTAGTCGAAAGCATTATTTACTAGACCGCGGATTATCTCAAAAGGAGAGGCAACGCCAACATTGTCACCAGACGTGCGCGTATTATCAACTGTCAGAGATACTCTCGGTGGGTCCTACTAGGATTCCTAAAGCAAGTCATAATTGCTACGTGACAGGGAATATTTCCTGCAGGTCCATCTAAAACTGGAGATCTTGCGCTGCAAAGAATTTTGATTTTTTACCCAAAATCGTTAATATCTCGATATCATGAGAATCGAGCTGGCAACTTGTTCAGCCTTAAACCGCGATGCCCACTTCCAAATATCTATCCCTGATTCCGCCAAGTATGAGTGCGTTAACTGGCCATAATAAATTGAGGTGGGCATCGATAATGAGATCATTCTGATGTACTTAGGTATTATGAGAGTCAAAACAAATGCGCATATAACATCTCACTCGAGATATTCCGCCGCGTATATGTTATTAGCTTAACCCAAGGAGGGTTTTGGGAGATGCCCAGCAGATGTTTCCTCTAGGATTGGATCACGAGGTATTGAATATTAGATTCTTAGCTTGTGGATGGAGACAATCACATATGGGTTTAAGCAGATTCACTCGAATCGTCACTCAGGGACCAACTGTAGAGGCCAACTGCAAAGACCCTTCGATGCGTTTATATCAACTGTCGACGTAGGGATATTCCAAAGTATCCATATCCTGACAGGGCGGACTGGGGATGGCGCCTGAGATGCCATTTTTATGAGGCAATGTAGATTCCTCTCCTCAGAAGTTTCGGCAGACCAAGTTCATTCCATTCGATAAGACTCGTAGCTTGGGGCATGTATTGAAACATTAGATCTTTAAAATGGCGGATAGTCAGCGAGCCGTGTAGCAGCATGGAGATGATGGGCATCCAACATTCTCTCGGAATTTGAACAAGCTAAATCGAATGGGTGATTGAGAGCCAATATGACTTTGAGCATTCTTCCCAGAGATTGGGAATCACATATCTCAAGCGGGAGTATGATGGGGAGTTATATCCGAAGTAGTTATGCTAGGCAATGCCAGACGCAATTCGAACCGGAGAAGCAACGCTTCCTAGCGGGATCGAAGAGGAAGGCATGCAGCCGTTGTAATCGGGGCTATCTTGCGCTGAGAAAGTTGGTAAGACCGATTCTGCTCAAAGGCCATAAACCAACAGATCCCAACCGCAAGTCCTTCCCTTGTTCCATGGCCGAGCAGCCGGATATGCCCCTATCCGGAGAATGCGATTTATTTGAGGTGTATTTCCGTGATCGTGATCCTCGATATAAAATTAGTATAGGCGAGGTTTCGCTTTCGAGAAACCTTGGAAAGACATTCGTAATAGCATCGCGTCCTTCGTTTGCGCCATGGAAAATATCGCAATGCTCGAAAAGATAGATCGAAGGTAGTAGTGCTAGTTGATGTAGGTTGTACTGTACTCCCGCAGCACACAATCCTCTTAGCATCAAGAGTCCTGAGCTACGTAACGTAGGTAGGATAGAGGAGCGCAGTGCAGGATAGTACTATGTCACAAGGTGTTAGCTACCTGTATTTGCGTGATTGAGGAGCAGGATCGTGCGAAGATAAATTTCAATTGGAGCACTGTTGTCGGGGGTTCCATTATTCCGTAGCCCTGGGGCGCCAGTGCCGTCATTTGTCGCATTCCTATTGTTGGAAGCCGTTAATGTTCCTTGCACATTACATGTTGTGTAAATACTTGTATGGCAATCGGAGCATTGTATTCTACGAAGTGGAAACAAGGAAACTTAGGTCGAATTACGTACCTGGCTGCGTTCATCTCAGCCACACTGGACCCTAGAACCGACATCTGGGTACCCGCAGATTCGCACTGCCGTACGTCATCAGGGTCGTGTCAACTGTCAGGACTCGGCAAATCCTCGTCCTCATCTGCTTTTCCCCACAGAAACCAAGATGAAACCCTTGATGTCCGTGACAATCTGAGAGCCAGCCCAGATGAGAGCAGATTCTGCAAATAATGAGACGAGAGAGGGCAGAGTGCTAGTCGCACAAGTCACAGCTCAATGCAATATTACCACGCAGTGAAGTGACATACAGTTGTCGTACGAGTGTCGACAAAGGAGAGAACTAGTGGCTGCTCCGGCAGCTCTGCTCGAGCTGCCGTGCTCTGGAGGACGCAACAGAGGGATCTGGCAGAAGCTTCTGGCCCTCCCCCGCAATAATGATTCGTTGACAGTGAGATACGAGTATCAGAAGCCACAGAAGCCAGCTCGGCACCGTCATGATCGCCGAGGCAGGGCAGAGCAGACGTGGCTGTGATCCAGGGTGATGGGCCCAAGCTGGGTGAACAAGCTCTCCTCTCCCCTGGTGGCGGCGAATCAAGAACAAACACAAGGGACGGAGCGTGCAATTCCTGCTTTTTCCTTGTTCGTGTGACGCTTTCTGTTTGGGTCCGCCCAGCTTCATTATGCCGAATCAAACCATAATATAAGCCTGGGCTATTTCCCACTCCCTCGATATATCTCTCTTGTACCACTCGCGCTTAATTCTAGTCAACGTCAAGCCAGCCCTCTTCATCCTCGATTAAGTGTCGACTCCAACCCGCAAACATATTCTCGCCATAAGATTTCCAATCCATTCATCATGGCCAACACAGGCTTTTTCCACCATATCGGCACGTTCCTCATCTTCGCCGCCTCCATCCTCCTTCTCGTCACCACGATCTCCGCGCCTGTAATCAACAACATTGCGCTATTGAAGGTCGATCTGAGCGGCGGAGACTCTTCTCTATCCTTTGGAACATTTGGTTACTGCATCACGTAAGCCTCTCTATGCGTTCTTCGCGACAGCAATAACTAACGAAGTTGCTAGCCAACCCGGTGACGATGTCTGCTCTGGCAAACATATTGGGTACAATCCCGCAGAAATCCTTGAAGGAGCCGGGATCGAGGAATTCAACCGGGCATCCACCGATAGCACAAAGGCTCTAACTCGCGTTATGATCCTCCACCCCGTCGCCTGTGGTGTCTCCTTCATCGCTTTTCTCCTCGCCCTCGGGTCCGGTTTCTGCGGCGCAATCTTCGCTTCGGTCGTCGCAATGCTTGCATTCCTCATTTCCCTCGTGGCCGTGATATGTGATTTCGTCTCATTCGGGATCATCAAGAGGCATGTGAACAATGAGGATAGCGGGAACAAGGCCAATTTCTCCGTCGCCATCTGGTTGATCTTGGTCGCCATGCTTTGTCTCTTCATTGGCACCATCATCGTGCTCTTGACTTGCTGCTCTTCCAGGATGCATAGACAAAAGCGAGGCTCCAAGCATGCTGAGGGTGGATATGTCACTGGCCACCGGACCAAGAGGCATTTCTGGCAACGAGGGAACAGATATTGAGTCTCTTAATTCCGAGACTTTCAGGATAATGAAGGAGATGGGCTTGAATGGTCCCAATAATACTACCAAGGGAGGATGTTCGGGGTGCTAAGGCTTCCCCATTATATTGAGTCTTTGGACTCTGTAGAGATAGGTTTTCCGGAGCGATTTAACGAGCGTGCATGATCAAGATACCACCTTTCCTTGTTTTGGTAAATAATGCTTTGTCACTCTAATGATAACAAAAATTAAACATTTAAAAATAAGGTTCCACATAAGTGTCTTCGTGACAATTATTCAGAATACCGTTATAGTTCCGTCCAATCCCAGCATAGCGAGAGTTATAGTGGATGATACAATGACCTTAGATGAGGCACCAACCGAGAATATGCGGTCGAACTTGTATCTCTCGATTCACAGACGGGGGATTTGTCTACATGGCTACATATATTAATGCACAGCTCCGTATTACAATCCCAGCTCCTATAGACGCAACGCGCCTTATGGATTTTATTAAGGCAGCTTACTACTGCCAAGTCTGATTAGTTTAAGATTTACAAGCCCTTCCAAAATACCGGGGTAAGGAATGGGATAGTATATGCGAATAAGTTGACAACAGGTATATCAATTGATAATAGTTTGTTAACTGACAGACAATAAATCATTGACAAACTACTCACAGGTAAGCCAACGTCAGAATGGCATCTTTAGTTTACTGAGGAGCTATAGGTGCGACCCTTGACAGCATTGTGCTGATGGAGAAATACAAATGCCGAAAGTTGGCCGTACAGGGCCAATTGAGGAATAGAGTTCCATGTTCCATTAAATTGTTGTAGGTCGACACTGATCATCCCTTTGATAAGTTATATAGCCCATTATGTAAATAATTATGTTTTACAGTTTACGCAGAAATGCGTCCAAAAATCCAGCCTCATCGTTACACATATTCCATCCTTCGAAAAGTAAATACCCAAGAGTTCTACCTCTGATGCTCGGAAAACCCTCGCGTGTAGCAGGCTGGCCCGAGCTATCGCTCTAGTTTTGACATCTCAATGTTGTAGCAATGGTCTTATCTCCTTGATATCTTGGAGCTAGTTTCCGCATAAGAAAGAGATGCAAGAAGAAGATACGATTAAATTATCGGTAGCGATTTCGGCGTTCTGACCTTGTGTTTGTTGCGTTTTCTTTCTTGTACCTATGTAGCACAGCATTGGCTTTAGTACTCAGGCTTGGAAATAGACCTTACCAAGTTACCTACCAAGTTACCTATGTACTTAGGTAAATAACACCTACATCAGGCGTTGATTCTTGACTTCCTTCTCGGGGGGGGTATACTGCAGCTTGATGTGCAAACCTTCATTCTGTTTAACAGCCCTTTTGCCAGTAAACATCCCGTTCGATCTCTAGAAATAGAGCAGAACAGTAGCCCCGGATGAAAGGGGGAGGCCGTTGCTTCGTATTGCACAGGTGAGCACTTTATGCAACCATTGTAACCACACTTTGCTGGCTTAATAAGAGTTAATTTGTCCTGATTTGGCTGCCTGCCGAACCCGCCCCGACGTATTCCCATTCGGCGTAGCGGCGGTCGGCACGTGACAAGGTTACTCGCCGCCAGACTGCGCTTTCGGCTGTGCAGCCAACCGGGCCCTTCAACCGCCAGCTCGCAGCCTCCTCGTCCCATGAGGCTGGCAGTTGACCCAGAAAGCGCGAGCCTTGCAAATCTACCCCCATCTTCCTTCATCGTCAACACCACGACCGCCCGGTCAATCATCGCGGCAATACCATCTTCGCATCTACTGCTGTCTGTTCTCCGTCTTTTAGTACGGTTCTAATTGATTGTCTTCCATGGAGCCTTCCAGCAAGAAGCGGAGGCTCGCTCCCAAACTTGCCGAAAAACCACTCCACGAGCAGGTAAGGAAGGCTGCTATCCCCATCACGTCTAATGTTCGAAATAGCAGCTAATCTGGTGAATTTTCTAGTCTCCGCAGATGCGATACGATCACAAGGCTATGCCACCTGTCCAGGATGCCGCGCCTCCTCCGGAGCGCACCGACTTCGAGTCCTTTGCTCGGCATCTGCAAGATGCCGCGATGCTCATTTATGCTCAGGCCAATCGATCCCCATATACAAGCGTCTCGGTTCTCCTCCTGCGATGGGAGGATGACATGAGCGTCGAACCAGATCTGATGTTGCTACAGAAGGTCTTTCGCGAGCGCTTCAACTACCGAACCGAAACATGGAGCATACCGAGCTGTCCCAACCCGAGTGTTAAACTCACAATGGCCATGGCACAACACATTGAATATGCTCGTCAGGATCACCTCTTAATCGTGTATTATGCTGGCCATAGTTTTATTGGCTCTGATCATAACTTATACTGGGCTTGGTATGACCGAGTATGAACAGCCTTGCGGCATGAGGCTAACTCTTGTACTAGCACCCCTCGTGAAGATTCTTCCAGACTCAAGTGGGAGGGCGTAAGGTGTCTCTTAGAAGACGCACAGTCTGATATACTGCTCTTGCTTGACACTTGTGCTGTTGCGGATGCGCCAACCGCTGGAAATCATGGCGTTAAACAAGTCATCGCTGCATACACTCCAGATCAGGTTGCACGGGATCCGGGATCCCGTTCTTTCACTGCAAACTTGGTGGAAGCAATCAACAAACTCGGAAGTGGTCGTCCTTTTAGTATACAGCGCCTTCACGAGGAGATAATATCACAGAAACACAACAAGCTCGTAATGCAACAGGCATCTGTTACCAATGGCACCGGAAAGGCCCCGTCAACCCATGAGAGAATGCCTGTTTGCTTTTCATTGACACCAGGCAGTCTTCAAAGCATTACTCTCTCCCCGCTAGGTTTGCAACCGGCGGGAGGATCGCACATTGCCTCGCCAACGGGTTCGCCCGACAATGAAGGACAAGCTCCACGAAATAATCCAGACAATCAGCTTGGCCTAAAAGTCAGCTCAAATTCAGATCTCACATTCGAAGAGATGAGAGCATTGGTGTGCACAACGTTCCTCGGCGAGCCGAGTCAAGACATGACTTCCTTCAAACAGTGGCTCCACAACACCCCAATGGCCGCCTCCAAAATATGTGTAGAAGGCATGTTCCATGGCCCACCAACTGTTCTTCTCGTGTCGATGCCCATAGCTGTTTGGAATGTAGTTGCTGCTGATCGTACCTGCGCTTTTTTGGGTTACGTTAATTCTCATAATATGGCAACGGAGTATCAACATCTAATTGGAGGCATCTCGCCCATTGGCAAAGCGGCAACCTTTAAAGAGTTGGAAGATGGAAAGATTCTTCTTGAAGCACGTGAAGCAGCTTCCTCGACGCCAGTCATGTTGCGTCATGACTCAGCGAGGCTTCAAGATTCCTTGCACCAAGAGCCCATCCGGCAAGACTCACTAAGACAAGACTCGAGGACAATTGGCACTCCGAGTATAGCATCCCAGGTCCTCTTCCAAGAGCCGGAAACCCCGGCTATTCCTGGCCACAAAGGCAATGTTGAGGACTCCGTCGAAATGCATGAGGCTGCTGAGCAGCTCAAAGCCCTTAGCCATGTTCGACATGTTAGCCATGATAACCCAGCCAATGACCGAAATCATTCTCACATACCGCCAGAGGATTCGCCTGGATTAAGGAGTACCCGAGAAGAATCTGCGTCATCTCAAGATCAGGGGGATTCTGGCGCTGAAGAACAGATGTACCCCTCAGAATTTAACTCTCCAGCTTCACGACCAAAGCCACGCCGATCGATACAGAAGCAAGGACCAAAGCAAGATACCCGATGTTCTTTATGCAGCCATGCGCCTTTTAAAGACTCATCATCTCTCCGCAAACATATTGCTGCTGCCCACACGCGACCATTCCCCTGTGCTTTCTCATTCGCAGGCTGCACTAGCACATTCGGCTCGAAGAACGAGTGGAAACGGCATATTGCCTCGCAACATCTCTGCCTAACCTATTATCGATGTTCTTCATGCCCTCAGAGCACTGTTGAAGGCAAGGGCAACGAGTTCAACCGGAAAGATCTCTTCACTCAACATCTCCGCCGTATGCATGCCCCATTCGCCATAAAAAAGGCCATTGCAAAGGGCGATAGTAAACTTCAGCTAGAATGGGAAGCGCACGTTAAGGAGATGCAGGGTTCATGCCTGGTAATTAGGCGCCAGCCGCCGCAACGTTCTGCATGCCCCCGGCCTGATTGTGCCAACATTTTTGAAGGGGCAGGAAGCTGGGATGATTGGACGGAACATGTCGGTCGGCATATGGAGAAGGGTGAAGCTGGTCGACTAGGTGTTGACAGATTACTTGCGAGGTGGGCGCTAGAGCAAGGTATTATTGAAAGGAAGGAGGATGGTGAGTACCGACTCATTGGAACCGAAAGGGAAGGGGCCGTGGGTGGCTATTATTCTGACGGCAATGGTGGAGCAAAGAAGGAATTGGATGAGAGGGGCGACAGTGAGATGATTCTTGATGGTTAATGTTGTTGTTGGATATTTGAAGATGAAATGAAAAGAGGTGCGGATGCGAGTATAAGTTTATGATTCGACAGGCTTAAATCCTCGGCCTTTTCCGCTTGGGCTGGAGTACAAAGTCTTCTTTTGGGGGGGTAACGGGGGTCTTTTATTTATTTCTTGTACATTCCATATGTCCAGCCTTCTTCATCGAAATACGAAAACGTCTCTTCGGGTTCAAATATCAGTGTTCGGTACTTCAGTCCCTCCTTGTTATGCGTGATTTCTATGTCCTAGGTACAGATACACTATTTTACTTCTGAGTGAATATGTAACAACTCACCATCCTACGACTCCCGGGATTTTGAACTTTGACTGCTGTTGGTTATTATACGATGAAAACAAGGAGTTGAAGAGGAGGTCATTAAGAAAGGGTTTGCTAGGAAATTTTTGGAAATCGCTACCGGCATACGTAAGGGGGGGAACGCAATTTGAATCCCGCAACGATGAGGTAGTGCTGCCGCTTGTGCTGCTTTTGCCACATGAGCTAGTAAAAAAGGTTGTGAGTATACTTACTAGTAGGTTATAGTATTCCTCAATGACCTTAAAAGTATAAGTGGTCGTTGCCCCTCGCTCCTCTATACGCACTCTCCCTCCTTCCTTTACATGACACACTTTCAGCTCTAGCCCACGCCGTCCACACCTTCTCGGTACCACTGCCCTCCTCTCTGCCTACTAATTTCGCAGATGTAATCAAATCCGTCGAATGCTTACGGGTTTGATCAAGTGTTGATCACAGGAAAGTAGAACAGATATACCACCATGTAACTTAACTGTGTTTAGCACTCCCCCCTCCGTACACCGCAAACATAGCATTGCCTAGTTGACCACCTTTAGAAGGGAGAGAGGGGGAAGAGAAAGATCGGGAACGACAGGAGTGGGAGAGACCGGTTAGCAGTATTGTGATGCCCACATGTCCAGCGGGTATAATCCATTTCATCCAGTTAGTTACCTTGCTAAAACGTTGATGGATTGCGAGGATAAGCCAAGTGAAGATAGGTTCTACAAACACTCAAGTGGATATCTGGTGGGGGATCATCAGGACTCTCCGGTGAGGGATCTTTGGGTTAAAGTGGAGCCTTCTGCTATTCCCCACCAAAAGGCATTCATTTGAATCATAACTACTAGCGGGATGTGCCTATCTGAAAATAGCTCTACTTACCCAAACAACTTGAAGTCGAGGTAGCCAAAATTAGCTTTTTGGTGCATGATACAAGTGCTTGAATTGATTTCTAGAAAGGCGAAAATGTCTTGGGCTGAAGCCGCTAGCCTCTTGCCTCATAACACAATCAAAGTTCACTGCCCATGATTTAACCCCAGAATAACATGGCTCGAGTATAGTCAAATGAATGTCCAGATAGTTCCTCGCCCGATCCCACCATCTTGCCATTAAGGCGAGCTCTGATAATTGATACCTTCATACCGGCCGGCATCACCTACTAGAAAGACCCCGTTAGGCAATCGCTGTGTTTTTTCCCTTCACCACCTCTGGAAGGCATTGATATCAAAGCCCGGCCAAGTCAGCTTGCCATACTCGAGTTCGCGGATGATCTTTCCGTGCTGATTCCACCATATCACAGACATCATAATCATACCCGCTCTTTCACCCTTCTTTATCCCAGGGGGAAGGTTGGGTTTGGCTTCCTCAGGAGGGTCAATCGCCAATGTGAACCACACCACATTCTCCATGGCCGCGAATGAGCCGGGCGCAGAACTGCCGCTGAGAGAAATGGCTTGGACTTGAACATCCGTCATAAGAGAGCTAAACCCCTTGTTCTGCTCGAACCAAGCCGCTTTAGGTGACCTGACAATGCTAAGAGCTATAAAGGAATAGTGTGTTAGAGTATCAATCACGAAGGGCGAAAGGGGAAGAGCTCTTACGGATGTCGGATATATGGAACTCCTCGGCCTCTAGTTCGTTCATTCCATTGAAGTCGCCGGTAGCGAAGGCTACAAAGTACTCGTTGATGCGCGACAGCAATAGCTTGTCATGATGGTGTTTGATGCGGCTATCGTCGAATGCGGGATGGGAAGCCATGCTCTGTGATGTAGACGATTATCTGTTGCAAAATGCGAGTTTAAATTATTTAATGATTGAAATGATGATAGATGTGGAGGATTGGGCAACGGATTGAAGCCATACTTATGTTTTTATAGCTCATATTGAACAAATTTTGAATTGAAGGGTTCAAAAAACCCCTAATCTGTGTACCCTTGATTGAGGGGTAGCGGGGTTATGGTGACCACTAATCAACTGAGTTATTGACCCAAGTTGGCCTACATCTAGACAACATCGTGCTACATTTCATATTCAATCTGGCACCGATCATTGCCACTTAAGGACGTCAGCTTTGAGCAGGGCGCCGCCTGTTGCTAGTTGAGGAATCGTCTGCACCATAGCATCCTCTTTTAATTGCTATCTTAGAGATTTTCTGTGCCAACGCTGCATCTTCCGTATACAAGTGTAACGTCGTCAAGGCTAGATATTCCGACTTATAAGACATCAGATTACTTACCCCCCCCCCTTAATTACTTGTAACAGTGGGCCCCGTGGTTGTAGGGCTATTTTGCGTGGAGACCAGGGGGCCCACTGTTACAAGTAATTAGGGGGGGAAGAGTAGACGAGCAGCGTGTCGCACTTCAGCTTCAAGCTGGCACCGATGATTACCAGTTAAAGACGTCGGCTTTGAGCAAAGCGCCACTCGTTGCTAGTTGAGGAATCGTCTGCATCATAGCAGCCTCTAGTAATAGCTGTCCTAGAGATTCTATGTGCTGACCCTGCATCTTTCGTACGTAGGTGTAACGTTGCCAAGGCTGAACATTCCGACTTATAAGACATCAATATACTAGAAGTGCAGCATGCAGCGTGTCGCACTTCAGCTTCAAGCTAGCACCTATGATTACTAGCCAAAGATGTCAGCTTCGAGTAGAGCGCCGCTCGTTTCTAGTTGAAGAATTGTATGCATCATAGAATCCTCTCGTGATAGCGGTCTCAGATTTTCTGGTGTCAACTCCAGATCTTTCATATACAAGTGCAGCCTGCAAAGGCCAAACATTACGACGTAAGACATCAATGTACCAGTGATAGAAGGCGAAAATCGCCGCCGGATTTAGCTTGGCAGCACGCTGCTCAATCGAGCCCGGTCGTAGAAGTTATGACAATGTCGACTGGTTATTATGAAAAAGTAAATATCTTTCAATGCATGAGAACACTTTAGCGAATAGATTAGTAAAACACATCAGCAAACAAATCTTTGGAGTCAATGAAATGCAAAAAAAGGCGTAAAAGCAAAATAGAAACGCAAGTACTGTAAGTCCTTCGTCTTAATATAGAAACGAAAGAAAATGAAGAACCATTTGCATCTCGTTTTGTAGGTTTGACAGGCCCGAATCACCAGGCTGTGCAGAGTCAGGTCACTTCCTGAAGGCGTGGACGAATATGGATCTTGATGGGAAAGTTAGATTATCAATATTAACGAAGATGTCGGCCAGTTTTTGCCTCTTCCCTACCTACTTAATTCCTCTACATGGCTAATCAAGGCAAACCATCCTGCACACTGTGGAGTGATTCCATCTAGTTGCAGACTTTCGAGATAGTTCTGTGAAACCTCTCTGCGTGGTTTTGGAAATGCATTCGATACTGCCGGACGTCACATATATGACAATTAGTTGGCTCGCTAACCCCAAGCCTTCTAACATGCTGTCTCATAATGTGCCTCGTCAAACCAGGACTTGAGAACGGGCCGGCCCTCTCCCGAACCGCTAGATTCGGGCTACATGCGAAGCATATAGTTAGCGTCTTGTCTGCGCTGACATTCTCTTTCTAGCGAAGTCTCGGGCAATTTCAAGACCGCATCAATTAGAAGGAGATGTTCTAGCGTCATATGATCCAATCGCTCTAATGCACCTCGCACATCCTCGTCGACCACTTTGCCAGATAGCTGTCGCTCGCTATCAATAACTGGCTGCTCTTTTTTATACCGATCGACGATGTCAAGTAGTAGCAATTGACGACGTCAAGTAATAGCAATCGCCGCTGCCGCGCTCTCTCGCTCATAAGTCGTTTTTGAGCCGTCTGATACCGCTCTTCTCTCCGGCTGCCTTTTGGAGCCCCTGACAGGCGAGCTGCGATCCGAGACCATTTCACAATACATAGAAGGTTATTAATTGATACTGATTGCAAAGGAGTCAACTTCCAGGGGCGTCGGGGTCGAAAAGCGAGTCGAGGTCGAAAGCGCTCGAGCTGCCGGACTCATCAGGTGGGGTGAGGAACCGAGTTGAAGTAGACGTGAAAGAGAAGAGATAACGATAACCAGAAGAAAGAGAGCGAACAAGAGACATGCTAGCCTTTAAATACATTTAAGTTAGCAGTTCATCGAAGAGATGGCCACTTCTCATTTCTGGCTTTCGTAGGCCCCTATTTGCTGAGGGCATCAGGTCGGACGAGTTGGCCAGGGGCGGACGAGGTTGATGAGTCATCACCGCGACGTCACTGAACTTCGAGGTCACATGTACTCGATTAACCCCTCCAAAACTGAGGATATTCCTTCCCCTTCGCCCTTGCTCCATCAATTCCTATTAACACAATTGCACCCCACCATGGCGACATCCTCCAACCCAATTGTCTTCTACGACATCGCTCAGCGCCCGCCAGTCACGGAGACATGCTGCGCCGTCAACCCTTGGAAATCCAGGTTGGCACTCAACTTCAAGGCCGTCCCCTATACTACGTCCTGGGTGAAGATGCCAGATATTAGCAAGGTGCGGTCCGGCCTTAAAGTCCCAGCCTGTCGCAAATTCGCTGATGGCTCCGATTTCAATACCCTTCCTATCATCCATGACCCTGCTACCAACATATTCGTTGGCGACTCCTTCGAGATCGCCGTCTACCTACAACACAATTACCCTACCTCTGGCGCAGGCAACCTCTTCCCTCCTCAGAAACTCGACTATGTCTTCAACAACGATATCGCACTGGTGGTGCCGCTGTCGGAGCTTAGTGAGACCGACTTTGTCGAGTACGCGCGCTTCAACACCAGCATTGATGCGGCGTTCAGTCCACATACCGCGCTGATGTGTCAAGGGCTTCCTTTGGATCCAGAGACTGCCGAAATAACCAAGGCGGACTTTGTCAAACGTGCTGGCGTTAGGTCGTGGGATGATTTTGCCCTAGTGGGTGAAGCGCGAGAGAAGATGAAGGAATCTTTTGAAGCTGTGCTTGGTGATATAGCTAAGCTGTTCTTAAGAAATACGTCTGGGCCGTTTCTTCTAGGGCAGCAGGCTAGCTACGCGGATTTTATTGTTGGCGGATGGTTAAGGATGATGCGTGTGACGTTGCCGCAAAGTGAGTGGGAGGAGGCGAGGGGTTGGCATGGGGGCATTTTTGGGCAGTTACATGATGGGCTGGACAAATATGCCGAAGTAAAGTAGGTTGTTTTTGCGTAAATACCTAGAATATCGTCCCGTGCAAGTACGGGTTTTGCCATCATGATGGCACTGGAGGCGTCTCCTAATTTCTAAAATAGGTAGCGGATACTAATGTTGCTATGTGCTACAATAGCATTCTCCGCACGCCTTATTTTGTCGCCCTTACGACTACAGATCCCCCCAACTCCTTCCCCTTATCCGTAGAGAGCTGTCGCTACCTTTTCCTTGGATAGCCTTCAAACCCCGACTGCTGCCCAGGCTTCCCGAACCGTACACCCAAGCCCACGGAGAGCAATTGCCCACGTACCTTCTGTGCACAACCTCCTTATCTACGTATTGCGTATGCTATTATTTGAAGCACCGAAAAGTATAGGGGCCTCATTATACCAATAGGCCGTAAAGTTAACAAGGTTAAATGGATGAGATTCGGTTTCAGCCTTTACAAGCTCCTTATCCAATCTACTTTCACCTATACCGTAGGCCTCAACTATTCGGTATGCTTCAGCTTTAGCGTTTTGCAAAAAGGCGCTTACTTAAGTACAGCACATAAGTATGGTAATAGCACTAGGTGGGGGCCTCATGTGAGGCGTCGTTGCTTATCCTATTGAGGCGTAATTGCAAGGGGAATAGTACTAGAATAGGATAGATTTTGTTCACGTCTGGTGGCTCCCTGGCTAGTACGGTTTCTTTACTTATGAGCTGTACCTCCGTATATTATCAGCAACTTCAACGCTTGTATTGAGTGTCCCGCTTATAGCACCGTTGCGTTGGACTACTTCGGCAAAGCTGATTATAGTGTTAGTGCTAAAATATCGTAGCAGGATAACTCGGGCCAACTTACAAGGTGGTACCACCCGCTTCCTATACGCGCTTCCCCCCTAAAATAGCCACCTTCTAGAAACACTAAACTAATATACTTCTAGTTGCCGTCCCAGCTCTTCTGCTAACAACTCTAGTTAAATAGCTAGTAGAAATCATGCTAGTAATTATTAGTAAATACTTACTATTATATATATATTTGCCTTTTTCTTTAAATTCTTCTTTTGATTTGATTTAAGCTATAACGCAGGCTATATATAATTCGGGCTATATATAATGCGAGCTAATATACACGTAGGTACTTCGACCTATCCTAGAATTCAAATACTATCAATGGCGCTCGCCTCTAGCAGAACGATTGCAGAATGATATGGGGTAGCTGTATGCGCTAATAAAGACCCAAGCTAAGGATAGTGGTTAATGTAGATGCAAACGGCACCACCTCCTAACGCCGACTAATAACATCGCGCAGGAGTATTCCTCCCACACAACACCCACCCAAAAACAGACTAGTGCCACAAGGTGATGAGCTTCAATGTAATATCCAGGCACTTGCTAGCGACAGAAACACCTAAAGAAGCAGGGGAAACAAAGTATTGGCTTGACGATGCGTGTTATTGCCTTCTATTAGATACTAGAGCATGATTATATATATGATTATTGTGCTGATAATGACAAACCTATGACATATTCTCGAGAAATACAGTGCCATTTTACTATTCATTTGATTTCTAAGTGCGGTTACAGCGTATAGCTCGGATTAATAGGTAGCGAGCTGGGTTGTGAGCATGCAGGCGCTGAAATTCGTAAAAGAAATCCCCTAACGCCAAGAGCAGGGGACTTGACATGTTTGAAAATTCAACAAACAGCTCTAACTGATGCGCGTATCAAAAATAGATAACATGTGCAATTTAATTGACTATTATTGTAGTTGGGAGAAGGGAGAACGGAAGAAGAAAGAAACCAAGCCCCTGACGTTAAAGTAACCGATTCTCGCTTCCCCGCTGCACGTGGCTGTCCCCCGTTGTTTTCAAACCTGCATGACGTGCGTACCCGAATCGATCAACATCAATATACTTCGTACATGCACATGCTTAACAACATGATCATATTATTGAAACCTGCATATACATGCACATGCTTAACACCATGATCATATTATTGAAACCTACCTATAGCACAAGCCGTCTTTCCTTTTCAACATTTCCCGGAAATAAGCCTCTCGCCATCCCATCCCAGAAGACGATCGCGACGCACGGAGGGGCTCTCCGGCTTAAAGCAACGCACATGCAGATAGAGGTTTCTCATGGTCCCCTCCCCCCTCTTTCCCACAGGGCACCCAATCATGGAAGCTTCCGCCGAAAGTTCTCAAAGCCGCAAGTCTTGCGAGCCATAAACCTCGGGTAGAGAGGCATAGAAGGTCGAAGCACATCGCCAATCCACACCATCGTCGCTAAATTGTCAAAAGCCTCATAATTCATACCAAAGCGCAGGCTAGTATACCTGCCATACCTCCAAGCGTACAGTAGTATCCCACCCATCTCTAGTTGTCCCACCCCAAGGAATCTGCCGCGCGGACTCCACCCTTACGGAGCACGGTACAGTACCACATCGTCCACATCGACGTCCGATCCGAACCCATCATCGCCAGCTGATCTTGGAAGACGATCGCACTTATTCCACAGGCCGCCGCCCGATTGTTTCCGCTATTCCCTCGCTCGGCCCTGCCAAGGGTTATAGTGAGATGCCTCAAGCCCCATGGGGGAATATTTGATGCCGCGCTATTACTACTGCTAAGACCTATAGATGCAATCCCCGCTTTTTGTAGCTTCTAGAATCATTGGTTGTTTCTAAAGGGTGTGCCAGTGCGGGGATTCGTATCGTGGCTGTGGAACAAGCTACGTAGAAAAGCTGTTAGCTTCAATACTTGCTAGGTACCAGGTACAGTACCTCGGCGCTCCTTGATAGTAATGTGGACGTATCTATCTGAACCCACGTTGTAGCTAGTGCTTATTATTCAAGTCTACCCGATTATTCGGGTTTTGGGTATCTCTTGCCGTTGGCCGCTATGCGTGACAAGAGATCTCGGTACTTAAGCTTAGCAATACCTTCCACTCTCTTAGGGGGTCCAAGCCACCAGCCTCTAGCTACCAACATCTATCCACCTATCTCGCATCCAGAAAATTCAGACGCACATGCCAGGATTCCTCAACTCCCTCATAACGGCACATGCTCCTCCAAACCCCTCGGCAACCCTCTCCGTCCCAGCTATCCGTTTATCATCATCGCGGCTGCCAAAACCCCTTGGCGACGTCCGAGGGTGCCCCAAAGGACCCCCCTCAATCCACACGCACAGACTGACCGCCCAACTATCGAAACGCCGCTGGGAAGCGGAACTCGAAGCTAACCAAGAGATCGACATAATTAATTTTTTCTTTTTCGGGTTTTGCAAGTTTGCAAACACGAGGCAAAGGCGCGCTCTTGGTAGTTGGTTGGTGTTGGCGTTGGATGTTGGTGGTTGCTTAAACCTTCCCCATCGAACCTTCCTGGTCCCCTACTACTGTATCTAAGCGCCCACTGCACGCCTTCTCGCACGCCTTAATAGGTACCTTAAGGTACCTTAGTATCCTTGGCGCACGTGGCATTCTTAGCCAAAAAAAAAATCCGCATCCTTTCCCGGTCGGCGCCCAGCCTAAATCTGCGCGAATCCTTTCAAATGAAAATAGCACGGAGTAATAATTACAATTTCATTATTATTTATTCCATACACACACACGGCCACCATCCCGCTTGCTAATTCCCCGAGACTGTTTTGTTTTGAATTTAGCAGAGATTCTGCCAAGCTTATTATTTTTTTACGGTTCACCTACCTACCTATCTAGAAGAGGCGAGATGAGATGAGATGGGAAAAGGGAAATGTCGGGGGTTGTATAGTTGTACTACGTACATGTACATACAGAGGTGCCTGTACTGTACAGGAAACAAAGGTGTTCTGCTGCTACACGAAACATAATCTCGACGAGGTAGGTCCGAGCCCACCGGTCGTCAGCGCGGGGTGTATTTTCGTTTCGTTTCGTTGTCTGGGGGGGGGTTCTTGGGGGCTGAGATACCTACCTAGGTACATGTATCTCTACTATGTACTTCGTAGGTACCCTATGATAGCCTACAGTACCATGCAAGGCAAGATCCCACCATCGTCGTAAATCGAAACGGCGGGAACCAAAAAAAAAACGCCATACATATGTATTATGTATGTACGCAGGAATCCGGGGGTTACATCAAAAAAATCCACCACTGGCAAACCAGATCTGAACTTTAAACTAAAAAAAACCTCCGAGGACAACGTAAGATCCACAAAATCAGGATGAAAAAGAACGAATGAATCCTTTTGGCCCCATGGATATCCCGGAGTGAGTGTGACGCCGAGGTGGCTGTTTCTGGGTAGCGTGGTGCAGCTGCATTAAGGGCCTTCCATAATTGGAGATGGCTGCTTATTTATATTTTATGTATGTCGTATTTGCACCTATTATAGGAAAGAGGGGCTGTTTGCCTCTGTTTACTGTTTGATAAGGCTGCAGATTACATATATAAGATCTATAGTGAGGGAAGGGAGGGCATGATGATAATGATGATGATGGCATCGTGGCATTTTAACGGTCATATTGATTTCTATTTACACAGCGTACTCGGCTGGTTTGTTCCCTTTCTAACGAAGCTCCCTAGGACATAGGAAATAAGGCTCCCGGATAATAGGTAGGGCCTTAAGGAATTATGTGGGCTCTCAAGTAGACTTTGTCGACCGAGCTGGGGCGGCGAACAAAAGGTCATTAAGTAGCGCTGGAATGGGAGAAACAACCCCCATATGCAAGCAGTTCCCGTGGTCCGCCCATGCATCCCCATGCTTTCCATTCCCCTAAGCAAGAACATGTCGCTGAAGAGAAGAGTGTGCGTCACATTTGAATTGATGTACAAATACGGACATCCAGAGGGTATGGCCGTTGCCGTTGCAAGAACCGGGCCATGTCCTGGGGGGGTATTGAGAGAAGGTCGGTCAAAAGATTCGTCGAAGTCGTTAACGGCGCATGGCAGAGTTTGTGACTGGATAAGGAGGCCGGACCCGGTCCCACAATGGTGAATATTTTGGTGAGATTAAAACAGTCCTTTTTTCCAGGAGGATTGGGTTATTTAGAGGATGAGCTTTTGGAGGTTCTTTTGGATGATCATGTCTTGAACCGAGCCCATGGTGACTTTGAGGAGATCGGTATCTGTAGCATTCGTGAAATGACCATAAACATCTCGGGTCGGGTTCCGGTTGAGGGCAATAAATTTGTCCATAAAATATTTGCTCGTCTGCTGCCAGTTGGTCTCATCGCCTTGGAAATCGGTGAAGCCAAAGCTCGAGATAGGGCATATAGCCGTCTTTTGCTTGAACAAGTCCATCTTGTTCATAAATAGAATAAGAGACGAGTTCTTAAACCAGTGCGAATTCGCGATCGACTCCCAGAGCATTAAAGCCTCCTGCATTTGATTCTAATACGGATGTTAGTATGGTGGGCACCAGGTTCTGCTAAATTGTCCACTCACGCCGTCCTTGTCCTCCGCTAGACATTGATCATATCCGCTGATTGCCACCAGGAAGAGCAAAGCATTGACATTCTCGAAGCAATGAATCCACTTCTTCCGCTCCGATCGTTGTCCACCAACATCAAACATACGGTATTGTAACGAGCCTAGATCGAATATCGTCTCCGTAATCCCCGTTGTGCGCAGCCGCGCTCTCAAGACATCTTGATCCGTGGGCACGAAATCTTTCTGGAATAGGCGATCGAGGTCTTCGAAGAAGCTGAAGGGCCTGGGTGTTAGTAATGGTAAAGTACAAGGCTCGCGCTACTCTTATAAGTAAAGGATAGCTTACTAGCCCAAGTTATCGTGAAGAGCGTATTCATTCCCCCTCGCGACCGCCTTTTTAACTCCAGGATCCTTCCATATGTCCTTAAAGGCCCTGAGATATTCGAGTGGTATTTGCTCGAAAGGTCGGAGGTCCTTTTCTTGGAGGATAACTGGGAGGTGGACCTAACACATCGTGGCTGATCAGCATTCGAAGCCCCACAACAACAATCCATCACTGCCAAAAAATGTCCGAAGGTTCATGCACTCACTGTCGTATTTTCGTACTGAAAGTCGATTTGCATCTCCTCCATCGCATCAATAATCATCCGCAGGCCGTCCAGGAGGTTGTTGAAGATGATGACTCTCCATTCTTCCTTCTCGTTCTTGGAAATGCCGTCCTTGGTGTAAATCAATTTCATCTGCTTGAGGATGGTTGATTTACCACTCTCGCCGGCGCCTAGGAAAATGGGACAATTGGGGTTAGCTGTTGGTTCATGCGAGGCGCAACGAGGCGCGAATCGCGAGGGGGGCATCGGAGGGAATTGAGCTTACCCAATAGCAGGAGCTTCACGACCTTGGCCATCTCCTTCTGGTCCTTATGGATCATGGCATCGATCTCCCTACTCTTCTTGTACTCGTCCTCATCCTTCCGGCCCCCAAAACACATCTTGACTGATTGAGGCGTGGTGACGGTGGTGGCCGTGGGAAGCTTCGAGCGGTGCGTGGGGTGGGGCGGCGGGTGAACGATCGAGTCGAGAATCGGGGGGGATCGAAAGGGGAGCGAGGGCGACAGGAAGCAGGCGATGAGGGTGTTCGCAGTTAATGTATTGTAGAAAGCGAGCAAGATGACCGGTACATGTACATGGGGGCCAATGCAACCCGAGGGGCGGCTGGGGTGAAGGGTGAAGGGTGAAGGGGGAATGGGGCACCCAGCGAAATGCTTGTTAAAGGGAAGGGCTGCCCAAAAATCCTGCAGAGGCAGAGGTAGAGGTAGAGGCAGAGCAGAGGCAGCGGCTTCGCCTTCTTTCACGTCGAGCTCCGAGTTTCAGTTGCAAAATGGGACCCGGCGGGCGGCGGCAATGGCAATTGCAACGGGCTGGGCTGGGCTGGGCTGGATGGTGGCGAGGGTTTATAATAATGGGGAACGGGCAATGGGTACGAAGTAATGGGCGGGCGACCTTGAGGAGTGCGTGGCTTGTCTTTGTCTTGTAGATATGGCGAGGTATGGAGGCGGACAATTGTGTGACACGGTGGAGCCCAGGGAAAGGCCAAGCTGTGCAGGGAGACGGAGACAAAGAGAAGGGGCTCCAAGGGCACGCGGGTTATGGGTTATAGGCAAAGATAGGGTTCGAGTACTCGAGTAGGGGCCCTCCGGCCACTAAGTACTGCGTGTGCGTGCCTGCGTACGGAGTAGTAGGTACTGTTTATGTATGCATGTATGTATGTATGTACGTATGTATGTAGCTACGCTGTGGCTTCGTTTCTTTCCCCTTCCCCGTCCCTTTCGCCTTTCCTTTTCCCTCGTCCTCTGCGTGCTTGGGGAACGGGGACTCCCTCGAGGCTGCGTGGGCCGTGGCTCACGGAGTCGAGTACTGGCAGTCAAGGTACCTGTACCTGTACATGTAGCTGTACATGTAGCTGTACATGTACAGTACCTTACCTGGGACTGGGCCAGCAGCGGACAGACGGTGGGCAGACAGGGCTCCCAGCACTGGTTGCACACGGATCGGCACAAGCACGGTACTGTACTTTACTTTACTCTACTTGTCCTTACCACGACGGCAATAATAATAATAATAATAATGATAATGTATGTTCGCAGTTCGCAGCAGCGCAGTAGTGGCACACATGCACACTGCACACCACACCCTCCTTAGCACTGTCTTACCTTCTGGCTCGATGCGCTGCGCTGCACTGCACGCGATGGCAGATGCAGAAGTCGAGGCGTGGTTGCAGGGGGCCGAGGGGGCGTTGACGGTTGGAGAAAGCAAAGAACGCTGCCAGTCAGAGGCCGTCTGAGAGCTGAGGGTGAGAGTGAGAGTGACCAGTCTGCGAGTGAGCGACGAGCGACGCTGGCTGGGCCGGCTGGGCAGAGGGCAGAGGGAAGAGGGCGTGCAAAAGGAATCTGGTCTGGGCTGGGCGGGGGATTGTTCTACGAGGGATTGTACGAGGCAGTGCAAGGGGGGATTAGGGGCAGTTTTGTTTCTGGGTTGATGGGTTTCGGTGGTTCGGTGGTTCTGTGAACGTGCGGACTTGGGGACTGGTGGGGAGACTAGTCCAAGTGATCTGCACTGAACTGGAAGCTTTATTATTATTGAGGCCGAAGATAGTGGGGAGAAAGTACTGACTTACTGTGTATGGCGAGTGACAAGAACCCGCCGGAAAGCTACCTACTGACTCGACGGGCCAATGCGGCTGACGTTTGCGGTTGGGTTCGAGTCGCACCAATGCTGATAAAGAGGGTCAGGGCATGGATTGCAGCTGATGGTCAAAAGTATAAAGAGTACGGAAGAGTAGCTAAAACACCCCAAGGGAATAGGGTATGAGTACTCGAGTAGCAGTAAGCCGTAAATAATAGGGAGGTGGCGTCGGCGTGATAGGCAAAATATATACAGCTGGATACGATGTACTACTACGGAGTAAGTACGTACAGTACATAAGGCAAAGACATCGCAACATACCTTATTAGCATATACAAGATGTACTTGTGCTTCGTACCTTGTACCGATACAAACTACCGTACGGGGGACGCCGGAATTTGAAGCCACTTCTAGCTTCCCAAGGAGGTTGCACGGAGCACGAGTGGATCTTGTAGACTGGCATCGTGGCTCGTCGTGCTGCATTATCTCTGCCATAATAATGGCCCAGTTAGCGGTGGAGTCTGCAAGTACCGGTAGCTGCAACGCCGGCGCCGCGTGGGAGACACACGGCGATGCCACTCTGCGAAGCACAGTAGTAATCCGTGGTGCTACGTCCCACTCCCGTAGTATGCCCACCCTGGGGGCCAACGACGGGCAGCGGGAGGATACTCGAGTATCAGTGGACGGCGGACGGCGGATGCTGGATGGTGGAAACACTCCGAACAAGTCGAGACGCCATTCCCTCGGGGGCCGGGGGAGGTTGGAGGAGACGTGGGAAGATCATCGGGTCACCAGGGCTTGTAGTCTAATTAATCGTTAATCATCCGAGGCACGCGCCTTTGGTTGTACGAGGTACTCTACGACGAAGGATGGGATATAATAATGATAGTCGTAGGGGGGTGCGGAATAGTAAGTACTCCCGTAGGATAGTGTGCCTTTTAGCTTTAGGCTTTAGCAATGGATTATAAACAATTGAAAGGAGCGTGAAGGTGAAACTACACCCAGCACTGCGAAGTACTGTCTCTCTCTGCACTACGACACTGCTACGGGATACGTACCTGCGAGCCGACGGGGTACGGGCGGGGTACGCAAGGTGCAGAGGCACCTCTGTACAGCTCCCAGGTACCGCCTAGGTACTCAGGATTCAGGATTCAGGAGTCGAGTCAGGAGATGTTAGCTCTGGATAGGCACTTGACAGAGGGTTGCAAGCGTTCCCAGGCAATAATTACAGGCAATACTTCGTCCGCAATATAGGCAATACTGGTTGTACAGACAGAGGTACAGAATGCGACTTGTACTCTATTATCACGACCAGCACCCTGTAGCACCTCCTTTAAAGTCCTGCCCTGCCCTGCCCTGCCCTGCCCTGCCCTGCGCCTCGTGGCCCGCGGCTTTGCCGTATGGCGTACAGGCCGCCGGTGCCAGTGCCCGTGGCTTCAAAGTCCAAGTTGCTTCTCTCTGCAACGCGGGAGATACTGCGTGCTGTCCCGTCGACGGCGGCGCCTGTACGTAGTACCTCGGAACATTGCTAGGGATGTAGCATTAGGCACTGCAAAAAGCAAAATAGAGGGAGATTATTTATTTAAATTTGAACCTTAACCCTCTATCCCGTGCCCTAGTCATCGACAGATTCTACAAAGTACTTAACTCCCCTGACGTAGCTGCTCTGTGAAGTCTTTTTGCGCGGCACCACCACCGCCTTCAACTTTAGCTAAACGTGCCTAGGTACACACTACACTACTGCGCGAATTAAATAAAAAATTTACCAGAATTCACCTGCAACCGTGAAACTTCTGTTTGCCAGCATTCCCCCGACACAACGTCAGAAAACACAGTCACAAAAGACACAGAGAGAAAAGGACAAACTCAATCCGTCTTTTCGTGTCCTACAAGCCTCCTCTGGCTCTCCTGCGCCCACCCTTCTTCGTTGCCCCTCGTTCCCTGCCCCGCATTCTCTTATCCCACCAGAATTATTCTTCCTGCCATTCTCTTCCCACCAGACACAAACACAAACACATACACGGACACAGCACCGCCCACTCCTCCTTACTCCCCTCATCTAGGAACAGGTCGCAGCAGCAGCAGCGCATTACCTCCCATCAAGCATTCAGAATGTCAGACATCGTCCACCCCACGATCAAGGGTAAGACCAAGTCGCATCGTCCATCGTCTTTGCATTTCCCATTTCCCATTTCCCCCCATTCAGACACGAGCAGCCCTGCCTCCGACCGAGCCTACCCGGCATCCTATTCTTCATGCTGCACAACCGGTCAAGGCAGACTTGCCCAGAGGATCATGGGCTGCTCTCTGATTCCCCTCGGTTCGCCAGCGCCGTCGTGGAGGAAGACTTCTTTCGATGCGCGTCGCATCGCCTTCCGGCAGCCCACCACCCTCTTCACTTTACCCGAGATTGATTAACAGCTGCTGCTCCTACAGCAGCAAAAAAAGCACACCACCTGTCTCACTCTCTCCTTCAAAGCTTCCACCCCCCGCTGACCAAATTAATTTTCTGCAGATGGCTGGTTCCGAGAAATATCCGACATGTGGCCCGGCCAGGCTATGACATTGAAGGTCAAGAAGGTCATCCATCATGAGAAGAGCAAATACCAGGATGTGCTTATCTTCGAGTCCACCGACTATGGCACCGTTTTGGTCCTGGACAACGTCATCCAATGCACCGAGCGAGACGAGTTTGCGTATCAGGAGATGATCACCCATCTGGCCATGAACTCGCACCCAAACCCCAAGAAGGTCCTGGTTATCGGAGGCGGAGACGGTGGGGTGTTACGTGAAGTCATTAAGCATGACTGCGTCGAGGAGGCCATTCTGTGCGACATCGACGAGGTATGCGGTGCTTATCCCTCGTGAATGCCATGCACGTCTGACATTTATCCTTCCAGGCTGTTATTCGTCTCTCCAAGCAGTACCTCCCAGGAATGGCAGTTGGCTTCCAGCACCCCAAGGTTAAGGTGCATATCGGAGATGGTTTCAAATTCCTCGACGACTACAAGAACGAGTTCGATGTAATTATCACCGACTCTTCGGATCCAGAGGGACCGGCAGAGAGTCTGTTCCAAAAGCCATACTTTGAGTTGCTTTTCGGTGCTCTCCGGGAGGGTGGCGTCATTACCACACAAGGTTGTACGTTCTCCTTTATCTGCGTGGATTTGGTGCTGTTTCTGAGCTCTTTAATTATTTTTTTGGTCAGCCTTGTCGGCGTTTCATCTTTATTACCGAGGCTTCACGCTCTGTTGATGTCATTTCCTGGCTTTGGATCTCCATACTATTTTTTATTTATTTATATATATTTGTCTACCGTCTGAATCACATGCTAACTTCCGCAGCCGAAAACCAATGGCTCCATCTGCCACTCATCACCAAGCTCAAGAAGGACTGCAAAGAGGTCTTCCCTACCGTTGAGTACGCCTACACGACCATCCCAACCTACCCCTCCGGCCAAATCGGCTTCATGGTCTGCTGCAAGGATGCCAACCGCGATGTCAGCAAGCCCTTGCGTAGCTGGTCCGCAGAGGAGGAGGAGACAAAAAACAGATACTATAACGCCGACATCCACAAGGCGAGCTTCATCCTGCCAACCTTTGCGAGGGCCGCTTTGAAATAAGAAACGATACCAAAAAAAAAGCATTTGTTAGCCTTGGGGCGGACGGAATATTACCCCGCTATAGAAAATCCTCCCCATGGTTGGCTACGTTTACGGGATCTCTGATGTAGGGTGGCTTGCCGGCCTGATCAGAGAAAAAAAAGCATTGGTCTTGGGGCCATTTTGCTATGATTAACGACGGGAGACGTGGTAGTGGCTGCATGGGAAAAACGACGGACGTCCGTAACAAAAGTTTTATTTGCTTTTTATTTAGAGCGGATCTGCAGCATCTGCCCTCTCATATAAAAAAACAAAATCATCCAATAGATGGATGAAAATTTTCAACCCCGGATATGCCCCTTTTCAATGCAGATGGTGCCAGTAAAATTCGCCGCATTAACGCCATGGGACACGGGTCAATTATCATATTTTTTGGGTATAATCTTTTGCATCACTATACAGCATCTTCAAACCTACACTCCCCCTGACTAACATCAGGGTAAACGTCAAACCTCCTCTGTTCATAAATCGGAATTCCGGTTCTCGCCTCCTCAATCCCCTCATTCTTCAACTCAGCATACACGACCTCCTCCCCTTCCCCAGCCTCAACCATAACCCTCGCCATGGGATCACAAACCAGACTATGGCCCCAGGCATGGTACCCAGCATCCATATCCCTAGCGGGGCTACATAGGGCCACATAAACCTGATTATCCAAGGCGCGAGCCTGGCCCTGCAATTTCCAATGCAGCGGGCCCGTAGTCAGATTAAACGCACCTGGATAGACAAGCGCAAAGCAGCCCTTCCGCGCCGCGACCATGGCCAGCTCGGGGAACCGGATATCATAGCAGATCGCAACGGCTATCTTACCGTATTCCGGCAAGTCCACAATGCTAATCTTGTTCCCCGGCGACAGGATCTCCGATTCCTGGAACCGTATCTTCCCGGGAATGTCGATGTCGAAGAGGTGCACTTTCCGGTGCGTCGCGACCAGCTTTCCGGCCGGCGAGAACGTCAGGCTCGTGTTGTAGTACTTTTTCGTAGACGGGTCCAGCTCCGGGATCGAGCCGCCAATTAGGTATGTTTTGGTCTCGGCCGCCATGGCGGCCAGCGCGTGGAAGGAGGGAGATTGGGTTGCGGACGGCGGCGAGGGGAGCAGCGTTTCCGCGTACGTCGGGAAGTGATCGCAGCCGTACGGGCTGTTGAAGCATTCCGGCAGCACGACGATATTGGCGCCGCCCGCGGCGGCTGTGTGGACCAGCTCGCGCGCATGCGTGAGATTGCGTGTCTTATCCGACCCTACGATCCCATCTGTGTTAGGAGTCCAGCGACGAAATTGAGGCTTTTGATAACGGCGGGGGGAAACGGAATGGGGAACGCGAACGAACCGCTGGCCAATTGCACCAAGGCGAGCTTGACGGGCTTCTTCAGGAGAGCCGCGGTGGCCATGTTTGCTATTGATCTCTGCGAGGTGGCTTGGAATGGATATCTGGCCGGCGTCGACAGGGCTTGCAGTCCTCGTAGTGCTTTGAGCATGTTATATTATGTTTCTGCTGAGGTGACATAGCTTTCCTCATCCCCGCTATCTGTGGGACGGGGCTGTCTTGGCGGGGATGCGGAATAAGTATAAACCCGTTGTAGATCGCAATCTAACGGTGGTGGGAACTTCCGTCGAAGCCCTGTATTCGCTACCAAAGTGCTCGTATTACGAATACGGCACTTAGGTTGGAATTGGAGCTGTGTATCACTTCGCGGAAGATAAATCTACGCCAAGTTAGCCACGATCTGCTCATATCCGTCAATAGAGGAGCTGTGCCAAGGCCATCACACAAGACACAGGCTCAACGTAGAGGAGAATCCTATGTGTATTCTGACGCCTAAAGAGTAGAAGCCTAAACTACCTGAAGTATCTCGCACAGAGATACGGCAGGGGCGCAGTGTCTATACCGTGCTCCAGTGAGCTTGGTTTTATCAGCTCTTGAGGCAATATCCGGGATGAGAGTGTGCTTCCAGAGAATTAATATGGAGTCGTGATTGTAAGTGCGGAATTACAGAGTTGCTGCTACACGGGCAAGTGTATATTGTACAATACCAAAATCCGGATCCTGCTATTTCTTCGACATAGCTACCAGCGTACCTAGGTGCTTGATATACGAGGTATGAGTTTCCAGCATCAGAAAAGACGTCGAGTACAAACTTTATGCTTCGTCTTAAAGGCTCTGATTCATTTCCTTCCTTCTTCTTGCTTGTTTTTTATATATGCCACCGCTACATATCTTCATCAGTTCCAATCAAGGCATTTGTTGCCATCCGCCCAATCCAATAGCGGGATCACCTCAATTTCACAGGAAAATATGACAATCTGCTCAGAGCCTTTTACATCGCCCGTTGCGGCACGTTGTATTAGTATTCATAGCTGAAATATCAAGACCATAGGATTGAGAAGCACGGAGGTCCTCAATCAAACTACTAAACCATCTTCTAATACTTCCATAATATTTCAATATCTCATACCAAGATGTAGATGCAGGTCGCTCTATATGCGCCATGACTACAGCTTGGTTATAATATGTACAATTACAGTCGCCAAAGTTTTGGCTTGATTCATAAAAGCTTCCTTAATTCCTTGCCCGCAATGAAAATTTCTCCCCTGCCAACCTATCATCAAAACCTGTGAGTTCCCTCAGAATTTGTGTATTTGATCTTTGGTATAACCAAGTTGCTCAAGGATTCCAGCCTGGGTGTTACCAGAGCTACCCTTAGCGCCCAAAATAGCATTCTCCATCGCTGGTGGCCCGCAAACAAACACCTTGGAATCTTTCTCACCGGGATCTATCATTGCCTTCTGCAACAATTCCTTCGTAACATATCCCTTGGGATATGGCGAGCCTTCAGCAGGATTGCTGACCGTGTATATTGCTTTGAAGCGGTTAGGAAATTCTTTCTCGTATTTTGCGAAGTTTTCTTGGAAGAGTATATCTTGGTCACTGTTGACACCAAAGACGAGTGTGATTTTTGTCTTATCTTCTGGATTTTTGAGAATGCCTCGGATGAGCTGATACATGGGTGTTATTCCCGCACCTCCAGCAATAAGAGTAATGTGAGAATGTTTGTTGGGAGTCCAGGGATAACCTTTAATTGCGCCCAGGAAGTAGAGCGAGTCGCCTGGAGTCATGGCGTGGAGATGGGTGCTTTGTTTTCCATTTGGGTAGCGCTTGACAGCAAGCTCGATGTAGCCAGGCTCGTCTTGAGCAAGTTAGCTACAGACATTCATGGGTTGGAGGCTCTTCGAGACTTTACCTAGGTTATTAACTGGGGTATATGGTCTGATGACTGGAAGTACACGTCCTTGTGGTTTGGAGAATGTCAGGACAGCCGCTTTTGATGTGTTAGAAAATTGCATCATGTTTCATATCTAGACGTAACATACATGTGAGGCTGAGACCACTCTGAGTATTGGGTTCTGGAAATTCAAACCGCAAGAGTTTCGTCTGGTGGTTGAGCGTCTGGATGCTATGGAGGCGTAGAGAAGTGAGACCCATGCCGCGGAAAGCCATCGCTGGCTTTCCACGCTCAGAATCAGCGGGTTTCGTGCTGTACGAATAGAGGCCGTATGCTATGAGTCCAGTAACGGTAACAGCAGCTACGGTGGAAATTGAAGCTTGCTGACGTTGAAGTACCCGGCTTGCAAACATTGCGGGTCTTATTTAGATTGTAATGCACCGAGGAGCATCGGTATCGATCAAGAAGCCGTTGTATGGAGATAGATCAGAAAAATCTAAGAAGCTCAACAAGTAAATAGAAATGTCTGGATTTATAAAAAAGTTTGAGGTAGTTGGACGCATAAGAAATATAACGTCATTCAGGGTACCTCGGGGTTTGAACACCGTACGACGCTCCAAAACCCGACGCCACATCCTCAACTTCAACTTATACGGCGTCCGACGCTATACCCATATGCCGTCGGGTCTTTGCTACGCAGGCCGAAAAATCTTCTCCCAGGGGGGTCAGGATGCCCAGAGCCCGTGAAGCTCCAGCATCGAAACCAACGCGGTTAGCTTGCGAGACGTGCTCCCAACGTAAGGTCAAATGCGACAAAAGGGCCCCTTGCTCCAACTGCCATCGAAGCGGCGCGCAGTGTGTCCCGGTAGAACGAAAGCGTCTGCCTCGAGGCCGACAGAAAGTAGTATCTAAAGAGGAGGTACCTACGAACAACAGCGTTGACCTGACGGATCGACCGAGAAACATCTCGGGTGGTAGTACTTCCCAGGTAGCCGAGAGCCAGCGACCGGATTTTGGGTTCAACAGTCCTGCACATTCGGCTTTTGGCCTATGTGAGTCGGCAGCTCCGACACCTCAGGGTAATGATGCCAGGCCCGTTATAACCCGTAGCTCAAACGGCGTTGCAGCACCTGGTGGTGATGACCCTAACGATACTGGCGCCACGGAACGGCATCTGGGGGGGTTCTCTTGGACAGATATCATCGCCGAGGTAAGTCACGTTGCTGTAATCGATAGTGTGAACAGGTTCAATAGTAACATGGTCTACTGATAGAATGATATGCCTCCACATAAAGTGGTGACCCCGAATTACCCCCCAGATTCCCTGCTTCTGGGTTTTAATGCCCCCGCCAATCCAGATGGGCTCAGAGCTACCCCAGCCACAGCAGAGATACGCAAGCAACTTTGCAAGATATACTTGAATCAAGTAGACCCCGTATTCAAGGTTCTTCATGGACCTTCGCTACGAGAACATCTTCTTGGAGGAAAGAGGTATCTCAATTACAGTCCTGGGCATCCTGCTGTTGACGCCCTGGTCTCTGCCGTGTATTATGCTGCCGCCAACAGTCTCAGTGAAGCACATTGTCTCTCTTTATTCGGGGCTAGCCACGCAGCAGTCGTCACAAGCTACCGCACAGCATGTGAGGCATCGCTGGGCCATGCTGGTCTTGTCACCACAGAAGATTTGACTGTGTTGCAAGCCTTCATAATCTTCCTTGTAAGTCGATTCTCAATACATATATTAGTATATATCCTTTTTTAGCCCACATATATTTATACTTTAATGCAGGTCACTATGCGTTCACGCGACCAAAGTCGCCGGGCCTGGACTCTTCTGAGCATGGCTGTAAGAATTGCCCAAGCACTCTCGCTCCATCTCGAGAACCCCCCCTATGCCGTACAGCCTTTTGAACAGGAAATTCGTCGACGCGTATGGTTTGCTATCGGTTTGCTTGATATTCACGCATCTCTTGATCGAGCGGCCGAGCCTATGATTCCTGCTGCGTGGCTGCAGTCCCGCTTACCTGCCAATGTCAATGACAACGATTTATGGCTTGGCTTCGAAGGATGTCTGCAGGATTCAGCAAAATTTACTGATATGACCTTCACGGTAATGACCTGTACAGCTCAGTTCGTTGCAAGGATGTTAAATTTTCCACCGACAGCTGAAGCTGGAGCAACTGACTGGAATGTCAGACAGTGTCACGTTGATTCTTTCCGAAAAAGGGCAGCAATACTTCTTCAACAATGCGAATCTGATAAAATACCATTCCATTGGTATGCCAAACATGTTGGAACATGTATCTCAGCGAGTTTGCAGCTCCTTGCTTTTCGACCATTGCGACGCCTACCAAATAGCACCGCTCCTCGAGTCAGACCTCACAGCCTTCTCAAGCTATCCGTTGAAGTGTTAAAACAAGCTCAAAATCTGATCCAGGACTACCGCGGACATCCTTGGTGCTGGTTTGAAGGTATTTTTGTTCAATGGCATGCTCTTGCGGTGGCCATTACTGAGATATCAATTTGCGAAGACATGGCATTAACGGAGAGTTGCTGGCCCACTGTCGAGCTTGCATTTGACCAACTCAGTTCTCTGGTGGCTGATTCTCGGCAAGGAATTATTTGGACGCCGGTAGAAAAACTTATGAGAAAAGCACGAGAAAAGGTAAGGACTAGTCGCCTCAATATTTATGCTATTGGGGGGCAGGCAGCAGATGTAAACACAACTCATTTGATTCGCGGGGTTTCCGCAGATGTACATCCACATTTTCAGCCTCTGCCTTCTGGCGGCAGTCAAATTACGGATGTGGCAATTGAACCAGTGGGGAACCTGAATCTAGCACAACTCATAGACAATCCCAGTGCGTGGCCAGATGTCTGGGAAGGAGTGGACTTGTCAGATGGCAGCCTCCATTCTATTTCTGACATGGCATGGGCCGATTGGGAGAGTCTGGCGGACAACTTCAACGGTGGTGATGAGGCGATGAATATGTTCCCATCATATGGATATTTAGCTTGAAGTAGTAAATTTCCAAGACAGATAGATGATCGCTCTATCACCTTTTCGGCCTGTTGTACGAATCATTGCACTGGCCAAAGCAGAAATGGCCGAAGAAGAAGCGATGGACAGTAAAGGGCGATATAAAGTAACTCCCGCGTCCTATATTCCCAGCGTCTTTTAACGATTTCCAGCACTTGAGACGGAGATACGGCATTGGCGAGAGCAAGATGCTAAAGTACTACAAATCCGAATATGTCACCTAGTCAGGCATCTGTCGGTGTTTGGCCATCCTTCGGGGTGTACGGAGTATCTGGTGGCATGATTCTTCGTTAGAAAGAATACGAAGATCCGTCGATTCTATACTGGTGTTTTGCCAGTGGGCTGCAAACGCCAATTCATCTGAGGTCTTCGGGGTGAGAGTAAGGGCTCCAGGACTAGGAACTTGAAATCTCACCTTTCGGCTAGGCCATCTCTCAACTGGTTTTCCCTAATAAGACCATTTTAACCGAGTTTTAAATTTAATCTCCTCTAACCAAAAAAGTATATATAAAATAAGAAAAATTGCAAAAGAAAGAAATACCGCCCTTTTAGCGGGATTAGCGGTACCGAGAAACACACTTTTTTGTGTTATCTCTGGTAGAGTGTCCTGGGTTCTCCTTGGCAGTGGGTTATGGCGGCCTAAACGCTGACCAGTACGACCGTCTTTCCCATGTCACCAGTCTCTAATTGTTAACCTAAAACCGCTTATTTGGTTTTATATATCTATCCAGAGGGACCAGGCTGCGCGCCGGTATTGCCGATATTAGCCCGGTGGTTTCCTTTATATTTGGCTTTGGGTTACCAAATTATACAAGGAAATATCAGTATGTATCTGTTGGATAGGTGCTTAAGCGTCTTCTCTCCTCCCTTCAGTTATTCGCCTGCAGTGTAGAAAATAGGTGGGACAGTTTTTATCTCATTGACCATTTAGAAAACTATCTCAAGGCAAGAGTCGGTTTTGGTAGCCCCTTTGTAGAGGTTAGACTGATAGTATGTGCAGGAACTAGCCAACTTATCGAGTCCGCAGAAATTCTTGTAGCAACTCAGATTTGCATATCAACTACCACTATTTGATCTCAGTGCTACCATCTACTCAATCGGGACTCAATATATTTAGAGGAACTTTCATGTCTCTAAAGTTACGGCGGCTATTGAGTTAAACTTTATTCATTGTTGGATATGGACATGGTCTGCTGATCGGGGTAGGTTGGGCAACCAATTTCCCCAAGCTTCTCAACCAACCATGCGCAGGCGCCGCTCTCAGAAACCCCTTCCTTATCTATAGGTCCTAAAGTATCTCGAGATTAGCGTCAAACTAGAATCTGAGTTCCAAGGAATGATGGTGCAGTTAGCACTGCTGGTTAACATCAGAGTTGTCTTGCCTCCCGGGGTATTGGGAAGTGCTTATTGGAGTAATACGGGATTTACGGCTAACCCACGCTGGTGGTTGAATGGAAACTGATTGGGTTGGCTGAGAACAAGTACTGTACCTATGCTCCTCGTAGTCGGTGTGAGCAAAGTGACGTGGTTTAGCGCAGTCCGGGGTCAAGCAAAATACCCCGCCAGAACGGCTATACCCGCACTTAACTTAGAAAGAAAGATAACTTCACGCACGGCTCTGAAAGCTTTAGTGTCTCTTTAATACCTCGTCATCTTGCTCACATCTTCAGTGTCTCTCACCACGTTCCTTGAAACCATATCCCCATAGCCTCATAGCTTTAGTGTACCGGCCAAACAGGTTAGAAGATGCTGGCAAAGTGTCAGAATTACAGTTTAACGACAACAATAGAAACACAGAATGTCCGGGACCATCCTCGACGCTCGAGTGTGAGGAACTTAAAAGCCTGAGAGATAGAAGGGATGACTTGATTGAGAAAATACGGGCGGAAAAGGAAGGAATGCAGATTCTCCTGGATTTAATGGACGGAAAGACCCAGGATTCCATGCATTCGTCCTCAAGAGCGGCGAAAGAGACGCGAGCCAAAGAAAGGGAGACACCCAAGTTCAGCCACGAAGAAGCCATTGAGATTCATGAAATGGCTATAGAGCGATTGCAGGAGGATTACACGCAGGTTGTCGAGGAGTTGGAGGGTCTGGAGAAGCTAATGTAGAGAGCGCGGAGAGCAAAAAGCAGGCAATCTCATCTAGAGCGAGAACGGGTATTTAGCTATACGGTTCCAAATGATATAGGATATTCCAGCCAGAAGGACGATTGTGCCACCTCCCATAGCAACTTTTGAGAGAATTTGATCTACTCTTGGGGACAGGCCCGCCTTTTCACCCAACCACCATGTGAATAGTCGTGGTGTAATGGAAGTAAAATGATCCCAAGGGCATCTAGTCAACGGTGCCATTTCCACGATCTCTATCTCATCGTCAGCGGGATCTTCGACCCCGAGGCGCTTTCGCTCCGCTCGATAAGCCGCCCAGTCGCGAATCTTCCTTGTCACAAGGGTCCGGCGAGCTGGATCCTGTTTCATGAACTCCCCTATCCGATCTTCGAGACCCTTCCGTTGATAGAGGAACTTGTCGAGGTATCGTCCCGCGAAATAGTCTATATCAGTCCAGTTTTCCAATGCTGCTGCAATTAGAATACCACCGTTTTCATGCACTCCCGCCCAGTCATTTGATAACAACCCCTCACCGTAAGTTTTCAACTCTTGGTCTCTAACGACGGTTCGAAACTTATCCAACTCGTTGACATACCGCGAGTAGCGAAAGGGCCAGGCTAGGTCATCGGTTTCTAGACTGGTGAGCCATGTGGGAGGCATGAAAAACTGCAGTGGGACAACGCGGCTCCACTCCCAGTCAAGAAGAGCTACAATATCCATATTTTCGTTGACTATCAAATTGTACGGGTTCAAGTCGCCATGAACCAATACAAAGGGGCCACTATCTAGCTTCGGATTTAGCCACTTTTTCTCCGCAAACTGAGAGAACTAGTGGAAGTGGTAGAGAGTTTCGTTGCCGTCCTCCTCACTATAAACGCTCTTCCTGCCTTTTTCGAATGCGTTCCATGCAATGCGTAGCAACATTGACACATAGTCACTCGCTGACGTTAGAACGCCTTTGCAGCTACCGTACTCGGCCTGGATGCGCGAGGACTGCAAGCCTTCCAGCTCCTGTTCATTTATGCTGATTGACATCGGCTTCTTCCGGACGTCGAACCCGTCAGAGCCACGAGAGAGGATGCCAATAGACGAGAACTCCAGCCGCCTAAGGTGGATATAGATAGAGGCTAGTTGTTCGTAGAGGTGTCTTCGCTGGTCGTCTAACAAAGTCTTGAATCTGACATCGAACAGCGTCCGGCCTTCGATGTAGTCGAGGATAACGAACGAGGCGATATTATAAGGACCTTTTTCTTGAGCAAGGGAATACACATGGATTCGGGGGATCGGAATATTCGTCTTTTCAGCAATAAGCCTAGGGAGTACGAAAAAAGTTCATCAGGTTAACACGCATGAGTCTCGCCAGAGACGACCTACTGCATCGTCGCAACTTCGCTCTCCAGCTTTTCGTGCGCCTCGAAAGACAGACACGGCGACAGAGGCACACGAACTACCCAAGAATCCCCTTCCTCGCATTTTTCTCCATCGCTGATGGTTTCATTGTCTGAGCTAAGAGAGCAGAATCGAACGAAGAAGCAGATGTTATAGCTCCCCCGGACAGGCGGTTTGAAAATAGTACATGGTTCGCTATTGTGGTATGAGGACGCTAGACGGCAGATGTCATCTTCTTTGATGGATTCGATGAATCCATCACGGTTGTTGTGGACGCGATCCTCGACAACGCGATCTAACATCTGGATTTATGTCGAGTCGCGGTACAGCTGTATGGGGAAGCTTTATTCCCAAGGTACCTTACCTTACCTAAGGTAAGGTACGGAGTACCCTAGGCTGGCAAGTGGACGGTGCTAAGAAACGCGGTTGACAGTCGATGACTAAGCGAACAGCCCTTGCCGTGCAACCGCTTGGAGATGGTATCCAGTATATACTCCCGGGAGACAATATATAGTTTAGACAACATCAATATTACATATTTCCCGTCGATAGCAAGGGCATAGATGACGTTTTCGTGGGCCTTCCAAAATTCCTTGACACCCTCCGGTGCAAATACCAGAGCAATCGAATTACCTCCGTACGTTCCTGTTTGTAATGAACCTTTTAAAGCAATGGTTCAGATTCCGTCTTGCTCGTCGTGCTTGACTACTTACCAGAAATTAAGGAGCTGTTTAGAAGACTTGGCAACGATATCAACTGTCCTGCAATGTGAAATAAAGTTAGCAACAAATATATTAAAAGCTCCCGGTTGCACAAATAGCCATACACGTATGCACCATGGCGAAAGCTGCTTCAATGTCTTTCAGCTAATCACCACACGATATCCCTATTCTTTACTTCCATATACATAATTCTATTCTTTGCCTGCCTCCATAGAGGATCTAGTACTAGCTCCTCTGTTTTACTATTTATACGGGCTCAATACCCTCCCACAACTAGGTCCAAGACACTCCTGTATACACATGATTTGGGTCCCCCCCCCCCCAGACGCCACAACACTTGAGTGCCAGCTGCCTCTCCTATAACAAGCCGACATTCTTTTGGTCTTTTGGTCTTTTGGTCTATCGAGTTTCTTTAAATGATGGACCATGAACCGCATTGGTTGACCCTCAAATACCAAAGCCGTATAGGCAGAGCAGCTGCAACTTCACTCGGGTAGATCGAGCCTCATCAGTCTAGGAGGCAGAGACATAGCAATTAGCTAGTCATGAAGGCAGCCTCGTAGATACCCTGGCCAGCGAATCGATATTTTCCAGTGGGACTTGTGGCGAACCGAAATTCATCTCCCTACGGGCATTGAAGGCACCGGAGCTCTAGGATAGCCCAAACTTGGTTCAATTGAGCCATGGATTCCTTCTATGCAATGGCACCATGCTTTCCAGCAATGATGGCTCAGAAATCGGGAATATCGTCCTAGTAATCCCTAGCATAGTCTCCGCGGGGTTCCTAGGAAGAGAGGGGCCAAATAATATATAGAAGCGCGGATAGCCATCAAGCTTCAATTCATGAGGCAGCTGACTTGACGGGTTTCCCCAGCTTGAGCTCCTGCTCAGCCTCCCATTCTTGCCTTAAATTCTTCAGCCCCATCATCACTTTCGGTATCAATTTCTCCCGTCTCCTCGTCTGCCTTCGATTAACCCTCCACTCAATACTTGTCACCGGCATCGACTGGCCAGGCTCGGACTCCAAATCCGCCACTTTCCCGCCTCCGAGCTGTGAGCCGTCCGTCTCCCAGTCTTTCAAGCCAGGAGCCCACATCGAGGGTGATATTACGGCATCTAACGAAGCTGCGATATAGGACTTGACGGGACTGATTGGTATAAAGGGCCCGTAGAGTGGATTTGTCGATGGGGATCTGAGGTACCTTTCATGATCGATTGTGGTGGTTGATATGTGGAGTTCGAAAATCTTCTCGTCGTTGGGCTTCGCGGTGGATGGCTCTGCTGGCGCGTGGTCAGGCGGAGTGAGAGTTGAGCCAAGAAGAGTTTCTGTAGAAGGATCTTCGGATTGAGAGTCATTGGGCATAAGGCGATAGCGGATTGGGCTTTGGTTCAGAGCTGCAACCGCGGCGGCTTCGGTTCTGAACATCGAGAGGAAGGCGTTTGGCACAGGAGCCTTTGGGTGGTACTGGAAATCGGAGCGGTCAGCCATTGAACAGTTAGATAATTGTGGGACAACGCTCATGTACCTTCAATGAACGGAACATTTCCACTTCACCGAGTTGTTCCATAACTCGGAGGACTTCCCGACGCTCAGGAAATGTTCTGGGTGTTGGAAACATCTTGACGTGGACTGTACGCCTTGCCAGGGTGGCAGCGCGAGTAATTGCACGGGAGCCACTCATTTCTGCCAATTCGCATGTCTAACAAATTATGTGTTATTGGGAAATGCTTGTCCTTCTGCGGGTGGAATCGTGAGTTGTTAATTCTGGAGGTTGTGATGCTATCTGCTACGGCGATCGGTTGAGAACAACTACGAAACCAATATCAAAATCAACTACTCGCAATTTGTTTAGTCGGGAATTAGATAATTATATATTTATATCCTTCCTTGTGCTGCCTTCTAATAAAATTATTTTGCTAGACTTCATTTGTAGAATTTCCTCCTTGTATGTCTTATTATTCCCTGTATAGCCTACTCGTAGAACAAATCGGTGTTTTAAGGAAGACTTTCCCAATAAAAATAGGATTTCTTACTACAGAAATAGTACCGAAATGCGCTTATAGCTCCTTGGTTTCGAGTAACTCTCTATTTATTCCCTTAATAGCTTTTGCAAGAATTTCTGTACGGGCTTGTAGTACATCTGCAACTGCACCATGGATTCCGTACTGGCCATTACTCAATTAGGTTAAGTTAATAGTGAGGCAAAAATGGGGGACATGAAAAGAGCGGCCCTCCGGAGTGCTAATACCATGACCTTATCCAAGGTCTGCAACTTTCCAAGCTATTATTAGCAAACTCTCAATGAATCTGAGATATTTACCCCAGTAGGAACATTATCTCCTTACGAGGAGTTTTTACTCTCCCTAACCTGCCCCATTGATCCTGCACAAAAGATTACCCCACCAAAAGACAAAGCCCTGTTAAAGAAGAGCAACACGTAGCTATACACAACGCTATATGATCAAGTATATACGTATGTAGAACGTTATAGAAGGTGATTATCACGTTCTCAGCGCTCCATGCCTAGGTCTCTAAAGGACTATGAGAAACATTTTACCTCTTTCCCCGTACCAAGATGCCTATGAAAGGCTGGACCAAGTTAATCCAACTCTAATACGCTCATAAGACTAATAGTATTTGCTTGCGGTAGTAGCAAAGAAGCAGGCTGTGATCTTTTGGAATCACAGCTTGCGGCAGACTATTACTGCTCTAGTTGTGAGCTATAAAAGAACTGGACTCCCAGTCTTATTGAAATAACGGGTTAGTTGAGATATCTAGAGATCATAGACGTTTTCTTCAAACTGGGACATTGGTAGGATTTGTCCTTTTAGTACTTGAGCTATTTAGAGATGATAAATGACCCCCTAACTGAGACATTCTTGGGATTTTGCGTCTTAGTGCGCTCGTTTATTATCCATGCGAGCTCCTCAAAAGCTCATAAACTTGGGGCACCGAAAGCTGTTGACTAAACTAACTGGGTTTTGAATAATTCTCCGAAGGCTTCGAGTTGCTGGGAGAGTCGACTTCGCCTCACTAATATTGCTTCATCAGATCGCATAAATCCCACCACTGAGTGAGCAACGACCTGTTCAAGCCCCTGAGCGACGGCAAATCTACCAACATGGAAACCGAGAGTAAATCACCTGAAACACCTGATCTCAAGGCGATGAATATTTTAGTGTTCATGTTACTCATTACCCACCGAAATATCGTACAAGCAACCGCTCCTGATGTTGTGCAAGATTTTCCCTTCTCCTCAACGCCCCCGAGAGCTTATCCTCCTTCCACCCCATACTATCATCTAGCAATAAATGGGTATACGCAAATATACTCGCATCAAACAACGTAGGTTTCTCGCTCCCAAAAAACCATGTGTCTTCACCAAGTAGTATAGAGAGTGCTTCAAACGCCTTGTCTGCTTCGCTGTATAGATCGTCTATATCAATTATGGAGGAATGCTTGAGGAGCTCGGCTTCCGCGGCAGCTCGAAGCTGGTGGGATATTGAAGCTCGGACGAGGGGGTTTGTGGAGGCTGATGATACGTAAAGTGGGTATGCAACTGCATTAAAGTTTAAGGGCTCGAGATAGAGAGTGTAGAGCTGAATGGAGTTAGAGCAGGGTTTGGAAAATTGGGGCCCCAAAGGGCTTGAAAACATACCCAGGCGCTCCGTATTCGCTGGTCAAGAAGGGCTTGGTATGCTTCATAGCGCAGGTTCGAAGACTCTTCCACGCTTGCACCGTGGTCTTCCGCATATTTAACTAGCTTGTTGGAGGGGATGGGGTAGGTATCTTGAGATGTGTCGGAAGTAGACGCAGACGCAGCGGGAAGCAGGAATGGCAGTGCGCCCGTGGGAGAAGCATGATTGCTCGAGTGGACCAAACGGTGTTTGACACCAGCGATATTTAGAAATGCCTATACATGCCAGTCAGATTAAGTCCGCACCTCGAGATGTTTCTTTTCTTAGTTAACGCACCTGCCACTTCAAGCAACTGGGATTGAAAGACGGCCGGCCGGCGGCGGCATCTTCCTTATTGCTAAAGACATAAAGGCTCGGGATCTTCGCTGGCTTCGGGGCGCGTCGCGGAAGCTCATTTGGGGGATATACGAGGACTGGGACATAGTCGAAGAGGGCTTTTACCGGGGGCGGAATAGCGAAGAGGTTTGCAAATTTCCTGGACTGCCGGGAGAGAGCCGGGGCCAGACTCTGACCAGCAGAAGAGTCTTCATCCGCGCCCCTTTTGTCGCGAGGTTTTGGCGGCATTGGGGAAGAATTGGACAAATGAACAGATAAGAGGGAATCTTTGGACGGAGACGGGACGAGACGTGCAGGTGTACAAACGCGTACCGAGTAGGCGAGCTGTCATAGTACATATGATATTGCGTATGCAGGGGCAATCAATGCAAGGAGCACCGGTACTTACGAGGTAGAGCCTCGCCTGAGTTCTACATCTCGCGCTCAGCCGGCGCAGTGCAACTGGAATATATTATATTATATTATATGTATATAATATATATTGCATCTCGAGAGTAATGTACGTTTGTTTCGAGGCTCCTCGTACTTACCAGGCACTATAGAAGCAAGGCCAGGGGTCTGGACCGGAGCTCCCGAATAGCGGCTCTTCTCATGCCATAGTCAAGGTACTGTCATACTCGTAAGGTATATACGAAGTACTCGAGTTGGCATTAAATCCTCTTATGTAGTACAGGTCTATTGACGCTTTCACCAGTTCTACCCGAGGTCTGATGCCGAGGCCATCGTCCCGAGAATTTCTGATATCGGCTCTCTTCTCTTGCATCTGACTGTATCGGCATTGCCATTGCCATTGCCATGGGTATCTACATTTACATCCATCCTGCAGGAAGATCGATCGGTCTTTAACTTTCGGGAGCATCTAGGCTCTCTATGGCCGTGATTATGCTTCTACTTACGAAGTAGAGCGACAGGTCTCGAACCATGGACTCATGGACACAATGGATGAGACGATCATCCATCTCCAGTACTCCACTTCTCCAGGTTTCCGCGACTGCAAATCGTCTAGTGAAGTTCTTTATTGCGCCGGACCCTTCTTGCGTGCTGGTGATCGTCCGAATTGCTGGCCGCTTCCGGAGGTTGGCTTCTGCCTAGCTAAGGGAACTACATCATTCCATTCGCATCGCCTCCCCAGACTCCCCGTGCCAACCATTTCTTTTCTTTATAGCTTGCCTATAACAACCTCCGCCTCCTCCCCGTCTACCTCGGCTTTCGAATCCTTTAAATATTATACATTACTGCGCGGGTGTGCGGCGAAGATCCCGGCGGCCAGCAAGCAGCTTAAAGAGTGCAGAGTGCATCGATCTGTCGTACGACGCCACCGACGATCCAGGTAGCCTCGTACAGTAGCCAAACCCTATCCGCTCCTATCGAACCCTATCGCCCGCAGCTCCAACAGCCGCCATCTATTAGCCTGTGGCATTGCGACACCGCTACCCCAGGCTGTCCATATCCATACTATCCCGAGGTGTTACGAAACCGCTCGTCAGGGCTCGGGACTACAAGGCCCGAAAGCCATCTGCGCTGTGTCGGCGGGGCAGAGACAATCTCATCTGCAAACTTATTACAAGTTACAACACTATCTTCCTACCCTACAATTACTCCCAGCTTTTCCTTCTCACGGCCTCGTCCTCGAGATACTCGTATCCTATCCAGATAGAAAACCTGCCGCATCCCTCTCTTCCTCTCCGCGCACTTGCGGCGCATTCGTTCATTCTGCTCTCGTGAGAACGCACAGGCAGGCATTCGGACAGCCCCACCCCTCGATCCAACAACCACTGATCATCTACAACTATCTATCCTCACTCGCCCTCTCCAACATAATACTGCACATATCAATTCCAATACAGAAAAAGAAATCAAACATGGAAGCACCACTCTCCTCGCCGACCCTCAACGGCTCCTCGCGAACCCACCCCTCATACTTCAACCCCTCGACATCGACGACATCCGCGTCATCGTCCTACCGCACACAATCGCAAACAGGCGCTCCCTCAGCCTCGAACACACAGGCACAGCCCCACCAAGTCCAAGCCCAAACCCAAGCACAAACACACGCCCAATACGCACCCCAACAATCCGCCGAGCCCTTCCTACGAGACTTCAACTTAGTAGCCGAGGCAGCGAAGCGTGCCCAAATGGCCGTCCTAATGCGCGACTTGGAAGCCGTGGGCATCTAGCCGCCGTCCCCCCTCGGCCGAACCCTACAAGAATACCCGCCGATTCTTTGTTTGCGTTCTATATGCTGTGTTCGATTAGCTGTTTTGCGATAGAAAGACTTCTTTCCTCTTTCATCGATATATATTTACTGGGTGGAAATTTGTGTCAAGGTTTTTACAGGTTCAGAGGGAGAAAGGGAGGGAGGAAAGACTATTATTTCTGATTTTTGCCCTGCGGTCTGTCTACGTTGATTTTTTTTACGAGGGAGGATAGCATGTATTTCTAGCATATTTCATTCGGCGCTTTGGGACGGGCGTATTTATAGGGATAATGGATACCTAGGAGGAAATCTTGTTTTTACTTTGAAAGTAAGTAGCAGCAGGTGTACATTATTTATGTCATACCTCATATATTCTCACTTCTTTCTGCTATCTCACTCCTCCACCTTTTTACGAGATAATAATAGTGAATGTGTTCGTAAGAGGGTGTCATATCTAATACTCTATATACTTGGTACTTTTCCCTTCACCGACCCCAGCATAAAGCTCATTCCCTATTAGCAAAATAAGCTGCCAGTTTTCCATCACTAGAACAAAAAACTATTAAATACGATCCAGCCTAAACTCCCCTCCCTCTAGTCCAATTTAATAACCTCCCTCCTAAACCCAACCCTTTCCCCACAAATACCGCACATAAACTAAACTCCTTACTGTATTTCTCTTCATTCCATAATAAATCCAGGTGGCAAAAAAAAATATCACGAAGAAATTTTTAATTTTTCCCTTTAAGCGGGTCTATATAAAAATAATAAAAGTGGTCTTCAAATGATTGGAAAATGTGGGATTTATCAAAGCTATCTTAGATAGGAAAAGAGCAATAGAAGGAACACAAATACAAACAGCTTGGAAATTATATTCTAGTAGGGGGTTTTTTGTAGTGGGTTTGAGTAGATAGAGATAGGTAGGTAGGCATATAAGTTGTACTTACGTACAATCCCTATAGTAAGCTCCCATTCCACCAAGGATGCATTCCTTAGATGCATCATTCAAGCGACCCATTTCGAGTTTTTTTATTTGGAAAAGAAGCTCTGGTATTCTCCTATTTAAGTGCTCGCTGGCTAGCTACTAGCTGCTAGGTTTTGTACTCACCAAAAACACAAAACGGTGCGCTATTCCCATTCCGCAAATCTCTAGGCTCTCTTATCGTTTGGCTCGCAAGCAAGAAAAGCCGGCAAAGGCAAAGTAACAAAAAGCACAACACCCCCCGTATTTCTCGCTTACCAGCAATGATAAAAAAAAAACATCCGACCCGGAAACAAACCCCTCCAGCGTAATTCCACCTAACCTGCAAGCCTGCCCCCCGCACACTCACAATAATAGGGCTAGATGCAGGTTCAAGAGAGGAAAATAGCAAATTGGGAACAAAACAATAAACTGAGTTGCAACGGCGCCCCCGTATACACCGTATCCGTAATGCAATGCTTTCGCCCTGTAGCAGGGTCATAACGCCTAAGAAGAGAGTGGGGAGAAAAATCCAGTGTCCATGGCCTATCAGATGCCGGGTTTGGGTCGTGCAAAGTCGTCAATATTTACGAAAGCGCCGTGGCCACCGCCTTCCCGCAACTCTTCGAGGAGAACGCTGGTTTGCTGGTAGAGCTGTTCCAGGGCGGCGGACGAGGATTTACCGAGGGATGCTGGATGATGTTAGGATGTATAGGGTGGTATATGTAGGTAGGGTATGGGACTTACACAAGATTGCGGAGTTTAACTCCTCCGCAACAGCGACTCGGCCCTTGGGGTCTAATAGATGAGAAACTTCCTTTGCGTTGAGAGGATCTGTGTATGCTATCAGGGCAAAAGCCTCCTCGAGAGCTTTGCTAACCTCCCTTCGTGGATCATCTTTGAACTCGGCTTGGAGATCCTTTCCATATGCGAGCGTCTCTTGCAATAGTTGCTGATACTGCATCTGGTTCTCGGATGATTCTTCCGTATCCATGCGATCCCAGTTATTTCCTTGTGGTTGCTGGTCGTCTAGTTCCATCTCGTGGTTGATAATATCATCGTACCAATCCCCGCTATGGCCATTACTCTTCTTGGCGGCGGGCGTAGCAGTGGGGTTCTGCATTTCAGCGCCCTGCCGAATCATCTCGATGAATCTTCGACATCTTAACCGGAAGTAAACGTGCTCATTCTCCTTAAGGACTTGAGGGTAGAAGGCGTTAGTGTACTTTAGAGCTCTTTCGACATCGCCCTCTAAGATAGCAGCACGGATCCCTTTTGGAATGTTAATTTCTATCAAAACTGAAGTTGGCTGGAATACTTACGCTGCCGATGACCAGCATCCTCATCTTCCTTAATGTCGAAGGTCTCAAGCTCTACGTTGGGATCCAGGGTTAGGGCTTTTCTTTCTGAGTGCACTTCGTCTGCAAACCCCCTGGCGGTTTCTACGTAACCCTCATGGCTCAAGAATTGAAGGACCTAACAGTGTTAGAAATAGGGAAGACACGGCTCTCGCTCGACACATACCAGTGATTGTATCAGTTCGGTCTCGTTCAGAGGAGGAGCAAGTTTCGCGGTACTGCAATGTGTCAGATCTCAGTTCTCAGGTTCCGCAGATCGAGCACCAGGACATACCTTGTCTCTCCGATCTCTTGATAAATTTTGGTTTTCTCGGCCTGCAGGGGGGGGGCAACGTTAGCAACAATATTCATCCGGACCCACTGGATTCAGATCGGTTGACCAGCATAGAAGTCTTTAACCACGACCGGAGACCTTCGCCCACACCAGCAGGGACAAAGGTCGTCGCTGATGCGAGGAATTCTCTGAGTCTCCGATGGTAGGAGCTGGAAGGAGTCCCTGCTCCAAAGGTGGGCTGGCCAGTTGGCCGGAGTTCGGTGGAGGAGATAGGACTGACCGACATCATGCCATCAATGTCAAAGACAAATGGACTTTGCCCGAAATTCACTCTAATATGCTCGCCTGACTTCTTCATTCCTACCGAGGGAAAGAGCTTCCCCTTTATCTCGCGGAAGGCAGTACCTGGGTTACTGTTAGTAAACTCTAAATGTCCCACGAAGGCGCCACTCAAAAGGGGCATGCCGGTTACGAACCTAAATGATCTCCATTTTTGGTGAAGAAAGCAGATCCAGTTCTAAAATTTACACCACAACCAATAATATCACCAGCTGCAAATGGTGGTCCGTAATGCTTGCCGGTGCTCTGGCAACCGAATGAGTGTCCATCGTCGCCGTGATACGCCCATGATTCCGGTTCCCATCCAGGTAGTCTCGATAACGGTACATCCTTACTCGAGAATCCGATGCCAATAGAGCTTCTATATCAAGTGTCAGGTTACGAATATACGGAGAAGAGAAAAAAAAAATTCAAAGAGCGAGAGGCTTACTCTTCCCGCTTGCGTGACATGATGGTTACTTCGAAATAATAAATTCCGCATTGCGGGGGCATGGGGTGATCCGCCCTGATGGCACATGCTTCGTGATCCCGATCCCGATCAGTCTTTTGCGCCGTAAATTTAACCTCCTGCCCATCTGATAAGACCTCCAGCCCCCCATACTTGTCCTGGCTATTCCATCTCGAGGGTAAGGGTGCTAAGGTGCCGTCTTCAGGCGGAGATTTCTCAATAACCTCGTAAGCTATGCCCCGGTGGGAGGCAGGCATCTTCGCATGCAGATTTACGCTGCTCGCGCTCGTGGACAGCGACCCCGCTTGGGAGGACTGAGCAGAGGCATTATCTTTATGAGCCTGGATTTTCGCCTTGTGTGCTTCTTCTAGCTTCTGGACGTATTTCGAGCCACGCAGATACGAGGGCACGAAGAAATAGTCGTTATGCCCAATCCCAAAGACGCTATATCCAGTCCCATTCATGACCGACCCATATGCACTCGAAAAGCTAGGTAGATATCCATTCCGCCCCAAGGATCCAGACCGTCCATGGTAAGCCCCATTTGCGCCGAAGTCCATATCGTACGCTCTAGAATCGTATCGCATATGCCCGCTCAGATATTGATAGTTTGGATCGTAGTTGAAGTCGGCATTTTGGTTGAGTAGGTGTGAGAAGGCACCCGATCTTAGTGGCTGCTGGAATGATTGTGACATTGGTGGAGCAGTTCCGGAAACGACTGAGGCATACGAGGACCTTCGTGGCATGAATCCGGGAGCCCCAGTCGGCATGCTCGAATCTGGAACCCCCGGCGAGCCCGAAGGGTATGAGTTGGCCATGTTACCGATTTGATGGCAAGTTTGGAGGGTGGAGGGGTTATTGCTGGGCTATGACAGCAGGAAAAAGACAGCACAGGAAGAAGCCTGCTTTGGTAGCTGGAAGGATTGTGGAGAAGTGGTGCCGCGTCGTCAGATCTGGTGTTGGGATAGCGGATGACGAGGCGTAGGTGGGGAGGCTGGTGAGTGTGAATGTGAAGGTGTGTTCATGGCCAGCAAGATCCGATTATAAATGCAGGAGAGATGGGAATGTGAAACTAAGATGCCCTCTGAAGCTCTACCAGAGCTGCATCCCAACCAGTAGGTTCATGTCGTCGGACGTGTTCGTGTTGGAAACGGGTTCTGGAGCATGGGCGCTATGGATTGAACGACGATGGAGATGGTGATGAATACATGGCGCCGGCAGCTGCTGGAGCGTGAGTAAGTACACTCTCGCCGAGCTAGGCCCTTTCCAGGCCATTGGTGGGGAACATCCCCCGAGAGCGTCACGAGACCGCACCCGGAAGGCAAACATGAAAGTACAGAGTATATATATAGTACATAGTACATGCCTGAGTTGAAAGCGAGACGGATATTTTAGACTTATCCGTGTTTACGACGAGTTTTTCGAGTCCGGGTGATCAAATGTGCAGAGCCTGGTGACCGCCTCGAGGCTGCTTGGAGACCTTGGAAAAGGCGGCCTTGAAGTACGTAAAATCCGGAACGCCTTCAACATGTCAAGAATACTACGCAAGGTGTTATGTAGAGTGGCAAGAAGAGTAAAATATTCTCTGATGTCTATCTTCGTTCTGGAATACTCGAAATATCGCTAGAAGTGCGTGGTATTCTCGAGTGGCAAACTATATTCTATCTGCAGTGGATCTACTCTCGGGATGTCCTAGTGGTGGTGAGAAGTACTTTCGGGAACACACATAATGTGACCAGCTTGCATTGTTTTCTCGTAGAAACGAAAGCATACAGTTCTTCTCCAAGGTAAAAACAAACGGATGGTCGGGAAGAGTCATCGACCGTGTAATCTCAGAGAGACAGGAACATTTCACCTGGCCTCCCATCATAGAGGCGTCAGTAAGTGGACAGGGCGAATGGACAGTGAGTGAGTGAGTGAGTGCATGAGCTTGGAAATTCTTGTTCAAATTCTTGAGCACCTATACAGTAATGCCAGCCTGCAATCAATTATCTCCCGATATAACGCCAGTATCACCATTTGATCGCAGTCCCTTTAATGCTTAGCATCCAACGCCCCACGAGCTTTTCCGACAAGACCAAGATAGTTGAAACAATAATACAGTGTGACGCTCCTTGGAGGAGCCGAACAATCTAGCAGTCCTATGACGGTAGACCAGGCTGCTACCAAAACGCCAATTTCAATCGAAAACTGTTGTACAGATGCCTCGAGCAGCATCCTTTGAGCTCTATTGATCGCTTGATCTATGCTGATGCTGCAACCTCAGGCGTAGGTTGCGCTGATGGGAGGGATGGAGCAGGCGAGCTCGCCATCTCCACATCCAGGCCATTGTTGCTCTTCTCGCTCGCAAGTTGGCTATCCTTGTTCTCCTTGCTGCTGTCTCCAGATGGCTGATCTTCCGTGCTTCCTTGGACGACGACCTTTGGTGGAGCCTTCCATCGTGGAATTTCCCAAACCACGCCGGTGAAGCTCTTGAGTGAGAAGCCGCCCTTGTTCCATTTGCGGCACGATTTGCCGCTTCTGTCGAGCGCCCTGAGGCCGGCATTGATTGCACCTTGATTCGCCTTGGGCCCAAGCTTATGAGCGGCTGCGCCAGTTGCGCCCCTAGAGGCGGTGGCAGAGTGATCGATTGTTCCATCCTCCCTAGAAAGTAAACGTTAGCAAATTGTGACGCTAGATTTAAATCCCAATGGGACTATCTGCAAGAAGGCGTCCGACAAATGCGACGGTGGATGATGCAGTAAACCGCACCGTGCAGAAGTAGCCAGAGACGGGTGAATGAGATGACGATGTACTTACAATCTTGCCTTCTTCTTCGGACCAGGCTTGCCTCTAACTTTCGGAATTGGCAGTCCATCGGGGCCTAGTGCAACCGCAGCAGACCTCTTCACGCCCTTCTTCTTCACGCCCTCCGTCGGCGGAGGCATCGACGACGGCGCCGGAGTGGTGTCGGTAGGGACGGGCGTGTTGGTCGACTCTGACTTGTTGTCATCATTGGAGCTGGGTGCGACGGGCAGGGTGTTTGATGTCGACGAGGCCGGCGAGTCCTTTGATGGGGATTCCTCGTTTTCAATTTCCTCTTTGACCACCTCGTCGTTGGCCGGCGACGAAGGGGGAGCGAAGCGCTCCAGCGCCTTGGGCGAGAGGGTCAAGGTGACAATGAGGCTGCTGCCCTTGGACGACTTCCGCCGTGCAGCGGAGACGGTTGCAGGTTTATTTGGGTTTGATGGGGGCATCGTGGGGGATTGATGGCGATGATGGGTGGTGTTGCGAGGGAGAAAGTCGGCGTGGAAGAGTTGGCGGGAGGGAGTGCGACTAAATAGAAGAGTTGCGTGTCAGAAGGCGTTGGGGTGGTGGTTGAAGGGCGAAGGGCTTTTTTTGCGGGTTCACGTACCTTGATCGTCGCGGTTCTTCTGGCCTGACCCGAGCTGGGGCGGGTGGAACAGCAAAATTAGGAGTGACCTTGAAGCCGGTGAGTGCGGATGGATGATGATGGTGATGGTGATGATGTTGGGGGGAGAAGGGGGGAGATGAAGATGTTGTGCGGTGGCGGGCTCAAGTCATGGCGGATGGGTCGGGGAGGGCGACGGGCTTGCTTTGATTAGAGCAAGATTGGGGTTGTTGTGTGCCATTGTTTTGCGATCCGATCTCTGATAGTGATAGTGGTAGCAGCAGTTGGCGGGCTTGGGGTTTGGGTTGGGGTGCGTGTGTGTTCTCTGCGTGTAGTGTGTGCAGGCGGCGGCGGCGGCGGCGGTGGGTTCAGGTTCAGGTTCAGTCTCAGTCTCTCTCAGTACCTTAGTCAGTCAGTCAGTCAGGATTCGCCGATTGCTGGCTGTGGCTGGTCACGGGTGGCTGAGATCCTGCTGCTACGCGAGGCGTGGGCTTAGGTCATCCAATCTAGCTTGGCCATGCGCCCAATCACCCGCCACCGTCTTCGTCGTTTCTCCTGTTTTCAGCTACTGTACTGTACATGTACTCCTACTCCTGGAATAGTGCAAGCTGCGCAGAGACAAAGACCGTGATGTTGGTCATGTTCCAAACGAAGTCCAGTCCCGTACATATCTTACGAGTATAATCCGGAGTCCGGAGCTATAATACCGTCAATTAAGTAAGGCGTCCAGTACACGATCATCATCCATCTGGCTCGGGCATTACCTGCAACCGTCCGTCGCCCGACAGCTACTGTTTCAATGCTCGCTATTTGGAATTCAAAGAATACGTCCTCCGGAACGAAGTCCTATTAATATATCTTATCCTCCCTGCTCTGATTGTCGAGGTTCAAGGTCCAAGTTGGACCAGTGTTTCCGCGGCTGTACAGTACAACAGGCAACCACATATTTCCCTCGAGTATTCATGGGATCTATCAATTTCACATGCTGCACTACATCTGTAAGGATGATGTCTGCTTGGGTTTTATACAGCGGCTGCCTACCTAGGCTCTCTCTCCTCTGGAAAATGGTCGATATCTAGGAGACATATTCTAGTTCCCGTCGAGAACAGTAGTTGTTCCATGTTTCCACCACCACCCGACTAGGTCAAGAGATTATTATTTCATGAATATTCCCGGCTTCTGCTAGCCTTTCTATATTATCGATCACTTGGAACTACCTCGAATTATGGGTCCTAGTACGCGTCAATGAAATGAACTCCTACTCGTTTGCTAACGCTATACATCCCTTTACCCGGGCTATAGTGGAAATTCTAGACACGCATCACTGGCATAGCATTAATTTGACCTTATAAATAGTATAAGTTCAACACAGATACAGACACTAACCTAAACTTCCTTCGGGTATGCTTACTTACAAATGTACCTAAGGTATGTATAATTTTGCAGGTGCCCTTTCCTAGATCATGTGTTTCTAGACAGGGATAGGTCACATGATGTAATTCCTTAATCTGGAAATTGGGAACTCCATAGTTTCGGCCGTGACCTGCAATTCTCCCTTGAAGACCCCAAGACTGTCATTACCCACACTCGCTATCGACACAATTTCCTTCGCATTTGCCAAACACCTTCACTGTCGTTTCTCCAATCCTGCAATACCCCGAAGATCAGTGCGCAGAACCCGAGATCACAGTTACGCTTGCATCAACGCTCTCTCAATACACCAACCAAGGGATACAAATACCATCCCTTCCATCCGCTGTATTACGATATCACCAAGCCCTCGGCCGTGAACAATCAATTAATCGCACGATCCACAGAGATACACCTCATTCCAACCTACAGGGCCACTACCCTCCCATCCACATACATATCCGCTCTCGCCACCTCATCCCCCATCCATCCGCAAACGATGCATCTCCATCTCTCAACACTCGGGCTCTTGTCCCTGATCTCACACGCCCTCGCACAAGGCGCCGTAGGGGGAGTAGGGGCCATCCCCGCCCCGACGCCCGTGGCATCTCAATATCCCACCATCACAACCGCTCTTTCACTAGTCACGATCAACGGGGTTACAAGCGCGCAGGAAATCGTCTACACGATACCGTTCGCGACAACGGCTCTAGGGACGTGGGAATTGGGCCCTACGCCACGCGCGGGAAGCATTGGCTTGGGCGATATTGCGGGCAAGATTGGTGTGGTGAAGTCGAAAAGGGGTGCGGTAGAGACTGCTGTCTCATAAATACCTATAGGTATCGTGGGAAAAATCGACGCTTTGGGGAGGATGGAACTGCTTAAATGCTGGAGTCTTGGGCTAGGGTATCTTATGGGGCGTGAATTGGAATTGGGGATCGAAGGAGAATCAGAAGGGCAGTGTCCTCTCCACAGGCTAGAACACACAGCATAAGGATGGATACGCTAGACTTGCTTACAATACATCCACGGCGTTGTGAAGGGGGATAAGGGGCAGTATTTCTGGCTTGGCTAGCTGCTTGTACAACGCATCGGATGACTTAGACTATGGTGTATTAATTAGGGGCGTTTTGATACAATTTACCTTGTTACTTCTAGAGGCTTATGTGAACATCGTTCGAGTTAGAGGTATTTCCCGCTTCGGCTCAGATATCGCAAGGTCGTCTTGCAGACGGGATTGCTGGCGTTAATCAATACGGATGTATGACCCTACATTGCATTGTCTCGATGCATGGATGATTGTAAGCTGCATAGGGAGGTCTATCGTATGAACAGTTTGAGCATAAGAGCATTGCATTGCAGACCAAGGCGAAGTACTCCATTTAGTTGACCTAAAACACATGCATGGTCTTATATTTTCAATTTAACGTGGTATATTGAGCAATCAAACTTGCAGGAATCTCTTTTCTAACAGTGGTCTTAGTTCTAGAACTCTTGAGTTGTAGTGGTAGCCAACACCATATGTTCACCAACAGCTGTGTTCATGTTGGGGGTTAAAAAAAATATAATCCTTAATCAATGAACCATGCACAACCTGATATAATGAGCAGGAAAAACCCCAAAGCGCGCTTCCGGATGGAACGCTTTTTATTTTCTTTACAAAATTAACTGGGCAAGGATACAGTTCTATGCCACAATCGCATCAGCCTTGACCTTCTCGTCAAGCAGCTTCTGCTCCTCCTCAGTCAGATCTGGTAGCAGTGGGACGTCTGTGCCCAGCTTGAGTCCTCGGTGGAAAGCGCTGATGATACTATCGGTATCGTCGATGGCGAGAGGCCGTACGTCTGCCATGGCCTTGATCTTAACTGTGCATTGCTTATATTGCTCATCTGTCATGTGAAGGTTCAATTGAGTAGCTCTTGACTTGATAGCATTCCATCCTATGATCGAAGTTAGAGAAAAGTGGACCTGATATGGGCCAAGAAGAACTTACCAGTCAATCGCGAGGCAATGTGGATATATCTCGTCATGCCGAAATCAGCAGGGTTGATGATCTCGTAAGTTGATGGGTTGTTGAGAATGGCCTTGGCGTGGATGCCCGCCTTGTGGGTGAATGCGCAGAAGCCAGTCACGTAGTTGTTGAATGGGATGTTGACCTCAACAGCTTGTGCAACGAGATCCTCAATCTCCTTGAGCTTGTGCAACTTGTACTTGCCCATAACATAATCTCTGTCGGCAACAATCATGCGTGCCATAAGGCCACCGAGAGGGGTAATACCATTTCGCTCACCGATACCCAGGACTGAAGTGTCGATATGGGTGGCACCGGCTTCGAGAGCACAATAGGCATTTGCAATTGCACAGCCAGTATCGTTGTGGAAATGTGTCTCAATATCGCAGCCAACAACGCCACGGAGTGTTCTGATCAGGTCATAGACTTGTCTGGGGGAGGCACAGCCGACGGTATCAGCGATACCAACTCGGTTGACACCGATCTTATCAACTGTAGAATAAATGGAGAGGAGGTCGACAAGATTTGACCGGAAAGAGTCTTCACTGGAAAATCTAATTTCGATGTTATGTGACTTGACGTAGTTGATAACTTCGATAGCGGTGTTGGTGATATATGTCATGTCCTTTCCGTGGGAGTGCTCCATCAAGTATGATGAAGTGCCGATAACAACATCACTAAGCCAGTTTAGCAAGCATGATTATAACTCGGGGTCGATTATCTCACACTCCGTCAACACCAGTCTTGACAGCAATTCTAGCATCGTCCATATGGCATCGGATATGGGTAAGAACCTATATGCCCTTTAGTATATGCGCTGGATTAACGTCGATGCACGGCATTACTGACCTTAGCCTTCAATCCCAGCTTGCAAATTGCCTCGCAGTCAAGCCTTGATTGCTCGGATGCGGCAGGCGAAGTCAACTCAATCTGTATCCTCTAGTCAGAACACTGTTCCAAAACCATATATTCAATATTTGTCATGACTCACGTAGTCAACACCAAAATCGTCGAGCGCCAAGGCGATCTTGATCTTGGTCTCAGTATCGAAGAATGCATTGGCGAATTGCTCGCCCTCGCGGAGGGTGCTCTCGATGATCTTGAAGTTGTTCACGTTGCTCAAGAAGTCGCCGACTGGTTGGTATGGGTTGGACCGGTGATGTGGGTTTGATTTGGTCTCGATGGCTGTGAAGCCTGGATGATCTTATCAAGCGTTAGACTATCATAGGGCTTGGATATACTGCAATTGGGAGTGCATACCGCTGCCAGTTGCACTTGACGTGCCATTGCCGTTGGTTTGGCCATTAGCATGTCCGTTGGTGGCCCCGTTGGCGACGGGCTCTGGTTCGCACGAAGGGCACATTGTGGGCGGTGGATAAAGCGTAGTGGGGTGGCGATGCTCGGTGAAAAATAAGAAGATACGAGTACTGGTATGTATCGAGCTGGCGGGTTTATAAATTAAGGGAGAGGGAGATCAAGATGGAGATCGGGAGGTAGACTATGGGGATGACTAGTATATGTACTCGAGAAATGTCTGGTCTTCGCCTCTTTCTTATTATTATGACTCTGCTCTGGTGGCTCTTGGATTGTGGGGGAGCGCAGAAAAACATTCAAGGATGATCAAATCAAATCATGGAGGGGAAGCCGATTATCGGAGCGCTCATTGGCCGCGAGTCACGGGTGTTATCAGCACGTGCCCGGTTGGCGGTGAGCGTCGGGGACGGTTTTCGGCATCCGGGGGGCGTAGATGTACAAGTACAAGTGCAAGTGCAAGTTATTACAATTATAGTTCAAATAGGACTTGAATTGTGAGGGGGAAGCTTATTATTATTAGCTGTGGATAAGTGCCACAAATGTCAGTGTCAGAGGATATCTTATGATTATTACCAAGTACATCCTAGAGATCGCCTTGGCAAACCATATACTACCTATGTACGTATACACAGCCTAAAGGACTTTGTTCGCTATTATTTTGCCGTCTTCCCGATAACCACCAACTTGGTACGAATACAGGCTCTACAGTCACCAAAGCACCTAGGTACCTAGGTACTACTATAAAGTGTTACATCTCTACTTAAGTCCCTACCTCTCTCTCTCCGTACCTACACCTAGGTAGCTAACGATTAATAAAATCTTCCAAAAAAAATAGAAGTCATAAAGATAATAAGCCCACGAGCAGCCGACTAATGGCCTCTTGTCAATTGGGTCGCTTAAAGGCACCGTCACCTACATGTGATACCAAGGGAGAACGATAAAGTAGCGGGTAGTAATCCGGTCATCTTTCCTACAGCACATGATAATATGCGTTCCAATCCTTATGGGCGCAATGTAATATAGGTTAAACTGTACACTGCACTGTAATACATGCCCTTCTCTTATGGATGCACTAGGATCAGATGAAACAGCCTCCTCCGCAAACAATCGTTACATCCTAGCGCCATGCGAGCCATGAGTGATGATTGACGGAAACGATCTACGCGCTATCGCTGCAAAATCCATGCTTTATGCTACAAGTCCATCCTTTCGTCATTCTTCATCTCCAATTCCACCATGGCACAACCTATCTTCATCTACCGTTTGTAGCCTCGCTCAACTAAGGGGTAACCTTACTCATGCTAACTAAGCGTTTAACCCCAACCTGGAAAATCATTAGTGATTGATGAATAACGGGTTAGCTCAACTTACCATCCAGTTTCCACATTCGTCTGTCTTCTCGCGTTGTATATCCACTTGCAGTCTCGAAGCAACATCGTAATTCTTTGCAGCCAGCGACTGAGCGAGCTCATCCAGTCTCTCAACAGTATCCGGTTTCACTAGTTCCTCATTGTTGAGATGATCAAACAAGATATTGAGTCGCTTTTGGGTGTCCTTAACCTGCGCGGCGAAAGAAGGAGGGGCTTTTGATGCGACTCTCTGCATATCACTGTTGAATATTTCAAATACTCGTTGGGCGTTGGGAGGAATGTGTGATCGATCACCGGCAGGATGCCTGGGCTTAGATGGGGCTGCAGCTGGTTGAGGAGCCTTGGGTGGGCCAGTCGGTGGCATTGAACCTTGGGGGGGGCCCTGAGGAGGTGGAGGGTTCGGCTGAGAGGTCTCATATGGTGATTGCGATGGAGCAAACTGGCCCTGTGTGCCTGCCCTTGGGGGGGCATATGGATTGGCTGGCGGTGGTGGTCTAGCACCCGCTTGAGATGGTGGGGGAGGCTGTTGGGGTGGGGGCTGCGAGAACTGCTGTGGACTAGGAGCGGGAGCATATCTGCTTGACGGAGGTGGCCCTGCTGGAGGTTGATTATACGGTGATGGACCCCGAGGGATAGTTGGGGGAGGTGCTGGTGGAGCGAATTGCTGGGCGGGTGAACCGGATTGTGGGGCATACATGTTCGCAGCAGATGATGGCCTACTTGACTGTTGGAAGGATTGAGGAGGTCCACTAGACAATAGCGTATTCATATGGGGAGGGGCAGGGCCCTTCGGTGGTGGTGGGGGTGGTGTAGGAGTTGCTCTTGGACCGCCGAAGGGAGCTGTTGGAGGAGGCATGGAAAGGTTTTGCTGGTTGGGGAATGGAGATGGGGTACCATGAGTTACTGGTGTGCTCCGTCTCGCAGGTGTTGGTTTGGTTACCATTGGGGTGTCATTCCAATTCGTCATATCTTTTGCTCTAGAAGGTGGAGGCGCAGATGGAGTTGACCGTGGAGGAGGTGCACCGAATGAATTCGGTTGGGGTGTTCCATAGGGAGCAGCCCCATAACCTGAACCATAGCCAGGTGCTCCATAACCAGGCTGTGCCTGTGCCTGTTGGTATCCTTGCTGAGGAGCGTATGTGTTCGCTTGTGGTGCATATGGATTGTGAGGGGTGGTGACCGCTGGTGGTGCATACGGAGCAGGAGCTGGCTGTGAGGGCATGGCAGCCGGAGTACCCATTGGTTGATAACCAAAGGCTGACTGGGCACGCGGTGCACTCTTCATAGCCGCAGCTTGATGAACTGGTTTCGACGTTGCCTTTCTAGAAGCCAATTTCACTCGGTTTCGTGCAACTTCGGCCGCAGGGTATTGTGTTGGCAAAAGATCCAAATACCGCTCAGCGATTGACAAGTGCCCGTGAGCGGCAACAATATCCGCATATTCGGTATACTTCTCATAGAGTGCCCCAAGTTTCCAGCCACTAGCTAGCTCCCGCTCAGTATCCTGAAACTTTGTGACGTCCCTAAACACTGTCACCTTCTCGATGAAGTTCTGTAGTGAGCGAGCATGCACAGAAAAGGACGAGTCTCCGGTGAGATCTTTGATGCCAGCTGTCTCCGCCTCTTGTAGCTCTGTGATCCAGATGCTGATGACCTTTTCAAGTTTTGATCCCACCAAATAGCAAAATGATGCATCTTTTAGAGATCCAGTCTCCAAGATTCTGTCGCCGAATGCCTCGCACAAGTCTGGGAACTCATTTGGGTCGGCATATGTGCACAACGTAGCCATAGACTCCTTCCAGTTTGAGAGATCCGCATTGTAAACAATATCCCATAGGTTTTTGCCAATAACGGAAGAGAGCAGACGTAGATAATTTGGTCCATCTGCCTTGCGGGATAAGTACGCAGACTGGGCTTTTTCAAGTAGTTCCTGACCGCCGCAATTGGCGATAATGAGTCCGTCTGCAATTCGATCCTCCTTAAGACAAATGGTCATCGCCTTTTCAAATTGGCCAAGCATTAGAGCCTTAGTAATCTCCTTGTCCGAGGATGAGTCGGCGTCAGAGAATAATGAGAATGGATTGTCAGTCTTTGCACCCTTGGTTGCTGTTATTGTCGACAAGAAGTCATCTCCCTCTGCACCATCTGCGAACAAGCCTGAAAGTCGACTGTTTTTCCGTGCTGCCGCGCCATTCATATCTTCCTCGGGCTTCTCCAACTTCTTAGGCTCATCCAAATCCAAACTGGCAACACCGTTAACAGCTTCATCCACCTCTTCGGTGAACCCCAGGTATTCTATGATCTTCTTGCGAGGATTTTCAGTTACCAGAGTCTCGATAACCTTCCAATCCGCCTTCTCATCCTCTGATTTCGCCTCGGCTATGTGGGATTCACAAATGCTAGCGATGTTGCCGGCTACAATAGCATCATCGAAGGCCTTGGTCGCTGAGCCGATATCAGAATCTACAGAAAAATTGGATATTTGGACCTTAGATGATCGGTGCTGGCCCGCGACAGCTGGCGATAAACCAAAGCTCACCACCTTTCCTCCGAAGCCGAAAGAGACACCCGCGGGTCGCTCTAGCCACTTCGGGGCCTTCTTCAGTGAGAATGACGCCCCTTGTGGTTGGGTTTGGGCCTTAGTAAAGAAGTCCTCTGCATCGACGGAGCCTTGTACTGGAGTCTGCGTGGCTGTGGGGTTTGTATTCTGGAGTGTCTGAATAGATATTTTGCCGTCGAAAGAAGCAGTAGCAGAGAGAGCTGGGTTATGAGGGTTGAACCTGGTTTGGAATGTCCAGTTGGTGGCCTCAGGGAATTCGCCATAGCGTTCTCCAGTCTGAGGGTTCCACACGATTGTCTTGTTATCTTTCCCGCATGACAATAAGAGGTCGCTATCTTCCTGGCACCATGAGAGTGAGAGGATGCCCTGATCATGCCCTTGCAATGTGCGCTCGGGTGCGTTCGAATTTCGAAGATCCCACAGTAGGATGGCTGGGCTGGAATCGTCGGGAGTGGCAGTAAGGAGCTTTGTGGCATTATTGGGGTCCCAAGTAATTGCACTAACGGCCTTCCGAGCATTATTCAGGGTAAGGGACGCCTTCTTCGTTTTTAGATCCCAAATGGTCACAAAACCACCAGTTCCTCCTGTTGCAAGAATATGTGGCACTTTCCTGTTCCAGGCGACACATTCAAGATCGTCAGACCGTGCTGCGGCTGTACCCAGTCTAAAGGGGTTTGAAATATCGTTGACATCGTAAACGAATAGCTCCCCCTTTGTGCCAGCCGTAGCAAGAATTTGTGGCTTTAAAGGATTGAATTGAAGAGACTTGATCGCGCCTGTATGTTTCGTTGTCCGTGACATAAATGCATCATCGGCCCCTTTCATAAGCTTCTCCGCATCCCACAAGTCTAAGGAGCCATTATCAAGTGCTCCAGCAATAATACCTTTCGGATGTTCCGCGCTCGCAGGTGCCCAGGCAATATCATTAAACCTAGAACGGCAGAATTAGTCTCAGTCTATAAGGGGGCTCCAAGCTAATAACTCACCGAGAATCCGTACTAATACTGGCAACTGGTTGAAGCTCGACACCTTGCTCAAGATTGTCCAGACTCAAATCCCAAAGCTCCAGTTTAGTTTCATCAGAAAAATCTGCATCAACTGCACCAGCTCGAGTTCCGGTCACAACAAAAGGCACACCAGCTCCAGGGGACCAGGCAAACGCCGCAGTCCGGGGAATCTCCCTTAGACGGACCATCCTGCTGAATTGCGCTCAGTCCCAGCGCTTACTCCCTAGTTGTGGCTGTGGTAAACTGGCGTTCCAGTGATAAAATAGATAAAAACTGCCGTTAATGGACTTGCAAGTGGGGAAGACAACGCGACGTCCTTGTGGTTGAATATTGGCCAGATCGAAACTGTGTCCCAAGTTCGGACAGATTTCCCCAGGTACGCGGCGGCGAGAGTCAAAACGTCAGCACGTGACATCATCCATAATTTTTGACGGCTCAAACAACTTTCTTAAAACATCTCAAGGCATCATAAAACCTGCAAAAAATGACGGACCAAGCAAGATGGAAAGCTACTGTCTACGTTGGTGGCCTGTCACCGATGGTGAATGCCGAGAATCTTGCGGCTGCATTTCTGCCCTTTGGAGAAATTGCTGATATTTCCCTCCCGTACGTCCTGATAGCTTCAGCTCCGTTGAATAGCTCAAGCTAAAATATACAGGAAACCCGATTCACCAAACTCAACGGAGCCACATAGGGGTTTTGGTTATGTCGAGTTTGAAGATGCAGAAGACGTCAAGGATGCTATTGACAATATGGACCAATCCGAGCTTTTTGGGAAAGTGATCAAGGTCTCCGCTGCAAAGCCCCCGAAGAACGTCAATGAAGGGCTTGGAAGCAAGACAGCATTGTGGGAACAGGTAGGTTTCTATTTACTTCATAGCAAAGGTTCCTTAGAGGTTTTGCTGACGCTGGATATTTAGGAGGGTTGGCTGGCAGAACATGCTGTGAGTGAAGAAGACAAGCTAGCAGCAGAGGGTACAAGATCGGCCGCCGAAGATAGACCCGATGATCCTATGCAAGGTCTAGAGGGTCTGGATGTAGCTGGTCCAAAGCCCGAGTAAGAGAGGAGGATACGGAGAGTTTTTTTTCTAGTTCATGCATAGTCTCGGCGTTTTGGTAGGGAGTTGATCTCAGCGAGAGTTTCACCGTGTGGAGCATGCAGATACCACAAGAGGAAGACTAGTGGACACTTTGTATTGATATGTTTGCTTTGTATTGTACAGTTGTGCCACTCTGCCATAAATCCCTATTCTCTCCAACACTGTGATTCCACTCCAACGTTTAATGCCATCGGAGTCCAAGACTTCCACGCAAAATCCAATCTATTTCTGTGACCCTTGACGGGAGGTTCGCATCTGCTTGTCGACTCTGAACTTGTTCAACAGCGAGTAACATCCGAATGAGACTGCAATCCCCACAACGATGCCTATAAAGCTCTTAGCACACCTTCCTGGAATTATAACAGCATGGTCTAAAAGCTTTCCACATACCAAGGGGGATCAACTCAGGAGGAATCTTCTTGAGGGTCCGAAGGCGCTGGGAAATGGTATGGGCTGGAACAATACGTCAGCGCTGGTGTCATATTTCTCCCTCAAACTTCCCAATTGGATCATCGTATTGTCTCGCCGTATGATATCGGCGTATTATTCGAGCACCGCATTCATAATAGTCGTACCGTATGCTTAATACTCGAGGGATAACGTACCGCTGTGCTCCTCCTTCTGTGGGATTTGGCGTGGTTAGTCTCTAGATCACAAGCTCGTAACCGGAGTGGCGGGACATACCGGCATTGGGCTCAGCATCCTCCTCGTAGGTTGGATCATCCTGAAAGCAGTAGTTGGCCGCATATTGGTGGATGTGCAGGTCAATTAGAGTGTAAATGTTGCTGTAGTATGAAATGAGCAAGCTCTGTGGTCTGAGGTCACTCGGAGGTTGGACGGTTCTTAGCGCGGAGCTCGTCAATAGCCGAAGTTCGAAATCAACAACCTCACCCAGCTCCGAACCACATCGTCGTCGTCTTCGCCAATTGACTTTACCGATACCATAACCTTCATTCGCTCCATATATCCGGATTCCTACAACCAAGATGTCTGACGACGAGCGCGAGACCAAGCCCTTCAAGTTCGTGACTGGTAAGTAACGGGTCCCTCGTCAATTGGTGCTGCGGAGTGGAAGAAATGGCCTGATTACTGACTCTGTCTAGCTGGTAATTGCTCCCCCCGATTGAGCTGGAAACATTGATGCTCAACGTTCGATACAGGATTTGATGCCCGGTTCCCGAACCAGAACCAGACCAAGCACTGCTGGCAAAACTATGTCGACTACCACAAGTGTATCCTAGCTAAGGGAGAGGGATTTGCGCCATGCCGTCAAGTACGTCGGATAGTCGGAAACAATTAGGAGAATGAATTAGTCTAACGGATTCTACAGTTCTTCTTGGCTTACCGATCATTGTGCCCCAGCGGCTGGACCGAGCGATGGGATGAGCAGCGAGGTTAGTATTCTCCCCAGGAGCTTTATATTGGACAACGACTCATAGCTTCACAGAGAACGGAAACTTCCCAGCCCGCCTCGAATCGTAAAAGAATTGGCACATGCTATGATGGGGAGATTTGGAATACCGGAGACGAGATCAGTTTCGATTGGGCGTTGTACTATACTAGTCGTCAAAGCAAATTCATAAGACGAGCTGTACCCGAACTCTATATGCACTGCCCATTTCGGTATGCGTTCTCCAATGCTATTATCTGTGCGTGCCTTGTACTCTCGCAGTCACCGAAACCGAAGCTCCATTTCCACTTCAATATCCCGTCGATTTAGGAGACACCATTTCGGCAAGGAAACTCTAAAATACCTTAGTAAGGGTAAGTAACCCAAGGTCTTCTAAATCAAATTGACCCCACCATGTGCCGCGTGGGATGTCATACGTTTGATCTCTATCCCACTATCCGTACCTTTTGTATCACTCGTGCTTAATTGGACACACTGGATGAAGCTATGTTGCTGGGAATTCAACATTCAACTACCTTCGACAGCTCTACCTTTATCCCTAATTCCCTGGACATTAAGACTGTAAACTTCTCCCAGTCAGTTTTAACAAATTCATAATTTAAAGCTTGTTAGCTGCAGATGCATAGCAACACTCTTTGTTCTCATATCCAGGAAACCGGCACAAATCCTAGTGCCGTACTCATCGGACGAGGCTGGAAAGTCAAGATATTCATCGAAAGCCAACACCCCAAACCTCGCACTTGTAGGCATCTCATTTGAGCATTGCATTCTTTAAAGATTTGTTATTCCCATACGATATCTCGCCTCACATAATGGATATACCATCCCAAACCCTTGCCCCCCCCCCCGCCCCCCCGGGCAGCTACTGTCTTCTCCCATATCCCTTGAGAGTCAGCTATTACTCTAAGTAGCTCTTGGAAGTAAACTCGTATTTAATTTGCTTGTAGCACGCCGATATGGCCAGGTAGCTAATTCGTTCTATGTCTCCTTTCTGAGCTGTTTAATCGGCTCTTACTCTTTTCAGGTTGTGAATCATTTTGAATTAAAACTACCCCAAATCAGAATCCAACGGATGCACTGATATAGTAAACAGAACCCCTCCTCATTGGTCCAATTGGCGCCCCAAATTTGAACACAATCAAGAGCAACCTTGATATTAGAATAAGTTGGTTCAAATCACATGCCCATCCCAACGCCAGCTTCGACATATAACTACATCCATTACCAACCGTTATGACTGGTCCCCTGCGGTTGTTCGCCATGCTATACTTATACCTCCGGTTACGGAGACTTCAAGGAGGTCTAAGATCTATAGAGCAATATCATACATTGCATCGGGATTCACCTGCATGGACTACGGGAGATGTCGGGGGGAGCAGTAAGCATCAGTCAAAATAAATCCCGAGAGATTATAGACCATGCTACATAAGACAATGAGTGGCACATGCAAATTATTGCGGAGTGTAAATCACCAAAAATAGATACGTCACTTGTTGGGGAAAATGTAACGAGTAACTTGGTATCGACTTGCGCTTAAAAGATATATCTGCTGATAGACAAAATCATTTGTGGATTATACACCCCTCAACGCCGCGTTCACTGCTAGACCATTTATACAATCGCTACGCCTTTCCTTTCCCCTTCCCTCTACCCTTTCCCTTAGCCTTTGTAACCGCCGGAGCTTTTGCTTTCCCTTTCCCTTTCCCCTTGACGGTTGTCGGTGGCGGAGGTGTCGGTTCTTCCACCTCCTCCTCGACGATCTCATCGTCAACAGGATCGTCCTGATCCATAACCTCGGGATTGGCTTTTGGTTCTTCCTCGTCCTCGTCCTCGTCCTCATCCTCATCCTCATCGTCGCTCATAAACTCGTCGTCGTCATCGAAGCCAAAGAAGGTTCTTGCCTTCGGCTTCGCCTCTGGTTCCGATGGGGGTGTTGTGCCCTTTGAGCTGGCCCCTTCCATGATATCGTCCTCATTACCTGAGCTATTGGAAGCTGAAGCACTGTTATTAGACGCGGCCAATAAGTTGTCCTTGTAACCTCCTGATTTCATCGCAGCAAGAACCGCCTCTCGCGTTCTCTCGCCCGCTTCCTCCTTATCCTCAACCCACTTCCCGTCAACTTTGCCCTTGTTGCCCGATCGTATTTCTTCCTCTCTGCGTTCCGCAAGCTCAACAACCTGCTCCCAGCGTTTCCGTCGCTCTTCCTTCTCCCTCTTGGCCATTTCTGGCTTGATCGCCAGATATTCAGCTAGGGCCTTTGCCTCATTCACCGTCCGCAATCTTCGTCCATCTAAATTCCGACTCGAAGCATTCTCGTCGCCCTGGTTTCTCTTCCGCTTCGAGGACATACGCCCTCCAGCAGCCCGAAGTTGTGATCCAAAACCTCCTTTGCCTCCACATAACGGGGCTGAGAGTCGTAGCGATAGGAAGCCATCTTGAGGAGTAGAAAGAAGATCAGAGATAGGGGCGCTTAAACTGCTCTCTAACTGTTTATTCGACACGGTAGTGAGGATGAGACGATTGATTTGTGTAGGGAGACGCTCGTAAATGCAATCATGAAGTTGCGAAACGGTTGTATCGGCGGGTAATGGGAGGGAGAGCGTGGGCGGAAGATTCAACCCAGGAAAAGAGGTCAACAAGATGTTGACAGTCGGTGGAGCCATGGTGGAGATGATAATAGAGGATGAGTGTTGTTGTGGGTGGGTAATATATCGACGATGGATAATCAGCAGCCTCGAAGTGACTTGTGGGCCGTGATGCTAGCGCGGCTGCTCGTCAGTGTGGCGCAGAACAAATTTAGACGCACTTAGCGCCTTGCGTAACTTGCGCCGTGCGATTCTCTATTTACCCGGACTCGGGCCAAAGCGACTTGGATAAATTGTATTGGCCCCAGAGGCTTCTCCTCCTCACTTGTTTGAAGTTGGAATCCCAGACTAACAAACAATCAGGATAAATGGAACTTGGGAGCGTCGGTGCGTCGGATCCAATATTAGGAGCTTGGAAGGAGCCCACCCGTAAGTTCATAGGTATTTAAAGCCCATCTTTCTGCTGAATTCTACAATACAAGTTGCGTTGTCCCACATCACTCCCAAATCGTCTAAGCCAGGGAGCCATTTGCAATCATGTCGAACGAACCTTTGGTCAAGCATATCTTTACCGCAGACCCCTCCGCTCATGTCTTCGAAGGAAAGCTCTTTGTCTACCCCTCCCATGATCGGAAGACAGACATTGAGGACAACGATAATGGCGATCAATATGACATGAACGATTACCATGTGCTCTCCATGGAGGAGGTGGGCGGCCCAGTCACAGACCATGGCGTGGCTTTGAAGGCAGAAGACATTCCTTGGGTATCGAAACAGCTTTGGGCACCAGATGCTGCCTTCAAGAATGGAAAATACTACCTATATTTCCCTGCTCGCGATAAGGAGGGGGTCTTCCGCATTGGTGTTGCAGTAGGCGATGCTCCTCAGGGACCATTCAAGCCCGAAGCAGAGCCAATTGCAGGAAGTTTCAGTATTGATCCCGCCACCTTCGTTGACGATGATGGACAAGCGTACCTATACTTCGGTGGAATCTGGGGAGGGCAGCTACAATGCTGGAGAGGTGACAAGTTCGACAAGGCAGCATATACAACGATGGAAGCTCAAGGCGACGAGCCTGCATTCCTGCCTCGTGTTGCGAAGTTGACCGAAGATATGTTGTCCCTTGCAGAGCCGGTCCGCGGGCTGGAGATTCTTGGTGAAGATGGCAAACTCCTGCCAGCTCATGACCATGACCGCCGCTTCTTCGAAGCCGCCTGGATGCACAAATACAACGGCAAATACTATTTCTCTTACTCTACCGGGGATACACACTTTTTGGCCTATGGCATTGGAGATAACCCGTATGGACCTTTTACTTACGGAGGAAGAATCTTGGATCCGGTAGAAGGTTGGACGACACATCATTCAATCGCCGAGTTCAAGGGGAAATGGTATCTGTTTTACCATGATACTGAGATTTCCGGCAAGAATCATCTGCGGAACGCAAAGGTGCGGGAGATAGTCTATGATGCCGAGGGAAAGATTAAATTGGCTACTTAGTTGTTAAATTTTCAATGGTTTTGTAACAATCATGATCGATCGACACTGTTCAGATTTGGATCCGGATGAATGCCAGTGACTTGATCTATCTAATAGTATTATGTCATCTGTACCCATGCTAGAGTGGTTAAAAAGCGACGATCCACTTGACAAGAATAAATGACTTTATGTGAAAAATGAGTTAACTAGGAAGTAAAAGGGTCTAACTCGCCATCTGCATCTTGATAAATCTTACCAAGTTCACGAGACAAGGGGCAATTCTTTATTCTGGACGCTGCAGTAGTTGAAGGTGAGTGATGGCGGGGTAGCTTACATAAGGAATATTGGTGCCTTTCCTCCGTACACTGTACGCGAGGCATACATGCAGGGAACCCATCAACCGGGCCCTAGCGCGCACACAAATAATTATCGTGAACTTCGAAACTTCTGCAAAGCAAAGCAAGAACAACCACCGAACTCCACCACCAACCGCCAAAATGTACGTTGAATGGATCCTATAAATTCTAATACCCGCAAGATGCTGATCTATAACCCCACAGGCTTATCCCCAAGGCAGACCGAAAGAAGATCCACGAGTACCTCTTCCGCGAGGGTGTACTCGTTGCGAAGAAGGACTACAACCTCCCAAAGCACAATGACATTGACACCAAGAACCTCTACGTTGTCAAGGCCTGCCAGTCTCTGACCTCCCGTGGATACGTCAAGACCCAATTCTCGTGGCAATACTACTACTACACCCTCACCCCCGAGGGTCTAGACTACCTCCGCGAATGGCTTCACTTGCCCGCCGAGATTGTCCCAGCTACACACATCAAGCAACAGCGATCGCATGCTCCTCCCCGTGGAATGATGGGTGGTGAGGAACGTGAGCGCAAGCCATTCGGTGGACGTGGTGGACGTGGAGGTGGTGAGCGTGGTGACCGTGAGGGAGGTTACCGAAGACGTGATGCTGGAGAGGGCAAGGAGGGTGCACCATCTGGAGAGTTCGCTCCTCAATTGTGAGTCCAACCCACCCACGCCGTTCTCTTACGATTCTACTTATGGGACAAAATGGGCTAACATTAAACCAGCCGTGGTGGATTCGGACGTGGCCGTGGTGGTGCTGCTCCCCCTTCTTAGTTTTGGCATTTCCTTCTGCTTGCTTTGCATCCGACAGAAATACCTTGCATGTTCTTCAAATGGTTGGGGCTGGACAGTAGCGCGTTCGGTCGAGTGATAGAAATCGCCGGGGGAGAATAGGTCGAAGTTGGAAGTTGACACTTCAGAACTGTCAGATAGCACAACAAGCTTCTTCCAAGAGTCTTGCGGCTATCTGCCGTGACGTGAATGATCAACCAACCCAACTTCATAAACTTCCCTCTGATGAAAACGCTTTGTGTGAATGACCGAATCATCCCACAACGGCATTCCACGACCTGTGGTCCAAGCTAATCAGAGGGGTGATGTGACGTGATGTGAACGATATTAATTCCCAAGTCGCCCAATAGTATAAAGTAATGGCCGCTCTCACAACTGCATAGTCCTACCGCGACATATGAGGCTCTTGAAGCAGTCTCCAGGGAAACTTCCCAACGGAAATTATCAAGAGACTCGTGGCGTTCGGTGTGCATGTTCCCGCATGACATCCATGTTACTCGATTATAAAGGCAGAAAGTCTGGACCAAAAGAAAACAAAGTCTGCCAACAGAGGCGCTAATATACTTTCAGCTCTCGAGGTTACACTCTCCCATAACCATCGAGGGCTCCGCGGCAATCTACTTTACTCCGAGACAATACAGACAGACCGCCTCACCCACGCATTAGAAACCGACCCCTTATCAAGCTAAAGGTCGGGATAGCGAACTTGAACCGAATAGGAAAATAGATCCACGAATCCTACTAACCATACATTAAAAACTAATAGTAAAATAGGCACAGAGAATCTCGCCATAATTCAACTTCTTTAACGCTGTTTTCACTTCTGACCACCCCTTCCTAGGATCTTATCTGGCTTCTACGGAGCAGTTCCGACCGCCTTCGAAGGGATGCGGTAGCTCCGAAAGCCACAATCGATAGCGATCTGATATTCGTAAAAGCCCTGACCATCCCCATCCCCCGCTTGCCCGCGATGTTCCCTGGCCCGAGTGTAACAATTTCCCCTGATGATCAATCTCCAGAGTCTAGACTCACTCCTGAAATGCTCCTGGATTTGGGAAGCTGGCTCTTGGGAGACGCCAGCTTTGACATTGGGGGGATCGCACTAGCTGACCGCTCCCGGATAGAGCTACTCGAGGGTCCTTGCTTAGACTTGCTATCGTGGTTCAACGGAAAACACATGGCCCCATGACTTTGTCAGACCTCCCGTGGCGTTGGCAGTCAGCCCTTCAGTTCGGCCCCCCATATTAATAATGCCCATATCAACGTTTCTTGTTGCCTTGAAGTGGGGGTTTTATGGGGCGGTGGGAGGTTTCAACGCTGCTATCCCGACAACCCCTTGTATCCAAGCAAACGAAACGAGGGGCACATGTATTTTTGTAGGAAGTCCACCGGCATTGTCACCATCTGGCAGCTCTAGCTCTAGCTCCACTGGCTCTTTATTTAACACCGCGGGTCTTCGCTCTGTAGAATTCCAATATCCAATTTCCAATTCCTTCTGACTCACTCGTCCCATTTGAAACCAATCCACCTACTTTCTCTTCTCACCTTCACGACCCATTTCTCACTCCAAACAAGGAAATCAGATACAATGGCGTCCCTACCTACTCAGATGCAAGCCCTTAGGTACGTAGTCCAGGATAATTCTTCTTCGCCGCAACGCCCGCAGCCTGAGCGCGTGGCGGACGGCCGCAAAGCATTGGTGGGAGGAAGGCCTTGGCTCATATTCGGCTTCTCAATGCAATGGAACAGCAATGCCATTCCGCAACTCTCAATTGGCACCATATTTGCGCGTCATTGAAGCATAACTGACAGTTTCGCGTTCAGGTACACCAAGCCCGAGGAGTATGGCATTGTCACCGCTCCTCTGCCCAAGGTATCTAAGATCGACCAAGCTTCCCCAGTTCAAGAAACGAACCTCGGCTAAGACACATATCTAGATCCGCGACAACGACGTCCTGATCAAGGTCAAGGCCTGCGGTATCTGCGGCACTGATTTACATATTCATGAAGGAGAGTTTATTGCAAAGGTATGCGAATCTTGTTGCTGTGTTGTGATCATGGCTGTTCTCCTATGTTGTACCATGGTTCACTCTTTCTCGCTTGTCCGCTCGCTAACACCCCCCTTTTGAAAAGTTCCCCCTTATTCCTGGTATGTGACTTTTCGAACTCTCTAGCATTTCTCCAAAATATACTGGGCTCCTTTCGAGAAGCTACGCCAAAGGATATCATAATCTCAATTCGTTTTTGGTTGCATAATCATCTATTTTGGGTTGCTAGGCATTGTTCCACCTTCCTATTGGAAGCAGGATAGCATCAGAAGGATATTCTCAAGAGATGTTCCATACAGTCAAGAAGTTGTGATAGCTGGCTGTGTTTTACTCTTATTGAGGATTGCGCAAACTGGCCGACTAAATTTGCATCTGCTCCCACTCCATACTGTGTTTGTTTGGAATTTGAAGTGGAGATGAGAGTACTAATATCCATTAGGTCATGAGACAGTAGGTGTTGTGGCCGCTATTGGTAAAGATGTCCAGGGCTTTGCTGTTGGCGAGCGTGTGGTAGCAGAGTTCGTATCTCCAGTCCAATTCCCAGGGCTATGCTCATAGTTTTACAGTAACTCCGAGCTCTGCAACGAGTGCTTCTACTGCCGACGCGGACAACTTCTGCTATGCGAGAAGTTCGAAGCTCACGGTGTGACCATGGGTAAATAAATTTTACACTGGTTTGACTGAGTCTCGGCTAATGTATAATAGATGGTGGATTCGCCGAGTACTGTGCCTATGTACGAGCCCGGACTGTACCTCGCATTTCGGAAGAGAACTGACAATTATTAGCCCGCCGGAAAGGTTTTCAAGATCCACAATCTTTCTGATGTTGATGCTACTCTCGTAAGTAATAACTCAAAGATTGTTGAATGAGGATATTAACAACGGTACAGCTCGAGCCTGCCTCTTGCGCCGCTCACGGACTCGAGAAGATCGCTCCCAAGCTTGGTTCATCCGTCCTTATGTTCGGAGCTGGCCCAACCGGATTGGTACTTGCTCAGATGTTGAGACAAAATGGTGGTTGCCACGTCGTTATTGCTGCTCCCGAGGGTTTGAAGATGGACTTGGCTAAGAAGCTGGACGCCGCTGATGTTCGTCTTCCTCCCGCGAACTTCATTGGCCTATACCAACTAAAGAAATTTAGGAATACGTCGAGCTATCCCGCAAGAACCCAGAGGCTCAATTCGAAAAGATCAAGGCGGATAACAAATACGGATTCGAGTACGTATAAACCCTCAGCAGGATCACCTGCACCCTGAAAGCTACTTCGCAACTATCCACACATGCATATAACAAAGGCTGATATGAGAACTTCCAGTATCGTCGTCGAGGCCACCGGCTCCCCCAAGATTCTCGAAGATGCCATCAACTATGTCCGCCGCGGTGGCAAGCTGGTCGTCTACGGTGTCTACTCGAGCGCCGCCCGCGTCACCTGGCCACCAAGCAAGATCTTCGGTGACGAGATCACTATCCTTGGTTCCTTCTCCGAGACCTACATGTTCCGTAAGAACCCCTTCTACCCCGCTCACCCCCTCTTATCTCCTTTACTCACAAATTCCCTAGCCGCTGCCATCGACTACCTCGATTCGGGAAAAGTCAAGGTCGAGGGTATTGTCAACAAGACATACAGACTAGAGCAGTGGGGTGAGGCCTTGGAGGCTATGAAGAACAAGACCGCCATCAAGGCCGCTATTGTCTTTGACTAAATATTCTGGAGTGCATGAACCCGGCCTCACATTCCCATTCTTGCTTCTCTTGCCGCGTTGTAGAACAGGATATTCGGTGCGGTATTTAGTGGTTGGCTAGAAGAGCTGCTGTCATGGCATCTGGATTCTAGACTAGTAATGAGTTACGAAGAAAATGAAAGTAATAGACCAAATCATCGTCGTTAACAAGTCCCTTCGGAGTACTTTCGGGGCACTTTCGGGATTTCAATAGTTGACTTATTTATGCATTGGCTGCTGACATCTGCATTAGCTTGTTCTGCAGCAAAAGCATTATTTACAACTACCAACTAACACATGGTAAAGCCCATGCACGCGGCGCTACTCTCGGAATATAAACTTAGTCCCTAGAAGTTTCACTTCGAGATGTTATTTCTATCCTTAATATAACACTAAACCTCCGCGGTAAAAAGCTAACCAAAAAATATTTTACATTGCCTTCATAGTCCTACATGCATTTTATAGTTACACTTAGGGCGGCTACTAAATTTACAATTACCCCTGTTTCCTGCCGCTCTTCCCCACCTTCTTCATCCCCTTCATAGATTTCCTTGGCCGCCCTTGCAGCTTCCCTTTCACAGGCTTGCTGGCCGTGAGTAACCAAGCATTCATCGGTCTCCTTGCAGCGACGAATTTCCCCTCGGGCGTGAAGACTTCCACGGCAGGCCAGTTAGGATCCACCACTTCTTGGTGAACGTCTTCCTTGTCTCCGTTTTCTTCCGCGGTCCCCAGCCATTCGCCCGCCTCTCTCGCATTTTCGTCTTCAGCCTTGGCTATTTCCTGGGCAGGAATATTTTCGACACGGGGCTTCCGCACCTGTGCCACGAGCTCGACCCAGCCACAGCCTTCGATAAGGATATCGGTTGCTAGTACGCGGAAGGGGAGTCTTTCTACTTTTAGACCGACAGCGTCATTTCTAGTCAGTGGGCCGCTACGTTCACGGGTAACATCCCATTTGAGGTGGAAGGTCCCAGCAGATGCTATTTTATCTGCAGTGCCGGGCAGGGAGATGTTCTCGACGTTGGTTTCTCTTGTACGGGTCTGGATCCCGATGGCCTTTTCCGTAGATGTCAAATGTGAATTGATGGGTGTGAAAGAATAGGCCAGAATCATGACATCAGGAGTAGTAGGCGCAATGCGTATGAAGCCACCTAGGAGTAGAGACTGCCCTGGTTTGATGACTTGCTGTTCAGGTTGGACACGAGATCGCATCACTAGGGAGGATCGGTGTTCTTGTTGTACATGAAGCTCCAAGTCGCCACGAGAGAGACCAGGAAGATCGATTAACTCTCCCTTTCCATTTCCAAAGGAAAGGCGAATCGGAGAAGCTGTCGTGCCCGGTAGAGAGGAGACAAGGGGCATGGCTGGATAGTCGACCTCCTGAGGAGCCGGAGGAAGTAGTAATGATGTATCGAGCGGTTCTGGAGCCTGCCATTCGCTCTCGCCTTCACTCTGCTCCGGTGTCTGTGGGCTCTCTTCTTGCGGATCGGAAGCGTCTTCACGTAAAAACGATTCGCGCAATGTGTCCAGAGTCATGGGCGCTTTAGAGGGCACTTCAGATGGACGAGGTTTTGTGATAGGGTTTTGTCGACCTTTTGGGAAGACGTCGTGGAACAGCTGGCTCTTCCCAACATTGACCTTCCCAACCATCCATCCACCACCTCCCCTATGCCATATCTCCTCCTTCAACTCTTTAACCCACCACGACCGCTTTGCACTAACGCATCTAATGTTCCCCAGCCGTACATCCTTCCCCGATCTTCCCAAGGTATCTCGGAGAACTTCCCGCAAATACGGCATCATGGAGTCAACCTGGACCCTCAGAGGCGCCAGTAAATCGGAACGGGTAATAATAAAACTGACTTCGGTCTTGCGGCCATGATAGAATTTTCCCGTCTTTGACCGTCTATTCAGAGACCTTTGAGGTGTCAAATGGAGTAGTTTGTGCAACCCAGGTACTACAGACATGGGGAAATCGGCGGCATCAATAACATGATAGATATGGTTATATTTATGTGGAGATTCGAAAATCGTATCTTGAATTGATCGTATAGAGGGATGGTGTATGGATACTCCGGTTTCATGGTGCTTTAACTTATGGCAACGATCGCACACGGGGGGCTCGACATTTTTTTCTAGGTGCCAGTCAGTAAAGCCAGCTCCAAGCTGAAACATCTCAACTTACTAGGCCTCGAAAAGTCTTCAAAATCCAGGTCGCCAGCCAACTCGCCAGCATTTTCCAGTGATGCTTTGACTATAGTATCCTCCGGTGATTCTTTCCTGCCTTGAATCCACTCCTTTACGGACTTCCTTGTAACCTTATAATAGCCCGGCTCGTTCTCCAAGACCGTCTGCGAAGGCGCGCCGCATCCCGAGCATTGCTCCGGCAGACTTGCCTGTGCAAGGAGAGCTTCTTGCTTAACCGGAGCGGTAAAAGAAAGGCTGGGTGCCGCAGAATTCAAAAATCGGCGTGGTTGCTGGGAGGAGAGTTGCGACAGCTTGCAGCAGAATTTCAAGGGTTGAAGGCGTGGGATGCTGAGTAGGCCAGGGCAGAGAAAGGCAGGAATATCTGCGGCAGGTATACTGGCCTGCCTCGCCAACCCCCGAAGAAACCTCGAACTCCCCTTGATAGTAGGCATTATATTCATTTATTCACAAAGGATGTTCAGGATGCGAAAGTCTTGCCAAGTCGTCCAGTCCAAAATAAATATTGACAGGGGTCGTTTTAGCGCCAAAAGCTTAAATAATTTATAGTGAACTTCACCTCAATCCATACATACAGAACGGGAAGTGGCACGGCGAGGACTCTTGAATGCTCAGTGATTGCGCATTCCTAAATCTAATATCGGGGCATTTTTCAAGATGGTCAACATCACTCGTCGCATGACGAAGCTGACTGCAGTAAGTGAAGCTTCGCCCTTGTGCTGTATGCCGCTAACTCTTTCTCCTTCAGAAGGTACATGATCCCCTTTTCGCAGGACATAGGACTAGGAGGAGTTCCAATTGACACATTATCTAGCTGCTACAATTAAGAGTGGGATCAGGCGCAGCCATATTACCTCCCGAGGTAGAGAGGATACACCTGGAATTTGCTAGAGCACGCGACGATGGACACAGTGGCCCCAGGTATTTTGCAGTTCCACCCGCGCCTCCAACCACTCTGTACTGATCATCATCTCAGAGTATTCTGGCGGAACGAGCTACGGCGCCTGAAATACTACAATCCCTCCATCCCCATGACGATAAGCCGATCGATGAATCCCGCAGACCCCGCTACAATGGAAATCCACTTCAAAAAGGCTGATGGCACGACCACACCCGAATCATCAACCGAGACTCCTCCGCCCACAACAACTACAGACTCCTCATCTATACCAGCGACAGAAAACCCCAAGGTCGTTGATATCAAGGGTCACGGCCCAGGGTTCATTTTGCACCAGTTGATAACATATACAAATGCCAAAACAGTAGAGCCAACGGAGGAGGACCTTGTGCAGTTAGAGGAGATGAAGGAGAAGAAGGAGAGAGGGCGGAAGGATAGTGTCTTGATGCAGAAGGTAAACAAGAAGCGGAAGGAGGATAAGGAAAAGGATATTTTAGCACGAGGGGGCATGGTTAATCTGGCTGAAAGCTAAATTATATAAAGCGGGGTGTAGCATATGTAGGATGTATGTTGGGCGTTGAATGTATAAAAGGAACCAAATGGATGTAAAGTAGCAATGGTTGTATGTTCATTTAAGGGATTTGGCGGTAAACGCGGACCAGAGCCCAGCCCTTTTAGGGGTCAAGCATGCACACTTATGTATTGATATGTATTCGGAGACTTGTTCTGCCGAGTAGCTATAGACATACCAACGTTTTCCCGAATGTCTAACAGCTAGCCAGCTATCTAGCCTTACGGTACTATGCCAAGCCCTCAACCATAACCAATACACACAACGAGAAGCACGAGCAAGTACCCCGACCTCCAAAAACGTATCACTTCAGCCCGAATCCCTCGCTTTCATAAACCGCACGCCAAAGCATTCTTTCAAGCTTCGCCCTGGATGAATAGCGCCACAATGAAATCATGTTGAAACATGTGCGCGCAACAGGGAACCTCGGACTATCGTCCCCTAAACAGGACAGTTTAATGACCAAGTTCGTCGCGCCCATAGCAGGTATTCTATCACTGCCTGTGATAAAGCTTAGTAACTTTCGTTGGTCCTTCGGATTCGCATTTTGAAACGACTGCCAAAACCACTGTATCACTGGCTCTACTTCGTGGGCATTCGGCACACCCCAGTTTTCGCAGATAGACACAGCTTGAAGGGATTCGATATCCAAAGGCTCATCCGAGCCTCTAACGAGAAGTTCAATTTCTTCAGGTCGGAATAATGAAAGAGCGTTGCCACCGCAGACACTAAAGAAACCTCTCTTGAATGGTTCGAATTGACGAGCAACGGCAGTATCGAGAAGATATCGCACATAGAGATCTACGAACTCTCGTCTATTTGCGTTGGTAACAGGGCGTTCCTCTCCGTCAGGGCAAAGGGGGATCTGGATTAGCTGGCCATATCTTTCAACATCGGCCACAAAATCCCGGCACAAGGTGGACTCTACATCACCTTCGAATTCCAAAAGCTGCCGAAGGCCATTAGCTAATACAGGGCGATATTCGGCCAGGTCATCCAACGAATAGGTCATAGATGGTTTTGCATGCGAGGTTGCTCCGGGGGCTGCAACTGGGCCAGCTGCCAGGAGTTTTCGGAAGGCGAAAGGGGGCAACGCTACATCGAGGATAGTGGAGTTGTAAATGGCAAGACCCAAGACGACACCAACGAGAAAGAATTGATCCGTTGTCTCGAAGCTATTAGGGTTAAAGTAGCAAAATTGGGAGTCCTCGTCGTATGTAAACATACCTGTTCATGGATTAATGTAAGAGTCATGGTGGGCAAGGGCTATATATAGACATACCGTGCTCAGGATTGAAGACTTCTCTAACCAGTAGTAGAAACCATTCTTTTCTTAGGCCACCAGCGTCAATGCCCTCCTCGCCCTTGAATTCAATCCGCAATCCTTTCTTGATCTCCTCTCCACCTGAGCCTACCACTTCGCTGACTCCTTTCAAGCTGTCTTCCACAAGGCAATCTCTTCGTACCTTCAAAATGAGATATTGATTAACCGTCTTGTGGGTCATGATACTATCAAAAAAAGCTTCTCTAGCCTTTACCTCCATCTGCCGGCGCGCGTCATGTTCCATAATCTGAATTTTTGCCCATATACTAAGAAAAAATGGATATTGACAAAACGCAAATTTGCCTCGCCTGGCTTCCCAGGCTTCAAAATCGGCGACAAGGTCCGAATAGTCCAGTAGTGTGTTGTAGAAATCACTCGTAGGCAAAATTTGACCATTGTGATGAGCTCTCCCACGAGAAGCTTCGCTGATGCTTTGACTAGCCTCTGGGGTTGCTGCTGATGAGCGAGTCCCCTTTGTCGCCAATCCGCTATTATTTGCAGAAAATAGCAAAGCCATAACCCGAGCGGCAGCTTTGATCTGCCAATCGTCGTTATAAACGACCGGTTGTGGCTTACCATCACTCTTTTTGGGAGACTGGCCGGAGATGCCGAGTGCAGCATGGAGAGCCGCTGAGCTACTTCCTCCTGATGCACTCAAGTTGGGTACAAGGCCTGCAGTAAAGTCATGTTTGGCCTCGCGCTTCTTGCCATGTTGCCTTGTGAGCCTGTAGGTCACAAAACTTCCAATCAAATCTACTGTTCTTTGGAACTGACTGTCTGAATATCTGGCAAACCATGAAACGAAATGGTGATGACACTCATTCGGAAGATTCGACATGAGACCCAATATTCGTTTTATAATGGCTGAGTGTTGTCCAGAGCTTCCTTTGCGAACATTCTGGTTCCGGGGGCTAGATGATGGCATGGATGTCTTGCCCGGTTCGAAACCTCCTAATTTGAATGTTCCACTGTCATCTCGGGACAATGATCGAGACTTGCTCTTTTCCCTCATTCTCGATGCCACATGCGAGGGATATAGCAAAGGGTTTGCAAGAATTATCAAGAGAAACCGCGCGTCATCAGGGTTAAGCAGAGGACGCCCCGGTCGCTTCAAGAGACTCTCGGTGGCTTTCAGAAGAACCCTCTGAGTATGAGATTGTGCCTCCATAATTTCATTGCCAATTTCAGCAAGCTCCAGATCTGAAAGGCGGTTCACGTCTAATGTATAAGGATCGGAGGATACCAGGTTATCCAACCGCCACCTCCACGATCTCCCAGCATTAACAACAGTATAGTACCATTCGTTGATTTCGGGCCAGTCAATTCGAGGCGACTTAACAGTAACAAAACCAGTCATGCTGTTTGGATTATCGCCGCTCTTGCGATGTGTGCGAGAGGGACCTGGACTTATATCAGTCCGACCTCCAGTCCACCAAGATCCATTTTCTGCAAAATCTCCAAGTAGAAGGGTTTTGGCATCTAATTCTGATAAAGGCACATATATCCCAGTATACCTTTGAGGTGTTGATGGAACCCGTCGTTTGGCTCCTTCGCTATGTGCTCTCGGTGTCAGAGGAGCTCGCCCTACAAGAAATGATGTGTTGATGCACTCGAAGGAACCGAACGATGTAACGATGTAATCCTCCAACGGTTTGAAAAGATTTCGAGTACTGACAATTTCGTCTTCTGGTACACCATCTCCCTTCCCGTTCCGCCTATAGCGGGTGGGTGCAGTATTATAACCACCGTAGGGGCCATTTGATTGAAATGTACGGCCTATCGACTCTCTTGGTTCCATATCGGAGCTAGGAAATTTGACTGCTGAAGGACCAGGGTCTGCACCGCGGGAAGCGGGGATCGAGATGTTTGGAGGAGCTTCCCCCGACCCAACTGGGCGGCGAGGAATACGTGATCCTGGCGGTCCCAATACCGGTGACTGTGGTGGAGATGGAACGGAGCTTGAAGTTGATCCATCATCATGTTTTAACCTATCCAGTAGGTACGAGGTGATACATTGATCGATAAGCCATTTCGTCTTCTCAAGGGACAACGTAGGAACTGCATTTACATTAGAACGACACAACCGCCAAAATAAGATTTGGGGCTGCACCTCTCTGCGTATAAAATGGCCCAAAAGTCCCAGAATTGCCTGAAACAGGTGCTCTATGGCCGTCCCCACGCCGAGCCTCCAAAGTAATAGGCTTAAGATCATTGATGGTCAGGCATACTGTACACCTAAAGACCTTCAATTCCTTCGGCCAGCGCACTAGAGAATCGCATGTCATACATTTCCCAGTCGTCAGATCTCTATCAGGCAGTTTCCCCTGTCTGATACTCGAAATCGGTGACGGGTTTTGTGCAAAGTGCGACGAGCCGGAGTCATCATCTGTCGATTCAAACCCCGGCCCACCAGCTTTGTCACTGAGCTGCTTCTTCTTTCCGGGAAATAATGAGGGGAACGGATGGCTCATCGAACGCCCATGTGTAGCCCGTCGAGGGTTGGACGTGGTGGCTGTTCCATTCGAAGGCCCGTGGAGTTCACGTGAAGGAACAGGTAAAGTCGGTATGCCATAGGCACTTTCAAGTATATCGGCCTCGGTGATTCTCGAGCGTGCCGGTGATGCTCGCACAGGGGAGACCGAGTGTCCACCGGCTGGAGTTGAGCTGAGCTCATTGCGCGAATGGTTCGACCAAAACGCCATCGCGGAGCTTTCGATTGCAGGCCGCTCGGTGCAAAGGGTATGAGAGGTGTAGATGGATCATTGGGTCTGTTGGGATATTGCACTGGGCAGATTCGCCGTGGTTGAGGTTGTAAAGAGGTTCGTTATGATGCTAAGAAATGCCGTGGGTTCTTTCCTTCACGATGGACGACCAGTTAGCTTGCTGAAACACGAATAGACTTTCTAACCGCTCGCGACTCCCCGGCACCTACTGCTATACATGGTTTTGAGTTTCTCTGGCCCTGTGTCTTTTCTTATGGAATAAATACGAATACCTTCCTCCAGCCAGTCAATTGCAGAACAATCCCACAGATGACAATCTAAATAGGCCAAGGCTGGGTAACAAGGCTACAGCTCGAACTCCGCGCCTCCACCGTTTCAACTTCACCCCGCTTCCGTTACAAGAACGCGACAGATCTATAATCTTGCCAATTGTATGGTGGGATCTCCCGAGAATAATGGGCGAATTCCATGAAGCGGTTTCCACCCTCCTAGATGCTTTTGCTCGCGGGATATCTATCATCAAAGCGCAAAGCAGCCGCCGAGAAAAAGACCGATCCTCTACAAGAAAGGCTGCAGAAACTCGACTCAGCAAATCTCTAAAGAAGAACCGCACAGATGTGAAGAATACATACAGCCGGGACTTGAACCGGTTCGGGCCGGGGTTTGCTGCTGGTGATAGTAAGTAATACTCCCAATCCAATCCCCCTTAGCCGCTGAACCTACTGGGCGATATAAAATAAGAAGCTATTAACACCAAGCAGCGGAATCACGTTCAGCACTCTCTAAAATCCTAACCCGTCTCACCACAGGGTTCCTTTCTATAATCGAGAGATTTTCAACTGGGAAGAGCACCCCTTCTGATTATCAGGCGCTATTGGATTTGTCAGATACAACTAGAAGCGAGACTATAAATACTTTCGATCGGTTGTCGAAACGGTTGTCTGCTTCTTCTCTTGTGCCTGCGGGAACGAGTAAAGCTAGCACCTCGCGGCCGAGGACCAGGCATCATAATGGTGTGGAGAGATCGGCTGTGAAGCATTCCGGTCATGGACGGGCGAGAAGTGCGCCGAATCTTTCGACAACGCCGCTGGGGCCGGCGACGGCTGCTGGTGTAAGTGCATTTTCCAATTTCTATGGCTTTGTATAGTTATTTTTGAAATTTTCCATGTGAGAGATTTGAGGTGGAATGCAAGTGCTGTTGTTTGTCGTATTGGCAGAGGTATATTATGAAATCCGGTTGAAACGTACATGTTGGTTGTCCCAATTATACCGAGAACAAGCCATTCTCCCGGACGCCCCCTATCTTTAAACTCGTATTCCTTTGTTCGTTATATATGGGCCACCAACAAGAAATCAAGTGTTACTCTCCGTTGAGGCCACAATAGCGTTAAATTATGAGACAGGTCTTCATTTCACCCCCTCATCACTTCACTCCTAACTATTAAACCTTGCAAATCAAACCCACCCCTATCCAGAAATACTACTCTTCCCTCTCACAGTCACAATCACCATTCTAATTCTCATATATTCGATCAGTGGATCCGTCCCAGACACACCAAAAAGCGCACTTCTTCCTCCTCAAAATCAGACTCCCTCCCATCCTCCCCCAACCCAAAACGCCCAGTCCGCGCTCTCCCAGCCCCTCCGCTGCCACAACAAGCAGCAAAACCCACGCACCATTCACAAACCCCAAGACGAGTACCCCTACAAAAACAAAACCGGCAGTCTATCATGTCCTTCGCATCAGATAGCACCAAGCTCGGAGAAATCCCCGAGCATAAATGGACTACCCGCCCGGCAGTGTTTGAAAGCGGCGATATCGGATTCCCTGTCACGCCGTATTATCCCATAAAGCAGTGGCAGGAACCTGTTAAGCAACGGTCGAGGTTTATGAGGTTGTTCAAGAGAGGTGATTAGTTGGGTTTGGCGTTCTTTTGTTGGGGGTAGGCGAGAGTGGTGCTATTTAAAGCTAGGACGGGGGACTTGGAGTCTATGAGTAGGTGAAGGTCATTTGTGGAGTTTAGGAGTAATGATTGCTTGCTTAAGCGGTGAAAGGAGTTAGGAGTACAGTGTTGCGTTGGTTATCTGTGAAAAGAATGACTATTTTGAAATATACCTCGGGTTATGTTTTGCAGGGCTCGAGCACAGGTTGACTTGACTAGTTAATAGCCATTAATCAAATCAAATCAAGCTAATTAATCTATTAATAAAAAATTTAATCAAGTTAAATATTATTAATTAGACTAATAATACTGTAATTAATATGATTAATATAAACACATTAAATTTACATGCAAGTCACGTGGCCAATACTTTATATTAATAGAACCTTATTTACCTACACAAATAAAGCTAATCCCCGAGGCTACGGCTGCTAAATTCAACAGGATACCAACGCGTTCTCCGTCGCCAAACTTGCTTTCAATATGCTTTACCTCCTCCGTCGGGCACGAATTCCTATTCGGACTTTCAACAAGTTGACCTTCCATCGTGCCCATCATAGCACAACAGGGATGTTGATCACTATCAGTCCCCATGGAACTCGAGTCGCCCGTGAGATTGAGATCTGGCTAGGAGACCGAGGGAATGCGTATGTCATGTTTGACCCTGAGATTAGCCAGGCTTTTCAAGCAGGTACTATACTACAGGGCGGCTGCTCTCTGGTACAAGACCAGGAGTTGTTGCCGCTGAATTTCCACCACCATACGCGACACTTCTCTCATCGTATGTTTGCCCCTATTGTGGAGACTTCCGAGCTAAATATTTATTATCTAGATTCGTGCCCCTATCCTCGACTTGAGATACCCCAAGATCTCCCGCAACAATCAAATGCCTACAGCAGCCCAGCAACCCTTCATGCCTTTGGCGTGACACATGCGATTACGCTTGATGGGATGCCTGATGGTAGGCCTGCGCACTGTGATATCTATCATATACTAATAATTAGCAGCTGAATTCCAACATAGTATGAGAGAGTCGATCCAGCGGTTGCAACCAGTCTTGGATGAGCTCAAGGATACATAGAATAACCTCAACAGCAAGTTTTTAATAGGTTCTACAACAGTATTATATCACACACCCTTGGAATGTAATGGTACGATTAGACCAGTACGATGGTATCAGCTCACATTACTAGGGTAATGAGAAACGACAGCCAGGGCCCTTGGATTCGAGTCCTTAAGAAAGTCCTAATAATGCAACTGTACTGGTACAATATCAAGCGAATGAAGGCGGTTTCCTAAATTATGGTGAGTAGGTGCGCAAATAAACCTCAATTTCAAGGTCCTCCTGTCCAGTTCTGATGTGATGTTCAATCTTGAATAGAGTGGTGTGCAAATTTATGTATTGCTAATATGCCATCTCCATTCCGTAGTTCCTCCAGGATGGAAAAACGGCTGCAGGAGCTGTATAAGCATAGTTTCGTGTTTGTGGTGATGTTTCAATGAGCCATAGAGACGAACTATATACACTCTGAGAGTCCGCTTTCCAGATACCAGCGTAGTATAGCTAATCCAGCAATTAACCCTATTCACAAGCGAGCATGTACCAATCGATGGTATAGTCTTCCCAGCCTTATCACCCAGGTTTGCCTGCCCCTTGGATATCCTCCCCCGCCACTGGTCCAGAGGACTTCTTGCGCAGACCCAGTCCACGTCTATTACCCCCAAAGGCACGGAGAGCAGCGGTAATAGCCTCGCTTCTAGTAACCTGCCGATCAGGATGCGGTCGGCTGTTCCGACTCTCAGGTCGAGAGCCGGCAGCACTACCTGGGCCGGAATTGTGGCAGATAGCCGTGACGATACTGCTGCCTGAGTTATTACGGGTGAGAGGCTGGGGCTTTTCTAGTTTGGTCCGATTACTGTTGGCTGAATTGGATGGCTCGTCGCTTCGGCGGTTTGTTTGGTGATTAGATAGTGTGGATCTAGTTTTGACGGGATTGGGTTTGTTTTTGTTATAGGCCCCTCTTGTGTTTGGTGAGTTTTGGTTCAGCGTGTCTAATCTTTTGTTTTGGTTCCCTAGCTTTCTTTGGCGGACATGGCCTTTCAGCCGGTTGCTCTTAGCCAGCTCCATTGCCTCTGCCGGAGTCAAGATATGTGCATCATCACCTGGCTGAAATGAGAAACTCATCTGGCCTGGGCGTGGACCGAGACCCGGGAATTCGTTTTCGAGATGGAGCCGCTGTTTGGGGCTTGGGGTGTCCATTCTGAGTTGTGCTTCTAGGTATGAAGAGGTGGGTGGGCTATGTGGAAGAGGGTTATCGTCAGTAGCGATTCCTAGGCTGTGGAGCTTGTCAATTGAGAGCGAATCCCTATGTTGCGATGGGAAGCTAGACTCATTCAATGACGAGGAGGAGGAATCAGAACCTAGGCCCAATACCCGTTCTCTATCCTTCCTATCCATAGCTTCAAGCTGTGATCGTGAAGGTCTGGGAGTATAGATATTTCGATTTCGCCTGTCAAAAGGAGCTCCCGGCTTATGCGGCTCTGTATCATCTTGTGGATGTCGTGCAGCGTGACTCGCTTTGATAGAGTTGATGCCGTGTTCAATAGCTTCTGTCGCTCTGCCAGATCCATGAATCACGCTATTAGACCTTGCCATCACAACAGTCTCCATGCCTGCCTCAGTTCTCGACAGCAAGACCTCAAGTTTCTTCAACTCCGACTTGTAATCCTTTTCCTTCGCCTCCCACCTCGTTGCCAGGGCTTCAAACTCCTTGATATCCTTCGTATGACTTTGTTTCAGCTCCTCGATCGCATCCGTCGTCGTCTTCAGTTGCTCCCGTAAGTCCTGGTATGCTTCCAGGACATGTAGGATACACGCGTTGTATTCGATAGGGACAGCTTCAATAGGACATTTGTTCATCATTACCACCTTTAGCGTCTCAGCCATTTGGTCTGTTGATGGCATATGATACACATTCTCGGGATTCCGTGTGCCTTGGAAGCTGTCAAGACCTAGGAACTGGGGGACCGGGGGAGTTCTTGGTCGGAGGCCTAGATAGGAAGACACTCTGGATAATGACAATTTGCTTCCTTCTGTTCCGCAGCTGCCCCCTTTCCTTGGACTGGTCGACCTTTCAAAACTTGAGGTTGAGCCCGTTCTAGCGCGCCCGAAAACGGGTCGTAACCAGTCACCCATCGTGAAATTCTGGATGGCTGTTGTGACTCGTTGCAGACACGACGTGGAAAGATAAATGTCTCTGAATGAGGTTCAGCATCGCTGGTGAATATTCACGTCGTGTTGAAAATAGGAGAGCGGTTAGCGAGAATTATATGGCTCTTGCTTGCCATGAGAACCAAACTGCCCACTAAGCGTAAGGAAAACGTTATTCACCATTCACGTCACCTTTGGTTCCACTTTATGGTCAACTAAGTTTAAAAATGAGTACATTGTGCTTAACTATCATTCTAGATCTCTTGATCATAGATAGTGAAAGCAAGGCAAGCTCTACTTGATAGCTCGTCTTATGTTTATGAAATACTTTGTGTGAGGTTCCAAAAACCCTTTACACACAACTTGGTGCAAGGCAGATCAAGCCTTAGTATGATGGCTGTGTAATATATTCATAGAGCCAATCCGCGACTAATCAGGGGTATTTTGCGGCGCAGTACTTTTTATCCTTTTGGTAAAGGAATATGCTGGTTCACTCGACCCTGCTACGCATAAAAACCCAGCTTGCCCCCCTAAGTGTTTCTAAGCAAGCCTGGTGGAATATTTCCCTTCCCAATGCCAAACCTCCCAAGTAACCAGGAATTTCGTTCCCCGCCCAGAGGCGATTTAGATTCAACATTCCGTGATTCCTCAGATTCCTATCATTCCAATATATCCTGATACCGTTATGAAACTAAACGGGTTCAGTGGAATAAATCTTCGGCCTTCTGCCTCCGACGACCTCTACCCTCCAACCTTTCCGAGAACAGCTCTTTTCCAGAATTTTCGCCGAAATGTGCCGGGAATAGCTCTTTTGCTTGGCCGCCAGATGCCGCACCTTTGATACTGAAGCTTGGCGCAGGTTGGGCTTTAGCAGCACCGCGGATGCTAAAGCCCGTCTCGTTGTTCAATTTTCGGTTGGAAGTCGCCAAGGTTTGTGTCAAAGTTCGTCCTGAGCGATCGTCTGCACCACCATCGGTGAATGGCACAGCCATTTTATGAGCGAATAGGTCTGCTGTTTCATCGGCAGCATCGAATGCGTCAGAACGGCGATGATTGACGCCGGTTTTGTGGGGAAAAAGTTCTTTGGTGGTAACAGTTTCGTTCATATGGGCCTTGATAACCTGTGCCCTAAGGCGATTTGCTGAGGCCGCTTCCACTTGCTTCCGTCGAGCGATTTCTCGAGCCTCCTCGCGATATTGATCTCGATCATCTCCACGCATAGGTGAAGCACTGCGATCTCTCAGTATGCCGCTGCCTTTTCCCGACTCTCGCTCTGGGAAAAGCTCCTTTCCACTGGCGCCACGGAACCGCACGCGCCGCCCTCTAGAATCACTATCCGATGAAGAATCCGGTCTTCGTTTAGCTGCCCTTCGCGCCAATGCAGCTTCATCATCATCATACAGACTGGCATCAAAGCCTGCCTCAGCATCCTCCCTCATGCGATTTTCGTGTTCGCGATTGTCATAGCGCTGACTGCGGTATCCGCCATCATCGCGATCTCTGTATTTTCTGCCTCCACCTCCCCCTCTCTTGCGGCGCTCTGCTGGGTCGTACTCGGGGTTAAATAAATAAAATCGGCTCCTGTCACGAGCTCCAGCCTGTTTGCGGTCTCCAACTACTGCAGGACGGACTTCAAGGTTTGATTCAGGCTTGGTGGAGAGCGGCTTTGCGGGAACAGTGTGCATTAACGGGATTTGTGTGACGTCTGCAACTTCCGCCGTAACAAAAGCCCTCAAAGCATCTAGAGCAATATCTGCACCTTCATAAACCAGGTTCGCGGACGTATCATCGATCCACTCCACATGTTCTGGGCTGTTTGCATTATAATGTTCGCCTGCCCATGCTTTGATATCTTTGGTGGTCAGGTTGTCTAATCCTCGAAGGTGGATTTTATTGAGAGCTAGCTCATGAGCGGTTGGGTCGTTGTCATTTGGGAGACTGAGAATCGGGTTTCCATCTTGGTTATCGACCTGAAGATATGGGGTTAACCGCAAGCTCATGGTGTTGAAAGAAAGAGTGCTTCAGGTCTTACTGAATGCTGAACATCAGGGATAATTTCAATATCTTGGACCGCCAGGTCTTCCTCCGTGAGGCCCACATCGAGGTCCATCTCAATATCCATGTCGGCTGCCATGATGAAGTATAGTGGCCGGGAATGAGCGGTAAGCAACCCAACGAGTGGCCGTAGTTAAAATGGGGACGTCGTCGAAGGTGACAGATGTAGAATGGAGAAGCTGAGGCTCGTTGACCTGAGGGTTGGCAATGGTGTAAGAATGGCCGGGTCGGTACCGGTCGCGGTTGGAGGCGCGATTGATGCGGTCTAGTAATGCCAGCCCGCGAACTGACCGCGGAGTTAATAAGTTAGGCGCTGCTCAATGAGTGAAGACGAGGGCGGTGGCTCTGTAATGATGTCGTGAGGTAGACCGTGTCGTAGAGATATGGCTGAGATATTAGCACTCCGGCAGCTATTCCACCGAGAAGAAAGCTGCAACGACCGTTGATTGTAGCACTGCGGTATACAGTAGTATCTGCGCCAAATAAAGACAACAGGAAATAAAGGTGGAATAAAACAATAGAGGAATTAAGTCAATCAATTGCTGGAGGACACTAGAGCTACATAGCAAAGCCAGCCCTGCGAAGGCTCGGCGCCCTCAAGGCAGAGTGCCAAGAAACACCAAGTCACATGATAGCAACTTCCCAGTATCAATAAAGAACGTCGCCCCCATGCTTTCTTGGTATCTCGGATTTAAAGAATACTCTCTGGAATATCTTCACTTAACTACTGATTTTTTAAGGTACCGCTATCTTTTGAGCATACTTTGCTTATCCTGCAGGACTCATTCATATCTACGAACCCCCACGTTGCGATAGACACAAATAGGATACACATTTATTTGAGTGTTTAGAAACCCCAAAGTCGTTGGGAAATGTCTTAGATGTTTGAAGCTTTGCTTGTTCTTAATTCTAGTACTAATTCGGGTGCAAGTGTGCAAGGGTGCAAGGGTGCAAGTGTACATATTTTCAGTGAAGCATTCCATGTTAATGACCTTCGCCAAACTATCACCCAACCATAATTCTTGAAGCGCACCCGATATATTCCGGATGAATTTCGATGCATATTCCACATTTTCATGAGACCCACTTAACATTTCCTTGGAGAACCCCGATCTATGACTTCCTATACCTTCTTCGTTGCCTGGTCTGGTTGTTCTAAGTCGTTTTGGTCCGACATTTCGGCACTTGGGCTGAAGTTGTTAGGGAGGTGTTGATCTTGACTCCGATCCGCTCGTCAAACTCGCTTAGGGCTCTACCATGACGGTTCCAATAGTTTTTGGCGGCACTGGGGCTTCTATCAATTCCCATTTCCTTGAGTTTAGCAGACATGGCGTTGTACAAATTCTCGTCTCTCAGCCTCTTTACTGTAGGGTTTTCCGACTCATATTCTCTTTGCGCCTTTATAAGCTGATACAGAGCATCGTGCTCATCTTCACTCCATGCGCCATTTTTCTTCTTGGGCTTTGGACCATCAGGCTCTCCTTGGGTGGCGTTCCCTTCAGCGGAAAGTTTGGAGTTAACCTTGGGCTCGATCTTGGCTCGAGAAGCTGATCTTGGGAGGACATCTTTGGCTAATTCTTCATCATTAGTTTTATCCTGAGCAAAATGGGTTCAAGTTGACTTCGACAAACCTTTGGATGGAGGGTTTCTGTTGACATATCTCTTTGAACCTCCTCCTATCTTTGCCCTTTTGGCGCGGGCGCGCTTACGATTATCATCATCAGAGTACTCGTCATCCTCCGAATCAACGCGACGTCTCTTTGGGCGAAGGGAACCTGTTGAATTGCTGATTGTTGAGTTCATCGTGGATTGGGGGCTTGGTGACCGTTCCTGCTGCTGAGAATCCTCGTAATCAGGACTTGGTGACCGTTCCAACTGCTGAGAATCCTCGTAGTCAGGGCTTGGTGACCGTTCCAGCTGCTGAGAATCCTCGTAATCAGGACTTGGTGACCGTTTCAACTGCTGAGAATCTTCGTAGTCAGGAGTGGGTTGACGCTCCGTTGGCCGAGAAATGCGTGTGATTCTCCAGACGTTGGCTGGTGGCACTGTTTCGCCTGGTTTTGTTTTCCCCCCTCCTGAAGGGTATTGGCGAAGCTTCCAAATATACTTGTCACGAGACTCGCCCTCGTCTTCCTTGAGCAACTCCACCTCGGTAGCCTCACCCTCTTCATTCTCGTATTCGTCGCTCAGCTCAACTCCTTCACCTAACTCAGCTTCTTCGGCCAACTCATGCTCGTCGTCCTCATCCTCCGTTTCACTTGCCGTGGCCAATCCCACTCGTTGAAGTCCGTCCAGCCACCCTGCAAGTTTTGTGTTCTGTTGCTCGATATATTCTTCGTAAGTATCTCTAAATTCCTCCTCCTCGCTCTCTTCCCCTTCGCTCTCTCCCCCTTGGCCTTGTTGCACCTCAATTTTCTCCCCATTGTTTCCAGGATGGGGGTAGGGCTGTATATTTCTTCCGCCTTTGAGATATTCTGCATTGTAGAACGCTATCATGGCGGGACTAGGCGTGAACCAACCCCGGGGGGCTTTCTGTTTAAACTGCGCCATTGTGTTCGTTTGGTAGACTGGTGAAATTGGTCAAGGGGTATTGGAAATCTTGATACTGATCTAGATGAACGAACGGGGGGAAAGAGAGAACAACGGAAAGGAACGAAAGCTGGAGGACGAAGAAAGATATTTGTAGGCATTGTAATAATAGGAAACGTTAGAGATACAAGTTGCATTGTGAACTTGCTATTGTGCTCTTTGGACAATGGATATGTGTATCCAAGGGATGTGGGCCTATTGTCTCTGCTGTTAAACCAGAGTGCACTCATCCAATTGTTAAGAAATTGACAATAGCAAGCGACGACAAAGGAGTGCGGTGAATCTAAGAAAAAAGGCAAATCGGCCCAACACGAGTTGACGAGCCTGAGCTACTGGAATCGACAATGCTAAGCGAAGAGGATAGGGGCAAAGGTGAGTAGCAAAGTGGAATAGACAATAGGATCAAGATAAGGACAACGGCTTGAGTCGAGATCAATAACAATGAAACCTATTGATATCTTGCTTGAAATCTCTGCCAAGCTTCAAGAGTAGTAGGACGAGGCTCCGAGTTGGGTTGAGAGCGTACTGGGCACCTAGGCTTGTGAGATTAGGTGATTTGAGATAGGACAAGCCGGCGTGTCACGTGTCGAAAATCACAAGAACATGCCCCACCACTCGGTGTGAAATAATGTGAAGTTGAAAGAAAGACCAGTTTTAGGAGCAAAACACCATACCATGCCTGTGAGAATCGCTTTCCCCCTCCTCGAGGCCGTCCTCGAGGCCGACCGTCTCTCCCAAGATACCTTTTCGCCCTTCGGCACAGTGATAGAGAACCCGGACCGGTCTTTGGTCCCATCGCCTCGAATGCGCGAGGTCCCGCCAAACGCAACACAAGCAAACCAAGGGAGTGCGCTCAAGTATCTCGATGTGACGCAGATGAGAAATATGTATGACTTGGGCACCCCGAGCAAGAAAGCAGCTAAGGCAGTCATGAACATGTTTATTTGTGCACCAAGGACGCTCCTTCCACCACATGGTCCGCATATCAACGGTCTCTTTCCGGTCGAGATATTGGAGCGTCACCCATATACGACTCAGACATTTATTCCTCTCGGTCTTTCCCAGTCCGAGGCCGATCAAGCTCGTTATCTTGTCATTGTTGCTCCGAGCTTGGATCCTTCGCCTGCGGATGAGGGTTTTCCCACCCCTTCAGATCTTGCTGGCGGCGATCAGCTTCCAGGAAGGGGTCTTCCTGATCTGACGAAGGTCAAGGCTTTCATTGCATACGGTTCGCAAGCCGTCACCTATGGAGCTGGTACTTGGCAAGTGAATAGGCTTCCATTGAGCACGTTATTTTATGCTTATCCCGTATTGTGATCTAATCTAATATGCTCTTGAAGCCAGCCATGGCTAACATTACAAACCTTAGGCATGCTCCAATGGTCGTTGTGGGTAAGAAACCCATCGACTTCGTGGTAGTGCAGTTTGCAAATGGAATAGCCATTGAAGATTGCCAGGAAGCGGAACTAGAAACTGGAGGTGGTGGCAGGCTTTTGGTGGAAATACCAACGATTGGGCTGCAAGATGATCGTCGGCTATTCAGGTTGTGAGATCCTGACAGATCAGCGATCTGTTGAGCGGATGTCCAAATGGGGAAATGAAAAGTTCTACTTTATTCAGCTAACCAACCTTTGCAAGTCTTGGCCAAGGCGATACCAGCTGGATGTCTAGCACGTCACAAATTGTTAAGGCAGCATAGAAGTGCATTTCTGGTCGGATAGTTGCGATTGCGACTCCTCGACAGAGCCACATCTGACGGATAAGGAGGGTCGACATTATCCGGAGCGGCACGCACCTGAGACATTCAGCTCAGTCCATATATTCGACGTCCGAATCCGTACTCTTTCTCTACGCCACCGCAAGTTGCCACCTATTAGTAGCTGGAATAAGGACTATCAGAGCCACTCCCCACCCTATCTAGATGCGCATAGGGATTAGTTGGATTGAAGTGGATGTTCGTATCTTAACGAATTATAGTCGGGGTTCACCCCAACGTTCTCTAGCGCAAAAGACGTCAAAACGGGAGCAACTAATAATTTGTATCACCGGATTCGGCCCCGCCGCTTGTGTGCAGTTTCAGTGTCCAAAGTACCTACGCTCAACTAGGTCATGTCCGTGGAGTCGGGACTTCGGAGGAGCCACCACGTTTTTCCCGCCCGACAAATAAAACGGGTTTGGCTTGGCCCCCGTTCGTATGAGATTGGCGAGTAAGACGGAGATCGTCCTTTGCCATTTCTGGTGACATGTCCGAGGACGGGTGTGTAATGATTGCTCATCCCGATACCGTATTAGTGGCATGTACGGTAAGTATTCTGCATTGCCCTGGACTTATGTTGGATATCCAAACTGGCGGTTTTTTGCTGATCTGATAGCAGCAACAAGACGCAGTGGCAAGGTATATACTGGAGCCTTGCAGTACGACGAACCTTCAAGCCCCCGGGAGAACACGACAGAGTTACGGGGTACGGAGGTGTAGTCCTACATACGAAGTACCTCAGTACTCCAGGGATGGCGGAGGTCAAGGAGTCGTCCTGGTCCCCAGACTGGCCATCTCCACATCGGGAATAATGGAGAGTTAGTGAACTCGTGGTGCTTGGGCCGTGGTGTTGCGTGCGGTCGATCTGATCTGCGGAGCACCGTTGCTGATTCCCGTGGTCCCTGTGGGCTGACAGCCGAATTAAATAACTGAGGAGCATTTGTTGAGGGAAGGGATCTGTCAGGGATCAAGGCAACTGACTCTATTTCGGACCTCGGCCATGCCCACCAAAGCCTGTCAGAGCACTTTTCAGCATCCCACACGCAAGCCATCAGCAACCCACCCTTGAAGTGTCGCCAAATATCGCCAAATATCGCCAAATGAAGCCAAGGCGTCATGCAAGGCAGAGGGCCAGTGTCCTTAGTGTGTGGCGTTTTCACTTGAGTCTTGACAAGTTGAACTCTCTGCCAACTCGATGATCCACAAATCCGCAGCTGTGCCACGTTTCTTACCCCTCTAGGATCTAGGTTCACCCCCATGGGAGCTCGCCCATTTCCTTCTTCGCCAATCAAGCGCCTCGCCCCTCTTCCGTATTCCTTTCCTCAAACATTCGCCGTGCTCTCACAACGGTGTTGTCCCCACAGGGTCGCCCACCCACGTTTCCGCCCCATCCTGCGGGTCATGGTTCATGGGACTGTTATTCTCATGTTTTCAGCTCCTTCGGGATTACAAAACATACTACGGAGTACTGTAGCCAGGAATGGGATGTAGTCAGTACTAGGTGCTACTGTACGTACATGAGGCGGCTTCCCCAAATGCTCTCGAGCCCCCACGGTCCCTTCCCACCTTGAGCGGAGTACGGAGGTACGGGATGCTACCTAAGAATAGCGTTGTCATGCGCTACTACCTCCTGCCTATTATTCGCAACAATCATCGTTTCGAGCAGAGATTGACAATGGATCCAGGTCAAACGAGCCTGTCATATCAATAGTCGCCGTGTCCATCCATTGCCTCTAGGGCCCCGGGAACTCCGCTAAACTGGTTCTTTGGTAGAGAAAAACAACTTTATTCAGAGCAGGGGCTTGACGGAGCACGTACTGGTGCTGTAGCAAAATATATTCTCAGAACCCGGTTACTGGAAATTCCAACGTCTGGCCCTGTCAAGGACCGACTGATTGGAAAACATGACTCCTGCTTTGTGAAGGGATTTGCCTCGATCTACAGATCCTACATAGGGCCGAGAGTGCACGCAATGTTTGTTGGGTCGATCAGAGGCCCCACCAACACGGGGCTTACTGAAGCCCAATAATGTATATGCTGGTGATGGCGTTGTTTTCAATTCCTCGTACTGTACTTCGTAGCTGGTACCAGAACCTTGCCAAAACTGATCTTGTCCTGGTCGAATGCAAAATTTGGATTGGAGTTCCAACAATTCATACACCCGAGAAGAAGAGAATGCGCAATGCCGTTTATAAGCCGCTCAATCACCTGACGGATAGCACCAGACCTACGGGAGTGTTGTTGAACCAGTTAGCGATTAACGTAGAAAGCGGGGAGCCAGTCACCATCCATGGAGGCAGTCAAATCCCATTGCTATGGACGTCTTGAAGCCACTGCCCAGAATCCCAAGCTAGACTTTTGCTGCGTGTGGGGTATCTTCCGACCCGTAGGGAACAATCACAGCCTAAAGGCGCCTCCAAACCTGCGGAATATGCTCCGTAGGCCATGATAGTTTTGATAGGTCGCACTGCTATGCACAAATTCTGCAGGTTTCTAGACTGTACCACCCACGATGGCTAGACATACGGCTTTGGCTTTCGTCGACATCTACGCAAGCCCCCACAATGTTTCACCGATGCTCGTTGGGTTTTCCCAATCTCTCTCCTCGTGGAGTAGGGATGATTGTTGCTGGCTGCTGTCGACGAGGAGCAGGGGAGATGGTGATGAGGGTAAAGAAACAAAACAGCTCTACCAAAATATTTTGACGGAAGTTCCCCCCGGTGGCGTGCTCAAAAAATGCCAATAATGGAGAATTCCGTTCTCATTATTGCTCGTGGGATTCTGTGGATCTTATTGTGATCGCCGTGTTACGCTTCCTTCCGTTGAATCCATTGATCTTCATGGTACTACTGTACTGTACCTACTTACTTTACTCGACTCGTATAGAGTCAGTTATGGTATCACAAATGCCTTCCGGAGATCTCCTCGACTACTGTTGTGCTTCTACTCCGAAGCAACCTGCCATGCACGAGAAGTTTTGAAGGGAACTTACTTCGTACTTCGAAAATCGATAGGCAGGTGGGGGATCAACCCTTGGATCGAGGGGCTTTGCAGGGAAGCGGATGAAGAAATGTTTGTCCTTTATTTGCCTAGGCCGCAGTTGTTGGGCCCGGGGCCGCGAATCACGACACCCTTATTTACCCATCCTCGCTCATCTCCTATCATATGACGACGATCTCAGCGGAAAGTCATCAGCAGTGTCACCCGCAGCGGTCACAACGGGCATTGATATCCTCCGCGGCTTGGACATGGGGGACCCTTACCTCGCCGACCAAAAGGCCCCAAGGCTACGGATCAACTCCGCACGACATAAAGTTACAAGGCTCTTCCACGCTGAACATGGATCAGGGGGCCTGGTCGTTGCCAACGGTACGCTTCCAACCATCTGTTCTTTCGTTAACGGTACCAGGTTCATATTACTGAGCATTATTGATTCTGGAGACGAAAACAAGGGCAAGCAGAATGGATCTCCAGCCCCCGAGAGGGACGTATGGAGTACGAAGTAGGCATATTGTTATTGCAGGTGTTGCTTCTCCTGCCCCCCTGCCAAATCGATTCTAAATTTGGCGGGCGTGGAGGAGAGTTGACGTTGGTTCTGCGCACGGGGTGGGAGGGAGGAAAGGGCGGGGCGCAGGGTGCTCTTATGCCCCGAGGCTCGAGCTGATCGTTTCGGTAGTAAACATGAGCGCAAGCCCAAAGGAGCAATGAGTGGCAAGTGCCTCGCTGATAGACCGTGGACAGAATTCTCGACCCCACCTTATTACTGTACTCGGTACTTCTACAGAGAAGGATCAGCGTACTGTAACTGGACCGGATATTTTGCAGACCGAGAAGGGACAGTGCACTCGTGGTCAACGGTCAGAGACTCCCTACAATTACGTACCGGTGATGTGATCGTCTAGTGGCGCCTTACAGAGACAACATCTGGGCTAGAGTACTAGTGGATGGTGGGGCCGTGCTTTCGAGTTTCTACAGAGGCAAAGACAAGAACAGTTGATTAGCCGCTCAGCCAATCTGGTTACTGGATGACCGATATTCATTGTACTCCGTAACGCCTGTGTTTGGAACTTGGGGGGGGATGGTTCTTCTAGGCTTTTCATCAGCAAGCCGTGGAGCGACCCACAATCCCACACTGCAGTACAAATATTACGGGGAGGTTTTTGATATTGACACCGCTCGAGACCAAGGGACAGCACATGGCTTTCGATCTCTGACTGAATCGGATGCTCGCAGAATTGCGCTCATGGTTGTGGCTGCTGGGAGTGTTGGGAGGTGAGACGGAATCGAAGAGTCGTTCCCGAAGACGAGTGCTTCGTGCAGCGCGATCAAAATAGAACTCCATCATCCCCCGAATAATAATACTCCCTGAACCTGGAGGAAAAGTCTTCCGGGATGCCCGTCATTTCCTGTGCGCCCACGAGCCAGGGGGGAGGGCCCAAGAAGTCGGTCGAGAAGCAAACGCATGAACGTTTGATTTATTGGTGCAGTAGTCACGGACACTCTATGGAGGGAGAATTGTGGATCGCATAGAATTGTGGATATCATACGGCCAGAAACGTCACACAAACACATGTCCAAGTTTCAACTGACCAGTTAACATCGATAAAACACATCGACGAGGAATGCGGCTTGGCTTGGGTAGCATCTTCTCCTCCATCTCGCTCGCCAAATAGCGCCAATACCAAGGGATTTGCATGGCGGCGGCTCAAGCAACAGCGGTCAATGATGAGATCTCGACGCTCCCACCAACGATAAGCCTTTGCTCACACGCTTTTGTTTCTTTTTGCCTGCGGCCATCCGGCCACGATGCTATGCGCATAAAAGTCGGTTTACGAACATACCTGTACCTGTACCTGTACAGCACATGGTATGTACTCTGGTACGGTGCCGGCAATAATGACTTTGTGGACTAGTGTTGCTGTGCCGCCATGCTGCCGCATCAGTTTCGGACCCCAGCGACATCCATCGACGGAGTTAAGCAGCGCTTGGACGGCTTCCAGCGTGGTCGGGCGGCGCGGGGTGTGGCCTTGACCTTGTGTTTGGTCTTTGGGTGGGACTCCTGACTCTGTACCTACGTATTCCTCCGTAGAGGAGAAGCTACTTCGAGCAGTGATATGTCGGGCCATGCTTAATCCGTATACGGGAGGATACAAGTTCTTGCCGGAAACACCAACCATTGGCGGATGGGCCTATAGAGAAATAAGGTGTTGGACTTGCTACTCGAAGGGGACAAGGCGCCTACGGATGTGACGGCGCGGGCGCCCACCCAGGCTGGCGGCCCCCGACTCGCACACGGTCCCAGCTGAACGGGCGACTAAAAGCCTCCCGTCCTCGCCGTGAGGATCCACCAGGGTTCATGGCGGCAGGGCTAGAAGAGCGAGCAACGGGCCTTGTAGAGCTGGGAAAGTGCCACACCGCGTCTTCATCAGCAACGCCCACCAGTGTTTCGTTCCCCTCCCGGCACGGACGCTGCCGCACGGAGGGCACTGTCTAATAAGCCGCAACCAAAGAGCAGAGAGCAGAGAGCAAAGAGCAAAGGGCAGACCGAGGGACAGCGGAGAGCGGTGGCGAGAAAGACGCTTGAGAATCCGTAGGTGACAAGTTCGCAGCACCTCGAATAGCCCCGCAGAGAAAATCGTGCAGGCTTGCAACTAGAAGATGAGGAATATGAGCAGGGCTCTACGTTATAGGGATGTCTCAGTGATATTTTCGCTTGTGAGTGACTGCCAACCGCCATCTTCCGGAAGTCTACTACTACACCACGGTCCACGAGTCTACGACGATGGGTTGTCCAGCCCCAGACAAGCCAAGCCTGAGGAGATCCACAAGGTTGACCTTTTGGGGAGTATCAGGCGACGGATGCCGAGAACTTGAGAAGAATTGAAAGGAAAACAGGTGTGTTCTAGCCTGTGCCAGCCTCATCACTCAATCTTCCCCCGGTCCATCTGGCTCCCTGCTCCCTGCTCTCTCCCTGCTCTACCTGCTCTCAACCACAGACATGGCTTTGATCGTCTTTCTCCAATATCCCGTACAGAACTCCGTCCTGGTCGCACTCAATAATACATATTCCATATTTCATCTCATATCCCATATCCCACATCCAAATCGAGCACAAGATCCTTCCTCTCGGCATCCCATGATCCCAGGGTCCCACTGTCCCAGTCCCGTCCCTCACCATCATCCCAGAAGTGGCCCTGTTCACCATCCTAGCCCCAAGCCCCTGATCGCTGCGTTTGCCCGCTGGTCGCCTCCCCCACGGTTGGCACAGTGCCATTAATACTCCCTCCTACCAGGCCAGCGCCAGCGCCAGCATTGGTTTTGGTCATGTATATGGTCCTTCCGGCATCCCGATCTTGCCCATCTTTGAACCTTCAACAACATTCATCAGTCTAAGGAACCTCACCACTATTACAGCAGTACGTATTAATAGCTGCTCGTCATCACTAGCAAACACGCCCACTTAAAGCAACACCTGGTTCAGTCAACTCACTACGCCACACAGTTGAGACTAGGAGAGACTCCCGCCCGGCTGTCTGATATTCACTCCAACTCCCCGAAAGGAACTCGAGAAGGCCTTGCCACCAAACGACCACATCCTAACTTCAAGACAACGCTGTATCTTAGCCTGTGTTCTAAGACCATCCGAAGATCCTCCACTTTGCCTTGAGACGTTGTCCATTCTCACGCTCTGGGAGCGCCTCGTCATCATCGAGGCTAACTGTAAAGCATTGTACCTACCCTGGGCTTTACCACAATCACCACTTCGATAGTCTCATAGACGTACTAGATTTACATCCTAGAGGTTGTCACAAGAACCGCTTCAATCGGCAACACACCTTCAACCTGGAGTCTCAGGAGCCTCTGATTTTCTAGACCAGCAAGAGGCACAATCCACAAATGGCATCGCACCGACGAGGACCGTGGTCCCAAGGAGAGGACGCCTATCTCGTCCAGCTCATCCACACCCAAGGAGCCCTTAACTGGGTAAGGATTGCACAACTCATCGGAACTCGATCTCCAAAGCAATGTCGTGAACGTTATCACCAGAATCTGAAAGCCTCGCTCAACCATGAACCTATCAGCCCCGAGGAAGGCCTTCAAATTGAACGCTTGGTTGGAGAGATGGGAAAGCGTTGGGCAGAAATAGCTCGGAAGCTTGATGGTCGGAGCGACAACGCAGTAAAGAACTGGTGGAATGGAAGCATGAATCGACGACGGCGTCTCGTACTTCGCCGAAGGCCATCTGGACCATGCCATCCATCTAATAACTATGACGAGCAAACACAACCTCTGTCATTTCCAAAACCGCCAATCAGCCGTCCACTTACCATCACTTCCTCTGCATACTCACCTGGACGGCGTGATGGGTCCCTTCCTTCTCCAGCAGTATCAGAAACTTCACGAGCTGAATCTTTCGATGGACCTCCATCGCTTGTATCCGACAATTGCTCAACTTTCTCTGTCTCCCCTCGTCTGACTACATCACCGAGCATCGAGCTACCTCCTCTCGGAATGCTCCCAAGGGATGCAATCAGGAGACCTAGCCTCCCGGCACTTCACTTCCCGCCGAGCCCATTCCAGTCAGAGTACAATACTCAATCATATCCATTTACTCCGCGATTCCATAACGATGCCAAAATTCCCAGGGCCCCGCTCTCGCCTCCTTATTCCCAATCTAGGCTGGAACAATCCACCGCAGTATTTCCATCTCGAGAGCATGAGCGTGATTATCGACCACAGTCAATGACAGCTCCTCCTACGCCGGTGCAACTCCCTCCTCTCCAAATAAGCTGTCAGTCACCGCGGCGAGACAAGGTCGAACGAGACTCGAGAATGCATCTCTCGTCACTCCTTGGTTGAGACTACATTATTCGGGCTGTTTTGCGTGTTTCCCTAGGGCGGGATGGAAATTTTAAAAAATGGGTGGCTATTGGTATCCCTTTTCACAATCACTTGATTATCTGGGCGGCTGGGTAGGAAATTCCTACGGGCAATGGGCGTTCTGTCGGGATATATTATGAGCAACGTCTTCCCTTGTGTTGTCATTTGGGACAATTGTCCTGTAATCCTATTTGTATTTGTTTATTAGCTAGATACCCGCTCTGACGATATGGCCCCTTCTACATGATTGCATTTGCTAGTGCTGTTGTCAGAACCAGCAAACGTCAAATACATCACTTATATCGTTACCCTACATGATATTCTAATTATCTCCTGCTTATACTCGTGAATAAAAAAAATCCAATTCACCGGATTGCAATTACAACTTCCCTACTTAAAGCACAAGTCCTAGCAAGGAGGTTTTTAGGAGTGACGTGCGACAGCTGTGAGCTTGCCATGGCGCAATCCTGTACGAAAAAGCTCCGAGACATTGGACTTGACCCAGCTCCACAGTTTTCTATCAGTTTTATTTCCCCATACCTCCGGTGATTTCTCCGGTCCAGTATCGATGATGGTTTTTACTTTTCCGATGCCAACGACGGATCCAGGGCCCTTCCGGATCTCAGATCTACCTCTCGGCACATCGGCCGATCATTCTTAAACCTATAGTCTGACCGAAAGAAGGAGATGGTAGGATAGTATGTGCGTGGCAATTCGTGTTGATTCAGATTCACGCCAGACTGTCTCATTAACCCGCATTTCATGCCTCACACCCAGAAAAAAAGGGGCGGTTACACTAGAACCAATGAACGGTGATAGACGAATTGTCGTGGGTTGAAAGCTTGAAGGCGTGTCATTAGTGATATTCATTCTAGGGTTGGGAAACGGAGACGAGCGGGCCAGGGACTGAGAGTCGGGGGTGAACCCTCAGGGACACTCAATAAAGGCTTTATTTAGCAGCGGGTAACCAGGTAGTGAACAGGCATCGATGGCCTCGGGCATTGAGCTTGAGAGTAGAGGCCAGGGAGAAATCCCACATCACTTCTATTAGCGGAAAGGATTGGTGGTCTAGAATCGCGTATCTAAAAGCCTCTATGTGAAACGATAGAGCGTATAAAAGAAATATAAAAAAAAGCCAACTGTCAGGGGTATCTAGCACCACGTTAATCAACAAGGCAAGATCTCATCCAGTCCATACTCCATTAAAAAATGATGCCCATCTTGAGTGGTCTTATCTTGCCCCCGAAATATATCCCCAAATAACTCCGTCGCTGCGACTCATACGAGCGACAACGCCACGTCTAATGCCCCCCTGAAAATAATCCAAATCTATTATAGATAGATATCACCTCCCTCGTTAGATACCCATCGTCGCCAAGCTTCATCATACGCCGATTCTAAATCTGACACCCATCGTCTTGTATCGAAAAGGGCACATGTCCATCGACTGTCAAATAATAGCTTTCGAAGCTCTCCAAGTCTACCAACGCCTTCCCCGTAGCCAGACGGATGCATCCGGTAAGAAAAGCTACCGGCGAGCTTTATTGCAAATTCCTCGTATTGATCGTCATCTTCCGCGATGAGTTCCCTGGCGGCGATACGGCCTTCTTCGCCCCGTGGTAGAGCACCCTTGAGGATTGACGCTGCCATACGAGAACACATCTTATATTTGTATCGGGGAAACGTGAGCAGCGGCGTACTCGACCACAAAACATCAGCGGCAGTGGTATGAGCATTGCACTCCGGAGTATCTAAGAAAAGGTCGCAAACTCGTGCCCTTGATATGTGTTGATGCTTTGGTGCCACGTCAGTGAACCAAATGCGTGATGCGACACTTTCTCCAGCCCACTCCCTTGCTGTTCGCTTCAAATTGCTTTCCCCCAAGTCAGGAAAACGGAGAAGCCAGAGGATTGCTTTGGGGGCTTTATCCAATATTCTTAACCATGTACGGAAAGTAGTAGGTTCGATCTACCTCTTGTTAGCCTTTTCTATAAGCCGCAAAAAAAAAAGGGGGAGGTAGCAAACCTTATATAGCTGATTGAAATTTCCAAGAATGATAGCATCATCAGACAGACTCGGGAATAACTCCTTCCGCATCTGCCATCGCTTCGATTGTTCCTCTTCCCATGATAGACGGTTTCCCCGGGGTTCTGATTGAGCATGGTCGCAGCAGAAGAATGTATCCCGGCAAAAGATAATGTTTTCGGAATAAACCCAATCCTCATCCTCGTGTGACTGCTCATCTGCCACATGGTCTTCTAGATCAAGATTCCGCCGCCAGGGTCGCAGTGTATCAGGCGGGATCGCAGTCTCATCTGCTAATATGTAGTCGCACCACTCAGCCCCAAGCGTTCCAGCGAAGCCCATAAATGACATTTGAATTGGAGCTGGACGAGCTGCAAAGATGTCATTCCGAGCACCTCTGGTATAGCCATTGAGATTAATTAGGATGTGGATTCCATCTTGGACAATTTGTTGTACCAAACGATCAGCCCCCCAAGAGCTGGCATCGCGGAATACCGGTGCCTCGCGCTCGATTTGCTTTCTGTGGACGGAGTTGTCACTGGCCGTGGTGGCATAACAGAATGCCTTTGCACGAGATGGGTTGTGGAGACCGAAGACGGACTGCATTCTATAACTTGATATTAGTCTTGATCAATGACTTGCTTTGACTTTCGTCTGACAAATACTTACAAGTGTGCTAAGGGGTGATTATTAAAATCTGAAGAGACATATCCAATATTAAGGTGGGGTGCAGGAGGTGCCGGGGGCGAGAAGACGGACGCAGGCAGCCAGGGATATCGAAGAGCTGAGCAGGATATTCTGAGCGCATTACGCTGAGAGATCATACGGATATCTTTGGCCGATAAAGGGCACGTAAACGTGTGAAAAGGGAGAACAGTCGGAGCCGTTGGAACTGACATACTACCCGGGAGCTGTGGCCTAGGGTAGCAGGAAGCGGGAAGTGGCCTCTTGTTGATATATTTGTCGCGATACCATCGGTACATGGCTCGTTTCGTTGCTCGTTCAATAAGTCGTATGATGCGTGATCCTTCCCAACGATGTCCTACCCAACTTGAAAGAGCTGCCTGCATCCTTGCATTTTTCTCTGGAGGCCAACGACCACCAGTGTCTGCCGCCTCCAATTGCTTGAGAAATTCATGAAGGGTTCGCTCTTGCAGAGTTCCCCGGCCCCAGGCCGAACCATCTTTGAGCTGCTTTGCGACTATGTCCACAACACGCTTCACCCAACCTCCACCAGTGCCGTTCCGGGCCTCTGTGATCATTCCTGCCTCGTCGACATGCCACCGATCGTGCTTGCCGCCATCGAGGATAACCCCTCCTCGTCCAGCCCAATCGCAAACGGAATTTAGAGCATTTGCAAGGCCGCAGACAGCTTCGGCGAAGTCGGGACTCGATGCCACAGCACGCCTATAGTATTCGATAGCGTCACTTGTCCGACCTTGGTCTTTAACAGCATTTGCCAGGTTTGCCAAAGCAATATCGAATGAGCTATCGCATGCAACTGCCTTTTCATACATGGTAATCGCAGCGGTGAGTTGGCCAATATCTTTAAGGAGGCTTCCCACATTAGTGTAAATATGCGCATGTCTGGGGTCCAAATTGAGTCCATAGTTGTAATAAGCAAGGGCCAAAGCAGTACCACTTCCCGGATCCACTCCTGGTATAGCCGGGAGGAGTGACGCATCTCTCTGTGGAATTGGTCGTTGCCGGGGCGGTTGCTGAACACTTGCTAATAGAATGCCTACATTGTTGGCAGTCGATGGACTGGGTTGTAACGACAGTGAGAGGTAATATAGTGCCAATATATCACCAACTCCAGATGGCATTCTAGCTATCCTTTGGGGGGAGCTGCTGTTTGACATAGCATCTTGGAATATCTTTGCAAGAGATAGGAGGGAGTTGCTTGTGGTTGAGATGGCGGCTTTCCTGGCAAGACCTTCTGGCACATATCGAAGGCCAGGTAGCTCGCCGTTCTTAGCAAATACGAGCCTGGCAGTCTGCAATGCCTTGTCAGGGGGCAAGAGTAGCAGGGACGGTGCCTCTGGTAATGACAGCGACCTCAGTTCTCCAGGTATTCCGGCAAGCCCGTCCACAGCGAGGACATTGATGATCCTCTTAATGAGACCTTTGATTCCGTCCAAGCCCCTGCCGGCGCTGACAAGGACCGCATCCTCAAAAGCTTTCGACGCGCTATTGATATCGCCAATTGCGTACAACATGTTACCCTTGGCATGCACCAGAGCAAGGATTCGGCCATTCTCTGAGCCGGGTACTGCAAAACCACTAGATCCAAATCCTGGTTCCATGGCCATGGAGGCATCCTCACCATCTCGCGCCACCGGTGAGCGAAACGTATCACCATCCCGATCATAGTCAAGAGCAATAATTTCCGAAGACGTTCCGACGGATCCACACGACTCACGATCCGCATTGCTTGAAGTTTCGCTGAAATAGTCTTGAGATTCTTCCGGTCTAGGTAGTCTGAGTGAACGTTCTACAAAGTCGATAATGTTCACAGCCTCGCTTCCACGGTGATCTCCACAAAGGAGTCCGATGAGGTGCTCAACTGCTTCAAAATAACTCGGCCTTAGTTTGACTGATTGTAGCCAGTGCTGCTCGGCCTCTTCGCGCCTATTCAAACACAACAAAGTAGCTGCAAGGTTTGAGATCGCCTCTACATGTCTGATAATATTGATTAGCATTTCTCTACTAGCGAGGGGACTGACTTACTTAGGATCTAAAGCGATAATCTTAGAATACCATTCAAGAGCACTGTTGTATTGTTCCAGGCCGTATGCTAAACAACCACCAAGTAACATTCCATCGATCCAATACCAACCACTTTGTTCACACAGATTCGTAAGAAGCTCGAGTGCCTCTTTTGCTTTGTCTAGAGGAGAGCTTGTAGAGTGATTTGATGCCTGGAATGGTGATACATATTGCCACACTTCATGATCAGCTAGGGACCGTCCTGGTTCGCTCAAGCTACCGTCTTGCGAACTACTATGGTCTCGGCTGCGGAAGCGCCGGTGCGACGAGTTCAAGGGAGTAGGGCCGGGCCGCTGAGGCCTACCAGTATCCACATTTAGACCTGCCCACTGCGAAACCCCTAGATAGGCGGTTGGTTGTCGGGGTGGCTTTGGATATATGCTGGCCTTCGAATAGTGGTTCAATCCCTGAGCTTGGTTATTGAGTCGACTTTCCCTCCTCGCTTGATGGAGAAAGGCGAGCAGATCAACATATATGCTGTGAGCCCAGGAAAGGCTCTTCTCCCTAAATCGATGGTTATTGGCTTTGTTAGCCGATTCAGCAGTGGGAGTTCTGGTGCCCTCGAGAGTTGACTGATATAGGGCTGTATCTAGAGGATGTAGTTGCGTCTGGGTGTCAAAATGTTGCATTGGTAGATGTATACTTCGGTCCGGGAATGTGAACGACGGATTTCCAACGTGAGCAACAGGATGGGTTTCAATACTGATAGATGGTTGCCGGCCTGAGTGTGGTAACTCCCGAGTGGAGTTTGAATGAGGCTGGAGACTTCGAGCTAAGTAGGTTCCTTGATTTAAATAATGGCGCCCATGTTCCCGAAATGCCGCAGGTCGATATGGTACAAACATCCCATCCGGCCAGTACGGACCATATAATCCACTGCCATTAGATATGGTCGGACCTGGTGGCGGTTGATAAGTTGGCTGTAGAACAGTTGGGATCTGTGTGGCATGGTTAGGATAGTACGGGGCGGCCTGGTGTTGTGTCCCTATGTGCGGCCAGACGTAGTGAGTTGGATCTGGTATTGGAGGAGCATATGTCCACTTCTCGCCCTCGCTGACCGGGTGTTGGTCTCCATTGACAATATTGTTTACTGCATACTGAGCTCCCTGCTGGTAACTCCAACCTGAAGCTCCAGGCCTCTGTTGGGGGTATTGCTCACTCGTAGCAGGTGATGGATATGCATGGCTACGCCCAGTTGACCCCGCCGATACGGGAATCACAACGTGTTTAAGAGCAGGTGCCTTGCTCGACCATTGCACAGGTGTACCATCATATCCAGCCGCCAATGTCCCATTCGGTGTCTTCCTGCGAAGCATATGCTCCGAGGGGTCATCGTACTGTGACCTGAAACCTTGCTCCGAAGACGTCCCTCGAGCAAGGCCGGTTCGTGGAGGGACATAGCTATCGAGGGGATATGCCCGAGGATGTGGTACAGATGTAGATGGAGAAGCAAAGTCTCGCAAATTTCGGAAAGGTAGTGGCCCTGATTGATCTAATCTTCTAGGGCTCCGATGGGCGTCGAAAGGAGGGACCGCGAAGCCCGGGTTGCCAAATTGCTGCGATGGGGGTCGAGGGCGGTGGGATATCTGAGGAATCATCGTCGTTCGCTCCCGGCAGCAAGATTAAGAATGCCAGATGGATATAAATGCTGCGATACAGCGCGACCGTCCAAAAGTCTGTTCAGTTCATCAGTACCAGGGAGTGCCAATACCTGCACGAAGGAGGGGAGAGGTTGATCTGTGGACCATCTCTGCCGTGGTGCGCTACAGCCCACGGTGGGCGTATTGGACCCTTCCCGGTTCTTCTGAGGACACAACAGGTCTAGGATAAAGCTTGCTAATGTAGGACTGGATATTGGTAGTCGATGGTCGTGGTGCTGAAGCTTTAGAGGTTGGAGCGATGTGTTGTGTTTATGGGCATTTCGGAGGCTTAGGCGCGGTTGGCGCTTGTCAGCATCAGCACCAGCATCAGCAAACCCTTGAACATGACAGACATAACGATAGGCAACGAGGCTTTCACTCAATTTCCCTTTGTATACGATATATGTTAGGTATTCTTGGCTTCTTTCATTGTCTGGCTAGGGCACTATGGATTTTCTACCAATGCTTAAACTCTATACTCCATCTGACGGCGAGTCGAGCTGCACCAGGCAACTCGGTGTCCCTCGTGTACCTACGACTGTGCCGCATCCAACGCAGATCCTCGATCCTTTGGTCTGGTGTTAGTCACAGCATTTTACCTTTAGTGCACAACTACAAAATGAAGCATCGTGTTAGTAATGTTGACCTGAAGTATATGGACCGCCAAACCCATGCCCTCCCCAAGGGAGGAAAGGATAACGCGGTGAGTAAACGGACAATGGCTGATCTTCTTGCTCCAAAAATAGGCCTATACCACAGATTGAACCGATCCTCAAGGGAAGGGGGGTAAGGGCCAGAGTGTTTGGCAAGTGTTCCCCCAGAGCTCTCATATGGAACAGACAGATAATGTCAATGCATGAACGTCACAGCACAGGTAAATCAACGGTTGGTGGACGATACAATGCCATTGCTTGCACAGCCTACTGTGAAGTCTTGCGCCTATGGTACCTTGCAAATAAACCCATTTTCATTGTTCACTCATCCGGAACTATCGCACAGTCAGTATATGTTTCGCAAATAATTTTTTGTGGCAAGCCTACTCTCAATCTCCCCGCTATCAATCTCATCGCTGATATCCTTGGGACTCCGTCCATCCACCTGGCATCCAACACTGAAAGCGGTTCCAAGAATCTCCTTGACAGTTCCCTTGAGGTCCTTCGCTAGCGACTTGAATCTCATTGTCCGGGCGATCTCGATGATCTCATCTAAGGGGATCGACTTGCTGTGTTTGATGTTCTTCTCCTTCTTTCGGTCGCGGGGAGGCTCCTTAAGGGCTTTGATGACGAGCGAGGAAGCGGAGGGAACGACGGAAACGGCGGCTTGTCGGTTTTGGATGGTGAGCCTCACTGTGACACGGAGACCTTTCTGCAAATCGTCGTCAGAGCTATATCGGATATGTTTTGCTTTCAGAATGCGAGCGTACCCAGTCACCAGTTGCCTTCGCAATATCTTCTCCGACCTTCTTGGGGGATAGACCGAGAGGACCAATCTTGGGAGCCAGCGCCGATGAAGCGCCAACTTCGCCTCCAGTGGCTCTCAGGTGGCTGTGGTAATTTTCATTAGCATTTCCTCCATGCGCAGCACGATCTCCATCTCCTCGAAGCTTGGAGGATGGAACAGTGGAACGGCAGGGAAACTCACATCACCTTGATCTCAGTGGGATCGTTTTTGGGGGCTATAACAGAAACAATTAGTCCATATACCTAGGATGCAATCATTCGACCTTACCCATGATGATGGTTGATGGCGCGGCTGTCTCACGATGTTCAGACGGTGGGGGAGATTTTGATTTTCAAAAATGATTATGATTCCGTGGGCACTGAAATTCGGTTAAATTTCGCGCTAAGAATCGATTACCGCTACACAAAGGCTAAGACCCGACCGCAAGGCTGAGGCGCTGAGGCTGAGACCGCACCACACGAACGAACACAATAATAATGCGACAACACGAATAGGCCTAATAAGTCATAGGGGGATCTGTGTCAGGATAGTAGATCTAGTCAGCATATTTTCAGTTAATACTACGGTTTCGCTACTGCACTTGAGACCCGGAGCTTCTATGCAAGATACGTTCTTTATGAATATGATGAATAGCATTTCGCTGGCTACTTGGGATATAAAACACAAAAGCCAGATACGTCTTACAAGCCTGGAGGAGTAATATTCCGATACATTATCTTCCACCATGTCTATCTTCGCCCAAATGATTTTTTCCTGCCACCCAGCTGGCAAAGGAAGTGGGATGGCTGTCTAGTAATTGGCCGCCTCCGTTACCTCGTTCTCCATGCCCGCTCAGTTGGTACCGCTAACCGCAAGCCTATTATAAATGTCAGTTGGTGCCACAGCAGGGGTAGGTAGGTTAAAACTAACTTCATCAAATGGTCCATGAAGGTCTGGAGAGAAACATCGTCCGTGAAAATGGTCTGCGCAGTCTGTGCACCAACACCACCATAAGCGCCGGTGGTGTGAGTCGTGGAGGGGTTAAGCTTAGATAGCAAGAAGCGTGCTTGTGAGCCACCCGCGTCACAGACAATGAACCGGGGTAGTGGGAACCGGTCAGTAATAAGGTCCTAGATACTGTCAGTAGGTGGATAAACGAGGGATCAGTGTATTTACCCTAGCATCCTCCTTCGGTTGCTCGAGGAGTGAGGCGAAGTTCTCGTAACCCTCTTGCTCTTGGTAACCTGCCTTTCTCCAGTCGGCGACAGTCTCTCCGTGGAAGATCAAAATGTGGAAGAAAGTATCCAGCAAGAGGATGTGTGTAGGCTGAATCGAAGTAGAATCAAGGAGGACTGGTTGGCCGCCATCCTGATCGAATGTGTACGAGTCCAAGGTTGGCTGAATCATGATGAGAGAGTTGCTGACATCTTCATGATTAAGGACATGTCTATAGAAGGCAGTCTCATCTGGGGAGTTGTTGAACACTTGGAGGAACTGGCTTCGTCTCAGGTGGAACATGAACTGTGGATAGAGAGTGAAGTTCTTTTCCAACCGGAATGATGATGGATCATCCTTCCGATAGTCGGCAAATCGTGAGCAGAGTCGAATTAGCATTCGGTCCACCCATCGTAGAACATCGGGTCCATCGTCAACGTCGGCTTTAAATACGGCAATTCTTGACATAAGAACCGCAGCAGTCTCTTGATCAAATGATTGTGCAATGGCCGGATCGCCAGCTGGGCCGCTGAGATTCCGGGCGACCGTTGTGACCCGTAGATGAAATTGGCCGGATGAATGTTGATAGTAAGTCAGAAACTGCATCATGCCTTTTTGGGGCGTTTGTTGATGTTGTGCAGGGCCGCCTTGGCTCGCAATCTCGAAATATATACCGTAACTTGACTTGGGATCAATACCGCACATCTTCCAAGAACATGTATTACCGATGCCACACTCAGTCTCGCCCACCGATGTCGATTTCTTGTTCATTGATACTGCGTGCCCAATTAATCCGGTAACCTTCAACTCTTTCGTTGTTAGAACTTCAAGAGAAGCATTGAAGCCCATGAGAAGATTGTCATCCGCATCTTTCTCAAAAACGCGGACGAACGATTGCTTGAACATGGACGAGGTAAAACTATCAGTCAGAATCATATGTCCACCGGTAGAGTTTGACAGCCCTTTCATCTCCAGCAGACCAACTTGGTCCAAACAGCCTGCAAAGATATCGATAATGTGTCCGTTATGAGCGGTTCTCTTAGCCAGGTTGTCGTAGAACTAAATATATTAGTGGAGATAATGATATAGCTTCGAGGTGCTTACCTTTAGAGCCTTCTTGTAGTATTTAATGTTGTCTCGATCGATATCATGATGCGATCTAATCGGTTCTCTCAGTTCTGGCCCGACAACAAGGCCCGGTCCCTCAGTTGCAGGTCCGCCCGCAAACAACATGATGCGTCCGCCAGCATTTTGGAAGGAAGACTCCAAGAGTCCTACAGCTACACTCAGAGCCACCCCAGTACATCTGAGATTCCTCCTATCGCTAGAAACAGGCCATGGGTCCTTTTGTAGTTGCTCCAAAGCTTTCGTGAGCTGAAACTCGCATTGCGACACGGGCAAGAGGAATCGCGCAGCTGGTCCCATAGGCGGAACTGGCCGACCGGGTACTGGTTGTTGCATACCAGGGCGCAGGCCTGGAGATACCAAGCCAAGCATCTCTTGTACCTGTTTCGCGGAATAATCTTTGCTGCCCCTGAATACGTACGACTTGGGACATTCTGTGTAGCCAATCTCGTGAACTTGCGCCTAAGACCATTCGATTAGCCATGAATCTCCTGGGAGTCTTGTAGTCAACATACCATAGTCCCGAACGTCACTAAGCCCACCAAGGCATTTTCAGGTAGCAGGCTCAAGCTCATCACAAGAGATTCCTTGAGTGAAGCCAAGCTGTCCTCTTCCTGGCAAGTATCCACAACATACAAGAATATTGGGGGGCTCGGGGCCGGCCGCGACAGCCTGTACTCGATCGTAGTATTGGCTGTATGAAGTTCGGGAGGGATGGCACTCGGAGTGATGTCCTTGTAGTGAGGAGGGAGGGGGTTTCGAGATAAACAGAACGGGCAAATCCAGAGGCGCGCTCGCACGTCCACTTGACTGTAGCAGTCAGTGTATATTCGAAATTTGATGAATTTGTTAATGGCTTACCAGAAGGGATTCAGGACAGATCGACATGGCTGCTTGCAAACAACTGGTTCGAATTGCAGAACAGGAGTGTCAGGTTTCTCTTTCAGTGGTGTGTAGAGTGCACCAATGGGGACAACCAGTCGTGAAGCTTCCTATAGCAATCTCAGCACTTCGTCCCTCTCCTCTGGGCGCTTCGACTGACCATGCGAGAGCTGGGGAAGACATTCCAGCTAAGACGGAGTCCATCTCGATCTTCAACCTCCGACCACTAGCGATAATTGTCAGACCTGAATCCAAAAGAGCCTCCTAGGTGAAATACCTGTTCCTTCAATGCCTCAATATCCATGGTTCCGAATGCGCTAGATCGGCGAATGTTTGTTAGGCTGGAAACGATATCGCTGGATTTCTGGGGAAGTGATCAAGGTGCTGTTTCGCGGGCTTACGCTTTGGGAAGATTGCCCCTCGGCTTGCGATTTTTGGTCAAGGATAAACACAAAAGTAAAGGATCGTGCAATACGCGGGGATGGTGGATTATATTTGCACGGCAGGAAGCTGCGTGGCTACTTGCTCGACCGGCGGAAATGTTATGTGTTCTGTTGAAGTCAAGCTTCCACATATGCCTTGCGGGTCTGGCCCACGTCTTTACGCCTCAGGCAGCTATAAAACTGCCCGCTAAGCGACCGCGTCGGCCTTAAAAGCTTCCTAGAATTTTCCACCTCTTCTTTTCCTCTCCAAACACCGCCAGTTTTACAAAATTACTTAACGACAGCTTCTTACTTTCCCGTAAAGTTAGCTGTTTTCGCGCTGGCGGAGAGGATTCTACCCGTTGCTGGGCGCCTGTCTTTGAGGAGTCATTTTGACCCCCTTGAAAACACGGGAATCAGCTGAGGTTACATAAAATTTGTGGGATTTCCCATGAGATCCAGCCTCAAGCCTCTTTCTTGTTAATACCTTGACTGAGCACGCTTCTATCGTTCTTAGGCATCAAGCTATTTATCTGGTTCCCAGGGACCGTTCCACCGGAGTGATCTGTGTGAACTAGTCCCTCAGCTGAGAACACTGAGGTACCCCTGGTGCCGTACACTTAATGATGTACGTGCTATCTGAATATTATCATTAGCATTACTTCCCAGGTGATAAAGTAGTTCGTAAAGTGCAATCGGAGGTATGAGGTGCCGTATTTCTGATGGAATCCTGGACGCCCGCGCTATAGCTAAAGTGGTCAAAGTTGTGATTCCTATCATACGGTACTGTAAGGTATCCCTCGTTACGGTGTGACATATATTTTCTTCATTCCACAGTATAGTATCGTGTTTGGCATGTCATAGGCTTAAGGAGTGACTAAGCTCAAGAAAACTCAGTATGATACCAATGAGTACATATGCAGTAGTGTAAAATATATTTGATTTGATACCATGCAGCGAGCTACTTTACAATCCCCTTGCTTCTCCTTATGGACGACGCCGTAGATTCCAACCCCAAGGCCAGCGTGTCATTTAATATGTACCTGGTATACATAAGTATATGGCAAGGGGTTCCGTCGAGGATGATATACGGTATAAAGCCCTTGCCAAGCACGTCTGTAGTTTTGGGCTCTGTTCGGTGGTGAGAATGACCTGCAACTCTGTCATCATGAGCACTAGTAGATGCCCCGAAAGTTTTGATTCCTTTCCCTGGCGTTTTTGGGTTTCTATTGCACTCCCTGCTGCCCAAATAGATCCGTCAAACTCAATCTCCTCCCAACCATAGGGCCTAGATTTGATGGCTCGGTGACTGCATTCCCACTTCCCGTCAGCCTCACCTCCTCCCACTTCTCCTTAATCAGACGACAATTAACCTCCCTGGTATCCTGCTTATCCGCGTGTATAAAAAGCCCAATCGCCTTCATATCTGCATCCTCGAGATTCTGCTGTTGGCCATGGTCGAGTGACCGCACACCCACAATCAAGAACTCCTCCGTGATCTCCACGTTCTCAATCCCATTCATATGAACGATCAAATTCTCCAACCCCTTTCGGTTCAAAACGACTATGCAGTATTGTGGCGCATCGCTGAGTGGTAACGGGGCCAGTTGGCAAACGAATAGCGTGCCCTCGATATCGGTCTTGTTCCATGACGTTGTCGCTGGTAAGTATGTGTAAATCTGGGCTGAGGGCGCGATAGAGAGAATACTCCGGATGGAAGGAACATGGTGACGTAGAACGGAGAGATTAAGTTCGGTGTTTGTTCTTGTGGTGATGGGTCCTTGGTAGTATGCTTCGGATTCGTAGTCGGATGCTTGGATGACTGCTGGCTGAGCTGGCGCGGTGCTGTTCTGGTGTCGTTGGCGGGTTTTTCGCGGCGTCATGATGGCTATATGAGGACAGACAGGACTATCGTGAGGTTGTGCAAACTAGAGATACCGCCGAGGCCACGGGTGATGGTCGTCTTTCCTTCGTAAGGATTCTGGTTTGACTCGTAGAAGTAGAGTAGAGGTATGGCTCTGCAGCCCTCGCCTTCACGCGCAGAATATAATGCAGTAGTGTCCTAGTTAGAGACGTAAAATCACAATAGAAGATCGATGGTAGTTTATTTGTGTTCGATGGTTCTGTCAGCTTTGGAAGATTGATGAACCTGGATGAATCGGGACACAACCACGTCGGACAACCGGTCGCGATCTGTAGCTGCAGCCTCGGCTTCAGCCTTGTCGACCTATCATTGAAGCCATATTTCAGCCATACTTAGAACACGAAAGTCTTACCATATTCTACTTAACATCGGGCGACCAGGAGGACCTGTGGAAGGTTTGAAGAATTCAAATGAGATAAGTAGAACGTTTAACTCGGTACGTGGGGTTTGACTGATCTGCGAGAGAATTCCAACTTGCCAACCAATAAATAAGTCGCTTCATTGTCTATATCCGAGTCTATATTATACTAGTCCTCAGCCCCTCTACTCAGGCTGCTCAGACTCTTGACCATTGATGCTTACTTTACTATTTGGTTCTGCCGTGCCTGATTAGTTTTACTGTATTAGCTGAGTTGCAAGCTGGGAAATATAATCATCGTCTATTTAAACAGATCATTTCTTTTCCTCCATCTGTCTATGATACGTCTCCCACCCGATTTCCTTCATCTTGATGCACTTAACGTCTAAATTCTCTTTTTCAGCGATTCTCGCATATTCCACCACCTTCTCTTGTATCTTCGCATCAAATGCTCCCAATATCCTCACAGCTAACAACGCTGCGTTGATGCTATTGTTGATTCCGACTGTCGCAACAGGTACGCCTATTATCACGTCAGAAAATTTCACTTGAACACAGTAGGCATGGAATGATAGACAGCCAAGTATTATACGAACCTCGCGGCATCTGCACGATGCTGTACAAACTATCGACCCCATCTAACGAGCTCCCCTTCACTGGCAGCCCGATGACCGGTAGTGAGGTATATGCAGCCGCCATTCCAGGTAAGTGTGCAGCACCTCCAGCCGCCGCAATAATGACTTTAATACCGCGAGAGGCGGCTGTGGAAGCATACTGTGCCATATAATTGGGTGTGCGGTGGGCAGAGGCGATGCTGACGTCTGGTTCAATGCCGAAGTGATATTTGAGAAGGTTAAGCCCAGGTATCAGAGTCTTAAGATCGCTGTCGGAGCCCATAATAACTCCTATGGCAGATGTGAGTTTAGGGGATGCAATCGATGGTTGTGGTTTCGGATGCTTGAAAAGGATGTTGGTATCTTGGACGGAGGTATCGTCCATAAAATCTATGAGTGGTTGAATGAGAATTTCAGCTTCGTGTATTGTAGGTGCGGTGATTGTGATGTGACCCATTTTCCGGCCTGGTCGGGCGGCGCCTTTGCTGTAGAGATGGATCCCCGCATTTGGTATGGAGAGGGCACGTTCAGCTATTTTGAGATGGGAGTCGGGTGTGGATCCACCTAAGATGTTAAGCATGATTGCTGGTTCGCGGAGTTCAAGGCTTTTTGGGGGGATAGGTAGGTCGAGGATTGCTCGTAGGTGGACATCGAATTGAGAAAGGGCGCAGGCTTCGATGGTGTAATGTCCCGAGTTATGAATTCGGCATGCCACTTCGCAAAGCAGGAGTGTATCATCAGGCAAAAGAAACATTTCCACCCCAAAGACACCATGTCCTTCAAAGGCCGCCACCGTGGTTTTTGCGAGCTCTTGTGCTTTCTTATTGACGGATTCTGAGATATTTCGTGCCGGCGCGTAGACTAACTTGCAAACCGAGTCTTCTTGGATTGTTTCAACAGTAGGGAAGGATAGAACGCCGTCCTTGGTCTTAACAACAATAACAGCCAGTTCCTATACTCTAATGTCAGAAGAAGTTCCCAACCTGAAATGAAGCATTTTGTTCCTACCATCCTAAACTTCGCCCATTTCTCCGCGTATAGTGGCCGACCCTCTAGGGCTTTGAGTGCTGACGGTATATCCGCTTGCGCCTTGACAGTATAATTTCCTGTAGCCGGATCGTAAATGGCTTGCGCTCAGATAGATGCGGATCTCTTACCTCTGCCGTCATATGCCTGGGTTTTAGACTTGAGCATCAAGGGGTAACCAAGTTCCTCCCCAATTGCGGTGAGCTCTTCCACGCTGTTTTTGAGAAGCTCGCGGTGTTCAGCCATTGGGATCCGGAATTGAGACAAATACTCCTTTTGCTGAAACTTGTCTTGAATGGTCCGGATCGTCTTCCAGCTCGGGCTAACCTTGACCTCCGAAGCCACTTCCTCGAGAGCGTATGTATCGACATGCTCAATCTCCGTCGTCAAAACGTCACAGGATTCCGCAAGTTTTCGTAGAGACGCTCGATCGGTAAAAGACCCTATGACATGGCCATCGTGGGCGCTGATCTGCTTTGCCGGGGCGTTATCGGCATCGAGGATGTTCATTTGGATATTTAATCGATTTGCAGATTCCATGAGCATTCTTCCCAGCTGCCCCCCACCAAGCACGCCAACCCTTGGAGACGCCAGCATCGTAAAGACGGCGAGGTAGAAGTGGGTCGATTCTGTGGGAGCGCTGAGTAGCCGGTGATAGTGGTTGTACGCTGGGTGGTTGTGATCGAGCAGCGCATGAAATAGTAGGTTGAAGAAGACTAATGCAGACGACTGGAGTGCGTATTATATAGAATTAATTGATGTTTTTTTTGGCTTCAAAATTTAGAGTTAATACCCCTGCGCAGCGCCAGGCCAATTAGGTTAGCCCGATTCTCCGGAATACTAGCCTAGAGTCGGTCTCACTCAAACACGGGCAACAATTCTAAATCCACCTACAACGCCGTATAGTATTAGTTTTGTATTAGAATAGTCAATTCTAAGAGCTCGGAGCTGGAGCTGGAGCTGGAGCTGGAGTTTCTTGTTGCGCTTTTTACACGGAATAAAGAATCACCAATCGAAAAAGGCCCCAGCTTACCAGTTCAAGCCCTGTTTACCGTGCTCACCCACCTTCGCCTCATCTACCCCGCGGTGTTGTGGCGCATTCTTTGCCCAGCAGAGCCATACCGACCTATATGCCATAATTCGTCCTCCGACGCTGGCGCTTCGATCATGCCAGAGCAGGAGTTCAGTTTTGTCGCCGATTATAGCGCTCTGCTCAGGTGCTACTCGCCCTCGGCCAACCCTCCGCTCAGGTTGAATAGATATCCTAGAATAGGCAGGCCAGGAGTGCAAAATCGCGCACCCGATACGCACGCCTTTGTCACGTGGAAACCTGTAAGGCTGATGAGGCGTTCACGATTCAAGGACTTCGCCCTCCTTTGTATTTTAGTTTCCTCGTAATATTTCAACCCATGCTTCATTATGTGCCATGCCGTCACACCTTTAACAAACCCTCTCGAATTTTTCTTAGAATCTAAAGGGAAAATCCTATATAAGGGAACTGAGCACGGGATCAGTCACGTGCCAAGCAAGTTTACCGGAACCAGCAATGCCAACGGCACCTCTGAATTTGATGATTAAGCTCTGCTCAGCTTCAGCCTGACTAGGACGGTGCCAGAAAAAGATCGAGAGAATCACGACCTAGGTAGGTACCTAATGTACCTACTTTGAAGCCTAGGTAGGTAGCACAATACAGGTGCACTTCCGAATCAAAGCGGATAAGTACCTTCGGGCGTCGACTTTCGCCGAAAGACGACTTTCCCAGCCGACGAGCCCATCCGCGGCGGCCAGAATCGACTTTCAGAGGAATCGAGCGCGAAGAGGAGGGCCTGGGGAAAATGTGTTTAAAAGTCCAAATCTCAACCCATGAAGAATTCCACGAATACGATTTCCATTTGAATTTCACAGAATTTCGTGGCTAGCAGATCATAGCGATCCTCCTGACATTACCACTCGGCAGTAATGCTGCGCAGCAAACCCAACCTGGCAAAGGAAGTCAGCAATCGAGAATTTAAAAAAGATGTTCTTGAATGGTTATCCACAATGGTCGTAGCTCTAAATACCACCGAATAAGAAATATTTGGTTCTCGAGTTAGACTTACAAGGATCTTCAGGCAAGAGCATCGGTGTGAAGCCGTGCTTTACGCACATCGCCGTAGCTGCAAGTCTCGCAAGCCAGTTCTTATGGGCTAGAAACACCAGGAGATTAGAATATTGAGAAAGGTTAAAATCTGGCTGGCAATATAGATTGGCACCGATTAGAAATAGAGGGATTCCCAAGCAAGTTGTGCTGACTTCTAAAGCTACAGATTTAAGTTTACGCACCTCGAATAGCTATGAGGCCTGTGCTGGGCGCTTCGATGAGTTCATCCCAGTTCTCAACGCTGGTCGCTGCAAGCTTAGGATCTGTAAACTTTAAATTTAGTGTGTTTCTTTTTAGCACGTTCTGGACGAGTAAAGTTATGGCTAGAAACTTTCACCCCAGGGTCGCCTACGAGTGTTTAAAGCCTCCGAATATGTGGCAAACAGAGGATTAGGAACAGTAGTGTCGTTGCTGTGGTGGTGGCGCTGACCTTGGCCCCATTTATTAGTTCGGACGGAACAGTTTCTGACCTAGTATTCTTGATTAGTATTTGCTTCATCTGGATACCTCACGAACACCTACAGCCTTCAAAACATCCACCTCCGCCACCCATGTTCCCCCTTCGAATACGGAAATTAGACTCTCCAAGAGAACAGCAGAGCGGTCAATAATGTGGTGAGGGTTGCTCTCTGTAAGAAGAGGAATCTCGTACTGAGTAAACGAGAGGTGCATGGAAGTCTCCCGGAAGTGATCTTCTAAATTGCCATCAAAGGCTCGATGATTAATTGACATCCATTTCTCGGGATCAGGCCCTCTCGTTTTGAGCTCAGGTGGAGATATGAGAAATGTGATCCCAGATCTTCCAATGTTGCCTACAACTCTTCTCAATTCAGTAGCTTGAGGCTCGTCATATGGGTCGCATAGTAGCGCAGCAGCAACATAGAGTGAGTTTCCGGACGACATAGCGAAGCTGGAGTATCTTAAGTGTCAGCATATTATTCTATGGGTCGCAGAGTTTTGTGGGTGACGGGTCTCGAAACAAAAATCTGCCAGCAGAGGAATACACGTACGCCTCTGATAAATAGCTTGGATCAATATTGCACGTTCCCGACTCAAACATGGCTACGCATGCAAAAGCTTGAGGCAAACGGAGATGACTAGGCAATATCACTCTTGACTGAACTGTAAAGGAGACCTGGGAGACCTGGCGGATTGGTCTTGGAATCCACTTAGCGTCTCGCATACTTTGACCAACGATTAATGTCGAGATTGTTGCACCTGGTAACCTGAAGACCCAATATCAGCATTATATCTCCAATCAATAATCGAGATATCTTTACTGCAAAGATGGCATTTTTAGGAAGCACATACAGCTTATAGATATCAGCCATCATAGCACATGCCTGTAGACATCTGAGTTCTTCCCGAGCCTCACATGAGGGTTGGTTACTGATCTGGTCGTAGAGATTCTTCATATTGAAATTCTCAGTCGAGAAGAAGCTTTCCAGACATTTGAGACTTGGTGTGAGATGGGTGTACAAGGAAAGTATTATTTCTTCGCTGTTTTCAAAAGGAACCATTGAGTATAGCGCCGCAGTTTTGCGATCGCCCGCATAAAAAGTCCCGAAATCTGCAGTTGGATTTCGGAGAGCTGCTTCACATCTTACCAAGATGTCACCACAGGCATCCAAGATGTCACCACAGGCATCCAAGAATTCCCGTTCGAGGCTGAAGATGAGAGCCGTATCACAATAGCTGGACCCAGAGTGAGTATACCAGTCCATCACCGGAAGGCAGTCCTCCCCAAGGTCTTCAATGAGTTTCCGTCGTTGTGCAATTAGAACTACTGTACTAAGTTCTGTTATTTCGTCTAGTCTGTGTTGTCTTTCACGGGTAGGCAGCTGAGTAAAAGCCTCCTGGGGGCTGTCACTGCGCTCTTGGGAGTAGAACTTCTCGGCTTCTTTGTACCTTTTTAACAATACTAGAGTTCTAGGAATGTCAATGAAGTCTTCTCTTCGCCGGTAGCATATTTCCACTTGAGCATGACTGAGTGTAATCCAACGTCTGTGCCTTGAATCGGGCGGTTTAGGATATTTCGCACTACCATCACGCATCCGCTTCGAGCTTGGCCGGGGAATAGGGAAAACACTAGCATAGTCAACTCCAATTTTGTCGTCCTCCTCTTCAGAAGTTGAGTATCCTATCACGATCTGATCTCCATTCAATTCAGTTCCATTCAACTTGAGATTAGTACAGCATTCTCGTAGTAGTTGAATTCTTTGGGGAATCTTGAGGACAGAGAGCAAAACAGGAACGCTGGAGAGACCAAATAGAGGTGGGGGCATCCGAGAATTTGCATAGAGAAACGTTGATCTCCTTCGACCAAGATTCATCAATTGAAGTGCTGCTTTCTTTTCGGAATCTTCGCAATCGTCAAGCTCATGAGCGGCGTTGAGGATGTAATGTAGCCACGTTGGGTGATTCGGGTCCAAGGGATTTCGTGGCAAAAGTCTGCCCTTGGGAAGCTGCAGAATGCATCCCAGGCGTTGCAGCCATTGTAAACCTTCCTCATTGGTCAAGGCAAACTCCTTCCAACCCACGAAGAGACAACCAATGATAATATATGCAAATTGCTGATATGTTATTCGAGCAGTCTCTGAACCTGCAGAACGGGAAGTGCGTATTGGATAACCATAATGCTGCAGACAAGCCAGAGGAAGTGACCAGTAAACACTTTTTTTATCGTCTCGGAGGTGCTGAAGCCCAAGGGTAAGTAGAGCAGATGTTTGGAATATGGGATCCTTCTGCTTTACTTGGACAACAGGGCCGCCATAAACAGCCATGTCAGGGTACAAATGCCAGGAAGATATGGCAAGTAGTGCAGCTCCGTCCTGTACTGTTTGTGGCATGCCTCTGGCTAGATTATTCATAGCCTCCAATGCGGCCGTCCAGGCCTTCATAACACTAGTGTAAGTATCAGGTTCATTGTTCACCGGAATGCTGGCATTGTCAAGAATCAGCATTGTTTGCTTTTGCTGCCGGGGCTTGGCCTCATCAGCACTTTGGAGCCATGCTCGGGCGCTAGCATCCCAACTTGCAAGTTCTGCTCGGGAAATCTCCTGAAGAACTGCCATGCAATCTGCCTGATGTTCCTCAGAGTACAATCTTTCTCCTTGTCTGATACTTATGCATTCCTTTTGCTTCTGGACAATCTCTACCCACACAGAGATGGCTTCAGGGCCCGTAAACATTCTCGCGAGCATACAACCGAGGAGGTGCGCTGAAATGGCCGAGCTTCCAGATGTTGCAGCGGCCCAGATACTGGCTGTATCTGCACCAACGTGACTTGCAAAGATCCCTTCCTTCCCTCGAGGATTAATAGAGGGCATCGCTGATATTTCCGAAGCCCTAGTACCGTATGCTTTGAACAGCTCCTCTGCTGGTGGTAGCCTTGCACAAAATTAGCACTGCTGGCATAAAGGAGGCTCCCCAGAATAGATGCAGTACATATCAAGGGTCATTAATGAGTATACATACGTCTCTTTGAATAGAGCACCCAACTTTCTAGCCTTGATGCTAGAGGATCAGCAAATGTTCAAACGTAAACCACAGCATAGCTGCACCCACTGTTTTGTGCAATGCACCCTCCTCGGCGTCGACTTTCCTCGTTCGTGAAATAGTCTCTCCAAGAGCATTGTACCTGGAAGTCGTATGAGCACAGGACGTTGTGTGATGCTCCCAACACCGACCGATGAGAGGTGAAAAGAGGTTATACGTACTCGCGAGGAGCTTCCAGCTTAACAAGGGTGAAATCGAAATTGAGATTTGCAAGTGACACAGCGTTCTCATTATGAACACTTGCCAGAGCCGCCGTGATTCTGCTGATTGTTCCAGCCATTTCTCGTGACAGATCCACAATCTTTGGTCGGGCTGAAGAAACCTCGAGGTACGAGTTCCGAGTCTCTCAGGGGTATTGATGCAGATGTGAACAGACTAAGGGACCGCTCAATCAGTTATTACACCCTCATAGATTCTGTCAAAGTGTAGCATAATGAGCTGTTGTCGATTTTTAACGACAAGTCACAGCGATATTATTCTGAAAACCTTTCTGCTCAGAAATGCGGCTCGCCAGATGCGCCATATGCAACGGATTGCTACGCGCCAATAAGGTTAACCTCATCTTTTACATCCTGACCAGTCCGGGCTGGCGACCCAAGCCTACGTCGTAAATGCCCCTCGCAGTGCATTTGCGCCCAGCTCAGCTGGGCGAAAAGGCGAAGGCAGATTTTATGTTGCTGCCTAGAACCAATCACTCGCGATGGCTATCAAAAGCAATTTTCACCCGGTCGGTGGCGTACGGCGGACATATGAAGACTTTGAACTCGAATTGGACAAAAACGCCTTGAACTGAATAGAGCAGAAGAGTATAAAGAGTTTATTTAAGGGTTTATTCCAGAAATCGTTTTTGGCGAAAGCTCATGACGTGGTAATCTGCGCCGAATCTTAACCTACGTCGAGTCCAATGCGGTTAAGAAAATCTTTCAACTTTATATAAAAATATTAGTCTTCTCGCGTCTTAGTATTCTAAGCTTTTTTATAGTTATCTTTTTTAAGCTGGTATACTAATCTTAATATTAACTACTTCGCCTACCTATAACTTACACGACTAGTTCTACACCTTATATTTACATTCGCCCCCTTTTTTTCTGCCTGGAGAGGGTTATAATCATACCTAGGTTTTAAGCAGCTTTTCTACAAGTTTCTGCGATAAAATTAATATCAGGGCCCGGTTTCCCTGCCCGGGGCGCTTCTTCGCTTGGCTGGAGAGCAAGCTGATGCTCATCCACGTCCTAGAAAACTATGAGCTGAGACTGCCCGAGGGCACCAGTCGGCCGGCAAACCTCGTGTATGCGGATGCGTATATTCCGGACCCGACGAAGATGGTGCTGTTCCGCAAGCTTGTAAAATAGCTGTATTTCCGGTTTTGGAAGATATATATACATATATAGACACTCTCACTCTGTTCACGAGTCCATTCACCATTCGTTGTCCATACAAGCGAAGAAAAAGAACGCGGCTGGACTTCCAAGCTAGTAAACGGAGTACAAGATTCTTTGATATTGTAATTAATACTAGTTAGTGTACTCAGTAGGGGGGCTCTCAAGCTCGGTTTTGACATAACATGTCAGTGATGTGGCCTGCGCCCTTGAGGAGGAACTGCCCTCGTCTCTCTCGCTCTCTCACACTCTCTCCATCTCACTCTCTACCACAAAACCGTCTCCTCCTCGCTGTTGACAAACTCACCGGCGTACTTCTCCCGCGACGCCGCATCGATGACTTTTAAGCAGCCCACGACGCTGTCCTCGAGCTTCATCGGGGCGCTCTCCATGCCCACGCTCGTTGCGGCGAAGTTGCCCATCTCGGTCTGCACCCAGCCAGGCTGCAGGACCACGGCGGTCAGCCAGTCGTTCTCGACGTGGATGCGGCGCACCAGGTAGTTCACGGCGGCCTTGGTGACGCCGTAGCAGAACCACGGGCCGGGGATGAAAGGGGCCAGGCCGATGCTGCCCAGGTTGGAGCTGAGGGCGACGAACTTGGGGTTCCCGTTCTGCGCCTTGCGGAGGAGCGGCTCGACGGCCTGGAAGAGCGCCAGCACGCCGATCAGGTTGACGTCCAGATGCCGGCGGACGTCGTCCGGACTGGTGCCGAGCACGGAGTCGGCGACGTCAGCATGGGCGGCGTTGGCAATAACGGTATCGATGGACGTGATGCCGGCGGCTGCGAGGGCCTCGACGGCGGCGGCGGCGTCGGTGGGCACGGCCGAGTCGATCTTGACAATGTGCAGCGATGTCCCTTGGGCTTTGGGGAGCTCGTTGAGGCTCTGTGACGCCGCCGCTTGCGGGTCGCGGACGGCGGCGATAACGGTGTTGTTTGGGCGGGTGAGGATGGTCGCTAGCATGCCGTGGCCGATGCCTAGCAGGAATAACGTCCGTTAGCTGTGCGCGCTCGGTTAAGATAGCCGCGTTAAAGGGGGGAGACTTGCCGCGGTTGGGTCCCGTGATCAGGGTGACGGTAGGAGCTTCGGCCATGATGATGGTATATATATACGTGAGTAAAGTAAAGAAGTAGCAAAATGGAGGTGTTCAAAGAGATTCGGAGACGGAGGGGAGAGGGAGACAGCAGCCAATATTTGAACGCAGTGAGAGAGTGATAGTGACTGTGATTGTGATTGTTCGTCCGAGGCATAATCCTATACGAGCACCTTATGCGCCTAGAGCAGGCGCCGTACAACCGCAGACACAAACACGCATTGCAATCCAATGCTTCGATCCCCCGAGTTGGTATGGAGTAATCTTCGTAGCATCATGGATTAGCACCGCACCGTCTCGGCCTAGCGGTTGGGGGCCGGAGCGCTCCGGTGCGGGGGGTCGGCAGGGCCAGCGCAGGGGTAGGTTACAAAGCATCTTGCAATGGCGACAGGAATGCCGGTACTTCTTTCGTAACTGCAGTCGAATCCCTTTTATCACACGCAGATGGCCCTGCTGCAAAAGTCCACTGGTTCTCCAGAACCCCACGCTTATGTCAACTACAGTATGCTGTCGGCGAGGAGTCGCTGCAAAGCATATACGGCTACCCTTCCTGCCGCGTCCAGAAACTCGAGAATCTAAAGCGCGCGTTCGACCCAAAAAATAACTTTCGGTGGTATGCCCCTATTGATCGCTAGTGATTGACTGGTTCTTCAATTTTTTTGGCCTGTTAGAGCAGCCGCAGGCAGACACTCACTATCAAAGGGAGCGGGATGAGGGAAATGGCGCGCGTTGTTCGAATTGTTAAATACTCGAGGAGTGGTTATACACTCCACACTGACCCAAAACCAACCTAACATATTTAACAATACCTAAGCTAGAAAGTGATAGAACCACTTAACCTCTTTTACTTAGGAAAACGGGTGATTTAGTCTTGTAAAAATTAAATTAATTATATTATTATCATAGTTATTTTAAAATATGCCTATGCTATTTCCTTGAGCTATAAAAACACCAGTTGTGAAAACTGGCAATTGATGCAATCATAATCCGATTTGCAAAATCATGCGAAAAGAATTAATAATTATTCTAAACAAAACCTGCACCTACTAGTTTATAAAAATCTGCAGTATTACCAAACGGGGGGGTTCTTTCGGGTCTGGAATTTTCTACATTCTTAGAGATAAGAAGGGGAGCAGTAGGAGCAAGGATATTATATTCGAATTAGGTAGCACGAAAATCGAAGGGGAAGGAGGTAATAAGACGCAATAGGCTAAAGTTTACATCTGCCATCCAGTTCATTGTACCTAATGTCTAGTTCGTGATACAGGAGTACTACTCCTATTTTGCAAAGTATTTATTTTGATCAAAATTGACGAATCGCCATTTTGGCCTATGTCCCTCATTTTCGCTGCCTCGAGCGCAAAACCGCATCAAAATTTGCTGCGTGTCAGCGAATTGCATCAAATATTGATAAGCATGAGCGCGGGTCGCATCCAAATTTGCTACTACACAAGCAAATTGGTCAAATTGATGAGTTTTACCATAGAGCACAATTTGGTTTGGTATAGTAATAGCATGTACAGGCACATTTATATAATTATCTCGTCTACCCCTACCCTGCCTGCTTGCGCACCTCAAACTATTGATATTTTGATCTATGATGGATGCTTGTTCGAGGACAACAAAAGCGAGCCAAGCGAGAAAAGCTCCAAAAAATAATAATAGAGCGATCAAAGGAAAAAATGGCAAAAGAAATACCCAATTATCAGTTCCAAATGGGATACCGAGAAACTCAAGATTGCTTTTTGTTGTCTCTGGCGGAGCGTCCAGGGTCATCCTAGGTTGTCTGTTGATCAGTGGTTCAACCTCGGAAAGGCGTTAATAGAACCACTGCACCAACAGGCCTAGTCGCCTGTCTCCAGTTGTTATGTGATTTCTGCTTATTTTGTTATTTGTACCTTAGGTGGTGGGAATCTGGAGGCAGTGGAGGTGAGACCCGAGGGTTAGCCGATGGAGTTGACCGCCCTTGGGGATAGAGGTGTTATGCCTGCAAAATTGTAGATGTAGGACAGCTCTACTAAGGCTACTATAAATTATATTATTAGGAGCTAGTCTATAAAGTAGGAGGAGTAGAGAGTATAGCAGGAGTAGGAAAAGCAGAGGATAGTGCAGTAGGAGGATGAAAAGCAGAGGGTAAAGGAGTCTATAAGCCAGGAACAGGAGCAGAAAACCGACGACTCGGAGCCTAGGGATTATTGTTTTGATAATTATTAATTAACCTCCTTATACATATTGTGTTTGACTATGTAGCTATTGTAAGCAGGCAGCTTGTGGTACATATAGCAAGGTATTTCTGCCAACAGCTAAGAACATGAACTTCGTAGGGGCTTAAGATTCAATGGATGGCCCGGCTTTCTCAACCTCCCCAATCAGACTGGCCCTGACCTTTAAGTTCTCTGCGCCGCTCAACGCCTTCGCTACCATGGTCTCCCGGCGTTCTCTAACGATCCGACTTAGAGCGCTGACGAGGAAGCCAGACACTAACTCTACAGACCATGTGTCTGGAATAAGGCTCAGAACATATCCGATTTCAAACCAGCCACCAAATCGTTCTAGGAGATTGCTCGTCTGCTCCACCCGGTTACTAATATCCTCAATCTGAAGAAACTCCGAGAATAAGCAGCGGAATAGCTCTGCCTGTTGTGCCCTTGTTGGCAAGCTCCCCCGAGTCATCGTCCCGGAGATCGGGTGGTAGATGCTTGACCCGCCTAGTAAGCAATAATTTATTGCCGTGTCATAGTCTCCTAATCCGTGTGTCAAAAGTTTAAGTGCCTCTTCGTGCCGTGATTGTCGGCCGTCGAGGATAATTACTTCTGGGACAAGCTCTTTTGTGTAGGGGGCTATTCGTTCGAGGATGGCGGCAACGTCGTACTGGGAGGCAAACCCCTGACTGCCACCAAGTAGCTGAAGGAGGCGGAGGCGACTATGCCACCACTCTTCATCAACAGTGTTATCGGTAATAAACTGTCGATACGTAGGTTTCGGGGGACGTAGAGCCCGGTAGGATTCATATGTTTGGGCCAATATCCCTCGGGCTTCTTCCGACTCCTCCAACTTGGTCGTGACAATATCCAGATAGTACGCGATCAGCTCGTTGATGTACTCGGCATGGTTTTTGTTGAAGACCAAATACTCCAGATACTCCTTTACTGCTCCAGGTGCACCTTCTCTCAGTATCTGGACAACCTGATTCGGCTCAAACTTGACTTGACTTTGATCTTCCGCGAAGACTTGAACGCCAAGTTTCGGATTCCGTGTAGCTAACCAGACGCCGTACTCCTGCACGAGCGCAGAATTGCGGATTTTCGTGAGATATTCTCGTACCTTCTGCTCTCCACGGCGGAATTCGCCTCCTTCGTCGGTGTCACCCTCGACGATACGGCGCCACGTTCTGAGCACTTCACCGGCCATTTTGCGGCTCTGATATAAACGGCTCAACACATACAGGCGTCGATGAGACTCGAGAAGCGAGACTGCTCTCTCAAAGCAATCAACACCGTGATCTACAAGATCATATAACTCTGCTCGAATTGAGTTGGCCCTAGCAGGGCCTGGAGGAATGGACTTATCCATCTGAAGAAGAACTAGTAGGAGAGCAGCATCAACACTTCGGAATACCTCCTGCTCATTTGCAATGCTCCCGAACCCTTTCTTCTTCCGCCAGGCAGCCAAAAGTCTTCTCAGAAATTGAAGAACTTCATCAGATGGGGTATTATCTTTTGTGGAATCTGAAGTTTCAGGCATGATACCCGTGATGTACTTATCTGCAAGATCCTTGACTCCACCATGAATCCAGATCCCAGTTCTTCCCTCAACGATTTCATTTCTCAGGATTGGAACTATTGATAGTGCCACACGTGGGTCGAGGCCACCCTCGAGTAATGCCTCTTCGGCTACGTGATATTCGACTTCCAAGTGCTCCTTGGCGTCGCCGCTGAGGATGCTCATGAACGTCATAAGTCCGGCTCGTTGTCTTATATATCCCAGACTTAGGAACTCAGTCTCAGTCTTTGCTTCCCGTCCACGCAAGGAATTTATCAACTCAACAACTTTTCGTTTGTCAAGTGACTGGTATGTCTGTAAGTTCTCAACGCCGCTACCCATTAAAATATTGAGGGTAGCATCTAGGCGTAGCGCCAGGGGGTTGCGGACCGCCCACCAGATATTGCTTCCGGACCAAGCGACCACACGACTTCGGACGTGGCCGAGTCTTTGAGCAAATTGCTCCTCTTCTTCATTTCGATGATTCTCCCAACCCTTGGGCAGCGACTCCTCGGTCTCGAAAAGTTCTCTTTCTCCAGACACTCTTTCCAGGGATGTCGCCGTTCTAGAATCCCCACCCGACAGCGACAAAATAGACGCCTCCATGGATCTCGTTGCAAAGGGTCGAAACCGCTTTAGGCGAAGATTTTCAGCCACTTCAGCAAAGTAGACATCCCCAGTGTCGATCAGAGATCGAAGTCCAATCCGCGAGGAACTCTCATCGTTCGCCCTGGTTCCAACTAGAGGTTGCTCTAGCCAGAACTTCTCAGTTCCAGCCTCCCCGGGATTTTGATCCCAGCGCTGAATTTCAAGCCCGTAACGAATCTCGTCATCAGATTCCTGGGCCATCGAAGCCAGCACGAACCCTTCTTCATCGTCATCGATAGTAGCAGGTATTGGGTCTACACCAACGCCTCGGCCATCCACCACAAGTCCGTCGGGGTAAACATCAAATTCTATTGTAGGCCGCGTAACATCGCCCTCAAGATTCACAAACATGCCAACTCCCGGATCACTCGGTCCAGTACCAGTCACCAGGAGAAATTCTTGCGGAGTTGGGGAGGCTATGTGTGGCTTGAGATATACAGGCGCCGGGCCAGCTGGCGCCGACGCTTCGGGTGGCGGCGGGGGAAGTGCCTTGTTCTGACCTGGGCTTGGATCACGAGAAGGCTGTGCGAGAGGACTGGCAGCTGGTGCTGGTGACGCCTCCCGGAACAGGCCTTCTGGTGTCTCTCGCCCAGAAAGGTCTCCAGGTCTGCCGTGTTGGCTATGCCGTCGAGAACCACCAGTCATAAATGTCCCAAGACTTGTGCTTCTACTATGCCCTCGATCATCTCCAGATGCCGTCCCATGGCCAGCCCGTGCCGAGGATGTGCTTCGCGAGATACCGCCGCTCCCACTTCCGGAGATATCCTCTACTCGGCCACCTATGCTACCGGATTGCGTGTCGTCCAGTGATGAAATGGGGAAAAGAGGTATTTTCAACAGCCGTTCCACATCTAGTAGAGCGTAAGACCGGGTATCAGCAACGCAGGCAAACGACTCTCGACGAACTGAGGTGGTGCTTCCGGTGAAGTCAATTGTCTATAATTGTCAGTCGTCAATCAGACAAACTTTATAACCTAACGTACCCTAACTGGTCGCGCATCCTCCCCGATCCTAATAACTCTCATCTTTTTATTGAGCGAGACGAGAACAGTGACTGGGGCCCCATTCCCATCCTGCTTGTAACCTGCAAGATCCGTGTTCAAATCTATGCCTCCAATCCAGCTGCATGGCCGAATCTGCGTCGTCCCAAAAACAGGACTCAGTTCTGGGAGCGAGTAGAAGGTTACCGTCCAATTGCACAAAATACATGCTTTGTTGACCCTTGCGAGGAGTAAGATCTGCTGGACACCAGGCTTTGCGGTATTTGGGGGAGGCTCATGGTAGGCTGGCAGTAATCTGGAAGCTAATATATACGAAGGCTTGCCTAATGGGTCGTCGGGATCCGGGGGGATTTGAACGAAATGGAGGGATTCCGAGGCCGATGTACCAACATAGAGGTTCTGGTCTATATCATAATTAGCTTTGATTGTAGGCGGCGCTGCTTCGACATACCCAAGAACTCCACGCATGTTATCTCAATGCTCCCTCTATCCCCATCCGCAGATAGTGGGACATCCTCCAGCAGGCTGCGTAACACAAATGGGCCTGTTTCTGGTACCTGGTTCCTCTGCTGCGGACTGACAGGCAGCTCTGTTTCATCTGACTCCATGGTTGGCAGACCCCGAACTTAATCATATAAACATATTTCCATGCTGAAATTCGCGCCGTAGAATTCGACGTCGTGGTTACAACGGTGGGAGTTGGTATGGATGTGTATAGCTGTTGGTACATGGAGTGAGAGCGAGGCTGAAAGATTGGCGAGCGGGTCAAGCCTAGCTAGACCCTGGGGTAATCGGTATCTACAGCCATGATCGCAGACATAGGAACCAGTTACATGTAGTTGAATCAGTGTTTCAAATGTTATTATTAGAGCTTATATCAGAGACATTTTAGTTTTAATTTAGACTTCATATTCTATGCATTTGTTTGTTCATCACTGCCAGCACCGTACCTGCGCACGACACCTGCATATCCTAGTCGCTGAGCCGAGACATTCGCGGCGCATGGCTACGCTAAAGAACACTTGTGCTTACACGCGTTGCTACCTAACACCATTAAACAGCAGTCAATTCCATACCAGCGTGTATTTTATTTGAATAAATCCTGATGATTGTCTCCTCGGAGCCATAGATACAATGGCGGACTTCGCAGAAGCCGCTGTTGCAGAGGCAGCAAGCGCCCCCAACAACGACCATCAATCGCCCGGACAGGACGGCGACAACAAGTTCCAGAAAGCAATATCGGCATGGCGAAGTAGGTATATTTATCCTGTGGATCACGCCTTTTGCTGACTGTTGTGTAGACATCGACCTTACATCGTTAATTCCGAACTTGGACAATACGGCATCGGAAATCGTGCAGTATCAACGAGACTCGACAATCCAGCGCAAGGACCTGGCACAGAAGACGAAGGACTTTAGGAAGCTGGAGGATTCGGCGAAGCTGGGAGAAATCAAGGGTTTACTGAAAGGTTGGTTGGAACTAAGCTGAATATACAGGGACATCGCTCATGAATCTCTAGCCTACCAGACCTTCATCGACCTGCTCACGAATCACTCGAAATCAACCAACTCCGCGTTTCTACAGGTGTACTCTTCGCTATCCGAAGCTCCCGATCCGTATCCCCTCCTCGAAGCCTCCGTCGACTCTCTGCTACTGTCTGAAGATACCCTGCCGAAAGTCGCCGAAGAGAACAGACACCTCCAAAAGAGCGTCAGCGAGCTCACGACACAGCTGGAGGAGACGGAATCGAGGCTAGAGGCGGACAGGACAGCCCGGAAGAACCTGGAGGAAGTACTTGAAACTAAAGTCAAAGAAGTTGAAACCTCGTGGGCGGCGGTATTAGAAGAGAAGAAAGACAACTGGGAGGCCAAGGAGAAGCATCTTGAAGAGAAGGTCGAAAACCAAGATCGCCTGCTTAGTGAGATAAAGGCGAGCTATGAGGTGACCCAGCGGCTGGGACGCGCAGACAGCGACGAGAATGAGACGGGGCGTGGCCATGTCACCAGCGCCGAATTGGAGATGGTAAATTCGGACCTGGAACGCACAAGTGTACGGTTGGCGGAGGTGGAAGCGCGAAACGAGCAACTTCGCATCGAGTTGGCGCAGTCAGCGTCGCAGCTCCCGAGCCAGCCAGCGGTGAACTTGGAGGACGACCCGACATTTATGCGGATGCGGTCGGAGAATTCTTCTATTCTGCGGAAACTGGATGCGCTCCGTGTTGAGAAGGATGGAAGGAAGCGGGAACTCGACGGCAAACTACGATCCCTCGAGCGGGAGATAGGCATGCTTAAGGACGAGCGCGATACCCTCAAAGCCAAAGTACAAAAATGGAGTGATTACGAGGATGTTAAGCAGGAGCTTGAAGTGCTGAAAAGCATAGAGTTTTCTACGGGCGATGACGAGGAGCCTGAAATTGTAGACCCGGCTGCGAACCCCTCCAACGGCACCACGGATGGCGCACCTGCGCGAGGCAAAAGTGATACTTTGGAGCAGCTTCTCCTAGCTCGGAATAAGAAGCTGAGTGACGAGTTAACTATCTTGAGGGTATCCCACCAAGACTTGCAGAGCCGTCTCCAGTCGATTCAAGAAGAGCTCTCCAGGGCGAATGTGGAGCTCGAAAGAGCGCAGCACCTAAATACAACTCTTGAGAATGATCTTGCCAATGTGCAACAAGAGCCAGCGAATGCCTACCCATCAGCCGCGTCTGTTGCAGGTACCTATGCGAGCCGATATCCCCAATCATCGGCGAATCTAGGCCGCAAAGCCCGAATATCACCAACGTCGTCAATTATATCTGGATTTGATCCAAGATCAGTGGGAGGAACATCACTCGAGGCATTGAGATCCGGCGAACCCGTTGGTGGAGGCTCCGGGATCCTACCGATGATTACAGCCCAGCGTGATCGATTCAAGAAGAGGAATACTCAATTAGAAAACGAGCTGTCAGATGGCCACCGGACCATCTCATCCTTACGGCAAGAAATCGCATCCCTGCAGAAAGACAACCTAAACCTCTACGAGAAGACAAGATACGTCTCCACGTACAACCGGGCAGGACCAGGGGGTTCCTCCTCGACATCAGCTTATGCCACGAACCCCAACCCCTCAGCCATCCAGATGTCCTCTACTACATCTTCAGGACTAGCGTTAGATCGATATCGATCCGCGTACGAATCCAACATCTCCCCCTTCGCAGCATTCCGGGGTCGCGAATCCGCTCGTGCGTATAAGCGTATGAGTCTCCCTGAACGTATCGTCTTCTCGATCACGAGGATGGTTTTGGCGACCAGGACGAGCCGGAACCTGTTTGCGGGATACTGCTTGGCGTTACATGTTCTAGTGTTCTTCTCACTATATGTAAGCATCCCCAGTTCCCGAAGTTCTATTCTCTAGCCAACCGCCAGCTTGGGTCCTCTGACCTATAGACTTCTCATTCTCATACCCCCTTTTACCCGTTTCTGGTACTTATTTAGTGGATGGTGACTAACCGATATCTAGTGGCTCGGTACAATCGACACAGAGCAGCACGGAAGCCACTTAGGTGAAGCCGCCGCCGCCGTAGCAGGGCCTCTCGCCGGGGCGGCGGGAGCTGACTCGCAGCATGGCGACTGGCACCAGGAAGGGTTCAACGATAAAGGCTCATAGCAAAGTGAATGAGTGAGAGAGTGTGTGGATGGAAGCAGATTCTGGATAATACCTAACGAAACCTGCATACAGCTGGGGGGGTTCTGTACTAGTAGTAGGGGTAGTGCGAGGCTTAACGCCTATCTCTCTCTATCTCTGTATACCAATATCAATAAGAAGTGCCTATAGATTGTATGTAGATGGGGCGGGATCTCATTGGGTTTCCTTGTTCTTCGTCCCAGTTTACTCTATTAGACCGAGAGCGAGCGCGGATGGAAAAAAGAGCCGCAATGTTCGGTTGCGCAATCTACCGCCCGATTGGCCCGCCGGGGGGAAGGGGGGAGTCGCAAGCACAGGGGTTGCGGGTAGATCCAAAAATACAAGCGCCCGGTATCTATGAATAGCGCAGCCACTGATTGTTCTCGAAGGGCGCTGAACTGAAGCTTCCCTCCATACCACGACGTACTACAGGACTACGTATTCTGTACCTCCATACATACATACACACACACACACACACACCATCGCTGCCGGCTGTCGCTAGAGAAAGGCGCTGCCAGCTGCCAAGATTGCTTTCTATATATTAAATTAAACAAATCCTGTCCTCGGTAACGCGTTGCTGTATCTAACCGCGCTCCCAAGAATGGGACCGGAACCAAGGATTGCCAATAACCTTAGTTTTACCCTCCCCCCCCAAGACTTGAAGAAAAGGGTAATCTGCAATCGCGCGTCTACATACAGTAGTACCTTTTTACTTTGTGCTGTGCGTGGTATTTGGCTTGCGTAATGGAGACACCGCGTACCCGCTGGCCAAGTTAGTTGCTCGATGATATTGGCGGAGGACGATATATGGGGTAATGGGCCGTCGTGACGCCCATGCTGGATGATGACGGGGTTTGATATGTTGCCCTGGTCCCTGCCTGCCTGACGCTGTTTTGATGGCGGGGTAAAATGATGGATTCAACATCTCCGGATGGGCAATCCATGTTTGTGCTCCTCTGAGGTAGCCGGAAAGCCGAAAAGTAGTTGTTGTTATCGTTGTAAGCACTGACGGGCATCCAGTACGACTACCACGCACCCTCCACAGATAGATGTTGGCTGCTCGGTGGTGGACCGCACGCAACGCACGCCGTACGTATACCGCGCAGAACCGCGACTCTAATTCTGTACGATGCCACATGGGAAAATAAGCAGACCGAGTGGGGAAGGAGTCTGTCTGCTTGTGTCTGCTTGTCAGACACCGACTCCCCACCTCATCACATCACCATACTCGTACTTTTCCCGCCGAGTTCTCCTGCTGCATGTTGCAATTGTTTGAACTCTGAACTGAAAACTAACATATCCCCCCTATCCGAGGGAACCAGCCTGGAGGAGACAATGCCTCGTGTGGGTTCAGATTGGGTTGAACACAACACAAACAATTATTTTTTGTTCCCCCTCGGGACGGCGTTGGGGTTTGATGGAGCGGCAGCTGCAGAACTTCCGACGGGAGCGGTTTCTGGCCGCTGGATGGTTCCCCATGTACCGCGGAGTTGTATTTCGTGCGGCATGCTCCGTACTTTTCCAGTGGTACCTTGGTACTGGAGGGGCGGGGCGTGAGGCCGCCTCGTCGCGGCCAGAGCGTTTATTTTGACCATCGCGGCCACTCGTGAGCTCTGGGATCGATTGTATCGATCGTCGAGGAAGAGATGGCTGGGCTGGGGGGGTTTGGGGTTGGGTTTGGGTGTGGCTGGTCGGTAGGTTACTCTGTAGTGACCGGTGTCAGTGTGGGAGGGCAGAGGAGGGAAGCCCAGAAAGACCACAGCCAATGATGTTGCCCATCTCGCCTAGCACTCCTGTCCTGACCCTGACTAATAACCCTCCCGGCTCCCCCCCCCCGTCAGGCGCCATGCGGCCACGCTTAACCTCGCCAGTCACCGTTCATCGTCCGCCAACCAACCGCCCGACCACGGCCAATACATCCGCCAATTACTCTCATTACGCCAGTACGCCAATACAATACCAGGTAAATCATCAGCGCTTCAAGCAAGCCCCCCCCCCGGCCTCCCATTTTAGATCCCCGGTTGCCGCCATGGATATTTCCAGCGCGGGTCAACCTCCTGGCCTACCTAAGTGTACGTCCCCTCCGTCATACACGATTAGAATGCGCTGCATCCATCGTTGTATAAGAAGCTTTGGCAAACCCCCCACAAAGGTAAGAAAAGCGAAACCTCATACCAACCATCAGTGCACCCCCGATAACCCCTCCCGAGTCCCTACCTTCCCCCCCCCCCTGATCATCTCATCGGTCAATCTTATTACTTCTCATCTATATCAAGTCGACGCCTCTCTCCTATTCCGCCTGGTCTGCGTGGTGTTTCCTTCATATCATAATCGTCGTTTTTCTTTCTTCGGTCTCTCTTCTCTTCTCTTCGCCTCGCCTCGCCTCGCCTCGCCTCCTCCTCTTATAATCAAACATATACACATCCCCGATCTTCAAGATGCTCTCCGAATTATGGGTGGTCTCCGCGCTGTGCGCCGTTGCCCTTTCCGCTCCAACCTTCTCGATGAGTGCCGTTGAGCGGCCGGTGGAGATGAAGGTCCTGTCCGACTATTTCCAGATGCTCAGTGCAAAGGTACAAGAGGGGAAGAAGATGGCACAGGCACCGGTGTGTGACCTGAGTCGGGCGGTTCTACCTGTGACGTGTAAGTATTCTCAGCCTGCCTACTCACACTCCGACTTGAAGCTCATGAATATGTGATATAGCTTCCTCAACCCTCCCAGCACCTGAACCGGGCAATACGGTGAAGCATGTCGCTATCGGACGAGGGACCCAGAATTACACATGTGACACCACAAATGCAACCGCGATACCTGTCGCCGCTGGTGCGGTAGCAACACTTTTCAACGCAAGCTGCGTGGCTTCCACCTACCCCGACCTCCTTTCTCTCCTCCCCAGTCTCGCCCTGGAGTTCAACCTCACTTCGCCCGACCAGGAGACTCTCACCCTTTCCGACCTTGCTGTCAGTGGACACCACTTCTTCTCCAATGCCACCACGCCCCTCTTCGACCTCAACACCCAAGCCAGACAATTAGGTCTTGTTCCTTGCAAAGGTGGCAATTCAACAGCGGCTCCCAAAGACGCAGTTGTCGGCCAAAACAATAAGGGCTTCGGTGCCGTTGCCTGGCTCAGATTGCCCACACGGGACGGAGCAGGGAATGTCCAGGAAGTTTTCAGAGTCAACACTGCGGGTGGGAAACCGCCAGCGGCCTGCGTTGGCATGCCCGCAACGTTCGAAGTGCAATATGCTGCTGAGTATGTCACTTACCTCCTCCACTTGCTGTCACACAGAAACTAATCCTCAAACAGATACTGGTTCTTCCAATCATCATAAAGGAAAACGGATATGGGATGTCACGAGCTGGAAAATCCCCTTCATATCATATGCCTTGGCGCCTTCGCATTTTGTTTGGCGTTTAGGGCTTAATCATGTATAAAAAATGATTTTCGGATGTCTGGGATCATAGGAGGACAATTGTCTCATGGGCAATGAATGACTTAGGAGCAAAACTGTTGGGTGGTCCAAGTGACCCCAGGGATACCCCAAAACAATTAATACACAAACTTTTCACCATACGCAATTACTGGCTGGTTCGCATGAGTGTACTCCCGTAATGTCTCGTGTGACTGGGCAGCAGCCTCGAATACAACAACGATCTGACATTAAAACTTGCAAATAACCTTTCAGCATATAATTTCCCCAGCACAACACCCTCCCTCTTTCCTTCCGTCCGTATACCAGACTGAACCGTCTCCACAGTACAACTATTGTCGCAAGACAAAGGGAGGTGTGGTCGTTGCTTACGCCAAGGATCTCGAGCTCGGTTAGAGGCTCAGGGGGCGGACGACCAACACTCTTATCAGTTGATCCTCGATCTTGAAACGTGCACGGGATATATTGACTGCGCGCGATGGGGTTCGCACATCAAACATAGAGCTCCGGTTCATGTGCAGGGCTGAAACTGTTCGGCTGGGAGTTTTCCAAGATTGAAAAAATCAATTTGACAACAGCTGGACTCGGAATGTAGGGAAAGGAAAATGATGCAAGCGGACATTGAGTCCGAACCCTCCTCTGCTAGGAAGCTCTTTCTTCGCCCTGGATGATGTGTCGGGGAGCATCGGATTATACTCCACATCATATCATACACAAGCACTGTTGCGGTAGAGCTTTCACGAAGTTAGAACAGCTAAGTGCAATACTTTTGCAACCTCACCACATTCCCAGCTACCTCGCTTGGGTTCTCCTGGACGCATGCATACTTGCCAGCTGCGGGTTCCTGCATTTCACACCAAGCCAAAACCATGCCCAAGGACAAACGGTGCCTGAACCGGGGAATTAAACAGAGCCTCCCCATCGTTTAATCGCTGATCAACCCGATGGGCCTTTCCGAACCCTGTTGGTTCCTGGTATGAGAATAGGGGGCTGTGAATGCATGCATGCCTGTTCAGGCGGTGCTCCGTGTGAATTGCGTGCTAGCTGGATGACGAGCAGCAAAATCTGAGACCGGGACAGGGGCTTGAGTGTTATAAGTCGAAGCGAGCGCCATGGGGTATTTCCGTGGTACTGGGAGATGCCAGGAGCTGGGTCCTGAGAGGGGGTTATGCGGGAGAAAGGGGGGTTGTTTCGAGGTTTGTTTTGTATCTGTGGACCTGTGGAGCGATGGGATTGCTCATGTTGGTTCTAACCGATGTTACGTTGATAGCGGTGCAACGATGAAGGCGTGGTGTTGAGTTGGAGATGAGGAGAGGTGTGAAGATCAAAGGTCAATGCTGGGGAGGAACCACATATACAGGTGACCCGATTAGGTAGGGGCGCAATCGGCCGACCGGTTGTCTTCTCCTCCAGCTTAAACAAGAGTCTAGAAATATCCAGCCATTTTACACCTAAGTAGGTACGTGAAAATAATCAACTCAACCTAAATGGAATGATTTTTGAAATCTAGGCATTGTAGTGACATCAATACATCGAAGGGGTACAAAAACCACATTTGTCAAAACCAGATAATACCCTTGAGAAACTTCACGTTCGGACTCGTATCTGAATACTGTTATACCCAACCAATACTATGTACTTTCTCTCGCCTTTAGTTTCTTCCTATGTACAGACCACTATGTACAGCCCAGTGACCACCACTATGTACAAGCTACTTCCGGTATCCTTCGATCTTCTCACCCCAGCATCTAAGAAGCCTCTAGCTTCCCGCTCAATCTCAAATCCCTCGAGCTAGCCCCAACATCGATTGTAAATGTTCCCTTTGGTAGCACCCACTTTTTAGCGCTCGAGTCCCAGTACGAGAGATCCCTTCTTCTCAGCTCAAATTTCACAGTTGCGCTTTCTCCAGCCTTAATGCTAACCTTATCGAAGCCGCGCAGCTGTCTCACTGGAGTCGCAGGAGCCGATGAAGGTAAGCCCAAATACAGCTGGGCAACCTCTGCAGCAGTGACAGAGCCAGAATTCGTGATCGTGGCTGTTACCGTCGCCACAACTTCAAAGAGGGAAGCGGCTCCACCCGGTACTGTAGGGCCGGACTCGGGGCCAGAGGTTGGAGTTCCGGAGATCGAGATAGAGGAATAGTTGAAGGTGCTATAGGCTGTTGAAAGGATTAGTGAAGCCAAAACATGGAGCTCAAGGTGGAAAATTTACATAGTCCGAATCCAAATTCATATCTAGGCGAAATGCTGTTCTTGTCCATGTAACGATAATCGATATACAGGCCCTCACTGAAATTGTCGGTCATCGCTTGAATGGTGGTTCCATAATCCTTTGCAGCTTTCGCGATACTGTAGGGTAGCTTTCCGCTTGGGCTGGTAGCCCCATAGATGATATCGACCAACGCATTTCCTGCCTCTTGGCCAGGGAGCCCAGCCCATACAATCGCTTTGACATTGGGGAGATCTGCAAAGCTTTCTAGCAAGACTGGCCCAACGGTATTTACTACCACGATCGTGTTCTTGTTTACGTTTGCGACCGCTTTGACTAGGTCGGCGCCGTTATGCCATGCGTTGAGGTCATTGCGATCACCTTCATTTCCTTCGACGGTGATATATTCCTCACCACCATCTGCAGTGATGAAGACGATGGCAACATCTGCATTTTGAGCAGCTGAGGCACCTTGATTTGCGGTGTCGGTGGCTGCAGTTGTGACAGATGTGCCATCTTGTTTGGCACGAGACGTGATGGCGTCAGCTGGAGCACTCAGGTACTAAGAAGCCCAAAAATTAGAACACCTAAGTATATGTTTCGGATGAGAAAGGTAGAACGGCATTGACTTGACGGTCTAGCCTTCTGTCCACTTACCGGTAAAGTTGCTGTTCCTGAGCCCCATCCCATTACCAGAGTTCCCTGATTGCAACCGTTATCCTGACAGGAATTTATTCCTTTTGGATTGGCAACTGCGCCGGAGCCAATAATTGCAATGCTCTTGGGCTTTTGGAGAGGAAGGACATTGTCCGAGTTCTTTAGTAACACAATTCCGTCTCGAGCTACAGCCCTCGCGATAGTGGCATTGTTACCCTGCACATTTGGCCCACCGTTATTGGACCGGTGGTCAATTGCAATGTTGGGGTAGTTTGAATCCTGCTTCAACAGATACCAACTTGCAAGAATCCGCTTCACCATGTCGTCAAGGCGACTCGAGGCAACTTGGCCACTTTGGACGGCCGACTGTAATTTATTGCCCCAGTAATAGGTGTTACCGTTGTAATCGGACCCTGGAATAGTCAGCGCCGAAAGCCAAGCATATAGTTTTATCTAAATAAGGGGTTGGAGGCTCTATAGACATAGTCTTTAACTTCCCGAGGAAGCGAGCGACACTCAATAGGCATTATCTTGTGAAGCTTCGAACAGTTATCTTACCTGGCATGGTCATATCTAGCCCCGTATTTGCCGATGCCGCAGTACTATGCTGCGCATCCCAATCTGTCACGACGTATCCCTTAAAGCCGAGCTCTTTCTTGAGAATATCATCCATCATGCGTCCATTCTCGCACACCCATGTCCCACTTATCTTATTGTAAGAGCACATGACAGAGGCAACGTTCGCACGCACAGCTTCCGCAAAAGGCCAGAGGTACAGCTCATGAAGGGTCCGGTCGTCGATAACTGAATTCATATCGTGTCGGTTCTTCTCCTGCTCGTTGCCGATGTAGTGCTTAACACACGCCTGGGCGCCAGCCTCTTGAATTCCGCCGATTGTCTGTTCTGTAGCTACACCGCAAAGGTAAGGATCGTTACCAAAGCCCTCCCAGTTGCGGCCGCCTTGAGCAAACTGGCCAAGGGGTCCGGCGACTGGTCCAAGGATGACATTGATACCCAGAGCTTTGGTCTGACTCCCAATACCATGGCCGCGATCACGCATTAGGGCGCGGTCCCAAGTCGAGGCGGCATGTACTCCTGCTGGGAATACCGTTATGCTGGATACGGTTCGCACACCAAGGGGCCCATCCTGAAGACATAACGTTCGGTAGCCTATTGAGTTTGCCGCGCCGCTATTTCCTGAACAAGGCCCCTTTCCCCATCCAACGCCAGTGACAATTGCAATTTTGTCAGTTTGAGATAGTTTCGACAGAGCGGTTTGGGCTTTGCCATAAGCCGCATCCCAGTCCCCGCTGAACCCTTGGCCAGACACCAGGACTGCTGATGCTGCGAAGAAGCTAACCAAAATCTGGCGACGCATTTTGTTAGACTCTTTTCAGGCAATGAATAGGGATAAAATATTTCACAAACCTTTTGAAGGAATTCGCGTTCTTTTGATAGACCGCCAAGCGTTGCTATCTGCCAGGTATATATACAGGTGAAAAACTGCCTATTTAGCCGTATCGGCTTTCGCGGGGTAGACGAAAGAGCCTCTTCTGGTTAAGAAAATGGAATGTTTGACGGTATTCCTAGGACATTTTAATACAAAAAAATAAAAAGACCAGGTATAGGCGTGCTGCTCATTCGTGGTTTACTGCCCCAGAGTCAGGGGGAGTAGCTCGTGACCCCAAGGTCATCAAACAATGCAGCCGAAACAGAGAAGCCAAGTTGACAAGCCACTATAAATACAGGACAATGGCACCTCATCATGCAGGCCGCCGCTGGGCGGATTCGGCATCACCAACAGGCTGCCGGTACTGATCACGCCGTGAGAAATGTAATCCCACCTCTAGGAGACCTCCGCTACCCTTCCCACCTCAACGAGGATCAACGTCATAGTACGGAGGACCGGCCCGGCGCATGTATCAATGAATCTACGAATCTTGGAAAGAAAGTCCATCGCTTCAAGCGCGTTCCAGCGTGGTTTGGCTTCTCACTTAAGAAGTAAACACCAGAAATAGCATCTCGAAAGGGAAAGCCCACGCCGCACAAATGCCCCATCTATTGAGGGTGCGCGGTAAATTCCATGTGGCAGAATACAGAACACTTCATCGCCTATTAAAGTCTGTTTGACGCCTATTAATAATATGAAATGGGGTCTGCTGTAGGTCGGGGCTTGAAAAAGCTCGATGTGGGCGTCATGTTTGTTTATTTTCTTGTTGCTCGTTGGGCGTCGTGCGAGCAAAAGATAAGAATGTATGTAATGGCGCCGGAGAACTGCAATCCCTCAAGCCGCTCACTCGAAGCCTCAAAGCCATTATTCTTGGAATGGGTTTCGGAAAAGATTGCTAAGGTAGTTGAGGACATGATTCTGGCTTTGGCGGTTAAGAACCGACTATTATTTGGGTTGTGTCAGCACAGACACCTACACTTGTGCTACCACAGCCTTAAACGGCCTCACGTACACATCAACCTTTTGCGGCCACATTCGTTTTTCTAGCTAATCGTAGCTCTACAACGGTTAGGTTTTCTTTGGCTTCGCCACTATTTCTTGTTTCATAGGGTTTCACTACGTTTGATGTATGGCCTAGTATGGCCTCGTAAGGACATGGAAGAGCTTTTGTGCCCTTATATCTAGAGACGACGTACATCTAAATCCACATTCTTTTACCCTACAGTCATACACTTCTGGAAATAGCCATATCATGACCGCTCAGAAAAAGCAAGCGCACCGAGATTTGGTCAGTGAGTATAACATCTTTTTCGACGGCCGCACTGACAAAGCGCGATGGCCATCTGCACACTCCAAAACATTCAACGATATTCAAAAAATCGGCCGTACAGAGATCGCCAAGTATCATGAAAGCGTTATCAGAGGTTCCGATAAACCCTGGAGGGCACAAACTAAGCGTCGAGCAGAACGAATTGTGGCTAAAGCACAATTATGCCTTGAAGCAAATAGAAACGAGGCAGGTTGGAGATTGAACCTAGAGCACGAGATATTGGCTAGGTTAACGATTGAAGTGGCCTGTCGCGGGTGTCGGGCGCGATTATGGCGTTCTGAGTTGGAGGTCACCCGAGATCCCAAGGACAAATTCTCGAAATCGTTGGAAGAGAGGCAAAAGAAACGGAAGCCATGCTCGTGTCCGGGAGGACGCGGTGGATTAGACGAGTGAGTCGACTTTATAAGAAGCCTGTATTGACTTGAGAATACAGGTTTAAAGAAGGCATTAACCAATTGTTTGATGACCGTGCTGAAGAAACCATTATTCAAGAAGAAGGTTTGCAGGCTGCTATGCAGAAAAAGGAAAAGCCAGACCGAATTTATGGCCTTCGGAAGACGAGTCGGTTGAAGCGGCTATTGTGCGAAACCAAGGACAAAAGGGCAGTAGAATCCATCAGAAGCACCCCCTTTCGTCCCGGAGGCGAGTCAATTGTATTTCCCTTTCTTGTTCTCGAAGCGAAGTCAGAGAAAAGCAGGGACGGTTTTGGCGATATCGAGGCTCAAACTGCATTTACCATCCGCCAGTTATTAAAGTTGCAGGAAGATCTGAGGAGAGCTACTAGGAAGGACAGTAAGTGGGAGAGTGGCCCCCTAGTATGGTTTCTAGCCAACAAGGGAGCGCTCTGGCGAGTGGCTGCGGCCCACATCGAGCATAAAAACGGCGTTCAATACTACGTGAGTATGACCCTGTAGAGCTTAAAGTCTCTTGCTTACAAAAATTAGCGAATTGTCGACCTTTGGAAGGGGAGGCTTACCTTATTCAGTGGAGCACTGCAGCTCTTGTTGATCGTGGACTATATATTCGATTGGGCTAGAGATACATACCGAGAAGCGATCATTAGCGAATTGCGTAACCTCGCAGAAAATGATAGGCCAAGTTTGGGGAACGATAGCAACATACTTTCATTGGAGGGCTCATCTTTCTCGCCCGAACATCCTCAAACCCGGGGATCAGGTGACAACGAGGAGGAGGGCCCCACGAACCCCGACGAACTGTCCAGAGCTATCATCCAAGATCCTCTCAAAAGTTTTGATTCTACCTACGGTGTTCTACGTGACGCAAGTTACATCCGGTCACGCTTCGTGGCCCTTCATATCACCCAAGATAACTTATCTGTCCTGATGGCGTCAATGAAGCCACCAGAAAAAGTCCAAAAAACAGCAGAGAGCATCCTAAGACACTTAAGAGATATGTGGCGTGTAAGCCGTCAAGCACTTGATACACTTGAACTTCGGTGGACTGGCAAAAATCGCGAAAATATGAGTTTGGATAGCCCGGACGGAGTGTTTTTAGTCACGACAACTGTATCAGCTTATCTATCGCCAGACTGGGAACAAACGAGAGAGCTCTACTATGTAGCAGTTTCAGCAGGTGCCGTGGATCAACTTTTCCAACATGCGAACTTGAAAGGAAAAGAGCCTTGGTGCCCCTCCGATATCCCATGGGTAGAGGACGATATATTTGACTCGACCTTTCAGGCTTACTTGGCTATGGCTGTTAAGGATAACCTCATCGCAGCTATCTCTCGGACAAACGTCTCCACGAAACTATTCATAGACGAAACGGAAACAAAGTCAAATGACGGTGTCGGGCGAGGTAAATCCAGGATGGTATCGGCTGAACAGACCACAGACAGTACAAAATATCGACTCCACACTGCCATTATGCCGGGCTCTCGCACATACCTTCGCGGGGTTGTTTCGCTGATTCGCGATATATACAAGATTGGTAGACATGATCTTGTATCTTCTATTATTCGGCAATCTAGTAGGCTTGACCAGCAGAAGCTGCCAGACGAGAGTGCAATTGAGTCAATCTGGCCAGGTTTAGACCCATCAGCTACCTTAACCGACCAAGAGCAAAACATCATCTTTGTCACCTCGACAAACCCCAATGCTGGGTATTCGGAGTTATGTCTTTTCCTGATAGACGCCTCGAGAATGGATAGCCTTTTTGGCCAGGACACGCCAGGACAGCCAAGTATCGCCTGCAAGTTCCAAGCAATGAGAATGGATCCGAAGCTCGGTCTAGCGGACGGTTGGAGGGGAATTGAAGTGCAAAAGCACGATCCGAATTTCTTGGATAGCAGGAAAAGGTTTCTCAGCCATCTCAGGGAGCTCGAAAACTTCAAGACATATATGGAAGCCAAATTCGTGGAACAGCCAGTACCTGCAAAGTTTTGGAAGTCTAAGAAGTATTCGGAGTGGGGAGTGTCAACGACGAACCCTCAACCGTATCTAGCCATTCTAGAATTCCGAGATATGGTGGCTGGACGAGGTAGTCCGAATAGTCCAATCACCTCTGTCACTGACCAACAACCATCACATTTACATGATGAAAGGCGGGGACGCAACATTCCAAAAAATGGAGCTTCAGCGACTTCCAGCATGCCTTTAGCTCCAGCTTCCACTAGGAATCAACCACTCGGCCGGCAGGAAGGTGTGCCCGAATGTCACATAGACAAACCTAGCAAACTTCTGATATCAAACTCCAAGTCACGGAAGGGAAAATCTGTCAATATGGCATCGAAAAATCTTGAAAACCATGGCAATGGGCCACTGAATGAGCAGGGAAAGGGCACGCAGGGCAACAGCAGGCCGGGCAACAGTAGGCCGGGCAAAGGCAAGCAGCACAGAGGCAACGGCATATCCAGCTTCAGCTCCAGGTCGAAGGTAGTTGTGTTCCGCGATTAAGCTCCCAAACGCAGTTTTTGTCGTTCAGACCTAGAGATAGCTTCGTCCTCGGTAGGTCCAGGTAGACGGCCACAGTAGGAGGACGGACAGCTGTTTGGTATCGATTATATTGACAATAAACTTAGATTTCTTTTTAGAAAATGGAAGCTTAGCTAAATAGAGTCGCTCCTATGTTATTAGTATCTTAGATAGGACGGCGTTTGGTTTAGTAACGGAATACTCGATGATGATATTATATCCATAAAGCTTTGCTCTCCATTCATACGTTGGGTGACAGGTGTAACCTACTAGAGCCCGCTTGGGTACAGCACTTGACTTGCATCGTCTTCCCTTGGGCGGTCAAATTAAGGAATAGAAAGCGAATGGTAAGGGTCTAGCACAAAGGCAAAGCAAGCTCATTGCAGAGCAGCTGATAAAGCCCAGACGAAAAGATGGTTGTCGAGTCTTCGTTGATCGTCCCCCGCAAGGTATCGAATCGCGGACCTATTCAACATAGTTATCGGTCACACCGCTATCAAGAGCGGGTTCGTCATCGCGTCAAATAGTCATACTGTAATAGGTACCCTACTATACGAACCCATTGTCTATTTTCTTATCTACAATAATATCCAACGCGTTGGTGACGTCCATAAAAGCCTTCGAAGATTCCCACCAAAGGCCTTTCGCTTCTGATAAGGTGATATCTCTAGGATAATCAAACCTGCTTTAAGGTCTCTCTATGGCTTAAAATATATAGCGTAATATAATATAATATACTTTATTGACTGTTCAGTATAGAATCGACAACTCATATAATCTGGAGAAGTAGTTCACGCGTTTAGCGAGCGGGGATCCCTGCCATGGCGACCTCGGGTTAAACGCGTAATTACTTCTATTGACGAAGTAAAGTTCGGATGGGATAACCAAAGTTCGATAGGTGAAGTACTCCATATTGAAGTATTTTTTGACCGATAATACCACTTTATTGCCCATTACCAGTATTTGGCCACCTTGGAATATAATCGGTATATGGTCCGACTTGCCAGAACCCCCTCCGTTGCGCAAAGAGTTCACATCTCCCCGCTTCACGTCAACAACATTGCACGAGCGCGACCATGAGTTCCGATGTCACGCTCTTGACAGAGCACCTAACGTATCGACCAGCCGTAAGTAAATATTTGTGCGAATAATCCGCGCATATCTCTCTGCTCAAAAGCTGATCAAGCCTCCACCAGGCCTTAATTGACGACATAATAAATAGCATCAACATCCTCGCATTCCGAGCCACCGAGGCAGTTGAAAAAGGCCTCCTCGCCGCCAATCCTGCCGACATAGGGTTCCGGACGCCCTCAAACCATACATCTCGCGAATCCCAAGAAGCCGTCCTCGCAGCCCAAGAGAAAGCAAAATGCGAGATCGAGAAGGGCGTCCACCAACTCGAAACATTGCTCGAAACGAAGATAGACAAGAACTTCGACAAATTAGAGGTTTATTCTCTAAGGAATATACTGAGTGTGCCTCCCGAGGTTAGAGATTGGGTGCGACTGGGCCATTATGAGGGGTTGAGCTTTTCGCAGAGTGAAGATGCTCCTACCGTCGAGTCGATCACCACCTTACGGAAGAGATTACGGGAAACGCAGAAATTGCACGCGTTATTGCTGGCTGAGACAGCAAGGAATGAGGCGACGAGTGCATCATTGAGGGCTCTACTTGGAAAACAAGCTGTGCAGCCAGAGGGAGGACCGGAGGCGGGATCGACTTATCCCACGTTTGCGTTTTTGCAGAATAAAGGGGATCTCACAGGCGATGTATCAACGACTACTTCATTTACGCTCTCCCAGTTGCCGGCTCTGAAAGCGTTGTTGGCCAACCTGAAACCAAGATTAGAAGCGCTGGCCAATGGTAAGGGGAATCGAGGTTTGGTAGGGGAGGAGGAGAAGAGCTGGCGAAGGGAGAGGTTAGAATTTGTCGAGAGGGAAACGAGGAAACATTTGGAAAACGTTCGAGGACTTGAACTTGGAGAAATGGGAGAGGTTAGGGATGGCGAATGGCAAGGGGACGGACGAGTAATAGGTAAGCACGAAGTAGAGGATCTGGAGCGAGTGGTTGGTATGGTGACTGTTGGGGAGTCCCAACCCATGGATGAAGGGCCATAGGCTGTGTATGTTCTTTGGAGTTTGGTGTCTGAAGGCGTTTGGGGATATACCAAGGGTTGATCTCAGATATGGTGGTCTTGAGAACCGTATCAAAGCTCGTTCTTAGGTGGGCTGGTGCTGTTAGCTAGGAAGGAGAACTCGTTGTTTTAAGTACCTTCAAGCAATGAGGTAGGATTATGAACTCATAGTTCTTCAAAACAAGCTATACCTTTCACTGATGCCTTGCGCCATGGTAGTAAGGATATGTTTTTGAGCGGGTTTTACTCAGTGATCAAATCTCTGTTTAGACATCTATATATTTATACATCTATATATCACGGGTATGCTTGCAGCAACCCCAGCTCAGTAGCCAATCTCCAAAATGGATGCTGGCCCTCCTTCCCATGCTCGTCTTCTGATATTGGGCCGCCACGATCAGCAATGGTATTTTTGACCAAGGTCCTCGCGACATCCCATTCCTGATTTTGAGCAAGTGCTAACAGTAGCGTCTTAAGAGGCACCCAGCCTGTCACATTCTGTTCACTATTAAGTCTCCCAAGTATTCTCATAGCAGATGCTGTGTCGCCTGCCCTGGCATAGCCTTCTATAACTCGGTCCCAGAAGATATGGTCAGCGCTTCCCGGTTCCAAGCGCACGCGCTCAATCAAGCCTCTGGCTGCATCAAGATCTGGTGTTTCTCGATTAAAATAGTGATCGATTAACATCGTGTAGATATGACTCGAAGGTTGTAGTCCCTGTTGGGCCATCCGTTCCATTACAGCAGTCACTGCTGTGAAATCTCCGTGAGGAGTTCGAAGTATTTGGTAAATAATTTTACCATATGTATGGAGGTTGGCTTTCACCCCTGCCGCTTCCATCTCGGAGAGGATTGCGAGTATCGACTCTCTTTGCTCTTCAGGCGTAGTTGATTCCGAGGGATGGAAGATTTCCTCAATGATAGTCGTAAACGTCACAACATCAGCCTCCACTCCAGATTTCTGCATCTGTTGCAAGATGACCCCAACTTCCTTAGACCGGCCATCGCGGATTAGATAGCGAAGAAGAGTATTGTAGGTGACAATATCGGGGCGAATGTCGAACTTTGACGACCAGGAAAGAACGTGCCGGATAGCTTCGGATTTCCGTTTGCGTAAAAGGCCAGCAATTACAGCATTGATAGTCTCAGTGGTGGGCTTGGCCGCGCCTTGGATATCGCTCCTGGGGGATAATTTGCCCGAGGTAGTCTTTCCTTGCTCTGACTTCATGACCGAAAGCCAAGTGCGTCCCATCTCATCCAAAGCTCGCAGTCCATCTTCAACCCGGCCGCACTCAATAAGTCCAATAATGCGCGTCGTCCAGCAGACAGTGTCAGGCTTTACATCTGACTGTTGCATTTTCCCCCATATAGTCTCGAGGGCATTTCGGTCTCTTGAAGCTCTACAGCCGTCAAGCATAGCAGTCCAGGTCCTCACGGTTGGCGTTAAACCACTGCTAACCATATGATTCCATACATTGATGGCACTATTCGGCATTCTAAGCGTCATGTACGCTAGTATGAAGTAGTTGCATAATGATGCGGACAATGTGCCAGTTTCATGTCTTGCTGGAAGACCTGAAGAATTGGGCTCTCCATCTGACTGAGAAATCGGAAGGTTTGCTACGTCTATCCATAGTTTGTCGAGCTGAGAGACATCTCGCCTTCCCAACGCATCCTGGATTCTCTTGTGTATACCGATTCGGTAAACAGGAGAAGGGGAGCTTAGGTGTGTTGCCCCCCGAGGGGGATCTGCGGTCTTTGTAGAATGTAGGTCTAACTCATGCCATTCTTTTATGGCAAAGCCAGAGACTATGTCAATGTTTGATCCATCATTTACTCCCTTCAACTGGTTAATGTCATATCCACGAACACCAATCACTTGACGCAACGTATTTATAAATGCAGGGTCATCCAGCAACCCCGTTGTTTCAGGAGGGCTTTCTTTTGCAAGTAGAGCAAGAGTTGCAATTGCAATGATCGGAACATTATCCAGGTGCCGTAGGCGGAAAGACGGAGCGAGAAGACCAAACAGAGATGGAAGGCCACTTTTGCGATATACGTAAGTAGTATGCTGGGTCGACACGTATGGCAACTTTGACCAGTCGAGGCACAGGGAGTCAACTGGGGTGAAGCTGGGGACATGTCCGCTGCGTCGGCATACCACGTTCCAAGAGCCAAGCAAATCTGAAAGCAGCGCTTTCTCACGAATATGGTCTCTCGGAGATTCTTGCCGTATTTTCAAAATCTCTCCAATTAGGTTGAGCATCATGTCTGCCCAGTCATTCCCATGAAGCAAACCTAATTGTGCGTATAGTGTCGAGACCTCGGCCACCGTCGGGAGCGTCGACGAAAACGGATGCTGGTATTTTGCAGATATGACCTGCCTCAACACTTGTTTTGCTGCTGAGTGAAGAAACGCCGGAAGTGCCCGTTGGCCAACGGTACCTTTGTCTTTACTCCAAATATCCGGGCCAAAGTGTTCCACGAAGAAGTTCCAGGACTCCACTGGGGCCGTTTTCTCTGAGAGCAGCTTTCTGAGAGCTTCGGCGTTCTTGTACGGCTCGAGAGATGTGGTGGATTGCTGTTGAGGATCTTTGGCCAGGCGATGTGGAGCGACCGCTTCCTCAAAAATCGACTCTAGGATGTCTCCTGGCTTGGGATCTATCGGCCTAGGTCGCTGCCGCTGGCCTTGCAGCCGCAACGGCAGCCGCGCAGGCATCTCTCCTGAACCTGTGGATGTTGACACATTATCAGTCGCGTCTGGTTCCGCATGGGCAAAGCCATTTGGAGATTTCGGTGCGGTTCGAGGGGTGGTGTTGCTGAGCGAGATGAATGTTGCTCTAGGTAGTCGCGCAAAGCTTTTGGGTTGCCGGATGAGGGCGCGACACTTGGTGCAGATGGGTGTCGCGGCGTTCATCCCTTTCAGGCTCGTGCCCAACGGCAGCTGCTAGGCATTGAAGAGTGGGCGAAACTGGGGGCAGAGCAGCGAATTGTCGAAGTATATAAATATCGTGGGTTTTCTGCTGGAAAGTTGCAACATCAGAATCTACCTGTATCTAGATACCTGGGTAAAATGCCCATAAACTGCAGATCCCTGCAAGCTCGCTCAAGGATCAGCTGCAGGCGTCCTGCCGGCTACAACTTCATACACCAGTAAATAATAGTACCTACTTATTGCTCGACAACATACGATTCTATCGATACAGCCGCTGTTTGTTATCTTCCGTGTATATTCCCTAGACCTGATTCGCCGCGGAAGCCGACTTAAATAGTCATGACCACGCTCCAACCCCGGCCGCCATACTCCAAGGAGGAACTCCAGCGGCTCTACCCGGACAGCTTACAGCTTCAGCTGGTGCAAGTTCTCCTTCGCCATGGCGAACGCTCTCCAGTATCAGCACGCTTTCAAAATGCTGGCCTCTCTGCCTTCTGGCCTTACTGCGAGGTGGCTAGGCAAATGGTGAGCGCGACTCGAGCTGATACTGAGTGGACTCCCATGGAATGGCGGCGCCGCCTTGAGACTTTTGGCCCAGATGATGGCGCTATCATTGCAGCGGGCCCACGAAGACAGATCGATAGCCTTTGTAATCTGGGGGAATTGACGGACAAGGGGAGAGAGACGACTCATGATCTGGGCGGACGACTGCGACGCCTTTACGTTGATCAGCTGGGCTTTATGCCATCCACAATCCACGACGCTGATATGATATACCTCCGAGCGACTCCCATTCCCCGAGCTCTGGAATCTTTGCAGCAGACATTCTGGGGCATGTATCCCCGACAGAATCGGGCTACCCCTTTCCCACCAGTTACCATTGTGACTCGAGCACCGGCCGACGAGACGCTTTTCCCCAACGAGTCAGGCTGTAGGAGATTCGCACAGCTAAGCCGTGCATTTGCCCAGCGTACCTCGGATCGTTGGAACAGCACAGATGAGATGGAGTATCTTAATAAGCTAATGAGCAAGTGGATGCCGGAATACAGCAAACGGGTCGCTGTGGATTCTCACCCAAGACTTTCCGGTATCATGGACACCATCAACTCCACATTGGCCCATGGCCCTGAGACCAGACTACCCAAGGAATTCTACGATCGCAAAGCTAGAGAGATCATTGATAGAATTGGCGTGGAAGAATGGTTCAGTGGATACAAGGAGTCGAAGGAGTACCGTTCGCTGGGGATTGGTGGTTTGATGGGTGATGTAGTGACCCGCATGGCGGGCAGCGTGGAGCAAAATGGCAACGACGGATCCCTGGAAATTGGAGGTAGAACCGGTTCTATAGGGGCCGGAAGAGGAGGAGAGAAAGGCATCAAGCTGGCTCTCAGTGGATGCCACGATACGACACTCGCAGCTGTGCTCGCAAGTCTGGGTACGTTTGACGGGGAGAAATGGCCTCCTTATACAAGTCACATTGCTCTTGAGCTCTTCAGGAAACCGGGTATCCAGCAAGTCCAACCAGCTACATCAACTGAGACTGTAAAGACCACCCCAGCAACCGTTAATGGGACAAGTCCCTCAAAAGGGTGGTTTGCCGGGTTATTTGGCAACGGCTCAGCCAACGCCCAGAAAGGGTTTAATAATGCTGCACCGGGAATTGCTAGACAAAAACTTGAGGATCTCCCGGAATCTGATCGATCGAAGTTGGATGGGTACTTCGTTAGGATGCGATATAATGATCGAGTTATGACAATTCCAGGTTGCAAAGCACCAGGTAAACATTTGGAAGGCGATGAGTCTTTTTGTACATTGTAAGCATATCCCCTTTTCTTCCCTAACCTATCGACACTAACAACATCCCAGAGCTGCATTCAAGTCCATCGTCGATAAATTTACTCCGGGGCAGTGGAAGAAGGATTGTCTCAGCAACATGGATGTACCAGCCTTCCCGGACAAGATAGAACCCGCAGGATACTAAACCCATACGGTATTATAGTCTGTTGTTCCATAGAGCGTAGCCCTTGTAGATTGTATAGAGCGCGTTATTATCAATATGCTATAGAACGGGGTTGTAAGGTAGTATAAATAGATATAGAATGATACCGGGATCGTTATTATAAACTGCTGAAGAGATAAGGGTTTCATTGAATAATGATAATTCTTTACACTTGCCCCGAATTTATCAATCTTCAAACCAACCTTAACGATAAAGCCACAAGATTTCGACATGGCCATTAGGCTCGGGGGCCAATGGAATCCATAGGACTCCACTACGCTCAAGTATGTACATGTGTCTAGGTACAGACTATACAGTACAGTATTGGTCCCGTTGAGATTAGATTGCGATTAGATGAGATTGCGATAAGATAAGCTTCGCCTCTATTATGCCCCGAATGAAACAACCAGGCAGCACCCGGTTGAATATACACTACATCTACTGTCGATTCAGACTGCTTGTATAGCTAAACCCAAGGGCTTGGTTCCAAGAGCAGCAAACTATCCTTAGACGGTCAAGCCCATCGTACGAACGAGGCGCAGCCCATACTCTCTACACGATGTCTGAATCCTGCGGAAGTTGCGCCATATTACTACGAAATATCCCTCCACCATACGATGAGCCAGGCTTAGACCCTCAGAGCCCCGATCGGCGGTTATATTGCTGTGGTAGAGTGATATGCGGGAATTGTATACGCGTGCGTATCCATTAAGCGCCGAAAGCCTCCGTTAATGAAGCTAGCTTATAGAAGAACCAACGATTTGCTACATACTGTAAGCCAGCAGTTTATAATTATCTAACTTAGGAATAAGAATACGAGATACTGATTATTGTATTGAAGGTCCATTCTGCCAAATATCATCAGAACCCTCCTGCCTCCCACAAGGCCTTCGAGATCCCCCCTCCTATACACCTTTCTCCTCGTCCTCCTCGCATAAACAAGACGCCGCTTCCGATCCCAAAGATCTCCCTGCATACTCCCCCTCCGAAGTTCCCCATACTTCGGATGTTAAAGCGCCTGTAGAAGATATCGCCCACTTCCTCGACCACGACGTAGACACCCTCACCTCCGTCGCGTTACGATATAACGTTCCTATATCGGCCCTTCGACGGGCAAACAATATTACATCCGATCACTTGCTGCTAGCGAGACGAACGATAACTATACCCAGTGAGTTTTATAAGGGTGGTGTGAGTTTGAGTCCAAGGCCAATAGAGGGCGAGGAGGAAGAGACCAGAAAGGCGATTGTGCGAAGGTGGATGGTGGCCTGTAAGGTGTCTGAGTATGTACTACCCTTGGCGGCATTTGTTGGTGGTGATATGCCCAGTTTAGGGAAAGAAGGGAAGCTAACATGGGGATTTGGAATGCCGTGTAGTTATGATGCTGCGGTGTCGTATTTGAAGCTGGCTGATTATGATTTGGACATGGCAATCTTGTCTTTTAAAGACGATGAACGATGGGAGAAGGAACACCCAATGGAAGGAAGTATGAAAGTGAGGGAGAAGATGAAGCATGTGCTTGGGAGAAGAGTGTTCACAGGTCAACGGTAATATATCGCGGTGTAATGTGTGGCGGTATCACACAGCGTGCAGGCATTGATTGCAATGGGTTGAATTGACTGGTGAACGCAATATTATACATATACATCAAACCCAATCCCAGATCCACTTATTAGTATGCTGAGCGTGTCCGAATGTCCTATTTCAAGTTAGTGAAAACAACAAGCAGGGGGTTGAGATAGACTTACGGATATTTTCCGCTCAATTTCCCGGACAGACCGATCTAACTCCCCGGCAATCATTTGCTTCTTATCCGTAGGTAAAAGGGTATATCTTTCGCACAAATCGCCATCAATAACCCCCTTCACCGGCACATAATAACTCCTATAAATCAGGTGGTCTCTTCCAGCCAATGGGGCATCCTCCGACCTCATATGCTGCTCCAGTGTCTGAAAGAAATCCACGTCCTCGCGTCCCACGAATGGAATCATAATACCGAGAGTGCCTTGGAGCCCAGCCCAAAGTAAACAATCCCGTCCACCAGCAACGAGGTTCGTTTTCTGAATGCTCATTGGAATGTCTTGAGGGTAAAAATGCCCCATCAATGTTAATCTGTGAGGCGCGCCTTGTAAGTATTGACGCTCGTGCAGAAGATGGGCGCCAGATCCCTCCTCATCCGCCTCCTCGCTGGCCTTGGTAGGGCACCGGAGAAGCCAAAGGTTGCCAAATTTGTCACCTCCCGCCACAGTCTCATAGTCGACCATGGCTGTGCAGGTTGTCCAGCGTGCTATAGTATCATCAACAAATGGGATGAGCCTGTTCTCTTGGAACTTGTATACAACCATCACAATGCTCTCTTGAACATCGCTAACAACGATTCGGCTGCCTTGGGTTTGAAGGCCGACAATCAAATTTGGCACTACCTCCGATTGAGCCTTCCGGAGAAGCTGGCGCATTCCAAGATCATAAACCCGCAGCTCTTTGCCGACTCCAGCTAGGAGCCTTCCTTGGAATCCGAGAAGAGCCATCGGAGGTTCTTCTACTTTCGTCTTGTGAATAAATTCGATTTCTTTCCCATCCTCGTGGAACCGAAAAACGTGGATAAAGCCCGCCGTTGATGATCTCGGACTCACGACCATGTCTTTGCCAGTTCCAACGATTAAGAAGACCTCGTCTTCTTGACTGGCAAAGGAGACTGTTGCGACACTAACAGCTGCTTCATTGTCATCTAGGTCTATTTTTTGGAGTACCCGTTTGTCGGTGACAGGATCTATAACCGAGATGCAAGAGGCCCAATGACCTCGTCCACGGGGATAACCAAATTCTTCGGGTGGAAGGACATTAGAATCACCATTGACGACGGAAGGATCCTCGAGTAACTTGGTTTTGGTGGCAGGGGATAAGACATTATTATCGGATTCGATGGTATAAAAGTATGGGTGCTCTGGGTGTCGAACAAAACGGCGAGGTGTGTATGTGAGAGGTATTGACTCTTGGAGAAGGTTGTTGGTGAGCTTTTCAATTGAGAATATCCTTTCACATAAATTAGCCTGTTTAATTTCTTGGGAATAAGGTAGGGCGGGTGAAAGGTGAGATAAATTTCAGAAGGAACAATTGGAATTTAATATTAGGTCCTCATAGCCCCGAGGGACGTAGGATTTTAACGATAAGAAAATCATCACAATATCTCATGGTTGGGGTTAAAGAGATGCTTTTCGACGTACCTTAAATTTTGTCCTTGGATACCGACCATTCCCTCAGTACATTGCTCACTACTGAAGTTCCAACCCCATTCTAGGCCAGGGTAGTTCAGAGGGGTGAGCATAAAACCTTTAGTAACCGGATCCGAATATCCAAGCCATGGTCTTGAACTCAAAGCAAGCACTGCAGTCTGTCCTTGGATAGAAACCCGGAAGAGTTTGGCTGGCTTTGGGCCGAGGAAGCGTGTGCGCGTATCGGAAAGTTCTCCTGTTACCTCATCCAAGACAGTTCGAAGATAGACCCCTGAGTAAAGGCCGATATGAAGATAAAGAGTCGATCCCCCAGATGAAGAGTCAGCCATTGCCATAATTGAAAGAGCAGATGGTGCTGAGGTCAAGGCTTGAACAGACATGTTCTCTAGGGTAGAATCCGGATCGAGACTTAAGATACGGACAGTTGAGTCGTCACAACCCACGGCTAAGAAATTACTCCGAACACGGCCTTCGGGAACTTCGCCTAGACTGAGGCACGTCACAGTGCCGCTCATTTCTTTCTTCTCATCGTACTCTGCTAGAGATCCATCCGCATCCATCTCAAAATACACAATTTCGCCCGAGCTGAGCGCAACAGCTACTTGTCTTTCGTTGGTTGTTGCTGCCACAATGGAGCGGTGCTGAGGAGCAGCCCATTCATTTACACGACGATCTGCGCGAATGTGTCTGATCCCTTTTGGGTGTACCTGGATCAAACCATCTTCGCCCAATTGCTGCACTGCTAATGTAGCGGCAGAGGACAAGAAGCCAGTATCTGTGACTTCCTCGACAGTTTCGCCAATGCTCAGTACGAGCGTACCGTTTGAAAATGACAAAACAATGTAAGCATCGAATGTGTCACCCCGAGTAAGTTTAGTGGTCCAGACGGCGGATGGCACACCGGGCAGTTCTGATTCCACAATTTCACTAACTTCGAGGCCGTGCTTCAAAGTTCGGAATGTGCTTCGCGCACCAGTTCCACATATGGAGTATATTTGCGGAGCATCTTCTTCTGTGAGATTTGCTACTTTGCAATCCATCAACGGATTCATCGAATCAATGCTCTCAACTAGACTTAGGTTCTCAGCTGGCCGAGCGTGGAAGTAAACAGGCGTATAAGGCTCAGACGGATCGGTGGGGAAATTGTCGCTGATGAATTCTGTCTCCTCATCATCATCACCGAGCTTTTCAAACTGATAAAATTGATGGTTTCCGAACTCGCTGGCAACAAACAAGAAGCCACTCTTTAGGATACACAGGCTCGATGCCACTGGCACTGTGTCGAAGTATTTGATTTTTAGACGCTTGACCTCTCCGGTCGGTTGGCCATTGTCATCTTCGACCATCTCGATGGTAACTTTGAAGAGATCGCCATCATCCGTCTGAAGAAGGAAAAAAAAGGCACCAGCGGCACCCTTCAGCTTGTGCATTACACCGGCCACAATGGTTCGTTTTCGTTGGGGGTCCTCTGTTGCCCCTCTACGCCTGGGGATTGCAACACGGAAAGCCTCTTGATTTGAGTGTCGATAGGTGATGTTGTCTTCACTGCAAACTAGGACTCCGCTAGGACCATCTGTGCCACCAGGCACTTGGAATAATATCGTGGCCGTTCGATCGACAGGGTCTGCCCACTTCCGGACCACATGATTCAAGCCAAGATCAAGTTCATAGTAGACCAAGGTTTTCTCAATCTCATCGTACGCTTGGCCCGTCGGATCTTGGTCCGATTCGCCATAATCAACTTCGAGAGCTGCGAAAACTGGATTTGCATATCCAACATCTAATGCCACAAGAGCGAAGACTAATGTTTGTGCTTTGTGGGCTTCCAACGGCGACGAAATGGTAAGCTCCGCTTGCGAGTTCCGATTAAGCACATACACAAGCTTGTTTTTTTCCACGGAAGCTGTCAGACAAGCTCGGCCTTTCGGATCCACCGCCAGGTATTGTCCTGGGATGACTCGACGAATGCCCGACTTGCCAAAAGTCTCCAGGTGTAAGCGATTAAACTTGTTCTGTGCCGGTATGAACTCGACTATTGTAATACGGCCGGAGTCAGAGGTGATGATGATGTAATCTAAGATATATCTTTAGCCCAATTCTCCTTTATAAGCCAACCAACGGTCGTCTTATATTTCCGTCTGCGACGAATTCATGGTGGTGTATCGCGTGCTGCCAGCCATGCTCCATATCACTAAGTGAAGCTCAATAGGATTATGGAAGAACATACCCTTATTGCTGCCAGCTAGCCTGAAAGCTGCTATGGCCCGGATGATCCCAAACACATCGTGTGAAAGCGTTGTGATGATCTTGCCCTGTGATGGGTCGGGACGATGCAGTGTTAATCGAGACCCCGAGGCCGTCACGATCTGCTGCTCTTTTGTCCCTGCAAACTGTCCCAAGATCGCCTGTGTAACTGCAGTTGGAGGCTGAACAGTCAGGCTGTACATGAACATCGACGATGTCGTTGCCATGGTGTCGGTAGGCGCGCGGTGAGCGCAAAATAATAGTGGAAAGCCAGTCCAGAACCGCTCTGTGCGCTCTCCTCACAGTATGAGATTGGATGGCGCTGGCAGAGCAGCTTCTCGCAACTATTCACATCGGTGTGTTGTTGTGTTCTCCAAAGTGCGTATCGCGTGCAAAGGAAGAGAAAGTATAAAATTGTTTCGCCTGGAAGCTCGAGTAGCGGGGATCGTGCTCAAGTTTATTGCAGCCTCAGGCACCAAATACCCTGACGATAGTAGGAATATATCGTCTCGAACTTCACATCCTCACGCGATTATTTTGCTTCCGTTCCAACATCACCGCATACCTCCCTACCTTTGATTTGGGTTATCGCCTTGCGGAACTCAACTCAATTGACGCAGAAATGCCACCCTCCTCTGCGTACACATGTCGAACGTGTCTCCATGCCCTCCAGCACTCTGCCCCCGCTGCCCAAAGGATGGTACTGGCTACACGGATGACCTTGGGTCGACGCGCTCTGTGCTCGGCAACAGCACAGCAGCATGGCTCGAAAATTCCGAGAACCATGGGTCCAAGCCGTCGTGCTTTTCAGCCAACGTCAGAGAAAAGGATGGTTTCTTCTGCAGCACCGCAAGGGCAAACTGTTAGGAACGAGCCGCCAGAATTTCGGAGTCCTCCTGGATTACAAGCAACGCCTACTCCTGCAGTCGAGGGGCGGCCCTTGCTGATGCGGAACAATCTCTTCCATAAACTCTCAGAATCTCCTTCGCCCGATATGAAGCGCCGGGCTGCGTTCCTCAAGCAGAATGCTTATTGTCCTCATCCTGATCACCGCCAAACACGACTTCCAGAGACTCCTGATGACCCCGAGGCACGGAAACCCAGCACAGGAGGCTTGCCGCCAGCGCACGTCAAATTCGAGTGCCCAGACTGTGGCATACCAGTGTCATGTAGTGAAGAGCATTGGGCGGATGATTACGAGTCCCATCTCGAGATTTGTGATGTTCTCCGAGAGATCAACGAGGACGATCATGATCTTCGATCCGGTCGTTTCTTCCCAGAATTTGAATACCCTGGTGATCAGATGGAGGAAGCTATGGTCAACATGACCAATTGGGACACATACCTATATTCGAGAGAATACAGAGCTATCAACGACGAACGGAGTCTACGACAGGCAACGAAGCTTTTAACCTACCCAGTCACTATCGGGAGTGTATTACATGAGCTGAGTCCTTACAACATCAAGAAGGGCGGCAAATTAACCGTGGAAGGTCTCAAGAGTTTAACAGGTATGGATGCTGGCTGCTTGTCTCTCTTCGTGCAGATGCTAACATGATACAGCGCTCCGTTACACCCTTCATCCGCCACGAAATGGTTCGGGAGCCGATATTAAGGGCCTCAGACCGAACCCCCCTCCAGTTCGGATATTTATTCTAGGTGCCCGTGCCGAATCATCTCTCCCAAGAGAAGTTTGGGTGCAGCTGACTTATCTCTTCCCCCGGGTTGCATTCCACTTGGTATTCATCGGTCCTGAAAGCATGGCGAACAGAGATGCAGAGTTCCCCTTACCCGAGCGGACACCTAGCAACCCATTCGGCGCTATCGTGGAGGATCGATTAACGAACTATCTGAAGATCAGCACATTTGTAGAGTATTACCATACTCTGCATAAAGCTGGCACTTTCTACCCCTACGACCCCTATTTTGACTGCTTCATGCTCTTTCATCCTGGGTTAGGGCATCCGGCTAGCTCTCATGAGTGGGCAGAGACCATTCCCCAGTTATTGGAGACCAAAGTTCCCATCTTGGTCACCGGATATACGCCATATGACATGGAACGAGATATCACATGGGTGAAGAAGACTGTCGGCAATGAGATGGATATTTTGATGGAGCCAGGAGAAAATCGTTTCCGAAGTCTCCGGTGGGATCTCAACGATTTCGATCCTCAGGATATTACCTGTTCAAATTGGGGCGTGTGGGCCTTCAGAGGCAAGAGGTATGTTAAGTTCTTCATGATAACAAGGCGTAGTTTATTAACTCTTTATAGGTACGAAACCACCAAGAAGGGTTCCGAGACCGAGTAGATCAAACTCCCTTGATGGAGACCGAACTGGTGATGCATTGTGTCCCCAGATGAGGAACATCTCACCTGTAAATGTCGATGAAATGTTATCTGTGTTATATGTTGTAAACTACATTACCCACTCCGTTTATGTATAGATCGGGCAGGCATGATTATGCAAGTGGTGGTGGAGGAGCCGGTTACATTTTCAGTCATTGCTTACCTACGTAACATTATCAAATATGACTGAAATTTGGTCGCACCCTCATCTTAAGTGTTTGATATCACCGAGTTTTGCTATAGGTAATCATAGAAATGTTGTCTGTACCCAAACAATTCCATAGAACTCCAACCTGTACTAGGTATTTAAGCCACAGTCCTTTCCCAGAAATGCCGAGGTTCGGATAACATGCTGTGTAACCAACCCTCTTATCGCGATAATAAATGTCTACAGAACGTAAGTCCAAAGAAACGTAACAATGTCGCTCGAAGCCATATATGTAGTCCGCCACGGTGTAAGTTCCCAGTTCTAACTCCCCTCTCATGCAAATCCTCATTCCCCTATACTCCTTCATATCCGATCATTACGACTAACATACTTTTTCAGTTCCGATCCAACTGGGTCGTGGACCTCAAAACAGGAGAATACAGCAGTTCCATCCCAACACCCACAGGTATTCCATCCGACCCAGCACTGGCAAGCAAAGGCATCACGCAATCCCAAGAACTCGCCGCCCACCTGAGCACGCTCTCCCCGCCCATCCAACGCTTCTACTCCTCGCCCTTCTACCGCTGTATCCAAACCATCTCCCCCACTCTCCAAGCCCTCTCCTCGACCACCACCGACCCCGAAGCCCAAAAGATCCGCGGCGAAAATGGATTGGGAGAATGGTACGGCACGGCACGGTTTGACCATCCGTCCCCCGCCAATTCCTCAGTGCTGAAATCCCTATTCCCCGCGTTCGACGAGGATTATACACCTGTTATTCGGCCAAGCGTGAATGGCGAGACCATTTCGGATTTGCACGACCGGACGGCATATGCGTTGCATAGGGTTATTGAACGGAGTGATAGGGAAGGCGTGAAGGCTATAGTCATCTGTACACATGCGGCTACGCTGATTGCGATTGGGAGGGCATTGACGGGGAGGGCGCCGGAGGATTGGAGCGAGGAGGATTTTAAGCCTTTTACCTGTGGGCTGACGACATTTGTCAGGAGGGTAGGTGAGAAGGGTGGGCGTGTTGAAAGAGAAGTGGGCGATTGGGAAGGGCCTGAGACTGCAATCCCTACTGTGGAATGGAAGGGTGGGAATGGGGTTGGAGGAGGGTGGGATGTCACTGGTAATGGGGACTGCAGTTTTCTGAGTGAAGGAGAGGAGAGAGGGTGGTATGTTTCCCAGTATCCCTTATTTGTGTTCTTCGTATTAACTTGATAGGCATTTCGCTGGAGACGAGTCTTTTGATACCACCCCTGCATTAGATGCCGGCTCTGCACTTGGCGTTGTTGTTGAGAGTAAGAAGGGGCCTACTATCCCGGCAAGCTCATCAAGATTATAGATATATTAATATAACCTAATCTTATATTCGATAAGGACTTCACAGATAATCACATACAAGATAAATGCCAAGGGATGCCCATCAAAGTCTACGTTAGACAAGCATATCCTCGTCAGGGTGGTTCTGCAATGCTTTTCAGTACTAACAGATGGTATATTACATTTCATTGCCATTGACTTTAAACATTTGATTCATACAAACAATCGACTTCCGCTACGCCTAAACCGCTACCCATTGACCCCTGGATATAATTCTTTTGCATGAAACCTGTATTGGCAATAGGTACCAGAACAAACCAGAAGGATGCGATCATATTCATAAAGGAAACCACAATAATGGTGGCGATATCGTGGATATCGAATAAACTTGATTGGCGACATAAGAAATTGAGGGCGAGGCCAGAATGAACTATATTAATCATGCTGGTTCGAAATCTGAGGAATCGATCCCGGGGGGGAAGTAACTTCGGCGACTCCATTTGGAAGAGTATGAACGGGATCTGCCTCTGATATGGAGCCTCGATGGGGGCTTCCGCCATTTATGGACTTAGTCTTGTCAGAGCTTGGAGGCGTGATTCCGTTTGTCTGCTCAAGAACCTGATCTGTGCCATTCGGTTGGGGCAGAGATGGAGATGGCGAAGGTGCTGATGAGGGCGATGCATGGTACCCTGGCAATAGATGTGTCAATCCTTGCTTTCTACAAATCTCCTCATAATCGGGATCTGTAGGGTGCGCCGGTACTAATTCTCGCCTGGGGATACGCTTTTCATCGGACGGGGCTTCTCGCAAAATCCTTGTGACAGGCACATCTTGTTGCTTAAGGAGTTGCCCGTTGATATGAACTTTGGGTTGGGGGGCGAATGGTTGGCTCTGGTCCGTATCCGGATCCTGCTTCCATTTCGGACAAGGCGGGGGCATCTGGAATGTGACATCCAACTCTCGGTAGTTGACAATAATCTCTATCCCTCGGAGGTGGGGAAAGTTTGGCACGATGAACATAAATTCCGACACCTGCAAACGTCAGAACGGCAAGGCATAGCGTTTTGTAATAGTACGTACCTTCACAAAAAATAGATCAAGCTGGAAAAAGAGAGCTTTGTTCTTCTCTATCATCTCACGTACCCTACCCTCATTCTGCGGAACTTGGCTACGGATGCCAGCCAGATTCGGTTCACGGAGAGTGAATTTACCATTGTGGAACCTCCATACCGCTCTCTTTGCAGCTAGCGTCAAAGGGATACGTTCCCAGGCAGTGTCTAACAACAATTAGTATCAAGTCTAACATGGTGGGCGAGGAACTGAAACTTACATCTTGAGAGATGGAGATCCTTCTCCCCTAAGAGGATCGCAGCATCTGTATTCAGCATCCACTGCTCCCGACCATTTGCTTGGCCGGTTGCTTCAGGCCGAATAGTGTCGTAGCGGTAGCCATCTATCCATCTGAACAAGGAGGCCACATCGGGAGTTTTAGGGTTGTCAAAGAGATCAAACCATCGAAGTAGAAGCGGAAGCTTTGATAGCCTTTCGAGCCGTTTCTCCTCCTCGATTCTTGCTCGTTCGATACGTTGCTGCTCTACCACCAGTGCCCGTCTGCGTTCTAGCTCCTCACGCTTGAGTCTTTCTTGCTCGAGGTACAAAACTCTCTGTTCCTCTACGGCGCGAGCGTGGGCTTCCGCGTCTTTTATTCGTTGGCGCTCCTTTCGCTCCGCCTCCTCCTGCTGACGCCTTGCCTCCTCCTCGCGCGCCGCTTCCTCTCGAGCAAGTCGTACCTGCTTTGCCTTTTCTATGCGCTCCAGTTCCTGCTTTTCCTCCAGCGCTTTTTGTTGTGCAGCTTGAAGTTCGGCTTCTCGTCTCTCTGCCTCACGGGCAACCTCGTCCTCCTTTCGTTTCTCTTCTTTCATGTGCTCCTCTTCCTCCTTTCGTTTCTTTTCTTTCATGTGCTCCTCTTCTTCCTTTCGTTTCTTTTCTTTCACATGCTCCTCTTCTTCCTTTCGTTTCTTGTCTTTCGCATGCTCCTGGTCATCATGCTCTGACCTTGCTTCGCCATCCGATTTCGGTTTCTTAACATGCGAATCATGAGACGAGGCCGGACCGTGATCTGCTGGCTTCTCTAGGCGTCCTCGGGAATTCGGTTCATCTGTCTTCGAACTCCGTATCACATCATCCACATGTACATCGGAGTGAGGCGACTTGATTTTTGACTCTAGACCGGACGTTTCACCATTATCGTCATCCACGGATGGAATTTTGGCGGCAGAGACACGAAGGTCGGGCGAGGAGGTCGGTGTAGCATCAGGTCTGGGTCCTGTTCCAGCCTCCGCTTCTAGTTTGCGCCTCTTCAATGGACCTCCTCCTGCACCATAGCCAGGAGTCACCTCCTGCATACCTGATCGAGGTGGCGTGGCACTTTTCCTATGTCGCTTCACAGGACTTTCACTCCGAATTGCGCTGAGCCGGTCTTTGGAATCGTCTCTCTTGATGGAACGGGCTCTGTCCTTATCAGATGCATGTTTTTCGGAAGGAGAGTCATGGTCATTGAGGCTAGAGGTTGATTTCTTGGGGACCCGCGAGACGCTAGGACTAAGTCTCCCATCGACCTTGTTGTCCCCTTTCGATTCGCCCAGGCCACGCCTGTCTTTGGTGGAAGCGCTAGAAGTGTTAGACGCAACGCTGGTACGCCGTTGCTTCTCGAGCTCCCGTTCTCCTCTCAACTCTTTGCCGGACACTAACTTGCGTCGTGGCTTTGTGGTTGTCTCATTCTCAGAGGCAGCTTGTACTTCAGATTCGGATCGATTGACCTGTGATTTCTGTTTTGGGGGACCTAGCGGAGTGGTCTCGGGATCTGACACCGCGGTTACTTGTGCACTTTCCTCCTTCCTAGGTCGTCCCGGTCCTCGCTTAATTTGTGGATGGCTCTCCTTAGACTGGTTGATCGATGATGAATTGCGATGCTGGGTCTTACTAGTATCATAATCTTTCGCTTTCGGGCTTGAAGTGGTTCGTTTATGGGATCGAGAAGCTTGCTGTTCATCCCTACGGAGTCTTTTCGCATCCGAATCCCGTCCATCTCGCCGGAGAATAGGAGAACGTGATCCTTTGTGGGAGGATTCATATTTTTCATATGCATCTTTCAGAAGCTTTTCTTCCTCTTGCCACTTGGGTCCTGCTCGCTTCTTAGCGATCTCATAATAGGTGTCTCCCCTTATGCGTCGTGTGGGATCAAAGTTATCCTGGCCAAGAAATAATTCGATCACCTTAAGGTGGTCATCGCGGCCAATGGTTGCAAGTATGGGTGTGTTATGTTCCGGCGGTGCCCCCTGGATTGGTTGTGGATCAGGATCAAATCCCCCCATGGCGAAAAGTATATTTATAACATCAAAGTGTCCTCCTCTAGCTGCAAGCAGGAGAGAATTCGAATCCTTTAAGTTAGTATTGACTTCTAGAACCCGGGCAGCAGCACTAGCATCACCCTCTTTGGCAGCCTTTCGTAGCTCTGTCGCATCAAGTCGTTGATAAAGAAGATGATCACTGGTTTTGATCGACCGAGCTGTCCCGCCTCTTCTACTGGTCGAGCTCATGACATGGGAATCGTGGATTGGGGCCTGTGGACTATGGCGGGCGCTGTCTTTGGGATGAGATGGCCGACTATCGAGATGCTCATGGATATGGTCATCTTCTGAGAGCCGTTGGACATCACGATTATTCTGCTTCGCTGCTATAATTGCTGTCCTAATCTCAGTCGCTTCGTTCTCGCTGTAGGCTCCGCTCTCTTCCTTCTCTGTCACAAGGTCGAGTGGCTCATCTCCATGCCGGTTCGGTTTGTTCGGGTTAGCACCTGCATCAAAGAGTAGTTTCACAACTTCCACATGCCCATTTTCGATTGCATCATGGAGCGGCGTGTCTCGTTGGTCGTTCACACAGTCAACAATACAATTCTTGTCCAGCAGAAATTTAACAATATCTGCAAACCCATTGATACTAGCAACATGAAGCGGTGTGTTCAGAGCATGATCGGCTTCATTTAAATCCTGGGGGCGCTCGTCGTATCTTTGTTTTGTCACGTCTAGCTTGCCGCTTAGACATGCACGTGCAAGTAGAGTCTGGCCAGACGAATTAACATGCTTCTTATGAGGACCGATTTTTGCTGGCGACATCGTCGATTCGCCGGTCATTGGTGCTGCAACGCTTCGCACGCGTGAACTTCGAGGATGTGAACTGCCACTAGACGACTCATCCGACTGATATTCAGTGGACTGTAGCGGTGCGGGAACGCGCTTTTTCTTGTGACCTAGTCCGTGGGAAGACTTCGACGGTAACTGGGTCGAATTACTGCGGCGGTGACCTCGCGAATGTGGTGATATTGACCTCGTACGCTTTCGTGGACGTGTATCGGTGCCGAACTTCGACGAAGATCGATTATCTCTACTCGATTTGTGGTCGATGCCTGAACTTCGCTGCCTGCTAAATCTTGGCCGCTCCCCTTCGTCCTCCTCTCCAGACGCGGAGGTGTACTGTTTCCGGCGTTGAACTACTCGGTCGACAGATTTGGCTTGATCGCGCGCAGCGGAACGATAGCGAGGAGATGGGGATTTGGAGAACTCGGAATCGGAAGCCGCAGGCTTCGACAGTGAAGAGCGCGTGGTTGCTACAGGAGAAGTCGGTACGGAACTGAGCCCACTGGAATTGCCCACAAGTGCAGGGTCGTCTTTGATGTTAATGGTACCATGCTTTGGCCGCTTTCTTTTTCCCAGTGAAGAGGTAGAAACCATCGCTCCAGCGGTCGTCGAATCGGTGGCCTTTTCTGCCACTTGCGGCAGTGTCCCCTGCGCGAGACTTTTCCCACCATCACTCGGGCTTTGGATACTAGGAGCGTCTATGATGTCTTCGTCCTCGCTCCGGTCTTCGTGCTTGATAGATTTCCGGATTTTTGACGGTGAATGCCCATTTTTACCTGGCAGCACGATTGTTTCAGCCTCCGAATCGCTCTTCGTCGTGGCGTCAGCGTTAGTGGTCACTCCATTTGAAGGTTCCGTGTCTAGGTCCATGGCATCGGACGGAGCCAACATCGGTGGCGATGACCGTATACCATTTGTACTATTTGCCGGCCTGCTCTTCACCGCATCCACCTCCGTGCGAATGGCCCCAGGCGAGACGGAGAGCCTCGCGGCGACGGCCTTCGCTTTCTCCTGAGCATTCATCAGGTCTACCCCGAGTGTCGCCTTATCCAGGCCATCTTCAGAACCGGTTTTGTTGGGAGACACTTTGGAGGTGTCGGATAGGAAAGGACAAGGAGGGTCATCCGAGTCCTGGTCCTGTAATGACTATTATGTCGGCAGTTTCGTGATCGTGTGGCAATCGCCGCTGCCGCCGTCTCCGTCGTCGCACGGTCAAAACCCCAAGCTCTCAATTGCCGGTGAGCATATGCGATAAAGGAACGGCGCGGTCTTCTTTGCGCGGCGGTGTTGGTGGCGGGCGTGTCGTGATCGTGGTCTGGCGGAGAGAACTTGAGCATGAGGCTTAGTACTCGTACTGCAGTGCTCGCATGTTGATGTTTATTGGCCTCGCTAACTTGATACGGCCAGATCCATGGTTTTGCCCACGGTGGAGCCTGAGAAAAGGGGCCGGAACACTACGAGGACAACAGCGACATGGCAGAGTACATGGCAGAGCAATGCTTCGTAGCATCGCAAAGGCACTCAATTACATGTGTTTACAACAGCATTTCGTATGCGACCGAGAACTGCCTCACTGTCTCAGGCTGAGGCACGAAGTACGCATTTGCCAGGAATCCCAAACCTCTAGACACTATCCTCGCTAGGCCCGAGCCGGCCGACGACTCGAGTAGTCTACCATGTCTTTGAAGAGTCAAGACTAAGACTATCAGCCAACAAGCGCGTTCGAAGGCATAAGTATGGTCCGCCTAGAGCCTACGAGTACCCTTATTCCGGTGAATCCTTCTTTGTCAGACCCTGCTTTGAGACGGGACCGATATATCGGTTGCGATTCAGTTACCGCGTAATATCCCCCAACCCCAAACACAACGCGATCGAAATGTCGCCGGTACCACCGATACCAACTTCGCTCGAAGACGTCAGGATTAAACTCCTCCCCGCGAATGGCTACTATATCGCAGACTTTATCAGTCTAGAGGAGGAGGAAGGTCTCTTGAACAAGGTGGGTTCATTTGTGGATCCCTTTCATAGACTTCCCTGATTTAATTTTGTCAGATCGAGGCAGCTCCAAAACCTCGCTGGAAGCAACTTGCCCACCGTCGTCTCCAGACATGGCCATCGGACTTGACCCGGGATACGCTGCTCCAATGCCTCCTCCCGAAATGGCTTGTCGAGCCTATTGCCACGCGACTTCTTGCTTGTCCAGCGTCCACTGCTGATCCACAGAGTCACATTTTCTCGACTAGTCCTCATGCCGCCCCAAATCATGTTCTTATAAACCAGTACCAACCTGGGGAAGGCATCATGCCTCATAAGGACGGTGCTGCATACCATCCCGTAGTATGTACTGTCAGCTTGGGCTCGAGTTTAGTACTAGATGTATACGGTACGAACGAAGACGGAACCAGAGAAACGGAGCCAAGATTTAGGATCCTCCAGGAACCTCGAAGTCTACTGATCACCACCGGCGAGTTATATACTGATTATCTGCACGGCATTGCAGAAGTTCATGAGGATGTTAATCTCGGCCCAGATACGGTATCGAACTGGGATCTACTTCGATCACCAGAATTGATTGTGGACGGGAAGCTCCAGCGCTCCACGCGCACAAGCCTCACGTATCGTGATGTCAAGAAAGTTGTCAAGCTAGGTGGCAAATTTGCAATATTTGGCAAGAGTTGACAGGACTATTTCAGTACAGGTAGGGTATCATAGTCCAGCGACCCTTAATTCTTTCAGCCCCGAATTTCTCCGCATACCACTTCCTAGTTGAATCAGCTGTAACACCTAGATTCGAAACAATAAAAAAGATACCAGCCAACATGGTTCTGTTCATGATCTGGCCCTCTGGTGTGGCTACAATGGCTATGGCGACGTATATCAAGCATTCGCTTGTATAATGCGGGCATATTAAGAATCGGAAGAAGGGGTGATTGGGAAGGGTGTATTTTTTGAGACTGGCGAGGTGTTTATGGCAAATATGTTGTGCAGCTGAGCCAAGTACGAACAAGTGACTTGCAATGAGCGTTTTGATCGATGGCCTTGAGAATTCCAACATTTCTATGAGAGGTCTGCTCTCATTCAATGCACCTAGTAGATATCAGTGACCGGAAATGACAACCTTTCCAACGGACTTACCGATGCCTTCAATCCATACTGAAACGCCCATGAAAATGTAGTAGGCAATTCCCCTGTCAACATCAGAAACTCAATTCGACTTTATCGACACATGATAAGAATATCAATTCCCGAATGACTTACAAAATCCACAATCCAACCCACATTTTCGACTGAGAAGGCTTCGTGAGGGTGAAAGATTCGTAGGCCCGTCTAATTCCTTGTATCGCCATGAATAACCAAGCTAAGAATGCCTGATTTACGGACATCCCGCCATATCCATCATGGGAATGGGAAGCCAAGTATTGAAAAGCGAATCCACGTGTGGTAATCTGGAAGGCCCAGAAGATAGAAGATGCAACGGAAACCACGTAGAAATGGGTGAACCACGGATGCGGGACTTTTAAGGATGCAACAAAGTCCATGAGACTAGTGACAACCCCCTTCTGCTTGCTATCTTTCGTTTTAGGGTTCGTATTACTGAGTCGAGATCCGTAGTTCATGATGCTTTCCCTCATGGAAGGGACCAACACCCCGCCCAGGAGAACGGTGGTCGAGAGGACAAAGAAGAGCTTACAAACGAGGGCGGGATCCATGTTGAGGGCGGTATGAAGGTAAATTGTTTGATATATATTGAGAAAATGCCGGAATAAAAGGAGTTTAAAGCTCTCTAGAAGGGGTGTAGTAGTTTGGGTTTGTGGCCAGAACACCTCGGTCAGCCTTGCCTTGGTATTCTACGCAGCACGTGATCGTCGGCCCGCCTAGAGATCCGATTGCCAATATTTAAAAATCTACAGTACCCCACGCCCACAGAAGTGGCACTTGCAAAACCCCAACCACAAACACAACGCAACGGCAACCGCAACCACAAACCCAGCACCAGACTTATAATACTCGCCACCCACTGCCCTCCATATATCGCACATTATCTCTGATTCCCGCAATCAGAATCCGCAATCATGGCGACTACCGTGGATAAGGTACGAGATCAAAGATAAACACATCCTTTGCTATAAATGCTAATACCCCGCCACAGATCAAGGACATTGAGTCTGAAGTAAGCACTACATTTCGATCAGCATGACAGCAAACATGCGCTCTCAATTCAGACGTGTTAACCCCCTCCTAGATGGCCAAAACCCAAAAGAACAAAGCTACATCTTTCCATCTCGGACAACTGAAAGCCAAGCTTGCAAAGCTAAAGCGAGAACTTTTGACTCCCACAACTAGCGGCGGCGGCGCAGGGGCAGGATTCGATGTTGCTAGAACTGGTGTGGCCAGTGTGGGCTTCATAGGCTTTCCTTCGGTGGGCAAGAGTACACTGATGAGTCGACTCACTGGCCAGCACTCGGAGGCCGCTGCATACGAGTTCACCACCCTGACAACGGTACCGGGTCAAGTGGTATACAATGGTGCGAAAATACAAATGCTCGATCTGCCAGGTATTATTCAGGGAGCAAAGGACGGAAAGGGAAGAGGTCGACAAGTTATTGCCGTTGCCAAGACATGCCATCTAATATTCATCGTTCTTGATGTCAACAAGCCGCTCACGGACAAGAAAGTTATCGAAGCAGAATTGGAAGGATTCGGGATCAGGATTAACAAAAGTCCGCCAAATATCGTTTTCAAAAAGAAAGACAAAGGAGGCATTAGTATCACCAACACTGTCCCTCTAACCCACATCGACCACGACGAGATTAAAGCAGTTATGGGAGAATACAAGATATCGTCCGCGGACATCGCTATTCGGTGCGATGCCACAATCGATGACCTTATTGATGTTCTGGAAGCGAAGAGCAGAAGTTATGTTCCGGTTATATATGCGCTCAATAAAATCGACGCCATTTCGATAGAGGAATTAGATTTGCTCTACAGAATTCCAAACGCGTGCCCGATTTCCGCTGAACATGGTTGGAATTTTGATGAGCTACTGGAACAAATGTAAGCCCCCCCCCCAGGCTGTTGGTTGGATTCATATACCCTGTTTCCGAGTTTATCAAGAATGTTTCTTGATAATCAGGGATCTCCCGTGGCACCTGCTCCATATGGTGTAGCCGCTAACATGCAGCCAGGTGGGAGAGATTGACCCTTGTGAGGGTTTATACGAAGCCTAAAGGAAAGCTACCCGACTATACACAGCCGGTAGTGTTACGTTCCACAAAGTGCACCGTTGAAGATTTCGTGAGTAGCACCGCCTCTTCCTGCAGTGTACTCATCCAGCTAACTGTTGGGACAGTGTAATGCTATCCACAAAACCATTGTGGAACAATTCCGACACGCAATTGTCTATGGAAAATCCGTAAAGCATCAGCCACAGCGTGTCGGGCTCGGCCACGAGCTCGCGGATGAAGACATCAGTAAGTTCCACTATCGGTCAAGCCTTTTTTATGGATATATTTCTAACCAGCCTCAAGTCACCATCGTCAAGAGGTAAGCAATATGGAATCTTCGGAATATCGAGCCATAGCAGGGGTTCCGAGACGCCAAGAAACAGCCATGCCTCCCAACCCATATTGCCGCTAGAGTACGGAATATGCGACTAGGGATGGGCACAAACTGAAAGGACGTTTTCGTAGATAATATGATATTACGTCAATTGACGGTATCACTCCTTAAGAGACACTGCGGATGGTAATTACGACGGCCGTTAAGCCACGACGTATGCTCACCCAACGGTTTCAGCCTCTTGGGAGAAATTCCTGTCGCCATGGAGCTATCTTTCTCGGAGTCCGAGGGTCAAAAGAACAACTGCAAAAGTATATCCAAGCTGGGATTCAATCGGAGGGTATACTCCTATTCCTGTCAATTGACTAGAATGGATAAGACAAGGCCGGTTTCAAATGGAAGACCAATTCAAATCAAGATGCCAATCCATCTGTATCCTAGGTTAAAACTATAACGTGAGAAAACAGTATTGGGAAGCTTCATGTTGGCTTTCGTGAAATTACGTCAGTTACTGCCTCGGATTTCCTTTTGTCAAGCCGTCAAGCCGTTATGCCAAATCCCAGGGATCTATACCCTATACCAGCTATATATTAGCGGAGTAGCAAACGGAAACATCTATCAGCCCATCTTCCTTGAACCTGCATGACCTTGATAGTCCAGAGAGATCTCGCCCAAGGGAAACATATTATTTCAAAACGGGGGTCAATTACGCACGGACAATGAGAGAGGCCTTTTCGCGCTTATAGAGCCGTGGAAAAGCAGCGGGAGTACGGTACAGGGGCCAATTTTGCCTATTAACGGGCGCCGCGGCCATCATAACCCCCACAGGAATTTCTCAACCAATCATTCCGGAAAATTGGGTTGGGCCCAACTAATTCGCCCGATTAATGCCTGATGTCAACCGTTCAAAATCCTCCTCTTGCCGCCGGAACAAAATGTGATCTCTGGCGTCGGCCGCAGATCCAAGGCTTACAAAATCGCAAGTACCTTGGAAGTTGGAGCAATGCGGTCTTCCGGCAACATCCAGATCGCATGAAGCCGTTGTTTGAAGATCAGGGCAGTGCTATATGAATCTACAAACCTATGTCTCCATCCAACAATGAGGCCAGGCCGCGACCTCACACAGCCCCGTGGGGGGAGGCTGGTTGGTTTCGGGAAATGTCCAAGTCCTCGTTCGGCATTGATTGTCTATGCTGAATCGCTGATCACTAATAAGATTGTCTTCTCCTTTGTCAGAACATTCGACAGATCAGATGCCCCACAACATAGCCTGACTAAAAGTCAACATCCTGAGGCCACCCATGGCTTTCATTACTGCAGTTCAAAAATCGAATCCAAAACAATGGATTCAAGTCCCATTTAGTCTGAGCAGGACTTTGCAATTTCCTGGACTAGCCATTGAAGCGGCATTTTCCTCATTCATTACGATCCATGCCACCTAGCCATCCGTTTTGGGCTTTAGGCCTCTATGATAATTGACTACGAAGCACGACCTCGTTTAGTAGCCGATCGAGATCCGCGTTATGGGTCTCCTTAAGGCTTAAGGCTTAAGGAATTGCAATTATAAGCTCATCAAGGCGTCGCGGATTGATGCCAGTCCCGCAATGAGTGTTCGACCCCGGCGAGCATCCGTTGAATGCACCACTTGGATGCTCCCCGACAGACCGAGTCCAGGCTCGAAGTTGTCATCGCTTGGGCCCATGATATCAATCAATCTTATCTTCTAATCCAATTGCATGTTTCCCAATTAGAAATCCTACCCAACATCTACCCTTTTTGGATGGCACCATTTCTACTATCGATAACCTTTTAGCAGAGACGAGATTAGTCGTTTCAGGCGACCATCCCTCGCAAAGGCGGAGAGCCATTATTATAAGTTACAACTTAATGAATGATATGACGACTTCATAGATTCGTTCCGCTTGATGCTTGCCGTTAATATACGGAACTCTCTGGCTAATAACTAACGGCAAATGGCTGGGATCGCAAGGAGAAGACGACAAGAAGTTGGACACAAGGAGATGGCTTGTTCGTCGTATATCACCGCAACAAAGTGGACGCCCAGGCCAGCGGCAGCACGGTCACAATCCGCAGCAGACGACAGGCCGTGATTGCAAGCTCACCACCATGCGGCGATCGCGGCAGGAGAGAAATCGGCATAACGTGTTTCCCTTCTGGATCTGTGAATCTCCCTCAAGCCATGGATCGTGATGTGGTCGCATTGTTCAATAACGGCCGCAAGCCTCGAACTGCGAATGATGCGGCTTCGGAGAGCCAGCGATATCGACGATTCGACACCGACTACCTCCGGCCAGCATAGGGCGGCCTCCATGACAAGGACCAGTCGAGGCCCCCCAAGCTTCTGCCGTACTGGATCGGCGAATAATCAAAGAGAAGCCTGCAAAGGTCAGGAATTTGGCGGCCGAAAATGATCAGACTGAGACACCAAGAGACCAAGACTAGTGGACCCTTCCGACTGCCGGCTATTGCGGTGTTGCTGTTGCTCACCAGGACACTGCTAGTCTGCTAGACTGCTACTGAGGAGGAGGAGTGACTGAGGACAGGCGGCTGTCTCTGGTCTGTTGTTTGTTGCCTCCTCCGTGCTAGTCGACTAGACATGCCATGGTGCTCGGAGACCGCAGACGGGAGCTTTCTCCACGAGTCCCACGCCCACGCTGACCTCACGCGTCCAAGGGTTCTGTGTGATCCAAGCTCCCCAGCGTCTGCAGACTGGAGATTCGCAGATTTCGTAGATTTTCATGCAGTACTCAGTCTCCACACTGCGACGGATACGCAACTGTTGGCTCTGCCGCCGCCATGCTGACCGGCGACCGCCCCGTACCGTACCGCAGAGTGGCCGCAGCTTGTGCCCCCATACCCGCGTCCATGATCCATGGTCTATGGACTATCAGTTGTCAGTGTCGTTGTGTCGCGGTCGCTGCCAGGCATGGCCCCATGAAAAGCCTTGGTTTTCCCAAGGCCTCACTGCTCGCCGCGGGACCCAGCCAGTCGTGAAGCCACCGTTTCTCCGCAAATGCAAATGTACGAGAGCTGCTCCCTGGCTCCCTGAATCCTGAATCCTGAACCTGAACCTGAGCTCCCTGAACTCCCTGAGGCCCTGCCCGCCGCCCCCCAGCCCAGCCGGTTGCCCTGCGCGCGGCCCTGGTACGCCCGTCGCTGCGCTCCCCGGCGACCTCGCAACACCCACCCTTCAACTTGCGCTCCTTCGCAAGACACATCCATATCCATACGTCCATACAGACTCTGTACATACTTACCTACATACATACATACTTACCTCCCCACGTCCACGTCCGCTCTGGACCTCTCCATCTCGAACCGGCACTGCTTGACGCTGCGAATCCGAATCGTGCGCTCTTTGCCTGCTTTATGCTGCCCGTACCTTAGCACAGCGGCTCGCGCTCCCCTCTCTCCTCTCCTGCGGCCAAGTCCAGCGTTGCACCAGCTGGGGCACCCAAGATTCCGATATTGACGCCGCAGCAGCCAGGAACAATTGCTTATCATGCATGCAGTCTGCCGTTCTTGAGGACTGCGGACTGCTTAGCCAGGAACACCATCAACAACAGCGGTGACGCCTACCTCGCGCGCAAGCAAGCAATCAACCAGTTCGGCGCGCAATTGGGGTCGCCTCGGCCGTTGGAGCTGAGTACCTATTCATCTAGACAATGAACGATTCCATGATGGCGCAAGTCGGCATGGATCACGAGCATCACGCTGCTGGAAATGAGAATGGGTTTGGGCCCAGTGATGGATGGGGCGATATCGGTCACCATTATAATTCATCGCAACATCAATCGCCAATATATGAGCATGGAGGGTTTGGATTTATGCAGCCGGTTCACCAGGAACTCCCCCCGGAGCCCTCGTTCAATTCGCAAAGGATATCGCAACCACCGCCAAACTCGCTCCCACCGCATCAACAGCTTCTACCCCTCATTATGCCCAGTCACCCAACATGGCCCAGCATGTTAACGAACCCCGCGAGTTACCCAGCCCCTCCAGTTGCCATTCCCCCAACGTCTGCTCCATTACCCAAGGAAAATAACACAAAGCTACCCGCAATTCATGCCACTCCTACTCCCCGGAAGACGCTTACGGACAGCGATCGAAGACGAATGTGTCAGTACAATAAAGATCATCCCAATGTAAAGCAAACGGAAATAGGAGGTAGGGCCAGAATCCACCCAGTTCTTGAAAGGGGAAGGCTTTACTAACCTGTTTCTAGCAATGTTTGGCGTGGAGCGAAGGTATAACCCAGCTTTAAACCATGCTGGGCTACAACTAATGGCCGACTTCTAGTACCGTGTCGAAAGTCCTCCGCCAGAAAGAAAAGTATCTCTGCCCAGAAGATCGGAGCTTATCACCAGTAAAACGTACCAAAGGCAAATTCCCTGATATTGACCGAGCACTCTCAAACTGGGTTAGAAATACCCAGAAGAAAGGCATTCCATTGTCAGATGCTGCAATTAAAGACAAGGCTGCGTTCTTTGCTAGATCGGTAGGTAATGATGAGAGTCATCTAAAGCCTAACAGCGTGGTTTGGCTGGAGAAATTCAAGCAGAAGCATGGGTTCGGGACAGGAAGGCTATCGCGGAGAGCTTCGGAAACGAACATCTCGGAAACGGGGTCCCTTAATGCGGACTCGACAGCGCAGTCAGCCTCCCAAACGCCCAATGGTATATCCCCTACTTCACCAAGCGGTTTGCCTTCACCATCACCGCTGTCTGCAACTAAGAGCAGTGACGATGATATCAAGTCTGAACACTTCAACGGGTACCTAGAATACGGTCAGGGGAACGGTAACTACAAGCACTCGAATTCTCAAAGTACGACATCCCTATCAAGTGCTTTTGCGGAGGCTCCACCATCATCGTTGTGCCCAACAAGCCCAACGCCTCCTTTTTCTTTCGCTTCAGACAACCACTCTGGCAGTTGGATGCCCTCACATCAAGCCCGACTCCCACCGCCAGGAAACAATTTCCAGCGGCCAAGAAGCCAAACGTTCCCCACGCTCGGTATCGATCCATCGTTTGCCTCGCAGCAATCTGAACCTTTGACTCCTAAGTACAACTTGCCTGTGACCGCCCCATCTTCAGCATTAGATTCTCCAATACGAGAGATCCCACCTCAGTTTGGAATCGATACCACTGTCTCGTCGCCTCAGCTCCATCACAGTAGCAGCAATGGGTCCATGGGCCCACCCTCGTCGACCACGCCGATCACAGGGCTTCAATCTCCTCCCGGATCCTCTGCCCCTGGATCGCCAACTCAGGATGATGCTCGGCGTGCCCTTGATACGTTGCTCAACTTCTTCCAGCAAGCACCAAACGGTCTAGTAGATCAGAATGAGTACATGACAGTCTTAAAACTGACCGAGAAGCTACGACTTCAAGGCCACGGGCCGCTCCCAGGAGGTCTCCATCGAATTGCAGAGCAGGAAATCGAGCTTGCAGCACCGAAGATGGAGCAATCGATGAGCGCCGAGGGATAAAGCCCTTCTATCTAAAAAATATCTTGAGCATCGCAGAAGCACTTCATTCCTGTCGTTACCAACACCCGGCGCTTTCAACGGCGTCACGTCTCCAATATTGTACAGCCCTAGCGCGTCTCTTGTCCAGCATATTCCTGTTACACCATTTCCAACACATATACTCTACCTATCGCTCTACTTCGGTGCAGGTTATGCTATAGGCTAGCACCAGAGGAATCCGCAAAAAACCATATACCCATGATACACCTCCCGCTCACGCGAAACAAGTCTCGAAATTCGTTTCCCACTTATCCATTTCTATATTTTTCCATAGGCGTCCTGCATGGGGATCGATCGAATTTTTTCTATATTTATATACATCAGCAGCGCTTGTGTGATCCTCCTCCAAATTAAAGGCACACGCCCCTACCCTGGGGCGAGAGGCAGCCTTTTTTCTTCTGGACTTTGGAAACCGTGTCTTCTGTAATTTGTCTTTTCCCCCTTTTTTGGCCGAGGCGAAGGGTATGTTGTTGGTACAGGGCCACTGAGGGGGTTACGAGATATCTACCGCAAGGTATTTTGGGGCTGACACAGATGAGGACCCCCCTCCCGCGGGTATGGATGGAAGTTGCGGACCGGCGATGGAAACGGGTTGGGTCATTGATACGCTTTTTCGATCAGGTAGTCCAGTCTAGTCTTTTCAATACAAGGCGGCCCATCTGAAATTTGGGAGGCCCCGTTTGAAAAAAAAACCCCCTTCGGTCCGAACTTTACGAGCAAACGTGACCAGGAAAGTGAAACTCATATTAATATTGATTACCTGAGAAAACTAGCTAGTTTAGCCTCTCCGTTAGAAGTTCGTCGACGCCTTTATCCGCCATCTCAGGCATGAGCCGCACGATGATTAATTCTACGATGCTATAGAGGAGGTGTTTATTACAATAGCCATCATCGAAGATATTCAAAATCTCCTCCACCTCCTGGATCCGCCGCTCGCCGTCGGCGCCAGCAAAGTAGGTGGCCTGGATTCTAGCCGGTACGAGCGATAAGATAGCCTCCGCGCACGAACGTCGTATCCGGAGCTGTTCGGAAGGCGAGGGGATTGTCCGTGGAGGTGCTAGGGTGTTGTTGGGAAATAGGGCGCTGCGCACGGCGCGCAAGAGCGAGGGTAGTCGTGAAGAGTCGAGGACATGTGTATGAATTGCGTGAGATAATATTCTGGATACGAGGGCAGGAGTTAGCTAAATCGCCCGATCAGGTAAATGTCTGTCGGATCAGACTCCATCCTTATCCAATAACCAGAGCCGTGCATATGAACAAAAGGATGATTTTCCAGTTCCAACACTGGCCCTGGGCTATAGAGCAAGAACCACGAAGTGCTACTCGTTCGTACTCCCCCCCATAACTACTACGGAGGTAACCGCTTGGAGAGCGTCGAGCATATCCCCCGGACGGCACTCGGAAAGGGAGATCAGCATTGGCCAAAGCTCAGATGCCCACGAAAAGCAGTATGCAGGACGTTGTTTGCGCATAGGGCGCATGCAATCTAGTGGATGGGAAGCGGCGGGATGTGCGGGAGGAAGGGCGGTGCGACGCGAGACAACGCCAACCGGACATGGCAGCCGTGGTATCAATAACGCCGGGCGCGTAAAGAAGTATTGCAAGGGGTTTGAATGAAACATGCCATATGTGTGAGGCGTGCGAAGTAACGATAATGAAATGACGATATGTTCCTCTTGCGGGCGCCGATGTGGTGCGGTCTAGAGCACGTTCCTCGGATTCTCGACGTCATGAGGGACACGAGCATGACCGCGGGACGGGGAGCTGTAAGATTCGAACTCGAAAAGAGCCAGGAACGCCATGAAGCCCTGGCGAGGATCTTTGTCTCTACCCACGAATGAAATGCGAGAAGTAGCTTGCCCGAGAAGGCAACCGCGTCTCGGAAACAATAACTGGGTAGATCCAAGTCAAGTGATCGAGATCTCATGCGGTGGTATGGAGACGGTTCCGAACAATTAAATCGAAGTAGGAAATAAGTAACTCACTTGTCAAGCATCCCATCGGTCGTGCCGACCTCTGCTGGTCCCACCAGTGCTGTCCACTGAAGCATTGATATTGCCCCACAAAGCCACGGCATACGAAAGTCCACATCTAGCAGGTGACAAACGACAGACCATGCTTTCATTTTGATGATTGGCGTCTTCTTCGTTTGTCTTCTCCCCTTTAGCCTAGGTTCGTTTTCCTGCGCGGGTTGAAACATTTGTTCTTTCGAAGCGCTTGGGTCTGTAGCATTTTCCGTAGGCGCCGTACGAGAGGGTAGCGATGGTGCTGTGGCAATCGTGGCGACCAAAAGCCGTATAGCGGTGAAGGTAACAAAGGCATATTGAAGGACTAGCCAAAAAGTGCTCCGAATTCGCAATCCAATTCCCCATTTCTGCTTGTCCGGGAGAGCCACAACTAAGGGCGGCGTGCATACTGAGTCTGAATTGGACCTCGCAAGACGAACATTGGCCTTTGATCCTGGGAGCTGGGTCTGTATGACATTCGCAGCTTTTGTGATACCCTCCCATAGCATCCATGGCTCTGAAGCCTTTCCACCAATACCACCGCCAAGTATCATCTCAGAGAATATTTGGCCGACTAAAGTAACCAAGCAATCATTTTCGAGGTCCTCGGTAGGTAATAGGATAGCCAAAACGCCTTGTACGAGCAGTTGCCTGTATACGGCCTCATTATTCAGCTGTTGCTGAGTGCATGGTCCTCCGCTATCATCGGGAACCGGTGACAATGCAGAGAGTGGCCATAAGGCGTGATATATCCTTCGGGGGTTCGCTTTGAGAGGCGGTGGATGTGGGGAATAATGTGCCGTTCGATGTGCTATGTCCCCCGTCAGCGAGAATGTCATACAACGAACACGAGTCCACTACCTTGGAGATGCACATCCAGAAGGTCTGGCAGCTCATCAAACAGTAAACTCTCCAGATCAACGTTCCTCATCCGCTGTTCGAGAGCTCTTGTGCAATGCGCGATAATCTTCACCACCTCCTCCACAAACACAGGATCTGGGGTGATCTTTGTGTACCATGTCTGTATAAACTCCCTGACAATAATTGCAATGAAAGCGTATAGCTGTAGATCCACCTCATTACTGCTCGTCAGCGGCGGGAGGATCTCGTCGATTGGGGCCGGGGTGCTTCGAGCTTTATCCCCAAGATGCGAACATAGAGCGCGGCGGATCAAAAAGAGGGTTGAACGGTCTGAGAGTGGGTCGGAGGTTCCCCGATTGCCCTGGCGGGGGGCAGGAGATGTCAATCTCGACACCGGTTCTTTGGGGGAAGATTCGGAAACTAGTGTTGGTGTTACTGCTGAGGTGTTGGAGATGGCCGAGGCAGATTGGGAGGAGATGTTGGCAGTTGAGATGGCCTTCGAACCGGGCTGAAGTCGTGACATCTCGGCCGGGGTGATGCGCCCAACTTATGGGAGGATGGGGCTTATGGGGTTTCGCATGTCGTGAACGTGAAGGGTTCCGCAAAGCTAGAACTATAATACACAGAAGTCAGGTTGAAGAGGGATCCTGTGAGTATATCGCGCTGGACATGTTCATAGTGTTGTCTCGGGCAATCATCGGGTAGTCAGCCTGGAGGACCAAGCTCAGCCTTGCCCCCCCCCCTTTAACTCCTGGGGTAGCCTCATCTAAATAGGTAGTAATATTACGTTTACATCTGTGTTAATTCCTATGGCTATCCATGATCAACTTAATAGTTAATTCAAGGCGAGAAAGAATTGGGGACGATAACTAGAAACAAAAATCTGAAAATCTTATCGAGTCAAGAACGAAAGGCAAGATCGTAAGGGAAGGTCTTCATATTGAAGATCTTTTAATAATATTATTACGCAAATTCGTTATGCGCCTTCTCAAGGCTATTCCGGTTCTAAACAGTGCGTATTAAACGCCCTTTATATTGCTTCCAGAGTAAATGCCAATGCCAAAAGAAAAATCATAGCTAGGCCCACCGATTCCCGTCGGTTCAAGAAAGTTGTTCCTAGCCTACTTCAAGTAGCAAGCCATCCGAAAGGCTTCGATATCCTTCCCCACGCTGTCATAGGAGGCTCCAATCAGGACATAGCTGGGCTTCCCTTTCGCTCAACAACAACTGGCTGCTTCGTCTGTGACACGGCGCCCAATGCAGCAGCTCCCAGCACCAACACTTGGAGCGGAATCATCATCACCATAAGGTATAGTGCAGCTTTGCTCTCCTTGCACAAGGTTCCCCAGTGTGGCTTCGCATCCATAGGGATTGATGACCACTGGCAGCTCCAGCTCTGGATCGAAGAGACGGTGTTGGAAGAGTTGACGCCGTAGAAGAAAGAGGTGCCGATAAGGCCTGCGATCAAGCAAACACCCGGGGCGAGAAATGCAACGGAGCTCTGGATCAGGGGCTTATTGCGGGCCTAATTACGCAACTTATCAGTGACGGGTCTCGAGGAGAAAGTAATATTGGGCTTACTAGTGAGACGCTCACAGCCAAGGATACCGCGCTGGTAATGGTGATGATTGCCCCGCAGACGACCAGCGCCGTGGTCGGTCGAAGATCGAAGTCCTTGGGCCACAAGGGAAGCATATACTCGTCTCCAAGATGTGTTGAGTTGAAGGTGGCCAATGTGTCGCCCGCAGTACCCACGATAACAATGGCAGACAGTAGAGCTAATGTTGTCAGGCCCAGGCGGACAGATTCGGCCGGTCCAGAGACCGGTGCCCTTCTTTGATGTCCAGCATTGTGAGCGTCAAAGTCTTCGAAATCGGAGTGCTGGACTTGGTTCGACGACATTGTTGCGTTTGTAATGCAATGAATGGAATTAAGAAAATGCGAGCACGTGATAGATGGAGGAACGTCGACAACAGAATAGGAATGCGAGATGACAGAATTGAATCAAGAGATGAAAGCTGATATTGGATGACTGAGGAAACAGAACATTGAATGACTTCTCTTCTTGTCTCCTTATACCCCGCGCTTTCAGATACTTATAAGTTAAACGCTGACATGTAGACTGAAATAGGATTTGGCCATGGCACCCGAAATGGCTGCCACCCCGTTGGCAGTGACTCGGGCCCGTAGACGCCTCTGTCAGATCTATTTCCTTCTCCCACTGCAACCCGCCAAAGATAGCGATGCGCTACTAAGGGCTCCCCGCCAGTGAGATTCGCTGATCCATTATCGTAGGGGTGGTTGGAGATGCGGATGTGGGAGACAACTCGGTTGTGTCGCGACAGCGACTCGTTCAATTGGTGGTGGGAATTTCGATGGCGCTTGGGTGCATCGATCCTGGGCGCCTATGAAACTTTGAATAGAAACATACAAGTATTTCGGCGCGGACGCAGCTCCCCTCCCCACGGGTTGGCGTTAGGTTTCGATGGGTCGCATTCTGAGAGAAAGAATAAGGAGGGTGAGTTCGATGTTTGAATTGAAGTTTGAAAAGGGGAAATGGTGTTTACCCGGAGGATGTTTGTTACTTTGGTGTCTGGTTTGCAGCAACCGTGTGGATGTTCAAAACACTCGAGGTAGCCTCAAGGAGGTGAAAAAGGGGTATACATGCACCCCAAGAGTTCGAGTATTTGTTGCATGTGCCACAGTTGTTATGATACCCCTTTCCTGAGTCAAGCACTTGATACTTCCTCGCTCACTGAGCTTACCACCTTGTCTCATTTCTGCATATGTTGAAGCTATCACTGTCTGGCCGGATCCCTCCTTACTCTATCTCTTACCCTCGGTTACGTTGGTTTTCTTTCCATGTCCTTTGCCTGCCGAGCTAGACAGAGAGCTCATTTCCAGGGCGCGGGGTTTCGGTAATGTCCATGTTGGCGGATGCTCCTAGGAGATATCCTGTGAAGACCGGGAAGCTGTGGCGGATAGGTCTGTTCAGTCGCAGAGGTACTTGTGCTGTTCCCAGTTCTGATTCGATCCTCAACGTAGGAGTACCGACTGCCAAATACAAAGATATCGGGGAGTTTATGGATTTGGAAACGAGTAATTGTGTGAATTACTCTGGTCAGGGCCAGGAATTAAGACGAAAGGACAAGAAAATTCCGCTTGATCAACAGTCGGCGGGCGATGAAATCCAGATCCACGGCCGCCTCTTCACAGAGTCACTCAGTAAAATGTCCCTGGAATTCAATGATGAACTCCTCATTCTCATTGCGATGTCTGCCCATCCCTCTGTCACTTTCTCCACACACTCACCTGGCTATGCAACTGCAAAATGAACATTGAGGTATGTCAGTGTTGTTGGATAATTTGCTAGGCTGTCTCCAGCCTTTGGACACCAACTACAATCGCCCTGTATTTGGGCCTTACTCCCGATTACACCGCCAGGGACCAAATATCGACCCTTACAGAACTAACCTTCACTTCGCGCATCCAACCGATTTTTGGTGGAAAAGCTATGTTGCCCTAGATGGTGCGTCTATATTATACCGTGAAGCAAGGATTAATAGCTGGTTACAACCAAAATACGTGCATAAATAGACACATGTGTAACTTATCCAAAAGTAGGGGATCCCCATATATGACGATATGGAGGGTATCACCGTGCTAGATACCTATTATCGCACTTGATATGATACCGGGTTTACGGTAGTGGCGGCAGTTGCACAAGGCAATTCTGCTTTTGGAGCGAGTTACATACAACCTGGCGGCAATATCATGCAAGATAATGAGGCAGAAATACTAAGCCCCTGAGCCAATATGTTCACAACTGCAATGAATGCCTTATCAGAGTGTTTAATTCACAGTGCCGGTACGGAGGTTATAAACCCGGTGAATTACTGTATTAATCAGGCCATTTACCCATTGTATTCACAAGCCATTCCCGTGCGACTCTCTCGAATTATTTGACCGGGGATACTTGTAGAAAACAATAAATTTATTTCGAGCCCAGAACCCGATCGTTACCTCAATATATACAGAGCTACTCTAGCAGTTATACGAGGAGTTTTATGCTGATCGATTAAATAAATGGTAAGCACGCTATTCTTCTGTATTCATGCAGGCAGAGACAAAAGCAAATCGGAAGGCCTCATGCCCAAAAGATCGCCCTAGATGGCCCGATAACCGAAACATGCTGTGCTCATCCGAGGTGGAGATATGCCTTTGAGTCGCACAACAGCGTCGATAGCTTGCTCATCGAAAACTTCACTCCCAGCGATGTTGGTGGTGGGACATTGTAGGACCAGGCCAATGGGGAAAGCAAGACATTATCACGAGCATACCGAGGGAGGGAGGTGTGTAGGTAAGTGAGCTGCAGCATTCCAGGCTAGAGGGTCAAAAACCGTCGTCACAAGGGGAGCTGAGCTGCTGAGCTGCTGAGTTGGTGTGTTGGTGAACTAGTTGCTGACCTTCGCCGCGAGCTGAACTTCATTTACTCCACGAAGTGCCAACGGTTGGTAACTATAGTTTTAAGGACAGCCAGCCGCACGCCGTTATTCACGTCAAGATTTAGGCCTCAACCCGGCGCACTGCGGCGCAGCGTTACTCCCGCTGTATCCAGGTATTGTACTTCCCTTATCCAAGTCTTGAAACAGACCTGTCGTGTTTGCTCGGTATATTGATCACGCTGCGCCGGATAATCCAAGTCGATAACCACAACCAAGTCCAGGTTTGCAGCTTCCTCACTCTGCGCTGGCGCCAGCCTGCCAGCATATCTGGTCGTGCGCCCGCGATGCCAAACTTCAACCTCTGAGAGTCTTCCTCTTCTCACTGGCCTCCCTCTTCCGTTCGCGGATGCAGCTGCAGCAACGGTGATCGATCGGGGGAAACATAGTAAGACAGGACCTCGTCTCACGCTTCAGTTGCACCTTCAGAGATAGCGGTATGGCCATGTCCGGCAGAAGCATATCTCCGGATACATCGGATCTTGATAGAGAGCAGCGTCGTATTACCAGGGCACTTGATCGTGGGGCGCCAGGCGACGAGGCGATATTCTCCAAGAATAAGACCCCCCAGCAGAAGGAGCTCGCGAGGCGCAAGAGCCAATATTACAATGATGTCTTTGCTCATCGAGAACCTAATTCCTCACCGCGGGATAGGGTCTCGAGAGAGTCCATGATTATGACAGATGTTAAGACGAACGTCATTGTGAGAAGCCCCCAATCCCACCACAGATATAGTGGCTCATCCTTCACAGATTCAAGATGAATACACCTTTATTACCGACCTCTCCTATAGTCTCTCCACCCGATACCAACGACCCGAATCTTCCATATCTGTCACAGTCGCACATTCTGCATGCCTGTTATTTGGTGGCACCTTCGATCCGGCGTATACAATGACCATAACCGCTCTGGGATCCCAACTACAGCCCGTTACGAACAAGAGGAATGCTTCCCTCCTTGCAAAGGCTATGGACGAGGCGTTGGGCGTCCCTCCGAATCGCGGTCTCATTAAGTTTGTCCCCGTGGCAGAGGAGAACCTAGCGACTGGTGGAAAGACCGTTGCTGGAGAGATCGAAGAGCTTGCGAAAGCGGCTGCTGAGGAAAATGCCAACTTGAAAAGGAGCTTGTCCCGTAACGCACTGAGAAGTACCAAGAAACAAAGTACAACGTCGTTACGGAATCCGAAGGCTGCTGGAGGCCAGCTCCAAACACATCACGAGGATGTGCTGACTCCAGTGAGCGAGCGGCCGACATCTTCACTTATCACCGCAACCTCACCCGTGCAAGGAGAGCTTGATCTCAAGGACGAAAAAGTCCGCAGAGTGGGACGGAGAAAGAGTTTTATTGCCGGTTTATTTGGAAAAGGATGATGGGGGCATGTACCACTGTGGTTGGGCGTCGCTCATGATGAGCTGCCTTGTTCAAATAGCGTTTAACCCCCTGCCATTTCATTGATGCATAGCGAGGAGTTCAGGGATGACACTGTAACTATGGATTACATTATTACAAACTTCGATTATACATAGACCTTCAGAATAGCTGGCTGTTGGGGATGATCCGCCGAGTTACAGTGGCTCTTGTCTCAGGGGTTATCTTAATCATGAGCAATGAGAAATGCTACCATTAACGTACCACAATCATCAAGGGTTTCATTTACAATTTACAACCTGCAGATGCAATGCGGAGCGCAGTGTAGCGAAGATCTGGATCTGGATGTAACTGGGTCACGAATCGGGCCCCTAACTGTAGAATGCTGCCACCCGTGGTGCTTACCCGCTGCCCCCTTGAATGTGGGTTCGAGATAAATTAACAAATTAATACCCTAGCCAGCCTCCCCTCAATGCCGAACACTGTAATTATAATCCCACCGTTATATACGGAGCGTCCTATATATGGGTATTTTGCGGATCGCCAAGATAGGTGGTGTGAGGCTAGCTGAGGATATCAGATATCATATGTCACTACACCGTCGCTTCGCTTGTGGGCATATCATTTCTCCCCGCAATTCCTGGAGACGTCCCAATCACGAGTCTTAAGATTCAACACTCTTCGCTCCGCCTGCGAGATTATACTGCTCTTTCAACATCGACCTCAACCTCAGCATATATCTTGAGTAAAGAGACGCCGGAGAGAGCCGCTTCCCAATAATTTTATGCCTGTCTTATCGCAATACCACCGCATCCAACGTCGATTGGAGCTCGGATGATAAGCGAAGACGGTGATAGAAGCTGCCTTGCACATTGACCCCTCGGACGAAAACGATATCAGGAAACCAAGCAGACTACAGCGAGGACCGAAGTATCTTCAATCGCTGCCGCCAGGTGCAGCCGAAGAGGCTGACAACGGCCGGGGACCGTCGTTGTATCCATCGGCGGTGACGTGTTAAACGAGACGGAGCAGGACAGCAGTGAAGGCTATGGAGGTACGAGGTTTTCTTTCTTGCAATCCCCATGTTTCTGTTTTGCTGGACTTGAATTGCCCCGGGGTCTCTTTCCTCCCGCTGGAGTTTGGCCTACGGGACTCGATGTCTCTCCGTCTAGGACGGTGCGGGAAGGTTGCTCATTCAATATTGATTTCTGCCCAATCGCGCATCAATTCGGTCTGGAAGAAAATTCAATGCTCGAGGCGCTTGTACGACATTGGGCGTTGCAGCTTGCGATTCGGGGTGGATTGTTCCCTTTCAAGCTGGATCTAGCGTTTGTTGTCAAACTCGGGGCTGTGTTGTCGATGGCAGCTCAGAGAGCTCGTGTTTTGGTGGACCTGTAGTTAAGGGTTCGCCATACCTGTCATTTGCGGAGCCTCAGTATTGCAATTGCGTTGGAGCATCTTAGACGGCTATGCTGCGACTCCCCGCCGGATAGCGAAACACACTATCGTCTATCTGACGCCGAGTTATCGGAATCTATCAGTTGTCCAAAGCACCAGATCTGTCCCCAGCCGACGCGCAAACAGATGTGTTTCTCATATTATATTGAGATAGCACTCTGGGCATGTACAGTCGCATAACTGCTTTGCTCTCACCTCTAGCGGTGATATAATTTGCCCTCAAGATTGAAGCCCCCGTTTTGCTGCACATCAATTCACCTTATAGGCACGCAAAGCTGCATTGAGACCTCCATTTTTGCGTTCGATTTTCATAACTGTCGTTTTTCAAACATCATGAACCTCCTTCGTAAAGGTCGGAGGTGGCCCAAGTTGGATTCCTCTTACAATGGCTCCCCTCGTCAAGGTCCTGTCCGCCACATCAGTCCAGCCCAGCTGAATCTCGAACGTGTTCATGAACAGAATCGTCTCAACGTCCAAAAGAAAGATGGAACTAAGGCTCCTGAGCCAGCCCCAGGCCCTGCCGCCAAAGGGAAGCCAAGATTATTGTTGATGGGCCAGCGAAGGTAAGATCTATAACTTCCCAGATTATGCACATCAGCTCACCAAGAGCAGAAGCGGAAAATCATCAATATCAAGTGTTGTTTTTCATAAGATGCCTCCAAATGAAACTTTGTTTCTAGAGTCCACGGCTAGAATACAAAAGGATTCCATGCAGTAAGTCCTGTCACACAGACAATCTAGCCCAATCTTACAGTGGTTATAGTTCATTCATGGACTTCCAAGTCTGGGATTTCCCTGGCCAGGTTGACTTCCTGGATCCGTCCTTTGACCTCGACGCAATTTTTGGCGAAATCGGTGCCCTTATTTGGGTTATCGACGCTCAAGACGACTATCTCGAGGCTATAAACCGTCTCAACAGCACGATTTTAAACCTCCAACCGAGCTATCCCAATGTCAATGTTGAGGTCTTTATTCACAAAGTTGACGGGCTTTCTGATGACTACAAGCTGGACATCCAACGTGACATCATGCAGCGGATTCAAGATGAGCTCTCTGATCACGGAGTCGAGAATGCTCCAATCAACTTTCATTTAACATCCATCTACAACCATTCCATCTTCGAGGCCTTCAGCAAGGTCATTCAAAAGTTGATCCCTCATCTCCCTACCCTAGAAGCACTTCTCAACGACCTTTGCCGTGCTTGCAGGTTCGAAAAGGCCTATCTCTTCGACGTCCTCTCCAAAATATACATCGCCACTGATTCTTCTCCGGTCGACATGCCATCGTATGAGATCTGTAGTGACTACATCGATGTAATTGTCGACGTATCAGAAATCTATGGTTGGGAGCGACCCAAAGAATACATAGAGTTCTTGGAGGGGCAACCGTGGAGTAAGAAGTTGGAGGATCAGGTAGCTTGCAGGGATGCAGAGAGCGCCATTGTGTTGACGGATATGAAACGCCCGATCATGCTGCGTGAGGTTAACAAGTACCTTGCGTTGGTGGCTGTTATGTGCGAGGGTAGCTATGAGAAGATGCCTAGTGTCACGATGAATGTGGAGAGCACAGTGAAGGGCCTGCTGGAAGTTTTTGAGATTACAAAACAGAGGAAGTAGAGTGTGTCTCAACAGCCGTGGCTGATAGAAGGCTCGAGTCGTTTTAATAGGGTGAAAATGGGAAGTATTATTAATGGACATGATGACCTGAACTATCCCGTTGATAGCCGTCCCGTATCGCAATGCTTTTCATATTTTCTTCCTTACCAACGCAGCAGCGGTGAGTGTATAGTAAAGCAAGGTACTTACCCACTTCTAGTTCGCTTTCTTCCGGGTGAGATACAGTGAGTTTTAGTTAGCCTTAGAGCGATGTGCTTCAGGTTGACATCAGCAGGGCGCACCAAGCGACTGGATGCCAATCCTCAAGGAACAATAAACCCCACTTAGAGTACCTTACATCTGCGACAACGTAACCAGAGAACTGTAGACTCCCAATGCTAATAGGATAAAGCAGGGACGAATTTTTAGAATTGTATCCTCCTCACTCTCTGCATCGAACTGGAAGTGGAAATAATAATTCGTTTTATACAAGCTCAAGGCATTTAATTTATCTCATAGTCTTAATCGCCACAAGAGCCATGACTTCAACACAGACTATCACACTTGAGTCTCTACCTCACAACTCAAATGTCTCAACTGCCAGATCCAACAAGCGATCTGGGCCACCGAACCTACTCGGCTTTGACCCAGCCAATGCCGATACAATAATCATAGCATCCCGGCTCGCCGATGCTGAAGTCCCTGATGGCGGGTACGGCTGGGTCGTTATATTTGCATGTAGCACGGTCACGTTCTGGTTCGTGGGAACGACATATTGCTGGGGGATTATGCAAGCTGCTCTTGTTGCTCGAAAGCTTTCAAGTCCATCTACGATCGCCTTTGTAGGATCACTAACCTGCGCCTGTATTTCAATATTGGCTCTTGTGAATGCGAGGGTTATAAGGGCGATTGGGGCGAGAAACAGTAGCCTGATTGGCGTTGGCTTGTTAGGTCTAGGAGAGATATTGAGTGGGTTCTCAACGAGAAGTGTTGGGGCTTTGTTTTTCAATGCGGGGGTTATTATGGGACTTGGATGCAGGTATGTCTTTGACACTATATGATAGATGAAGATGCCGAAAGCTGCTAATGAATAAATTTAATAGTATATTATTCATGGTATGTGCCAGACCCCATCAGATCTTATATCTCATCTGTACTTTGAATTAACTCCCAGCAAAGGTGATATGCACAGTTCCAGCCCAATACTTCAGCAAGAAGCGTGGAATAGCAAATGGAATCGTCTACGCCGGAGGTGGCATAGGCGGAACGGTAATTGCCTTTGCAGTCAATGCTTTGATTCAAGAACTGGGGCCTGAATGGACATTCCGAATCCTGGGCTTGGTAACACTTGCTACGGGCCTTCCAGCGGCATGGCTGATTAAGGAGCGTGCTCCTATAACTACTACAACATTTGTCGAATGGTACGTTCATCCGATCAAAATCATATATTTGTGCCTAGGGGAGATAGCTGATATTATTTCATAGGAGCCTTTTCAAAAACATACAATTCTCAACCCTTTTCTTCGCCGGCGTATTAGCTACATTCCCTCTTCCCGTACCCCCTTTCTTTCTCCCCTTGTACAGCGCATCACTCGGTCTCTCCCACGGTGTGGCAGCTGGTCTGGTTGCCGGTTTCAACTTCTCATCGGCAATGGGCCGGCTTTGTTGCGGCTTGCTTTCTGATTCCATAGGTCCGGTTAATACGCTTTTTCTTTCATTGTTACTGAGTGCTGTGAGCATGTTGGTCCTGTGGCCGGTTTCGAACTCCCTTGCTCCGCTGGTTGTTTTTGTGATTATTAATGGTGCGGCGAATGGGGGGTTCTTCTCTACTATGCCGACGGTTGTGGGAACTGTGTTTGGGTCCCAGAGAGTGGGTGTTGCGATGGGTATGATTGTCACTGGGTGGGGTGGAGGTTATTTGATGGTCAGTACTGTAACATTCTTAACCAGCTTCAACCCGCTCCAGGTTTTGTCACTCACCTAGGGAATCCCCATGAATACGTCTAAAGACTCTTTCCCGGTATAAATATGCACACGCTAACTAGTTCCAGGGCGCTCCAATCGCCGGATATCTCCTGGCAGCATACGGAGGAGAAAATAGTACTCTGAAGGCGTATCATCCAGCTATCTTTTACGCTGGATCAATGGCCCTTGGCTCTGCGGCACTGGTCCTAGTGGTGAAGTTGAGACTCAGCAGAAATCCCCTTAAGCGTTTATGAGAGGATGGTACTTGGTATATAGGTGAGCGTTCTAGTTTTAATGGAGATTATGGCTGTTTATGTAGAAAGCTATAATATTTCTTTGTGCTAAGTGTTTACCACATTTCAACCCAATATAAAGCAAATAAAAAAGGTTTAATCATCCATATTAAGGGAGGACAAAGCTGCTCGAACATTTGAGGTTGCATTGCACATGGTAATAGTAGTCTGTCGTGCTATATGGCCGGGCGTTTGAAAATTTCCAATAGATCCCTGAAGGAAACAAATATGGGGATCAAAAGGCGTCTCAGGATATAACCTATATAGATATCCAAACACCAAACTAAATGGAAACCGAGAACTATTAGTTCCAAGGCAGATTATGCAACGGTATTTTCTAAGGTCTAGCATATCGCCTATTTCATACAAGTGACTGTGAAGTATCCGGGCAAGTATGCCCAGCTCTACATACCCATCATTGCAGCACCGGTCAAGGTTCATCCACAAACCCAATTGCCTGTCCCATCTTGACAGTCTGCCCCTTCTCAACAGTCCAGTTCCAACCGCCCTTTATTTTAGTTTCGTCCCCCATCCATCCTTCATCGAGACTAGGCCGCTTCTTCTTTGGCGCCTCAAAGACCAGGACGACGGTACTACCTAACTGGAAACCACCCATTTCTTCACCTCGCCTTAAAGCGTGGCCGTGTAATATGGGGCTGGCGGCCTCGTAAGTAGCCTCTGCAAAGCCGCTATAAGGCTCACCACGTTTTGCGGCCTGCTCGGCTGCCTTATCAGCAGCAGTGTCAGTGGTTAGGGAGTTTGTGCGCAATTCCCGATCGAAATTGATCTTAATTGATCCGACGTTGGTAGCACCAACCGGCGTATAGGAGAAGAAACCCCATCGCCACCTTCCCATCAGCACAACTCTCTCATTAAGTGTGAAAAGCCCAGGCAATGTCCGTTGAAGATACGGCGAGACACTATACAATTCCCCAGCAAAGTGCCGTCGCTTCTCAACTACCCATGCGGTGGGTGAATGGAAGCGATGATAATCCCCTGGTGCAAGATATATAACAACATAATATAAAGCAGTTCGATTTGCTTGTGTGACACGTGCGTACCAAGGGCGAGCACCCAGTGCAAGTTCCGCCCTAACCTCGGCTTCTGAAGCTGGTTTGGGGGTTGTAGATGCATCGGCGGTCTTTGCGTCCGGTCCCTTATGTGGGCCCGAGAAAAGATTGGGCAATGTATATGATATACCATTGACAGTGGCAAACTCTTCATCCTGTTTGATCACTTCCGAGTCCCCTTCTCTGTATGAAGTGGCACCTTTCTTTGGCATCATGTCATGGGATGATTTAGGTGGGTAGGATTCGTCTAGTTCGTGAGCCCCGAGAAGGGCATCAAGACTATAAGTCATGCCTTTGACTTGTTCTACCTCACCACCCACAATTCTTCCGAATTGAAGCACTCGCCCATCAGATGGGGACAGTAGGGCGTTATGATTAGGGTCTAGGGGCCGCACGCCAGGTTTTAAAGTTCGATAGAAGAAGGCAGCGAGGTTTGGATATACATGGAGATCGGGTTCAGATACTTCTGAAAGACTGGGGACAAATTAGCTTGACATCACCTGTGGCGTTTGTCGAGGGACCATACTTAACACCAAAAATGAACGAATATAATTTGAATCCAGGAACCCGCAAATAGTATGGAATTTGAAGCTCGTTAAATTTACCCCATAACCTCGATATGGCTTTCAATGGTAACGTTGACATGACCTGGATTTGCCTAGCGGTATGTTAGTTGACTTTACGGGAGAGTAACCATAATCACAAGAACGAACCATGGTCCAGTTGGCCTGATTTTAGGACGTTTTTGGGGGCTGCCTTCGGGGCCTTCACCATCACTTCCCCCAGAGGTGCCATTTACATATCCGTTATCCCCCAACCCATCTTCTTGTTGCCGTGCCTTTTCTCGCTCATTGATCCGGTACACCTGGGCAAGGCCGAGAAATCCAATGCCCACACTCACCGGTATGGGATACCACTTGATCTTTGTATCGTCCAGGGCCTTTCGAAGCCGCGTCCAAAATGACTCTTTATAATTCGACTGGGGCCGGTAACGCTTGGCCGATGATGAGAACGCTCGATGATTGCTGTGGTTGTATCGAAAACGAAAATGTAGCTGCGACGGGAGCCCTCGAGGCCGAGCTTGGCAAGGCGCCCGAATCATTTGAGGCTTTGCACATCGTACTATTATTGGTGCCATTTGGAAAATAATTGGCGTTGATGTTTAATAGTTGCACATCCTTAGCCAGCCATAAAGAAGATAAAAAGAGAAAAGGTGGAGTAAAGAATATAATTATGTACTTCGTAGTAATAAAGGCAAGATCTTCTGTTGAAACCCCCGATGACGAAGGGTCCATGTGAATTCTCCGGGTCGGTGAATATTATCGCCGTGGTAAATACAAACGCGGATACGGAATATCCTATATCCGTCTCAAACCCAAGCTGTAGCACACGTATCATTATCATTATTGACAGTTGAGCATTGATTCCACTGAGCAAAGAGCTTCAGCTCTTCAGTTGCACCAAGCCAATAGATTCGGCTTTCAACCCCGCACACAGCAAAGCAACGAATTGGGCGGTCTATTTTCTCTTTTACAGCTGTCCTAAATTCGAATTTGAGCGGTCCTTGCCCATACACAGCTCCCTCTGCCAGAACGCTCCACGTATCCAATAGACCAACGAACATCACCTTATACATAGGAAGATGGCCCAACCACAATCTGCCGGAAACGATGCGCCGACAAGAGAAGAGGAACAGCCAGAACCCCTTTCATTCCCCCTGGTGATTGTGTCGCCGTCAGTGGGAGCTGCGAGCCGTTTGAGCTTCCCTCATCTGTCTGCAAACACAACGGTGAAGCAGCTGAAGGCAAAGGTTCGAGATGCTCTGCCCTCAAAGCCTGTGGACGATAGCCAGCGATTGATCCACCGGGGACGGATGCTGGGAAGGGATTCTGAAACTATGCTGGAGATATTTGGTCAAGAAACTGTAAGGCAGGACACATTGTGCCGTTGCGCTCAAGGGATGTGGCTAATTATACTATGATTACTTCTAGCTATGCAATCCAGAACCACAGACTTTACATTTGGTACTGCGGCCTGCGGAGGGAGCCTCAGCTCCTTCATTGACATCTACGCCGGTCGCGAGACCACCACCGCCAGCTATCCCACCACCAAGTAACAATAATCCGTTGATACCATTGCCCCAACCTCAACCCCGTTCCCAGTCGACACCTGTGCCTGCACATCCTTTTCAAGGGATGCAAGCCCAGCAACCCCTCCCCGGCTTTCAACACGTACAGCAGCATCAGGTTCTTCACCAAGCTGAGCACTATTATCACCACATGGCGCAGAGGCTACAGCAACTACAACGTGAGACACAGCGATTGCAGCAAGAAATGGGGAGCCTTGAGCAGCGTTATCGTACTCAAGGCGGCGCCCCTGGGGCCCTGAACCCTGGCCAACATGGACCTGGAATTGGACCTGGGCCTGGACACGCAATGGTTAATCCTCTGGCCGCTCCTCAAGTCCTCCTTCAGTTGCCCCACCTTGGTCTGCGGCCACCTCAAGCCATGCCCCCATCTGTACAAACTCTCATTGCTCAGCAACAACGAGAGCGCGCGGCAGAAGGAAGACACGGAGCTCAAGACAATAGTGGGAATGTGACTCCTGTGGACCAGACGCGATTAAGTTCGTCAGGGAGAGCGAGTCCCAACGTTCACAGACCTAACCACACCACTACTTATACCCGTGATGGCACCGGGCCAAATGGCGAAAGGTGGCAGGTGACCGTGAATGAGACTACGACAACGCTTCCAATGCCGCAACCCCATATTCATCATCACCATCCAAGCCAGCAGGCGCCTGTGAACGCCGCATTGGATATTCAAGCCGTTTTGCGCAACGCAGATCGTTATCTAGCTGCCCAAAACAACCGAACTGCCCCGGGAAACATGCAACGAAGCGCTTCAAATCCGCAACAGCCGCTTTCACAGGAAGCTGTTGGTAGCCCTACTCCAGCCATATCACAATCCAACACGGGGTCGATAGCTACTCCTGCCACTACGGATGGCTCCCCTTCCGCTTCCGCCATTCCGAATCCATTAACTGTAAACAATGAAGCAGCTGCAGCTGCAGCTGCAGGTACTCCGTCTCCTGAATCCACGGTTTATATACTCTCATCGCCTCAGGGCCCTCGAGCGCTTCTAGTCAGTAACTCGGCAACATTTTTCACTCCTCGCCAGCACTCCAGACGTCATCGACATGATCCAGCGGCATCAGCTCAAGCTCGGGGCCAAGCTGGGGCGGCGATGGGAATTCCAGAATATCAGAATGGCCCCGAGGAACGGCAAGCTCGACGTAATCGACGCCAGCGGAATGACGATCAATTCCAGCAGGTAAACGTGCCCCATGCGAATCCGGGCGCGGGTGCTCTCGCTGCACAAATTGGGCCAATTTTGTGGTTGATGATCCGCTTAGTTGGGTTTGTCTGGTTCTTTACCTCGGGAAACTCTAGTTGGGCACGGTGGATTATGGTGAGCGGTCTCGCATTCGTCGTTTTCCTTATCAACACTGGTATTTTCAATGGACTTGCGGAACAAGTATGGAGCCCAATTAGAAGACATCTCGAGGCTTTGCTACCTCTTGCTGGACCGGAAGCCGCCCTGGTTCCTGCTGCCAACGCGGCCATTCCGCAACCAGGAGCGGCACCTGCTCGAGACAACCAGGAAGCTCCCGCTCGAGGTCAGGGCGAGCCGGATCCGGCGGAAATAGCTGCAAGATTGCTTGCTGAGCGCCGACGAGCGAATGGAGGTTGGCTCATGGCCCAAATACGACGTGCAGAACATGCTTTGCTATTGTTTCTCGCAAGTTTAGTGCCAGGTGTCGGTGAACGACATATTGCAGCTAGGGAGGCAGAAGCAAATGCTGCTGCTGCAGAACGACAACGTCTCGAAGCCGAGGCGGAGGCTGCGGCGGCTGCTGAACGCTCGGAGGAAGGAGAAGGGGAAGGTGGCCATGAACAGGAAACTAGCACAGAAGCTCAGACGGGCGTTTCCAGTGGGGACCAGCCAGGCCAACAGGACCAGCCTCTCATTGAAATTTGAAGTAGATGTACTCTATACCTAAGATAGATTCCTAATGAGATATGTGCACACAAGTGATGAACAGCCCATTTAAAGTTCCGGCAAAGATATATTTGACATTAGCTATTATGGTTGCTGACCACAAGTTAAAGCCCCAGCTTCTTGAATATATAGGCTATCAAACGGATATATAACTCGAACAGCCCAAAAGATGAATCTTGATCATGCTTAGTGGTAAAGATGGAGTAGAAGTATTGCTAAATTACGGGTCTCCCACTTGAAATCCCGCCTGTTAATCCTTTTGTACTTCTACTAGAGCCTACAGAGTCACTTTGCAGGTCGTGCATATTAAACTAACATAACTGTATCTATATTGTTACTTGTGAGTTTCACGGAAGAGCGTTGCTTAATGAGGATGGTGTGAAAATGGGATTGATAATATGTGCAGCCTCTTTAGTATCAATTAAAGAGGCTCGCATAAAACATATACAAAAGATAAAAATTAAAAATTTAAAAAATTCATGAAAAGTAGGACTCTCCTACTTATACCCCTTGAGGTTTAGGCGTTGACTCATTCGTTGGAATGGTAGGGGAATGCAGTCCAGCTGCATCCAGTCTACGTCTCTCCACCGCGTACTCATTTTGAGGCGAGCCGATGTTACCGACGCTAGAATACTCGCCATCTGCATCATATCCTTGGTCACCACGCTTGGGCGTGCCCGGACTTCCCATTGCAAGTTGAGGAGCAGATAACTCAACTGTATCGTACTTGGGCCTCTTCGCTGCGCGCTCAGAAGATTGAGCAATCTGCAAATCATCCGCAATGCTATCATCCTGAATGTCATCATCCAAAATGTTGTCATTTAAATCGGAATCATCGTCATCAGCATCAGTGTTCTCAGCAGCGCGCTTGCGCTTTCCACCGAGGGCAGGCCCCCTTTTGTTGCCCAAAGGGCGTCCGAGTTTCCTGCCTCTTACTTTTAATGCCTCTCCCTCGGCGAAGAGGTCGACGTTATTGCGGTGTATATCAATGTTATTGCCACCTCTTTTCGCCCGTATAACTTGCACGAGCTGTGGTTGCAGCCGGATATGCTCCTCAGTAAGCTGTGAGCAGAGAGACATCGGATACCAGTCGTGTCCTTGTGGGCGTCCTCCTGCGACGTTGCCCCAAGGGACAGAAGCCTCGATAAAATCCCTCGTTACGGTCTCCATGCTCTGGTGGTCCCTGTTAACGGCCATTCTGTTCCGTTCTTCTTCAAGAAGTGCGCGGACGTCGGCCTTGACATTGAACTGTTTGCAGAGAGTGGGGAAGTCGATGAACTTTTCCAGGCAGTATAGATGTACATACCCGGCGTTGTGGTACGGGTCCAACGCGGGAACCATGTCGGTCCATGATAGTTCATCGAAGCAGACTCTAAACATGCCTTTGTTGATACCACGCGTGGGGTTGGGGCAGTCTCTGAATCTGCACTTCATGGAATCTTTATGTGGGTATCGTCCTCTACTGTCTGCAGGTGATACTTGAACCCATAACCGGAGTTTTGAGTGCCTTTTATCCGCGCAGCCATAGTGAAGAGGGTGTTGAGCAAGATAGGTGATCATTTGATCAACCGTAAACGTACTACCAGGCATAAGCTCGCCATACTTCGTATATTGGAAGATGGGCTTGTGAGTATCGGGGTCTAGAGGTCCCCAAGTCACCGGCATTTGAGGAAGAGGTTGGTAATGCTCCCTGGGATTGAACTTGAGCTTGTTCAAAAATCGGTTATTTTTCGCGCCTGGTATGGACTCAGGTTCTGAGACATGGAGCCTTACGGACTCCTGCCTATTGACTTCCTTTTCAAGAGCCCGTTGAAGCCTCTCGTCGAAAGGGTATTTGATGTAGTCTATTATCTTAAGCGCCATCACTGGGTTCTTGAAATTATTCAGCACCTCGTTGCTATAACAGGAGCGTTCTGGCGAAGATTCTCTTGGGAGAGGTTGGGTTATAGATGGCCGTCTAGGCTCAGGGCCTGCTAGGAAATTTTGATCTCCTCCTTCGCGAGGAGCATGAAAGTGGGATTGTGGTGCAAGCAATGGATTGAGGTCGTGGCTTGTGGACATATTTTGGGCAAATGAAGGTTCCTCCAGCTGGAGAGCTGGTGTTGGAGTTGGCTCGTGAGGTTTATAGGATGGCCGACGACTTTGATCTACTTCCTTGATAGGGGCATCAAGATCAACATCCATCGGGAACCATCCATTGATATCCTGGTCGTCTGTATATTGATTATTCTCGACAAAATCCATCAGGTAATTTTCCGCATATTTATCGCTCCCGTCCTCACCGAGAATCCGGCGCAACTCGGCATCCATAGTACCAGCATTGAAAGGCGATTGGCCTGGAACGTCCGAAGTAGCCATAGTTGTATGAATAGTTGTATGAGTAAGCAGCGCGTTCTAAAATGAAACTTATTGCACGATCCAGTCGTGTTTGAGGAAAGGAACAGGACCTGGTTGTTTCTCAAAAGTAGAAAATGGGAATGGATGCAGAACAGATAAAACACAGAAAACACTGCAGAGCTATATATATAGAGATAATTCTTTATTCAAAATGTTAAAGAGAACAATGACGGTGTTCGATCCAACCATCTGGTGCATTGGCAGAGGAGCCTCGTGGGAGATAAAGAGCCGAGAAAGGATCGATGTTTTCATTGTCTTATTCGTATATTCCTAAAGAAGTTGCTTATTGTTCTACCATTGTGTTTTCTTTGAAGCTGAGCCCAACAATCTTTGTGCAAAACACAAAGAAAGCAGAGAGAGCACCTTGTGCCTTTGATCTTGGAGAACCTCGGAATAGTTTTCTTTAAGAAATAGCCAATTTCTTGTCAAGAATACAAAGAATGCCCAGACACTTTGCACCTTTGATATCGAAGCAATGGTACGGGTTGAAAAGGGCAAAGGGCTACAGTACCATCGTCGGCCTCTATCGATCCACCACAGTGCGTTAGGCAAACATACCGTCGGGTCTGGCACTGGAATAGTAGAACAAGGAGCATGGGAGCTGGACCGAGTCCGATAACAAACCTTTTCCAGTACTGAGACGACGGAAGCCATGTTAGCTGCTGACGTGATTCGTTGACGATACTGTGTCGACTGAAGTAAGCTTCTGACACGGCATGGTATTTTGGGGATTGAGCATAATGTTTGTGGGGCAAGGTTCAGTAGGTCTCCAAGATAATCAACATTGTGTTTTCAGAACAGGTCTGTGATAATCTTTTGCATTTTTCATCATCTTGCGATCACCGCGGGCCTCGCAGTCTGCGGGGCCACGCGAGGGTTGTGTGCTGATTGGAATAGCATATGGAGGAAATTCACGTACTGGCAGCCTGCTTCATAAATGAGAGCAACCCATCATGATAGTTAATCGAGCATGTTGGATCGTTGATTGAAGCACGTGCTCAAGCTAGACATCATCGTAAGAATCACATCCTAATACGTACAGGCGACGCAGGAAGGCGTGGATAGGCTGAGAAATGGTGTTGTTATATAGTTGATATCATACAGGAATGAACAAAAACAGGAAAAAGAGAGACGAGAAAACCAAGAGATCAAGAGATTTGTAGTCCTTTGTTAGTGGGTGGAGGACACGTGACCCGACCCCTCGGCCCGCAACCCCCCTGCCACCTTGACCCTGATCCCATTGGCACGGATCGTCATCAACTCGTACCTTAGTCGTCCATTCTGCTGTCGATTTCCATTTCCACGACCATGGCCTCTACATGATGCTCGTAACCTGATATAGGGGGTTCTTACAATACGATTCCCGATCTTAATCTGCAGAAACCGCGAATTCATGCTTTCGACAGCGTGCGGCCGTCTCCGTCCTCCCTGATCACCCTGCGCCGGGAAACACACCCCGCTGCCGACCCAGCCTGACAAGGGCAACTCTCGCTGTCCTCCCTCTCTCGCTCCGCGCGGGTTTTGAGCGAACAATTCCCCAACGATGGCGACGAGCAATCCAGAGTTGCAGGAGAAGCTGCTGGAACTGGAGCATGAACTCGAGGTAAGCCGAGGATTTCCAACTATGCAAGAGAAGTGCTGGGCTGTTTCCCAATATTGGAACGAGCGCATTTTTCAGGCTGTGATGCTAACTTGGCCCTGCGTAGGAAGGAGATATTACAGAAAAAGGGTATGGATGACCCTGCCTATGACCTGCAGACTCATGGCAGCCACCTTTACCAAAAAGATAGGTGTCTAATGCGGCTTCTATAGTTACCAGAAACGGCGAACGCTGTTATTGTCACAATACCTTGGGCCATCCTCTGGTACCGCCGAGGTGAAAGGTCTCCGGATACACTCACCAGATAACACTCTACACCCCTCGAATGATGGCTCGCGCACCGCCTCACTCGCAGCCCTTACTGCGAGTTCGATATACCCAGAGCAAACACTAGGCGCACGAGCTCAGCCGCCTTCCAGACCGACATCTAGTCGATTAGATACAATGGCGAGCGACTTCGGAAGTAATAGAGCCCAGGAAGGGGGCTTCCCTAGTGAAAGGCCGAAAGAGTTGCGGCTTGGTATCCATAATCCAGTGCCGAGACAACCGTCGTCCGGTCATGATTCGCTCTTCCTACCCAGAACTCCTACATTTGATGGAAGGCAGGGAGATCGGGGTATGACAATGGGATCGACCAATTCAGGGGCAAACTATGCGTTTAATCCGGAATATCAATCGGGGCATACCGAGCAAGCCGGTGAAGTTTATGATGGCCGGACTGGCACAATGGTGGATTCCCACGGTACAATGCTAGGAGAGTCACAACAACGATACTTCTCTGATTTTGCGGGCCAGCAGGGACACGATAATGGACTTCCAAATTCGTACGGAGGCGGGCCTCATAAATACTCGTCGAGTGACGCATTCTCCCCAACAGCTGCCATGGCGCCACCCATGTTAACCACTAATGACCTTCCCCCGCCCGCTGCCCTCGAGTATCAGATGCCATTGGAGCCCAGGGAAGTGCCCTTTGCTGTGTACGACCCCCATGATGGAAACACGCCCATGTCGAAGTTCGATAATATTGCAGCTGTCTTAAGACACCGCAGCCGGACGACCGCCAAGGCGCCAGCTTATTGGGTTCTGGATGGCAAGGGGAAAGAAATCGCGTCAATAACCTGGGATAAACTTGCCAGCAGAGCCGAAAAGGTAGCTCAAGTGATCAGGGATAAGAGCTCTTTATATCGTGGAGATAGAGTCGCCTTGATATACCGGGATACGGAAATCATTGACTTTGCTATTGCCATACTTGGCTGCTTTATTGCTGGTGTAGTTGCTGTTCCCATCAACGATCTCGAGGACTACGCGAAGCTAAATTTAATTCTTACATCCACGCAAGCACATCTAGCGCTCACCACAGACTATAACTTGAAAGCATTTCAACGCGATATTACCACTCAAAAACTCAACTGGCCACGTGGAGTAGAATGGTGGAAAACAAACGAATTTGGAAGTTTTCACCCCAAGAAGAAAGACGATGTGCCACCTCTGACCGTCCCTGATCTTGCATATATCGAGTTCTCGCGAGCCCCTACTGGGGACCTGAGGGGAGTTGTGATGAGCCACCGTACAATTATGCATCAGATGGCTTGTCTAAGTGCCATTATTTCTACCGTCCCATCGAACACTGCCGATACATTTAGTGCACGTCTTAGAGACAAAAACGGCAGGCTCATGGCTGGCGGTAGCAACCATGGCGAGATCCTGGTCTCTTATCTGGATCCCCGACAAGGCATTGGCATGATTCTCGGCGTTTTGCTGACGGTGTATGGTGGCCATACAAGTGTCTGGATGGAAAACAAGGCAGTTGAGACGCCTGGTCTTTACGCACATCTCATCACGAAATACCGGGCAACTCTGATGTTGGCTGATTATCCCGGTCTAAAAAGGGCAGCCTATAATTACCAACAAGATCCAATGACAACGCGGAACTTCAAGAAGGGCATGGAACCTAATTTCCAGCATGTCAAACTCTGTTTAATAGACACTCTGACAGTGGACAGCGAGTTCCACGAAGTGCTTGCTGATCGATGGCTCAGACCAATGCGAAACCCAAGGGCGAGGGAACTAGTGGCGCCGATGCTCTGCCTACCCGAACACGGTGGCATGGTTATTAGTATGCGGGACTGGCTGGGTGGAGAAGAGCGGATGGGTTGCCCTTTGAAACTTGATATGGGCTCTGATAGCGAGCCAGAGGAGAAGCCGGAGGTAAAGGAGAAACCTGTCAATGATGGCTTCGGCAGCCTCATTGGAGGTACAACTACAACGCCTACGGAACAGCAGGGAAGAACGGAGCTGAGCGAAGTTCTTCTAGATCGTGAAGCTCTCAAGACCAACGAGGTGGTGGTGGTCGCCATAGGAGACGAGGCACGCAAGAAGGCCAGTAGTGAGCCTGGCACCGTCCGAGTTGGAGCCTTTGGGTTCCCAATACCCGATGCCACTCTCACCGTCGTTGACCCTGAAACTGGGTTACTATCTTCCCCACATTCTGTGGGCGAGATCTGGGTTGACTCGCCATCCCTGTCAGGGGGCTTCTGGGCCTTACCGCGACACACAGAGCAAATATTTCACGCTCGTCCCTACAAATTTGACCCAGGTGAGCCTACACCTACGATGGTCGAGCCGGAATTCTTAAGAACTGGTTTGCTGGGGACTGTCATCGAAGGCAAGATCTTCGTCCTTGGACTGTATGAGGATCGATTGCGGCAGAAGGTTGAATGGGTTGAACACGGACATGAAGTTGCCGAGTATCGTTACTTCTTTGTGCAGCATATAATCGTGAGTATCATGAAGAACGTTCCAAAGATTTACGACTGCTCCGCGTTTGATGTCTACGTCAATGAGGAACATCTCCCTGTGGTTCTACTGGAATCCCAATCAGCATCAACCGCCCCTGTTACTTCTGGAGGCCCTCCTCGACAACTGGATACCGCATTGCTTGATTCGTTATCAGAACGCTGCATGGAAGTGCTTATGCAAGAGCACCACTTGAGAGTTTATTGTGTGATGATCACAGCACCCAACACATTACCGAAAGTCCTTAAAAACGGGCGAAGGGAGATTGGGAACATGTTGTGCCGACGGGAATTCGAGCTTGGGAACTTACCATGCGTGCATGTCAAATTTGGTGTTGAGCGGGCCGTTCTAAACCTGCCAATTAGTGTGGATCCAATTGGCGGTATCTGGTCACAGATTGCTTCCCAGACACGAGAAAATATTTTGTCTCCCGGCGACAAGCAATACTCGGGCATTGACCGACGCGAAGTCGTCATTGATGATCGCACGTCTACGCCGCTAAACAACTTCACTAGCATTGTCGATTTGCTGCAGTGGAGAGTTGCACGACAGTCTGACGAACTTTCTTATTGCACAATTGATGGCAGGGGCAAAGAGGGCAAGGGTATTACATGGAAGAAGTTTGACACCAAAGTTGCTGCTGTAGCCATGTATCTCAAGAACAAGGTTAAGGTCCGATCTGGTGATCATTTGATACTTATGTATACGCACTCGGAGGATTTTGTATACGCCGTACATGCTTGCTTCTGCTTAGGGGTTACGGCAATACCAATGGCTCCTCTGGACCAAAACCGCCTTAACGAGGACGCCCCAGCGTTCCTCCATATGGTGGCGGACTACACTGTCAAGGCCGTGCTTGTGAATCAAGATGTTGACCACCTTCTCAAGCAGAAGCCTGTATCACAACATCTCAAACAGTCGGCTCAGGTTTTGAAGGTTTCCGTGCCAAACATATACAATACAACCAAACCCCCGAAACAAAGCAGCGGATGTCGCGATCTTGGGTTAACTATGCAACCAGCGTGGGTTCAGCCTGGCTTCCCTGTTCTCGTCTGGACATATTGGACTCCGGACCAACGACGTATAGCAGTACAGCTGGGTCACGATACCATAATGGGTATGTGCAAAGTACAGAAAGAAACGTGCCAAATGACGAGCTCGAGGCCGGTCTTAGGTTGCGTTCGAAGCCACAGCGGTTTGGGCTTTATTCATACCAGCCTGATGGGTATATTTGTCGGCGCACCCACCTACCTTGTGTCGCCAGTTGAATTTGCCCAAAATCCTATTTCACTATTCTTGACTCTATCAAGATACAAAATCAAGGACACATATGCAACTCCTCAGATGCTGGATTACGCCATGTCCGTGATGCCGGGCAAAGGTTTCACTCTGCATGAGTTGAAAAATATGATGATATCTGCAGAAGGGCGGCCCCGCGTTGATGTATTCCAGAAAGTCCGGCTGCACTTTGCGGCGACTGGCCTTGACCGAACAGCTATCAATACGATCTATTCGCATGTGTTAAACCCGATGATTGCGTCCCGGTCATACATGTGTATCGAGCCGATCGAACTTTGGCTTGATACGCAGGCATTAAGGCGGGGTATGGTCGTTGCTGTCGACCCAGACTCCGAGCCCAAAGCTCTCCTTGTCCAGGACTCGGGAATGGTTCCTGTCTCAACCCAAATAGCGATTGTGAATCCAGAAAGTCGGAGTCTTTGTCACGAAGGGGAGTACGGCGAAATCTGGGTTGATTCAGAGGCCTGCGTCAAGTCGTTTTATGGATCTAAGGACGCCTTCGACTCGGAGAGATTTGATGGCCGGACAATTGACGGTGACCCAAATGTCCAGTATGTTCGCACCGGAGATCTTGGTTTCCTACATAATGTTAGTCGACCAATTGGCCCCAATGGCGCACAGGTCGACATGCAGGTTCTCTTTGTCTTAGGCAATATTGGTGAGACTTTCGAGATCAATGGATTGAGTCACTTCCCCATGGATATTGAATATTCCGTCGAGAAATGCCACCGAAATATTGTGCCGGCAGGCTGGTAAGTTATCTGAAGCTCTAAAATTGAAATCTATCTAACCATGTTTCAGCGCTGTTTTCCAAGCTGGTGGACTTATTGTCGTCCTGGTTGAAGTAGCGAGGAAGGCTTATCTCGCCTCAATCGTCCCAGTAATCGTCAACGCTATCCTCAACGAGCATCAGATAGTAGTCGATATCGTTGCATTTGTCAACAAAGGCGACTTCCCACGGTCAAGGCTGGGGGAGAAGCAGCGCGGGAAGATTTTGGCCAGCTGGGTTACACGCAAGATGCGCACCATGGCGCAGTTCGGCATCCGAGACCCCGATTCAGGCCTTTCTGATGTCACTGAAGGAATGGAGCCACGCAACGGGGCTGCCAGCCTTCGGAATAGCAGCGTTATGGCAAGTAGTCTTCGCCATGTTGAGCCGGCTCCTCAAATCCTCGAGGAACAGCAGCGTGAAAGAGCGCAAGCTGACAGTATGTACGTGCCCTTGCCCACCGGCATCTCGGAAATGCCAGCATACAATTTCGATGACCCGATCGTCGAATCACCCAAGAACAGTAATGGCGCATCGGTCAACAGCGACGACACGCCGACGAACAGCCGCCGTGATCATTTCGAGCTCCCCGTTCCTGACTATAATGCCCAAAATAATAATCTACTCAATCTTAAAGGTAGTAATGAGTTTATGGTTCCATTCGATTCCGCCAACGAACCCCCACCGCCGGTTGGGCCCAAACCAGGAGCGAGTCCGCAAATTAACCTGCCAGCCGCCGACGGACGCGAAGGGGATATATGGACCCTACCTAGCCAGCAAGGGCGCGGCCTGCGGAGTAGTTCGCATGAAGATGATGACGATCTATGGAAGCAAGAAGCAATTATGCATATGAATCTTGCGGATCGGTAGTCTGGGCGGGGACCAGCAAACGATTGTGCTCGGGGAGACACGGATAGATGAGGTATGGATGGTGTGTTGTATATATTGATAGGCCCCAACTCTGCAGGAGATGGATGGCTAGATGACATGACCTATGATATTTTGGATTTGGGTTTACTTGAATGGCTGGCGCGGAAGTAGATGTAGTATTGTTGTAAATGGGGGTTTCATGGCATACCACGCTACTCTATGAGCGGTATTTGATACCGAGGTAGTATTATTCTACTATGTTTGCATCTATGTCTATGTCTATGCCCATACCCATATTTCTAAGCCAATGTCATATATCGACGGACCGCGTACTTGTATGTTGGAAGACTGTAAGCAATAGCTTGATTGTACGATCTACAGTTCTTACAAACACCATTCCGTAATCCGTTGTCTAAGACCACCAGGACGGTGGCTTTGTCTCGCTCGCTTCCCTGACCTGTCGCTCTGCTACGACATCATTATTCCCAATGCAGAGTCTGCATAACGGGAACACATCCAGAACATTCGTGACCCCGACGGGAGGCTTGTTGCATTAAATTGGCCGCCGATCCCGGGATTCCTCCGGCTTGGGACAATCATCACCAAGTCATTGTTTGTGACGATCGACATACGAGGTTGTACGAAGCTACAGGAATACTCGACTAGAGCACAGGACTGCGACGAACCAACAAGAACGCGCCTACGCGGGCAGCAGCACGAGCGCCAGCAGCACGAGCCGCGCAGCAGAGCGGATGGAAGTCATTATTCTGGTGAGCATGAGCAAGCAAGCAGCATCTTCTTTGTCGTCGTTTGCTTTCGCGGTTTGAGGGTCCAATCTTCGCGATGCGCTCACCAGCGCAAGCGCACGCGCACGCGTACACGCATGAGCTGTGCCTGCCCGCCGCGAGCGCTGTCCTTGTTCTTTCGGGGCCTTGAATAATTAATATGAATCCAAATTGGCCATGTTGGAGCCCAGTCTCACCCCAATCATTCCTTGCTCGCCGCTGATCCAGTGTCCTTGTTTCGGTATTTGGTCACGTGCGCACCGTCCCTCTGGGTGACGAGGCGGCCGAGTTTTCGACGACACTAAAGGGCCAGGCTGGGCGTCGATATATACCTATGGATACATTTAGATATCATTATATTCTTATATATTCTGCCTCTTTCGTTTTATTTGAAAATTCTATTTACTAGCTAACATGTGGACTAGGGATCGGGCGGCGGACCTAAGGAAGACAATACCACTGCATTCTTGGTACGATCCGTTTCGACAGCCTGGAAAAGAAACTCTTTGCTCGCAGTCGACGCAGGAACTCATTTAGCAGCGATATCTAAAATCCTTGAGCAACACTCGCCTATCCCAGCTCCATCAAATGAGCAACAATCCAACACCAGCACCTTAACCACGGGACCGTTCAAAGGCCTCGAGGTCTCGAGTGTTAAACCAGCAGCCAATGCTGCGTACATCACGCGGAACCTGATAGACACATATCTCATTACTCATCCTCATTTAGATCATATTTATGGCTTCGTTGTAAATACAGCGTCCCTACTAGGTTCTCGTCCGAAACGTCTTGCGGGTTTACCAAACACGATCGAGGCTTTCAAAAATCATATTTTCAATAACGTCATCTGGCCAAATCTTTCCGATGAGAATAATGGCGCCGGTCTAGTGACTTATATGCGACTGGTCGAGGGCGGCTCCCCAGCGATAGGCGAGGGCGACAGTAAAGGCTATGTGGAGGTCTGTGAGGGTTTGGGTGTCAAGACGCTGAGTGTCAGCCACGGCCATTGCTTCGAGCATCACAGCCATCGAGGATCCGGTGCCGGTCTGGGGGCAAGTTTCTCCCTTGATTCGCCCGGTCGCTCCACCCCGTCAGGACATCAAACGTCTCCGCGCATAAATTCTGGGATGTCATTTGGCCCAGCTGAATCAATAAGGTCGGATTCCCGTGGTGGTCGGATTTGTGTGTGTGACTCCTCGGCATATTTCATACGTGATATCGCGAGCGGAGACGAGATCATCATATTTGGCGACGTGGAGCCAGATTCCATCTCGCTGTCCCCACGAAATATAACCGTATGGGTTGAGGCGGCGCCAAAGATCGCTTCTGGGCTGCTGAAAGGGATATTTATCGAATGCTCGTATGACGACTCACAATCCGACGATAGACTATTCGGACATCTCGCCCCCCGATTTCTCATCGAAGAGTTGAAAGCTTTAGCGACCGAGGTGCAGTGTTGTGGCGGCGACAGTAGGGAGAGGGCAGATTCTAAGAAACGGAAACGTCCCAGTGCTAGCAATGCCGTTGATGACCTCCGCCGTCGGACAACTAGGGCGTCAGTAGGCTCGCAATCGCCTATTAGCCCCTTGACGCGGACTCGGTTTGCTGCCATTGAGATCCAATCAAGCCTTACCGACGAGCCTCTAAATTATGGCAGCCAGTCTTCTCGAGAGAATTCAGTACTTTCTATTCGTGGGAAGAGCGAGTTTCCATTGAAAGGCCTTAAGGTTGTTATTATACATGTGAAGGAGAAACTGGATGATGGGCCGGAGGTTGGTGATATTATTTTGGAGCAGTTACAGGCTTATGAGGAGGAGGCGAGGTTGGGTTGTGAGTTTATTATCTCCAAGAGTGGAGAGGCGGTGTATTTCTAGATATTTGTCTATGGTTCTACCTGTATGTTTTAGGGAGGTGTTGGCTTCCACTCGGAATGGCGTTTAGAGCTTACAGCAAGGGGAGGATTCTTGTTTATAGGTTGGAGGTAGGCTGTTATGGTGGTGGGCGTTTATATGTTGGTCATTTCCTTTCGCATTATGCTTACTTGTGAATTAAAATGAATACGAGCTTATTATCGAAAAAGATGGCCTAAATCTTGATTCGAAATGCATTTACATTGCGGATTGTGATTGAGGGTTTAGATACTGAGTCTACTAGAGAGAAAAAATCCTTCTTAATTAATATTATTTCTATATAGTAGTCTTCAATCTGGATACAGCTTATCCAATTCCCCCATATCATACAGTTCATGACGGGACTACTTCGTCATGATTCCTAATCCCCATCACGCCTACCAGAGGCTTGAACCATTACCCCTTATCCGCCTTCACCCCCAACTACTTTGGGCATCATCCCCTTCCATCTACAGACACCCTCGCAATTCTCACAGTGTCTCTTCCCCTTGCCGTGAAATGAATCGAAGGGGGCGTTATCGCCCTGCACTCCCTTCCCAGCTTGAACTTGCCAAGCCAGCATCTCCATAACGACGCCAGTGGGCGCGGAGATAGGAACTAACTTCAGTTCGCGCGCCAAAGAACTGCGAGTATAGACCCGCGATCTCATGAATAGTGGGTCATTGTATCGGCTGGGCATACGGCGTTTGTAGTAGTCTATCTGCGCTTGTCGCTGTGGGGATAGTTTCTTCTTGTTACTGCTGAGCCCATCAACATCTATTTGTGCACTATTGGTGTCACTGGTATAGGCACAAGAACCGCCGTCGTCTTCAGCATCGTCCTCCTCATCATAATAATCCTCCGCACGGAAATCATTGTCGGCTTCATAATCATCGTTGGAGTCGGCATCGGAGTCGTATTCCATATCATCGTCAGGGTTGCTATCAACAGCTAACGTCTCCCCGTTATTATTGACAACCAAATTCGATTTGGCAGTGCCAGTATCATTGACAGCCAAATTCGATTCGGGAGTGCCAGCGCTTTGCTCGGTGGCATCCCCGCTATTAACGCCATCGTTATGCTGGCCTTCGACGGTCCCAATTGCCATACGAGCCATGCTAGATGTGTCCGGTATGTTGGCGGGTACACTCCATGGATTGCCCAATTCGGCGGGGCAAACTGTTGCGTCCACTGGCGGAACATACCAGGGATTGACAAAAGACGGGTAACGGGCGTGATTGCTAAGAGAGCTAGAATCTTGGCCTTGCTCCATTGGGTCCGGATCCGGATCCGTGTGTACAGTTGACAGCTCTGTAGATGAGCTGGTGCGCTCTTGGGAAGGTTGCGAGGCGTTAAGTGATCCACCCCCTAGGGACGGTTCCACTGGACCAGCAGCGGAGCCCTTGAGACTAAATTCCACTCTATCTTCCATTATCCTGAAACTGGAAAGACGATTGTATATAGACAGGCGAGGAGGTAACGGTGAATAAAGAGAGACCGAATAGAGGATGAGAAGGAGAATTAATGAGATGATATGGAACGAATGCAAGAACCGCTGTAAGGACAAGAAGGAAAATTGCTACCGGTGTCCAAAGGTCTTGCTCAGTGATATTTATCTTGCGTCATGAGCTTTGCGGGTGGGCAAAGCCCTTGGTGTGGCCTTTTGGGAGTTCGCAGGATACTCCTTAGTTCCTTTGGGAAAGGGCGGCCAACGAGGTATCCCCATCCTACAAGTCCCAGCCCTAAATGATATCGCAGCTTAGAGGGACGTTGGGAACAAGAGATGATTAGAATCAGAATGCTTCCAATATAATAAATGGTGTTCGAGGGCAACTTCTCATCTGTTACGCAGTGAAGAGTTTGATGCGTTGTGGTACAGAATTGTGCAGTCCAGTTGCCCTACGCTGTAGAAATGGGAGGACCAGCAAGCTGCACCCGCGATGAACAATACAGGTGACTCACTAAAGTACAACCCCATAAATGTTCTAGCTTGAAAATATTTATTTTGGCTTATTGGGTATCAAGTTTTAAAGAGTGCAAGATCTTGAATGTCTCAAGAAGGGATAAATCCATGACTCTGAGATATTCTGGGACATGATTTGGAGCGAGGTACTTCCCGCCCAAAGGGAACGCGCTTGAAAGATGGCCAAAAAGAACAGATGGTGCGAAGCTGTCCTCGGCTAGTTAGGGAGATAGCTCCACGATGCGAACGAGTCGTGGATCGTGGAAATACTTAATATAAGAAACGATGTACGTAGATGGATCATGGTTCATTGAACAGAATACATGTAAACCATGACAAGGTGTTGAGAAATAACCCATTTCTCTCATCAACAAGTCGGAAAGCCCTATATAAAGGGACATCCTTCAGTCCGTAGAGCGTACGTATGTTGTCGAGAAGAGCAGTTTAAAACCAGCGCTGCTTTCCGAATTATGTATTCTGCAAGTTTGTGGCCGGATGTGATCGCCTGAAGATGTGAACAACCTACCTAGCTAGGTAGGTATTATATTAGAAATATGCGGCTTTCTCTTCGGATATAAAGCTAGCTTAGGACACCCACACTCTCCTCTACTTGAAAATAACATATCCTGGGCCATATTTTCGAGTACTAGAAGCTCTTGTATTGCGCAAGCACTTAAATTAATATATACTTTACACCTTATACTCACAATCGACCTAGGGAAATGAGTTCACTACTATTCGACCTCATCAGCCCTGTTCCTAACCTAATATTAGTAGGTCGTATAACCCCCGCCCTAGGTGTACATAGAACAGTATTTCTTTCCTTCCTCGACCCATCGTTCTCGTGGAGTAAACACCCTATTGTAAGTTAATATGAGACTTAGTTTGCTCTGCTACGGTCTTAACTTACCAAGAATCTCCTTGCCTTGTAGCATGGTAGACCTCGTGAGTAATTGCACAAACTCCTGCCTTGTCTAATGGCCTAGTGACATTAAAGTCGTAAAGGAACCATCAGTTTATAGGATTCACTGAATCAAATTTCGGAAGAAAATGCATAGCATCAGGCATTCGGCTTGCAAGTCTTTATTGAATGGTCGATGGAGAATCTGCTGACAAAAGTCGCGCCCAAGATAGTAAACCCGTTCTACGGGTTTTGCTAGAATATCGGTAACACATACTCGAATAATAACTCATAGGGGATCGTTGTTCATTTCAAGTTCTTTGATTGAGAACAAAAGGTTGAATTGTAATGTTGAGGCGGAGTACTTCGTAAATGAGTTCTAAGCGAGTATGAGCAACTATTCATCATGTGACCAGCTCACGTGAATCCCCCCCCTTTCTTGAAGTAGGTACCTAGGTACCTAGGTAGGTTGGTAGGCAGGGTATTAAGCGAGAGATATTGTCTTATTAATCTTTGATGCTCGTTCGTAACTATCCGAAAGGGGCTTAATCCATTTAGGTTCGGGGGGCACATGTAGTAGAAGTGCACCAAGAAGAGAGATGGAGAATAACAGAATCAAGAGTGACTACAATAGCTGGTTGTCAAACTTGAATCCGAACTTGAATGAAACCTGTTTTTGCTCGGAAAGTTGAGTAGGGCTGTTTTATCGGCAATATTGCAACGAAGCCGTACCGACGCACTATTTGCTACGTTCGTCTATATATGTAGGAAGCTATATACAATGTAACGCTGCGGTATTAAATCCGTTCCTAGGACGCCATCCCCCCAAGGCTGGCCTAAACTACAACCGGGGCGGAAACCCTACCAGCCAGTTGATATTCCCTCATCATAGCAGGAGATGCACATACACTCGACATGGAATCAGACATAGCTTGCGAGCCAAGTCGAGGGTCGGGAGTAACTGATAGCCTACTCGTGCTAGCGAGAACGGTTCAGTTGCCGCCTAGTTTCCCTTTCGATTGGTAGTATCCAAAGTCCACTTCCGCAATAAGACGATCGACGAAGACTGACCAATGGGATATATTACATCTGCGTGTCTCTCCTGCAATCTCATCCAAGGAAGCATCCCTGCCGGCCTAGGCGTAGAGGACTTGGGAACCTAATGGTGCCTACTCTTTGCCGGAATCAGGAGCAAGATGGCCTTGGGAGGATTTCGTACCGCACGACGCGTCTAATCGACTTCGTTTTCCGTTTCTTGAGTTTTGAGTGTTGGGCAGCGGCGTTTGAAAGAAACAGAAAACTAAGTCCCGACTAAACGTCGTCTATTATGCATACGCCACCCCAGATCTGGGCGTCGTAACCTCAACCGGATCCGCAAGCTTCAACTGTCTGCTCACCATCGGCCCAGCAGCATAGCTCTCCACCTCCCCAAATCGCACTCGTCGCGTCGCCATACTCTTGAGCAACTCCGGCAACGGCGCATTCGAACCCGGTCCACGCAATAGCGGGGCGTCAAACGCTTTGGCGGTCTCCATCGGATTCAGCGTCACGTCGCGTCCTAGCTCCCACCACCCGATGAACATGGGTGTGATGAGTACGACGAATACGGTCGTCAGAAGCGTGCTTGCGATGAGAAAGCGGTAGTCGGAGCGGTGCACATTGAAGTTGCTAGCTTGTTCCATCACAAGGAACTGCGGGGCGGGAGGGGAGCTTGTGTTGCGGAAAGGAAAGCCTGCCGCGGGCAGAGAGATCCGGAAGGCCATCATGTTGAGAGAGGAGAGGATATACGAGGTCGGGTCTGTCCAGTTTGAGCCGCAGGCGCTGGGGACGGTGATCTTCTGACTGTCTTCGAGGCCGGAGAGGTTTTGCGGTGCGAAGTTGATGAATTGGTTAGAGAGAGTGTCTGGCAGGGCCATGTAGATGCCGTTTCCGCCGCCAAAGATATAGGTCGCGTTGGCGGAGAAGAGGCTGTTGGCTGCGATGTACATGCCGCCCAGGGTCCAGGTCGAGAAGTCGCCACCACCGTCCACGCCGATCATGGGCGGCGTCGGCTGGAATGACTGTGTTGTGCCATTACCAAGTATGTCCCCGATTGTGAGAATATTTCCGGTGAGTTTGACCGGGTACCGCAAGGTGGCAGGCACCAAGTAGCAAGTTCTCTCTGTCCGGATGCCAGAACAGGAGCTGCCGTCGCTATTGTCAGTATAGGCGACGTTTAAGACCATCTGGCTGGAAGCGTTGACACGACTGGGTTTAAGGCCAAAGTTGACGCTGAACGGAGAGACGGTTTTGCCCAGGTAGTCGTACATGTTGTACATTATCGGTCCGCTGGTCGTGTTGCACTTGGCTGAAAGCCCACCAGCGTCAACATAGCCTGTGCAGGTATCGTTACAGCCCGAGAAGCCGGTGAATATGGGAGCCTGGCTGTTGTGGTCGTTGAAGGCGGAGATCATGTGCTGTGTCATGACTTGGTCGGTAGTGCGGCGGCCGATTTGATACCCCGTAAAACCCCAAGGAACCTCGGGTGCGATTGGAGCCGTTACATTGACCGGGAACGTTCTCGGGATAGTAATGACGCTTGAGGCTCTTTGGATCAAAGGCTGGTCGATGACCATGACGGTCACAGCAATGGTTCCCAACGCCACGAGACTAAATTGTCGACCAGAGAATAGAGCAGGCAAAATGCCATCAGCATGATCCCAATGATTATGCAGGTCCGTAATTGTGCCTCCCCGGAGCGCTTTGCACCACCACGCTATCTTCACGCCCTCGCTGAACGCAAAACGCGCGAGCATATTGGTCCCCGACATGAAGAGCGCGAGATACACAGTCGGGGACACAGTCCAAGCGGAAGTAGGCTGGTCGTCCGACTTGACAAGAACTACAATCGAGGCGATTATGAAAGCTAAACAGCTAAGAAGAGCCAAGGCAGCTCGATAAGGGAACTGTTTCCAGAATCCAGGCGACCACACGTCGCCATCATGCCGTTGTAGAGCTGGAGCATCTGGTGACGAGCTTGGCTCTGACTCGGACTCGTTCGTTTTCTCGGAAGGGTGCTCTGGACTCGACACGGGGTGGATTGCGACGGTGCTGGCAACTGATTTGCTTGGAACCGGCTGTTCTTGTTGGATAGCCTTTTGCTGGAGATCGTAGCCGCGGTCGCCATCGTCGTCCGGGAGTTGTTCCACATCGTCTAGCAAATTGCCAGACTCGGGCTGCCGAGACATGATGATCTAGTTTGCCTACCAGGGCATAAGTCGGGAGCCTCACGAGAGCCCTTTACCTGGAGACAGCTCAACGAGATGTTGAGCAGAGGGGGTGAAGATTGTCGAAGCGCTGAGACTCCGAGCGGCTGGTCTAACCAGGTGAATCACTTGGCAGCTTGTTATTGCACTACGGCCCAACCGGAGATGCATCTATTTTCAGAGGCCTGTTAGCATATTGTATAGCCTCTCTCTTCTCTCTCCGGAATAGCTTCTGTCCGCACTTGCTCTCATATCATATTCAGTACATACCTGCGATTGACCAATATCTACTCTTAATCATCTCGAACTTTGGACATGCACCTCATCGTCACCGTCCGCCTGCTGCTGGCCACCGTCTCTCTAGCATTTCCGGTGCGATGCGACCCCGTCGCGAACCAAGGGTTTACATTTCCACGAGTCTCAAATCCTTCCATCCCGGACGTCTCCAACCTCACGGTCCGCAACAACGACAGCATGGTCGTGGAATACACTCAATTCGCGCATACGACCGCAATTGGCATCGATATGGAGTGCAACAAGTCAGCACAAGCCGCTGTTCGAAACGAGGTCTACAGTGATGGCTGGACCTCGAATGGACCCTGTGAGTGACTCCCAAGGGTGATAAAGCTACTTGTGTAGTTAAATTGAGGCTATTGCGTTGCATGTGCTGACAAGTGTCGTGGTGGCAACAACAGATGAAAACAACGGTAAGATCAAGTGGGATTTTAATATCAGCCAAGCTGATTTAGACGCGAATCTCACCTTCTGTCGGTTCCTGCTCTTCAACGAATCCATCGCTAGCTGTTCATGGGGTCCTTGGGGCCTGGTATCCCAGAAGAAGTCAGCAAACCATACCATCCCGCTCTTCTATTCCCCCATATTCCGTGTCCTTGCATACAACAAGACACAAAAGCCGGCCCTGTGGATCAATGTGGAGGACAGAACGACATCGTCGAGGCTGCCGTCGACAACTGCCACATCAACTGTGAATGTTACCTGTCCGCCATCAGGCATCCCATCACTGGCTGGTCCGGTGTTTAGCAGGCAGGATGGTGTCTGGCCACCGATGGCGGAGAACCTTACATTTCCGGTTTACTCCCTGGATGACTAGGCGTGATCTGACAGCATTCGAAGCCATTCTTGCAGCAGTGTGGACGAGTGTGCGATTTTGAAAGCAGCAGGTACTATTTTGTTTATCCACCCTCCAACCCGCCTCCAGCTGCTGGATTGCAACATCCAGCTCTATCGCTAGCTCCTCCGCGATAATGATGAGCCATTTGACGTCCATCGCTTCACGACGCACTGGCCTGAAGGTACTTGAACTATTACACGCCCCTCGCGTCGTTCGTCAGGACCATCCTGCGAAGCACTAAGCTGGGAGCTGACGCCATGGAGCTGTATGGTCATAAACTTAGCCTAGCTGGGAGGATACCCGAAAATGAAAGGCTTCTTCGAAACTTGGTGTGAAGATACACCTTTCCTACGCCCCAGAGCTGATTGTATCTAGCAGTCAATCTCCTCAAGTCGTGGTAGCTGAGACTAAATTGGTTTGGGTTGTACTAGCGTATGGTGGAGTGTATGGGGTTTTTGTATACAAATCGTTTTGCTCCCGGATTTAGTACATTATGTCGGAGAATTCGGGAGTCGTATATTTCTAGTGGTAGTACTAGAAGCCGAAGTAGTTGGGATTGTGGTACTCAAATTCGGCATACTCCGGCCTGAGGTGGTAGGAGCAATAGGACTAGGAATATGAGTAGTAGAACTTGGACCAGTAGAAAATTCTGGTTGATCTGAATATTGTTCTTGAGAATCGGCTTTGCTATTTTCAAGAGTGTACTCTGTACTACTCTATCGAGCCGCTGTGATATCGGAAGTGCGATTAAATGCTGACCTCACAATGCAACACACTTTCTTGCGGGGTAGTTTCTAGATTCCGGATTGTTTTGGGTTATGTATTTTTAGGTATCATTAGTCTGCGGATCTATTGAGAGAGGGCCCATAAACCCTCCTGGGCCGAAGTCTTAGGGAGGAAGGAGTCTTTTTCTCAACCTCAGGGCGCGATGATATGTGGTAAATCCGAGATCTTGGCTTTGTTTGTAATTATCGCTTTATATCTTTGACTTTCACTTCTCCACCACCTTTGCCAGTCTTCTTGGTTCCCTTCCCATAACCCTCAACACCAAGTTCCTTCATGGTCTTCTCTACCAATTGTACGGCTTCGAGACAGACATCCTCTCCAACTCTCCAACTCCGCAACGGAACACCTTTTGAGTCAAGAATATATTTCGCACGCTTCCACCGTCGTTTCCAAAGCTCGAGCTTTTTGTTGACAGGTGTCTCGTCGTCGGACGAATTAATATTACTCAGCGACGTCCTCTTGGTGACTGTCTCCGTAGCCGCCTCGGCATTAGCCCTCGGGGGTAATGGAGGTGGCTTTTCAGAACCAGAGTTTGTCGGTCCTCGTTCCTGTTCCCTTTGCCCGGGAATATAAGACCTGACTTCAGGCAGCGAATTGTAGGCTGCTGTGACCTTCTGGCGGGCGCTCGAGATATAGCCTTCACTTGATGAACCGAGATCTGCAGGGTTCCGAGGTTGTGATGACGGATGAGAAGCGGCATTAGCCAGGGGTTGACTACGACGTGGTGGAGGAGGTGGTGGAGGAGTCTTTTTGGTGTCTAGCTGTGACTCAGAAGTTAGATCAGTTGTCGATCTGCCTCGAAGTGCGAGAGGTTTAGTCGGCCGAGGTGGCGGTGCTTTTCCAGCCGCTTCTGAAACAGGTTTTCTTTTTGGGGTTTCCAGTAATTCAAAGGTGGATGCGGAATGAGGCATTACACGGCGATGAGGCTTATGTACGCTTATTTCCTCGAGTTCCTCCTCAAAATCAATTAGTTTTCCCAAGGCCGGCCTGTCACTCGTCTGAGGTGGGGCTTCAGAAACTGCCCTTGGAGGAATCGGAGGCCGATACTCGCTGATATTGGGTGTTGAAGACAGCTGTATCCTGCTATCTGAAGAGTGGCTCCTATCTCGCCGACGATCCCCGCTAAGGGGCCCCATTGAAGGGTCAAAAAATCCATGATTGTCTGGGGTCGTAACATCTCGAATGAAGATGCCAATAATTTTCCCAGGGTTCGCGAGGACAACATCGACGTATACTTCCAAGTCCGCCTCACCACTGTCACCAACAAGGATAAATTTCCTCTCTGGAAAGTCTCGCATGATCTTCTCTAGGGTTCCCTTTTTTCTTTCCGCCACGGGCTCAAATATCCCCTGGAGCATCCCACTATATTGCTTTAGGTGGTATGACCCGGGAGGTAATCCAGCCTTCTGGAAAAACGTTACCAGCACAGGAAACAATTGCCACGGAGAGTTGGATACATAATGCACACCTACACCCATATCGTACATAGTATTATACCACTCCCTGACTCCACCAATAGTGAGGTCTGCCAGTTCGCGGATGAAGGTGTTTCTGAAAATCTCTCGAGCCCCGCTACTAATGGAGGAATGCTTAATGGTATCATCAACATCGCTGATGATGCTCACACCTTTTGGTTCTGTAATTTTGACTTCGTCCGTTGCCGAGAGATTCTCCGATGCAAGCACTCTTACGTGAGTGGGGATAAACTCTAGTGGCGCTCTCATGCTGAAATGACCAGCGTCATTAGTCGTTACAGTTCGAGATACGGATGACTCTTTATCGTAAAAGAAGATCGTGATAGGGGTCGATATCAGAGGGGTAGTCATGAAAGGCCCCAGCCGCGCCATCAAATGAGAATTGGCTGTCATTAGTTCTGCTTGGGTCATATCAGAAGGATGATTCCACGACGGTCGAGTGGAGAGATGGCCGGGTCCAGGAGCATCGTCAGGTGTGTGTGCTGGAGTACCGCGTCCTGACTTTGAGCGGTCATAATAGGGACTATCAGAGTCAGAGTCATCTTGGGGTCCCTCGCTATAACCTCCGCGAGCAGCGATTTTGTTCTCTCCTTCGCCCTTTTTGAGTATTTGTTCCGCCTCACGGGCAATTCTTTCCTGCTCACGCCGAGATTCATGTTCTCTATGTTTCGCTCGTAAAGACGAGACTGAGTCTGGGCTTTCATCTCTACTGGGCGTTTTAGGCGCTGGGATTCCACTTAACTGACGAGCGAGCCCAATAAGTAACCTATTCCTCCTCGTCATTGGGCCTCGATGGGGCGAGTATATCCAGCCTCGAACGTCGACATCGACGATAGCCCGGTCATCCTGATACTTCTGCCATTCTCTGTCCCAATACTCGGCATCACCCGGTCCATCTGTAGCACTATCTCGGCGAGAGGATTCCGGATTCGGTGGCTCTTTAGTATGTCTCTTTGCATATGAAGGAAATAATATAAGCTGCTCATCACCATGCGATACTATGGCCACATCCGGGAAAGAGCCTGGGATCCCTTCCATACCATCATGCTCATTGTCTCCAGCCCATTTCTGAGAATAAGACTGCTGGTATGATTGCCTAATGTCGTTGGCAGCCTTTAAATACCCCGCGAGTTTCTTCCTCCGTGCTCCTCGCTCTCGTCCTTCGCCATAGGCGCTTGCATCCACGCCACCAGGTATAGAGCCAGACATCGTCAACTTCGTCTGCCTCCCCAGCTCATTGTTCTTGTGTTGGCCGCCAAAAATTATTTGACCACGCTTCCGGAGGGCATCCAAGATGGTTGTGCCCGCGGGCTTCCTAGCCTGACGCCGTCTCTGGCGGTCAACTATGTAGTTGTAGATTCGGGACTGTGCTCGTAGTTTGTAATATGGGAGAGTGTCGAAGCGGAATCTCTCGAGCCTCTCGCGTCCCCGTCGCTGAGGGTTGGGAAATAGGTATCGGAGTAGGCTTCGACGATGGCGCGGGTGAGCAGCTCTTGAGTGTAATGGTTTAGGGCCCGCCACTTTTGATAAGTCGGCTTGATTATACGCAGATGCGCAGGTCTATTGGAACGAGGAGTGGGAGAGGCTGCACAAGGCTCACGATTAGCCCCTGGTAATTAAGGGCATGGTGCTGGGAACGCTCGTCGAATCTCTCGGTGGTAGGAATTGAGGGGGAAATAGCTCCTGGGACGAGAAATGCGAGCAAAGGGAGTTTGGCCAACGAGATAGAGATGGTCCCTCTGAGGGATATCGTTGAGATTTTGCGTAAAGAGTCGTGTTTGTAGGTAAATGGAAGCCGTCATGAGGCTGCAAAACCGCCTAGGAGGTACATGCCTGACGTATGGTGCCTGACTGGGAATTGCCGCTAAATGTCTTACAGCAGGGACATGTGCAACACATCACGCAGACTGGAATTTAGGGGCAGTAGGCTCGTTAGGCTTCGTATACGGAATCTTCTAGTGTTTGTTTATTTAACTTCTTCATCGCATGAGATCACTGGCCCTAATGTAGATCGAGACTCGTGGTCTCTGAATGTAATTGTATTAGAGTGCTAGGTACATGGGCTCGTAAGCCATCTAAACCCCGTTCGCCAAGTACGCTGAAAGTAGATTACGATATGCTTGCCGACTTATCTACCAACGCCAGAAAGTCGACGAGACTTCCAAGTCCGAGAACAGCACCAACGCCTGTAAATTGGGCTCGTACCACGAAACACCTGGTATAGTATAAGAGAGTGCGCACTGGGCAAAGACTCAAATGCCTACTTAGCCAATTCGGCCAAGCCATCGAATCATGACTCTTCGGCCGGGAACATGCTGTGTAGTTAGTTTTCTTTTTATGGCCGGCGATTATGCATTTCTTCATGTTGTTATCGAGCCAGAGGCCCAGAATAGCTCAGTACAGAGCGGAAGATACCGAATAGCCCTGCCGTTAGAGGTCGGTCAATCAGAGAAAGGAGGAAAAGGTTGGAATAAGCTCGCACAGAGATTAACTAGCGGTTGCCACCTATGTTTGTTGTCTCTTCGCAGGTATGCTGGCTGAATCCTATACAAAGTCAGCACTGTTAGCCCTTGGGAGGTAGGGGTGGTTTGGATCTAATCCGAGCATACAGTGCTCAAACCAGACTGGGGTGTATATCGCGACAACTACATTTCACATACTTCTGTTGCTGAGCGCTTCTTTGCCACACCATTGGCCGCCTTTTTCTTTTGGGGTCGGACTGGCTTGATTTCACCTTCACAAAATACGTCGTCCGGAAGATCATAACTAATCGGGGCTATCAGTCAAAGTTACCAGCCAGATGAGCGCGGGAAATGAAGAAACTCACTTCTTGGTATGAGTGACGTTCAGGGCATTGAATTCAGGCTTATATTTCTCCCAGCCTGTACAAATCTTCTTGAAGTGGTCTACTTCTGCAGAAAGATCAAGGGATTTGGCACCTAAATGTATTAGCAGCTGGGCGCGAGACCTGAATGATGGCGGGGTCCCGATGGATCCTATAAAAGAAAGTTTCGTTTCACCGCAAGGCAGGTCCAGGGATGCATTCTCGTAGGGGGCATTCTCATAGGGGGGAGGAAGACTTACCTTCCCGAAGCTCCAGTCCAATATACCAGGTAGTAGTATAAACCATACATGGTTTCTCCGCACCGTTTGTATTGGGGCCACCATTTACTTCCGCATCTTCTGATACGACTTCATTAGTGGGCTCTAGCGGAGGGGAAGGATCAGTGGTTTCCGTGGGGATATCCTTGACTTGGTATTCAAGATTGCTCTTCGCCTTCTCGATTTCTTCCTCGTTATGGCACTTATGGATCCGCTCGAAGCCCTTGTTAAAAGGGTGGGCTAGTTTAATCGATGGTTGGTTCTCGAGTCCAGAAACAAGCAGGCGAACCTTAGATTCTACCAATCCACCCCAGATGAGTTGGGCTTCCTCCGTAGAGCTAGCTGCGATGACGGAGAGGTAGTATTTATAGCCTTGCGTGAAAAACGTGTGCTTGACGAATAAATCCTTCCATTGGGCCTTGCCTGACATGATATTATCGGTGATGTCCCCACCACGCTTTAGTTCTCTCTGTATAACCTCCTTGGTCGAGTACGTGATATTATGCGTCGCGCACATTTGGGGAAATGCTGGTGTAATTATTGGCATGAGATGGCCTCTATCGCTGCCATACACCTGAGCCCAGTTAGGCAAAACGTTCAAATCGGCGTTGCAATTAGACCTACTTGAGGATTCCAAACCCGGACATTGTGCCTGCCTTTCACAATATTCTTCAACAGGACTGGTTGTGGCCATTGCCACTTGTCCATGATACGGAAGAATTTTAAAATGATGGTTGAGCTGGTGGCCTTGGGGTAAAGCTGACAGATTCGAGCTACGAGCATCGCCCAAGCCACGCCGCCGGGAAAGCCCATGATGTTGGCGTATATCGCTCGGCGCTGCGCCCACAGCTTAATTCCTCGAAGAGCAGTCCTGAAGATGGCCTTTTGCGGAACTAAATTCAATATTTCGTCGGTTACTCGAGTGCCGTTCAATGAACGTAGTTCCGATTCACTCAGCCCATCTAACACATCATCACCCTGCAACGTTGTGTCTTTCGGAACCTGGTCCTTCTCCAGGCGGGAGAAAATCAAATCGATGCTGATGCCAGAGTACACGAATTTTATAATGGGCACGAAGGAATCTGGGACAGGCGTGAGTTCGGTAATAGAACCCTCAGGTGCCATCTTCTTCAGAAGGTCTGGGAAGTATGCAAAATAGTCATCGACGGAGACGTGTTTGGGAACGACGACGAGAGTATCAATGTCCGAGCCAGGCCCAAAGACACCCAGACGAAAGCTTCCATATGTGAAGATCTTGCCACCTGCGCGTTTGACGAAACTTTCCGGCTTGCCCTGTAATCGAGTGACCTGCCTCACGAATTCTTCCGTAATGGCCTGGAGGGATTGTAAGACGACGGTTCTGCATTCAGCGGCAACCATGTTAGCAAATTGCTGGCAATGGGTATGATTCTCAGCGTGGCTCTAGGGTTGCCATCAGAGGGCTTCAGGCATACCGCTTATTTGTCTCCGACGTGCTTTCATAGTTGTTCTGTCTCTTCAACTCTTCGATAAGGGCGTTGCTGGCCTTATTCTCAGCTACCGTGGGGAGGTTAAGAGACAGCGGCGGCGTCATCCCCAACTGGGTTGCGGCAGGAGTCGCCATGCCGATAGAGGGGCACGTAACAAGGTCGCAAAGTTGAAATTGAAGTTGACAGGCAGGCGTTGGTAACAAGAAGATGCGGTTTGGGATACAGATTGGATGCCAAGAGAGGCAAAGTGCCAATGACTAAGCCGCGAGGCAACTCCTATTTCGGCGAGGCTGAGGTTGGAATCGAGTTCACCGCGCTCCACGCCCAAATTTCCAGCGAACCGATGATTTATATTTTTAGCTCAGAGAGGAAAGACAAGGTTTAGCAATATGTCATCCCCAGAATGGCAGGGAAATAACGAGACTTATAACGACGCCGAGGAGAGACGAGTTCTGTTGGGTGCGTTATCTTCCTTCTAGTGAGTTTTGCGTTCTCGTTTATCTTGTTGAAGCGGGTGTGGGAGGGGATCTTTTCAGTTTTAAAGTACATTATTTGGCGAGCGGCGGCATTTATTTGCACGTCATTTGAAGCGTGTATCTTGAAGTCCAAATATCTCTACAGGCCGTACCTACTAACGTTCCTCCAGTCAATATGCAAAAGTAGCTCATTACAATACGACCCATCTGCGAAGACAGTCATTTTATGCTCTCCCTCGAGCTCATTGGGAGCTCCTGGCTCAACCTCCATTCTCCTATTTGGAAACCCTCGATGCGGTAGACTCAGCTATTGACAAGAATGCGGAACTAGCTGCCGCTATCCTTGAGGCTGGACTTCAATCTTTTGGATTAACCCAGCCCTCTAATCAAGAGACTATTAAACAGGACGACTGGCGTGAACTAGCAACGCCAAATGATCTCGAGAAAGCACGAAGCTCCCTCCGACAGTTTTATCGCGATTGGTCCGAGGGTGGCCGCGCAGAAAGGGAAGCATGTTTTGGTCCAGTGATGCGTGCACTTCGCATTGAACGTTCCAATCGCTCCGGATCGAAATTACGGGTGCTCGTCCCGGGAGCTGGACTTGGCCGCCTCGTTTTTGACCTCTGTTGTGATGGTTTTGATGCCGAGGGCAACGAGATAAGTTATCACCAGCTGCTTGCCAGTTCATACATTTTGAATCACTGTCCCGAGGCTCGGTCACATACAATATACCCATGGGCCCACTCTTTTTCAAATCATAAAAACCGTGCAAACCACTTGATGTCCGTCCAGGTACCAGACGTGAACCCGGGCGTTACTTTAGGTAATGTTGAAGGAGCCGGTCAAATGAGCATGAGTGCCTCGGATTTTCTACTTTTATATAGTGATGAGGATCAACGGGATAGTTTTGATGCAGTTGCAACTGTCTTTTTCCTTGATACCGCGCCAAATATTATACGATATATTGAAGCTATACGAAACTGTCTAAAAAAGGGAGGCTTGCTGGTCAATGTCGGACCTTTACTCTGGCATTTCGAGAACAATGCTCCCGGTACCCATGGTCGTGAAAAGGACCCATCTCATCCATCGGGTAGCTGTGGTAAGCCGAATAGTTCTTATATGCCTACATCTTATATGCCTATAGGTACATTTGCACTAACTTAGGAAACACAGGTATTGCAGATCCAGGAAGTGTGGAATTGACGGACGATGAAGTCGTAGCATTGGTTGAGAAACTTGGATTTGAAATAGAGTTACGAGAATCGGGAATTGCAGCACCGTACATTCAAGACCCAGAAAGCATGATTCAGAACATCTACCAAGCTACCCATTGGGTAGCCAGGAAGAAATGACACATTTAGAGACAATAATATTTCATCAAATGATGTACAAAATTACTATTTCGACGCTCCCATTCTACAGCTTAGCTGTCTCAGCCTGCGTATTGCCCATTCCCCCTCTTGACCACACCTCGCCTCCGTCCACAGTAATTGTAGCACCATTGATGTGCGAACTCGCCCTGCTGGAGAGGAATACTACCAGTCCCGCAATATCCTCGGGCTTGCCCAATCTCTTGTTTGGGTTCCTGGCGGCGTGGGCCTCGAAACCACCGGTTTTCTTGATCAATTCGCTGGCCATTTTGCTGGGGAAGAAGCCGGGAGCGATAGAATTGACCAGAATATGTCTGGGTCCTAACTCAACAGCAAGATTGTTGGCGAGGTGGATGACTGCAGCTTTGGACGCTGAGTAACCAAATGTAGCGTTTGCCCCAAGTGTGCCAATACCAATACCAGCTACCGACCCAGTAATAATGATTCTTGATGGGTCGTCGATAGTGCCCCTCTTTTGAAGCAGAGGTGCAAACCTGGGGTTTCCGAGTCAGCCCAATCCTCCCTGCTTCTGAAGTACACATCTGAGAGGAAAGACTCACAATCGGGTGGTGTTGAAAACACTCTTAACGTTCAAGTCCATTACTTTGGCAAAGGCCGCATCTGGATGCGTATCGAAAGCCTCTCCCCATGTAGCACCCGCGTTTGCAAACAATATATCGACGTGATCGGTCGTCTTGCTCACATCCCTCACCAATTGCTCCACACCTTCGAACGTAGAGCTGTCCGCTGGGACGGAGATGGCCTTTGCGCCGGGGGCAAGATTAGGAAGAGCATTGAGGGTTTTGACCGCCTCTTCGCAGGCAGCGGCTTTGCGAGATGTGATGTAGACTTTGGATGCTCCAGCTTGGAGCAAACTGCATGTTCATGACGTATTAGCGACCAACATCTCTATTTCAAGGGGACGGAAAGAAGACATACCCGGAAGCTGCGGATAAACCAAGACCTCTGCTGCCACCGGTCACAACGACGACCTTCCCCTTCAAAGAGAAGAGGCTGGGGAAGTCCCTCAGCTCGGTGTCATATTTAGTTGCCATTGTCCAATAGGAGGAAAATGATTGATGAAGTTAGACGTTATAGTCAATTAATGGCAAGAATTCTGATTAATGGAGTGAGCTTAAAACCGAAGTAGTAAGTGTTAAAGAGGAGTGATAATTCGCATTCAAAATATCAGGCCGTGGAGGTTTAATAATCATAATAAGGGCCGGCGCCGGCAATCATCGCGGGGATACCGAGCTCCAAACTCTAGGATATTCCACCTCGGCAGGCTATAAATGTAAACCTAAGGCAACAAGGCACGGACCGAATTCAAGGCATCAAGGCAAAAACCAGATATAAGGCAGCAATGCAGACTCAACGCCTAAGGCAATAAGGCACATACCGAATCCAAGGCATCAAGGCATAAACCAGATATAAGGCACCATCAAGGCACAAGTGACCCCTCAAATGTCTCCTCTAGACTACGTACACCACTATTGATTCCATATAGCCTTTCCTTGTTACCGAAGGTATGAAACGAATGCGGGGCTATAAGGCTAACTGGTATTTCGATGTACTAGGCAAATGCAGGTCTCAGCCACTGTGGTCTCCTCGTATTTCGAAATACATCGTTTTACCATTTTGGAGAAAAATAGCTAGGTAAATTTTAAGCCGATAAAGGTAAATAAATATCCGCCCGTCAAATTCTATCAAATATCAAACTTAGCCGAAGGGGTTAATATGGCCTCTTATAGAAAGAACCAGATAAATGCAGGCTTTGGATGGGAAACAGCTATGTTTTTCATGTACCTGAATATATCACGTAGAATGGAAAAGGCTCCAGAATCTTTAAAATACAATATAGATATCGGTCTAAGTCTATTGGTGAGTTTCTAACTTAAGACTATGAATCAAATGGCCTGTGGCCCCTAATGTCTCTTGCTACGTCTAAATAAACTCACTCATTGTCCGTCTGCCTTTGCCTTCACCAGTTTCTTTACCTCTTCCTTTGACGCAACGGACTCCTGATAATCCGGTCTAAGTAACTCCATGGCCTCTGTCGTCCTTCCGTATGTAATGCCTCCCAATCTACTTATTGGTCTCAAAACCTACGGACAAGTTAGGGTATTGATTTTTGTAATATTGGAATAACTTACGACAGGATCAATCAAATTCTTATCGTCGTTGAGGGCATCCTCTCTGACCCAGAATCTCGTCCCTTCAATAATCGCAAGAACCCCAGTCTTCTTTCCGGGTGTGGCTCTGCTCTCGAATTCTCTAGTGCTTTCCAGCTTCCCCTCGACAGAGAAGATAGCCTCCTTGACCCTGCTTGCCTTGACAGTCGAGCAAGGTGCCGGTGTAAGCCCAGTTAGACTCCATTCCGTTTCCCCATAAGGCGCATTAATTGAGGCAGCATTTGCAGCTTCAACATAATGCTCGGAGATGATATTGATAACACATTCTTGGGACTCGCTTAAATTCCGTAACGAGTCCTTTGCGTTCTCAAACCCACAAGCAAACCCGATCGTGAATAGGGGAGGATCATGATTGATAACTTGAAAATAACTGAAGGGTGCCAAATTTGTGCTGCTCCCGTCCTTTGATCTGGTGCTGATGAAGCCAATTGGTCGAGGAATGATGCCGGAGATCAACAGTTTGTAGTTCGAAACGGAAGATCTACCCTCCTCATACGGGTCGATTTCAACGTGCGGAATGTTCAGAGTTGCACCACCGTCATTAGCCCCGTCTCCAAACTTCCACTCGGGATTGGGGGTCTGCTTGAAGTTGAATTCCAAAGATTTATCCCATGGGTCCCTGGCGGACTCGACCTTCTTAAAGTCGGGATGAGGATTGCGCTTAATATCCTTTTCAGCGTTCACTCTGCCAGTGTTGTCTTGCGATGCCATGGTGTTTCGATGCGAACTCGCTCGCCTAGTAATATGATAATGCGAGGTAGGCTTGAACGGGCTGGTAACGCGGTATAATTCATCAGTATATATCGCGGTTTAGAGGATAGCGTGCCATAGGTTTTTAATAACTTTATATTAGGCTTCACTTACGTAAATCGCCTGAGGAAGTGGCGTGCTGCCAAGTTCATGAAGGCTGTCGCAGGTCCTAGTGCTGATACCAAAGTCAAAGGGGTTGTAAATATTGCGAGAAGAAGTGTCATATTTATTTGTTTATCCTCCAGGGAACGAGAACCGTCGCAAGCCGAGATACTGCCCGTCCCGATTTCCGAGTGTGACCCCTCAACCCCGCAGCGATAAGCGGACCGGTGGATCGCTCTAGCACTTGGCGACAGTGATAAGAGGCATAAGAGGCATCTGAACCCGATATGGTTGATAAGCAGAGATGCTCAGATACATGACCAATGTCTGAATTGCGAAGCATTTAAACCCGATATCATTGAATTGATAAGCAGAGATACTCGGATACATTTCTAATATTCTGAATTGCGAAGTTATATATCTTGCAGATCTCTATCATTGATATTCAATTCATCTCATTCAATTCATCTCTCGGAAGCTAATCGTTTAGGGACCTCCACTCAATATGGCTGGCGTGCAGACTTATAAGCTTGGAGATTGGAAACTCCAGTCTGGAGAGACAATTCCAGATGCTCACATTGCTTACAAAACGTTTGGAGATCCCAAGTCTCCCGCTATCATCTATCCGACGTGGTATTCGTAAGTATATCCAGATTCTTCTCGTCCCTTCCTCGAAACTAGAACAATAAACATTGCTCTCAGCCTTATTTCTTCTATTCGGTTATACTACCGTGGGCGCTGCTAGAATGGACCACGCTGACTGCTGGAACTCTTAGTGGGAGTAAGCCTAACCTACCATATATCGAATCAACCAAAAACTAATATCCTGAAGCTATCGACAACAACGAATGGCTCGTTGGCGAAGACCATACTCTAACCCCAAAGAAGTATTTCATCATCATCCCAGCGCTATTCGGGAATGGCCAGTCGACGTCGCCATCCAACTCCAATATTAGACCATTTCCCAAAGTGACCTTTTATGACAATGTGAGAGCACAACACACGCTAGTCACGAAGCACCTGGGCATCACGCATGCTCGTGCGGTCCTCGGGTGGTCGATGGGAGCAGGCCAGACGTACCAGTGGGCCACTAGTTATCCGGACTTCATGGATATTGCGGTCCCATTTTGTGGCGCCGCCAAAACCTCGTTGCACAACCAAGTATTCCTTGAAGGGGTGAAATCCGCTCTCCTCGCGGCCCGAAAGAACTCATCGGCTGGTTCTTGCGAGGATGGAACCCTTAGCCAGGGCGAAAAGTATCGCACTTGGACTGCAGAGGAGAGAGAAGTCGGGTTGAAGGCATTTGGCCGGGGTTACGCGGGGTGGGGGTTTTCGCAGGCCTTTTATAGAGCGAAACTCTACGAAAGCGCCCTTGGCTTCAAGGACTTGGAAGACTTCATGGAGAAATTTTGGGAAACCTGGGCACTTTCTAAAGGTAAGTACAAAACCTTGCATCCGACAATGGGATATTGAAGATATCTAGATCCCGAAAATTTGCTGGTCATGCTTTATACTTGGCAAGCTGGAGATTGTTCCAACCAGGCGCCATACAACGGCGATTTCAGAGCAGCCATGCAAGGGATTAAAGCAAAGACACTTGTGCTACCCGGTAAAACCGACTTGTACTTTCCGTAAGTGGATATTCGAACATACTTCAGAATAACCTGCTGACCCCTCATAGCCCCGAAGATTCAGAGATTGAAGTTGCCAATATGAAAGACGGAATTGGAAAAATGGAGGCTTTCCCAAGTGTAAGCTGATTTGGATAAAACCTATCTCCTTGTTCCTTTTTGATTAGATGCAACAATCATATTTCAGCCCCCTTGCTTTGGGAGTTCCCCCAAGCCCCGAACGCACACCGCTGTCTATCAAATTAACTTAAAGGGGAGACTGACGCGATGTTAACCTGCAGATCTGGGGACATTGGGCTGGAGGACCTGGCGATAGCAAGGAAGATGTAGCGTGGTTGGATCAAAAGCTTCGGGAGGTCGGACTTGGCGATAGCAAGGAAGATGTAGCGTGGTTGGAGCAAAAGCTTCGGGAGGCCGAACTTTGAGCGCGGGCGAAAAAATTACCTACGAAAGGTTATATAATTTAGTAGTGGTAGGAAACGAACTGGTTGAGAGTCGGCTAGGCTTAGCTAAACTGTAACCAGCGGGTAACTCTAGGGGGCGAAGTTTAAGTAACGTATAAGGAATTCGAATTTAGTAACTCAATCTGCATTGTTTACCATATGAAAGTGTCATTATGTTATTACCCAAGAAACATTCGTGGCCAGTCTGTTTAAACCAGATTAAGCAACGAAGACAAACAACTCCAAGTAACCAAATACCGGAAGACTGAAGATATCGATTCAAGAGCGAGTAAAAGTAAAAGAGAATAAGTTCGATCAACCACCGTGCCGGGTATGCTGACTGCTCATGGGATCCTGGGGTAAACTTGGAGGCTGCCCAGGAGCTGATATCAAGTTTGGGTTGACCCCAACGTTACCCGGGGCAGTACCTCCGTAGTATTGACTCCCAGCACCTGGCTGTACTGGGGCATAAGTGGGTGCCATATTGAAGCCGGATGGCCAGGGTGCCTGCGGCGATGGCTGGGCCAGAGGTTGTTGATATTGCGGGGGGTGTGTATTGTCCCCTGAGACTGTCGTCGGCGGATTCCACCCCTGGTTCTCCTGCGGCTGCTGCACCTGGTGATAGCTGGGCTGCAAGTACTGGCTAGAGGGAGCGGGCGTGGCCAGGTTTCTAGTACCACCTTGGTACGTTTGTTGTGGAGGGGCGCTTGGCTGCTGTTGACCTTGGTAAACTTGTTGGCCAGCGTCGTTGGCCGACGACTGACCCAGGGACGCGAGGCGAAACTTCTTTTTCTTACAGTATCAACCTTGACGACCTGGCCCCCCTTGGCACCAACAGCCCCAATAACGTCCCCCCTCTTGTCGACCCACATGGCGCGCAGTCCTGATTCCTTTGCACGTCGTGCGGCATGGGTACCGAAGATATCTCGGACGTACCTTGTAAACTCTAGGTACGCATCAGAGACAATTCTGAAATGATTGACCCCAAGAGTGACGACTGCATTCGGGTTCTGGAGAGTCTTATGGCTATTACCCTGAGCCTCGAACTCGGCAAGCGCGAGGGCAGTCTGACAGGCGTTTCTGATCTGTCGGCCGTTCCACCGCTCATTCTCGCGCTCATTCCAGTAGTTTGCTGCGAAGGCCCCAATCTGGAGGTCCTCGATGTTGACCTTCCTCTTCTTTGCCTTAAAGCGGTCGTCAATCAAACCCAAATTCAGTTTGAAGACCTCGACTGTGTTATCCTGATTCAGCTCTGGGTAGTACAGACTGATGTGAATCCGAGATGCAAAGGCTTCGTCAAAGTCGCCTACTCGATTGGTGGTAAGGAAGAGAATGCCGGCGTAGTACTCAAGGACCCTCAAGAAGACTACTGGGCCATCAGCCCTGTAGAACATGACACATCTCGAATTAGAGGAAATTGCTGACCTGCTACGAGGCCATTCCTTATAAAGTCCTCCTTGGTCCTCTCTGCAAGGAAGACATCCGCCTCGTCGAGGAGAAGGATACACCCCCATCTGTTAGCGAGGGCAAAGTTAGTCTCCAATGCATCCTCTACGTCCTGTGCAGTAGTTCCCAAGTCTCCTAGTATCATGAAAAGATCGTCAGTCTGAGGTCACATGGCTTGTGTGGGAATTTCATTGCTGCTGGGGATACAGACCGCATGTTATCTGAAATAAGGGCTTCTTGAATTTCTCTGCAACCCCCTCTGTTCCAAGTTAGCGGTAAGCCAGGACTCTATCTACAAGTGGGGGCGAGTAACATACCTGCCGTGCTTGTTTTTCCGACACCGGGAGCACCGTGAAGAAGTAGAATCAATCCTTTCCCTACTCCTAGTGTTAATAATGATCAAGACTAGCTAGTCACAAGGGCCAGGAGAGGATGCTGCCTACCCTTTCCACGCACGATACCGGTCTGATCGTTCTTATTTGCTGACGATTCCTTATCACGGAAGTGCTGAGCGACGAGTGACAAAATCATCTTTCTATGCCCATCCGGGAGCACAAGGCGATCAAAGGCCGTCTTTGGCTCCTCGTCATCCTCCGTTTCCTTCCCACCTTCACCCCCGGCATTTTCGTTGCTGGGTGCATGGACATCGGTAAGATGTGTGAGATCCAATTTTGCTGTCGTAATGCTGTTAGCAATTCTAACCTAATAGGCGGTATGGAAGGTTTCAGCTCTATTAGCGCGACAGGCCAATACTGTGCTATCCTGCTACATATTATTCCATTCTAAGGCACCCCAGTATATGTTATCATACTGGTAATTCTCCTAGTCAAGATTACCCTGCACTAGACTACCCCTTTAGCGGGTGTTTTCTAGGATTTACAGGGCCTTGTACTTTGTGCTGGCCACACCACATTGACAGCGATGGGAGAACAAGAGGGAAACTAAAAGAAAAAGAAACAACCCACCCCACTTTCGACTGCGGAGAACAAACCCGAAGACACGGTAGGACATAATGGCTAGGTCCTCGTCCGATAGCGCATTCTGGGGTCTCTTGGTGTCTCTCAACAGCCGGGGAAAGATGACGACTGAGGGCAACTCATCCCTGGTCTTGGGAAGAAGACTACCCATGTATTCTTCATTCCGCTTCTCCTCCACATAAGAGTCGTCGTGGATGTTCTCACGCAGGCAACACTCTGCGTCACAGGACTCGATATCCTCCACCTCATCAGGAGCACCAATGATTGTTTCAAGGTTAGGTTTCCAGGGCTCCCGTCCGTGTTCTTCGACCACCGCGAATGCGGTCTCAAAATCCACGACCACCTGGCTCTCGACCTCATCCTTTGTTTCTAGGGTTAGTCCAGTATAGTACATATGCTTGACGCCAGCAACTTCCAGGAACTTCCTTCCTCGGTCAATGAGGCGTTGTCGGAGCGAGCAATCGGGAGCCACGGATTGGTCCCTGTTACCAGAACTAGGCTCAACCGTTCTGGCGGGGTGAAATCGAAGAGGGTAAACTTCAAGGGAAGTAACTGCCCTCTCCCCTTCAAACCTCTTAATGTTAAAGGGCTTCGAAACTGGACCCAGCTGTTTGCCATCAAAGTCCACATAGACACATTTGATTGTAATAGGTGTCTCTTCTGACTTTGCTGATGACTGGTCAAAATAGTTCCGCCAGGGGGGTATGACCTTGTGCCCAGAACTAACGACACTGATGATGCGATATGCTTGCTTCCCGTCACTTCCGATAACTTCATCTCCAGGCTTAAACAGGTACCAGATATCCGAGAAGGTGATTTTCTGGCATGCAGCGCTATTTAAGTAATCTACTTTCCGTGAGATGTCTGAGTCTATAAACTTTAGGAGGCACTGTAGATGTTCAAGCGCCACTATGGAAGTTGCTTCATCGTCTGGATCTTCGCCATCTGGGCCTTCGCCATCTTCCCCCCCATTCTTCGTCTCAGTTCCTGGGTGTGGCTCGAAAGTGACTGGCTCTTTGCTTTCTTCGTTGTGGACATCATTACCCCTAATCTCGTTTGTCGAGCTGTGTGTAAATTCTGAAGAACCAGTTTTGGCTTCGGGCCGATCCCCTGCACAGGTGCCATTTTGCAAATCGAATTTCATCTCTAGTTTCTGGCACCACTCTCGCAGTAATGGGTAATAATAGAAAAGTGCCTTGAACGGTCTAATGAAGACTAGCGGCTCTAGCTGCTTAGAGCGAAAGCTAGATATCTCAGAGCCGTGTATCTGTGCAAGAATGTCAAGAATCTGAGTGGAATGAATGCGAATTCTCTCCGGAAGTGGCGCCTTCCCAGTTATCAGCTCCTGCTTCACAGGGACCTTGTGTTCTTGGGCCTTCTCCGCCTGGCCCGAGATCTTCCCGTACCAAGTTCCGTACTGTTTGAACGTTTTGTAGTCAATGGTAGGTTCTCCCACTAAGATATTAATAGCGTAGGAATCTTTCTCCTCCACTCTTCTAAGGCGTTTGAATACGGCCCACTCAACTCGGTTCGACTCCGGCAAAGCCCACATTCGTACTGGTAGAGGCTCAACCTCGGGCTCCTCTGCTTCAACAACGGATGCTGGTCGTGGTGTGGGTTGGTCCTCCTCTTTGGAGCCTTCCTGGCGAGCACTTTCAGATGCTCGTATTCGTCTCTCCTCTTCTTCTTTACGTTGCATTTTCACAACATGCTTTCGACGTCGTTTCATGCGGCGTCTTTCAAACTGAAACTCCAGGTTCTCCCTCTCCCAATCATAATCATTTCGTAGCGTGCGCCGTCGCCATTCATACGCACCGGACAAGTCGGAGCCGTCAGTTGAGTGGTCACTATCATCACCATCGTCATGGTCATGGTAAGGGTCTCTGGCGGCCTTATGATAGTCTTGATCTATGAAATTGCGCCGTTCCCATCGCCTTCGATGCTTCCGAAGCTTCTCATTATACTCAAGCTCCTCGGAGATCCGTCGACTGAGATCGTTATCCACTTTGCTGAACCAGCTTTTCCCAAGCGCAAAGGAAGCACCCTCCTGGATGACTGCCGCTGTTCTTCGTTGTCTTTCCGCTTCCCACCTGCGCTTCTCTTGATCTGCACCGACTCTTTCCTTTTCCTCCTCCCACTGGATTTCGCGGTCTGCGGGGTCCGGGCGTACCTTGGTATGTCGCTCTAGTTCGAATAGCTTGTCCTGTAGACTCCGTATCTGATCCAAGACGCTCACATCCGCTTTGGCGGTCTTCCGAAGGGTACCGACACTTTCCTGGTCACTGTCTTCCGGTTTGTGGACGAGGACATCCTCATCATCTGAATCGGCAATTGGTGATTCTACATCTGTCTCCTTGTCGATGGATGTGGGTCTGCCAGGCCAGCTTCCCGACAGGTCGTTGTCGCTCACATTGCTGGCATTTGGAGCTTTCGGCTCAGGCTGAGGGCTTGAATCGGTCGTGGACAAAGGCGTTGGGGGAGTACTTTCAGGAAGAGATGATTCTGAGGGTTCACTGGTGGGCATGGTGGTTGCCCCGATTCGGACGGCAGTACCATCGGCTGTGGATATGCTTGTCATTGTGCCTCACCTTGAAAGAAAAGAACGCCCAACCGAGAACAGGAGACAGGAGGAAAAGAAAAAGAGGAGAGTTGGAAGGAGCGAGGTCCAAATTCAAGGTATCTGGGCAAATACTAGACGTCACCGAAACGCCTTGACGCTCAATGCTTCGGTAGTGCAAGAATCGATGCTGTCTTTATTGGTCTTGAGGTTTTTAAGCCGCAAACTTCTGCAGCACCATATAACCAAGATAGGCGGGACAAAAATACATTCTGCTGGTGGCGTATTGGGCCAACTACTTGCATGAAACAAAGTATCGAGCAATGAGAGAACGTTATTTGGCACCAGGCATTCGGGGCCGAGCCGAGCGGCGCCATCCGTACTGTCAGCCTTGTGCCTCATACAGTACCAAGTACCACGGCACTTACAGCACGAATACTCCATATGGCCTATAGCTAGGCCACTCAAGTACGAAGTATCACAAAAGGTTGCGAGAATTCAGCTCTCTCGACCGGGGTTTCCATGGCTAAAGCCTAAACCTGCACCAGAGGCTGTGGTTAACTGCCATTCTCGACTCGCAAAGTTACAGGGAGAGATCGATCATCAGCATGCAGAGGGCAGCAGTTTGCAGGAACCCAGAACAGATCTGATAGTCAACCCAATGGCGCTCGGTATCAGCCACTGCCTTGTATAAGTCACAGATAACGACATCGAATTGGAAAAAGTATCCGGATTTGAAGGGCCTTTGTATTTCCAATTTGTGACACAAATGGCACAGCCTAACACCCAGGCTCCAAGGCTCCACACCCAACCACCAACCGTTGATTTCATCGACACCCGTCTTTCCAAGTATCATCCAGCGTTTAACGACCCTACTCTGCGATACGATCCTTCATCCGCGCAATACGTTCCAGCCCTGCAGCACAACAAGATAGAAGGAGTGAAGCCAGCAGGGCCACCTGCGGAAGTCGTAATGAAGTTTTGGGATCACATTTTCCCCAAGGCCATGGATAAGCTCAAGTTTTCCATGGCCACCAAGGAGGCCAAGGGTCGCCTAGAAGAGTATAGTATTCGAAACAAGGCGAGCTGGGACGCTGTCTATGGCACGCTCGAGGTTGCTCGAATGCAATACACCTCGAAAACCGGAATTGGCGGTGCTTTGAGAAAGGTCTGGCGCAAGGCTGCTGACCACATCCAGCCGGCGATTGAGACAACCAAGTTGGCAAATGAGGTAGTCAAATATATCCCACAAGCAAACGCGGTCACGCCCGTTTTTGGAATCGTGGAGGTTCTTCTGGATGTGAGTAGATTTGGGCATCCATAATATTGTGAACTTCAGCAACAAGGCTAGTTTTTTGGTGATAACAGTTCGTACATGCAAGGCCGTCAAGACCGCTGCCGCAGTCCGAAAACAAATCCTCGCCGGATTCGAAGACCTCGATCCTATCTTCTCAGACGTTGAGTTATTCCTCAGTACCTTCCCGAATGCCTCCAACATAACAAGCAGCTCCATCGACCTGATCGCCACGGTCTTCCTGGCGGTGGAGTGTGGGATTGGATTTTTCATCGGATCTACTTGTGAGACATCTGCATAGATAGAAATAACCCCTTTACTTCATATTGCAAGCGTGACTGACATAAGACGTCGTCCAAAGTCATCCGAGGGCTTTCTGCAACCTTCAATAAGGCGGAATACGAAAAGCCTCTGCTAGATAGCCTTCAGATGATCACCGACAAGAGCAAACAGGTCGAAGCTCATTATTGTACGTCTTCCCTTGGGACGATGCTCCTCCCGAACGGTACATTGCACTTGCACTAAGCCTGCTTCAAGATTCAATTGAAACTCAACGAATACAGCATGAGATGCTTGCGCAAAACAATTACATAATAGCCCAAAACAACAATACTCAAGTGGCAATGAACTCTGTCCTAGCTGTACTGACTGATCAATATGTCCGTGAACGGCAAGCAAACTTGCTCAGTAAGATCCGGTACCGATGAGGGGGCCTCTTGCCTCAACCCTATGTCTCATGTATTTGGTGCCATCATTCTAACAGCTAGTTTTAACGCAGTAACGCAAGAAAACTCCTCTCTCAAGGTTGAAGTGGAGATTTTGCGTGCCGCTTCACCCCAACCAGCATCGCAAACCTCAGCTGTCAACGAGGATGGACTCCTCAGTCTACTTGACATTCCCAACATCGACTTAGCCGATCTCGAACGCATTGAAAAACGAGGACAGCTACTCTCTATGCAGGAGCGCGGACGCGCCGAGCAGATCGTACACAACCAGAAATTCCAGACCTGGCTCGTTTCGCCGACCTCGACGATGCTCCTGACCCACGGAAACTTCCACGGTCTGCAGGACACTTCTGCATTATCGCTATTTTGCGTAACGCTCATTCGTGCTTTCCGGGCCAGGCCGCGCTTCGTGACGCTCGTGTGGTTTTGCGGTCTCCACCTGAGCGTGAATGACTCTGACGCTGACTCAGAAGATTATAGCGACGAAGAGTGCGGACTAAGTATGATGGAGCAGATGCTAAAGAGCTTAGTTGTACAGCTACTCTGCCAATATTCCTTTAACACACAGTACTTGCCTTCCGAGATTGAGCTTGCGGGCGTCCAGGACGGTGACCTCGAACAACTGTTCCCGCTATTTGAATGGCTAGTGCACCAGCTCCCTGAAAACATTACACTTTTCTGCCTTATTGACGGCATCGCCTATTACGAGCGCGAGGAATTCGAAGATCCCATGTTGGAAGTGCTGGCAGGCATCCTCAGACTCACGGTTGCCAGCAGTATTCGGGCGGTCGTAAAAGTTCTCGTCACCAGTCCCTGGGGTACTGACACTGTACGAGCGGCGTTTGAGGCTGAGGATAAGGAAGACGAGGAAGATCTAATTCTTTCCATGGCTGGACAGTCTCGGCTGGGATGGATACCGAGTAAGGCTCGTCTTGAGAGGGAGTTGGGAAGTGGGTTTGAGGAGGTTTCTCATAAAGCAACGGAGGACTAACGCGACGTGCAATATTAATAGGGGTGTCGGAATACCAAAACCAAAGGAACCTTATTTTTCACTTGTTTTGTCTACCTAGGTACTAGAGGGCATAGAAGTTGTTTCCCATTACGTCCTAATATAATACTACTAACTTAGTACCAATTTACTACTAGTTGTTATTGTTTATAGTGCTCCTTAGAGGGCGCAAGCAGTAGAGTAATACATTAAGGCGGGTAATTTTCGGCATTTTATCGGATCGACGAAGTAGTACGTACTTCGGTTTCTCGAGCTCGAGTAATACGATAGGGATTGGCGAGCTTTTATTGATCAACGACACCTCAAAGGCCGGAAGGGAAGTGAAAAGCCAGATCATAAGATGTCTAAAACGCACCACTCTGCAGAGCCTATCGAGTTATCGTTCCCTCTTCCGAAAGCACCGGACACAAGAGTTCACCTCAGCCTCACAATCCAAGCTACATCGTCCCACTTGTTCCTGACGACAAAGAGCAATGGCGACACATCTACACCGGTGTCACTAGGTTCTTTTGTCTATGCTATTCCAGATGTGAGTCTGATTCTTGTTGAACAAATGCACAGATTCAAACTAATATTATCGTAGAGATATAATCCTGGTCAAACCCTATCTACCCCTCTCTACACCCACGAATCTACCCTGGAATTCACGACCCGTCTTGCGAAATTGCTTGCACAGAGAACTCAGAAGCCTGTCTATGTGGGAAACTCAATAAGTTTCGCTGATACTGGGATGGGCGGCACTGTCGAAGAGGAAATGGAAGGCTTCCGAAAGGTCGTTGAGGTTGTGACAGACGAGGTCAAGAAGAGTAGGGATTAAGAGATTGCCAATGGCAGATGAATTAGTCTTGTTCCCAAAGACTACAGGAGCCGCGCAAATCAGATTGACCCTCCCGGGAGTCGGGAGATGAAGTGCGAAGTCATGCCGATGTCCTCGCCACGAGCCTGCAACCGTTGCCATTCAGAAAGCCACTCATATATGATGTCAATCGTGCCTCCAACTCTTACCAAGTGAGGTTCCGCTGGAAACATTTGGCATCAATATCAAGTACCTCTACAAGGTCGGAGGCAGTGCGACATCCGTTGTATGGCCGAGATATTGCAAGCCATATGAATATCGCATTGGATGCTTCGATACTGTTGGTTGATTGGTTTCATATTTTAAGGTACAGGCTCAATGTGTACCGCTAAAGGATACCCACCATGAATCTTCGGATAGGTGATGAGATTGTATTGCATTGTCCTACCGCGCGTATTACCCAACGGTGGCTAGTATGGCACTGAAGTTACACCTTCATAGTCGGTCAGGTCACATCACGATGCAGATATCCACTTCCATCAAAGTCTACCTCGACATCGTTGGGCGACAGAGAATTATGATTGACACTCTATAACGGGTCCCTGATAAATTTAGAGCGGGCATTTACATCAGATCGGTATACCTGAGACTCAAATTTTTATAATGGCTCCCCTGTAGCTCCTAGTTACATCAACAGTGGAAAGAGAAGGGTACTTGAGGGACTGAGGCTCAGGACGATTGTAGGCGGAAGTCAATTGCAGGCAACTTCATCTGCAAACAAAGGCACACGCCCTATAACTTCTCTGATCTGGGTGTCTGAACCAACGATAGAAATAGGTTGCTATGGATATTGATTTTTGCTGTATCAGAGAGGCACACGCGATTTGACGTCCTTCACCCCGCTATTGATCATGTTACATGCATATTGTCTTGGATTCCCTCCAACCCAGCAGCATTGCTGAAATAAACATAGAAAAATCAAACTGCATGAACAACCTAAAGAAAAAGAATTAATTTTATAGACGAGTGACACCGCAAACACCTGCAGAGACAGAAACAGAGACATGATAGATCGTTGTTTGTTTGTCCTAACGTTGACCTGAATAGGTAAGCTTAACCACAAAATTTCTCAAGCGACGCTTGTGGCCCAGAGGGCAAGCGACAGTGTGGGCGACAGTGGGCGAGCGCAAGTTTCGGCCAGACAATACAGCACCACATCGCAATCCCCCGATCTTCACCTTTACGACACTCTTGCAGATGTAATCGCAGATCCACGTCCACTTGTCCACTTGCGCAAGTACCCGCAGCTCACATTATCTCTTTCGAAGGCGATCCACAGTTAGCAAACCGCTGGAAGAATCAACCCCGCGATCGGTGGCGATTGAAGGACCCTTCCGAAGAGGTCCCAGTGCCCATTCCCACAGCTATCTGGCGTCGCACAATTCTCCCTTCGACTTGTCTCTTGTTTCTTCAATTTGTAAGTACAAGATACCACCCGCGCAGCAGCATGCCGTCCTCCAGATCCGCCGGTTCGCCGTAAACTATACAACTGCTAACAACATCATCCCCGCAGATGGTGACCACCTAAGGTCAGACAAGTATACCTGTGCGACCCCTTGGAATCGGTTCGTGCTTCGAGAGGATATCTGAATATAGGAAGGATCTGAATCGCCACACAAGGGGGTTGGCCATCCTTCAAGGGTGCAGCTGTGGACATGGCCTGGCAACCGGAGCAAGAGGCGCTGGGGCAACTAGCAAGCTGCTTGAAAGACTCCTTGAGTGGACACAACAAAAATGTCCAAAAGCAGGCAGAGACTGTGAGTGAACAATTTTGAGAATGATTCTCTTTGGATTTGTTTGCGCACTGGAGCAACTGCTGATGTTACTGTGATGCTGTGTAGATGCTTGCCCAAGCAAAGTCCTCGCCTGATATCAACAATTACCTTACATACCTATTCTCAAGCTCTGAAACTCCCGCAGGCCTACCCTATTCTCCGGTGGAATACCATGCGGTTCGAGCGGCGGCGGCTACCATGCTGAAGAACAATATCAGGACTGGTTACAAGACTATACCGCCCGACAGCCTCACGCTCGTGCGTTCGTCAGTACCTTTGGCTTTGCAAGACAAGAATCAATCGATACGGAACTATGCTGGAAATGTCATCACTCAGATAGTCACCCGTGGTGGCATTTTGGGTTGGCCGCAGCTATTACCAGAGCTGCTCTCGTTAATTGGGAATGAGCCCGGAAATATCACGCCTGAAGCTCAAGAGGGGGCTATGGATGCTCTAGCTAAAGTATGTGAAGACAACAGGAAAATGCTGGACAAGGACTATCAAGGCCAGCGGCCATTGACATTTATCATTCCGAAACTCATTGATTTTACTGTCAGCGACAACCCCAAAGTTCGATCTCTAGCACTCGGTACCCTGAATGTTTTCATCCCCCAGAAACCCCAGGCCTTACTTGTTTCGCTCGATGATCTTCTAAACCGTTTGTTTCAACTTGCAAATGACCCCTCATCTGATGTACGGCGGCAGGTCTGCCGAGCCTTTGTTCAAATCGTGGAGATCCGACCTGACAAGATCTTACCGCACATCGGCGGGCTCGTCGACTACATGATTGCGCAGCAAAAGAAAATTGAGGATGAAGAACTGGCTTGCGATGCTGCAGAATTCTGGCTCACCGTTGGGGAGCACGGCGAGCTCTGGAAATCTTTAGCCCCTTATCTCAACAAGATTATCCCCGTCCTACTAGAAAGTATGGTCTATAGCGACGAAGATATTGCAATGTTGGAAGGCGGTGGCAATGATGCGGATGAGGAAGACCGAGCTGAGGATATCAAGCCAACATTTGCCAAAACCAAGGGCGCTCGAATTCTCACCAATGGTGAAGAAGTTGAAGTGGTTGAAAACGGCGGGGGTTATGCAAAGCTTGGAGACGACGACGACGACTTGGATGAGGGAGAAATCGAGGAGTTCGACGACGATGACGATGACGATGATAATCCTGAGGATCGTTGGAATTTGCGGAAATGCTCCGCTGCTGCTCTCGATGTGTTTGCGACCGACTTCCGAGGTCCTGTTTTTGAGACCATTCTCCCATACCTAATGACGAACCTACGCCATGAGGAGTGGCCTTATCGTGAGGCAGCTGTACTCGCTCTTGGAGCTGTTGCAGAGGGCTGTCTGGAGGTTGTTACTCCTCATCTTCCTGATCTCGTACCTTACCTCATCTCGTTGCTCAATGACCCGGAACCACTCGTCCGACAGATTACTTGCTGGACGCTCGGACGGTATTCATCTTGGGGGGCAAACCTCAATACCGCTGCTTTGCGGGCGCAGTTCTTCGAGCCTATGATGGAAGGTATCCTGACTAAAATGTTGGATAATAACAAGAGGGTTCAGGAAGCTGGTGCATCGGCCTTTGCACACCTTGAGGAGAAGGCTGGTCACGCATTGACGCCGTATTGTGAGCCAATCATCCGGCAATTTGTTCGTTGCTTCGAGAAGTACAAGGACCGGAATATGTTCATCCTCTACGACTGCGTCCAAACCTTAGCTGAGCATGTAGGCCATGGACTTGCGCAACCTCAACTTATCGATATTCTAATGCCAGCGCTCATCCATCGATGGAATAAGGTTTCCGACCAGTCGAAGGAGCTTTTCCCTCTTCTCGAATGTTTATCCTACGTAGCCACGGCTTTGTCAACGTCGTTTGCGCCATTTGCTCAACCAGTGTTCGCCAGATGCACAAAGATCATCCATCAAAACCTGGAAGAGTACATGGCGTCGGTCAATAACCCAATTTTAGATACGCCTGACAAGGACTTCCTCGTAACGAGTTTGGATCTTGTAAGCGCCATTGTCCAAGCAGTTGACCAAAAGCAATCCGCCGAGCTCGTATCCGGCACACAACCCGGGCTGTTCGACCTACTAACATTCTGTATGGAGGATGCTGAAAACGAAGTTCGCCAATCAGCGTACGCTGTGTTGGGAGACTGTGCAAAGTACGCTTTTCCACAACTGCGACCGTTCCTACCAACATTACTCCCGATCCTTATCCAACAGCTTGACTTGGATCAGATCCTTGACGAGCAAATTGCCACTGGCTTCAGTGTCTTGAATAACGCATGTTGGTCTGCCGGGGAGATCGCAATCCAGTACGGCAAGGAGCTAGAGCCCTACGTCGGGCAACTCCTAGAGCGATATCTCCATATTCTAGGCAATCCGGAGGTTCCTCGATCCGTGTTGGAGAACTCAGCAATAGCCCTGGGCCGACTAGGACTGGACAATTCTGGGGTTCTGGCGCCTGTCCTGTCAACATTTTCGGAGCCATTCTTGAAATCAATCCATAGTGTGGAGCACACGGTGGAAAAGGCTACCGCCATGAAAGGGTTCTGTTTAGTCGTCCTAAAGAACCCGCAAGCTATGGAGAAGGACCTCGCGCGCCTCTTCACGATCATTGCACGATATAACAATTTCGTAGAAGTAAATCCTCTAATCGCTGATCTCCGGCAGATTTTCCAGCACGTAAGTTTTATGAACTGATATTGGTCTTCACTACTAACCTTACTTCTCAGACACTGGAAACCTACAAGTCCCTCATCCCCGACATGAACGCGTTCCTCACTAGCCAGATAGCCCCAGCAGACGTAACGGCTCTTCGCACGATATACAGCCTGTAAACAAATAAAATATCCAGTTTTGGGCAGCACCGGGGCGCAAACGGAATTGGGTGCAAGTTTGAAGCCAGCAAAGAAACGCGACATGATCTTGTATTTACGAAAGCATTATTTCGGAGGAAACGGAGACAAAAAGAGCATTGTGCATGGGCATTTAAAGCGAGGTTCTGCACTACAGTTTACGTGGGCGATAACGACCGTTAGATATTATATTTCCTACTTTGGCACGTCATTTTACTACTAGTAGCTTAGATATTTAGTGCGAGCTTTCTACCTCTTGATGAGAATAGCGGGCAGTGAGAGGTTGGGAGAGAACCTTATGCCATCTGAGAGGGGAGGTGGACGGTATGGGGAACATGATTGATGGGCTTGGGTTGGGTTGGGGGGCTGGCCATGGTAGCTTTGAGGTTGCTTCCACGATTGGCTTAGGAAATGGGTACAATGAGTGGACAGGGAGGAAATAAATCGGGTTTTATGATGCTCATTTTTATTCATTGTGTGATGTGACCTGATCTGTGATTTTCGAGATATCCATTCCTAATCTTACCCGTAAAAAGCATTCCAAGGTCAGTCTTAACCCCTGTGTTGGATGGGATGGCTGAGGCGGAAACCAACACACTTGGTCAATGAGTAATGGCAGCATTAAACAAGGAAAATCACGTTCTAATTTATGCAATACAAGAATGTAATCGCCCAACTTCCTCATTAACTTCCCGCTAGCCCTTCATATCTTCATATTGTCGGCGCATTCCTGCCATGACGACCCCGCCAACACAAAGCATGGTCGCAAATCAAAAGCCTTCTTACAAACTCCAGCCTGAGTAGACAACATTGAGAATTCCCGAACATCATTGCTTTTATTATCATATTACCTATTAGCAGTGTCCTGTTCTTCCTTCACAAGACGCTCACACAAGTTGTGCTTGGTTCGGATCAATTCACTAGGCTCTGCCCTATCCTCGATACCACGTAGTGCTACTCGTGTGCCGGCATAGTTGACAGTTGGTAGTACGATAGTATTGAGCTGGAGGAGTCGGCCCCCCGAGGAGCATGGCTCAATACTTTGAACTTTAGTAAGGAGACAAGGGCTAAGAGCAATGGTACAAGTTTGAGATCTCTGCGTTTACTTGAAGAGAAGAGGCACGTAAAGTGCTAGGAAAAGGTATTTGCGGCGCACTTGGCCAGTTCACATCAGGAAATACTACCAGGAGATGACCTTTAACGAAGGATTGCCTATGTTGTGTATACATATATATAATCGCTCGACTAGCCTCCGCGGCCAATTTCCCACCATTTGCTCAATTTATAATGGGTACATACATACTCATACTGCTCCCTACTTCCTTACTACTTTGAAAGCAGCTGACTTGGTGTTAAGAAGTAGCCGGTGCCGCGCATAAAATAAGAAAGGAACACAAGAGCATTGACTTGGAGGAAGGGGAGGATACACTGGAGCAACTGGAGTGGTGGGTTAAATCTACTCTAAAAGAAGAATCGAACTTAGATGCTCTAGCCGAGGAGAAGATGGAGGGTAATACGAACTCCAATTTTGAAAGCCATCCTCTGCTGATCGCGGTTCTCAGTTAATGCATCTAGATCCGTTAGGTCCCTTGTACATCATGCTTATAGGTAATCGGGATAACATCAAGTATAAAATTATGTGGTTTACATTTCTGAAGAACGCTACAAAGCCCGTTCTACTTTCACAATTAAGTTAACGTCCATCGCCCACAGAAGCACTTGTTTTCATAATGCAACTCTAAGCCGCATTCCACCCTTAGAACAACACGGCGGCATAAAACTCTGTTTGTTATACCAAGAGGGCCACTTTGCAAATTTTTATTTGCTTTGGAAGCAGAGTGATGAGGCACGCATGGTGCAGAATATGCATAAACATTCGGATGCACTCTAGTGGGGTTTGTTTGGTGCTACTCGGTCATGTCCAGTCTCTGGACGGGAAAATGCCGCGCTCCGTTGCAAGGGAAACTCTCAACTCCGTACAAATACTGCATAATAACTCCGAGGAGGAAATATGCTTGGATTCAGTGCTTAAAATCCCTACTGAGAATCTCGAATACCTAGTAAAAAGACGTGTTTTACGTCAGGCTAACCTGGGATTCCTGTGGCCGTGGACCTGCTTCTGGGAGTTTTCCCGTCCAGACACTGTACGTTTTAACGACGTGTAGTATTCTATTTTCGGGGGTGCAGTAGGAGGTTTCCGCATGTGATAATCTAACAATGAACCTAGAGATGCCGCTGCGACCACATTGGCATAACGATACTTACTTCTAGGACCAGAATGGCGTCATAGAATTAAGTCTAAATGTGCTCGCGTTTCCCATCGATATGTTAGTTTGTCTTTATTAGGTGCGCTTGCCGGAGATGAATGTAACCAATCAGTGCAATGTGTTATTTGGGTTCGGTCGTTTAAGTCGCACCCAACTGGACGGCTGTCTTGGAACGGTGGAAATATTCAGTAGGGTGGTGGATATTGACGAAGATGTGGATATGGACATAGAAAGCACGTTTTTAGATCCGGGAAAAGGACGGTCAGGATCCCCCGTTGTGGCTACTGGTAGAGTCGGAATGGGCCGCCTATAACCGAGTCCGAAAAGGGGGGATAAAAGTGGTGCAACATTCGGAGCATGTCTGGTCCGGATCTAAGTCGAGCCACGTAATACTCCACATTGAATTCGAGACTCGGAGGTGGCCATGGTATACTGGCTTGTTCGGTTAAGTCAAAAACAGTACGATGTGGGAGGTAACCTTTGGCTATTTCGACATGGAATGAATTTTAGAGAGAATAATCAACAGACACAACGATGGTACACTGGGAATTGCCCTTTCGTGTCTAGAGACTTTAGGTCATTTATGTTACTATAAATGTGGCCCTCAATGGACTCTGCCCACAATCTGAAAGTTTAGTGGCTAGGGGCCTCTGTATCTGTTTAACTTACACGTACCCGGGTCTGTTCGGCTACCAATATAGAGCCAAACGGCCAAAGCTCACTGCTCGGTTTAATCGTTAGCTTTGTGAGTTAGTTGCAGTAAGATGTAAAACGAAAGAGTTATTTTCAGGGTCTTCATCTAACTCGTACAAGAAACATATGGAACCGGGAAGCAGGCGAAACGGCGATATATGGACAAGATAGTCAGGATTTGACGAAAAGAAGTTCAGTATGGGGATGTACTGAAACCCCTCACTATCAGACTATGGTGTTACAAATATATGGCCTTGATACAAAAGAGTTCAAGGGCCACATTAGTAGCAAGTTCCGTGAGCCGCCAAGCAAGGATTGGCCTCTTGAATTCGGGCCAGCGGCATGACTTCATCCGGCCTTAATGGACCGGCAGTTTCCGTGGAGCTGCAGCAGGAACCTATGTTTGTTTGCTTCGAAACAGAGACCTAACTGCTTCTAACGATGCCCTGACTTCCCTATGTTCAAGACTTATCAGATGCTGAGCGGAGTTGGTGGCCTATGCTCGGCGATCAGCCCATGAGAAGAGGAAATATTTTTTTAATTTTTTAATAATCGATTCCCACTATGGCCTTGGGCCACTTGGCAGTCAAGACCCAAGCTAGAAAGGCGGGAAAGGAGGGCTTTCAAGCCATAAGTTCGAAATGTTTGTTAAAGGTCCTCTCGCCTGCGAGCGTTGTTGAATCTGGTATCGCGTTGGAGAGATAGAGCCAGACAACGGCATGGTAAACAATCGGGACAACAAAGGGAATAGATCTGTGCACTGTACATAGGTATGGGGTATAGACTATACCCCTTCGCGGCAGTAACTGGGATGAGGTACGTAACTTTGGTGTCGAAAAAGTTGAGGCTATTACTTTATTGGCCACGGCTCAACTTGCCACATGTGGATAGCCGGGCCAAGTTAAAGGTACGGAAAAGTCCCCGACTCTGAAGAAGGCCTCTACGGAGTAGGGCCATAGCAGAATGCTGTAAGACCACCCGAGTGATTATAGTAGTCGAAATGGTGAATCGGTGATTTAATGATAAGGAGCAAAGTACAGTCTGCATTAACTATAAGCATAGACTGTACAAGTAAGATATGTAAATATGCATAATAGCAATGTGTGAACCACGTGAAGGCAGAGGAAAGGCGCTCGGGACCGAGTTAACAGCGAAGTTCTCGGGACAACTAGTGGAAGAAGAGAAAATTTGCCAAGAGTGGAGATGACCAGATTTAGTCTAAAATTAGATTTAAGCTCTGTTTCGTAGCAGACTTCCGTCCTCGTATTGACGGAGTTCAAAGGCTTACATCCGTGCACTGAGTGACTGAGGGGACTGTCCCAAACACAATCATTCCTCCGGCAACATGCTCCGTATGATGTCCCAAAATCCCATCCCAAGTGAAGGCAAAGCGGGTGGCGCTTCCTAGCGGAAATATTATAAGTGCCGAGCATTTGCGCCAGCCACACATCGATTCCTGCTGGGAAGTACTTGGGAGATGGGTGACTGTATGAAGAACTTCCCAATAGAGTTGGTGGTACGTATTAAGGCCCTGAGAAGTGCATATAGGAACCATTTGAAAGGCAAACTTCGTATGTAATTTGTCCGTGCCAGAGACTTGCGTCGACGTCGTTGGGGTTCGTGCGGGATGCAGTGCAATGCGGTGAAAGGTTGCGGGGTCCCTATCGCGGCTTCACCGCCTTTAATCGCTCTAGTACATAGTACCTCCGTACCTAGGTAGAGAGCAGTGTAAAACTAAAGGAAAGAATATATGAGCCGTTAACGCAGTTATTATCGAGGGAGGTTGGAGAGAGGTTGGAGCAAATGGAGTGGGAAGAGGAGACAAGTCACGCGCTACGCTTAGTAAGTATTTTGCTAGCTCAGCGTGGTTGGACTTGCAAGGTTCTGGGGTGTCGGCTCTTCACTTATTGACTCTGATTGACCCTCTAAAGTAGTCCTTCCTACGAATGTCGCACAACAGAGAATCCCAGCAAACCCTTACAGAAGAATACCAGCACGGGTTGGTTGGTCAGAGCAGAGAACAAGAAAGAAGAAAGTACTTGGGCAGGGCTTTCTTGTCATGTAGGCCAGCGCTTTTATACTAGTATGTGGTGGTGTCTAAAATAAAGGCATTAAAGATTCTCATCCCTGCAAACAGAGGTATTTGAGATGCTCTCTAACACCGCAACCGCTATCCAGGACTACATTATTCTCACCGCCTTCATGCGATACCTATGCGAAGCATCGTTACAATACAGGCTGACTGTATTGGGGATGGTCGGGGATATGACGATTAGCGATTAGGGTTCGAAACTGGGCCTAACACCACGAATATCCTCCTCCTCATCGCCATCGCAGATCTACGATTGGGTGTTTTGCTTAGTGAGGCGCATGCAGCAAGTGCCCCTAAAACCCATCATTTTGGTCGGCGATAGGGCCATTGTGCATATCCCAGGACAAACAATAATAATGGGCCGAAAAGTGCCTGCATCCCGGCCATCGACGCAAGGAATGGCGGCTATCCATGCACAGAAACCCCCCCCGAATTAGGTGCTATTTTTGGCCTGGAATTCTGGCGGAGGAAGCCCTTTCTTCTGGAAGCATTTTGGGGGGACCACCACAGCCTAACAATCCTCCATTAGAACTGGCTAGGACCAGGAGCCCAGGACATCATAATTGACGGTTGATTACTGACCAGACTGGGAAGAGTCGCCACAGACGAAAAGCTGTGCGGTCTTCCTATTGACTACTCCGCCATCGCCAAACGATACAACGTAACAGCCCGGCATGGGTGGGGTGCAGCATTTTGCCCGCTAGCCCTGACCATGAACCTCCAAAAAATCTTCCGATTCGGCCTTTTGGCCCAACTTGTCTGGCAACTAGGATGTGCAGCAACCTCATCGCAGCTATCCCAACTGGCATGATTGGATCTGTGCTATGAGCAGGGCATTCCTGATTATCCGCCCAAACTGGATGCTCAACGCAGCAGCATGAAACCCAACACGTCCATTCCGGTCTTCCATCAAAATACTGCTAACAAGAAAGGGGCTCCAATACCCGAAATAGCGTCACCTCGTGGCTCTGGCTCATCGTTCGTTAAGCCTCAGTTGTAAATGTCCCACGGCCGCGGCTACTTGCACCCGTCTGTTGCAGTAAATAACCGTCTCTGAATGCTCGGCCGTAATTCCGCCTCAGCCTCGCTAAGGTCAACACAGTTAGTGCTGTGAGATAGACGAAGCCTCAAAGCAGCCAACGCCCCAGAAGCCAATGGCCCAAAGCATTGCCCTTCGTGAGCCAATAGAAAAAGTGACCAAACAAAGCCCCCAAACGGGACTAGATCCCCGCAAGAGACGGAGTACCAGGTTGTTACTTATGTACCAACTCGAGTAAACAAATGTCGCACTTAACTGGCTGTTGCAGAGGGAACATCTCCGTAAGGCGCAGCAGCCATCGGCACCGGAGCGGGAACCGGCACGCGGGGCGTAAGGCCCGGGGTACGAGGAGCCGAAACCGTCGGTAAACAACTGGACTGAGGAGTGTGTCGTGGTGACGGAATACAGTGTTTCCAAGTCTTGGGTCGTGACTATTATCAAAGTGTCTGTACCCGTTCCCCATATTAATAATCATGCGAATTAGTAACCCCATGGAGCAGTATCTCGAGGTGCACTGGTGCAGTACCTTACCTACCGTACGTCCGTACCCTCGGCAATCGATTCTGCATGCTGAGGCTGTGTTGCTGCTCCCTTGTGCTGTTTTTGGTTACTAACTCACATCTTCTTCTGTCTTACGTTAAAGAGCTCCACCACAACACCATACCACTGCCAGGTAGGGAGCTTCGAAGTTCCGATCCTACTTCGTAAACGGACGTATCTGGCAGCTTTCAGTCCTTTTACTACGTGTTGTACGAATACAGTCACGATTATCCTTCCTTTATCCTTACGAAGCAGGCCAATTGGTAGACCTAGGGGTCTGGGAGGAGGAGGTTGGTAGAGGCCACCTGAGGCACCAGGACATAAGCCCTCTTTGTTCTGTTTCCTTTTTCCGCCCTCCGCTTCGCTATCCTTGGGCTGCCACGCCGTGGCGTTAGGCAACAGGATTTGTACACCGTGCTATTGTTGATTTGGTATGTTGAAACAGCTGGGATACGCCAGGATAGCCCAGGATACCCCCCAATCAGGGCACTTCACTCGCCTTTGCAAGAAAGGCAGACCGAGCTAGTGGAGAGCTATTTTTGGATCCAGCGACCGGGATAGGGGACCCACCACCCACGGGCCGTGCAAGGATCCCTGCCGTACCTTATTCCGAGGTCGACCGTTCCCTCTACAATGATATCTTCTGATGTCCGCTGCCCAATGCAGCGTGCACCGTGAGCGAGAGAAGAACCACAACCAGCTGATCACAAGACCTCCAGGATGCACCGGTCCACAGGACATGTCATGACCTGGCAGGAGATGGGCGGACGATGAGGACAGCACTGCACAGGATTACACACGAGTCGAGTGCTGCATCCGGCGGCCGCAAACCAACCACCACCCAGACAGGACAGCCATGCCACTGAAAACCGATCCCCACAGCGTAGCCGGTCGCCTCCATCGCCGGCCAAACCCAGCGGGCCCAGCAGCAGCTCGCCCTGCGGCCAAGTGGAGAGAGTACCATCTGTGTGCAACGAAAGACGGGGAAGCAAGATCACCCGAATAAGGAAGGCGGCCCCTTGTGGTGCTTCAACGGTTCTTTGAGCCAGCCTCGAAACGCAGCGACGGTGCTTGACCACAATCAACAGCAGGACTCTTTGTCTGCACTCATTCCAGCGCAGGCCGCAAGGCAGAGGCCAGGTGCTCCTCACAATCCTACAAACTGCTTTACATGTAGGTAGGTAGGTAGGTATATTGCCCCCGAACGGCGTAATCCTCTGCTCGCGGCGGGCTTTGCGCCAAGTCTATACATCATGGTATTATCCTCTCGTCATGTTGAACATGGCCACCGATATCAGCACACCCCATCATCAGCACTCCCGACGGGTTAGCATGATATGATATACCCTGCAACCGCGCAAATCACCGTTGAACAAAGCCTCCGGCGTGACGTCGTCTTTGTCCTCGGCTCCTGATCCGCTCCCCACCGACGGTCTCATGTCCACTCATATAGATTGTATGGTAGGAAGATCCTAGCGTCAACGCGCCGCCACGGCCGCAGCATCGAGCAACCCATTTTTAAACATATGGGCCTTGGCCCACTAAAGATTGATCTGATTAGGACCGTGAGAAATATTAGCTGACGAGAAGCCGTCCAACCTGTCCGTGCCAATCTGGGCAAGGAATCAAGTCGTCGAGGACTGACTGTAGCCGAGTACGCACAAAAGTAGACTATCTCCGTACGAAGAAGTACTTGCTGCGCATGGTACGTGTATCTACAGCACTCTGATACTTACGGAGTACTTCGTACGGTATTATTATCTATCCCCAGCCTATGCCTGGGCCCCAGCTGCCGCCTCGCTACACCATCACCATCACCATTACCACCACTGACCACCACTACCTCCCACAACTCGCAGAGTCCCACCTGATGCAGATGGACGTCTGAACACGCCCTGCCTCCGCCACTGAAACCCTCAACCTCACATCCTCGTCCATTCCTCTCCATACGCTCCAGTTCCTGTCCAGGCCCACGCCGACAACCCACGTCCGCCCGCGCCCTCCTAGCACGCCCGCTTGGCCTGTTGCGGTCATTCTGCCCCTCGGCCGGAACAACTACACACCTTTGCAGCACAGCATAAGAATCTTCCCATCGCCATCGACCTCAGCCCCCCCCCCATCAACTAGTAGATATATCCCATCCCATCGCCAGGTTCCTAGGACCCAGAACATCAGACCTTCGCTCCCGTTTTTCGCCGCTCGCTCCCGCTGCTCAACCACGCTCGCTTTGTGTGTCCGCCTGCTCTAGGAAGTCCCTCGTTGGCTCCTGTCATTCGCTTTGCGTTGCTCCCCGTCACCCGTCGCCATCTCCGTATCACCATCATCCACCATCGTTACCATCACCGTCACCATATCTCGCACCCCCAAAAACTCTCCCCAGACACAAACACAAAACCCTCCTCAGCCCAGCCTAACCCACTGCAAGCATTCGGAGCAACTTTCTCTCGCTGCCATAGTCGTCACCCCACTCAGCCATCATTGATTGTCTGGACCGCCGCCTGTATCACCTCGTCAAGCTTCTGGCCTCAGACTCGGCGGAGCAAAGCCCTTCCGGCTGTACTCTACGGCAACTAAGTTGGGAGCCAAATCCAACCAGATCCAAACTTATGCTTGCTGCCTCCTCGATATTGGAACAGAGTTACGTTGCTTTCAGCCGCTGCGGCCTCATCGTGGCTGTTTAGTTGGGGTGAACCAAACACCAACCCTGGCCGATCGTGCAGCCTTACATACCACACTCGCTTTCAGATCGCAGCTTACATATACCCGGCAGCCTCGGAGCCTAGCAAACCCCTAGTACCTTTCCGTCTGCTGTTTCTTCGTACCTGCACCGCATACACTTCTTCATTATAATAGTTTTCCGTCGGGTCTTTTGAAGATCCCTTTCGTTGGCTTTCACTCGTTCAAGCCCCGTTTATCTTTGTATCAAATCAACCCTCTTCTCTTCTTCTCAATGGCTGGCCCCGGCGGTGGACCTCCGCGGAGAAGGTATACTGCCTCTCCATCTTCCTTCGGCGTCGGTACTGACATCTATTGCAGTCACACTAAGTCCCGCAAAGGCTGTGAAACGTGCAAGCGGAGGCACATCCGCTGCGATGAGAATTTCCCTCAATGGTAGGCCCAAGATGAATCCCCTGGCGGGAGAAAACAACCCGAATTATTTCTCCTTACTGACACTATAGTAGTCGAAACTGTACAAAACACAACTGTCGTTGTCCCTACATGGACATGCCCGCGCAAGAGGAGCGCGCCCCAACTCCTGAGAGGGCAGACCTTTTGTGGACGGTAGAGGTCGAGGCAGAGATTGAGCGTTGGCAGCAGACTGGGGATTTCCCATTTCCAGATCTTTGCATCTATCCACCACCGTCTCCTCAATTCTTCTCCTCTGAGGATCTCCGCCTGATCCATCATGTGGCTTCTGTTTCTAGCGAACTCAGCGTTCACGAGGCAAGCAATTTCACCATTTGGACTCGTCAAATCCCACTGTAAGTAACGAATATCGAGAGCGAATACCTTCAGAAGTTGACAAATCTGTAGTTTCCTCAGAATTGGAATGGACTACCCCTTTGTCATGCACGCCCTACTCGCTCTATCAGCCACACATCTTGCATGGTTGACAGAGTGCCCGCTCACGGCTAACATGGCTTTTGAGCACCGTGGGGTCGCCCTCAAGGGTCTCCATGAGGCCATCGGGTCCTTCTCCAGACATAACTCGGATGCAGTCCTGGCAGCATCCCTCCTATTATCTTGGCAAGCAACGGAGTGGTGAGTTTATGGTCATATTATCTGAATTTCCGCGGTGCTAACTATATACAGGCGTGGCTGGACTCAATTAATGCATGGAACCTCATCTGTATGTTGAAATAATATCAGTTAAGGGACTTGGCACATGCTAACCGTTTACTAGGTAATCGATGCCATGGAGCCATGGAAGCATGAGTCTCAATTCGGAGACTTCATTGCAGAGCAAAGCACGTTTCCCACCGCGCCTCCGTCTCCTGCGCCCGGTGCTAAAAAATTGAGTGGCCCCCGCAAGCAGGATCTTGGGGCTCTTCAGTTGGCCTACGCACAGCTCCAGAAGGTCGAAGCGCACCTGGTGGCTCACAATGAGGATTCCAAGGCAATCCAACAACTCATGAGCTTCGTTCGAGCAGTGCGAAAGGTCTCGCCCAATCACACTGCTGCTCAGCGATTTGAAATGCTCAATCCACTTCGAGCATGGTTGTTCTGGCTTCCGGTCATGTTCCTACAACAGACGCGTGGGTCGCCGTCTGCTCTTGTTATTCTCGCCCATTACTATACCGTGGCATTGGTTGTTGAGCCCTTATTCCCCGAGGTCGGCGCGGCATACTTTGGGAGTCTATCGCTTGGGCCAATTGAAGACATCGCCCGAAGGCTGTTTTCCATCAACATCTCACATGGTTCCGATTCAGACATGCAGACTCCACTCAATCTCATGGAGTATCCTATTGATATGGTCTCCAAATTCAGGAACCGCATGGGCTGGGTCCAGCCAGAAAGGACAGCTTCCTTCCCAATATTCCGTGACAACGCTTATAACATGGAGGAGAGCTATCCCCACACAATGTCTCCGTATGGCAATCCAGCCTTCGCTTACAGTCAAGAACATCTCATGACGATGCCTCCTGATCCAATGTCCGCAACGGCGATCAGTCCTTTAACTCTCGAGCCTTTCTCAAACCACTATCTGAGCATCCCCTCCCCCAGCGGGTTTGGAGGATACCATAGCCCGGCATCATCTGGTCTAGGGGAAAGCCCCATAATGTTCAATGACCATGGAAACGATTTAGCCCTTTATGAAGGACATGGCTCAGGCCTGAATTTCGGCGGGTTTGTGCCTCCGACCGTGTGGATTTAGTCATCGGTCGAAACCAATTTTAACATCTCGCCCAGGATCCCCCCAGTTCTCCATTTCGATCCACAAGCACGCGAAGGTCTAACACACACATTCGATCCCGAATCTGATGAGCAGCATGCGCATCAAATGCCTCACCTGAACCACGACCCTCAACTTTCCGGCTATTCTCCCCGTTACCATTCTCCGGCACCTCCTCCAGGAAAAGGGAAAGAGCGCGAGAATTAATTCTCCCCCTTCTCGCCGCTGTTTTCTTACTGCTACGACATCTTATTACGCGCTATCCCTGAGACTACCAATTCTTCATACACCTAATACTTGTCCTATCATCCGCCCGACACTCCTTAGAAACCACAACCTCACCTCACCGACACTCCTTAGAAACAATCGTCTCACCGACACTCCTTTGATACCACCTTTCCCGACACTCCTTAATACCCCACATTATTGATTTAACGGCTTTACGACACTTATGATGACGCTATGATATTTATTGTACGAATACTAGCACCCCACGGTCCTTATAAATACCCACTCGGCATATCTGCATTTGGAACGGCGTTATTATAAACGGGCTTATGAGCAGGGAAAATGTTTTTGGCGCATATAGCAGGTATTTTGCAATGTGATGTGCACACGCATACATCATGGAAGGCAATGAATATCAGTCTGCTCAGGGAATAATGAAGATATTTACCACACTCTGGGCGTACCCCTTGTTCAGTGAGACCGTCCAATTGACTTTTAGCTCCTGGCAAGCACACATGAATCCATAAACGTAATATCTACTTGGCCTGCATGGCACTAAAGTATGCAAAGTAATCTCGCCAATCAAGTGACTTCCAAGTATCAAATAATACCGACATTTTGAAATGCAAGCCCAACAATAGAGGACTGGCAATAAGACACGGTCACGTGTTTGTGCTTAGTCACCATCGCGTCGTCCGATGCGACGCAATATATTGTTGGTCGCCGAACTTAAAACCACGAAGTTTGTACAACTCCAGCAACAATCAAGATGAGTGGGGGATGGAATACCAGTAAGCTGTTTATTTCCGTACCTCCACAGCTGAACTAACAATTGGCCAGTCGAATCTGATGCGGTCAGTGCAGCAACGATAGGAGCTCTAGCTATGTCCGCGCTAACACCTTATAGGGTGTCTTCACCTTCCTGCTGGATAACCTAGGGGTAAAAGATGTGCAATTCGAGGAACTGATAGCGCTCGATGCGGACTATCTACGCCAGTTGAACCCCGTCTACGGCGTCATATTTCTATTCAAATATCCCACGGGCGAGAAGGCCAACTCGGACGGCACGCCGAAAGACGGACAGTACGACTACGCTGCTGCAGAGAATCTATGGTTCGCAGCCCAGACGATACAGAATGCGTGCGGAACACAAGCCCTCCTCTCAGTGCTGCTCAACAAAGATGCGGAGATCGAGTTGGGGACGCCGTTGAGGGATTTTAGAGAATTCACGGGAAGCTTGCCTGCGGAATTTAGGGGTGAGGCTTTGAGTAACTCGGAGTTGATCAGAGATGTGCATAACAGCTTTGCGAAGAGCAGCCCCTTCGTCGACGAGACGCAACGAACGGCTACAGAGGATGATGATGTTTATCATTTCATTGCTTATACCCCTATCAATGGGGTTCTCTACGAGTTGGATGGCCTGCAGCCTTCACCTATTGCGCATGGTGCATGTACGTTTGAGGAGTTTCCTGAGAAAGTGATACCTGTCCTGCGGAGGCGAATCGAGAGATACCCAGCCAATGAGATTCGGTTCAATCTTCTGGCTATGGTTAGGGATCTACGTGTGCGGGCGAGGGAGATTGGTGATCAGGAGACGCTGTTTAGAGAGGAGCAGAAGAGGAATGAGTGGCAATTTGAGAATGCCTTGAGGAGACATAATTTCGTCGGCTTTGCGGGCGAGGTTTTGAAGGGTGTTATTGGGCAAAAGCTGAAAGAGAGCCCCGAGGCTTATACGAAATGGATTGAGGATGCGAAGGGGAAGACTAAACAGAGGTCCGAGGAGCAGAAGAAGACTGGTGCTACGGCCGATGATGATGAGGAGATGTTAGGTTGATCAAGACATAGCGACGGAGAGGCTTTTTCAGAGTATATCTTCAAGTGGATGATAGCCTGCTCCTGTGCAATGACATAGCGTTGCATAGCGCGGATATCCGGGATAGCAAGGCCATGCGACGTTGCGGCGTGCAGACTCCTCACTTCGTGCAGATGATTGATGACGAGAAACGGCTGCCACCAGATGAATAACCAAGAGAGCCAAAGAGCTTAGCACATGGACTGTTTTACCTTGTTTCCTCTGTATACTACCTAGGCACTCGGTTGTGTTGTGCCAAGCTGATAGCCATTTATGCCAATGTTGTGTTGCGACTCATGGACTCTGAGAGTTCTTCTCCGGCAATCGCTTGCTTCTATTAGAAACCTCGACGAGTACTACGTAAATTGTCGCATTACATTAACGATGCCGACCGCATCAAAGCCAAGCTGGTTATTGTTTAGATGTCAGCGTTAGAGCTGCATCAGCTGAAACCTGGGCTACAACAGCTTTAGGACGAATCCGAAGCCGCCGAGGCTTCTAAAGTCCTGACTGGTTGCAGGTCTTGACTGACGTACGCCGAATTGTGCAGTACAATACGTACTCGAAAGGCTTGGTAAGGTATAACGTGACCCAACCACATTGCTCTACCTTCTACTTCGTAAGTGTCGCTATCGCATAGGCATCATTATTCCAAATTAGAGGACTATCATTATCACATCGGCATCTCCATACAAGAGTGGCTAGGACTGTAGAAAGAACAGTGGCAGAACCGCACCAGTGACGCCACAAACCCCCCAAGCCGAAGCCGACCTGTATCAGCTCATCGCCACCGCTCGCACGACAGTACACCCAACAGCAACTACACCCCACAACTCACCGACATCCCATTTCACTCCCTTACCATACGATACGATACGTTCATCCTCTCCGTCCAGTACGGACATCTATCTCGCTGGTCGAGAACGCTAGAGCGCCGTATCCCTTTCGTGTCGCGGAGGCTTAGGACTTCGCCGTAAGGGACGGCAAGATGGAGGGCCTGCGGGGACATCAACATACCGCATTTACGACGCTCACGACCTCCTTCGTCGCCCCAACACCTACCCTCCTCACCCTCACCTCGATGGCCGAAAAAGCGCAGTCTAGGATCCAGAAGCTCATGGCGGGCCAAGAATCCCCCTTCCAACAGGCGGAGGCGGGCACGATTCCTATGCGAGTACAGCGGACAAGCGACTCGACTATGAATGGCGTCGTCATTGGATTGCTCAGCTCATTTGGCAGCGCCCTGCTGATTGCCTTCGTCTTTTTAATCGTCTATTTCTTCAGATACACCAGCAGCGGCCGCATATTTCTGGATCGTATTGGGCGGCCCGGCGAGTACGACGATGAACAAGCGTTTGCCCGGGAGGAGGCGGACGCCTTGGAGGAAATGGACGATATACAAAGGACGGAGTACTTGAGGGCTAAAGGTAAATTCTAGCTCCTTCCATTGCGAGCCCTCTACATATATATGTTCGAGTAGATATGCTAACCTTATTTCCTTTAAATAGCCTTTATCCAAGTAAACCCACCAGATTCCCTGCCGACAGACATTTCATTATCACAATACCTAGCTATCCAGGAGAAAGGCGTATCGGCGTGGGAATTCGAGCCAGAGTTAGAGATTGCGAATTGTTTTGTGGAGGCTAGGACGGAGATTGAGTTTTATGATAGCGAATGCTCCGTTCTCTCAAATCTTCCCCTTCCCAAACAGAACGAGGTTTATTACTGGGAGGCGAAGATATACGACAAACCTGAAACATCTTTGATAAGTATAGGAGTGGCTACCAAGCCATACCCACTATTCAGACTACCTGGTAAGTTCTACATTTTTGAAGCGATCATTGGCACATATTGATATTTTCGATAGGTTGGCACAAGTATTCTGTTGCGTATACATCTGCTGGGCAACGAAGGTATAACCAGCCATTCAATGCCCCAGTTTATGGCCCAGCATTCGTTCAGGGAGATGTTATCGGTGTTGGGTACCGCCCACGAACTGGGGCGATATTCTTCACGCGAAACGGGAAGAAGCTAGAAGACGTGGCACATGGGTTAAAGTCTCAAAATCTCTTCCCGGCAGTTGGCGCGAATGGTCCATGCAGGGTTCACGTCAACTTCGGACAGTCAGGCTTTGTCTTTATTGAAGCAAACGTTAAGAAATGGGGGCTAGCTCCCATGACTGGTAGTCTTGCTCCACCCCCGCCATATGGGAGCGAGCAAGGCAGTATTCTTCTCGAAGCCGGGCGTGAAGGCGCCCAAAGCAGCCAAGGTCATTATCCAGATACAAGACATGGTCGGACGAGGAGCGGAAACGTCAGACACCATCCACCTACGAGCCCAGGCCCTGTACGCTCACCAACCGATATTTCCCTCGCTCAGCTCACCCATATCCCAACGAATGAAGGACCAGGAGAGTCTAGTACGTCTCCTGCCGTAACAACAACTGGAAATACATTACAAGTAGGCTTGGGGGCTCACGATCCCACTAATCCGCCGCCCGAATATACCAGTCCACAACCCTCAAACGCCGGAAGCCGTCGAGGAAGCGATGAAAGCGAGAGAGTACCCTTGATACGGAGGGAGAGCGCCCCCCCTCCACCAATACCGAGTTATAATGATACCGTGGCCGAGGATAGAAGAAGGGAGAGGAGCGCTAGCCAAGTTCAGAGGAGTGATAGTGAAGACTCCGACGGGCATAGCTCGAGGTCATAACATAAAGCTCCAATTCAAACCAGCAAAAGACTGGTTGAAGTGAGTGAGGACTTTTGGGGCCGCGGAGCATTCTCGCGGCTATGACAAGGAAGGGCGAGCATGGTGTTGGGAGGGAGGGAAATCTGACTTAGTTACTTAGCGTGGGAGGCAGGCGCCGTCATTCTTGTGGAGTCTTTGGAGTCGGAGTTGTAATGCCAAGATAACGATCGTATGGCTGGGTTATTATTTTATCTTTTAGAGTCTGATTTCATGGTGATTAGGATAAGAGATGGGTCGAGAGCTGAAATAGGCTCGAGTGAAGGAGATTATGGGAGGAGGATGTAGTATATGATGGATACAACTGCCAAATATGAAATCATGTTCCTTTTGTTAGATACCTAGGAAACTTGAGATGACCATTCTTGATGCTCGCGCCTGTGGTTCTGAATTTGAGTTATAGATGTCTGACACTCCCCTAGCTGCCTGGCAGAATCACTGGAGTGGCCTATTATGTTCTGATGACTATACTAATGCGGTGAACAGGTCGGTACTGTTCTCGGAGGTGAACTGAGTGTTCTGCCTACCCTCGCCTCGCGTGGACCATATATTTGGAAATAAGCGTTTTTCTGTTACAGCTAAGATCTAATCTCCTGTGGCCGAATAAGTGAGAAGCCTCGAAAAATAACAAAGAAGTTGATCTTACCAGCGTACTGATCGGATGGGGGTTAGCCCCACCTGAAATGAAGTTATATCCCAACACCTTCAACAGCTTGTAATGGGGGTTCATTCCTTGCCGCAAGGCCGTCTGAGTTACAAAATTACTCGAGCGAGTTGATCCTGGCTTAGCAGCCGTCGTTCCGTTCTGGGCGGCATGGAGTAATGGGAGTGTCTAGGGGGGCTGGATTATTTTTTGGGTTTTGAAGCTTTTGATATTCTTTTTCTTTTTTGGCGGTTTGTTTACCAACCCTCGCGATCGCTTGCAGGCCCACCTTATGCTACACCTTCACCTCCGCCTTCGAAATTACGGCAGAAGAAGAGGGAGGTTTTTGCGACGCGTTTATTGGGTCACTGTTGGGCACAAACGGTAGTATTTTATTTATATGTGGTAAGTGTTCGCGTAGGATATCTTAGGACAATATCTTTAGGAACCAACCTAATATATCCACACTTGCTCGTATTAGGATCCTAAGGACTATTAGCGTCTTATTACCTATAAGTAAACAAAATAGGATATAGTAGTATGATTTTCTACTTATTAATTTAGTGCAATGTGTTGCGCTATAGGACTTTGAGTGCTACCCACCGCGTGCTATCTAGAATAAAACAAACATAATAACATCGTAAGAGGCAAAAGAGTTCATTGCCCACAGCCAATTAATCTCTGCCGTTTCAATGTTGTCGCTAGCCCTAGGTATATTAATCTTCGATATGAGTTGTCGTGTGACACTTGTGGGGAGTGTCTTAAAGAGCTAGGTTGTCGTTAAATGCTTTTTGTTTATTTGGGTATATATAACTCGAAGGTCGCGAGGTTATCCCGGCCGCCCGCCCGGTAGTGAGCCGAGAAAAGATGAGGCAGAATTGCGGTGAGGTTTTGTGGCTTTATGCTAACTGCTTCTATCTTGAACTCCTCGTCTGACCACCGGGTCGTAAAGTCTATCATTCTTCCAAATCAAACACAACGAGCACCTTTAAACACCATTCGAAACAGCCTTGGTATATACAAGCTGATACGCTTTAGGCATCTCAGAACACCGCAACCACCTTCGCTCCGTTTGCTGAGGTCGTCCCGATGGAAACACTCTCCACCCATGGATCATCATCAACCCTACTCAGCTTCTCGAATTCCTGCGCCATTCTAGCCAGCACGTAGCCCGCCTCATTTATTGCAAGCTCGTCTGTAAAGCTTGTTAGCGCCCATTTGGGATACCATGAGGAAGAGAATGGAAAGGAAAAACTTACGCCCAAGACAAATTCGAGGACCCTTAAGGAATGGGACGAATTTCTAAAAAGTATGATTAGTTGGAGTCCACAGCATATAATTCAAGGAAGTTTGCTCAATCTTACCCAGGAGGCCTTCTCCTCTTCTTTCTCCCACCGCTCAGGTCGGAAATCCTCAGCATCCGCACCCCAGAGGTCCTTTCGGCGCTGGAGCGCCATGATGCTGAATGTGACCATAGCACCGGATGGGACAAACACTGGCGATTTACCGTCTGCCCCACCTCCAACAGGAAGGGTGGTATCTTCGTTGGCAATACGAGAATCGTTGGGTAAAACAGGAAGTAACCGCAACGATTCATTCAGGCAAGACTGGAGATACTTAAGCCCTTTCAGCTCTTTTATGGTCGGCGGTCGGCCTTCCAAGAATTCGACTTCTTTCCGCAGCTTGCTCCAGATATCTGGGGATCTTCCGATTAGGAAGAACAGGTTCGTCAGCATAGACGACAGAGCGTCTGTTCCAGCAATGAACAGCATGCACATCTCGTCCTGCAAAACTTTCTTGTCCGTGGTGACTCGTGAGAGGTTGGCAAGGAAATCGTACCGTGAGCCTTCTTTCCGCGCAGACTCGTCTTCCAGGGCGTTGTCGATAAGTTGATCCATATACGTGTTTACTTTCTTGACGTTGGAATAAAATTCGCGCTGAGGAAAGAATTTGCCTAGTAGGCCTAGCTGCCATCGTTCCTCGCACGCCTTCCCGGCCTTTTTGATTGCCTCGAAGAAATTCTTGTCGTTCTCGTCACTCTCGTTCTTTAAAGATCCAAGGGATTTGCCGTGGATGAACTCTGTGGTCAAGTCTGCAGACAAACAAACGAAGAGCGGTGCAAGGTCTGCCTGGCCTGTTTCCATGGTTCTCGTTTTTATTGCTTCCACCAGATGCTTGACATGCGTCTCAAACATGTTCAGATTGTTCACCTGGGTTTTGCCAAAAGCTGGCCGCAAGAGCGCTCGAGACGCAGCCCACGCATGTCCATCTAGTTGAAAGAGACTTTTCCCTAGTAGTGGCTCGAATGCATCCTTGCGCCGCCATCCTATGCCGTAGTTGTCGAAGTCCGTGGATAATACACTTTGTATGTTCTCAGGGTCGATGGTATTGATAATGGTCTGGTGCAAGTAGCGCGAGGAGAAGGTTGTCCCGTGCACCTCATATTGCAAGCACTGGCGGGCAAGGAATGTCTTCGATTTGAACGCGTCGATGCTTTCTGTGACCATATCAAAGCCAAAGGGGTCTCTGTGTGGGTATGAAGGCGGTAGCTTGCAGCCCGCTGTAGCAACTAGCACTCGCCGCCTACGAGATATTCGAAGTCGGGCTAGTAGGATACGAACTGCAACAATGACCGAAAGGGCACCACACAGCCAAATGGCTCGCATCCTCGAGCCGGAATTCATAAAAGATTCCATTATGGTAGGTGAACGATTCGGCGAGCTTATTCCATCTCTAGGCGCAAGTCCGGCGGAGATATGTCGAGGACATTGAGGACCTCTAGCAAGGACCTCGCATCCAAAACGTTCAACCGTTGTCAGAGTCTGTGCCTTCAGGATAAATCCCCGCTCGAAGGAATAGTTCCATGCAAAAGCCCTGTACTTCTACGAAGTTCGTGCTAACGGCCTTCTCCTTCCCCAATAAGAAATCGTTTGATTTTTACTTCTCCTGTTGACGACCGACCAGGTATGAGCGCCAAACTGAGGCATCCAAGATGGCCCTGGCAAATCCTCGGGGGGCGTTGCAAGTGTAGGATTCGCACAGACTGCTCCGCCGCGTACCCAGGTATGCTAAGCAATTACTACATGATAGCCTACAGGGCCGTCCGTGCCAACCATCCAGGGTTGTGGCTATTGAGAGTTGTACAGTAAGTCTGCACTTGAATTCTAAGCAATTACATCCCCAGGTTGCTTGTTATCGTTGGCTCTCTGGCCACAGACCCACAGCGTAGGATGATCGTTAGGACGATCGCCAAGGCCCTGTGACCTACGACGTGAGATGCGGTGAGATGCGGTGAGATCTTACTTGCGTGATCTTATAGCACTCGTACCCGGCAAAGATCACGTCGTATATCGACGGACCTTCCAGCTGATGATCTGAGCCACCCTATCCAGCGGAGTCAGAGGGCTAGCATTACCCATGCGCATCATTCACAAGGCACAGGGTACGTGGTTTCAGTTTCAGCATGCAAAGGTTTTATCGAAAATTTAATTCAAGATACCTGCGCCGCGCAAAGTTGCCCCGCAATCTAATAAACAATAGGAATACATCCAGCCCCTTAATCTTATCTGTTTGGGTGATACACTTCTCCGTTCCAGTAAGAACATAGCGCCAAAGATCCATCTTTTTGAAATCCCGTGCCAATGTACGTTTGAAAGCCTAGGCCATCGCATAACTTGCGATGAGTGCAGGACCTCTCCAGTGCTCTCATGTAGTTGAATGTGTACTTGTCCCTGTTTCGCCGTTTTAGGAACTCGCAGAGTCCTTGCGCCGCATCAAGGTCGTTGAGAGCGTAATGCTTAACAGGAACGTACAGTTTCGGTTGTGGAAGACTGTCGGTTGCTTTGATATCAAAGTTGTAGAGCACACCAGCGGTTTCTTGGACCTTTGGGTCCAATTCATCGCTCTCCAAAAAGCTCTCATCCAACCCTAGCGTCAGCCACCAGAGTTCCTTCACCTCGTCTCGATGACTTTTGGTCATCGAATTCAACCGGCCTCCAAGGGTCATCATTTCACAAACACTCTCGAATGACGTTTCTGGAGATCGTACATATAATTTCAGTCGTGATTTTTCAGGGCTGACGCAGTCAATCGCCACCCCGATAATGTCAAGCTTCGAGCCCTGTGGTGTAGTAGTGAAGTCGAGAAACGTGTCATACCCTTCGAAAGCGCCGTATTGTCTCTTTAGTAGCTCAATGGCTTCGGTGAGCACTGAAAGCCGCGAGACGCCTAGTTGTTCGGCTTTGACGGGCACAAAATAGGCTTTTGCTGCGATGGTGCTCCCTAGCTCAAAAGCTAGGAAAACGGACGATGATGAACTGTGGTGCTCATCCTCCACTGAACCGTTCCTAGAAAGTTGTGAATGGTCGCAAAGCGCTTCCTGGAACAGTTTAAACCAGCTCCAATCAACGGCTGGACATATAGCATCAACTTGATTGCAAAGCTCTAGGGTCGAATCTTGGTTGAAAGGGTCCATTGCAGTTCCTGCAGCTGGCCCAATAGCCTCGATGCTATATCGAACCTTGGGTGGAGCAGTCGGGGAGTCCCAGTTCCAACTGTACTCGAGCGGAGAGAAGTCATCTGTCATGAAACTTTTCCAAAGCAAAGGCGTGTTCCTGCGGGGAGCGGGACCCAGACGAGGGACTATGTGACGGATGTGAAACAGAAGGCCTAGATACTGACTCCTAAGGTCGTACCCGGCTTCTTCCATGAGGACACCCAAAATGGGCCCAGTCATCTTCCACCAAGCATCTGCATCTTGGTTTCTAAGTTTGATCCGTCTGTCAAGAAAGCTCCATGGAACAGTAGTGCTCGTCTGGGAGAGTTTTGAGAGGCACTGGGATATTGTCAGTCACTATGTCTTTCACCCTAGAAAGTTATTTGTTCTAAATACGCACCTGCTTAGACGCCATCTTGAAGAAATTATGGATTGGGTATGGAGTGGAAAGTGGTGATGGAAAATACGTTCGAAGCCGAAAATCGACTTACTGATATATCACTTTATGGTCAAGATATACGGGCAAGGCTGAATGGAATGACTGGGGACGTAAGCCTACAATCCTAGCCATAAGGCGCTTGCTCTTTCGCCCCCTTAATAGGCCGGACAAAAACGGTGATTACAGTTTATCATAGTGCCACATAAGCTATAACCCTGAGCTTTGGGGGCGAGGCTAATCAAGCAGGGATTTGCGACCAAGCCCTTCGTAATGAGGGTTTCTGCAACGGCTTTTGCACCCTCCTCGGTACTTTGGCTCCGATCTTAAAGAAAAAGCTACATCTTCAATTCATTTGGCGCCGTGGCAAGTGGCACAGAAGACAACCTCGCACAAGCCGGAGACTACTCAACTAGCGGGGCTGTTGAAGGAGCTGAAGGCCCGAAGTGCAGAAGGATGGATGGTGGGGTTCGAGCAGTTGCAGTGCCAGGACTTACGAAGGATTGGCGAAGATCTTCCACTCGGTGCGAAGTACTCGTTGCCCACCAATGGGTAGTGTCGTGGTCGTCTTAGAGGCCATGATGTGAAGACGTTGATTTTAGCTGGAACCGCTGTGTAGTGCTGACTGTTGGCCGTTGGGCTGGACGGTAGTTGAATTGCGCATTCAGCCACAGCGCCATTTCCGGGGGCGAGCTATCGGTACTCGAATTCCCATATTGCCAGTGTGCCACTATCTAGAGAGATTGAGACTGCCCAGCTAAATAGAGTGAGGCGCTGTCGATCAGGGATGCGACTCCTTCACAACATCCCTTCACAGCATCCGCTGATTCAGGGGACCCTGTACCCGTCGAGGTCGAGGTTCATGTTCCCCAGTAGTTCCATCCATGGTCCGTTATCCTTCTCTCTTTTTCCTTTTGCCTTCTTCCTCTCCGCAGGGTCGCGCTCCCCGATCCAAATGCAGGTCATTGAGCCTGTCGTATCCCAAGGCTCCATGGCCAAACCTAAATCGCACATGCAAAATCCAGCCAGCGAGAGCTCCTGGAGGCACTCTTGCATGCCTTGCATGTCTTGGTGACATGGTGGTAATCTGTCGTAACCCTATTCCTCCCCCTTCCGAGAGAACTGCCGAATACAGCCAGTGTTGCGACGGCGGCAGGAGAACCCAACATTGCGAGCCTGGCCGTCGGGATATGGCACGCATACATGTACCTGGGTATACTTTATTACTCTTACTCCCCGATGTCTTCGTGCTCTCTCCTGATGTGTTATTCACATCGGAAAGCAATGTAAGCAGCAAGAATGGCGGCACCACCGCTCCCTGATTTTGACATTACGCCGTCCTTGGCACCACCGCCTGGAGTTGTGCCCAACTTTGAGAACCCGGAGAGTATTAGGACTATCATCGATTTCACGTTGGGGATATGCATCGGGGTCAGCTCGTTGTTCGTCCTCCTGCGAATATGGACTCGTTTTTTTATCGTGAAGATGCATGGTTGGGAGGACTGTAAGTGAACCACTGCTACCGTGCTAATGATATCAATGACACCGTCTAACATTTTGGCTAGATACAATGATCATAGCTTGGGTGTGTCATATTCTTTTCGAAATCCGCTAGGGGACTCATACTAACGACATGCTGCCATGCTTATAGCTCATGTTCATCGCCTACATCACCCTTGGGTTTTTGGCAGAGCAGTATGGCTCGGGGATCCATCAATGGGATGTACCTCTCAGTCATTTCTTCAAGTTCTTATACGTAAGATTTACATTCCATCTATTTTAGCAATTGAATTAAGCTTACCTGCGACTCAAGCTGGCCAACGTGCTCGAAGTATTATACAATCCGGTGATATTTACCACGAAGCTATCCATCCTCCTCCAGTACAAAAGGATATTCTGCCCTCACAACTCCGGGACGACATACTGGCTTATTCATGTCCTCATATGGAGCAATCTACTGTATTATATCGCCGTCATGATACCGCAAATAGTTGTGTGCAATCCAAGAGAGAAAGCCTGGCACCCATATCTCCCTGGTAAATGCCTGGACTTGCCTTCGATCCTTATTACTGGCGCCGTCGTCAACATCATCTCGGATTTCTCGATTCTCATCTTACCAGTCCACAGCATTTGGAAGTTGCAGATGTCGAGATCGCGAAAGTACGGTGTCACGGCCATCTTTGCGACAGGTCTCTTGTGAGTATTCAATCTCGGACCACACCGATAAATTACCCTACTAACCTTTAACAGTGCGTGCGTCTCTAGTATCATGAGACTTTACAATAACGTAATCTTCAAGACTACGGAGGATATCACATACAACTTGTCAGGCGTTGCGCTGTGGACGTAAGTTACCAAGCATTCTCATCAGTACTCCTCTAGCGTCTCTAGACTTTGATGCTCCATTTACTGACCAGTATCTCCAGTATTGCCGAAATCACCAGCGGTATGATCTGCGGATGCCTCCCTCTACTGCCCAACTTATTCCGACACTTCGTTCCCAAGATCAAGAACTCGATGACATGGGGCGGTAGCAAGGGGACCAACAAGACCAATCGAGCTACGAAAGGTAACGATAGCGAGTTAAGCGCAATACGGATGGACAACATGGAGAGGAAGTATATGCAGGGCGAATATATTGAACTCGATGGTAGGCCGCAGGTACTGCCGCGGCATATGGTTGGGGGACCGGAGAATGTCTAGGGGTGCGATTAACGCACGCATGGACGTATGATAATGTCTTAAAATCACGACCACAGCAGAAGTGCATTTGTTTATAGTCTAACCTGATCACTGTACAGTTGTATATAGAAAAATAAAGGAAAAGTCTTTTGATCAATTTTTTTGGCCTTCATTTCCACTGTGCCATCTCATCACACGCCACTTTTCCATAACCCGTAAGCTTACCGGTTGGGGGACGCAACCACTTCGGCCTCCAGTCCCGGAAATTGATTGGCATCCGTTACGGCATCTAGGGTGTTTCGATTCCCCGTCTCACGCATAAACCAAGAAGCGGATAGCCACATGCAGTCCGTAAATTGCCCACTTAGGAAGGTATCGCAAATGAGGTGGCTAAGTGCGAGGTTGCGTAGTCCTCATTCATCACGTGGTATCGGGATGACCGCAGCTGGGTACATGCATGGATGCGTTGTCAGCATTAGAAGAGCGCCTCTATTTGCGGTCGAGGATGAAATCATCCTCGAAGCAGTTTGTTGTCACTGCCACCGTCAATCCGTGGATCATTGCTTGCTACCGTTAGAGTTGATATGGGAGGGATGTATTTTGTGGGGTTGACATACAAAGAATAGACTTTTCTCAGCCCGAAATGTGGCTTAAACTTAAAAGGGGCCGAAGGGAGCTAGTACTATTCCGTAGGAAGGAACAGACAGGGAAAAGGGGCTTCGCATGTGGGTTAAGCGAGCGAATGATATGGCGTTGCCCCCAGCCTCCCAACATGCGGCTTTATTTTCTGAGTGTTTGCTATCATTGACTTCGTACAGAGAACCTAGGAGTACCTATTATCGATTTGCATTATGGTACTTGTTTCCAACGCTCGTCTTATGTGAACTCGGGGGTTTCTTATGCTCACAAACATGGTCTTGACCCTGGATTAATTTCCCAAAAATGGGATCTAGCTTTACGAATTTAGGATCCCACCCATATGTAGAGGATTTGTACTCTTGGGGAGTGGGACGGGATCTATTTATCAAGGTCAAACGCAAACGCCCTTACATAATTTTTCGAAGTTGGTGGAAATTAATGCATTTATATTGTGCATGTAGCGAAGGCTAGATATTATTATACATTTGAACTTCTCTTCGTGACTTGAACATCTCATGAAACCATCACTCTCACTCCTTTGGTCTCCGCTTTTGGCAACGGCATCACTGCATCACACACAGCCTCGATATCCGTAATGTCCGTCTCATACAAATCAAGATCGAATCGTCGTACAATGGCCGCAAGTGTAAGATACAACTCAGCAAATGCAAGACTACGGACGAGTTAGCTCTAATATCCTATTAAACGTCCTGGAAAACTACTCACTTTTGCCCGGCGCACATCCGTGGGCCACGCCCAAATACAAATAGGTCTGCACTATTGTTCTGCCCAAGCCAGCGTTCGGGGGAGAATACCTTCGGATTTTCGTAGAGTTCCGGGTGCTCGCATAACAACATAGGACTCATTGAGACTGCGGTACCGGGAGGGAAAACATAGTCTTTATATCTCAATGTCGATTCTGGGGCAACGCGGATGAATCGGGACGTGGTTCCAAAGGCCACACGGAGAGCTTCTTTTATCACGGCGGTTAAGTACGGAAGCTTCTCGAGCTGTGCCCAAGGCGCCAATAGCGTCCGGTCAGGCATGCTCTCTGCCAGCTCTTTCTTCAGGCGGTTGAGCTTCTCGGGGTTATGCGAGAGATAGTACAGGGCAACATTGAGAGTATTTGAGGTGGTTTCGACTCCGGCGCCAATCAGTGCGGATCCTTCCTGCCAAAGTCTCTCGTAGCTCTTCTCGTGCTCAGGGAGATCGCTTCCAAGAAGTTCGTGGAAAATAGTAGGGTGTGCTTTGGTTTCCTGCATCGGGTCGAACGTGTCAACGATCTCGTGGACAAGCTTTTGGTTACCGTTCTCCCATTCCTTGGTTACTGCCATTTCAGGAGACAGCTTAAGCAGCATACTATCCGGCATGCCTCGCAGCACATTCCATAGCGATGGGAAATGTTTGAACCATTGGAAATTGCGCAGGCCTTCGGTGAAGGTGTTTCTCCATCCCGGGGCGAGATCTGGAGTGGAGAGTAAATCGAAACAGTGAGGGAAGGCGTAATCAGTGATGATATCGGTGGTCATGCAAGAAAATAACAGTCGTAAGTCGACCGGCTCTCCACTCTCTTTGAATTGTTGCAGGCGCGAGCAAGTTTTATTCACTTTTTCCACGAGCATCGGTTCGAGAGTATTGATACTGCGTCTCGAGAAGAATGGGGCCAGTGCTCCACGGCGAACCTTGTGCAGATCGGCATCGATAGTATTGAATGTCGACTCGGGCATCCCGAATTGATGTTGATGCGGTGCATATTTATTTTGCTTGACCGCATTGCTCGACGAGAACTGGATTTCTGCATAGGCGGGGTCGTTGATATGGACTTCTTCTGGAGAGATGCGCACTATGGGGCCTATGCAATCATTAGATGGCGATTTTGGGACAGATATATCCAGCCATTCTTACCATATTGCTCGTGGAGCTTCCTGATCTGCCATGGGAAACGGGCTGGTTTGATCAAGTCGAAATACATCTCATAGCCTTGCGTCATCGCCGCCAGCTTGGGGCCTGGTACCTTTGACAGTGGGCTGAGCCATGCCCTATAGATTATGATACTCACTACATAGCATGTGGCAGTGATTGCCGCAAGAGCAATGGCTTTGAGTATCATTAGGAGGGCCATTGTTGCGATGTTGCAAAGATCGCGGAGTAGTAGCAAATGATGCTTACGAGTAGCAACTCTCCACGAAAAAACAAATCCGTATTCTCGGGCGGGGAGCATCGAGGTTCCAGAGGTGCCCAAGTCTCACATGGGTTATTTCCAACAGCTGCGTGGGAGTGGGTGGTGTGTTCGCAGACCACCTGGGGGTACAATACTTGCATGTTGCGGGTTGCCCGCATATTGCCAGGTTCCTCTTGAAGCGGCGCATGCAACCTATACCGCATATATTAATTGTGTTACAGTGTGGCGCCGTTGTCTCCCGCGTGGTGCTTCATGCGGGCAGCTGGCGCAGGGAGAGTTGGACTTATCTCAGCCCAACTGGCCCCAACCTCCTTGCTCCAACATGAGGTTCAACTTTGCACTTTTTCCTATTATTTTTTTGTCTCAAGTATTCGCCCCGTTAGGCAAATGCGGCGCCCCCGCCAAGTCGGCGTAGGAAAAGATTGCCTCGGTACCCAAAACACGGGGGTTCAAATTGAGGCTATTCGTGAGTTGCGAGTGGCCGCTGCAATACTTCGCGTAGCTGTCTACCAGAAGGATAGACTCCGATAAAGCAAAAGTGCTTGGCTAACTCGAGTGACCCACCTACGACTACGCCGTATGTTGTGGAACAGAGGTAGCCAAGCCCAGAATAGGCTCGACTGGTGGTTATGTTTTGCGTCTGTTGATCATTTAAACGCTGATACCAAGTCATTGTTATTCCCACCCCTGTTTAAGTTCCAGAGCCATTTGTTTGCTGCGCCACTTGGCAGTGGCACGTAATCCGGTAGCCCCCAATCGGGCCATTTCTAGTCGATAAGATAGAGGCTTTGTATCTGGCCTCTCGGAGCCTCGATTCCTAAGTAGGAATCCGAAGGATCGCAATTCAACGAATTGTGTCATGGCTAAAATCTAAACCCGTTTGGCCAACGGGTATTCGAGTAAGACCGTCGGCATGTGAATTCACCTATGAATCTTACGATGAATCCCTACAAGTCGTAAGCTGAGAAAGCTCCTGCGTACCTTGCACAAATCCTTCGCAGGGGTTTGGCGGAAAATAGATATACGAGATTCGAGATGATGACCTAACGGTTATCACTCATCCGATTCGAAACCGCTGCGCCTAGCCCAGGTCCTCAGGAGATGAACAGGATGTCATTCAAAGAATCCCTTTCCAACTTCGGCCGCATAGACACTGACTCGGCAAATCCGTACATCAAAAGCAGTAAATATGGATCCTCAACAACATGAGTCTATCTATCAAGAGCGGTCGATGAGAGTTATTTGCATTGGTGCTGGTGCTTCTGGATTATTGCTGGCCTATAAGCTGCAATCACAATTTTCCAACTTCTCGTTAACGGTAGGATCTTTTTGTTTAGTTCATTGGGATTCGAGCATCCGCTAAGATTTTATGTTTGAAGATATACGAGAAGAATCCCGAAATATCGGGAACATGGTATGAGAACAACTATCCAGGGTAAGGATACCTACTTCAATCCCGCGAATCTTATAGTAACATCTCGTCTTTCGGGGTTTATAGATGTGCATGTGATGTTCCTGCACACAACTACACATATTCGTTTGAACCAAAACACGATTGGTCATCGTTATACGCGTCTTCATCAGAAATCAAAACATATTTTGAGGGATTCTCTAGCAAATACCAACTGGGAAAGTACATCAAATGCTGTCACGAGGTTCAGCATTCCAAATGGCTAGAATCCACGGGGCAGTGGACCGTTGACGTAGCGGACCTTGAGAATGGGGAAATCATTCATGACCAGTGCGATATCCTGATTAATGCTACTGGGTATCTCAACAAGTGGGCATGGCCCGATGTACCGGGACGAGAAACCTTTAAAGGACAAACGGTACATAGTGCACATTGGGAACAGTCTCTCCAAATAGCAGGCAAGAAGGTTATACTTATAGGCAATGGGTAAATACTCCTCTCTCTTCTGCACCATGAAACATAGAGGCTAATATTTCACAGCTCCTCCGCAGTTCAGATTCTCCCCCAGATCCAACCGATCGCTGAACATATAACTATGTTTGTCAGGTCGCCACTTTGGATGTTGCCACCAATATCTCTCGAGTCAAAAACCTACTCAAAATCAGATATTCAGCGTTTCGCTGATAACCCAGATGAACTAATGATCCTTCGAAAGAAGAATGAGAACGTGGTCAACAGTATTTTTAGTGAGTCTACCTTCTACGATGCATGACACGGTACTAATCGTGACATTCAGGTCTATATCTGTCCGACTCAAAGCTGCAGGAGGTTTCGAAGAAGCAGCTTCGGATCTCTATGCAGAACGAGCTTCAGGACCCAGTGTTAGAGGATGTGCTTATTCCGGAATGGGGAGTAGGGTGCCGGCGATTGGCGCCTGACACTGAATTTCTCAAGGTGAGCCTGCTCCTTTATATGAATTTCGGCACTCGTTAATCAACTTGCTAATATATACATAACAGAGCATCAAGAAAACAAACGTTCAAGTAGTCAAGGGAGGGGTAACTGCGTTTACTGAGGCTGGTTGCATTGGCCCTAATGATATAGAGTATTCGGCAGATATAATTATCTGTGCTACAGGATACGATACTTCGTTTGTTCCTCGATTCCCGATCCTGGGGAGTGGTGGCCGTAATCTACAAGATGAGTGGGCCACAACACCTTCATCATACCTGGGAATCGGGGCATCCCACTTCCCAAATTACTTTATGTTCTTGGGTCCATACTCCCCAGTAGCAAATGGCCCAACACTTGCGGCAATCGGTATGTCGCAGCCAATTACTTGCATCTTGAGATATCATTTGAGCTAATCCAAATAATGTTACAGAAGCACAAGCAGACCACATCCTCAAACTCCTTGACCGATATCAGACTGAACCCATCCACCGCCTCTCCCCCCAACCTGCAGCCGAGGCAGATTTCTCTTCACACGTAGCAACCTTCATGACAAAAGCAGTCTATTCTGAAGGATGCCGCTCAGGACACAAGAACCACACCATCAATGGACGGGTACCAACTCTCTGGCCTGGGAGTACGCTGCATTACCTACAAACCATGCAGGATGTCCGGGCTGATGACTGGGATATTCGATATTCCGGGAATCGGTTTTCATTTTTAGGGAACGGCATCAGCCAGGCAGAGTGCGACCCGACGAGTGATTTGGGGTATTATCTACGGGACCATGATGATTCAGCGCCTATGACGAGACGGAAGAGGATGGATATTATTATTAGAAGTGGGAGTCAACCTGCGAGGGTTTTGCACACTACATATAGGCCGTCCGTTGTCAATCTGGCGCCTAAGCAGGGAACTCCCGCATATGGAATGAGCTTAAAAGAGCATAACTATAGTTCTAGTGAGGAGGGAGAGGTGGAAAAAGTTGACCGAGATAGTATCACCGGGAAAGGTGCGTGGGGATGGATGCAGAAGGGGTTTGGTAACATCACTCAGTGCTTTCAGCCGCATAAAGGAGCCGGGGAACATATCCCATAGAGATAGACGTACTGTTTTCTGTACCTTCAATGTTCCAATTACTAAAGTATTTAATGTACTACCCTTCGACCTTGGGCTTCCTTCCGCGTATACCCAACTGCATCTGGTAATTGGAGAGTAGAAATCGTTTTGGTTAAACCTATCCATCTTCGCTAGCATACTAATATTTCAAAAACCTTAACAGTGGCTCAGGTTTGTTTAGAAAGTCGCTCTCTAGATCCCAGGATACCAAATCGACCAGCCACTATCAATTGCCCACTTATACCATCCTTTGTCGGCTATCAACCACTAATTATTAAACGCCATCAAACCCACCATGGCTACCTAGTCATCTCCATCCGTTTTTCCCATCAAAATCCTCGCAACAAACTCGAACCTGTCAACCATGTTAGACATCCCTCGACTTTCCCAGTCCCCAAGCTTATCTTCGTAACCCGTAGCCCCGAATTTGCGAGCCAAATCAGCACAGCCATATCTGCAGCTGAATATAGAGGTGAACAATAAATCTTCCCAGCGTTATTTGCATATATACATCCTTCGTCATGACGCAGGGCTCTAAGTGCTGACAAGATATCTATATTATAATATATGTGGACGTTTGTCAGGAAAATATCAGTTCTTCATTTTGATAGATGATAGACTACCAGGATGGTTGGTCAACTAACTTTCGGCGATGGTTTTGGAGGAAATGTATCAACGACGGCGATATCCACTTAAGGGGCGTATAATGCCGTTCCGTTAGTCAGTTAGATTTACCATCAACAGAGAATGTATTTACTTTGAAATTGCCTGTAAGCTTGCCTCTACATGATCGCAGCATCCGTCTCTTACAATAAAATGAATAGATCAAACTAATGGACTTTATAATGGGATTAAATTAATCTGCTTATATTGAAGGGAAATGACCTTTGAAAATACTTGACTGGGGTGGTAGCCTGGCACTTTAGGGATCGAGTTGCCTTCATCCAGCTACTAGTAGTATCTAATAAGTAGTATAGTTTGTTTACATTAAGCAAGGCGTAGCAGCACACGTGTATAAGCTCTTACTCAAGGCACTCCCTAACCTTTAGCTCATAAATTATTGCTTCTGCTGGTGCCAATTCCAAGAAGTATGCCCGTCACAAGAAATCAAGAATTTATCTGATAAAGCTTAAATTTGGGAGCCCCGCCAGGGGAACAAAAGGCGTGGTATATAAAATCCAACATAGACTCCATTTATCTATGGCCGACGTAACTCCAAAATCGTGAAATCATTCGAACAAGCCATCGTCACCCTGGGACTCCATAATATCAAACCCCAGTCCCCGTCCCTCAAACGCCCCAAACTCATCAAATGCATTAATATTCTTATGCGCCTCTACATTATCGAGCGCTCTATTCTCAATCAAACCTCCGCTATTTAGCACTAAAGCCGCAGGGGTAATCTCGCTGGTATTCGGCCAAACCCACTCCCAACTGTTCCCCTCAAAGAACGCCAGATCCGCAAGCTTGGCTTGCGGGACACAAATGCCGGTCTCACCCATCACCGCTTCTCGACGATCCCGCTCTTGGTCTTCTATCTGCCAGTATTGAGTAACCAGCTTCACGGCTACGAAGCTATCCCACATCCCTTCTTTCCGTGGACAGCGCTTGAGCAGCGCTAGTGCATCTTGCCGCAGCATTGGACATGCAGGTTTCATGGCTGTGTAATATAACGGTGCGATGAGGCCGAGATCGGTAGAAAATGTGAGCGGTGGTTTTCCATTTTTGGCATCTTCTTCCACGGCTGTGATCAGCGATGTGCAGAGGTTGATGATGATCCGGAATTCAGCACTAAATTTCACGAAGGCAGTTGGGCAGTTTACCGCTTGACAAATTGGGCGCATATCCTCTGGTCCTGGGACGATGGTGGACATAATGGATGATGCTATATGGTGGACTTTGAGAAGTGCTGCGCCGCGAATTTCTCTACTGGAGAAGGATTGGCTTTTGGCGTTCATGAATTTCTCGAAGGTGACATTCCATTGGGAGAGCATTAAGGCGTATCGTTTAAGGTGTTCTAACGTGCAGTCCGATTGTTCGGTGGCCGCGAGATGGGCCTCGGATCTGGGTATGGTTAGGACATGTTTGATATACTCCTCACAGTCAAATGCAAAAGTATTTTTGACCTACATGTAAAATGTTTTGAATAACCCATCAGCGCATTCATTCATGCTGGCCCGCGCCTCGTCCAAGCTGTCGAACACTTCGGGAACCGTCTCCGCACTTAGAATCACAGGTCTGAGCTCCGTTGCGAATCTCTTCCTTTGCTCGGGTTGACTCGTATCAACATATAGTATTGACTGCACACTAAGCCGCACAAGAAGCGGCGCAATGATATTTTCAATCGTGGGATCCCGCTCCTTGCTCTGGGCTCTCAGGTCCCGCAAAATCTTCATCCCGCTCTTCAGATGTACCATCGCGGTATGATAATAACCTCGCAGGCAGTCAAAGCACACGAACAGAATACAGGACATCAGAGCAGTCAGGGGGTCATGGTCGCCCGTGGCGAGAGAGCGCCGTAGATGGCCAATCGCTTTGGTATATTGCTTCACCGCGAAGGGAAGGCGGCCTCCTACGACCTGTGCTAACCTTCCATCCGTGGGGGTTTGCGAGAATTCTTCATGTAGAGCGCCAATGGCCACGACGGTATGCCGCAGCGATGGTTCAACATGGCTTGCTTGCAGGACGAGACGCTCCCAGAAGCCCGTAGTAAAGAACCCGTTGAGCTCTGGTGAGGTCTGGTTGATGAAGTAGTGGAATCCGCGTCTTTCTTGTGGGTTCCCTGGTAGCCGTGAGACTGCTCGTGGGAGGGTTATTGCGCTGGTTTTGCCATCTGAATTCAAGATCCCACGATCTTCAGCTCCAGGAATTATGTACCCGTCGCATTTCCTCCCTGTGCTCGTACATTTTTGACACCAAGGCTTGGCCTCGTCGCATTTAATATGGCGGATCCTAACGATTGTCTGTCAGCGACGGATAGCTCGAGAGGAATAGAGGATTGGGTGACTTACTTGCACGTTTTGCAACCTGTTCTAGTCTTGGTACCACATCGTCTTGCCCTCTTAGTGGTCGTATTCGCCTCTGTCATGGCACGCTTTAAAGGACCTGGAAAGGTACTGATTGCAACGTCAATGGATTATAAGGAAGATACCTATATTTCAAAGTAAAATAATTAGAGAAGGAAGATGAAATAGAATAAAACGTCGTTTCTGCTTAGCAGTCGCCAAGGCTGGGGCGTAGCCTTGTGTGCCTCACGTACGCAGGGCTGCGCCACTCCTGCGGCCTGTGGCCTGCGTCATGCATATACAACTATAAAAACAAGCATAATAATTACGCGCTCTCTATTTACACTGGCTGGTGCTTCAAATTGCAAAGACACGGGCGCTTGAACGGCTTATTCCCCCCTATTGTACAGTAAGACCAGCGTGGGATTTGCGCAGCTTACCAACCTCCGTAAAGTTTATAATAAGTACGAACAGCCCAATCATAGCCACGGATAGCCAGTTTACATAATCAAAAATCTTAATAGGGCTGAATGATGACAGCTGGAGGGCATCGCGTTTGGAACAACTAGATCCCTTCGTCTCACGCCTGCAAAAGCTTCGAGAATCTGTGCCAGCTTGCCACTAATGCGTAATTCATTATATTTCTTCTATGCATCCTTCATAAAACATGGCCGACAGTCGGGTAACGAACTGACCAGGCATCCCCGGCATCCACCCACCCTAGGTACTTTTGAAGTACACATATACAACGAAGCAATACAAACATACATAAATGCAAATCCTCAACACCAGCACAACTCATAATCATACAACCCCTAACGGTAGTACCTAGTTAGCGGAAGTACAGCCGTTAGCGAGTAGCTTCAAGCGCCGCATTCAGCGGAACGACCCTCAGACTTCGTCCGCGCTGCAAGCCCGCCGTTTGGGTCCGTGTAGGTGCTGATCCCTCTCTCCATTTGCGAAACACACTCTTCATATCCCGAGGGATGCCTTCAATTACCACAGTAGATACCGGGATAAACGGGCGGTCTTCTAGGCCGGCCGCGAGAATGCCATATTCCTGCGCGAACACGAGGGCATTATGGAAGGCCGGATACTGCGACTGGGCGTTTGCGCCGACAATGATATACATCTCGAAGAAGGCATCCAAAACGTAGATGCAGGAGGGAGAAAGATCTGCCTGGCTGAACGGGCTTATTTCGACGATCTACGATCCAGTTAGTTGGTACTACGGGTATGTTGCAGCAGACAACTCACCTGTTCTTTGCCCATACCATCGGCACGGAACAACCGATTGCAGTGCTTGTTATAGTTGGGTTTCATTCTCCAATGGTCTGCCGACTTCGGGATCTCTGCTTTGTTGAATATATCAAGAAAAGATGCAGGCTCATTGCCATCTTCCACCTCCTCGACCTCACCGGTTAGGCCAAAGTCCATACCGATGAGTCTGGCACAACTCATCTCTTCAATACCACTGCCTCTCCCTCTCCACAGGTATGCTTTGCCTGATGGTGCGGATATGAGGTAGGGAAATCCCGAACATAAGCTACTTGCTGAGAAGTCGACTTCATCGAAAGCGATTTGGTTGAAATATTTTCGCCCGCAAAGTATATGTGGTGCAAGGGAGTCGTATTTGTTGGAAGTTCCACGCCTGATTATGATGATACCTCCTAGAGCGTGGAAGAATTCAGGGGGTTCTTTGCCTTGTCTGACGGTAATTAGGTTGCCTCCGCAACTCTTGGCTTCCATCTGAGCAAACAGATGAGTCTCTTCTGCAATAGAATTCGGTACTTCATCTCCAATCCAGTGATACACCTCCGTAAGTTTCCTGCCAGCCGCATCTTCGAAGGTATGCGAACAGAGGTACATATTCCCTTCGAACAAGTTGCGCTCTTGGTGGCTGAGTACCGGAAGCTTTTTGCCATCACCTGCGAGTTGATACAGGCTGGAACGTAACGTTTTGATTTCCGTGATTTGATCAGGCCGTGCAGCCAGAATCCCAGCCGTATCCACGGTGAACTTATGCGGGGTAGCCTTCTTTCCAGCAAAGAAATTAGAAATCAGTGTGGCGGCCTCTGATGCCTGTGGTACTAGACTTTCGGCACCCCGTTTTGGCGATATTGGAGAAGGTTCAAGACTGGTGCTTAGAGGTGGCGATAGTATAGTCTTTGCAGGGGGGGTTGGAAGTGGTCGCGCTGTAGGAGGCGCTCTTGTTTGGATTCCAAGGCCGATCGGGGCTTTGCTCTTGAGTGGTATTGTTGACTCTAAGCCCGCCGGCACTGTAGCAGGGGTTTCATCATCGCACGCGGAGAGCTTGATAGGAGATCTTACAACAGTAGGTTCTTGCTGTGATCTTGAGTCTGCCGCGCGGTTCCCAGGGCTGATCACATCTTTGGAAGATCGTCGGGGTTGCGGAGTTCTCCCTGTTTGACCATATTGAAGTTTATCGGGGCCTGTGTTCTCGGGGATGTTGGCTGCCAGGGAAGGCGATTTCAGTGGAATCTTTGGTGAGTTTGCTTTTGGCGGAGAGTCAAGCCTCGATGGCTGTGCACTCACAGGTATCTCGGCCGAGTTAGCTTTATTTTTAGGTGAGAGTGGTTTTGGGGAATCCAACTGCGGTTCTACTTTGGTGATATTATTTGGAGCGTCCTGGAGGAAATGTGAGCGGCGCTTGATATCCAGCTTTCGGGGCGACGGAGGCTGCGATACGGGGCTCTCGATATCCGCCGATGAGGGCATGGTTTGATTCTTCTTTGAAGGTTCGAAAGGCTCCGTGACTTGCGAATCCAAGGGGGCGTTGGAAGTTGGAACTTGGTCGTTTACTTTGGCTGATGCAGTCGAAACCGTTTCCTCAGAAGTAATAGTACCGGGTAAGGTTGATGGTGCTTTCCTTCGAGGCCCGCGTGCACGACCCTTGGTCACATGGGTGAGTTGTGGGCCTGGAGCATCGGGGGTGGTTATCGACGAGCTCATGCTCAGGGTGCGTTGAGAAGCCGGGGTTGATGATCGGGACGTCTCACTTGCCATGGGGGGCGGGCCCCGAGCTAGAAGTCCAGCAAGGGCAGGATTGAACCGGTCAGCGAGCTTGCCCCCACCAGTAACCTTTCCTTGAGCTTGGACTGGAGCCATGTTCTCTTTTGAAGGAAGAATTTGCTTTGAGCGTTCGGTGCGATCTGTTTGGGGGGAAAAGCTAGTGGACTCGGCAGCAATTGTAGCAGAGTCAGATTTCCCCAGGGACTTTCCCTTTGCTAGGGCTTCAGGAAGAGCGGCCTCCTTACCCGCCTCACTAGGTCTTCTAGTGACACCTTTACCTTCCAGCTGAACTCGCTTGAAATCTTCCTTCTTCTTTAAAATTGCTTCTTTGAATTCATCTTTCCTCTCTGTCTTTTTTGGACCTCCAGTGATATTTAAGGCCGCCTTTCCGCGTGTTATGTTGTTCTTGAGCTCATCCGGCGCAACGTAATTTTGTGTCTTGGTACGCCTAAGCTGACCGAAAACGTTCTTGAACTCGGGCTCGCCTGTTCCGCCATTATCAGCAGGAAGCTGCCGAGACTTTAAAGCCGACCTGAAGTCCTTTTTCGGAGGCGTTTCCGGCTTCGGTTTGGCAACGACAGGCGAGGATATAGTAGCGGATGTAATTGGCATGCTTGCATCATCAGAACTGGACTGCTTTGGCGTATATTGGCCATCTTTTGAAGGATTCTTTTCTAGCCGACGATATGGTAAGGTCCCAGGAGAAATTGCACTAGAAAGGCTACCAATGCTAGGTGGTTTGGTAAACCCGCCTGGTGGTGGGGATCTCATAAGACCACCAATATTTACTTCATGCTTGGGACCATTTGTCGGGCTGCGGCCAAGATCTACACTTGACTTCTGCTTTGCCTTGGCGATTTCCGACATCCACGAAGGCTGTTGAGGGGGAGGTGCAGGTTTCGGCTTAGGGGATTCGGGCTTATTTAGAGCACTTTCCAACCAACTAGACTTTGTTGGGCTCCATCGCCTAGTATCCATTGTCTTTGAGGGGCTGGTAGGCGGAGTCATAGCCACACGAGCTTTGGGCTCTGTCGGCTCACCCTCCTTGCCAATTCCGAGTCCTTGGAGGGGCTCAGAGCGCGAAGTAGGGAGTGGAGGCTTGACAAAACCATCATTGTCAGTTGAAGTCGTCATGCTGCTGCGCATGGAACTCGCAGTGGTGGGCCGCTCTTGGGTGATAGTTTGGTTGCTATGACTCGAGCTAGGTCTTGATGTAGGATGTGGTGAATTGTCCCGACTCAGGCTGCTTGGCCTAGAACCGATCGGAGAGGGATAACCGGTACCTCCTGAAGCAGCATTATTAGGGCCATCATGGCTACTTCGGTTGCTAGCTACCGAATTTGTTCTGTTCAGGCCAGGCGGGGATTGAACACTCCATCGCTTGCTGACACTATCTGACCGCTTCATCATGGCACTCTGCACAAATCCACCCATGCCTTTTGTGGGGGAAAGCGGACGGTTAAGCCTGTCTGGTGATATTCGTCCTTGTGAGGGCGACATTGCCAGTCCACGGGTTTCGGATTTTGAATCTGAAGCTGGGGGGTCGAGTCTCTGGGCAGGGGTCAGTGGGATTGGAGATCCGATACCAGCAGCAGCCGCGGAAGAAGCCTGGTAAGGGCTGCTGGTGGAACTCTCAGATGTAGTACTTCTTCGGGCAGCAGAAACTCGATCTCCAAGGGCAGGGGAGGAATTTTCGGTTCCTGAGCTCTCGCGGGACATTCCTGGCATCTGTACCCGCGCAGAACTTGATCCGTGATTTGCCCTCTCATCATCCTCAACCTGATTCCTCCTGTAGGCGGGAGAATTCAGCCCTCTATCAGCGGTCTGGCGGAACCACGCAGGGTCTTTTGTAGCGAGCGATTGGGCTATTTGGTCGCGGGAGAGCACAGGCTCTGCAGATGACACTGGTGATGCATCTGGTGTTGATGTCCTTGTGGGAGAACGCGCCGCGTGCTCTGTAGCTACTATCGACAGCGGCCGGCTTCTGGGTCGGTCTGGGGATTGGGAGCCGGGACGCCGTTGCCAGGACAATGTCGGATTCCTCGAAGGCATAGCACTTGAAGGCGAGGCCATGATCGAATCGTTTCTCTTGTTTTCGGACTCGACAACGCGTTCGCTATTTGCTAGGGCAGTGCTTCCTTGTGTATTTGTAGGGGATGTCGACGTGCCAGTGAGACGTTCCATCGCCTCGTCAATTGAAGTCTCACGGCGAGGCTCGGTCTGGAGGCCGTAAGGATCTGCAGATGGAGATAACGACTGTGAACCAGTTGGCAGTGCCAACGATATTTTGGACGCGTTGGGCGTGTTCGCAGGTGAAGACTTTGTGGGGGATATTGATCTAGCACGTTCTGCGTCGCCAGCAGTCAGTTAAAAGGGATCAAGCTGTACGGTGCTCCGCAGACACGTTTGCCCAGAATAAGGGGACAAAAACGCTCACCAGCTCGACGCGCCTGTCGTTCTTTTCGGCCCTGCAAGATCTCCTCCTCCAGCTTCCTGTTCCGCTCCTCATCCTCCTGGTCTCGTCTGTCGCCCAATTCCTTGATGCGCTGCAAAAAGTCACTGACGTCCTCAGAGCCCTCCGCTGCCGACGACGACATCTTGGCCGGCAACTTATATTTACTTCCAGTAAAATACCCTATCAAAACGAGCCCGACGATACACAGAACAAGCCAGGCACAGTAACATCCACACTCACACAGATGGGTCGGAAACTTTCAGGTCGTACGGAGTAAGGATTAGATGCGGCGGAAAAGGATCTGCGGCTCTAAATATGTTTCAAGGCTGTGACCACTTCTGCGACCGGGAGAAATGGAGTACTTCTGTGCTGGGTATTCTCCAAAAATAAATAAAAATTGATGTCGGACTCGATATGGAGGGATCATGGACATCCGGTAGGGAACAACGAAGTCCTAATTGTTGTATTTGTTTACTCCGAATGCCGCTAACCGCGCTCAGTGCTGCGTCGAACACATATCTCGCGCCTGTGGAGTGTTGGTTGTCCCCGTGTTCACGCTAAAAATAACTATACAATAAACCCCCCCACTATACTTCGTAGCAGCTCTTGCTCTTGCTCTTGTTCCTGTGTGCCTGTGCCTGGCGCAATGCCGAAACCTAAACCTTAGGAGTCGCTGTCGTGGCGCTTTAGTTTAGTTAATAAAGAAATAATCTTGCTTTGGCATCCTGTACCACCCATGCCAATCCTTCCTGAAGGTTTACGCCGGTAATAGCGCTGCATCGAATTATATGCCACTTATGGGTCTTGATTGCATCTAGTTGGAGCCCCTGCATCCATACAACACGGTTCAGGTTAGCGCTTGCTCTGTCTCCAACGACACCTCGCGACAAATTGACGGAGCGGACGAACTGACCTCCTGGATCTCTGCTTCATCCATGCATCCATTGACATCAGTCTTGTTGGCGAACACTAGCAAGCTTGCTCCAGAAAGCCTCTTTGTAACGAAAGGATTAGCGCATGAACCGCGGGGAACCTCGATTCAGAACTTGCCTCCTCTTGTAGCAGGTTATGCAGCTCATCTCTGCAGTCCTCGATCCGAAGCCGGTCAGTCGCATCCACGACCCAGATCAAGGCATCGGTCTTCTCAAAGTAATTCCTCCAGTATGATCGCAAGGTCTTCTGGCCGCCCACATCCCCTAAGTTGCGTGAGCAGAGCCGTCATCCGCTCCTCGAGGAGGGCCAGCTAGCAAACTCACAGATATTAAGCTTATATCTTCAGACAAGTCAGCAGAAAACTCGGCCACCCCTGAGGTATCAATGGGCATCATACCCTTCATAATCAATAGTCTTGATAATGAAACCCAGGGTTGGGCTGACACTATTCACATCCTCGCCCATAATTCTTTTCACTATGGTTGTCTTCCCAGCATTGTCCAGGCCACTGGGCGGGGGCAGAACAGAACATGGTCAGCGCCATCAAAATAAGGATTGGGGCATGTAGTACAGCATCAGAATCCGCATCTCCTTGTCCTTTAGTCTCGCTTTTCGCAAAATTGACAACATATTGTTGTTTGGTGAAAAATAGGTTCCTGGCAGCTGGTCTTTCGACTGGCTCTTATTCCGCAAACTCTGAGTCTGGGTCTAAAATGTTATCACGTGACTATTTCCTACCACATCCAACACCAGACAGCATCTGGACGAGAAAGACAGGACCAGAAGGGTACACCTCATTTTGTTTATTCTGAATCTGAGTAGGTGATATAATGGGTTTTCGTAGTATCTACCTAGAAATACAGCAAGTGTTGAACACATGTTCTGTGTCTTGAGTGAGACACAAAGGTTAGGAGGTAGACACCTAACTTAGATACATAAACATAATCCTAATTATACCATTTTAGTATTACTATTTTAGAAGAGTTATTAAGCCCAACATAGTAGATGCTTGGTAAGGGAGGTTCTGCTTCTGTGTCGTGATACTGGGCGGTCTGACAGTCGCATTCATCTACACCGACAGTAGGTCGGTGAGCATTTCACCTGTCTCCAAGCTTCCCAGAGCAAACTTCACCGCGCCCTCTATTCGACAATAGTATCGATTAGCACAATAGGGTTCGCTTAGCACGAAGCTATTGTTCTTTTTAAATTGTCCAGTGTGCGCGAGGCTCGCCTCGTTTCGCTCACCTCTCTCCATCCCCAACTCCCCCTTCTCACCTCCATCTCAACCCACCACAACCCCTTCGTACAACTCGTTGTACAGAACCCTCCAAATCAAATTCCTTTGACACTGAACAATACCGCACGGACAATTACAGTGCACAAACACTCAACATGAGTGGCTCACGCCAAAATAACCAGAGGAAGACCTCGCGGTATATCAGCCCCGAGCATTCTGTAAAGACTGACACATACAAGCCGGCCCGAAAGATCATTAATTAGTACTACCATTTTACTTTGCCCCTTATTGTCGCTGGATTACTAACAGTGAACAGCGCCGCAATGCCGGATCTGCCTGACGAAGCACGACAGTGTCTCGTCACCGTGGAAAAGCTTGCAACTATGGGCAAGGGCACGCTTGCCGACTCAATATGGGCGCTGCCGGAAGATATCAAACACAGCACCGCAAAGGTTAACAAACCCATCGTGGTCAACAAGAAACACTGCCCGACCGTGACCCAATCTCCGGCTCTGAATCTTACCAAAGCTGACGCTGAGGTTCGACAAACCCCCGCGATCAAGTCTGGTAGCAACGGTCTTGCAGCCTCTCGTTGGGCAACTGATAAGCCCATCGTTACTAATAAGAAACCTTTGCTAAACAAAACCGCAACCGTTGTTCCAAATGTTGCCAAAGCTAACCCTGAGGTTGGAAAAGTTTCTGAGATCAAGCCTGGTAGCTACTGCAACGATCTGGCAGCATCCCGGTGGGCAACAGCTGGGTCACATAACAGTATGTATCCCTTCAGAGTGTGATGTATGACCTTGGGGCTTTTGACTAATAGTTCCAAACCAGGCGGCGCAGTTCCTCGGTCTATTGCGCGACCTACCGCTATAGCGGTAATGAAGCAACAAGCACCGACCACGCCTCCTGTTAAACTGCCCATTTCGAAAGTTGCCGCCGAGAAACATATCCTCCCCCATCTGAGAGGCATTGAGCCGAAACCGGAATTTCTGAAGCCCGAACCTGAAACTTCTCAATCAACTAGGCAATCTGTTGACATACAGGCGAAGGAGTCGGTAGATCAAACTGGACTACTCCTTAAATTGCATAGCACAAAACAGACACCTGAGAAATATCTTCTGCCACATCTTAGGGGCATGGATATTGAAGACAAGTTGAAATTTGTTATGGAGGCGAAAGAGTCCGTAGGTCAACCTAGGCCACTTGATCCCTCGCCCAATGGCAAATCTACCGCCGAGAAGCCTGTTCTTCCACATCTGAGAGGCATGGAACTAGGATACGAGTTAAAAGCCGAACGACAGGTCCTTGAACCGATCCATCAGCCAGCTGTCATAGACACCAAGATTCCCTTGAACCGATCTAGACCACTTATTCACTCACCCAATGCGAAGCCAACAGCTGAAAAGCATGTCCTGCCTCATTTGAGGGGCATCGAGGCGGTCGACCCCAAAATTATCGGATCAGAACTGGAAGCTAAGGATGTATACCTCCTTCCACACCTTCGAGGCATCAAGGAAGCCGAACAGCAGAAGTCTATCCTTCCTCATATGAGTGGAGCTAACGTCAGCCCATCGGCAAAGACCGATTCTCTGTCCCCAGCCCCAACTCCTCTAGAGGGAGTCAGCACTTCTAGTGAAACCGCCTCCATCCGAAGCGATGTACCAGAGGTAGCCAGTATGGCATCCGAATACAACTCAACTAACCATGTACCCCGCCGTCCCACCACGCACCAGTCTCCAACCATAGAGTCACAATCCGAAATGCAACCAACTACACCGGTGATCCGCAGCACAAAACTCGCAACACCCGATGAATTCATGAGCAGAGTGAATGCCCTTAGGAATGGGCGTGGTACAACTGTCAAAGCTGGAATGCCTACCAACATGGCACTTTCGGCACCAAAGAACAATCAGAAGGAAAATATCCGCTTTGTCAAGGAATCGGTGCAGAATAATGGCAAAGAACAAGTTCGTAGTCAACCGTCTGACTGGGATGTGCCTCGTCTTCCTCGCGATCCAAAGATCATTACTCAGATGATCCTAGCCGAACTTAAGGCAAACTGCGAGATCCCTACAAAGGGTGATGTACTGACACAAGACGCATTAGTCAATACCAAGGGTTCAACCCCCCGTGCTTGCGGAAACACGCTAGATGATTGGGTCAGCAACGCTGGAATATTTCACAAGCCAAAGGAAATCGTACGGGCAAACCAAGGAAAGCCTGCTACTGAGGAATTTCTTGACTGGGATGGAAGCTGGATGCCGCCAGTGTGTGACTGGGAATATGATAGAGAACGGTACGATAACAGCGGGTTCGTATCTGAATACATCGAAGAGTGGCGGGCCAATGCACCATCCGGACCGGGTGTGACTGTTGACTGTAAGTGTGAGAACTTTTTCAGGCATGCTCTACCCATCCACGGAGGGGGTTTTGCAGAAGCTATCCATCATGATTTAACAATTCCTGGTAAGCTTCATGTAATGACCTTTTACTAGTACTCCATTGCTAACATCTTCAGACACTGAGAACTCCGAAAATGAACATAAGCGACAGCATCAAACCGCAATGTCTTCGAGCCTCAAGCGAGCTTCTGGTCGGAAGAGATGCCAGGGACCGTCCAATTTAAAGTTTATCACCGCTGCATATGATGAAGTAGTGCGTACACCAGAACCGAACCCGTTTGCTCCTACGGCTGCTATGCATCTTCGCCCAGTCGCCATTCAAGACGCAGTTGGCATTGCTTCGCTGTACAACCACTATGTTAACAAATCTCACATTCCAGAGGACCAGGAAATGCTTGCAGACACGGATGTGAAGCACATGATCGACTTGGCTCACAAGGATAAGATGCCATTCATTGTCGCTATCCGTGGCAAACAATCAGCCGTCGTCCATATGCAGGGTGGCCCGGGACCATCGCAAAAGCGTACTCGTCCTGTTTATGAGGAGGTGATTGGCTTTGCTAGTGCTGAGAGCTTCAATTATGGCCTCGCTGGTGAACGAAGCGGGCGTTCTAGGGCGACTGTCAACCTTCAGTTGTATGTTCATCCAGATCATACACGCCAAGGTCTCGGTAGAAACCTGCTCGATCACCTTCTACATGTCATGAACCCCGGATATGCGTTCAAGAATGCTTGCACTTGGGTTAATCCAGAGAATAGCACAATCTACCAAGCTGGTGGAGCAGGCCTGTTTCATCAGATGGTGTTTCAGCTGCCCATCCTACGTGTGGACGATGCAAATTACCCATGGATTAAGAACTTCCTCCTCAGCAAGTTCTTCTTTGCCGAGGAGGCTCGCCTGAGGTGTGTCGGCCGAACATCAAAGGCCCAAGGTACAGCGAAGTGGCTCGACCTAGTCTTCTTCCAAGCTGAAGCATCCAATGGGCAAGACTTTACTTTTGACGACTAAGATGTTATCGACCTTAATAACTGTCCATTATCGACCTAGACAGGCCTTGTTTTGGGTCGATTAGGTTGACGTGGCGGATCGTCAAATTTCTAAATTCGAACCAGTACACGCCAGAATCGTTCTTGCATCCCTGATCAAACTGCCCAGCTGTCATATGTCGGCGTCTCCATCAACATCTTTTATTAAAGATCCATGGATCCTTTGATTTGGTTGTCTATCATCCAATTCAGGCACCGTCTTCGAACTTGGAACTATTTCATCCTAGAAGCGCGTTCGCTCTCACAAATAAGACGCGCATCTATCAGTTTCTTTCACCCCTAGCCTTAATTATTCAATAAGGGCGCAACAGAGTTTTCGAATCGACTTGTTTATTTGGATGCTCCGATTCAGCCGCGACATCTAAACTCCGAACCATTCATGTCGAAAGCGTTTGCGTCTCTTATTAGCTTGCCCACCTTATGGTTTTCATTTTCAGTTTGTGTTTCACGTTGTTGCTTATTCCTTTTTTTATGCCACGAGCGTCCCCGGAAGAATGGTAGCAAAGAGGGGTAGCTAAAGCTGTATTCAAATCGATACTTAGAATCGATGGTGATGCAGTGTCTGGCACAATTCTAGCGTTTTCGATTCACGTCCTTGTTTTTACACCATAGGTGGTTCTTGTCGTCGTTTTTCCTAATAACCTGGATGGTAACATTAACAGCGATCCTGGGCCTTGCTACTTGGCACCAGCCGCTTTATGTTTTCCTCGTTTTAGATAATCGACCTACCACGCATTTCGTTTTTCTTTAGCAGTTAGTTAGATTTGCAATTGAATTAGATCACAACACAGTTTTGCCTGCATATAGTGAAATGTGATATAGAGTTGGGGGTTAAAGAGCCTCCTTGTATTGCTTCCAGCCTATGAGACCTACCTTGCTTGGTACCATAGGTACACACAAGGAGCTCGGTTGGAGAGGGGCGGGGTTAATTCGTTAATTCAGGGGAAGTGATCACGTGGCATAGCACGGACCATGCGGAAATACAGAGGTCACCAATAATTTCTAGGCTAGGCGGCTTTGGGTTATTCTGCCATATCTGACCGATAATTGGAAAGAAAAAAGCTGTGACATGGAAACGAAGAAACAACTATTTTTTAGAACGGATCTACGAAAACAGTTGTCGCGTTTAGATATGGCTCCCTCGTCGAAATCAAAACCGGAGGATGATTTCATTCTCACCATCTCCGACAATGAGGAGGATTTAACGGAAAATATCGAAGAAGAAGTCGCAGCCTCCCCACCACCGTCCAACAAGAAGCGGAAGCGCGCCGACGAATCCTCCACTACCGCACCCAAGAAAGGCAAAAAAGCTAAGAAGGGAAAGGATGATGTGTCGGAGGACGCAAGCAAACCGAACGAGGGCATATGGGGCCAGGCAGAGGAAGATGATGGGGCTATGGATTCCGATTTCGAATTTGCTATAGAGGATGGGGAGGGAGCTTTGGAGGAGTTCGAAGGGTGGGGATTTGATAGTGCGAAGAATGGGCTCAGTGCAGTCAAGGGGGACAGAAGAGGGGTGGATATCGATGCGATTATTGCAAGAAGAAAAGCGAAGAAGGATGGCACTGGGAAAGTGGAGGATGCTGTTGTGGCCGGGGAGCCGAGTGAGGATGCCGATGAAAACCAAGAAGACATAGAGGGGCTAGATCTCGATAATCCGGACGACGAGTTCATGGATGAGGATGGGTTCGGAATGAATGTGGGCTCCGATGAGGAGGAGTCTGCTGATGAGCAGGACCATGAAGATTCTGGCGAAGAACAGGATGACCAACATGACTCGGACGATGAGTCTATAGGAAGCCCAGCTCCACACCCAGATGACGATGCGTCAGAAGAATCATCTGATGAAGAAGGGGATGAGGACGATCCGGAAGAGGCAGCCCGCCGGGAAGCATTCTTCGCTCCTGAGGAGAAGATTGACAAGAAGAATAAGCAACCTCTGGCTTCATTTCAAACCATGTCATTATCCCGACCGATCCTCCGTGGGCTTGCTGCCGTGGGCTTCACACAGCCAACGCCAATTCAAGCCAAAACGATACCAGTGGCCTTGTTGGGAAAGGATGTGGTTGGTGGAGCCGTCACAGGTTCTGGGAAAACTGCAGCCTTCGTTGTTCCGATTCTCGAACGTCTCCTATATCGACCCAAAAAGGTTCCAACTAGCAGAGTGGTAATTCTCATGCCGACCCGTGAGTTGGCGATACAATGCCACGCTGTTGCGACCAAACTTGCAAGCCATACCGATATCAAATTCTGTCTAGCCGTGGGTGGTCTCAGTCTCAAAGTGCAAGAAGCAGAACTGAGACTTCGTCCTGATGTGGTCATTGCCACGCCTGGTCGGTTCATTGATCATATGCGCAACTCACCGAGCTTCACTGTCGACACCTTAGAGATTTTAGTCCTTGATGAAGCTGATCGAATGCTTGAAGACGGATTTGCAGATGAGCTCAATGAAATCTTGACCACAATCCCAAAGTCTCGTCAGACGATGCTTTTCTCGGCAACGATGACTTCCTCCGTGGACAATCTTATTCGTGTAGGCCTGAATCGACCTGTCAGGTTACTAGTTGATGCACAAAGGCAAACTGCGGGTACTTTGATACAGGAATTCGTCCGTCTTCGTCCGGGCAGAGAGACAAAACGGATGGGTTATCTACTCTATCTATGTTCAAACGCTTACACGGATCGAGTCATCGTATTCTTCCGTCAAAAGAAGGAAGCTCACAGAGCACGAATCATTTTCGGTCTTTCTGGTCTCAAAGCTACGGAGTTGCATGGTAACTTGAGCCAAGAACAGGTAAATATCTACCCACCAATACATGCTGTCTTGTACTAATATTATATTAGCGTATCAGAAGTGTGGAAGACTTCAGAGATGGAAAGGCATCATTTTTGCTTGCCACCGATGTCGCGTCTCGGGGTCTCGATATTAAAGGAGTCGATACGGTAATCAATTACGAAGCACCGCAATCTCATGAAATCTATCTCCACAGAGTCGGACGAACAGCACGTGCCGGTCGTTCAGGTCGTGCTTGCACATTAGCAGCAGAGCCAGACCGCAAAGTCGTCAAGGCAGCCGTGAAGACCGGACGCTCCCAAGGCGCCAAAATAGTCAGTCGGTTGATCGAAGCTGCAGAAGCGGATGTCTGGGCTGCTAAGGTGGAAGAGATGCAGGACGAAATTGAGGAGGTTTTGAAGGAGGAGAAGGAAGATAAGGCGCTTGCAATGGTGGAGATTCAAGCGACCAAGGGAGAGAACATGATTGTACATGAACAGGAGATCAATAGTCGACCAAGGAGGACTTGGTTTGAGAGTGAACAGGATAAGAAAGCCGCCAAGAAAGCTGGTACGGCGGAACTCAATAGGGTGGAGAGTGTATTGAAGAAGAAAGTAGGCAAGTTGAGCAACAAGGATAAGAAGAAATTGGATGATAGGGGCGCGAGGACTGAGGGAAGGGTGTGGAAGAAGGGGCGGGCGGAGAGAGATGGGAAGGGGGCTGTGGAGAACCTAAAGGGGGCGAAGAAAGTTAAGGGTGGGAAGCCTGCCTCGAAGGCAAAGGGGAAGTTTACAAAGAAGCGGTAGTTATGAGGAGGTTGTTTAGACTAAATCCATTCATGTCAAGAGTAATACCCTTCCATAGTCCCTTAAGTCCCCTATCCTCCACCTCTAATAACTCTATATCGTAAAGCCCGGAGAGACCTGGCTCGTCACAAGGGCCTTCCGCACGGTACAGTCGGCCGTTCTTTCGTACAATGAGCTGCACGTAGCTACACCGATATACGTTATCAAAATACCTAATTGGACTCAGTTCCACCAATGGCGCCACGGTTTATGAAAGCGAGCGTAATGGGGCTTCTCCTAACCATTGTGAAAATTATTGCAATGTGAGCAATGAGTCCCTTGACGATTTAATATGAGAGTTTTATCTAGAATGTATACCAAATGCACGTCGGGTCTTTCGTCCTAGACAATGGCTGGCTTTTGGCTTTTTACGAGCGCCCCCTGGGAATTTCCCTGTTTTCTGGGGGTTTGCCGACCCTGCACCACTCGGGTATGGAGTGACCTGCCGCGGCTTGGAAGCAGCGTCGCGGCTCCCAAGACAACGACACGACATCAGCGACGAAACATCACTTACGAAGTAGGCCAATTGTATTGCTATGCCAGCATTGTCTGCACTACAATGGCCGCCGTCCGACGAGGCCAAGGGTCGTTGAGAGTCGACCTCCCTAATGCCCCAGCTACCCCAGATTTCCCACCCATCTCCGCGCTGTTCCTCATCTATTTCGACATCAAGGCGGGCTATACGATTGGATGGAAACGCTCCTTGCCAGGAGTAGAGCTCGAAGGTGTGGTGGAATATAAGAGTCTGCCATCGGGACTACATACTGTTAAGGAGGATTTGATATATTTTGTTCATGATAACCATGCCGGGCTCAGCGCATTTGTTAATGCGCCCGCCGCCGAGGAGTCGCGAAATGCGAGGATGATTGCTGTTGGGGTTATGGTGCCTTTGAGTTATGGAAGGCTTGGGAGGGCTTGGAAACATGCTGAGAAACTGAAGGAGCTGGCAAAGTACTGCGCGCAGATACCTACCACAACGAGGGTGATACTAATTTGAGTTGCCGCAGTGAGCTCATTAAAGATACGACTAAGACAGAGGTCCTCGAGGAGTTCTGGGAGGAGCATAAAGGCCATGGCGAATCCCCGAGCTTGGAGACAGAGTCACTGTCAGAAACGCCGACCAGCATGCAATTCAGTCCTATAAGGACATCTTCTGGCACTGCCAAAGGGCATAGCAGAAATCGATCGGCCTCGGATGGCACTGCCTTGATCCCTCCTGGCCAACATCTATCGGCATATCATCCTGCATGGAGTTTGCCACACCTACTAGAGACATTTGGCCCGTTGATATTTCCAATCTACCGAGCAGCTCTCTTGCGGAAAAGGATACTAATGACAGCACATGCGCCGGTTCAGGAGACATGTAACTTTAGTTAGTCTTCACACTACTTCCCTCCATTTTGAGTCGCAGCTGATAGTTCTGGCAGTATATGACGTTTCCGTTCTTTCGAATATACCCCTCGCCGTAAGCGATCTCCTGGCATCTACAGCCCCTCCACAACGACTTCGGCCACTATTTTCAATTGGCGTCCATGATATCCCATTACTCGAAGAAGACTTGCGTGCTGCAAAAGCAGCAGCTGCTCGACCTGACACGGAAGAATCAGATGGCAAGGAGGATTCAGGATGTGGATGGATAGCCTGCACAACGGATAGTATCCTGGCGATGAAGAGCTCCCTATACGATGTTCTCATCACCATGCCCCCTCAGCACTCCGAAAACGCTTTGGAGAAAATATGGCCGAAAATCGAATCCCCACAAGGGGTGGAAATGAGAGCTACGCAGCGCGACTTGCGCCGTTACAAGGCTCTTCGGTGGGGTCTTTCGCGACATGTCTCTCCACCTAGAAGTCCAGTAGCCAGACGCGGGAGCACCGAGTCGCAGGAACGGGAAGCTCGTCGAGCAAGCTCATCTAGCATCACAGCTCTGGTTCACGACCCTATGCTAGACCTCCCAGACACGGATAGTATCGTCGAGCCTCTCTCCTGGGCGGCCCTAGCCTACTCAGGATTCATGTGGTGGGCTTCAGCCGGCGAGCAACGCGTCCATTTCGAAGAAGAATCCGATGCAGATGCAGCGCTATTATCCGGTCTTTCTATTTCGCCATCTACGCCACAGACACCTGTGAGACCACGCTCGCAATCGACGGTTTCGCTGGGTGCTAGGGAGGATACGAGTGCCCTGCAGGAGATGGCCATCATTGCGTATTTCCACCGTCTCACCACCCAGATTCTTACTACGCTGAGTGATATTGTGGATGCCACAGACTCGGACGATGAGAGAGATGACGAGCTCAATCCGCTGCAGCCTGGCCCCAATGGATCGCAAGAGGAGGAGGATAATAATGGGCCGGCTGTGTATGTTAGTAGTGCTGATGTGGAGAGGATGGGTCTCGATGTCTGGAGCGCGACGGACCACATGTTCATTGAAGAAGTAGCTAGAGAGTATTTCGGGCGGAGGGCGCACATTGAGGGACGGAATGTGGAATGTTGTGGGATTAAGGTTTGTTAATTCGGCATTCAGCCCACGTCGCCGGAGAAGGAAATTTTTATAGGAGTCTTGAGGAGTACTAAACCAGGCCTGCCTGGGGTCTGGGCTTTTGGTTGGAATGAAAATATTCTAATTCAAAGTTTACCTACTGCACCAGTAAGAATCACAGGACGCTGTCTCCTATGCACTCTCATAGCTTTTAGTGAGTATATCTCTTATGCACACACTGTACACGGTATAACGCCAACCTAAATGCCCATGTTTTACAGAAACCCGAATGCAGAAAACCAAGCGATATAGACTATTCCTCATCAGTGTCTGTGTCTGTGTCACTAGTATCATCATCGGCTTCTCCATCTGTATTACTCTCATCGTCACTTGACTCCTCTACCACCTTTTTACTCTTCTTTGGTGGCGGAGCTCCGGTCTTGAGGGCATGCATCTGTCCTGCTAACGAATCTACAAGGGGGGTCAGCGGTAATCCTTGCTATGCAGGTGGTTATCATCACGTACCTTCATCGGGTTCACTAATGTCATCCTCTGCCTCAATATCCACGGCCTTGCTGGCTTCATCCACAACAAGCGTAACCTCCATCTTAGTATCAAAGCCAACATATGAATCGCAAACCAGATGCATAACAAAAGTGTAGTGGCCTGCCTGTGGGGGCGCTTGAAATTGTGCCTTCAATGTCTGCATGTTGAAAGTTGGCTTGCCATCCGCTCCGTAAATTGGCTTGTCAAAGGTTGTGAATGTGAAAGGTGGCACAGCAATTTTGCCCTGCTTGCTATCGGTGAGGAATACGTGCCATCTAGGAGAGTAATCCCGGGTGAAATATGGCGCATATGCAAGAGGGGGTTGAACGGGTTTATCCTCTGCTGGTGCAGCTTCGCCCTTGCCTGTCTTTTTCTTCCGGCCGAGAATGGCGTCAAGATCGCCTTCCTCGGGATCAACATCTTCCAAGTCCAGCTCGTTGACTTGGGGAACATTCTCACTCCCTGGGGGAATGAATCTGCCCTTGATAACCAAGGAAACCAATGAGCTTGGAATGATGAATTTCTCGCCAGTGACTTTGAAGAAGGCCTTCTCGACCTGGAGGCGGGGTAACTGCTTGGCCACCTTGATGGCTGTGGTATATTGAGATTCGGTCAAAAGTCCATTCCCGATAGTCAGTCTTCGGCGGTAGGTTTCTGGTAGTTGCATGTATTGTTGTAAGGTCAAATGAGTTCTGGAATCACCCTCGACAGCTTTCGCAATGGCAGGGGTGAAATGAGGAAGTTGGAGTAAAGGAGAAGCTCCTGGGGGCATAGCTTGCAATAAGCTCTGGCCAACAAGGAAGGAGGAAAGGATAGGCGCCGTAGTGCCAAAAGCCAGTGCGATTGCGTTGAAGGATGAGTTGAGAGCCTGCGCGATGGGAGCAACCTCCAATTTTGCTTGATCGAGTGCCGCATCGTCCAACTCCACGCGGCCAAGGTATGCCCATAAAAGCGCGAGCGCCTTTCTTCGAACGCCACCCTCTAGCTCGTCCAGTGTCGTGCGGTCCTTTGCAGATAGTCCTGCAGCAAATGGAGTGGCATCACCTTCGGCAAGGATTCGTGACTCCAACTTTCCAAGACCTGATTCAGCCTTCTCGCCCTTCAAGATCTTCTGGAATTCCACACCCGTGCTCAGCGCAGCAATTATTCCTCCTTCTGTGATATCCTCTTCGTATTCCTGGAAGAGATTGTTGGCGCTCTCAATTAAGACTTTCTCCTTGGACATTTTTTGCGTGCCATACCACCAACTTCCCACAAGGTACGGTAGCAGAACGCCTAGCAAGGCTGCATATACCAGAATGACATACTTTCCATTTCCTTCCGTGATAATGAACTTCGGGAGCGCGATGCCGATGCTGAAGCTTTGCTTGCCATCTGGGTGGCCGAACTGGATGTAATTGTTTCGGATCTCCTCGTCGGTGAGCGCTTTGTAGGCTTTCGTGAGTTCGACAAAGTAATCATTGAGAGACTCGAGGGTTTGGTTCTTCGCAGGGTCGGGTCGGATCTTGTCGGGATGGAATCTGAGTGATAGGCGTTTGTAATGTGATTTAATTTCCCTCTCGCTGGCAGACTAGTGAAAGATTAGCAGGAAGAACGTGGTTAGGGGGTTCAAGGGCACCTACATCTGAAATACCAAGAATATCGTACGGGTTCCATATCTTTGGCACCAACCGAGCTGTGACAACGATCAGGTACACCATGAGCGCCATGACGGCCCATCCCACCACTACCGCGATTATGCGCTTTAGCCTCCGATCCTTCCTCCTCTGAGCCTTTCTCTGTATATCGATGAGGTCAACATGCTTGGGCCGGTAATCTGTCTTTATTCGTGGTGCGGTGGCGCCAGCATCTGTGCTTGGCTTAAGGACACTGTACGTTAATGGAACTGTAACTATGCCGACGATGGTGAGAATGAAGACGGGAAAGAATTGCCCCTATTAAAGTCAGCATACCTCGCCCTGTGTTGCCCCGGGCGTGGACGTGGTATTCCATACCTGCTCATCGTATGAGTAGTCGGTGCCACTCATGGTGACGATATGTGGTCTAAACGACCTGGGCTCTAGGGATGCTTGTGCGCAAGCGGATTACGAGGTTGGGTTGGTATATTTGAGGGGTGCTTCTGCGACAAAAAAGAGCAGCGTAGACAAAGTGTAGTTGTGTTAAGGAGAGAAGTGCGGCAAAAGCAGCAGGAGAAGGAAAGTTAAGAGGTGTCCCCGGACCGCGCGAGAGTTGCATCGTGGCTTCAAAGAAGTCTTGACTCGAGATTCTCAGCTTGGGTCGGCGGGGACAGGGATTAGCTTCCGACTCGCTAAACCCCCTTTTGGACAGGCCTGAACGAGAGTCTTCACCTTAAATAGACGTTTCTGTTGCCACTCAACTCGGAACTTAAAGATGGAAATTGTTCAAAGATAATCAGGAAATTTACAAGAGCTTTACGATTATGAACCAATCTACCTTTATTGACGAGGTTTTCTTGACTTCGTGCGATTTTGTACGTTTGCCTTTCTAGGTATCTGGTTTATCGCTTTAGGCCAGATTTAACGTACTTGGGGCCGCAGCAGCGTCTGCAGCTGAACATGAAATAAACCGACTGATAGAAAATCAGATATGAAATTTCTTAAAATAAAGTTAGAGAACGTTCTAGTAGATGCTAGAATATCTAGCTAGGGAATACTTGGCTGGAAGGGAGGTAGAAAGGCTCGCTCATGGCATTGGTATATCCCGTAGTTTCACGGCCAATTATTGCAGAAGAATTAAACGCTCAATATATTCGATTAGGTACCTACTGGTATCTCTGATGAATGTCATAACCTCATAGCCATATCGTCGGTGGCCCTCCATTTTAGCATAAAATCTCGTGTCTAATGGCCTGTATCCAAGCCAAAGCTTTCATTACCATTTAACTAACCGTCCAAACAGGTGCTTTAACTAGTACCTGTCTCCCTCTAACCTCAACACTGACAAACCCAGAGAATCGGACTTTTTGGGGCCCGTCTTCGCTTGCCACCTTACTCTTGCCTTCATTATTGGCATCGCTCGAGCTTCCGCTGGGTTTCTTGCTTCCAGCGCCACTCGAGCCTCCGCCCATCATGGTTTGGAGCATCGACGACCCGCCAGCCTTAGGCTTGTCCTTCCGAAGCTTCCCTTCTAGCTTGTCACCATCCTTAGCTGCATCTTCTTTGTCCCCACTACCGGCGTTAGAAGCATCCGCCTCGCTCGGAGATTCCGCACCGGGATTATCCAATGGTGGTATGCCGGCTTCAACCTTCATGAGGAACGGCTGAAGCATATCTCCTGGCATAGGATACGAAAGAGCGATGTCTCTACTTTCTAAAGGCAGATTACATGCGATACTCACTGCCAGTTCGACTATCATATGCGCACTGTCTTCAATGCCAGCTGGGACTGGCTCCTGCAAGAAATTAATCAACCATCCAGTCAAGTTCGTCGTAGCAACTTGCGCAAATTGCTGCTTGTGTTCTTCACTCTCGGGCGAATTCAAAACATCCTTCAGACCGCCAAGAGTTGCCAGCCTCCATTGCACAACCTTTGCCGTTAGAGCATCTGACTCTTCTTGGTTATTGAGCGCTGGTGAGAAACGGCGAATGTTTTGCTCGATAAATTTCAAGCTATTACTCAGCCCGACCTCAAGCCCAGGATGAAAACTTCGGTTGAAGATTTCGTCCACGAGAAATTTTGTTATGCAGGCCCTGCCTACGGCGGTCATCTCTTGCTTCCCTATTTTCATCGCGTCTTGGTTGACATATGGTCCCAGCCAAGCAGGAATCATTCTCCAATCCTTACGGATGTTGAATGCTAGATTGGTCGTGGCCCCGTCTAACCGTTGGAACCTTGTCATGTACTCGCTATCATCGAGAGAGGTACGAGATTGTGAGAGCCGTTGGTTCGCCAAGGTGTTTTGTAATTGTTCCACCTGCGCTGTCTTATCGAAATAAAGCCCTTTAACTTTCTTGTATTTAATTTCTAGATCAACATTAGTCTGGTATCAAACGGACTTCGCAATCGGACATACGCAGTTCCTTATACGCTTCGGCCACTTCTGAGCCAGGAGGTTGTGGAGGAGGTGTACTCCGGCCCTGCTCTCCACCGCCCGAATTTCCATACTGCTCTCTTTGTGGAGGGCCTCCCCTATAGTTTGGGCCTTGAGCATTGCCTGACGGCGGCAGCGGGCTTAGTCCTGGGGTTGGGGGCTGAGGGCCAGGGAACGTTTGTCCTCTGGTGTAGCTTGGCGGTGCGTCTCGTGACTCGGGCTGCAGTGGACCTTGCATCTGCTTTGGGTCTGCAGATCTCCGATTCTGCTGCGATGCCCCGGGTGGTGGAGCCATCGCAGTCACAGCTTGAGAGAGGGGGCGGGGGCCCTGAATCGATGTTGTGCGATCGGGATACTGTACTCTTGGTACAAAACCGGTAGGAGATGGGCCGTTTGAGTGTCCGGACACTGGACGTTGATCTTCTCTCGGGTCAATTGGGGAATCGTACGAAAGCTGCGAAACTGTCTCGGGGTTTGGCAGGTTATATGGGTCATGTATAGCTAAGCTAGAGCCAGACTGAATATTTACCTGCTGAGGGAGATGGTCTTGGTTTTGTATCTCGTAGTGGACTGGGGCACCGGAGTCAGCTTGCTGATGATAACCTATATTGGGTGAATGTTGTGGTTGATGAGCATAGAATTGCTGATGCTGACGGCCGTCGTCGTATGAGGGGAAAGCGACCGATTCAGGATCGTTTGGCACAGCACGAATGGTTTGCTGTTGACTTTGGCCTTGAGCGGCGCTATGGGGGTCTTCCTGAATAGCCTCTTGAATGAGGTACGGGTCTAGGTCGCTATCTTCTTTGTTGGTCTCTTGCGGTGAGGGCAGGTTTGATCTCGAGCCCTGTGCCGCTTGCCAATCAACCCTCTGCTGATCTAAAGGACTACTCTGAGGCTGCACTGTCCGTATTACTGGAGGGTTATCGTGACGTTTCGAAAGTCTACGAGCAAGTCCGGTTGCGTTGCTGTACGGCCCAGGTGCGGGGGCTTGTTTGTATTCGGCTGATAGACGGTTTTCTCGACCTGCGCGCATACGATCGAATATGTTCCTACTCTTCTTTTGTTCTGCAATAGGCGCAGGGGCCGGGATTACTGGACTCTGCTGCGGCTGCGGCGGCGGCTGGTACTGGAGCTGCTGCTGTTGGGGTTGGAGTACTTGTTCGTGGTGGGGGTGGAACTGCTGCTGTTGTTGAGGCTGCTGCTGCTGGTACTGGAGTTGCTGCTGGTGGTGCTGAGGCTGCTGGTGGTGCTGTTGCTGCTGCTGCTGGATATTTCGAGATGCCAGGACCAAATCGTCTGCAGAACCGCTGTATTGGTGTTGCAGAACGGGTGGTTGTTGTTGATGATAGGCACCCGAATACCGTATCGACTGCGACCGAGTAGGCCCCACGGTCTCTGTGGGATACTGGAAAGCTCTCGGGTCCGTAGGGACAGCGTGCGCAGGATCAGGATTCGGCGGAGCGTAGGGCTGCTGGTGGCTCTCGGCGTGTGGTTGTTGCAGTACGGATGTTTGAGGTTTCTCGTCTGCGGACGCGAAGCTTGGGGAGGCTGAACTGTCACTGCTCGAAGGAGCTGGTCCCTGGACCTGGGCGGTCGGATCGCCCAACGCCTGCTTTGAACGATTATTGTGCTTGTGGATTCCGAAGGGCATTTGTCTTATTATGCGCAATCGCGGCCGAAGCTCACGATGGATTCGAAACGGGTTGGAAGCTGTAGGATGGCTGTGCACCGCAAGCTCTGGGATGGGGCCAGCCGCATACGACCAAACCAACACAGCGTTTGATTCTGTACGGAGCAGGTATTATTGACGGCGGAGTAGTGCTCAGCTGGTAGTGGCTGCGAAGCAAGAAACCCTAATGCCTCCGAAACAAGAGATTTGCCTCCTGATCCAACGTTTAGTTCGATGGGTGATACCGCAAACAGGATCGCCGTGCTAACGAGTGGAGTCTGAGGGGGAAGGGGGTGATAATAATAGCAATAACAATGGCTGTCAATTCGTTGATGCGAGCGAAAGGAGGTCTGAGGAGCAACTAGAGATTGGGGCTGAGTCCCCGTGGGTTCGAGGGTTCGTCGATAGCAAGTCCCAGCCTGTTATGCTGCAGCAGTAGTGCAGCAAGGTCGCAGCAAGAGAGACAGCAATGGGAGCAGAAAGGGGGATAGGAAGGGGAGCAGCAATGGGCAATCAGCAAGGAGCAACAAGCAGCAATCAATAACAATGTAATGTTATGTTGTCCCTTGAGAGCAGTGCAAATCCAGCCCAGTATCAATATCTCCGACTCCGAATTGCTTAGCTCTCCGGCGTGTTCGTCCCACTGGCGGCTGCACCTCAGCTCCCAAGGCCGGCTCCTGCGATGCCAATAGATGGGATAGAGTATTTGGTACCCCGCCAAATGATCTACGCGCACGGGGGCCCATTGGCATGGGGATGTTAGATATGCTGGATACGGGACATGAATCGCTGTGGTTAAAAGCACTAGGGTAGGCGGCTTGCCAAGGTACAGGACTATTGCTTATTTCGAAGTAGTGGAGTGGGGGATTTCAGAGACAATAATGTCAGCCGCAACAGCAACTCAGCTGAGGCCTGATATGCACGTATTGAGTATCATATAGATTCCCACTTTCCAGAGGATATTTCCATTATTTCGACGTGGTAAAAACGGAAAACGAGAAGGAGAAGGAGAGCGCAAAGCAAGCAGAAGCACAGAAGCGCAGAAGCCAAAGAGACATTGCCCTCATTCCTATTAATAGATCGCGCCGGATCAGTGCGGACGGACGTGGGGATACTTGTGGAGCTGGTGAAACATTTGCATCTCTTTTTCGCGCAATGAAAAATGCTGCTGTCAAGAGCGGAATGCGTCATTGCGCATAATATATTACCTTCTCATTGAAAATATGCAGGCTGACCAAAACCTATGAGGGTGTATAAGGCTAAGCCTTCATATCATGCGCGACGGTTTTCAAGGCAGGGTGCGGAACGTCCAGGAGTCAAAATCATGAAATGGAATTTTGCCTAGGCTGAAAATGCCCTTGAACCCTCAATCGAGTCTCTTGAGTCTCGGGTTCGTCCAGGTATTGATCAGGGGAAACAGACAAGGAAATCGGTGTAAGTTTGCACTATCAAAAATGACAAACTGCCTCGGGGCCAACGATGGCATGGTTCCCCGTCTAGGTACCTCGTACCTGAAAGAGAAATAGGAGTAACGTGGAATAACTGCACATGGCACGGATAGACGCTGTGCGAGGTATGGTTATTTTGGACCCCACGTCAACAGCTCCTGTACGACACGCCCTATGGACGTCGCCCGCAGCCTCGTCCTGCTGATGCTTCTCAATGCTCTGCACAAGAATCCTTCTCGGGACCCATTAAGCGGTCTTCTGGAAAAATACTTGTTTCAAGCCTGTTTCGTGTGCCGATGCAGTGTTGGTTCAGGCCATGTTTTCCAGTGCATGTCGGATTGTCGCTCAACCGGGACCATACGATATTTCAGTTTGGGAATTATTATGCCACTGTGCGGACCGATAGGTTTCCCTTGAATCCCAAATATCTCTGGAAGTATCTGGGATATAGCTGCGGTCGGCCACTTCAGGCCTTCCAATTGTTTACATGCAAAGCGACAGGCTGTTGTTTCTTCTCTAGTGGAGGCATTGGCCTGGCCGTTCTATTCATACTCGTTAACATTTGATATCATTTGCAAGATTTAGTGTGACCATTTTGTTTGTATTAAGAAAGGAGGTTGTGTGTAGCCCTCCTTAGCAGATCAAACAAATTAACTTCGTTTTTTTAATATTCAACCACTTCTGCTACCAGCCGAAGTTCAAGGGCCTACACATTGGACGTCCCAATCGAATTCAACGTCCGCGAACCAATAACCACAAAGAGACATATTCCTTTGTTCCGAAGCTGGAGCGTTCTTGGATAACCCTGCACGAAGCATATCTGCTGCATATCCAAATAAGTTTCTGATGACTTTATCACATCTGACATGTGCAAATCCTCATTGGCTCCTGGATCGAACGCTCTCAGGTGATATCTTTGGTCTTAGCATGACTACACTGGCTTTGTCGCCAGCAGCTTGATGAAGGCAGCCACCATGGCAGGGAAACCCCGCACGACAAAAATGAGTGACTCCTATTTCTGATATGCACCTCAGACTCATCTATCATTTTTCTCAATGACAATCAAGGCAATGCCTAACGGGGAGCGGCAGGGACGGTCCGAGAGTATGTATCAGTACAATTTTTGCGTGATAGTTGAGGAAAAGTATACCTCCATTTGAAAGTTCGTGGGTTAACAGACACATTTTGGGGGTTGTAAAGGCTCGGCGTGATGACCCGGTATGTATTAATCACTTTTATGTCAATAATAATAATTAGCTCGGTCTAGAGCGCCTTCTCGACACCAGGCAGGCTTCTACGCAATAACCCCGTTGCCTAATGGTTGAAGCTCTTCTCGGCAAGTGACGCCTCGGAAGAAAAGGTTCGTATACGCGTTGGCCATGGATCATAATGGCTGCCACCTCGAGCAAAATTCATGGTCTAGATTCATATTCTAGCTGGCATCTGCCTTTAAGCGTTCCGGTAGATGCCTTGACCTGCGTTGGTATAGTTCAGGGGTCAAAAGGGAGGTTGATATATCATGTGACATAGAAGGCAGACTCCCAAAGGGTTTCAATATGGAGTATTGGAGTAAGAAACAAATTTGCATTAGGCCACAGGAATAGATGCATAGACCAAGGGACTATAATAATGTTGCCTTGACAACCGCCCTTCCCTAATGTGCAAACAATAAAAATGTCGTTCGAAACGCCACAGCAGGAGGGTGGTGATGTGCACAGCCACAGTTGTGACACATTTGAACCCGAAACAGTCGAATCTCATTACCTCCTCTAACGTCTTCCCCAGCGGCTGTTGCCCTTGTATTGATTTAATCGCAATCAAACCGTAAGTTACTCCGTTGAATCTGCCTTGGTATCACGTATCACCCATGTCCCTGCGCAGCCTCGAAGCCTTCCGGTATCTTCACGCTTGAAGTGTGGCGGTACCGGAGACAACTGGTGACTCACGTCGCCCAACCCAAGGAAATCGGCCTATCACGCCATGAAAAAACGAGTTGCAAGCCCACCCAGACAGAGTAGTTGTCTTGTTTTCCAGGTTTATCCCGTTCGAGTCATCTGCTGTTCTGCCTTTCACGATCACCTCATCACTGGAGATGACTCGATTCGATGGGTAGTGGTGTGATATAAAGCTCGCGTTGGTTGCGTTGTTTCCTGTTCTCTCCTCATCGCAGACCTCCTTAGCCCTCCCAATCCTTTTGGATTGCTCCATTTCTAAATAACCCATTCCTACTTCGTACATCAATCAAATATGGCGGGACTAAATGGCTATACCGTTACTCCCCATCATCGTCAGAACAGGCGGAGAGAGAGGCCTGGGTCTAGGAGTCGTGGGACTATCACTCGCAGGTCGCACATCCAGCTAGAGTGCTCCGAGGGATTGCTTGTTGCGTATGACACGAGTGTTCCTCTCCCATCCGATAGAACCAAGCCCTCGCCTCTCCTCCGCGAGAGCTTTCACCAGAGTTGGCAGCGATGGAAAGATAGAGAGGCCGAGGAGATGGCAGTTGCCGAGTTGGACCGACTGCAACTCGAGCAAGAGCAGCAGAGATTATACGGTGGAGATCCCTCAGACGACGTGAGTCTTTGCCCAGCCATGCTGGATGTCGTGATGAGCCTCTTTGGCGACATCGACTACATTGATCCCTGACATATCACATCTCCCTTTCCCTATTTGTGGCGTTTGGAGTTTGGGAGGCAGATGATTGCTTACGCATCCTTGCCAGGAGCTCTATCGATTGGGGATCCTGTATGATAATGTCGAGGACACTACGCAAGACAAATCTGTCGTGTGCGAAGTGCCCCTTGAACAGCCATCTCCACTCTTCACATTGAGGTATCGCAAATCGAGTCGCAACTCGAGGCGCAATCGTCGGCGCTCCCAGCGGTCCTCACTTCCACTCTATCTTTCCCTGTCGAATCTGAAAGATGATGCCGATATTGTGCGACTCTTGTCTCCTTCAACCTCAACAACGGCCACGAAGCCTCCGATCCAACATCGCGCCGTGCCAGCAACTCCACCCCCAATTTCCTTGGATATCCCCCAGTCCTTACCGGTAGCAGCTGTCCCGGCGTTAGAGGAGTCTATTCATTCATCAGTACCACATTTCCTTGACAACACTTCCATTCTTCCAACACCCCACGAGAATCATGTTAGCGACTGGGAATTCATAATGATCAACAACGACGCAACCCTACAGACAACCACCCCATCATCCGAACCGGAGACGTGGATCCTCCTGGGCGACGACTTGTAGCAGATCTCCCTTCTTCCTCATTGAGGTGAACTCTGTGGACCGCTGGCCATGCGCCGTGCGAGAGGAGCAATGAAACGACGAAGGGCGATTGGTCCTCATATAGCTCAGACCCATGGGTCTCTGGTGGTTGGTTTCTCTTCAACGAGACAAAAGAAGAGACCAGAAGATGAGGATGAAGCAGATGGCGAAGGAAGGCGATGACGAGGCAGTTGTGTGCTCACGATCCAAGATCGTTAGAGCTCGCTGTTGGGTCGGTCGTGAGGTGATCTAGCGAGTCGAGGTGGAATGAGAACGAATGAGAACGGATACCGCTGCTTGGTGGGATGGTTGATTGTGGGCTGTATCCTAGAGCTTCTCAGCTTTGAATTGACTTTGTTTTGAACATCTCGCTAGTCCTAATCTGGCACATTTAAAGATTCGTGCGATGTGCAACAAAAGTGAATAGATCTAATTCACTCATTGTCATGAACCTTCGGCTGGCTAATGGCGTACTCGGGAATCGATTTGCGGCATGTAGTGGGGCATATGTAACTGAACATACCGTATCAAAACAATTGGAACACATTAACTACCCTGACTTCCACATCTAAACTGTATTAGGCCAGCCCTCGAGAGCGGAGTGGTTAGTACTGTCGGCTTTCTTTACTCACCCTTGATCTTATGGCATAGCTCGTCCCTCAGGCTTAAAACTAGAGAGTTGGATAACACCCTTCTCTCTGCTATTCACTACTCCTTAGCGACCCGTCTCTATCTAAAAAATAAACCCGGACGTCAAGCCATAGCGTCGCCTTACCTTCACCCTATCCCTAATGGGGCCAATTTGGACGTTTCTGCGACATGCAACAAAAGCATATAAGTTGAATTCACTACAGATATATGCTCAACTGACCAATGGTATGCCAGCGGGTGGCTTAAGCTAATGCAAGTCTGTACAGAGGTTCGACGTGCAACAAAGTCAATATAAATCAGCCCTACCGCTATAAGAGCGGTTGGCTTAAGCTCCTGCACGTGTGTACAGAGGTCCGACGTGCAACAAAAGCGTATCGATGAATTCACTATATAGCTCTGTACCCTAGGCGACCAATAACATAAGCGCTTCTCAGAGGTCTGTCCTAATCGGGCCAATTTAAAGATTCGTACGACTTGCAACAAAATCCCAACAGCACAGCCTTAACGGGAGGCTTACACTAATGCAAGTGTGTACAGAGGTTCGATATGCAACAAACGGGTATAAATTGAACTCACCGCTCAAGTCTCTCCTCAAGAGACCAATAGCGGAAGCGTTTTATGCATTTAAAGGTTTTTGCGACGTGCAACGAAACCCCAATAGAGCGGCCTTAGCCGTCTGGTACCGGGGGATTAAGAGGATTCACAAGTACGACATGCAACGAAACCAGGATAGAGAGGCCGTAGCCGCGTGCTAGCGTAAAGTGTAATTGCTGGCGCGGGCTTATATAGCGGTACGCTATGTAGCATAGTGACAGTGGAATAGGCTTAGCTAGCTGTTAGCGCCGTGTAATTGGTAGTGCCAGCTTATATAGAGAGTGCGATGTGCAACAAACGGCAGAACGGCGAAGAGGATTGAGCGGTGGGATACGAGGTAGTGAATACTCGAACATAGCGCAGACGAGCTGGACATGGCGTGGAAGCATCGACACATATAGAAGTCACGATCAACAGAAGAGACTCCTCAGCTACCCTCCTTCCCTAGAACGCTATCTCATTTGCCACTAGCGATATGTAATAGAAGCAAACAAAAGCAGAAAGCCCAACTGAAGTAGCATATCAAAAACAATTTCGCATACGCTAGTATGGAGGAACTTGCAGGAACCAGCGCAAAATGAAAGAACGCCCGACCCGAACAAAACTCCAGAGCACGAATCACTTGAGTGATAAAACGATCATATCATATAAACCAACCGCTATACCGGGCTCTACCATAGCCAACCTCTTTTCTCGGGCTCATCAACTACCGGGGTCCCACTGTCGTTAATAATCCTCAAGGCCTCATCCCCTTTTGGCACCTTCGTTAAATTCTCATACCCATCCTCGGTAACCAGGAGATCATCTTCGATCCTGACACCACCCACTGGGTAATATCTATCAAGCAGATCCTTGTTGATATATTTTGCGAATTTCGGGTCTCTGAGATAGACGTCTTGGAGCGCGTATTTAGAGAAATAGCTGGAAAATATATTCATTAGTTCCATGTATCGAACGAGGAAGCGCAGATGTTTGGGGACCCTACATTCCAGGTTCAACAGTAATAACCATATTCGGTTCAAGCACTGATGGATTCGCTACTTTCGGGGTTCTAGCCATCTCGAAGTAGGCCGCATCCCAGTCGGCCACTTTCTCTTCGAAGCTATACAGGAGATTCCCGCCAGGACCGACGTCGTGGACCTCGAGACCCATGAAATCTACATTGATCAGCAAATACACGGCGACCTAGAAATAAATAGAAACTCACGACCGAGACCATGCGGAAAGAACGCCAAGGAAACACCTGAGCTATATAGCTCCTCAAACGTGCCGTTATGTAGAAGACCCAGCTCCATCAATCCCTCGATCGCGACTTTATGCGCATGCATATGAATCTCACGATAGTCGGCTCCAGGCTTGACCATCGCAATACATTCATCCTGCATCCTCGCCACAAGATCATATATCTCCTTCGCCTGGGGTGTCCATTGCCCAGAAACGGGAAATGTCCTCGTGACGTCCGAGGCGTAGCATTTCCATTCACACCCCGCGTCGAGACAAACCAGCTGTCTTCCTTCCAACGACTCGTTGTTCGCACCGTAATGAAGCGTACTTGCATTACTTCCCGAGGCGGCGATAATTTCATAAGCTTGCTGCTTGGCTTGCCGGGAGATGCACGTGGCAGCGAAAATCGCCTCGATCTCCGCTTCGTTTTTAAATTTCCGCATTCCCCGTAGCACGTTGATATGGGCTTGTGCCGTGATATTGTTGGCTTTCCGGATAAGCTCGATTTCGTAGGGACTCTTGATAGCTCTAGCTGCGTCCATAGCCGGCTTCAAAACCGTAGTGTTGAAATAATAATGTTTAAGATACTCGATGGTTCCATCTTTGAGTCTCCTAGATGGCTTTATATACGGCTCATGACGCGCGTGCAGTAGGTATACCTTTCCTGATCTGCCGTTTCCCCAAGGCTTGAGATAGTAAAGTAAAGAACTGGTGTAGTGAACCTCCTCGAAGTCGGCGATGGCGTTTACTTCTTCTCTGGTAGGACTTGGTCCGTTAAAGATGACATCCCGCCCAGTTCTGGGACGCGAGATCCAGGCGAAGAGTGCGTCACGGCTAATATCGTATGTGACCATGCAATCTGGGAAATCCAAACCGCTCAAATAGTAGAAATAGCGCCCCTGCCGAAAGGAGACCGCTTGATCCGAATCTTCATGGGTGGTTGACGTCTGGCCGGGTAGGAAGATGACGCCCTCCTTCACACCAAGCTGTTTGGCAACTGCACGAGCGTGTTCTCTAGCTATCGAGAGTGCAGGTCAGTATAGGAGGCCTCACTGCGAGATACAGAAACCAGCGCCGACAGCATCTAATGAAATACATATGCACCAACGTTACATTAAATAAGAAGAATCATATATACCAGAACCGACCTGAATATAGCACATTGCAATGAAAGATAGAAGACATAATGAGCAAAGGGAGATCTTATCCCCAGCTACGCAACCAAATCCATCATCCCTAGGAAACGAGCAACGCAAACTAACCGGGATATTTCTCATCCGGCTTCAACTTCCGATCCACCAACCTATATATCTAATCAGCCCCGTTCCACACAATTACAAGAATAATGAACGACAGTCTTACACAGCATCAAGCTCATCCTCGTCCCTAAAAGCCAACTCGAAGTCCTCCACTAGCTTCGTCACTGGATTCATGATGATCCCTACAACCCGGTCCGGCGATTAAAAGTTAAGAAGTCTGGTATTCTGAATAGATGGATAAGAACTAATGGGACTGAAGTTTGACTTATATGAGTTGTGTGACATGAAAGTTGGGATGTCGAGGAAGTTGAGAGAGCTTATCCCTTGGTTGCGGTTGGGGGGACGTCGTTGGATAACCGAGGCCGGGTACCTGTACCTGTACTCACTAGTGACGACGTTGTGGCTTAAGATTGGATCCCCCGCTCCCTGCCGGGCTGGTGATCCCCGAGCTACCAGACTGTGGCGTGCACGCGGTTTAGTTACACCACTGATATAAGCAGTACTTTAACTCGAGTATTCCTATAACGAGATTTATATTTTGTATTTGTACCAGCGACGCCTGCTTCTATTTGCTTAGGAACGCCGACTATATCTGTATCTCAACCACCTGAGCATTCGCTCCTATGCTCCTAAACTCCATACTTCATGCCCTCCATACGCCTGTATAAATCACCTATCTAGCCCCATTTTCATTCTCAAATCATGGTCATTAACTCGTTAAAAGTTGCTTACATGGACGTTGCCGCCAGCATGGGCATGAGCATCGAAGAAATCGTCCACAGCGCCTGGATGCTGCCCGCCGCGCTTTAGTCCCTTGACTTCTAGATCAGCCATGCCGATGTTCATGCGCAGAATGCGACGACGGGCTTCGCGCTCAAAATCCCCGGCCATTTGGAGGGCCTCGCGTTGGGCTTCGGCGCGCTGATTAGACGGCAGGGCCTCGAGAAGCTGTTTTGATGGTTAGCGTAGATGAAGAACATGGAATCATAGAGACTTACCCGATCAACCGTGTTGATCCTCGCATTGAGCTCTCCAGCTTGAATCATTCCCGACAACTCCTTGTCTATGGTCTTCCCCGGCGAGCAAAAGGCTTCGTTTAGATTGTCAAGAGTGACGAAGGAGAACGGGATGAAATATTGAACGATGCACTTGCTCCGGATCTTTTGATAGAGTATAGTAACGTGCCTCTGCAGATATATATCTAGGAGGTAGTCCGTATGATACCCTTCGAGAATCTCTAGACAAAGTGTATACCTGCTATTCACGAAGAAGGCAATGGCCTTTCGAATATGCGGCTCGAGCTCTAGATAAGTCCGGAAATGCGTATTATCCAGAACTTTCGATTGCAACTCGTTACGGTCCATAGTCGCAAGCGCACACAGCCCACCATAAATCGCAACATCATTCGGGCTCATTATCGTAGCACACGTAGAGCCCATACCAGTCTCAGTCTGCAGAAACGAAAGAGCAGCATTTCGGTATATCCCCGCATCGAACTGCGCAAGTCCCTCCGTGGCCGAGAGATAAGGCTGTAATGGAGGATCCGCAGAAACCGAAGTCGGCGGCGCAAGGCTCCTAATCTTCTGCACGTTGGACGAAACGGCGATCCAGTTCCTCTGCTCAACAGCCACTTCGACGAGGTGACGGCTAACGTCTATAATATGCTTCGCAACACTGATATCCTGCCTCATGCGACCAAAAGCCTCAAACGCCTTCGAAAGATCGCCAATCGCCTGGTAATGCTTTCCCAGGTCCTCGTTGCCCATCTAAAATACGCAGTTAGCAAAAAGCCCCACCAAAAAACCCCTCTGAAATCCCCCGTAGTAAACATACCCGAATGCTCTCCTTGATAAGATTATTCTTATATCCCTTAAGTTCAGCTTCCAACCGCTTCGACTCCGCCTTATTCTGTTTATCCACCGTGTCAACCCACGACCTATCCATAACAGCCTCCTGTTCCCGCGGCGCGATCGCCTCCAGATGACTCTGCGCCTCTAGATATCTCCGGATATCCTTCCCGGCCTTCGCTTCCCGCACGGCGAGTTTGAGGGCATCTGGCCCAAGGAAGGTGGAGCAAGCACCGATGTGGATGAGTCGCTCGAGTCGGGTTCTGCCTACAGATGAATGTTAGTTACGTTCTTGATTTATAATACACCCGTAGAAGGTGCACATGGGATAGTAAGTAGGTTACATACCTTGGTAATTCTGTATGTATGATTCAAGGTCGAATTTCGGTGGATCTGCCTGATGTTAGACTTGTACCCGGCTTGGGATTCGACGACTGCAAAGGTCTGGTCTGCTTACCAGTGACTACCCCCTCCCTCTGGGTACGACCGAGTGTCGGCGACGACGGAGCACTCTGCGCCGAAGCCATCTTGATATAAAAGCCTTGTTGGAGTTGCAGAGGGTTAGGAAGCTTGCCCAAAGGTACACTGCGAATTGTGGGGTAATCGCGTTTGGAGCTCATAGAGCTCGCGCCGAATTTAGAGGCTTCGGCTAGGTCACGTGCAGATACCTTGAGGAGTGCCGGATTCTAGGGGGATGCGTAAAGGGAAGAGAAGAGCGAAACAACTCTCTAGTATAAATAGGGAGGATTAATATTTTTGCTATGTCGAGCTTATATTCTCTTTTAGCGATGTTTTATATTTTTGTGTGGAATTTCCCTCCCTAGTCTAAACCTAAAATTCAAGAACGAGCTATATGATTCAACTAATAACATTACAAAAGACACGCTATATTCCTATTCCAACACCGGTATTTAACTGCTATAAGGTAGTAAACTTCGGGTATAGTATTATCATAAATACATTTCGGTAGCACAACAGCGCAGCGCCAAATACAGAGCCATTACTTTACCCCCCGAGCCAAAGACCACAAATCCCCTAAACGGCAATAGAATGCACCAGCCATGCAACCCTGTAACCCGCAACTCCCCACCTACAAAGCAGAAAACTCCGATTTTCCTTCCAGGGAATTTATGTGGTTGCAAGTTTTGATCTCTTCGTTATAGTCGGTATTTCTGGTCCGCGAGCATGTTGTTCCATTCATCGTTGTCGGAAAGTACGAAGTTCATATCACCGTTTTGTGCTAGTCCGGGGTTGTAGTTCATGTTTGGAGGGTTGAGGCCAGACATCATCCCGCCGCCGAGGTCTGTCTGGCCTTGGAAATCGAAATTCGGTTGGCCTTGGATTAGGTAGGGTGGTAAAGGTCCAAAAAGCTGCCCCTCGAGATCGTCGTAGACACCCGGCGCAGATGTGTTGCTTGGCATGAACATTCCTTGGTTTTGAGAATTGTCGAAGTTGCCCAGGTTTTCATGTTTGACGTTATCGAGTTCCATCATTGGTTGGTTCGGTGGGTAAGCGAACGGGTCTGTGGATGGAAACATCATGGCACTCAAATCAGGAACCGAGTTACCAACATATGGTTGCTGTAGAGGGTAGAGTGGCTGCTGAATGCTATTTGAGGTGCTGCCAGAATCGGGTGTCCCCGTAGTGGAAAGGTCCGCCGGTGACATGAGATCAAGGTAGCTTTGTCGAAGACTCGGGTTTGATATGGTATTCATTTGGAACTGGTTAGGTTCAAACGGAGACGTAGGCTTATTGGCATTCTGACTAGGTGCCGCCATGGGGAAGGTTGTAGCCCGTCCAGGCAATCCCATAGATGGTCCCGGATCATGCAGCGATTGCTCATGAGAACTAGGTTCTCGTTGAGCGGAAAGGTTCGGCGACGCAGCAGGCCGCTTATTCTTTGGAAGAATAGGGGTAACATGGCTTCCTTTTTGTCTTTGCGGTAGCTGTTCAAACAGCGCCTAAAATTTTGGGTCAGCAGAGTAGAGACTGAATAATTTCGGAAGCTTACCCTCAGAGCTTGCGAACACCTATCAGCAGCTTGACTCCCTCGGGAAAGGCCCTTCAAAGCATCTTTTCCGTCAATCGCATCCGCCAGAATTTCCTGGGACCCAGGTTTGTCCGGATTCTCGACAGCGAAGAATACTAACGACAAAATAGCAAAGAAGGTTGTGTACATGGTAAACCAATATGCTCCAAGTAGCAGCTCACTCTTTTTCATCTCGGTAGTAATATGGACAATATTTCTTGACACGCTGACGCAGGCAGCAGCGCAGGCGTATGATCGCTCGTCAAGATTTTTGCCCCCACTTGTCTTTCGCGAGACATAGTGGAGGAATGGTCGGTATAGCATCATTTGCACATGGGCGTATGCTAGACGTAAAAGCTGCTGAACTCTGTAGATAAATCGTTAGTGGGTAGGTCATGTATACCGCAGTATCAACAAAGCAGTATGCGGGGCACAAAAATGGGGTGTCCTCAAGCAAGGACTATTTGGATCATCAAGCTTACCTAATAAAACCCGGCTCCGGCTCACCACCAGGTCGGAGTGCCATTGGCAATTTATCTAGCCATTGAACCAGATCATGTTCGATTTCCCGAATTTTGGCATGGCTGATGACATACGACGAGTTGGCAGACCCCTGGGCAGACTTTTCGACACCTTTGGTTGGATATATGTATTTACAGACCTTGGCAAGAATCGACATTAATCGTGTATGTGCATTGGAGGCCGCATAAAGGGAGGTTTTGCCCTCGGGCATAGGGAGAATGGCATCCTTGGTGATGTACTCGTCGTCTACCTCCACGGGTAGTTCCTGGTCTATATCATCGTAACTGAGCATCTGAGGGAATCCTAATAACGCCGAAACGTAGGTGTCCATCTTTCGAATGACCCAGAAGACTCGTCGTCTGACTTCCCGATCGATTGGGTTGAAATTGCCAGCGAGATTTCGATGTAAGCCCATTCGTAGAGCCGACCGCAGAGCAATTCCAATATAGGAATAGCAAGTGCTTAAATTCGCGGAAGCTTGCAGGAAAAGTATCATGAAGATTATGGACTGCAATGACATGATATCGCGGCAATCCGTAATCTCTAGCATCTGACGCGACGCTCGGAAGAATTTAATCCTACGAGATTGAGTCAGTCCGCCGCTCATGATTATTTATCAAATTTGATCTAAGAAAATATGACGGTCGATACTAGGAACGGCAACCATTTTTACTCGAATGGCCCGCATGTCCAATCTACAGATGGTAGGAATTCACATCCAATATTGACATTGGGTATAAAAGGCACGAAGGAGGTTGGGAATAACAAAAGAGGGAATCTTACCCTTGATCGATACCGGTCTTGTACGTGGTGTTCTCGGAACCTTCTGAGTCGACGAACATACATCCTAGCGCCAGTACAACGTAAAGTAGAGGCAGGAATCGATTCTCCTCGTTACCGTAATTTTCCGGCGGCGTATCATATATCCTATCGACCATTTCATAGAAGGATGGCTGATGGACGAAGCGCAGTACAGAACATGCAAGATCCAGAGAGTTACTACACAATACTTTTGCAGTCGCTTTGCTAGGCAGATCCATGGTATTAGGAAGGCCGGAATCTAGGGGGGACTCGGCGGAAGAGCCGGGGGAGTTTAAAAAGGTTGAAGGATGCGGAACTTTAGGGAAGAGGGGCCCATTATTCTCAGTTCCTAGTAGGCCTCCGAACTGTTCCCGCATCCGCCGAACAAAAACTGTACCAGATGATCCACCCTGCGAGGAGAGTAAGCTTTCATAATTTAACATATCTTGGAAGGAGCAAAAGCCAATATTCGATAAACTTATATATACGACGACGGCAATAGAATCGAGAGCATATTTTTCAACAGCATAGCGCGGGTGGGTGCTTACATGGAAATCCCACCGCCCATTCTCATCAAGGTCAAGCTGGCCGGTAGATGCGATCATTGATCGGAGAGGCGCATCTTGCTCTTCTTCAGTAGTTTCGGTGGGCTTGGATGCGGACTCTGCTGTGGGAAAAGGCTTGGCGCCCCTCGCTTGTAGCTGTTGCTGTATTGTAGCGTCGATATTTGGGTCGTGGAGATCGACATTTGGTAGGAACGTGCGTAGCAGAGCCTCCGCACGCTGAAGACGATTCTCCAAAGCTTCAATATACTGCGGTGCCGGATTCCTTCTCCGGTTGGACGGCTGGTCGTATGTACAGTCTGGGGGAAAATGTCATTAGCCTTTCCTTACGAGCTCCCCTCTAGCAGGTAAAGCAGCTTGTTGGGAGAGATACCATAGCTATAGACAGTACAATGGGTACATGGCTGCTTCCCATCACATTTTATCTTCTTTCTTCTACACTCGTCGCAGGCCCGAGTGACTCGGCGACGCTTCTGCAAAGGCGCGGGCGTGCGCGGTGGGAGTGACGTCGACGATGGCGAGGCCTGACCTGAGCCACCGGACGGCTGCCACTGTCCTGAGTGCACGGCGGCGGGATCGTCGTCGCCCGAATCATTGGGCGATGATGGACTGGCCGTCATGGGAGCATTCGCCATATATGAGGCGTTTTGCGCAAACATCGAGCCCGGTCCGCCAGGCATCGTGGGGGAGCGGGACGCACGTAGGCGCAACGAAGTAAGAACAATATCAACACCACGTAAGGCGACGGCTTGCGGGATCAATCAATATTTAGGTGTCGAGAAGGAAGCCTCTCTCATTGCTATAAGAACGGTGGACACGATGCGTTGCGATCCGGAGGTAGCGATGGTCGCTCTGCGCGAGCATTACAGACCTGTCCGAATGGGTGGCTTGGAGTCATGGGCCTCAACCCCGCCGCCGCGCAGTGCGAAGTAACGAGTATCCGGCGGGTGGAATCGCTCGAGGACGGTTGAAGCTGCGACTCCGAATGAAGTGTCTTCCCTCGCGCGTGGCTTTTTTTTTTGTTTTTGGCTATTGCTGGTGGAAAATGCGCCAATAATCGCCCAAGAATATGGGTCTTGAATTGTGCGACGTTGAGGGACCCGGGATGTCCTGACTGCAAGGCTCTGAACTGCACTGGACTACGAGGTAACTGGAGGGGCAAATCGAATTCTAAGACCTGGATCGAGCAGAGGCCACGCAGAGAGAAGAGACTCGGGGTGATCAGCGCTGCATGGGAGGAAAGGCCGCCGTTGGAGAATAAGGTGTTGAAAATGTTGATAGAAGAATACAGGATAGGATAGGATAGGATAGGGAATATAGAAACTGGTACGAAGTACGGACGTAAAAGTCGGAGGAGCCAGCTGTAGGCGAGTACTAGTGGACTCGAGGCCGCGCAGAATGAGTAATCGCGGTGCCAACGTGCCAATGTGCCAATGGGGGGCGAGCAGGCTGAAGTCCCGAAGAGCGAGTTTAATTATCATTAAGGTTGTATTAGTCACAATTATCGAACTGCTGCATATGGCAGAAAGCGTGCCCGGACGTAACACGCGTACGGCGAAGTGATTAAGCCTCGAGGGCGCCCTGAGTCCTGTGTCCTGGACTCCTGGCTGCTGAAAGCGTCGGAGAACTGGAGACTCTGAGACTCTTGAGACTGAGACCAGCTACTCGTACCAGTAGGCGGTCGGTACCTAGGTACCTTGTGTAGTACCAAGTACGTATGCGGCGCTTGACGAAGGGGCCGAAGGTCGGAGGGCGTAGAGAGAGCTAACCGACATCATACAGATTCCTGTGGCATGGTAGCGGGTAACAGATAGCTGGTACAGTAAGCCGGTAGCTGGGGACTGGTAACTGGTAGCTGTTTATGAGGTACTACGCATATAGTACTTGCAACCAACACTTATTGCGACCGACGACGCAGTGATTGATGATGATGCGGTGCCCATCATGCGGCCCACGGACCAGGAGCGCGGACCTGACGGCTTATGTAACGTTTGCCGTCGGAGACTTTTTGGTGCAGCTGCAACTGCAACCGCAACCGCGAACAAAACTTGAAGGCGGCGGCGGGAAGGGCGTGTGAAACCATATATATATATATATCTCTCTCTCTCTCTCTTAAAGAGAGGAAGATACAGTAGGAAGAGAAAGGAGACAAGGGAAGGGAAGAGAAGAGGACTAAGAAAAGAGGAGAGAAAAGAGAGAGTGACTTGTGGCCCGGGAATCCATTTTATTGCCTGGCATTCTCGTGAATAATATAAATATAATGCGCCGTCTGTTCACTCTTAACTCCTGGCCATTCGTCGAGCCCTACGCTATCTCCGGTGCAGAGTCGTGGCGCAGGGGGTTGGCCGCCCTCATCGCAAGCATGCGGTGGGATGACGACATCGGCCCCTCCAGCCAAGAGGAGGGCCTGTAGCAGGTAACGTGCAGTGCGGTGCAGCAACGGTACATGTACCTCTGCACGCTATTGCACGCTATTAGGTACCTCGATATGATTATTCCCCATTATATCCTCCTGTTCCCTCCCTCTGCGTGCGCCCCGACACCGCCCAAATCCCACCTCCCAACATCAACACCGTGCAATGCCACCATCGCCCCAGCCACGACGGCCTATTAATGATAAACTCGTGCTCCTCTCCTCCGTGTCCTGTTGTGTCCGTGACTCTTCACGTCAGATTTCCGTCTCTTTTTTTCTGGCAACCCCCCATCTTGCATCCCACGCTCGTCAGACTGCCTGCAAACACCTCACCTCGGACCCAGCAACAGAAAACAGAACCAGACTGTACCGTACCGTATTTCGTCCAGACCTCGGGTCGCGCCCCAATCCCAATCCCAATCCCAATCCCACTCCCACTCTATCTCCACGTCCACGTCCACGTCCCACGTCCAACCCCGTCGCAAAATGGGTAATGGATAATAATGTATACGAGTAATAATCCCCAATCGAACCGGGTGGCCCCCTCGACCAATTCTCCGATTCTACCAGCTGAACCACTACTGAACGGTTGAACCTGCGAGGGACCAGTCGGGTGATGGGGCTGGCGCATGCGGACTCGGGACTCAGGGCTCAGGACGCTGGCAGGGCAGGGCAGGGCAAATCAAATTGGAGAAGTTATCGATCGAGCCTCGATGTCGCGCAGCCTCCAAACATGCAAAAATATGCACACATGCCAACTTGCCAACGTCCATTCTTGTCTGCCGCAGAGAAACCGCCCGAACCCGCCACATCAAACCAGCCTATGGACCAATGCGGACAAGTCTGGATTTTGCCATGGCCATGGCCTTTGCCTGGTGGGGGTGGGGAGGAGTAGAGGGGCGTTTTCGCAACTACAGGCCAACGTCATTCTCCCGACTCCTGACTCCTGGGTGTTCCTTTTCTGGCTCGTTCTGCATCAAAGGGCTGGCTCGGTATAGGTACATGTAGTTGTTATCCCAACTACTGTACCATCATTCCCATATCCCAACAGGTTCTTGGCCAGTACCCGCACAACCCGCTTTTATGGATAAGTACCCATTGTTTCCCACCTCTCCTAAACTCCTAGCCTCCTAGTCTCCTACATCTATATTTATATGTTCGGGAAGCTTAGGGACGCTAAGCATCTTTCTTCTCAAATCTCTTTCCTCCCGTTTTCACGATAAGGCGGGTACGAGATCCGGCTAGTGGTCGCTGTCGTTGCTTGCAATATCAACCACCAACCACCAACCATCCTGTTAATCTGGAATACGATTAACGGCGGTCCGGCGTAACAAGCTCTACTTGGAATACAGAGTGCTTGTTGTCAAGCCCGTCGCTGCTAAACTTTCTGTACCAAATCTTCTTTACCAAAACACATCGCATCCCATCACATCCTTCTATCTCTTCAACCCTGCCTTTACTACCTAGGTTGAAAGGAAATCATGTCCACCAAGCCTATCTTCGTGGCGGCGCATCCGCGAGCATGCAGCACTGCGTTTGAGAGGGTAAGCGCTTCCTGCGACCAGCAGTGCTCCATTCCACCCAGCTCAATGGCTAAAAACAACGTCCAACAGGTCTTTATGACTCGCCGTGACGACATGATCTGCATCCACGAGCCATTCGGAGACGCCTTCTACTACGGCCCCGAAAGGCTGGGCTCAAGATTCGAGAACGACCAGAAGGCTCGCGAGGAGAGTGGATTTTCGACGAGTACATACAAGACCATATTCGACAGGATCGAAAATGACGGCAAAGAGGTTCGACTCAATCCCTCCCTCCCTCATACATGACACGGTGTTTTTCCCTACCCGAATCCCCGTGTAACATGGAATGATTATCGCATCGAGCGGTTTGGCATTTCAATCACCTCTACGCAAGCGCTAGAAGGTTCCTTGAATTTATTCCTTTATCATTACACAGTATATAGGTTTCGCGCCAAGGGTTTGCACCTTCCAAATCATTTCTTGCGAAATTGAGATATCGAAACTGGTTCATCGGCGGCACCTCTTTATTTTCTGTTTTCGAATATTCTCCTCTGGCAGGATCCCCACACCAGACGCGCTTTTTCTACTTCTCTAATGCACGATTATGCATACCTAGAGACAGTAATTGATCGGAAACTCACATGACCCAGGGCAAGCGTGTTTTCATCAAGGATATCGCCTACTATCTTGTTCCGCCTGATGGCCAGCAACCAGCCATCGCCCCATCTCTCGGAGGAAAGAGGGTCAAGCAGGGTGTTGGAACAAATGGAGAAACAAACGGAGTAACGAACGGCGCCGCAAATGGCAAAACTAATGGCACCACCAACGGCACCACCAACGGCACCAACGGTGTCTCCAATGGCACCAATGGCACCAACGGCTCTTCCAACGGCACCAACGGTTCCTCCAATGGCATCAAAACCGCCCCCTTCCCATATGATACTGACCCCGAGCCTGGTAATCCAACTGTTGTACCCACCGAAATCCTGAAGAAATTCCATTTCACCTTCTTGATCCGCCATCCACGCTATAGCATCCCATCATACTGGCGCTGCACCATTCCCCCTCTTGATAAGCTCACGGGCTTCTACGACTTCATGCCAAACGAGGCTGGCTACGACGAGCAGCGCCGCATCTTCGACTACCTGCGCGAGCAAAAGCAAATTGGACCCGCTATCGCTGGACGCCATGGCAAATTGAGCGAAGGGGAAGTCAGTATTACCGTTATTGATGCAGACGATCTCCTGGATGACCCTGAGAGTGTCGTTTCGGCATTCTGCAGAGAAGTCGGATTGGAGTATAGCCCGAAAATGCTGAATTGGGATACCCCAGAGGACCAGAAGACGGCTGTAGAAGCGTTCGAGAAATGGTCCGGTTTCCATGAGGATGCTATTAACAGTACCTCCCTCAAGCCGAGAGATCCAGCACATGTAAGTATTTTTTTATACCTTAGACCACCACTCCTCAACGAAACCCCGTATTGGAAATTGCGTTAATCTCTAACGCACCTCTAGAAAAAGAAGGCCAAGTCGGTCGAGGTGGAGGATCAGGAATGGCGCGAGAAATATGGCGAGGAGGCCCAGAAGATCATCAGGGAGACCGTGAACGCGAATATCGCTGATTACGAATATATGAAGTCGTTTTGCGTCAAGGCCTAACTAAACAAGCCATGGCGCAAAATGCGAAAACTGGAATTTGCTTGGGGGGGACAAACGCGTTTGATTTTTTAACTATCCGGGAAGCAGGATGCTGGTTGTCTTTTTGACATCGAGTTGCTAGTCAGTAACATCATACATCTGAATGCCACGCTATTCTTTTATACCATACCGTACCGTACATCGCTTGTGAGGGCAGTCGAGTTTAGTTTGACGATCCTAGACGCAGGATATAGGTTGTATTTTGTACACCGAGTTGCTAACAAATAACATCATACATCTAAATGCCACGCTATCCATACCATACATACCGTGCCACTCTACCCAATGTCAATCTTATAATACAACCTTCTCAGGCTCCGCACCCTCCCCTAACGCAGCCTTCTTCCTCGCCAACCAGACATCCCTCTTCTCAACCCTCTTCGCGGTCTTCTCCCTCCGCTTCTGCTTAGCCTCCCTCTCTTCCGTCAAATGCTTCTTCAGCCCCCAGACCTTCTCCCTATCCCGATGATTAATATGCATCTCCAACTGATCATGCACGACATTCTCCGTCCACGAGCTCGCAAACTCCGCATCGGGCAACTGCCCCCACCGCACCTCGACCCTCTCCCCAGTCCCCTCCCCATGAATCCCAATCCTCTCCGCATCAATAACAGGCGTCTGCGCCAGCCGGCCCAGCACAGCCGCCATATCCGCAATGCTGTTCGCCTTCTGGTCGTTCAATTGCCGCCCGCGCTTCTTCTTAGGTATGAGTTTCCCTTCCGTGTCCCTCATGAGCGAATCGTCCCATTCTAGCTCGTGCCGTCGTCGGTATTCGCGTAGCTTCTGGTACGCGGAGAGGCCGATGGCGCTGGACCCCGGGGCGAAGGAGATGGTTGCGAGAGGGTGCCAGAGGTCTTTGCGGAGGGCGCGGGGGACGGTTTTTTTGCCGTTGAAGGGGAGTTGCGAGATGGCTTTGTTGTTCTATATCAAAGATACTACTATTAGCAACCGTGAAACCAACCCTCATTGAGTATGAATGCAGGGAGGGGCTTTAAAAAATAAATGTACCTTCATAGCCTTAGTAAGGGAGTACACAACATGGTTCTTTTGCAGGTGATTGTAGACGTATATTTGTCGTCCCAGGTCGGAATCTGTTTCCTCTCTTGGGGCAGCGGCTCGTTTTGCAGCGGCGGGCTTTCCAGCGGCTGGCTTTGCTGCTGCCGTTGTCGCATGCCGTATGCCTCGAATGGCCAGTATGCCGTGCCGTGCCAGATCTGGGGATATTCGGGCGTTCATTTTGGGTTGAGGGTGCCCGATGGGGTTTCAATGGCAGCCTTTCGATATCAAACGTCGGCTTCGACAATGTGAGCATCGCGTTCTGTAATTCTTTTGGTCCTAGCGTGGTTTGTCACGTGCATATTTTGTACGGAGTACTTTTCTGGTGGTTACTCGGGTTACTCCGTGAGTCCGTTCTCGGTGTGTGATGACTAAGCACAATGTTGACTAATCACAAGGTGGTGTCATACTCTACTCTGTAAATCACTGTTTGCAGAACATTACGTCGTATCTCCACATAGGTCGATTGGTTTAGGAGCGACAAAAAGAAACGGTAAGATAAAGCACCCTTGTCCGACATGGTTTGTCCGTTGTAGCTTGTTCTAAGGATGCGCTATGATTGGTTTAACAGGTCAAAGTTTACGCTTATTTGAATACGCTACACCGTATAGTGGGGCTACTATTCTGTAACAAATCAAAAACAGAGTCTCGACGTATGAGATAAATGTGCCGTCATCGTGCCTTCCAGAAGTTACCCGAACTCACCAGACAGTACTCGTACGTTCTACATCAGTCGATTTCACAACAGCTATATATCCTCTGCGTGGTACGAACTGTTTATTGGCATTTTTGATTCACTACAATTCACTTGCAATACACAACCCATAATACATCTACGCTTGGAGGACTTATATTAGGTTCTTTGGAAGAATAACCCCTCTTCCCTACTACGATCTCACCAACACCGACATATACCTATACCGAAACTCCACCCACGACTGATCACACCGTGATCAACGCTCGACACCATGTCGGCTTCTAATATGAATTTCACGGATCGCGCGAGCAAAGCGCTTTCCGATGCTATGGCCGTAGCTGAGAGCTACTCCCATCCACAACTATTACCCCTCCATCTCGCCTTGTCACTTCTCGATCCCCCACCCGACGAATCGAAAGACCAGCAAGCAACTGTGAATGCCTCTCATGGCGCTGCCTCGCAATCCCTCCTCCGCCAAGTCGTCGAGCGGGCTCATGGCGATCCGCAAGCCTTCCAACGAGCCCTTCAAAAGGCCATTGTGCGGCTACCGAGCCAATCGCCTCCTCCCGATCAGATCGCCATGGCACCTTCATTCACAAAGGTCCTAAGAGCCGCAAATGAGCTGCAGAAGACGCAGAAGGATTCCTTCATAGCAGTGGACCATTTGATCATGGCCCTGTGCCAGGATCCTTTTGTGCAGGCTTCTCTGAAGGACGGAAATATGCCCAATATCAAGGTGGTACAGGATGCTGTTCAACAAATACGCGGCACCAAGCGGGTGGACTCCAAGACAGCGGATGCGGAGGAAGAGAATGAAAACCTCAAGAAATTTACGATCGATATGACTGCATTGGCGAGAGAGGGTAAGATGGACCCGGTCATTGGCAGAGAGGAGGAGATTAGACGGGTCATCCGGATCTTGTCTCGACGAACCAAGAACAATCCTGTCTTGATCGGAGAGCCTGGTGTTGGAAAGACCACTGTCGTTGAAGGTCTTGCCCAACGAATCGTCAACTTGGACGTACCCGACAATCTCGCGGGATGCAAGTTACTCTCTCTCGACGTCAGCTCCATTGTTGCAGGCAGCAAATACCGCGGAGATTTTGAAGAGAGAATGAAGGGCATCCTGAAAGAGATTGAAGAGACTCAGGATATGATCGTCCTTTTCGTTGATGAGATGCATCTTCTCATGGGTGCTGGCTCAGCTGGTGAAGGAGGAATGGATGCCGCCAACATTCTCAAGCCGATGTTGGCCCGTGGCCAGCTCCATTGTATCGGTGCAACCACGCTAGCAGAGTACCGCAAATACATCGAAAAGGATGCAGCCTTCGAACGACGATTCCAACAGGTCTTGGTCGGGGAACCAACTGTCCCGGAAACTATTTCGATTCTCCGAGGCCTGAAGGAAAGATTCGAAGTGCATCATGGTGTTACTATCTCAGATAGTGCGCTTGTGACCGCTTCGACGCTGGCTGCTCGCTATCTAACTCAGCGACGCCTACCCGATTCCGCTGTAGATCTCATTGATGAAGCTGCAGCTGCCTGCCGGGTAGCCCGAGAATCGCAACCTGAAATCCTCGACTCGCTCGATCGAAAACTCCGGCAATTGAAGATTGAAATTCATGCCCTCGCGCGAGAAAAGGATGAGGCATCTCAGGCTCGCCTCGCACAAGCCAAGCAAGACGCGCAGAATGTCGAGGAAGAACTGAGACCTCTTCGGGAGAAGTACGAAAGTGAGAGAGCTAGAGGCAAAGCCATTCAAGAAGCCAAACTCAAGCTCGATCAGCTTCGTGTGAAGAAAGACGAGGCTACCCGTCTAGGTGACGACAGCAAAGCTGCAGACCTACAATACTACGCAATCCCCGAACAGGAGCAATTCATCAAAGACCTTGAGAAAGAGAAAAAGGCCGCCGATGCTGCTCTTAGCAACAACAACCCAGACTCCGGTGGATCTTTGATTACCGATGTTGTTGGTCCGGACCAGATCAACGAGATTGTGGCCCGGGCTACCGGCATTCCAGTTACGAGACTGAAGACGACAGAAAAAGACAAACTTCTTCATATGGAGAAGGTTCTCAGCAAGGTTGTAGTCGGCCAAAAGGAGGCTGTCAAGGCAGTATCCAACGCCATCCGACTTCAACGATCTGGTCTCAGCAATCCTAATCAACCTCCGAGCTTCCTCTTCTGTGGTCCTTCCGGTACTGGTAAGACCCTACTCACCAAAGCTCTTGCTGAATTCCTCTTCGACGATCCGAAGGCAATGATCCGGCTTGATATGTCTGAATACCAAGAACGGCATTCCCTGAGTCGGATGATTGGCGCACCACCAGGATATATCGGACATGATGCTGGTGGACAGCTTACTGAGGCCCTTCGCCGGAAACCATTCTCCATCTTACTGTTCGACGAGGTCGAAAAGGCTGCCAAGGAAGTTCTCACTGTCTTGCTCCAGCTCATGGATGACGGTCGTATCACAGACGGCCAAGGACGTGTTGTTGATGCACGCAACTGTATCGTCGTCATGACCTCCAATCTCGGAGCCGAGCATCTTCAACGCTCCGTCACAACAAACGGCAAGATCGACGACACGACAAAGCATCTAGTCGAGCAGACCCTCCAAGACTATTTCCTTCCGGAATTCTTGAATCGTATCAGCTCCACCGTCATTTTCAACCGTCTGACTCAGCCTGAGATCCGTAAGATTGTCGACTTACGCCTTACTGAAATCCAGAAACGGCTTGAATCCAATAACAAGAACGTTAGGATTGAATGCTCAACGGAAGTCAAGGACTGGCTTGGTGCTGCTGGTTACAATCCTCAATATGGTGCCAGACCACTGGGCAGACTGATCGAGAAGGAGATACTAAACAGACTTGCTGTATTGATTCTCCGTGGCAGTATCAAGGATGGTGAGACGGCCAGGGTCGTCATGGAGCACGGCAGAGTCGCAATTCTCCCCAACCACGAGGGGTCATCAGAGGAGGATGATGACGATGACGATGAAATGGAGGTTGATGATGATCTTAGAGACAACGATATGGGGACTGGTCTTTATGATTAAGCAGCTTTATACATAATGGCGGGCATAGTTAATGATTGATGATGATGGGATTTCCAACTCTAATGGAGTCATGGGAGTTATGATAGAATTTTTCTTATGTTTTCTAGATGCAGCTAAATACAATGCATTAATCAATACAACAGAATGGAATATCTCTATGTGAAATTATTTCTAATACGTGCACTAATGTTAACTAAACCTAGTTGTCTAATTGTAGTTACCATTCTTATGTCTTCTAGGTACAGCAAATTATAATGCATTAAACTATACAACAAACTGGAATACTCGAAGTGAAATTATACGTCGTTAACCGAACTTAGTCGTCTAATTGCAAGTACCACCTCGGAAGATTTAGTTACTTTTTGTATTTCTCCTCGTGAACACTCCACGGAGTAAGTTTCTCCTCGAATCAATTATTTCCCTATAAGCGAAAACAACAACATGTTTGACTTGTATCGGATGAAACCGTGTAGGCGATAAGGGGTTCTCGCGACTCGAACCTCGAATGAGCCCCGGTACGGGCCCCACTAACCATGAACGTTAAACGAAGTAGTATGATCGCCCGTTTGGCGGAACATATCCCCCCTGAACAGTTTCAACAACCTTAACATAGGTACCTTAGGTAGGATAGTTTAGACTTCATTCCTCGTACCGACTCTCAGCCTCAAACCGCGAGCGCCAGGGCCGTGCCAGACACGCTATTTTGCGGTCGGGTCTCGAACTGCTCAGCGCAGGGTTGTGCAGGCGAGCGCAAGATGAGACGACGAACTACCGGTAGCATTGGTTGACAGTTGAATCCAAACCATTATGCGTTCGGACGAGCGAGAGATCCACTCTGTAGGTAGTAGGTACATGTTTATAAAGTCTGATTGTACCTCCCTCTCTCATCTTTTCTTTCTTCAGCTGCGCTCTCATCCGATCTCTTATACCCACATTTGATTTCTTTCTCTTCATTTCGAAATAGCAGCTGTGCTTGCAATTCAACATTTTTTTCGCCTTCAATTGTTCATATTCTTTTACATCTTTCAAAACAGACAAGCCAGTTTACCGATTTCTATATCAATATATCAAATCCATCACCATGCGTTTCTCATTCACAACCATCTCCCTGGCACTTTTGGCTCTCTCATCTGCCTCACCAGTCCCCAACCCAAAAACCTCCACCAAAACCGCTGCCGCTGATGTCGCCAAAGCGGCATCAACCCAAGCAGCTACTGCCAAAGCAGCCAAAGGCGCAACCGCCGCGACTGCAGCGACTGCAGGAAGTGTCCTGACATCCGCAGCCTACAACGACTTCCAAATCAGCTCCGGAACGGCAGGGAAAGCAGAAGCAGAAGCCAACGCACTATTTGCCGACATCGACACCTCAAATCTCGCCGCTGTCTCGGCGAGCGATCTGAAGATCATCCAGGCGACCCACGATGTTGCTGAGGATGCCGAGGTGGAGGCTTTCAACCCTGCGGTCGACGCTGCAACTGGTGATGCCGCTACCGCTCTCCAGGTAAATTAACATTCCCCCATTACCGTTTGAGAATAATAGAAATTGTACTAATGCGTTGCAATAGAACGGCAAGATAAAGAACAAGGTCCTCAAGCTCACTGCTACCGTCTTGGCCCTCCAGGTTAAGGGAGCACAGGGAGGTGATGATTCTAAGCTTGCGGCTGAACAGACCAAGCTGGCGAAGAACATCCAGCTGGATGTCGCTGCTGCGGGGGAACCTTCGACTGCTGTGCCATTTACTGGTTCTACGTAGATGCGTGGAAGGGATGTGTGAGAAAGCTGGCGGCGATTTGTATTTAGATTTTAGGACACTTACTTGTATGTATGGATATGATATGGGCCGGCGTATTGGTGCATCTCCTTGGTTTGAAGTATGATGAAACAACGGCTTTGTATGGATTCGTTCTGGGGGAAAAAATTGCAGAAAGTTATAAATTCATTCAATCTTAGATTCGTGAGGTTCATCCATGCTAAATTTCAGTATATTTTTCTTGACGTTACAGGATTCCATATCTGTGAATCTATCTAAACTCCAAGCCCCTCTGAGGCCGTGCATCTATTTGCAGCTCATTAATACTCTCAAATTTCTCCTCTAAATCAACATGGACTCTCAAGTCCTTCTCTTCCATAACCCGCCATGTCCTCTTTAGATCCCCGAAGCCCATCAAACCTCCAAACTTCTCGAACCCCACAATATAAAGTTCCTTCGCCCAAGGACAGGCTCTAATTGCCCGGTGCCAGATATCCTTTGCCTGCTCACGGAATTGCGGTGTCCTAAGACAATATAGGAGGTAGTACCTCCACAGCCCAGCTGATGATATAGATGATGGGGAAGACAGAGCATTTTCGAATGCGGAACGCACGGAGTGTATTGTACCGTGTTGCATTTCGTAGCTTATGGCGAAGAGGCGGGAAGTTAGAGTGTCGTTGGAAGGAGWAAGGACAGTGGAGAGGATGATGTTTCGAACACGATTGTCTATTCGGAGACGGGATTCGTTCCATGTGTAGAGGGATAAGAGAATTGTATTCTGCGGGAAGAGGGTTATGAAATGGGTGAGGTGTTCTCGGAGGAGCGCCGGACGAAAGGGCCCGATACGTGAGTGATGGCAAAGGAGACGGGCGGCGGACTGCAGAAGGAGTTCGTGGGAGGTGGATATTGGGAGTCCTCGGGTTATGAATGTCCTGGAGAAGGCCATGTAGGATGCAAGTGCAGAAGTGATATCTCCTTGTGCATCGGACTGAGTCTCAATACTCGCGTTTGAGGTTAGGTATTCAAGAAGCGCCACAAGCTCTCCGTGGATTACTGCATAGCGGTAATCGCCTAAGCTTATAAGATAATCTCGTGTTGGGGTTAAGTATTGCTTCGCCTTGAGGATTGTTGCAGACGATGTAGCGGCGGAGTTGCTTGGCAGACCCTCTGGTATTGAAAGGAGAAGCTGTAGTGCGGTAGATTTGTCCATATTTTCTAGGCAAGCCCATATCCAATTTTTCCACAACAATATTGAGTCCTTGCTGTCATTCTTAGGCATGGACCCACTCATATTCAGAGCAGCAGAAAACACGCCATTTGCTACGTCTTTATTTCCCTTGGCCCATTCAATCATAGCATAGGCGTTATATAACCTAAGGCTAGTGGGGTGCTGTTTGAGGAGGCTTTTAGCAACCTTCTTGATGGTATTTGGCAGGTTCCGCCATTCGAATGCCAGGTAATATTCTGCCAGATCTTCCCGGAAGTACACTAGAGCCAGTTCTTTAAGGGTATTGCGAACCCATTTGTAGAAGACCGGCCCAGTACATTCGGCTTTCCAGATGGGGCCGCCACGGAACCATGCTGCAGAGGAGAACAATGTCTCTGAAGAAATCGGATAATTCGACAATGGAAGATTCATCATGGAGAACGCATCAGCGCTTTCACCCTCGTCGTTTCGAACTTGGTCGTGATTAGGTAAATCATCAGGATCAAACTCTAGCAGCTCCCCTTTAACAAAAGCATCGTTCAACCACTCACAGTCATCCATCGGTGGTAAGCGGCAGAAGATCAGAAATGCATCTAGAAGTGCCTTGTGCAGGTTTCTCGAATCATGTGGGAGTGTAATCAGGTAATCTTCGATATCAGAAAAGAGAATAACGCGAAAAGGGTCATCTTCTACAACGTCATCCATGGTCCTGGCCGGAAGTGCGGAAGATTTGGACCTCGATCGCTCAGCAGCAGCCCAACTTCTAAAGAGATTAGTATCATCTAAAGGGGCTGCTGCTTCATCGGCAATTTCTGGAGGTGTTTCCGAAGTAGCTTCATTGATAATAAAAGAATGCCAGCCAAGAGCCCCATCCTCACCAATACGGGCAGTCTCGCTTTCCCAAAAGCTACTAAAAAGTCTCGCTCCCTCATCCTTCGAAGGTGTGTTTTTAGGACCACAAAAGTTGATTTCAAGTAGACTCTGCCATATTGCTACCGCCAGCTCTGAATACCCAGACTCGCGTATGCATATTGTGGCCCTGAGTAAAACATATATAAGCTGTCGATACCGAGAAGCCATCTTGTCCGGTTCCGCCATCGAGGCGCCTTTCAAAAGAAGCTTGATCCTTTGGACAAACACGTCTCGGATATCTTCGTATCGAAACCTTGCAAACGAGGATTGCTTGAATGCCAAGTAACTTTTCCAAAGCATTGAACTATCAATGTTCTCCTTCGAAATCTGCTCCCATCGCTCCGATTGCACCTTGGTCTCCCAGATCTTTGATCCCTCGGCCATTAACCCGACTAGAAGCTTTTCCCGGTCTTCGAAGGCAGTTGCATTCGCGAGGGCCTTTTCGTACATGTGAATCTTGATGTCGGCGGTACTCATTATTTCGGCGTTAGTGGCCCGGCGGTGATCATCTTCTCCTCGCATAAGAGTGTCCTGCATCTGGATTAACGCAAGCCAAGCGTCCATATCATGAGGATTTTGTTCGACTCGTCGGCTGAGCTCCACGTTCCTTTGCCGCATTGAGGTATTCGACATAATGGCTACACCAGCTTCTGATCCCGAGTCATCCTCTGAAGCAAACTCAAAAGCATCATCTGCTGGGCGGTCGCTGGGTTTCATTTTCCCGTGGATTGATCGATAATGGGTCTCATCGTCGTCGGATGCCGAAAATGTTCCGGTTTCTCCATGGCTCGTTTGCCTCTTACGTTTCCTTCCGTTAGCAGTCTCAAATGAGATAAACTCTGCGCCAAAGTCTTCTGGGTCTCTCGCCGCAGCTTCTGGGCGTATTCTTAAAAGTCTGGGACGCTCTCGTTCGATCTTAGAGAAGGCGTATTTCTCTCGGTGGCTGGACCGAGAGTCTCTCCAATTCCGAAGTACAATCCCCTTGTCCTCTGCATAATCTCTGTCGACTTTTAAGTCGGGTGACACGCCCAAAACGTTGCCGGCACCTACACGGTAAAATGCAGGAATGCTATAACGATGGATACTGCCGTAAACAAGGTTCTTCTCGTCGCCTTTCGTGTCGATGAAAAATATATCTGGTGAATTTTCCTTTGGAGGATGGCGCGGAGTGTTAATCTCAGGAGAGCGTCCATGTCTTTCCTTACTTCTTGGCCTTTGGCGTCGATGATGGTAGTGACTCTTCTTATCTTCTTGGCCACGTGCTTCATGTTTGCTGGGGCGATGCCTTCTATCCTTCTCCAAGTCGATGGCAACTGCAGCCTCGGGGGGTGCCGTCGGCTTCGGGCGAAATGACCCAAACTTGGGGACCGCGGTCTTAGGCTCAGACATGGCGTTGAACCTAGACCAACTACTGCTATAACATTATAACTGGGCTGATTGCCGTGTGAAGAAGCTTAGAGGCTTTATCAGACGATGTGGTGTCACTGAATAAGTCGCAAGATTGATTGTTGTGGCTGGCGAGGCTACCCTTGTTATGCACGCCAAACGCTTGGACGAGAAACAGCGCCAGCCTCGCGCTAACCCCATCGCGGCTTAGCCTTGGAGCTTCTCGAAAAAAAGTCTCGATAGATCAAATTCGACGATAAGAATCGCTGGAGAGTAACAAGTCAATACCACCATGCGCTTTTCGGTCTGAGGAACCGTACTGCTTATCCACGATGGCAACCTCTTTGGCTGCCCAGTTATCGAAGATATCTGCCAATTCGACAAACTCTTTAAACCTAAAGGCACAAAAGGCGGCCCATTCGAAATCCTTAATATTTGAGCCTCGAGTGGCTGCATCGCAAAGTTTCGACACAATTTACATTCTGTGCCATGAAGGGTTTCAGGAGCTATGTCTCTTGGATGGAAGATTCCTGGAGTTCCAGAGAGACATTTTCGGCGAGCAAAGCCAAACGGAGGATAGAGTTCAGATGACTGCTGCTGAGAATTCAGAGCTCAATAAACGGCTGGAAGCATTTTTGGGGCTTGTGGGGGGCAGATTAAGATTGACCCCGGCAATTAAAGCAGTGGAATGGCTCTTAAGAAGATTTCGGTCAGTATATCTATATATGCTTTTGGCATTGTATTAACAATAATTATAGTGTTCATGAATACAACACGTCGTTTTTACTAACAACCTTCCTTCCTTATCATACACTTCCGCTTTTCACCACATTGCTCTCCATACTACCAAACAAACTCCCACAGGAGTACGAATTCCTCAACCCTTATGTACGGTCTCTGATGCCCCCGCCGAGGCGTACGATTGTTCAAACCGCAACGAACAGCAACTCATTTGCATCGGCTCTCAACACTTATGTCCTCCGGATATGCAAGTCCCGCCAGCACTATCCAGCGCTGCTGGCATTCTGGGCCGGGATAATGACGGAAGCAATGGGGGGGATGCTGGACAAATCCCGGTCGGGCAGGAAAGGCGTACAGGAGCAGAAGGAACATGATGTTATTTTGAGGCTGTTGCCAACGCTAAACGAGGGTCTGGCCATGAAGAGCGTCCCAGATCTTCGCATCGGATGTTACATGTTGCTCTCTGTAATGGCATCCAAAGGAGGACTGGATGATAAGGTTTTAACTGCCATGATGGAAGCTGTTGTGCTGGGATGGACCACTGAAACGATAATTCCCGGGCTTGTTTGTCTGTCGGTGTTAGCGCAGCATCGAGGAGCAAAGCAGATGACCAAACGACTTACGAAAGAGTTACTTAAGGTTGAAAATCTGCCCTCTCTTCTCCTGCAACTTTCAAATCAACGGCGACTAGACAAACTCGCCAATGGTCTTTGTCTGTCCCTCGTGGATCGATTACGGAATCATGGCGATTTGAGAGGGCTTCCTATTGTTGAGAAAATGATCGAAAACGGAATCTTGAGTGACCAACAATCCAGTGTGATTGTCAAGTCCTTGCTTTTAGTAGCACACCAAGTCGATGAGAGTTCAGATCAAATCAACTTGCGTCAGCACCTTGCCTCCTCGTTAGTCACCCTTACACAACTGCCTGGTCATGGGGGTGATGTAGTCCGTGGCACATTGAAAGATACGGAGATTGATATGGACGAATTGGAAATGAAATTACATACTACAATTCGACCAGCGATATTACCGGCACCAGCAGACAGTCCCATGGAGGATGCCTCGACAGAGGTATCCGCCAAAGGTCCATCTTTCCAGACACTATTCGAACAACTTCCGAAAAAGACTGTGAGCGAATCATCATTCCTATCTCATGATGCGTCGCATGTCTATCCGGATCTGTGCCGTGCTTTTCTAGCCTCTACATCCAATCCTACAGACCTAGACTCTTTTGACGCGGCCCCAATTCTCACGCGCGACTCGGCATTAGAAAACGCGCTTTATTTTACTTTCTACATAAGAACTTGGTGTGGACCCTATCCAGTTCTGGCCCGATCATCAGCGCTCCAGATGGTATCTCGTCGCTTGTCGGATCCCAACATTTCAAAGATCGATATCCAGGCGCTAGTACCCTATGCAATTGCTGCCCTAGCCGACCCTGCTGCAAAGGTGCGCCGCGCTGGAGCTGAGCTTCTTGTTACCATCAGTCATCTTTATCCAGAGAATGTCGAATCTAAGAAGGAACTAAAAACCCTCAGCCGCTGGGAACCCGAGGGCCTATATGGTAAGAGACATGAGGGGGAGGAGTTGAAATGGCTCTCCCCGGATGTCGCCATTCGCATGCTAAGAGAACTACTTATTCCTGCCTTGGAGGAGTGTGTCCTCGATGCAAAGCATATCGAATCTGTGTTCCAAAGATCCTTGCAAAGTCCTGGACGCTCGGAGAGCCCTAAACAATCCGACTTGTCGCGGCTTCCCCAAAGTTCCCGCGCATCAATTCTGTCCTTCTTGGCTTCCCACGTCGTCCATACGCCACTATTCTCCGTCAAGCTTAGATTGATCTCCTCCTTAAACCAAGTTCGCGGTGTTGCGGGCTTGACGAGAACATCAGTTTTACTCCCAGTTCTGCAGGAATGGTCTTCTCTGAGCCCAGCAGAAGCATCGAAGCATTGTAAGGATGAGGAGATAGACTCCGCGGAATTCGATGATCAATGCTTTATGATAATTATCCCCAGCGATGAGGAAGGTCTCCAGTTCTTAACCAGCGTTGTGGTACGAGATGTGGCGGCGGATCGGCCTACGCTTTTAACAGCTGCATTTAAGAGGTTGCGAGCTATGTGGTCATCACTAAAAGGAGAACTCAAGTTGAGGATGGCTCAAATGTTGATGGACTCTGCTTTGTCCTCGTCAGACAAAATGTCTGAGCATCATGATCTTGCAGTGCAGACGTCCTCTGAGCTTTTAAGTAGCCTACCACTTTCGACAGACATTCTCTTAGCTTTCATCGAACAGCTCCCAACAGCTGCAAAACTTGCAGACCAACCCCCTGCTTCAAAACGACGAAGAACAAGCCACGGAGAAGTGGCTCGTAATTCTATTCAGGATTCGAAGGAGCTCGCTGCTGCCATTAGAAAAGTCACACTTGTTTTGCAACTCATTGACAGTTCAAATCCAAAAATGCACCCCGAGCTACTAAAGGGCCTCTTCAACGTGCTGGCAGAACTTCAACATCTCAAGACTCAAGTTAAATCGGAGCTTGCTTATCTACAAGGCCTTGTCCTAAGTAGCTTGCTGGCTATCTTTCAAGGCTTCAAGTCAGATCGTAACATCAAGTTCGATCGGGCAGCTGTGCGAGCAGACTTGCTCGTTGACTGTGTTCAAAAGACTTCAAGTCCACAAGTGCAGAATGCGGCGCTTCTGCTTATAGCTGCTCTGGCAGATATAGCTCCTGAGTTGGTGCTCCACAGTGTTATGCCAATTTTCACGTTTATGGGTCATTCGGTTTTGAGGCAGAATGACGATTACTCAGCGCATGTTATAGGCCAAACCATTCGCGAGGTCATCCCACCTCTAATATCGTCACTTCGAAAGGGGAAAGCAAATATTGTGACTGGAGCGGCTGAGCTGCTTTTAAGTTTCGTTGCTGCATATGAGCATGTTCCTAACCATCGCCGAAAAGGTCTGTTTACCTCGTTGACCCAAACCTTGGGGCCTGAGGACTTCTTATTCGCGCTTTTAGCAATGCTCGTGGATAAATACGGATCGAATGAAGGGATAAAGACATTTTCTGTGGAGTTATCCAGCTCCTTCAGTGTTGAAACTCAACTCCTATCAGTAGCCAAATACTTAGACATGGTCAAGGATATTCTGAAGCCCAAGCCGACATATTCGTCCATTTTGTTAAATGCGAATGATGATGGGGTGCCCGATCCTCACAAACTCGCCTTGACGGAGTTGGAATTACTTCCAAGCATTCTCTCGCAAAAGCGCCTCATCAACCAAACGGGAAAGATACTAGAGCGGGATGATATGGATGCAGCAAGGGTCCGGGATCTGTATTCAGGGCTGCTGGAAAACCTCTTGGGGTTGGCAGATCTGGTGAAGAGCCAGAAACGGCTACACAGCTCCTGTGGGGATATACTTGAAAGCCTCTTGGGCTTGTTATCCACCAGCGAATTTGTCAAATCTGTGGAAGGCTTACTGGACAGACCGAATGAGTCCCTACGCCGAAAGATTCTACGTTCTTTGGAAGTTCGTATTGATCATGAGAGTCCCTCCGATGCTGCCTCTAGAGCCGCAATGCTTGGATTTCTCCCACAACTCACAGCAATCATCCGGGAATCAACCGACCTACCTTACAAACACATTGCTGTCGCTTGCGTGGATAAAATATCCGAGAAGTATGGTAAAAAGGATCTCGAAGCTGTTTCAGCTGCTGCAGAAACCATTGCGAGCAGCCACTGCCTCGGCCAGTCAGACGAATCTTTGCGGGTCATGGCTCTCCTATGTCTCGCCTCACTGGTGGATATCTTGCGGGAAGGCATAGTCTCTGTCCTCCCCTCGGCAATTCCTAAAGCCCTTGAATATATGGAGGAAAGTTTGAAGGTGGATTCGGAAGCTCCAAAACTTCACAATGCTGGCTATGCGTTTATCAGTGCGTTGGTGCATCATCTACCGTACATGATCTCGGGTGGCTACTTAGACAGGCTTTTACAAATATCAAACGCATCTGCTGTGGCCGATCTTGATGATGAGGCGGATGAGAGTAGACAGCAATGTCTCCGCCTTGCTGCGAAACAAGTCGATGCTAAGAGCATGTTTGGGGCTCTGGAAAAGGATTGGGAACTAGCCGCAGCGAAAGGCCCATTGGTGAGTAATGTTCTTTGTGCCAAGTGGATATTTTATTAACACCTCCTTTAGTCGCTCCACGAGTACATGGATGTCCTTACAATTGCCATCGACAAGCATCCAAAGGTTGTCGTTACCAAGTATTCTGCCATTCTCGCCAAAATATTTCAGAAGGCATTCGATCTCCGAAGGCAAAAGACTGGATCAGATGATGCGTTTACATCGGATACAGTCGCGGAACTAGAGGCAAAACTTAACGACGCAGCGATCAAAATGATATACAAATTCAATGACGCCACATTCCGACCCATTTTCGAGAACCTCGTTGAGTGGGCATCATCTTCGTTACCGAAGAAGGACAAGGCGGGCAGAACTTTGCGTTTGCAAAGCATATACGGCTTCATGGCCATGTTTTTCGACAACCTCAAGTCGATCGTCACCAGTTACGCCAGCTATTTACTCGACAACGCCGTGGATGTTCTGAAAACCGTCGACCCCAAGGACGATGAATCGAAGACCCTGTGGTCTGCGGTCCTTCGAACATTAACGAAATGTTTCGAACACGATCAAGACGAGTTCTGGCAGTCGCCAGCTCATTTCAGTGCTATAGCTCCTGTGTTGTGCGCCCAGTTTACTCATGCGCCTTCGCTTCCACTCGCTGCGGAGCTTATCCCAGCTGTTGTTGAACTGGCTGCTGCTGCAGACTCTTCAGACCATCACAAAGAGCTTAACGGAACCATCATGAAGCATTTACGGTCCGAGATTGCCAGTGTCAGGTTAGCAGCGGTGAAGTGTGAGCAAGCTTTGACGGACCGTCTGGGTGAGGAATGGCTATCGATGTTGCCTGAAATGCTACCTTTCATTAGCGAACTGCAAGAGGATGATGACGATGTCGTAGAAAAGGAAACGCATCGATGGATCATGAAAATTGAAGGGGTGTTGGGCGAGAGTCTTGACTCTATGCTACAGTAGAAAATGCTCTGTGAGAGTGCGGTTTAGTAGTACGGTCGAGATAACGTATATAATGAAATCTAAGATATTCATAAGTGAAGGTTTTAATCTATGATACCATGAGGAGCCTGCTCGAATAGGGAGTTGCCCCTATCTGCTCGAGGTCGTTGGAACTTCGCCGTAGTAGCCGCCTTTGTAATACAGGGCTACAACCGCCAGCCTTGGCGTCCGCAATCCCAACACCGTTCGTCTCCACAGCGTTCCAGCTCTTTATATCATTCACTGCATCTCAGCCCAAACCACTTACCCAAATTACTGCAACATTATATACACTTTACAAGCCATCTTTATTACACTCTACCACCATGACCACTGCCTACAACGTCTACCGCGTGAAATTTAGCCAAATCTCGGGGACCGATCACGTAGGCATCGTTCTCGTCCCCGCTCAATTCGAGGAATAGGACAGAGGTCGCTACTACCACGTCAAGGGGAACGTTGGCATGGGAATGGACTACGACGCCCGTCCCGGCTATAAGTTTGCTAGTGATAGGTCGTATAGCGGCAAAGAATGCGCTTTCCAATTGCCTGTAGAGAAACTCCAGGGTTTCGAAGCAATTGCCTCCGCCCAAACTCCGCCGTATGATAGCCGGGTGTTGATGACGAGGGATGTGAAGAGTTTGGACCCTCCGGCTCCGGATTGCACTACTTGGGTTGAAGAAGTTTTGGCGGCGGCTCAGAAGCTTTGAGAGGGTTTGTTGGAGCGATTTGAGTCATGTGTATGTTGTGTAGGTGTTTTGTATGAAGGATGAAGTGTTGTGGAAATTTTATATAAACTGGTTTTGTATATTTTGTGTCGAGCGTGAGAATTCGGAGGTTATTGTTGGAGCATTAGCTAACTTGATTGTTTTATGGTATGGTCTGCCTTAATTGAATCATCCCATCGCATAACTCCAGGAGCAACGCATGAAAACCTTTCACTTCACTTACTTCAGCTAGAGTTAACTAGTTGTAAGTACAATCAAAGTAAAACTTGAGTTAATCGTCCATTAACAGCCTGCTCGCAATAATATGGTTTCATTGTACCAAGTAGTTGTGTCCTCTAGTCATTCTGCCAGCATTAGACGTAGAACGCCTTTATAAACTCCCAATGTTCAGGGTACCAGCCACCATCTCCCAATCAAGGATCACTATAACGTGGCCATCCTTGATAATGATATTGGCTGGCCGGAAATCAGCATGTGTGAAATCAATTCCTCATCTCGATCCTTAAATGGCCCATGTCTATGCGCAGCGTAGTCACGAGGTATCTGTATCGACGTACCGGTAGGTATGTCTCGCTACGAAATCCAAAGGCACGGCGTCGTTCATCTGGACATCGTCTCCATACTTTGCTACCAAGTCCTGGGAAACCCTCGTGACCCTGACGCTGCCACGAGTGAAGATGGCTTCCTGGGCAGAAGGCAGACAGCGTTAAAGCGCATCACGTGGCTTCGCTTATCACACGCGACTGTGGAAATCGCGAAACGCGAACGCGTCTTCGCTATATTGGACTTCAATCATCATTGCTCTCTCGTAGATTGAGAGATGTTCAAACCATTCAAGCCGCCGCTCCTCAAGAGTGTTAGGAAATCAACAGTCGATTTGACGGAGTCAGACTCGGAGTCGGAATTCCCCCAGTCTCGGCCGACCAAGAAACGCAAATTAATCCATGTGGTTGAAGACAGCCCTCCTCCGTCGAAAAAGCCCCCTCCCAGTTCTTCAGCTGTCAACGCGCCTAGAAAACCTTTGCTGGTAGTGAAGAATCCGGTAGAAACTAAAACGTCTTCAGATCAACTACTGGAAGGATTGGAGGGATATTACATGGTCCTATGGTAAGGATGCCACACACCCCTATACTTGATTGTGAGGTCTAACTTTTACTACTAGGCGTAAATTCACGGCCAAGAAACATAAGACATGGGATGGGGATGGAGTTCTCTCGGTATACGGCGGTTATGCTCGTCTACAAGATATATCCGGCCGAGATATGGGCAGATGCATGTACAAGGACCCTCTCTTGCCAGGCAGTACATTGAGCGTGGGAGGAAAGGATGTCGAGGTTGATTGTACTATCAGCAAGGCCGACTTCTTGGCCGGCAAGCCGTTTTTGAATACTACAGCAAAGCGTACGCAGAGTTCCGGGAGCAACAGTACCAGCAGTCCAGTTCCGAATGCCACAGCTGCCCATGTCATCTGTAAACCCAACTCTCAACAACCCATTGGGCTAAGTAAGGTGGGTTTGTTGAAAACTGCAATCTCCTCCAAAGGCTTCTACGCAACAACAAACAAGAGCATGGCAACGAATGCAAAATTCAAAACCCCTGTTCTCTCGACATCCATTATGCCGCAAAAGAAGGATGGAGGGCCAACACCACGCCATGATCCAAATACCCCTGGGTCTCTGGTTATGAAAAGAATGAAGGACATTCCTCGGGGAAAAGAAGTAGTCGACGTGGTCGTAGACCCTTTCTTAAGTCAACATCTACGGGAACATCAACGTGAAGGTGTAAAATTCCTCTATGAATGTGTGATGGGAATGAGAGATTTTAACGGCCAGGGTGCCGTTTTAGCAGATGAGATGGGTCTAGGCAAGACCTTACAGGCGATCACATTAATATGGACGCTCTTGAAACAAAATCCGATACACGGATCCGAGGGAGTGATCAAGAAGGCGTTGATCGTTTGCCCCGTCACGTTAATCGTGAATTGGAAGAAAGAATTCCAAAGATGGCTAGGCAATGAGAGGATTGGTGTCTTGGTGGCAGACAACAACCAGAAGATTCGGCTAACTGACTTTACTCATGGCAAGAGCTATAGTGTTATGATCATTGGCTATGAGAAGCTGCGATCAGTCCAGGACGAGCTAAAGAAAGGGGCAGGAATTGACCTCGTGGTGGCTGACGAAGGACATCGTCTTAAAACTGCCCAAAACAAATCTGCCCAAGCTATTCGCTCGCTGAATACTCCTAGGAGAATCATCTTGTCTGGAACGCCAATACAGAATGATCTTTCGGAATTCTTCGAAATGGTGGACTTTGTCAATCCCGGTCTTTTGGGGAAATACAATACCTTCAAGAAAGAATTCGAACTTCCAATTATGAAAAGCAGACAACCAGGAGCTTCAGAGAATGACACCGAGAAGGGAACCGCTAGAGAGGAAGAACTATCATTATTAACCAAGATGTTTATTTTACGGCGAACCGGGGAGGTTATTTCCAAATACCTACCACCGAAAACTGAATACGTAGTCTTCTGCAGCCCAACTCAAGCGCAGGTGGAGGTATATCGCCATGTTCTTGAATCGCCGTTTTTCGGGACATTGTTAGGAAACTCTGAGTCGTCACTACAACTCATTACGTTGCTGAAGAAGGTCTGCAACGCCCCAAACTTATTGCTGAAGCAAGATGAGGAGGCTGCCAGAAATTCGAATGTCGCTCAGCTCCTTGAGATAATCCCCCCTGAGCTTCTACGCAATCCTCCGGTCAAGTCCAGCAGCAAATTTCGGGTGCTTGATCAGCTGCTTCGATACCTATCCACCAAAACGTCAGAGAAAATCGTCCTTGTCTCAAATTATACAGCAACTCTCGATCTTTTTGGCCAGCACCTCGCTTCTCTCTCTCTCCCTTTTCTTCGCCTCGATGGCAGCACACCATCAGGGAGACGTCAGGATCTAGTCGATACATTCAATCGAACCCCTGCAGCAAAGAACTTTGCCTTCCTTCTTTCTGCCAAATCTGGTGGGACAGGTCTCAACTTAATCGGGGCATCTCGGCTGGTTCTTTTTGATGTGGATTGGAATCCGGCAGTAGATTTGCAAGCAATGGCCCGAGTATATCGAGACGGCCAAAAAAGGCCAGTTAAGATATATCGATTCCTGATGGCGGGCGGCATGGACGAAAAGATCTACCAGCGTCAAGTCACTAAGATGGGCCTGGCTAACAGCGTTGTTGATGGGAAGAAGAATGAATCCAGCTTTTCTCCCGAAGAGCTAAGAGATTTGTTCAGACTTAAAGTCAATCCTGGGTGTCAGACCCACGATCTACTTGGGTGCGATTGCAATGGCCAGGGTGCTGATCCACTTCCTCCCAGTCTCCCAGAAGCCATAGACGCCGACGACAACAGCGGCGATGCCAGCGAGGATAACGAGGATAGTGATGACGATGCATTATTCCCTATTAATCCTGCCCTCGCGCCTGTCCCTGGGACTAAAGCCAACGTTGCAGCTATTGAGCAAAAGATAGCTGAAGATGCACAGAAAAGACGACTCGAAAAGGCAAAGGGGAAGGTGCAGGCGCTAATGCAATATAGGCATATTGATGCGTCTATCTTCCGGGGCGAGACGGAAGATATCTTTGGCTTCGAGCACGAAGAGGTTAAAGACTTGAAGAAAATGGTTGGTGATGATGCGTTAGTGGCTATATTAGGGGATCGTGGTTGCAAAATAAATTATATATTTGCTAAGAAAGGATGAAATGATGGAATGGGATTTTTGGAGTTGAGCGGCATAGCATAGCGTTGGCGCTTGGGATGGAGATAGATACTCCGAGTAAACAATACAATATGTACGTTATGCGTATAAAGTAGCCACTTGCAAAATAAAGTCTTCGAGATATAAAGCCAAGGGTTCGAAATTCTCCCTCCTGATAGCGGGGTCTACTTCTTCAACCTTCGCAGTCAACTTCAGTATTCATATAAAGTCAGATTATAACACCCAGATAAATGAAGCTACTTCTAAAATTCGCGTCCCATTAAAAGTTTAGTATGTAGTCTGTATGCAATTTATGTATTGTGACTGGAAGGTATAAACCCCATCGAAGAACTCGTCTAAAATCCATCCAACCCTATGTGCAATGGTGTAAAACTCCGTCGCTGATGCAGATGCCGCTCGCTCGCTCGTTCAAGATATAGACAAACATTCCTCGAGATTGCCTGCACATTCCACCCCAGCACAACCCCTCCCCCCATCATTCCTACCAAAACAATCATTATTGTTTTATACCCAACCAAGGTGCTCCAACGTCCCGCGCGCGTCAGCAGTACTCATGCCGCTAACCCCCAAAGCCCTGACCTGACTACCCTTCCTCAGCCTCTGCAAACCCACCGAGACCTTCCAACTCTCCTCCTCAGAAATGACGAATATGTATTTCTTCCCCTCCTGGTCCCTAATACTTGCTCTCAACACATGAAGCCTTGCGGCCTTCAATTCTCCAGTCTGCCCACGTTTGTCAGTTCTCTTATCTCTGGAAGGCGAAGACCACGAGCCAACAGACGACGCATAAGCTGAATCAGTGACAGAGGAACGATCATCATAAGAACTCGCAGTACTCGCAGAATAAGCAGACGAAGCAGAACTCGCGGAACGGGAACGACAATTGTCGCGGCAAAGCTGTAACATATCGATCAAAAGCGCATCGGTTTCTTCCGAAGTAGCAGCTTTATCCTTATCCATACCCCACAATCGACGAATAGGGTTATTTTTAGAAGGCGCAGAAGAAGCAACGCGAGCAGATGCAGAATTGCCAGCGGGGCCCTGGCGGAAAGATGGACACCATACCTCTACGAGTTTCATTGTCCAGGCTTTGACGTCCCATTCTCGTTGTGGGACGCCACGGACATCATCATCAATGAAGAGACCTTCCGTTGTGACTCTTAATATCAGGCCATCGGTAACTGATCCTACTCCAGATACCAGTTGCGAAGTCGGGGTTTTCATGAAGGCGTTGTTGAAGGCATAGACGGCTTTAATAACAATCTTGTCGGGATCCTTTGTGCTGTAGGGGCCTCGATGCGAAGGTGGCGGTGTCGTTCGGGATGTGGATTGCGAAGGGGCATATGAGCCTTCGGAATATATTGACGAAGGTGCTTTGCTATGCATCGGCTTCTTTGGTTTATCGTACGGTCGGTAGGAATATGCATCGTCATCGGCTTCGCGAAATGTCTTTGCTGTTGGAGGAGGAGGTCGTTTAACAGGCGATGGCGGTTGAGATGCAGGTCGTCCATTGGGCCAAGGGTTTACCTTTTCTCCAGTTGCAGAGAAAGCGTAGCTGCCTCCACTTGGTTTCCCCTCGTCCTTCTGGGATGCGAGTTTTGCCTTTTCCCTCTCTAATAGAGTTTGCTTTATCCTTTCTTTCTGCTTTTCCCATGCCTTAGCCTTCTCATCCTTTTCCTTCTGTAGCTTCTGTTGGATTTCACGCTCTCGTACCTCGGCCTCTGTTTTCTCCTTGGCTTTCTGTCTCTCTCTATCTTTCTCCCGTTCCTTTTCCAATTCCTTCTCTACTTCTGCCCGGAGCTTTTCCTTGGCTTTGGCCTCTTCTTCCTTCTGCCTCCGCTCTCGAGATTCTCGTTCACGAGCCTCTTTCTCCCGGGCTTCTCGTAGCTTCCTCTCCAACTCATCCTTTCTCTTCTGTTCAGCCTCTCTTGTTTTTCTTTCCTCTTCCTTTCGTTTTGTTTCTTCTCGCGCTCGCTCCCAAGCTCCTTTGGCTGAGCCGTCAGCTGTATTGGAATCTGGCTGGGGACCAGAGGCACCAGTGGCGCCTGGTGGGGGATTTGCTCGCTGCCATCCAGCTCTAGGCCCTCCTGCGGAGCCAGGTCCAGGTGCAGGGCCTGGTCTAGGAGGTGGAGGCGCAGCACCAGCACCAGCATAGCCATTCGAGTGAGTATTCGAATGCGTGCCAGAATATGCACCGCTACCAGAGCCCGGAGTCCCGCCACTTGGCCCACCACCTGGTCCGGGGCCGCCATCAGTTTGTGTCCTTCCCAAAGCCCATGCCCCGAGCCCGACTGCCACCACAACCAAAACAACACCTCCTCCAGAACCTTTGACGCCATTCCACCAAGCTTGTGCTGCTGGAGCTAAAGCGCTTAAGATAACACAGAGCAGGACACCTGAAGCAACTCCAGCAATAAAGCTGTTAATGTTCGGTTTTAGCGACGGCAGATATATGAATCCGCCGCCCGAGGAGTGTGGAGGTATTATAAAGATGTCGTAAGGTCCATCCGGAAGCCCAGATGATTTGGGATTCGCCCCATGTGGAGGTGGAGGCGGGGGGGGGTTCATGGTGGTGGTATTTTCGTAACAGGAGATCGGGGATGGCTCGAGAGCATGAGGCGTGTGATATGTACGTCTGGGGCGTTCGAAAAGGCGATACTCAAGGTTTCTGTGAGGTGAAGGGTATCTCAGGAGGTCGTAAGGGGGTCATAAAATCGTGAATAAACTGTAGCAGAAGTATTAGCAAGCGTTTGGATTCACCGTTTGCCATGGTGCCGAGTGTCAACAAACCTCGAGAAACAAACGACGCTGAAAACAAATAGCGGCAAATGGTGCAGGTTAGCTCGCAGCAGAGACGCAATTCCAAACTTAAACACTCTAATGGCCAGACGCTCAAATGCCAAAATTCTTTCGGATGCTGTACAATTGTATGGAGTTGTTGTGTGCAGGTTGTCCAGGCGCGGGCGAGAACAAGTCCGCAGGAGGTCTAGCGGAAACAAATTGTTGACAGCCCCCGGCAACGGAAGCGACACAGTTTTTCTGTACGAATTATCCCGCGTGCTATGCTAATCTCTCATATGCACGACGATAAAGCAATTCTCCTCCGAACGAACATCCACTCTATTTTGGTCCGAGTCTCCCGGGTACCTGCCTGTCGTCTCGACTCTCGGGAATGTGGTGAGGTTGCTGTTGCTGAGGCCCGATTGAAGATGCTGGCCGCTCTTCTTCAGCAGAGAAAGAGAGAAAGGGCGGTTTAACAAAGGAGGCCCGAGTGATCAGACGAATTGCACACCACGCCACGTCAGGGAAATGGAGGCCTTGAACGGTTGAACCGCCGCAATCACAGGTTACGAAAGCATGCAACGGCGGTGAGATTACCTAGCACCACTGGGCTGTGTGGCGAGCAATTTGATTTGAGCAGGAGGCCTCTCTTCCCCCACGGCCGAGCTCCTCTGGCAACAGTGACAAGAGCAACTCAGTCAATATCTACCAATTATCGTTGGACCCCAAACACGACATGTGCCCAATCCGCCTCACGCTACCACAGGATACGCTGAACGCGCTCCCAACGTTGCAACACTACTGTACAGTGTGGGATCCATCACGACCACTACACACCTAGGCTCCCACTCCGCCGAGCGCCAATAAGTAGCAGAAATGGGGACGAGACAGAGCCAAAGGGCGCTCGATGAACCTACGCGTCAGCACCCACACGGCAGAATTTGGTACAGTAACAACAGTCCGGAGTAGAAGCACAAAGCAATCTGCACTCGTGGTCACACGGCACCCAAGGGGCTGGTCCGAAGCTCCCTTTCTACTAGGAGTACGAGGGTCGGTCCGTCTCCGCCACTACGGGAGGATGACAGGACTCATGGCTACGGATTGGCTGGCTCATGTGGGGAGGGCGCGTTCAAAGGACAACTCGACGGCCGCGTCGTCGCCGTGGCAACGGCTCGAACTGACATGGACAAGAAGGCCGGGATGACGTACGCACGAAGTGAGAGTGAACGCCAAAAGAAAAGTACTCGTACCACCACCAAACGCATATCTATCTTCAACCTCAAAACAATAACAATAAAAAATAATAATTAATTTCAAAAACAAAATAAACGAATTGCTATCTCCGGGAATCGAACCCGGGGCCAGCGCAGACTCAGAACCAGTTGTTTTCATGATCCATGGGAAGCGCTGATTTTACCACTAAACCAAGACAGCTAACGATAAATAAAAATTGCTATTTGACATTATGTGCGTGCGCTGGCCCCCCCGCTTTTACCAGATCCCGTTCTCGCGATTCTCCTTGTCGCGATATAACAGCCGCTCCGGGACCTTACCCGTTAGTTTACCAACTGGTAAACTCTAGATCCTAGGAACTACGCCCGATAAGCACTTCAAGAGGCACTTATAGGGAAATCGCTGCTTTTACTACTAAAAGCGCCGCATTTACCACAAAACTAGGAAAAAGGGGAAGAGATCTTGGAGTGATATCATCTTATCAAGGCCACATTCTTCCACTCACAGGGGAATTCTACCTGAGACCCTGATTTGATGTGGGATAAGGATAATGCTACAGTAATCGAATTGACCGGTAGGCTCTAGTTATTTCGATCTCTTACTTCCTGGCCGATTGCATAGACAAAGTGATCTGTCGGCTGGATTCCATAGAATAATCATAGTCTGGTGTCTAGATAGCGGGGCAGCAAGTTGTTGAACCGGCTACACGAATAGTCTCGGACCCATGATTTGGTTCTGTAAAATTTAAATCGCGCCGAATTATGTCTCCAATGCAGTCAGTTGGCAAATTGGGTTTAAAGAATCTGAATTGGTGCGGGCAGGAAGTAAATATGGACTATCTAGTATAATCCATTCTGTAGACCACAAGACTTTAAATGCATTGTTGGAGGGGGTGCAAAGCATCGAGCGTCTGCAAGGGCTGCTATGGAACAAATACTAGGAATACATTCATCTGCACCAAGTGGCAAACCGTACCGCAAAGTTTGCAAAACAAAACCCCAGCGACAGCTTCCACACCGAGGAAGATAGCCTAGAGATGAAAGACTGCAGGACGCAGCTTCGATCGAGCGAGCACTCACGACGAAAGTCATACTAATTATAGCTTCGTCCTTGAGAGCAGATTCATTCTTATACTGCTTCATAGCATAAAAAATCTTCATCTCAAGGAGTGTGATTGTGTCGAGTTATCGATGAGAAAAGAAAGAAAACATCAGAAAGTTGATAACGCAAAAGAAATTGAAGGACGAAACTGAGGATTCCCATTCTATTGTCCACCAAGTTTAGGTCGCAGTGATTGAGTTGGTTTCCTTCAGTGCAACCATCATTCTCGCAACCCGTGTCTGGCGAAGACGCGCTCGATGTCGCTTCTCAAGTGTCCAGCGGTGCTCTGCAAGACAAGGTCGAGGTCATCGAGGACCATGCCCTCGCGGCCCAGAATCACTGGCGAAAGGAGATCTTCAGAAAGGAGAAATTCCCCGAATATATCAGAGAACCCCTCGCAGAGTCTTTCCAATGAATCACGCCAGCGATGAGTGGAGCTTGCAGAAACCATTGCGGAGCTTTGGCTTGGTGCATTGCCCTTGTTGCCCATTCCCTTGTTTTGAACAACAAAAGTGTCTTCATCCCCATCCTCATCTTCATCCTCATCTCCGTCTTCATCTCCGTATTCAACTTCATCATCTTCATCTCCACCTCCATCTTCATCTTCATCTTCATCTTCATCCTCAGCCATGCCTGTCTGTTTGTTTGCAACATTCCTGGTGGTCGAGCCTGAGTTCAGAGTAGAGAACAACTGGGCATTTTTGACCTTTTGAGCGGCCGCCTTTTTCTCTAGACTATTACACCAGCCATCCCCCTATAAAACATTAGCAGGAGCAATCTGATTTCTCTCATGAAAATAAGCTTACATCCTCGCTGGTAGCTGCTGGTGAGGTTGGAGGTTCGGGACCCTCACTTCGAAAGCCTGTACTAGTAGCTTGACCATTCGAACTGTCCAATTCCGAAGCTGTGCTGCCCAGGCCATTACCAGCGTCTTGATTGAGCGCATGTCTGTTCCCTGCACTTCCCTCACTAGCCTTCGCCTGTGGCATCTTGCCCTTACGGACTCCCTTTCCAACAGCCTGGTTCTTGCCTGAATTGTGCAATTTGTTTTCTTGATCAGCGCGAGCCTTAGGAGGTTGCTTGTCCATTTGGGATTTTCCCTTCTTAGCTTGAGCGACTGGCTTCATATCGTCGGCATTGTGTTCCTTGGGACGGCCAGCCTTCTTTTTGGTGGGCAACAGAGTGTTAGTATGCGATGGGCCGGCTTGATTGGCGCCATTGCTACCATATTTGCTCTCGTTTTCGTTCTTTCGCTTCTTGGAAGGAGGCAGCTTTGTACCATTATCATCAGGCTGTTCAGAAGGACCCTTGCGTTTCTTTGTTGGTGAAGCTGTACCTGCGATCATAGACTAATACAATGATTAGTAGGAAACAAATTGCCAAAGAATTAACTTACGGCAGATGGAGCCTGGGTCTGTTCCAGAAGCTGAGATTCAGCCTCATTCTCGGGATCCGATTCCAGCGCCTCTTCAGTAGCAGCTCCTAGCCCCTGGGGAAGGCGAATTGTCTCTGGAGTTGACGGCTGTTCCGCTGTAGTTGGTGGTCCGTTTTCCTTGAGAAACCTCAGTACCTTAACCGTGTGACTGAATCCGAATGGCACATAGTCTCCACTTTCGGTTTTGCAATGATTCAAGAAAAGCTCTTGCGCAGCTGCTAAGTTGGGGACCTTGTTCGCAATAGCCTTAACATTAGCAATTGCAGCAATTCCCATACTGACAGGGGTGATTTCAGCAGGGAAGGCCGCTTCAAGGCTGCCGATGTTCCATCTTTTCTTGATTGATTCAACTGAAACATCACGCACACGCTGTTGTTGAACGCTGATGACGCCTGCCTGTAAATTCGTTAGTCATTGATATAGAGGGAACGATTGATAATATGTAAGGTAAGTAGATACCTGGGGTATATCAGTATAGTTCGGACGGTAATGAGATCGGGCGTACCGTTCTTGCTCCTCCTGTATTTGAGGAAGGGGTTTTGCGGGGAGTATCATCCGCCATCTTAGCTAGGGCTACAGGACTATGCGTTAAGCATTAGTATGAATGTGAAGAGGCACGATACATATATCCAGAACATACCTTTGATTTGCGCGTAGTGCAGATAAAGCAAATTGCGACAAGGACGCTGTCTAGAGGTCACGGTTTGCTGTAGCAAAGGCACAGCTTGCACGCTACAGGACGCTAAGCACGTTAGTATTATATAAATTCACGTCTTAGATATTTAGTGGTGGCTTAATTGGCACTTACCAGCAGAAGGGCTTGAAGAGTTTGTTGTTGTCGTGGAGAATATTGGTTGACGTGGTAGGAAAGGGGAGAAAGGTCTTAAGGTGTTGTTCAAGTAGCGACGCGTTGCCGTTCAAAGATGAAGACTTGAGTACGCAATAGGCAGAAAAGCTTAAAAAGTTAAGTATTGTACAGTACATGCGGCAAGTTGGAACCTATCAGCTTCCAAGTTGCGCCTTAACAATGTGACCAACAAGAAGTGTAATTTGAAGGAACTTGGTAATTACAATGTCTACTGGGCTTCCGCACAAGAGGATATTCTCAAGGATTGGTTGGTATTTCATGAATCAATCCAGTGAACGAAATAGTCGTCCTAGGCTTGGTTTTCCCTACTTGCAGCAAAAGATGTACTACCTTCCAGGCATGGTTTTGGGTTCTGTAATTTCTCTCTTGGAATCAGATAATAGTGCAAAACTATGAGACTCAACACATCCGAGTTCGCTTTCAAGGAAGAATAAAATCCTCGTGGGCGTCGCTTTAAAGCTTGGTGGGATGCCCTGCCCTTCAGCTTATGCTTGGGCGAGAATTGGCCTGCCCGTCCTGTAGTATCAGATACTCTCGGTGACCAATCACTTTCGAATATTTTGTCTTGTCCAATATATGCTTTAGAATTGTGCCAAAGCTTAAATAGAAGTAACACACCTCTATACAACTATTCCAAACCTGAAGCTGTTGGCAGACTATAACCATAATGGAGCGTAGCTCTATCAAGACCATCTTATTCTAGATATCTCGACTCATATGAAGACGTAGACGACAGAGGTTGAAGATCCATTCTACTCTACCAAGGCACTTTCCAATCTGAGCTATGCCACGGCATTCTGCCAGCCGCGTAGTCGTCAACTCCAAAGTAGGAAGCGGCGACTCGGGCGGTAGCCCGGGAAAACAATAACCGACGAAGGGTAGGATATAGGACCAAATAAGCAGAAACCGTTTAATCTTCAGGAGAGTCTAGGAATGACGCGAGACACGGGGCCCTCCTCTCGTGTGTGAATTCTAGGGCGCTGAGGAGACGAACTGCGAAAGTGGTTACTCAAGCATATAGAGGAGTTTCGAGCGACTATATGGTGATCTACCCTACGGGCTAGACACTTCTACTTGAGTTTTGCCATTTTGAATGTTGATTTTGTTTTTTGATTCGCCTTGAGTATCCCCTTCAGGAAATAAAACTCTTTTGCCTTGCATCCTACTGTAGCATTTTTTATTTATTCTTTTGGGCTTTTGACTCTTTTGATTCTTTTTGGCTCGTTTGTTTACTTTCTGCGCAAGCGAGAGACTTCGCGGTGGGAAAGGGGGGAGGCGCGACCGTCGCCACGCTATCGAGAGACCTTCCCAAATTCCAAAACAAGCGACGAGGACCAAAAATCTATCCCTTGTTGGGGTTTACTTAAGGGTGGCTTTCTCTATTCAATGAATTTGTACAGGTAGTTACCATTTTGGCCGACTATTTGAGAGTGATGCAAAATTCGGGGTTGGTAGATGACTGCAGCTACAATACACGGAATTATCACACAAGCATGCTCTTTACAAGTTAACGCTGCACTGATTTTGCCTATCTAGAGGTATGGCGCATCAGGGACTAGAAGGAAGAACTGTAATTTTACATAACGCACTCATCACGTAAGAAACTTAGAAGCCTGATAATTACTAGGTATGTCATGTATTGTAGGATAGGTATCAAAGCAAAAGGACAATACAGTACTAGCAAAACTAATCGATAAGACTTAGAATGTATTTACAGATGCAACTATGCATACCTCTCTCATTATCTGCACATAAGTAACAAGGAATGCAAAAGGAGCAGTAGCCCCTATCGCTCAAAAAGAGCCAAGGTCCAAGAACTCCAGGCTGATGCCAACGCTAAAGCAAAGATATCATACAACACATCAAAAAGAGAAGTACCTTATGATATCTTCGCCGTCCGTTTCTTCGCTACAGCAATCTTTCCCGCTACTCTGCCGACATCCTCGTCAACTCTCCGAAGCATCTCGTTCTGCAGCTCCAATTCAGAATGTATAGCAAGACCCATCTCTTTCTGTCTCCTGACAGTCTTAGCCAACTCGTCCACATCGAGATCTTGATTTTGCATCATCTGCTTTTGTAACTGTAGTACGCCATCATTGTCCAACTCCCGAGTCTTATCCGTTTCAGGTACTGGGGCACCGAGAACCCGTCCAGCAGGTCTGGACACACTGGGTCCGAATAAAGCATTTTTATCCTGCTGCGAGGCCGTTGCACCTCCATTGCCACTCCCATTTGCAGCATTTCCCTTAACTGCGAGACTAACGGCCAGCTTCTCCAAGCCATCCCTCTCTACCCTCGCACTGCCGAGTAAATCTCTCCGCCTCCTCAGCTCGCCCGCTCCAACTCCAGATTTGCTATCACCACCCCTCTTTTCCCCTTCAGCCATGATTTTCAGACCCTCCTCCAAATTCCCAATCAAGCCCCCAGCCTTAACCAAGCACCTTTTCGCATTTGCCCCCGCCTCATACTGAGCCTGTGCCGTCGTAGCTCCATCCCTCCTTCCAAGAAATAGCCGCGCATCATGTAACTGTCCCTTCATCTCGCGGTGTAAATCCAGCCATATCTGCGGATCGCTCGCCACTTGTCCAGCCTGGTTGCCCAAAGCTCCCCTCTGCCTCGCTGCGATCAGCTCCCCTCTTGCACTACTCGCACTGCCACTTGCACTACTGCTGGGCAGATTCAGAAACGTTCGCCATACGGAAGTATCACGCCAGCGGCGGTCGGGGCACTCTGCTATGGCTCGGAGGTATTTCTCGAGGCCTACGCGGCGTGATTCGGTGAGTTCGGGCGACGAGGCTGTTGATTTAAACCATGATTTTGCAGGGAGCGGCGCTGGAGGTGGAGAGGAGACGATGGATGATAAAGAAGACTGGAGGGCAACGAAATCAGAGTAGCGCTTCTGGACGACGAAGGTGCGGAGGGGGAGGCGGAGGGTGATGTTGTATAGAGTGTATGGTTTCTCGTTTTCGGGTTGGTTGAGGATAGTTGAGGGGATGGAGATTTCTAGAGGCGGGGCCATTACTGTAACAAGATGGGATTTAGGGCGCCGCAAAGGGTAGGTTGATGGGATACTCCGAGTGTATACAGGTCGTGGTGAAGGGCCGTCTTGAGGGTTGTATGTTTAGAGTTGGAGTTGTGGTTGGAGTTGTACAGACCTTACCTAGGTTGCTGCCGCTCTGCATGACGCACCTTCAATAGCGCTGTGCTACACTGTGCTAGGCAACGAGTACATAGGTACTTAGGTACTTAAGGCACCTGACTGGAGTCCCTGGACGCCTTGTGGGGTTTTAGCTTCGGCCCCTTATAAGTATTACTCCGTAGATTTCAACGAGATCAGCAGTTTATATGGTATTACTTTATGAACGAGTTTCTAGACTAGAACGTATATTTATTTAAAAGACTTCTGGATTGTCAAGGCGGATCGATAGCTCTTTATTATAAGCCATGCAGCAGAAACAAACAATACAGCAGGTAGAACCCGTCAACGCTCATTATTCATGTATATGACCTGGCATGTGCTTCGTAACTCCGACCATCCAGTCTGGTCCCAATCGATTTTGAAACCTTCTAGGAACCCACTTGCCATCATATCATCATCATGACTCCGCCTAGAACGTCTCCTGGTCATCCACACCATCTTCCGCGGGTATCTCGAATCCGTCCTCCGTCGAGTAGAGGATCGCTTGGATATGCTTGATCAAACCATCCTCCTGTTTCTCGATCTCTGGATCGTCTTCGCATGCCTGTTGGACTAGCAGCTCGATATCTCGAAGCTTACTGAAGTAGAAGTCCCTCTCCCGCTCCAACCCCTGCACGGTTTCCTTGAGTGTGTTGTTCTCTTGCTGCAAGGCAGCAGACCCTGGACCAGCACCGATTCCTCTCGCGACCCGTCCGCCAGTAGTAGGAGTCGTGCCTCTCTTGGTTGCGCCGGCGGTTGTTCGTGATGTAGGAGCGGCAGCTGGAGGGGCACCGGAGCCACGTCGACGAGCAACGGCATCGTAATCGCCACCGGGAAAGTATTGATCCCAATACCGCTTCGTCCACTGGAGGAATTCGAGGTTGTCTTGCATCTTGCACTTGACTAGTTGTTCAACGTTCACCGGTCGGTCGATGCCATGGCGCGTGAAGGCGTCTAATGACGTCGCTATTAGTATCTCTGTCGTGCAACTTTGGGCCCGCTAGAATAACGTACTTTGAAGGATCTTGAAGTTTTGCAGATATGCATATTCGGTATTGACGCTGAACTTGACTCTGGACATTGGTATATCAAGATAGATACTATCAAAGACCTGGCACAAGGCAGCACTGCGTTCGAAGATGTCAGTTTACCAGCCTTACCAACCATGGCCGCAGGGACCAAGTGGCAGCGGGGGTCAACTCACCCAGTACCACATTGCTCAACCTTCGTGATGTTTAGTTGGAGGAGATTGTTGAGCCACGAAACGAGCTCTTGTCTGCAGAAGCCGTGAAGTTAGCATGCTGCGTCATTCTAGGGAGTTTGAAATGTGTTGCGACGGACCTAGACTCCCCCATCTTGAACGTAGACTAGTATTAAAGATCGCGTGGGTGTTGCCGAAATATAGGGAGTGGTCTTGGGGTATAGTCGTTCGTGGAGGTGCTCAGACTTTATGAGCGCGCAGTGGGGTTGTGATGAAAGAAGGTTACCAAGATTCAGGGTTAAGTTGCCAGCCAAAATAATCGAAAGGGGAATGTTTTGGGGGGTACGTCGCGTACGGTCACGTGCAGATATCTCAGTTACCCCGGCAATCATTACTAGTATGGATTTCTTTATATTTGGCCGGGATAAATCACACCTCTCAGAGACGCAGCGATAGTATAGGACTCTGTTCTGGTTCCTTGCTATTTTCGTGATTTATGAAAATACAGTTGTGTTATTTCAGAAGTATCTACGACGTGTTTCCGCAGTACAATCAACAGCATGATAAAAGGGCATTGCATGGCATATATGTACTTTTGTGCTAGAGAGCTATGTATCTCAATGCTACAAAATTTCCTTAAATGGAACGGGAGCTATTCCTGTCTTTGGTGGATCCCCCACTCGGCGCCAGCACGATGATGCAAGAAGCTAAGAAAATGTATGTACATGAAGACAACGTGGGTATCTTGAGATCCAAATCCGAGATCGCGCTCCAAGCTGGCTGGAGACAACGTGCCACCTACGACCTGAGGTGTTAACCAGGTTATACTTGGAAGACGGAAATGGCAGCGCAGAAGTTGTTTCGGTTATCCTTATCCAACGCCGCGCTATTGCCATTCACGGTGACCATATTCTTTGCCGCCTTGGTAGAGATACCATACAGATGGACTCCACTAGATTTCTCTAGAGAAATCATATTATCTTGGCAGTTTTGGTTGGCGAGACAGTCTTGCGAGTAATTTTCCTAGATAATGAGTCAGATTAAATGTTCCAAAGGGCGATGTAAAGACGTGATAAATCACTCCTTAGTTCAGAAGAGCGAGTGACTTACAAAGAATGAATAGAGACCGCCACCGAAAACGTAGACATCCTTGGAGTTGACAACACGAAGACCCCATGCCTTATTTACGCTGGCAGTGCCTGAGAATGAGGGATCCGAGAATTTAGCATTCGATGTGAATGGCGTGGTAGCATCCGGGTTGCTCTGGAAGTAAGGTGTCTCGGTTTGAATGAGCGCCATATATACATTTGCGGCGTTTGAAATTTGGTAGTTGTAAAGAACGTTGTGTTCCGAGCTAGTACCCATCAGCCACACGGGGCCTTGAGCAGATTCAACAAGAACACCACGGCCGTTGAAGATATTGATCTGGTTATGGTCGCCTGCAAGATTGTTAGCAATGCCTCTATCGTACTGTGGAAACCGGGAAATGCTCCAGGGAAAATGCTACACGTACCAAGATCGAGCTCGTGATCCGCCACCCAGAACCAATTATTCTCCACATAAACTGATCCTGTCGAGGTGACATGGAGGAGGAGAAAGGCGCCAACACACTCAGGCTTTGCTGCTTGAATGACGCTCGGGTTTTTGGAGCAGGTACTAGATTGCAATTGGGTGCCGGCTGAGCCTCCAATGCGAAAGTGGACGTCCCACGTTCCCGCTGAACCTTGAGATGCTCCCTTAAGATTCCACTCCATCAGGATGGCGCCGGGTTGTGGGCCGAGAGTTTCGAATATCATGTCAGAAATTTCCACGTTTCCGACATCACCTGGTTGTCCAACTTGGAAGACTGGTTTTGGGTTTGCTTGATCCTTGAATGCTGTTCCTCCAGCCATAATGAGAGGCCAAATTTCGCCAGTGATGCGAATATTCTTGGGAACTCTAACGGTATCTGTGACCACGTACGCACCGTGGTCAAAGTAGACAATATCATCCGCACCAGCGGAGTCAAACAAAGCCTGGATGGCTTTGGTGTCATCGGTTTTACCTAATTCAAGGTTAGTAATGGTTCCGATCATTAACTAGGAAGAGGCAATTAAACTTCCAGAGGAAAACTTACCATCACCCTTGCAACCTGCAGCCTTAGCACTCTTGAACGATGACACAGGAACCTTCTCGTACTGCGGCCTTGATCGTGTGAAAACACGACCGGCAGAGTTCAGAAGACCAGCAGGCTTGGCAGGAGCATCTAGCGGTCCCTGAATCACCTTACCAGCCGCTCCACTAGAATATTGGCGTCCCTGAGCCCATGATGCCACTTTCGTGTTTCCTGCCAAAACTGTAGCCTTGTTTGCCGCATTTGAGACAGCTACAGGGACATTGTTTGAGAAGTCAACGTTGTCGATGATCAGAGATCCATTGGTTGCCCCTTCGTTGGTGGAATAGGCAGTGGAGATTCCAATAGGAGTGTTGGCGATGGTGCTGTCAACAAGCAGAACAGAGCCAACGGTCTGGGATTGTGTGCCTCCATTGGCCATGTCAATACCAATTCCGCAGTTATTGATCGAAATTCCGGACAAGGTCCATGCCTGTTAACGATTCTGGTCAGCAACTCTACTCCGAAAAATGATGGGCAATATTCTTACCCAATTCCAATTCATAAAGATCGCAGTTCGGCAGTTATTGAAGACCAGGTTGCGAGTGGTGAACTGCTGGCTGCCCAAGAAAGCGCCATAATTGCCGCCATTGAAGGTCAAATCAGTCATGAAGCCACCGGAGCCATTGTCCATGAAGATTCCTTGCTGCCTGTTCGCGTCTCCGCCATCTGTTCTCATATTGAACACAATGTTCTGTAAGCTAGTTGCTTGTGCAACCTGCCAATGAATACCAGCTCCAGCTCCAACTGGCATTAAAGTTGTATCAATAATAAAGTTTCGAATTTGGCGGAAAAAGTTGTTTTGATTGGTAAACCAGTTTGCACCACCATCCAAATACGGATCAGCGTCCATCAGAGCCATCCCAGTAAATCCGGCAGTGGCCTTGATAGTCGGGAGTGTAACCGCATCACCAATAAACTGGGTATAGTAGTATTGGATGAGGGGCTTGCTGACCATGTATGTTCCAGGTGGGAAGTAGATGATGGCAGGAGTCACAGTTGAAGAGTCACAGTTCAGGCCGCAGCGAGATCCAGTGCTGATAGCGTTGTTGATTGCAACGGTATCATCGGTAGAGCCTTTTGGGAAAGTTAGATAAACTGCGTACGTCCTAAACTGGGAAGAGGGAAACATACCATCACCCTTAGCACCAAAGTCCTTGACATTGCGGAAAACTTGGAAGCTAGAGCTGCCATAAGCCGGGCTTCCCTGTCTCTTGATTGAAGCAAGCCAGTATGTGCTGGCGCTGGCGCTGACGTCGGCAGCCACAGCCTGAGGACTGGGAGCTGGCGCTGCGGAGACGAGCAGAAAGAGGCGAAGGGCCACCAGGAGTGATATGATCGAAAACGAAGCCATCGCAAAGTAGTACCAGCTGCCGTACGAGGTTCTTAAGGAGTGTAATGGCTATCCGCAGGAGTGTTGTCAGTAGTCTGTCTGGTATTTTTGAAATCTTGGGAACATGAAGGGTACTTTGTGGGTTGAGGTATAAAGTTGGAGGAGCAAGAGCAAAAGAAAAAGTAAGGGGTTAAGCAATTGTCTTTTGTAGAGAGATAAAATAGGTAACGACAATAGGAAGCAGCAGCCATTTCTTTTTTCCGGTTGGTATTGTCTTATCCTGACAACATGAGGATGGTGAATGTGACCACGAGTGCCGAGTCTATTCAAAACCACGAGGCAAACACAACATGTGCATGGAACAATACCAAGCAAGCCAGACAACAGCCACAACCACAAGGACAATAACAAGGACAATAGCAAACTGGGTAGCACTCACAGTTGGGGGGGGTGAACGTCTCGCACAGTGGATGGACCAAATAGAATGATGGCAACGACTACTGGGGTCTGGTGTGTGGCGGCATACTTCATCAGGGTGATTGCCAGCCCTTATATGGAAATCCTCATCTTGCTTCACGCCCACGCAAACGCCCTCCGCGTCCGAGCTTGCCCACCACCACGGCATATGTTTAAGTCCACGCCCATGTCCATGCCCAGATCCAAGTCGTTGGCCATGGCTATGTCCAGCAGGAGAAACGCCGTGCGGCCCCAGCCAGTTTGATTGAGACTCATGATGAGGATAGCCGGCAACTGGGGGAGACATGTCTAACAGGGGCCACCACAACCGCGTCCTGGAATGGTATCCGCGGTGCTCAGCCCGAATCAGTCAATCGACTACGAAGTACCTCCGTACTTGGTACATGCGAGATCCTGTACTTCGCACCTGTGACCACTATCATGCGATGCCTCTCAGATAGATGGCCCGATTTGAAACCGTCCGACTGGGCGCCCATTCCCCATTCAAACGGAACGAACCGACAAGAACGTCCACCGGGATGGCGAGGCGTCAAGAGAGGCTTGCTGGGCCCTGGAAGGCTGGAAGACGTGGAGAAACCCTTATTATTATTATCCAGGGGCAGATCAATGCGTATACGGCCGGGGAAAGGAGTGGCGGCGGTGGAGGCACCGATGGATAAATGAGCAGTGGTGTGCCTGTCGATGGTCGTTGAAAAGGGGCCAGTGAAACCTGGGGTTGTGGCGCTGCGGCTACCACTGCCTTCTACTGCCTACTCCTATCATACCAGTAACCAGACCCTTACAAGTACAAGTTACAGTACAAACTCTAGTCTCTAGCTCTTGCGGCTTCCAGGAAGTGCTTCCGGGCCAACGTTACGGAATCATTGCTAGACTCCGTAATCTTAGGCGTTTGGTTTGCCCGCCACCTGCCTTCTCCAGCATAACGCCCACTAGTCGGTCGATATACTCCAGTATCACAGCATCATTCCGGCGACGTCCTATGGAGTAGGGAGTACAAGTACAGGTCCAGTCCAGTGCTGTAGGCGTATGCCAAGGGGAGGGAGGTGCGTGCAGCCTCCAGGAACTACGCACCAGAGAACTCGGAAATCGAACCCGATCTACCAGCCACCGGGCGCCAGCCATTTCGGGCATTTAGGGTTGGGATCTACAGACCAGCACATAGGGAGCCGACGGGAGATTTAGATGTTTTACGTGACGGGGGAGAAGCGCCGAATACCGGACGACCAGACCAAAATGGACAGCATTAGACTTTGCATCCCCTAGCTATCTCGATATGGTCCGTACCGTCCGATCGGACCATGGGTCATGGAAAACATCACAGCTTCCAACGACGCGGCAGCATGTGCAGTCAGGAGGCCAAGTCCTTAGCCGGATCGTCCACCCTCACGATTAGATCAGATGTACCACCCCGCAATGCGACCCAACGTTGCTTCTCAGATCACTTGTGAAGAAGAAACGGAAGAGGAAGAGAAAGAGGCATCTATTCCCGCTCGGCCCGTTTACGCATCGGAAGCTGAACATTCGAGCGTGACTACTCTCAAATAATTGCTAGGCGCCGAGAAGACGATGCGGTGGTGTTGTCAACCCCACGCACTAACCACCACGCTTGAATACCCCCAAAATAGCCTCGTGCAATACCAGAATCGCCTGCTGGCATGTGTTTACGAGTAATGATCAGGATTTGCTATTTTGTTTCACAGAAAGTGCTGTGGACGTCTTGGTTGGTTGGAGGCGACGTGGTGTTTCGAAACAGGAGACCTGACGAGGGACAAAAAGCTGAAACCAAGAGCGTCTCAAAGTTGGGATGAACGAACGACTCTAATCCAGGCAATTATTTCTTTTCCATTACAATTTACCCTGAGGCTGCTCTTCGGCTGGATCCCAAGGTACCGAGTCCCGCGCAGTACTCTGGGAAAATATAGCCTCTTGTTTCCTTTCTCTTGCGTCTACTTGCGTCGCTCAATGAGTTTCGTTGTTGTATGCCTCGCTTGCACGAGTCTATCTTAACCGCTCGACCCCAACCATATCCCCAGATTCTAGTTGCACGGACCTGGGGAAACTTGGGGGAATTGTTTTTATTTGGGATGGTGACCAGATTTCGGCGGATTCGGTGATTCTTTCGAAGCCATCTCCGGGGTTAGTTCCCTGGGCCTTTTGATACTATTCCAGGACAATCAGTGAGGTGCGTCATAGTTCTAATAACTTAGGATTTGCGAAATTTATATTGGTCGCTCGACGAACACACCGAACTTAGGTGAAGGTCATCCTAAGTGGAAGGTCATCATAAGTGGGAGAATGGACATATGCATCCTAGTGAGATCCAGAGGGTATTCTATTATCACATTCTTGCTTAAGATGGAAACGCCGCTGCCGCCAACCCACTGGTATCATATGCTTTCCCAAGCAATAGCTCGGTGGTGTATCCCATTATGGATTAAGTACGAAGTATATCATTTGGTCTTTCTATGGAAAGCTGGGGAAGACTCGGTGTAATTGCGGGATCATAAATATGCACCTCTTTGAGCCTGCAGTTGTAACTCCTCACACCTCACACATTCACAAGGTACAGTACCTAGGTACCGAGGTGCTGCGCTTTATTTTATTTCAATCTTGATATTTTATGAAGAGCAGAGCTAGACTAATATTTCTTACGCCCCGAAACACTTATCATATCCTGTGAGTGTAAATCGATACTTAACATCATTATTGTGGAGCCTCGTCAACGCTGTTTTCAGTCCCTCTGCCCCAATATCAATCTCCTCAACCCAACTCTGAATCCCTTTATCGGCCGCTAACTGCAGCATAGCAAGCACCTCCTTCCGGCTTCCTAGATGACTGGCTCCGATTAAGCATCCGTTACTCAGGAAAGTCTGCGCTTTAACCTCCTGTCCCTGTCCCTCAGGCAAACCCACACTAATCCACCTCCCATGCACATCCAGGAGGCTCAAATATTTCTCTAGGTCGAATCCCTCACTGCTACTCGCCGTATTGATGATCAAGTCAAATGTGAAGGTGTGCGGTTCGTTCCAGTCCTTATCCGCAGTGGCGATGAATCCGTCAGCACCCATCTTCTTCGCATCAGCTTCTTTCGAGTGTGTCCGCGAGATGACCCAAGTTTCTGCTCCCAGAGCTTTCGCAAAGAGAAGACCGAAATGTCCAATCCCCCCTAGACCCACGATACCGACCTTCTTGCCTGGGCCACAGCCATTACGCACAAGAGGACTATATGCCGTGAGGCCGGCGCAGAGCATCGGAGCTGCTTTATTCGTGGCGACGCCATCGGGGATAGGGAAGACCCTTTCCATATCCAACATCAGCTCCCGCTGCCATGAATTAAAGCACATATGAAATAGTCTGATACGGAGAAAAAGAGGTAAACATACCAGTGCTCATGGGTTCTCACGTATTCTGAGTAGCCGCCCTGGGAGACAATTCCCGTTTCGGGCCACACAGCACCATATGTATCCAATTGATGACGACAGTATGTCTCATTATCATTCTTGCATTGCTTGCACTCGAGGCAAGAGTACGACTGTGCGCCAACTCCAACGCGCTGGCCCTCCTTGATCAGCGTAACCTTCCCTCCAACGCGCACCGCAGTCCCGACAATCTCTGCCCATGCCGTCAGCATATGCATCTCCTCTCCCTTCCTCCCCTCCGCATCTAATCCGAATACTGAATGTACACATACCATGCCCAACACATAACGGGAACTTCTGTTCTCCCCATCCACCACTAACAGTATGTAAATCACTGGCACAAACACCGCAAGCCAAGATCTTAATATCGACGTCGTAGTCACCGAAGGGTTTTGGCGTCAGCTCATTAAGGTGGAACTCCGTCCATTTCGCTGGATCTTCGATTTGGAAACCTTTCCAGGACTCGGGATACGGCATTTTTGAGGGATACGGAAGTGTAATAGGAGCACGGAAGATCAAATAAGAGTGCAAGAAGTCAAAAAATGAAGCAATTCCTGAATTTGCAGAGCAAACTGTGCCAGGTATTGTACCAGACTATATACCTCAGGACTTCCCCAGTGTACGTAGGCGGGGCAGCTCAATTAATAATTTACCCCTCCTATCGTCCTGTACAAAGGTAACCCCCACCCTATACTTCGTAACTTAATAGGTGTATCCCACTTCCTAAGAAATGTTGCCTTGTGGCGACGGCTCTAGACGCGACTGGCATCGCATCGCGGACCGCATTTTGCCACCAATCGGCGCGGAAAGGACTCGGAGACGTGGAAGGCGTGGATTGTTTCCGAGTTGCTGGATAGAACGATTGCTAGGAAATCGGCTAGCCCCATCTTACCTAGGTAGTAATCGGACAATACGAAGACACTATCACTGCCGGTCCCAATGCAATGGAATTGTTTACATGGTGATTGAATTGCGATTTGCTAAAGGCAATGTGATTGCGGATCTAAGGTATTATAGTCCCCATTATCCAGCCCGTCCATCCGAAAATGAAAAAATCAATTGCCATATTGCTCCAAACTCCAGCCACCAGGCTCGCCGGGTTTGCTGCGAAAAAGACTATGGGTAGTTATACTTTACAATACCAATTACAAAATGTCTTCCGTGTCACCTCATCTTCTACCTCCTTTCCTGCTCCTCTTCGGCCTGGCCTTTTTGGCTTTCGTGACGGTAGGCGGGGCGACGACGATATCATCGTTTCCCTCAGCAACATCCAATCCAAGTCCTAGGCCCTTCAACTCATCGTCGTCCATATCACTTAGATCTTCACTCAATCGAGATATAGCCTCTCTGCCAGTCCATTGTTCTTCCGAAATGGTTGTCCCTTCTGGATGGAATTCCTTGAGGTACCAAGGAATTCCGCCTGTGGTCAGAGAATCCGCGCGATCAACGTTAATATCGCCATTTGAGAGCGGAGGTGTAGGGGGGTTGTTATTCTGAACAGCGGATGCATTGCCATTGGCGCCGGAATGTTTGTTGCCCTTGGTGCCGTTGACAGCATCTGTTTTAGTTTGCGATATGTTCGCATCAACTTCAACAAGCGCTATGGCAGACGTACCATTTTCTATGTCGTCTTCTTCGCCAGGTGCATCCACGTCCTGCATTTCCACGTCGTCGTGCCCAGAATTCTGAGCTATACCATTCGCCAGCTCAACACCATTTGACATGTGAACGTCGCCTTCATGCTTCATCTCGGCATCTGCCAGCGATGCTGAATCGCCGACTGATACGGCAATCGTATCTCCCGTTACCTGGAAACTAGATTCTAGTAGCTGATCTAATTCCTGCACGAGTTCTTCCGCAGATTTGCCAGAAATATCAGCCTCGGCACGGACGGCCAGTTGAAGTTGAGGCTGGACGGCTTTGATGATCCTCTTGCCGAGTTTCTTTCTCTCCTTTACGTCGTGAACGACATGCCTTACGATCTCGCTCGAAACCGGTACATCAGGGTCTTGGACCGGTTGTGATACTATGCCGTTGTGGACCACTGTGCCAAGATCCTGGGCAAAAGCCGTGGCTGTAGTGTAGAATCGCTGCTCAACTCGTTTCTGCAGTTCGATTAGACCGTTGGTAAAGACCAGTTTTATATCAAGCCTGCGCCAAGTTAGCCATCGTGGTCAATCGAGCGGTGTAACCTGCCAAGCAAGCATGTTTTCTAGATTACGGAGCGCTTTAATTTGCTGGCAATATAAGAGATAACTTACGCTAGGGCTTTATTAATGATTGGCGCGAAGAATTTGGCGACTGGAAAGTATACAGTGTCGACAACATCTTCTTCAAGCTCGACTGCCGTAAGTTTCTCTCTTTCTCGCTTCACAGCATCTTCTGCCAAAGCTTTCAATCTTTCTAGATCTTGAGTCAAAGTCTCGGCGAACTCGATCCGTCGCGCAAGTCTCGGTCTACCAGCGGGTCCCATACCAGCAAAATTGCGCCGGGTAATCTCCATAGAAGAAAACGTCTCCATCTGCAATTGTAGACGCTTGAGGAGCGCCGCCCCTCGCCGTGCCTCGCGCTTGAGGGTCCAGTATCTACAAGCATCGGCTGCATATTCTTTGCGTTTGCGAATATTGAAACGTTGAAGCGAGCTTTCAACCGAGTTGAATACGACCTGGGGAATGACTGGTGCGCCGGAGGGGAGCTTCCAAATCGCCTTTGGCGGCTGCGCGCCTTTCTTGCTTTCGGCCAAGGTTAATGATGCTTTGACACCAGCAATTTGCGATTCGTCTGGGGGATGCTCCATAATCGCATGACGGTGTGTCGCAGCCATTGCTAAAGCCGACGCTTGACTATCCGCCCATAGGCGACCGCGCATAGCTCTCTTGTAGTAAGAACGTGCTGCCCGTGTTGCCCCGGGGACATCGTTCTCTTTGGTATAATCTGAAGGACAGTGTTTGTCGCAAAATGCCTTCAAAACAGCATTTCCATCCAGTACAGCGAGAGTGCCGTGGTTATTTTTCATTTTCAGGAATAGGCGAGCCCGTCGAGCGCATGTAACATGGAACGCCTGGTAGCAGGCCTTGTTGCCGCACTGGATACAAGCACCCATCCGTTGATGGCATAGATAGCAGGTTAACTTCCACCGCGTCTTTGGTACCTTCTCCACATCCATCACTGGCTCCATAAATGTATGGTTACCAAGAGAGACTTCAGGAATCCACATTGCGCAGAGGAGATGGGCCCACTTCGAGGCATTTGTTTGCTTGAACGCTCCATCGGTATTTGGACAGAAGATGCAAGTCTATAAAAATGTTAGCTGGTCTACTATTCATCCATTAAATGAGAGGGCTGAAAATGCATACGGGGATACCGCGACCAATCAGCTGGCACTTCCGACACAGCCACTGGCCTTCCGGGATAAATGGAACACCATAGCACTCCTGATGTACAGCCAAGTCACAGCCATCACAGAATACAATGGCGTTTGTATTCTCACAATCTCCGTCATCACAAATAGCGCACTTGCTATCCTGCTCCTCTCCAGCTTGAGGCTCGCCATTGACAGCAGCGGCGGAGCTCGATCTCGGGCGATGCGTTTGGGGCGGCTTCGGATTTGGTTTTGGTATGCGCTTCTCTAACGCGTGCCACTCCTTTTCGATTTTGGTGATTGCAATCTCGAATATTTCCCGCGTAATCGGCTCAAACCCTGCCATTTTCCTATCCGCATTGTATTCTTGTAGCCATTTATCATCTTGCTCGTCCATATCGTATTCTACGCGACCGACACCACCGCTACCAAGCGCTACGATGCCTTCGCCGTTGCTCTTATGGCTAGGGCCGAGATCAAGATCTTCTTCCAGATTTGAGTCGGAGACTTTGATGAGTCTATGTGGTCGACGGATAAAAACATCCGTTTCTTGATATCCAACGTTGGCCATGGATTTGTCCACATAACGGACCAGTCCAAGAGCTTTATCTTCGAACCTAGCCAAGGTGTCCGTTTTCCGATACGACGGTTGTGGCAATGTCAACTTCTCCTTTGCGTTGATGTTTTGCACCGGGGGGCTAACTTTGGGCACCTTTTGGAGGATTCCCGGAGATTGTAAGGTTACGCCAAGCTTCGCAGCTTTGGCAGCATAGAACGCAGCGGGATCTTTGGGAGGACGGCCAGGTCTTCGCTTTCCTCCGCCAGGCGTTCCTGGTATGGCAATAGTCAACGCGGATTCTCCGTTCAGGGAAGCGGCAGGCGTTGGGATCCCTTCATCCTTCACCTTCAGTGGCTCAAATCCATTCGGAGTGAGACTGCCATTCGCGCCAGTAGCGGAGCCATCGGTTGACAGAGGCGCATTTGTGGGAGTGACGGGTCTCGACTCTGGTATTCCCTGGACTTCATATGCAGTAAATGCGCGGAGCGCGCCTTCAATATCCAAGTTTGGGTGAAATTCCTCCCATGCTCTCTCTTCTCTCGGTTTATACGCGTCGTTCTGCACTACCGCAGCGACCTGAGCTGCGGAGCTGAACCTCATTGGCGGTTGTTGTGAGCGTGGAAGGACTGTTCGAGTTCTGGTGCTTCGATCTCTTCTCGGATAAACTTGTGGAACCAAGCCCATCGCGGCGTTCTGCCGTCCGATGCGCCCACGCGGTCCAACATAGTTGTATCCTCCAGGACCCGTTCCTCCCACAGGCAGCTCCGTTCCATCTTCGTCCACATATCTCCCTCCGCCACCTGGGCCGCCCGGTATGTATCTTCGTTTCTTTAGTGGGGGCTCGGACGAGATGTTGGCAGGAGTCGATTTCTCGGATCGTGAGGCCGCGGCGGCAGATCTAGGGCGGCTCGAACGAGCTCTGCTCGACGCAGGCCGACGAGGCGTCCCAGGCACAGGAGTCATGACGCCTGACGGTGCGGTCTCTCCAAGATGCTGGTGAATGTTGCCTTGCTTGCAACAGCGCGCGTTGACCCCTTGGGGTGCACGTTAAGGAAGGCGAGAAGCGTGGTGAGGGTTAGATGGCATCGGGATCTGGTGGTTAGACACAGGTAATCGCGTATTATCCACGTAGGACGTCTTGTAGAGTACTCCCGCGTAGATCTTGGGCATGAGAGATGCGATGTGGTTGTTGAGGTTCTGCTGGGCGATGCGCTGCTCCTCGCGTTAGGAGGTCCTCGCCGGTCGTGCAGATGTGGCTCGTGCGGAGGCGATGCCGCAAATAGATAGTTAGCCGAAAGCTTATTTTACGCCGTCGCGAATCTGGGGACAGAGAATCGCCCGCAAAATGAGTTCTGACGTGCCACTTGCATATTCCAAACGCCGCGGGACAGTACAATACATATTGCGTATACTTGTACCTGGTAGCTATCCATTATGAATTATGTTGGTTTCCACAGCAGCACTTGCTCAATCGCTTCGTATCCACGCAACGCGTCGGATCTCGATACACATCAGAGCCTAGTTACGCCGAGCTTTGTCCCAAGTCTGCAAAGGAGGGTCTTCTTGAATGGGCCGCTGGGGTTTCCTAGAATGCAACGCGACTGATTTATATTGGGGTGAAATTCTTCGAAGGATCGTCGCTCTATAGGTCCTATCACACCAAGAGAGCGCGCGCCTTAATGAAACTGAAGCGTGGGTTTCGGAGCCTGACAAATAACAACCGTCAATAAGCTCTTAAGGTTCGTGCAAAAAAGTCGATGCTCAAGCTCGTATTACAATTCTCAATGAGGGTCCATGAACCCCGACGCTCTTAGAACGTTATTCTAGTGTGGAGCGCCACAATGCCACTGGAATGAATGGCTTGTTCTATCGCGGTTAAACCCTGTATGTCGAGTGGCAACGCAACTCTATCCATAGCTCGAAAGGACTCAAGGAGGCATTTTAACTGGATGAGCTACTATTGAAATATCGGGGATCAGAGCATTTTGCTTCAAGGTTGGGCATCGTGATACCATTCGTAAGCAGCTGCAAATTATATTTCGCATCTATTCAAACTCGCCTTTTCACCCATCCTTCTTATTATAATATTTCTCGCATATAATTGCATCGCTCTCCCCAATCTCCCACGCCAGTGCTAAGCCTCCCGTGCTGGGGTTTCCCATTCATAGTTCGGAATACATCAACTCTGTTCCCTGCCCAAGACGTGGGACCTGCGTAAGCGTAGGAATTACTATCGGGTCGGGCCATCTCACCAATTCCGCTAGAGCTGACAACCTATAATTATCTCAGGTACGCATTTCCCCAGACCGAGGGATTCTCTAGCAATCATGCAGAAGTTGTGGACGATACTGGGGCAGTAAAGGGGCGACCAGCACTCCGACCATACCTAGTCGCAACACAACGTACATGTACATTTTCACGATAAAAGCGATTAAAGTTACTTCTACCTAAGGATTATAAATCTGTAATTTATACACTAACACACCGGACCTTCTCGAAATGTTATGAGCACAAGTGACATACCAAGTATTTAATTCATGTCCGGAGCTGTAATTTTCACCGCTCTTTTTCGAGATGCCAAGTATCACCAGGCTCTTGCTAGACCGAGTTTCGGCGTCGCATGTCACCCAATCTATAGAATAATCCAACAGCAATACAGGAGAAAAGTCAAAGGTCGCTGCAAATTATTGAAAATAATTCGTTGACCCTCCGTTAATAAATTTTTAGGAAGAGAGATTGTTCATATTGCCGGTAACTTCTCATAAAATGCAACTAAATTAAAAATGTGCCTATCAAAAATACACGAAGGCAATTGACCATACAAGCATCAACTAGACCATCTTAGATAATAATTAAACAATAAGGGATGCTATTTTTTATTACCTATAGCAAAAAGACGCCCTCGACCCTGTTTAATGACCTATCAATTGATGTGGTAATTAAAAAATTATAAAAATACTAAGAGCTTCCTAAAAATGCAAGATTTAAGCATCTAATTGCATTATAGCATAGCCATATGTTTAGCTCTTCGGAAGTTTAATAAAACATTTTATCGCTATATGGCTGTTGCAAATAGTGTTGAAGTGATTTGGGTGGTGTGCAGCAAGTAGATTTAAATTTAACTAGAAAATTGAAGTTCGACTTCCAAAACAAACACTAATCAAGTCTAAATAACGTTAGCTTAAAAGCCCACCTTTTGCACTTATGTAGTACTCTACTCGAGTCTTGAAGGTTGGAATTTTCCATATATTTTAAGCTGTCTTGTACAAAGTAACCCGGAAGAGCTTCGGATGTCCAGCCAACCCCTGTCCACAACTCTCCTCCCAGTTGAAATGAACCTTGACCCCAAAGCTCCCCGCAACAACGTTCGCAGGAAAACATGGCCTCTTTCGCACCCTACGCCTACATACAATGTCCCTGCACAGAATCCAACCTTCCTACGCGTCGATTAGGTTCTGAAAGCCCAACAGACCCATTGGAAACCGAACAGGAAGAGCCCACCTTCGATCCACGAGCTCCGCGAGCAAACTACAGCTTATATCCCCTGGAACATCTCCTATATTGCGAAGACTGCCACCAGATACGATGTCCGCGCTGTGTGATAGATGAGTTAGTTGCATGCTATTGCCCGAATTGTTTATTCGAGGTTCCGATTAGCACGGTTAAGAGTGAGGGGAATAGGTGCGTAACTCTTTTCCTTGGATCTGCCTGGAAAGGTGTACTGATTATTGACGGTGTGTCTAGATGTACGCGAAGTTGCTTCCAATGCCCTATATGTATCGGGCCTCTATCTGTTAGTAGTATTGAAGCGCAGCGCGATGGTCTCGGAGCCGAATTTGCTGCGTATGGAGGGCCGTATGTGCTGAGCTGTGGATTCTGCAACTGGAGTTCCGACGAAATAGGGATACAACTGGACAAGCCGAATTCCATCTATAACCAGCTGGCGAAGATAAGGCACGGTGGGAAATCGCTTACCAACGCGCGAGAGCGACGGAAGGAGCGCGAAGAGCGAAGCAAATTGGGGTACAGCCCGACAATCGAGGAAGAGGGAGGATCAGAGGACGGCCAAGAAAAGACGGATTTGAACGCCACCGAAGATTTTGATGCTGAAAGCCAGTTTGGAAACTTGAAGGCCTTCTATCAGGCGCAATTGTCGGAGTCTTCGCCAGTCAGTAGCTTGGGGCTTCCGGGAGATTATAGCTATGGATCACCGGGGGCATTATCGAGAATTATGGGTCTCTATACAGGAAGCAGTTTCGCAGACAAGAAGTCACGGACGAAGAAGGGTATCATGAGGGAAGCACGAGATGCGCCCGAGGGCTTACACATATTCTCGCCCTCATCAGACGAAGAAGCCGTCAACCGCCTCCGCACTGAGGGTTGGGGTAACACGGTCTCTACCACACAACGAAAAGAGCAATCAGAGCAAAACACGCATTTCCTATCCGACCTCCGTCCTATACCCTACCTCCTCCGGACCAGGCGCTCAAAGCGCTGCAAAACATGCCGCCACATCCTCTCAAAACCAGAATCAAAAGTCCACTCCACACGCTTCCGAATCCGGCTCGTGGCCCTAAATTACATCCCCAGCATCACCATCAGGCCGCTCCAAACCTCTAGCTCGAGCCTGCTCAGGCCCATGAAGCCTACGCAATTCCTTCTCACGTTCAAGAACCCCCTTTTCGACAGCGTGAAGGTTAATATAGCTACCGCGGCTAAAACACCAGGGCGCTTCTCGAGTAAAGTCACTGTATTGTGTCCGCAATTCGAGGTAGGTGCTAATACGGATGCTTGGGAAGAAGCCCTACGAGAAGGAGGCAACAAAGGCGGGGAACGGGAGAAGCGGAGAACGAAAGCAGAAGCCAGTGAAGGCCAGCATCAAGCTGAGGCTGGGAAGGTGTGGGAGCGGGGTAGGAACTGGGTCAGTGTTGTGGTGGAGGTTATCCCTGCTTCCCTAAGAGTGCAAGCACCGGCGTTCTTGAAGAGTGAGGAGTTACAGAAGGACGAGAGTCCGTTGAGGGAGGATGAGGATGTCCTGGAGATTCCAGTTTTTGTTAGGGTGGAATGGGAGGCTGATCCTACACATGATGATACAGGAGGTTTGGCGGCCGCGGGGGCGAAGGATAAGGAGGTTAAGGAGAAGAGGGAATTGGCGTATTGGTGTGTTTTGGGGATTGGGAGGATTGCTCGGGATTGAGAGCAACGCAATATACCCATTTGATACTTGCATACTCATACACACATACACATCAATATTTTGGATGGTGAATTTTGCAAATTTTGTCCTGATCATGGCATACATGGTTTCATAAACCTATCTATAGCCCCCCATGATGACACACGAAGAGTAGCCAGCCACAAGTTTTAGTTGCATGCCAGCCCATAAGTACCCCAAGCAAGACCGTTTCGCTGCAAACATCTAGTACTCGGTAGCACCACCTTGAGGGAACTCGAAATTAACACCACGGCCAGTCAACTTTCTGTACACCTCAGAGTAGGTATCGAGTCTGTGATCAACACCACCCTTCTCCTTCTCATCCAGAATAACCTTAAGTACCTTAGTGCCATCCTCCTTGGTACGGAGACGCTTGCCGACAATCTCAACGGGGAAGACAAGGTCGCCAAGGATAGCGTCATGGACGGCAGTGAGTGTTCGCGAACGGGGTCGCTTTTGCGTGAGGGTGGTGCGGGAGCGGGCGGAGCGCTTTGGGCGGGGGAGGATACGGCGGGATGCGAGGATCAGGACATGACGGTCGGAGAACTTCTTCTCGAGCTCACGGGTGAGACTAGAATCCCATCGCATTAGAATATGATACGTAGAGGACGATGAAGAGGAAGAGACATACCGTTGCTGCACCTTGTGGAAACCCTGAAGGGATGGGACGGGGACAAAGATGACAATAGCCTTCTTGCCGTGGCCAACTTCAATCTACAATTGCGATCAAAGTCAGCATGCGAGCTCCACTTTGTTCAATCTTTCTGTGCAGCAGGAAGAAGGAAATTCAGTGGTCCGCAGCCCGTCCGATTCCGCAACTTGCGACGCCGACGCTCAAAGGTATCCAAACCCATAGTTGTATCTCTCTCATCTGAATTGTATCTCAAGCTTGATTGATATAACCGGTTTGTACAGTTGATGCCGGCGCCAGAGTCGCTCATTCGTTCGTATGAAGGCTGCGTGACATGTTTCGCTCTTTTTCCTTCTCTAGATCTAGATATCTCGTTGGGCTGCTTGTCTGCAGCTCCAGTCAAATTCAAGTGCTCACCTCTCTTGCAGAAACGAATTGAAGGGGGCGGAGTGCGGCCTTCAGGTCGGTGGTGTTGGTCTCGAGGTCGTAAAGAGCACCAGCAATGCTGGTCTCAAGCTCCGAAGGGCTGGCGCGCGAGGGGCTGTTCGGCGCGATCTTGTTGATGGCACTCATGGTTGCGGTGTTGTCGTGGGAAAAGTCGAGATCAATTCGAAGAATTCCCGATGTGAACTTTTGAAAATGTCAAGCGTCGCTTAATTCGCGTGGTGGGTTAGCCCTAGCCTGTTGGCCAATAAGAGCGAGATCACGTGTTTAGCGAGTCCACTGGAGGTACCTACGTACCAGCTACCTCGACTCTGTGGTGGCGGGCTGGTGGGTAAACGTACAGTACATACATGTACAGTGCTGTACGCCTAAAAGATAAGATAACACACTACAAGTACGTACAGTAGTAGCCACTTGCTATTTGCTTGGGGATGGCCCCAGATATACTTCGACTGTTCGAATGTTTCCTGGTTATTGAATTGGTAGTTTAAAATTTCGATTCACTGCAATATGCTCACATAGATCCAGTTTTAAATCTTAAAAATGTTGCCTCGAGAGGCTCCATCGGTCTAATATTCTGTAAATATAAAAGTATTGGTTCAATGCCGACAAAACAACAATGGATATCTAAATGATCTACTCGGTATCTCCGTCGCTTGTCCCATATATACCCTGATGTTGCGCCACAAAAATGCAAGAGACCCCTAAATCAAACCAAGGACTGCTTGGTGTCACCAATCCCTGAAATCGCTCTATCAGATCTAGACCAAGACAAAAAACGCCAGCGACATGAACCGCTTTACCAAACCCGACGCCGTAGCTAAATACCCTATGGTTTACTCTCCAACTTATCAATCCCCTTGATCTTTAAGCCAAAATCCAAGATTAATATCTTGGGGTTCTGGCCAGTACTGATGAGGCGTCGATAATCCGACTTTGCACTAAGAACCCAGCTTGAGTGCCAGTTGGGGAGATTAAGAAGCTGGTTGCCAGTCTCCATATCGAAGACCTTGATATCCTGATCATAACTCCCAGAAATTAACCTCCCGCTGATGGAGTCGATGTGTAACGATCGAACCAGATTATCGTGTGCCTCAATCTCGTGGCGGCACTCTCCAGTATTGGCATCCCAAATCCGGATCATCTGATCGTTCCCTGCAGAGGCAATATACTTCGAGTCGTCGGAGAACTGACTACAGGCCAGACCCTTATTATGGCCAGTGAATTCTCGTATGTTCTTCCCAGTATCGATGTTCCACAGCTTGACTTTGAAATCGCCACTGCAGCTAACAATCATATTATCCCTCATCTGAACAGCGTTGACGGGGCCAGCGTGACCGCGGAGCTGCTTCAAGAGCGCGCCAGACTCTCGATCCCAAACACAAATGCTGACGTCTTTCGAGCATGTGACAATATACCTCTCGTCGAACGCAAGATCAAGGACTGCGGCGGCGTGGTGCACTAGCCTTTTGGTGGACCGGTAGTTATCCTTGATATCGTAGACAATACACGTGCTATCCGAGGAGCCGGTCACTAGAATATTCTCGTCGTACTGTAGGCATAAAATGGACTGGTTGTGATGGATTGGGTAGGTAATAGCAAGTGGTGTAGATTGGGTTATCGGGGTATCGTCTGGTGACATGGTAGCATAGTGCACCGGCTTCCCTTCCTCTCCAGTCATAATGTTGCAATCCTCCGCAGCGTTAGGGGGCCCGATTATCAAGGTGCAGGCATATGTCTTCATATCCCATACCCGAATAGTCTTGTCGCGAGAGCCAGTGATAATCTTATATCTAGGGGGACTTAGCCATTGGATTGTCTTTGTTTTCGGGACATTACTTACTCATCGAATTGGACACAGTAGATACTGTCAGTGTGCCCATGGAGATAAATCGCTTCGAAATCCCCCTCCGCCCAATTCTGTTCCAGCTCATGCTTAGTTCGATATAGATCTTTCCAGTCATGGTCCGGGCTGACCGCGGGCAATCCCAAGCCTGCTCCCAGAGGGACTGGATGGCTCATCGCATATGTCTTCGACTTCTCCCGAATGAAGGCTTCACGCCATATATGGGACGAGCTGGAGACTCTATTCCACATCTTTGACACCAGTGAAGTTTTGATGAGCGACAGGTGGTCTAGCCGAGCAAGAATCTGGATGGCCAGTTCTACAGGCAATTCGGCGATAAAATCAACGCGGCTGATCGAAGGATCATATATGGCTTCAACTGTGTCGGGACTTGCAACCGCAATACCAATCCCGCTTTCGCGGTCTTCTAGTTGGTGTAGCTGATGATGCCTGCCAAAGAGCAGTTCGTTCTGCGCAGCAGCTGTTGCTCGTGCTGCCTCTCCACCACTTCCACGGGGTATAATTGGAGGCGCGTTACCGCGGCCGGGAATAGGAGCGAGAAACTCCTCGCTGGAAGTGGTGGAAGCGTCCAACTCAAAGACTTGAGAGGGAATGTACTTGGAATTTCTGTTGAAACTTGCTGCTTGTCGTAACCGGTGCCAAGGGGTGGAAGCTGTTTGTGGCCTTTCCTCGATCGCATGCGACGCGTGCGAATGACGGCGCTGCCTCCGCTTGATGGACACTGAAGCCCTCCGCATAAACCCAAGGAACCCATGCCCCCTTTTCCCATCCTCCTGCGGCGGGTTCTTGTTCGTGAGGCCGGGTCTCACAAGCCCATTTGAAGTACCAACGTCCGGTCCGAAAGGTAGCGATCTCTGTCGGTTCTGGAAGCGCGAAGGGGGCATGGCGCCCTTGGGATCGAAGACATCGTCAGACCCCGCTGTGGTGAACTCGCTCGTTGACACGCGCGATGGATCGGCGGGTGCCCATTCGCCGACGGGGAAGTCTCTCGCCATAGTATCGAATTCGGGAATATGCTCGCGTTAAGGAATGTGAGTTGACGCAGCCTGTCAAACCTCGGCAAGCTGGCAGAGGGCAATTTGAGCTTTTCAGTCAGCGCCGCGACTCGGAGATTTGATTGCGACAAGATGGAGATAATATACAGTAGTCGTAGTATTCGTAGTGGGGGGGAATGTCTCGCAAGGGGAGAAAGGAATATTCTCTAGACTCCGAGTAATTGGGCGCGGGAGGGAAAAAGAAGTAAAGACAGATACTACGTAGCTAAGTTGCAGGAAGAGAGTGTGGGGAAGTCTGTGCTGTGCAGTGTTGTGTTGTGCTGGGCTTGTTTATGTTTATGATTAAAAAAGACGGAGAGCCACTTTTCCTTCGAAACATTTCGATTTCTCGACAGGGGACTTGTTGACCCTTCGGATGCGGGTTAAAAGTGGCAAAACGGAGCACTACGGAACACACATTTTCAGAATGCCGCTTTTACTCTGTACGCTGGTCTCAGCCTTCCGGAGGTTTCTTGGGGCTCTGCTAATAAAATACCGTCCCAACTAATAAAGACCGTCCTCCGTAGCTCCTCGGCGTGCCCGATCTGACCCGTGGGCTAAAAGCACCACCTACGGGGTAGTCCGGAACCTTTTTTTTATCTTTGACTCTCTCTCTCTCTCTCCCTTTTCTACGGATTCCAGGCTTTGCACGTGAAGCAGCCAAGTACCTTGGTTTTCGCCTGACCTGGCCGTAAGTGAATTGCAATCCTTGCCGCCCTTAATGCCGCATTTGGCATCACTCGAGCAACGGTGTACGGGTGTAACCACGTTACTTGGCTCCTTTGATTATTTCATTTCAACCCCTGGAGTTGATCACGCCCAGGAACGCTTTTCTGTCCATTTTGTCAATCTCTCACTTCGGCGTCTCATCCACCGCCGCCTATCGCATCAAGGAGATAAATTGTCGTCAACAAATACGACGCCTCGACTACGGACGGTGCTCTTAATAGAGAAGTGCGCTAACGCAAAGCTACCTAGGTACTTTGCCAAATACCCAGCTGAGATACCACCTGAAGGCTAAAGCAAGCAATCGGAGTCTCTCTACGATTATTAAGAAGCCCCTATTCGCAAATATCCCCGCTGCCAATCACCACCCAATTCCAGGTTGCCAACCGCCAATCATGTCCAGCACAGCCCCAGCATTCAAGCTCCCCTCGATCTATTCTCTCTTCTTCCTCGTCATCGAACCTATTTCCGCTCTCGTTGGTGCCTACTTTGCCCATTTCCAGCCGCCCACCTACCTCACATTAACACATCCGTCCCTCCCCACGCCATCGGGCGTCCCCCTTCCACTTAGCACAACAATCGCACTCAGCCAACTGGCAAACCTCTATCTCCTCTTCGCTCTTAACGAGGCCCTTGTCCTGCGTAGCACGTCCGACTTGCGTGTCTGGAGGACTTTACTTTTCGGCTTACTGATTGCCGATTTCGGTCATTTGTATAGCGTGAGCGGCTTGGGGCATGGGATTTATTGGAAAGTTACGGAGTGGAATTCTATGGCGTGGGGAAATGTTGGGTTTGTGTATGTGGGAGCGTGTATGAGAATGTGTTTCCTGGCAGGTGTGGGCTTGGGGACGGAAAAGGGGAAGCAGGCCGCGATGAGGAAGCGCAACTGATGCCCATTATGGAGTACCTAGGTACTTAGATGCGGTAGTCGTGTCTTTTGCTCGCTTTTATTTTGGCTCCCTGGGCAGGAAAGTAATGATAAGCCGATTGTAGCCTTGCTCGAAATGTAGCAATGTTTGGGCGTTTGGGCGTTTGGGCGTTTGGGATTGCAATCACCGGCCAGATTTCCTCTTGCTTTGAAGGCACAAACATCTATAACAAAATGATGTGGTGCATACCAGGGATTAACCAACACGGATCAATACATACTTCCTGCCGGTGCCGGGAACCAATATTCCAACTCTGACAACTCATCACAAGGCCGTCTGAATGTGGATAAAGTATATGACATATCAGCTGTCTGATGACTTGCCAGATAATGCTTATAAGCAATCGGCCAAGAGAATGAACATCCAAAGCCATGATTCATGTAGTTCCTCTAAGCTTAATGGAAGTTGGGACAGGTTGCAACTAGCATGCTGCAGTTCGCATCAAAAAGCGTTAGGAGAACATGCAATACTTACTTGACTTGGTTAAAATAAAATAAAATAAGGCAGGTCTCGGTCCGGTATTCTAATTTGTATACTGCCGTACTTCGTACAGCTCATCGAAAAGAACAAAAAGATACTATAGGAAGTTAAGAGGACCCAAGCAAACCCCCATTAATCACTTATGAGAAGAAAACTTATCTAGATATTTCTCTACTCATCCATATATTTAACATTCTGCATGAGATGAGAGGCTGAATGGAACCGAGAAAGGGGTCTGGGCTACTATGGCTTCGATGAGGCTTACTCAGGCATGGTGAAAATGGAATTGAGAAGCTCGTCAAGGATGAGCCATTCACAAGGAGAACGGAATATCTGAAAATTCCTTACCGGGGAGCAGCTGTAGAATTGGTTTCCTCCTGTGTTGAAGAATTTAGCTATATTGGTACAACACTAACAGCAGATCGTGGAACTATGGCACTGTGGTCGTTGGAAAAGTATGCCTCTGGTAGGACTTGCACTGGGTTGGGCATCATAGGACTTCCAGACAGAGTGGTCGTAAAATCGCATATAGGAAGTGGATTGTGAAGGGAGTTCAATCTAAAAGTGTAACCTCTCATCTCCCTAATTATTAATTAACATAAAGCTTTATAGTATTTTCGATTAAATTGATTGGGAAGAGAAAAGATGTCAAACATTACGAAAATCCTCACATCTCCTAATTTCCTATTTAATATGGAACATTGTAAGATTTCTAGATCGCAAAAATATTGGGAATTAATTTAATTGATGTAGTAACCAGCACGGAGGTTCCTAGTGCAAGGGATTGGAACTTGTGGAAAACTTAACATGTCCATGAATTAGCTCCAAAGACAATAATAAATATATTCAGAGGAAAGCATGCCAGAAAAGGTGGATTTCGTCAGGTCGATGGTTTTAGTAAGTTTGATAAGGGAGAGTGAAACATGGACTAGCAAGTTTAATAATTAATTGAGCAAATTAAACAACCGGAAACATGCATGGGAATAAGAGCTACAAAATATAACTCCATTTGTATATCTACCCGAGCTTCCGAGATGCTGGAAGTCTCAGCTTCATGTCACAAGCCATACTCGTAGCCATCACGATGACTAGCTGGTGCTGACATTTGTTCGTACAATATTTTACGATCGTATCAGCGTTGAACTGGAACCTACACTTGTCAAAAAATATATTTTGCCAGTTCAGCGCCATGCATACACTATAGGTAACAAGTAAACATCGTAAGATGGATGTATTTTATATAGTGGTGCGAGCGCCACTTGGCATTAAAGATCGGCACCCCGTGCTGAGCATACGGAGTAGGTGATAAGAACGTTACGTGTGCCCAGTTTTCAAACCGCAAATCCCCATTTCCCGGATACCCACTTTAGATGTTGCGGATAGTAATAGAACCCCTTAAGTGGGGTTGAGTTGCGGGTTTAGCTATCCGAGACTGCTTAGGTACTGTACATGTATGTATACAGTACTATGTAGGCAAAGGTTACTTCGTAAGAGTGGTTTAGACTGAGACTTTTGAGCGGGAATAGGGGTAGGAAAATACGAATATAAGATTACGTAGGTTGGAAGCAATTGGCGACATCGTATTCCGCTTCACACCTTTGCTGATTGCATGCCGAACGGCGCCGTCTCGTAAGTCGATGCTTACCTACCTTAAGATAAGGTATGTACTATACCTACTAGGTGCCTATTATATAAATAGAGCACCCACTACTGTACTTCGTATTAGTACAGTACATGCTCTCGCCGCCCATTATTTAATGTGGGTAAGCGCTCGAATTAAAAAACTTGCATCTACCACGCGTGGAAAGTAGCTGAACGTCTTTGCACTTACTCGTGCTGCCACGAATCCAACTCTCGCCCGGGATGTATCCATTGTCAATAAATGGGTTATTCCGTTGCACAGCTGAAGCTCCTGCCAATGGCTGTTTGTGTGACCCCCAAAATAAACGGGCGCGGTTGCGTGTTTGTTTCATGATTTAAACTAGACGGCTAAGCCGCTAACCCGAGTATACGAGAATCGAGGCTTGGCTGATCAGTCCCTGTCTCTTCGACGATCTAAACCGAACCAAGTAGGTATTGAGAGCAACTAAATTTTCTAGTCTGACGTGATCCACCTACTTGCGCACCACTTCTCCTACGCAGTTTGTAGGATGTTTGTACTCCGTCTGGCGTGGGATGCCGGGGCCTTGGGGGCTAGTTGCCCCAGGTGTGTATAATCATGGCTGTGCCAGCCTTGAAAGAGGACCTCGATCCATGTATATGAAAGCTTCTTTTTCTACAATTCTACTTCACTGTAAGTGGTGATCTCCAGAGAGCACACAGTCATTACATGGTCCAGTTCGAACTCCACAGCTCGGTTTCGTTGTCTCGGATCCCGAGAGCCAATTATTTGATGCGTGTTGCGTGACCCTCCATGTCGATCAGGTAAGATGGACCCCTTCTGGGATTTCGAGATGGAGTCGAAATCACGGTAAGAATTTCTCTCAAAGACACTCTTCGACCCTTCCCAAGCTGATCAAGAATCTGCGGAGAATCAGACTTTATACTTTCGTCCGCCGGGTACCGAAAATGATACCCCGAAAAAACCATATCATCCTCATATCTTTCGTCGTCGTCTCGGTCTTTTTGTGGAGTCTGCCTTTCAGCTCACCTGTCTCGGGAAGCCTTCTGCCTCCCCAAACTCCGGTTCCCAACCATGAACAACCGAATAGACCACTCCAATACGAAGGAGGAATTCCAGTTCGCAAACCCGAACAACCGAAGGAACCTATTCAACCTGAAGAACCGAAAGCACCTGTTCAACCTGAGCAACCGCAGAAACTTGCTCAACCTGAGCAACCAAAGGAGCCTGAGCAACCAAAGGAGCCCGAACAACCAAAGGAGCATGAACAACCAAAGGAACCCAAAGTAGCGAAGGAACCTATTAAGTCCGTGGATCCACATCTTGAACACAAATTATCCAAGGAAGGGGCAATAGGGGGGATACCGTTGCCGCCTCCTGTCCTGAAGCCAATTGGAGAACCTTATATCAAAACATTAGTTATCTCCAGTACCGCGGCAGAGGATGTTAATTGGGTTGCAACAAACTTTAGAGGAGACGAAAACATTCGACCAGCCATATATGTGGTAGATGATAAAACGGCACCGCTACACACCCCAGAAAACAAAGGTCACGAGGTTATGACATACCTGACGTACATAATTGATCATTACCAGAATCTCAGCGATGTCAATATTTTCCTGCACGCCCATGAGAACTCCTGGCATAACAATGAAGTTCTTGGTGGCGATGCTGTGGATATGATTAAGCGGTTGTCATCGGAACGTGTGCAACGCGAAGGCTACATGAACATGAAATGCGGGTGGGGAGCTGGGTGTCCGGATTGGCTCCATCTTGGTTCCTTCAAAGAAGAGCCTTACAAGGAAGAGCAACCATTGATGGCGATGGCATTCGCACAACTTTTCCCTTTCGATCCTATACCAGAGGTGTTAGCCCAACCGTGCTGTGCACAGTTTGCAGTATCCAGAGCCACCATTCAAAGGCTGCCTCGGGAAACCTATGTGGGAATCCGGGATTGGTTGATCCGCACAAGACAGACTGATTACATCAGTGGAAGGATTTTTGAACACATATGGCAGTTCATATTCACAGGAAAGAATGTGTTGTGTCCCGAAATGCATATATGCTACTGTGATGGTTTTGGTGTATGCTTCGACGGGAAAGAAAATCTCGGCAAATGGACTAATACGTACGAGGAGCGCAAAAAATTACAAGATGAGCGGAACGCCTGGATTGAATCGAAGAAAACATTCGACGAAAGCTCCAAAGAAGAGAGGCGGAAATTGGTGGAACCAGAGGTCGGGAGAGATATGGTTTTGGAAGGCCAAATCAAGGGCCTGACAGCTTGGCTTGATAAAACGGTGGAGGAGGCGAAACAGCGCGGTGATGTAGCGCAGAACAGAGCAAAGGAGGCGGGGAGGGAGTGGAATGATGGCGACGGGTTTTGAGCCAGCTCTAGATGTGAGCACCTACTGTTTTATACCACCAAGAATCGCGCCGATTCCTTCCTCCAAGGACTGCAGGTCAGAGGAACGAACTAAACGTGATGAGAAAGCCTGGTAGCAGTCGAGGGTATGGATGCTGGCATACCTTTCGTTGGATCCTCAACGGTCAGGTCATCAGAGAGCAGATCATACTCCACGCTGGAAAACCTTGCAACTTCAGAGGATACGTTGGTAACTGGTTCCCAACTATGGTACTAGCCAGCGTTCTGCTTATCTCGCGGCATCAAAATGCATTGCCTTGGATAGTGTTAGATCATTTCGGGGGGCTCTCGAGGGATAGTTTGGCGGTCAATGCCGATGCAACGCTCATCGAGGGTCGGAAATAAAGCGAGGACGAGTGTGAGAAGCAGGCTCTGAGGAAGGGTGACTGCAATGGTCTGGATGAAGCTTCTGAAAGCCGAATGGAATCTGTGATACAGGCAATTGGCTATACTGTTCTTTAGAGTTTAGAGTAGAGTAGAAAGGGGCTGGTCCCGCACCTTTGGCGTACATATCGGATATAAGTTATCATGGAGTCGAATCAAATCACGAACACATAGAACTTCTCCCTACAAAATGTACAAGTGCAAAGTCGGTTCGCGGTATACCACCATGGAACTCATGGTAACATGTCGTCCTTGTGACAGGGTGCTACCAATTATCAGGGAGGCTAGATGTTCTGCTTCTCGCTCAGAGCTTTGTCGATCCTGTGCCGCGAGACAGTTCATCTGGATTCCGATGGCTCTAGAACAGGGCGTAACTGGGCGTTCCACGGACCCGGTGACGCCGTAAGCTGCTCTGTGTTGATCCCGACAACTGGGACCCTATCATATTATACGAACATGTACTTCGTTACCTTCGTAGATGGCTTGTTGTCTCGCAGCGGCTTTCGAGCGTTCCGAAGCCTCGGTTGATGCAAACGCCCAGCTCTGGGGAGTTATGGCCTCAGGCTAAATGGCGCTAGTCGTCTCATCGACGTTGACAGCCCGCACGGGAAATGTCCCATCCGAAACACAACATCCTTCATGCTGTCGAGATCGAGACCACCCGAGTTTCTACGAAGCGTCAAAGACCTGTTGCCTTTCTTGGCAATAAACACTTGACCTCTAATGCTATTGTTTTAACCATTGGCTTGGTCGGTCTCGGCCTAGCTTTGCACATCAAACGGGTATGTGCCATCCGACTGGCAACTCTATCCTAATATTGAATGTTCACGAGGCCAAGTATTTCTCCGTATCTGCAAACCCTCTCCTTCTCTCCTTTCATCTCTGTGCCTAGAACGTGCTCTCTTTTCTAGGTGTTGCTGGTTGATATCTCATGACGCGTCAAAGTTCCAGCAGCGGAGGTTGATATCCTCAATTACGTTCTTTCTCGGTTTTTATATTGTGGGCATTAGACTATGGATTTCAACGAGACTGGTTTCTTAGGTACCACAGCAGTGGTCCTGCCGGATGATAATACCAGCATGTTTGTACCGATGGTTTGCGCAGTTATAGTCGGGGTGGGGATTATCTCGAGATTCAGCAGAACGGCCACGAGTAGAAGTAATGGGGGCAATGAACCACCGGTCTTGGGTTCACCAATTCCGTTCGTTGGCCACTTGATAGGGATGTTGAGATGGCAGGTGGGATACATGCAGATGTTGAGGTATGCTTCGAGCGCCGCTTCCGAGCGCGACTCCGCGCTTCCAAGTCAACCTCCCTGATACTGATCAATACTTCCAGTGCGAAATGCCAATCCTGGCCAGCCTTCACTCTGCGGATATTCTCCTCGCGTGTCTATGTCATATGCGACCCATCCTTAATACAAGCGGCTTACCGCAATGCAAAGGCCTTTGATTTCGGCTCCTTCGTTGTCGAATCCTCGGAGCGACTTTTCAATATCAGCCAGGAAGGGATGAAAATTATACGTGGAGAGACGGCTCCAGGATATGATCCGAATGGGCCTTTTTTAAATGGAAATAATGGGGATTCATTTCTTAACGAAGACCATAGAATTATGGTAGATGCCCTTTCTCCAGGGCCGGCGTTGGGAGATTTGAATAGAGCAGTGTTAGATAGAGTGGCAGGTTCGCTCAACGGCATGAGTTCGAATGGCGAGAAAGTTGGACTTTATAGATGGATGAGAGATATAATTACGACTGCATCAGCGGAAGCTATATACGGGCCACAGAACCCGTTCTCCGCCGACCAGGGGCTTGTAGATGCATTATGGTATGTCCCACCACCTCGGACGGCCTTCAAATCCCTAAGTCATATTGTAAGAAGCAATGCTAATTCTGATAACTATGCACAGGGATTTTGAGGGGGATATGACGCTCCTCATGCTCCAATTCCTTCCAACATTTATTGCTCCTAAAGCATACCGCGGCCGTGCCGCTATCAGAGACGCCTTCGCCCAGTACTACATCGATGGCCATGACAAAGGAGCTAGTAGCCTAATCCGCTCACATGTTGCATCTTGCAAGAAATGGGGCTTCGGCGATGATGACATCGCAAACTTTGAAGTTTCGACCCTCTTCTTAGCAACGACGAATACAGTATCGACGTCCTTCTGGTTACTGTCGTACATACTATCAGACCCATCACTCCTCGCCGAAATCCGCGCCGAGGTAGAAACGGTGGTTACACGAAAAAAGTCGGAAACTACTGGCGAGGAGTGCGCCTTCGTGGACGCAACACTCTTTCAATCATACTGCCCCCTCCTTGTCTCCACCTTCCACGAAACCCTCCGCTTCGTGGGAGCAGCGACTTCAGTCCGCTCTGTCGTAGCTAGCACGACCCTCACGTCACCCACCTCTCAAGTATCCTACTCCCTCTCCTCACCCGCCGTGATCCAACTCCCCAGTGGCATCACACACTCTTCCACCTCCATCTGGGGGCCTGATGCCGATGTCTTCAACCCAGCCCGTTTTCTTACTAGCACGAAAGCCTCCTTAGATAAGGAAACGAGACGGAAGCAAGCCCAGGGTTATTTCCCCTTTGGTGGTGGGAAGCATCTCTGTCCTGGTAGACATTTCGCTACGACGGAGATACTCTCTTTTGTCGCGGCCATCATATTGGGGTTCGAGGTCGAAGGCTCGAAAGTTCCCGAGCGTGCATTTCAGAAGCTGGGGACGGGAGTGAGGAAACCAGTTGGGGATGTGCAGGTGAATATTATAAGGAGGAATGGATGGGAGAATGTGTGGTGGGGTTTTGATCTACGTGGGAATGGGGAGGATAGTGATAGCAGCGAGTGAGTGGGTTTGGTGGTATTATACAACCACGAAAGTACTTTACAGTACAGTATATATGCATCTATCAGTATCTCATGTACATATAGAAGAGAGATACCGTTTTAACTTAATTATGAACTCAAACAAGTGGTATTAACCAATAATGCGCATGTACTGTGCCTAGTTCGTATAGCTCTCCCAATTCAGGACTGTCTGTTAGTGTCTCGGAAATCTCGCTTGACTTATCGCACCTTAATAAACCAAAATAACATACTCACCATACAACAATCCAATAACATCCGTGCTGGTGTATCGGTAACATTTCCGCCTCTCATGTGAATTCACAGATTGGTCGCGGTAGCGCAGGGTTCGACTCCCTGGCACGGAATTCCTTTTTGTGTGCTGGTCTAATTTTTTGGAATATTTATTCATTTCTGGGAGACTGTGTCTCTTTTCTTTCTACTTTTCTTTTTTGGCGACAATAGTAGTGGCAGAAGGCCTACAAGCGGATTGTGGGTCCTGGGAGGGCGATAAGCGTAGAAAACTGTACGCTTGGCAGCTCAAGGTATCAAATGCACATTTCCCTCTTCTACAGTTATAACATGACCCATTTTCGCACTCGACTATCACCTTACCAGAACCAATATAAAAAGTACTAGAATTTATAGTGTCCTTAATAATAATAAATGTATTGAGGCACCAGAACGGATACCAATTTCCAAGGTGAATGCATATTAGGTCGTATGATCATAGTAGGCGAAATTGACTAGATTGGGTATGTATATCCAGGATGGGTTTAAAAAGTTGTTCATAATCAAGCCCCCGGAAAGATCTCCCCCTCCCTGCGGGCCATGAAGGCATCATACTAAAAGTATACCACCCAGCCACGTCCCGGTTTGAGGATAATATTTAATGGCTACAACTCCATATTTCATGGGGATTATCCGCTGCGGGGTCTTAGATATACTAGGTGATCTGTAAGATAAGTAATAATTTTCAGACGTAGCTTCGAGACCGTTGGTACCGGTGCTTCTTTTATCTACTAGCCTGCCCCTAGTCTGAACGCGCGATTTGTATTTAGTCTTGGTCTTGAAGAGGGATGTAAGATGGCGAGCGAAGCTTGCGACATGAGCCCAGTTCTTCAAACTAGCCGGAGTAAATATGCCAATCTTAAAACTTGTGGTATATAAGATTATTATGGTCATGCCTTGTAGCGAATGATTATTGGATTTCTGAACTGGTTGAAATCCGGATCCAAAGTTAGCAAAGGATATCACGAGTATTTCTCAAAGGTGTGCCCGCCGTCAACAGACCGCGCAATCTCTTGAATCTGCCCACTCGAGGTTTCCAAACTCCCAGGTTCCATGTAGAAACAACCACGGCAACAGTAAGCACACAAATATGGCGCCACCACTGTTCATCCCGCCAAATGGCGACGAGTACAAGAGAAAGCCATTCTATTACGAGGCTCGCATTGACGAGACGTTTGAAGACATGAAGAGACGAGGGGTCTTCGTCAATAAAGATGAATAATTGGGCTTGACTCAAGAAACCGGCTTGGCTCAAGAAACAGGCTTGATTAACGAAATTGACAAAGACCTAAGAAAATGACAAGATTCAAGAAATTGACAAGACCCATGAACCATAAAATTGACAAGCATTAATAAACCCGTGCTCATCCTGAAGGCTATTGCAAGTTGACACAGTGTGACCCTGCTGCCTACAATTGCCGCATATGAATTGATCAGCGGGCTATTTCGTATGTCTAGGTCCATGGTGTGGGGGTTCCTGGCCAGCCTTGGACGCTGGCTTTGTGGATTCAACTTGCATTAACAAGACATAGGAAATTGATAAGACCCAAGAAATGCACAGCAATTAATGTATAGGTTGCAGCTACTTTATTCTTTGATTTGGAAGGAAGCTAGATCTGTTGTTGGCATAAATCGCGCTGCTGTAATAGAGAATTCAAGGTCTTTGGTTGCAAAGATAGCTAACTTTTGGCCATCCCACTGGCAAATATCTGGAGATGTAGAGTGATCTCCACGCTGGCTAACGGTGACAGGGCCAGTGGGGTGCATGAAATCGTATAATACTTTTCTGCGTATTAAATAGTTGGGGGTTCGATCATCCATGAAGTTCGCTGGGGGCGAGAAATGCATGGCCCCCAAATGAATTCCTCGGATAGACGCATGGGTGGATATTCTAGTGGTAAACACAATGGGTGTTGCGCTTTGGATATCCACATTCATTTCGGAGGCGGATATCTGGGAAGCTGCTGTTGGAGGCCAAACAAAGGGCTAGAATAGGCATATTTTGGATTGAAAATATATCGACGTCTTGCTGAACTCCTTTCTCCTTTCGGACGCTGGCCTTTCACAAGAGAAAAACATTGCATATAGCCTTTCCCAGACCAAAATCTGTTGTAGGCGATATAGTGTTATAGCAGACCTTTCTGTTCCTATTCGCGCATTGCATATCGAGCTGCGTCAGGGAATAGAAGCCGTTTGGAGTGTAAAAAAGCAGGAAAAAGGGGAATGAGATATCATTCCACAACGATAGACTTAGCAACGTTTCACAGTAGCTAAACTCTTTGGAAGAAGGAATCCGGCAACATCCGAAACTAGTGGCTGGTGTACCTGGCATTTGTATTTATGGGATCCATCACGGACTGGACTGGACTGGACTTCACGCCGGCAGACGGGGGAAGAACTGTGATGGTCTTAGCTCCTTGGGGTCCGCGGGAGACTCCCGCAACCCAATGAACCGAAATCAACAAAACAGCGGATGCAGGCATACATCTAGCGTATATATAATATACACGATGCGCTTGAAACCACGCGCGGTGTTGTTGTGATATGCACGGGATGTGCGTTGTAGCGCCCAGCCAATGTACCAAAGGAGACGGCGAAGGAACCCCTTTACGCGCCTGCAGCGCCCACGGCCAATGAGGCCACCGCTGCCAGCCCCTGATGCGACCGCGTCCAGTCGCGAGGTTGGGTTTCGCGTTTGGCTGCTGCGTCTGCTTCATAACAAAGCAGCGCAGGCACAGAATGGATGAAACGTTTTTTGCCTTTCTGGGCGATTTGTTTTGATGTTACTGCGGCCGTGCATCGACCTCCGTCCCTAGAAGGACGAGGAAGTCGCGATATAACGAGTTGGACCAGTGGCAGACCGCGACGAGTGGCCACCAGTTGGGCCTCTTGGTAGTTCGTGAGACAGAGGGAGGACTTGGGCTGCTGTCTGGATCAAAGGCGTAGACATTCACATCGTCTTCTCAACACATTGACATGACTTCCTCTCCATTTTGTGCCATCGATTCAAAGTTGCTGTTCCTGAAGTTGTCTGTTCGTCTGCCTCCATACTTCGTACACCTCCAGATCCGGCTAGCGTGACCTGCAGTTGATGAACATCAAGTCCCCTAGACCCCCCGATCTTGTATAAACAACAAGACAATTACAACCACGACGCCAGCCCTTCAATTGTCCCGCGGGGAACTGGTGTGCTGCGCGCAAGACCTGTTGCTGTGATATCTGAGATAATGGCAGCTTGAGAAGGCCTGCGAATTCGACAATTCCCTACAACCGCATTGCTGCACCACGAAGCTGAGACCCCGATAGCAGGTGGCAGGGCAACAAAAGTCAACAAGCTGGAATCCATCGCTCCGCGATCTGCGAAGGAACGAGCTATTGCGTTGCACGAACAACGGGAACCTTGCGATATACAATCCGGCCTGTTAGGTGGTTTCCACAGGTGATAAATCGAGAGTTGACCCTGGATTTGCGCACGTCGACACGCCGTGCTATTTGACAAGACCTCTCCTTTGCCGTGCTAGCTTCCTGTTAAGATGGCTACCGGCGAGGAGACGTCTAGATCTCCTAACCCGCCTACACATGCCTCAGAGTCTTCGAATGCCGTAAACATACCACCGGTTTCGACCCCACCCCGCAGCGCGACCCCTCCACCAGCAACAACAGAAAGGAGGAGGTCGGACAAGAGAGCATACGACGGCAATATGCGAGGCGAGCGAGCGGGTGGAGTTGCTGGTGTCGATTCTATCGATCCAAATGCGTTGAACAAAGCTCTTTTGAAGGAATTCGAGGATGCCGGAAGGCATAGGGATACTGGGTCCGCAGGGAGTCCAAGCAGGAAGCGCCAAAGAGTCTATGGTGACAGGTAAGCACTCTCATCTTTAAAGGGGTGGAGGACCAATACTGTACCGCTGGAGGCAGGAAAATGAATGAAGAGTTCCCCAGTGCTGACCATGTCAGATTCATACCAAATCGAGAAGGTCAAGATCTGCAAGCTGGCTTCAGTTTACTCCATGAGGATGGCTCTCCAGCGACGCCCTCGAAGCAAAAGAAACGCACCCCCCATGGGGAGCTTGACTTCCAAAAGAGTAAGTCTGAGGTGAATTTCAAATTGCCTTCACCTGCTAATGAACGCCCACAGCTGAAGAAGCCAACCGCACGTTTTCAACGCTGCTTCGGACCGAAATATTCGACACGACCATCCCACAACCTACACCACCGAACATTTCGCCAGATACGAATCATTCGACTACAAGCCACGATCCTACTCGGTCCCGTACACCACCTAATAATAGCTCTAATACTTCACTACCTGTGTCTTTAACGCCCTCGACTCCTCACAAGAACCTCTTTACCTACATATCGCCGCGGCACCATACCAATATCGCTGGCCATCCTACACCCTCAAGAACACCTCAAAGTCGCCATGGACCGAATCTTGACTCTAGATCAGAGTTATACAGTTTATCACCCGTTCGATTCGGCAGTCAACAAATGCTGCTGAACCATCGAAAGCAACCGCGGGCAGTTAGCAAAGTACCCTACAAAGTTCTCGATGCACCTGATTTAGCCGACGATTTCTACCTCAATCTTGTAGATTGGGGGAGCAGTAATATTCTGGGGGTTGGCTTGGGAAGTTGCGTCTATATGTGGAATTCGGAATCTGGCCGAGTTAATAAACTCTGTGAATTGCAAGACGACACCGTAACAAGTGTATCCTGGATACAACGTGGCTCACATATTGCGATCGGTACAGGCAAAGGCCTTGTTCAAATTTGGGACGCAGAACGGGTACGGAGACTACGAACCATGACCGGTCACACCGCACGTGTTGGCTCGCTGGCTTGGAATGACCATATTCTCACGTCTGGATCCCGGGACCGACTCATCTACCACCGCGATGTACGTGCTCCTGACCAATGGCTCCGAAAGTTAGTTGGGCACAAGCAGGAGGTTTGTGGTCTGCGCTGGAACTGCGACGATGGGCAACTTGCCTCGGGTGGAAACGATAACAAGCTCATGGTCTGGGACAAGCTTTCTGAAACTCCACTGTGGAAATTTAGTGACCACACGGCTGCCGTAAAAGCCATAGCCTGGTCACCACATCAGCGAGGTCTTCTTGCATCTGGTGGCGGAACTGCAGACCGTCGCATCATTTTCCACGACACATTAAGAGGCGACAAAATCCAAGAAGTCGATACTGGATCGCAAGTCTGTAACCTCGCATGGTCCAAGAACTCCAATGAGATCGTCTCCACGCATGGCTATTCACAGAACCAAATTGTGGTCTGGAAGTATCCGAATATGACCCAAGTTGTTAGCTTGACGGGGCATACTTACCGAGTCCTCTATCTGGCTATGAGTCCCGATGGCCGAGTAGTGGTCACCGGTGCTGGGGATGAGACATTGCGGTTCTGGAATATATTTGGCAGGAAACCAGGATTAAGAGACGATGCCGATGCTGGAGGCGGGGGGAGACTTGGCGATTGGGGTGTAATAAGGTGAAAGTATGGGCCAGTACGGACCCATTCACCACAAAATAAGACGATGAGGGATGACGCACATCGGCGTTTGCATTACTGGCGTTTTACGGTGACTTCCAACTCCACGGAATTGGACTCGCTTTTTCAGGGACACTGGGGCTGGGGCATTATGGCATCGATGAGCGGGCACATCTGCAGGAAGCGGATTGAATTTTGCAGCGATTTCAAGGTTTTCTCATGATCTCACGGAAGCATAGCAGCACACTGGCGCGGGGAGGCATTAGCATGTACGATGAAGTTTTTCTTGCTGAATCATTCCCCCCATTCAGCTGGGCGATAGGTGTGTACGAAAGCAAAGGTTGCTTTTGCTTGCTTGCAAAACGATCAATTGCGATAGAAATTAAATCTCAACTACTTAGAGATTCCCACCAATGAATAAATGGATTTAGTTCCCAAATACTTCGTACAGCTAGCAAGCAAAATGAGGATCAATAAAGTTTCGCCGTGAACGCCTGTGGTATATCCTTCGCTTCCTACTGAATGACAACCCCTCATGGTATATATATATAGCTTTCGAAAATAGTGACAGTAGGATAAACAGGGGTAAAGACACGCTATCATCCACACATCCACGATCCACGATTTGTACAAATTATTAAAGCCAGTTAAGACAGATAAACGCAAAAACAGAGTCGCAAATCACGCTGGTAAATCTCCAATCTTCCTTTCCCGTGCAACGGTCTTAGCCCCATCGTCAATTCCTGTGGCACCGCCAACCTGTTCGTTCAACAACGGGATCTTATCCACGCTCGTACTCCTGTCGTGGGCGCTCCCATTTCCATTTCCATTCCCATTCTCTGGATCCGTCTCTAACAACGCGCCTAATTCTCCACCGGGTTCGATTTTCGGTGTCAATATAGGACTAGTCATGTCCGGACTACTCTGCCATTTCTGCACCTCCCTCTTCATAGCCTCCATCTCGTTCTGGAAGCGTTTGCCAAAGACATCGATGTAGTATGTCGCGCCGTTGTATACGGACCAGCAAAAGACGGCCATGAGGAAGGTGGCTGAGGCGTAGCGGTAGTAAAACCAGAGGGGGCAGGGGAGCATGGTGAGGACGGCGTAGGAGTATTGGATGAGCATGAATGCGGGTTCTTGTAGTGAGTTGGGGAGTGAGAGGACGAGCTTTCCGATCCAGGCTTTGGAGTAGGACTTGCGGAGCCAGGTGAAGGATGTTGGGCGGCCGGCGGCGATCTTTTCGCGGCGGCGGACGGTGATCATGAAGTGGTAGGAGAGCTGCCAGAATGCGTATGGGATAGTTGACCATAACGTCATGGCGATCAGGGAGTAGTGTGTTTTCGAGCCAGGAGGCGATGTCTTGATTTTCCAGATTGCTGGGAATTGGGTTTCTTGCAATTCCGGGGGGTAAAGGTGGACTAGACAATGAAGTGTTACGCAGGGCATTATGTGGATGAATAGGCTGGTAATCTTGTCGAAACTATGGAAAACCATCGAGTTCCTCCACATAGCAATCGCGACAGCGTTGTTTCCCATGGCTAAACAGTAGGTGCTGATGAAGAGCCGTTTGGATTTCGGGAAAATCCATATCGTACAGAGGCAGAGGAGGTTGACGAAGTAGCAGAGGTCCGCAAGAAAGTAATGGTAGCCTCTCTTGTGGTATGTGTAGAATCGGACGGGCATGAAGTAGAGGAGCTGAACCGTGTACCACCAATGGAAATACTCTGGATAGCCGCCTATCAAGTATCCACTGATGAGCACGTTCAAAACTCCGCAGATGAATGCCACCTTCTCTCTGGCAGTGACGATCTTTGTGTCATTCCAACGTTCTCCAAGTCTGTCAACGCTCGTGCGCATCCTCTTCCTATATTTCTCCAACTGCTCGTCTGCTGGAGGGACCCGCCTCCGCCATTGTTCAACCACACGGTCTTTCGCATGTGTTCCTTTAGTCTTCAACGCATCCCTCTGCCTTCTGACCTTTTCCGTCTGGACGTGTATATTCCTCTGAAGCTTCTCCAGTTGTTGAGGGAGAGCAAAATTGTCCAACAAGTCGAAGACCGTGAGCCTGTCTAAAGGAGGAAATGCATCCCAGTCTTCCTGATATGAGCTGCTGCCAGAGAACGATGGATTTCGCGAAAGTCGCGGGCTACCCGGCGTGGAGGCATCGAGAATCGGCGTCTTGCTGCCTTCAGAGGGAGAAGACCCTATCGAAGTCGCGATGGGCGCTCGCGGTAGGTCTGGCGAGAGACTGTTGGTATCGATCGCTGGCTCCGACCTCGATTTCGCGCCCGGTATGGGTATTGGATCTGACATCTCGGATAGCGTGCGCTTGTGTACTGTTGAGGAAGTAACTCCAAAGGAAACTCGACGGAGCACGCTTCCTCCCCTGAGAACCAAGCCGTCAGCCATGATTTTGTCCTGCGCAACAACTTGGAGAGAGAGAAAGAGAGAGAGTGCCGAGGTTGAAGGATGCCATTTACACGAAGCTTAAGGGCACCGCCTAGAGGGGAGGGATTACTCACAAGGTCAGCTAGCAGGCAGCTTTATCAAAGAAGCGGAAGTGTGTCCCAGTGATCACAGACACAAGGACAGAGGCGGTTGCACGCGGGCGACGGCGCAGCAAATCGGCCCACCTGAACGGAATAAACAGCTTGTCGATAAGGAAATCCTGGGCTAATTAGGCTTTGGTGCTCTAGATGTGGGTGAGGATGTTCGAGGTGTTCAGAGTGTCAGTGGTTGGAATGGGCGGAATCCAGATCGTGAAGAAATGATAGGCTGGGAACGGTCTGTCCAGACACGGTACGCAATACCGGTGCCAGCTTGTGTCTGTCCTTGGGCAAGCTGAAGCAACGGGCATGAAATATGAGGTGCCTCTAGTGTAAGTGTAAGTGTACCTAAGTGCCTACTTACCAAGGTACCTTGTTATAGAGTACTGTATAGTGAAGTTTATACCTCTGTAGAGCTATCGAAAGTAGTTGCAGCTCATTCCGTCATGGTTTCGTGCTGGAAGATCCACTTGAAACAATCCCTGCGCGTCCTGGGAACATATGTGTCACGTGATGCATCACTGCCCTGCTCCACTGCGATCCGCACACGCGTTTCGCTCGAGGATCGCGTTGTGGAGTGGAGGAACGATATACGATGTACTTTTAGACAGACCACGTCCTCGAGCGCAACCACAATCACCTACGCCCACGCGCTGGCAAATCAATTACTCGTTCTTTTAAACCCACGGCGCCAGCCAGCGAGGGGAGCTGATTGCCAGGCGCACAATTAAACCCGTCGGAGCGCGTGCGCCCCTCCATCAACCCCCATCGCTGCGCGAACGCGTATAGCACAATATGGGGAAGCTTATCCGCCTCGAACTTTTCAGTAAGCTAGCCGCAGTCGCAGTCGCAGTCGCAGTCGCATTCGATTATAGAATATGTTGCTCATGATGATTTAGATTTCAAGTCCTATAAGGGCCACCATGTACTTCTCCTAGGCGATTCATACTTCACCTCCATTATCGGTCCTAATGGCTCTGGGAAGTCTAATTCGTATGCACACCTCTTCCTCTCTTCTAAGGAGACTGTCTTGCTAATTGGACCAACAGTATGGATGCTATCTCTTTTGTTCTTGGCATCAAATCATCCCACCTTCGTTCAACCCATCTCCGCGACCTTGTTTACCGTGGCCGAGTTTTGAAGACCTCGAAAATTAATGACGACGGATCCGCTGCCGCACCCGCTATAAATGGACACGCGAATGGCGATGCAGAGGGCGATGATGAGGAGTCGCAGTCGCAGAGGCCTGCCCGCAATGATCCGAAAAGCGCTTGGGTTATGGCGGTGTACGAGGATGACGCTGGTGATGAGCAGAAATGGAAACGCGCCATCACGAACCAGGGCGCGAGCGAATATCGCATCAATGACCGCGTTGTTACTGCCCAGCAGTACAACGAGGCCCTAGAATCGGAAAATATCCTCATTAAAGCCCGGAATTTCTTGGTCTTCCAGGGCGATGTTGAGCAGATTGCCTCGCAGTCGCCAAAGGATCTCACTCGACTCATTGAAATGGTTTCCGGCAGTCTAGAGTATAAGGCCGAATACGAGCGGTTGCAGGAAGAGGCAGAACAAGCGGCGGAGAACCAGAATTACAACCTTCACCGTCGGCGTGGTATCAACTCGGAGATAAAGCAATACCAGGAACAGAAGAAAGAAGCCGAAGCCTTTCAGAACAAGCAAGATGAGAGAGATGATGCTATTGTCCAACATATTCTCTGGAAACTGTATCATTTCCAGCGCGTAATGGAAGAATCTAGCGCGAGCATTGAGGAGCACCAGCAAAACTTGAAGGAGTTCCGCCGTGGACTAGAGAAATATGAGAAGCAACTAGAGGAGGCTAGGCAAGTATCATCCAAGGTGACAAGAGACGTCAGTAAAGTTGAGCGCAGTATTAAGAACAAGGAAAGGGATATTGAAGAGAAGGAGAATAGCTTGGTACCCATTGACGAAAAAGTGGAACTCACCACCAACCAAGTTGAGAAGCTCCGCCGGAGACTTGAGGGGCTGTCCAGAGAACGGGATGATAATCAGGCCAAAATCCAGGATTCCAAGAAACAGCTCGGTATTGTGGAGAAAGCGCAGAAACAATTCCAGGCCCAGTGGGAGGAAACATTGAAGAAGCAGGGCAGGCAGCTCAGCGAAGCTGATCTGAAGGAATATAATGTTCTCAGATCTCAAGTCGTTGCAAAGACCTCCAGCAACCAGTCCAAGTTGGACAATCTCGTACGCCAAATGAAGACCGACGAGGTCACGTTCAATAGTTTGAAAGGAAAAGTGGAGTCATTTGAAGTTTCAGTTCAAAAGCTACAAGGCGAAGTGAAGTCCATCGAAGAGCGAAAGGAGGCTACCAGGGCGACCGTGAAAGAAATTACGAAGGATATTGACACAAAGAAGAGAGAATTCAACAACATTCAATCCGAACGTGTCCGCGTAAATCAACTGCGTACAGAACTCGATGAAAAGCTTCAAGAGATTTTGAAGGCGCTCCATGAGGCCGATGCTGGTATGAGACAGAACGACAAGGAAGCACGAACACGGGAGATGGTCATATCCTTGAAGCGCATATTTCCTGGCGTTCGGGGCCGTATCGGAGAGCTTTGCAAGCCAAAGCAAAAGAAATTCGACGAAGCTGTCATTACGGCGCTTGGGCGAGACTTCGACTCGGTCATTGTGGATACAGAGAAAACCGGCACAGAATGTGTTCAGTACCTAAAGGACCAGCGCTTCTCGCCAATGACTTTCATTCCCCTCGATAATATCAAGGTTTCAGCCGTGGACTCGAGTTTGAAAAGCTTATCTAAGGCCCGCCTGACTATTGACACTATCGATTTCGATTCATCCCTTGAACGTGCCATGGCTTATGCTTGTGGAAGCTCGATTGTTTGTGATGATCTACCAACTGCCAAACAGATTTGCTACAAGAAAGGCATCCAAGTCAAAGCTGTCACTCTGGAGGGCTTCGTGATTCATAAGGCCGGTTTGATGACGGGTGGTCGGGGTCCAGAAAGGGGTAATAAGCGCAAATTTGAAGATCAAGACGTTGAAATTCTTAGGAAGCAACAGCAGAAACTACGAGACCAAATTGAAGCGTTGCCTAATGTCGGCCGCAGGGGCGCGGCTGAGGAGATTTTGCAGAACGACCTTACGGGGCTCGAGCAACGCCTATCGTACGCAAAGGGCGAATTAGCAGCTTTTGAGCAAAACCTGGCTAGCAGGAAGAAAGAGTTGAGCCACGAGAAGCGTCAGCTAGCTGAGATGAAGCCTAAGCACAAGGAGAAGGAAACCGAGCTTGCCCGAATCCAGGAAACTGTTCAGAAGTTTCAGGACGCTGTTTCGAAGGTTGAAGATGACATATTCTCCAAATTCTGCCAGCGACTGGGTTACTCTGACATTCGAAGTTATGAAGCACAACAAGGTAGTCTGGAGCAAGAAGCGGCTGAGAAGAAGAATGCCTTCGAGGTTCAGAAAAAGAGACTGGAGCAGAATCTTAATTGGGAGATGGCCAAATTTCAGGATATAGATACTCGGGTGAAGAAGATGGAGGCACAGATTGGCAGCTTCGAGGAAGACATACAAACGTACACCGCCGAGAAGACTGACCTCGAAGATGCGATTGATGTGGATAGAGCCCAGGTTACCGAGTTAGAAGACGACCTCCACAAGCAAAAGGAGAGGCTGGCTGCGAAAAATGAAAAGGTAAATCAGGCCCGAGCGGAGGTCCAGAGACGCACCAAAGAGATCGATAATCGTACCAAAGCTATTACGGCCTTGGAGACTGAGGTGCAGCGGAACAGTGCAGGTAGATATGCCCTGTTGCGACGTTGCAAGCTTGAGCAGATTACCATCCCCTTAACGGAACAGTCACGGAGGCTTGACACCCTCCCTGTTGAAGAGAACATTCTGCAGACGGATCCTGATGCAATGGATGTTGATGAATATGAGGATGATGAAGCTCCCCAAGATATGGCGAAGGACTACGGAATTGATGTCCAGTTTGAAAGTCTTGACGAGGAGCTCAAAACGGTAAGAAATCCTCTTCTCAGCAGGATAGACAATATATTGACAATGACTAGCCTGATGATGACACCGTCGAAGAGCAGCTGTTACAGAAGATAACAGACTTGAACTCGGAGCTTGAAAAACTCAACCCAAACATGCGCGCTATTGATCGCCTGGATGGCGTTGAGGCTCGTCTCAAATCCACAGAGAAAGATTTCGAGGATGCTCGACGCGCGGCCAAACAATCCCGCGATGCCTTCAACGATGTCAAAGAAAGGCGTTTTGAACTATTCAACAAGGCATTCTCGCACATCTCAGAGCAGATCTCCCACGTCTACAAGGATCTCACACGCTCTGCCGCATACCCTCTTGGCGGCCAAGCCTATCTTGACACCGAGGACGGCGATGCACCGTATCTTTCTGGCATCAAGTACCATGCCATGCCTCCTCTAAAGCGTTTCCGCGACATGGAACATCTCTCTGGTGGCGAGAAGACTATGGCTGCTCTTGCTCTTCTATTTGCTGTCCATTCATACCAACCTAGTCCTTTCTTCGTGCTGGACGAAGTTGATGCCGCGCTTGACAATGCCAATGTGGAGAAGATCAGGAATTACATCCGTGAGCATGCAGGGCCTGGGATGCAGTTCATCGTCATTAGTTTGAAGACGGGGTTGTTCCAAGGGAGTGAGAGTTTAGTCGGTGTGTTTAGGGACCAGGAGGCGAATAGCTCCAAAACTTTAACACTTGATGTAAGTTCATCCATATTGCTTCTATTGCAGGATATCTCCATACTAACTAATGTTATAGTTGCGGAAATACGTATGATTAAAACAGGTATTTTCATGCGCGAAGGGTTATGGTGGGCAATAGCTATAGTGTACATTTTTCTCGAGGATTGGGCTAAGGAAACACTTTTTTGCTGGCTTACTCTGTTTTACATGATGGCTAATGAGATGTCTTGCTTCGCATTCCTGTATATGAGCTTTGGTGAAAACAGGCAGGATATCCATGAATTATATGTTACGCTTTCGGACTTGAAAACGATACAAATCTTTATTTTCCCTAACAGATTCCTCTCCTCCCCGTATCACAGGTCATTCGGTTGCTGATTGGCAATGATTGCCAAGGAGTGATGTGAAAGCTTGTAGACTACGAGATGAAATATAACTAAGTAGGTCGACATCGAAAGGCATCCACAAAGCTCACAATTACATATACATTTTTTTATGCATTAGAAATAAACACTTAAACCTCCTATGGGGTATATGAACGCCGTCATAATATCCTTTCCACATCCCCCATATTTATACCTCGAAAACCAAAACGCCCCTTGACCAATCCCCCTAAACCTCTAGCTCTCACTGCTCTTCTTACTCCGCATATCCCAAGTCGTGCTCATAGGTTCACTACTAGCCGTCGTCTCATTACCCAGCCTACTCCGGCCGATAGATGCATCCCCAACGGACGTAGTGGTGACTATCACCTCGCCCTTGATGCTAATATTGCCCATGGAATATAGACGTTCAGTATTAACACTCTCCTGACTCTTCCTCGCAAACCCGATGCGGCTCTCGCTCTGGACTCCCTGCGACACTGCCATTCCCGGCTCCTGCAGGCTTCTGCCCATGAAAACAAATGTCCCTAGGCCAGTCTCTTCGCTGGGTGGAAGTTCAGCGAACACGATATCTGCCCTCGTGCTGGCGTATAATAAAACGTCCAGCCAGCCGTTACAAGCTATCATCGTTCCGGCCATGCAGAACCAGCCCAGCGAGACGGTGTGGCCGGCTAGGGCGTAGATACGTAGCGAGGCGAGAGGCGCCGTGCAGACGGTGTAGATGAGTGGGTACAGGATCATGAGGGGCGTTGCGCCGTGGACGGTTTGCTTGGAGATGTCGCCGGCTCGGCTTTTTGCGCGTAGCCAGATGTAGACGAATGTGTAGATGAGGATGGTGGAGAACATAGCTACGAAGATCCAGAAGTAGTGCAGCCAGAGGCGCTCTCTTCCATAGGCTTGGTTGATCCAGCACTGTGTAATTCAAATTGTCAGCTGCTGGATACTGACTGGGAATTAGAAGATTAGGAGAAGTTAAGTTTACCCAAGCGGCGGCTCGCACGTAGAAGTTCCTGCCGTGGATTATGGGCCCAATGGCAGCCATTGAATATATAAAAGTCCAGCAGCCGGCAATGGCGCAGTAGAATGCTTTCGTGGGCAATCTGTAATTCTTCACCACTGAGAAAAATGTATGCACTGCAATGGCGCAGATAAAGACGCTGCTCGCTAGATCACCGGTCGAGACGAACCAGCCTTGGGCAAAGCAGAGTGGCGTGCCGACGAGAATCGCATTATTCCGTAAGGCCCCAACGTTCAGCATAAAAGCACAGGCTTGCTGGATGTCGGCGAAGAGGAGGTGGTAGATGAGGAGGAGGAATTGGTTGGTGGGTGCTTTTACTCGCGAATAACGGTGCCATGAGATGAGGCGCCATGTTATATAGCAGAAGAGCGAGGTGGAGCAGAAGAAGGAGAGGAGTCCAAAGGTTGAGACCGCTACTAGGCCATGCGATAGAACATCTGGGAGGGGCGATAAGGTGCCAGACTCGGCATCAAGCGCCATGTTTATCGTGGCGTGAAGCTGGTGAAGCGAGAAAGGGATGGCGATGGCTTCATCGAGGAATGGCGTGACCTAGAGACCTAAGATGCCCGGAACGAGTTCCTTATATATGTTTGTTTGGAGAGAGTACAGAGGATATTCAGAAAGCATTCAAGAGATCGCCAGGCAAGAAAAAGCACAAAGTATTGGCCGAGAGCACCCGCTTGCCATAGGTACCAGGACTGGTACTAGGACGAGACAGTATACATACTTTTGAAGACGGATTGGAGTAGCGGGACATGGACATGGACATGGACATCGGAGTGTATAAATGCACAGTCCATAGAGGTCGCAGTGCAACGTTATCCTGGTCCAGAATCGACGACAAGCAGGCATAATAAGCAAAACAAGGGCCGAAGCGATTCCCGATCTGCACATGTTTGGGGCGCGCCTGGACTCCTGAGGGCCGTGGACTTGCACGGCGCGGGGAGACAACGACTGACAGCGAATAACGGACAACCAACAACGCGCATTGTGCTCGAGACGCGGGTGTTCCCAGCTCCTCCTCGAGGCTCGAGCACAATACGATGGCAGCTCCAATCGGCGAAGATCTAACCGAAACAAAACAAGGCAAGGCAAGGCAAATCAACACAAAACCCCGCATATTACTAGAGTGCGATTCATCATTTGATTCACATGATTTCACATCCCATTCAAAGTTTTGTTTGCGCTGTAGGTATCCTCTTGGGGACGACGGTTATGCACTGTTGGATGCTGGCTGGCGGGCTGGCGGGCTGGCTGGTGGGCGTTATGCGAGCTGAAGAGAAGAAAACGCCACGAGGCGATAGGGGCGATACACGGTTCGGCGTCGTTGGAAAGGATCAATGCAGAAATGGGCTATTATTACTGTCTAGCGTTACCGCCGTACGAGTAGGAGCGGAATCATAGTGCTTCATACGCTATTGTTATGGCTGTTAAGCCTTTGCAGGCGACATTGACTCCGGCTGTTTACTTGAGGCATGTTCTGGAGTTCTGCGACTCGTGAACCCGGCGCCCGGGAATCTCCGGTACGCATTTGTATGCGTATGCGTATGCGAGACACATATGCCAGGAGACGAGGGCGTGCTCAGTAGTTGACGTGCATTGTTGAAACCGCGGATCATGGAGTTCCACGTGGAATCTTGTGGATGGCTTGCATTTCTTGGGACTCGAGTACTCGAGTATGGCTGCCTACCTTAGCTATTTTTAGTCTCCTCTTGATACCGGAATGTGGCAATAGCCGTGCGGGCAATTGTTATATCACAGGCTAACCCGTTGGTTGTTTGTTATTTATTGTTTGCTGTCTGGGTGGTGGCCACCAACCGTGGGAGCCCGACGGAGACATACGGAGTAGGCGACGAGAATGACAAGCCCTTCTGTGTGGATCTTGTTTGGGTCTCTCAATATTTTCCGACTTACTTTTCAGTGTCAAAACAGTCTCTTCTACTTCTGTCTCTGAAACCATATATCTTGTTAGGGCTGATCAACTGACCTACCAGTCTATTGTTCCTAACAATGGTGCCCTCTCCCCTTCTTCATTCCCTGCCTCCCTCTCTGAGTCAGGAGATGCTTCTCCACGGTTCTTGGTTACGTACGCATATACCCATGTAGGATAATACAAGCCTCTGATTCACACCAATCTGTTAGCCAGTAAAATATTTTCCATCTATTAAAATCTGGGATGCCGGTAAGATATGGAGTAAACCTACAGAAGTATAACTGCACTAACACTAGCCCTAGCAATCATACTACTCTTGGGCAGTCGACCCCGAGGAGGCAGAAGAATGATGTCGAGTAGCACCCATAACCAAAAGCTGGTTGCTAGCCCAGACTTCGCGCTCTCAAGATAAAACGTAATCAATTTCGTGGTCGCCGAATACCGCTGGACAATGATAATGAAGAGTACCGCCGCCGCCATGAAGCTGAAGAATAGCGCCTTTCTGTTCCACGTGCAACATTAGCAATCTAGATTATGAAAACGGTTAGGATATGGAGAACCAACACGAATCTGTAATCGTTGTGATAGCCAGAGATGAGTAGTTCCGAATATGCCCTGTCTCCATTTACGAGCATAATTGGTAGTGCCACTACTGCTTGGAAAAGACATGCGGTCCGGAACACTTGTTGGCCCAATGGGGAAGCCATGATGAATCTCGATGGAGGAGTTTTATTTACTGAAGATTAATGTACGGATTTAAAAGGAAGGACGAGGCAGATAATGTAGCTTAAGAGAATAAACCATCACGTAAATCCAGCGGTGGCAGCCTAATGGGAGCATGCGCAAGGCTTACTGCGCGGGGTTGAAACTGGCATAGCCACAGATAAACTCATGGGTTAAATTAATACACTTGTTTGCAGGCAGTTTGAAAAATGAAGGCACTCGAATTAGCTGATGAAACAGAACCACATAAACCGAGGAATATCCAAGCTACCAACCCAACTCAAAGACCGACGGTTAATATCGTAGTCACGTGTGTGACATGTGACACGTGACATCCTGACCTCGACAGGCCTGGTTTGATAATGTTGACTGCAATTTTATGCCCAAGTAAATTAAATTAACACAGTAAGATGCATTGAATAATAGAATCTGCGGACTGAGCTATGTATCTCCTGCAAGTGTGAGGGTCATAACAGACCGAGTCTTCGAAAGGGAAATGGATAGCGACAACGGATGGGGCGATACGAAGTAACATAGGTATGTACCCAGGCAGGTACCTAGATCTGGACGTTCGCCCAAAGACTTGTGGCCCTTCTCACTCGCACTTGCGCGTGTCTAGGACAGCATTAAACTTGAGGATTTTCAAAGGCTGTTCTTGCAGGATAATACCTTGGCAGTTGATGTAAAGTATTTGGACTTTTAACAATAGAAACTGCAGATCGGATGGCGAAACCAAGCCAGCCAGCCCAGCCCGAATCACGTGCCACCTACGTCAGGCTGATGGGAGATTCGTGCGCTGCGATTGGAAGTTGAGAAAACAACCCCGCAGAACCGAGAGCACGATAAAGATTGCGAACGGCATTCCGAATTTTCATTATTATAACCAACATCCTCCGCCGCCCCGAAGAACAGGAGACCAGAAGATCCTGCTTTTTGCATCGATAGGGTTTATAAGCCCCCTCGCGACGATCCTCGATCCCCGACTCGTACTAGACAGCCGTCAGAGGTACGGTCCTCGAGTGCTCCTACGTAAGTACCGCCTGAAATCTTTTGGGTCGCTAAAGTTAGCGTCACAAGCCTTAAAATTCCCCCACCTGTATTTGCCCCCCTCGAACTTCGCATCCTCGACCCTATTCTGCAGCGGAGGAATCGTTGTTTTGACATTTCAAATAGCCACAACGCAAAACAGCAAACATGGTTTCCGCATCCAAAGCCGCGCGCGACGCCAAAAGAGCCGCAGAGGGCAAGCTTCCCAAGAAGACGGTCGCCTCGAGATCCAAGGCGGGGTCAAAGACTGCTTCAGGCGCCTCTTCAGTCGCCGGCGACGATACGCCGCCTCTGGTCGATGCCGATGCCGCAACCTCCTCGAAGAACATGGCGGAGGTGAAGAGACTGGCGGAACAGATGGACAAGCACGGTCTCTCCGATCGTGTCACCACCGGCGTTCTCAGCTCCCTCAAGCAAAGTCGAGATGTCAAGATGACATCCATCTCGCTGGTCTTCCACGGTCGGGTCCTCATCACCGATACTACTCTCGAACTTACCTACGGTAAGAGGTATGGTCTCCTCGGAGAGAACGGCTGTGGCAAGTCGACATTTTTGAAGTCTCTCGCCAAGCGCGAATTTCCCATCCCAGACCACATCGACATATACTTGCTCAATGAGGGTGCCCCACCTAGTGAGTTGGGCGCGCTGGAATGGGTTGTGAGGGAAGCAGAAAACGAGATGGACAGACTCGACAAGCAAGCGGAGCAAATTCTGGAAGATGATGGACCTGAGAGCCCGGTTCTCATGGATCTTTATGAGGTAGGTGTTGCCACTACCCATACCCTCTGCACAATGCTAACACGAAGCAGCGTATGGAAACCATGGATCCGTCCACCTTTGCAACGCGCGCATCTCTCATTCTCACCGGTCTTGGGTTCAACAAAAAGACCATCACAAAGAAAACGAAAGATATGTCCGGTGGGTGGCGTATGCGTGTGGCCTTGGCCAAGGCTCTCTTTGTCAAGCCTTCCCTTCTCTTACTCGATGACCCGACGGCACATTTGGATCTCGAGGCATGTGTGTGGCTCGAGGAATACCTGAAGAAATGGGACCGCACCTTGGTTCTTGTTTCCCACAGTATGGATTTCCTGAACGGCGTCTGCACGACCATGATCGATATGAGAGATAGAAAGCTCATGTACTATGGTGGTAACTACGATTCATACTCGAAGACGCGAAATGAGCAGGAGACCAACCAAATGAAGGCCTACCATAAACAACAAGACGAAATTGTTCACATCAAGAAATTCATCGCGTCGGCCGGTACCTACGCCAACTTGGTCAGGCAGGCCAAGTCCCGACAGAAGATTTTGGACAAGATGGAGGCAGATGGTTTCATCCAGCCCGTCGCCCACGATCGTGTCTTCACGTTCCGATTCGCGGACGTTGAAAAACTTCCCCCCCCAGTGCTGTCATTCGACGATGTCACCTTCTCCTACTCTGGTGATCCAAAGGACGATCTCTACCGCCATCTGGATCTTGGTGTGGATATGGACTCTCGAACAGCCCTGGTCGGGCCTAACGGTGTTGGAAAGTCAACTCTACTGAAGCTCATGACAGGCAAGCTTTCACCCACAGGGGGTGTCGTCTCGCGCCACACTCACTTGAAGATGGGCGTGTACAGTCAACATTCCGCCGAGCAGCTAGACCTCACCAAGTCCGCTCTCGACTTCGTCCGAGACAAGTATTCCGACAAGAGTCAGGATTACCAGTACTGGAGACAGCAGCTCGGAAAGTATGGCCTCAGCGGCGAGTCTCAAACGGCCTTGATGGGCACCTTATCCGAGGGCCAGAAATCCCGTATCGTGTTCGCTCTTTTGGCTATTGACGGGCCCAATATGCTTCTGTTGGATGAGCCTACCAACGGCTTGGATATCCCGACGATCGACAGTTTGGCGGATGCCATCAATGCGTTCACTGGCGGTGTTGTTGTTGTTTCTCACGATTTCAGGTATGCTGCGCCCTAATCCCGATGATTAGTATCACTCTTACTAACCGAACTCTAGATTGCTCGATAAGATTGCAAAGGATATCATGGTGTGCGAGCACCAGTCCATCCACCGATGGGATGGCACTATTGGGGAGTATAAGAACCACCTGAGGAAGAAGATGGTGGCGGCAGGTGCAGTCTAGATACAGTACCAAGCTGGAAGGAACCAAAAGTTGAATTGCATTCTGGGCCGGGCACGTGGTGCAATATGCCAGCATATATACTCCGTACATTGACTTCTCCGCGAGAAAACCTCGCGGGGAGGGTCGAGGGCATTGGCAAGAACACCTTGCTGGATGCTTAGGGTGGTGGGATAGAATGCTTGTGATTTTAGAGGCGTGTCATTAATTGATTTTGTCGATATTGAATGATAGGGCTTTCAGGCAGATAATAATTAATTTGCAGAGATGCGTGATTGTGATTGTGATGGTGGTAGTGGCCACTGTCTGTTGGTGGTGTTTGGTGGAGTGTTGAGGCGGGTTGGGCGCTGCCCACTGCATCCGTACTCCACGGTCCCTGATGTACTGAGGAATACAAAAGGGGGCGCTCAAACAGATCAATCCCAATGCTGACGGGCACACTTTGTTGGACGCTCCTCGGGTGGCGAAGCACGAGAAGCGGAAAATTGGAGATCTTACGAAGTAGATGAAAATTGGCGCTATGGTTTATATTGGCTGGTTGGCGCCTTACCGCTTTCGGCAAAGCCAAACGTTGTAACTCATTGAGCTAAGTAAGTACATTGCTAGTGCATAGGGAGGGAGGAAGGGAATTAGGGCAAAAAGCATTTATATTATATTTATTAATATTAAGGGAGATCATAGAGGGCAGAGAGTAGAGGAGAGAATAGTCTGGTAGTAGGAGATAAATAAAAATAGTAGTTGTTTCGGTGGTCCAAGTACAGGTGCAGGTGCAGGTACAGGTACAAGTACTAAGTGACGGAGTACGGTATCGAAGGGGCATAATGTCAATCTGGAGATGCAAAACAGTAGAACGTGGCCTTTTGGCCCTTTGGCTGTGCTGACTGTCGAGCAACAAATATGTATGATCATCTTCCCTATGCACCTGCGAATAATAACATATCTCCTCTACCTAGGTACCTAGTCTACAGCTGTGTAATAAGTGAGTGCGTAGTAATGAACATCCACAAAGCAATGTACTTTACCAGGTACCTACCATATGTACTGTACATGTACCTGCTACACGCGCGTTGTATGCACCCGGCAGCCGCATTCCCCGTACCCGGTACCTTGCACCCAGCACCGCATCGCTCGACTATTATTACATCTTCTCGCCGTTCTTTGACTTTTTCGACATCGCCAGAGTCTCCGGCCCGCCGCCGCTGCGCGCAATCCAGATTCCCCTTCCCCCCCCAAAAGCGCGCGCGCACGACACACAAAGACTTTCCTTCTCCCCGTCCTGCCCGCCGACTCGCGTTCCTCCCATCTCCCCATTTCTTATTCTCCCCATTCTCCCTATTTCTATTTCGATTTCTCCTAGACTTCCCCCAACAACACCCAGAAATATATCCCATCAACAACATCATCATCATCACCAACAACCCCCAACACCCACCCATCCTACCACATCGCGGGTTTCTCACGCCCCCAAAAGTCAAATAGTAAAAACCCTAGTTCTGCCACCCGCCCTGCGTACTGCCAGCAAAACAAAGCAAAGCAAAGCAAACCTCCCTCCCCCGCCCAAACAACTATACTATACTGCCGGCCCTTTCTATGGAGCGGTGATCCCATCCACGCAAGGCATCCCGTCGCCTTCGGAAGCTGAAGTTGAAGTTGCAGTTGCAAGTTGCAGTGGTAGGGAACCGGGCGCGGTGAATGGACTCAATGTACCACTCCACGGTGATGCAACGGCCGCACGAGGACGAGGATGACGGTGGTCGGCGCGAGAGAGAGAGGTTGAACATCAACGGGGCGAGTAGCTCAAGCTCAAACAGTCGCCCCTACGACGCCGCTCGCTCTCCAACCCAAACCCAAACCCACGCTGATCATCAATCGCAATCCCAATCTCACTCGCAACCTCCATCGCGTTCTTCCTTCTCCCCAACCAACGGCACCCACCCGCGGCCTCAATTCGCGAACAATTCATACCATCCGCCAACGCCTGCTCCTGCTCCTGCTCCTGCTCCTCTGCAGATGCCGATGTCGATGCCAGGCGCTTCTCACATCCCTGGCCATCCTACTTCGCCCATGCCCTTGGCCTCGACGACGCCATCAGCGACATATCACAACGATTATCAGCCCCAAGCCCAAACCCAACCCGCCGCACGCGACAAACCCGTCAGTAACTATTACGATCCGACTTCGGATTCGGGCGAGAGACGGCCTTCGGAGGGCAACGTCCAGGCCCAGACACCCCAGGTAAGAAAATGATTCTCAGAGCTCAGGCATATTCCGATGTGTTAAATTCTAACCCGGACTTTCCAGAACCGAGACCCATACACCTTCCCACCGCCCTCGGCGGATGCACCGAAATACTATAACGGGTCACATACATCGCCGGTATCCAGCACCTTCCCACCGCCATCACCCATCTCGCATTCCCATCCCCAAGGTCGGCCAGTATCCCAATCGCCGAGCGCGGCCGCGATGGCCTCACCAGTCGCAAGGCAGAATGGAGTGGCTATGGCAGGGCCGTCGCTGAAGCAAGAGCCAGCTGTCCCTACAACGGTTCGCGTCTCTCACCCCAGACCTCCCAAAATTTCCCACTTACGAGGTTCGCAGACTCCCAGTAGAACAGCAGATCCAATGTCATTCTCGAGTATTCTCTCGAGTGCCGAACCTCCCCCTAAGCCCACCCTGACCCCTACCGTCACGAAAGGTCGAAAGCCATCAAAACAACCATTGCCTCCACCTCCTGCCCCAGAATCGATGTCGCGAGAGAGCTCTCAGCAGTCAACGGCCCCTCCGGCACCCACCCCTATCGCGTCTCGAATACCCGCAAAGCGAAAGGCCAACGGCGAAGCCAAGAAAAATTCTCCAAAGCCTAAAGTATTGAAGGAGCAAGAAAAGGAGATAGCTGCTCTGGCGGCCCAGCTTGATGCAGAGGCTAGTGATGCCGATATGCCTGATTATGAGGTGGACAAGAAGCTCTTCCAAGCACGGGGCCTAAAACGGAAGCTTGACGTGGAAAAGGCCGAGCTGGGTAAAGTCAAACAGCGGCGGAGGAATTTCACGCAAGCGATGGCCGGCAAGCTTACTCGACATGCGCTTTTGGGCGAGCAGCGATACAGAGATATCCACGCCGATGCGGCCGTTACAGCTGTACAGGAGAAAGAAGTTCAGGCCGAGAAGGAGCGGAAGAAGGACATGCAGAGGAAGCGTCGCCGGGAAAAGACCATTACCACCAACATGGAGCAGAAGCAGCTGGCACTGGCAAAGGCCCAGGAAGCGCGGGATGAAGAAGAGAGACAGAAGTTCATCCGCGAGGCGCTGAGAGCTGAGAAGAAGGCTCAACAGACCAAGCTCATTCTCCAAAGGGGTGACAAGCGACTAGACATGAAAGCTGGCTCGCCCCTCGAGCCCAACCTATCTGGTGGCATGATGTCTACATTCCCAACTGCAGACGCCGAAGCCCAACCGCCGAAAACGAAGTCGAAGCGCGGTGGTGCTCGATTACGAAAATCCAAAGAACAGAAGCAAGCCGAGAAGGATTCCGCTGAAGCTGCCCAGGCTGCTATCGACGCTGGGGAAGAGCCTCCACCACCTCCCCCAGTAAAAGACGAGCCTCCAACCAAGATCAGACTCAAGGTTAAAGAACCAAAGGAACCTAAAGAGGAGCCCCCTGCCTTTGAGCCTTACGTTTCAAAGGGCTATAACCAAATATATGATCAGATATGGCGGGATCTTGCTCGGAAAGACGTCAACAAAGTCTACAAACTCGCAGCAGAATCCTATGCCACAAGAGTATCGAATTTGAAGAAGACTGCTATCCTGGCCTCGAAAGAAGCCAAGCGTTGGCAACTCCGAACAAATAAGGGCACCAAGGACCTCCAGGCTAGAGCAAAGCGTGTCATGCGTGAGATGATGTCGTTCTGGAAAAGGAACGAACGTGAAGAACGCGACCTTCGACGAGCAGCTGAGAAGCAGGAGATCGAGAATGCCAAGAAAGCAGAGGCTGATCGAGAAGCCAATAGGCAGAAGAGGAAACTCAACTTTCTTATCTCTCAGACCGAGCTATACTCCCATTTCATTGGAAAGAAGATCAAAACGGATGAGGTCGAACGGTCAACGGATCATCCCGATGTCGCTGCCGCTGCTGGAGCTACGCCTGGACACCCGAAAGGGCCGACTATCGATGTTTCCCATGGCACCGTGGGTGCCAAGGTCACTAATTTTGAGGATCTGGATTTCGACGCCGAGGACGAATCTGCTCTGACAGCTGCTGCAATGGCCAATGCCCAGAACGCCATCCAAGAGGCCCAAAACAAGGCCAGAGCATTCAACAAACAAGATGAGGGCCCGGATATGGACGAGGAAGGCGAGATGAATTTCCAAAACCCTGCAGGGATGGGCGATGTTGATATCGAACAACCCAAGATGCTTCAGGCCCAACTCAAAGAGTACCAACTCAAGGGTCTCAATTGGCTGGTCAACTTGTACGAGCAGGGCATCAACGGTATTTTGGCCGATGAGATGGGCTTGGGTAAGACTGTTCAGTCTATCTCGGTCATGGCCTATCTTGCGGAAAAGCACGGGATCTGGGGGCCTTTCCTCGTGGTTGCACCAGCTTCGACCCTTCACAATTGGCAACAAGAGATTGCTAAATTCGTCCCAACTCTCAAGGTCTTGCCTTATTGGGGCACAGCTGCGGATCGAAAAGTTCTGCGAAAATTTTGGGATAGAAAGCACATCACGTACACGCAAGATGCTCCTTTCCATGTCCTGGTCACATCATACCAACTCGTCGTCTCTGATGTCAACTACTTCCAGAAGATGAAGTGGCAGTATATGATTCTTGACGAGGCACAGGCAATCAAGAGCTCCCAAAGTTCGAGATGGAAGAGTTTACTTGGGTTCCACTGCCGCAATCGTCTGTTGCTTACCGGTACCCCGATTCAAAACAATATGCAAGAGCTGTGGGCCCTCCTTCATTTCATCATGCCAAGTTTGTTCGACTCTCATGATGAGTTCAGCGAGTGGTTCTCCAAGGATATCGAAAGTCATGCTCAGAGTAACACGAAACTCAATGAAGATCAACTCAAGCGGCTACACATGATCCTGAAGCCGTTTATGCTTCGTCGTGTCAAGAAGCATGTTCAAAAGGAGCTTGGTGATAAGATCGAGCTTGATATCTTCTGCGACCTGACTTATCGTCAACGGGCCTATTACACGAACCTCCGTAACCAGATTAGTATTATGGATCTTATCGAGAAGGCGACCGTTGGAGACGATAATGACACCGGCACGCTCATGAATTTGGTCATGCAATTCCGCAAAGTCTGCAATCATCCTGACCTTTTCCAGAGGGCTGAAACTACGTCGCCCTTCTCTTTTGGCTATTTTGCCGAGACGGCATCCTTCATGCGCGAGGGCCCTAATATTAATGTGGGCTACTCGACCAGGAACCTGATTGAGTATTGTTTGCCAAAGTTGATCTGGAGAGAAGGTGGTAGACTCGATTTGCCTGGAGACGACAATGAGAAGGCAGGCTTCAATAGCCGATATCTGGAACAATTGATGAATGTCTGGAACCCCGAAAATATTCTCGAGAATGCAGACGGGAACGGTGCTTTCTCTTGGCTGAAGTTTTCGGATACATCTGCAAAGGAAGTGTCCGCGGCGGGCCGCAAAAGCGTCTTTAATCGTGCTGTAGAACTTGCCCAAAAACCCCGTCGACTTGACACCTTGAATGTCATTTATGACGAGGAGGAGGAGAAGAACTTTACCCCGTCCCATGCCATGCTTCGCATTGTCGATCGCCAAGAGCGCAAGGCGCTTGCTGAGGTCACAAATGAGGGCTACCTCAATAAGCTTTTCAATGTTGCCAAGACTTCCTGGGCGAACTCTGGAGTTGGCCGACTTGAGCAATGTGGTCGACCTGCGGCTTCTGCACCTCCAATCGAGGTCTTTTGCTCCAGTCCGGGGGCTATCATTGAGAAGGAAAATCTCATGTTCAACATGCCTGTGCGAAGAGCGCTCTACGGTCCTTCGCCTGTAGAGGAGAAGGCTTTGGTCACGGCGAAGATACCGCCAACCTTCTATCCACCCACCAAGATGCTCCCAGCGCCGACCTCCGAGAAGCAACGCTTCACCAATATTCTTGTGCCTTCGATGCGACGCTTCGTCACTGATTCCGGCAAACTGGCTAAGCTTGATGAACTTCTGTTCAAACTTAAGGAAGGTGGTCACCGAGTATTGCTCTATTTCCAAATGACGCGCATGATCGACTTGATGGAAGAGTATCTCACATACCGCAACTACAAATATCTCCGTCTCGACGGTTCTACTAAGCTGGAAGATCGAAGAGATACGGTCCATGATTTCCAGACTAGACCTGAGATTTTCATATTCCTGCTGAGTACGAGAGCTGGAGGTTTGGGAATCAACTTGACCAGTGCAGACACTGTCATCTTCTACGACTCCGACTGGAATCCAACCATTGATTCTCAGGCTATGGACAGAGCCCATCGTCTCGGACAAACCAGGCAGGTTACTGTGTACCGTATGATTACTCGCGGTACAATCGAAGAGCGTATCAGGAAGCGTGCCCTCCAGAAGGAAGAGGTGCAAAAGGTTGTTATGACCGGTGGTGCTGGTGTCGACTTCAACACGAGGAGCAAGGAGAACCGTACCAAGGATATCGCCATGTGGCTCGTCGATGATGACGAGGCTGCTGAGATTGAACGAAAAGAGGCCGAACTCGCTGCTCAAGAGGCTAAGGAGCCAGTAGTTGGCAAGAAAGGCAAAGGCAGAAAGCGTAAGGCAGAAACCGGAGGGAGCTTAGAGGATTTGTATCATGAAGGTATGTTAAACTCTTCCTGTTTTGGATCATCTGAACGTTTGCTAATACAACTCTACAGGGGAAGGTCATTTTGACGACGGTTCCAATAGACCATCCGGAGCTGCGACTCCTATCCCAGGGTCAGGCGACGCCGCTTTGGGAGCTAAGGGAAAGAAGCCCCGTAAAGCTGGCGGAAAGAAAGCCAAGACAGCGAAGCAAAGACTCGCGATGGCCGATGGGGATGTGGACATGGGCTAATTTTTTTTCATTGATATATCGCGCAGATTCTTTTTGGAGCGATTGTTAGAGATGCATTGAAGGGAAAAAGCATAGTTACATCGTGGGCTAGGTCTGAAGCAAGGTGTGGAATTCAAGAGCATTAGAGATTTAAGGGAAACATAGGACATTGTATTATACTTATAGGGGGGTTTTGCTTTGCTTTCCACCGCCAGGATGTGCGCAACCGCATGAAGAAGCGGAGAAGAAACCGTGGGGATGGTTATCTTTGTGTTACTATTATCTAGAATAGGGGATGAGGAGCTCACGTTTGCAGCCGGGGCGTTATAACTTTTATTACGATATAGGGCAACTCAACCTCCTGCTGAGGCCATTCAATTAATGGCAATATTTGTATTACTTTTAAAGGACTTGAAATGAGTACAAATTCTTCGCAGGTGATCTGTTTACATACCTTATTAGGTACGAGGTCTCGTGGGCGAAAACAACACTAGCTCCAACAGACCAACAGGGGTTCTCCATCTCTTATCCATCGTCCGCCCCTCCAGACAGATCCCTGATACCTCTCAAAATGCACCTCCAGCTTCAATTCTAGCTTCGCTATCTCCCCACCAGTTCATCCCCACTATGATAATTGCCTAATATCTTCCACCTGGCCCTCATATTTACAATTCAAGCTTCCGTATCACCAATCTCCACTTTACGTCATCAAGAATGAGTCTTAGTTGCAACCTATCGTCGGACACTGCCTGAAATCCCCCCACTACCAGGCTCTCTTCAGCTGTCAGCGCAGAAGAAGTGAGACATTCTGCGCAGTATAGTTTAAACATGGCTTCCAGCGCGCGTACATCTACAGAAGATCGACCCGGGGCGCAAGACCAAGGACCCACGGTATCGAATCCCCACTCCCTCTCCAAGACCGTCCATGCGCGGCGCGCCGAATATACTCGACCGCAAAAGATTAAGATCAAGATCGGGTCTTGGAATGTAGCGGCTTGCCCCAATACGGAGCTCGATTTGGCCGGCTGGTTTGTGCAAGGGAAGGGTGTTGATGAGCGGCTTTCCGGTGCTGGAGTATCATCCCATGGCAGCGAAGATGAAGAGGTGGAAAGCGCAGGTGCTCAAGAGGCAGGACGGACTAAGGAAGAAGGCACCATTCCGAAGGATGATAAAGGGGTTATACCGGGTGGTGATGAGATCGGGCTATATGTTCTGGGGCTACAGGAGGTGGTGGATCTCAGCAGTGCGAGGGAATATGTTGGGCGGGTGTACACGGATACAGGACCTATGGCGAAGTGGAGGAAGGCGCTGAGTGATGCGCTGCCTGCGGGATACGTGTTAATCACAGAGGAGCAGCTTTCTGGGCTGTTGCTCCTGGTCTTCGCTAGTCCTACTGTTGCGCCAACTGTCAGCTCTGTGAGCACTGTTAGTGTGGGCACGGGGATTATGGGATATCTCGGGAATAAAGGGGCTGTGACGACGAGAATATTGCTGGGAGAGACGACGCGGATGGTGTTTGTGAACTCGCATTTGGCGTCGGGGTCGGATCCGGCGCATTTGGATAGGAGGTGTTGGGATGTTGCGCAGATTCTACAGCGCACGCGCTTCGATCCTATTAACTTTGCCGGGGTCCTGGAGGATACGCAGGATGGGATAGGGGACGAGGACTTTGCGTTCTGGTTTGGGGATTTGAATTTTAGGCTTGATGGCCTCCCTGGTGATGATATTCGACGGCTTCTTATGCTACATACGAAGGGGGAATATGGTGTTGGGGAGGACTCGAGGAATAAGATCGATGACGAGTTGGGTGAGGGCCGTGACCCTATTGTTATACGCAGTGTGGAAAGTGATGATGAATCCGAGGAGGACTCGGATCCTCCAACGAGTGGCAGCTTTGATCCCGGTGACGATTCTTCTTCGAATACCCTACCGGACCCCGACGATTTCGTGCAAGATCCAAGCCAGGACCCGGCTTCTTTACAGGCGACCTTGGATTCATTACTACCGCACGACCAGTTGAGGCATATGCAGAAGAAGAAGAAAGCGTTTCATGATGGCTGGCGGGAGGGGCCTATTACATTTCTACCCACGTACAAATATGACGTTGGGAGTATGGGGATATTTGACTCCAGCGAGAAGAAGAGGGCGCCTAGCTGGTGTGATCGTATACTCTATCGGACTCGAAAAGATAAACTAGAATATGAGGGCAAGGCACAGGAGGACGCACTTGCGAGAATTAAGGATGAGGAGATGAAAGCTAGAGGGATCGATCAGGCTTCGGAAGACGAAGATGTTTTATTTGACTATAACCCCGATGAGGATGGGTTGGAGGAACCCGCTACGAATAATGAATATGACGAATACAATGAAGAGGAGGCCGATCATCCGGATGATGTGCTAACGAAAGAGGGTTATGTGGACAGGGTCCATTTATACGCTTATACATCGCATCAAAGGGTACTTTCCTCGGACCATAAGCCCCTAGATGCCGCCTTTACGGTGGAATATGATGCTGTTGTGCCGGAACTAAAAGCGAGGATTCATCAAGAGGTGGCTCGCGAGTTGGACCGAGCGGAAAATGAAGGGCGGCCTGGCATAACAGTTGTTGTTGATCGTTCTCACGAGGCGGACAATAATTCACAACCAGATGCCCCTGGGTCACGACCACCATCGGTGAGCATCCCTGACTGTATAGACTTCGGCAAGGTGGCATATCTTCAAAGAAAGACCCGTAGCTTGACGATTGCAAATACTAGCCAAGTCCCGGCGACGTTCTTTTTCGCGGATAAACCGAGCATCACAGGTGAAGAAGATAGCATTGCTCCGTCGTGGCTCTCCGTCTACTTTGTCAACCCTGAGATGGACGCCGGCACGCCGACATTGGAACAAGCGAAAAAGGAGGTCACTTTGGAGCCTGGCGACGCCATCAATGTCAGCCTTGATGTCTTTGTTGACGACATCTCGCTGGTGAGAAGTCTAAATGCGGGGGAAATGCATCTTGACGACGTCCTCATCCTGCGCGTTACCGATGGCAGAGATCATTTTATTCCTGTTCGTGGCACATGGCTTCAATCTTGCTTCGGGCGGTCTGTCGATGAGCTGATTCGCATTCCACAAGGTGGTGTGCGCGCCCTCCCCCCTCCTCGTCGTGGATCAAGCGGTGCTCCAGTCAATAACCAGCAGGAAGTCTATTGGTCTGCACCGCGCGAGCTCTTTAAGCTCACTGAAGCGGTGGAGGCGCTTGTCGAACGTGTTGTTGCTGATTCCAACATGATCGAGAGCTCACAGGTTCCCAAAGATGCTGCAGGTTGGCCTTTCGACTGTGCCTCTTGGACTTTTAATGATTCCAAGGCGCGAGAGGTCCAAAAAGGCTCTGTGCTGGACGCATTAGATGCAGACAAGAACATCAACGACTCATTCCCAGTGGAAACCCCAGCTCTACAAAAACTAGAAATCATATCAGAGGTCCTGATTGGGTTTCTCAACAGCCTCACAGATGGCATTGTCCCTGCACCTCTCTGGGACAAGCTCGAGGCGGACATGGTATCAAGGGGCGCCAACCCGCTCACCGACACCGAAGAAATCAAGACCTGGGTCCTCGATGTCCTTTCCACTTCGCCAAACCACAACATCTCCTTCGTATTTCTCACCAGCATGCTCTCTCGCGTTGCAGGCGAGCTGGCGCCTGTGCCCAAAGTCTCCTGGAGGAACAGCAAAGCCGGCAGTGTGAGGAGTAGCATGGAGACGGTGCGCCGGTCTTTAAGCTGGAAGGGCAAAGCCCCACTACCACCCCCGGCGGATCCTAATGTGCTAAGACGCGAGGCCGTGGAGAGGGCGTATGCTGATGTTTTTCGGGATGTGGTGTACAGGGGCCCGGTGGGGTTGAAGGATAAGGAGAGGAAGGCGATGGGGGAGCGGAGGAGGGAGGTGTTGGAGCCGTTTGTGGGGGATGTGCGTACTAGCCCTTGATTTATATATATATAAAGGAGATAGATGTGTGGTGGTTACCTGAATAAATGATACCCGGTGTGTGATATAATATTCTGCAACGTTTCAGTGAAATTGGTACATGTGCCTTTGTATTCGTGTTGCTAGAAAGTAGAATAATATCTTTTTAATAGGGCTACGAGTCCAGTCTACTCTATAGTGACTTGTTCTAAAGATTGCAATATTCGCTTTAGTGCTGGTATAGTGGCTATCAAACGATTATTAGCCCCCTCAAAAAACCAAATTTCTTTCTTGCATATGGCCTCGTGGGTATTGGTTTGATATCTGCAATTCTAAAAATGGCAAGCGGCGAAAAATATATGCTTGCCCTGTGTAGTAGGTTATGTTCTTTAGCGATCTGAATCCCAAATTAGGGATTGGCGATCTCTCACTAGATATCAATAGGTAATGGTCGGCCAAACAACAATGCGGTCCGGTTGCTGTCGCCTTTGGTGGCTAGAGAAGAGATAGTGACGATTTCCCCATGTATGCCCTCACCATGTATGTGGCTTGGGTGGTTTGTGCGGCCAACTTGAAGCGTTTGAGGACATGGCATTCCAAGGTCCAAACCGTAAGAATGTCTCATTCTTGGTGGAACTTTTTGGCTTTTGATTGCCTTCCTGCAATCATCTCCGAGTTCTACTCCAGGACAAGATAATATTGGATGCTCCTCCGAGGAGGCTTTGGGGGGCAATAATTGTTTTCTGTGAGCACTGAGGGGGATTGAGGGGCGTGCAATTTTGTTCTAGGTGCTTAGACGGTGTAGGAGCGGGTAGGAAGAATACCCCAGGTATCTCCTGCAGCTTCAATGACTTTCGAGCCATTATTTGAACTTTCGGGCTTTTCTCCGAGCCCAATGTAGCCTTTTTGGTTTGCCATGACAAGTTTATTGGTACCTTCTTCCCGATACGAGAAGCTGTAATGCGTATGGCCGAATGCCCAGAGCTTCACTTGAGCGCTTTTCCAGCAAAGTTCCGAGGATAAATCTGTCACAAAACCAGATCTGACCGTGCTGTTGGTATGAATAGGATTATTTGCGCGAGGGTCGATCGTGGGGCTGTGGTGCGTAAACACGATGATTTGTCTTTCCGGTTCTTCATTATGCATCTTTTCAACCTCGGAGTTCAGCCATGCTACGTCCTGTTGGTGCTCTTTCAAGTGCTCCTCTAGACCCCATTCCCTGATACCTCTTACTTGATTGAAATCCGTGAGGCGAGCTTCAACTTCAGCCATCTGAGAGGGAAGTATATGTGACCAGAGGGTGCAACCGAGAATGGTAATTGTAGGATTGACATCATAACGTGTCCGATTCAGGAATATGAAGCGATTTCCATATGTCCGGGCCACTGTTTTGGCAAAAGTTCGCATTTTCTCCTCCGCTGCTTCTAGCGTCATCTGATAAGCTTCGTGGTTTCCGAGAAGATATAAAATCGTCAGATTCGGCGTCCTCTTCAATAAACTCTCGAGAAATACGTATAGGCCATCATCCTTTGCAAGTCCTATATCCCCGAGCAAACACAGATAGCTAGCTTCAAGATTTAGCTTGAATGTGCTGTAAGAGGGCTGAACGAGAGGAGTCTCAAGGTGGAGGTCCGAGACAACTTGGAACTGAGGATGGAAAATCGAAGCCGAAGTCATCGTGACCGAAGTTTGAGTTTGAATAAATCCTCAGGACGGGAAGACATATATTAAATATTGTGGCGGGCTTTTGAAGTATGACACCCCCACGAGGTTGTTTTTGAATGAAGTCGAAAAGTTAGAGCAAACCCCAGACCTCTTCGCTTGGAGCTTACTCAAGTACCTTGGCTGCATCAACCGTGATGCACAGGCAACTCTGGCACTTGGTGCAATTAAATATATAACTGAACATCTACGCTTTGAAATGCAAATTTGAGGATATAGAATTAAAGAATATATCTGAGATATTAATTACATCGAATATAGAGATTATAAAAATTGTGGTGGTTGTGTAATGTAACCCTCACGTAGTAACATTCAGGCTCTTAGGGTAGCGCTTATAGCGCATTATTGCTAGCGTTAATACTGCAGCAGTTACTTCGTGCCCACAGTTAAGTTCACCTTCCAAGGCCTCATTAAAACATTGCTGCTTCCTTTTTACATTCAACGAGCACAACCGTAATTCGCCACACCTCGATCAGATCATCAGATGTGAATAGAGGAAACCGGCACTGTGTAACAAACAACCGCCATGGCTATGCACCTAAGCGCCTTCCTTGGAGTTGCCCAGTGAGCAGCCTATGAATTGGAGACATTGCGAGACACGCCCAGTTCCTAGGACAGTCACCCGGAACACTGCATAGTGTGGCATGGCGCCAGTTAATGATACTAACGAAGTGCCTCCGCTTCACATCCTCGCGATTTTGTCTCTCTGTATCGCCCTAGAAAAGGTAGCGGTTGAGAACTCATTCCATAAGAGGAATCTGTCAAGGTTTACAACATCATAGGGGTTGAAGTTCGAAATAAGTATGAATGACAATGCCTTGGCCTACAATTCGACCATCTGGTATTTATTATCGCTCATGTCTTGAATCTTGAAAGCTGCGCTCCCGATTCGCGGAAGGAGCTGCATCAGAACCAGGTTCCTACTCCGCGGAACCCTACTCCAAGACGCCCTGCTCTACGCGCCCAACCTGGATGCAAACATTCATGTGCGATCCTGCCTAAGTGCAGGAAGGTATGGGCTTCAGGATCAAAGGCGTAAACCTGCCTCTCCCCTAGAAGTATTTCTAGTGGTTAGACCCCCCATGCTAGCGCTGAGGCATGCGATGGCCGTCCAGGGAGATAACTACCTAGCTAACCCGCCTATGTTTTAGTGAGAATCCTCACCCTACTCTTCAATCAAGCACGAGTACGCATACTTTCAAGATTCAACTTGTCCTGGATTCCTATTAAGGGCAAAGTGCTCCTTGGGTTGCTTCCAAGAGACCTGTGCCTTTAACAACAACAAAAACAAATTCAACATGCCTAGCCCTTCTCATCCGTCAACAACAAGCCGTGCATTGCACGATGTTGAGCTCCATATCGCCCAAGATAAGATCATCTGTATTCATTCAAGCACATTACGCCAGTGCTCGGGGTTCTTTTCTAGTAGTCTAAACTGGGCTGAAGCGGGAGGGTCTTCTCCCCCAATCATCTATGAATTAGACCTCGCGGATGATGTAGATTATGATATTTTCCGCAAGCAGGTAAGGTAACAAAAGCTTCCCTGGTGCTACATGTATCTAACGCTACTAGACTGATAATAGCAAGCTAGAAATCTCTGCGGAATCCCCACCCGGGCGAGATGAATCGTATTATCGCGCACTTTTCAATCTCTTCGATATCTTTCAACATCGCAGCCCTTCGATCGCGGGTTTAGACGACATCATAATATTGATTAAGCTCGCCGACAAGTACGATAGCCTTCCTACAGTCAGCCGTGCGGTACGACTGCACTTAATGGAAGCTGGAGGCCAACCCTCGTCTCTTTATCGGGACATAGCAGCTGACCCAGTGAGATATTTGCATGTTGGGGAAAAGCTTCGATCGTCAAGCATCACCAAAGAGGCAGCCACTCATGTCCTTGGAACCTGGTCCCAGTCGCGCGAAGAGTGCCGATCGATTTTATCCGAGACATTCTTCGGCACCCTCGTCCAAAGACACCACGAACTTAGCGAGAAGAAGTGGGCTGCTAACAAGCAGCTTCTTTCACTCAACCTCAACCCCCCTAGACCTACATTTGTCCAAAACCCCCTCGAAGACGGTGCTGTCATTGCCCTGGCACGCGTTCGAGAGCTCATCAGTTTGGCCTTCTCAAGATGCTATCAAGGATCGGATTATGAAAATTTGGAAGGAGAAATGTACAGAGAGGTAGCTCAAAGCACCGCTATCACCTACACACTAACACCAAAGGTAGCTAGAGCTGCCATTACATTCGACTCAGCCCGTTCACACTTGCAAGCGAAAATTGCCTTGGCTTTAGGTGACTTGGCTGAAGTGCACTTGCAGCTCCAATCTGAAGTCTTACCAGGCCATATCACTTCTGCCCAGCTGAAAGACTCTGATTTGCCTTGGGACGGTGATTGGATATAGGTAGTCTCAAGCACTAGTACGGAAATCATATTGTACCAATAAACCCATCTTCTGTTCGGCGAGCTTTAGCAAAGATGAGCCGATGTAGACGGTCCAAATAGGTGTACTGATATACTCATCAGACGTATTACTTACGCACAAATATGATATAAAAGCCGACCGTCTTTTTTAATATGGGATTCTTGAGATACACATACGCCATAGATAAAAAGTCGTCTTGGTAATAGTGCTATAATGTGGATATCCCCCGCTTTTGCAGTGTTGCCATGTGTTTGGGCCACAACACTCGGGAAACGTAAAGACAACAAGTCCGGGAATTCCCGAGAGTTCGGCCGATACCTACACCTCTGATGATGTTATCGTTTTATCCGTTTCACCCCTGCGGGTCAGATAATTTGACCGCCCATAATTTTTCCAGTTCAAACTCCAGCAAGGTGATTCTAGTCAGCCATATGCTCCAGTTCCATTTTCACGTCCGCCTGCTTTTACATAGATTCCGTACTAGTTTGATTTTCCGTATCACTCAAAATAGCCCGCTAGCAACATTTAACTTCCAAAAATGCTACTGAAACACAACGCATAATTAAGAGGAAACTGCCGCCAAGTCTATTAAGCTGTTCGTTTTCTTGGGGCCGCAATCAACGGCTGGCATATTCATGTTCAAGTGGAGGTTTGAGCAAGAAAGTGGAGAATTGAAGCAGTACGCTCAGATTACCAGTGGGCAAGATAGAACCTTGAATCTGAGAAGTTAAAGCCATAAAAGAAATTGAGCATGGCAATAAAAGGTGTTACGGGATCTTCGAGATCATGCTCCGTAAATAAAGGGGCGATGAGTTTACCCCTATCCTAAGCGAGGCTGGTAGCTCATGTAACGTACTAACGCGATAGGCGTTCAGTGTTTGAAAGCCAAGCTACACCAAGCATTTGAGTACGACGCCGCACCTAGGAAATGGCGCAGTGAACCCCCGAAGTCTTCCGCGGGATGGTCTTGGTGCGTGCTCCGTCTGACGTCTCTCTCCCATGCCCGTATCTCTCCAACGCACGTCACCGAGTCCATTCCTAGCTTCGTCACAATGTATTCGGCGCGTTTCCCGGGTTTCCCGGATAGTTTTCCTCGTTTGCCGGGCTTGAATAAGGTGTCAACAGAGCTGAGAATCGGTTGGTTATTGATGAGATGGAGCATCTCTAGCGGCAGGGTTAAGCACCAACAATGCCCACCGCTCAGTAAACCCTTTTTTGTTGATCCTGTGATCAGTTTTTAAAGCCTCGAAGTTGGGGCGGATTGGGCCTACCTAGCTCTCTTAGCTTGTATTTACCACGCTAGCTCTATGTTGTTTGGTCTCAAGCGTGGTTTATAAAATGAGTCCTAAGAAGAAGGAACTGAGGCATTATATATCAAGGGACCACCGGCAATGGTATCAAATATTTTATATCTTATATTGTCGTGACTCGTGGCTCGTGCGCTACATGGAGATTTAACACTACCACTTCTTTGAATCCTGCAGAATAACCTCCGAAGCCTTCATCCCAAGCATGAATGTTGGCACAACCGGGAAAGCTCCTGGCGTTTTTGGGAATGCACTAGCATCCACCACCCTCAATCCCCTCGTCCCTCTTACTCGGAACTTCGAATCTAGGACAGCCTTAGGGTCGCTATCAGCCCCAATAGCGCAGGTGCTAGTTGCATGATGTGACCAAGCCTGAGTTTTGATCTCATCTTGGACATCGCAGTTTCGGGCGCCAGTGCAAGGAAGAACCTCCTTGGTGAAGGGACCCACGGGACCTGGTACCGAGTCATAGATTTTTCGCCCGAGTGTTACACCGTCTTCAATAGCCTGCAAGTCCACTTGTCCTCCTCCTTCAAAGAATCGAAAGTTGATTTCAGGAGTGTCTCGAGGGTCGTTGGAAACGAGTTTGAGGGTGCCCAAGTTCCCTTTAGAACCCATCTTGACCAGTGAGAAGTCGAAGGTGTTTGGAGCATCTCCCGGAACCTGGTTCACGGTTGTACCTGGCCAATAACCTCGGAACGTGCCTCCAGGAAAGACCATATAAAACAAGTCTCGCTCATTATTTACGGCAACGCTCGACGTAGCTAGCAGCGCAGCGAGTGGGCCTTGTGCATATGGCCCTTTGCCCTGATGCCATGCGGCAAGGCATGGGTCACCCGGAGCTCCATATGTGCAGACAGGACCTTTGCTCGTGAAATTGAGTGATGCCCCAGCAGCAACGCCAAACTCGGTGTTGTCTTGGAGATTTGTTCCGACACCTGGGAGGTCCACGACAACAGGAATATTCAACTTCGTGAGGTCGGCCTTGGGTCCAATACCGCTGAGCATGAGAATCTGCGGACTATTGAATGTGCCGCCGGATACTATGACCTCTTTCCTTGCAAATGCCTGCTTCTTAGTCCCCTGGCTACTGGAGTTGTACCGTGGGTCCGCGCTATACACGCTCTGACCTGCGATATATTCTACACCCGTCGCTCTAGGATCATCACGGTTGCTTTTTGGCTTATCGAAAAGGACCTTGGTGACAAAAGAGTTCACTCCCACGGTGAGAGCGTATTTTTTGGAGCCGCGTGGACCTTGTGCGTTCGCAACTTGGACAACCGCATCTCGCGCACTGACTCGATTGCCGACCAAGTCTCTGTGAGCCGGGAACCCAAACAATCCCGTTTGTTGATCACGATCCGGGTCGTCACTATTCATATCACGCTGAAGATGTTGGAATACCTTGTTAGGATCCTGTCCCATGATCTTGGCTGTAGCCTTCAAGACCTCAATAGCTTCAGTCTGGTTTTGTAGGAACTCATCAGTGTTCACGCTGATGTCGAGGAAGCCGTTAAATCCATGACCAGGGGTTCCTTTCGGTACAAGGTGATCGTTTTCCAGATTGATGAAATGCTTGCGCATATTTTTGGCACTAGAGCTGTTAGTACTTCGTTTAACTCGAAATTCAGGATGTGGAATGACATTTACCTCCAGGAGTCGTCGCCTGTAATATCGGCGATATGCTGCCACTCGCTATTACTAGGAAGTGTAGCACACATTGCGTTATGCGTGGAACAGCCGCCCAGCGTTCCTGCTCTGGGGTAGTATACCCCTAGCTGTGTGGCACCTGCTGGCGGGCTGGTACCGACGTAGAACTGCCCATCAGTAGTTCTCCACGTCAAGTGTTCGTATCGTCGAGTGATTGCATCATCCGAATGATACTTGACAAAGAAATCCCAACGCATAAGCGGGTCGCCGCCAGCTAAGGGGAACAAGCCAGCAACCTTCTCTGCCGGGTTTTCGCCTTGGTCATCTCCAGCCTCGAGAAGGAGCACAGATTCCCCAGCCTTTGCGAGATTTGCAGCTAATGTGCCTCCACCCGGACCGGAACCCACGACGATATAATCATAGGTGTCCTTGCCAGCACCTGTAGCCGTTACGACCGAAAGAAGGGCAAGAAATGTGAGACGCCAGAGCTTCCCCATCTTGGGAAAGTTCTCAGAGTAGAGGCAGCTTGCCAGAAGGGAATAAGGCAAAGCTTGAAGGACTCGATTTCCTTGCAAAGAACGGTGGATAATTGTGACGATAAGATGGGAGAGTATGTTTTTTTATAGAAGATCACCTTCCATTTTCCCGTGATTCCCTCACACCGGAGTGGTATACGAGTAACATGTTGGTAATCCACTTCTTGCTGCAGAACTATGGCATTTCAATAATTAATTCCCAGTTCCTGCGTGAACCCTCGCTTCGGGACGGCTCCAACGAATAGTAGGCTTCGAAACATCCCAAAAATCAGCAATGTAACTCTCCGGGAACTTATCCCATGCGGCGTGCATCTCGAAACCATGTAACGGACATGTAAGCTTCCAGAACAACTTTCCTCAGCCGGCAGATTTCGCAGCCGGACAACCAATTTCCCGGGACTTCTACAGAACTTTATCGCCTAGGGTTTAGCCCGTACCGTGCAAGCATTTCCCAAAACAACGATTTACATACCTTCGGCCCTACGGGACGACATGATGTCTAAGTGCTCGATCTAGATCCCAGCTATTTGCACCTAATCGAGCGGCCCGATCCATTCAGCCAAGGGACAGGCCTGGTGCGAAGCCTAGCTCGAAGAGTCAAAGGGGGCGGGGTATCAATATTCCAGGAGTGGGGCAGAAGTCAGGGAAGGAGGGAATTCCCCCACCTCGTGGGTTAGATATACTAGTAAGGTACGTTGCTGTATGTAGTATGTAGGTAGTATGTTGCGCTTCTCGTATGTTGATTTCGAGACAGAAAACGGGGGCGGCGGGCAAGGATGTCATTTATTGATGCTTGAAGCTGACACAATATTCCTTAGTAAGAAAAAGCAACTTTTAATATCCTTGATTCGCAATCGCCGCTGTTGCCGCGCTATTGTTGCTTACAAGCTCCCATGAATCTGCCTATCACCTCTTGTAGCGGTGCATTCAGCGTATTTAGCTGAGCCTTCCATGAAACCCTTAATATTTCCATTTGACTATGCTGGGTAGTCTTGCTCCTCTGTAATACAACACTGCTCATACAAGCGCGTAGTCGCCTTTCCAGTAGGAATCATTGGGCAATGGCATTTCCTCAAGAAACCGAGGCGCCGCTAATGTTTTTCCGTCTTATCTATGTAGATTCTACTTAAATCAGCAAATTACGTAACTAATGATTCATTTTCTCTTTGGAATCTAGCTTGTATTGGAGCTAATACGCTCCCGTCCAGGATGGCGAAAACAATGTGCCTCATTATTCCAGGATGGGCACTATATTGGTAGATGACCTTACTCTTAGTGTCCAAAACATGGGAGACTTGCATTGTACACAACCTTTTCAGCGTCTAGTGGTGCCATTCCGCAGATAAGCTCATTGACCTTATTCTAAGTCCGTGACGTAGGTTGTGCATCTCATAGCATTGGAGATGCTTGGCAACATATCGGTTACATATGACTGACTGTTAAGGTCTAGGGCACGGCTCATGAACGAAGGGTATGAGGCAGGATGAATGCTTTACTGAAACTAAGGAGGAAAGGGGGAGCCTGAGGGGATCCCTCTGTTATATACACGATCTGCCCCGGGAGCCTGCATAAGCCCTAACACTGACATACTTGCTTCCTCCAAGCTCTTGAAAGTCTTTAAGACGTTTTTAACTTTTATTTTCCAATTTACTCCTTTGGGCCGCATTACAATATCTCACTTAGTGATCATTTAGTTCAACCCTACAATAAACTGTTACGAAGAAAAACGGTAAGAGATTATGTCTTCACCATTAGCACGCAAAAGCAGGGTTGTAAAAGTACGTTAGTGGAGAAAGCTGTTATCAGTACAGGAATTGATGCGCTATTCATGTCCTTACTATTAATTAGGGCTAGATGTAAGATAGGGTAGTCCAGTGAGTGCCTAGAGTCTCATTCGTCGTCTGCCGAAGTTGATGCTGGAGAAGCTACGTAGATCTGGGTTGCGGAATAACGGCTTGAAGTTAGGGCGTAGTTGATAATGCAAAACCGTAAGTTCGAATGTATAAAAGTGTACTCCCCCAAGTCCCCTCCTTGCCAACTAACTGCCCTTGCCGTGCTTAGTAAACTCCTATTCGGTGTATCTTACACGAGGTTGAACCGCTAATGAGTACGATAGAGGCGAGGGAAACTAGCATCCTTCTCTGGCCGGTACTAGACTGATACCAAGCAATCCAATAATAGGGGAGCCTCTCAGCCTCATAGAAGGAGCTATACTCTGGTATCACAGGGGGGATGGCCCTGGCAGGCAAGACAGTCGCTCCGGACTGTTGAAAGGATAATATCTTGTAGCGAGAGCCGAAAATTTCCCTTCATGTCATTAACGAGCGTGAATTGCCATAAAGTCGCCGATGGTTAGAGGACGACGGGGACCGTTCCCTGGGTTGTGGTCCGAAGGATTCAATTTTCAGCCTCCCCGAAAGCAGTTGAAACCTATGCCAAAATAATCCTTACAATGTCAATTTTATTACTGAAGATCATTTCGATTCAGGGCTAGATCGCAATCCATAATATGTGCGATGCTGTCAATGCTCTCTCCTCTGATCAAGGTTACCTTCCTGCGTGATACGCACTATAATCATCGGTTGGTCAGTCAACGATGCTTAGAAATTACTAGACCAGTTAAGGAAGTTCTTAATTTGTTTATTAACTGATTATTTAATTAACCACCAATTAATCAAGGTTGATTTGATGTTGATTAATCTGATTGATTCGGTTAATGACTTAATGGCTATTAATTAAATTAGATTAATGGGTTTAGCGCACCCGTCATCGAGATAATTTGATAAAAGAGTTTAGCCACTGATTCTAGAGCTACGACAAGCAATAAGCTATATACAGCCGCCGCGTGCACCATTGGATCCCAATTTACTACCTAACGGATACTACACTTCAAAGCTGTCAAAAGGTTTCTCCGGATACCCATCACCATTTTAACCATTCACTACTACCTGCCCAGACTCACCTCGAAATCTTTCTCCGGGGGTTCCGAAGTTTACAACACGGTTTATTTTGTATAAGAATGGCTCGACGGTTTTTGGGTTATTTGAACATGTCTATAGGAACTCCATCACAATCTTACTTGCATGTAATCTTACGCGGCGCTCAATATCCACCATGAAACACTCAATTAGTACTATCGTTGCTGCATTTGCATTTGCAACCTCAACTTCCTATGCCATGCCAGGTTTACTGTACCCGGAGCATCATACCTGGTCACCTCCAACTGATTCCGATGGTAATACCTAGCAATTCTAGGGAGACTGGTTTATTCAATGAGCTGACAATTAACACGCAGTTCGCTCTCCATGCCCTTGCCTTAATTCACTATCCAATCACGGATTTCTCCCACACTCGGGTCGCAATCTGACCATGGATAAACTGATTAAAGCTTTTAAAGAGGGAGTCAACCTTGGTCCAGATGCCACTACATTTGCTGGAGGGTTGGCTATGAAGTCCAATCCTATTCCTAATGCCACCGTAAAATCATGTTTCTTAATTCTCTTCTACCTTTGCTTAACTCATATGTTCCTGGATATATCTTCAGCTTTATTACCTTGGTACTGGAATTCCAACTTCTAATACCATCTCCAGTGGTTTGACCTAGATATGCTCGACCAGCACAACTTTCCCATCGAACACGACGGCAGCCTGTCACGCGCAGATGCCTACTTCGGCAACAACCACGATTTCTCCCCAGAAGTCTGGGGAGCATACATGGCCCGCCTTGAGGGCCACGAGATTATCAGTATCGAACTGGCATCAAAAGCGAGAGCGGAGCATGTTTACGCCCAAAGCTTAATCAACCCGGAGTTCTTCCTCAACGAGGACCTTCTAGGAGATTCGCTGCTTGAGACAGCACTGCTTATAAGTATCTTTGGGGACCCAGCATTAGGCAATGCGAAGAAGAGTTGGATAGAGAGTTTCTTTAGTAAGTCGAACACCTTTCGTCGATTTGCCTTTGTCAGCACATGTCCGGAGAGGCTGACAAGATTTTGAACTCAGGGAATGAGCGCTTCCCAGTTAGTGAGGGGTGGGAACCAAGGGCTGACGAGGCGAACTTGACCACCGCTACTGCAATGATTGGTAAATTGCAGGCTAGTCTCCCAGAAGGAGTACCGATATTATTTGGGAATCAGCCGGAATAGAACTGAAGTCTAGTTAGCGCAATGAGACTGTGGCAACAAAGTCTGGTATAGTTACAATATTTATATGTTTTGATTTGAACGTCCCTTCAATACAAATTATGCTAGCCTCATCTGAGAAGAATACTAGCTGTCACGGCTATGCACATTATATCCGGATTTGACTGTAGTCCTAATTAGGGTTCCTGCATCTTAGCATCCTGGAACCAACAGGCACCATAGGGAGCTGAAAAGGGACTGGGTGGGTGAGTCGGGACAGTGCTCTATATGGATCTGGCCTTGTCCTCCCTCTGCCGCTGTCGGGTCCAGACCTTAACTTGTTGCTGACATAATAGAGAATAAGTCAACTCGGCTCCCACTTGTGCTTACAACCGGGGGATATCATAGTTGAAAAGGCATTTACCCGGGGCCCAGATCAAGATCAGGTCGAGATAAATGAGTAGTACGACAGGGAAAAGAGTGCAACTTGGCGATTGGTTTGAAGCTCATTTTGGGGACCTGTCCTACGACATTTCTTACATCACTATTATATTAAATCCATGGGAGGTCATGGAAGCGTGGACCGAAATAACACTGTTTTCATAGGTAGGGTAGCCTCTAGGAGAGGTAGCTTAATACACTAATACTACTCGTTCTTCTCCTCGTCCCCACTCGGAACGCCAAAAGATTTGCCCAGCCGCTTCCGAAGTTTAACAATTACAAGCAGCGTTAATAAAGCCAGTATCAGGCTTATCAAGCTGCACACATACAACGCCATGTCCGACAAACAAAACAAATGCGGTTATTCCTGCCGTTAGAGCCCAATCTCTTTGTGCTGAAGGCAATTCCAGCCAAGGAATAAGAAATAAAACTGTTGTGTGCATTAAACGAGGTCGGGAAAGCCAGCTTGCCGCCTTTGACAAATGAATGATTCGGAATTCTCCGTGTTCGTGCAACCATGGATCGATTGGTTGTAGCACTGAGTCAATTTTTGCCGTGCAGAAAGGAGGCTGCCGAGAAGAGACAGGGACCACACAAGCTCCTCTTCTAATATCGGTTCACGCTGGTGGAACTGATATTTGCCTTCTTTACTGGTAGCGGTGGAGGTGGTTTCTTAGCTCTGCTCGGCGGGGGTGGTGGTGGAGCTTTGCGCCCATTCGGAATGTTGGTTAACGTTGAGTAACTGCCTGTTCGACTGGGCAAGCTACCATGGGATGTTGCGGGACTGACAGAACGGGCTCCGTATGACCGATCAGGACTGGAACTGTTGAGGGTTGAATCATCAGATGGATCGCAAAAGAGATCACTGCCAGTTTGGATGCGGTTCCCAGGGCGTAGTTGACCTCGGAGTGTGCTAACATCACTGGGAAATGCACCCCTTCGGCTATCTGAAACCGGGGTTGATTCTCGATATATGGACGTGGGGCCTTGGAATGTAGTAGAGCGGCCCATGCTAGGTCGTCGAGGAGAGTCAATCTCAGGGTATTCGCCATGAGTGCTTAAATTACTATTGATGCGAGACGTGGAAGATACGCGGGCTTGGGAGCGGATGGGAGCTCGCACGGGTTCAGGCTCGGGCTCTTCATAGGTGGAGTATCGCTCATTGTAGGAGTGTGCAGTATTTGATCGAGCTCTGGGCATTGGTCTTCCCCGGTCTCGTTGTGGGGAAGTTTGTCTAGATTTGGTCAGCAAGTAGAGCAACTGACGGTATCAGCACATGTAACTTACACTGCAGGCCAGTCCCTCTTCAACCGGAGGAGCTCCTCACGGCATGTGTCGTAGTACTCGAGTTCTGCATCCAGGAATGACCCAAGGTCCACAACAGTTTCCGCTTCAGCTTCCTTGATGTCCTGCATCCGCCTCAGAACGTCTTCACTCGATTCCTCGTACTTTGCTTTCTGTGATCGGAGTTCTTCCTCAACCCTGAAATCCTCCTTTTTAGCCTTCTGCATCTTGGAAAGGGAGGCATCGTATGCAAGTCGTCGATTCTCGAGCTTCTTTCTAGCATTCTGTGGAAATTAGACTGAGAAACCACCATGGAATGAATGGCTTGAACACACCTGATATTCTTTCATCATTGCCAACGAACGTTCGAGTGATTCGAGCCAACCATGGGTAGCATTTGCTACATATGCCTCCTGTGTTCTTGCAATCCTCTCGTTGGTTCTTCCCATGCCTGTATCCTGTCAGCGAAATTCCCGAACGGCTTGCTCATTACCTACTGATCAGACAGTTGCCAAACTCGGAATCTGGCTCGAAATCCTCGCCGTGGTAGACCATAGTCTGACCAAGGTATCCAACCGGCAATACCTTCTCCTTATCATCGACTTCGTTGCGCTTTCCGAGAGACTTGACGTAGGTTGTCATCGATTTGTGTAACTTAGTCATGCCTAGCAGATGTTAGTCAATTGTAAATAAGGACAATCAATCATGGAACGAGGGGAAACATACCATCTTGCCTGAGATCCATCTCCATCTCCAATGACTTGAATTCATCGGACACGTTGGTCTTCGCCTCCGCGCCCATCTTTTCTCCCGCCCATTGCTTGACCCTGTCAAGTTTCTTGTTGATATTCATTGCTGCGATTTATGTCTAGGTCGTGTGCGTATTGTAGTTTTGTGGTTTCCAGACTTCCAGAGGGGGAACTGAGCGAATGTCGCACTTGTCCTTTGTTGAACTTGTGGGGTTAATTTCGTCGTGCACGTTCAACGAGCGATAGGTCACTTGATTTCTAAATCTATCAAAGAGTTGGGTGGTCGGTGGTTGATTAAAGGAATAGAAAGAATGTCCACACTGAGGGGGCAACAGGAGCGATCGTGGTTGGGACGGGGACGGTGACAAGATCGGAGACACGCAGATCCCAATACAATTAGGAATTAAGGCCCGATGGAGCGATATGCCGCTGGGATGGGCAGGTAGTTGGACTGAAGTGATCTCCTATACCAAACAGTGGGAGGAACGCCCCGAGAGTGGGCCGTTTGAGTCGAGTTTGAGGGCGAGTTTGGATTGATCGAGATTAGCTTGGATTTAGGCTTGAGGACAGAGAATGTTGAGACGGAAGAAAGAATGAAGGGAGCGTCCAGTATATCAACACGAGAGGGGACGACGTGTACAATACGAAGTATCCACCAACAGGTTATTATTATTAGCACTCTGTAGTCAAGGAAAGAAACCCATCCACGCCAAGAATGGACTGCGATCGAGACATTTCACGGCTCTGTGTGGAATACGGGCATCAGTCGCCACCAACGCCTGGTCGTTCGACCGGACATCTCCCAATCCCTGCGTGGCCTGCCCCTGTGCCCCACGATAACATCCTTCTGATATCCGCCGGGCCCATTGTCTGCTGGAGTTTTGATTTGCTCGAAGCCATGAGCAGCCAAGCGACGAAGACGGGCAACCTGTCGTTCTCGCGCAGCGAAACAAGCTACTCGCCCTTTACCCCTTTTTCTGTGGATTTGACGTGGAGAACCCTAAGCAAGGCCTTTCCAAGGGCCCAGCGCCAACCCTTCCGTGGCTAGGCTCTGGATCCCGTACAGCGCGGCAAACGGTTGGCGCGTGGAACACAGCACAACAGGTAAAAAGGTTCGGTGCAGCTTATCAGGATAGCTGGCGATTCGCGAGCCCTTCAGGCGCTGATCACATGTACCTACTGTAACGTCTTACAGCGCCCCCGAGCCCCCCTGGAAAGTGCCGTCGTGGCCCTCTCATCGACCGCCTGAACCTTTGGCGGACGGTTTTCTGAAACCGGTCGTTATCGGCATAGAGATGTGTATATTTAGAAGAACCCACTGGGTTTCAGCTTTTCTGCCTCCATCAGTATCTTTTGGCTGCCCGCGAGTGAGCTTGATGTTGGGTGAGGCATTTTAGGCTGTGCAATGCAGATAATGATGATAATGCAGCAATTTTCAATTCTGATTATTCTATGTGGTTTCTCCCACCATATCTCGAAACATTCCCTTGATTCTACGGCGTATGCTTATACTACCTACTTCGCATGGCATTATCTCGCGATTAGACCTACCTACGTCATTGCCCGTTTTAATTGTAGATCCGCAAATATTGGTTTTAGCTGCTCAAGAAACGGCATAGGGAACATGTTAAGACTGATTTACCGTACACCTCAATATACCCCCTTGCTCTGCACAAGCCATCCCCGATTATCAACTCTGGCACTTGGAGAACGCAAGACTGCAGATAGTGGTATCATGGAAATTATTTTGTTCCGCTATTTTACAGCAATCTAATACACCCGCTCACAAGATGAGCCTCCCTGGCTCTCCTTCCAGAACGGCCTTCACCCGGTCTAGAAATATATGTGCTCGCTTCTCATCACCCTTTGGCACTGTAACGCTAAAGACATTGACTGCCGCCGAGACATCCGCCGATTGTTTGGCAGCTACACTAGATGATGGCACTGGCTTTGCCTTTCCAGAGAGAATGTCGAGGATATCAGCACCCTTTGCCGCGGCTTTGGCTGGCCTGGCCACAGGAGCAGCCTCCGACAGTGCCGTAATCTGGGGGAAGAAATTCCCCCTGGCACCGGATTCAGAAGTAACTTTGTCAAGGCCCAGTACCTGGTTGAATAACTCGTCTGCTGAAGGCCTATAATTCTTCGATCTGGGTAAATCATCATTCGCAAAGTCCGTAGCACGAGCGATGAAAGTCGACAATGGCAAAAATATCCCAAGTGACTTCTGCACCCGTCGCTGGACCTCGATAACGGAAGTCAGGGAAATCGGAATTGCAACCTCACGATCTTCAATAACTGGCTCTGGCATCGGCTCGGACTTCTTCGTAGGCGCTGGTGCGGGTGGTGCGAGTTTAATGTTGCTAAGGTCGAGGTGGCTAAGCTTCAGGATCTTCTCCGATAGCTCCGTAGGGTAAGATGGGGAGATTGATCCCAAATACGCCAGAACATCGCCCTTTAACAATCGATTATTTGGACCAGTGGGTGTCATTTTATCGATATCTGCTTCCGAGAGTCCCTTTTCGTGGATCAGATGCTGCACGGAAGGTAGCAAAGGATATGTCTGTTTCGCCGCCGGCTTGGAAGCACTCTTAGCAGGGCGGTTTCCAGAAGCCGGGCTGGAAGGTTTAGATGTAGGAGGAGCCTCTGCCTGTGGCTTTGTCTCTTGAGCAGGTTTGGAAGCTTCTTCCTTTGGTGCCGGGGCATCGCCGTTGTCTTCCGCTGGTATTTCCAAACTGCTGATATCATCCCCGGGTTCCGCAAGAACCCCAATTCGTGCTCCCACCTTAATTCCCTTGGCCCCATCCCCTTGGAATATCTTTGCCATAACCCCGTCATCCTGTGCTTCCACGTCCATTGACGCCTTGTCCGTCTCGATCTCTAGAAGGACGTCACCGGCTGAGAACGCATCCCCCTCTTTAACTTTCCAGCTGGCAATATTCCCTTCGGTCATTGTCGGCGATAAGGCAGGCATCGTGAAGTTCTGCGCTGCCAGACATGCTGCAGATGTTCGAAGCCCTTTTCAACTATCAGTGGGAGGTCATCCAAAATATGTTTGTTGGAGCTATGTGCGTACCTCGTACGGTGGCATCTTGTCGCAACTGCCTGGATGTGAGCCTGGCCGAAAGCCGACAAGCTGTCACGAAAGATGCCATACTGGGTACGACAAATTGAAGCTCAATTGGACCGTGTAGGAGGTTGAGGAATTGGACAACTTTTGAGATGCTCAACCGCTTGGCATTGAGGCAGATGGCGGGCCGCTAGCGGCTCCAAATCCCCGAACCCCGACGACGTTTGGGCGACTTTTTTCTAAACACCACGCAAAATCAACCGGTGCTTGAAGCTTCTTCAAGGTGAGCACTGCATTACAGACAGTGAAAATGGGTTCACTAATTGTTATAATTGGCAGATGCCGGCCTTTTCAAGAGGATGCTTTTTACGGCTCCAATTGCCCCTCAGACAGCTTAGACAGCTCCAACCTCTACCAAGCTTCCCCAAATGCTACCAAGCTCGAAGCTTCTCCGCCAGCGTCCTGCGCGCCGCAAAACCCACTCGTACAAGTCCTGCGATCAAGTCTTCGTTCCCCAAGGACAAGCCCTCCTATGCACCCCTAAAGGCCTCGCCCAATAAGACTTCCGTCCACCAGACTTATCAGACCACATTGGCTCTGAAATCGCATCCAACACCTCTCTATGAAGCGCCCTCGCACACCCTATTTATATTAACCAGCTATGGCGGAGCATTTTTCTTCCTCGTCTACAGCGGCTATGCGTGCTACACCTACTTTGACGCCCCAGCTGGCATCCCCGTCTACGTCCCCTACGCATTTGGAGGTGCCGGGTTCCTGATGGCTGCTTTCGCGGGCTGGTTAATGCTAGGTCCTGCTAAAATAATACGGTCAATCACCGCGGTACCAAAACGCCTTGGAGCCTCTGCTGGTAAATCTGCCAAGGGCCCCAGAATAGCCAGCCAGGGCACTGCCCCGGAACTGGAACTAGAGGTGGAGCTCAGGAAGATGTTTCCAATGCCCTTCTTCCCAGCGCGGAAGATATACTGCAAGCCTCGGGAATTTATAGTGTCAGAAGCCCTAGCACGCCCACCTCCGGCCCTGAGCCCCGCGGAAATGAGGGAGATGAAAATGGCGGAAGAGGAGGACAGGCAGAGATTGCTGGAGTATGAGAGGAGTCATATTTTGACTGCACCGTTTAGGCATGCCAACAAAGCGTTTTTCGAACTATTCCAATCCATGAGGCGGGCTTGGACGAGGGAAGGATTTCATAGGGTTGAGATCAAGGGGAAGTTTTATAAGTTTGATACTACCGGGGGTTGGGCGCTGGATAATGGTAGGGCTCTTATCAGGCTAGCAGCTGTGAAGAGGAAGCCATGAGGTAGATGGCTATGTATAGTAGATAAAATGTAAAACAGAGCCTAATTATACCCTCAAGTCATTACAAATCCGCCTAGAGCCCAGTGGTTAGCTATGGTTTAAACTTAGGTATGACTTCTACTTGAGCTTACCATTGTCAGAGAAGAATAGCCCTCCAAAGTAGTCCGCGGCATTGCCACATAAATTGCCTTCTTGACTACGAGCCTCGGGATTCCATCTCTAATGCTTTATATCTCTTTCCCGTTCAATTAGTGATTTTGGTACTGCCTCGTATAAGGCGATTATTTCTGCTATGTGATGCTAAGCGCTATACAAGGGGTATATGAAGTCAAACAGCACTTGGCTAGGAAGCAGAATTTAAACCTATGAACAAAGATATAGGTGCTTTAAGTCGAGGGGCGGTTGAATGGGGACGACGGTCGCGTGTTCGAGAACCACAGAGCGAGCCAAGCGAGGACGGTCAAAAAATAATAATAAAGCGATTAAGGGGGAAAATAGCAAAAGAAATACCCAATTATCAGTTCCAAATGGGATACCGAGAAACTCAAGATTTTGTTATCTCTGGCGGAGCGTCCAGGGTCATCCTAGGTTGTCTGTTGATCAGTGGTTCAACCTCGGAAAGGCGTTAATATCCCCACTGCACCAACAGGCCTAGTCGCCTGTCTCCAGTTGTTATGCGGTTTCTACTTATTTGGATATATATACCTGGGGTAGGTTATCTGGGGGCGGTGGAGGTTCAACCGAGATTAATGCGTGGTCTTAGCTGATCTCCTCGTTCTGCCGGATCAAAATCTGTAATATTATAGAGACTTCTTCTTTAATGCAGACTTGCCGTCGAAATTCCCAAAATCGTTGTGGCACCAGATATACTGTCTAATCATGTAGGAGCTTTCGAGCTATTAGATTCTCAACCTAGCCTTAGACAAGGCATTTAATGACTAACTGATCCTCGAATGTAACTAGGATATTTCTAACTTTAGACCTGGATTATGGTTAGTACGTCTTAATAAAGGAAGGAAACGTTTACACTAACCCATATACATAGTTTGACATTCTAGATGTAGATAGTCGAGGCCCGGTAGCAAAATATGGAGATAAACCTTAAAGACAGGTAGGGAAGGGCCCGTCGCCGTTGCAGTCCGATGTATTGGCCGTGGGAGTTGCGCGGGGAATTTCCCAGTGAGGAAGCCGGACTTCTCAGCTAATTTGATTAGAATAAGGATATCTTGAACTCAGCCTAATTAGGATAATAAACAGCAAGGGAATGAATAACAAGGGCGAAATTAAATAAGCCAATTTCGTAAATATCTGGCCACACACTATACTGTACATCTTTATAGACCACATAATATGCACTGGCTCAATCTCCAACAACCCAACCGCCTATCCCATCATCGCTATCGCCACAGCCGCACCTCCCAAAGCCCATCCCTTATTTCCCATAACCGCCGCTACGCCCGCTGATTTCGAAGACGTAGGCTGAGGCGAACCAGTCGAAGTTGCTCCTGATGCCGAAGTCTTCATACTGCCACCCGACGTGTTCGTAGCCTCCGAACCAGTCTTCGTAGTCGATGGTACAACCGAGCTTGGTGAACCACCAGAGCCTGCCGCTGCTCTCGCTGTGATAAGAACTGGCTGGTATAACACATCCGTTCCGGAGTACGTCTCTGTGCTTATACCTGGGAAATTGGCATCCTTGCCACCGAATGATTCGACGCAGACGGCGGAGGTGGTGCCGGCGAGGGAGCAGTCGATATAACCAGTGCTGTAGTCAGAAACATTTAGCTGATGAACTTTTGAGTAGGACTGGGCAGCGGCTAGGATGGGAAAGGAGGAGAGAGGGTGGAAACACACAATGCGAGCTCTCCCTTCTCATCTACTTCCGCAGACATGGTGAATTTGGCCGTTGCCGGGCCCTCTGTGAGCAAAATTGCGCTCCTCATGCCACAATCACGGAGGGAGACCGTAGGCGCGCATGTTATGGCATAAGTTGTAGCTGCTTTGTCCTGTGGATCGTTAGCACTTAGGATCCGGACGATTCGGTAGATGCGCCTACTGAGCCAGCCACGGAGGCGACGAATGAGTTTGCATCAAAACCGGGCATATAGAGATTGACGGTGCTGGTTTGGGCAAGAGAGAGGCCGGCCATAGCAAGGCCCAAAACACTGATCGTAGTAGGATACATTATAGCGCGGCTTGTAAGTATCTAGATTAATAAAAACAGCTGGAGAAAGCAACTCTGAGCGAATGTGAGGGTTTAACAAATAAAAGAATGTCGCGGGAGTACGAGGAAAAGAAGCTTTGTTTCTGCATTGAGGACAATTTAAATATTACCCCTTGTTATCAAGCTTACCTATTTAGGCAAGTATGAAACTAACTTAAGCCTTGGTATATCAAACTTGATCACGATTATAAAACAACATAGCCTGTGTATTCATGTATGTAGGAATAGCCTCAGCGTTGCGGTGGCCGGCAGGCCAAGAATTTTGTTAATGGTGAAGTTGTGTTGGAAGCTGTAGTACAAAGTATATTTGGTCGGCGTGGGTTGTCGTTGGCGACTCGCCTGGGCTGCATGTCCTTTGCTCTTCTAGTCACCAATGCTGCCGATCCTTCGATATTAGTCCGGGGTCGCGACACAGAAACTCTTACGGGCGACCTGGGCCATGCAAGTCTCAACCCTAACCAACTTCCACACGCCCTTTCTTGATGTTTCATCTGAAATGTAATACTTGATGGCCGAACCACCTTGTTTCCAAGTTGTCAACCTAAGTATCAAATCTCTATTTAAATCCCGCCAAATAAGAACTTTCGACAAAATTTCTCTTGTAGCGTGCCCTACAAAGAAGAGGTTTATTTTCAGAGTCTAGTGACCATCAATGGCTTCACTTTCTATGGGCTTCGATTGTATTTTGAATATTTCAAAGTCAGAAATTACAGTTCGGGTCGTGCGAATAATCAAAACCAGCGACCACCACCGAGTAATTGCAGATGATACCTAACTCCGACAAGCTACACAGGTGCTGGTACCTCAATCCTGCGTTCGCTTTTCTACCCTTTACCCTAAAGTTTCACCACCAGCCGTATCATATATTCCATTATTAGTTTGTTATAGGCAGGTTGAACGCACCATGAATATGTACTCTCCTCGACTTACAGTAATATTTATTTCGACTGGCTAGATCAGATCTTGCACTTCTGTTCCAGAATTGTCCATAGTAAAATAAGATATTCAGAAAGTATATCTACTATCGGCATTACCGACGGGCTCATTTTGCAGTTATACTTGTGTTACCACGGGAAGTCTAGTGTAATTCTTTTCTATAAATTTATTTTTTATCAGCTTTATATTAGAAACGAAATAACAGTGTAGAAAAAATTTCTCTAAAAGCTACCATTTTTAAAATAGAAGCATCGTTCGTAGTGAAGATTAAAAAAATCTTTCCTTAGAAAACAACTTTTATATTTTATATATTAGCCACATTAAGATTTCTTTAAAAAAGAACACCACAATATAGCTGAAAATCTAGGAGTAGGCAAGAATACGCGGTATCAATCTGCGTCTACTGACCAGATTCCAGTAAGTCTTTATATTTATATCTTTTTTGGTATGAAGAACTACTTGGTTGGGCTTGCTAGTGATCCCACAAATGGAAAGGGAGGTTTGGATTATTTGATGTAAACAATAAATATGCTTCTTTTGGTCGACAATTCTGAGAATGTAAAATAGAAGGGGGGGGAAAGAGGAAACATGGAGTTTATTCTAGTTTTGTTGATATTTGTAAAGGCTATAGATACTCCTTCGTAACAGTTAATCTTGGTCGATGCTTGTTAGTAATGTATATTACAATTCACATGCCGATACTTTTCAACTACTAACTCTATCGTCCTTCGATTTCAATCGGCCCGCATTTCACCCCATCATTCTCTAGCGGTTAGTGACGCCATTCCTATCTAGCATAGTGCTCAAGGAAATATATATTTTGAATCTATCAGGTGATACTCCCAAGAAACATGCCAGATGTGATTCGAATCGCCACTAGAGGAGAATCGGCATAGGGCGCTGCAGCAAGAGCCAAAAACCCCCACGATATCAATGGCAGGATACGGAGGAATGACAAAGTGGAATCTTGGCGGATCTCCAAAGCAGCAGTTATTAGCATGCAGAGGCTAAATTTATTGTAAACCCATTCCTTGCAGCGAGCAGAGAGGGCAAACCTGGGGTTGCAGATCCCCAAGCTCCTTGGCGGATCCATGCAAATACCCGGTTGGCGTGCGACTATCGCCGTTGGGGGATCTTGTCCAAAGAGTCGGTGAGGAAAGGCCGACATAGGGAATTTTGCCCCTCCCCCAAAATTCCGTGAGGGTGGTTCCACGATTGTTGATGAAGTAAAATAAAATAAAAAGTTGGAAAACGGTGCGGCATCGGATCGGACCATTTGCTCGACTAAGCGCTCATGCCGCGCACTATCTCCCTTTGTAGCGTTTGCAGGACGTCCAAGCCATGCCGAGAGGTGGACTACTGTGTACTACTTACTGTACTGTGCACGGATGAAAGGACTCCCTGTTCAGATTGAAATAAGGTTTCTTCGGCTGTGGTTCACTGGTTCTGCCCTTTGGATGTCAAGAGAACCCTTGCATTGGCGGTACGAGGGACGTGTGCAGTACTTCGTACGCAGATATGCGGATGAGTATCCTGATGCTGTGCAGCAGCAGCAGCAGCAGCAGTAGTAGTCGAGGACTATTATTGCCCCGCCATCGGTGCCCCTCACCTCCACGACCCTCACCCTCACCCTCACCGCTGCTATCGTGCAATAGTAATAGTCAAAAAGTTGAGGAAAATCGACGGGATTGTGTAGGTGCTGCATGTTGTTAGACACCATCCCACCATCCTGGGATACAAGCCCCCACGCCTACGACGGACCGCACTCCGGCAGCTTTGCCATTTCCAACTCTTCTGATCGAAACACCGGAAGATACCTAGTACGCAATATCTCGCCTCTCTTGTGATTTTGCCTATGGATGATGTAGAATGTAGATGTGTAGATCACTTTTCCTGGGACGGAAGCGCCTGAATGCCTAGCCAGCCGAGTCCTTTTCAGAGTAGTTTAGAATCCTGTTTTGTGCAAGATTTTCTGAAACCCGCATCAGATGAGCATTTCCTAGTTATCTATCTGGGTTCGTTGCTCCCGGCCAAACCCGCAAAAGTGCTGTGTGATACGGTACCACCCATCGATAGCCGAGGCGCCCACCGCGAAAGCATATCGAGCAATCCAATCATACCAGGCGACTGGTCGAGCACATGCAATTTGAATGCAATGCAGTCCAAAAGGAAGCAAAACCCGGCAGCAGCATCAGTTTTGGTAAACCACACAGTCGCCATGATTGTTTTTGTTTCAATTGTCGAATGGTATCGTAGCGAGCTGCAGCGCTGCTGCAGTTCCGCTGCCACATTCCTCGTAGGCCGGTGCCAGTGCCAGGTCGTGGGAGCGCAATTCTGTGGGTTACCCCGTCATTCGCGGAGATGCGCTTTCACGATAACCTCTCAAGCTCGCGATAGCCAGATAAATGTCTGATAGGCAGTGGGGCTGGCTCCGGACATGCTGAAGATAGGTGTCGCAATAATGAGGACCAAGTATGCGGATTGGAAGCGTTTCACCTGACCACGCTCGCCACAGTCTGCGGAGGGCGGGGCAGATAGGGTCTCAGAGGTCTCCTGCTCGTACTGTACAGTACTTGGTGCACCTGGGGCACGGGAAGTGCGTGCCCTGGTGTTGATAATGTGACTGGGTCAGCAAAGAGCTTGGAATGCGTGTGGGTGTCGGGGATGATTTGATGCGTATCAGCCTGCGGGTGGCGAACCGCGTTTGTGTCATTTCTGATGGTTGTTTGTTATTGAAGCGGTGAAGAGCCCGCAATCCCGATTCTCGTCGACGTCTTGGTCCATGGGGATAGGGATGAGGGTGTTGACAATATTTCTGGTCGAGGATGGCGGCTTTGGCGTTCTTACTGGTCGGCGTGGTTGCTGGACGATGTTGGTTTGCAAGCCTCGCTGCCGTGTGTCTTGGAGGTCTGTTTCTCCATCTGCCAGCCATGATCCATCATTGTTTTGGCTGGCGGCTTTGGCGTCTGGGGGCCTCGAGTAGGGTCAGGTAGCACCGTTCCGTAGCCAGCTGCCAGCCACGATGAAGGTAAAGTATCAAAAATATCCTTGCTTGCAGGCGCTGGGGGAACCACTCAGAGCCCACGGTCTGAGGGCACGGACATTTTCCTTGACTTGGCTCGGACTGGACGAGGCTTGGACTTTGGCTTCGGGGCAGGCCTCCGCAGCCATGGGGTGGGCTTTGATAAAGGAAGACATGAGGCTGCAGAATTGTTCTGATTTCTCACGATCACTCCGTATTTTCCTAGTGCAGCACTCCCCCACGCTTGTGAAGTCTAAGGAGCGTCACGTAAGGAGTGCTTGATATCGGTACTTGCTGGAGATCTGCAACATCTAAGAATTGTTATGCTACACCCTCCGTTACCCCGTCCTACGTCGCCGCAGAATGGTCGATGGTTGGCGCTTCGCGGGCTGCTGGACCGAGATTACAGGCGTAACTAAGTCGCTGCCAGTTAGATGTCAGCGCGGCAAGGCTACGCTTTTTCTGCGGTCGCTGGGCGTACGTAGTGGTTCACTGTGGTGTTCGCAGTAGTTGGTGGTGGTGCTCCGCGTGCTACGACCGAGTAGGCGATCTCAGCGCCTAGTGCGTGCTAATCCGAGCCCCTAATGGCCCCGATGGCCGCTAACTCTGGCCACTACGTGCCCCTAACTGGCCCCTATGGTCCCTAATCTTCGTCCCTAAATCATGGTGTCCCTAGGAATGGTTCCCTCCCACGCCTGACCCCTACTACGGTGACCTCACTACGAAGTACTACTACACTGCTCCGTACGAACCTCACCGGCTGAGACAGCAGTCCCGCAAGTCCCCTCTTATCTGCCCTCAGCCCTCAGCCCGCAGCCATCAAACATCAGCCATCAAACATCAGCAGCAGCAGCAGCAGCAGCAGCAGCACCACCATCTGCCATCATTTGACATCAGCAGCAGTGCCCTCCGTAGGCATTCACTCGCACTTTCGCCACCCTGACCGACTCGACTCACTCACACTCACATTCGCACCGGCATCTGCAGCTACATTTTGGCATCATCTGCATATTCACTACTCTTCCGCTCAGAACTCAGATTTCATCCTTCTGTCTCCCTGCCTGGTCCTGTAGTGTCTGCACGGCCGAACCCTTATTCTTATTATTATTATCATCGACGCATGTCATCCTAGCAAGAGTGGGGACCCTGGGAACCTGCTGTCCACCAGCGAACGAGACGGCGCGAAACCCACGATGCCCATGCAACAGCCCGCATGCACCACAGACTCGTTGTGAAGCCCATAATCCCTTTCCCGCTGTTATTGGCCCTCCCCCAGCCCATCTCGCCAGCGGCGGCAGAACTCGTCCTCGACCTCTGCAGGTGGACGTCGTCGTCCGCGTCTTTAAACCGCTTCCTCGTCGCTCTCGCGATCCTTTTCATTTTCCGTAGTGTTCCTTCGGAGGTTTGGAGCTGTGTTGCTCTTGGTGCCCGGCACCGTCCCCGATCAGAGAAGAAGCCGTTGTAGAGAGGGAAAGAGGCTGAGATAGAAGAAGAGGTACGTGGATTCTTTGCTCTGCTCTGCTCCCTTGCCCATCCCCGTCGTCGTCATATCTATCTCGCAACCGCCGTGACCGTGAATCCTGTTGCCAGCCTGCTGGCGGGAATCAGTCAAGAGAGCGATTCGAGTCGATCTGTCGATCCGTCGAGTCCCTTCCCCTACCATTCGGTTTTGACAAACGCAAACGACTGTATCTCCTTCCTCTGTAATATTATCCCACATCAAAATTCAATCGCTCATGATCGTTTGTGTTACTTGCAGACCGCCAGTCCCTTCACTCTCCTCGAGTCGTACATCTTCCCCCCTCCCGAGTATCGGTCCTCTTGAGGTACACGGCAACGGATACCTGCCTCTTAGAGCTGTTATCCCGCTGAACGGCCATCCGACTTCACTTTCATTGACCTCGGCCACATGTATTCCCAATGATGGACAGCGAGGACGGGCAGTTCTTCATAAAGGTACGTGATTCTGGCCTCTGCCGTGCCGACGTTATCTTGTGCTGATGGTACCTTGCTACAGAACCTTGCCCACTTTGTTCGAACACACGAGAAGGCACTGGCAAATGCCCTTCAATTACGGCGTCAACAGACCCCGAAACATGGATCATCCCAAAGTGTATCCGGCGCAGTTGGCTCTGCCGTACCTGGATCACCGATCATCACGAATTCACCCTCATCCGCGTCCTCGACTTCCACATCGAGCACTCTCGCAGCGGCCCTCTCCCTCCCATACCTAACCTTCGCCTCCCATAACTTGAAACCTGCGAAGCTTGCCCTGACATCCCACCACCTGTTCTACCTCCTCTCCCGGTTTGAAGACCTTGGTATAGCCGTGGGGCCCATGAATGTGAGGTTAGAAAACCTGCACGCTGAAACTGCCGCAGCAAACTACGTCTCTTTCCTGGGTCAGTCACAGCGACCGAAAGGTCGCGGTTCGGACCATGGATCGATCCATTCCGTGTCAAGTGTGCGAAGCGTGATGTCTGGCATGTCAAGCCTTTGGTCAAACTTTGGCCTCGGGTCAGGAGGCGCCGCCGCACGAACCGAAAAGCAGAAGGCTGCAATTGATGCTGATCTGAAATACTTGTATTCCGCCTTTACAAAGATTCCATGCCTAAGACTTGCCCCGGATCGACGAGCCCGCCTGATAGAAGGATACGAAGAGTTCCCATTTGATTCCGCAGTTCCTCTCCACGCTTTCAAGAACCTCAGTGCTTTGGAGATTAGTGATATTGACTTCAGACAGTTCTTTGGCTGGGACCGACTTGCGGAGCAATTGAGATCCTTAACTGTGAAGCGTGCGGGGATTGACGATCCAGCTGACCTCATCATAAACATTGTCCTTGATGACATGGATAAACGGCGACGGCGTTCTTCCAAGGGAAGGATGTCTCCCACCACCAATTGGGCCACGACCACGAGTCCGAAAAGGAGTCCAACCTTGCCGCATGCCGAGTTAGTAAAATCTAACTCTGCCCCCGGATCCCCAGACCAACGATGCCATATTGAATTTGAGGAAGACTCCCAACCCCACTCTTTAGCGCGTTCAGGTTCAGACGGTGCCAAATCTTCTAGCAAGACGAGACACAGAAGCAACTCTCCTGTTCGACCCACAAGTTCACGGACTGGCTCTGCACACGGCCATTCGAGGGGACCATACAAGGTGAAGAGGTCTGGATCTGGCAGCTCCCATTCGAGCATGTCTGATGGTTGGCACAACCAGCGCGGCAGTTCAACCAATCTGCTCGCAATGGGCGTCCTACCATCCTCCAAGTGGAGGTTCCTTAAACACCTCAGTCTTGCTGATAATGGCCTCACCTCGATATCTGCGGCAAGCCTAGCACCATTGGCCAATACGCTTCACTCTCTGGATCTGTCAGCCAACTTGTTCACGGAGATACCTGACTGCTTGGCTTCTTTAACAGCCCTACGGGCCCTTAATCTATCAAACTGTATGATTGGATCTCTCCATTCACTAACGCGGAATCCCCTGCCTGCGATCACGGCATTGAATTTAAGGTCCAATCGACTTATCTCGATCGCTGGCGTCGAAAGACTATATCCACTTGAGAGACTTGATCTGAGGGACAATAAGATGACCGACCCCACAGAGCTTGCAAGGTTAACGGGAATACCTGATCTGAGGGAGATATGGGTCCTGGGGAACCCCTTCGTTAGAACACACAGCAATTATAGGGTCACGATATTCAATCTTTTTAGGAAGACGCCAGGCTACACGGAAGATATCCTCATCGACACCTATTCGCCGGGATACAGCGAAAGGCGGCAGTTGGTGGATCGGGTGGCAGAGCGACCCAATGTTCCCGTTGTCAAGTCAGCCCCAGATTACGGTCTGCCGTCTGTGGATGTTAACAAACCTGTCATCGACTATCCGACGACGCATGAGCCCACCGTACTGCGCAAGGAACGACCGCTACCGTATGCGGCCACCAGTGAAATACACTCAACTGCTACTGGCCGACGAAGAAGAACTCCAAAGCGGAGGATTGTGGACTTGTCGACTTCAGACACCTCTCCAAGCAAGCAGTCTCCAGCTACGAATGAACCTGCAGCTGCAACTCCAAGTTTAGATTCCGGATACAACACCAGTCCTGACCCTTCGCCTCGAACAGTGCCATCATATGTACCGTCAGAACCGCGACAGACACAAGTCCAACCCGATACCCCCCGCCTTGACCGCTCGGTTGTTCCACAATTGCCCCCAATCCAGACCATGTCTTATGATACTCCTCTGTTGAAATCGGAGACCCCTAGGGACTCTCAAGACTGGAAGGTTAGTGGTGAGATGTATAGGAAGAAACTGGAGGCATTGCGAAATGAGGTTGGCAATGGGTGGCTCAGTGTGCTGAGTGAAGAAAGCTGGGAGGTGCAAAAGAATGCCCATTCCCAGGGCTTTTCAGCTGCCGATTTCAATCCGTCGATGCGGCCGAGTCAAACCAACACCCGAACCAATAGCCAGCAGACGATACATAGCGGCCGAACATTAGGGTGATGTTTCGGCCCTCCTTTATGACTTTATGGAAATGCGGTTGGGAGCATTACCGCTGCAGGGCAGGAGTGTCCTGGGCAACGAGTGAGCAACCATCGGCGTTGCATATGGACGCTATTCTTGATACCCCAAGCTTTGAATTTGCATTGTATTTCGACTACTCTGCTCTCTTTCAAAAAGGCTTTGCATTTGTAGCATCTTTCTATTTTGCCATGTTCCGCACTTTTCCTCATCTCTCCGTCATCATGCATAGCGTACGGGTAGCACGGGCTGTCATCTGAAATTTCCACTTGTTTTGCGTTTCATGATTTACTTTACATTGCCTTGCTTGCATGCATGCAAGAGCATGCTACCATTTGTAAGGAGAGGGGCATTAAGTTGTTGTTGCCAGCATATTGTCACCAAGCTAGATACCGGTGTGGGTGAGAAATGTGGGGGGAGACCCGGGTGGTGGGGGATGCGAGATGGTTTAGCTCATAATTTTGCCTTCTTGTAATATACGGGGTTTAAATGGTTGGTTTATGGAGAATGGGTCGGGCGTTGTTAATGATGGGCATTTTCTGTACTGCATGAGCGTGGTCTGGTGGTATCTGGGAGGCATCATAATGAAATTCTTTTGCGCGCTCAAAATGACTAAATCTTCATGTGTGATTAGGCTTGATTCTAACCTCGCTGTAATACTCCTGGCTTCGAGGTAGGATTAACGGAGCTCTTTAATTGACTGGAACAATAGAGATTGGATTACGGTGGTCCTATTGCTTAATCAACAGCTGCTGGGAATTCCCTGTCGTACTCAAGTCTCTCGGAACCATTTCCCCGATAGAAAGAAGGGCATATCTTAAAACAATCATACTGTTTAGAATGAATCGTTGCCCCGTCATCTGACCGGTCATTAACAACGTGTTGTGAGGGGTTCTTTGTATATTATTATTATTGGTTGAAGATAAACATCTTGACTCATGAGGCAAGTGAACAGATTGTTTAGGCAAACGGAGTACGTACACCGACTCACCGGGAAAGTCGAGTGCGAAGCTTTCAAGCAATCTTTTCGAAGGCCCATGAATCGCAGCGCTCTGCTGCACTCACCGCATCTGGACCAATTCTACCACGGTGTACTTTTGAAAAAAGTCGGATGAATCATTTAGATGCATCTGCCACAAAAAAAAAGAGGCTTGGTTTTAAGCCGTTAAGCCCCCCGATACCCCTGGAAACACGAAACTCGCAGGTGCGCAAAACCACTTGGTTGCAGGGAAGTCATGGGTGATCAGCAGCTCGCCACCAGCGCAACGGAACCAGAAAACCCCAAGGCAGGGCGAGGAGGAAATAGGGGGCTCGATGCCGCGCATGAGAGATATATTTTAGAGCGTTCACTAGAGTAAGGTGTTTTGGTGGGCGCAGCGGACTATTTTGTGGAGCGTTCTTCGTCACTGGGGAGTGGTGAACGCGACAGCAACAACAATCACTAACTGACGAGAATAGAGAGAGAGAGTTAGACAGAGCGATAGAGAGATACGAAGTAGATAGGCAGATAGATAGAGAGAGACCCAACGAACAGCAAGCCAGAGATATTGCAACAGAATAATAAGCGCCAGAAATCCGCTGCCGTTTGGGGCCTAGAACGCGGACTAATCAGGACGACGCGCATTGTACTCGTAACTCGTAACTCGCAAGGAGAGAGTAATTAATTAATTAAGGTGTGCAAGGAGCGTATGGAAAGTGTGCAGTGATAATCCGAAGAGGAAGAATAATAAGCAGACAGGCGCAGGTTGGTTGAGGCGGACGCAGACGCAGCGCAGAAACCTTGGCTGCCCAGGCTGCGCATCTCGACTGGCGCTTGCTCTTGCTCCCAACTACGTACTGTTCTGACTGACCAACTCCAACTCCAACTCCAACTCCTCCTCCTCCGTCTCCTGCATTGTTTCCGCAACAGTCTCAACTCAACTCGCCCAAACTAAAACTACGACGACGACGAAAAACCAAAACCCCTCGACCATTGCTGCACCCCCCTCTGATATTCTTGTCAATTCGGCCCTCACCAAGGAACCGCATTCCGCCAAAGCCCCCAAGCAACTGAGTGGGACTCCAAAAGAACCGAAAACGAAAAGAAAAGATCTAAAACGCAGCCGCCCCCTTGGCCTTTGCAACCACCAACGCGACGACATCTCAACGAAATCTACCCTTCAGACGAGCCTCTGCCTTATTTGTGCAGTGTTCCAGGACCTGGTTATCACCGAGGCGTCAAATTTATTCTTCCCATACGTCCGCCGCTTCAGACGCAGCCCTCGTTTAGTAAGTAGTAGCTGTTGACCAAAACCACGCTTGTTGCAGCGCCTTTCCGACGAAATCTTCCGGCGAGCCTCAAGGGCGTCATCACCGCCTCTACACTCCGGCTTCGACACCGGCCTTGCGAAGTACAGCTTGCCAGCCGCACACCGACGACGCTCACTTTCGACTCGTTCTATCATCCCAGAGGTGAACCGCTGACTTCCGCCCTCTGCCGCCTTCCGCAGTTCTAGCAGCGCGCCAGCACAAGTGGCATTCACTTCGCAAACCCCACTGGGACGCGGCTTTCTCCAGAAAGCCTGTTGAGGCCGATCTCACTTCATTGTATGTATTCCGGGGTTCCTACCGCGGGCAGAAAACCTCAGCCCGAATCTGCGCCGTGCCGTCCCAACGTGCCCGATCTTGTGCTGACATCCGCACGCGTCTTTAGATTAGGAAGTGGACAACGGTCCTCTTAACAGCGAAATCGATCTACGCAGTTGCTGATCATAAATACACTACTCACTGCGGAACACACAACGTTGAACCCCCGGTCCACTTCTTCTCTCGCTCGGACAAGAGCCATGGCGGATCAGAATGATGTAGACCTCGATTCCATTATCGACAGACTGTTGGAAGTTCGGGGCAGCCGTCCAGGCAAGCAAGTCCAGCTTTTGGAGGCAGAAATCCGCTATCTCTGCACCAAGGCCCGTGAGATCTTCATCTCGCAGCCAATCCTATTAGAGCTTGAGGCGCCAATCAAGGTGAGATCTTCACGTAGAGGCGGATAGAGGGTTGGAAAATGTACAGGGGGCTGACCGTGTCTCGTGCTCTTAGATATGCGGTGACATCCACGGCCAATATTACGATCTCCTCCGCCTATTCGAATATGGTGGCTTCCCTCCCGAGGCCAACTATCTCTTCCTCGGAGATTACGTTGACAGAGGAAAGCAATCGCTCGAGACGATCTGCCTGCTGCTTGCCTACAAGATCAAATACCCCGAAAACTTCTTCATCTTGCGTGGCAACCACGAGTGTGCTTCCATCAACCGCATCTATGGATTCTATGACGAATGCAAAAGGAGGTATAACATCAAGCTTTGGAAGACATTCACAGACTGCTTCAACTGCTTGCCTATTGCGGCAATCATTGACGAGAAGATTTTCACAATGCATGGTGGTCTCAGTCCAGATTTGAACTCGATGGAGCAGATCCGCCGCGTCATGCGCCCCACTGATGTAAGTTCCAAGCTTTTATTTGCATGCCAACTCCCGGTGCTGGGAGAGAGCGTGAGCTCTTGCTAATAAAAGTAGATTCCCGACTGCGGTCTGTTGTGCGATCTCCTCTGGTCAGATCCAGATAAAGATATCACTGGCTGGAGCGAAAATGACCGAGGTGTCTCCTTCACTTTCGGCCCAGACGTCGTATCCCGATTCCTCCAAAAACATGACATGGATCTAATCTGCAGAGCTCATCAAGTGGTCGAAGACGGCTACGAATTCTTCTCCAAGCGACAATTGGTCACCCTCTTCAGCGCACCCAACTATTGCGGGGAGTTTGACAACGCAGGAGCAATGATGAGTGTGGATGAGAGTTTGTTATGTTCGTTCCAGGTCAGTACACCCTATCACCAGCCAGTTTAGCAGCCGATTGACAAGTATTACCAGATCCTGAAACCAGCGGAGAAAAAACAAAAGTACGTTTACGGTGGCCTTGGTGCTAGCAGGCCCGTCACTCCTCCGAGGAAGCATAAGTAGTTAAAGATATGAACAAATACGAACTTCCTTGTGTGCAGCAGGTTCGGACGCAGATAAGCATAGCTTTGCGAATTTCCTCTCGAGTCACGACAAAGTATCGCCGACACGCTCCCCGATCCCATTTTACAAGTTTTATAGTCCTCCGATCTCGATCCCGACCGCTCTCCGCCATCAAAAACATAACCTATTTGCGCGCCTACTCTCCACTGGCACCTAATCGAACTACGTATCCCGATTGTACACCATTCTCTTTTTCACCGCGAGTACGACCAATGACCAAAATTCCGAGACACGAACCACGACTTTTCTAACAGGCACGAACGAATCTAGAACAGGAAAGAAATGGTGGCGCGGGGCTCGTGATTGGGGATTGATTTATGTGAATGGTGTGTGGGGCTTTGGGTGTATATGAAAATACGATGTTGTGAGACGGCTGCTCTCTGCAGGATGTTACTTTGTCTGTGTAGCTCTCATCTGGCTTGGCTTGGCTTGACTTTTAGTGGGTATGGATATGCTTATCGGGGTCATGGGGAATGTGCCTGACGATTGATGGGTGCGTAGTGTGCATTGGGTCATCAGGGGCGCGATGGAGGGTGGGAGTGGGTTGGGTGGCATTTTTCCGTAGCCGTTCTTCTGCCACACTTACTGACATGTGAAATCTGTTGCGGCAGAAATGCAAAGTAATTTTCCTACACTGCACTTCATTCGTCTCAACGGCGTTGGTTCCTTGTGCCTGATGGTGTGTCGTTTATGACACTGGTATATATCGTGCTGTATAGCGGGGTTTCCCCGCTTGAGGCTTTCGGGAATATGTGAATGTCTACTATCTATATGCAACATCCCGATATCCTTCCTGCCTCCTACGTAATCATACACAATCCTCGCATCCGTCCTTCCCTGGTTTGGAATTCCCACTAGTCTCAGCCTTAACCTCTTCTTCAGCTTTTCCCTCTCCAAGTACTCCTGGAGTAATTGTCTTAGTATTGTCTTTTCCTTCGTCTTGAGGTTGTGTGATCAATTCTTTTTCAGAGAAGAGTGTTGTGTTAGTATATAAGTAAGATTAATGTGAAGAAGCTCGGGGAGTGAAAAAGAGAGGTCACCAAGAAGAGGGGCAACAAGAAATATAAGGGAGGTTGGAAAGGGGGAAAATGGAGTATTTACTCTGTGAACCGGCATGTCTGTCGACGTGGCCTAGGTTGCGGGACGGATCGATTATATCGCGGACTCGGCGTTTGAGTTCTTTTGTTTCTGCGGGGAGGAAATGGGGGTTTGTGTTAGTGTACGGTTGGAGATAGGTGATGGAGTGGAGGGAGATGTAGGCTTGTGTGGCTGCATTGTGTAATGTAGGGGGATGAATAAGGGCTCTTTCCTGACAAGGAATTGTACGTATATAAAGGTAATGGAGGAGGGAAATAGTACTTTGTACTAATAGAAGGAAAACCAATTTTTGTTAAGCGTGGTTGCTGTGATTGGAATAAAGTAGCCACAGTCCCTTCCTTGAACGAGAATATGTGATATCATAGAAGGGAGGAGACGGGCTAAGTCAGTTCTCCAGAAAGCCAAAATAAAATAAAATAAAAACATACCAGGAAATCCACCCTCAGTCTTCCGATCCCAAAGCAGATGCTTTTCTACAACACCCGGCTCTTCCCCAGTACCGCTCAGCTGAGCATGGTATAGGTGGACGGTGAAAGTGCCTCCAGTTGAAGGCTGGAGAGCAACCTCGCCTAGGGAGGTTGAGAAGGTGGAGAGGAGTTCTTGTGCGAACTAATAGGTGGTTTAGAATGTTTTTGTAGAGCTATTTCCTTGAGGTGTGGGGAATTGTAACAATAATATAGAAAAATAATAATAATGGTTACTGCGCATTTTGGAAATTGAGAAGGGGTATTGTTTATCACGTGGAGGTAGTAGGTAAGGTATATACTGAAACCCAGTTCTAGGACCTCTACATGGCCTCTGCTATTGCACTGGCAATTGCGGGGGGTACCTAGATAGCTACAGGATTGCTTTGTTGCTCGGACCGAAACAGCGCATGAATGCGGGAGGCATGGATCTTTAGAGATAAGATAGATAGAGAAATGCTGTGGGATGGGAAGAGGTAAATAAATAATGGTATACTCACATATGCCGCCCGTAACATCCATTTGCATTGTGTGCAGAATTGGATCGTCACCCTAGGGAGGAGTGGTGGAGTCGAAGGATTCTCCATGGCGCATTGCATTAGATGGGATTCCCACGATCCGAGACTGTTAGGGAAGGAATTGTTTGTTGCTGCCGTTGTTTGAGCCTGTGCGGGTGAATACGGAAATAATCAGATACTGCTAGATGGGCTTCAAGGCGGCTCGAGGGCATTCGAGTGTCTGGCTTTATTGTTTATGTAGTAGTGGGCGTCGCTGATCATCCGCTCGCTTCTAGATCGAAGGGTCGAATGGGAATCACGCACTATCTTGATCCGCTATGAAGGTAAGGTAAGGCCGGTCTAAGGCCAAGGCAGCGTGAGAGTCAAGCCTTTTGCTACTTCAAGGCACGCCTCACCAAACAGGGAAACCAGAAATGAGACATATGCTTGAAGAGGAGGATGATCGTATATGGGGGTTGGGAAATGCCACTTCTTTTCATCATCTCGATCCTAGATATTCGTAACCCTACACCAGTGCTATACAAAGCCAAAAAGAAGTAACTCAAAGAAAATATTACACAGCACGAGTCCTGTAATCTTCCAAAGTGACCTGCCACCCGCTTGATGCTACACTATTGGAAGGAAAGGTATTATTCGCAGATATGATTTCCCGTACGCCCTTGAACGCCCATCGCATCTGCAGATTTTGATTGCCTCCTCCGCCCGGCGGGTGCCCCTACATCACGGTGCAGCACCCTCCACTTTGTTGCGGCGCATAGGGGTCGTCCTTCTTGTCGACGGCGCCCCAGACGGATGGGACCATGAAGTCTTTCGTGCTGTTGGTGTAGGAGATGATGCTGCAATGGGTGGATGGATTAGTATAACTGTGCTGTGTTGCGCTGCGCTGCTTGCGCGGTATATGTTTCCAAAGCGAACGTACCTTGCCGCAGCCTGGGAGACGGGAATCCGCTCGCGTTCCAAATCTTCTCGCAGACGGTTGTTCAACTCGGTCAGACGACGCAATTTCAGGTCGGCCATTGACTGCTTGTTCTTCCTGATCTGCGAAGGGTCGCCCATGTCGCGGGAGGAGTAGGACGGCATCATTGAGGTATTGTTTGGTTTGGTTTGGTTTGGATTCGATTCGATTCGGGCCCGGACTCCTTTTTCCTAGGGAGGTAGCTTAGGTAGCTATCGCTCGCACCTTTTTCTCTCGTCAGCAGCTGCGACGGGACGCGTTAAGGGGTGCTGGAGGAACTGTGGATGGCCGCACCTGAAGAGGATGTCGAGGGAGAATGGCTTGTTGTTTGAGAACCTGCGCCCGGTCGACCAGAAAGGTTTGCAGCGATTGCCAGCTGGACGCGGTGGGATTGGGGATTGGGGATTTGGGGGNGTTCTGGCCGGGCCAAGAGAGGCGGGATCAGCAATGACGACGGCGTGGCGAAGGAGGGTGATATATTGAGATGGAGATGCGGATTGAAATTGGGATTGGGATTGGGATTGGGGGAGTTGGGGGGCGGCGGCCGGACTGGGGAGATTGGTGTACTATGGGCCTGTGGGACTTCGCTGGTCTGCTCTCCGGTGCTACTCGTACTACTCTCTGCGTATGTAACTTATTATTAACTTCCTCCTTAGGTGCGAGCGAGTCCGAGTCCGAGTCCTCACTTCGCACTGCCCCAAAGCGGCTAGCCCACTCGGTTAAGACTGGCTTCGCATTTTCAGACTCAAAGCGCACACAGAAAGAAGTCCAGGGCAAATCCATCAGACAATTCTTGACCCTCCGTCACTGTCCCTGCGCCAACTCTCCATCTCCATCCTCAACGCCATCTCACCTCGCAGTGGACCTCTGATCGTGACCCCCATTTACACACTTCATCCACGCCCGCACCCAGGAGGGAGTGGCCCACCATGCCGCCTCCGCCTCATCAGAAGCCCGAGAATGTGCTGAAGCGCGCCCATGAGTTGATGGGCGTTGGGCAGTCCTCCGCCGCCCTCGTCCTGCTCCATGAGCATATCACCTCCAAACGCTCGCGCAATGTCCCCATCACGTCGCTGGAGCCGGTGATGCTCCTGTTGGTGGAACAGTCCGTCGAGCAGAAGAAGGGAAAATTGGCGAAGGATGCCTTATACCAGTACAAGAACATCAGCCAGAATACCAACGTTGGAACCATCGAGGTGTGTATTACGCGTATGGTGGATGAAATATGATCCGGAGAAGATGCTAATATTCGCCCCCTTTAAAAAGTTGGTCCTAAAGAAGTTTATCGAGCTGGCGGAGGACAAGGTGAAGACTGCCCAGGCAAAGGCCGACGAAGTTCAGTCATCCCTCGAAACCACGGCGGCAACCGCGAGTGTCGACGATCTGGAAGCCAGCGAGACCCCGGAGTCCATTCTTCTTTCAACTGTTTCCGGTGAACAATCTCGGGACCGCACAGATCGCGCGATCGTGACACCATGGCTGAAGTTTCTTTGGGAGACTTACCGGACCGTTCTCGATATCCTCAGGAACAACGCGAGGTTGGAGATTATGTACCAGAGCACTGCCATGCAAGCATTCGAGTTCTGCCAAAAATACACAAGAAAGACCGAATTCCGCCGTCTTTGCGAGCTCCTCCGAAACCATGTTCAGACCGCGGCAAAGTACTCTGCTCAGATGCACGCTATCAATCTGAATGACCCAGATACTCTGCAGCGCCATTTGGAGACGCGTTTTCAACAGCTGAACGTGGCAGTCGAGCTGGAGTTGTGGCAGGAGGCATTCCGAAGTGTTGAAGATATCCACACCTTGCTCAACCTTAGCAAGCGCCCACCAAAGAACATTATGATGGCAAATTACTACGAGAAGCTGACCCGGATCTTTTTGGTTGGCGAGAATTATCTTTTCCACGCTGCGGCATGGTCTAGATATTATAATCTTCTCCGCCAATCTGCGTCAATGCTCGCTTCAGGCCAGAGCAAGAAGGCAGACAACCCAGCCACTTCCGAAGCAGACCTTTCCAAGGCCGCCTCGTTTGTCTTGCTCTCTGCTCTCGCCATCCCAGTTATCAGCACATCGCGGTCCCGCGGTGCTTTGGTTGATATTGATGAGGCCAAGAAGAACAAGAACTCCCGTCTCACTCATCTTTTGGGTATGGCACAGGCTCCTACTCGTGCCGTCCTTTTTAGAGATGCTATGAGCAAGGGCCTCTTGAAGCGCGCCCGTCCCGAAATCCGTGAGCTTTTCAACATTCTCGAAGTTGACTTCCACCCCCTGTCTATCTGCAAGAAGATCTCACCCATTTTGGTTAAGATTGGTGCTGATGAGGAGATGGCAAAATATGTCCTCCCTCTCCAGCAAGTTATCCTGACTAGACTCTTCCAACAACTGTCCCAGGTCTATGAGACCGTCGACCTTGCTTTTGTCGAGAACCTTGCCCAGTTCCCCGAGCCTTTCCAAGTAACAAAAGATACAATTGAGAAATTTATCATGAACGGCAACAAAAAGGGTGACCTTGCTATCCGCATGGATCACGCTACAGGGGTCCTTAGCTTCGATACCGACGTCTTCTCCTCGACTAAAGCTGTCCATACCGGGTCAAGCGCCGGTTCAGCTGAGAGTGAGACATCTTCCGTTCAAAGACTGCAAAATACCCCATCCGAGATTGTTCGAACACAATTGACGCGGTTGGCTAAGTCTCTCTACGTTACATGTCAATATATCGACCCCTCGGTCAATGAGTCCAGAATTCGAGCCCGGGATGCAGCATACGCGCGGGCTAAGGCTGGTGCCGAACAGGAGCATCACGATATTCTCGCGCGCAAGGAAATCATCGCCAAGCGGAAAGAGGAGGCATCCGAAATCCAAGCCCGCAAGGAGAAGGAAGATGCCACTCGCAAGCGCATTCGAGCAGCACAAATCCAGGAAGCTGAGGACAAGAGACTCGCCCAGGAACAAAAAGATCGTGAAGAGAAGCGCATGAAGGCTGAGCTTGACCGTGTCCGCAAAGAAGAACTCAAGAAGGAGATTGCGGCTCTCAAGATTGGTCCCAAGGCACTCGACATCGATGTGGAAGACCTGGAAAATCTTGATAGCAACCGTCTCCGTGCCATGAAGCTTGCTCAGTTGGAGCGTGAGAAGAATGATATCAACGAGAAGCTGAGAGTCACTGCCAAGCGTATCGACCATCTCGAGCGAGCATTCAGAAAAGAAGAAGCCAAGAAGCTGCCCGAAGACTACGCTCAGCAACGCCAGCGGGATCTAGATGCTTATGAGAAGATCAAGGAGCAGACATTGAAAGATTCCGAGGCCAAACATAAGGCTAATGTCGAGCTCAAGCATAGGCTGTCTCGATTGGTACCCTTCTACGAATCATTCAAGGAAACCATTGTTGAGCGGAGACATGACGAATTTGAGAAGCGCCGCCGTGACGCAACCAAGGAGCTTGAGAAGCAAATCGAACTTAGAAAGAAGGAGTTTAAGGAGCGGAAGGCTCGTGAGAAGCGGGAGCTTGCTGAGCAAGAGCGGATATTGCGTGAGGAGGAAGAGCGCGCCGCAAGAGAGGCAGAGGAGAAGGCTGCAAGGGAAGAACAGAAGCGGAAAGAATTCGCCGAGCTCAAAGCCATTCGCGAGAAGGAGCGGCAAGAGGCGTTGGAGATGGCTGCGTTGCAAGCACGACGAGCCGAAGAAGCTGAGAGACGCAAGGCGGAGGAGAAGGCTAAAAGCCGTGGGGTTCAAATGGATCGTGCTGAATCTGGCTCTGGTTCCGGTGTTCGTCCACCTCTGCCTCTTGCTGGTGCTAAGATGGGATGGAGAGAAAAGGAGCGTCTGCGTGCAGAGGGCAAGGAAGTACCTTCCGCTGCTGCACCCACCCGCACTGAATCTCCAATGGCACGCGCTTCGCCGATGGGACGTGCAGCTCCTATGGAGAGGACTGACTCCAACGATCAATCCGGAGAGAGAGGCCCCCCTCGCCTTGCCCTTGCTGGTGGCAAACCATCCTGGAGAGAGAGGGAAGCTGCGAAGACATCGGGTGCTGGCGACTCGGCTCCCGCATCGCGACTCCCTTCCGCAATGGCGCGAGGACGATCGGGTAGAGGCGAAGACGAACGTGATGTTTCACCTGCTCCACCAGCAGCAGCTTCAGGTGATAGTCTCAAACCTAGCGGAACTGCTGGGAAGTTTGTGCCGCCACATCTGCGCAACAAGCAGTAAGGGTGAAAAATGGGATGAGGAAGGATGCATGGGAACTTCTCATTTCTTGCAAAGGGTACATTGTAATTACTACGGCGTTGAGGCCTTCTAGGTTGCTTACCTAGAACAAAGAAGTGAAATTGAAGAGTTAAGAATAGATTCATCATCTGGAGCTTGTGAAGCCATCTAATCAACTTCTAATATCAATACCCATATTATTCGCTTTCTAGTCGACTAGTCTTAAACCCTCCCAATACGAGGTATGTACTCTCCATAATCCGTAGCACAGTCCCGAGACCCATTCGAGATGCTTTAAACTTATGCCTACCTTCTGTTTACTTCTCTTTCTCCGATGTGGATATTTAGTCAGGAGGGTCAAGTGTCTACCTGTGTGTTGATTGTATCCTGAAACGTGGAGGCTTGCATTACCCTAAAAACCCCGATAGTACACCTGTACGTTGCTGTAGCACAAAAACGCTCGGAAGCCCAAGGGCTTCTAATAATAAGACTGAGTGCGAGAATGCAAGCTATTATGTGTAGATTGCACGAGAAGAAGTAATTGCGGTCAAAGCTTGCTTTCGCCATCGTATTCGGGGGTTAAGAATGCCCTCATCCGTACCTTAGCTTACAACGAGATAGTAGTCATAATATGCCTAGTAACACAGACCTCTATTGTCCCGTGCAAAGCCACGATACCTGCATTCCACCACCTCACGGCCATCGTCTCGTGGCTTTGTCCGGGGCAGTACAGGTCTGCGTTACTCCACGTGGCAAGCTCAATACTCGACAATGGTATATTGGCACACTTATTCGATCCTTCAAGCCCTACGAGGGGGAAAATATGTGTGGTGTTGGTGTGAACCTATTATTCCTGAATGGGGGCGAGAGGGAGAATAAACAAACAGGACTTGAAATGCGGAGAAATATATGAGAACTACAATGCTCGTATTTCAAGCATGCCGTGGAACGTGAGACACCCCCAGACGTACTTAGTACTTAGTCCGCATCGAGTTGCAGGCCCCCTGAAAACCCCCGAACAGCAGCATTATCGGGAGCGGCAATACTACTCTCCTCTGCACGGCAGTGGACGAAGCAAACGGTATTAATTAAAGAATATCGAAATTCCGCATCGCAGCGTGCCACGCGCTTGAACAAGCCGAATCACCTCCCAACGCCTCGGTGCTCCCCACAACCTTCCATTCCATTGACTGCTCTACGTTACTGTTCTCGAAGGTCCCGGGTGGCGCGAAAGGAGATCCCCATGATCACCGACAGAAGGGCAAAGGCTTGTTGTTTCAACTGAGGCTCAATATCCTGTAGCGCTGAAGCGGTCCCTGCTGTTTACTTTCCGGCATTGGTCCTTGTGATGATCTCCTAGTGCTTGTCCAGGGCAAAACTAGCGAATGTGGCGGCCGGCAGAGTCCAAACAAGCCTAATACTTATTAATAAATCTACTTTTGTATGTAGTAGTAGTATCAGACCATCACTTCAGCCGCTTCTAAAAGGCCATTTGCTTTTCTAGGAACGACCGCTGCTCCGAATCGTCCGCTTCCAGGGACGGGACTGAAGCGAACCCAACGCTAAAACCGTTTTCGTAGATTAAGGCCTCGGACTCTCAGTCGGCAGCCCCGGTGTGGACGCCATGGTCGAAGGCGTCCAGTCGTTCAGCCTTGTATGTCTCCTTTGAGACGAATAAATACTCTAATACTCTATTGATCTGTACAACATTGTCCGGGGTACTATGCAAGGTACGGAAAAACACCACGTCGACGCTCCAGACTGTTGTGGAGCTCTCTCGAGCCTCCCCAACATGCATACCGCCCTGACTGTCTCCTGGATTCCGAAGGACACCGCCCACTGTCACGGCTTTTGTGAAAGACTACCGGTTACAGAAAAGGAGGGAAAGAGCGGACGAAAGAGAAAAACATAGTACAACGGTACAGGCATGCCATCTGTTAAAGCCCCAAATCTAAGCTCGAAGTTTGCTTCTGGATACGCTACACGAGGCTGATGGAAGAATGCTGAAGCTTAAATTTTCTTTGGGCTCGGAGCGCCTAGCACATATATCGGGAATCAACCCCTTGGCAATACCCCGTATCCTCATAATTACATGTGGTGGTGCATGATATGTTCATATCTCTCTATGGGTTGAGTCAGGTGCCTAGAGCCAGCCACAGACGCGAAACTCGGCCGTTCCCCAACATACGAAGTACTCCAGGCGCCTTTGTACTGGCTACACAGTTTAGTAGCTGTGCACCATGTACCTACGTATGCTATGGGCCCGATGTACTACAGCACGTCCCCCAATGCAACATTATTGCACTTTGTCCTTTTTACTTCAGCTGATCATGCACCACATGGCTTAAGCATGGTCTAGTGTGATCATTCTAATTGTGGAACAGTGTTCCACCCGCCTGCCATTTGCTTATATATTTACTGAGCCCGTTGGCCTCCTTTGTCGCGTTTCTTCTATATTGCTCGACATCTTGTCTTCAAGTCACTCGTTTTCCCTGGCACTATCATCCAGCACCATGATGAGCCTCAAATCTTTCCTGACTGCTTCGGCAGCTATCACTCTCTTTTCTGGGGCCAATGCTAGCCTACTCAGGCGTACCGAAGAGCCTGGTAAACCGTCCTGCACGGATTTCACCCCTTATGTTTACACTGGCTGCTTCCAGGATCCCGGCCCACCAGACCCAAGTGTCCTTCTCTACAACTCCGGCCTGGACTCCCAGAATATGACAATCCAACAATGCACGGCGTTCTGCAAAGGCAACGACTATCGATATGCCGGCTTGGAATACTATGGGAAATGTGTGTGCGGAGCTTCCCTCAATGGTCCTCAAGTCGACGATTCGCAATGCACCTTCCCTTGCACGGGGGATAACACTGCAATTTGCGGTGGTAACAACTTGGTCTCCGTCTACCAGGACCCAACCTTTCCAGCGGTAGATAGCACGGATATTTCAGACTACCAACACTCGGGATGTTACGCTGAGGGACCAAGCGGTCATTCATTGACATGGAGGCAGAATTCGGTCAGCGAGGCTAGTACGACTGTGGAAGCGTGTCTTCATGCTTGCAAGGCGGGTGGATTCCCTCTTGCTGGTTTGGAGTACGGCCAAGAATGTTATTGCGGAGTGGTCCTTAGTGATGGCACAACGTCTGTGGATAGCACCCAGTGTAATATGGCATGCACAGGGGACTCCTCGCAGTCGTGCGGTGGAAGGCAGCTTATGGACCTGTACGTTGCTCATGATCTCGAAAGTTCTCAGCCCTGTGGTGGTGGAGGAGGATCGTCATCTTCATCCTCGTCCTCGACTACTCCACCTACTACATCACCAACCACCAGTCCTCCTGTATCCACTACATCGCCCACTACAGAGCCCACCACTGAGCCTACTACTGAGCCCACTACTTCACCTACCACGTCACCAACCACGTCACCAACCACCAGTCCTCCTGTATCCCCTACCTCGCCGACTGAACCTCCAAACACGACGACTCCAGTAACGACAGCACCCTCGGTTTGCACTTCCACCACCACCGCTTCACCGACACCTACTTGTGAATATAAATGTGGAAAGTGGTGCTCCAACCCCCTTCCAACCTTTGGCGATAATCCATCATGCCTGAAGGCACAATCAAATTGTGTTTTGCAAGTGGCTTCCTGCTTCGCGCAAGCTGGATGGCCCGACAGTATCAAATGCTTCGACTTCTCCAACTGGTGTCAGTCCGTCTCGACCTACTGCCAAAACACCTGCAGGGGAGGAAGTTGTTCAAACCAAGGCTGCAAGTCCAAGTACCCGCCAGCCTCGCCCCCGACGCCTCCCAAGCCAACAGTCTCAACCGTTACCTACGCATGCCCCGTAACCAGCAGCTCCAACAACCCAACAAAGCCATCCACAACCTTGACTTCAAAAACATCTTGCACTACTGTTGTGCCCATCCCAACTAATAGCAACATCTGCAACCAGCCTCATAACCCCTCCAAAGGTTATACCTCCCAAACCCCCGTAGGAAGCATCCCGCTCCCCTGCCTGACATGCAACAACGAGCCCACAGACTTCAAGAAAGGGAACTGCTTCAAGCTCTACACATCCCCAGACTCCAAGAAGTGCCCGTCCTACCCTCGAGGAAAGCCAGCGGATGCATGCAAGGATGCCTGCGACGCTCAGTACGATAGCTGCGCCGGCACATATGCTGAGGGCTGCAGAGGAAATTCAAGACGGCGAACTTCCAACCCGAGATTTGGGGATTCGTTCGGCACTGCGACCAAAAAGTGCAAGGATCAGAGACAGGATTGTTATGATGCCAATTCGGGCGTGAAGCCCAGTGGTGGGAGATGCGATAGGTTCAATTCTGGATGGTATTAAAGAGGAGTTAGAGAAGTGTTATGGGAAAAGATTTCTTTTAAGGGAAAGGATTAGGAATGATCCTTTTCTTGTTTGTAATTCAATATTTTTTGTGGAATAATATGATGTATGGATTGATGTATCAATTAGCAATAATATAACGCGATTAATAGCACCAAATTGTTGCTTGATTTATTGATGCAGGTGCTGGCAGTCCAAGATTCGATATTGAGTTATAAAACTCACACAAGTCTGTTACTCCTAGCGAATAATCCGAATACAATGTGCCATAGTCGGTATGGCGGCTTGTTGAGTCTCCCCCACGTGATACGAAATGGGGAGTTTTCACCTTGGTAGGTATCTGGTATCTGGTATCGATATATCGTAACAACTGGAGACAGGCAACTAGGCCTGTTGCTATAGTAGTGAACCCAGCCGCCACAACAAACAATCTAGGACGACTTTGGACTCTCTATTAGAGATAACAAAGGCTAGAAGGCTACAGCTCGAGTTTCTCGGTATCCAACACTCCATTGGATATTTATTTTGCTATTTTTTTCTCTTTTTGTGTTGTGTTCAACTAGGCGATGGCAAGTCTTAGTAGCTGATCTGTAGCTTCCAAGTCAGTAGTTATTCGCATAATTGTATGACATCGCTTCAAAACTATCATCACAATAGCCTATTGATTCGAAAGCACTGCCCAGTACTCGCGAACTAAATTAGAGTGGCCTGAATCCCATACTTATCTGTCAACTGTCTAAGTCATGGCACCGGTAAACATGTAATTTTATGGCTTTGACTTGCATGTCTATCCCACAGCGAGCAAAGGGACATTTATGTAAAACCGTGTTGGCAGAGGCGGTATGCAGTGTGCACTATGTGAGCAAGTAATGTCGCACGCTGTATGAATAAACGTGTATGTCTTACAAATGCTTAGTGTTATGCTTGCTTGCTAGCAACCAGGAGCGAAGACTCTGTAAATTCTCACCCATTTCCGCAGTAAGTCCCGCCTGTGCACCACTAAAACAGATCCACCTTTCGGCCTTGCCACCGAAACCCTCCAGATTGAAACGAATACTCCAAACACCAATGACACCATCCCCATATGCCTCCGTAGCTCCAGATACCTTGCTTGCTCCTCATGCAAACCCCAACCTCACGTAACATTGCACAGCAACTCCGCCTCTAGAATATATTTATCTTCCTTATACTTCTCGCTTGCCTCGAACGCCTTATCATATTTCCAACCCACCGTCTCGCTGCACTGCTGGCATTGGATATCGCGCACGATATGGCGGCCGGTCGTCATGTTGCGCTCGCTGGCTTCGCCGGCTGTTACGTTTACGACGTTATTGAAAAGGTAGGCTTTGCCGTGCTGGCCGCGGAAATTCTGCTAAAACGTTAGGGCGGGGTTTGGTTTAAAATGGGGGTGTTAATGGAGTAGTGGATAGAAAGGAAGAGGGAAAGGAAGACACGAACCCTTGACATAATATCATCATGGTCCCCCAGATGTGCCTTGCAGTTCTTACATCCGTAGATCTTACGGCTGTTGAGATAGACGTTATATGAGAGGCCCATGGTGCCTTCTTTGCTTTGACTCTCTCACTTGTTCTCGAACCTCGGCTCTTTGGACTGTTCGCCTCTGTGTCGGCTTGCTTGTTCGGCCGCGACGGTAAGATAAGTCACCCGTATGCCACGCTCGTCGGTGGCTGGCAGTTCGCGTGGTAAATTCCAGGTCCCAGGTGGTATATGAGGCGGTACCAAAGTAGGATTTCCAGCAGCAAAGCCCTGGGGAGGTCGTGACGAGCGGTGTTGACCTTGGACTGGTTGACGTGTACCCGGAACCTTGGACGCTGGGGCGGTACGAGGTACTCCTATTATCTATCGTTGTCGGGAAATACCGACTAGTGACTGTAGTCGTCTTGATGACCAGGGAAATGAACGAAGGGATCGGCGGTGTTGTGAGGCGGCGAGATGTACGGAGTAGGGTTCTTGGGATGGGAGACTACAAGGTTCGCAGTACGTCGCACGTAGCAAGGGGCGCGAGGATGGCGGGGAAATGGTTCTCGATAAGAGGTAGTCACGGCCGATTACATATCCCTGGAACCGACAGGCGAAGTCTGGATTATTAGTAAGCGCATCTCATTGACCTCCTTTTCCCCATTGTAAGATTGACGGCCATGATCTCGCCGACATACATAAAGGTACCTTACTGCAACTGCTGCTGCTGCTACTGCCACTACCAAGGCGATTTCATTACGGCCTTTGGCCTTCACGCAAAGATATGGGAACACTATCTAATCCAAACAGGGCTTACTCTGGCATGCCGCATGCGTCCTCCTATACCCTGACGAGTAGATTACTCCTTGGTCGAGTGGGAGCTTGCCCAGTCTCCCGACTCCGTTTCCTGATGTGTGGTATATCCAAAATTCCCTAACTGACGGCGCGGTTCGGATATGTTTACAGTAAACGACCAGGCATGGGTAGCTTTGTGGCGGGCCAAGTTTTCATCCGAGACAGAAATCACTTAGACAAAGGAAAGGGCTCGCCCCGTCGGCGCAAGCCTGTGCCGCAAGTTGCCTATGACAATCAAGCACTTTATCTTTCTTTATCTCGTCGTCGCCTTCTACTATAGGCTTATTAGTCTGCTCTGTTTTCATTTTAGTCGAACCTTGCTCTCTTCTTTATTATAGGCTTTGCATTCTTCGTCTAGGTAACTCGAGTTACACCCATTGTCTCCATGTTACAGGGTCGTATATATGGCTGGACATGTCAGGGCCCTAACCTAGCATACCTGTGACCCCGAGCTACCATACCTGGCCCTTTCCTTCCTAGGGCTCTTAGTGACCCGGGTTCTCCTTGGTTGCTATTTGAAGCCATGAAAAAGTACATACCGATAGTTATAGTCATTATCTCGCGGCCCTTGTTAGTTCTATACTTAAGCCAATTGCAATGCATTCGCTGTCGGAATAAGAATTTTCGGCCGTCAATTTATGTGGCTTCCACGTTCGACGTCATTCTTCCCCACCCCCCCATTCCCCTTCCGAAAGGTCTCATATTCGGCGTTATCGATCGAGCTTTGTGCGACGCTATTGGAGATTGTGTTGCACTGCATGGACAATCCGCGAAGTTAGGCCAATCAAAGAGGTAGCGAGGAATAAAGGGAGAAGCATGGAAAGTAAATCTAAACCTTATGATATGAGGTTCTGGACACAGCATCTTGGTACCCAAACGTTTCGCTTTTCTCGTCTCAATTCTTCAGCCGTGCAACACTGCAAGTTGCTTCATTACATTTTTCTTCATTCTATTTTTCTATTTGGCTTTCATTAACTGCTCGGAACCATGGGTTCAGTTACTCCCGACAAGCTTCCCAACCAACCCTTCCCGGTTAAAAGTCTTGATACGGAACCTATTTTAGCTAAATACAGAGAAGAACGAGCTAAGCGTATCCGTAAAGACGGACCTAGCCAATTCATCCAACCCGAAGGCAGCCTTTCATATTTCAAAGAAGACGTCGGTGCTCCACCTTTAACTCGCGATCCCATCAATGTAGAAACTAAAGTTTTGATTGTGGGTGCTGGGTTTGGGGGATTAGGTGCGGGTGTGAAGTTGAAGAATCAAGGGGTGGAGGACTTCTTGATTGTGGAGAAGGGAGCAGGTTACGGAGGCACTTGGTACTGGAATCAATACCCTGGTTTGTTGCCCCCGTCGTCTTCTTGAGGAAACTCTTACATTATGGTAGTGGCTAATTACCAATGTTTGAACAGGCGTAAGTTGTGATGTAGAGGCTTTAATTTATCTTCCCTTCCTCGAGGAAACTGGCTATATACCTAAAAGCCGCTTCCCTCAGGGCCCTGAAATTCGTGAACATATGTCACGTATTGTCGAAAAATGGGATATTGCACCAAAAACGCATCTCCAAACTGAAATTACTTCGATCGTCTGGGATGAATTTATCCTCCGCTGGCATATCCATACCAACCATGCCGATCACTTTGTTTCTCAGTTCGTGGTTCTGGCAACAGGAACATTACATCAGCCTCATCTTCCCGGAATTCCAGGGATCGAGGATTTCAAGCGTGATCATTTCCATTCCAGCCGCTTTGATTACGGAATAACTGGTGGAGACCCAGCTGGTAATATGACAAAGCTAGCTGGAAAGACGGTGGGAATCATTGGCACGGGTGCATCTGCAGCTCAGCTAGTACCAAAATTGGCCCAAGATGCAAAGAAACTCTACGTATTCCAACGGACTCCCTCGTCAATTACCCCACGTCATAATCAACCTCCAGATCCCTCTATCATCGCATCTCTAAAACCTGGATGGCAAAAAGCAAGAATGTCAGATTTTGCCAACATCCTCCAAGGAGAAAATTTAGACGTAGAGTCTACGGCGTTGGAAGGTCTTGATGTTTTGACAATGAGAACGATATTGAAAGAAGCAAGAAAAGCAGGAATTGAGCCTAAGCCAGAGAATATCCCGGAGTTATATCGGCAAGCTGATTTTACACTTATGGAAAGTCTTAGGAAACTTATTGAGGATACGGTAACAGACAAGGAGACTGCAGACAAATTGAAACCTTGGTATGCGTTTATGTGTAAACGGCCTGTGTTCCACAATGATTACCTACCAGCATTCAACAAACCGAACGTCGAACTTATTGACACAGACGGAAAAGGAGTTTCTCATCTTACTGACTCCGGGGTTGTTGCCAATAATAAGGAATATGAAGTCGATCTCTTAATCTTTTCAACTGGATTCGAGTTTGAAACAGCATCAACCTTCTACCGACGAACTGGAATCCATCTCGTCGGGTCCAAAGGTCAAACTTTTGATGAGAAATGGGCGGGTGGTCCTTCTACATTATTCGGTATTCACGTTCGCGATTTCCCAAACTTGTTTCTTATTGGGCCTGTCCAAGCCGGCGTTACGGCAAATTCGACTCATACAGTTTATGTAGCTGCGGACCACATCGCGGAGGTAGTTGCAGGTTGTCTAAAAGAGGAGATGGACTTCCAAGCTATTGAGCCAACAGAAGAGGCTGAAGAAGATTGGGGAAAACAGATTGAAGAAGGAAGGGAGGCGAGATTGGAATTTGCCAAGGGATGCCCGCCGGGGTACTATAATAAGGAAGGAAAACCAGAGGATATCCCGGCTCGATGGGGAATGTATCCAAAGGGAATTGAGGTATACACGAAATTGATTAGGGAATGGAGAGAGGAGGGGAGTATGAAGGGATTAGAGAGGCGGTAGGAGGTTTGTGGAGTGCAGTGAACGCCGGTGGGGCAAGAGAAGGGAAGATGAGTGCAACACCGACAAGGATATCCAATAAATTTAGCAAAGCCCCTCCCCGGCATTTCTATTCTTTCTCATTACTTTTTCCAAAACTATATTTTTCCCTTCAATCCTTTTCGAAAATCTCAAATCTTCTTTCCGTTTTTATGATGTGGCGTGCATTAGAATATTAGGGTGGGGACAGGGGGAAGCTGCAGTTTGAAGAGGATCATACTGGAGTTACTCATGGTAGTTTATATAGATTAACTTTATCATTTTTCTCGCAATGGATGATATTAGAAGTGTGAACTCGCTAGTATCCAGTCGTATATTTTTCTAAATTGTGTCAAAACGTGATGGACGTGAATTAACAAGAATCACTAGCTATAAATACATAAGAAGGATTGTAACAAGAACGGCTAGGTAATAGGTAAGGACTTATCTTCGTCAGGAGGAAGACTAGGGATTAAAGCCCGGGAGCCTCTACCTCGACTTCTTACATTAGTTTACTTGGAAACCGACAGCGAGCAGGAATTACCAGAGCGAGATGGAGACAGTAAACTCGATGTATGGCAATGTATTTTTGATATTTGTGAATTCTTAATGATTTCCGCCTTGTATCCTCCGGCCTCGCCGAGTAAGCCGTACCATTAAGACTTTGGCTTCACGACGACTCGCCGTCTTCCCTGATGTGTTGGGCGCTCGAAAATTGATGAGGCTGCTCATCCTGGTGTTGTGTTTGTTTTATTCAATGCTACCAGGAGCTGAACGGCATTTCGGAGTCGGCAAAATGGTGTGCAGACGATCTAATTACATCTCCCAAAGGACCTGGGAAGCTTCCAGGCCAGGTGCAATGAGAAGGAAATCATGAGAATTCATGGCTTCACCGGACGAGCGTTTATAGAAGCGTATTATCCAAATTAATTATAGAACTACAGTCCGTCTTGATAACTGGAAGATATTGGTATATTATAAATGTGCATGAATGCAAGGAAGGGAACGGCTTGACACATAGACTAAATACTATCAGCCATATGCCTGTCTCCTTTCTTCTGTTACCTACCTAAGCTCTATATAGATTAAAACAGTCGATTTTTTGCGTTGAGGAAGGCAGAAGGCGACCACCTGGCTAGGTGGTTGAGATCAAATTGTCTCCCCCAAGTGGATCGGGTGGCAATGATAGCAAAATACGAAAAGCAACAATCGGCAAGAGATCTAGGCATTCGACACAGGGCTGAACACTTTTTGCTTCTAGACTATATTTATTATAATGATTTTGCCTCCCTTTCTTGCCTTTATAGGAGGTGTTGGGATTTTTTAGTTTCGCCTATTGGGGGCTCGCTTGTAGTTGTATGCAAAAAGGGGGGAGGCGGCACGTGATGAGCGTTGTATAAAATCTAAAGTTGATATACTAACTTCGAACCAAAGCACTCGCAGGTAATCCGACGCTCGGGTAATAGGAGATCTGGCTGGAGGACTGAGTGACCGATTGTCTTGGTAGTCGGGTCTCCAACTGACTGGTCGCTCGTCTTGGCGAATCGGGATGTCTACTTCAATTCGGCATACGGAGAGGATTCGGGGATTAGCACCGAATCCGAATGTTCCACCAAAAAGCATTCGTCGTAAACCCTGGTCTTGAATTTGACATAAGCTGAAGAACTGACAATGAACATGAATTATTGGCACTTTGCCAAAATTATAGCCTTTTTCATTCTGTCATTCGCTCCTCCTTGGGTCTTCGAAAAATGCACAAATTCTTCAAAAACACCTGGCTAAATTTTGAAGTCATCCGAATACTGGGAACAGCCCCCAACGGTGGAGCTGAGCTTTGCGAAGTCCTCCAGGCCGTATCTTCCATCAAAGAAGGCGACGCGGAATCCTGGCGCGACGCATGGAGAACACAAGCTGAAAGAGCTGAAGCGACAGCGATTCGATGTGTTGAAGCTGGGAATCGAGAATTGGCGAAACGAGCCTTTTTGAGAGCATCGAATTACACGAGGGCGAGTGGGTATATGTTCGTTGGGTCTACGCCTTCGAAGCAAGATCCTCGATGTCTTGGAATCGCCGAAAAAGGTGTAGAGTTGTTTAAAAGGGGCGTGGGATTGTTGGAGGGCGAGGTTAAGTTTCTGGATATTCCGTATCCCGGAGGGGTGGATTTGAAAGGCTATTTATATTTGCCACATCCCTCGAAGCGAATACCGGGAAAGATTCCAATCCTGATCAATTGCGGAGGTGCAGATTCTACTCAAGAAGAACTGTTTTTCCTGAATCCTGCCGCAGCCCCGGATTTGGGATATGCGGCCCTGACATTTGATGGGCCAGGTCAGGGCATGGCGTTGAGAAAACATGGGCTTAAACTCCGTCCAGATTGGGAATATGTAACTCGGCACGTCCTCGAATATCTAACATCCTATTCCTCGTCAAACCCCGAACTCGAACTCGATCTCGACAGGATCGCCGTCTCTGGCTCAGCGTTAGGTGGCCATTTCGCTTTGCGAGTGGCTTCGGATCCGAGAATTAAAGCCTGTGTAGCCATGGATCCATTATATGATATGTGGGATTTCGGCACTCAGCATACTTCACCTGCATTCATTAGTGCATGGATGAACGGCTGGATCTCAAACGCAACAGTCGATCGCCTGATAAATTTCGGCGTGAGTCTGTCCTTCCAAATGAAATGGGAGGTTTACCTCGCAGGGGCATTTTGGCAGTTAGATAGCCCAACCGACATTCTTCTCGAGATGAAAAAATTCACGTTTAAATTGCCCAACGGCAACTCGTTTCTAGACAGAGTTACATGTCCGACAATGATTTCGGGAGCGGAAAAGTCTCTGTATTTAGATGTGGGCAGTCATACTATGATGGTTTGGAAGGGGCTATATCATATTGGGGAGCGGGATAAGGAGATTTGGATGGCTGCTAAACCGGCAGATGGTGCACTGCAGGCTAAGGTTGGAGCCTTTGGGTTGAGCAATGAATATACCTTTCGATTTTTAGATGAGAAGTTTGAGATCGAGAGGGAGGTGTTGGGCGGGAAATCTTAGCGATAGGGAATTGAAGGTATGAAATTATAGCATTTGAACTTTGAGCACCATGTATGAACTTAGATCACAAAAAGACGGGATCAATGCCCCACTAACTATCCCTTGAAGGGATCGGGGTCAAGCTTGGGAACTCCAAATTAGACAATCAACTCCGCGATATATCAACATTAGCTTTCATGTCGTTTATGCTGGTAAGGTAACATGGGACTTGTAATTTGGTAGTAGAACTTCATAGTACATTTAAAAGCGTAAATATATATATGGATAGACGCCACTTTAAAACGCAAAGAGGCTAGAATAAAAAAAAATCTAAAATTGCAAACCCAAACACGTAAAACCTTTGACCGGGTTCAGATACAACCGTCCTCTCGAAAGGAATCTAACTCAACTCGGCTCATCCCAGTCCCTCAAGCCTCTTAATCTTTAACTAACTTTGTCATTAGCAACCCCTGAGTGGTGACCCCATTTAAAAACGCAGCAACCATGCTGTTCAATCCTAAAATTTCCGCTCTTTTAACCCAGTCCCAAATACTCAACTCCACGAAGCTCTCTCCAGTTTGCATCTCCATACTCTTTTTCATGCCCTCGCTTTCCATCTGCAACTCGCCACTCTCAAAGACATATTGAGCCTCCACATCCTCAACCCCTCGTTGCACCGACTCTACAATCTCATTCGCCGCTTTTTCTACAGAAATGAAATCAAAGTATCCTTTTATGTAGTCCGATTTTGGTATCGCATGCAGCATTTTTGAGTATTTAAGGAGGGAGCTCATGACATCTGTTTCGGAGGCTCCCGGACCTGTGATACTGGATGGTCGATGGATGACAAGTGGCATACCAAATTTCTGATTCATTCTCTCCAGGTGGACTTCAGAGGCCCACTTGGATGCAATGTAACCATTTGAACCATTAACTGGAGGCTTGAAATCCCGGACGCTGATTGAAGGATAACTTTCTTGTCCAGAAAGGTAGGTGACGGACGCTGTGGATATATAATGAAATTGCAACCCGTGGATGACGGCCCAGTCTGCGAGTTGTTTCGTGGATTCTACATTGGTTTTCCGTAGTGAATAATAGGTTTTCAGGAATGAGACATCGGCTGCGTTGTGGATTATGGCATCGGCGTCGGATAATATGGAGACGGTTTCGGAATATGTTAATCCAAGGAGGGGGAGTGATTGATCGCCTGTGTAGACTAGGACCTTAGGTGATGAGAATACTGGGTCAGACCGTTGAGAATTGGGACGGACTGCTATGCAGTAGATCTTTTCGATAGAGGGGGTGGATACTAGCCGTTGAAGAATTGCCTTTCCGAGGAACCCGGTTGAGCCCGTCAAGACCACGGCTCGTGGTACATTGACTCCGAGGACGATGGAAGCTTCGAGGGATGATGAGAGGGATACTTCCATTTCCCAGTGTATAGAGTCGCCTGGGTTGGAGTCTGTGAGTAAATCAGATGAATGAGATGTTTGGGCACCTAAACCTATAGATTCGTCTACAGCTGATAAACGGGAAGTGGTATTATCGGCAATTTCTGGGACTTGAGAAGGCGACGAAGTTTCATTCGGGTGCTGTCCATTGTGGATCCTAGCTGCCATTTTACCAAGAGTACTGACATCAAAGAGTTGAACCAGAGGGAGATCGATGGAGAATGTTTTCTTGATGAGAGCCTGTAGTTGCACGAGAAGTAACGAGCTTCCGCCAACCTGGAAGAAGTCTGATTGTGAATCGATTGTGAAATGGTCCATTACTTCTGTTGTTAATATCTCTTCCCAAAGTTGCAAGAGTTGAGGTTCCGTTTCGTTAAGCGCCTGGGACGAATTGTTGCTCTGATACTTTTGTGCAAGTGGCAATAATTTAACGGAAAGCCTGTCGATTTTACCAGAGCTAGTTCTCGGAAGATCTTCGACTGGAATAATCAACGCGGGATGCATGTACTGTGGAAGAGGGAGCTCGAGTAAAATGCTCTTAATAAAGGCATCCGTATTTTTTGATGGGTGTCTTGGAGAGAATTCAACGTGTCCAACAAGGAATTCCGGCCCAGCTGGTTGTGATCGTCGAACAGACACGATAGCATGAAGTATTCGACCTTGGGAGGATGAAATTATCGCAGCCTCAATATCCTGTAAATCGACCCGAAGACCACGTAGCTTGATTTGTGTATCACCAGCGATTCTCCCTTCGAGAAGCAAAGATCCGTCAGGTAGCAGTCGTCCCCTGTCTCCCGTGAGATGCATAGTGTTCCAACCTTGGGCAATGAAGTCGTTTGAGGCGAAATTATCAGCCAAGAATCGCTGATTTGTAATTTCCTTCATATTGAGATACCCAGAAGAGACACCCATCCCACTGATAACAACTTCACCCGGAACACCTGCGGGCACTGGTTTGAGACTAGAGTCAACGATGTAGGTGGCATAATTTGTCCATGGGACAAGCGATGGACTGGTTGCGACCCAGTCATTGTCAGCGAAAAAGAACTCCGAAAAATGTGAAAAGAAGGTTATTTCCGTAGGACCATAGCAGTTCATAACTTGCAAACCTGGTTTGTCCAAATCTCGGAAAACTTGTGCAAAATTTCGTGTCACTAGTTCCCCACCTGAGATGGCCAGAGTCCATGTCGACTTTCGAACGCTATCTAAGTCCCCAAATCGGATCCAACTAATATACTCGGATGGAGTAGCTGCCGTGACGGAGATATTCTCCGATGAGATGATGTTTGATATTGCCACTGGATCTCCTCGACCAGATTGGGGGACGACGTAGATGCTACCACCCGAGCAAAGTGGCCATAATATTTGAACCAAAGACATGTCGAAACTGAAAGAAGATTGCTGCAAAAAGATTTTATTTTTACCCTCGGAAGTCGAGGTATTCGTTACAGTTTCAACGTGAGCTCGGATTGCTGAATGCTTCATGACGACACCTTTCGGTGTTCCTGTACTTCCACTTGTGTATAGAACTGTCATTGTCGAATCCTCTTTGGAGACATTGGGTATAGTTTTGTTTCTCAAACTGGAAGATAGCTTAGAAACATTGACCATGTTGGACTGGGATTTAAGTAGCGGAAAATCTTTCTTATTTGTGTTGTCAGTCAAAATGGCATCCGGCTGGCAATCCTTAACAATTACAGCAAGGCGCATAGTCGTTAACCATGGATCGAGAGGCACATAAACGGCCCCTAATCGTAAAATGGCTAATATGGAACATATCCAGTCTGTTGATGGTTCTTGGAATACACCCACTCTTGATCCATTGCCTACACGAAGGTCGGATAGAGCAACTGCGATGACATTCGCCCGGGTATGCATTTGAGCATAGGTCAGGGAGTTCCCAAGTCCATCTTTGAGAGCGGGAGCTTGATGATTTGATTGCGCTATCTCATCGATACGATGGATGACTGTACCTTGCCATTCAATCGAAGAAATCGAACCTGGAATAAGCCAGCATGATCAGCCCACATCAAAGAAACGGAATATCAATACTTACCACGTCCAAGTGAAATTGCCTTCTCGATGTCGTCCCCCGCAAAAAGAGGAGGCCTGCTAAGGCGCGAAGCAGGGTTCCTGGAAAAGGCATCAAGTAGATTAACAAAACTCTTTATCAAAATTTCCCCATCTTGAGATGTATACAGATCTTTCTGGACAGAGAGTCTGAGGAGCGCATCGCCACCAGCATTGTCTACGACATCAAGGCTGAGGTCGTATGCAATTTGACCACCATCGAAGTCGGTCCATTCACAGTCACAATCGCAAAACGTTCGACTCTCAGCTACCCCTTGACGGTAATTGAGGAAAACTTGGAAAAGCGGACTCTCGCTTGACGATCTGGGAACGTTGAGCTCGCTGAGGAGAACATTGAAAGGGACCTTGGAATTGGCAAATGCTTGTTGAGCTTTCGTTTTAGTCTCCTTGACTGCTTCGCTGAAGGTGTTTGTAGCACGGGTGTTAAATCTGATTGGAAGAAGATTTAAGTAGCATCCGAGGCTTTGCTGCACATCGCTTCCGCTTCTGTTTGCGTCTGCGACACCGATACAATAGTCGTCCGTTTCCACCCACCGGAATATCATGACTCTGTAGACGGCGAGATAAAATTGAAATGGAGAAACCCTTAGCTTCTTGCAGGTACCATAAACCTGAGCTGACAATTCCGGTGTCACCCGATAGGAGGACATGTGGGATCCGTATTTTGTTAGCGCCAATCGAGATGTTAAGGTCGATACTGGCAACAGTGGTAGTGGCGAGGGAATATCTGGAAACTGATTGCGCCAATAACGCAGCTCGTTGCTCCATTCCCCATCGAGATATTCTTTTCTTTGCCTCGACGCAAAATCTGGGTATTGTAGAACCTGAAAGCTTGTACTCAAACTGGAATCGTAGGCCTTTTGCAAGTCAGAGAAAAAAAGCTCAAAACTTACTCCATCCATGTTGATGTGGTGATAACCTAGTAGGATTTGGTGGGATACTGGAGATAGCGAAAGTAGAATTATTCTAAGAGTCTCCCCGTTTTCTAGATCGTAGACGTGATTTTTGAGACTGGCATACTCTTTAGAAATTTCATCATCATCGGAAATATTTCTCGTCTCCAGCCGAAGAACAGAAAACTCTAGTATAGCCTGCATTGGCTGGTGATTTTCGTCCGTGAAGAAGCGGGTTCGCAGGGATTCATGTCGTTGCCCAATAGTTGCCACCGCTTGTGCAAGGTCCTCGACGCGAAGGTTACCACGAAGATGGATTGAAGTAGTAACATTGAACGTAGTTTGATCTTCGAGGTAGAATTTCAAGAACCAGAATCTCGACTGACTGAATGACATGGGAAGAACTCTCTGGATTCCGCTTTTAGCACCGGATGGTCGAGAAATCTCCTCAAAAGAGGATGTCAATGAATTCGGCGAACTAATTTTCGCGTCCGAAAGAATTTCAGGTTCGAGAGATCTGGTTGAGATCGACAGAATGGATTCTGAACTATGGCCCTCAGAAACGGGTTGCTTAAAATTAGGTGCCGGATAATCGTGTGAAATGGGCAAGTCCGACGATTCGGAGTCCAACTCCATATCTGCTGGCTTGTTTGCTACTATAGCTTTGACCGGCGTAGCGGTCGGGTGTGGCTGTAATTTTTGAGAGGGAATTGCTTTCAACACTGGCTGAACGGGAGCTGGTTTCGACGGTATAAATTTGGGTTTCGGGGGCATTACGACTGGTTTGCGGACTACTTTGGGCTTCTCGGGCAATAGTTTCTTTTCCGTGGCAGTTTCTGCTCCAATATTAGGAATTAAAGTAGGATCAAGCAATTCCTGAGCGCGTTCCAGTAGTTCGCCAATCGTTGCACCACTTAAAATCTTAAGGACCGGCATGTCGACATTTAGTTCCTTCATGAACCATGATCTCAAGTCAACAGAAACTAGCGAGTCGATACCTAGGGCATCTGCAGTTTGACTGACAACGTCCAAATCCGCTGGTGTTTGAAGAGCGACTTGCAATTTTAAAACTAGCGAAACTAGGAATAATTAGCGTGGCGAAGAGTATGCCATACACTAACATCACTTACCTTTTAGAATCTCGTAGACTTCTTCATGAGTAGTCGCCTTCAAAAGTTGCGTCTTTACAGACACAACGGCGGTGTTCCCACCACTAACAAAACCAGCAAGATTCCTATGTATAGTCAAATGTGAGAATATCGGGCTTTTAGCATAGTGAGGTTTCTCCTCTTCGTCCGCATAGAATAATCTCAAACCAGTAAAATATTCAGGGTTAGGTCCTGGTCGTGGAGGGCTAGCAACAACGGCTTCGGCGAAAATCTGATAGAAATCTTGCTCCGACATCCACGTATGACCTACCTTTTGCAAGGCAACCTGTTGTCCCAAGCTAAGCTCGCGTGTAACATAGCCATTACCGACAATTGCACCGATATGGACAGTTGAGGCAGCAACACCACGTCGTCTCCTTTGAGCAGCAAGGCCCGCAAGAAACATGTTGGCTGCACCGTAAGCTGACTGACCAGGGTTACCAGTTATAGACGCCATGGAAGAGAGGAAGACAAAGAAATCAAGGGGTTGATGAGAGAATATTTCATCCAAGTAGACTGCCCCATCCACTTTCGGCTTTAAGACTTTCTCCATCCGCTCCATGTCCAAATCAAGAAATAGAGTGTCGTGAAGAACCATGGCACCTTGGCAAACTCCAATAATGGGCGGGAGACAAGTTTGAATCTGTTGGTGGACCAACCGAAGGGAGTCGCGGTTGGTAACATCACTATGAGCGTTAGATGGGTATCTCGGGGAAAGAATTGTGAGAAATTACTTAGCGTAGACTTTGACAGTAGCACCAGCAGCTTCAAAATCTGATATCCATCGTGGGTCAACTTTTGGGTTACGGCTAGAGATAGCAATGTATCTGGCACCACGGTTTACCATCCATCTGCAAAGGGAAAGTCCAAGTCCACCTGTCAATCCAACAAGCCAGTACGTTTTATCATTCTTAAATAGGGGTCTGGCATCCACAGGCTCAATTTTAATTGGCACAGTAGTTGATACACCCCAGTTCACAACAGATACCGGAATATGCTCAGCTGAGGGTTCGAGAATTTCCTGCACGGACGAAATTGGTATATCCTGAAATTTAATGGCCGAGGAGCTAGATAAGATCTGCACTCGAGACGCTTCAAGAGCGTGCGGAATCCGAGAATCGGTTGCTGATGATTTGATGCCCCCATCAAACTGCGTAAGGGTGTCAAGTGTCTCAACTATATGGTGAGCGGGAATCTGTTTTCGGATAGCTGAGGACCAATCGCTGTTTTTACAAACAATGATGCGAGAAATATTATGAGGAAGAGCTGTTTCGACGTCTCGTTTCGAAGCCCGTGGATGAATGGTTGTCCAAGATTCCTGGTGAGGGGCGGTGGTGGACGTGGGGGTTAAGAATTTGAGGTGGATTCCCTTCTTCGATGCGCAAGTCTCGAGTATAAATTCAAGAGGTTTGCTAGGCTCAAGAACTACCACGAGACCACCCCTAGGAAGCTCAAAGAGTACCGAATTCGATAACATGGTATAAAAAATAGTGGCAAGATATTCGACGGCTTGCTTAGGAGGAAGCATACAGGGGTAGGTCCAAGTTACGGGCACTTTGATCTGCGAAGACAGTGACGTTGATAGAGAAATGATTTGGTCACCTGTCGCTGTATTCGTACCCAGGACAAGAAAGAAATATCCCAAGGATCCAATCTTCACCGATTTCAAGATGGAATAGCTGACCTGGATTTCAACGTTGTCCCGAATATCTGGTGACTGGGTTGGAACGAGGCCTGATTCAGCTTTCAAAACATGTGTGTCGCCGAAATATGTCAATGTCACTGGTCGAGATTTAGGATCAACATCCTGGGTAATAAGTCGGCTAGATGAATTGTAGCGATTGTTGAGTGATTTGCTGAGTTGAATTCGAGGTATGAATACCTGCCCTTTCTCAAATGCCATCTCTGGTTCAACCGACCAGAAGAGGTCGTTTAGTCGGCCTTGATCTTCCCACATATCTGCTGCCGCAAATGTCAACATCGCTTCTGCGACAACCTTTGCATTGGGCTGGTCGGAGGGATTGATATCCAAAAATTGGAGCCTAACATGTGGCATTTCCTGAATAAGACATCGAGCAAATCCTACCACCATTTTGGCATATGGTTCGCATTCTTTGTAGCCACGAGTGATCCAAATGACATTTTTTGATTTCTCAAAAAGCTTTTGGTACCCCTTTAGCATTTTCTCGGACATCGATTTGAAGGTTGGGTCGTCGTGATCCTGCATACAAATAACACTCCCACCAAACGATAAATCAGTCGTGTCAAGATTAACCAACGATTTAACTTGTCCAATTTCGTCACAGTAAGGACCCAACAGACTGGCCAATGTAGACACGCAACTTGAGGTCCGTGGAGTGCTGCCCCCGATGATGGTGAGCTCTGGAAGTCGTAAGTTGATAGTGTCCTGGTCTGTCGATAGTGGATCGCGAAGGAAATCGACTCGATAATCCATAGCTTGGCCAAGAATAACACAGAGAGGGATTGGTTCATTGGTCTTGTGAGAGCTCATTGAATCGATTCCATAAAAGCCGTGGTGTTTTAATAACGTTTCCCACTTGTGTGGCTCAATGCATGGCGATACCGATCTACCATCATCCACACCAAGCCACCAACCAGGCAACCCACCAAAAATGAATCCAAATCTCATCGGGTCATTATCGGTTATTTCCAGTAGGAGCAAGTATCCACCGGGTTTTAGTAGCTGTCGAACGTTTTTCATAGTCTCTTCAAGTTTGGTTGTGGCGTGAAGAACAAGAGATGCGACGATCAAATCAAATGAGTGTTCCGCAAATCCCTGTTCGACCACATCCTTTTCTATATCAAGGGTCTTGAAGACCATTTTTGACTCACGTGCTTTGAAAAGATCTTTGGCCTTTTCGAAGAATCCACTGGATATGTCGGTGAATGTGTACCTGAAACTTCTTTAGCAAAAACGACAAATTTGAATACTACCATACTAACAAGGCGAATGCTTCATCAAGTTCTCTCAAAATCGACTTTGTAGCCCCACCAGTTCCCGCGCCTGTTTTTAGTTAACACTGGTTTGAAGGGCGCAATTGATGACGTACCAATCTCTAGCACGTTCATGTTTGGATGGCGATGGCCTATTTGTCTTGCGGTAGCGGATAATCTCTGCAGATACTCGGACATGCCAAAACCAAGAACATAAAAGTCATTAAGCATGTTATCCTCAATCATAGGCTCGAGCATAGTCATCTCTCCTCGAACTACTGCAATGATATTCTCTCCAACGGCATGCATAAGACGAAGATCAATACTGTCGGGATAGCTTGTAAAACCATTAGCCTGAATTATTGGAGAATATGCAAAGAGTTGTAACATACCTTTTGACAATGAACTGTATCTCATCATGGGTATCGTTAACCCACTCCCGTTTCGCGAAGGGATGGATTCCGTTTGCAACCCGAAGAAGCATAGTATCGAGATAAGAAAAAAGGTGTTTATGGTGCCACTCGCAGTTTTCACGGTCTTTTAGAGTTGTCCCATTTTGGAGGTTGCGTAGATAAAAGTGAGCAACCCTTTCAAGTATAAACGAGAAATCGTAGCTTTCCATGACTTCGGTAGAGAGCGACATCGCATCTGGGGAAGCCGAGTCCCAAACGGCCTCTGAGAATAGGTGAAAATCAGTCGCTTCGGTCGGAGGAACCATAGGTGTGGTATGCATCCCTTCAAGTTGGAGCATTGCATTCTGGCTATCCATCGGATAAAGATCTACATCCCCGTTTATTTTTGCCGAACCATCTTCAATGATGGTAGAAATAAAATTCAAGGAAAGTCCTGCTATGGAATTCGCAACGCATAAGGTTGGATTAATGGCGATCCGCGAGACATGTGTGGGTAGTTGAAGCGTCCGAAGCCTACCATCGCCTGGATAGCAGTATGCCAGAAGGATTGATTGAACCGCTGCATCTAATGCTGCTGGGTGAATAATGAGCCTCTTCTCTGGATTAATACTTGCAGGTACCGCAACCAGACCAGTTGCGACCCCAGTCTTCCTCTCCATTGACGATAATGCTTTAAATGGACCAGTATATCTGTAGCCATTTTCGGCGAAAGAGTCGTAGAAACGGTCAGACTCCACTTCCATCATCGCAAAGTGAGGTTTGGGCATTGGCGGGAGGACTTGTGATTCTTGGTATCCAAATGTCACATGAAGGTTACCACTAGCATTGAGCAGCATGGGGCCAGGCTCTTTGCTCCCGGTGGAGAAAAAATTAAATCTGGCGGATAACTGTGTTCCACGGCGCTGGATTTCGGTCAATGAGACATGGATTTCGACGCTTGAATCTTCGGTATCGAAGACGAGTGCTTGACCAATTGTAAAACCTCTCAATTCAATTAGCTTCATGGACTCAATGCCAGCAATTTCGCGAGCAGCTTCGAAAGCGGTCGACATGTAGCCAGCAGCCGGGAACACCATTTGCCCCTGGATTTGATGACCAGAAATCCATGGTAACTCTTTGGGGATAAGGTAGTTATCCCATCGGACTTGTTCATTGGAAGAATTATGAGACCGAGTACCAAGTAGTTCATGAGGTTGGTGTTGCCGCTCACGGTACGATTTTGACACACGGGATTCGTGCCAATAAGCGCGCTCATGTTCCCAAGAGTAAGGGGGAAGTCCTTTGAGTAGCTTTAGGGGGGCTGTTTTGTTCAATAAACTGTCGTATCCGGTAAAGTTGACGGCTGACTTGCTAATAGAAGACCAAATGTTACCAAGGCCGTTGGAAAATGCTTCTATATCATCGACCCCACGATTCAGGAAGCCCGTATAGGGAGTAGGATCACCTAAAGCGTCTTGAATAACCTGACTAGCAGGTCCCTTCAACGCCGGATGGGGCCCAAGCTCGATGGCAAGATCGAACCTCCCTTCCCCAAGAGCATATTCAACTGCTTGCGAGAATAGGACTGGCGATACAAGATTGCTCACCCAATAAGAACTACTCAAATCGTCCTGGGTATCATTTATATCTTCTTGGTAGACGCTGGAAACCCATAAGCATTCGGAATCCACGGGACGCCGAGCCTTAATTCCACATGCCCGAAGGGAGTTGAGGTATGATTCAGAACAAGCCGCCATGTGATGGGAATGATAGGCCTTGTCGACCTTAAGTACCCTTGCGAACTTCTTTTCTTCTTCAAACACAGCCCTCACATTATCGATTGCATCGGCATCTCCAGATATCGTAACGCTAGTCGCCGAATTGCTAGCCGCCATGCACACTTTTCCTCGGAATTTTCTAAGATTACAGAACTCCTTGGCATCGTCATACGATGTTCCCACAGCTATCATGCCTCCGGCTTGTCCTTTTTTGCCTTGGGCCAAACGTAAACTAACGCCACGGTAATATGCAATACGAATAGCGTCACTGGCAGTGATATAACCCGCAGCGTATGCCGCACCAATTTCACCAGAGGAATGGCCCACCACTGCCGCAAAATGGATGCCAGCAGCTCGAACAAGGTCAACCAAGATGATTTGAACAGCGGTACAGAGCGGTTGAGAGAGAGCGGCTTCACCTACACGGGATGACATCTTGTCGGCTAAAAGCTCTGCTTTGAGGGACCATTTTGGGCGATCCCGGGGCAAATCTGCCAGACTTCGCTCCAAACTGTCCACAATTTTCGTGACTGCTGGGAAACTCATCAACTTGGCTCCCATTTGAGCCCACTGGGCCCCTTGGCCAGTGAAGATTCCAAGGACACATAATGGTCCTGGGCTGGAAGAAATAGCCGTAGTTGATTCTTCGCCTTGTCCCTCCACGAATAAATCAAGCTTTGAACAAAGACTTGAGAGGTCAGATGCTGAAAAGGACACTCTGACAGGGAAGGCGACTCTTCTACTGTTCAGAGTATGCGATAAAGCACGGAGATTGATCGATTTCTCTGCCTTCAGAAATTCCGAGTAGGAAGCCACAACTGCGGCAAGAGAACGCTCCGAAATAGCTGAAAATGTGAATGGGGTGCATATGCGATTGGTTTTGTCGCGACTCGGTGAATTGGCAGGAAGAGGAGCAGTATAACTCTCCAAGATGCAGTGTGCATTTGCCCCTCCAAATCCAAACGAATTTACGCTCGCCCGTCGCGGGGCCTTATGCTCAACTGAAGGCCATGGTTTCGCATTCCTCGCAATCTCTAACTTATCGTAGAACGGCTTCACGGCGGGCGCAAGCTTGTCAAACAGCCTATTGGGCGGGATAACTCCATTTTGCAGCGCTAAAGAAGCTTTGAGAAGACCAGCAAGTCCTGCCGTTCCTTCAGTGTGCCCAACGACGGTCTTGATTGAGCCCACGAAGAGAGGGTCGGCATTCCGCCCCTTGGGAGGATGGTTCCTGAAGAAGGCGGTGCTTATAGCTTCAGCCTCTATCGGATCTCCTGCCGGAGTCCCAGTGCCTGTGATAACATTAGTGGAAGTCCTAATTCGCTGCCATCTTTTATCACAAGTTATGGAAGAGTTAAAACGAGATTTGAAGAAGAGATGTACCAAAGAGACAAGAGACGCGATGTACTGACCATGCGCCTCGAAGTATTGAGGTCGGTCTCGGGGGTCGGACAAATGTAATCCCGCTTTGGCGTAAGTTGATTCAATAAGGCTCGCTTGCGCGCTTGCACTGGGCATTGTAATCCCCTTCGTTTTGCCGTCCTGATTAATTCCCGTCTCTCGGATGATACACTCAATGTCGTCTCCGTCTTCTATTGCCGCACTCAACGTTTTAAGCACAATCGACGCAACACCCTCTCCTCGAGCGTACCCGTTCGCACGCTCATCCCACATGTACGATCTTCCATCCGGTGACAGCATCTTGAGATTGCTCTCGACGATATATTGCTCCGGTCCAAGGATCAAGTTTGATCCAGCCGCAACAGCAACTCGTGACTCCCCTGAACGGAGAACCTGCACTGCTTGGTGGACCGCGACTAGACTGGAGGAACATGCTGTATCGATAGTCATGGATGGCCCCCGCCAATCGAAAAAATATGATATGCGGTTTGAAATAATACTTCTTGCGATTCCTGTCGCGGAATACGTGGGAAAATAGGAAGTGTCGCGCCCCACTAGATCTGCGTAATCATTGCACATCAAGCCAACATATACCGCAGTCTGCGAGCCTTGTAGCTCCTTCATCGAAAGCCCCGCGGCTTCTACACTCTCGTACACGGTTTCGAGGAGCAGTCGTTGCTGGGGATCGATTGCGTGAGCTTCCACCGGTTTGATCCCGAAGAATTGGGCATCGAATTGTCGATGATCTTCTGAGAGGAAATATGAATGTAGGACATTGCTAGTGCCATGGTGCATGTTATTAGGGTGATAGAAGCTGTCTCGGTTGAATCTATTTTCTGGAATTCTGCTTAGAACATCACGAGGATCTCGTAACAGCTCCCACAGCCGTGAAGGAGTGCTAGCTTCCCCAGGAAATCGGCATCCACTACCAATGATGGCAATTGGTTCGTTTATTTGGTCCTGATGAGAAGTCATATTGTGGATTGCCGTGGGACCAGTGTCTCTGCCTGTGGTTGAGAGGATAAATGATAAGGTGCTGAGAATCACTTCTCTTCGTCTCTTGGTTCTTGTTGAAAGCCTGGATTCCTCTGGGATTAGCAGAAGCTTGAGCGCTTAAACGCTGCTACTATCACATCCACATTCATCTTCAATATAATGTACCCCCCGAAGCTTGGCAAAGTCTCCAGCGAATCATTGATGGGGAAGTTTCCGAACCTTGAGCCCGATGTCACCGACCGAGTCCGAAGACTTCATTCATTGGTCTGGCCGCAGTAAGGACTAGGAAGCCGGCCGCAGGAAAGTATAGGTTATAATTGGGTTCGAGTGAAATGTTCTTAATCACAAGGGGTAAGGGGAGAGCATAGAGCGTTTGGGATGGCCCTATTCTCACTTAGTTTGCTGTTTTATATTTCATGCAATGCAATTGTGTTTTGGCGGCACTCCAGTTTGGTATCGCCTAATATAAATTTAATATAAGCGATTACACGAGTGACATCTACCACAAGTATCATGGTATGCAAATATCTACAGATACATATGTGTGTCTGTATGTCCGTCTGAATACATGCCATAGATCGCATGTATAGCTCATGATGAAAAGAAGGGAACTGGATTTAAAGCTGACAATATCAATTTCAGTGCTTTTACCTGAACAGAATCTACTTCTGTGTATCTCTAGTGTACCTGGTTTTGGTGTTTTCTTGCGTATTTATTATGCTACAAATTCTCCCAAATCTTCTATCCATCGATTCTGAAACCCTTCCTTCCTGCTTATGCCTTTGTATCCTTTCCAACCTTCGTGACTTTCGGCAACACTTCCTTCCTAGTTTGCCAGAAGAATACATATTTATTGTCGTGTTTGAATTGTAAAGGAAAGGAAGGGTTGTTGAAGCCGCTTCCTCTACCTAAACTGCTGTTGTCCCATTTCAAGCAACCCATTTTCTCGATTTGAACACAAACTTGGTGTCCATTCCCGGGTTCCAAGTACCATTTGGAAGGGAAGTTCTTGGGGGTTTCCGCTCTCCGTCTGCAAATTTAAAGTCATAGTTCATAAGCAAATGGGCTAGTGCAATTTTGATTGTGCTGTTTGCAAAGAGTCGCCCAGGACATGCCATTGATCCATCTCCCCATCCTGGTGAATCATTGCCCGTGCTTACAAACTGGTGCTTGTTCTCCTTCCCAGGCTCCTTCCTAAGTTCATAAAAGCGTAGCCCATTGAACTCTTCTGGCTTTTCCCAAAGCTCCCTGGAATTGTTGATGTGGTGCACGTCGACGCATATCAACGTTCCTTTAGGCAATTCTGGCCCAGATGAAAGTTTCGTTGGGACCATGACAAGCCGATAGAGCGCCACTGTTCGATTTGTTAGGCTAATTGGGCATCCTCCTTGGAATGGGAGTACTTACGGAGGCTGAAAGGATTGGCTCTCGCTGATTCTCTCATCACACTATCCATTTTTCTGAGCTCTCCAAGGTGAGTTTTAGGCAGTTTGCCATCAACCAAAACTTCTCGTAGCTCTTCGCGTAGGGTTTCGATCAAATGCGGCTGTGAGGCTAGCTCCATCAATGTCAAATATAATGCGGCACCACTAGTAGGAGTCGAAACGAATGATGTAACCATATAGTCTTGGAGCAATCGACCTAAAGTGGCCTCTTCTGCTGTGTATCGGCTCATCAGAGCTGCAGTGAGAGGCACCTTGCCTTCCTCCGTCAGCCTCAGCAAGCTCTTCTTGTCTTTGGCGTTGTAAAACTCTTGCATGTCTTTTTTAATAATACCTGAAATTGCCCATTTCATTCTCCATTTGGTTATGATTGCAGGAGCATATATGATTGGCGCGAGCGCTGTCTGAATGAAACGAGGCACATGGCTGATAATAAATGTGCCTGCCATAACCTGGAACGGAAGGCTCCCCGCTAGCTGAACCCAGTGGTCACTTCTCCCAAGTTCTCGTCCTATAAATGTAGCGCCGTTCATCATCGAAATCATTCGCATTGCCGCAGGGAAGAGTTTGAGTTCTTTCCACTCCGAGAAATCCCCAAAAACATCAGCAGCTGCCGCCCTTGCGTCTTCTTGTCGACTAGGAACTTTGAACGGGATACTACGAGCCAGATCGACGCTTATTACTTTCAAATAGGCAGGTGTATCAGTTCCCGGGGTTGTATACTTCCCGAAATATGTCTTGAGCTGGAACTCCTGACCGGATGCAATTTGGTGTGGCAATTTCTTGATCTCGTCGAACATCGAGGTGGGGAAGACGACATAAGGAAGTCCTTGTGTTTTAATAACGTAGGGTGTATTTGGATACTAGGAAACGTTAGGTGTGACTATTTTAAAGATATCTTCGATGTGAGGTGACTGACTCTTCGCCTGCCCTCTTCCAACAGCTGATGGAAGTCATTTTTATGCTGTTTGGAGCCACCAAGTATTGGTAATCCGAGCTTTCCAACCTTGTCCGGTGCAGTGATTGCTCTCCACAGAAAAAAACTCAGAACCAAACTTCCAGATGAGAGAAAGAGGAGCATGAGTGTAGGCATGGTGCGAAAAGCACTCGCAACCAATAACTTGGACATTTGCCATTTCGTCAGTCGTAAAGGAGCAAGGGACTGCCGAATAATAGTGATTTGTTCCAAAATATCGAAATCCAACATTTTACAGGATATTTGCAGCTTGGTGTTGAGACGAGGGAGGATCTTGTGGGAAAATCCCCGGGATGTAAATTCTAACTTCAGGGCAAGAAGCACGTACCGCTCTGCTAACTTTCACTACTAATGAAGTTAACAGGATAGTACGACCTGTCGGTGTTATTGAATGACCTTCCGAAAATGGTTGTACCGAACATGTCTCATCCCGAGTCCGACCCGATGATCTGCTCTGTACGACATGTAGGCTGCATTATTGAAAGTACGTTCTCAATCCTGGCACAACCTCACTTTCAATGAGCAGCCTCCCGCTCCAGGTGGACAGCCTTGAGGTCTCTCCATTGAAGCCTCCTCATTACTTTTCACATCTCTACAAATCCATAAATGATGGTGGCTCCAGATTCTAAAACAGTGCTGAACATGACGGGGGTGTGGAAAATAGTAAGCGATCAATGAGTATTAAAATTCCGATTCAATCCTTTAACCTCTCATTTAGAACCGGTCGCTTTCAGATAATATCAATCCACTATTTGTCCTGGTGAGTACTACTAGTAGCTATTTATTTGCTTGCCCGCAAATCGTGGCTGAAGACTTAATCCCCTAGCAAGGAATTCCCTGGATATTACGCAAAATAATAAACTTCGCCACCGTCCAACTTTGTATGAAGCAAGGGATTTTGCCTGCGGAATCCTCTAATGAAGATATATCGAATACTATCCCTATTACTACTATTCATGTGACGCAAATGATTTGGCCCGGCAACTTCAATTCTCAGGATAGCTACATTTTGGATTCGGTAGCCCGAGAGTCCACAGTCCCTGTTTTCGGAGCTATAGCAGTTTTAGCGAAATACGTCCCTGTTGCTGGTATTGAAGATATGGATGTGCGTGCGAAGTTTGAGACGAGTGATGAGCCACAAACTGCCATTGTGGAAGTGGTTAGAAGTGTGGTAAATGGATGGGAAACAACCTCTATTTGGGGATTTGAGGAAGTAGAGGGTGAAAGGCGTTATGTCAGACATAGCCTGACGAAGAAGGGGGATCAGGAACTAAAATTGAGGTTTGTTTATGATTTTATTTCGGAACTTGAGAATTGAGTCGGGCAAAAGTAACTAATAGCCTGAGTCTATTTCACTTAGTTATGGCCTAACTTGCTACATCAGATCGTTATGAACATATGAAAAGGAATTTATATTTCATGGCCACCGTACTAACCGGCGTACCATTCTCATTTTACATATTGGTTTTTGAAGAGAGGGGAGCTGTCTGGGAAGTTAAGCGCCTCTGTCAATGCAACACCCCTAAACTGCTCCAGTCCAACAGGTCCTCCACTCGAGCTACTACAAAATCCACTGCCTCCGCGGCCATTTCCAATTAGATACTCAAACGCAATATTTTTATGCTCCATGATGAAAGTCCAGTGTTTCTTCTTCCGAGGCGAAATCAACTCAAGTTCGTATCCAGTAACTTTGTCTCGAAGCGTACCGTAAACGGTTCCACCATAGGTCTTCGTCATCCGAACGTAATCCTCCGACTTAGAGACTTGGCCAACTGTAGAAGAGAATATTTTCTCCCCGTCTTTCATGAGAGATGCCGATGCGTACTCTTCGCCATCGGTGATTCTAGACTTGAAGTGTATGTATAAAAGAGAGTAAGGTCCGGCTTTCATTCGAACCACATCCATAGCCATGAGACATGTATACCAATTGAAAGAGGCCCAAATACGGCTGTGGCCTCCCAATCCTTCCCAGGCAAATTTTCCCCCCTTCACAGTCAAATCAACATTCACGTCTCCGACCGGAATAGGATCCACCCAATGGAAATGAGGTGCAACTTCCGTGGCCGCAGAATCAGACGGCCAAGATTTAGCGTCCCCATAGCGAGGGAGCGTCTTCGAAGTCATAAAGATATTTCCTTTCAAATCTGGCGTATCCATCCCAAGTCTCAGCCTACTCATATCCTTTGAGACCTCAAATGTGTAGCTGAAATCTTTGGCCTTCCACACCCCTTTTGTGCCACCTGGACAAGACTGTACGATTGACTCAGCTGCGTAATCAACCCTTCCAAACCGAGTCCCATTCGCATAAGCAAGTTCGGCCGAGAGACGAAAATTCCCTGAACCCATGAGTGACAGACTAGGGTCTCGATAAAATCCGAAGATAAAAGAGAACATGCCATCATCCGAGACACCATCAAACTCCCACTGTTCGCCAGAGCTGGAATTCAGTGGGAGAATTCTCGGGGCATCGAAATCGTCAAATGGGCTCGTCGAGAACCATATATCCGTTCCAGGCTTGGCTACTTCAAATGCGGTCATGTGGCTTGTTATGCAACCTTCATCCGGCCCTAGAACCGATTGGGAGATTTGTGTCCATTGTGCTTGCCAATTTTCTGGGAAGTTGTACTCCCAACTCTTTACGAGTACTGCGGCATTAAGAAGTATGAAGGTGGGGAGTGTCGCGCGTGAGATTAACATGGTTGAGCGTGTAAATCCTTTAATGATGGATAGCTAGCTGTGAGATTGATCAGAAAACTCCTTGGAGCTTTTGTACTAGGAAGGCTGTTGGATGTTATATGGGTTCCGAATCATCGCGCGTGTTCCGAGAGGAGAGGACCCCCGAATCTCCGATGAAGCCAACACAATGTTCGGGGAGATCGGCGAAACCCAGTACTACTAAGGTATTTTGCCTTGCGATATTTACATACGTTGTTATTTACAGGTCACTTTTAAATTTTCATCTTCCATCCGTTATTATTAGAGTCTTCTCGGGGACAGAACGGCATCATGGCACCGCAAGCAGTTACTCGGATCTCACCTGATATTCCAAAATCCCAAACAGCAATTCTTCAAATCGATGGCGGGATCCTGGAGATCATTACCGGCGTTCCCCTTCCACGTGTCCCCCCAAATCGGATGCTAGTAAGGGTCGTCGCAGTGGCTCTTAACCCATGCGATTACAAAATGCCATATCGATTCCCTGCCAAGGGGGTTGTAAATGGAACAGATTACGCAGGGATAATTGTGGCGATTGGCCCAGAAGTTTCAAAACTAGCATCCAAGCCGAATTGGAAAATTGGAGATGCCGTTTTCGGTGCTTGTCAGGGAGCCAATCCCATCGATCCCGAATCTGGTGCTTTTGCGCAGTACCTTCGAGCTGATCCGGAGCTCCTTTTCAAGAAACCGGAGTATATGTCTTGGGAAACTGCCGCCTGTTTTGGATCTAGTGGGCTTGCAACTCTCGGCTTGTCACTTTTCTGGGAGGGGGGTATGGGGCTTTCAGGATCACCGGACGAACCTGCCGAAGAGCCAGAACAGGTTCTGGTTTATGCTGGAAGCACTTCCATTGGAACACTAGCTACCCAACTTCTCAGAATGTAGGCATTCTTCAAACCCTTATTTATTCACTTTTACTTTAGTAACTAAGGTTGCAGTTACGGACACATCCCAATTGCGACCTGCTCTCCAAAGAATTTCGACCTCGTGAAATCATACGGTGCAGAAATGGTTTACGACTACAAGTCACCAACATGTGCTGAAGATATCAAAGCCTATACTGAGAATTGCCTCGAGCTCGTGCTGGACCCAATGACTGAGGCAAAAACTCAAAGGCTTTGCTATCAAAGCATTGGAAGGGCAGGTGGAAAATATATTGCTTTAGAAATGTGGCAACCATTGAATCACACCAGACCGACTGTGGAACCGACATTCGTTATGGGCTCATCAATCATTGGAAACAGGATCCCATTAGACGACGGATACGGAAGCGAAGCTGACCCAGAGAAACGAGTTTTTGGTATTAAGTATTATCGAGAGATCCAGAAGCTATTTGATGCCAAGAAACTCAAATCACATCCAGTAAGGGTTGTTCCTGGTGGATGGCAAGGCGTTCTTGACGGGATTGATTTGCTTAGGACAAGGACTTTGTCAGCCCAGAAACTTGTTGTCTTTTTAGGCTCTCCTTGATCTGATGAGTTTCGTTTTCGAAGAGAATAGAATTTAAGTAAATCATTACGCTAGCCCACTTGCAAATTTCCTCTCTTTTGAATTCTCGGCGTAGACTTTATTAGTTTTGACTATTATATAATATCTAGGCATGGATCAAGTAGTTCTAAATTTCAAAAAGGAATTTCGCTGTATAATCTCTGTTATGTTGAAAACTCTCCTGCGCAGATTAGTTTTATTGCACTTAATATAGGAGCCGATATAACAGATACGCTCTGATTTAATATTGTCCATAGTCAGCAATACTTTGGTATGCCTGGACTTGCTAAATTTACTCTGTTTCATCTTAATTGCTAATCGCCTTGAAGTTCGCCAATATAAGTTAGTGGACCTAAAGCTAATTAATGAGTGACACGAAACGGTTCCCTGCAAGTGGCACCACAGATGCGACCGGAGATTGACCAACAGGGCTTAGCAGACCGCCCATACACCCATACATCCACACTTTCAAACTACCGCTCTTGGACGGGGCACTGCTGACTACCGACAGGAGTATGGTGACTACCGACAGTCTCACATAGACTCGGAGTCGGGACAGTTGTCCAACTTAACGCGAGGTATTCGGACGCTGCTGGCCTGGGACGCATAGTAGAATGCGGAATATATGAAGTCGAAGTTGTACTGGACAGATTACTCAGTAAACCAACACAAACATTCGAAAAAGTCCAGAAATTCGAAATCATGGCCTGGCTGACATATCTCAGTTTTGTTGTAGTCGCAGGACTGGTATTGCAAAATTTTATTTCCAGGAGAGCCTCAAGACGACAACGAGAACTTCCTCATATTCCGCTGGTCAAATTTGACGAAAATGACACACTGGAGAGATATATTAGTAGCACGAGGGAGCTTATGCATAAGGGGTATCTTCAAGTAAGCAAGACCGTCCCCCCAGGGCAATGCTTTGTCCCTCAACTAATACTTGGATAAGTACTCTAAAAAGGGACAAGCCTTCAAGATTCGAAACCCTGTCGATGAAAGATGTCCACAAGTCATAATATCGAAGAAATACTTAGACGAGGTTAAGAATGCTCCGGAGGATAAATTTAGTTTTCCTTTGTACTCAATACAAGTAGGTATATCTAAAGATGCAATTGCATGAAAATATGTTGACAATTAAACTATAGGCTTTTCTTCTGGAGTACAGTGGCTCCGTGCTTCCATCGGCTTCAGCAACACATGTAACAAGAATTGATCTCAACAAAAATCTTGGTAAGTTTGCTTTATTTGGAAAGAATTGGAGGGATTAAAGCTGATAGAGGACTCATAGGAACGATGGTAGCAGGAATGAAAGACGAATGCATTGAGACGTTTAAAACAGTTATACCGGAATGCAAAGGTTGTACCAAGATCCGCCAATTTTCTTGGTATGAAGACTCTGACAATCTCAGACTGGACAAGTTTAAAGCCTTGGGATACTTTCTTACCGGTGATATCGAGAGTGACTGGCCGAGTACTTGTAGGAAGCGAACTTTGCAAGGACCCGGAGTGGATTCAACTCACAATTACGAATACGACTGGTATAGTTAAGTCAGCAATGGCAATTCGAGAAACATATTCATCTCAATGGCAATGGCTTGCGCCATGGACCGCCCCGTGGAGAAATGACCTCATTAACGCACGCCAAAAGGCTACACAGCTCATAGAACCGACTTGCAGAAAGCGTATATCGGGTGTTAGCGGCGAAGAAAACAACAATGTAGTTAAGTGGCTTATTGATCACTCCGAAGGGAAACCAATCACCCCTGCCGAGATCGCCGATTCGATATTGTTTTTATACATGGCAGGAATCCACAGTACTAGCGCCTCCCTCATCTCGATCGTTTACGATCTTATCGCGTATTCAGAATATATTCCTGGGATAATTGAGGAGATAAAACAAACGCTCGCTGAGTCTCCAGAGTGGACGAAACTGAGTCTTGCCAAACTCCGAAAGCTAGATAGTTTTCTAAGAGAGAATCAGCGGCTTCATTCAGTAGGAATGGGTACGGTCTATAAAACTATCTTAAAGCGGGTATTTCATATTAACGGCTCGCAGTGACTGTCCAACGATCGACCGTTGTCCCATACACTTTCTCTGATGGTTTGTATTTACCAGCAAATACCATGTTGGCCTTCCCAACTTACGAAGTCACGCACGACCCGGATATATATCCCAATCCGGATGAATTCGATGGACTACGATTTTATCGTATGCGGGAACAAGGTGATGCAGCCAAATTTCACTATGCAACTGTATCAAACGAATCCACCAATTTTGGGGCTGGCTTCCATGCTTGTCCGGGGAGGTTCTTCGTGGGTTATGAACTGAAGATCATTCTTGCGGAGTTGTTGCTGAATTATGATTTGAAGTTTGCGGTGGGAAATGAGAGACCGCCGGATCTCCTTCATGATTTTAGTATCCAGCCTAACCCAGAAGCGGAACTTTTGATTCGAAGAAAGGAAGAGGTTTAACGAGTACAGGTGTGGTTTAGATAGTTCGAGGAGCACAGGTTTAATCCAGAGGTGTGTTGAACGCAGAGGCTACCAGATTTGCAATTAATTTAACTTAATGTAACGTAAGTACCGACCTCCCCTTGACTAGCTTTTGAGGGATAAAGTGTATGGTCCCACGATAGTGACCTAGTATTATGTGCTAATATAGAATTATTACTAAGTTATAATAGAGAATAAACATTTGAAATTTTAGACCTAGTTACATTAGAGGCGTTATCGCGAAGTAGTATGTAGTCTAAATAATTTTATAAAATATCAGGTTAAAACTTAGAATACTTTAAATTACTTGGTTACACTCTATTCGTGTACTAAGTGGTTCATTCCTATGCAAACATTCATATTCCCGGATTATAGCGCAGGATATAAGGAATTGAGAATAAAATTATATTATATTATATTGTAAATGCATTATAGATAGATGTGTGTACTCGATTATTTGACTGAGCAGTGAAACTATGTTCTGCTAAATACATTCCGATGAGGACGACCCTGTTGGTTCGGCAGTTACCCCTATTCGATCTCGCTTGCATATGTCGCATACTGATTTGCTCTCTACAGGATGGCCTGGGGCCGCCCCACACTCTCCCACACTCTGACCCACGTATGTACCCGCCTTGACCTGGTGGAATGCAGCTGCAACAATAATACAATGCCATTCATTATGGCGATATGTTTATTACCAAGCCGACCCGACTTGATTAATCGGATAATAATAGTATTACAAATAGTCGTTAAATATTTCATTGTGCTATAAAAGAGGCGGGCCGCATACTCGAGTAGGAGGCGTAGCCTGCAACATGTAACAGCTCCAATTCAAGGTTTGCCTTAAACTTGATCCTTGGCTATGGAGATTAGCTAAACGCGATGTCCCCCCAGGATGATCTCCGCCATACCTTGTCGTACGGAGTATCGCGGGATGTTGGTCGTGGACTCCGGAATTGCTGGCGTTGAGCCCAAACTCAAATCATCGCCGCTTTCCAAATTCCAACAACCCCGCGAACCGCAACTTCTCGCGTTAAGATTAGTATCCCCCATATAAGGCCATAGACAAACTGATGAGTGGGGATGTACAAATAATGTGACAGCTAGACGGATTTCCAACTCCGCACCGCAACAGGTGCAGAGTAGCCTACAAGGTAGTATCTCAGTCTCGTCATGCCGGATGTCACCCCACCACCCAAGGCTCTCAAGGCCTGGGGTAGTCTGGAGTCGAATAAATCTCGAAGGTATTTAAGCACGAGGTTTCCTAACTCATGAAACTGGATGGACTACTATGACACTTACTTTCTTTGAACTTGCCAACCTCGCCATGGAGCTTCGAAGCAAGAGAAAGCTATCTCACGCTGCATTGTCATCCGACTTTGAGTCTGCTAAACGTCGTCGGCGTAGTAGGCCAAAGGACAATGGTTGTTTCTCAAAGACAACGCGGCCTTCTTGTCGTTCTTTACAGGACTACGAGCCACAACAACAATCACGCATGTCATTGCCATATCTTGGGACCGACGTATTGCTCTATATCGCCGGATTTCTTCCACTAGCTTCTGCAGCAGCTCTCACTATTTCCTGCCGGGCTACGTACAATACCATGGGACCGAAGTATCTCGAGCGAATTAGCAAGCCAAGCACCGCATTTAATCTTCCTTTGAGAACGCGGTTAATGTTTTTGACGGAAGACGGGGACCAAAGGCAAGGCTTTTTAATGAACCTGCTTCGTGATCTACCTGGTCATGAATACTGCTCCAAGTGCCTAAGGCTTTACGATAGGGTGACTGGACATGTCTGTGGTTTTCGGCGGGAGCGCTATACGGGCAAAGAAAAGACAAGGCGGATAGTTCACTCTTATCCTCACCCGCTGCCTTCTTCTTTTCAACCATCTAGTATCACTCCGCTGATACAGGCTTATAATTCTGGGAGCCGGCCGCCTGACTTATCACACATGGCCGGGGTGTGTACGGCGTATACTTCGGAGGCTACGTTTCAATATGCTACCAAACCCGAAATTCGCGATGGAAGACTCTACCTCCGCACAGAGTTTTGGATCCTTCTACAGGAATACCCGAGCCTGGAATGCAGCGATGTGGAAACAGTACTTTGCTTTATTACTGCAATCAATTTTCTCGCTCTACATATACCTGCCAGCCACAGGGCCACGCTTTCCAATGCTCTCTTTGATCACTTTTTGATATTCATGGACCGCTTGGATACTGGGGTGTCGTCTATCCCTATTTGGGGTAACTACAGTACCGAAACCCGCGTGTGTCAAAATTGTGGTTTGGAGTACCAGGTTGGCTTTATGACGCCAGGGGGGAGCCGAAGAGTTCTCGTCGCCTCCATCTCTCAGGATTTTGGCAACGGCAAAACGTCTCCTAATTTGAAATGGATTTTCCCAACCACTCGTAGGCTTCGCGGAGTTGCCACAACCTTTTGCAGCCTGAGCCGTGATCATTGGGAGACCCAGTACTCGAATTGGTTTGGATCTCCGGACGATAAAATGATCGGAAAGGTCACTAAGCCGTTCAACTCCATGGGACTAGAGATTCGAGATACACTCAAAATAATGCCGCGCTCTTGTTGGTATGAGGAACGTGCCCCGTGGCTCCAGGTTATCAGAGACCCCTGTGGTTATATTGACGAGATAGCTTGTCGCGAGTTGAAATACTGGTGGTGCGTACAGTTATTTGGACGAAGTGCTGTTAAAGATGGAGAAGTCGTTGGTTTTATATTGGAGAATTTTGGAGTCTGAAATTGTGCCTCAATGCCGCTGATGTACTAGTATCAAGTTTCTATTGTAAATACTGTGTATGGTATCAGTAGATATCTCAGAGTTGTTTGATCGCTCTGTGAGGGGTCGGCATATCTCTATAGGAAATTTAATGCTACCGGTAGCTTTTCCCCGAATATTGCGCCTAGGGATGTTCTTCTCATCGAGCTGGTGCGAGAAATAGCTGCACATAGGAATTTGCTCCACGGGTCAGGGCAATTAAGTCTCAACCCACCGGTATGGCCTACAGGTTGATCTTTCAACCACGCGGCAAATTATTTGCCAGCCTTTCGCGAGGACATATGCGAATCAAACAGGGCGCATAACTTTCCGAAACATTAAATGGTTGCATTTCCCGCCCCGAGTCGTTAGATTGGAGCTCAGCCGTAAATTACGAGTGCCTTTCTGAGCCCAGAGCCTAGTGTGAGAAGTGGAGTAATTTGAATTTCGTTCGTTGATCTAACGGTTATGCGCGTTGACTCGTTCACAGAGCACCCTGCCTATCCAATATAAATTTTGATGTTTCATTAGTTAGCATAGGCATAGGTCGTCATTTGGTGATCATTTGGTGCCGCAATTATTCCCGAGACTGCTAGGATGAAACTTATTAGTCTTTGATCCAACGAAGCAAATCGGATTCTAGAGCATTTACGATCTGATTTTGAGGATCCCAGATTCTCCAATGTTGTTAGAACAACATCACAACTAATCTCGCCTTTAGCAAGATCGAGAAAGCCTAGTGTTTTGTGCAGGTCCTCGATAAATCTATCCAGTGTTGACAGAGAATCATTACGAGGGGTGGGAGCCGGTACTGGCATTTGGTGTTGCACAGTCATCTGGAATTGTCGTCGAATCCCTCTCAGTCTCTATGCTCGCCCTAGGGCTATATCTCGTCAGTATGGAGTGTCATAAGGAGGTCGCCAGGGGAAATATAGAGCAGCATTAGGACGATTTACCTTCGTGGTATCTCAAAGAGCACCGAAGACGGGGTGTATTGTACACCGCCGCCGTTATAAGCCTTCTTCTCTTCAGATCCGCTGAGCACAAATAGCGATGGCACATCTTCGCTATTGCCATCAGGTATCCATGGCAACAGAGTGTTGATGTGGTGCCGGTCGTACTGATATGCCTCAAGGTATCATGATTTGCTCATTAATAATAGATGTGGGGCAACCTTGTAACTAATGAGCACCTAGTGTCCTCTCGCTTCTGTACTGATCTTGGTTCATCTAGCGGGATATGTTTAATCGAACAGGATCTCCTCGCTTCTTGTCAAATTGTGGAGGCTTTGTCTACCAAATGCCAGCTCAAGGGCGGTCATGAACGTCGCAACACGATAATAGCGGGTAGGGACAAGACGTTGTGGATCAGTGCTAAATGATAACGCTCGCTTATAGATTTCGTAGGACCACAGGTGGGTTAGCTGGTAGCGGTCGCTATATGTCAACTTGTTTCATGTCCGAGTTGCTGTTGTCGTATACCTCGGTAACATATTCGATAACTATCTGCTACGGTAGCTGTGGCCTTAGATTGGAAATAAACTATAGCTTACTGCGTTTTGAGTTTTGCATAGCTGGTTGACTGGTGCTTTGTGCGCCTTAGTTCCGAGTCGGTCATGGAAACTGGTAGTAAAGCGGATGTGATGTATGCGGCGAGCGTGGATGAGATGGTAAGATAGCATGTCCGAATTCCGAATTTATTGAAATTGCATACCTTGATTAGGATTAAGGCTGTGGAGGATCTTGGATATTTTGATTTGAAGACATTTGTGAGTTTGTATTTGGAGTTTGTGTGCGCTTCGAGCTAGTATTTGGAGCTTGTATGATTGAAGCTGTGTGCGCTTCGAGCCTGTAATTGGAGTTTTTGTATTTGGAGCTTGTATTTGGAGCTTGTGTGTGCTTGAAGCTTGCGTGTACTTGGAGCTTGTGTGTACTTGAAGCTTGCGTGTACTTGGAGCTTGTGTGTACTTGGAGCTTGTATTTGGAGTTTTTGTATTTGGAGCTCGCGTGTATTTGGAGTTTGTTTGTGGAATTTGTGGAATTTGTGTACTTCGAGCTAGAATTTGGAGCTTGTATGATTGAAGCTGTGTGCGCTTCGAGCTTGTATTTGGAGTTTGTGGAATTCGTGCGTGCTTCGAATTTGTGTTTGGAGCGTGTGTTTTGAGCTTTTCGAAGCTTATTCGAGAGTTTTTAACCGTACGTAGTCTGTGTTGGTATGATTCTGTAGCTGTGAATCAAGGAACCCGTTGGCTATCTCAGTTCTATCCGAGACATTGCCCGCCCTCAACCGCGCGGAGGTGGGTTCATTGAGGGTACCGTCCCCTCCAAGGACGGGAAACACGGTCCTTCGACCGGTGTTTCTATTGAGTGTGATTTATACACAACTCAATCTTTTGCCAGTATTTAATGAGTCGCCTACTGATCACTGCGGCGACATTTCAGGACTGCTCCCAGTTCCTTTCTTTCGATATCTGCGACATCCTTGGCTATTAAAAAGGTGGACTATGCTTGTAGAGTATAGTGGGTGAGGAACTCCTGATGAGTTACTTCGCTGCCCACACTCCATGCCGGTATCCACCGCCGGAATAGTTCCTTGATAACCGCTTTCCTGCCCTCGTCCCCAATACCGAAGTAGCTGTTGATAGTGCGGTCTGCGTTGTTCCAGAGGTATTTCAGCCCCTTGCCTCGTTCCATATACACAACGCGGACGCGTACACCAATCATGGCCACACCGTAGGCAAATTCGACTTGCGCCGGCTTGGCCGCGAGGGCAGCATTTAAATATTTAGTGAGCTGGTCTTCCAGCTCATCTAGTGCGGCAGGGGTTGTCTTCGAAGGGGCTTTCACCTCGCCAACCAGAAACGTATCCCATCTGAGAACACCGTTCTCGTCCTTCCTCCAAATCTTGAAGGTGAAATCCGACCTGTTTTCCATCAACCTCTGCTCCATATTAATGGACCAAATTGCGCGTTCATGGTACACTACAGCAGGAAGGAGATCTTGGTACAAAGCGGTTACTGTAGACTCCAACGTCCCAGGAGTCTCCTTAATGGTAGTATACAGTGCTTCGTATCGCTCGCTCGAGATCAAACCTTTTTCCTTGATCGATTTTGTTCGAACCGCGCTGGGTGCTGGAGGGAGCGGCATGGTGATGGTGGTTGAAGCTGAGAAGGGAAATTTCACCGTGAGGTTATTCTCGAGGCATACCACTAGGTAGCGGTTGAGCTGGCCGCCGTATGTCGCTTAGCCGCTGGCCCCCCTATCTTTGACATAGATTTGGTCCCCATGATAAACTACTCTCAGAGCTCTCATTTCTCGTTATTTCTGCGCTTATAGCCTTAGCATTGTCAAATAATACGGAATTATAATACTCAGGGGCCAGAAAGTGGTGGATTTTCCTTGCGAATGGTAATCTACTACTCTTGTTGATGATGATGATGGTGATACTTCTTTGCATCTGGCGGGCCGTAGGCGTAGCCTATAGTCCTGGAACCTCCCAGGGGGTATGGAGACGTGCTAAGCTAGGGATTTTATATACAAAGTGTGTAAACCAGACCAGAAAGTATTTCTTATATTCGCGCTTGACCAAACGTCACTCAATTGTGCCCTTCCGCGGCCAGCTAAGATAGGGACAGTGAAGTTTGTGAGGGGGTAAACCCCTTGAAGGGTGCCTGAAGGTAGGTTGTAGAAGCCGAGTAGCTTTGTGTGTTTTTAGGTGCTATAAGGGCGCCAGTGGGTTTGAGGCTTGAAGCTAATATAGGAAAGAAATTATAATAATTGACTTGTGTAGTTAGAAGGGTGCGATTGATAAGTCTAGAGGAAGTTCCCCTGGGAGGGTACCCCGCTGCCCTAGGTGCCTTTTTTGAAGCAGGAGGTCAGTGGGGGAGAGATATAAGAAAAGGAGGGGGGGTAGCGGGGGCTGTAGACTAGCGGGTGTTGGCTTCACCGGAGGCTACGCAGCGACAGGAGGTTTATATAAGGGACAGCGGAGCGAGGGCGGTGTAGCCGGCAAGGGACTACTGGATATGGGATAGGGGTGCGCAAGCAATTTCACATGCTGGGCAGGGGAAATCGTCAAGGGCACCAGGGTACAGGTGATTTCAGCTGCCAGGCAGGGGAGTTAGAAGTTACAAGGCGCAAGGTATTTAACCTACTAAGTAGGGGAAATAGTTAGAGAAATAACGCTATACTTAAGACTAGTCTAAGAGCTAAGTTTATTATATAAAGCGCTTAAGCTCTAGTATTTTCTTTACTATAAAATAACTTTATCTTTTATACTTTATAATCAAATATTTAAAATAAACCAACATAAAATAGAATTGTAAGTATTACACGAGTATATAACAAAAAAGAGTAAAAGTATAAAAAAAGCTTTAATATATATATATTTATATAGCACTTATAATTCCACTTTATTATATCTGTCTTCTCTTAAGTATAGTCGCTTTTTGACTATAGGATGCAAGAAATAAGAGCTACTTCGCAGCAAGGAAAACAGTAGAACTTAGGTACCTTATATCTCTATTTCTCTGACTATTTCCCCTGCCCGGCAAGTTAAATCCCTTGCGCTCTGAAGCCCCCTTTCCCTTGCCCGGCAGGTGAAATCACTTGTGCCTTGGTGCCCTTGATCATTTCCCCTGCCCAGCAAGTGAAATTACTTGCGCACCCCTATCCCTTATCCAGTGGTCTCTTGCCAGCCATATAACCTTTGCTCCGCTATCCCTTATATAAACCTCTTCCTACTGTCGCGTAGCTTCCGCTGAAGCTTGCTGTAGTTGTACACTTTCCTGCTGTCGCGTGGCTTCCGCTGAAGCCTCTACTCGCTGCGTAGCTTCCGCTAACTGTCACATAGCCTCCGCTAGCTGGCGTATAGTCTCCGCTAAAGCTTGCGTTGATCCTGCAGCTTCCGCTGAAGTTTGGTCTAGCGGCATGCTGAAAAGACGCGTCGCAGGGAAAGGAACCGTCGCAAAGAAAGGGATCGTCTTAAAGAAAGGAATGTGAGAGCGTATATAAGGATAGAGGCTCTAGTCGACTCCCTGCGTCGATCACCAATGTAACGGAGTGGAAATAGCTGACTGCGAATCAAGGTTTTGGAGTTGTAACTGCCTAGAGAGAGAATAAGAATATACACGTGCTAGAGCCCCCTTTATACCCTTATTCCCTCCTGTCGCACGTTTACGTGACACCTGCAATTCCACCCCACCACAGTACTATTCTTGTTGAAGACATTAACTTACTTTGAATTATTTAGTTGATTTGAGATATTAAATTAGATTGAATTATTCATTAGATTTGAGACATTAACTTACTTTGAATTATTTAGTTGATTTAAGACATTAACTGCATTTAGCCTTATCTAAATCAGGATCAAAGTCCCCTTGGCAGGACTAGAGCAATCCGTGAAACCTCGACTTTGCTAGCGTTAGCTGGGATTTCAACAGTACTGCGCTACTAAAAATAATCTCCGGGTCTATAGTGAATCATCACAACGCGTCAGGCTAGCTTGCAAATTACATTGGCAGTGTGGGCAACGGATGAACCTTATTAGCTACTAGAACGTGACGAAGAGAAACATCGATCTCTGCTGTGATCATACACACGAGTGCTGCTGCCCGCCTCGCCCAGTCTTTTAAGGTGGTAACATCGATTTCAATCCGACTCAATTTCGCTGGAATAACCCTCAAGAGCTCTACGATCTTCTCCAGATCGTGCAGCCGCTCACTGTTGCGCTGCACTGTATTCAACTCTGCAACTGCGCCCACTACCTCGCATATATAGCCCTCCATCAAGATCATCTAGCTGCCGAGATTGAACGAGTCAGCTTCTCCCCCAACCCAAACATTTAGTGACATTTCTAGCATACCTTTTAAGTTTGTCTATCTCGAAACTGAGGCTTCCAAATCATACAATGTTCCTGTGCCGAAGTCGAAGTCCACGATGAAGTTGCTAGCCTTGCTGTTGGTATTGGGTGCGATGTTGTGGTAGGTAATGTTTTGGGACACTATGTTTGCGAGTTTGACCTCCTGGACGAGTGATGTAGGCGGTTACTGCTATGATTGTTCAGGTTGCTGGAGGCCGTACTAAAAACGAGACGATGAACGTGGAAAGAAAGGGGCATTTTGCTTTACGTGACATTTTGAAACGGAAGGACTCGGTCTCGTGATATGTGAGCGATATGAGCGGACACGTGCATGGAAATGTTGGGTTTTCATATAGCCCTATTGTCGAATTCAGAATGTGGGATTCGTAGATCCCGCCCTGTCGCCTACAGACCAGAATATAAACCCCCTCCTGGGCCCTCCATCACATCTCTCGTCGGACTTCAAGGCTGATCACATACGCGTACATCTCTACTTCGTATATACTCTCGATTTTCGCCCTGTATTACACTTCCTCCATAATATCCTTCGTCCCTGTCTCGTAGAAGCTGATCTTACAATGTAGAAATCTACAGTAATCGCATTGTCTCGCGTTGGCTACGCGACTGTTGTTTTGTCCCAAGCCGCGCTAGCTAGGTACCTAGGTACCGATCTGCGCCATCACCTCTCGCTACCGCAGTCCCGGGACAACGACAGCCCCTGAACAAACCCCTTGCTGCAATGTAACAACTACGTAGGTATATTGGGTGTGGAGCTGTTATGGCGTTCTCTAGCAACGACTTTTTACCTGTCACATTTGACTTCGGACCTGGCACGCATCTAGACTACCAGCGAGCTGAGCTCGTCTTCCCGACACCCGTGCGACACTCCTTAAGGAGTGCCCACCATCCTTTTGTAGTGCGACCCCGGATAGAAGCCGAATTGTATACGCTGGCGTGTGTTTATTCTAGGAGGTGTGCGGGGTAGAGCATTGGAACTTGCTTGGGGGCGGGGCTCGTCGGTGCGCCTGGCAATCCAAATGGTCTCGATGCGCACGAAAGTAGAACAATGGAGTGCCTTATCCAAACGACTACATTCACCACATTTTCAACTTCCCTGGTTCGAGATGTTGTTCACGCCGCATTCGCCATATCATTCACTAGGTACCTAGGTACCTTACATACTCGAGTAATGCAAAGACTGGTGTTTCAGCTTCAGAAAACTCAGCACAATTGTCCAACTCGTTAGCTAATTATTATCCCTACCACGGCCTATTTGTTGCCAACGCCCTTTTCAGACATCCACGGCCATTATTGGTGTACTGTACAATAATAATAAATCTAATTCTGTCCGGTCGCAAAGTTAAGCATCCATGAGTCGTTATCGCATATTCGCTCTATGTGCAATCTATACTCTTAGCTAGCGTTTGCCATGTATTTTGTACAGGAGCTGCTTCCCGCCACTATACCCTGGTCTTTTCTTCCCCATGCTTCGGAAAATGTAGAACCTTCAGCAGCATGGTTCAACCCCCAAATTACAATGCCGCTGTACTATGTATGATCACTATACTAAATCGTTTCTCTCACATTGTAGTCTCCTGCCTACGCCGCGCCTACTATCACGCCCAGTTGAAACTTTAACCTTTATACTTAAATTAAATTGACTACCTAGGTACTTATAAATTATTCCATCGATTATATTGTCGATGCAGATCTTGACTATATGCTTAAAGACCTTAAAATTAAACTTGCGACTTAAACTAACTTAACTTCTCTGCTCTCCTTTATGCCTAATTTGCCTATCAAGGAAGGAGGTAACTTCTTTGTATAGTACTCTAAAGCTAAGAACACAGTTGTTACCTGGGCTTAATACTGTACTAACGCCTTATTGTATCTAAAGCACTACTACATATCCTTTTGTGATTATTCACATTTTATAAATGACTTCTATTCGAGGGCGACAGCGAGGTGTGAATATCTTCAATTTGCGACAGTAAGAGTAGGACACCACAGCATATAAGAGGAAAAGTTTACTACAGTGCGAATACAGCAGCACCGTCGCTTAAGTGTTAAAGGTCGGCAAAATCGAACTCTTACTTGTACAAGGTACCGGCTACGAACCTATAGTTGCAATATTACTCTAGAGCTGAGAAGAGAAGCTATTAAAGTTCGGTAATACTAATATCAGGGTTTTGTTAATTTTCATATATACCCACCTGTAGCAAATATAACCCGCTTTTACCTATATATAATAAAGATTTCTCCTCTGCCTCTATTCCTAGAATCAATCAAGTCTTTCAAGCTGTTTTCAAAGCTAACCAAAAGATTTGACAGAAGCTTATTACAACGATGACGACAAATCCCACCGTTGCCGCTACTACGTCCTTCTCTTGATAACCTTTGCAACTTTGGGTCAAGGACAGCTTAACAATATAAGATAACCAACTCATTGGTTTAAGCCCTTCTTGAAGATATGTCTGCAATAGTTGTTGCTTATTAAGAGATCTGTTCCTAAATATCAAAGCTTTTACCTTTACTTCAGCGCTTTTAAAGTCTAGTTAGATTCTAAGGAAGAGGAACACTATAGCACGAATACTTAGTCGAAAGGAATCAATACTATTTAGCCGTTCTACAGTCTTCTCTCTACTAATAAACGAAAATCTACTAACTGCTATTCAGCCCTATTTCTTGTTCTTACCAAACCGACAAATATTCTCCATCTTTCTACAAACCCGCACCTTGGTTAGCTATAGAAGAAACCCGTTTTACTAAGCTTACAGCGCTTTGAACGCCGTCTTTCAATACCAAGGTACTAAGCTAGAAGTTATCTAATACTAATTTTACTCATTACAATTATAGCTATTCTAGTATTATCGTATGCCTCGACTTACGGCTTAGGAGAAGGTATAGGGAGAGTGATTAGAGAGTTACTAAGAACAATGAAGTATGTATAGATACTATCCTATTTACTGAACAACCCGGTTGCCCGATAGCTACTAGTAGTCGACGAAGCTTTTCGAGCTAGTGACCTATCGCAGGCTCGGCGGCTCCTCCATTCGTCGGTACTATACTAGTTGTTTTCTAAGTTTTACTAGTACATAGTACATATAAGTAACTAGAGTTTGTCTAGCTGGTAAGAAGGAAAAAATCGAGTAGAAGCACCATTTAAGTACTAGGCCGAATAGATATTTATAGAGCTCTGTGTTATTGATCTAGTTATTGTATTAGATAGATAGAGAGCATACTATCTGAGGCCGGGTACTCTTGGTTTCATCGCGATTTTGTACGTCTTAAAACAAATCGTCTTTAACTAAGTTATCAAATTGACCAAATCGCAAGCTTTATCTATACCTAAGGTAGTTATTAAAACAAAGAAAGACACTATGATGTTTTGACTCAGGTAATACTGACTCCTGGAATTGGGGCTGGATTATATGATGGGGTGCTCAGCCTCGTATGATTCGCGATCCGAACAAGAGGCCGCCACTATTAGAACTTCTAAAACTCTAGGAAGTCTAGGGTAGTTAAACCGAAATAAATAGGCTTGAATATTTGCTGTATTGCTAAGGTACAATCACTACAATAAGGTTCAGATCTGTTTATTCTTTAGGTTGGCTCCAATACTAGCATCTAGTGTTCTATGAGCCCGAACCATGAATTCGGAGGTCTAATTCATATACGCGAAACATCAGGATTGTTTTTCTAATTTAACAGAGCATGTTTTATTTTATTAACAGCTTATACGATACCCAGTTTATCGTCCAGACAGGGGCTGCTGTATCCAACTATTACTTCAAATTACTAATCCCAACCTAGCTAAATTCAGCATACTATTATATATAGATGACAGTGAAATTATAACCGATTTTTAAGGAGGCAGTGGATGACACTTCTCTGCTTGCCCTGGCTGACTTCTCGGCGTGTTCGGGGCTCTGGGGCCTGGGACAGACAGAAATGGACTTTGCTGAGGTTGGGTTTTCGCGTAAGACCTACCTTACCTAGCAGGTGATCCAGAGATCCTTCAAAAGTTGTGAGGCAAACAACCTCGCGATGAACAATCGGATCAACACAGAGATCCGAAACAACCTCAGACTTTAGTGACGAGATTAAAAAAACACCCAAACTCCTATCGATAAATCTGCATCTACCTCCGAAGTATGACCAGCTTCCTAAATGGCCCAAAACCTCGGAGTCTACGTCAAGGTGGGGCTATAGGTACACAACATAATTAAAATACAACAGGCCGAACTGAATCAGACCGAATCGGAACCAATAGATAAGGACAAAAGACCTACGATAAATACCTATCTTTAAAACTGGCAAGGGAGTAGTCCGGTTGGTACGCGAGTATTCCCCGAACATTCGGGGTACACAATTCGGACGCGGCACAAACCGAGCTGAAAATACATAGGAGCTAAAAACAGGCGGAGGATCAAAGATAGGAAGGCTGTGGGTGTATTTTAAGGCTAATATCACTATTAGTAGACCTATTATTATCTCTCAGGCTCCCTCATACTATAAATACCTAGAAGTAGATTATAAATCAAGAGGTGACTATATTGAAATCAATAATCATAGGAGATAACTAACTATCGTTGAGGTCGGAAATAACAAGAAAGTGCTCTAGCATCAATTATTCAAACCCTCCATGCAATCAAACGCCTTCCTTTGCTGTTCCGACTCCTGGTCCCATCCCACACAACGCAAACAAGTGAGTAAGTTATCTGGGTCAAACTTCTTCTTGAGCCGTAGAAGCTCGTTATAATTATCTCCCCACCATGCTTGCTGCCAATCCTCTACCCAAGGATTAGACTCGCTGAAATACGAACCACTAGTAGGGGCCAAAGCCTCCAGGTCATGGGTAGCCCCTTTCAACTTCTTTACCATTGCTCGTTTCTGACTTACTGTGCTATTCCACGCCCAGGCTGTCTGGGTCGTAATCATCCAAGTGCTATTTCTCCACGCGGGAGTCGCCGAGGTCGATCCAGGCATATAGTTGTAATAAGCTGGCGTAGTGGCAAAAATAGTTGGTCGGAAACCATCGGCAGCAAGTTTATCGAGTACTTTCAAAATGTCCGCTTGACCAGTCGTGCTGTTTAGAATACTGTTTGGAATGAGACGGTTTGTCGTTATCGCTGAAGTCGCAACATCCCCATTCGCAGTTGGTGCAATATATTGCGAGTATAGACTGAGGAAGGTAGGATGGGTTTCGAGAATCACACTACCGCCTTGTGACTTCGCATAATCCGAAATTGCAGCCATCGACTTCCTCGCTGTTTCGAGATCTATAAATGGATTCACCATCACCATAAAGCTCGGGCTATTTGGTCCTCCCCAGCCCTCTCGAGCCCACCTAATAGCACCGTCCATCAACAACTGAGTGAATTGATCTTTACTGGGTTTGGTTGCATTTGCCGGTAATTGGATCAATGATAGGACAAGAGGGACACTAGGTTCAACCTTGCTCGTCGATTCGATCACGACTCCATAGGTAGCCCCTCCACCACCTCGAAGGGCCCAGTACAAGTCTTGGTTTTGGCAAGCATTCGCAGTTCTGAAAACTCCGTCTGGAGTGACAATCTTGAATTCCATAACTCGGTCAATACCCAGTCCAAATTGGGATGAGAGCAGGCCATGACCTCCTGTCATCATGAAACCACCAGAAGCACCGACTGTAGGAGAGGAACCGCCAACAAATATGACATTATTTTGATCTGCAAATTTATAGACTTGATCGAAATTGGCTCCGGCTCCCACAGTGATGGCATTATATTGATTCGCATTCCCCTGGCATCCTTCAGGGTTGAAGTTCGGATGGTATTCAGTATTCTGGAGCTTTCGAGTCCAAATGGCAAGAGATCCCCGTAGACTGCTTCTACTCGAATAATCGTGTCCGCTATTTTTGATGCTGAGAGAGGTTCCTGTCTGCTTAGCGAAAGCAAATACAGCTTGGACATCCGCAGCACTGGAAACTTCGACATAATAAGTCGAAACGCTTCCTTGTCCGCAACTGGCGTTTCTCGGAGGTCCCCGGGCGATTGGCTGTGTTGGATCAAGCAAACATTGACTGGTGATGGGATCTGAAGACGAAGGGCAGGTTTCAGCTTGATCATGCATAAACCCGTTGTATAATTCAGTTCGATAGAGGCCGGAGGTGTACTGTGCTTCCACCTGGGCACACTGCACTGGATATTCTGGGACCGATTGTCCCTCGTAAATCGAGTAACATGGTCGAGCAAGCGGGGCTGCTGCGAAGACTCGGCCTTGAACAGTCTGATTCAGGGATACCAAGCTTGCTTGAGCAGGAAAACCCCTAACATTCAATGCAAACAAAGTTGTAACTAATAAGATATATAACAGAGACATTTTTTAGGCAGATTTCAAGAATCAGATGAGCTGAACTGAATGCAAACTTACATGGTTATAGTCCAGCAACTCTTCTATTAAATAGGGAAGAGTTTACGTAGAGCTGAAGGATCAACTTGGGAAAAAAGCCACAAAAAGCCACGGAAGGTACAATCCGCATTACAGAGGGGTCGAAAGGTGTCGATGGCGTCTCGACACTTCTGATCTGACAATCGTAGGACCGATTGTCTTCGATAGTTTGATCTTGACGTGTGTATATAAAGTATCTTGGATGGATCAAACTCCACTTTTCTACTGCTGCTTTATGTTTGTTGATGCGCCCCCATTTCTACCCTCGTCATCTGGCTGTCTAGTGCTCGTCGCGATTCCTATGAACCAGTCAATTAACATAACTCTAATCACTCCTACACCTACCCTCCTCTCACACACTCGTGATAGCGTAGGATGGCTGCCACTTCTACTGAGCCCTCCTGAATCCCCCTTCGCTGACCCAGTCTTTGTTTCGACATGGTCCGGCCTGAATTCGATCGCGACGGCGGGCTTGGCCGGGGACTTTGGGTCCGGTTGGCGCGAATAGCTTATAGCTTGGTCAATCGGGATGTACCCCTTCCGTTAGTCCGAAGGAATACCCTCAATGTTTCCTATTTTAGACAGTCAGAGTGAGATCGAAGTAAAGTGTGGGCGACTATCTCGCACTTACAATGGTGGCGCATTCGCAACACACGCTGCTTTGGTGGGAATGGAGGCGTTTCGAGAACTCTTGACCCAGCCGAACGATCAAAGCCCACTGCCTCAATTTTGTAGGAGGACGCTGAAACTATCAAGTCTCCTCAGGCGTAGCTGAAGTATGTCCATCCTAGACGAGAATCCTGTGATCAATTTTGGTAATACAGGACCTGCGACGTAGTATAGGCCTTATAGCTGAAAATATTGGGGTTGTACATCAACACATATACTGCAGTCAGCGATCAGCGATCAGCGATCAGTCGTCGTCATCTACCTAGGTACCTAGGTACGCAGCCAGCGCGGGAAAAGGCTTTCCGTTTTATGTTTTGCTTTCTAACGCGGTGTTAATCGCAGATCGATTCTCCATCTCGATAGCGAACACCAAGAACCAGGAAGGATTGCCAGCCTCCCGCCTTGTCATGGCCAGCCCACGAACGCCGAATAACCCGGAAGGTTTCCGGCTACTGGCTTGTAAGCCACCGCCACGAACGCCGAAAAAGGGATATCATCATCCCAAATTCAAATCCAACGACGAACGCCGAAACAAGGCTTCCCATCTCACGCCTCGAATGTATCAATTTTTCAAGCCTTGAATCCAGGAGATGATTCGATCACAAAAGCCAAAAGACAGTCTCTCTCTCAAATCCCGATTTGATCGCGAACAGTGAAGATAAACTAATTGATCCACGGCAACAAGCAACCCCTAATGGGTGTTTGATCCAATGTAAATGGAGAAATAAAGAATGCTATAGAAGATCCGCGTACCACATTTTGATAATAATTAACCAGAGCATACCTAACCATAGGTATAACTAGCTTCTAGTAATTGCATGTTTGTCCTCATGTTCGAGCCCTTACCTCGACCACCCCCGCTGTCTCCAATCTAATAGCGAACGCCGAAGGCCAACAACCCACGGAATCTGTACAACAACAAGTTAGGTAGCTTTCGGTCATCAGGCGATATTTGGCTTGGTTCTCTTTTTCATCTCCAACCCATCAAATACGATAACCTTTTTTCCCACGTCGCCGCCTTCACTACAATCATCCAATCATCCACGATGGCTACTGATGCCCAGATCAAGTCCCTCATGGGAGCTGGCCCTCCGGAGCACTTAGAGAAGTTGTCCTTGTTTCGTTGGGGCAAGAAAAACCCCCCAAAGGACCCCAAAATCTCTTTCGCTGGCAAAACGATCCTCGTTACTGGCTCCAATACCGGTCTCGGATATGGAGCAGCCCTGAAGTTTGCTGCGCTTGGTGCCTCGAAGTTGATCCTCGCTGTTCGCACACCAGCCAAGGGAGAAGAGGCGAAACGGAAGATCGTCCAGGCGACAAAATATGATGCAGCGAATATCATTGTTATGCAACTCGATATGGCCAGCTACGACTCTGTCAGAGCTTTTGTGAGGGACCTTCGAGTTAAAACCAGTACTCTGGATGTGGCTCTCCTGAATGCGGGTATTGCGCCTCCCAAGTACACCGCCAACCCTACCACGGGTTGGGAATCAGCCCTGCAAACCAACATCATTTCAACCGCCCTACTCGCCATTCTCATTATACCACAGCTGAAGCACACCGCCGTAAAGACTGGTCGACCATCTCAACTTACACTTACCAGTAGTTATGGGCACAAGTACGTTGCAGCTAAGGATGTCCAAACCGCGCCGGGTGAAAGTTTGTTGAAGAAGCTTTCCGCACCAGAATACTTCAACCCTGAGAAATGTTATAATGCTATCAAGCTGATGACCGAGTATGTGAAACTTGGTCTCGTCAATAATTACTCCAAGAATGCGAAGGGAGAAGTCGATGTTACAATCAATTCTACATGTCCAGGTTACTGCACGACAGATTTGGGCCGTGAGTTTCCTTGGTACATTGCTTTGCCAATCAAGGTCATGCAAATGTACTGTGGTCGATCTGCCGAGGAGGGAAGTCGTTCGCTGATCAGTGCTACTTTACTCGAAAAGGTTGGACATGGCAAGTTCTGGACCAACGATGTTTTTGTCGAGTAAGTCATTCTCTCCAATCAAATTTGGGAATTCTACTAACATTTTCAACAGGGGGGGAGACCTTGTTACCAGCGATGAAGGAAAGAAGATTCAAGCTCAGGCGTGGAAGGAAATCCTCGATATCTGCAAGAATGAATCACCTTGATGGGCTTATTCGAGATGAATCACAAATCACATCGAGTCGCGGGCAATGAGCACTTCGTGGAATGAAACCGTGACAGAAAGGATGTTTTAATAGTCGTATGGTATCTACGGAGATGTTACTGGGGTGGAAACGCGATGCAGTTAAGTTATAGCAGAAATAGTGTCTTCTAAAGTGTATTAAAAATTAAAAGGTTTTGCAGATTAAGTGGCGTTGCATTGGGTCAAGGTTTAAGCCATAGTAGAAATATCGTTTTGCTCGCAATCTAGTCTAAATCCACAGTAAAATAACCTTATCCCTAGCCAACCCCTATAGCATTCCCCGCAAATCTAGAAGCATCTATTGATTACCGTGATGATGCGGGGGGCATCACCATCCATTCCTCCTCAAAACCCCCCTAATATTATCCATGGTCTGTTTCACCGAGGGAACCCTCCCATTATCTCCCTTCGAATACCCCAAATCCTTCTGTTTAAACATGATATCCAACAGCGCCGAAGCAGAAGCCCTATCTAAGATTCCCCTTCTGTTTGGTGAATTATCTTGACTATCCTGCGGCGGTGATATCACGGTTATGCCTAAAGTCTCCTCAATCCGTTCTAGCATTCTCGAACTAACTTGAATCAGAATTTCCATCTGCAAGTCTTTCCGATCACCAAGATCAAAACCGCCAATGTGAAGCCCCGGAAGTATTGCAGGTATTGATTGTAGTGGGAGCTTGGGTTGGGAGAGGAGATATGTGTAGATTCGCGAAAATATCCCTTCGTAGGATTGTAGCAGCCACGTATAACATGTCAGGATTGTGAGCGTTGTAGGCATGTCCATGGTGCCACCATCTGACATTTTCCCCGCGTGCGCTTGTTCTGTAGCTAGGTCGCTAAGTTTGACCGCCATGGCGTTTGTGGAATATGGGTGCTCGTTGTTTATCGACATGAAATCATTTTCTTCCCAGTATTCTGAGTAGGAACACTCTGAGCCTGCCGAGGAAGAGGGGCCGAAACTGCCGGTCGGCGAGGGTTCTTTGAGATGTTGTAAAATGTCCAGGAATCTCTGCGAGCCTTCTAGGACGCTACCGATGGTGTTTTTTAGGCGCATGCTTTTTTGAGAGCTGTGGGTGCAAGTTCCAATCCATGAGTTGCAGCAGGGAGAGAATGATAGCACGTCCGAAAGATTGGCGGAGCTGGTTCTACTGAAGTCTTTTAACAGCTGAGAGCTCAGCTCGGACAGGCGGTTCAGGTAGTCCCCTTTAGATTCTATCATGACGGTTTGAGCCCCTGACTTATCTGAAGGTTGCTGGGTATTTTCAGGTGTCGGATTTCGGGAGGATGCATCTTTAGCATCGTGGCCTGATGTGGAAAGAATATTCATCAGAGCTGCGGTAGCGTCGTGGTGTGTGGTGTTCTCTGGATTGATTATTATCCCGAAATCAAAATTATCAACGCTGAAAGAATTGTGTCGTTTAGAAGCGGGGTTATCATCTGTGCTAAAGGTTTGAATGCCCTGTTGACAGGTTGATGGGGAGTTGCTGCTACTCGTTCTTCTTTCATTTCTGCTTCTAATGTCTTGATGGGGGCTTAGGGATCCAAGCTGATCAGCGTTGCTGATCCCCAGGCCATTTGGCGATGGCTCGATTGATCTCCACTTAGGTCTTTCTTCGAACGGTTGTTGAAAATTCGTTCTTGGTTGGTGTACTGATGCTGACTCTAGAATCCTCAAAGATCCCTCTTTTCTCCTCCCATCACTACTTCCAGAGTCAATTCCAAAACTATGTTGGTATGTATTGGTATTCAAGGAAAAAGGGGAATGCGATGCTGTTCTCTCAAAGGACGAGGTCAAGTTTAAGGACTGAAGCCTCTCGGCTCTCGGGTGATTTCTATGTGTAGTGACCGTATTGATACATTCCGTTCCAGCTTTCAAGCAGCGTTCACAGGGTTCGAATCGGCCATCACCCGGGTGTGAGGGTCCCTCCCATGGACCATCTCCAAGCTTTGATATCCTCACGCAGCGAAGTTTCTGGCCCCGGCACCTATCACATGCACTCCGTCGGGAAATCTCTGTGTTCATGGTTGTATTCGTTCCAATGTATTAGAAACTGTTTTGAGCCTAAACCCTTAGTCTTTAGGGTGTCTTCATAGTGCCTTTAAAGATATATTAACGAATTGCTTTTGGAAGCGTCTAGAACGGTCGGTAGAAATGGCGCTACAGCATATAGCTGGAAGCGTCGCACCACTTAAGACAACGCAGCGGTATCACCGTGGCCAGTTCATCATTTAGGTTATGCCGTGTCACGACCGAGACACTCAAAAGAGGATGTGACTATTTAGGCATGTGGTCGATCGCTCTGAAGCCCAACCCAAGTTCTCGAATAGAAATGCCAAAAGCTGAGTTTCCTGGCTGCAGGTGCAGCAGCGTAGCATGGTAGCACAAATAAATTAAGCCTTCGGCTGCCGCCCGAGGAGCTGCATTACCACAAGTACTGAGATACTCGTGTTTCGGTACTTACCTTGAGACAATAAATACCCCAATTCCCGCTGGTGGTTGTATAGAGTCCCGTGGCGTGCATATGAACCCCGACAGGATAGAATTGCAATAGTGGGCAATTCACGAACAATACAATACATAATTAGCTAGGTATAGGTCATCATAAGTCGATAATCATCCCACAAGCAGCACGTTCAAGGCAAATTAAGGCTGGGGATTATCTACAATCTAGGAGCTCGGCCAAAACTTCCCGTTGACTTATTTCAGCCACACCGTCAAGGTGCCGCCACCGCCAAAGTTATATTGAATAGCGCTGATAGACGATATGTTATTAAGTCGGCCATTCGACATAGTAGATACTTATAAAAGTTCGCCCGGTAGTTGAACACAACTTCTTTTTCCTTCGTCTCAAGGTGGGTTAGCAAGCTCGCCGCTGCTACTCAGGCGCTATCACCCTCGGCTCACCCTCTCCTCACCGAGCAGCCTACGCAACCTAAGCAGTCCCTAATCAATACCCACTACTAACTCACGTATTTTATCTCCAATTAGGCTGGATATAGACTAGAGCCTTTTCATTTCATTTTTATCAAGTTTTGGCGATGATCCCTGGGAAGCCCAAACAGGCTCCCAAGGATCCCGAACTGGACCCTCATGAAATAGATCCACGTTATGTCATGGGTAATCGCCCACGGTGGTGGAGCATGAAGGTCTCATTCAAGGAGAGAGATTTGCTACTATTTTCTATAAACTCTCTTCCTATCTCTGCTTACAACCTGAATTCCTCTTTTCCAACCCGACTACCAGGCTATTTCTAGGGAGTAGCATGGAGTCCCATGGGGTGGGTTTTGAGATTTCAACCCATCTATGGGCTAGGGCGTACTTTGGTGACACAACCCACGGGGTGGCTTATAGGGCAATGGGTTCCCATAGGCTGTTATAAAATCCTACACGTGATTTATATACAGTATAAACCTAAGATATATATAACTATACAAATACTTATAGATATGTACGAAATTATATACTAAATCATATATAATATATATAATTATACCTATAGGGCGCCATGAATGGGGCGGATTACTTTTACTACCTATTCCCATAACCCATGGGGCAGAAAACTCGACGCCCTACCCATGGGGGTGCCCCAACCCACCTGGGGGCGTGGGTAATGGGACCCCATGCTGCACCCTACATACGTCTTACAAGACGATAAGAAAGTGGCGGTATATAATAATGGTATATAGTGCTAGCGCTAATCTATCCCAACACCTTATAACCGACAAAGAGAGGCAAAGAAAGAGGGACGGGGGGGAGGGTAGGGCAGAGGGGGGACAAACCGAAGCTATGTGGCTATGCGCTTTTGGGACGTCACCAAAGTATTAGAAAACAGTCCCGTGGATGTTCTGTATGTGATTCTAGAGATATATTTTATGCTGCAAAGGCATTCGACAAATCTTTCATCCGATCCGATCGCCTTCTTTGATGTTAGATAGACGTTTTCGCTTAAGGTACTTGGTTAAATCTCCCGGGCTCGCAAATCGATAGACACGCTTCTCGAACGGCAGACTTTTCTCTCTTAAGTATACTAAACAAATAGTAAGTCTCTTCTCTTTAAACACTAGCAACATAGCAGCACTTCTCGCCTGCTTCTCGACGTCCGCGGCTACGAGGTGCGAATTGGGCGATTTGGCCTGAGTTTGTAGCCTCTCACGTGGCATAGCAACATATTGATCCAGGAATGGGAGTTCCATTTCCGTCTTTGAATCTGAGTATTCGCTGCTCTAACCTGAGCTAAGCTATGAGTCTTGAGCACGCTAATGAGCCAGCTGGATTATACTCAGGGGATCCTCTTTTGGTCCCCTCGCAAACCGGTTATTATTTCCATATTATTTATATACAGATCTGACTAATGCTTTGTTAGTCTGCAACACAGCCTCCTTTAGTAACTATTAAGATATCGTGATGGTATCCGGACATGGATCCCTGATGGAGTTGATTGTAGATCCTGCTCCCCGGGGGAGGATGGGATCGGTGAGATATATGAGGCTATTACTTGGAGAGGTCTTATTCCTAAGTTCTAAAGACTCTATACTTAACCCTAAACCCACCTTCTAGGGGCACAGGTTGGCCGAACCTATACTCTCCTATATAAGCAGAACGCCTTGCCGTAGTAATAGTTAGTGGTTTAAGTAACCCCCTAGACTAGTAACTAGATTAATTCGGACTTTAAGAGCTCCTCTAGGGTGTAAAAACAAAAAGTTCTATTTAGTACTAGGAACAGGTAGGTATCCGGAGAATACGATCGAGAATCGCTCTTACTACTACTTTAGTAGTAAACTTTTTTTAGACTACTAAACAGATACCCGGGCCTACCTAAATACTAATAAAGTCGGAGGCACAGGCTCTTAGGGCGACTTAAAACCTCTTAGAAAACTCAAATATATAAAGTAATTATATTAATTAGGAAGCTTAATATAATAAAGTAAAAATCTGATATGTATAAACAAATAAATACATAAGCTAAGTAACTAATTAGGTAATTTAATAAAATATTACCAATAATATCTAAATAGCTTCTTAGAGTCTCTACTATTATATACTATACTAATTAGTATAGCTTGAAGAAGCGATAGTATCCGAGTATTCGGCTTATTATAGATATATATATATTATTTCTCTATTATTGTAGAGAAGTGCCAAGTAGGGTGCCCAAGTAGCTTTTTTAGCTAGCTAAGGGAACTCCTATAACTCCTATATTCTAACAGAGACCCTTTTTTCTTATTCCCGCCGGAATCTCGACTATTCCTAACCTTCGGCTCACGTAACCCCGTTGGCGCCCCTTCTCAAACAAGCTCAGGCCCCGCTCAGGTCGGCTCATCCAACTTTCGAGACGAAGCTCAATTAAACAATCTTACCCTAAGACGAGTGTGCTCCAAGCACCCTCTTATGATTGGGATAAGCTAACTTGCTGAGTCCTCTAAACTACTACCACCATGGTTTGAAATATTGTGACAAAATTAGCTCTCTTCCAATTCTATATTGATTTATTAGTTGAAATTATCCTGCGTACCTTTTGAATTTTAGCTTATCCCGCTTGCTAGAGTGACACTTGAAAGCAGTAAGGGCTCTGGTATAGGGAGTGCGCCAACGAGCCGGTGGGTAGTTCACTCTAGGCTAGGATTAGGTTACCTATCAATACCACCAGAACTTGTCGAACTTTCAACGAGGGGCCCGAAGAGTAACGTATCTCAAAGCAGTTATACGTCTCAAATCTGTCATTACTATACTTCTACAAGCACACTAATAGATAAAGAGCTTGAAGTACTTTAGTAGGTTATATTCGTCCACTTGTAGGTTTTCCTTACGTCTAACTAACACCTCTCATATATTTCATTTCTGTGACGAACCCGATAAAAGCTCGATCAGAGGAAAAGCGCTGGTATAGTACGAACATATAGGGTGATTCAACTCCAATCAAGCGTCGTTATCGTATTTTGAACTCTCAAGGAAACTTAGGCTCCTTGTAGTTGACCGCTGAGTGGTCTTCGACTTCTACCAAACCTCGTGATAAGTGTGTTCCATCCGCCAAAGGCCGCAAGGCATAGGATTCTGAACGGGCACCCAAGCTTACAATTAAATCACCAACCTTGAGACTATTAATCCTAGCAGGACCAATTGCCAACCATCCATCGGCTGTTCTCAAGAGCTGGCGACCTTGATTGTGGACGTATAATTGAGAGCTCCATTTTTGCTGTGCCCAGTGGTGTATTAAAGCTATTAAATCATGATAATTTTTCGATTTCTATTTCATCAAACCGGACTCCAAGTCGGACAAATCCTTTTCTTCTACCCGGCCTAGCTGAAAGGCCTTATTGACAGATTCCCATTGACTAAGCCAGAAATCCAAGAATCCGGCCTTTGACTTCCATCTACCTTGGATTTTCTTGTGCCATCGCGAGCATAAATGCGATAATGGGAGAGGGAGGTTCCATTATCTTGAAGTGCGGCTTGACCGTTGCGAGATTGTATGATATCTAGAATCGATTTTTCTAGTAGCCATGGATTGCTCTCGTAGCAGAGGACTCCTTCCTGGACTGAGGCAATAAACGTGAAATCATGCACCCTGGGCAGGCATTGATCCAAAATGAGATGTCCTTCCCGGATGGCATGATTTGATTGAAAATGATACATCCCAGCTGGAGAAATGATAGATGTACAATAGGCTATAGAATCTAGTACTTCGCCGTATGCTGAGAGAAGGTTACCGTGGACTGTGAATTCTGGATGAGTGAAGTTGTCTTCGATACGATATGGATCATGGTCCAAATCATGCTCCTCCGAAATCTCCAGTACATCGCACCAGGGAGAAAAGCATGCAAAATCCGGTACGCAAGATGATGTTCCCGGTATGTGGCTCAGTGATGGCGACACAAAATTTTCGAGAAGAACAAGTCCCATGTTCTCAGAAAAGGCTTTGATCATAGCCCGTTGGTAAGCATGTCCAGCGCCCAAAGAGTAGTTTGGTTTCAACAGTCTTTGACTAGTATCGTTAGTCAATGATAACAGCGCCGCAATGCGATCAGTTGGATCTTGTGCTTTAGATCTCGAGAAGGCGATTAGGAGAACAGTTAAGGACCTCCGAAGCTTTAACTCCACAGCTTTCAAATGGCCTAGTACTTCTGAAACCCAAACACCAGCTTCATCATGCTCATATACTAAGTGGATGATATCCGGATATTTATATGACAGATTCCCTTTCATGTCCGAGATCTGAAGGATAACGTTGAGAATCTGATTACTTGGCAACTTTAGGCACGCTCGAAGATAACGAGCAGCCACAGAAAATATGTTCCAGCTGCATCTGTCCACTCCGCATAGAACGTCAGCCGTAGGAGACAAATCAACCTCCTGGATAATCCATAAGCGTCGGAAATATGACCGTGAGAAAAAGTTATAAAAGCCCTGCTAGAAATCTCCATTTACATCCTCCATGAACCTAGACCGCGTCTTCAGTAGCTTTTCAAGCTTCGCTTCCCATTCGGATTGGATCTGGAGATTTGCGCAAAGCGCCGAAGAGACCAGATGCTCCGGATAACGGAAGCAAGTCCGCGCGTCTCCTTGGTTGCGTTTCGATTCTTTACGGTAGTAATCTCGAAAGAACTTTTCTTTCTTGATCTCAAATTTCTTTTGTTCCTGTGCAAGATCTTGCAATTTCGCCATTGCCTTCGTTGTACCTGACCCTGCTTCCCCTAGCCAAATCAAGGCCTTGTGGCCAAACCTGTAAATTTGGCCCATCATCGCGACTTGCTGTGTTTTTCCCTCTATATCTTCTTGGTCAATGCAGAGTGCATCATTCTTACTCGTTAACGAGAGAAGCCAGCAAGTCCCGCGAGTCAGACCCGGACTTCGGCCAGCCTGTTTAGGGCTGTGATGGCGCGAAAGGTCTGCAACGGCTCTCTTGTTTCAGGGCGCATCGTATGTCAGGGAACAATTGGCTAGAAATCCTATCGTCGGACGCGGGAAGTATCTAAAACGCCGGGCAGTCGATCCCGAGTTAAACATCCCTTTTATACAACTGACGATCGTTGTCGACAGTTTATTATTACTATACGGAAAGAATTGGAATTTCTGCTTTCGCTTCCTGTAATAACGCGACATTCACTCACAGTAGATGCAATGCTCTGTACCGTGTGCGACAATATCACCCTCGAATCCCTAAATCGGCCTCATGGCTACAAGCACATGCCATCTTTCCACGCTCTCCAGGCATCTGCGGACGGTGGATTGTGCTCTGTGTGCGATATTCTCTGGAAAGCAGTTGACGCTGATCGCGTGCAAGAGTCTAAGGATAGACAGGAGAACGGAGACGATGAAGAGGAAGACGATGTCCTGCTCATGGATTTTCCTGTCCGATTGACCGTTGACGGCATGATTTGGGGAAATAAAGAGAAAGCTATCGAGAAGTTCAAAAATTCGGAAAGCAGGTGGCATAAAAGTGGTGCGACCTGGCAGTTATATAACTTGCAAACTGCGAAGGCGCCGGCCGTGCTCTTCGCCTGCTCTCTTCAGCCGGATGATTTTGAGCTGGGTCTGAAATTGAGGACCCGTGGGAGCGTGTCACTTTACCGAGAGCCCCGTAAAAATAGATAAGTTACTTTGTATAGCATCAGGAACAGAGAAAACTAAATGTGCGGGTAGGCATTGATATCTTCACCCACGATCCCTACGCAGGGCGCCGTGTTCAATCACAAGCCAATTCCGCTGCATGCTTTAAGCTTATTGCTCACTGGATGACGGTTTGTTTAACAAAACATACGCACTGCCAGCGAGCTGTGTGTCCATACAGCTGGACAGAGTACTCAGATGAATGGGCCAGGTCCCCAAGCAACAACTCGCTAAGATCCGACTCGGAACAGTCAGACAGTCACCCTGTTGTGGAAAGTCCCGAAAATTCTTCCCTGGACGTTGCTGAACCAGTTGACTCTCTGAAATATGAGAACGATGAGTGTGAACTCTATGCGGCTTCTCCAAAACGAGACAGACCTATGCCCCCTGGACCATTTAATGAACTAGGGAGTAAGTACGACAAGTCTGAGAACCACGAGGTTTCTGGGACACAGATCCCATCACAACGGCCTCCAAAACGTGCCAGGTTGAGTTCCCCTGGACCAGTAACGCCTTCAGGCTCCTCCTCCGAGGTCTCCACGCCAAGGTTTGGATCAGACCCTGCTATCGTAACGTCGAATCTCAAGCAACTTCAGGAAGCCACCGCAGCACAACTAAATCATACTCGCTCACTGACCAAACGATCACCATTAAGTCGAGGAGTCCTCAACAGAACAATGCATGCTCCTCGGCGTGGAAATTCCTATGGTCCAATCGATGACGGTAATAATAAACTATATTTCCGCAGCGAAGAGCTCCTCGGCTTGCAGGAAAACCCATGGAATTACTACGGTGTCGAATTGCCCTCAAAGCCTATACCGCTTCTCCCTACCAGGTATATATACGTAGATTGTAACCCTCCACAGCTCTGTGTTGCGGAAACCGATGCTCGTGGATTCTACATTGCACTGAGCCACTGCTGGGGGAAAACTCGGCCACTGGTGACGACCACATACACCCTGGCCGATCATCAGAAAGGAATACCGCTGAAAGAAATGCCGCAAACTTTCCAAGATGCCGTGATAATCACCCGAGAACTTGGTATCGAATACTTGTGGATAGACTCACTGTGCATTCTACAGGACTCCAAGGATGACTGGGAGAAGGAGTCAGCCAATATGGCCAGTGTTTACGGCAATGCTTTTCTCACCATCAGTGCGTCGGCTTCAGAAAGCCCCGAGCAAGGTATCTTTCGGCCGCGGACCATCCCACCTGGCCCGCCTGTCGAATTGAGGTGTAACGACTCTGACTACGAGCCTATCTACATCGACTACAAGCAGGAAAACACGCCGTTCCAAGAGCGACAACCAACAGACAGCAGAGCGTGGTGCTTTCAGGAGATGACGCTCTCTCCAAGGGTACTCGTGTATGGAAACGAAATGCTTGGCTGGCTGTGCGACAGCTCCATGGATGTCGAGCATGGCTATGTCGTGGAGCAGTACGAGAACCCCGACCCTCCTCTCCTGGCTCCGCGTTTGAACGCTATGCCAGCTAAAAACCCGCTCGAACACCTTGGCTATCCTTTTACGCTTTACCACTACTCGAGAGAGAGGGAGCGAGTAGTTGGCCGCTGGGCATCCATGGTGAACGCTTTCACCAAGCGCAAGTTGACGTACGAGAGTGACAGGCTCACGGCTCTCTCGGGTATTGTGAAGGAGATCCAGCTCCAGACGGGTGACGAGTACCTCGCTGGGCTGTGGCGACAGGACCTCACGCACGACTTATTATGGGAAGTGGACACTTTTTTTGCTACCAAGGACTCGACGTGGCATCGGCCTGCAAAATACAGGGCCCCATCTTGGTCGTGGGCGGCGATTGAAGGTCCCATCCGCATGGATCTCCGTCCTTCTGAGCTGGATAAAGCACATGGCGACGTCAACCCTCCCGCTGGTGATGTGCGGGTCTTGGAAGCCAAGACCACACCGATCGGGCAAAATCCTTACGGCGAAGTCAGTGGTGGGTATCTGAAGCTGTCGACTCGGCTCTGGAAAGTCGTCTTACGCCCTTTCCAGAACAACAAATCCGTTAATCCTAAGTACTGGCTGCAGCCGAATAAGTGGAAAGATGGCAGGATCATGCATAGACAGAGGGATGTGCATACTCCAGAAGGAGAGCGGATAGGCAGGTGCGTTCTCGACATGCCGGATGAGAGAGACTGGGATGCAACGGAGCTCTGGTGGGTGAAGGTTGACGTGCGTGAGTCGGGAGTGCTCGTTATGAAAGATTGCAAGGGAGACGCTTTTGCACGCGTCGGGACGGTGTGCCGGGCTGGTGTTCTCCCGGAGACGGAGATAGTAGAGATTCTCCTAGTTTAAGCATAGAGACGTGAATCAAGCCCTCATTAAATGATAAATATGTGTACTTTCCATTAAAACTTTAAAGAAGTGGGTCTAAACACCCTCGTCAAGTACCAGTACGAAATTCAATTGTTGCATTTCTTCACGCCATAGCCTACAGTATGAGCTCAGAAAAAGGATCAAATATAGTGTGCATAATCGACAGTTCTACTTACAGTTTGGACTTGGTGCATCTGCCTGACTTTTACACCGCATACAACTTATATTGTTTCTTGCTAGATGTGCCAAGAGAGTGTTTTCAAGGAGGCCCATTTCAAGCTTACTGTATTTATTCCTTTTTCTACTACCATGCAGGAGCTACTTGATATCCCTTTTCAACCCCTCTCTTATATGCCGTTTTTATTTCGCATCACTTTCCATGTATGAATGCCGGTTTGGATATAGCTTCAACTAATAGCTTCGCAACTTAATGCGGCTAGAACAGCTATAAGAGCTAAAATAACTGACGCAGAGAGATTGTTTTGCAAGCTCTCAACCTGCTTACGCACTCTAAAAGAGGCCATTAACTAATGTGAAAGGGAGGTGGGTGGGTGTTTCGAAACTGCGAGGGAAAGTGATGGAGGAGGAAGAGAGAGCCTTCTAGGGATTCCCTTGTTAATATACCCCTGATCCCGCTGTAGAACAAGGCCTTTTGAAGGTACCTTAGCAAACAAGATCCTGCCAGAAGCCTCCCGCTGTCTCGCTTGCTCTATAAATATCCTCATATATTTCCCCATCCGACTAGAGGTCCAAACCTCAAGTTTCTGGGGTGTTTTGTTTAGTATTAATCGACTTATGGACATACAGCATCGATCCAAATACCCTTTAGATCGGACCTCGCAATCTTCCACAGTTGGCACAATGCATTGTGCAGATTTTCCCGAATGAGAATACATCGATCGTTACAGCGTAAGGCGAAGCACTGCTGTTCGACATCGAGACCCCATGGATCTCCCCAAGTATATGACAAGCAGCAGTACGTAGGCTTGTCATCGAGGTCTAGTGTTTTCAAATCACAAACGATGACACCGTGCATAATTGAGCCCACGTAGAGCAGCCTGATAGTGGTTCGGAAAGTGTTGATAATTGGGACCCAAATTGGTACACGTAATACAGGTAATTGATTGGTCAGAATGGGTCATGGAATGGGATAATTGAATTGATTAAGGAGCTTAATACTATAGGGTGAAAGCTTCATATATATAAACAAATGAATGTATAAGGTCAGGTGATCAATCAGGTGACTCAAGGAAATAGTACCGAATAGCTTCCCAGGGCTTCTATCATTATATACTATACTAATTAGTATAAGATACAATAATATCCGAGTATTCAGCTCATCGCAGGTACACATACAGTGACCGACACTAAGTATTAGCCGAAACACGTAAAAGCGTGTCAAACCGCGACTTTCTTTTTTCCTCCTTCATCCTTTTTTTATTAATTATGGAACAACCACGCTCTCCCCTAGGCCCTATTGATAGGAATAGGAAGTGTAAGGGTCCTGAATTAACTCCTTATGAAAGAGGACGTATTATTGGCGCACGTATCGCTGGTTTATCCGCCCGCCAGATTGAGCTCGAAATGAAGGTCTCTCGCTCCGCTGTGAGGGGTACAATTGCCCTTGAAATATTAAGATCAAACAGAGTGTCTCTATCTCGTTCTAGCAGGCCAATTCTCTATACTGAACGGGACTGTTGATCTATACTCCGAAATCTCCGATCTTATCCGAAATTGACGTTCCAACAATGTCGCGAAGATACTAGCCTCAAAATGAGTAATACTTATATCAAGAACTTTGTACGAGCGAATAACTTATTCTACTAGCACGTAAATAAAAGACCGGAATTTACTAGTAAAGTAGCTGCTATTCGACTACTCTAGTACAAAGTTAAGAAGTACTAGGACATGGAATAGTAGAGGAAATATATATAGAATAATAAATATTCTACAGAGTATAGACGGGGCAAAGTAGTAGAATAAGTATTCGGCGTCTTTGACAACAAATGGAAGCTAGAGATAGTTACAATATATAAGAAAGGAAAGTAGCTAAGAGTAATAGTATAAGCAGCTTTCTAGTGATATACACAAAGGACAGAGTTATATATAATAAATAGAGACTTCGAGTCGAAGAAGAATAACTACTCTGTTATTTCTTATATCGACATTCTCGAGTCTATTTTCCTTACTTATTACAAAGACGATCTTATCTTCATATAAGACAACGTCCTAATCTATACTTCAAAAAAAGTCAAGGAATAGTTCGAAGAACACGGAATAGAGACTTATAATTAACTTCCTTACTCCCCTGATCTCAACTTAATTGAGAATGTTTAATAAGTTTTGAAAAAGAAAGTATTAGAGCTATTCCTACACTTAGTTACAGTTATAGGGGAGACAGAGTAGGATCGAAAGGACCTAGAAGAAGCTCTAAAAGTAGCTTGGGCTACGTTGCCCGACGAGCTTTTTGAGTCTCTAATAGAGAGTATGCCGAGGCGGATTATAGCTTATATCGAAGCAGATAAGTAATATACAAAGTATTAGGAATTTGAAAGTACTATTTGAATTAGCAGAATTGTTATCATTTAGTTTAAAATAGATTTCATCTACTTTGTATTCGAATCGCTCTATTTTTGATGAAGTTATTTAATAATTCAATAGCTGTAGTTCTATACAAGAAATGGTGGTTTTCTCTTAAGGCCAATACTTAATGTCTAGTACTGTATCTCATTTCTCCCTTGTAGTAGAGAAGTGCCAAGTGGGGTGCCTAAGTGGCTTGATCAGCCGGCCAGGGGAACTCCCATAACTCCCATATTCTAACAGAAAGGGAGTCGACAGTAGGTATAAGACAATGCGAGCATATAAGAAAGAATAGGACATGAAAATGGCTGATGGAAAGAGTTGCCTGGAGCCTGGTGGCCCATTTGGTGCTGCTTAGTCAGGATTCATTATAGGTGAGCGGCGGACAGGGTCTTAGCGGGCCGAGGGTCTACCGCGGTGGGTGACTTGCTGTTCCTTTCTTGGGGATCGATGCACTCTGTATCAATCACAAAGATCTGGACGAGCGTGCGCAACAGGTAAACTTGATGCTGCGCATCTATGAGGAGGCCGTACACGTCACTGCATGGCTTGGACCTGAAGACGAAGATTCTCGATGTGTCGCTGAAACACTTAAGCCGCTGGAACTTTACCTCAATACAACAGCTCTGCCCTCTTGAAAGTGGCAGTAAGCTGCGACGGCATCGATCGCGGCGTTGCGCCGGCGGAACTGTTCCTCTCATGTAGTCCCGGGCAAAGTCATAATTGTCTCAACCAAAAACTTTTGCATCGGTGGCATCTCAGGAGGCTGCATGAACTTGGGCTTCGGGACATCACTGAATTTGAGGCCGGTATTGGAAATTGATTTTTGATGCAAATCGAGGTGGCTAGTTCTGTAATCTTCAGCGCAGTATTACAATCTCAAACAGGGTCATATGCTAACATAGAATGCTGCGATTGTTACTGATCAAGGGTATACACTAAGCTACGTAGCAATGACTAAATGGCCACGATGGCGGTTTTCGATTGCTTCCTGTCTATTTCACTGTTGACTAGAGTAGGATTCAACAAGTGCAATGCGCTTTCAAGGGCGCAGGAGAGTTTGATTGACAAGTTGACTATTCTCCGCCTTTCTTATCCCAGGTATCTGCCTTTTTAACCTATCGGAGACAGGCAATGGCTACAAGAAAGACTCGTCGACACACCTCACTCTCTGTTCAGAGCTTGTACTCCTGGACTTGTGGTGTGACCGATATTTTCTGGACTAAGCCTTTGGGCGCCAAACATGCCCATACCAACTGGGTGAATCTCATCTTTACTAGGGACGACAACTATCGAGTGGTTAGTATGCTACATATATCCCTTCATCGGTAGGCAAATTTCAACGACAATTTGGTTTATATGACAAGTTCACTACTGTTTGCACTTGAGCATATCTTCTATCTTCATACAGGCCCGAGAGATAAATCGAGTTTCGAGAATATCTTTTTGTGTATGAGCGACGCTTCCGGATTTCTCAAGGGGTTTTCCTTGCGAGGCTTGGACGTTATCCGAACCTACCGCTCGTTTGATGAGCAATTGAGGATTTTAGAAAGTCTTCGGCTATGGAAGCCCCGTTTCTTGAAATAATTTTATTATTTCGGAGAATAGTCGTTACAAGGTTCCTCATTAGATCATATTTGGTCCCGTGGTAGAAATGATTTACTGGCAAGTAGATAATCCGTCTCACGATCTTGCATAAATCCGTAACGGCTTCGTAAGTACACTCGACGGCCCGGGTACTAGACATCTTAACTTTATGGAGTACGGACTTCCAATTCCTCCGACAATTTAGCATCGGTAGATGTCATGTGCCATGATCCAACGTACAAAACCACAGCTCGGCACCTGATTTCGGTAGTCGGTAGACATGTTCGATCGCCGTCCCTCACACCCACCGCAATTATCAACCGAATGCCAGCCGCTGCGGCTGACAAGAAACATGAAGGAAGAAATAATTCATAGTATATAGAGAAGTTCGGCAACTGCCTACCTCTTCCTAGATCATATCAATTACCAATCATTATGTCTCCCAGCACATCCGCATACGCGATTCGAGAGGAGCCTCTTGGTAGCGTTCGCCATGTTCGAGTCGTTACCATTGGGGCCGGTGCCAGCGGCCTCAATATGATACGCACTCTACGGAACCGTCTTACGAACTTCGAGCATGTTGTTTATGAAAAGAACCCAAAGGTGGGCGGGACCTGGTATGAGAACAGATATCCCGGCTGCAAATGCGACATTCCTTCTCATAGTTATCAATTCTCATGGAAACCAAACCCTTCGTGGACCAGTTTCTTTTCACCTGCAGAGGAGATTCAACAGTACCTATGCAGACTTTGCGATGAGGAAAAGCTTGACAAAAGCATTTTGACATCACACAAAGTGGTGCGTGCTGAATGGGATGAGGAGCAAGGTATTTGGAAGTTGCAGGTACAAAATCTTGTTACAAATACGATATTTGATGATTACTGTCACTTCCTACTAGATGCCTCGGGGATTCTGAAGTAAGCTAGCCACTTCCGCGGCCTGTTACGTGTGTCTATAGTATAAGCTAACACCTATTAGCAATTGGAAGTGGCCAGACATCGAGGGTTTGCGAAGCTTTACTGGCGAACTCATTCATAGTGCAGACTGGCCAAAGCATTTCGAGTATGCTGGCAAGAGAGTTGCGGTCATTGGAAATGGATCATCGGGAATCCAAATTGTTCCAGCAATCCAGCCTGGTTAGTAGACATCCTGGAGTATGAATTGGCATTAATCCTCTCAGACGTCAAGCAACTGGTCCATTTCGTGAGATCTCCAACATGGATCGTACCTCTGCAACTACAGACCCTTGCAGCTGGAAATGCTGCCCCTATCCTGAGCACAATTGACATGGATGGCGACAAGTTTTCCAGCTCGCAGATCGAGAAATTCAAGAAAGACTTTAGCTTGTATGATCGATTTGTCAAGACGGTCGAGAAAGAAAGCAATACCTCATTTCCAATTGTGGGTGTCTACTTTATTGAGACTTATGAGACGGGACAGCTAATTTTCAATACCTAGGTCATTGCGGGCAGTGACAGAGCTTCCCGAGCGTTTGCAATGATAACTGCATATATGAAGTCAGAATTGCAAAATGACAAGCGACTCATCGATGCATTGGTACCTAAGTTTCCAGTGGGTTGTCGGCGGCTGACACCTGGAGTTGGATACATGCCAGCTTTAAAAGCTGGCAATGTTCGAGTCATCACCGATTCAATAACGCGTGTACTTCCTCAAGGCATTCAACTTAAATCAGGAGAGGTCGTGAAAGTCGATGCAATCATCTGTGCAACTGGTTTTGATGTTTCTTTCTGCCCGCGATTTCCATTGATTGGAAGAAATCGCAATCTTCAAGATATCTGGACGCAACAGCTTCCGACAGCGTATATGTCTTGTGCAATCCCTGACTTCCCCAATTATTTCAGTAGGTCCCACAGATTAAACTAGCCATCCCAAGTAGTATTTGGCTAAGCTTAGATTTTAGCATTTCTAGGTCCAAACGCCCCAATCGGCCATGGAAGTGTTCTTTCCATTACAGAGCACATGGCTAAGTATATCGTACGAATCATTCAAAAATGCCAAAGCGAAGGTATCAAAGCCGTCTCACCAACCAATTCAGCCGTTCGAGACTTCAATACACATATCAACGCCTTCATGCCCCGGACCTCATGGGCGGGTAGTTGCCGATCGTGGTTTAAGAATGGCAAAATGGACGGCCCTGTGACTGCTTTGCATCCCGGGAGCAGGGTCCACTGGTTTCACATGCTTGAACGGTTCAGAGGAGAGGATTTCGAGTACGTGTATGACTCGACCAATAGATTCGCCTATTTGGGTAATGGATTCTCAATGAGAGAGATGGCAGGCGCGAATTCTACGTGGTATCTTGATAGACCTAATAAGTTATGATTTTGGCTTTCGCTATATTATTCAATGCCACTAAGTAGCTCTCTGTATAAAATAAAAATTCGCTGTATGTGGCTTGACTTTTCTTAAAATGCCCGGTTTGGTCGCCTAGCTTCAAAGCATTGAATTGTGGCATGATTTTGTGAGCAGGAAATCTATGACGCCATGCTAATTGTAACTTGGAACTCATAGAGGTGGTAACTACGATGTTTCTACGACTGTCTTATTGGGCTTCTCATCTGGAATGGAGAGCATGTCATATGTTCTGTAGTCGAATTAAATATCTCCATCAGTATAACTCAAGATCAATGGTGAGATCACCTGGGTCAGATTTTGCAGTTCTAGTCTAGAAGGTCTAGAGCTAGTAATACTGGCTGGATCTGAGTTTTACTCAGATATTTGGCTGTGGAGCTAGAGCCCCTGACCAAAAGCTATCTAGGATGCAGCGTTAGGTGTCACTAATGCAAATGAGAGTGCCTTGTAATTAAAGAACTATCTCTCTATTCGACTATAATCGTAGGTACGAAGATATTAAGCTAAAGAAGAAAGGAGAGAGAGTGCGACTTTTTTAAGGGTATACATCCCCTCGGCGGGTCACGTGCCACATACACGTGATGCTGCACGTGATCGGTCAGCTGGAGTGGGCGCACGTGCTGGGCGTCGCTCCAGCTCCGTCACATTAGGTTTCGAATATTAACTTTTAGTCGGTGGATATGTGTAGAATATCCACGAAACTGATCATGTGCTACAACGATTATAAAGGAAGATTTCACGTACTGCCTGCTGTCTCCACCTTATCTCATACTTATATTTTAGATACATCGACATCAGGCTGTTAAGCAGGCCAAAATGATTTTATTATTTACAAAGAGCTGCGGACAATGATACTAGACCAATCTAGTTCCCCCAAAGAGGCCTCGACACTCTTCAGCCCCTTTTTCTCATCTTCAGACAGCAAAGACACGCCTTCTACCATAGTCGCGCCGGGGAGGTCATCCCCAATCAAACCCTGTTGCCTCATCTTTGCCAAATGCTCAAAGAATACCCACTGACTTGATTGCTCTTCCCCCATGTGACCCCAGAGAGAGACATAGTCGGCGACCGAAATTTGCACCACCTTCGTAGAATTTGGCGCAGGCGAAATCCCACTCGCCTTTCCCCACAAAGCGAGGTACGATTCCAGAGTCAAATCTTCAACATTACATCTCACGTAGGTTCCAGCCTCCGCAGGAGGCCTTTCAACAATGGCTCGCACAAAAATGCCAGAGTTTGTGGCATGATCCCCGACGCATGGATATGGAGAGTCAGGCGAAGTAGGGTAGAATTGCACCCACTTTTGCGCACTCGCCTAGCATCCTATTAGCAGTTTGTGCAAAGTCATCTGTCAGAGGGGGGGAAATTACCAGGTAGACAGGCCTAAAGATTGGGTAGTGGTGCATATTGACGGCGAAGATTGTGAAGATTGTGAAAGTTGTCTTGGCATATAATTCTGGCAAGTTCTCTTTGATGAATGTACTAGCACGACCCTTTCCTTCGAAATGAGGAACAATTGCTTTGCCCTCTGTGATCTTGCTGGTATGAGGAAGGGTACTACAAACGTATCTCTTTAGAGTCGGAACTCTGGATGCGGCTTTTGCCATGTTCGTGCCCTGAGTGAACTCGAGTTCCATAGATGCATCTTTTCCCTTGGTGAAGAAGTAATCGTAATAGTCGGTAACTCCGAAAATAGCATAAGCTCCTTCGAAAGCCTTCTCAAGACTCTTCTCATCGTTCAAGTCAGCCGCGACCACCTCGACCCCTTTGGCGACGAGAGCCTTCGCTTTCTCACTGCTGGGATTCCTCGTGATACCTCGCACGCGATATTCGGGGCTTTGAAGGAACTCATTCACAACTCCACCTCCTTGTCCGCCAGTTGCCCCGACTACAACAATCAATTTTGCCATGTTTGCAGTGATTATCAAGATAATAAGATGTGAGATTTGTATGGAAATATGATGCTGTTGAAATACTTACCATTAGAAGCCGAGGAGGCTACACCTTTATAAATATAAACACCTATACATTTCTGAGAGCGGTTCTAACTCGCACAGTGACACTAAAGTTGACACATTGCCGTTACTATCCATAACCATGCGTTGATGTTCACACTCGGCACTCGGCACTCGGCCTGTCGATTTTGTAGGCGATAAAGTTAGCATCGGCAGGCGGCAGACAACTGCCGCTTTCTGTTTCACGGGTTCGGAGCAACCCAAAACAAAACAAGATGTAATACATGAATCATGCTGAACATTCATCCGACTACCCCTCTTAGCGAATGCCGACGACTCAGTGACTTAGGATCAAAATTTGAAACTCTTCCCATCATCACAGCCAACAACATCATCATTTACGAAGTATTTCAAATCCGTCTCTTCTCGGATTATAAGAGCAAACACCCTTTTTATATTGTTCTTCAATTAGTCTATTGTACTTTGTTACTAAGACAATTATCTACTTTCTAGGAGCTTTGTTAACCTTTGTCTTGCCCCTCCACAATGGCATCCACACTAAAAAACGCAGCTCGAGTTGAGGGTGCGTGGGAGCTAGTCTCGTTCATTCTCTACGCAGGAGAAAGCCTCACACCGATTGCCACGCCGTTAGGTGAAAAGCCCCTAGGGAGGATCATGTTTCTACCATCAGGATATATGAGCTGCACGTTGACCAATCCGGATGCAGCTAAGCCCATTCAGGCACCACAATGGGCTGTAGCTTCAGATGATGAGATAGTGTCTATCTCAAGGGCCATGACAACATACTGCGGGCACTTCAGAACCTTCGAAGAGAATGGAGACTTGATGCTGGCGACCAAGGTGGATATAGCCTTGGACCCCAACTGGATTGGGTCGGTTCAGACGAGGAAGGTCATTCTTCACGAAGCTCAGGGGACGAGGTTCATGACATTGAAGCCTGTCCAAGCTCTGCTGCTGCCTGTAAGTTCTCCTTCAAGAACTATAGACATCATCTAATTTTCATACAGAATGGGATGAAGGCTACCGGAGTTCTCCTTTGGAAGCAGATTGAGGACAAGAAACTGGTTGCAAGTCTTTAAACTGCTGTCACTGTTAAGCTAGTCTACGAGCTTGTTAGCAAATTTCTATTTATACGTGAAGAATATAACCTGGACTCACAAAGAGAGTTTCTCTTGTACGTAGCCTTCATAAAATAAGGCTCAATGTCTAAACAAACGTCAAATTCGAAGAGTACTGAGACCCGAAAGTGAGGGCTTCTGCAATTGCTCCACGTATACTTCCTCTATAATCACGGACGACAACTCAGCCCACTAGAATCTCCTTCCGTCTTCAAACCTGAGCAGTGGCCGCTCTAACCTGAGCCAAAACCCGAGTCCTAAGCACGCTAATGAGTCAGCTGGATTTTGCTCAAGGAGTCCTTTTCCGGCGCCTCACAGATCGGCTATAATTTCCATATTACTTATATCTGGAATTATGCAGATCTCGGTCTCCTGCCTGTAGCATAGCCACCTCTCTAGCCTAAGATACAGTACGGTGACTGTTTTGTTCCCTTATCACAGTTATCAAGGGTCCTTGCAGCCGGTTCAGACCCCTCGTCACGTAACCCATAAGCGGACGGAGGTATCATTAACGACTTAGATATAAGAACAAACATTAACTTTTCTTTGCCGAGCCTCAAGTATTGATATATTGGTGTTATAACAGCTGTGTCTTCGCTGCCACGGCCATTGCGGACTTTTGAGTGACTTCTCGTCCTGTAGGAATATACTTGAGTCTTTACAACGTGGCTGTGCGGACACAACACTTGCATTGCTACTCGTGATGAGATATGGTTTCAGCAATTGAACAAAGAACAGTAAACAAAGGCGAGTTCATAAGAAGTCCATCCTTATAAACTCACACCTCCGAGACTCGGATCCGAATTTATAAGTCACACGCAAGCAACTTGGTTGAAGTGATGAACTGGGAGGCTCGTCAACTCTCCTTCTCTTGTAGATTTCCCCATTATATCTGAATATAGCGGTCCAGTGGGAGCTGGTGTGAGCCTAATTCTGATTTATAAGCATGAAACGCCAACTCGTGATAGTGGAGCGCAAGTGTAAAACTATGGCCCTATCATCCCACATATACTAAACCAATATAAAACCACGCTTTATACCCCAAAATTTATTTGATTTCTAAGCCACCAAAGATTCTCCTGCATATACCGCAATAACCGCTTTCGTTTAACAATACATAAAACAACCAGTACTCATGATCTAAATCTTTTATACAAAATTTGAAGTATTTTCAAACTCTTGATGGAAGTGCTTAACAGCTAACAAAATGCCATTCACACTCACCTCCACCCACTTAACATCCCTTCCCTTTGCGGGAGGGGTATTGGAACCCTTCCTCTCGGCATCCGATCCCGAAGTGCACTGGGTCATTGGTGATCCTGCTCGGAATAGTAAATGCTCTATTGGAGTTGACGTGCGTTTCCCCTCTCATTACCCTAAGAGATATTTGCTGGGCAAGAGCTAAAATCGGAAACAGAATGTCGAGTCCTGGAAGGAGAATCTTTTTCTATGTTCTTCGGTTCAACTAAACTATAGAGCTACACCTGCCTTGGATAATATCTTTTAGCGATGGAGTCGGCGGAGATGACTTGAAGAAGATGTAGGCTCATCAGGTATCTGTTCGCAGTGAGGGGATTTCGGGTCGGTTTGAGTTCGAGTTCGGGTTCTGCTTTGTCTTTGTGCTTCCAAGGTGTATCCTTAACAGTGCAAGTATTGCTCTCAAGTATCCCTAAATCAACGCTACCGATTTTTAGATGCTAGCTTTTATCAAGGAACCAAGAATATGGGTAGCTTGTAGCATGGAATTTTGCTAGTCGATATAATTAAACATACAACCCAATGTCTCTAATCCCTTCCCTATTCAATCAGAAAAACTTCCTAGACCCTCATCCATAAGCTCAGAACCCCCGTTGCATACTCCGCGATCTCTGATGACCCAAGCTTCGACTCCCCGTATAAACGGTCTACAAAGCTAATAGGCACCTCAGCGACAGAGTATCCCATTGACTTCGCCAGTACCATAAGTTCCATCTGGAATACATACCCTTTGCTTTGCACTTTCATGATAACCTTTTCCAACACGTCCTTTTTGTATAACCTGAAGCTGCCAGTGAGGTCACTTACACCTGGACGGAGTAAAGTATCCGCGAAGATGTTTGCGCCTTTTGAGACAAGCTTCCTCTTTAGATCCCAGCCGTAGACGCCTCCATCCTTTCCAGAATATCTTGTACCAGTCACAATGTCATAGTCTTTTGTCGATTGAACTCGAATCATATCAGGTATGAATTTGGGGTGATGGCTAAAATCGGCGTCCATGATGATCACAAAATTTCCTGTAGCGAATTGGACTAACAACAAGAGGTTAAATCAATGCAAAATAGCCTTCATACGGGATTTTCTTACGACCGTGAACGTACGCGGTGCCCAGTCCAAGCTTCCCCGAACGTTCCTTGAGGATGATCCGGTTGGGAAATGCTGTCTGCAGTTGTCTTGCAATTTCAGCGGTATGATCTGGACTGGCATCATCGACAATGATGATTTCGTATTCCAAGCCACTATATTCTGTTAGATATTATGATTTTATTAGATCTTTGACAGATCCCATATCATACTTCTTCGTGAAGCTGTCGTTGAGCAAAAAGACAATAATGGGCAGGTTCTTCCTCTCGTTGTAGGTCGGTAAAATGACGGAATATTTGTTTCCAGGAGCCATTGCTTTTGGTTGCTATCAAATGAAGTCGATGCCTGCGAGGGGTTGAAGCCGAAGACAATAGAAAATGTTCTGAAGGACGCGTTCAGGACGACGCGCCCAGCAGTCTGTTCGAACACCCTGTTCCGATATCACATGATATAGCGCGTTGGAGCTTAGTAATCATGATTAGATCACGATTGCGCACTCGCATTACGGAGTAGACTTAGGAAAACAACCTTGCACTCAATAATCAAGAACAACCTCCCTTGAGGCGAGGGTGAGTAGCGCCTGAACAAAGCGACAACGTTGATTAACCGAGAAAGGAGGGAAAAGACAAAATTGTCGTCTGAGACTTCCCGAAAATTCCTAAAATTGTTCATGTTTGCCAAAATACAGCTCTACAACCATATAGAGAACTCTAGTGCCAAGATGGAAATGAAACATAAATACAAGAATTGTAAAATCCCAACCAACTTTATCAAGGTTTTCTCTATTATTAGTATCGAAATTTCCTACTGCGTAGTTCATTGTAGCTTAAACTTTTGATGTGTTCTGGTTGTGCGCAGAGCAACAGCAAAAATCTTGCAAGTTTCGGACAGTGGACAGATGTGAATCGAGACCTAGCTAGGAGTGGAAGACTTCTTCATTTCGTCCTCCCGTCTTCATTTCCACATAAGCCAAGGAAAATTCAATCATCAGCTGCACAAGGGGCGATACCGACAAATTCCTACGACTGTCCTCCTGTCAGCCGAGTACCGCAACATGGACCGAACCGTGCTTGGGCGTCTGTGTCCACTACCACAGGGCGAACTCTGTATTGCCCCTCCCCCGCAATCCCCAGTCTACTGGTCTAGATGTGGGGTAGTGGTGCTCTTTGGACGCTGCCGTAGGAGCATAGACTAATATAAAACCATGATCATCTCCGGCCGGATGGTTACTGCAATATATTTCGTCAAAATAGATTCTTCACCGGCGCCTTCATCCCACCCCACATTAATCTCTCACAACCCAGAATGAGTCAACCTGTTGAGCCAGTCACCAGCGCGTGCAGCTTTACAAAAGATGTCGAGAAGTCAATGGACACACCTGCTAGTGATGTAGACGTGGGTGCCCAACTGGCGGGCGCCAGTGTTGGCCAGGGCCTTACCGTGGCGGAGAACAAGCGAATTGTCCGTCAGATCGACATGCTCCTGATGCCTTTGATGTTCGTCTCGTATGGATTGCAGTATATGGACAAGACAATTCTGGCAGCATCAGCTCAATTTGGCATCGTTGAAAATCTTGGTCTATATGACCTGGTTCTTCAGAACGGCAAAGTTACTACAGATCTTCAGAAGTTCTCGCACGCCACCTTGATATTCTACTGGGGGTTTGCCTTTGGTTGTGAGTATTTTTCTCACAAAATTTCAAGCATATATCTAATGGATTATAGCTCTCCCTGCGGCCTATCTTGCCCAACGTTTCCCCATCGGAAGGTTTTGCGGTATATCAATTGCTGTTTGGGGCGGAATCACTATGGCAACTGCAGGCGTAACTTCATATCCCGGTATGATGGTACTACGGTGAGTTCCTAACCACTCCCTCAAGACATTCCACTGAACAGTGCAGTTTCTTCCTGGGGTTCGTCGAAGCCGCCATTCCTGCTGCATTTTCCCTCATTGTCGCCATGTGGTATAGAAAAAATGAGCAACCTCTCCGGTTTGCCATCTGGGTTTCCGCGAGCGGACTTGGCGGCGTGATTGGAACCGCCATACTTTGGGGCATTGGGCATATCCAGGGCTCTCTACACCCATGGCAATACCAATTCTTGATCCTTGGAGCAGCTACCACTGTTTGGGGTATCGTAGTCGCCGTGGTGCTACCGAATAATCCCGTTGAAGCAAGGTTTTTGTCCACACCGGACAAAGTCCTCGCTGTCGAGCGGATGGTTGCAGGCCAGACTGGCATCGAAAACTCGCGATTTAAAATGTACCAGGTTAAAGAGGCCCTCTTGGACCTCAAAACCTGGGCGTTTGTCTTGATCACCTTCTGTGTTGAGCTTGTCAACGGTGCTGTGTCAGGCTTTGGCACGATTATTGTCAGGTCCTTTGGATTCGAAGCCTTCGAGGCTGTCCTTATCGCCGGTTCGATGGGGGCTGTAGTTTTTGTGTCACTTCTTTTATCTGGGTATGTTCACTCCTAAATTCCATTGAATGGTTTTGTCATCTCTGACCCTCATTTTTGTTCAGAACCACATCAGTCTATTTTCCAAATCAGCGCTGCAACATTGCATGGGTTACCACGTTGCCGGTACTCGCAGGGAGCGTCATTGTGTGGAAGGTATCCTGGGCGACTGTTGGTCCACCACTTGCTGGATTCTTACTCCTTGGCTTCTTCACCGCCCCTTACATCATGATATTGGCTTTAATGACAGCCAACACTGCAGGTCATACCAAAAAAGCAATTACGACATCATTGATTTGGGGAGCGTACTGCGTTACAAATGGAGTTGCGCCACTTCTGGTGAGAACAACAGAGGTGCTTGACCATTACCCTACGCTGTTCTTGCCACTCATTGCTTTTCTTTCCCTTTCTGTTGTCATAGTGTTTGTCCTCCGGTGGTACCTGAGCTATTGCAATAAGCAGAAGGACGTGATTGGGAATGCAAATGAGGTGTCCACGCTCAACACTGCATTTGCAGATATGACAGACAAGGAAAACCCGAACTTCAGGTATTCGTACTAAGAAGAATATGAGGCGAAGTCTGAAGGGGACTTTACCTGCATATTTGACCGGGGAAGGGAGCGAGGGGACACGATCAGGAGATATCAGTCGAGAGTTAGTTGAGTATAGGAATTTGGAGCTCATTCAGATTAGTTCTTCTAGTGTAGTGAGACAGCTCATGGTTATCTAGTTATCTCCTAGCTCTGTTGCTCACTCAACCAGTTCGCATTCACAGTTTTTGGGAGGCAGGGCCAAGCCACGGACACTGGAAACCTAGTCAATCCCTCTTTGCTTTTAAGTCCTCTCGAAATAATTTTTTTACTCGTTTGCTACTTTGGTTGATACACTTCCTTTGCTTCCAGCCTCCGTACAGAGTCGTACTCATGCGATGGTAACACGACCACATCCCGACCCCGGCAGAACTCCTTGATTTTCCTCTGCGATTCCAAAGCAACCAATGGCTCAGTGTTGATCCCATCTATTAACTCTTTGTCTAATAGATCCAAACTGTAGGCAGCATCACCTACCAAAAGGAAAGTTATGTCCTCATCAAAGATGATGACAGATAGATGGCCTGGAACATGACCCGGTGTATCAACTGCAACAATCTTCCCGTCGGAAGTGATTGGATAGCTCTTGGTCCATGGCCCAATCGCGGGGCCATCTGGCTTTAGAAACCGAGGCTGAAAGTCCTCTGGCCAAGCCTTGGGGTTTGCTCCCTCCAATGTGGCGTAGAAAGGACTCTTAAATGCATTCCAGTGAGCCTCGCTGGTATAAATTTCTGGTTTTCCATACACGTCGGGAAGTCCTCCAGCATGATCGCTGTGCAAATGTGATATTATGACTGCTTTGATGTCGTTTTTTGGATCGATTCCTATGGTTTTCAACTGTTCTCCGAGTCCTTGATTTGGCTTGATATTCATAGAAACACAATGATGTCCAACTTGCCACCAGTCATAGTATCCTGGTTGAACGCAGCGTGGTGTTTCGCCCAGATCAAACATGAAATTTCCCTCGGGATGCTCAATGAGGAATGCGAATATTGGAATTGGCTCAGTGAATTTTCGGTCGGTGAGGAAGCGGAATCGGCGCAGAAGTACATTTCCGGGAGGTTGTGTCATCTGACTTGGACGAACGCGGATGTTGCCCGTTTCGAATATGCGAATGTTGATAGTCATGGCAATCAATTGTTACGAAGCATAGAACAAGCGATAAAGATATCGTAATATCTTACCATATGTTGATGGGGTTGTAGATCGGGTAGTAGGAGCGATTATCTGTCTGCTCAGTACGGAGAAGCGAGCAGGATACCTTATTAAGAGAGCAACAGTCGATGTAGTTCCCGTCGATGTGTATGTCGAGTGGCATTTGTCCGTATCGCGGGAGCGGAGTAATTCAATGACTAGTAATGGAGCAATAATGCGCCGACACGCCACCAAGAGATTGCGTTCTAAGGAGGAAATCGGTATTTTGTTAGGGTATAGTTGAAATGGCTCGAAGGTCGGCCCAAGGAGACTCCGAGTGCCGAGCCGTATGAGTGCCGAGCCAGATTCGCCAACTCAACCCCCCTCCTCCCTTACTATACGAATTAAGTAATCCATCCCCTTAGGGATTTGAGTAGGAACTGCAAAATAGACACTTCCTAACTAGACCCACGTTACCTAGCGACCTAGTGGTAGTTACTATTCGACGTTCCAATACTAATCTCGATAAATCTAGCCGAGTCTAACCTAATCTAGTCCTTATTCGATACTATTAAGCTATAACAAGGTAAAGGAGCTCTAGCTTGTGTATATATTAGAAACAAGAATAGTCAGTTCCCTTGCTTAGACAAGTTACAGAAGACTTGCAGTCTTAGCCTTTGGTGTGCTTCCTTGCAATTCTAAGGCCCTTTGTACTTTGAGGGCTATTACTCCCTAGCCTCTTGAATAGAGAGGAGTCTATTCGCGTATTGTTCTGAGCCTTTTGAAGAATACTCAGCAATACATTTGCAGTTTGCGGTTGTAATTGCAAACCGGGATATAGGATCCTGAGATTCGGTAAAAGACCGGGGCACCCCGCATAATTTCCAACTTTGGGGAGGACCTCGGCAAGCGAGCTTCCCAATTCAACCAAATACCTTACTTGCTGTATTAGGTCAGTAAGGAAGCGACGACGACCTTCACTTTCCGGATCGTGGAATCACGACTCTTTCCACCTGCCTAGGCGTTTCCTTACCTATACATTGCATCTATGAATGAGCCACGCGACCGGGCACGCATAGTGTGCGTTGTTTGTCACCAACGGAAGGTGAGATGTGATCTGCAGGACAACCCAAGTGGGAGCTGCAAGCGTTGCTTAAAGAGTAAACGAACATGCATGTATGTTCTTACACCCCACCAGATCAAGTATATAGCATGCTAAATATGTCTGCCAGCCGCCGGGATAATCGTCGTGACAGCCACCGGGAGAGCAACCGCCATCGCCTACGGAAGGCGCTAGATGAAGCACAAAGTCCTAAGGAACCAGTTCCTAGGACCTCCTTCGAGCCCGTAGAGCGCTCTGCTACCTTGGACGCCGTGAGTCCTAGTATCGGAAACTATTCCATGGCCACCGTGCCAGTGCAGAATGACAGGCATTCAAACCAATTAGTTAACTCCTCCCAGGATATGGGCTACATCGCGGATCATTCAGTTCTACTATCTCAGGGCATGTCCCCTCCCACATCCATCAGTGTACTGTTGCAGAAGACCTCTTCAGGAACACGAGATGCGATCCTGAGGGTCACCCAGGCAGATATTATGCCAACAATAGTTCTTCGAGATGCCTTGATAGACCTCTTTTTCGAGCATGTCTACTATCGATATCCTATTCTTGAAAAAGAAGAGTTAATAGGACCGGATGCATCTGTGCTTCTAGTGCAGGCTGTATGTCTCGTAGGTAGTCTCGTCAGGCAAGACTCTAATGCATCAAACCTCGTGAGGACCTGTTCCCTCTACGAAAAGATCAAGACTCTTATTTATCTCCGGTATGAACCGGATAGCCTTGTTGTCCTGAAAGCCATGTGTCTATTGTCAACGTGGAGTCCGTATCCTTCAGATTCACTCAGCTTAGATAGTCCCTGGCATTGGACTGGGGCGGCAATCCGTCTTGCGGTGCAGATGGGATTGCACAGATACTCGTTATACTCGCACAAGCCCAATGCCACCAATCGGCAGCGGATCTGGTGGCTTCTCTGGGTAGGTCTCTTCAAAGTACCCTTCTCTAAGACAACCCTAACTGAAACAGATTGCGGACAAACTGCAGAGTTCTTGCTTTGGCCGACCTGCAACTATTAAATCGGCCGACTTCGACGTTCCCCCTCCCACTCTGTCGGATTTCCTAGCCAGTAATATCGCCTCAAAATACTTCATTCATAGCGTGAAGTTATCCGTGATTCTAGACCGGATTGCAGAGCACAGTGTCCTCCGCACCGTTCTTGAGACAACAGATATGGATGATCTGGCAAAATCTCTGTGTAGCTGGATCGGCGATCTGCCCGAGGATATCCGTCTCTTCGACTCCTCGAATCAACGTATGCCTTATAGTCACGCTATTTCCGAGCTTCACATCATGTACCTGTCAACAGTGATCCTTTTACAAGACCTTCAAGTCCAGGGCGAGAGAAGGTCGCCCACGTCTGTACTATCCATCGTGGCGTCTTCCTGTATTACCCGGCTATACGAAGAAATCTACTACAGGGAGGATGTCAGGTTCATGCTTCCAATCCACAGTTTTTATTGCATGGTCGCTGCCGTGCCACAAATATATTACACGCCACAAGACGCTGCAAAAGATGCCACTCGCCAAGAAGAGCTGGACATTATCAACTCTGTAGTAGAACAATTACAGACGCGCTTCGGCGGCGCGAGCACTGTAGCGCGAAACATAAGCCGCCTCAAGGACGAATCAGAACGGATGAAGCAGCAAGGCAACCCGCAAAGCGATATCAGACACTCAAGCAACGCCATATGGTCGAACAGTGTGATCGAGAATCATGCACTCGAGCTATTTCCGTTCGCATCGAGCTTGTCCTGCGATATACCAGACCTGCTGCTCTCTCGGGAGCACGATATGCAAATGGCGATTGATATGCCCTTGCCAGTCGATGATAACCTGCTTGCGTGGTCTTTTGACGAATCGCTACCATTTTTCAACATATTCGGACTCAACGATTGTGCGATTGACGTCCAGGATAGAGAAAATGGCGTTGATGGAAACTTCATGATGGGATAACGGAAGTTTGTATAGAAGCAATAGAATGCATCCTATTTACGTCTTGTATCGACCTACTTGTGTATAAATTAAGGACAATTTCTGAAGTTGCCTTTGGCTTAATACTTCGTGAGGACTAAGCATTAATGTTAGAGCTTCCGACAGGAACCCCGGAAAGATGGTGTTAGAGATCTTTCAATAATGATCTTAATCATATATTGCAGTGTAAGAGTCGCCTCTCCTCTTCTCGAAAATTACGTGACAATTGTGAAGACTTTTTCAGCCGCCTGCGAGTACCCCACAATCAGCTTCAATCATTTTGGTTAAGAGGCCCGAACCATATTCTGCTTAGTAACTTGCTAATGTTCTATTCAGCATATAAAATGAAAATAATTGTCAATTTCGCATAATAACAGCGACCCTCGCAGTCCCCGTTTGAAGAATAATTCGTTTCACGGGTTTACAATTTGATAAGAAGTTTGCCCATAGTTTTCCGACCTTCCAATTGAACATGAGCTTCCGAAACCTGCCTGAGCGAGTACTCTCGATGGATTCTAACCTGTACCTTGCCGCTCTTGACCAGGCCAAAAGCGGCATTTGCGTACAGCTCGAGCTCTGGACGTGTTGCAATCATATTCTTCAGAGCAGCTCGCATCATGGAAACGTTTTTCTGTCCAAGCTTCTGCATCGGAATATCTGGCACCGGACCACCTATGGCTTTGATTAACTTCTGCGCAGGAGAGCTGCGCGGTAAGGGATCTTACTCGCTTCACCAAAGATCACAACTTTGCCATTGCGTTTCGCGACATCCATGCTACCCTCCCAAGTATCTTTTCCGACGCTGTCATATACCTGCCAAAGTTACTGGGAGACACTTTCGAATGTGTATGCGCACATGATGGGTGAAAACTGACCACATCGACTCCAGAACCGTTCGTGAGCTCCATCACTCGCTCGACCCAGCTTGAACTGGAAGCCGCTTTGTAGTCGATGACATGTCTTGCGCCATTTTCCTTCGCCAACGCGCACTTTTCGGGGCCTCCAGCGGTACCAATGATAATGGCGCCAACATCTCTGAGAATCTGACACAGCAACAATCCTACTCCTCCTGCGGCAGCATGAATCAAGACAGTCTGCCGTTTCTGAACCGAATAGGCCGTCTGTATTAAGGACGTGGCGGCCATACCCATCAAAAACACAGGCCGGCATCCTTCTCCGAGATGCCCTTGGGAAGTCGCACGCATTGACCAGAATGAAGGGCACTGTACTCAGCATAGCCACCGTTACCGATCCAAACTACGTGATCGCCGACGTCCAATCCAAGAGGATTGGGCCCTGATGTTGCGACGATTGTTCCCGCTCCTTCTTGGCCAATGATGGTGGGCAGCGATGCAGAAGGGTAGACACCAGTGCGGTAGTAGACATCGACGAAATTGATACCCGAGTACGCGTTCTTGATCAGAACCTGCCCAGGTTGAAGTCGTGGCACTGGTTTGTATTCGGAGAACAGGGGCTTCTCGGGTCCTCCTAGCGCTGTGAGCGTCACGGCTTTCATGATTGTCGGTAATGAAGCCATGGTTTGGATGTCTGATGAAAATGAGGCAGAGGAGCGACGTCAGTAGGCAGATGCAAGACAAGACTATCCGTAATGGAAGTGAAAGTTCACACTCATATAAATAAAAGAAACATGGCTTTGGAACGTTTCCCATAATCTTCATTGGCTAGCCGGTACCCTATGTTCAAGAATTCGCGGTATACCCTGCACTCAAAGTCGGACAGATCATCAACCAGCAGCGAACGGTTTAATACTCCGTTCGGGAACCCCACGCTGTACAGATATTACACGCCTCACTGTTTGCCAAACTTCTAATTTCTACAGACCGACAAATCACTAGCTCGCTAGTATCTCGATGCCGAACACCTATGTCCACAGCACTCGGCACTCGGCATTGGAATTAGCCTCACGGTCAGCGTTCAGAGCATGATCCGGGCATGATAACTGCAAGAACATAGTCTGCAACTTATGAGAACTGCATTATACTGAGTTCTCCGCATGCACCTGATCGCTACCTTTTCTTTGTATGAACCATACCGCATATTCCCATTCTTTCTTCGACGCAATCAATTGCTAGTTCTATCACTCTGGTCTCGGTATCCACAGCATTCCGCTCCTAGATCTCGTTTAGATAGCTGAACTACCTCTTAAGCCGGTCCCTTCCCGTGCCGAAGCTGTGCCTTCTCGTTAGTAGAACGTGTCCTAAACCCCTATAGACTTTCGAGCCTTAGAGGGAAGAGAACTTGCTTCTTTGGTGTGCTACGAGGGAGGCAAAGAGCTAAGGCATACGGTCGTGAAACAATTTAAGTGGAAGATTGAAACAAATCAGAGTCCAATAAATCTACAGTTATTATCATAAGGAAGCAGTTCAAATATACCTATGCAACCTTACCGCATACCTACGAAAGGTATCAATTTTTTCCTGGACCGGATAAGCAAAGGTGGCAAAACTTTGTCTCGGTCGTTCTGTTTTGATCGCAGAATTGGTGACCAGGGCAGAAGGAATATAGTGAGATTTTATTAAATGGCAAGACAGTGCTTTACCATGATGAGAAGAACAGAGTTATCAGGCAACAGCAGTATACTACAAATTGAACGTAACAAGAAGTTTATTCTGTCAAAGAGCTGTTCGTAAGCTACGTTCACAGGGTCAGTAAGTTCCAGAGACTGTAAAAGAGACTTGCTCAGATATAAAACTTCCGTTCTTTAGACACAAATGGAGAAGCTCATAGCCCGAAATTGCTCCGATGGTCTCAAAAAGGTCACCCTAGAATTAGGCGGTAATTGTCCTTTTATTGTATTTGACGATGCGGATTAGGCCATGGAAGGCATATCAGTTAGTAAGATCCATGGTTCATGCTAACTTCTCATCAGCATTAATGGCACTGAAATGGCGTCCTGCTAGCCAGGCATGCGTCACCCCAAATAGGGTAGGTCTGCAGCGAGGAGTGTACGAAAAGTTTACCCTGATTTTAAGAGAGCTCTGAAAAGCTCCAAGTTAGTCACGGTGCTGCTTTGGATACAACTATGGGACCTGTCACTACTTTAGGGGGGGGAGACAAGGCAATAACACATCTGAATGATGCCATAAGCAAGGGAGGAAAACTGATATTTGGTGGACCGAAGATTCCTGGTGATGGAAACTTTTTCGAGCCTACACTGTTTATAGACGCTACAAAAGATACCCTGGTATCAAACGAAGAAAGTTTCGCACCAGTTTGTTCTCCATTTTGCTTTGACACCGAAGATGAAGTTGTGATTGAAACAAACGGCACATCGGTACATCATCAATTTGAAACATTGCTGCTATCTTTTCCCGGCTAAAAAGAAGATAGATGGGTCTAGCATCATATTTTTTCACAGACCATATGGGCCGAACGTGGCGGTTGCTGGAAAACCTTGTAGTAGGAACGATTGGAATGAATACAGGTAGGTTAACAAGCATTTGTTATCTTTATAAACCTGTTAAGAATGGAATACTTTGCTGATGCTTTCACAACTGCAGCCATTCATCTGCCACAGAGTCACCTTTTGGCGGAATGAAAAGAGTTAGGATATGGTAAAGAGTCAGGGAAGGATGTGGCACGTGCAGAGTATCTAGTAACCAAGTCAGGTACCATGACGCTCCTGGGCATTTCTAAAAGAAAGATACCATGCTGAGGCTGTTATAATGAATAGCCTTATCATTGGAAAAAGTATCGTCGTCCGACTACAGTGTCTTTTCAATTGCACAGTATCTAATAAAAATATCCTCGGGCTACCCAGTTATAGCCAAATATGAATGAGTTCAATTCGGATCAAGCAGATAACCAAATTGCGCCTAAATAAGCTCCAGTCATATCTACTTCCCCTTCAATCAATAAGTCAAATAAACTACGTCAACATAGTCAGCAGAACTCTCATCCATATTGCCACGATCATTAATGCAAATTCAGTTCTCTGTGCGTACGTGACGCATCTCCAAATATGAGGTAACGACCGGGCTGCAATCGGGCTGTTTGTCCAAACAACCACTTGGTCTTAGACGACAAGTGAACCCATCAAAGTCCATTTCCGTCTTTGGACCTGAGCAAGCGCTGCTCTAACCTGAGTTGAGACCTGAGTCCTAAGCATGTGATGAGTAAGCTGGATCATGCTCAGGGAATCCTTTTCTGGCCCCCTCGCTAGTCGGTTATAGTCTCAATATTGTATAAATATACATCTTAAATCTTGTTGATGCCTGTTGGTCTCGAGCACAGCCACTTTTTTGAGCCTGTCATGCGCAGGACGATGAGTAGCTCTATATCTGTCTGTTCGACTGGAAGAGTAATAAATGGCGACTACGCAACGCCAAGATGGACAAGAAGTCCAAAGCCAACCCTCTCATAGCACCGGAAACAAATATTTCCACATTGGAATCTCGACATGAGCACTTTCCACTTCCGCCTTTGGACCTGAGCTACTGCTACTTCAGCCTGAGCCGCGGGTGAGCCTAAGCACGCATTCGAGAGCCATTTTAGTATCTGGAGGGTTTAATTTTGGTTCCTTGGGGCTCGGTTACGCTTTCCTCGTCTGGTTCTACGCGCAGGTCCTATCTTGGCTCCAACCGGGATCCCTCCGGAACCATTCTTAGATCCTGCGAGGTGGTGGGGTATGGTAGGCAATAAATTTCATCAGAGAAAAGACGGTTTGGGCTCACAAAGAGTATATTTACTACAAAACTAATATCTACCCCTTGAGAGGGCCATAGAAGGGTCCTATAAATCTACGCCTTTGGATAACCACGTAATTACGGTTAGGACCCGCGGAGCCTAGCTCTTACGACCGAGTCTTTCAATTCCCGTTGAGCTTTCGCAGTGTATACGCGGACGTTAGGGAAATCTTTATTAAATCTTTGAATCTCACAAGCGTCTGTTTCACAACAGGTGCCAGAGCTTTGCATTAGAAAAAAATGAGCAGCCTTTCAATCGCATCACCTAATGAGCAAGCAGACTATTCCCACATATGCAGTAAAAGAGTGGTGGAGTCAAATAGGTACTTATTGGTAATCATATCTATCTGTTGCTTAAAATTTAGTACCCCTGTCGAAATGGCGTTAAAAGTTTCCCTATTCATGGCCGGTCTTCTTTGCCCCATCTTCCCCCCCAGCCGTTCGTCTTCTCACTTCATTAGGGGATGGTCTGTCGTATGTTGTTTCTGGACCTGCCAATTTTTCATCTTCCTTAGCTTGATTTAACTTCATAAAAGATTTGCCAGCCTTTGGAGTTTCAAAAGTGGGTGGCGACGCGGCAGCGGTGTCCAATTGTACAGTCTCAAGGCTGCCACCCAGAGCACCGAACCGGCTGGCGTAGCGATCCTTGGATATATCCCGAAGGACATCGGCCTCCATTGAACCGACCAGTTGCGCCGACCTGCCCATAGCCTTCACCTTTCCGACGTTGAAAAGATCCGCAAGGGTTGTTACCACTACTTGATCGCAGTCTCCGTCGGCGATGACCTCTCCGATGATGTGTATCTTTTGGCTAGACACTTGGTTGGAGGCTTGTTTGCACACTTCCAAACATTGCTTCGAGAAGTCGATCTCTTCTTGCAACCGCAACGTCTCGCGTCCGCCGTCAGGGGCCGTATTGGGGGTTATCGAGTCAAGGCGTTCCCGAAGGCGACCGATTGTCTCTAGCAGATTGTCTCGGTTCTCTTTCAGCGAATTTTGTGTCAAAACCTGCGATTCAAACTGGTTCAACGCATATCTTGCACTCTGCTGAGGTGCTTCTCTTTGTAAAGCTGGTTGCTCATCTTGTAATGAACTGATATAAGAGCTCGCGCGTTCACAGATACGAAGACACTGTACTGTCACAGCTTTCTCGTCCTGCAGATCTATGCTTAAATCCTCTACGTGAGTTGGACGGTTTGCAGCAACGCTCGTTATTTTCTCATCGATGCGTTCAAGGCGCATCTCGAGACTATAAGACGTGTCCTTGATCATCTCACTATACTCTCCGACAACTTGTTGAGTAAGTCTAGAAGCATGCCTGAAAGATGGGTTAGTAAAGCCCCCGACATAGGCATAAATACGTAAGCAAGCTTACATGGTGATAGTTCCCAGGCCAATCGTGATTGTCGACTTATAGTCCGCCAAAGTATCAATGAATTCGCTGATGTCACCTCTCATGAACTCCATCTTTGTCCAATCTTTTAAGCCCGTTTTCGACTTCCCGCTAAATATTTTCATAGCGTCTTCGAACTCGCGACACACCTGGGAGCATCGACCAATAGGGCCTTTTAGAAGTGTCAAAATCGGGGTTTCGCCATCAGCGGCCGCTTCCAGTGAGTTCAAAATGGTAACAAGGTCCAGGAGACCACCTTGTAGTCTACCTAACGTTTTGTCGCGACCCTTGTAGCGTTTCACTGTCTCATGGAGCGCATTTACTGACGCAATGGTGGCCGCGATAACAGTCAACGCCGAGGCACTAATACTCAAAGGATCCATTGTTGAAAGAGTTAGAAAGGGATGTTTCCATACGACGGCTTTGGGGAGATTTCGAGTTTTGGCGCACGGGAATATCCAAATTGGGGGGATTGATTCCGATTAAAAGGCGGGGATTGAGTTGCACCAATACCGCAGAGTCTGTAAGCGCCAGCAACCTAATCGTCGCCACGAATAGCGCGGAGTCTTTATTCCGTAAACGCGGTCAGTTAACGTACTTTACGGAGTATAAGCGAGCTGCCCACATTCTAATTGTAACATACCTTTTACCTTACTGCCTCCTTCAAATTTACATGTCTCAACCAATAAATAGACCTTCAATTGATCCACAAAGAGGGCCGAATGACTCTAGCGCCCCCAGCCTATAAAACTGGCTATTTTACAAATGTTAGAAGTTCTGCGAACGCGTACGATCCTTCTGAATCGGCTTTACGATCATGCGTCAAGGGATGCCTCGTGCGACGCGATTTACGACCAGTAAATAGAAGACTTTCAGATATAACGGAATCAACACTTGTCAAGTGGATATTATCTATAGAGGAACGAGGCGTACTACTTAGGCCGATTCTGTACCACAATTGGCAAAACTACTCCTTTAAAAACGATCGGATACGGATTAAGATTATACGCCTATGGTTGGCAAATGCTAGGTTCGAAACTTCGTACGACGGTACGACTATAGGTGCGACAGTGAGGTGCGATATCGAGGTGCGACTAGCTTTAATTCAAGTAGAGTGCGTATATAGTGGCGCTATAAATTAAGGTAGCACCGTAGGAATCAGGGCAAACCAGAATGGCTTGCGGGGTTTGCATCATAAGACAATTTTGTTAGGGGGTTCTAGCAAATAGCCGATTATATGTTCTTCCCCTCCTCGAGCGCTCTTAAAATGTCTTTATCATTCTAACTTGCAAAAGTATAAAGTACTTCCTGTAGCAAATATTGTACGACCTATGAATCAAAACAAGCTCCTTTATGAAGCGGCAGATAATAATTCTCATTCCACATTAGTCGCAACATTTCAATTGGAAGAATGGGAGTACTCACAGTTGACTAGTCAGGCCTTGCTTGACTATAAAGAGCTCGTATAGGCTAGCGAATTCCTTTTACATCTTCTCATATTCCTGGATAAGGCACTGCTCACCCTCCTATTTGGAGCGGTGTTCTAAGAAAGATCAAAACAAAGCTCATGAACAAGAATCCAACTCCTAAAGTTGGCTAGGGATTTTCCGTCGAGCACGTGTGGAACCCGATTGCGTTCACGAGACAGATGTGTTCGGTTATATTTCTCGCGTATATCATTGCTACGGTTCTTGCATCAAGTTCGAATAGCCCATCTCTTCGCGTCTCACTCTTGCATCAGCTTCAGTTGCTTTAGTCGCGTTGGCCAATGTGATGTTAGGATGGGGACGCTAAATAAAGCTTGTAGCGAAACCTAAGAGAAGATCAAGAATGCCAGCTAGTACAAATCCTGCTGCAGCAACCTCTCAAAAAATTGGCAACAACATCCGCAAAGCTGTTCGGGCTTTGTACGCATTTGCGCACCTTGAAGGATGGGGAAATATCAAAGTAAGCAATAGTCTCTCATCAAAACGCCTTCTGGTTTGAGTTATTTTGACTGGTCCACTCCACGGATGTCACGTATACATTTTCTCAAAGAATTTTCAACTTAATCGTAAGAAATAATCCACTGAACGGGAAACCTTCTGGTTTGAGATATTCTTATTGCTCCACTGCAACATGGATGCTTTTCGACGCACCGGTCCAATGATCAATATTTGCAATTGAGAATAGACTGAGCGAGAAAAGTGAGCTGTTATAAGCATGCTTTAAGATCGGATATCCAGAGACAATTTCTAACGGATTTAAGGATTCGCACAGTTATTTATATCCATGGATAGCGTTTGGCAACAGTGTGATTTTGAGGGCCTGAAATATTAAGCCAAATTACGTAAATACAGATTCAGATTTAGCTGAGTTATAGAAAAGCTTAGCATTTGTCCAAGCGATTATATAAAGTAGCTAGATCTCCTTTGTACAAATGCAAGTCGGTTTGCACTTTCAAAGCACAACAGGTTATGAGAATGCTTATGTGCTATATTGCGAGAAGCATCTGCCTTGAGATTGAATAATATACTTTTAGAGGGATCCTTCTTGGTTCCCTTGGAGCTGACTTCGTCCCCTTAAACACAGTCGTGTAGAGTTGACAACTTTCGCACGACAGAGACGAATAATAAGTAGATTATGATTAGTTATTAGGAGGGAGAGTAGGACCGTGACTGAGTAACCTGAGCAGAGGATGAGGCGAGGCTGAGTAGCGCCTGAGCAGGGTGGCGACGCTGACTAGCCGCGTTACAATGGTATCGGAAATCAGTAATACTTTTTTCAGGCGCCCACAGCTACTTCGGGGGGGAAAATAAATCGACGCGAATTCTCAATCGATATCAAAACAGTAGTTATAATAATTATTAACTTATTTAGATATATTTCTATGTTCTAGCTTTATTATAATGGAGAAAATACGGTTTATTAACCTTTTTAGAGCGATTTTAGATTTTAGGTAATTCGTAATTTTCCCCGAAGTAGCTGTGGGAGCCTGAAAAGAATATTACTGATTTCCGATACCATTGTAGAAGCGAAATGGAAAAAACGACGTCTTAAGACTTTCCTGGGGTGTCGTGTGGGTCAAAGCTCTGACAAAGGAAGATGGCATCTTTGGCTGTTTCGATATCTTCTGTCATGTTCACGATGTGGGAGTGTTGCTGTCATCTTCTGGAGAAAAAGAATTTAACCCCTTACTATCCGATTGGGTCTAGGAATCTTTGCTATATAGCAAGCAGTAATAAAGCGACGAAGAGACTAGGGGCGGGACAGGAAGGATTGCGGTTGAAGGCTTACCTTTTAATAAATTAGAAAATAGTGCTTTAGGATAGAGCCGAGCCTTAAAGCTATAGTGGTTGTGTGACAATGATCGTAACAAGAATCTTCGTGCTTAAAATTAAATCTAGTACTCTTACATACTAGTAACTAAAGTCTACACTTGATATCTTCATATTATTTATCCGACCTCCATACACCTATCTCTTCCCTGAACCTCTACCTAGCGAGACTATCGTTACACCCTATTATCTAATACTTTCCCTTCTCCACCACTTCATGCTATCTTGCTTCTCCAACTTCCATATTTTTTCCTTCTCTCTTTGGACTTTCGTCAATTGGACTGCGTCAGCTTGATCGCCATCGAAAAGCTTTGCAATCTCTTCCATCGGTGTGTATCTTGTCTCAACAAGGCACTTGGAGATAACAAACAACTCCAGAACTAGAAAGCAACAGTAGAAGGTATAGTACTTCCACTGGATCGTTTCCAAAGCAATGCTATTGACGTACTGGTTAAAGAATACCGCTACCAAAACGATGAAAGATGCGTATATACTGCCTTTAGTACGCAAGCCGTAGGGAAGGATCTCAATAACATAGGTGTTGTAAGCTCCGGACCTATAGCCGACAGTTAGTTAATATTTAGCACGCTTGCCTCGTACAATGAGAGATGTTCTTGAAGTTATAGAAGAACTCGTAAAAGAATATCATAGCCACTACCCCCTTTCCAGGTGCTGGGTTGTGCCCATCTATTGCGTAGCGTGCACTAAAAATGGTCTAGATCACAAAAGTGACTAGGATTCCATCTGTGCTAACAATAATTATTTTTATGCGTCCTAAGGAAACGATAAAAAATGCAATTGTGGAAATCACCACCAAATAAAAGGACCTCAGCCCTCCGTTGATACCAAGCTAGTCCTTCAAATCTGCCATAACAATTGTGTTCATGATCAGGCGTAGGCAGTATGAGATAAGACCGTTGCCTGGCCACTAGCTGAGAACAGACAAGGCGGTAATAAGGAAGAATCTCTTCCGATTTCCCGGTGTCTTCAGAAAGTCCCGATAACTCGAGCTCATGCTTATCGAGAGCTATCGCAGTGCAAATCTCGGCATACTCTAGCTGTACAACTTCATCTTGGCCGTTCCTGCCTGCATGATAGTAGGCAAGTATCTGGAGGGCTTTCTCTGAATTGGTCGCGGGCGACATAAAATGGAGGCCTTTCAGGTATAAACCATATGAAAATCAGTACAATGATGGTACAAGAGCACCGAAGCAGAGATGGAGTGCGCCAAGCCCAGTGGCTCTCAATCTTAAGGGTGCCAAAGGTGGCCCAAGACGCAATAAATGATCCCAGGCTATGATTGCCCGGTCCTAGGGATGAGAAATTTCAGTGGTGCTGCGCCACATGCCATGACCATCCCAAATCCAAGAACAAAACGCGAAGCGAGGAACTTCCCGAAATTTGCGGCACCTGCTTGGAGTCCGACACCAATGAAAACGATTAATGAACTGATGTAAACTACGGCTTTCCGGCCAAGTCGGTCGCAAACCGGAGGAACTACAGGCAAGCCTATAATCGATCCGGACTCATTGATGCGGCGAACAATCCAAGGATGCTCCCGCGAGGATCATCAAAGTAATCCTGCAAATAGATCAAACTCTGGAGGCCGTTCATCATCGATTTCGTCAAAACGGTTAGCGACATTAGTGAGAATGAGAATAAAACAATAGAAGTACAGTTTGAGAAGTCGGGTATTCCTGAGCCAAGTCCTTCAAGGGAACAAGCGGTCGGTAAGAATTAATTGTCCTTTGGGTGGCTTTCCGATAGGATCTGGACGGTTTGGCCAAAACTTTTTGAGAAAAGTATAAGTAATCTCGTTACGGAGCCCTTTGGATAGAAGTTCTTCGAAGACAAATGATGTCGACGTGGTAAATTTATTTCTACTTGTCAAATTTAGCCATATAGGAGGCAGAGCGACTCTGTAATATGTCAAAAGTACTAGGGGAGAGACTTAAAACCCTACAAAATTCAGATCCCCTCATCTCCGCAACCCCACACCCCACTTACAAATAGTGGGAGCCAAAATGGGATCGACAAGACGAGGAAAGTGTAACCGAGCATCAAGGGAGCCATAACGAGCCACTTTGGGAACCAAAACGGCCTCTCGGTGCATGCTTAGACTGACTATGTCGTGTGTTCAGGTTGCTCAGGCCGAGCTCAGGCTAAGCTCAAGTCGTGCTCAAGCATGCTCAGGAATGCTCACCCTCGGCTCAGGTTAAAGCGGCAACTGCTCGCGTCCAAACACTAAAACAGAACCAGCGAAACAAAAAGTTGAGTCTGACTTAAGTGGTAGTGTTGACTGGAAGGATAATCAAAAGACGTAGTACTCGGTAATAGGGGTAGAATGACTAGATTCTACCCCTTTTCGGTTTTGGTTTGTAACTTGCTTTAACAAATCAAAATCCTGGCTTAGAAACTTCATATACTGTCCTGCTTTGAAAATATGCTCAGATACTAACCAATTTCAATTCTAAAAATCGTATATTAAGACCAGCCTAACTATCTCGAGTCTAAAGAACCCAGCGTCGGATATTGGTCTCCACCTTGAAATTGAAATAATTTAATAATATCAATCTCTGCACTTGCAGAGGAGCAGGTACAAACTTCAATAGAAAGGCATAAAGAACAGAATAGAACCTAGAAACATTCAATTCAGTTACCCCTAAGGAATTGGGCTGAGGTAGAGATTTTATAGGTTCATTGGCGTGGCCAACACTTAAGCGACACTTTCCTGTAGCTAATAGGGGCTCTCCCACTCCTGTGTTACCCTAATCAATCGCTCCATTCCGCTGTCTGCTCCCTTCCATATTATTGACGAGCCTTGATAATATCGGCAGCCTAGAGCACGTTAGTAAAGGGCCCCGATAATATTAGGGGTCAGAGAAATGTTTTGAAACTCGCCTTCTCAGCCAGAGCATACACAGTTTCCTGCGTATATGCACCTGGAAGCGTAGGTATGATACTCGCGTCGACGACGCTAAGCTTCTTGACGCCATATACAAGCAAGTCTTCATCCACAACACCTCCTAGTTCCCGCGGTGCCATCGCGGCAGTGCCGACGGGGTGGAACGTGCTGGGCGATATATTATTCTTCACGACCTCGGCGAGATCCGAATCGCTGGTGACATTCAAACCTGGAGCTGTCTCCCGCGGTTGGAATTGTGCCAGACTAGGGACGGCGAAATAGCGTCTTGTGAATCTTATGAATTCAACCATGATGTCTATATCAGTTGGATTCGTCAAGGCGCGATAATCGACGACGGGCTCTGTGAAAAATGGGTCGGAAGGGACGATGTTGATGGTACCGCGGCTGACCGGATGGAGAAATACAAGAGCACCTTCGCTCGGGCCGCCACCCAAGAACAGATTGTAATATGCAGACTTGTAGGATCGCAGGGCCTTGGCTAATGATGCCTGTTGAGCAGCGTACCCGGCAACAATCGTGGGGTGGGAGTCAACGGGAAGGTATGAAGCAGGGTCTTGGCTCTCGTAACTCGCAGCGATAGCCCCGAACCTTTCTGGGGCGATCACGGGGAATGGCAAAAAGCATGCGGCGTTACCGGAGGCAATAGTTAGGGGACCTATGCAATAAAAGTTTAGAAAGATTACATAGAGAGAGATACAAAATAGAAGCATATTGAAGACGTACCTGATCTATTCGCAGCAAATTCAGCATCAGCCAGTGCTTTAAAAGTGGCGTTGAGCTGGAGGTCTGTTCTGTCGGGATGGACCGTGAAGTTATCATCTAGGGCAATTGCTATTAGAAGGGTACTCTAATATACTCTTCACGAGGCCATAGAAATACTTACATGTATAAGTTACACCAATTCGGAATGGGTGATCCTGGAAGTTTTGGCCTACACCGGGAACATCGGCCACAACTGAGATGCTCGCAGATTCAAGGAGTGACTTTGGGCCAACGCCGCTGGCTTGCAGAATCTGCGGGGTGTGGATTGTACCGGCCGAAATGATAACCTCTTTCCTTGCCTTTACAGTTGTTGAATCTACATCACTCTTGGCATTGTTTGGAACAAACACAACACCGCTGGCAGATTCGCCCTCGAAAAACACCTTGAGCACCTTGGAGCCTGTAATAGTTTCATAGTTGTCACGATCGATATTATCCCAATGACCTGTCCTGGAGTGCGAACGCGTCATGGTCGCGGGATCAGCAGAGGTGGGGTACCAAAATACACCCGGCTTTCCAGCACCAGAGTCAGGAGGGAACTTGGCCCCCGGAATGTCTCCAAAAGCAGCCATCTCAGTTTCTACAGTTACGGTAAGCCATGGGACCAAAATAAAAGATCCTGTGAAGACTTACTGAGCATGGGCCAATTAAACGTAGGGAAAGACGCGTGGACATTGGAAGTGTTGCCCCAGTAAGTCTCGTCGTAGTCAATATTGAGCGCTGCTGCAGTATCTGGATTCGGAGGGGTGAATTGTAGTGCCTATCCATAGATTTAGCCAGCCAATTCGGTCAAAAGATAGTAAGACCCGATGAGTACTCAATGAGCTCTATACCTTCTTAAAATATGGCAGTATGCCTTTCCAAGACCAATCGGAATCGGGTCCAAAAGGGCTTCCCCACCGGTCATAGTCCTCCTCTTGCCCTCGGTGGAATTGCAACCCATTGACCGCAGAGCTGCCTCCGAGGAGCTTGCCAACGATAACCGCGGTGGTCTTATTCATTAGATTCGGTTGAGGGACAGAATTAAGAATAAAAAGATGCGATGCATTTCCAATTCCTCCACCTCCCCCGCCGATAGTGGTCACAGAGGTCGAGTTGTCTGTAGGTTTTGTGATCAGCGCTTTCCGTTACTTACTATGTCCACTAAACGGATCCACATACCGAAAGAACCATACTCAATCACAAGAACAGAGTCTATATAAGTAGCAAGATGTTGTCAGTCTCGCCCTCCCACTTCCAGCAACTAAATCGGCACAGAGGCGATTGAACTCACATTTCCCATCCTCGGTAAGCCGGTCTGCAACAGTCAGACCAGCTGTACCTCCACCAACAATGATGTAGTCATACTCGTCCTTGACCTGTTCCGCTCGGGACAGGATCTTGGAATTGTAAAGGGAGCTCGGCAAGGCGAGAGCGGAGGACACGACAACACTAACCACAAGGCCAAATAGCACCTTCGGCGTAGAATAGCTAGATCTCGCCATTGTAGAAGCAAAGAAACTCACGAATTCCAGAAAACTCTAAGAAGATAGGATACCCGGAACCATGATAAAAAAGGAAACAAAAAGGAGACATATATGTGTGGCCTTTCCCCCCCCCTCGCCTTGCGGGCAAGGCAAGCCACAGAAATGCTGGTACATCCTTACGGGCTATGTATAAGTGAGGGGTGTAGCAGTGACATGACAGGGCCAAATAGGCTCAGATTGCGAAAGTGCAAGGGGAATCGTGAAATCTGCGATGACGAAAGGAGGTCATTGGAGTACCAAGACTCGAGATCTGTATAACCGACTTGGTCTTACTTATTCCGGACGGTGCCGGGTGACGTATCTAGTCAGCTTACACTGGATCGTACCGACAAAATGAGCTCACCGGCAGATCTGGCATGTCGTTGTTGCGTCTCCGGCGGGTTGGATTTCCCAGATGATCGAGGATTATTAGCCGGAAAGTTTTGGAAAGCCACGTTGTCGGTGTCCCGGACTCCGGGACGGCCCCCGTTTCCTTCAACCACCCACTGCTAGATGCTAATCCACCCAATAACTAAAACACTTCAAATTCGAGATATGTATTAAACTGTATTAGTTCATCCTAAAAATTCAAACTTGGAATATTCGAACAATTATAGCGACTAATGCAAATTTTTAAACCCTACCAGTTTTAACCCCCTAAAGTACCTACGTACAAACCAAGCGAAGGGCACCCAGGTACGCAAAACGCCCTATAAATAGGCTGTTGCTTACTCCGGGTGGTGCCAAAGCGATTGCACGATTCAGGTCGCGCAACACTGAGTATACTAAAGACCCGTATACACGACACTACACTAATATCTCGAGATATACTGTAGTGCCTAGGTAGCTATAGAATAATAATCATCGTGCCTTTCGCTGCTCTAGAAGTGGTCAAATTAAGGTTTACCTGCTACGCCCCTTTTAATTAACTTATTGGATAAGGTTATTTAAACGTGTTGGTGAGCATGAGCGCAGCTTCTGAGGAGCAATAATTCCTGCTTGCCTACTTATAAAGCACTCGATAGATGGTCCCATAGCCTATTCGTAGTAGTAAGTTAGCACTACCTAGTTCCAACTTATCGAAATAGACAGGTCAATCTAAAAATGTCACCCGCCTTCCGAGGGGCTGGGCCTCGTTAGTTAAAGTTGGATATGCTCTAAAGATAATCAAGTCAAATCAATGAGGTGGGTTTTTACATGGCAGCATCTGGCTTTTGTTTCGAAGAGCATGTCACAAAAAAAGGTCCGAGTTCAGGAAATAAATCTGCAAGTAGCAATCCGGAATGTGTACGTTATATTTTTATCTCGAGTTTGCCAGTTCCAGCTAACCAGCCAAGGCTAAATCTCGGCTCCGAAAACCCCACAAGAAAAGAAAACAGAATCCAGCTATAAAGTATGAACAAAGAATGTATGTAGATGTTTCCATCTGCCCGAGGTTGCTTCCGAAGAACCCGCACTAGGCGCCGCAACTCATAAAATTTCACCAGGACTCCTGTTCTATATGCCAAGCCAAGACGCTATCTGAGACCTATTTACCATGAGAAAGCCTCTTCAACGAAGTCAATATTGCCAGCATGTTGACGCATGCGCACGGCTCTTCTAACGTCGTCGCTCAGCGACCCACCTCCGCAAACAGAGACACCCATTGCTCCGACCTGATTTTCCATCTCAATGTCCATAAGTGTATCGATGTTGGGCCGACCAGGGAACATCTGGACAGTTGCTGAGGGGCTGTGGATCTCCTTGGTTGACCGAGGACGACTGACGAATAGCATGATGCGAAGGACATCGCGTCTCTTATCCATGGCCAGAATAGAGGTCATCCATGGTCTGATCCACTCAAGGTGCTCTGGGGATTGGATGATCCAAACGAGGACAATCTTTCGGGCAGCGACGACTCCATTGGCATAGCCTGCGACGAGGTCGCGGACATGAGGTACTTGATGTGTGATCCCAACTCCGCCTGCGAACATCATTACCGTTCCATATGAATGCATCATATGCATGCCACCGTAAGGACCCTCAGCATAGCACTTCGTATAAAGTCTTCCGGACGGAGCTGCCTCTGCCTTCTTGAACAGTGTGTTGGTGAATCCAGTTCTCGCTCGGACGATGAATGATAAGCTGGTCTTTTTCATTGCTAGGACATCTTGACGATTCATTGCAAGCTTCTCGCCCTCGGGATTCTCGGTTTCCTCCGACCACGCAACCGTGAAAGGATGAGAAGTGAACAGCCCGAAGGATGGCATGTACAGATAGGCGTGTTGACCAGGTTTGAAAGTCCATGGGCGGGGTAGATCGACGGTAATGCGGACAGCATTCCCTGGAAGAGCTTCAACCAATGTTTTGCTTCCTCCCTTCCCAACATTCCTGTATAAGAGTATGATTATTCTCACAGTACGCTCTAGTACCCAGAGTGCGATGACACCATAAAGGAGCTTCATCTGGGGGACACCGGCGATCTTAAGATGGAACCAGAGGCCGATGATAGCGAGGATAGCCAGAGCAATATGAAGGTATTTAAATGTCTCATAAAAGGCATGGCGAAGTAGGGAACTGGCCTGGATGGAGATCACAACGAAGCTTACGGTGCCCTAGAACATGTAAGCATTGTTCTAACTGTTACGTAGAACCTCGAACTTACGATAAACCCCCACATTATCAAAGGGCTTCCTGTAATGGAGGCCCCTACCGCAGCCCAGCCTGAAGTAGAGACCTTGGACACTGTCCAGGCGACTGTGTGGGCAACAGCCTCAAGAACAACGATTCTTCCGACCCATCTATGCAGCAAATTGAAAGTATCAAAGGACAAGTTCAACCAGTTAATGAGGGGGTTGTTTCGTGCTGCCATAATGAATAAGGGAATCTGCTAGCAGTTAGAACCTAGATGATTCACGTGATTTGGATTGGTAGAGTTTTCCAAGGGAGGACAAACCATATTGGCCACGGCAAGTATTCCACTGCGGTTCCTTATCTGCGTGCACACCACAGTCAACGGTTGGCCGTATGAAATGTCAGCGACACAGAAGATGACATTTGTGGCAAAGTACGACAGGAGAAACATCAGTTGAAACCGAGTTGGCAGAGTCCCGACATTCACGGCTGCTGACAATTGAAATTCCCGATTGTGTCGCTTGCCGAAGATTGGTGCATAAAGAACATGCTTCTTAAGGCTGGCAAAGGCGCTTGACGGAGTTGCAAAGTATCGTTGGGTGTCGTTGTTCAAGCATGTCAAGGTGCGGACATATTTGACGCTCTCGATTACGACCCTCCATATCGTCAACGCCGCAATGAGCGAGGCCAGCACGATGAAAATGTAGTTGTAGAATTGCTCATTGAGGTCGTCAGCCTTATTTGCTGCCTCCTTCGCCGCCACAGCGGCGGCTCCAGTCGCCGCTGCTGGGGCGGCTGCCGATGCCATTCCCGCCATGGCTGCTACAGCCAGCAGTCGAATTTGCGACGCCATTCTGGTCGTAATAGGGATTTGGCGAATTGAAAGGTGAAGGGACGATCTGAGCGCGGTGCGAAGACGTCAAAAGGGGTCGAGGGTGACTGGCACCTTTTGGGGGAGAAAAGCGAACGTAATGTAAGGTTCTGTGCTCTTGTCCAGCAATAAACAGAAGCCTTCGGGAGATGGATAATTGACAGGGCCCGTTCGAGGGCGTGTTTTCGAAAAGACGCCGGTAGCTGGTGACCGCGGGGAAGGGTTTTAATCAAAAGAGGGACTTGATGAAGGGAATAAAGTACACCGGGGGAGTACGTGGAGGAGGTCTTGAAAGTACGTAGTCGTCTTGAAAGTACGTAGTCGTCTCGAAAGGGGAGCCCTGCTTCTGCCACAGACGCCGCCGAAGAAGGCGGGGAAGGGTAGAAACGGAAAGTGTTGGCGGGCGCGCCGAAGAGGGACGAGTACTCTATTCGTAGATGAAGAAAGAGATAACGAGAGAATGAGAGCTGTCTACAGCAAACGAGAGAAAGGACTGACGAGGACGGGTGTGCCAAGGGGGATGTGAGGCATTGGGTGTGGGAAGAGAAGAGATCGGAGAAGAGCGAGACGTGCTGCGGTTGAGCATCGAGGGTCGGGGTGGAGAGCCTTGGAGGGTGGTCGAGGGCTGGCACCGCTGTGAGCGAGTCAATCTGAGGCAAGGGACGGCGTCAGGGGCCCGAAACAGTGGACGGGCGCACTACTCGGGTCCCATCGCCCCTCCACACGGTAAAACGGGGCAAAGAATACGCGGCACCACCTGGGTATGAGTACGGAGGAACTACTCGCGTGCCTCCTTACGCAGCCCTGGGCTACGAAGTACAGTACAGTACATGTACAGTACGTGCTCCGGAATCCGGGATGGGTGATCGCCCATACGCCAATCGATGGGCCACAGCGGAGATATGATATTAATGTGGGCGGGTGGTGGTGGTGGCACCTCGCACGGACATGATAAGGATTGATACATTGATATATTATTGATACTGTACATACCTTGGAACTCCGTACTATGTACTAGTCCCCGTAGAGAAAACGATTGAGTGCTGCACTATCGCTGCTCCATGAATGCGCGACGACACCTTGATTGTTTAAATCGCACTTGGAGATAGGGAGGGCTCCAGACCGGAGGACCCCCGTAGGATACTGATAATCCTGATACGAGGATGGTTGCATTGTGCTGTACTGTACGTACGACCCACGTCGCGTTGAATCTTTCTGGTGCTCACTCAGGATTTGTCACGCTACTCTCGCACCGTACCAAGCAGCCTTAGGTACGGCACGGTAAGGTACATAGGTAGTCAGCAATCATTCTTTGCTTCGGGAGAAAACCCTGCCCCACAACCAGGAATTAATTATTATTAAAGTTATTAGCATCCCTCCTAGCGCACAGAACCGGAAAAGTGGTTGCGCATCGGCCGCAGTATTCTTGGTTGTATGTGCAAGTTCCCAGCTACCCCCGTGCATCAAATTAGTATCCTGAATTAAATATACCAACTAATTGATCGAGTTTTGTAATCGCACCACTTAATTCCAAATAAGTTCGTAACGAAATTAAATTAAAACTGCCGTCTTCGAAATAAAGAGAACTTGCCTATAGAGCGTTATTATTTAAAGCATCGAGCTTGTATAACGATTGGTTTTGGGGGGGAGGGGATTTACTTTATCTGACATATCATCCGGTGACTTCGCATGACATTGATAACGCATTAACAGTTCCATATTGGATCACGTAGAAGAAAATACAATCCATATAATAGCAGGTGTATTGGCAAGTTCTAATCTATCCCTGCAGTCAAATTAATCGACTTCTAGTGTGATTGTATTGCACTGCTTAAGTTTAAATAAGTTAGCAAGGGAATTAAATTTAAAACGGCTGTCTTTCATATGAGAACTTACCTGATAAAAATCAGCTGAATATAATCGAACCCTCTTTGTTAACGAAGCTCGCCGGGCCCTCCATTTTTGGTATCATGTAGGATTCCCCTACCAGAATGTGCCCACTCTGGGCTTCGAAGCAGTCCAGCCATCAAGATATGGCCTTTTTCTCTTCCGATTGCGAGAAGAGGTCGACCGACAAACAAGCAGCAAGCTGACACCAGGGGACGTCCCCCAACGTGGGGTGATTTAAATTCCCTTATTCTACATCGACAGCTGGGTGAGAACTCCAAGGATCCGACAGATGGGGATGAGCATGACAGATGATAATTATCTTGACAGATGATAATTATCTTGACAGATGATAATTATCTTGACAGACAAATCACTATTATAACAAACGGCAACTAGTTTGAAGATACCTAAATTCCTCTACTATCTTTGGTCTATCTAGGTTTAGATGTTCGATATCATCTGGACTTAAATCGGATCGAACGCTTCGGATAATTCGACCACGCCCTGGTTGGATCTGACCAGGTAGAACGAGGTTCGCTCTGGCAAGGTTAGGGCCCTAATATGGGGCCCCATTGACAGTGACCGCGGGCTTGCAGATTCTGGCTGCTCTCGCAGTTACCTAAATACCTAACTAGCAAAAGCTAAAATTCAAAGGCGTCTAGACCCTAAAGAAGGTAGTGGGAAAGTGCCAAGCTCCACAGCTGGTGAGGCAATTACTCGAGTAGCTCCGGCAGGTATACAATCCACTACACCAGGTACCAACCCGTACATCATGTTAAATAGATAACTCTTCTACAACAACAGCCGCATCGTTGGTTTAGTGGTAAAATCCATCGTTGCCACACGATCACGTGACGATCACGTGATCCCAAGCTCGATGGGCCCCGTGTTCGATTCACGGACGATGCATCACTAACTCCCGGAGTTCATCTTTTTATATATATATTTTTTATATCTTTTTCTTTTGTTTGCATCATTGGTTTATTGCAATAAACCAATACTGCATTCGTGCTTAGCGAGCGATTTCCGGTGGTGCAGCTAAGCGAGTCCAGTGGCGAACTACTACTCCGTACTCCGTAAGAAACCTGCAGGAACAGCCGAACGATCCTCGCAGGGGCTGAAACGGCCTGTCAGCAAATGATACCTCGAACCTTCGTAATTTTGTTTGACACTCTGGAAAGTGTGGACATCGTTGGCTGGGGCTGGCAGCATCAAACGGGGATGATCGCCGGAGCTGTGGAGCTGTGGCAAGAAACTCGGCCGATTCGTTTTACGAAATACACGCGACGTCGTATTTTTGCCACCGCCCTCCTAAAGATCCTCAGCCATCCTAAGGGATGGGCATGATGAATGCATTCTTGCCGTAAGCCTTACTCGTAAGGCCTAGCAACCGCCCCAATCCTCAATCGACCCACTCTGGACGGAATACAGGAATGCAAAAAGGGCGCCATGTCTTGGAAAGACTGCTCTAGATCGGTCAACGGAACGACGAGTGACCATGTGGTGTCATTTTCTTCAGTGCCGAGGGATGGTAATAATATCTATCGAAAGTAGGGCTTGAGGATTCTGATATACCTCTGACCGGTAAATGATTTGATTCGAGCACGCAGATATACAACGTATAGCAGAAATATACTCAGTAATATGCGCGTGAGCACGGCATATTCATTCTCCGGGGAACTAATATATCCACCGCAAAAGCCCCAGAGAAATAAAGATCTTGTGTTCATCAATTCATATTCATGTTTAGTGCAATTGTATTTGCACCTTGTTTTGTCATTATTCCGGTTATGCAGATCCAATCGCCTGCACCGTGACACCGTCCATGGTGATCTCCATGCCCGCGGAAGTACCCCAGATCCCCCGTGCAGGAACCTCAGGAAGTGGAAAGAATACTCGACTTCTTATCGTGTGGATACCAATCTAGGAGGATCATGCCCTGTGCTCAGATAGCTCATCTCTTCCTTTCTTCCTTTCATGTTTTACGAAGGTGGATGAGCGAGCAAGCAGTGCCACAAAACGCCCAGTGTCGGTAATGCGCTGTCTTGATCCTCCGCGTCATCTACAGTTTGCGCCTTTTGAGACACATTTTGTCGCATGAGACCTCGCTGCCGATCAGACAGATCGTGAATCAATTTATCCTCATTTTGGAAGCGCAGAAAAGCTTGTTATTTAACCGGGGGAAAATATCCTAGACCTGCAAAGTTGCAATGGACAGACCCGTTCCAGACATGTTCGATAGCCTACAATCACAGAATCCCAAAGACAAACTCTCGGTAAAAGATATGCAAGATGGTTTACCACTTATTATTCTCACGTTGAGCAGGATTCGGGGCCAAAGTTCATATGCACAGTTCATCTTCACTGTCCGTGATAGCCCCTAAATTAGTGATGGGGCTGGGTTGTTTCGACTTTCTCGTTTTACAAGCATGTCGCGTCCTATTGCTCGTCGTGTTTGTGATGTCTTCGAAGACCCGCTCGTCGGTTGTTGATACGGAGAGGAAACTGAGTTCGTCATCACTCTCATCGAATACCTGCCACGCTTGACCGGATCGGAGTGCTCGTCGCCCAAGCCTTGGTCCTCTTTTGATGGTCTGGCGCCCTTCACCATCGTCTTGGGTTTCGTATGAGGCCGATGACGATGGCGATGATGAGGCGCTTACGTTGGGGGATTCGTTGAAAACGGGCCAATCCTGATTCCTTCGAACGACCTTTCTAGTAAAGCGCGACGCAGGCTCAATGGTATGCCTACGGCCATCGTATTCACCGTCTTCGAGGCATGATGATGGTGTGGGAGGAGATGGCGACTGTTGAGAAGCTGATCCTTTAATATCCGATACCAACGTGCCTGATCCTGAAGTATCATCACTCTCATAACACGTTACATCCAGTTCATCATCGTTCTCTGCGATATACAACAGTGGGGCCAATGACCGATCAATCGCAACAGGCCCTACCAAGACCATCACATTACTTGTAGACGGGTGAAACTGGTCCGATGTGGGAGGGTTGCATGTTCTTGCAAACCGTGCCGTGGTCATGCTCTCTCTCCTTCGCCCCAGATATGGTGAACGGAGTGGCGGCGGTTCAACTTTATCCTCGCTCATCAGCGAGTCTCTCCTGGTGGTGTTTTTCTTTCTAGAATTTCCAATAGGTGTTTCCATAATCCACTCTCCAATTCCTTCTTCCCAACGAAATCCGGATCTTGCCGCATCAGAAATGTTGGCAACTGGGGACATATGAGGATTTATATCCCTGTCCAAGAATTTCGTATCCAAAGAGGACGCATATTCCAAGTGCTTCCGTTCAGGAAGCTGTTGGGCAAAAGCGAACGCGCTATCCACCATCAGACACTTAATTAGGCTGGCCCAGGCCTCGTCAGATGTGAACCGTTGTAGAATGAAATGTAGGTGTTCTAGATGTTCAAAACCCGTACTCGAAGCACCTCTGCCACAACAGCGAGCCACGGAGCATATAAACGCAACAAGGTCGTAGTAGTCGGTGGAACCTTCTGCTGAGCTATCGCTATCATTCGAATGCCGGCTGAGAAGGGATTCTGGTAGGGAGAGCTCAAAATCCGCGCTCCCAAATTGGGCGCCAGCAAGCAGATTCGCTGCAAATAACAAAACTGCCTCCTCGCCCGATGGACCTGAGAGTTTAAATTGTGCCAAAGCACTTCGTAGTAGAGCAACAAGGTGCACATAATCTCTCCCTAATGCTTCTGGTTCGTTCCCTGGAGCACCTGGATCGCATGTGCTAAGAATCACAATAGATACAAGAGTCGTTAGCAAGCTAGAAAATGTCTGATTCACAGCTTCAGCGGATGACTTCTCAAAACTGCTGGTCGACGACCCCGCCCCCGCCAACAGAGGCAGCATCTCGTCGAAGAATAACAGAGCATCCGAATTTATAGAGCCAGGTGACAATCTCTGGATGACTCCAGTCCATACTGGACGAAATGCTTTCGTGGCTAGCCATTCGAGGGGTAACACGCCAGTCGAGACCAGCTTTGCTAGTTGTTGGTATTGGAATGAAAAACGGCCTGTATCCTGGACAAATTTCCACAGCATCGAGACTGAACGTGGCGCTGGCTCATGAAGGGTCCTAGGCCGCGGGAACCGACTGGATGACAATAGGGACGAAAGCAAGACCTCGGCTTCTTCTCTAGCAGAAGTGTTTATACAAAGTGCTATCAGAACCCTACAGAATTCGATGTCAAGCAATCCTGACCGTATAGCTTCGCCGAGTACTTGTACCCCGTGTGCTCGAACAACGTACTTTAACTGCTTCCAACCACGGCCGGAAGATCCAAAGTCTTCCAGTTCATCATAAATTTCAGTTGACATGTCGTGAGTACTAATTGCAGACCTGGTGCCAGTTTCCTCGGCGTGGGCTGATAATATTGCATCTTCTTGAACAATGTGCCGTGGAACCGCTCTTAAACACGTTGAGAGGAGTGACCTTGCACCTTTCCTTGTCTTCGCTAGCTCCTCATTACCCGTTGAACGCAGTAATGTTTCGAACCCATGGTATAGACCTTCGTAAATCGTATAGCGAGAGGCCGGAGTCCTTTGCCGTATTTCACGCAACGTACCAGACGTAGGAAAATGTAGTTCGCCATCGTTGGCCGGTCCTTGTCCCCTAACATCTTTATTACTCTCAACGTCATTTCCATCTCGTCTAGAATCTGCGCTTGTCGAAAGGCGCTCTCCCATAAAAAGATCTCCTCTAGCCCGGGCAAGAATGGGTGTTGGGACGGATATCTCCCCAGGGATGAGTGATTTCTCTCCAGACGAAGACGGCAAAGCTCGTGGTGTTTTCGGAGCACCCTGGCTGCTTCCCCCTCTCCCAGACCTGCTGGTATACGTCCGCTTGACTCTTTTCCTAGACTTAGACTGTCCCCAGTCAAGGTCGTCATCTTCATAACGTTTCCTCCTGCTCCTCGGTTGGCTGCCCTTCCCAGTATTTTGATTCGACACATTGCAGTCCGGATGCACTGAAGAGAATCGGGCAAGATCCTTTTTAAGAATTGCAACTCTCGAGGTCAAGGCCCGTAGCAGACGGTGGCATCTCGCTGCCGTCCATTCCTTTTCCTGGTCTCCATGAAATTGTCTGGCGGTGTAATCGCAATCTCGACGTCGGACAGGTGTAAAGCCATGCAAAGCAATATTTGGAAAAGGTATTTCGGATTCCATTTCGGATTCCTAATGAGTATTAGAAATTGCTAGTCTCAAGCGCTGGTCATGCGCTGGTCATGCGCATACCTACCTAATTAATTGTTTGTTTACATCCCACTCACGAGAGAAGTAATGCAGTGATGCCAGAACCTAATCCAGCCCCTCTTCTTTTTCCGTAAAATATACACATGGATATGCAAATGCAAGTGCAATGATTCCCAAAAGCGATTATCTTCCAACGGTATGGATTGTCATTGTCGGAGGGCAGTCATGGATTAAGGTGTTGATGGTAAACAAATTCTCGGCTTCTCATTGGGCGAGGTTGGCCGCGGAAAAGACGGGATATCCCGGACTACCGACAAAGTTTTAGCTTATGACCATTAAAAAAATATCGCCGCCATAATTCTAGAGGCAATGACCTTGTTCTCTCCCAAAACACCACTTTTTCTTTATTTGTAATTCTACTCTCCAATTAGGATACAAGTATTCTGTTTGCTTTATCTGCTAGTCCTAATACCGATCCGCTCTTTCTCCGCTGATTTTGTTCGTGGTTTGACTTCGACCACTTCCCCTGTATATCCATCATGGCCGGAACAAACACCAACACGCCTTCCTCTGGTATGTTCTTGCGACCTGGCATGCTGCATACTATCTATAACACGTACGCGAAATCAGCTTGCTAATTGCGTTATTTCCTTAGAAATCCAGCCCAATGGGGCCGCCAACTCCCAGTCCGAAAACGCTCCCGATGTCGACCCTGAAACCACAAACGGGGCAGAACAGGATGCCGCAGATACAGACGATCAAAGTGGTGAAAGTATGCCATCCCACCACAATATAGCCGTCCATTGCACCGCATCTTGGATTCACTGGGGAATATTTCACTGACGTCACCACAGCTATTTTCCAATTGACCGTCAACCTTCCTCATGACCCTAAGAAGATCCAGATTATGGTAAATCAACCTTGGAGTCTATATCGAAGGGAATACTAATGTGCCTTCTAGGTCTCTTCACAAGAAGCGATCCACGATGTTCGGCAATCGATTATCGAGCTCCCCGGGACCTTCCAGTACTCCTGCTTCCATCTCGAACACAAGGGCCAGCCCATAAACGACTTCATACAAATATCGGAAGTCGATGGACTGACCGCTGATTCAGAACTCACTCTGGTAGAGGATCTATACACCGAGAAGGAGGCTAGGCTACATGTCGTCCGGGTGAGGGAGATTATTGGAGCGGCCGGCAATCGGACTGATACTCTCCACGGCATCTTGGCGGGTACCTCCCTTCACGATTCTGTCACACAGGCTGCGCAAAAGTCCATCGAGGAAGGAGGCGTGGAGGCACACGCAGTGGCTAACTATGACTTCCAATCACCTGGAGCTCTCGCCACGCTTCTGCCGGAAGTCTCGGAGGTGGCCCCGAAAATTGTGAAGTCGATATCAGTGTCGCCCTGGAACCCTCCTCCATACCACTTGCGGCAGAAAGGACACCTGCTATACCTTCTTCTGACTACGAATGAAGGCGAGCAATACCAGATTACGTCGCACGTTTCTGGCTTTTATGTGAACAAATCGTCGAATAGCAAATTCGATCCGTTCCCTCGTCCTGCTCCCAAGGCTCACCACGCACATTCTCTACTAGTCTTGATCGGCGACCTGTCGCCATCATTCGATGCTTCTTTCAAGAAGCTTCTCGAGTCCAATAATTCGAAGGAACCCCTGGCCACCTTCCAGATCACCAATGCTGCTCCCGCGAGTCCTTGGATAGTACCTAGTACAACCTCCCCTCTTCTGGCACACCAACCTGATATTACTCGGACACAAGAGACCTATTTGATATCTGGAATCGAAAACACCGACACTCTCCGAGACTGGAATGAGGAATTTCAGTCAACTAGAGAGCTACCCAAGGAGAATGTACACGATCGTGTATTCCGCGAGCGGCTGACTTCCAAACTCTTTGCTGATTATAACGACACTGCTGCGCGGGGAGCCGTTTTAGTCGCCCGGGGCGAGGTCGCTCCTTTAAATCCAACAGAAGGAAGAGACGCCCAGATATTTGTCTACAACAACGTATTCTTCTCCTTTGGAGCTGATGGCGTCGGAACATTTGCATCAGAAGGTGGGGATGAGGCCGCGAGAGTAGCTACTGGCAAGGATGTGATGGGCGTTCGGATGGTCAATCAATTAGACATTGATGGCCTTTTCACCCCTGGAACTGTGGTTGTCGACTACTTAGGAAAGCGTCTAGTAGGCCAAAGCATTGTCCCTGGAATCTTCAAGCAGCGAGATCCAGGAGAGAATCAGATCGATTACGGTGCAGTTGATGGCAAGGATGTTGTGGCCGATAATGAACAGTTTGTTTCCACCTTCGAGAAGCTCTCCAAGGCTTTGAAAGTCAAGAAGCATCCGGTTTGGGATAAAGATGGAAAACGCCATGAACTGGAGGGAAGCGTGGAAACTAAGGGATTGCTTGGCACTGACGGCCGAAAGTATGTGCTTGATCTGTACAGAATCACCCCATTGGATATATCCTGGATGGACGAATTTGGCACTGCCATCGGTAGCCCGGACCCAGTGGATGAGGCTAGTGAAAGCGCATATCCTCATAGGATGACTGTCCTTAGACCCGAACTCGTTGAGGCATATTGGAAGGTCAAGATGCGCGACTGGGTTAATGCCGAGCTGGCCTCGAGACGCCAGGCCCAAAAGGATACCCCAGAGGCAGCGCAGTTGGAAGACAAGCCAGAGGGAGACGATGAAAAGGAAAAGAGTGCAGATGACGAATCCTCTACAGAAGTCAGCAAAGCAACTGACGGTGACAAAGAGAGAATCGACATTTCCAACTTCAACTTCTCGCTGAATCCCGATGCGTTCAGTGGCCAGGTACCGGTGACAGACGCCGAAAAAGAAGAACTGGCAAAGGATGAGCAAGATGTCAGACAAGCTTGCCAATTTCTTCGAGAGACTGTCATTCCTGAGCTCATCAATGACCTCAAGGAAGGCGATGTGGGACATCCTATGGACGGGCAATCGTTCAGCAGACTGTTGCACAAGCGAGGTATCAACATTAGATACCTTGGCAAGATCGCCCAGCTTGCTGAAGGGAAGCAGCTTGAGTCGCTCCATAACCTTGCCTTGCAAGAAATGGCATCCAGAGCATTCAAGCATATTGCAGGCAAATACTTGCGTTATCTGCCCATCCCACTAACATCTTCATGCATCGCCCATCTTCTCAACTGCTTGCTTGGTACCGATCTCAATGCTAAGCCTAAGGCAGTTGTTGATCCAGCTCTAGCTGCATTGTACCCTAAAACAGATTTGGCATTTGAAAAAGTCACCCCTGAGAGTTTGAGAGAAGAGATTGAGAATCAAATTCTTCGTCGCTACCAATACAAGGTTGAACCAACATGGGCTTCTGCGATCAAGCACACGCAGATGCTTCGAGAGATCTCTCTAAAGCTTGGATTACAACTTGAGATGAAGGAGTTTTGCTACACAAGTGAAAGCGCTGCTGCTCAAGCCCCGCCTGCAGTTAACGGATCTGCGCCAAAGGAAAATGGTGTTAGTGGCCAGAGCACAAGCAGCAAGAAAAAGAAGAAGTCGCGTGATGGATCCCCAGCAGCGGCCGCAAGTGCTGCGCAGCGTCTAACTTTTGTACCGGATGACATTCTCAACGTTGTGCCTGTCGTGAAGGAGGCCTCACCTAGAAGCTCGCTAGCTGAGGAAGCTCTCGAGGCGGGGAGAATCTCGATAATGCAAGGCCAGAAGAAGCTTGGTCAGGAACTGTTGCTTGAGTCGTTGTCTCTACACGAGCAAATTTACGGTATCATCCACCCTGAAGTTGCTCGTGTCTACAACTCGCTATCGATGCTGTATTACCAACTGGACGAGAAGGATGCGGCGGTTGAGCTTGCCCGCAAAGCCGTCATCGTCTCAGAACGAACTCTTGGTGTTGATAATGCGGAGACACTACTTAGCTACCTCAACCTTGGATTATTCTGTCACGGGAGTGGGGAATCCAGGTTGGCGTTGCGTTATGTTAAGCATGCCTTAGAGCTCTGGAAAATCATCTATGGCACCAACCATCCAGATTCCATCACAACCCTCAACAACGCTGCAGTGATGCTCCAGCACCTCAAGGACTACCATGAGTCTCGCCTCTGGTTCGAAGCATCCCTGAAGGTGTGCGAAGCCATATATGGCATGCAGTCCATTAACGCTGCCACTCTTCTCTTCCAACTAGCCCAGGCCCTCGCACTCGACCAAGACTCGAAGGGCGCCGTCAACCGCATGCGTGAATCTTATAACATCTTCCTCAGTGAGCTTGGTCCCACTGATAAGAACACCAAGGAGGCTGAAAGCTGGCTTGAGCAACTGACCCAGAACGCCGTCTCCATTGCAAAGCACGCAAAGGACGTTCAAGCTCGCCGCATTCGCGCTGGTATCAGAGTATCACCTCGTGTCACTCTTGGACAGACCCACCCACAGCCACAGGTTGGACAGACTGCCCAGGCGGCATCGGGTCGTGACCCTGCACATGCAAAGGGCCTTGATTCTCGCACTATCGATGAACTGGTCCGCTTCATTGAAGGCAGTGATCAAAAGACAACACCTAAGAAGCGTCCTGGCCGTAGTAACCCAAAGCGGCGTGGCGGCGCATCTGTCGCTGGCTCATAAAGCACGAACAGAACAACAACGGCAGTGAATATGATTTGAATTAATAGTTGCAGCGCGGGGGATTCATGGAAAAGGAAGGAACGGAAGAGGTGTAGCATTTGGCGGCGCATAAAAACTCCACTACGGTGCATCGGGAATCACATCCCTTTCTCCAATATTGTATTAAAACCCCTCCTTTGGGTGGGATGTTTTGTACATCTCTGTTTCTACTATGTCCGTTTATGTATTTGTCCAACTGTCTTTTCTTTGCATTGTGGGTGTTGGGATTAATATTTCCACTGTACAACACATTTTCTGGCGGAACATGTATCAGGTACAAAGCAGGCTTCCTATCTGCCGAATATGGGTCCCAAGCACTGGTTTTTGCATAACCGCTTTGTAACATAGAAATCCGCTCTAGATGATGGACTTGGGTGGTGGAGCATGCTTTGTAAGATTATAAAAGACTATCTTCCCTCACGAAATTGCAATTTCACTCAATTAACATGTGGTTGAATGAGCTGTGGGCATGTGGAAAATAACGCCGGCATAAGGCCTATCATTTCATGTGGCATAGAAGCTTCCTCGGTGTTCGAGCATTGCACCTAGACTAAGCTGCCCATGCATAACCTAAACGCCCGTATTCCCTCCATTGTCGTTGATGGGTGAACATGATTCCGCAGACAAGGTCGGTAATAACACGCCGATACCATCCCGTCCGCTATGCTGCAAATGACAAAACTGAATTCGTGAAGCACATGTGATGTGGCCAGGATGAAAAACAACATACAGCAATATTTCGATGCCGAGATAGGGCCTGAAAGCTATACTGAACCAAGTCGGCTGGTTAGACCTCAATGAAGATTCCTAGTCAATACAGCAAGTAACATGCAAGTAATCAAATCGTAATAATAGGACAAGTCAGAATGGCATGTGGATGGTCCTAACGGCCACTAGCGAAAGGAGCGGCTGGAATACCATTGCCAACAGGCGCGTGATAAGACCCAATGCTTTGAAATCCTCTGTATACAGGTTAGAGTCAAAATCGAACGAACGTGGGCTAGTGGTGACCTACCTTGTCAAATCAAAGCCCTGATCCTCATCGTCAAGGTCTTCGAGTTTGGGAGCATCTTGCCTAGCAGACATGCCGTTCCGGGTAGGGCTAGCTGCAGAAGACCGACGTGCAGGTGGTGGACTGCTGCTTGGTGGGATCCCAGAAGCTGCTCCTTTGGTGGGGCTAAGATCGAAAGCAGGTCCCTTCATAGGAGTCGTCCCGATGTCAGCATACTTCCAGAAAGGGGCCGGGGAGCTGGTAGGCATATGCTGGCTCGGCCGTTGAGCGGTGCTAGGCGGAGCTAGTCGGGGGTGGACACGAAGGGGAGCTGGCGTAACGAAGGAGCTGCCATCCTCTTGTAAATATGAGGAGGAAAGAACTGGTGGGGAACCTGGGACGTTATCAGAGAGCCCAAAGGCATTGCTATGAGGTCTTCGGTTTCGCGGCAGCGGGCTACCGTCGCCAGGAAGATGATCTTGCATAGACCGACCACCACGATCAGGCGTGAATTGAGGGGCATTGGCTGGGTAGGAGCTCGATGGGGGTGATCCGGAACGTGGCGATCGCTTCAGTTTCGAGGCAGAACTGGGCTCACCACCATCCCTCGAGGCACGAGTGAGGTAACCAAGATTGGCTGGTGAACCAGGCGCAGAAGATCCTCGGTGGCCGCCTCGCCCACCACGGACACAGTTCCTTGCCATCTCATCTCGGACCTCAGGCACAATGCACCATTTCATACCCTTACCAGGCTCATCCGTAGACCGAGCAACCTTGTGGAAGGCTTTATTTAATGACAGGTTATGCCGAATTGAGTTCTACGCATCATTAGCACAAGTTCTAGCGATCGAAGATACCTGACCTACCTGCCATCCTCCACCATGTTGATGCCTATAGTAGGCATACTTTTCCATGATGTAGTTATAAATCCCACTCAAGTTCAGCTTCTCATCCTCTGTGTCAAGAATTGCCTGACTGATCATTTGAGCGTAACTGTAAGACGGCTTGATATGCTGATTTGAATCCAGGGATAGGTCCACATCATCGCCATTCATAAGCATAGTTCCACCAGCATAACCAGGGGATTTTCCAACCGAGAATGGAGCCTTAGTACGAGCGCTGACGGGGGTTCCTGGGCGTCGATAATCTGGCGGCGCAGGAGCAATAGGCAAAGGGCCTGTACCATTATGGCCTCGCGATCCTTGTGCTGAGAGTCTCGCTGATGGTGTCTGGTTATCGGTTTCATGTGCTTGAGTATCGTCGTCGATGACTTGGACCAGTCCTGCTCTCTCGAGATACTTCCTATCGATTTGGAGGCTTCCTTCTTCCTGTGGCAATACGAACATCATCTCAACACCCCCAATCTCAATAACGTGCCCATTGACAAGAGCTTGATGGTCGCCTTTCCGGTACGGAATAAAATTAATACGGATTCCGTTTCGGCCCTGAACGTGTATCTTCCATCGCTCCGAGTCTGAATCGAAATAAATAGTCGCATGACGTCGAGACACCATCTTGCTAGGTCCGAGATCAACATGAACTCCATCGCGCTCTGGGGATTCACCTGGCAAGGCACCGCATTCGTCGACGTCTGGAGAACCTCCATGGGAGGGCTGAGGGTTGACACCTTCCGGTGGACGGCCGATAATGTTATTCAAGCTCTTCACGTAGAAGGTCCAGTCCCTTCCTGCCAGTTTAGCATAGGCCTGGACACCGTCCTTGTTATGTTTTTCGTAAACCGTATTGTCATGGTCTGTACTAGCCTGTACAAGATGCGGCGGCATCATAAGAGCAGGGACAACGGCGGATACCAGTTCATCATCGCGCATTAGAATACCAGACCGGTCGAGGGGAAGCTTGGGCTTTTCGGGTTCTTCAACCTGGGCTTTTTGTCAGCGCCGTCCAATATATCTCATATTCCCACTAACCTTCTTTCTTCTCTTTGCGGGTCGCGACGGGGAGGAATCGGGGATGTCGACATGACTATTAACGGGTTCTTTCCGGGCTCTCGAGCGCTTTGTCGAGGGAGGCATACTTGGAGGTCTTGTGCCCAGAGGCGAGCGCAATATATTGCATGCGTCAATGGGCCTTGTCTAGAAGGACAGCGAAGAGAGTCAGTGGGCTATTTTGAAATGTATGTGCAGGCATCAAGGGAAGTGAATTGGAGGTCACTTTTGCCACACTGTCCATTGACTGACCTTCGCCTTTGCGCATATGTGAGCGCCTCTTTACAAGCTTCTCTAGACTGCGGCGGAGCAGCGCAAGTAATCAAACCAAAGGTATCTCCGAAGGTAGTCGCGGAACCCTTTATTTGTTAAGGGCGACGCTGGGATGGGTTGTCGCGATTGTATTGAATTCCTCGTCACGCTCAGGCGCGTCGTCTATGGTGACAATGCCTTTGTTTGCCCTGCGCAAGACTGGCGTCGTGCAAGGCCGGAGGAGCGCAATATGTGTTCGCCGACGCTGTTCAAGAGGGTGCGGAATGATCTGGTTCACGTACAACAAGATTCAGAGTAATTTTTGGTCATGGTTGTTCCTGCTTTCAAAAAAATGATTTCAAAGGTGCGGATCGCGGGGGCAAAGCCTGCCTCTCGCTACGCGACTCTGATTGGCTGCAGCCACCAACGTAAATAGGAAGTGCCGGATGCGGGTTGAAACGCAAGCAGAGCCTCTCCTTATCCTCAAGACGCACAACATCGATAAGTACAGCCAGCAATACATCACAGAGTGCCGCTAGGAGAGCTTCGCAACCATGGAATTGGCAGCAACTTTGTTCCTTGCTCCCTTCCCAACAGCTATGCGCCCATTTGTTGCCGACGCCGGGAAGCAAGCCGGTACTGTTGAGCAACGTATCTCAATCCTCCTTATTTCGATGCATGCCTTCTTCAGCTGTTGCGCATGTTTCCTTCTTCCCAACTCATCTCTGTTATTGTCACGTGTTCTGTGGGGGAAGCGTTCCAAGCTGGGCTCTGTCTTACTGGTTCCAAGCTCCACTGGCCTAAAATATAGGGGCAGGAGCTCCTCCTAGAACAAGTATAAAGGCACCCTAAAGCCTCAAGGATGTTTTACTAGACTAGACTCGTGTTTGTCCTCTTATGCTTGTGTTACACTATTTCCTCGCTCGGCTTGGTTGTAGTCTGGCCCATACTCGTATCTTAGTGAGTCGGCATCCTGTACGTCAGTAAGCGATTGAGGATGTCGGTCCGTATTTGAATGCCCGTTCATGAAGCCCTGCACCTACAAGAATTAAAACGGTCGGAGCAGACGCAGAGATTTCAGGCCGCTGCAGTTACAGTTGTAGTTGGCCCTGGCCCTGGTCCTGGCCTGGGTGCTCAAGCTAGGATCGGCATATCAAGACTGCATATGGATTGCCAGCATCTCAGCAGAGAGCTGCAACGTAAGGGAGGATGTGTCCCACTCTCCGATATAGTCCCGCTATGTCTTCTGCACAACACAAGGCCGCTCTTTAGAGGCTGCGGTTAGCCTTGGTTGAACGGATTATCAGATGTATACCTAAATGGTGTATTTGCCATTGCGAAAATTGGGGATCATAATCGGGGCATTTTAGCAGACTGCCAGGATGTCCAGCAAGAACGACGAACAGACATCTACCGCGAGACATGTGTTCTAGGAGCAAGACGCGTCGTACATGTGGGATGAACATACAGTACGCCCTTTTTGCCTGGCCCGCCGAGCAGACTTGATGCTCGTAGCTTAATGAGGGACGGGAACTGACCTATCTGTTAATAGCGATAGCTGCATCGCTGCTTAATCAAAAAACGCTCTAATCATCCCACATTCGGTGTTACCTCGAGCTCAGGCATGCGAACCAAATCCTGGGTGACGGATGCAAAGAGCGAAATCCGACCATAACCCCGTAGCATGATAGCATCCCATATGAAGAATTTTGTGATGTCCCGGTTACCTGCTGGAGGCCAAAACCCGGCAGTCAAGCCAATGCAAAAGGGCGACTATATTATACCTCCAGTTGAGTGGGCTGGAACTAACCTCAGTATGAGACTCCCTGAGACGCTGGTGTCACGCCATATAGACGTCGCTTTTGCTTATACGGGCCCTAAGCCGTATTCCTATGTAACTTAAATCATGGGGCAGCGAGGCAATTAGGTTCGGCGAAGTGGATAGTGGCATGAGGCTAAGGCAAACACCATGATACCATCAGGTGAGTGCCATCGGGTTAATCCCCTTATCAGAGTGCGAGTCAGTATTCGTCCCTCTTGAATTGAAATACGTCCTGTGGAAACCGACGATCCCCGGGTTCGGGAACCAGGGTCCATAATGCACGGCCCGAAACCAAATTCGGCTTGCCGAGCCTACGGTCCATCTCGCTCCGCGCTTCACAGGCTGCCGCTCTTGATGCCGGCGAAGCCGATATCAGGCCGTTCAAGTTGGGGCACAATCCCAAACCCATAGTGCCTATAGAATAACAATAACATTACATCCCCTATGTCCAAATGCACTTGCGGCTTGAGGAACATTGGCATCAAAGGTGGAAGAGAAAACCAACCCGAAATTCAAACTCAACAAACCAGTTGCTCGTAGAGTCGTAACCACTTTGACTAGCTTCGTACATGTACGTGCCCGCCAACCCCGAGACCATGCACTCATAACTATAGGTAAAGTACCTTACTAAACAGAATGCCATGAGCAGGCTCAACGCACATTCATTGCAGCAACCAGCTTTCCGCCAAATACTCATCCCATTAATTCGTAGCTCTGGCTGGCCAGTTACGTGATTTATGGTACCGAGTCGTGCATATAACTGGCCGCCCTTGCATGTTGCTTGCATCGCCCGTGGGGGAAGGGAGCTTGTTGATATACGTAGTAGCATACCCCGTTTCTCGTCGAACCTAGCGGTCAGGGAGTCCACAGAGAGCATATAAATTTGTAACGACGGGGACTAGGACTGGGCAGGATTATTGGGCAAGGGTTCCATGCTACACAAAATCCTTTTTCCGATATTGCTATTGATATTGATATTGGGGGTCGAGGAAATAGCTTCCAGGTCAAATGTACGCGCCAGCGCAGCTATCTTCAAACAGAGAAAACGCTCAGGCTGGCAGGCATATGAGCGCTAGGATCCAACCTAGAAACAGCGGATGTCGGACATGACGACCGAAGACGTGCTGCCGAAAGGATTTGGTTTGTTGCAATGCGACGGACCGCTGCAACGAGTCTTCGGCCCAGTCAGTCAATGATACGTGGTTCTGCGATGCCGGTTTCCTCGACGATAGGCGATTGGTATCTTGGGATCTTGGTTATCTTGAGCCACACGAAGCTACCACCGCCGTCCGGAGTCTAGAGTCGTCAGGTCGGAAAGTTGTTTACGTACCTAGTGCGAAGTGGTGACCTAGTAATCGCCGGTTTCACTGGCGCCCTGTGGCTGGCGGCGGCCACAGCGAATCGCAGAGGAGCCTTGGACCCGACAACGGCAGTATCTTCCGTGGCGTAGCAACCTTGAGGCTTGACCCAAGAACCTGCCGGCCAGCTCCTGCCAGAGATCTGGCGTGTGAAATGACATGCCAACTACTACGTAGTCGTACGGAGTGACCCATGCGAAGTGCGAGTATATCGAACGAAACAAGCTGCTATTCGGGAGGCGGCTGTGGATACCAACTCTAGGGCACATGCAAATGGAATCCCTCCGGCCGGCTAAAGCTTCTCGAATCGCTATCATTCCTTTTGGGCGGTCAAGCGGTCAAGCAGTCAAGCGGTCAGGGAACTTGAAGAACCATCGGTGGTTACGGCTTCAAGAACAAGGGGAATGCCGACCACACCGGGCATCCCAACTCCCGTAGGTGTTGGAGTCTGGGCAGCTCAGCTGCCTTGCTGCCTGTCTTGCAGATAGAATCGACAGCCCGTACTCGGTGCTTCTGAGAGCCATTGGCACCTGTCGCCGGCCGGGGAAACCGTTGTTTCTGCTAACTATTGCATTGCATTGCCCTTTGTCCTAGCTCAACCGAAGGCATCAAACGTCACGGCTTGCATTGCCGTCGGGCGCAGAACCACCTAAGTAGAAGTCCGGAAGAAATGGCCAGCATACCGAGCTCGCGGAGGAAATCTGAAGCCAGAAGGTGAGGTACAGTACTAGGTACCGGTACGTGGGGAGATCCGTGGACGACGGGGGCCGTAGCGGACAGGTCACAAGTGAGTGTTCGTGCGAGCATTCATGGTTCATAGCAGCAGGTATAGGTACATGGGTACCCCACCAGTGCCGCTTCTCACGATGCTATGTTTCTCAGATGTTCCGGGTGTTGTGTTATGTTGTGCTGTGTCATTGTTATTGGAACCTTGAACCAGGTCAACAACAAACCTCGAGGAGTTGAGTGGGAGAGGAAGGAGCTAGGTATGTAACAAGTTCCCAGTAGTGACGGCCCTAATCCCTTAGCCGCCCCTTCCCCACCACTCCACTCTTACGCTTCATCACGCCGGGAACGAATTTGTTTTGTCGTCTATTCGATGGGAAAGCGGGATTTCTGTTAATGTGATCTGCAACCCCCCCCTATCTAACATTCTCCATTCCCATCCATAGCACCCATCATTTGCACTGCAAGCTCCCGCAGGCCTGGTACTACTCCGGCTTCCTCCTTTTTCTATATAAATCAAGTCATATCCCCACCTACAAGGCAGATTTCATTGCGGTCCTACAGTTGCCCTCTTCCTCTATCCAGTCCCTCTTCCTCTTCATCTTCGATACAATTCTCTTATTACTACAAAGCGGGCAGAAATCCATACACAGCCCAAATCTCAAATCCACTATACCCCGTCCTAGGTCCCCTTTTTCCATACCCAGCTTGCTTGAGGGGTGCTTTTCATTACATATTTGTCCTAGGAATTGAGTCCTCTTTCGCCGTTCAAAACCGTCCAGACACCAGTCATGTCTCCATCGGCTGTGGCACAGCTACCCCAGCATGACATGGGGCTTGCAAAAATTGATATGAAAGGCAAGGGAAGCTCTAATGGCCATACCAATGGGGTAAATGGCGTCAAAAAGCCCGAATTTCTCCTCGACCGGAATCTTCACAAGACCTTCCCACTTGTAACTCGCGGCAAGGGGAACTACTTGCAACTCGCCGACGGACGCACTATTTTTGATGCAACCTCCGGTGCAGCGGTCTCTTGTCTGGGGCACGGGAACGAGCGGGTGATCAAGGCTATCAACAAACAGCTAACTACCGGCGTTCCGTATCTTTGCTCCTCTTACTGGAGTTGTGATGTGGTGGAAGAGCTCTGCAAGGAGTTGATCAATGGCACTGGGGGTGAGATGAGCAGAATTTACTTAACCGGTTCAGGTTCGTCTTCTATCAATCTATCTTCCCTTGCCCAGTAACTCATTTGGTTAGGATCCGAAGCGATGGAAGCCTCCATAAAGCTTGCTCGGCAATACTTCTATGAAGGCGACAAGAACACCCCGCGAGTGAACATCATCGCTCGTGAAGGGTCATATCACGGCAATACCATTGGCGCGCTTGGTGTATCTGGGCATGTTGCACGTAGGGCTCCATACGAGCCTTTCCTTATGAAAGTCCATCGCGTATCAGCATGCAACGCATACCGCCAACGAAGAGAGCGGGAATCCGATGCATCATTCGTCGCCAGAAAGGCCTCCGAGCTCGAGGCAAAATTTCAAGAATTAGGACCTGAGACAGTCATTGGCTTCGTATGTGAACCAGTTGTAGGAGCGGCATTAGGTTGTGTTCCCGATGTTCCTGGATACTTAACGGCTATGAGAGCTGTTTGTCATAGACATGGCGCCCTCTTCATACTGGATGAAGTTATGAGCGGTATGGGTCGTTGCGGCACTCTACATGCCTGGCAAGCCGAAGGCGCGGCGCCTGACCTCCAAACTGTTGGGAAAGGCCTAGGAGGTGGCTACCAACCAATAGCAGCAGTCTTGATCTCAGACAAGATCGTCAGTTCATTGTCAAATGGGAGCGGCCAATTCGTCCATGGACAAACTTATCAAGCAATGCCCATCCAAGCAGCCGCAGCACTTGAGGTGCAGAAAATCCAACGAGAAGAGAATCTGATCAAGAATGTCCAGGTCCAAGGAGCTTATCTCGAGAAGCGCCTAAAATCGCTCTTAGGAGGTCACCCGAATGTGGGCGATATCCGGGGAAAAGGTCTCTTCTGGGGCTTGGAGTTCGTCAAGGATAAGCAGACCAAGGAGCCTTTTGATACGAAGTTGGGTGTTGCACAACGGGTGCATGACATAGCCATTGCAGCGCCGTTCAACATGACAATGTACCCCGGTACCGGAACCGTGGATGGGATTGCAGGAGATCACGTTATCATCGCCCCAACCTACATTGTCACGAGAGAAGAGATCGACCATATCACCAAGGTCGTAGCCGAAGTCGTCCAACTCGTTTTCGAAAAGATTGGAGACGTATAGTCCCCCTCGACGATGGCACGACCTAGACAAAGAACGGGTTTGTAGACATCTCGGCTCTCAGCCGGCACCTCTTTCTTCTTGTACTACAGCATTTGCCTGGGTGGTTTTTGCGGATCTTGCTCGTTTAGTCTACGTTCCTAGCAACCGTTGTCTTTTCTGGATAGGAGCTTCCGCAGAATATTTGGTAACTCTTCTCCTTCGTGTCTTATCTCTACAGCATTTTCATCATAGATCTCGCCACTTACGTGTCAACATGTTTGCTCGCCCGTCTGACTTACCAGCATATTTTTAAGAAATGTTCTCAATACAAATATAAAATTTAAATGGAGATGACGATCCTAAGAGTGATACGCTTAGCGTCTTTGGTGGGGCAAGTGAGTATTTTGGTTGCTCTTTTGATAAATACGGATGTTAGAACGTCTTGATGGCGATTCGTGGTGATGTACTTTTATACCTCCTCTCTCAACTCAGCATCATAGCAGACTATGTTATGGACTTTTAGAACTGCTATGCTGATATGAGATACAGATCTCGCTGTACATAATTGACGATTATCTCGACATTTAAAAATTTAGATACAACGGGGAGGTAAATTATATCCAAAGACTTTCATCTTCCTCCCGGAAACATGCAATGGCAACGGTTCTAAATATGTAGCACCGCATCGCGTTATCCGCTTATTCAATCACCTCGCCCTTACTCGGCGTCAAGGACCTCCTCTTCCTCTTCCCCCTCTCTCTTTCCGTGGGTGCTTGGTGGGGTGGCCACAATTCCCATGTTGAAGCTGGGGTTGTTGTGTCCTCCCGTAGCATCAACATATGCGGTGTTTGTTGCGTATTGCTCAACGTTGGCATTGAGATCGATACCGAGAAGTGCCCATGCGAAGATTCCCTGTTCGATCTGGCTGCCAAGATATGTGTAGCTTGGGAATGGATCATAGGCTTTGGTGGCGGCATATCCGGTGAACATGTCGGCGTCGTTCTGGGTCATCTGGATTCTGTTGGTGTTGTATGGGGCGGTCTTCTCGACGGCGTTGATAAGAGCCTGTTCGAAGAACAGCTGGGAGAGATGGTTGATTGTGCCCCCAGTATAGCTGCCGTTGGCCTCAACCTTGGCGCCAACGTGGGTGATGATGTGCTCGTGAGTAGCACGTCCACCGTAATGACCTGGGAAATTGGTATCGAATTGCACGACACCATCAGCGTCGGTCTTCTGGACACTACGCAAGAAAGCACTGTTTAAGCCACCTTGGCCTTGTGCGCTGACACCGCTATAGATGCCGGTGGCGTTGCAGGCCCAGATATCAACGAGGATTTCAGGTGCTGGCTTGCAGGTCTTAACATCAATGAACTGAATCTCAAGATGCATTGGCACTCCCTTCTGGCCATCGACGTTGTTGGACCGAATTTGCTCGCCCTTTACGAAGTATGGCCCGTTGGCATTGTCTGGGGCGAGAATGCAGGTTGGGTTGGCGCCGAAGAGCGCTTCTAGAGAGGCTCCAGGCTTGAGTGCGGAGCCTGTCTTGTTGTGCTGTGTCTGAGCCCAGGTCTTGAAGTCCTGGAGATTCCGCTTGTCGAAGATGGGTGCTACTATAGGTAAGCCAAGAATGATATATATGTAACAGAAAGTAACTGACTGTCTTGAAGACCGCGCTCCTCACGAAGCTGCTCTGTAATAGCTGCGCGACGCTTTATCGCCCGCTCCTGGAGCGCCTTGACATGCTCGCTGTCCACACAGGCATTCATCTGCGCTGCTTGGTAGTCTGCGATGGCCGCCGTCCGCTTCATCTGTCGAGCAATGTGCTTGATATCATGCTGCTCCTCGCCCGGGTGGGCAGCTGTGAGGGTTCCGCAGAAGCCATATGCCAGAGCCAAAGCAGCCGTGAATCTTGAGATAGGAGCCATCTTGCCGAGTAATCGAAATCGTCGAGTAATTGGAATATGCTGATTTACAATCACTGATATCCTTCGGACATCTTGGAGCTTTATGTACCGCCGCCATTCCGGCAATAGAACCCCGTCGTGCCCTACTCAGGGCCAAACACAATGATCCGAACTTCTGATCTCATGACATGAGGCCTTGGCAGCCACCGACAGGCTATTTAAGCAGACCTATGACGGGGGGCGGGATAATAAGCAGAGAGATATGTTCATTTATTTTCACGATCCGTTGATCTGGGAAAAGGGAGATAGATGGCGACCTGTTGCGTGGGACGCAGGTAGATAGATCTTGGGTGCGATGCGGCAGTGTAGATTGTGGGGTACGGGATAAAAACACCACGATCGAAAGCCCCTTTTCCCCAGGCAGGATCATACGCCCCTTGGCTCCTTGAGCCTTGGCGATGGAACTGCTGCTTAGCCAGGAGGCTAATAATCTGGAAATACACAGCGGCGGCCTGGTATTGGAAGACGGGCGCGTAATACCCGGTGGATCGAGAGAAACGGTTGCGCGGGCAGATCGCATAATTCTTGTTTGGCCTTCTGGAAAGACATGGGAGAGGGTCGCGACGAAGTGCCGAAACAAAGCAGATATCAACCTTGCATCGCACCCTCGCGCGAATAGAGCCGCTGCTGCTGGGGGCCGAGCTGGCTAATGATAATGGTCTCGTTTGTGCCTTATAAATACCTATACTTAAGCATGTTGATAGGTCCCGGCGGCAGGCCGACGCGTGTTTGTTGGATGATGCTCAGGGATTCAAAATTGTCGTGATTAGAAAACCGATATCGTCAAAAGCACAATTCGGCAGCCACGGCATTCAAATGGTTTCAAATTGTAAAACAATGAATACGAGCGTCGAGGGCGGTCATGGGTTATGGTTAGAAGGGAAGCAGAGTACTGTAGAAGGATAGAAGGATGGGCGGCGACGACGACGACAACGACGATGGCAGCCCATGGATCGAAACTTTCACCGAAGTCGAGATTATGCTCCACTTTAGCTGTGACACTGGAGCTTGGCTGTTCTGGCCTTCGCAGATCTCCCAAGAGGGCTAATCATAGTACTATGTACAGTCTGGGCCCCTGGGTGAGGAAGTACAACTACGCGACATGCAACTTTGGGGACTCGTGCTATCAATCCCCATGCCATTAACTAATTCCCCTCCAATTTGTATTTATGTTGCAACATCCAACTGCCCATTCATACATAGAATGTCGTATGATTCATTGCGCAGAAAGCTGATGTAGAAATTGTATCTGCGAAGCAAGATGAGGTTTCAAACACCTTGTTCCGGTACAACAAATGCCGTTACATACCCTTACTCGGACACCCTTCGACATCACGAAATACTTTGCTAAATGTTATTTTAAAGTGAATTTCGGGAGAGCGAACGGCAAGTATCTACTATATAACGGCGGTCTGACTCGATACTTAGTCATTCGTCACGCCTTGCAAATGTTAACTGCCATCTCGTAGTATTTGCCTAAATGCTTGTCATCCGGTTGACCTTGGACTGGGACCTACGGAGGTTAACACGGTGCCGGCAATCACATGATATACCTTCTCCTTGACTACCTAATAGGTAGGTAAGCAGGTAACCAATGTGGTTTTCTTTACGGTGGTAATACCCACCTGAAACTTGTAACATACCTAGGTAGTTATTTATACTTTGGATTGAAGAGAGTAGAAATGGATTGCATGATGCAACGAAGCCTTGAAACTTCAGAGGATACGAAATACTTTTTAGCATAAACTCGATCCTGGCCTTTCAGATAAGTTGAGATAGAAACCTTAGCATATGACTAAAAGATGGAGCTGAGAAAAATAGTAATATCACAATGAAAGCTAAGAGACGACGAATAATGCAGATAGCGTGGTTTGCCATAATATATTTAGGATATTTGAAATGTAACTTAGTGTGAACTAACAGGCTACCTTGAAATCGGGCACTGGGTCCAGGATGGTCAGCACTGGGAATGAGGAAAGTAGTAATGGAACGTCGTCGTCGCCATCTTGATATGAGAGATTGAAAGATCAATCAAGGCCAATATCCACAGACCCTGCGTCTTGTATCCTATTGTGCTGGCGTAGTATAGCCTTATATGTGTGGACCTTGCTTCACGTGGGCTTGTCAAATAGCAAGGACTTCAAGTTCCACCGCATAGGCACGACAGCTCAGGGAAGCTAAGCCAAGCCCAAGGCTGCTGAGAGCACTATCCTCCGTGCTTCACGAAGGTAGGCAACTAATTAGGTTGGACGATCGATGCGCCGCGAACTATAGCTGTTTCTCGCAGAGGACGTGACATCATCTGCCGCAGAACATTGCCTGCTCGTCCTGAACCGTGTGCTTCGTAGGCAGTAGCCTAGTAACAACGTGCTCCTTTCAGCACTCCTCTGCTCCATAGTATGTAGCCATGCCAATTTTGTCTTTCAATTCTGCCTCGGCTTCACGATCCCATCATGCATAATATAGTAAACCACGGTACTATCACTATGTACCGTAGCCAAAAGCAACCTCTTGGGCCGGTTCGTGCCCTGCCATTCGTGCCCCACGGCTAACTCATCGGGCTCCTCCTCATTCTCGCCATCCTCGGCTGGTGGTAAAACATCCAGGGCATCAAAAACCTCAGCGAATTTCGCCACGCTCCATTCCTCCTGTATCTGGCTGGGAAGCACCCACTCTCGCTCCGGACGCTGCTCGATAGACTCGCCCATTTCGTGCTCCGCTTTTATAATCTGGACTTGTTCGTCTGGGTGGACGTATACTCGTCGGGGCGGGAGGCCGGAGATGATAGGACGAGGAAGAGGGAGGTTGTTTGCTGTTGAATGGGTGTGGATGGTAAGGCTGGTCCAGTCATGCTGGAATTGGAGGTCGTGCAGTATGTTACTAGCCAGTTGTTGAAGGTATGCGGGGTGGGCTGAATGTTGAAAGAATGGGCTTGAGTCACCGATACTTTTTTGAACGGCTGATTGGGGTGGTAAGGGTAAATCGGGGATTATAGCAGAAGGAGCCATTGCTGCCAGTTTGCATAAGGCTGGTGCGTCTGAAGCCCAAGCGGAGGCTTTGCTTGGTCGTGGGATGGCTATTGGGGCAGTTGCTGTGCCTGAGCGCTATCTTTTCGACGAGGTTATCAAGTTCGAAGGTTGGATTGACTGCAACGAGAGTTCCACTCTATCGCGTATGCCGGAATCTGTGATGGTGTTAATCTGTATCTGTACTGGTATATGCCGGGCTTTCTGAGTGGGCACTGTGGTGAACGGGTACAGTATACGGAAGGCTGAGCTTCTCAAGTCAAGTCATCGCCGTTAAGAGAATTTCGTGCTAACAAATGGAATGGTACGAATTCATCGGACTCGGACTCGAACTCGGATTCGGACTCGGACAAACTCTATTTTCTAGCCTCCGTCCTCCGTCCCTCGTACTCGTATGATCGAACATGTGGCCTCGGCGCTTCCAAAGAGCGACAAGCGACAAGAGAGAAAGGAACTGCCAATTCGGGCCGGGCCTAAGAACGAAATAGCACCTGATTAGAGTTCAGGGACAATTCTGCTAATAAGTTAGGGTTTCTATTCCCCCTAATGGCCTATCCAAACAATATCGACGAACGACCATCGTCTCTCGTATAAGATAGCCGGGGTTGGCAGGTTTTTCTTCTAGCGCTGATGTTCTTTTTACAAGTGGAGTTGGCTCGGTCTTATTTAATGTGTGGGTCTGGGGAAGGAGGGAAAAGATAAGCCCAGCCCCGGCGGACAGTGCTCTTGAGCTCCTCTTGAGACTTGAGCCCTATTCCATATTCTTCCTCTTTCAATCGTTATCATTTATTCTCCCCCAAGCATTTATTCCAAAGCACCTGGGTACCTACAGCTAAGGCTGTCACACCCGATACGGAGTATTCCCATACAAGTTTCACTTTCGTTAATGCAAGTTTTGCCTGCGCCATAGCTGACGTCAACGACCACGTATTTTGGTTGAATACCAACAATACTTGGCAAACCTCACATACATACGTACCAGCCCCTGCTACCGTGGCGCAGACATCGTTTCGTCGCGTTTGCCTTCGCCGTCGGCTTTTCCCCATCTAAATTCCCAACTCGATTTATCAATTCATTTCAGACGTTATGGCGTCACCTCCATCTCCATCCTCTTCGACAGTACCCCCAAGCCCAGGTACGCAGCGCACGCCGACTGAAAACAATGCTGTCGAACCTTTTCCATCGCTGAGCAGTCCATCGACGCCCAAAATTCCAACTCCTCAACGGCCAACCATCGTGACGAACACCGAGAACAACGCAAATCGAGTTAGAGGGCAGTCGTCGAGTTCCACGATTCGGGGCCGGCTGCGCACCGCCTCTTCGAGCTTCCAAGAATCGAATCCTCCAACTGGGATGTGCATTGCGACCGCTCAGATTGCGTCTTCAATACCATCATTATCTGATATCAGGAGAGGGAGCTACAGTAGTGACGGGTGGACTAGCGAAGGGCAGGTTCGAGAGAAGGGACGACGTGCGAGTCTAGCTAGAGCAGCAGAATCTCCATCCGGAATTACAAAACGGAAGAGTTCATCAGCTCTGAATAGCCCCAGGACCCCGGTTGCCCCCCACGACAGCCTCCCAGAGGTGGCCGATGAATCGGAGCATCAAAATCTATATCCAATACCATCAGACGTCCCTGTTGGTCCTTCGGCTGTAGGAGACGGTGCCCAGGAGCCCACGATAACCAATATGGCGAGTTCGACAGGGAGATCTAAAGCAGCAAACCAGCGCGCCAGCAGCGATACCAACATCAGCCCTAACTCTACTCGTACTGCACCAAAAGTCGACACTCAATACAAAACCACCCCTTTCGACAATGGGTACCAATTCCCGCCAAAGCACTCATGGACGGAGTCGACCGCTATAGGATTGACGGCTTTCTGGAAGTTTTTCATCACGCCAATTGGGTTTCTCGTCGTAGTATACGGTCTCAACGTTGTTGCATGGGGTGGGATGTTGTTCCTGTTACTATGCAATGCCTCTCCAGCAATGTGCCACCCTACATGCGACGACATCAACTCGCCTCGTCGGATCTGGATCGAAATTGATTCGCAGATTCTAAACGCGCTCTTCTGTGTCACTGGTTTTGGCACCATCCCTTGGAGATTCCGAGATCTTTACTATCTACTCCAATACCGGCTACAAAAGAAAGAGATTGGCCTTCGAAGACTGGCAGGCATCAATCGCGGTTGGTTTAGACTTGCTGGGTCCCAAGATCTACCAGTAGGGTTGGGGGCTGCGAACATCGAGTCTGAGGCTGGCAATGTCCCAGAAAGTGCCTTGCCGTTCCCCTTAAGTAAGACTCCAGATGCACCTTTGACTGGAATTCGTGCCCCGCCAACCAAACTGTGGAAGCTTGACTTTGTCATCTGGTCCATGGTATGGAACACTTTTCTCCAAACAGTTCTTTGTATATTCATGTGGCACTTCAACCGGTACGAAAGGCCGTCCTGGAGCACCGGTCTTTTCGTCGCACTGGCCTGTATTGTTGCTGCATGTGGTGGTATTATGGGTTTCATCGAGGGCAAGCATGTGAAGACCATCGAAGGTGTCCCGGTCTCAGAGAAGGATAAAGAGCGATTGGCAAGGGATAGAGAGCTGGGTATTACTCATTACAACAACATCAAGGACGAGAAGCCAAAAGAGAAAAAGCAAAAGGAGGGCCATGGTATATTTAAAAGCAAGCAAGAAAACGACGAAAAAGCCCAGGCGGAGGAGAGTGCAATGGAAGATGCTACTGTGAAGTAGTTGGTTGATTTGTTAGTTTTCATGGTGTCTTTGTATAAATTGGAAATGAATCACGGCAAGATAGGTTGCCGGGGATGGGTCAGGATATATGTTTAATAGACGGGGTTTGAAAGGGCCATAATAGAACGATTTATTTACATCAAAGGTTTAATATCGTATCCTCAACGAGCGTAGGTATAGAACACGCTAGAAAGCGAGGTGCAGACTGTATCGATTTGAGGAGTAAAACCAACAAGTCGTTGTCGAGGTTAACGTGGGGTATAGAGGAGCCGCGTACAAAGTTTACAAAGCTGGTGGGACGTCGTATCGTCACTTTTGCGCTTCTTACGCTCCGCTACAGGTTTTACTTCCCGTATATACTTTAGCAAAGAAACGAATTGGTTTCAGAAGCTACTATAACCGTTATTTTTAATATAGTTTTCTTGTTAATATTATCAATATTATTCATTCCGATTTCATATAGTTGCTGGTTGCTCTTGCCTAGTTTTTTCAGATTGGAGCTTCCTAGATCCAATTAGTCTCTCTTCTTTATTATGAATAAAGGCAAGCACGACTATAGGCGAGAGATGCTGCCTTCTATGATTCTAGTTTCTCTTCTGGAGAAATTTTTTATTCTCTCACCTCGTTCCCACAATCGCAACCATTACAATACCTGAAACCATTATAGCAACCAAAACCAGTCTAATAGCTACCTACCTGCCTGTATTAACAGTTCAGTGGGCATGTCGACTATTATCTAGCATACCGTAAAGTCAGGCAGAGGAGCAGCTAAACGTCTTACATCCCCATTCCAGTAGCTTGCTATAGGTACTTGGTGGAGAGGATTCACCTTTTCCTCTTCTTCACAATGGTAGCAAGCCAGCATCTGCAATGAAAAGGGTGCTACTTCGGAGATAGTGTAATACCGAGAGCAGGGCAAAGTTAAAAACTTTGTCAATTAAAAAAGTCCAAAAATTGTAGCTTCTCTTTGATCGATGATCTTCCCGTGCGTAGAAGGCAAATTAAAAAGACATTGCCTTTACAAGACCGCTTACAAAATGGCATGTAAGGGCCGTGGAGAAGGAAATAATAATTAGGGGTCGGAGGATAGCTTTTATAGGTAGTGTGTGAGTCACATGGCGGGTCAAAAATGGTTTAACTAACCCATCTACCTAGGTAGGCTAGCTACTACCTAGTTGCGTTGCGATGAAGAATTTGAAGGGCTCGCGGTGTGCACCCGAGGTCAGCCCTGGCTCCCCCAAGTACCCGATAGGCTGACCGATGATATTAACCACCCCTCAGACCCTAAACTCCAGAAGGTTGGCGAGTGCCCGTTGGCATTTTCTAATTCAGAAAGAAAGCAGATTTAAGAGATGAGAGGTTATGGAGGGAAGGCGTGGAGTTGTCGGATATCTAGCGCGATCAAAGTATGCATAGCCTCTGGTTTTCCTAATATTAAATTCCCAGATAAAGAAGACTTGCTAGGTAATATATTTGAGGACGTGGGCCTTGGATTGGACTCACAACAATTCATATCCTTCTCTCTTTTCTTCCTTTTAAGCCCCAGCCGGTTGTATGTTTGGCTCTAGGTCTTCTGTCTTGGGTTTTTTATATTCGAAGCACGACTGATAACGCGAGAGCTTATGCAAGACGTGACCCCGCACACCCAAAAGGGTCATCGCACTATCATGGTGCTTAAACCAGCTCGGCCTCCTCGAAAGTACCCCAATCACAATCGTAAGCTGGTTGCCAGGTCCATGCCTTGGTAAATTCGCCCAGCAGTATTCCATATTACTCCCCAACACGTACTCCAGGTTCTCACGAAACCAAGTGCTTGCAAAGGTAATCTTCGGGCTTTTGCTGCTGTACACGTACTGGAAGACACAAGCAGCCCCTTTCTCGTCTTTTGTCAATGGTTCGCTATCGTATGTCAACGTTGCATTCCATATCTCCAGCACCTCAAGCTTTGGCATAAAAGCTGCCGCCCGGCCCACAGCCGTTAGTAGCTTCCTGAATATGGCCGGCTTTGTCGTTGGGTGCAGCAAATGCGATGTTAGAGTCAACTTTCGAAGATTCTCCCAGGGAACCACATTTGCGTTCGAATTTTGGGACGCATGTGGACTCCAGTGGTTAGGCGGCCAGAAGTCGGCAAAGAAATCCCTGGCATCTACAAGGAAGGCCGCAGATAGATTGTTGAGGGAACGGCTTGCCTTTGAGAGTGCTTTGCCAGAGCCCGATTTGCAGGCCCACGCTTGGCGGCCCGTTCTGGGTGCAAGAGTTTGTTGAAGTCCTCGAATATATACAAGTTCCGCAGCGTACTTGGTAAGTTATTTGAGATTAGGAGCTGGTAGCCTGCAAGTTCCCATTAATAAAAGTTAGTCAAAATTTGTCTTTCTTTATAACAGGCTGGGAGTTCAACGTACCCTTCTCAAAGGCTGCTTGCTGCTGTGTATCGATATCATGCCATCCCTCGTGACGCAACCACTCGAGGCACGTAAAGCTTTCACGGAGGAGCTTGCTAAGAGAATACGCTGAGATCTTCCGATAGAACTGTCTTCGAATAAGCAGACCTGTAACAACCTCGGCCTTTGGGAATGTCGCATCAAACCGGGCGAATTCACGAAGTTTAGCTTTTATTTGCAACGTTCCTATAATTCTTTGTTTTGCTTCCAAGCTTATCACACCATTAACGTCCCGTTTGCCGTCAACCCAGCCATGAAATGGGTCATTCAAGCTCTCGAGTTCAAGTCTTTCGGCCCGTTGCTTATATGCTTCGCCGTGCTCGTCGAGGTCCCGTGGTTCTAGGTACGGGTAGTTGGGCTCGAGATGAAAATCCCGGAATGTATGTTTGCAATCACTTGGGGAATATGCGCCGAGTTCTAATATCAGGCCCTTTTTGCGGCGACCGTAACGGCCGACACTCGGGACGAATCCGCTCCACTTAGATAGGATAATTAATAATCTCCAGACAGCTCTACTGAAGCAGTTGTTATTCCTGTTAAAGTCAAGTCAGTGATAAGAGACTCCTGCTGTACTGGCCGATAAATGTATAATAAACCAAGCTTTGACCAATCAACGCAAGCAGCAACTTCTTACTTACTTATTCTTTGTGTTAATATCCTCCTTAAATTGACAGACTGTGCAGTCATACTCATCAAGCCGGACACGAAGGAATAGATGCTCGAGGTAATCTCGTCTCTTATTCTTACCCGTAAACTTTTCAAGGTTACAAATACGGTTCTGGTCGAGAATAAGCCGTTGGAAGTTCCGCTGTTCGAAAACCGGTTGCCACTCCCGACAGATGGTGGCATAGCCGGCGCGGAGGCGCGGTTCAGAGGGTTGGAATCTATAATCCTCTGCTACCATGTCGAGGATCATCAAGCTGATCTCGGCTGGTAATCTTGTCCAGTATTGCGGGTCAGAACGACCTTTCTGCGCAGGGATTCGGCGTTTATGGCGATGAGGCGCCATGAGCCCGATTTGCTGACTCTTACTTCTCTATTTAAACGTTTAGTAAATAAATGTGCAGTAGTTGGGAATTCAAAGAGCTAGGAAAGAAATTCCGGTTTAGGGACAGAAATCACAGCTTAGACCTGGTATAGAATTTTATATAGCTTGAATTTGGAAAGAGCTACCTAAAGTAGTGTTAGGTTATTTTTAGTAACAAACCCAATCTAACAAATCGTTAAGAGTCACTAGATATCAAGGTTGTGACGTGGAAAAGAAATAAGGGTTGATGTTTAGTCAATACCCCTTTGAAGAAGAGTGAGTCTTGGCGGGTCCGAGGATCTGCCGGGAGGGTTACTTCTGTCCCTGCACACTGTATCGGCAGAATCCACTGGGGCAATGGGAAATTCCAAAGTTCTAAACCTGTAGGAACATTCTGGCATGGCAGGCTTTCAATACCCCAAGGCTGCTGGGATATTCAATGTTTCTAGAGGTTATATAGGGGGTGTGATCATATGAACTATGATACTGAATATAACTGCAATGGGGTTATGGTTTGCCGATACACTCCATACACTCAACTTTATGGCGCCCACCTCAAGGGTGTCTCGTATGAACTCTCCGATGTGGGTCTCCTGGCGAGCGTCACTTGAGCTTCGATATATTTTCGCGTTGAAATCCCAACCTGTTGGCAAGAGCAGCGAACTCAGACCAGCTCACTTCATCAGCCTTTTGAGCTCTGGATTTTGCCAGGAGTTTCTTTCCCTTCTTCGTCTCCTTCTGCCGCGGTCCTGGCATCTCAGCATAATGCCGCATAGCGTAGCGCCATAGCTGCCGACATGTCAGGCGCCAAAATTGATCCGTCATACTAGTACCATATCTCGCATTTCTAGACCCAGCTCATCTACTTGACCATTCATGCTGTTGTGCACATAGCATTCTCCAATGAGATAATACTTCTGGGCAGCGCCAGGTGCGTCAGGGACAGGTCGTATAACGAACAAGACCATAGTCCCCAGGAACGCAGCGATCAGATCTCCCGGGCGAGCTCTCTCAGGCATCAATCCCACAGAGCCTTCATGCAGGACACAGAAGCGTCGCGAACGGGATGCAGAGATCATGTCGGCGCGGAAGGCCATCGCGTTCATCCCTTCAGGGGCGAGGAGGAATTTCTTCGCTTCCTCTACGTCTGTCACCGTGGAAATCCGGGCCATGATCGACTCGAAGTCTCGCAAGAATTCGGCGTATTTCTGATCTGGTGCCGCTTCTTCCTCATCGCTGAGAACATTCTCGTTGTTTACTTTGTTCGCTAGTAAAGTCCGCCAGAACACTTCCTCGTCCTGTCCTAAGGCGGTCGATTGAAACATAGACTTTGCTTGAAGATACCACTCGTAGTAATTGGCGGTTTCATCGCTGCCAAGAGTATGCCCGGGATCGTCAAAGCCAGCCACCAGCCCAAGCTGAGAGATTGAGTCAATTATAATTCCTCGTAGCGTCAGTTCGCTGCCGTCGTTGCTGAACACTATGTCCTGCCGGTTAGCGGCAGTAACTGGATAGTTACCAAGCCTTCTTCGGCGAACAATATCTACGAAATTGAAAGACCATGACGGGGCCCCGGATTCTTCGGTAATACCGCTCCACCGTAGCAAATGGAGTTTTGGGTCTCTGGCGAGTAGAAACCTACTTACAGAGGTAAAAAGGGTTTTGGGAGAGTTCGTTTCTGTATAGTCTGGCACGAATATGGGATCATCCACTGTTTAGTGCGCATGTTAGCATTTCGGTTTAAATGTTGAGCTTGGATAACTGATCCATCCGGGAGCTGGAACGGCCTCTTGAAAGAGAATACGAACCATCTGTCGCAACGCCCAAGTAGCCGTATACCCTATCTAATAGGTCCTTCGTTTCAGCATCTGAAAACATTGACATCAGAAGAAGAAGCGGTACAGGTTCACGCTGACGTCGATATTTTCGGACCACTTCCAACTTCGTAACTCTGGTAAGACCTGGGACACCGATGTTCGAGATCAAATCATTGCCTGGTTCGAGTGCAATCATGCCGCCATAACCTAACGCACCCAAACCAGTTATAGCCCGGGCTAGGGAGTTCCAGCTCAGAGTATCATCTCCACATACAATGTCGGCGTTGGTGGATAAGGCAACTTCTTGGACAACCCAGGTACGCGTGAACCAGGGGCGACTGAGGAGTTTGGCAAGTGCAAACCATTCCGAACATCCTTCTTGATATTTTCGAGCATAATACATGGTACGCTCTGGGTCCAACGTCTCAATCTCCGGCAATATCGAACAGAGTGTCTCCGTGAAACTTATCGCGAGGCCGCTATTCTCGCCTGACGGTCCTAGCCATATCCGCACGCGGTCTGCGTTGGAGTAGACTTCTCCCATAAGTGTGACCTGCACCGACTTCTCTTCATTATCATCTTGGTTGATACAAATGGCGTCAATCCATAACGAAATATCGGGCTCTGCCATACACTTGCTGCGGAGGAGCTCGTGCACAGTTTGCGTGGTGGATAACAGACGACCATTGACGAGAATCCGGTGGGGTTTCTGAGGTTCAGTACCCCAGGTGTACGACACTGCAACATACGGTGGGCTTGAGGGGTTATCAATCGATACATGAATACATCTGCAGCTGATGAGTTCGGATGAATTCCTCCCAGACTCGACTTCCAGAACACGGATATGGCGCGGCTGGAGTGGCTCATAGGAGAACGGTTCTTGATCCATGTTGAAGTCAGTCAATGGCCGGGGGAAACGATGTCAACTATGGGAAGAGACACACACGCTGCTTGGGATGGCTATTGGCACCGGATTGTGCGACGTTACAAGTACGATCCGATCCAGGAATCGGGGCAACCGCTCAAATAACACGTGATGTGTCCCCAAGGTCAGGTGTAACGTTGGATCACGTGCCTAATCTACTAGTACTTTGTTAATGGACGGTATTAACTCGCTCGCACAGGGCTTCTCGGTGCGTAGATGGCTTAGTTTAGGATCGTATCAGCTCCTAGGTCACTTATTGCATGTTAGTTGAGGTTGTATACCAGAACGCCTACAGTGCTACAGAGGTGCGTAGTCATACGCTACACTTAGCCTAGATTCAGCCTACACCAGCGACGGTAAAGTAGTTTGAGCTAAGATTAGGCAAAGCGGCGCTACTGGTATCGGTGTCGGGACAAAGAGCATCCCCTGATCCGAGCACGGTGGCTATCATGACAAAGGCATCATCGTGACCTACTCTCTCTCCCCGACCTAAGATCGGTACTCGGTGAGTCGCCTGCTTCCTCTCAGACTCCTCATTACCGGTACTCCCAACTCTGACTCCTCTTATTGTAAGGAGTACAATTACTTGGGCACTTGCTATTGGAAGTCGGCAGAATCAATCATTCATCTCTATTCCTCGCTGTGAGGTAGCCGTCATCATGGCTGTCAAGGCACTCATCCCGTTCCTGGTAGCAATGATGCTGGTGACCGGTGTCTGCAACACGCTCCTTACCAAATACCAAGTCAGTAGCTCTCCGTTTCTACAATTTCTGCTCTAGCTGCTAACATGCTCGAACTCTAAAGGACAACATCTGCGTCCGAAACTGCGATGCGCCGAATCCTAAAGACCGTGCCACGTTCGAACAACCAGTCATCCAGACAATCCAAATGTTCATCGGAGAAATGGGATCATGGCTCTTTATCGGGGTCTTCTCGCTCTATCGTCGATACGGTTCTAAGGACTCGTCCCATGCGGAGGAAGGCGGCTATCAAGCCGTTAGCACCCACGATGGTGATGAGGGGCTACACAGGGATACGGATGCTGACAGTATTCGCTCTACGACCCCGATAAACCCGACTGCGAAGATTATGCTGAAGAATTCCGAGGCCCGGATTCCGTTGACTGGGTATAAAGTGCTCCTCCTTGCGCTGCCCGCCATTTGCGATATCTGCGGGACGACGCTTATGAACGTCGGGCTCCTATTCGTGGAAGCGAGTATTTACCAGATGACGAGAGGGGCATTGGTATTGTTCGTTGGCCTGTTCAGTGTAATTTTCTTGAAGAGGAAACTATACATGTTTCAATGGTTTGCCCTGGTTACTGTTGTGTTGGGCGTCGGGATCGTTGGACTGGCTGGCTGGCTTTCTCACCACGGCGATATTCCGGATGAACCCGTCAAGGCAGCAACGCTAATGATCAGGGAAGCTGTTTCCTATGTTGTGACAAAGGCTCAGACGCCAGAGGCCTTGATGACGATCATCGGGGTGCTTTTGATTGCGGGGGCGCAGATCTTCACCGCCAGCCAGTTTGTGCTTGAGGAGCACATTTTAGAGAAGTATGCTCTGGAGCCACTAAAGGTTGTCGGTTGGGAAGGATTATTTGGATTTGTAGTTACTCTCTTCGGCATTCTCGTCATGTATCTTGCAGTGGGGAGAACGGATGCGGGGAGGTATGGATATTTTGACCTAAAAGAAGGCATGAGGGAAATCACCGAGTACAAGGGGATTTGGGTTTCGAGCTTTTTGATCATGATCAGTATTTGGTAAATCCCATCTTCCTCTTTTATAAACAACTAGCAATGCTGACGCAGAGTGCCTAGCGGTTTCAACTTCTTTGGCCTCTCAGTTACCAGGACTGTCAGTGCAACCTCGCGCTCCACGATCGACACATGCAGGACGCTGTTCATCTGGATTGCATCGCTGTTCCTCGGCTGGGAAACTTTCAAGCATCTCCAAGTTCTTGGTTTCGTGCTACTGGTATATGGTACATTCCTCTTCAACGGGATCGTCAGACCACCCCTGAAACGCTGTATCGTGGGGCGGGTGGACGAGCTCCTCCCCGAAGAGCCAATAGAGCATGTATAGGTGGTATGTGTTAGCATGGCGGCAGACTGGATGGTTGGTACAGTGCATGGGGCGTTTGATAGGTGTCACAGGAGTTTATATGCGATATCTACTTATACAAACGTGTTCTAGTCTATAGAATAGCATAAGAATAACTTTAGATTTACTAGCATCTACTTACTTATACTATAGAGATTTGTTTCCAACTCTTATCATTATGTGGCATGTAGGCAAGTCAGAAGCCTTTGCCCAATTAAACATTGCCTATGCCCTACTTCGGTATGGAAACCCCAAGTCCCAGTAAGGCCTAGCGCTACATCTTCCCAATGTCTCACTCAGTGATATCAACTTGATTCGTTTTATGACACAGGCCCAGATCCACTTCTAGGTTATTCCCAAAGTCGGTCTAATTAATAGCCAGCGAAACTTTATCCATCAACCGAGCTCTATTCTACTAGAAATGGGGAAACCTTACTCAACTGCTTGCGCTCCTCATATGTCAAAGACATATCTTGCAATAATATTTCCCGCGCAACTTCGACTCTCTCTTTCACAGGCTCATAATCGTCATAGCTAACTCAGCTGTCCCACCCAGGGTAGACGCCAACTTTTTCCCGCAAGATATCTAACTCCACGCCTTCCCTACGGCTTTCCTTTAAGCTAAATGTCTATTAAAAGTCGGAATTTACATGTAGCGCAGTACTTGATATTTATTATTAGTCTTATAAGTCAATACCATTCAAAGTATCAAAAACATTAAAGCACTTACTCTAGTCTTTTAACAAAAAATAGAGAAGTGAAGCTTACTCGACTTTGCTACCGTGGTATAAACATCCTTATGTCACCAGCGCGTCAGCCATCTAGCAATTGCTGACTGATATATGCAAATAAACATCATTACACTAGTCTACATATCATATTTGTCTATGTAGACAACGGCCCAGCCTCATGTTCCAGCCAGGCATCTCTATTATGTCTTGCCCGTAAGGCCATAAACACAGTAGCCTTTCTGTCCTCCGACACCAAGTCAATTACCGTCAGTAACCTAGGGACCCAAAATTGACTCCCAAAAAATGTATTTTTAATGATAGCTAGCGGCAGAGGAGCCCAAATGGGTCGCTTAGTTTGGGCACCTGAACACCCACCATTCGGAACCCTCGAGTCCCACCACACCGCGTTACGACTAAGCCTCCACCAACCTCGGGCGTATAAGGAAGGGGTTGCTCCGCGCACCTCTACGCACATTCTCGCTCTCCCCTTTCCATCACACACCTGACTATGTTTTTTTTCCTTTTTACGCGAACCCGGATACACCGAGATCATGGAAGATCATCATAATAAGATCAGAGAAGTCCGAGCAGAGGAAGTCCCAGGGAATCTAGCCTCCTTCGAAGACGAGGTGCGACAATGCTAGGCAGGTCTAGATATCGAGAAACGCTTTCCGGAACCCAAAAGGGTAGACGCTAGCAACAGTCAGCCAGACAACCTTCAGGAGTTTCTCGTCAAATGTTGCGATATCCTGAAAGAGGAAAGCGAGAACGAACTACTTGCTGCGGAATTGGTCGTTCTTGAAAGCGACGAGATGATGAAATCAGATGTGAATCACGACATTTTGCTTCCTATTATAAATCAAAACTATACCTAGAGGTTGGAATCGCTGCATGAGAATATATCATGTGGATATGACGACCGACGCCAGGGCCTCGAGGAGATTCCAGGGTTGATAGATGCAATGCGCAAAGTTTCGAGACAGAGTATCTACAAGGCTCTAGCAATGGAGTTCAGGAGGGATGATAACCCCGACCTACTCTTACAGGAACTAGTAGTCAAGTCCAAACTCGACTCAGTATGGTTTATACTTATGTCCCAGGAACTGGTGCTCGAATCGGAACATCTACATCTCTCTAGATCCTGACCTCTCGCTTATAAAGGATTCTATGGATTGTAATCGAAGTTAAGTCTAATCGAAACGAGATCGAGTCTCACATTTTGAAGCTGCAAGTTCGATTTCCATTAGCGATGAGCCGCTATAGGCTTCTAGCTGGTGAACTACTAGTTGAGACACTTCTTCCTTTACTACGGCTGGCAAGTGAAGTGGAGAGCCAGGATGATGTTAAGGACTTGTGGCAAAACATACAGTCCGAGGTGCTGAAACTGGAACAGGGTCCTCAGGTACAACAGTGTCCGTCATTTTATTATTCAATAATCAATTCTTTTCTTTCCCATTATAGCAAATTGCTTATTTACCATATTTTAATCGGACGAGCTATGAATTGGGCTCGAGAAGATTCGGATATTGTAGAGGAACTACAATGCCTATCTATTGATCCAAGCCCCTTTTCAGAGACCAATGCGAGCACTTTCCAAGATCGTGCCATGTTTCAATACTCCGAGCTCCAAAATGGGTGATTTCGTTTGCTGAAGATTTCTAGAACCAAAGTCTCAATAAAACTTGAGCTTACTGATGTCGAAATGCAAAACGCCCCTGGATACAATGCTTTGTCCTATGCTTGGGGCTCTAATATTAGCTATAAAACAGTCGTCTGTAACGGAAATCCACTTTCTGTAACTGTTAATTTATTCGCCGCTTTGTACCACTTAGCACCGAGAACGATCTGAAGTGGTTTTGGATAGACGCTATTTGCATAAATCAAAAAGATGGTGCGGAAAAGGCCATTGAAATTCAGAATATGGCCAGTATCTATGCCTCCGCACAGACGGTTTTGGTATGGCTTGGGGCAGCTGGAGATAATAGTAATCTAGCGATAGACGAAATCAAGAGAATAGAATCATTCTGCAGGGGATTGGACACTTCGGAGCTCAAAGCAAAACAAGCAGTCAAAAATTTCCTACCTGAGGAAGATGATCCAGCCTTGCCTGCTGTTGTCAAGCTCTTTGATAGACAATGGTTCAAGAGGATTTGGATCATGCAAGAAGTGATCCTCGCAAGACGCGTCCATGTCTACTGTGGGCACAAGAGCCTTCCTTGGTCTACTCTGGCTGATTTTGGGGAGTCGATGATGGAGATATGTCCAGGACTGTTGTTCCTAGCTGGACCATCAGATACGTCAGACGGCTTCTAGAGTGCTCGCCAGATCAAAATCTGCCGAGAAGCTCCACTTAATACAGACACATCTTATTTCTCTTTCGCGATACTACTTGGAGGTTTTCGGCTCAAACAAGTCAAGGAACCACTCGACCGAGTCTACGGCATACTTGGTCTACTAGACCATACAATTCGAGAATCTGTAGTCATCAATTATCAGCAGGAATTCTGGGAAGGGTATGTCCAGTTCGCCAGGTCATTTATCCTGCACGAACCAAGCCTTGCTCTCTTCTCGTTAGCATCCTCCGTCTCAAGACCTGTATAGCTTCCCTCCTGGTGCCCAAACTTTAACGATGCTCGTGGAGAAACAATTGGTTATAATTTAATTCCGAGTTTCAATGCGGGAGGGTTTGCGGACGGGGAAGGCCGGAAAGCGCATGTTCAACTCCACTCGTCATCTCATTTGGACTCTATCCAAGTTGGTTTCCAAATGGATACAGTTAAGAGGGTGGTAGGCTCATCGGTGGCTATCTTTACCTCTCGCGACCAACTAGAACACGAAGGACTCTTCGCTGACTGTGCTAAAAACCTAGCATGGGAACGAGAATGCTGGACTATTTTCTACGAGGATGCTCATAAATCTCTTGGTGGCAACAATATCCCTGAAGATTATTTAAGAGCTCTCATCGCAAACCACTTCACGAGCATGGAGGCTGTACCTCTCAACTATTCACTTCGAGATGACTACCTTGCTATTAAAGCTGGCTGGACCTCCAGGTCCAAGTTTGAGACCCCAACAAGATCATTTACTTATTCTACAGAAGAATCGCGATTGAGATATTTAATTGCGATTCTAAATCAAAAGAGAAGAAAGTTCTTTAGTACCGAGGCTGGGAGGGTAGGAATGGGTCCTCGACATGTCAAGCCTGGTGATAGGATTGTGACACTGTATGGTGGAGCACCAGTATTTATTCTGAGAGTCTCGGAGAGTCATCATGATAGCGGAGAAACAGAGTCGCATGTTTTGATAGGTGATGCATTTGTGGGTGGTCTCATGGACTTATCATTAATCCCTGAGTCCTCTAGGAATGATAGATGGTTTGTTATCAATTAGTTAAGGATATCGGGCATCTCAGCGATGAGCTATCTTGGGGTCATGCACTACCAGATCTTAACTAACTTCAATCTTATTTCATTAGTAGCTTGTACCAGACGCCCCTTCTTAGATTAATTGTCCCTCTACATACGCATAAGTGAGGCAATGCTCTGCTTTAGCTTGTAGACAAGTTGGTAATACTCCGAAACTTCTTTAGTGAGCGGGTTACATGACGGACCGAGAGAGGATCCCTCTGGCCGGACCTCTGGGAGCAATGAGGATCGTTAAGATTCAAACAGCACGAAGATATATAAGCATACGTATTTCCGACCCAAATAGGAAATTTCGTGCTCGTTTTAAAAAGTATGCTTACCCTATACTTGTAACCGCGTATACGTCTGATACCACCGTGTTAGGTAAAGTGAGCGATAAAAAACACTATCGCGATATCTCAATAGATTCGTGTGTCTGTGTTTCAAACAGCAAGCATTTACAGAATTTACATTTAGGCAGACGTAGATACAATGCCCGATGCTTTGGGGGTCAGAAAATAATACGCTGCACCAGCTACGCAGGCTCCGGTGGGCTCGGAGGCATGCTCCTGGTCTCGGGACACTGCTTAGGTTATAGCAGCAGCTAATAAGTTCCAAAGACAGAAATTGAAAATTGCTTAGGTCGACATTCCGGTGCGGGACTACCTGTTCCTGAGATCTACGGGTACTCAGCAACATCGGAAAAAGCCGCGGGCACTGAATACATCTTTATGGAGCCTCTCCGTGGAAAGAACTTCGGCGGCATCTGGCTTGACTTATCTGAAGATGCCAGGATCACCACCGTCACCAAACTGGTTGAGTTAGAAGCTCTATTCTGAGGATTTGAAAGCCGAACCAGATAAAGTTGAATTTCTACCACAAATTCTGCTAGCAAGAGCCGTTTTTGCATCGGCCCTGAGACTACGTCAGGACTACTGTATGGAAAAAGACTAAATCTCCAGGCTGATCGTGGACCATGTACGCATTATCCCTTTATGAACAGTTTGGCTTGAAAATTCTATATTGCGCTAGGAACACTAACTAATTCACCAAAGACAGAGATCCAGAAGCAGCTCTTACAGCCGGTGCCAAAAAGGAGATTGCATACTTAAAGAAATTTGGACGACCGCTTCAGCCTTTTCAACTTCTCCGTTGGGAGATCTACGACTATCAGAAGCAATCGCATTTAGAGCATATAGACGGTCTAGAGAAATATCTGGAAATCGCGCCGCAGCTCATACCGAACGATAATGACGCACTTGCACGTCCGACTATAAGGCACCCCGACCTCCAACCTAATAATGTCTTCGTTTCTGATGATCTCGAGATTACTGGTCTGATCGACTGGCAGCAATGCGCAGTGTTGCCGCTGTTTTTGCAATGTGGGATTCCTAATAGCCCTCAGAATTGCGGTGATAGCGTCTCGGAATCATTGAAAACCCCAGAACTACCACACAACTTCGATTATCTGGATGAGAGGGAACAGTTCGAGCAGGCCAAATTGCTCCGTACGCCAACTTCATTACTTCTACGTCGCGAGAACTACAACATACTATACATTACGATGCTTTGGCATCTAATATGAGTGTGTTAAGACGCAAGCTCTTTCACCACGTAAGTGATCCCTGGGAAGGTGATAATGTGACTCTAAAGACCAATCTAATCGATTTGACCCAGAACTGGTCAAAATTCGCGCATTCAAACCCGGACTCAGGCAGCAGCAATGTAGCCCTCCCGTGCCCGATTGCTTACTCGGAAGACCAAATGGAAGATTGCTTGCGACTGAACTCAGCGCAGGTCGAAGCAGATGAGCAACTTAGCGCTTGCAGAGATGCTATCGGTGTTGGGCCTAAGGGTTGGGTGCCTCTAGGTTAGTATGATGAGGCAAAGCAACGCGAAAGGAAGCTGAAAGCCGATACGCTTGATGGAGCTGATTCTGTCGAGGAAAGGTTGCATGTATGCGAGAATTGGATTTCGATGACTTTGATGAGAAGGACTATCTGCAGCATGTGACTAGTCTAATACAGAGACGCGAGGCAGTGAGAACCTGTTCAACAAGGGCAGAGTTAAGTCGTAAATATCCCTTATATAAGGACTGAGACGTCACGATGTTGCCCATACTCGCACTGGCGGACCCGCGCGTTGCTCAAACCTAGAAGGAGTGGCTAGGGATTAAATCCATTGAAGAGTGAAAGGTTACACCAGACAGCAGCGACAAAACAGATAATATTCGAGCAGTACTACTATGTAAACGAAAGCATGATTGGAATAGCTTAGCAACACTTAATGCTTCGTATAAAGTAAAAAATTTAATGCAGCTTAGAAAATATGATATAAAATCCTACGGTCGTGATTCGTGAAGAATAATCTGCAGATCAATGAATGGTATAACGAGACTGACCTTGTGGTACAGACAAGCCGTCAGAGCATAAGAACCTTGATTCGACTCTTTTTATCAGATATGATAAGAGTTCGATGTTTACTACGGAGTATTCTCGGTATCCTTGGTACTAATAAGATGAGTTATTTAGTTCATGAGGTCTATGGTGAGCCCGATTGCGAGGGAGTACTCGTACTATACGATAATCTTAGAGTCTCAGTCCGGAGTTGTCTCATCTTCAAAGTTCCAGAGCACTCGGGTTTATTACAAAGGGGCCGATAAGAAATTTTATGCATGTGCGCATCACGATTCAAAAGGGAAGATTGTTATTGTCGATCTCCCGGTCCGTCAGGCCATCCGCACTCTCGCCTCACACTGGCGAAACGACGTGGGATTGCGGCTCATGCCTGGGGCGTGCTAGGGGCGCCGTTGGCTTGCGCTGAGCCTCGATGTGACGACGCTGGTCGATACGTACGAAGTATGTGCTACGTAGCACCGGACTCTATTGGATGGCTCCAGCGAGTGGGTGGACATGTGGCATGTGGAAGAATCGTCGGAGGGAAACATTCTTCCTGGGTGATGATTTCTGCACTGGAGGTTTCCGTTTGCTGCGGGACGGACGATTGATTGGGGGGGAGGGCGGAGGCGGAGGCGGATTGAGGCCCGTCTCAGCATCTTGGGTGTAATTTCGACCTTAGCAAGAAGCGGGTAGTGTAGCATTGTTCATAACCGGGCAGAATCAGATTCTGATATTCTGACGAGAAGAATAGAGGCTGGCAGGTGTACTTCGTAGTTAGTGCGTGGGTATTCTGTACCGCACTGGTGCGCGTGGTTTGTTTTTCGGTTTGTGGTCATCCGCAATACCTGAACTATGGAAAATGGACTTGTTGCAGGCGGGGACTTCGGAGTGGTTGAGTTGAGTGGTTGGCAATGCTGTGGACATTTTTAATATTAATGTCATGCACCCCGGGGGCCAGCGAGTCGGTATGTACAGTATGTATTGTATGTACTACTGCACATGAACAGCACGAAGTCAGTGAGGCTGATTCGTCGATCGTACATCCGCAGGGGCCCCGCCGCGGCCTGAGCAGCGATTTGTGTTTGTCAAGGGGTGAATAATAAGAATCATGGCGAACGTGTCGATGCTCCGGCGAAGTACTCTGTAGAGATGGATATATATCAGTTGGCAGGGGAAGGCATTGGCTATGCTGGGGGAGCTCAACCCTATTTAGGGACGCAGCAGGGCTCCAGGTGTCCCGGTAAGGGAGGTGATGTAGGTGATGTAGGTGCTGGAGGTGATAGATCATGGATGCCATGTAGTAATAAGTTGTAGCCGGTACTACCACGAAGTAGAGCATGTACTGTTTGTACTTCGTACGTACTACTACAGAAAGCATACCGTATGTAGAGGCATTAGCCGCACTACTGGCACTGGCACTGGCACGGTCAACGGCACAGGACCGACAGTGCATGACTGGAGGCGGATGGGGAATACTTTGAAATTGTTACTGTCCCTTGGTTCCCCATCGTCGTCGTGGGCTTCGTCGCCGCAGCCGTCAGCCAGCCAGCCAGTCAGCACTCTCAGCATCCGCACTGAGCACTCACCGATCACACCTGCGGGCACCTCGACAGCAGCCGGATCCCCGGAAGGGACAGTCCAGCCTGGGCTTTCCAGGAGTAGCGGGGGGAGACCGGTGGGCAGAGGGAGAGGAGATGAGAAGGGGGGAATGAATGAATGGGGATTGGGATGGTGAATGCGGATGGGGATGGCAATAGGACGAGGAACAAGTCTATAAGAGGAGGGATGGAGATAGAGTTGAGGCTGTGGATGTGGATGTGGATGTGAACGTGAACGTGGATGTGGATATGGCTGCTGTGCTCTGTAGGGTGGGTGGGCTCGTATTGAGATAAATCGAGGAAGGGTGTACTTCGTAGGTGTACAGTATGTAGGTGTGTTCAATGTTATCTGTCGGTGCCTTGATCCCCTGCGGGTGCTAAGGATGAGGCTGTCCGAGCCTCCGAGCCTCCGAGGAACATCGTCGAGGCCCAACGTGTCCATTCACGACTCGAGCGCAAGTCATGATACGGTAGAATGGGTAGGTGGTACGACATCAGAGCTTGGCTGGCTGGTTGTGGTTTGGTGGTTTGGTGTATGGCTGCTGTGGTGGTAGAGACCGTACAGTACTGTAGAGTGGGCGGGAGAGTGGTGATAGAGAGTGGTGGGAATCGGGAATGAATGGGCAGAGGACAGTCCCCCCCCCAACGAATACTAGTATTTCCTCGTCCTCCAAGGAGAATGTCCTTTTCCGGTGCAAAGTACTTCACTTGCGCCTCATGCGCGCGCTTGTGCGGTATTAATTTACACTCTTACTACTACAGCAGCAAAGTACAGTTGTGCTGCTTTTCTCGCTGGCTCTCGATAGATCAATACAACCCCTACCTATCATAGGCACCTAATACTGATACCTATCCACCTCAGTACCTATTTAATACTGACCTGCATTCCGGTCTCTCATCCGTACACATACTAGTGCTAGCATCAGTACTAGCAGTCTAGCACCCCGTCCGAACGGTACTCTCCAGCACTCGTTATATTACTGCGTTGTACTAGCTTTACAAGCCGTACTAGTTAGTCGACTATCTCCCTAGCAGTTGTCAGTTATCAGCATCTCCTGAACTGAGCAGAGCTCCGCGCAATCCCCTTGACTACTCCAGACTGCGGAACTTGCCCTTGCGCTATTATCATCGTTTATTTTATCATTGTTTTTCCGCTTGGGAGTCGAGTCTTGGATTGCTCTCCCCGCGCCTTGCACGAGCTGCTTCGCTCCCCTCCCCCCCAGCTTTGCAACTCCAAGCACTACGAGACAAACGAGTACCAAGCATCCAGCTCTCAGCTCTTATTAGCTCTTACCTCTCAGCTCCAAGCTCCCTGGCTCCAGCCCGTGGCCCAGCACCGACAGTAATAACAACAAGCTAGGTACAGTACGAGCAATCATCCCCCCCCCCCCCCGCCAGCATCACCAGCATCGTTGCCAGCATCGCCAGCAGCCCAACTCCAGCTCAGCGCATACCACGCCCGCCACCACCAACACGCTTTGAAGTTTATGCTCGTCGATACTCGTCCCTCGCACCCAGCCAGCATATCATCCTCCTCATCCTCCTCCTTCCCCCTTCCGGTACCTCCTCGGCGGCTCCCCAAAAACCTGCACCATACCATACCGTAACCTCACCTCACTACGCCGCACCCACCGCGCACCGCACCTCACCGCAACCTACAGGCGCACACATACCTCCCTAGGTACACACATACACACTGTCGCATCGTTACCTCTGGCTGATATGCTGTGATTATCCGCCCCTCCCCCCTCCGCCCACCCCCCCAGTACCTCTATTTGCTCAGTCCGATCTAATGGCGGTTTGACCCTAATTATGACTACTGTCCAAAACCAACAATCTTACGCTCCACTCCCCGACGACATCTATGACCCGGATGATGTTGTTTTCCCTGGCAGCCCTCCACTCCAGCCCTTGAAAGTCAACGTCCGGCCCTCTCCGACCCCGCCCTTCATGGTCCCTATACCTCCGTCCTCCTTAGACTTTAACTCCGATTCCCCTTCTGGTACGTCCCGTCGCAACGGCCCCAGAAAGATCAAGATCACCCCGAGCCAGAGCGATGCCGGCCTGGTTGGCATCATGGCTGATGGGAAGGCTCCTGATGTTGCATGGCGAGCCGGGAATGAGCTGCTGGCTGCGGATCCGGAGGAGGACGACGAGCCGACTATGAACGGGAGCCATCATGTCGAGGTCGAGGTCGAGGTCGAGGTCGAGGTCGAGGTCGAGGAGGGAATGGAGATGGCCGTGGGAGTGGAAGGGCAAGGGGAAGCCGACCCGGACGAATGCGACTCGGCCAGAGCGGGAAGGGAAAAGGATGCTATAGAGAACCACGGCCTCGCTCTTGTCGCTGCGCAAGCTTTCGATGCGCTGAAGAAGGCTCAAGGCGCATCACCGCCCCAGACCACAATGTCGGAATCGCCGCGGACGGGAGGGGAATCGGCGGACGAGACGCGACCTGCGATATCTCCAATACCTCCAAGAACTGCCACATACTTGGACGGCTCCCGCTCCGCTCTGTCGCCCGAAGCTGCCGCGCAATTAGACGTACAACCCCCGGCCGCGGGGGAGCTACCGCCAATTCGTCAATCCTCCTCAAATTCGGGCTTGTTGGATGGAAGTGGAGGTCCCATAACGCTGCCGTCAATATCAGACCAACTCGGAGATATCAGCCATCTTCCAGAAGCTCCCGCAGCCGGAGAATCTCAATATGCCCAGTCCCCGCCAGCCAGGCCGCCTCCATTATTTGCGGCGGGTCCAGGCCATGGCTCACCTCCAAAATCTCCAACTGATACGTTTCGGGGGGAATTGCAATTGCCTTCCCCCGCCGGTCGAGCCACCTTTTTCAACTATAACGCCCACCGACGACCTTCGCAGTCTGAGGCTATACACTACTCGAGCGCGGGGGAGTATAGCAGTGCAAATACCGAGACTCCGAGTACAGACCAATCAGGGGCTACACCTGCGATTGATCGCATGAGTATTGATGGGATAACGAATCCGCAAATTGGTGGGCATCAGTGTACCTACCCAGGCTGTACCGCTCAGCCTTTTCAAACACAGGTATATATGTCTCTGGTTTTTGGTGAGCTTTGCTCTGGATGAAGAAAAATACTAATCCAAAATCAGTATCTGCTGAACTCACATGCAAATGTCCACTCATCAAACCGGCCCCATTACTGTACTGTGAAGGGTTGTCCAAGAAGTGAAGGGGGCAAAGGCTTCAAACGGAAAAACGAGATGATACGGCATGGTCTCGTGCACGATTCCCCTGGCTATGTGTGCCCTTTCTGTCCTGATAGGGAACACAAATACCCGCGGCCAGACAATCTTCAAAGGTACGTTCTCAGCAAATTAATTCGACTCTAGAGCAGCCATCTCCCATTCATTCCCCATATCAATCATTCTTTTTTAATTCCCCACCCTGACTGATAACAGACATGTCCGTGTCCATCATCTCGATAAGGATAAGGATGACCCACAATTAAGAGAGGTACTCGCGCAACGACCAGAGGGCCCAAGCAGAGGCAGACGACGAAGAGGAGGCAATTCATAACCCCTTCTTGGCACTACTTGGATACACAAAAACCCCAAGTTTAAAAAAATCCAATTGGGAATCAAATCTCAAGACCGAGCCCGAGGTCGAGCCCAAGGTCGAGCCAAGACCGGGGTTATCTTCTAATACCAATACCTATGCTGACGGCAAATTTACGGGCCGACAAAAGCCGGAGCAGGACCTAGCTTTACTACGGGATTGGGGCTGGGAAACTTCATCGAAACCATTTTTCGAAACAAAACGGCGTTATTAAGCGGGGCGTGGTTGGAGGGCGGCGGTGTCCTTTTTGGGGCTCGGGCGGGAATCTATCCGTCTTCTGGCCTATTTTTGGTCTTATTTGTTATTTTATTTATCGTGTGTGACGAGACCTATGAGACACATCCGGAGTATCAGGTGCATTTAGGGGATTCTTTTTTCTGGGGAATAGGCCAGGGTGATTGGTTGGTGATACCAGAAAGTATGATCGATCGATTGATTCATGTTGGAATTTTTGGTGGGAGGGACGCGAGCGCAGTGGAAGAGCTGGTGAGCTGATTGAGGGCAAAAGCTGATTATGTGCAGAAAGAGCGAGAAAGAGGGAGAGAGACAGACTTGCACTTCTTCAACTGTCGTTATTCTTGGGGCCACAGGCTGCCATTACCCATACATATATCACTGCTGCGGCGGCGGCGGATTCATGTTTATATTTTTTGGCTTCGGGAGGGTCTGGCGAAGGGAAGAAAGATACCTAGCTACAACGAGAATTACCGCGTACGAGCTCGACTTACCGAAAAAGAGAATATATACATTACCGTACTGTTTGCTGAGTGTGTGAATGAGTGAACGATACAGGCCTTTTTGGATTGGAAGTTCGATCAATGATAGGATGGATTATATGCTTAGGTACGTAGAACGGGTATTCTATCTAACTCCCTCTCCGTCTCTCTCTATCCATGCCCAACACCCCATAACCCCACCCTCACAGCTCCATCACTCAAAACCTCCAAATCGACCTCATCCATCCCATTCCGTCCCCCCAGCCTCTCAACCACAATCCACAGTCCGCCCTGCATACACATACTCGGACTGACATCCAGATCCGCAGACCGGATGCCCATCGGCGCATCGCTAAACCCGTCATTTCCTGAAGCATCCAGAATAAGCTTGTTAGGCCCCTGTCCGTTCTCCAGCGAGACTTTCAGTAACGGCCGCGATCGACTTGCTGGATGATGCGGTATGCGGCCTGATCGTGCTACGATCCGTAGACGGGTGAGACGCTGCACTGTGAGAGGGGCTAGCATTCGGTCCACGCCGTCTTGGAAGATGAGCATAGGAAGCTGTGTGCTCAGACGTCCTGCTGTCTCTGCGAGGATGGGACGTACTTCACAGGGGATGCTGGAGCCGACGCGGAGGGTGAAGGTTCCGGTTTGTCCTGCTTCGAAGGTCGAGCATACTATTGTGTATTTGCCTTTGTCGGCGAGTGGGAGGGAGGCTAGAGCGCATCCTCGTCGGTAGTCGCCTGAGGACACGAGGATGTCTTTGCTGGTGATGGATGTTGCTCGCTCGCCGTTGGAGTAGACTATCTTGACGTGCACGGCGAGCTCGGGGTCGGATGTCTCGAGGATGAGTGTTACTGGTGTTGGCGCGGGGACGAGGATGCTGAATTGGGGATTTAGAGGGTAGGTGGCGGCGCTGGCGTTTCCGCCTGCTGTCCGTGATGTCCAGGATCCGGTGTGGTTAGTGAAATGGGGAAGGCCCGAGGAGGCGGTTGTGACGGCGAGAGGGCAGCGGGAGAAGAAGGCGAGTGTGAACGAGTATTTTGGTAGTGGGAGGCCTTGCTGTGCGCAGACAACGGTGTATGTTGTTGAGTCGGAGACCTCGAGGCGAGCTAGTGTTTGGGGAGAGTCGACGTATGCGCCTCGATGGAGGGCATCATCGGAGAGATATACACGTTGCCCTGAGGTAGAAGAGAAGACATATAGGCTGATGAAGCCGAGGGCGCTGGAGGTCCCGGATGATGAGGTGGATATGTTCTGTGCTATGTCATGTTCGGAGGTGGCGAAGTGACGACTGAGTAGGATCCAGACAGTTCCTGTCTTGGATGATTTAAGTGCGTATTGGGGATTGTGAATGAAAGAGCCGTGGTTCTTCATGGCAGGAATTGTCCACGAGAAGTGGTGGTCCTGACGATATGTAAAAAGTCCAGGGTTCCAGTTTAAGTAGAGTGATTCGAAGTGTTGTACGATGTCTTCAAGGGTCATCCAAAAAGTTCCTGGGGTTGTAGCGAACCGGTTTGGTGATAGTGCTTCTCTCATGTCTTGAGTCCACGTTCGTTCTTCAGATTCCGGTTCTGGAACTAAGACTTTCCCCTTCCATATCATACCATCGCACCAAGGGTTTTTCACAAGGAGCAGTCGCTGTGTCCCGGCTTCTTTCATATCCAATATAGCATAGTCATGCTCACCTGCCAGTCCAAGTTCTTTCTCTTCCTTATAAGCCAATCTCCCCGTCCCTAGAGTTAACATCACATCGCCATAGCCAAAAGATTTGAGGATACGGTTCCAAAGCATTTCCTGCTGCAGGTCATCACTAGAATGTATCTTCAGCACGTTTCTAGCATATTCAAGCACATGAATAAGCACCTTTGGAGGAATATTTGTTCCGGTATCCAGCCTGTTAGCACCCATAGATCTGTGCCAGAATTGGATCCTGGAAAGTCGTATCCACCTCGAACCTTCAAATAAGCCTTTTCAAGCAATGGTGGCCATAGCAATCTAGGATTGTTCCGATCGATTACATGGAGACAACGTGATGTATTTGAGGCGGGGAGTCGATCATCAATCGTGACTTTTCTGTAGCATCCATTGAAGTGTAGACGAAAGATATACTTCCCATTCTTCGAGATGCGAGGCTGCCCCTTCGATTTGTCAAACGGGTAGATAATAGAGGTGAGCAGCTATGATCATAATTAGTGGGTGAAAGTGCGGGACTCGGTGTCGTTATTGCGTACCTGCCCATGACCTTTCAATGCACGCGCTGTGCCAGCACAGAGACTGGCCACAACAGAACAGTCCGTGGTAATATCTTGTACCAGGTCAATCTCTGCGGCAGAATCCATTAGAGCCTCGTCACTCTGGACAGGAGATCCCGCTATTGGTGATTGACCAAGACTTTCGTGTGGTCTTCCCCACCCAGCAAAAATTTCTGTTTGGGCATCTGAAAGCTTTAAATCCATTGGATCACTGCAGAAATCAGAACCTACTCTAAGTACAGAAAATGGGAAACACTACGTGTAGAGAGATGTCCCATCAGACACCTCATCGAAGACCGAATCATCCGGATCCGAAGTCCAAGGTGGGAATATAAACCCGTGAAGTTTCGAGCCCTCGAGCAGGATAATATCCTCACGCTTTGATGTTTCCCTCCCGGAGACGGGTGCTTTCAGCAAGACTTCTTTGCTCGCAGCAGGTGGCCATTCTTTGGCCTGCTTAATCTCTTCCGCCCTTGAAAGTAATTGCTTGCACTTGCCGCGGAGTCTTGCTTTCTCATCATCACTGTGTGAAAGCTTAATCATCTTCATATATAGCTCGGTTGCTAGAATAGCAGCTTTCAGGGCCTCTTCTTTGGTAGATGACTTGTCCACCGCGGACTCGGCGGCCTATGATTCATGAGTAAGGAGACGATACCTAGCCAAAACTGGACTGGAATCTCTACCTGGGCGTCATCTTCCATCCCCATAGCTGCATGTAGACTGGACATGCAGCCTTGTGCATCCGGATCTGGTGGCAGGATCGTGTAAATATATAAAAGATCGATCTGACGCGTTACTAATGTTCGGGCCCCACCAGGCGTAAGGCGAGGCTAAAGCCTGAGGTCACAGTGCGGGGCAGGGATCGTGCAGTTGCACGGGAATTCACTAAGGGCGTGCCGGTCGTTCGTATGCCGAGGTCTTCCATCGTGCTCTGCTGAAGTTCGGACCGTGGTAATGGCAAATGGCAAATGTCAGCTAGCAATATGATTTCAATATCCGCTCATCATTCCTGACTGGTCCTAGACTCGCCAGCAAGTACAGTTACATGCGCCGGGCCTATCTTCATACAACTCCATTTCTTTCTCAAATTTACCTCTAGTTAAACTAGACTTCATTTCCATCCTCCTACGCCATATCTTAGCCTCGGCTTCCCTTGGTGCGATAATACCATATCAACCTCGCAATCGCTGATTGCGCTTCTCAACCTATATATTCTTTCATTCAGATATCATGGCTGGGCAATCAAAGGAGGCCGCAATCCCCCCTTGGGGTTTGGCGGTTGCTGGAGCCACGGGAGCGGTTATCGCAAATGCGCTGGTGTATCCTCTCGATATGTAAATATGCCCTCTTTCCGCCATAGGATGCCCCTTTCAGTGCTAGATTCTCGCGTCTACTACACATTTCTCTGTACTTTTTGGCTAATAAAACCCCTGGTTTCCAGTGTCAAAACCCGTCTGCAAGTCCAAGTCAAGAGGAAAGCAACAGACGCTCCCGCCACAGCAGACGATCCGGTGCATTATGCCTCGACCTGGGATGCCATTACGAAGATTGTTGACAACGATGGGGTTGCTGGTCTTTATGCCGGTATAGAGGGGGCGCTCATCGGGGTTGCATCGACCAACTTTGCATACTTTTACTGGTATTCGGTTGTCCGATCGCTATATCTCTCCTCCCAAAGAACACCTACACCTCCAAGCACGGCGATTGAATTGTCTCTTGGAGCAGCCGCAGGAGCTGTCGCCCAAATATTTACCATTCCAGTGGCTGTAGTTACAACACGCCAACAAACGCAGGCGAAGGGCGAGAGGAAAGGCATGCTAGATACTGGAAGGGAAGTGATCGCAAGTGAGGATGGATGGACCGGACTATGGAGGGGGCTTAAAGCCAGTTTGGTGCTGGTGGTCAACCCTGCTATTACGTATGGTGCATATCAAAGACTCAGAGAGGTTATTTTCCCCGGAAAAGCCAACCTCAAACCCTGGGAAGCATTTCGTAGGTCCCCTTTACCTAGCCCAAGATATTTAACTAATCGCCTTTACAGTGTTGGGAGCATTGTCAAAGTCCATGGCTACCATTGCAACTCAGCCTCTGATTGTTGCCAAAGTTGGGCTCCAATCAAAGCCCCCGCCATCCCGACAAGGAAAGCCATTCAAAAGCTTCATCGAGGTCATGCGCTTCATCATTGAGAATGAAGGCGTGCTAGGCCTTTTCAAGGGCATTGGCCCACAAATCTCGAAGGGTGTCATTGTTCAAGGACTGCTCATGATGACAAAAGAACGGTAGGTCTTTAAGTCCACAAATATTTGTCAGTGTGCTGATTTGACATAGCATGGAACTTATGTTCGTTCTCCTTTTCCGGTACCTGCGAAAGCTCAAGTCCGACCAACTTCAGAAGGCGGCGGAGCTTGCCGCATCAAAGGCCAAAGTTGCCTTGCCCTTAGTTACGAAGTAGATGATAGATATTATGTGAAAGAATGGTTTCCTTTGGCTCAAGAGTGTTAAGCTGGATATCTTACTGGATAGAACGGCCTGGGTTTTGTGTTTTGTAGATATATGAAATATTTCTAGCATTAGTATATACGGATAGATATAAAAGATTTTCGATCCAGATTTTAATACTGGTTACAGTACTTGACTTCCATAACGCTGGAAATAGTTGAGCGGGCGTGTTTTGTTTAAAGTTGCTGGGGAGCTCGGCATCCGATCGACGAACGGCCGACCGGGGGAAAAGCCGACCCACGTGACGCTCGCTAATCTAGTGCTTCCCACACTGAATTTCCAAGCAATATCATCTGTCATTGCCGATAAACACCTCCACGCAGCACTGAGATTCGCAACAGTTGATCTCTACCGGCAGTCACAATGGCGAGTAAGTAATCGCGGAATGCTATTATGCATGGCAAATGCTAATTTGCGCCTTCGACAGAATCCAAGAACTCGTCTCAGCACAATCAGACCAAGAAGGCTCACCGCAATGGGTAAAGCTTTTTCCTATCCCTCTGCCGCACGACATCGGGATCCTTATGGGATCGAAATGATCTATTTATTCGAACATCTTCATCGGAATGGCTGGAGGCTGACATTTCTCGCGACCTGCAGTATCAAGAGACCAAAGACCTCAAGATATCCATCTCTAAAAGGCACCGACCCAAAGTTCCGAAGAAACCACAGACATGCCCTGCATGGAACAGCGAAGGCCTTGGTACGCCGGATAGCCACTCCCTCATTATGGTTCATGACCGTACTAATACGTGTTCACAGAAGGAGTTCAGAGAGGGCAAGCGGGAGACGGCATAACGGTCGCGTTAAATGTTATTTCCTATGGGATTTGGCTACGGTAGCTGCGCTGGAATGGTTGCATCTTACGAGCGTTTGGGGGCAGATCGACTTACGCAACAAAGGCGCACAGAGCGATAGTTCAGGTCAAAATTCAACGAGCGATACCGCACCAACTCGAGCAGTTCTCGAATCTCCCGCCTCCAATCTCCACTTGATATGACCCCCGTGACGAAAATGAAAGAAACAAGGCATTTGTGTGTACAGCTTTCCGAGCCACTCTATGCTCATAAGTTGAAGGATTATTCTTCGTGCCAAGATCAAACTCAAACCCCTTCATTACCAAACACCTCTTCTCTATACTCCTTGAGATATTGGTGCATGAGAACCGGGTTATATTATTGTAGAGTTCAGAATATATATTTTTCAGGAGCGTACATGAGAAATACAAGATTGAATATTATGAAGGGGCTTACACTGCCACTTGAATCGTGGGATTCAAAGTATGTTTTGATTAGGGCACTTGTCATTCCGGCTCTATGCTATTGTTACAACTCAGCAGTTGGTACAGTACCTATCTGGCTGGTAGACAGTGAAGTTATTAGCCAAATGAAAATGACAATGTCAGCTCATCATGCCAAAGCAAAACTGCTCTCTCCAAAGCATCTCTCATTGTATGTACTGTGACTCAAAACCAATTAAGCTTTCGGATCCACCATTGCATCAGTCAATCGTCACCCATCTTCCCGATATAGGGGATGACACCGCAAACTACTGGCTAGAATAGCATGTGGGGAATATGTTTGAAGCGCTGCTATTTGATTGTATTGGCCTTGACTCGGAGAGGTCTAGCAGAGACCTGCGCGTATTCCGTGCATTCCCTCGTTCTGAAAAGGAAAAGCGGCACCAGAAAAGTGAACACCTCTCAAAACATGATAAACATGATAAACATGATAAACATGATTAAAGGATATTGTGGACACTAGTCACTGTAGTTGAGACATTTGAATAGAATGCTATTTTGAGATTCCTTAAAACAACGTCTTAACGCACTCTTTATCGCCAACGCACAACAGTGAATTTGGGGTCTTGTGGTTTTCCTGTGCCGCTTTTAGCACTTCCGAGTACAAGTAGCGCTACCCTGAACAGTAGGCTGACGGTAAATCACTCCTTTTTCAGCTTCAACAACGACACCAACTCACGTTCTCAACCCATCGATATTTACCGCTGGTCGCAGTTTGCTATTCTCCCGCTGCTGTAAGTTCGTCCCAATATCCTACTTGCCTTCCCGATGCCTCCGAGACGGTCTTCGGTGAGCTACCCAACCTCTGTATCAAGCTGACCCGCTTGGAATAGTCCCAGACTTCCTGTCAGCAGGCTACTGCAGGACACTCTTTGTTACTCTCGCTGCCTCGAACTTGCAAATCTCGGATCGACAATAACTCTCGTTCACAAGTACCATATTTCTATATTCGGAAGCACTAGTGGCAGTGCTCCGGTCTGTCTCGAAACTGCCAGGCATTGATCAAGGTCCTGGAATCACATCACTGCGAAACACCAAGTTACCGCCACGGGCCGCATACTGTCCCACGTACGCAATAATATTTTTCGGGTTCTGGTTGGAGCATTGGGGCTTGACGACGGCGACGCAGAACTAAGCTTCGTTTCAGCTTTGTAAATCCTAGTGATCATCGCTCCGTGTGATTTCTACAACACCAGCCTTTCAGCGTCAACGCGATAATGCTCAATAATATGTCTGCAATCGGGAATCGAAATAGCACACCGATCGAGTCAAACAACACCTCGTCCCTTCGACCACCATCGTCTCGTGCTGTCGGCTCTGGACATCACCTGCGAGCGTCCGCAGACATGGCAGCTTTTCCGAGTTCGCCTTCTTTTAATCGCGCCCGTCCCTCCTCGGACTTTTATGGCACGCAGCCGGGCCAAGGCCAAGGTGGCTCAGAGAACGACGCATCTGACAAGATCGCCCAGCAATGGATTGCTGATATCGACCAGTACGAGACAACTTTGGAAGAGATGGCTGCAGCAACTTTAGACCAAGATTTCAAGGATGAGCTGAGTGCGATCGAGCAATGGTTCAGGGTGCTCAGTGAAGCTGAGCGTACCGCTGCGTTGTATGCTCTACTGCAACAAACGACGCAAGTACAAATACGCTTCTTCATTCAGGTTTTGCAGCAGATGGGGAAAAATCACCCTATGTCCGGTGTGCTATCTCCTGCCAACTTTGACAAAGGTACGTTGAATAATCACCACTTAGGATTGTACACATGCTGACCTTCGCTTTATTATAGACCCGATGTCGAACCGTCTCAGTGATGCGATGAATAAGCTCAGCGTGGATGGCTCAAGAAACTCCCTGACACGGCCACCTACAACACCTGGTACCAAGAGACATTCTGGGCTCGACCCGTCAACAATTAATGCCATGTTCCCCGATGCCGCTGCCGCCATCGCCACCGAAAAGGCAAAATTCACACAGCAGACCGGAAACCCTCCAGCGTCCAACCGAAACAGCGCTGTGTACGACAACCGAAACTCACTTGCAGCACCTCTCATATCCGCCCCTGGCGATTCGTCAGATAACAACCAACAGCCGCCGCCATCTCCATGGGGTTCTCGGGGTCATGAGAATGCTCGGCCAAAGTCGTCGTCCGGGCAGCCTCCCATGGGCCAGTTCATCCAACCCCCACCTTCCGCAGGGCTTCGCTCTCCAGTTGCCCAAGTGTCCGGCGGATCGAATCTGCAAAGCACAACCATCACTGCGCCCGACAACCAAGGTCCTGGACTTCCTCCGCTCTCGCCCTATAATTCAGGAAATGGTAATTGGGCTTCTATGGTTAATACACCGATGGTGTCAAATTTTAATGCTCCAAACGCTTCCACCCAGGCGGATATGGTGGCGAATGCTACCGCTATGAAGCTTGCTGCTCTTTCAACAGTCAATAATCGGTTCGCATTAGATGACGTCCGTAAATATCGTCGGGCTCGGTCAAATGATGGGCATTCATCCAACGGCCCTCTTTCTCCTGGGCTTCCAAACAACATGCCTGGCGCTAATGTTGTCATGATTAATGAGCATGGACAGGTATTGAGCAGAGAGCAGGTGATGGCCCTTCAAGTCCAGCAACAGAATTCGGCGATGGCAGGCCGACGATCTCGCCCAAGCTCTCCGGGACTTCCCATGCAGGGGAGTGGGTTCGGTCAAATGGGATTCGCATCTCCCCAGAATAATGGGTTCCTGGCAGCGTATGATGGGTCATCTCCGCTGCTCAATAATAATGGAATGGCCGGCCTCAATTTAGCCCAGTTTGGGCTAAATGCACCTGAAGGTTATCTCTCAGATCATAGCGATATGGTTAGAGGTCGATCTCCACGTGGTAGGAGAGGTACTTCAAAGCCCCCCGAAGATCCCACAGACCCCAGCCTTCTTCAAGATATCCCCAGCTGGCTGAGAAGTCTGAGGCTTCATAAATACACGGAGAATCTGAAAGATATGAATTGGACAGAGCTCGTTGAGCTTGATGATAAGGCCTTGGAGGACCGGGGTGTCAATGCTCTTGGGGCAAGGAGAAAGATGTTGAAGGTCTTTGAGCAAGTAAAAGGCAAGTAATCGTCTCGGATAAGATGGTGCAAAATACTAACTATTGTGTAGAAGCTAAAGCAGAAGGGAAGTTGTCATAATCGCCAACGAAACGAAACTCCCGGGTTTTCAGCAAAAGTCAGTCAAGCACAGATGAGAGAGTAGTTGGAAATTGTGTAAGAAGTCTTAATTGATGCTCAGGAAGCAAAGATGCCTATCAAACGTTGTCAGGATATTATGCCTGGTTGGATATGTTCATCCGTCCAGCGTGTTTGAGATGGAATATACGTAAATTACGAGGCGCGATTTGGTTGATGCGGTTTATTGTACAGATTTGGAAAAGGAGGAAGAATTATCGAGTTACAAGAGAATCTATCCACTGTCTAATTTTGACAAAAGGTGATTTCTAAACAGTCTCGGTCCACCTAGTTGGTTTAGGTTTCTTGTAATTGTCCAAGGCAGGTTTTGGTGATTTCATACTAATAATATACGTAAACACCTATCAAAGACGTAGATAGGTAGCCTTGCAGAGCATACTAGGTAGGGAAGAAACCATAAAATGCCTGTTCGTTACAGTACTTCATACGGCTTCCAGTTGCAGTTGGTAATTCTACCGGAGATATACCGATGATTCCGGCGAGGCTGCGGCTTGATTTTCTGGCCTCGTCTATCAACCATCCGAACATGAAGCTCGATGCATATTACGATCCGAACGCTCCTTGACCTACCTTAGGAAACAGAGACCGCCCCCTGGGCCACACCTGAGACTACTATGAATTAAACACCACAATCAATCACCTTCGGCCTACTACAACATGCGTCCAATCCTCCCTCATCCAGCCCCGCGTGCAAACGATACCCCTCAAAGCCAATACCCCGATCCTGAGCTTAGCCAGTTGCAAAACCCACCATGGTCTAGTCAGTATCAGTTATATGGGGGTGGGAGGGAACAGGCTGTAAGAGCGCCGGGTTGGGGAGACTTCCATCGAAGATATTCAACATCACAGAGGGGGGAAACAAGCCATCATGATACCCCTCCAGGAAGTCATTCGATTCCACCCGGCCCAACAGGGCTTCCTTCTGGATTCAATACTCCCACTTTTGCAGATCCTAATACGCCAATAGTTACATCGGAGGCAGGAAGAGCACTGTCGAATGTGGATGCGGCCCATGTCCCACCACGAGTCTTGGATTGGCTTCAGAGTGACTCGCCACATCTACACGAACATACTCCCTCATCAGATCACATAACCCCTCCGATGCCGAGTTTTGAAATAGACCCGAATCTCGATACAAGTAGGGCTGAGTTCGCAATTCATACTTCAGAACAGAGGACAAGAAGCAGAGAAAGCTCCGTGGTTGCTGACTTCGCAAACCAGGAGCGACAGGACAGCGAGTAAGCACGAAAGCTAAAATATAGTCTTTTGAAAGCGGTTGTAACTGACTATGTCAATAGTGGATATATTTCAGACGCTGACTCGGAATACCTTGACCATACAGGAAAAATGGAGAAACTGAAGAACGATGTTATTAACCTTAACGACCGCGATTCTGGAGACGAATCTCTCTCCCAGTCACGACAGCCCATCGGTCGTAGAGGCACCAGGGGCAGAGGCCGAGGTACTTTCAGAGGGCCTCGGAGGGCCGCTGAGCCAACTGGGGATGTTAAATTACGATTAAGCCAGGCTTCGCAGTATTTCATCGAAGAGAAATACCCAGAATCAAGAGCGCTTGTCCATGAGGTCATCCGCATCAACGCTGAGACCTACGAAGCATGGACCTTGCTGGCTTCTATCTTCAAGGAAGAGGGGGATATTAACAGCGCGGTGTACGGTCTCATGTTCGCAGCCCACTTGCGTCCCAAGCACTTGTCGGCATGGTTCAACTGTGCCAGATTTGCACTCGAGGAAACAGGGGATCTGCGGCCTTTCTACTTGAGATCTGCCCAATTCTGCTATGCCGCTGCTGTACGTGCGGATTATAAAAGTCTGGAGGCTCACTTCGGGAAAGCCGAAGTCTTCTTAGAGCAGGAAAAGTACAAAGGTGCAATTTCGGAATACCAGACAATTTTGAAGCTTAATCCCCACAACATAGCAGCTTTGCGGAAATTGGCTGAAGCGTGTATGGGAGCAGAAGCTGTCGACGTTGCCAAAGATCGTTACAAGGAAAGCATTGCGTACATCAGGACATCCCCAGACAAATTTGACCAGTCTTTTGGCTGGGAAGATGTCTATGTATATGTGGAGCTCTTTGCGTTCGTTGGCCAGTATGGTGAAGCTATTAGAGAGCTGAAAACACTTTCTCGCTGGCTATTGGGCCGTGAGGACGAATACTACTGGGATAGTATTACTGCAGATGATTGCGAATTTGACGTGGACAATTCCAGAAGGCTTGCAATCTCTGACTTTGCAGTCGATAAATTCCCTCTTGAGACTTATGGAATGAGTCTGCCTCTTGAGCTCCGGGTCCAGCTTGGGTTTTATCGCTTACGACTTGGTGATCAGGATGAGGCAATGGTAACATCCCTATTCATATTCCCAGCTTTTGCTTCTATTAACGGACCTCTAGCGTCATCTAGAATACCTTGATCCCTCGAACACAACCGGCGAAGATATTGCACTGAACAATCCATTCCTTTACCTAAATACCGCAAACCAACTCTTTGAAGCAAACCTTTTCAAGGACGCGTTAAGATTCTATGAGCCTTTAAAGGAGATCCCTGAGGAGATCACTACATCACTATATACGCAAATGGGGCTATGCTTTCTAGGCGAAAATCAGAGGGAAGAGGCAGAAACCCACTTGAAAATGGCCGCAGAAATGGACGAATCTAATGAAGACGCTCGAATGCACCTAGCAAAATTGTATGAACAACAAAAACGACCGCAACAGGCGCTTGAGGTAGTCAACGAAGTCATCTCAATTAAGCGCAAGAAAAATTCTGAATTAGTCCGAAAAAGTACATCAAAGGATAAGCAGGCCTTAGCGGGCCAATTTCGAAAACCCCCGAAAGATCGGAGAGCTTATAGAACCTCTACGCGACCGTTAGCGGACGAGCGTGTAAAAGCCCAAACAGAAAAGGCACAGCATCTTCAGACCCAGTATTACATTATGAAGAGCATGCTTGACCCTATGAGGGAAGGGGACGTGGAGGCCATGCACCAATGGATGAATGCTGCCCGCGATCTTACAGAGGACTTCAGACAACTCAAAAGCTTCTACCCTTGGGATAAATATATTCAGTTTCAGGAATACAGAGACGCGGAACGAGTACAAGCCATGACAGCTTTAGATTCCGATTTATCTTCAATGGCTGAGCGATTAGCCCGGAGTTAGTTGCTCCCATTTTCTAGACTTAGAAATCCGCTAAGAGTTCCACAGGTTTCGAAACGAATCGTACGGATAAGGACGAAATGGTGCAACCTAAAGTTGTACCTACGGAATATAGAGGGATTTCTTTCCAATCTTGGCTCGACATCCTCATGGAATACGCCATTTGTAACGCTAGAAATGGCAATACTCGAGAGTCATACGAAGTATGCAACGCTGCAAAAGACGCTATCATCTACTACCATTCCCCGGAGGATATGTTTTTAATCCACCTATGTTGGTGTAGTATGTCAAGACGGTTTGGTTTAAATGGATAGCAGCTGACTTAATCTTAGTGTGTGCGCTAATCTCGAGCGACGAAGAAACAGTTGTATCCATGGCACGATTTTTCATGAGGGATTACCAATTCACGACAGATTCATACAGGCTCTTTGGTGTCTTGACTCGAATGTGCCAGTCGCCGGTTTCATGGTACTGCGCAGGGCCGACCCAGAAGTTTGTGCTCAGGCAAATAAAGGCCATGGATTATGCCCTCATGGACGAAGAGACTCGCAATGAGAAATATTTCCACGAGAAGGGCTCTTATTCAACTCTAGACAAGCATGGCAGGCCTATTATGAATGACGACCTAGATATTTCGCTCCTCATGCTATACGGGTATATTCTCTTCGTGGGCAGCAGTTATGCATATGCTATAAGTATGAACCTTTTTTATCGATATCGATATGGTGAAACCGGCTGATTCATAATCCGCAGACTACTTCCTACGCGCCCATGCGCTAGATCCTGATAACCCAATGATCAATCTTAGCATAGGCCTTGCCTACCTCCACCACGCTCTTAAACGCCAAGCTGAAAACAGGCAGTATGGCATCCTCCAAGGACTTACTTTTATCCTTCGTTATTACGACGCGCGCAAGAAGTCCGATCTCATTGAAGAGCGGCTGGAAGCACATCACAACCTGGCTCGGGCATATCACATTCTCGGCCTTCCGCACCTTGCGATTCCTTACTATTGGAAGGTCTTACAGGAACATAAAGGTGATACTAAAGAGAACTTGGTAATTGAAACGGCGTATAATTTACAGACGCTCTATACGATGTCTGGGAACCCAGAGATGGCACAGAGCGTTACGAAGGAGTGGCTGGTCATCTGAATGACTTCGCATATGCATAATGCAAATGTCTTCCGCTGTTATAGCGTAATACGAGACTGGAATACCGCCAATGACTGACCGGCGGTGGGCAGCCCTGGGCTATTGATGCCATTACATACATACTCGTATGGGCCTGACCGACCATCATACCGCCTTCTAAATGAGACTCCTGAAGCGGGACCAGCCTCCGGTCCAGAGTTCAATTATGCATCCGGGTGTTGCCTCTTCTCCTTCTCCATGGACATAGCCTAGAGACTGCAAATTTTACGTCTTTCCGCGTGGGGCTACTTCTCTGCTGCCCTGCACCTCCAAAAAAGCACCAACCTCCACAGATTGCACGAAACGCCAATAAGGCAGCTATTGCGAATTTGCTACTTCTCCAACGACGACGGATTTGGGTGGTACGTTTGGTGCCTATTGAAGTGTCAGATAGGTTGCTGGACCGTTATCTCAGAAACAGGCTGGCTAAGGAAGAAATAAGGGACCAGTCGCCGTGAGGGTGTCATCCCTATAAATGTAAATAACTGGGCGACTTGACACTTCAACTCGGTTGCTTCCAAAGCACTACATTGCAATAGCACCGAACAAATATGTCAGAAACTCAACACGTTCAAAATTATTTACAGGGTATCTGTTGAAGTATACTATATTCACCTTCCATCCCCCGATACCACTCCGCTCCTCCATTCGCCTAGTCCCCTTCCTAACTACCCTACCCGACCAACCCTCATAGAACCAGTACCTTAACTACTGTGACCGTTCAGACCTAGGAGAGTGAAAGAAAACATAGCAAAAATCAAGGCAATGCTAACGCAAATGATGCTGACCCATCCATGCACGCCGTAACGAATCGAAAAAGAACAGCGAGGAAAATTCATTAACACGTCACGATGCCATAACTTGCAACGAAACCCTAGTTTTACAGCACACTTAGGGTGCAGAATAATAGTCGAGAATTAGTACCTAACATAAGCATGCTAGGTTTGAAGAACATCCAGCTCCTCCTCCGTACCTGGTTCTGGTGTCGAATGGGAAAGAAACGACTCGTCTTTGTCAAAGACGGGGCTTGGGCCTTTATAACTTGGAGGGGGAATCACAGTTCCTGGGGCCGGTTCCGAAGCAGCTGATCCACTGCCACGAGTTGGAGCCTTGGCCTCGTAACTTGGAGATACAACACCCTCGGATCCATAAGGCAATGACCTAGTAGGAATCTCATGTCCTGAATCTTCACCAAATTTCTGGGCGAGTACATCCGATTGTCGTCGAGCAAGTTGCTCTAGTTGGACCGCAGGATCCTGCACAGGATCAGTAGTTGCACTAAATGCGAGCACAAAACAAGGCGTACCCATTCCTCTTGGGAAGGTACCCCCTCAGCCGCAGGTAGTTCGCCTTCTTCGTTCCTCTCGCCCCCCCAGAAGTTGGGTCTCCTGATTGGGGCTGGTGTTACAGGGAGACTGGGTCGTTCAAGCTCTGTTGGAAAGTCTGTGAGCCTTAGAATTCGCTTCCTACCACCTAGATCGGACACATCTACTGAAGATGACCCCTGACCATGCACTATTTGGACGCTACCCTTCCGGGGCTTCTGTAAATTTCCAACATACCGCCCTATTTCGGGTATATCATCCCAGGCATTTCCACGGGAATATGACTGCCAAGGATCAGAAGGTATGACCGGTATGGTGGACGTAACAGGTGTAACAGGCGGTTCAGGTTCCATTTCTGGGGGTCCTGGTTCCGTAGCCAATTCGCTACTAGGAGGTTCGGTTACATCTAATTCATCTTCAGGAAATACTCTAGTTGGTTTAGGTGCATCCTTTTCCCAAGGAAATATTGGGGTGGGCTTTTGGTATGTCGGAGTTTTCGGTACTTCATACCACATGTTCTTTGGCGGATCAGGATACCGTTCAGGAGCTTTGAACGGCTCTGGGTCGGAGGACATTTGGTAATGTGTGGCGGGGAAATTGGAGGCTTCGGGTCGAGAATCTGCCGGCGGTGGAGCTCTACATTTTTTAGCATGGGAATCAGGGTGGTCTATAATATCTCACCTGCTTGCATCCCAAATAGAATATTGAATTTCCGGCTTGACCTCTGGTACACCCAGAGTCGGGGGAACATAAGCAGTTTCCACATGGCTCGGGACTTCGGTCCTTTCATGCCGAGGTTGTTCAGCTGTTGCGTGAGTTATTTCGGTGTCACTCGCAGGCGTGGCGTGGAATATCACGTTCTGGTCTCCAACTGTTGGATGAACGGCTTGGTAGGTCTCACTCCTCGATTCCGGGGGTTGGTATGTTGGGTAACTGGAACTCGACACAACGGGCATTACTGGGTGGAACTCGCCTTTGGTATAGTACTGCACTAGGGTGGAGGTTTCTTGGACAGAGCTGTCGGTAGACTGCTAAACTCTTAGCAAACGATAGGAGTGACCATACGTGGACTTACCGGTTCTTTAAAATGTCTGTCGTAGACTGCCCACCACCTCCCTACCGATTCATCATACGGAGTTCCACCCTTATGCGCATCTCTCCCCTCAGTCCATGGCTTATCATGGCCAATGAAATGAACCACACTGATACTCGATTGGAAATGTCGATATGCCGGCAAGTACTGGTAATGGGCGGATGGTGTAACATTGTAGGTAAAGCTCAAGCGATTGAAGGCGTTTTTGAAATGCATATTCAAGAGACCCTGATCTGCACCATCGAAAGATATCCCTCTCTGTGCCATGGCAAGCAATGCGTAGTAATCGCCCATATTCGGGGTCAACACCATCAGGCCAGTATTAAAGATATCCGGCCATCCGATGTCTGGGGCAGCTGAGAATGCATGTGGCAAGCTGAATAACTCATCTGGCGCGCGAATCGCTACCGTGTCTGCATCCATGTATATTATCTTCCGGAATTGCAATTGCTTCCATAAATTGACCTTTGTAAATGTCGAGTGCAAATCTCCGCGGTTCATAAGAAACAGGTTGGCCGGCGCTTCATTGACAATTCTTTCGACAGGAATTATGTAATCATAAGTGCTCTATAAGAAGTCAGAACTATTCAAGACATAATGCGAGGGTTGGATCCTACCTGCAGCTGGGTTATTGCCGCGGGCGAGACAGTATCGGCGGTGATCAGCACGGCCAACTTCTTTGTTGTTCCAGCATCTCGCAAAGAATGTGCCAGCACCAGTGCACCTACAAATGAGTCCGAGTAAGCTTAGATCTTCAATATGGAGGAATACTAGGTACCTGGCAGGTAGGAGTCGCTCAAGAGAAGCTTGTAGGCAGAGCATTAGTGTTTTCTAGCAGCAGATTCCAGGGCAGAGGCGTGACGTACAGTTGCGTAAACATCCTCGCCTTCAGAAGCCATTGCACCCGGTCCGCGGGGAGCGCAGCAAGATGTATGCGAAGAGATCGATTAGCACGCGATCTCCGGGCGGCGATGCAAGCGGTGGTGTAGTTGGGAGTTGATTGTTAATTGTTAATTGTTGGACGACGAAGAAACGGACGGAGAGAGGGGCGGAGGAGGAGCTCTGCCAGCAAACTTGGGCTTTGGACCTTGGACCTTGGACCTGGCCGAGTACGTAGTAAACAACGCGGGGAAGCAAGGGTCTGGGATGAAGACGACGAGACGAAATAATTCGTACGTAGTGTACATACACAGGCATACAAGCATACAAGCACTAATATAATATATAATATATAATATATATAATAGCAGCTGCAGACCCCGTCACCCCGTCTACCCGTCATCTCGCATCACGCATCACCAGACTTCATTGTCGTTGGACCAGATTCCAGCCATTCCAGCGCCATCCGCGACTATTTGCACCGGCGCCGAACCCAATTCAACGCTGCCCAAGCAAGCTGTCACGATTCACGCTTCACTCTGGCAACAGGGGCCCGCAAGAAGCTTATTATCTACCACGACGGTACGAAGTAATCCAGAAGAGCAATCACCCTCACCCTCACCACCACAACCACAATCACAATCACGACTCGGCGCCCTTTATCAAAAACGTTATTGCGCGTAACATCGATTGCTGCCCCTGCATTCTCTTCCGTCAATTATCTTATTAGGTACGACGTCTACTTTTCCCCGTGACCCGTGTCGCCCCAGCCGCAGCTATTGAAGTGATAAAGTGCCGGCGGCCAGTTCTCTTATACTGGAGCAAATACCTTGGTGATGGATTCAACTCTATCTTTGGTCACACCTAGCCGGGGCGTTGCTGCTGCCAATCCCACCAGCACCCGCACTTGTACCCAGCAGCTGGTGCAAGATATTTCACATGATGATGCGGAAATTGCCAATGTTGCTGCACCTGCAAGAACCGCGGACATCATGACCAAGAGCCGATTTTCGTTCCTGGAACTGCCCGTGGAACTGCGTCTTAAGGTGGGTTAACCTGTTACTTTTAAAATCCTATTCATTCTGGTCTTGTCAATACAAAAAGTGTATCTGATAGGACAGTTGGTACCTCCCAAACCAAGTGCTGTCCTATCTTGGTTCTGGCCCGAAAACGTACCTATCCATCTTAGCCAGTTTCCAATGAACCATCCGGGACGAGCCTTGACTATAATCTACAATCTCAAAATGTCCCAAACCCAAAACTCCCCCTCCATTGTTAACGCAAATGATGTATTCTAGGTGCACTCTGGCTAACATTTCATAGATATATCTAAATATTTTGATATGCCCAGAGGCACTCAATATCCCACGACATCGGGATTCATCCTCAAATAACACCTTCGCCTACCCCTCAGTCGGCATCCTCCAGACTTGCAAGCTCGTTAATGAGGAAGCTACACCGACACTCTACTCCAAAAACAGACTTATTATTACTCTCCGTTCGTACCCTTCATCTATCACTTTTCGTATCCTGTTCAACTAAGCAGACACAGCGCTGGAGAAGGGATCGCCACCAAACTCAGGAGAGCCCCCGGCCTCGTTCGGGCCCTCCTTCCACCCCAGCAATTTTCGCTGGAATACACTTACGCAAATGACTTCGTTGTCCTTTACTAGCGGCAACAATATCGGATTTTCTGACCCAGAGCTACCCCCCTCTTTAATCCCAAGTGCAACTTTCAAGTGTTCGGGGCAAGAGTTGATATCTCGGATTTCCCCTGGTAGTATGGTCTTTAGCCCTCAAGGACCTGATAAATATATGGCACTATCTATAGCAAACTGGGTCAGTCTTCGGGTCATGACAGCGGAGTTGAATGCATTTCATAGGGAACTAGAGGCTATGATGAGTAGCACTCCAGTGTAGCTACTCGGTTTCTATGGGGAGTATAAGCAAGCGGCACAAATGATAGTATTGGTATCTAGACCATATAAACCATTGGCTTCAATTTGGCTCGGAATACGGGGTTATGATAAAATCTAAACGAATTTCCATGACTTTGAACAAAGGCAAGATTTGGCTTTTCGTCAAGCTCTTCGCGTATCCGGGTCACTATACGATGAAGAAGCGGTCATCGGGCTCGAATTGGAAGCATTAAAATATAGTGCTTTGAGCCCTCAATTAAACTTATATTATAACATAACAAGCAGCCACTACGTCTCTAGAGTTTTAAACTATACTAAAATCCCTCTTCTTAGAGATCTGTCTATTACTATTTCTATACTCTATCACCATTTCCATACCTTCTGCCTATTATCGGCGTATCCTCTAATGCAAATCAACCCTTCCTTGCCTCTACGACCGTCGATCCTGAGATTAAACTGCCCTATGGTGTATAGTTTATAACATCTAATTACCCTTTCCGCGACTATCGTATATAGTACTACAAGATGCTTTGAGCGTATCATAAATCGAAAGAGCACCAACGAGGTCGATAGTAGGTAGGTCAGCAGTCGAAAGATACTAAGAAGTTTGGTAAGCATTGGAAGAAATACCGGTTTCTAAACCTCGACTGATATTTGGATATGCTTTTTACCTCTCATATATTAATACCCCGAAGGTTGAAATATCAGAGAGAAGCCATACAACATATATTTTCCTCCTGCCTGGTATCTATCAATGTGCTTGGACCAAATCAAGACTATTTATCGCCAATTCAGTTGCGTTTATTAGGGCCGTCTCTTTGATCACTCGCGATTTCGCTATGGCGGTGAGAGGCAAAGAGAAAGGAGAGGGAGGGATGAGTAGGTAGAGAAGAGAACGCCATAGAGAGCACAAATACAGTAGGAAAGCATGAAATCCTAACGCCTTTCCAAAGAGACAGGTGATTGAGCACACCGTAGAGGGACATGAATTTCAGCACGGCCTAACACCATGTTAGGAGCAAAACAGAGCAGGGCGAACCGGGTGCCTATTTTTTCCAACCTTCCGCAACAATTTGTCAACAGCAAGGCGCAGATAAAGCTTCCCCCTGATAGCTGACCGATGGCTGGGCTGACCGGATATCTGACTGGAAATAGTATGGTTCGAGCTGTGAGGTCTGTATCTCCGACCGCCGGCATGTACGCATATACGTAAGGCAACTGACACGTTAGTTGACAACCAGCCTCAAACAAAAAAAAAATCAATGCTAGCTGGAAAGGGTGATGATGTTCATAAGGATTTCCATAAGTGGTCAGAAACCACGTCTTTTTTACTCGCTGCTAAAATACATAAATAGTAACGAAAGGTATTCCGTTCCCCAATCCATCCTCCGCATTCAAAACGCCACAGATGCAGGATGCCATAATGTATAATTCGGCAAATGATCGAAGGTTTAGAATCGTATTCACGAACCTTCGGCCTCATCAACGCTGTCCTCTACCGTTGCAGCCCGGGATTTCCCTTTTTCCAGCCGCGGCTCTTCACTCTCAACGCTGGAACCCGCCTCCCGTGCCTCCGACGAGGCAGACTTGCTGCCCTGCTGTTGTCCATTGCTTGTAGCGGTTGCAGCATCGCCATGCGCATCTGCACGTCCATCAATGGCCACATGTCCCCCCTGAGCATCGTGAGAACTTGGGGGCGGTGCCAATGCCGACGAGGCCGGAGTGGTCATTGCATTGCCCGGAGTGAGACTTGGCCCCGAAAATAGTTGAGATGATCCCCAGGTGGGGAACAGTGAAGGATTCTGGTTTGCATCACTTGATGCGATGGATGCAGGTGTATTGCTTAAGGTGCTGCTGGGTACCGTGGTCCTTGACCCAGTGCTAGACGAGGATTGGTCGGCAGCTACCGACGGCGGAGTAGGAATGGCGTTGGTATCGGGCGAATCAACAGATGATGTTTGCGGTTGATGTTCGGGATTTAGCGTTGCTGTCGGTGTCAGATTATTATTAGAAGCTCTGCTCATAGGGCTGATAGTATCAGGTTGAGTGGTGGCTGTGGGGGCGGATCCTGAATTTGCTCCACGCCCGGTAAAAGGGGCAGGTGGTTGCGGTTCGTTTGCTGGTGTCGTGCCAAGCCCATCCAACCTCTGCAGTGGCAGAAGCGACCAGCCTTCAGGTATCATCACGCCAGGCGGGAGGTCAGCACTGCCTGAGGGGATTGCCGCCGTGTTTGGACGGACTCCGTGTCGTTGCATCATTTGAGGCACTGTTGTCGGAAACGGCGTGTTCTGTGTCGCCGGCCTTGTCACCAAGGGCGCCATTTGTGGCATTTGTGGCATTTGGAAATTTGCCGTTGATGCATCAAGCCCTCCATTGCGCAGAGCCCGAAGTCTTGCTAGCTCGATGTGCAACAACTGTACCAATTGGAGTTCTTGTTGTGTTAGTTGGAGAGTGCGAATTTCAGCCACGATTTGCTGTTCTATATGCTGGATCTGATCCTGTAACGTTGTCGCCGTTCCAGTCTGACTAGCTGCCCCGGGCGCTTGTGGCTGGGCCTGGACGCGCCGTGGAAACCCCAATTCCAATCCGTATACTCTTGCACCACCAGCTACAGCATTCGCCTGGTTCGGTTGAGGAGCGATGCCTTGAGCAAGATCCTCAAGATTGGCTTGGCCAAACCCAACTCTGAGGGGCCCAAAATTGAGCATTCTCATCCCACGTCCAGCGGGCCTGGCCGCAGCTGCGGGTGGTGGTGCTGGACCATCCTGCTGTCCCGCTGGTGGTGGAGCGCCCTGGACGGCTGGATTTGCATCGTTTCCCGGTCCCCGTGCTGGCTGAGCCTGTGGGTTATCTACAACAGGTGCTCTACAAGTAGGGCATACCTGCTGACGTTCCAACCAACTCTTGAGACAGCCCAGGTGGAGAATATGGCCACAGGGCAATTTCTTCGGCCTCGATCTTTCATTAACGCTGCTTGGGGCTCGTGTCGGAGGAGCAGCTCCTGGTTCTCGTGGTGCTGGGGGGGGTGTTTGGGGGTTTGTGACAGACCAAGGCCTCATCTCCTCGCGGCAGATGATGCATGTATCTTCCCTTTGGATATCTTCCACGGTGGCATCTTCATATCTCTTGTTCATATCTTGTGTTGCACGACGATAACGAAGGAATGCTGCCAGTCGTTTGGTGAATGAACGAGCCGTTAGGAATAGATCGCGGACGATATGAATTGGAAGACCGTAGAACATAAAGAGGATCACGAAGAACGTGACATATATGCCAAGTTTGATGAAATCTGGGGTTTTGTAAGCCATGACTCCTCTAAATCGAGACCGTGATACGAACCTGAAATTAGATCAAGGGTCAGGACCCATTGACCCTTTGCCTCCCAACCGGGAACCTCTATATCCATCTCATCCACGTCATCTTCTGAGGGAAGGGGCGTGTTCGATTGAGCCGCATCATTTTCTTCACCACTCGCTGCTGCTGCCTCTCTCTGCCTTATAGCCTCGGCCCGCTCCTCCCGGACCTCTCTCCGTCGCTCGGCAAGCCTTTCTTTCGTTTGCTTCTTGACGACATTGGTCTCGATCAAAGATATGCAATACCGGAACCACGTTGCAAAAGAGCAGGTGGTCAGGACGGCAAACTCGAAGAGGAACATGACCATCATATTCGGTCGTGCTTGCTGAATGACCGTGTTAATAGTATACTTCATCAAGAACAAGTCGTATATGATCGACATGGTAAGGGAAATGGTGAGTCGAATGTGGAATAGGCGTGGATTCGCAGGCGGCTGTTGTTCCAGAACTTCAACCCTTCCATCGCCAATCCACCCCCAGACTTTGCCTGTCAAAAGGCCAACAAACATAACCAGGAACCAAGCGCCAACTTCCTCCCTAAATATTGTCATAGCCAGGCAGGTTTCCGTGATCGCGAACCATGCTTTCTCGTATAGCTGTTCAATTTCGATAGGCCGGAGTGATCCGTAACAGAGCCGTTGGAGGCCATACATGAAGCTGCCGTAGATGAAGAGGATCAAGTTGATGAGTATCTACATGAGAGTCAGCTATGGCATCATCACCGTGAAGCACCTTGCCACCATACCATCAAGCACAAATTACTCTGTGATAAATAAACGCATGCCGAGTAGAAATTCGGTCGCTGATTGAAGGCAGAAACGACGACACCTGCTGCTAGGGCCGTAGAGACCTGAAAGCTGTCAGTAATCCGCCTCAGATGCTGGAAGCTCCGGAGCATAGCTTACCCCAGCGTACCAAGCAAGTCGACCCATCTTGCTTAAAGTTCTTTAGCTTGTATCCAAGCGGCAGATATCATTGCTAACTCTCTAGAGCTACGTGCCCATATTTTGAGTTGTTGTGTCGTTGGACTGCTGTTTGCCGGCGAAATTGCGCGTTGTTAACACGTTAGGATATATGTCGATTGAAGGGCTTGGCATTTAGCCACATAGATAACGCCACAGTATCAAACGCCACTCCGCCGCGGCATCGGCAATAACTTTACCGCCGGTTAGGAATATCTCCGGTTCTACTGATTTAATATATATATGTCAATTACTAGAGCGGGACCGGAAAGGGCCATTTTTAATAAGTGTTCATCTCTTGAACTGTTATTTCAACGTCAACCTGAAAGATGTCACTTAAAGCCCTTCCCTCGGTAATCACACCAGCATTATTGAATTCCATCCGGATGCAGCCCTCTCTTCCTCCCCATAGTTGGTATCTCATTTCGGCCACAGTGCTTACCATCCTTAATCGTCCCGATGAAATAGCCACTGTTTATAAACATGTCATGGAGTTTGGACCTTCCAACATAGACTCCATGCCCGGTTATGACGAGCGACTAAAAATCACCAGGCGGATGCGAGAAGCGTTGCTCAAGACAAGTGCTATTGGAGGCGTTCCTAAGGTGTGTTGACAACTCTCGCCTTAAATATATACCATCAAAAGCCTATGTCGTGAGTTGTGGCTGGACCACTGTTAGGAATGGGAATATTTGAGAAATGGACCCAAATCCATGACCAGTTAAACCCAATGACTCGGTTAACCGCCATCAATCAGGCAAATATGTTTAGTTTGGATGCCCAATCTAACATCTAACATGTCCAGGCAATCAACGCTATCCTCGTTCTGAAGGAAGTTACGCCAATAGAGTTGCAGGATGCGCCTAATAGCTTTTCTCCGACATCACGAAGGACGGATATTTACAACACTCCAACTACAGAAATACTTGAGCGTGGCCAGAGCTTCTTCAACAAGATATACGGCAAAATATCAAAAAGAGTTATAAGCCAATTGGACCAGTCAGGCACAGAAGATTTAGGATTGATTGCCCGGCTGATGTATTCTTACGTATTGTCGCCCTCCAACGTGTTAATACCTGTGGAAACTAGCTATATCATGATTGCTGGGCTGATACCTCAAGATGTGTGTTGCAGATCTTTTTTAGAATCCTCAAAATTCAGAAAACCCAACTGACCCTAGGGACCTTAGGTCAACCCGCAACTAAAGGGACATTTGAGAGGTGCATTGAACGGAGGTGCCACGGAGGAGGAAGTTAGAGCGGTAAGGGACATCTCGATACGTATGTGCGAAAGTTTAGGCATGGCGAAGCTCGGTAGTTCTATTCCTGCCGGCTGGGGATGGAGAGAGGAGGTTGCAAACGTATGAGTCAAAAGTAGATGGATGGTGGTAATGTACTGTACAACGTAACAATGCTCTAAGCATAAGAATGAATTCCTGCCTGCGAGCAGTTTCGTTGGTCGCTGTCTTGCTGACCACCATCTTATGCATTAAAGTCATGGCAGTGGTGTTTGAGCTTCCGCCTTAGGTCACAGCATACCTTACTTGTGGTGAATCGCTCTTTCCTCGTTGGTCAGCGAGCGATTGACAACCACCCCGACCGAAACCCTCACTTCGCACAAAACAATGTTTTGACCGCTACATGATATATATCACAGCATGAATAGGGTCGGAGGATGATGCCAAAAACAGAAGAGTCGACATTCGGACATCCCCGCCAATAGGAGATTCCGTACCACGTACTGTACGTACGGTACATGGTAAGCAGTGCTTCAACGGCTCTCGCAAACTAGAACAGGTCCGCCTTCATCTGGGCTAGACACTCTAGATTCCGGGTAAATCCTGACGGCATTATCCCACAAGGTCAGCCACAATACCCTATTGCGTCGTTATAGATAGGTGGGGCGATATGCTAATAATATGGATCATACGTAGTAGATGGGACAGAGCTACACCGTACGTATGCATGGCCGAGCATGAACTTGCCTCTTCATCCCCGGAGCGGTCTATCGATAGTGGCTAATGCCTCAAGCTATTGCAGAAATCTCGACCGGGGACTTTGAGAAAATCGATGCTTCCAGCCCGTTGATATCAAATTGCGCGTCGCTGTGGTCGTACTGCATACGAGTCCAGATTTTAAAGCCACAATTACTAGTACCACCTCTCGAAGAGAGCTGAGAAAGCTACTGTATACCATCCGCGAGGCAAGCGCCACAAAGGCTTTAGGAGCAGATACTGGCTGGCAACCACTTCTCGTATGATTCCAAGACATATGGAGTTCCTTCCATCGTTCTTCTGCTGCATCGCCGTGGGCGGTTGCACAGGCCAGTGAGTCCACATCCACAACCAATGTTAACCATGGTCCAGACTCCAAAGCCTCGGGCCCAGGCCCAGTGCCCGAATCCAAAGCCCAAACTCACCATCGCAATAATACGCCTTCAAAGAATAAACGGTGCCGCCCAACGGCAAATTCCATGGCTGTGCTCGAGGCTCGCCGAAAATCCACTACCATGTTCACGGGAACGGGTGGCACGCGCCGATAGGGTGAAGGGCATGCCTCATTTAGGGGATATATCAGAAACCGGCCAGTAATGGCCCTCCCACACACGGCCCCAAGCCGCCCATATCGCCTAATAGATGCTTCTGAGAGGATAATGGGTTTACTCCGTACGAATTTCCGTGTGGTTTGAGGCTCGCGGATTCGCATCAGATATACCCAGACTCCTAGAATGAGTCGGGGTAGGTATGCAGCACGACTGGGGCCCCCAGCAATGTTAACAAGCAAAGAAAATCCGTAAAGATATAGGTGGCGCGGCTGGATTATGGCCCGAAACCTATCCGTCCAAAGTATAACAGGGTTACGTCGATGATCGAAATTTCAATACAGCTCGTACAGGCTTATTATTATTACTTTGCCGTAGTACAAAGTACGATATTTCGTTAGAAATACTGAAGATCCTCAGGACCAGCATGTGGCCTATCTGTCCCGGTCCGCGGCTCTGTCCATATTAAGGAGTGATCGGCTAGTCTATAAGATATTTAAACAAGCATGGGAGCACTTCGTAGGTAAGCAACTAATAGCCATTCTTGGTGTCGCTTTGAGGACTGAGATTCTGTAGCATTATGGAATACCGAGGTATAGACACCACTCAGTTGGCTGCGGACGCACCGCACTTACGGACGCATGGCCCGTCAGGAGTTCGTCCGTCTAGTCCGTCCAGTCCGCCTAACCCGCCTCCATCCGGCCCCGGCGCCAAGTGGTGGTCTGCAAAGCACCTTCTCCGTAGGTACACCACTAGACTTCAAGTTGCCCTGTGACCTGTGGATCCTCAGGTAGTCGCCGACCTCAACCAACCCTTGTCGGTTCTAGCAGCATCATCTGCCAGATTCATCACAACGCAGCATCTGTGTACTGTACAGTACATACCACAAAGTATTGGGTCGAGTTGCACGGAATGATCGCATGTCTTGACTTCGGCTCCTTCACGCTAACTCAACATCAATTAATACCCCCCCGGCATGCGTTATTGTTATTGGATGCGGCCGGCTCCTTCTCCTTGGCTGCTGAATACCGCGCTTTTCCTAGCGACAATAGTGCCCTATTCAGCAAACATTCACACCAAGTTATCAACTCATACTCTCTGCCTATTCGCGAGATGAAATGGTGGGCACCGATACCGTGACCTACCTCGTACAGTGCGAGCTATTATTAAAAACAAATATTGTTCGATTTTAAGAGACCCACCATGGAGTGACCTAAAGAATCGGACTTTGCTCTCGCATTGCGGATACGGGATGATCCTGATAAGTTGTTTGTTTAAAATCCGTTCTTTGTTAAATATTAGCGGCGAAAGCGACCGAGAAGATGCCTTCGGCATAGGGACAAGTTCTTCAGTTTCCCCTTACCCTGCTCGTCAGAATATTGCACACCTTCATCCATCACATTATTGTTGCACGAGACCGAGGGAAAGAGCCTCAAATGGTTGCGTCCAAAAATAACCCCCCTGAGGATTTCGAGATTGCGACACGAGGCAACAGGGCCATCCGTGAATTCCGCACCCAAGCATCCATCGCAAGGGTCAAGATCCGGTTTGATGGGACAGCAAACCCCTCACTGTTTGTGCTCTGTACGGGGTTAAACAAAGGATTGAGTTACGGAGTGTCCAAGGCTTAAGCACACTGCAGCTAGTGGTGTTCCTGCCATGAGGAGAATGCTGTAACAGAACGAAGTAACCCCCGTCACTATCATGCCACGCTTGTAAAGGGTGGGAGGCGGATTGGGGTAGGGGGACGGAAAGCGACCCCTTCGACTACTATGCCCAGATTAGTACTGGTCTGTATAGAATTTTGGCCCCCAAAGCTGCAGTGACTCCCGAGTTCCCTTATCATTCTATTCTGCCTGTGGACACCACATCGATCCTTATGGTTAAGGTTAGTGATCCCTCATCCCTCTGATCCTATTCTTATCCGGTCGATTCACTATCCACCGCTGTTGGTCTCATATCGAACAGTTCCTTCCTAAGTCAGGTCATGCAAGAGCCATTCCATGTTACAGTACAGGAAAATCCAATTATTGATACTTCACCGCAATAGAGTACTTCGTAGCTTCTAGCGTCCGGGAAGGATCACAGGAAGAGATACTGACTAGGTATTGAGTGTATTTTCGGACACGGGCGAATCTTTTTTGAAACTTAGTTTGGATGAATGGTGCGGAGTAATTCGTGGGCATCGTGAAAATAGTTGCTGGCCAGCCACAACCGAGAGCGCATCGCATCGTCGCATCACCGTCCTGTGTCAGGCTCTCAGATGCGAAGGAATCCCACCAGTCGATCAACCACGTCCCGCACAGACGAAGTACAGGAGTAGTATCATTGGAAAAATTCTTTTCAATTTTGCGGAACCGGCATGTATCAAAAGTCTTCCGCTCGAGGGAGGTTCGATAGCACGGGTTACTTACTGGCTAGGGCTGGCGCCGCCCGTGCGGGCGTGAGATTAATCTCCCATACGCCCCTCGTGTTTGGTACCGGCAGTCAATACCGCGTTTTTCGATGAGACATCAGTCCAATTATCAAAAATTCAGTGGCCAGGGTGGATAGAGACAGTACCAGCACCATGAGGATATCGAGATTGAAACGTTGCAGTTTCGCTGGCCGCTTATATCACTCGCGTTATTATTATCACTTCCAGGTAGCGGCCAGCAGGTATCACACGGGGTACCAATGGAAAACCGTTAGATATCTAGCACGACGGTGACGGTCATATTTATGTATCGTATCGGTGCCAGCGCGACTGATTGACTCGCGGAAAAATGACATGCAGACTGCAGTCATCATTGCCTTTAAAATTTTCAACGTCGAAGCCTCTGCCCTACGAGACGTAGCGCCTTGCAATTGGTGGGTGTACGATATTCATGGTTTCACCACAAGTGGCGGTGACCTGGATATCCTGCAAATTGTCGGTTGAGCACCCAGGCGGCGAGACCGAGGCTCTCGACACAGCCATTGGCTCGCGAAGTCCAGTTGGTGATTTCCACCCTAAGCCCTACCATCGCCAGGGCGCAGAGCCACGAGGCGTCCATGATCGTTGCCTTGAGGCTGTGCAAAGAGTGCTACGTGAACTTGTTCAATAATTGAGTTACTAATAGAGTCGTTGATATGATATCACTTCTGGAGTCATGCGACTGACTCTGGAGAGTACGATGGAGTTAAAAGTAAGTACCTACCCACCTAGGTAACTAGGTACCTAGCAGGCAGGCAGAACAAGGGTTCCCAAGTTAATTTGGGTTTCTTTTCTGGTCGCGACACTCTCCAGTACGAAAAGGGGCATCTCTACTCCGTATGGTGACAAGAGTCTGTTTGGTGGATTTTACGAGCAGTCATTTCGAAAGAGCCGCATGCCATGTGCTAGCCACTATCCGGCCCTCAACCATCCGCCAGTGCACCATGGACTCAAGGAGACCGACGATGAAGAGGCCGCGGCAAGTCGGCGCGGTGGGGCGAGAGCAAAGATCCAAAGCCACCCACCGATCGCAATCTCGCGGGGAGGCTTGAGGGCTTGAATCGGCAGGGCAGCAGGACAGTCCGAGAATAGCAGCCACTGCAACGGCTCCCTGCTTGAGGTACCACGTAGGCGACCGGCCATTAAGATTTAGTCGACAGGAGGCCTCCATCCAACCACTGTGTATAAGCTTCTGACGCCAAGCCCAGGCAGAGTAATATTGGGTCGAGCTCTGGTGTCCAATTGCGGATGCTCTCCTGACCATAAGGCTGAAGCGAAAGGATTTCATCTCCGATACCATGCATTGGCCAGAGCGATGCGTTTTCCGCGTGGCCGAGAGGGAGGCAGGATGAACAGAGCATACAAACAAAGCACATTGTTGCAACCCCCCCATTTACCCCGGCGGGTTGAAGTGGTGCCATGCTGCGAGGCATTCCATGCTGCCATGCTTCTCTGCTGCGATGCTGCCACATTGCCATGCCTTGGTGCAACCACTGCGAGAGCAGAAACAGCCTAGAGAGACTCCTGCATCATACAGCGCTTTGCAGGCGGCAACATAGATTGCTTCATCCAATGTTCCTCGGTTGTCGGACTTTGGCGGTTCAGGATGCGCCAGACGTGGGCCAAGGGCAGGAACTTGGAAGGCATCATGGAGTCTGCCTTGCCAAACAGAGCAACTCTGGATAGTGCGAACTACTACGTAGTGCTAGCCCGGCAGACGGAGCATGTTTTGGCCCGGATGGGTGGGTGCTGCCGTGCCCGTGGTGCCCTGGCCTCCCGTTCCTTTTTCGATAGGGGTCGAAACCGAAACATATGTGACGGGGGGCCATTGGGCAAGGGGGGACAGACCGCGTGCGAGTCGGTATGACGCGGGGATTGGCAAATGTGCTGGAGAGGAGAGGAGCGAGGATTGTTACCCTCGGTTTGGTGTGGGTGGGTTCTGGATAGAGCATAAGGGGAACATGGAGCATGGAGCATGGAGCAGAGGGCATAGAGGACCCCGTATTCCGTGCCAATCCGAAGATGCTTGCTGGGCACACGATATCTGGAGTGCCCCACCCCGAGATAGGGTGGGATAGGGTTGACGGTTGATGGAGAACCCATCTGGTGGTGGTGGTGGTGATGGTGATGGTGATGGTGATGGAGACGGTGACGTTGATGATGATGATGACCTCTGCTCAAGAGGCACAGCCTCGTTCCGCAGTCCTGCAGCGCGGAAATCCGACGAGACTGTTGGTCTTCCATTTGCCGACCACCACGGACCCGGGTATGGACTCTGTAGTAGATGCACCACCTAGACTAGTGCTGTGGGGGGAACTGAGCACGGCTATTTTGGGACTTCACGCCAGCGATTAGTGATTATTGAAGGAGTATTCCGGACGCGTACGAAATAATAATACTACGCGTTAGGGGAATAATAGTCCCATAGGGGAGGGGGAGGGAGAGCGGCGTAGGGGAGGCCTGGCGAAGATGGGCGCCGGGGGTGCTGGTCGCAGCCTGTGGCTCGCGCGTATTGGCTGCCGGGCAGTCTCGTACACCAGCCAATGATTCCGACAGGGGCCGCTCGCTGCTTAGCCACACCTCCCTCCCCCCCGGCGCGGTTCCTCGCCCACGATCCCCAGTGGCTCTGTTTCCTCTGCACGCTGGTGATGCTCCGTATTACTCCCAAGTAAAGTACGAAGTCAGTCCTTGAACATGTACAGTACCAAGCAAAGTGTGGAGAGCACGTCTCTGCACCGCGGATCCACCACCATCCGCCAGGCTCCCATACGAGATCGGCAGAGGGCGCCAGATCACCGACAATCAATGACGGATAGGGGCCGCATCAAGTCTTTGACTCAAGCCATCATCGTCGATGTGAACATGTGCTGTCCTCTGTACTGCACGTTGCCCGCCCTCAGCCATCATCCCCAGATTCCAGATACCAGAATTCTAGGCCCCCAAAGATACGCCAAAGATACGCGGCGACCCGACGCGCCAGGCCAGATCAGAAAACCCCGCGCTACTGGAGCAGCAGTGGAAAGGCACAGGAACTCTAATCCGTCCAAAGGGCGATGGGCGATGGGCGATGGACCAGACGAGACTGCGAAATGCATTCCCTCGATACTCCGGACTGGCGTACTGGTACCTTAATCGTCGCTTTGGTGCTAGTGCCCAACCTCGAGCCACCACGGATTGTCTCAGAAAGGCACACGGAAGCGAAAATAACAGGGCCCGCGAACTCTAAAGCTCCCCCGGCCAGCGAGTGGGATCGCCTGTTGGTCAATTACGGCAATGGGATCTGCAAATCCTCGCCAGATGAGGCTTTCACACGGGGCGAATCCGCCTTTCCTGGCGATGGCGCCTGCGCGACCTTTCGGAGGGCTTTCTGCCCTGTGTGACGGACAGGCACGATGTGCAATGTGCAATTTGGAGTATTACGAAGTACTTACGAAAGTACACTACGGAGGATGGAGGGAGTGCTACGTACTATAACCCACTTCGTGCTAGGACGAAGTTTATGTTGCATGTTACGAGACGTAATTCCACGAACCTGGAAATGCGGGAGGACAGAAGATATCAGACCACGTTGTTCCCGTGAGAGGCTATGAAGTACCCGGCCGGTTGTGGGGGGGGGGGAATGAAGGCAGCACCAACCGCCAGGACTTCGGCGATGTGGTTGGCACGAACTACGAGGCTCTGTTCCCTTTCCGATCTGGCTGGTGTTGACCCTCTCCTGGCCCTCTCCTATCCGCCAGCGATGTGCTGTACAGTGCTTTTGTCTCTGACCGACTCGACCGGGCATCGCGACATCAGACTGGCCCTCGCCATGCAGGCGGTCCCTGCCACAGATCCCTGGGAAAATTGCAGCCGGCGTGTCCCAACCAAGCAAGTCTGTGATGGGCATCCCAAGCGGGTAAGGCTGTGCTCCTTGGTGCCTGTCCGCCATGCACCGACACTCCAGTCCTGGACGAAGGGGTACGGTGAGCGATGCCGTAGGGGAGGGAGAGAGAGTCTACGGAGTGAGACCAGTGACGGAGAGAGCAGAAGTGGCGGTGGCAGCACCCAAATAATACTGGCATTCAGTAGTGGTAGCACAGGACTGGAACTGGAGCAATAATGATCACAGTATCACACATCGGGGCAGTGGAGACGCCATCAAGCCACAGCAACTCTCTCTCTGAGCTGGCGGATACCATTTTGGGCAGAGGGCCAAAGTATGATTATTGGTCACGAAAAGGAAGTCCAGAACGGACAGACCGGAGAGCACCGCAGCAGAAGCAACCAGCGGCGAGCAGAGCCACCACCCCCCCCAAGCCGGTTAGCCTTGGGTGCCCAAACTAGATGGGAGTTATGTGACGATAGAAGAGGGCATCAGGGAAAAGCACGCATACTGTACAACAGAGTATTCCAGACAGACTATCCTATCCCATTCGCAAAGGCTCTCGCTCCCTACACCGACCGCCACCACCTCCCTCACCCTCACCCTCGCAGCCTAGTTACCGTATTACTGCTCCCCTATTATTATTCCCTACTCCCTACTCCCTACAGCTTACTCCCTACTGCCCAGCTCCCCTACATCCATGCCTCCGCCTGTGCCTCTGCCCCTGTCCCCCACTACGCCATCCCCTGTGGCCATCCTCCCCCAGCACCCAGAACCCAGCACCAGCACCATGCCGGCCCTGCCCTGCTCTGCCCTGCCCTGCCCGGTGCACGAGCTGCGCATTTTCTTGGGTTCTTCCCTACGCTCTGGCTCCTTTTAACTCTCGCCAGCCTCCAGCCTCCAGCAGCTCGCGGGTCCAATATTATTTTATAATCCCAGCCAGTGCCCCCAAATCCAGATACCCTTCCCATCCTCGCTCGATCTTTACCCAGGCTTATTGAAGCCTTCCAGATCTGCACCTTGGCAACAACAAGGTATCGGCCACCCGTCCCTTAGTCTGACCGCATTGCACCTAATCTTACTCCGTCGACCCAACCCAACCTTAACTTTTTCCCGATCAACATCTCACCGTCCGTCTTATATATGCCCGCCCGCTCTGTGTTTTGATTTCCTGTCTCAGATCATAACGGTCAACCTTCAACAACACCTGAGCCAACCAAAGCACCAAGCTTCTAGCATCCGGTGTTTAGTACTAACAACGTCGACGACCCCAACCCTCCCTTGATATAAGTCGACCCAACCCACTATCACCAAGTCCCGGCAGGCGTCCCTCAGCACTCCTCTCCCGTCCTGGAGCTCCTTAAACTACAAAGGTACGCCAACCAAACACCAAGAGCAAATTTGATTTAGAATGCTGTCTAACACGTGCATCTAGTCGGCGATAGTGGCTTCTATCCAGACAACCACAAGCTATCACCGCCTTTTAAACCCGCAGACATGGTTTCACTCGCAAAACCCGCTTACAACATGATGAACCACATGGAAAACGAGGAGCCCGATTTCGCGTTATATCCCGACCCGCAAAACATGTTCTCCCCTCAATCCTTCCAATTCGGCGTCCAGAATTTCAACCTCGAGAACAATTCCTCATACCCATACCCACGGCCCCAGGAAGTGTTCTCAGGCAACGCGGACTTTAACGGCGCGATGTACACGACTGAGGCGCCCCAATATGGCCTCGAATCTCCCGAGCTCAGAGGAGCTCCATCCAACTATTCTACTGCCTCCGGGCCCTCGGCCACCTCCTCTGCAGCAGCCTCACCACACTCTATCCACGGGCATATCGCTCCCGGTCCAGAATGGGGTCCACTTGGTCTCGGATTCAGTCCATCGATCGTGGGATATGATGGTTATACTCATGGCAACGAGTACACCGTCGCTCATTCAGGTATGGAAGACTTCGATTCGAGCTTGAACCTCGTCAAACCAAACGGTTTCGTTGGTGAGTGTCAAGATATCTCTAGCTCTGTTTCCTGTCAGCCGGGTTCGGCCGCGTCAAATCCCATGCCTTCTTCCTCCATGTCTACTTCTGCTCCATCTCCAAGATCCGCGGATTCAACCGTCACTTTAAAACCAGAGGCTTCGCGCATCAGTGCCACAAGCAGCAGTTTCAATGATAATTGTTTTTCATCTCCTGTTTCTGTGGCCCCAACATCTTCTACTTTTCGGCGGCCTTCTCGGCCATTTGCTACCTCTCGTGTCTCCATTTCGAGTTCTGCTGGCCAGCCTCAAGATCCCCGATCACCTGCTGCTTCTACCATATCACCGACATCGCCTCAATTGTTCCCAACTGGCCATCAATCTCTTTTCTTTTCTCAATCTAGTGGAAATTTTGTACCTCCGCTTGAACCATCTTGTTCGTTTCCTCTGCCGATCTTGCCTGTTACGTCTTATCTTGCAAATTCGACTATGAAGAGCAACTGGCTAATGTTTCACTCCTCAGACCCATCCATCCTCCACCCGCAATACACCGCTCGTCCGACATCCGTGGCACAGTCTCATGACGCCTACCAACCACCAACCTATCCCGCCTCTCCTTCTCTATCGCATATGTCACGGAGTCCGAGACCCATCAAACAAGGCAGCCAATCTCCCTATTTGAACGCTCCTTACGGATATCCATATCCTCCACCCCGCCGGCCATCCTTGGTATCACACCCATCCTGCAGCAGCCCGGATAGCAGCGAGGAGTCGAAGGTCAAGGGTCGCTGCACGTACCCCGACTGTGGAAGAATATTCAAGGACCTCAAGGCTCACATGTTGACCCATCAAAATGAACGGCCCGAAAAGTGTCCGATCCAAACTTGCGATTACCATATCAAAGGTTTCGCGAGAAAATACGATAAGAACCGTCACACATTGACCCACTACAAAGGAACGATGGTGTGCGGTTTCTGCCCCGGGTCAGGCTCTGCTGCAGAGAAGTCTTTTAATCGCGCGGATGTGTTCAAACGACATCTTACTTCGGTCCACGCTGTTGAGCAGACACCTCCCAACAGTCGCAAGAAGACTTCAAGCAGCATCAACAACGGCAAGAAGCTCTCCGGATATGCGCCCGATGCTACCGGCAAGTGCTCCACTTGCTCAGCGACATTTGGCAACGCGCAAGATTTCTACGAGCATCTTGATGATTGTGTCCTCCGAATTGTGCAACAGGAAGAGCCATCGGAGGCCGTCAACGCCGCTCGGCTCGCCGAGGTTGAGCAAGACCCAGAGGTGCATGAAACACTCCGCAACAACCAACTGCCGGCGACCACCACCAATGTTTACTCGGCAGATGAGGAGGATGATGACGATTACGAGGATGAGAATGATGACGACTTTACTCTGCGATCGAAGGCTTCTCGCAAAGGACGGGTAAACCGAAATCCCGTCAACGGTGTGCAAAAGTCGCGGGGCCTCACACACTCTAAAGGAGGCGTGACCCTGAACACTAAAGGCCGGAAAAAGCGCAAGGACTACCCATCATCCTGGGGATGCCCATCTTCACAGATGAAGCTGAAGAAGCGCGTCCTGTGTGTTTTCGACGGCCCTCGTCGTCTCTGGAAAGATGACATGATGCTCGGCACGGACTACGAGGTCCGCATGAAGCTCAACAACGAGAAGGCCTACGTCACGGACCTGGATGTCCAAACCATGCGACGTGCGGAAGCCTTCCACAACTCCACGGAACAAGAGAAGGGTCCGTGGATCGCCGACGATCTCACTGGTATGGATCTGGAGAAGCTGATGGAGGTTAAGCAGGAGCTATAAGCCCAGCACACCCCACTCAACGTCGGCGCTTATGAGATATGTTTTATGAAGATACCTTTCTTGCTCGCATTTATTCTGGATATATGATTTTGGCAATCGTGTTTTATTTTTCTAGGCGCAGCGGATATTGGGCTAAGGAAAGATACCACCAAGATAAAAAAAGCATCTTTGGTTTCGCATTCAAATATGGGGCATGCATGCATCAGACGTATGGGGTCACATAGGGCGGAGGACGTTCCCGAGCGTTCTGCTTTTTATGTTTTTTGTTATATTTCCTCTCTCGTGTTCGATCTATCATGACGGCTTGATTGAGTTTTCGGCTGCTGGCCGGTCGTTCCGTATCAGAGACTTTAGCTCTGCATTGGGTGGGCACATCTGTATGTGGTATTAGTAAATATAATTATCAAAGAAATGAGATATGTCTCTTGAAAATCTTCAACGTCTTCACTCTGCCTCGGTGAAAGAAAATTGGCGTTAGCACCCGAGACCGGACTCAGGAACAGGGTCCTATTTATTTTGGCGGTGAATCGGTAAATCTCCGGCATCATTTAATCTCCAGTACAATACTGCCGTTCTCTGCCCCACTACGGAGGAGGCGCGTGTGACATTTCTGCAACAACAAGAAAAACATCGACATGGAATAGCGACACCAAAAAGCTTGACTCATCTTGGCATCGTCAACGCAACCAATATACATCAATCTTATCGATTAAATATCGCTCTCACGATGTTAACAGACAAAATCCACGTCCCGCAAACCGGCGACTCCCCAACACCGGAAGATATTCTCTCGTCCTCGCTCGGCGTAATCTTCCCAGACGACATAACAAATCAACACGGCGATCACCTCACCCCGATAAATTATGCGTCGCCAGCCTTCGGTCCGCTGACGCTCACGCTCGCTGATCCGCAGGGCGGCGAGCATCGGCGGCTTTTCAGCCACTTCTTATGGAACTCCTCGGTGCTGCTGGCGGAGTTGATGGAGGAAGGGAATGCAGACGAATGGGGGCTACGGGGTGAGGATGTTCTTGAGGTTGGAGCTGGAACGGGGTTATCTGGGATTATGGCCTGTCTGATGGGCGCGACTAGGTGCGTGGTGAGCGATTACCCTGCGCCGGAGGTGTTGGAGAACATTAGGGTGAATGTCAGGAGGAATATACTGGAGCGGGAAGCAAACAAGGACGTGGTCGTGGGGGATATCTGTGTGCAGGGCCATGAATGGGGCGTACTTGATGAGAGTGCTGGCGCGCTGGATGGGGGATTTGCGAAGAGGGAGAAGGGTACCTTTGGGAGGATACTGGTTGCGGATTGTTTGTGGATGCCGTGGCAGCATGAGAATTTGCGGAGGAGTATTGCGTGGTTTTTAAAGGGTGCGGAGGGGAGGGCGTGGGTGGTTGCGGGATTTCATACTGGGAGGGAGAAGATGAGGGGGTTTTTCGAGGAGGAGGCGTTGAGGAAGGACGGGTTGGAGACGGTGAGGATATGGGAGAGAAATGCGGAGGGGGAGGAGAGGGAATGGGTTCCTGATAGGGGGCATGAGGATGTGACGACTAGGAAAAGGTGGTTAGTTGTTGCGGTTTTGAAGAAGTGCAGCGGGTGAAATCAGTTAAAGTAATGAGATATGAGTACGAGAGGAACAGTAGAGGTTTATAGGACAGATGGATTGGAGCTCGGGATTGGTCGAGAAGTATTACTTCATCGCCAAAACTCTAAAGGGGGGGGATCTATTTTATCCTCTCGATCCCCTTTCATAAACTAACGTTAGTGAAAGGGATATAGCGAACAGCTGTAGAAATATGGCATAACCATAGCTAAAGCCACAGGAACCTGATAACAGTGGGACTTCTAGAGTAGAAGAGCAGCGCTTGTCAGGTTACCTCCGATGCTAAGATTCATCATCGTCGAGCTCCACGATAATCTTGACCTGTCCATCCATCCATTCCTGCCCCTTGACCAAATCGACGAGCTCTACCCAACTCTCTTCGTCTTCAACGTCAACTTGTCCATCAGGACCTAGAGCCTTGATAGTGTTCGGAATCAGCTTCCCATCATCTAACAGGTTGTAGATGTGTTGAACAAAACTGGGAAATCCTGGGCACGTGGCAGGAGTCAAAGTCACCTTCGGTTTGATTCGGCGGTTATCCTTTAGTATGTTGATTTGATACGTGATGGAGGCCTCTTTATCTGTTGAAGACGGCAAACCTTCAGGCTCTACACTATTTTGAGATGAAGCTTGGGCTTGCGTAGCATCCGTCGAGAATCGTGCGTCAGGATTGTAATGATATTGATTGAGCTTTGGATCGATATCGGAATACGGAGATGGGGAACAAGACCGAGTAGGCTGTCCATTTGATTGAGGGTTTTCGGATGGGATCTTTGCCGGAGATTTGCGCTTGGATTTCCGGGTTGAAATGGCGTACTGCCGTTGTCTCTCATTCGTCACCATACGGCGTAAAAGGGGTGTGACGAGCGAGATGATTCTAGTCATAGTCAGTACATGATACATCTAGAATTTCTTGCCCTGTAAAGACTAAGCGCCAATTCAGAACTTAAGATAGATCTCAGTTACTTGAGAAATATGGATTTCTTCCGAGTGGTTTGGCAGAGCCACAGGTGCCTAAGATGTAAATGGGAAAACCTGGGGAATATTCCGTAGCCACATAGCGACAATGCATCATCGGCAGTGAAAATAGTTACTTACTTATTCTTCATTTGAGGCCATTTTAACTTTCTCTCTTTTGCACCAACGGAATTCGGTCCGAAGCAGCGTTCGCCCCATCCTTCATCTTCCAGAAACGCTTCGACGCAGCCAAAAAGGTTTAGTTTAACCATATCCGTATCGCCTTTTGACTTGCTTCCAACGCATTCACTTCGTTCAGGGTACTTCTCGTCCAACATATATGCTTTGGCGGCGGCTTGCAAGTGAAGGAACTGCTCGGGGCCTATATGGAGGGAAGTAAATAGTTTCGACATTGGCGGGCCTATAAAATAGTTAGCTACGAAAGATGCCACAGTGATAGGGAACTTACGCGTATATTTCTTAGAAGCTGCAGATGGCCGTCGGAATAGCGCAGCTGCAGAATGAACCCCCAACGCCCTGGCATCTGCCGTAGCAGATGCTGGACGTTCATATCTGGGCGCCGTTGACTCATCTTCATCTTCATCATCATCCTCGTCGCCAATATCGTCAGGGCCCCATATATCGCGCTCGTTTTCCAATTCCCGCTCGGTAGCCTCACGTTCTAGAGTTTTTTGCCGCTTAGTGGGTAGGAGAAAACCAAGCGTTCGAGAAGGCTGAGCTTCAGCCCGCTTACGCTTCCCGGTGGTCTGCGTAGGCGGAGGAAATGTTCGTTTAAAGAAGGTAGAGGCATCGTCCTTCGGTGATTTTGGCCTTTGGTTACTGTCTTGCCGCGCTGCCTCCTGGCCTCCAGCAGTTGCAGCAGCTTGTAAAAGACTCGCAAAGTGATCGTTCGAAACGGGTGGGGTCAAATGGTCAACATTCGACGATCCTTGATCAAAATTTGCAAGGCTCTCAAGTAACGCGATTGAGTCTTCCATGTTTTCAAAGCCGTTCGAGTGGCCTGCAGTGGCGTAAGCATTGAGAGATGCCATATACTCAACCAAGCTAGAAGAAGCTTCACCATTTGCGTGTTCAGGTCCAGGTCCATTGGACCCAGCATCGCCGTAGCCATGGAAGGCAAGATCTCGTAGGAGCTCTGCTTGATCTGATGGAAAATCAGAGGGGTGAGGAGTGGAGGAAGAGGAGGAATCGTAGCTGAGGTTAGCCATGATGCTGCTTTCGGACTTAGGTTCGCGCGGTGAAAGTGAGTGCAAACCTCGCAAACATCTTTTTCTTGACCGCCCTGTGAGGCATGGGTGCCTTGTAAGGCGTTGCAGCTCACCGGCGGCGGGCAGGTAGGTGCGCATATCGACCGGGGTGGGGTGAGGTTATCACAACATCCGTCATCCGGCAAGCACTGCGTAAGCTCGAGGTACAGAACGATCCGCAAACAAACTACAACTACCCGGACAGCAACATTATTATATCCTTCGATTACACATTCGACCTTCCGGTGCTATGGGATATTCGAAATACTTACATTCGTTATGAGCGGGTCACCATCGTCCGTCGGCTCAGAGGCTTTCTCTGTCGTCGCATTGCTGGTGATATCTCTAGTGGTCCTCCTGATCCTCCGCTATTATCTTCCATTGCGCACGACACCAGCATACCTTACGGTGCCGATCTTCTTTGCCCTCGGCATACCAGCGAGTATTATACTCCTTGTGCCTATAGATCTTGCGTCTAGTTCTAGGGATCCCGATACTGGGAGCAGGGGCATATGGTTACCTGATCGGGTTCTGCTGGTATCATGGCGCATAAGCTATTGGCTTACGTTCGGGCTAACTTGGTACAATTCCCTTCGGCACCTTCAATGGTGTAATGAAATAGAATGCTAACTTATGTGCAGGTTTATCCTTCCCATACTCGAAGAATATGCCGATGCCGGATACCGAGATCCTAGGGGCCGGCTCCTCTATTCCCTCCGCGCCAATGCCCAGTATCAGGCCCTCATATTCGGGGCCGGCTTTCTCGGGATGATATACTTCTTTATATCTTATGGTGCATCGCCTACTTCCCTGAAAGGCTTGGTCATGGCTCTAGCGTATTGTTGGGGATTGGTGTTAGCCATATACTTGATGGGCCATGGCCTTGTCGCGATACCTCGAAGCTTGTTCCGGAATGCGAGTATCAGTGGAAGATTAAAACGAATTCAAGCCAAGGCAGCAAAAGTTCACGAGAAGATGGAAGATGCAATTCAAGCCCCGGAAGACTTGGAGGCGCAAGTTGCAGAACTGTCGCATAGAAAGACTGGGTCTGCAAATGACTTTAGGGATTGGATTGAGGAGCTCGCTGAGGATTCCCACCTTCCAGAGTCGCGGCCCCGTACTTTGACTCGGCGACTGTCTGCTCCAGTGATCAACGTGCCAAACGTTGTCACGGAAAGATATTTGGCGGATCTCAGCCGACAACTTGACCGAGCTCGGCATAGCCGGGCACGATATCTTGATGAATGGGACCGTATATTACAGGCCTCCACGGACACCCAGGCTATCTTGGACTCCGCTGCTTCGAAACGCATCGAAATTGGTGAGGTATCACCGCACTCTTCGGTCTTCGACCGGTTCACCATCTTGACGCCATATACTCGTTACCTCTACAAATACTACCTTGTGCCTTATATGCAGATATTCTTCGGAGTCTTTTTCTCATTGGCCTCTTTCTGCATTATCTGGTCCGAGGTCATCAAATCTATCAACCCTTTTTTCTCCATAATCGCGGTCACGGTAGCCCACCACCAAGAAAGCGAGCGGGGCCAGATTGGTTTTGCCGGCCAAGTTATTACTTCATGTTGGATACTGTACATGTGTGCCGCGGCCCTCACGTCCCTTACTGAAGTCAAGGTGTGGCGAGGTCGTGCACTTGTAAGGCGCAATACACACGGTGAGAGCGCAATGTGGTATGCCATGCAAGTTGCGAAGCTCTCTGTGCCTTTGTCTTTCAACTTTATGACATTCCTTTTGCCTGAGATCTACACCAAGACGGTTTTCTTCGAATTTCTTGGGAAGTATATCACACTAACCCGTATCGGGACATGGTTCGATTGGCTGTTTCCAACCTTTATATTGATCCCGGTATGTGCCACACTTTTCAATCTCTATGGGAAAGTGAAGAATTGTGTTGGGTTCGGAGGTGTAATAGATGACGAGGATGAGGAGAATGAAAGCGGCTATGGGACTGGTTCCTGGCGTGAAGGCAGAGATTTGATAGAACGAGAGCTACAGGGTCATTCTTCACTGGGCCGTCTTGGACACGGCGCTGCAGACCGACGTTCGCACGTTCCGAATAATCCGAATAATAGGACTGCGCCTACTGTCTCTGTTCCACCAGCCGAGAGACAGCGTGCGTTGGGTCAGCCATCGGCATCAAGGCCAGGACGCGATTCCCAACGTCCACCCGCGGAGCCCGAAGACGAGAACTTCTTTGAAGCCTTCGGTCACCGGGTAAGGAATACCTTTGAAACTGTACAGACGCCGAATTGGCTTCAGAACGTTGGAGATGGATTCAAGCGGCCCAAATGGATGGGCGGCGATGGTGACGGTGCATCCGAACCCAGGCAGAGCGAGAGTAACATTACGCGTTGGTTTGGAAGACAGGAAGGACGAGTTAGGTTATAAGGGGGAGTATTTCTTTTAACAGCACAGCGGAAGGAGTTTATCGTCATAACTTTGGTTGTACCGAGTATATAAGGGTGGGATAGTTTGGATAGTTCAAATGAAAGAAGCGTTAATTTTGACTGCAAATTGGAGATTACACGGCCAACCCGTCTTTATGCAGAAACTACCCCGGCTCGTAACTCGACTAGTTATCCCCAACCAAATGCCAACATCGCCAAAACGATATCAATTGATTCAATGCTGAAGGCCGCAACCCGCGTGTGGACCAGTTCCTGACACTCCGGATATTCAAATGTCTCAATTCCTTACGGAACAATTGTTTTTTGCAGATCATATCTTACCCCGTACATGCTACCAATAACAAACCCTGTCAACATGCAAGCCGCGCAGCTTTAGCACACCAGGAAAACGCATATTTGGGGTGGCTGGTGATGGCGATAGCGATCGAGATTCCAGACCGAGTTGCGGACGTATTCGAGTAGTACCTACTGTACGTAGTACGTCCGGATAGCTCTCTAGTGCTCACTTCGCAACAAGGTTGCATATGCGAGGCGGCGCCGACATAAAAGTTGCGGCTCCTTCTTCCTTTCCCCTCACTATTGGGTTATTTTTGCGCCATGAGCGTGCCATATCAATTTGTGTAGCTTTTGCGATCATTTTCTAGGTTGGTTCAATTGCATTACAGCAGCATCCGTTAAGTTGAGAGGTCTGTCGGTGGGGAGCCATGGACGATTATCTGTTTACGGCAAATGTCGATCGCTGTAAAAATGTGCAGGAGGCGACGACGTATCTTGAGATCTTCTCATATTCGGTGAGTAGGGTTATGGGGATTGTTATGGTGGAAAGCAGGCTAATTGAATCGTTTAGGATTCGCAATATAATTCTGTTGAGGAGCATCCATTGACAGCGGACGAGTTCGATAATTATCTGCATCGAAGGGTAACTATTGTCTCACAATGGATATACCTTTGTCTAGAGATGCTAATGCAGTTCTCATAGGGAGCTTTCGCCCCTCCAACGCTACCGCAAGGAGTCACCCAAATAGCGGGCTTACGATTGATGTTCGTAAGACGAAATTTTGAGGTTTGAGGAAGTAGCTGACTGGCTCATTCTCTTCCAGCCTCCAGAAAAATGCAAAGAATCCGGACACGTTTGCCCCACATGTTATCAGTCTCAAAGCCAATGAATATAAATCTATGGTTGAGGCTCTAGATCTTCCGTATCGAGCTATTGAAAGCACAAGCGCCGTAGGGCCATTCTTCTGGGCTGCCTGGGACCAAGATGAACAAAACCCCCACCTACGTATATCCATACCCCAACCCTTTTAACTTACCGTAATCGTTCTAACACCGCCACAGAAATCATCTTCCGCAAAAGCGATGTTCGGAAAAAAGGGCTCACTCGAGGCTGGGAGCTGCTGCTCTCGCACGATATCAATAACGCCATCACAACCGGCTTCTGCAAAGGAACTGCTAGTTCCGATATCGTAGAATGCATCAAGCACTTAAAGGCCTGCGGGCTACAGATTGGCCACCCAATGCTTCTCCCTACCATTATCTTCAGCCACGACGTTTCCTTCAAGACGGACATCAAGCAGCGAGATGCACGTGACTGGCTTCGACGACTCGAGCACGCCGTGAGTATGCGCAGTGAGATAGAGGAGAAAGAAGGGTATGTAGACGATGGTGTCGTGGATCTAGATGCCGTGAATCGAGATTTAGTAGAGTGCCATTCGCAGGTTTTATGGAAGAGGCCGATAGCGTACCTGCAGATCCTGGAGGGGATCGAAAAAGCGATGGAGCGGTTTTGGGAGAAGCTACCGGAGGGTAGGATGGAGGGAGATATGCGAAAGTTACAAGCTAGCATGCTTGCCCGGCTGGACTTCTACAGAGTGAAGTTACAAGGCCTTGACAGTTATGCCTTCACAACGCTGCAGCGCCTAGACATTCAAAGGAGTGCTGTAAGGCTACCCACATCCCTCCCTCCTTTTATGATGGTTCTACTCAACAAATAAATGCTAATGCAAATTCTAGCTATACAACATCATCGCCCAAAAAGAATCCAAACTCAACTTCAAGATGGCCGGCGAACAGCGCAAACTTGCTCACGCCAGCAAACGCGATTCAGCGGCAATGAAAACTATCTCCCTCCTCGGCGCCATCTTCCTCCCTGGCGCCTACCTCGCCTCCGTCTTCAGCATGACATTCTTCAATTTCCAGAGCGACGCGGATCCTGTCCTCAGCGGGCAGTTCTGGATTTACTGGGCCTTCACCATTCCTATTACTATTATGATTGTCGCTGGCTGGTTCTTTTGGGAGCGGAGGACCGAGTTGAAGTATGAGCGCCAGGATCGAGATTTGGAGAGGGGGAGTGAGGCAATGGAGAAGGTTATTATGGCGGCGATGAGGAGGAGGACGATGAGTAAGGCGAGCACGTGGGATACGAAGAAGAGTGAGTGAGTAGCTAGGTTGTGAAGGTTGAAGGTTGAGCTTGGGGAAGATTGGTCTGTTTTGTTTTATTTTCGTTTCTTATTTCTGGCTTAAGACTTATGAGGCGATGACTTCACGATAAGATGATACGGTCTGATGATGATTATGGATTCATGACAGAATAACTTAAAGACTTTTGGTATATAAAAATTAAAATTCAATGGGAAGGGTTTGGACATAGGAGTGGTCCCTGTACATTTCCAAAAACACTGAAGACAATTAACTCCCGAGTGACTGATATAGATGTTGAGTGCCACTATAAAAAGTGATTCTAAGTATGGCATTCCATCTGAGTTATTCTGGAGACCCTGCAACTTTCTAGCGCAAGCTCGACGACCAGCGTGTATGATGAGTCGGATCAATATTTGAACAACTAATGATGAATTCATCCTAAAACCTGCAACGCCGGCCCATACATACCTATTTCATCAACCCAGTCCCATCCTTTCTCCCTGGTCATCAATATTCGTTCCCCCTTCCATATATAATTACACCAATAACCACAAACCCTTATTACAGAGTATTCAGTCTTCCCCTATTCCAAACCTCTATTCCTCCCTCTCAACATCTCCTTTCCCATCTACGCTTGAGCCCCCGGTAACACCCGAAACAAACTCATGGTACTTAAATACCTCTCCTCTCTTACCCATTCCACCACCAGAGTGCTTTCCAAACGCTCGTCTCCCGGTAAAACCACTCATAACCCTATCGATTTCCCTTTCTGTAAGCGGTTGCTCGCCTGGCTCTGGCGCAGTATGTAAGAGCGCATCTCGAAGCTCAGCAAGATCAATCTGTCCACTATCATCTTCATCGAATGCCGAAAATGCGGAGAGGAGCTCTGGTGATGGGGAAAGCGAAGCTAGCAGACCGGCAAGGGAATTTAGGAAAGTCGGGAGGGTAATAGTCTGGGGCGTGGATGGAGGAAAGAAGGCTGTGATATCTGAGGAGTTCGCCGGCAGACCTATTTCAAATAGTCAGAACACTGTAAATATCAACTCTGACGAGGGGAATCTTACCCAATTGCGTTAGCATATCCGCAACATCCTCCCGCCCAACCTGACCATCGCTATCCCGGTCCAAGATCTGAAAACCTTCTCTCAGTTCCCGCACCTGCGCTGGTTGCAGCTTTGAAAGGGCACTACTATCTGCGGTGTTCCTGCTCGTGAGCATTCCTCCAAAACCGGGACTACTTGCGCCTCTTATGGGTGTCGGTGACGGCTCTCTTTCTCTCCTCTGTGGCGATGCGAGACCTCGGGGCGTCCAGGTATCTGCATCTGTGGTGCTAGTTGGCGTGGATATTTGTGCTAGTTTGGAGGGTGTGGTGGTTGACGTTGTCGCTGTGGCTGTGGCCATTTTTGTGGGCGATGGATTTGGTGTTGACTGTCGGAGGGGAGAAGGAGAAGCAGGGCTCCCAGCCCGGCGAAACGGAGACGCTCGTGGGGAGCCATAAGAAAGTGGAGAAGGTTTGTAAGTGGTTGCTGCCGACTTATATGTTGTTAGCGTTAGAAGCCTGTCCGGCGGAGGAGTCGCGATGGAGACATACCATGGTTGTTTTGTGGCCTGGCTGTTTTGGAGGGTCTGGGATTGTGTTTGTGACCGCCGTACAAGAACCTTTGCAGGGATATCAAGCTCGAGCAAGAGCGTAGCTGCTCAGCGATCCTGCCAGCGTAAATTTGTTACGGTTATCGTCGTAGTTGTGGTTGTGGTTGTGGTTGTGTGCTGCTGGTGACGCTGTAGATGTCGATTAAGTAAATAGACCCTGCTGTACGGCGGTAGAACGCAATGTAAACAAATGGCAGAGTAACCGAGCGAACAGGGGGTCAGGGGCAGAATGAGCAAGCGAGGCAAGGCTGAAACCAAGTCACGTGCACAAGCCACGATATGTCAACCACGTGCCGCGGCCATTGACTCGCCAATAGAAAGCGCCATTGGCGTTACGCCGAGAAACCCCTGAATCTAGTGCAGCCAGCGCCAAAAAAACCCCCAAATTCCACAGAGTTATTAGGGTTATATCACTTGGGTTAAGGGCGCCAGGTACGCGGTACGAAGAGCCTAGAGGACGCGCCCCGTCCGCTGATACACTCCAGTCTCTCCAGTCTACTCCAGTGTCCAGTGTCCAGTGTCCAGCCTCCTGCCTACGGGCCAAGTCCCCTTTTTAGGTAGCCATATCATCCACATACATATATACATACCGGTGCACCATGCTCTTCCCCCTCTCCCATCCTCGCGCGTACCGTATCACACACATACCGCTATCCCTTTGCAAACCCCTTGTGCCTCTGCTTCCGCTACTGCTTCGCCATCAATCCAGATAGATTGACCTTCCTCACCGCGGCGAATTAATCTAGGCTCATTGCTCCTCTGATGCACGGATCGTCTATCAATGCTTGTCAGCGAACCCTGCCCTGCGCTGGTGGAGCACGTTCCGACGCCTGAGAACCCAGACAGCAAAGTCCGTCCGCCGGATACGATAGGATACGGTTCGATAGGATAGGATAGGAGAGGATCGCTGGGATGGCTTCCTCGATTCCCTATGCACCGATCTACCACAAGACCAAAGCAACCAAACAAGCATTGAAAACACAGGCGATGCAGCGCCCGACTACTAGAGGGACCACGGGCACCACCGACACAACCGCAACCTCAAGTTCCAATGGCAGTGCCGCTGCTCTCAATCGCCGAACATCTCTCTCCTCATTCCCATCCTCCAGATCGCTCTCGACCATGTCGCCCCATTCCAGAAGACCCTCGAGATCCCCTAATCCCCAACCCCACGCGATCGACACCAATCGCACCTCCGATCCGAACTCCAATTCCAAGACGCCTTCGAGCGCTCCATCGTCCCAGCATTCCTCACTCTCTGCTCCGCGAAAATACAACCCAGATGCCCACTCGCGGAGGAAATTGCGGTCACAGTACCCGCGCGGCGACACGGAAAACCATGTCGAGTACATACTGGTAGCCTCGTTCGATATTGACAAAGGCCCGGTTATGGAACATCAATTCCCTGTTGCAATCACGGGAGACGAGCATATGCTTGCAGAGTTGATGTTGCCAGACCAAGCACATGTGCGGAACCAAGATTGGACCATATTTTTTCTACATAAGGATACTAGCCAGGAAGAGGAGGAAGCAGAGGAGAAGGAGGAACGGCGGCGTAGACGCCAGAGACGGAAAGACCGTGCTGCAGGCCGGCTGGGTCCTGGGGATGCGGACTCCGCGCAAGATGCGGAAGATGCTGAGCTGGATGGAGATACTACAGCGGAGGATTCGGACGAAAGCGAGCCCGAGGGAGGGGAAGGCCCTCCGTTGATTTATGTGCTGAATCTTGTGAACACGAAGCAAGACAAGACCGCCAAACGAGGAGCGGTGGTGAAGGCCATGGCAATATGCACGCGGCATCCTTTTTTACATATATATAAAGTCCGTCCCATCTTCAATATATCTCTGCCACATGCTAACATAGACCCAGCCCTTATTATTATTAGCTCTCGAGGAATACTTCAAGTCCCCTGTACCGGAAACACTCTCGTCGCTCTACGATGCCGTGAATACCATGGATCTCTCGCTAATGCCCAGATTAAGTCTCCTCGAACGATATCTTCTCCAAACTAGCGAAAACAAAGACCTCTTCGTCGAGAAGTTCGAGCAAATGATCCAAATGCGGATGGCCGAAGATAGGGGTGAAGCCCCTGCAGATATCATAGGGTTGGCCGAGAGCCCACAGAGGCGTCCAGATCTCACGCGAAATGGAACCAAGGCACACATCATGGCCCATTCGCAGTATTCCGTCCCTCGTGATACCCACGAGTTTGAGACCAGGGTCATGTATAACGGGATTCCTATACCTATCAAAGTACCCGTTGCGATAAGTCCTGAAACCGTGGGCGACTTCTCGCTCATCAAACTTATCCAAACATTCTCCGAACCACATGCGAAGTCCCCTCAACCATTTACTCTTCACTCGCATCTCACTACGAGTGGGCCGAATACGCACCCTATTATCGTCTTGGCCAACGCCCTACTGACACAAAAACGTATTATATTTCTTGGTCATAACCGTCCTTCGGGTGAGGTTGCGGAAGCTGTTCTTGCCGCCTGTGCATTGGCGTCAGGAGGCATTCTACGAGGCTTTACTCGACACGCATTCCCGTATACCGACCTGAGTAAAATTGATGATCTTTTGAAGGTCCCGGGGTTTATTGCTGGTGTCACAAACCCGACATTCGAGAATCATCCCGAGTGGTGGGATGTCCTTTGTGATTTGCCTTCTGGTCGGATGAAAATTAGCACTCGGATCGAGCCAGCTCCACTTACGGAAGGTCTTGCAAATTTCATGCAGCAGAATCCGGCGTATGCCAATGCGGCCAACGCAGCACTCTCAAATATTCCAGTTTCAGGCGATCCAACAGGAGAGCAAGCCTTCATGAGTGACGTGCTTCGCAGCGTTGCCGCACGCCACGGAGAAGCCGTTATTAGATCCAAGTGGAGGGAGTGGATAATTAAATTCACGAGGATTTCGGCTGCATTTGAGGAAAGCGTGTACGGAGCAAGTGCCCTGTATATTGGAGTGGACGAGGTGGACTCTAGTAATGGAAGTATTAGTGGACATGGATATGTCTGGGGCGATGACATGTCGCGCTTAAAAGAAATGGCAGCGGGCGTGAGTCGGATCGAGGGCTGGAGAAGTACAAGAAGCTATTTCAGCTACAAACAGGTATGTTGCTGCTCATAAAGTGTGGATTAATTATCGCTGACGATGAGTAGGATCTTGCCCAGCTTTACACCTTCCGACCTTTGAAGAGTTTAGACCTGCATCATTTACATGACCGCCTCCGAATGACTAAATTGACTCCAGCTGCAAGTCGAGAGATCTATGTTGCTCTCTCAAAGTATGCACACTCCTACGACGAAATATGTCAACTCCTCACTGTCGCGCCGGAATCACACGCCGGCCTCTTCTATATAGCTCTGGGTCTCTTCCACAAAGACAAGGATACCCGGATAAAAGTTGTTGATCTCCTGGAACGGATCAGTGAACATGAAGCTGGACGACATTGGTGGAAATCCCTCAGCCGATTTGAGAAATTGGCCTACTTCAGAATTAAAAGGGAGGCAGAAGCCGAGATGAGGAGCAAGATGGGGGAGAAGAATGGCATGGATGATGTGCCCGGGATGATGGTTGACAGGAGAATCAGCTAAATCTTGCTTTGGCCATCGATTTTCAGAGAAAGATACCGATGAGAAAACAGCTACGGACCGAAGGAGCTTGAGGGAACCCGAGAGGGTCAAACTACAAGACGATATTATGAGCACATGATGGATAAGCATTCCGACGTTGCTGCGCAACAAAGCCATGAGTCGAAATGGAATGCATATATACCCGCTAACGAGCATTACTATGCTTGGCCGAGGTTCTATAGTCACGAGAAATGAGATAGGCATTATGATTTATGTGTGCCAGGGGATGCCCTATGACATGATTAAATAAACATCATCATCTGATTCTAACTATAATTTTCCTTTTGTGTTCCTCTCGCTTCTATCCTAATTAGCGAAGCCCTTCTTTTGCGTTGCTCTGTAATGGCGAGCAAAACCAGGATAGAGACCTACTATCCTAACAGATACTTTGCAGCGTGGTTGACATGGTCTGTTGCAAATGTCGAGATGAAATAATATGAGTGATCGTATCCCTTATATCATACCCTGAGTTAGCCCGGGCCATAACAATGGGTAGCATAGGGGCAGAACAAGTAACTTACGTCCTGGTACCGCAACACAAGTCCCTTATCGTTCCCCGAAGCCTTGGCTGCTTCGCTGAAGTTCTCGGGAAGAAGCTGCCCTTGTTTGTAAAAATTATCACCCGTTCCCTACATATCACAGATGATTAGCACGCCCAGCTCTCTATCTCCTCGTCTCCGAATAAGGGGAAAGCAGCAAAGTACAGAAATTTGACAACTCACCACGTCAATCAAGCAATCAAATCCTCCCTTCCACCCCTTAATCAACTCCGTCGCATCATGCTTCTTCCACTCGTTCGTATCCTCCCCCAAATACCCCTTAAACGCCTTCTCGCCCCATGGGCATTTGCTTGGGTTGGTAATCGGCGCAAATGCACTCACGCTCTTATACATGCCGGGATTTTTCAGGAACAGGGTGAGGGCGCCGTGGCCGCCCATGCTGTGGCCTGTGATGGAGACGCGGGAGCTGTCGAGTTCGGGGAAGGAGGAGAAGAGCGCTTTGGGGAGTTCGGAGGTTATGTAGGACTCCATGTGGTAGTTGTCTTTCCATGGCCCTTGCGTTGCGTTGACGTAGAAGCCGGCGCCGGAGCCAAAATCGTAAGAGTCATCTTGGCCTTCGATCTTCAGGCCGCCTGTATTTTGCTACTGTTAACAAATGTCCTTTGTGTTTCCGTCGATTGGGGATGTATAGAAAGTGGGGTGGACATACGAGGTGATGTATCGGGGTAGACCACCGCAATACCCTTCTGGCCCGCCGCGTATTGGAAGAATCCCTTCTCTGCACAATTGTCCCCCGTGCATGTCAATCCGGAGAGGTAGATTAAAACTGGCACTTTAGCTCCCGCCTTTGCTGCTTGCGGGGGCAGATACAGGTTCAGTGCCATTTCGCAGCTGGTGGTTTTCGCCTCATGGGTCAGCTTCAGGAGCTTCCCGCCGAAGTTGGCAATTGTTGCGGTGGTTTTGAAAGACATTTTCTATGATGGTTTCTTTTGGTAAGGGATATTTTGAGATGTGAATTGGGACTGATGTGAGAAAGGGGGAGGATTGTTTATAAGCTTTAAAATGTTTATTTGTTAGGGATGACGTTACGGCCTGCGGACCCCTCGATTACCCCACACTTGGCCTACTCAATGTTCGGCATTGCGATCCCTCAAACCGGAGAAAACGCGGCATGTTGCGGTAGTTACCAAGAGATTGTAACAAAAACCCGATCTATTTCAGTCTACGTAGGGACAACAGCAGACAATAGATTGAACACTCTTTGCTATTCATTTACATTGGACGAAAAATCCACCTCCCTTCTCTCACTCCAAACGCCATTTTTATACGCCAATCCAGCGCCTTGGGTATGTGAAAATGTATCAACCTGCCCATGCCTTACTGCAACAGCTCTTCGCAAGTCCAATCCTCATAGCTGTTATCGTGTCAGATATTTATCTGTCAAGGGCTCTTGGGAATTACATACTAGCCATCAGGCAGGTACCGCCTGACAATAAGGGGTATCTTCTTTTCCCTCAGTTCTTTGATCGCGATTTGGAGCGGATCCGTCTCTCCTTCAAGATCAACTAGGACTGGCGCGTTCATGCTAACGGTAGGCGGAAGTCAGCAAATCATCCTAATCTTTCACCAATAGCTTCCCAAAGTAGTCATTCTTAACCCACCTAATCTGCAGCGCTCTTGTGCCCAGGATTCTCGCCCTTTCATACTTGGTCATGTATGGTGTAGTGGTCCGTTGATCAGAAGGGATTTTCTTGTCTTTTGGTGCCTTTCCGCCTTTGATTCTATTTGCTGCAGCTGATGGGTCTCCCGACTCAACCACCTCTACTACATCTTGAGCTACGCCAGCGGGGTCATCAAGGTCATTGTTCCCTTCTTCAGGCTCCACTGGATCCATTGGCTCATCTGGATCGTAGTCGGGCTCGTCATCGTAAGCGTAGGGTGGGGTGCTGTGAGGCATCAAGTCAATGTCTGTTCGTGGAGGATGCTGGTGTCTTGATGACCCTCATAACAAAGGACTCACCCGCCGCCATCCCCAGCTTCATATCCTCCTTCGTCGTCAGACATAATCGATAGGCGCAACGTAGAGTGTAGGAACTCTGGTTAGGCGTGCGGCGTGGATCGCTGTGACGTTACGATGAACTCGAGGACTTGCTCAAAGAAATTTGAACGCGACTTCCACTTGATGAAATTTAAGGTTTAGCGCGCACCGCCACACCAGCCACTGATGCATCAGCCACAACAAATTCGATGCAAATATTTATATTTCGAGTCTGGTGGGCGACGACCATTCCAGCTCGCAACTTGGGAACGATGATTACATTGCAATGTCTGTCCAGCTCCAGAAGAGAAAGGCTCCGACCTCATTAGAGGGATTTAACAAAAGATTGCGCGTTGAAAGACCATCCCCTCTGGGTACGCATCACCTCGACCTAATGTTTCCATTGGATACATCACTGATACTGCCCCAGACGATCTCGCAGCACCTGAAAACGACGACGAAGATTATGAACATAGCTCCTCTCGGTCGAGTAACGCTTATTCGGAAGAAGGGAATGAGGCAGAGACTCCAATTACGCCATGTTCGCCAGCGCGGAAGAAATTCCCATCTGAGTTGAAGACGATCAAGTGCCACTATCCAGGATGCTATAAGACCTTCAACCGCCCAGTAAGGCTACAATCTCATATGCGATCGCACGTAAATGAGCGCTCATGCGTGTGCCAATACGAGGGTTGTGACAAGGCTTATTTCGAAGAGAAGCATCTCCAACAACATATCAAGGGCTCACATACCAAAGAACGAACCTATGTCTGCGATTGGGAAGGATGTACGAAGAGCTTTTTGACTGGCACAAGGCTCCGAAGGCATAAAGAGGCACATGAAGGACATGAACGATTCAGGTGTACGGCCTATCCGCCCTGTAATCAAACCTTCCGCAAGCATCAAACCCTCCAAAGGCATATCCGCTCGGATCACCTCCAACTTACTCCGTTTCCTTGCACATACATTGATCCGGTGACCAAGGTTGCCTGCAATGCTGGCTTTGACGGGGCGGTTGGCCTGCGGAAGCACGAAGAGCGAGTGCACGCAACGCCCGGTTTCGCCTGTACAGCTTGTCCTGTTCTAGGCTCATTCAATCCCGACGGCAGTCAGAAGCTTCTTGGGTTCGCAACAAAAGCCCAACTCCAGACCCATATCCGTAAAGAACACGCCAATTGCATGTTCTGTGACTTGAAATGTTCTAGCCAACGAGAATTACAAAGTCATATCGAGAGCCAACACTCTGGTAAAAGTCTTGACGAGCGCAAGACCGTCCGTTGCACATATATCGGCTGTGACAGCACTTTCACCAAGAAGTCTAACCTTGCGGTACACGTCCGCTCCATCCACAATGGCGAGCGTTATATCTGTGGGACCTTAGATATCAGCTCAAATCCGGAACTCGCAGCCTTTGCCGCGGAGAGTGGCTGCGGGAAGGACTTCGTGTCAAAAGCCAATCTCGAAGGCCACATCCGAAATTTCCATCTAAGGATGGCTGGGAATACCTCTGCCTCATTGCATAAAACAAGAACCCCAAAGCCAAAACCGTCTGCAATAGATGAATTAATGGGAAACTCCTATGCTGCGGACCCGAAGCGCAACATTCCTTGCCTGGCCCCGACTTGCTTGCACAAATTTATTAGAGACTACGATTTACAAGTCCACATGCGAACAGCACATAATAGCTTCCCCGGTGATCCTTCTATGGAAATCGATACTGATTTCGCCGGCTTGCCCCTAGGAGAAAGCAGTAATGAAGGCGTGGCCACGCCGGAGATGGGAGATCCACTATGCGGAACACCAGATATTGACTGGGAGCTGCAGCGGCGAGCATTGGAAGGTGGACCCTTTTGGGTCGGTGCAACCAATCCCTCTACTCCGAATCAAGATTCATGGAAGCAGGAAGAGGCTGAGATGAGACAGTTGATAGATTTCAACGAGGGCGTTCTCGACCCGAGTTTGGTTGGCTTGTGAAATTATATCCCCCTATAGTACCAGCTTGAGAAATTACGAAAAGGTCTGACAATTTGAAATGGATGGGGAGGGGAAAAAGGAATGGGAAGAAAGATAACCTTTTAATGAATGATGAACTATGAGATATGGAAAAAACAATGGAAATAAACAACACCAAACAGTCATATAGATGTGGGGCCTGTTCTGTTCGTGCAGCACTGACTTTACTAGTTACTTCAGCTATTCCTAGTAAATGTATAGTCAGTTTCTATTATATCAATAGACAATATAGTCGAACGAGCACTACCACTGCCAGGTACGAGCCCGGAACATTGAGGTTGAACCCTCTTTAATTATCAGTGCTGTGAGTTACTGGATGCAGATACGGTAGCACAGGTATCCGCCACATACGGCCACAGACTGACGAGAAATGGGCATCCCGTCCGCTCTGCCATACACAAGCTGGAAATTGATTGCTTTTTACTCTCAATAATCGTGCCACTAGACGTAGCGTGGAATCCAGCCCGCATGCCGCATGCCGCCTCAGGGCGCAAATCGCGACCCGCATTTACCTCACGTACGCTTTCTATTTCCGGGGTTACCTCAGTATCCTACGACAAACAACTTATTCTGTGTTTCACCAAAGGATGCCTTCAACAGCCATGGAGACGATAGACGAGTCTAGTATCAGTTCGAATGCTCGAATGCTTGCCTGTACAAGTTGCAAACAGTACGTTTCCGACCTTCCCTTCATGATTGACTTGTCCTGTAAACCCCGGGCTGACTACGAGGGTTTCGCCACTGCAGACGCAAGAAAAGATGTGAGTCCTATTTACCGGGCTATCCTATGCTTAAGTATCCGAGCTGGCATTGAATTTTGCTTAACACGCTGGTGATTAGGCAGTTCCGCAAAGCCACAGTGTGACCTGTGTGTGTAGACGTCTCGGGGTCCGATGTGTATACCCACGCTTTTCGTTCAAACCTGGCCCAAAAAAGAAGCAGGCCTTCACTGCTATACCACGCACCGAAGAGCTACCACGCACCGAACAGCCAACAATAGCCGACTCCTCTATTCGCCCAGGCGAAGAATATAACTTTCTATCACTTCCCAGAGATGGATACCTTGCATATGATAGTTCGATGCCTGGCCAAAGAACGACAGATGCAAGTGGGTCACAACATAATCCGGAGACATCCGACGTACTAACAGAGCCTCATCTGTTCAATCCGCCTCCCATATTCGACGAAACTCTCTTTCACGATAGGTTGTCGTCTATATCTTCGGATGCCATCACTTCTGATCCTGGTGGCCCCCTAGCACTCCTGGGTCAAAACACAGATCCGTTCCGAGTGGTACCACCTATCATCTATCCGCCTTCGCCTTCGCTACCTTCCAGGGAGATCATCAACCACCTAGTCGATGTCTTCTTCGACGTTGTACATCCCCAGTTCCGACTGCTTCATCGCCCAACACTCACAGAGCAATTACATGACCCATCGTACCTTGCCACTAAAGAAGCGGCTTTTCTCTTAAACGCCATCTTTGCTCTTACCGCGAGGTATTTGGGCGATATTCGGGTGGAACTCTTTGACCTGTCACTCTTACGACGCCAGAGTGATAAATCATCTCTCTCAAACACGTCCCTATTAAATCCTTCCTATCAGCGAAAGGGCCGTTGGGAGCGAGGCCAGGGCCTTCTTCAGCTAGCGAACAGACTGCTCCAGGAAGAAATCGCCGAGGCGGAACGTCTTGAGAATAAGACTGGTGAGACACAAGAACCTCGAATTCAATTGCTCCAAGCAGCCGCTCTCCTTGCCTTTGCAGAGTTGGGGATGGGCATAAGCAGTAGGGCCCATTCGATGATGTCAATGTGTGCCCGAATGGCTTACGATCTAGACCTGGGCTCCATCGACTGTGATGATTATGAGTCACAGGTTGAGCTATCTCTGGACAAGCATAGCTGGATTAGAAAGGAGGAACTTCGACGCCTGTGGTGACGCTCCACGAGGGTTTGTCCGTAGATGACGTAGAAAGGGAGGCCATCGGGGCCGTTGATTCTCACGCGCTCACCACCGCCCGGTTGTGTGGCCACGCTTTCTCTCTTCGCGGCGCCTGGCACGAGCTCCGCCCGGTCGATGTCCACCGCGCTTTGAACCTCGTAGGTCGCCCCAAGAAAAACGGGGGAGTCGGTCTTCGTCACGACGTAGGACACTGGTTGATCGCCATAGCCGCGGAAGAAGCGCGTTTCGGTAGGGCCCTCTGTGCGGCTGACCTCGACGAAGCCAAAGTCTCGTGCGAAGGCGGATGCTTCATCCAAGTTGGGATGGCCGTAGCTGACATAGGCTAGCCGGTTGATCTGCACGCGATTGGGTTGAGATTTTTGAGCCGGCATGGTTCGTCTGAAGTATGGTTTGTGGCGATTGTCTGATGATATATATAACTTACTGGGAGGCCCACTTCAAGTGATGGCACGAGTATGTGGGAGATGGATACAGCAAGCGGGTGGTGAGCTGTCAGTGTGGCATGGGATATGGGGATGGGGTGCACTCTCTCTTATAAGCCATGTTGCGAGTCGTCTACGCATATCAAACATCTCGTACCTGTAAAATAGTATTGATATTGTGTCCTTGTTGCGATTAACCTCGGTGGTTTGAAGCGTTGACTCTTAGCTGTCGGAGCGAACGGCGGAGCGACCTCAGTGCTAATGCCCGGCGGACTATCTTGTCTTGTCTTGCGTACCTTAGGTAGAGACGGGGTCGACGGGGTCTACGGGGTCTACGGGGTCGGACCCGTGTATACAATGCTGCGGAGTAATTCAGAACTCACACTTAGCAAGTGGTGCCATTCCAGTTGCGGTCTAACACGAATCTCTGACGTTACATGCTAAGTGCGGAGGAAATGATTTACTTTAGTCTGTAGTCACAGGGATGTGCTGCTTGAAGGTTCAGTACATAAGGGCGTTCAAGTGCGGGGATAACTACCTATTGCCGGCAGAAAGAAGACGTTTCTTCCACAAGTTTGCTCACTCATTATCGCCAGGGATTACGTAAATTATCAAAACGTTGACACAACATCACTTCATGTGATTTTTATGTCATTCGCTGTTGAGCGATGGAGGAGATGAGAAAACATTTCAGCTGAGTTCATTTCACCCTGGCTGATGAACCACAAACTTCATTCAAGTTGTGGAGATTTCAGTCTAGAATGTCTGTTCCTGATCACTAATTCACTATCCTCTAATTCCACCGTAAAAAGTTTACAAGATGTGTCTCTAGTATCTAACGTGCCAATACTACATCTGGTGCACTTTGCTATGTCTCGTCCAAGTTCTCATAGTCTTGCCCCATTTCATAAAAACAACTACCCCAACCAGGCCAAAACCAACTGTCAGTCCCATCAACAAGAACATCGGTGGAAGGTAGCCTTTGGATATGATCCAGTTATTGACGTAATATGACATGCCGAGGGCGAACATATTCTTGAGCACTGTGGCTAGATTCATAATCGCCCCAGATATTGGCTTGTAATAGTCGATAGTGTACTGGGTTATAAGTTAGCGGCATAAACTTGCCCTTGCGTGCGCACATATGCTTACTGTGATAACAATGGTTTGGATAACCGATGAATATAAACCGACAAGAGAATAACCAAGAATAACTGGCGCCTCCCATGGCCAGCCCTGCTGAAAGCCAAATCCAATCATCTAGAAATGATGAATCAGTATCAAATACTTGACTTGAACGTTGAGGAGCCTATGTCTGCTTACAATCATTCCAACTAAGTTCGCAGCTAGGAAAGGCAATAAAGTCGGCAGCCTCATTTCTGGCTCTCTGATACCGTTGTTACGTACTGTGGCCTTCATTGCCACCCAGTCCGACATTGTGCCTCCGATGGCAAGACTGACTATTGCACCTATAAGTGGTAAAAAGTTCGAGAATCCCACACTCTGCGCGGACCAAAGGTAGGGGGAGCGGCGAGAGCTTGCGATTGACACATTATAAGGTATAGCAGAGTGTTTGAGGCAAAATTTGCCGTCATAGCTGCCCAGAATGTGATTGGGTAAAACAATATGATGAAGAGCGAGATCAAGTGCAGCCAAAGCTCCTTGAAGGCCTTGCGATCCACCCTTTGCCATGGAATAAGCTGACGGCGATTTGGGCGGCCGTGACCAACGATTGGGTTAGCGGTCGTCATGCTCTGGTGTGCAGCAGGCTGCTGGCCCAACCCCTCCTCGAGAGCAGGGTCAATAGCTTCAGGATCCGTGGCCGGAGTCGTGATTTCGGTATCTGCCGAAAATGCTCCATCTCTTCGGGTTTCCGGGGCAAAGAATCCTAGCGTGACCATTATAACCCCTTGCATGATAGCACAGAACCAGAAGAACATTCTCCAATTGACATGTTGTTGAAAAGCTCCCGCAATGATAGGGCCAATCAGTCCGCCCCCAACGTAACAGTAGCTGCTCTGGTTAGCTCAGAATGTTACCAATGATTGGAGATATTTCTTACAAGTAAAAGCCCATCCATGTGCCACGCTCATGCAGGAAGAAAATGTCTGCAATGACAATTGCCATTATGCTCTCGTTGGCCGCACAACCAATGCCGGCTAAGACTCGCGCATGGAGAAATGAGTTGTACCCTGTGGAAAGTGCCAACCAAATGTTTGAAGCTAGAGAAATGACGCTGCTGAAAAATAACGTTGGGCGGCGTCCGAAGATGCTCGCACAAGGAACAACGATGAAATTGGCGGTTCCGTACATGGCGGTAGTGATTCCGGTCTGGAGACAATCAGCTTTTCTCCTCAAAATGCATGGGAGTCGGTTCGTACCACAATAGTGACAGATTGCATGCCCTTGTTCCATTTGGCAGTGAGGACGGGATAGAGAGGGTCAGTAGCGAGAATAGGGTGAATGTTGAGAAGAACGTAGAGTCCTTGGACGACCACGATTGTCAATTTCCAGCCTTTGCTCCAGTTCTGCAGGTCGTGGTGAGTAAAGGCACCCACTGCGCATGATAGGATTTCTCACCCAAGGATCTGCCGGATTGGAAGATGGGCGAGGAACTAAGACCCTTATATGAGAATTGGTCTGATCAATCAGATGAGTCCCAGGGATTGCTCAATCACATCATTGGTCCCAGGAAGACTCTCTATGTGCACAGCGGAACCGCCTGAGCGAGAGCCCGCTTCCTGTTTTGTACCCATGGCTTCCTAGACAACTTCGTAAGTATGGGAGGTTGTAATGTTTTGGCGATTGGAAGAATGGTTTGAGGACGAAATCAAAAAAATATTATGGGCTGCAAGCCTCGATTCATATGTTCAGCGATTTGAGACGCACTGATATCGTCGACAGGGACACCACACGCCACCGTCAGGGGTACCCCAGGTAACAGCCTAGGCCCACGCTTGGGTAACGCGGGGTGCACCAGTAACCAGGCTGCCGGGCCAATGGAATATCTTGTAATGCCACTTTAGCATTCGGATATAATCAGAGGCTCCCAGAAGAAGCGATGCAGTCTTTGTGGCGAGTCCGGAAGAGCCGTACTTACGGACATAATACTGAGCCTGTCCCCATGGGGTATCGTCGCCATTCCCTCCCCATAACCTCCCCGCTCCCCACGAAACCTGGTTCCACTTCTAGAAACACCGCGCCCAAGTGGAACAATTAGTTATGCCGCCCGACATGGATCCATGCCAGGGATCAGCTAAGGGCCCCGGCACGTCCCAACCATGACGCCTCCCAAGAGCCGCAAGAGCTAAGGTGAGACATTGGGTGCACGTTGATGGAATGCGCCAGATGTTTTGCTTGGATATCAAGTGCTTCGCTATGGACAGGTACACGTACAGTCAATAAATTTCGGTGGCGATGAGTAGCAGTTCACTTGGAGAGCGCGGAGCCCGCCAGTATTGCGGAGCACCAGTCGTACGAGTACCTTGTGACGGAATTCGAGCAACGCGGCACCGTCAAGATCGTACTAGTACGAGTACTATCTACAGTTCTCGCATGAGATTACTCGAGTGTGTGGTATTGCAGGGCAGGTCAATAGAAGTCATTTCGGAAATATAATCAAATTGGATTGAAGGTGGTGGTAATTAATTTGTTCATGCAGTTTTGAGCAAGGAACAGATTACCCCTGTGCTGCATGGAGTCGCAGCAGCAATGTCGGATGGAAAAGAGGGCTGAGGGGAGCATCGTCGGTCCTTCTCCTCCTCCCAAACCGCCCTATTCTGTGGAGATGGAGAAAATATAGTGGAGATCATACAGTAGACATACGCGCGAACAGAAGGTTGACAGAGAGTCACGCAGTAATATTAGCACTTGACTTGCACTTGAGAAGGCCAATACATTCAGTTTTATCAGGCTGCCCTGCAATAATAGAAATAAGATTCTATTCAAACCAGGCTTCCATCAATTCCAGCGTTTAACAAGCCTCGCTCAACCGCCCTTTACAACAGTTCGTGGCATGTGTAAACTTGCAAGACAGCATCAGACTCTGGAGGAATCTTTTAGAGTCGGAACAACCATCTTAACCCAGTCATTGCATCTGTGATGGACTTCCGTGCCGCTGTCATTTGCAGGGCTAGTCAGCTCTTTAGGAGGAATTGCCATGTATTCTAGTATTTGGTTAGTTGAAAATCAAAGTCATGAAATAATTCTTGACATACCATAGAAACGTTCCTATAATTCTCAATCATTAGCTCAGTTCGACAGAGTTCCACACAGCGTGGGAGACGTACACAGGTTTTCAAGTTCAAGAGAGGCGTATAAACATCCTTTGGAAGGATATCAAGAGTTTCTTTCCAGGCCTCCTTGGCAACAGAACGGTCCAAGACCATCGGTGCTCTGGAGAAACAACCCGACACAAGAATGCCAAGTTTCTGGGCCCGGTAGGTTGCCAAAGCGGCTAAGTGACCACCGAATGAGGTGCCTCCACACACGAAGCCCTTCTTTACATCCCCGCCGTACTTAGACGCGTTTGCATATGCCTATGGGAGGTAAAATTAATACACGTATTCTTTGAAGCGATAACAACGACGATTTGCTGGGAAGATAAGCATACCCATTTCAGTCCATCATTAGCATCATCAAATGGTATAGGGAAAGGATTTTCGGGGGCAAGACGATAACCAAGCGAGAACACGATGACATTTAGAGTCTCTGTCCTATCTCACATGTCCTCGCTATTGCGCTCCGGGACGACGTGATTAATATTGACAACCGTCCCGCCGGGTCCGAGCCTTTCTTTACTACCAGCATCAAGGGTCTGTTGAAGGCAGTCAGGGTACAATGGAAGCCGCCAAGCTAAAGGTCCCTATCTTCCGACAGGCGGTGCGGACCGCAGATGGGTTCTAATCCTCGGAGCACAAGGCCCTTCGCTACTCGACCTACACGTATTACCTTGATCGTGTTTGATAGGAGGCGGGCTTCGAGCGGAAGCTAACAAGCTACTGTGCACGGCGCTGTACTGGAAACGCTGTAGACCGTAAGTACACAACCCCTATTTCTGTCTTCCCCTGCTTATTGCTATACTAGAGGCTACACGACGGCCGTTCGCGACCAGATTATGCCACCAGACTCTAACTCGGGCGTCTTTGGCGCGTCATATCTTAATACCCGAGTTCAATTTGATATTCAGTCAGGTAATAGAGCAGCCTTCCGTTGACGGGCTTACTCGCGCCTTTACCCACATGAGTATTCGATGCGACCCGCACGCTCCCAAGAAGGTGCCTGTACACCTTAAGAACGCGCTCCCTCCTGATCCTAAGATCATCGAGTAGGAAAGGGAACGAAGGGCTTTGTTCGTGGAGATCCGAAGCCGGTATGGATTTTTGTATCAGGCTGAAGAGACGGAGATGGGCCAGATATACAGGACGCTCGTGCGGAAGATCGGCGATAGGACCAAAAAACGCGACGAGGACCTTAAGAAGGTGTATAGACAACAGTACTTCTGGCGCATCTACAACGACGAACTGCAAAGATTGCTTAACAACGACGAGACCGCGGAGGATGTAAAGCCTATTATTCATCACCAGCTCCCCGAACGGACCCAGCTCCAGGAGGTGATCTGCACATTTACGAATAGCCTTAGCCCAGAACAGATTGTTCAGCGCCGGGTCTGCGTGCATCGGCTTTGTATTATCTGGCGTTACAAGTCTAATCGGGTTTGGCATTATCAACGCTTTTGTATTATCAAGGCAAAGGTTCTTATAGAATACCCTAGAACGCCCTCTATAATTGGCCCTTGCTAGCAACTCAAAATTAAAATGTTTCTTTAGTTTGATAGGGAACCCCCCCCCCCCCCCCCCCCCCCCCCCTTCAATGGTACGCGGTTGGGCCCAAAGTTAGGGGGGCTACAGGTCGTCGGGCCCTGAGTTTGGCGCACTTTTTGATGGCCCGAGCCGGGCGGCAGGTTTTGGCGGGCAGGCAAGCCCTAGGCGGGGGGCTATTCCGGTGCGTGATGAGGCCCGCGTCCACTGCCAGCAGCGTAGGCAGGTGGGATATAGGGGCAGGGAAGATGGTCTGATGGATCGTGGCTGTTGCTTGGCAAGCATTCCTGTTAATGCGTGTTGCGATCACAAAACCTTTGGGGATCTATTTCGGTATCAACACCTGAGCGATATTAGCATATGAATCTTTGAGGGAGGAGTAAGAGCTGCAGACAGGAAGGAGCGGCAGATGCGGTGCGCTAGAAGGAATGAGGCAAGTGGCCATCATGTTATTTTATCTTTATGTTGCCTCATTTTCTATGATTGGAACTAGATTTCGTTGCTGGTGGTTACAAGGATTATTCTGAATAGCACTTCTTCGGTATTCAACTGCAACTATTTTATTTATAATTATCAATCTATAAAATCGGCATTTATATTAGTATCGGTAAATCTTACTAATACCGTTATACAAATAAGTTCCTGGTACGATTGCTCTTTTATCTGCGTTACTACCTGATGTTGTATTTACAGCCAATTTGTGTACTTGAAGGCGATGTAAAATAGCCTATTGTTAAACCTGAATCATAACTTGAATAAAGTTTGGTTCTGTCTAGAAAGGCGAGCAGGGTTGCTTTGTCGGCAATATTTGGTGAGTTAAAGTAAGTTAAGGCGAGTTGGGGTGGGTAATAGTGGGCAAAGGAAGTAGTCGGTGGGTTAACAAGCTCAATAATAAGTCTGGTCAAATCAATTGTAGCAAACAGTACCCCTTGCCTCGACTCGCCTATGCCTTTACCTCTCCTTCTCCAACAGTCGCGCACAAAGTTGAATGTTGTGGGATCAAAAGGATCCAGGAGCTTTTCGAATAAATAATATCCCTTCTTCTATGTCCCCTTATCTATTACCGATAACTTCTTTATTCGCGAGCGCGTAGATTTGGGAAAGCTGGAAGTGTCTCAATATCAGGATGATTATTATCTAGGGGTTTTGTATCTCCTATTCTATGTATTTTGCGACAGGTCCACACCCCCCCCTAAATTTCTACGCAGACACATACTCACGTGATTAAACTCACACGATCACGGACAAAAGGCGGTCAGGACATATGCAAAGCAAGGAGGAATTTAAAGAGGAAACTGCTGTAGTCTTCTTAGGGGCATTTGTGTTAAGCCAACCATACTATAGACAGAGTACTAGGTATACTTTGGACAGTGTCTACTTTAGAGGTCCGTTTTGGCTACTTGAGCATCGTCGTCAAAACACTTGTCTCCAACTCCTTCGGAGCCTCTGATTAGTTGACTGGACTTTTGTTTAAAGTGCTTCTTCGCGTCCTTATATTACCAAGAGCAACAGTTCGATGACATTACTGGCAGGGATAAGAAGAGAGTAATTCAAATTATTAAAAGTTACTATATATATCGCAAACCAAGGGACCCAGGAATTCCTGCGCTGAACAAGTTGCTCGGATAATGCTTTATAGATAGATATAGCAGAGAGGGCCGGCGGTAGTACTCATCATACTACTGATTGGGACAGGTGACGCATTTACGCCGACATCAAGCAAGTCATCGAGCGTACCGTTCCGGCTTGGGGGAATATTGTCAAGGGTGATCGTGCCCGAGATAGCGTTTTGCCGGTTCTTAATATCCTGGTTTTGCCAGATCCACCACTAGCAAAGGTATTAGCATCCTTTAGGCAAAAAAAAGGAGAAAACAAATCCTTTAGCTAGGAGTACCTACAGTACGATCAACCTGGGCATGATGAAGCCAGAACATTGGGTCACCAGGCGAGGCAAAGATATCTCCGCCTGGGTCACCGCCAACAGTAAAGTGGCCGGCGGTATGCACACCATAGTCGCCGTTAACAAAGTCTCCCTGCATATACTTTTGAAACCAATAGATATCAGAGTAATCATTAATAAGAGCAGTAGAAACTGCGTCAGAGGTCCATCGGGTCGCGACCCAGCTTGAAATATCTCGTCTCATGCAGCGAGGGTTCCACACGCTGCCATTGTTTGGTACAAGCTCAGGGATGCCGTTTAAGCTTACGACGACAGGGCCGAGATTCACGGTGATACTATCAAGTTATTCTTAGTATTTTCACGACTCAAACTTTAGTTAGTTTAGGGCCTGGGAATCAATTCTTACTTCTTAAAAGGGCCAGTTGTAACACAACCACCTCCTTGCCCAGGTACGGGAGGGATACAGTTAAGGTTGGTGGGGATAGCGTAGGTGCAACCATGGGCTACATAGTCACCATTACCGCTCATGCTATAAGGGCCTCCATCGAATATCGGAGAGTTGACTGGGTCATTCGCCCATCTGCCCCAGTTCCCTTGAGGGTGTTAATACTATAGATCAAACGAGGGTAACAAACGAGGGTAGAGAGGTGATAGATGGCGAGCGATTTAGGTGTAACACTTGATTGATAGACACGAGAAGAATCAAACTGCCGAAGCACTTACAATACTACTATAAGTTAGATAACGTTGTAATAAGGTGGAGAATTAACTTACGGGTTGGTATCCTTGATAACCACACTCCTCTCTCAAGGCTTTCTCAAAGATATACGTGTACCATCTATGCCATGATAAAAAGTTGGCCTATACGAGTCAGCACAAGTATCAAAGACTCGGAGATAATAAAATTACCGTTCCGTGGATTGAGAGCGTCTGTTTGATATGTGTCCAGGTGAAGTCATCATAGCTGGGGGGTTATTAGAGATGGCCTGGCTACTCCGTTAAGTTTGGGTAACCTACCGAGTCTTTGCTCCAGGAGCCTCCGATGGATTTGTCTTAGATGGCTTCGACATCAAGCACAGAACGGCATCCGTATAGCTTGGGGATGTATGTTAGTCTCTGAATAATAATTGGGTTGCAAAGCATCTAACCTTTTTCTCTCGGTATTTGAGAGCATTCCCCTATAACGAAGTCAGTTTGAGACCAGAGAACTATTCTGCGCATAATAGCTTACCATTCTTTTCTAATAGCAACGTTTGCGAGAGTGCAGCTTCCCTGCTTCCCTTGCGCCGCCTGCTCGATGCCGTGGACAGCAAGATTGATGAGACCTTTCGCTGCGAGCAGATCGGTACCAAATGTTGACGCTGGTTGGTAGGTGGCCGAAGTCAATGCCAACAAAGACGCCCAAGCAGGGACGTGTTGGAGACGCATCTTGTTGGAGATTTGAACCAGCGAGTCAGTTCAAGAAGTTTCAAGCAGAGTGAATTGAATTGAACTGGTTCATTGTCGTGAGAGGAGAGGTACCAGTTCTTATACACAGGAAGATGTCGGTAATATCATGGGAGAATTGAAACTCGGCAAATTAGAACGGAGCAGTCTAAAACTAAAAACTATCCATGTGGATATTATGCAACAGGGGCGGGGCAAATTGAATTTATTGAAAAACTGTCAATACGAAGGTTACGAAGTAGATGGGTAAGTATTCATGATTTAGCTAGTAGGGTTGCGGAATGACTAAGGGAAGACCAGGGCTCTTGTTGGCTGTATAACCCTTGGAGCCTTGCGTACTGCTTAAACGCATTCCTGTCATAGGAGCTGGCACCCTAGTCGATGCGCCTCCCTGCGAGCTAAATCATGAATACTTATTAGACTGGGCTGAGCGGGTGACGCCAACTCCCCATTCCGGGGCCCCGGTTCTTTGGCTGTTGGTCTTACATATCTCCATTTCCACGTGGTCCAGCCCTAGATCATCGCGGTGACAACAACCCTCGATTTCGAAGCTTCTTTTCTTTGAAACAAATTTGAGCATCCCATAACTTGGAACGGTTTGACCTTAACATCCCGTAGACTTAGGATCATCCACTGTGGGTGTTACGGAAACCTACCAATCGCCTGGGACTAGTTAGCTTGCAAAACACCAAGGCATTCTAGAGCTCCCTCGATCGCAAAGGCCCGTGGTTGGATAGACCGGAGGCAGAGGTACAGTATCTCCCCTCTTTTCCACATGTCGCACACATGGCAGAGACCCCCAAAGCGACCTGGCGCCTTGGTTTCCATGCTATTCACACTGCGAGGCGTTTACATGCCGGGTATTGGAGAACCTGTGAGTGGCCGCCATCCCCCGCCACGAATGATCTAAGTTTATCAGACCACATGGCTTTCTTTACGTTTTTTTGAGGGATTACTTATCGTTATGATACTATTGAGTAATCCCAGTCATGAATGGCCAATCCGAGGCTGGGATGCGAGGAGTTAAGTCTAAATTCCTGGTGAAGATTTGGAATGGTCCTGAGACAGTCCTACTAGGACGCCCTAAGGAGGCTGTGCTCCTAGGATTAACTCGATATATACTAAATCATATCACTGACACTTCCGCCGGCAAGCCATGGCTCCATAAGCAATACGCTCTCGGTTCCACTGCTCATCGTGTTCGGCGACTAGTCAACTAGTCAACTTTAGGGCAATTTCTAGTGTCTGGTTTTCTTCTATTTGTACCTCCAAATCCTTAGTAGAATCAGTTAAGACAAGAAATTACACATCGGCATAAACGTGTCAATTGTCACGCCACCGGTTTACACAAAACCCCTCAGCATTACTCCTGCGCAAGAACACCTCTCCTGGTCTATATACATTTACACGCTCCCCCACTCCTTTTTCAAAGAATCCCGATCCTGTGCCGGCTCGTCTGAGACATGGATGTCTATCGTTTTTGTGATGTTTCCCTTGCCTCCCGAGGAAGCATCATCAGTCTGCCGCAAGATGCTTGCCTCACTTTGGGTGTCGTTGTTCCTGCTCGATTTGTTACCGTCTCCGATGGCTCTGGCATTAACTGAGCTTAGTGGATAAGACTGGTTGTCTCCATAGGATATGTAACCGGTTCGGCGGCGAGAAACTCGTCCACTGATTCCTCCGGTCGTGGTTGATAGGAGACCCACGCGTCGTAGCAACCTCTCGAACGGAGATTTCAAGCACGGGATACAAGCGGCAATGATTCCCAGCTGTCCCTCAACCAGCGACCAGGTAGCCACGTTGACATTATCCCACAAAACGTCTCCAGTTTTTCCAAAGGTGGCAATGAGAGGAATCTTTACTATCACCGCAACTGTTGTAAAGAGCCCGATTCCCATAAGAAATCCTAACATCAACTTCTCCCGAAGAGGTCTTTGGATCTTCCACAAGAAGGATATTGGGAGGAGGGCGAAAGTGATGTCGGTCACGATCCCGATACCAGCAATGACGTACACAGTTGTTTGCGCAGTTGTGATGGGCCAACACTTCGCGCCGGGAGTGGTAGGATCCCAAGTGGCAGAAAGTGGCGAGCATTGGGAGAGCTGGACAACATTTGCAAGGATTGCTGTGCTAAGTTGAATGGCAATCATTGTATACAAGGCAATCTGCCACTTCCTGTCTTGTTTGATTCGCAACAACATACAAGCAATACTGATCTTTGCCAACGCAATAGCCCAGCCCCAAGGGATTTGGCTCATGAGGAGCAATCGGCCGGCGGCTTTTCCATCCTCAAAGCTGACATAGTAGTTGTGACGGCCCAGGCCAAGCGGGATACAAGCAAGAAGTATGCCCCATTGTGAAATCGCTGCTATCTAGGTCGTGTTGTTAGCATCGTCCCTAACCCCCCACCCCTCATGATATTGTTGACTATTACACACCATAGCACCAGTGACAAATGCATCATCCCAACCAAGACGGGCAGTAGTTCGAATTCGTGTATATATCCGCATGCCATAGAGGCTGATTGACAGTATGTATAGTGGTATACTGGCGGCGAGAAGTCGTCCTGCAATCGAAACATCGGGTCCCGGTGGAGGACCCAGAGGAGGAGGGCCATCGGCCATGGTGATGCGAAAACCACTAAAAGACCACTAAATCTAGTATACAAAGAAACCCAATCGAACTTTAAAAATGAAGGTGCAAGAAAGGCATGGCAGGTCTTGATATTTGATAGCACGCATCAATCGGCCAAAACCCATGGTGATCGTGGGCAGATATAGACATGCATACTCATTATCAGCGGTCGAGATCAGATTTCACCTGCCAGAAAGACGTCGGGGGTGCTAGGAGCCTTGTTCATGAATAGGGCCAGAAAATCCGGGAGAACGCCGGGGTCGGTGTTGTTTCATGGGCTACTCGTTCTGGATATTGCGTGGCGCCAGGGCTGGAAGCACTGGAAGCTGCGCTTTGGTACATGTACATGAGGTTCAATATTCATTACCCATCCCAGTTCCTTGTATTTTCGTCATCCTGGTTGAGTGACCCTCTCAAGATATGTCGAACATCCGAGCCTGTATAAGTTACAGTACGAGTACCTATGCGGTACATACATCTGGGTACTGCAAGCGTGATGATGCCAAACCGATGTTCCTCGAAACCCCCCCAACCTAAAGGAAGGTAATCCGGTGGGGTGCCGCAGCCACTCAGACGTTGCCAATCAGCGCCGGACCCGCCGTATTACCTTTCCTTTAGGGGTCAAACCAAGAACGCTAGGGGATCCGGGTCGGGGCCGGGGTCGGGTCCGTGTGAACACAACATACCGCGCCGCGGCGCGGCGCAGCAGAGCGTGCCGGTGTGGACGGAGGTACTGTAAGTAACTGTTAAGTAAATCCAAGGGCTGTGACCCCTACTCTATGGCGTGTCGCGGTAGTGGCAGGGGCTCGTCGGAGCGGCTTGTTGTTCCGCGCCCGGATTGCCTTGGCGAGCCGAAGTGGGCTTGGGACTTTTCCGTATCGGATCCGTGTGCAGGCGGGAAAGGGCCAGCCAAAAAGGGAAAAAGGAAAAAGGGAAAAGGAAAATGGAAAAAGGCAAAAGGAAAAAGCAAAAAGCTACAGCTTAATTGGCGCGCTCGTCGGCGGATTGCTACAACCGCGGCCATGTACTCTGCCATGTATCAGATGCTATTGATCCGGTCACAGTACAGCGGAGGTACTTCCGTAGATAGGTACTGTACATATACATAGCATCGCTTCAAACCTTCCTCGTCGGCGTGGGAGACGATGAGATGATCCTGTCATCCACGGTTGTTACAAACTCGATACGGCAAGATAAGGAGGGGATACAAGCACGAAGTAGCCGTTGGTTTACTAATAACCGTCTTGGATTTAATCTGGTGGTGGACCCTTGCACTTTCTCTCGCAATCTTCGGCGAATATGGACATGTACGTACGAGCTTCCGAGTGGCATGAGTACGCAGTAGCTAATAATAATAACTACGCGGAGGTAGAGTAGGTACGTACATAGTCTCTAGTCGGGTCACTCCCTGTAGGACCCTACCTCGTACAGGTTACGGAGTACGAAGTACAAATTCTAGATTCCAAGGTTGATAGGGCAGGGCAGGGCAGGGTCTTCGCGCAGGGTCGCTCATCTGTCGTTGGCTGCAATCCCTCGGCTAATTCTAAGCAAGAAGAAGCAAATAGCAAATAGCAAGTAACGCAGCTTTGCTGGGCACGCATCCCTCTTCACATTACAAAGTACCATCGCCTAGATGGTTGTTCGTCCGACAATACCCACAAGCTTCTAGCATCACCGAGGACTATACTTATTGTTGCAGTCCAGCACTGTACGAAGTGGCGAAGTACGTACTTCGTAAGGTGGTGGTACTCCTCGCCACACCCACCCCTCAAGAGCGAAGTTGCAAACTAGGTCCCTCTACAGCGGATGTTGGGGTGGCAAGGCGCGGTGGGTGGCTAGATTCGCCAACCTTCATCCAGATTCCAGATGGGGGGAGAAGTGGGTATGATAGGGCTGCAATAAATGTGCCGTAATAGGTATTAAGATGTGGGGGGGGACCTACTCGTAGAAGAATGACCCTGCGTATAAACTTTTGACATAAAATCTATACCGAACAATGCCTTAAAATGAAACAACCTTCAGTATTGCAATTGCAAGCGAAGGAAGCTTACCTTGGGCAAGGTAGGTGGAGGAAGGAAATGAGAATATTGCTATACCAATAATCTCGTAATACCGCCATCCTAGGGGTTGCATGGTCTAGGTCGCTCCTTTCAGATAACCTCGTTACAAACCGCATCCAGTGTGCGCTGAGGGATCCACCCTCGTGGCGAGAAGGGTCGATTGCCACAGCTCGTTCTACTCTCCCAATAAGTTGGTACACAGGCTGGCTGAGTTCCTCATGTATGGAATTTTGCTTGTCTACGTCAAAGCCGCCTTGCCGTTTTACGCAAAATGCGCCACTGCAAACCTAGCACAATAATCAATGGAAAGGGTGCAGATTGCAATGGGATCACTGCTGGTAACCAAGCACGTCGGTGTATGGGCACCCGCCTATGCAGAGTAGAAGCTTGTTGTTACTTGCGCCTGGGTTTTGATTTTGCTTAACACGTAGGATGTTAGATTGCTTATATGGTTGCTATCAGTGCCACCTTTACAGGGATTTTCTCCCCAAAAATCTAACTATCGCATATATCATATTGGTCTGTTGAGTTATAGTCGGCTTTCGTGTAAAAGGATAGAGTGTATAGATGTAGAAATGTATCTGCTCTTTTCTGATGAAGTTCAATGCATACGTACTAGGTATACAATATCACGCAAAGGAAGTTTCTCTTTTTAGGTGCGCATGGGCAGGTCATTTATTTATTTGGTCTCTTTGCAGTATCACAACTCTAGTAGCTATAATAGGTCGGTCTGTGTTGGCTGGGGCCTACTTCTTCTACAGGCCAGGAGAATATTTATATTCAGAATACTCTCTTTAGTTATGTCTAGTGTCTACAAGAGTTTGTGGTTGTGGACGCAGTCTTGAAACATGTCAGGACTAAACCTGATTATTAGTACGAAGTTAAGCTAGTAGTAAGGATATAACGATTCAATGGTATATAAGTCCGTTTAGCAAGAGGTACTGTCACATACAACCATAGACTGAGGAGAATAGAGTATAAGGTCACAGAGCATACAATTAAATCTTAAGTGGAAGAAATTAGTAAGATAGGTGATTTAGACGACTATACAGTTCGAGTGTTATAAAAAAAAGAGTGTGGTTTTAAGCAAAATAACAGATATTGCAACTCCTACAAGATGGCGATTTGAAGAAGCTGCAGTGATCGCCGTTGTGGTGCGATGATGCTGGGGTTTCCACATTATATGGAGTGGTTTGAGGGTCGACAGAGGCTCAACGCCCAGTTCGGTCGAGAATATCACCAGCCTCAGGTGACGCAGCCGTGTGATTCAGACTACAGCTGTGTTCAGCTCAGCCAGTGTTCGGCGTCGGCACAATTAGTCTAGCTGTTGTATGTGGCCGCTACGTTGTTGTCAATGACCAAGATCCCACGACTACCTGAGGTTCTCGATAGTACGTACATCTTCAGGTAAGCCCATCATAGGATCGTCTAGATCAGCACCTACATCCCACCACCCTTCATGCCAGTTCCTCGTAGTGAAGTCGTTCTCTAGGGCTCTGACGAAGCTAAGTGGCTGACTACTGTCTTCAACGTTGTAAGGAACCCCTGAAAAGGATGCGAACGCCGAGAAGTCGAACTCAGGCATATTATTGGCTGTCTCTCCTGTCGCAACATCTCGATACCCTGCTTTGCGCCGCTCGTCCTGAATCGTTCTTGACACTTTGTTCAACGCATTGATGGTTCTTGCGAATGGGACGAGGTCGGTTCGTAGAGTAGATGCTTCTGCCATGGCCGCGCCAACGCTTTCCAGAAGCCGGATGTCTTGCTCGCAGTCCTCTGGGTTGGCACAAGCTAAGATATGCTCGTACAGTGAGAAGACTGCACAGAACGGGTAGAAGCTTATGAAGCTGCGGCGGGGCAAGATTAGTTTGAGGGTCTGAATATATTACTCGAAGATGGCATTGAACATACTAAATGTAAACAGACTGAGCTGCATCTGCAGGTGCTGGATTGATGGCGAATTCAAGAGTGATCTGAGCCACTTTTCGAGCTGCGCGAAGGGCGATAGCATCGACAGGATCTGAGTCTGGTGTCGGTTTGACTAGTCGCTTGATTCCTATGATGATGGCATAGATGTTCATGACATGATCTGCGATGAGATAGCGGAGAGTTTGCGGCATGTCATTGTCTCTCATGATCGACTCCATCTTCCACTCTGCCATCAGGTTCTCAAGCTGTATGCAGAAGTCGTCGACTTGGTGCTGAATCCCTCCATCTCGCTCATGAGAAAGATCGTTGTCGATCTCATTAAGCATTTCTGCTGTCATCAGTGTGTACCTGATCCACACCACTGACACCGTGACCCGAGAAACGGATGGATGCATGTCCTCGGTACGAAGAATAGCTGGTGGTCGAACCTTGTGTGGTGCCCATCGAACCTTTGCCAATGTTAGTGTAGATCAGTGCCCATCAAAATAAGTTGCAAGAAACGAGCTCAACGATTGCAGGGACTGTAGTGCAATTGTGTGATAGGAATGAAAGGGGGTGAAGACAGGGATCTCTTCAGGTACTGTCAGAAATCAACATACCACCGTGGGTTTGCCGTAGATCAGGCGATATAATGTATCAGTAGACAGGATGTGCCAGTACAAATATCGTAGGGTATCCCTTTTATCTTCCTCTTCGAACGTCTTAGCTGGTATAACATCCAGTTGATCGATCTTCCTAGCCTTGATGTAATGGCATGACTTGCAGTGGAACTTCCATGAAAGCTGGTAATCATTATTGCTGATTGCTGTCCAGGCTGTCAAGGCAGCCGTATAGCCGTCCAAGTCTGTATCGACTGAGGCATCGAGCCACGCTGGTACGGCTTCCAACACCTTTAGATACATGCTTTGCGCAACGACATCTCCGGCACCGCGAATTTGATGAAGACCATAGTACAAGGCATTGTAATACATAACGTACACACCTGGATCGACTTTGACATACGCTGACTTGATGATGTCGGGCAGCACACGAAGGAGATCGACATCGATGGCTGCGGCGAATACATCAGGTACGACCATATTGCTCATGAGATGGACGAACGCGTCGACGCTTGCTCTTACTTCTTTAGGAGAGAGGTTCAAATCAACCTTACGAGCGTCAGTCCGTATTCGAAGCCTGCCTAAATCGTCGAGGGCATCGCTGAGCGACAACATCGCGTCGTCTATCCGTGGTGTTGGTGTGCTAATAGGGGTGGTCTGACTCTGCAAATTACGCCTGACGTCCGAGGCCATGCGGTATATCCATGCTGTAGGGCGTTAGTACTCATGTATAGCGCTCAAGAGTCTGACTCCTTCCCAGCCCTGCAATACATCGTGTCACAATTTTCCTTGTGTTAAATGCAGGCAGAGGCCTGGATACCTTCAGTATCTTTTGCGATTTTCGAAAGAAGATCTCAAAATGGACTAAGGATATCTATGTTCTGTGGGCCGTGTTGGCTCGATCGCGGGGTGTTTGGTACTTACGCTGAGCGACACGAATTACTGCAGGGCCTGGTGCTCCTATATAGTCGTTGACACAAGACAATAGATGTGATCAGATTAAGCTCAAGAAGGCACTCACATTCTTGACCATCGCCAGTCATCAAAGACGCCTTGGGAGAGAGTACTAGATCTGTGCCAGTGGTTGTTTCGGACGGCGCTTCAGATTCATGTGTCGGTAAGGTCGTAGGCCTACCATCAGCCAGCAGTGAGCATTCAGTACCAGGACGGCTTATGTGCTTCTCTAGCAGCTCAAGTCGTTCACTCAAGTGATGGACTGCCCCACGCTGCTGTGATATCCTCGGTCTTTGACGTCTTTCACCATACTGACATTCTGTCTTTGCGGTGATGCAGTGATGGCAGATCGGGTCTCTTTTGTCGCATTTGATCTGGCATCGTTAGGAGTTAAGTGCTAGCACAATCGGTCTGACATGCTGAGATCCTTCTAGTATATCAAAACCCCAGAGCGGCATGCCTTTGGATTAAAAGCATGCTCGCAGGTATTACACGTACCTTTTTCCGCTTGCAACGCAGGCACTGGGAGCATGATCAGCACCACGTTGCCGGGTAAAGAATTTGGGTACGGTGCTCGTACGGCAAGCTTCATTGTGACTCCTCAAGAGTGTCCCAGATTGATAATTGATACCTTCATCACCTGCGCCAAGGTTACAGCTGCTCACGCGCTAGGATAAAAGTTGACTGCCATTCGGAATCGTGATTGCGTTCGGGAGGACTGATGACCGAAGTTGCGAGAGATGAGATACTCGAGTACGGACGGAGTACTCGTATGCGTGCATTTGAACGCTTCTTCGCCGGACTCCCGGAAGCCGGAAAAGTCCGGACGCACCAGCTTCCAGCTGCAAATATTAAATAGCGTCCATCGCCCTCGCCCATCACTGGTTGAGAGTATCCATTCCTTGGCGTCGTACGGACATTCGGACAAGAACGAATGTAGAGCTTTGCACGATATGGCGAAGCTCGAGTGCCTGCCTGGCTGGCAGTGGGTACTGGACATTCGGGTTTGAAAGACGCGCGAACGGGATCTCTACAAAAGTGTGAAGATGAGAATCTTTAAAAGGATGCGACTGCGACTGCGAAGCCTTCTACACAGCGTTGATCACGTCGATACCTTAAGAGGCCCTGGACAAGTTCAGCATGTCCCCTGCCCATCGCGAAGCTCCAATCGCTGGCCACACCAACATCAACATTGATTCGAGCTCGAGTTCGGGGCTTGGCTACACGGACGAGATCAAACAAGAGAGGCAACACGATCAGAAAGTCCTCGACCTTGTCCGAAAGTTCACATCCCAGGCAGAACAACATCACCTTGGATCACCATTTGAGGCTGTCGAGAGTAGCCGATTAAACCCTAAGAGCGACCGGTTTCGAGCGAGAGACTGGGCTAAGGCGTTCCACGACTTGCGCTACAGCAGCCATGAAGCCATTCCTCGCATTGCTGGTGTTGCCTTCAGAGACCTCAATGTTTGGGGCAAAGGATCACCGACAGATTTTCAGTCGACCGTAGGTAACAATATTTTAAAGCTACCGTCATTGTTCGGATGTCGTACTCAGAAAATCGAGATTCTGCAAAATCTAGACGGATTGCTACTTCCTGGAGAGCAGCTATGCGTTCTAGGCCCACCGGGGTATTTCATCCGTCTGTTGCTATCTTCCCAAATCACTAATACCTGGCAGTTCCGGTTGCTCTACGCTGCTGAAGACGATTGCTGGCGAGACCCATGGCTTTCAAGTCAGCCCAGAGTCATACCTAAACTATCAGGGTATTCCGGCTAAGAAGATGAACACCGAGTTTAGGGGCGAAGCCATCTACACAGCGGAGGTAGACGCGCATTTCCCTCAACTGAGCGTTGGGGACACGCTGTATTTCGCCGCTTTGGCTCGTGCTCCTCGTCTGATACCTGGTGGTGTTAGTCGAATACGCTACGCCGAACACCTCCGTGATGTAGGCTGCCTATGCTTGTTTGCGTATTCTGTGCTAATTGCTTGTAGGTCATCATGGCGATGTTCGGTGTGAGCCACACCGTGAACACGAAAGTGGGTAACGATTTTGTTCGAGGTGTCAGTGGAGGCGAACGCAAGAGAGTGACGATTGCCGAAGCTGCGCTGAGCTTTGCTCCGTTGCAATGCTGGGATAACTCCACGCGTGGCCTCGACTCAGCAAACGCGGTCGAGTTTTGCAAGACATTGCGTACACAATGCGATGTGTTTGGCGCGTCTACATGTGTTGCTATCTACCAAGCGCCACAAGCTGCTTACAAGGTTCGTGCTACGCAAATGCAAGATTGGACGCAGACTAAAGTTTTAATAGGTCTTCGACAAGGTAACTGTCCTGTATGAGGGCCGACAGATCTTCTTTGGTCCTGCGAACGACGCACGCAGCTATTTCGAGCGTCTTGGTTTCGAGTGTCCTGCGTCACAAACCACTCCGGACTTTCTAACTTCGATGACCTCGCCATCCGAACGCCGGATCAAAGCTGGCTACGAAAACACAACACCACGGACTTCGGACGACTTTGCTCGGTGCTGGAAGGAGAGCCCCGAAAGGCAAAGACTGCTCCGAAATATCGAGCAGTACAACCAGGATCATCCACTCAGTGGAGACGACCTTGAAAAATTCGCTGAAGCAAGAACACGCGAGAAGTCCCAAAAGCAACGACAGAAATCGCCATACACTCTATCATATTGGAGACAGATCAGACTTTGCATGTGGCGCGACGTTCAGATGATCAAGAACGACCCCTCCGTACCATTGGCCATGTTAACGATCAACTCCTTCGAGGCCATCATCATTGCCAGCATATTCTACAATCTGAGAGAAACAACAGAATCGTTTTTTATGCGTGGCGGTATTCTCTTCATGATGGTCGGTATTTCCAAACTCGCATTGTCTTTCAGGCATGTCGTTCAACCCCTATAAGCACGTGACTAATCATCCGCCCCAGGTCCTCCTCAACGCATTTGGTAGCATGTTAGAAATCTTTACTCTTTATGCGAAACGAACGATTGTTGAAAAGGTGAAAACGCACATTGGCTTCGTCGAATACGCTGCTAATGTAGACATTAGCACAACCGATACGCCCTGTACCACCCAAGTGCCGAAGCACTCTCCGCGATGATAGTGGATTTGCCCTACAAGATCACGAACTCGCTTATTGTCAACTCTACACTCTATTTCATGGCGAATTTACGCCGCGAACCAGGCCCCTTTTTTTTCTTCTTGCTTGTTGCCTTTACTATGACACTATCGATGAGCATGTTTTTCCGTCTTTTTGGCTCGATGACGAAGACCATCGCACAAGCTCTAGCTCCAAGTTCGATTATCCTCATATTGCTCGTTATGTATACCGGATTTGCTATTCCTGTTCAGTATATGAGAGGGTACGTATTCTCCCGACCTCCCGCTGCAACTGAAGTGGAAATATGGTCATTCAGAGATCTTTGCGGGTCCATAACACCGCAAACCTTCTTCAAGTCAAATCTTTACTAATTGATGCAGATGGGCGAGCTGGCTTCGTTGGCTCAACCCGATTTCCTACGGATTCGAAAGCGTGATGGTCAATGAGTTCCACGGACGTCGATTTGAATGCTCGGCATTTGTTCCAAGCGGTCCGTCCTACGAGAACATTGCCGCAGATCAAAGAGCATGCGCTGTCCAGGGCTCTCAGCCCGGTGATGGCTTCGTCGGTGGTACCGCATTTGTTGAGACTGCATTTCGGTACCAGTACGGGAACCGATGGCGTAACTACGGAATAATCGTTATGTTTACATTCGCCCTACTTGTCGCTCATCTCGTGATGAGTGAGCTTGTCGCCTCGGAGCGCTCGAAGGGCGAAGTTCTTGTCTTCCGACGATCCAGCATGGAGACAAAGAGAAAGCGAGACACCGGAGATGAAGAGGCCGGTAGCGCGTCTGCTCACGATGGTGAGAAGGTTAGCAACAGCGATCGCTCAGAGCACAACGTAGAAAAGCAGGTATCGGTCTTTCATTGGGAGAAGGTGAACTACGAAATCCAGATCAAGGGCGAGACTCGTACAATCCTAAACTCTGTCGATGGCTGGATCAAGCCAGGGACTCTGACAGCACTCATGGTGAGCTTAGTCAAGCAGCAAAGAGTAGGGTAAATGCTAATTCACCAACAGGGCGTGTCAGGCGCAGGCAAAACCACATTGCTCGACGTTCTTGCTAGTCGAACCACTATGGGTGTGATCTCCGGAAACATGCTAGTAGACGGACGAGAGCGGGATGAGTCTTTCCAAAGAAGGACTGGCTACGTTATGCAGCAAGACATCCATTTGGAGACTGCCACGGTACGAGAGGCACTTGAATTCTCGGCTCTTCTGCGACAGCCACCGGAATACAAGCGCGAGGAGAGACTTTCATATGTCAACCATGTCATCGGGTTGTTGGACATGGAACAGTACGCAGACGCTGTTGTTGGTGTGCCTGGATCAGGTCTGAACGTGGAGCGTAAGTATCTTGTCACACAGTTATTCTGCCATCGCATGCTAATCGCCTACAGAACGCAAGCGCCTGACCATCGGCGTCGAGCTTGCCGCCCGTCCTAAGCTTCTTCTGTTCCTTGATGAACCGACATCTGGTCTCGACAGTCAAACCTCTTGGTCCATTTGCGACTTGATGGAAAAGCTTACCCGCAACGGTCAGGCTATCTTGTGCACGGTCCATCAGCCATCATCACTACTCTTCCAACGCTTTGATCGACTGCTACTTCTTGCTAAAGGCGGTCGTACTGTCTACTTTGGTAGCATCGGTCGCAACTCCAAGGTACTCCTAGACTACTTCGCTCGTAATGGTGCACCGGAATGCCCTGCCGGCACCAACCCTGCCGAGTATATGCTTAAGGCGATAGGTGCGGCTCCCGGGGCTCAGACAGCTGTCGACTGGCCTGCAGTCTGGAAAGAGAGCAAAGAGTACACCGACGTGCAAACAGAGCTTGCCAAACTACGAGACCTCGCCAGACAACCCTCCGCTACTATGGACTCCTCCGATGGAAGCCATCAAGCATTCGCAGCATCCTTCATGACCCAGCTACGAGCAGTCGCTCTCCGCTGCGCCCAACAGTATTGGAGGACACCGTCTTATATCTACTCAAAAGCAATCCTCACCGTCGGTTGTTCTCTCCTGATTGGCTTCTCTTTCTTCAAAGGTGACAATACTATCCAAGGACTTCAAAACCAGATGTTTGGCGTCTTCATCTTCCTCTTCGTCCTCATCCAGCTATTGTTCCAGATCATGCCTATGTTCGTTAGTCAAAGGACGCTTTACGAGGCCCGCGAACGACAGTCAAAGACCTATGCCTGGCAAACGTTTGTACTCTCTAATATTACGGTAGAGATGGCTTGGAACGCTGTAAGTTACTCCCAAAAATCACTTAAAGTGTTTCCGCTCACATTGAACCCAGTTCATGTCCGTTTTCTGCTTTCTTGTCTGGTACTATCCAGTTGGCCTCTACCGCAACGCCGAATGGACCGACTCCGTAAACATCCGTGCTTTCCACACACTCCTGATTATCGTTGCTGCGTTCCTCTTCGCAAGTTCGCTGGCACATATGATTATTGCAGGCTTACCAAATGAAGAGATTGCAGGCGCTGTCGCAACGCTGGTCTCCATCATGTTGTACGCTTTCTGTGGTATCCTAACAGGACCGAGCGCCTTACCGCGGTTCTGGATCTTTATGTATCGGGTAAGTTGTATCATATCCGGGCTTGAGCGAGCGTACACTAACATGATATTAGGTGAATCCATTTACATATCTTGTCTCGAGCTTCATGTCATCAACACTGGGCCAAGCGCCAGTCTCTTGCGACGACACCGAGTTCCAGTCCTTCTTCTCACCAGCGGACCAGAGCTGTGAGGAGTATATGCGAGACTACATGTCAACAGCGGGTGGTTTTCTTCGCGATCCACAGGCTACCGGCCAGTGTAATTATTGCCAGATGGACAGTACCAACCAATTTCTAGAGCGTATAAGTATTGACTGGGCTACCCGCTGGAGAGACTTTGGTCTGCTGTGGGTATATATCGCGTTCAATGTTGCGGCTGCGGTGTTTCTTTACTGGCTTTGCCGCGTGCCGAAGGGGAAGAAGGCGTAGAGGTCCTGAACACTTCCAGCGATTGATCCGCCGCGACTAATAGACGAAAGCCTGTCTTCAAGACTCTGGCTAAGGATAAGCTCATGCCCAATGAACGCCGCTACTCGAAACGGACCTGCGGAAGTGTTAGACTGGACCGAATCTCTGACCTGTATACTACGGAATTCACTTCCGTCAGGAGCTTCAGGGCATCACTTTTTACCCCTTTTTATGTACATTCCGAATATTCGGGTTTCACTTCTTATTTCAGTTATGCTTGCGAACCCTCTTTTGGCACATAGATCACTCCTTAAATAGGCTCTCGAGCGCTCCTGTATTTACTTTCAGCAATCAACTCATTCTGAGCACACTTGACCCCAAATTCCACTCTAAACCAAAACCAACTACAGCCTAGAGTTCCTCGGGAAGTCATTCCGCTGATGAACTTGAGGCTGTTTGAGGACACGGGTGTGCAGAACATTAGTGATGGGCATAGAATTTGCAAGGAAGGTATGCGTAATTCTGCAAAGATTGGTTGGATCGTGTTAGTAGGACTGCTTATTACGTATGCAATGTAGGGTTCGGCGAAGCAAATTGATATAGTATAAGAGTATAAAGAAGTACAAGAAGGAATAACGGACACAAACAAAGTCATATATTGGCGTTCTAGTAGCGGGAGAAATCCGAGAGATACTGAGGCAGGTAGCGATTGATTGTCCACATTAATCGAAAAGTCGGAAGCTGCCATCGAACAAATTTATAGCGAAATCTATGCTTCGAGTGGGGAGCTAAACGGGAAGAGAAACCATCTACTGAAGCACTCTTAACAATTTTGTTCCCGTCGATGTGGAGTGCTAATGACCTGCCCAGCTTACAACTGATACTTAATTGGAATGTCCGCACTCCATTTGCCCCATATCTCTCAAGCGCCCTTTATACTATAAGAGAAATAGCATAGTCTAAAGTGACAATTTATACATACTTTTGCCATATCTTATCTACGTCCACGTGCCTGTCTTTAATGGCGCTGGCGATTGAGGACTGTTCAGTCTGGCTTAATTGATTCTGTCGATTAGGTGAAGTCTGCGTAGAGTAGTCTCGCTTCTGTGCTAGAGCAATTTGATCCTCTAAAGTAGGGGCTTTCCGTCCCATGTTAGTAGGTAGCACGATGTAAATAGAGATAGAAATTATTGTACATGGAAGACTGAGAAATATGAAAGCGGGAGCCCCTCTTGCCCTGCTCACCTATGGCCATCTAAAGTCGCGGTGCAACGCGTCCCGAGATGAGACCCGCAACCTGTGGTCGAGATGGTTCCATCACGAAATGGAGGGTAAGGGCAGCGAGGCTCACCCGCGAGGCCGGATGGCACCGATCGAACTATCGACCTAATGAAAGCCTCAGATCGGCAGATGAGTAGTTGGGTGGGTGACCACCAGCGAATACCTGCTGTTGTATGTTTTTATTTTTCTGGTTACTTTATGACGAAGGTATTTAGTCCGGACAGTTGTACATGTACTTCTTTTTGGACATACGTAGCGAAAAAGAGACAGTCGGAACTAAATAAGAAAAGATGGTCTTTAGAATTAATGAATACAAGACACGAAAATAACCAAGCTCTAAAAATGAAAATGACGTTGTTACGTACGTAGTAACTGTCTAATTTTTACGAATTCTATTGGATAAATATCATATTTCTGAAATGATAGCGATCCTTGGACACCCACCGCTTGAGTTTTTACAACGTAGCAAGAACAGGTTCAATTAGTTCGATGAAAATGCTAAGTCCTCTTACATTACAGCCCGTCATCCACGGGGATTACTACATTATAGCTATCCTCCCAATATCCTTAAACTCCCAACGCAGCTCGAGAGGCTTCGTGCCCATCCCTCATAAAACGCTCGAGCAAGTAGAAGCGAGATTGGAAGGAGAAACCAAGGAATGTTTCTTAGGATTTATAAGGAGGATGTTGAAATGGGCTCTAGAAGAGCGTAGTACTGTCTGAGAACTGCTCCGCGATCCTTGGCCTCGGAGGCGAAGCAATATACTTGTGTAAGATGCTTGCTCCGTGGACATTCCTGCTCCTAACCGATCGTATTATCTCCACTTAGTAAGTCTCGCCATGGGCCTTATAAGTAGATACTGGGAGTAAAATATCTCAATCATACAATAAGTTTAGGGACGCTCATAAGACGACCCTACAACACCTCCTCGCGAGCGTAAGCGGTTTGCATATTAGACAGCCACCCTTTAATACATGTTTCACGGTCACCACAACATCAATTAACACTCCACACAATGTACCAAATTCCTATTCCTCATTCCGTAGATTTAATCTATCCCATGTAAGCTCTCCCTCTCTGATACATATTCTACCAAAGCTAGAACACAAAACACGAAGTAGTAGTGGTAGTAGTAGCAAAAACCAGCTATCTGTAGCTCCTTGATCTAATCAATCAAAAAAACACAAAACTCCATACCGTGCCCGATTCTCATGCACCTTTCAAAACCACCCAATGCTTTCTTTCATCTAACCGTAAACACCAACGAGCCATAAAACTATGCTTTGTACAAGAAAATGAAAAGAAATCTGTCGCAAGAAAGAGCTGGTTTATCTAAAGCGAGTTATGCATAATACCGTAACTCCCCTATTACTCATACACCTGCAACGCCATAGCCGCCATCCAAAAAGAGAGGGGAAAAGCAATAGAGATAAATTATGCAAAAGTAGCCAACATCTTATTCTTTCCGACCCATCAAACTCAGTAACCCATCAGCGGCGCGGCCCTTAACTACACTACTCATCAATTCATTCCCATGGGTGTCCAGAGTCTGGCTCCCCAGCCCGGGGAGACTTAAAAGACCTTCACTCTGACGAGGTAGGAGAGGGGTGGCGAGGCCATGATCTAGCGTATTATTAACCCCCTGCTCTTCTTGTGGAGGAGTTGGGGCGCGTTTAACGCTATCTTCTGGGAAGTTGTTGTATGCATTCGGTGGTGATGAAGGGATTCGGGTTGTTTGTTCCTCAATCTTAGGCGACGAGGGTTCTCGGAGATGGATTATTGGGCCTCTTGGGGGCGTTGAGACAATTTGTAGATGATGCCGGTTGGAGGGGGCAGCATAGGAGGATGCAAAGGATGCGAAGGCTGGGTGTGAAGAGGAGTGGATTTGAAGTTGAGCCATGGGCACATGAATCTGGTTTGTGCGGACTTTGTAGCCGGCAAGTCGGAGACGAAGCATTCCTGCTTTTGCTTTCTATAGCCATGTTAGAACTTTGAAGAGGGGAATCTAGGGAACATGAACTAACTTGTCGAATTTGGTCTCTTGTTAATGATTGGGAGTTATTTGACGTGACTGTATTTGATGTGGGGTTGAGATTTATGGCTGCAGCGGGAACCACATCATCCGGTTCAGTAAGGATGGTATGCTGAGAATCATCTAATGCTGCTTGACTGGAGTTGGAGGAAGACCCTGGCGACGTTTGGCGGGACGAAGGCGAGTGATCATCAGCTCCATCACACTTCCAGAAATGTCAGTATTTCTCTATCCTCGAGTACTGGATGTGACATACCTGGGCATATCGCTTCCGCACTACTTTGCTTCGTTCCAATACAGATTCCCCCTCTTCCACTCGAACCCAATATCCATCACCAGCCTCTCGTCTGGCCCTCTTTGGCGATTCATGGGCTTCCCGGGCAGCTTTATCCAGCGGTCTCTTTTCCCCACCAATCTCCGTAACCTTCTTGGCCGCATGTTCCTCAGACAAGGCTCTAAATGGAGAAACTCTATCTCCCATCTTATGCGGCTTCACGAGATTATCGGTGTTGCTTCGCGGGTCGGCCCTAGCTTTCATAGGCGTGTTGAGGCTCAGGTCGCCTAGTACGCGACGCGTAGGTGCTGGTGAGGCCATTGTAAATGGAAGTGGACTGTAAATTTATCACAAGGGGCAATTGGTGGTTCGAGGGAAAGCTATTAAAGCTTTAGAAAACGCGTTGTTGTTGGTGGTGGTGGTGGTGAAGCTTGGGATCTATGTCGCGTTAAAAGTGTTAGTAAATACTGGACCTTTGCTATGTACCAAGCCTAAAGATTTACTGACCTCTTGTTTGCAGTAAACCCCAGTTTATAAAGGCGCCTCCAGGTATAATATCAGACTGCTGTCAATATACTTTTATTAGACAGACGCGTTATTGTGAGAGTTGTGTTGTGTTGTTGAAGGGAAGGTCAAGATCGCGTCTGTAATCGATAGTCATAAGTCCAGGAACACGAAGCACGTTCGTATCTCGTATCTCGGTCCGGATCGTGCTCCGCGATCATTCTGCCAGACCCTGGGTATGGGCGGTGTGGCACCCTTGCTTCCCGACGCGGGGCAGCCTGGGTCCCTGGCCTGAGGCGCCACACCCGTACTAGTAGATATAAGATATAACTTGTACAGAGGAATATAGAGTCGATAGGAGAGTACGGTGTAGAGTAAACCGGGTGTTTAGTAATCTCGACCCTTTTTTGCCTTCTGATTTCTTTCCTTTCCCCCCTACCGATCCCATCCTGTTTACAGTCCCGACTATCGTTAAGACTATCTAGTATGTGTTACTCTAGAACAGCCTCCAGAAAAACATCAAGTTGCTTACTGACAAAGGCACTGCGAGTTTACACCGATTCACAAGGCAAGAAATAATAGACATTCATCTCGTAGGGATCATACAATTGGCTAAAACTCATAATGTACACAGGATGCTGTGTTGACGCAAACACCATCGCTAAATCCCTTAATCCGAAAATTTTCAGATATGTCAAAAAGAAGAGCCCAAATATAAATCCCAGTCCCCCAAAAATTACCGAGCACGAGTGGCCCGCGTGCCTCCTTTAAAACGCCGCACACATGCTTTTTTCAATGGTATTATTTCGCCAACCCCCTTCGTTGTGCCAAAGGGTATCCGGTCTTTCCATCCTTTGTCAGAACGCCTGAAAAGTCTGAAAAATCAAAAGTTTCCTCTCCCAAAACGATGCAATAACAGGAAGGCCTAGTCGGCGTTCATCGAGTAAAGAGAGGTATCAAAAGAAAATGGCTTATCGAGCGCTGCGGGATCGATCATGTCGTCCCACTTGAAGTTGAGTGATGGCTGTTCTTCAAGCATCATCACATCGTCCTCCTTGGTAAAGTTAATGCTATTCATATCGAACAATGTATCCGTTTCGCTTGGACCAAAGGGCATCCAGCTACCCTCAAATATGTCGAGGTTAATATCGAGTCCAACACCATCCGAGATGTCACTATTCGGCTCCGAGACACCATCTTTGCTTGATTCCGGCGTGTCGTTCGGGGTGATCGACCGATAGACGTTCATATCCGAGATCGCACCACCAGCTCCACTTTCAAAAGTCTGGAAGGCTTGGAAGAGATCATGAGGGTCAATAGTAGCATTGGCCCAAGGATCTTCGATGATCATTTCCTGCGGCGGCTGGGCCTGTTGTTTGCTGGCGTCCTTCTGGTCGGTAGTAGGTCTGGCTGAGCCATCTTTTGATGGAGTAGCTTTCGCTGGTGTGGCCGATTTGGCTCCAGCTGCACTACCCTGGCGATTCATAGATACTTGACGGTTCATGGGCGTTGCAGCGGCAGGTGTACTTCCGCCCTTAACATTTGGAGTATGACCTTGCCTGGAAACGCTTGTTGCCATCTTGGGTGCAGTAGGTGTGGCCGCAACATCCTGAGAAACAACAGGCGGCTTCTTCGACTGGCCTCGAGCATCCAAGCCTAGCGTGGAAGCTAAGTTCTGCTGCGCATATTGGAAAGGATCCTCTAGCGGTTTGATATGTTCTTCTTGAGTGTGGATCCTCAATGCTTCTTCGCTATCAAAACCGACATTGTGCCTATCGCATTCCGGTTCCGAGCAGCAGAGAGCCGTCCTGGGTTGTGGCTTTGCTTCGGCAGGTTGTCTCTTGACTTCGGGGGCGACTCCCTTTGATACTTGAGGTGAAGCATTAGAACCAGGAGTTCCCTGCGCTGGAACTGGAGCGTTGTTGTTCTGCTTCTGCTTCTTCCGAGCCGGAAGATGAAGGTTCTCTTGAGTCACTGTGCTCTTACCTATATAGGCAGGCACTCCATCAGGTGGCGACTTGGCACTAAATGGAAACGGTGGCTGGGCAGATGTAGGGGCAGCAGGCGCGTGAGAACCGCGACTATTTGATCTTTGGTGCAGTTTGTTAAGTTGCTGTTGCTGCTCTTGAAGATTTGCAGCGTTCAGCGGAACAGTTGGTGCTGGTACAGCTTGCGTGGCTGGCACGGTAGGTTGGGATGCAGGAGCGGCTTGGGCCCCAGTTGGGTCCGATTTCTTCAAACCCGGGAATCTATCACTCAAATCCTTCACCATGCCATTTAGCATATTCCGACCTTGTTCGATTTCCTTGGTGCTAATGGAGAATGTATCCTTCGGTTGGGTCATTGCCGGGTCACGGAATTGCTTCGCTAATCGATTTTTCTAGCTGATGTTAGTATAAGAGAACCTGCGGTTTAAACAAGTTTGGACTTACAAAGCGGAAAAACATTCTTGCCCTGTTGTCATCATGCGTAATTCCATACCATCTGGGGATTGCCTTTGTCATGTTCGAAAAAGGCTGTAGGATCTCTCTTAGCATCTTCGTCACTTTGGCTTTCATCTCCGCGTCTAGTGGGATATCAGCAGGCGGCTGCATGTTGATCTTTGCCAGCTCCTCTTGGTTAATGGTTTTCAACTTTTCCAGATCAGCAACTGTACGTTGGTTGGCTTGAGCTGCCTGGGCCATACGAGCATCAGCCTCATATTTTTTCCGGGCTTCAGGGTCCAGCGTGGCAACTTGCGCCGGCGTTAAAGAAAGGCGGCCTTGCTGAGGAGGTGGCTTCTGTCCCTGACCTTGCTGCGCTTGCGGCTGCTGAACTGCCGGCCGTGAGGGCTGTTGGAGGGCTGGATTCGGGACTTCAACAACATCATCACTACTAGCACGCTTCAAATTCTTTGCAGGCTGAGGGGCAGATGGATTTTGAGCACTTCGAGCAGTAGGCACGGGTCGAGCCGTGCGGTTGGCATTTGCAGCATTAGTCGTCGAGTTTGCCGCGTCAGCTCCACCAGGCGGTTTCTTTGGCTGAGGAGGTTGTGGGGGAACGGGCTGATTCGGTGCCCTCGGGCCCATATTTTGTGGCGGTTGTCCAGGCCGAGGTTGCTGTTGCCCATTGAGCTGAGCCATGGGGTTTGCCATCTGCATGTTCTGCATCATTTGGGCATGTTGCTGTTGCCGTTGAGCGGCCATTTGTCTCATTAAGAACGAACGGATTTGATCATCAGTAGCATTAGCCATCCTCCCACTGTGATGCTGTCGTGCATTCTGAATTTCGGCTTGAGTTGGTTGGCGGATTTGGCCAGGTCCGGGCATATTCATTCCAGCAGGCACAGGTGCAGCATTTGGACCCATGGGCGCCACTGGGGCAGACATTCCCGGAGGTATAGCAGACATAGGGCCGGGTCCACCTGGTGCTCCAGGCTGCATAGCCCCAGGCTGCTGACCAGCTTGTTGGGTTGCTCTTGCACGTAGGAGTGATTGATAGTGGTATCTCTGCAGTGCTTTTAAGCTGTCGAGGACCTCAGGCCCCAAACTCGGATTTTGCTGCACCCATTGCTTTAACAGTCCCCACTTCTTGATCTCAGGCGGGACGCCTCGGGGAAAGCTTGCGTGATTGTGCAAATTAGGAGGGATATCCATACTATCCATCTGCATGGCCATCCGCTGCTCGATTTGCATTGCCTGTGGCGGGACTCGTGGTTGTGCTGCACCTTGCTGCTGTAGGCGAGCTATTTGCTGTTGCAGTGCTAGCTGCTGCTGTGGTGTCATATTAGGGGACATGGCTTGCTGGCGCTGGAACTGAAGCATAGGGTTTTGGGGGTTGAATTGACCGGGTTGTGGTACTTGCTGTCCAGGGTGAATCTGCTGATTGCCTGGCATTGGCATGGGAGGCCGTCCACCTTGAGCTTGATTCATCGCCCTCTGCTCGTTCCATTTAGTCAACAGCTCACTCAGCTTCTCTGGTGGTAGCGCAGCCATACGTTGCTGCTGCTCTTGAGACATGCCAGCAAACATTGCCGGGTTCACCCCCGAAAGGTTCATCCCATTTGCTGGACCGATTTGCCTTTGATTTCCTGGAACGAATCGTGGATCGAGAGGTTGACCAAACTGCTGATTTGGATTGATTTGCGGGCCCTCTGGGTGGCCCATCTGAGACGTTGTTTTTAAAGGAGCGTTTAGTGTGGGCAAAGCTGGACTCTGCTGAGGGGGTAGCGGGCCATTGCCCATTCCACCAGGTTGGCCTTGGAGACCCATCTGTGTTTTGGCCTGGGCATTCATTCGAGCTTGCGCTTGAGACTGTTGTTGCTGCTGCTGCTGTGCTGCTGCGTGCATTCTTTGCTGGGCATTAAGCATCTGCTGTTGTTGTTGGGCCCTGTTATTGGGATTCCCCACCCCTCGCTGGTCACCCATACCCATAGGTTGTCCCGGCATCCCCACACCGAGCTGAGGAGTTGCATTCGCCTGAGCGCCGCTCGCTGGGACTACAACCTGCCCAGCTCCTTGCGCAATGAAACCTTCCTGCTGTTGTTGAACGGCAAGACTTTCCATATTCCCCATAAACCCTCCAAAATCATTATTTCCTCCCATAGATGTCGGCGGCTGAGTATGTCCATTCAGAGGGCTAGGGTTTATGGACCGTGCTCGTTGCATTCCAGGAACCGCATTTGGCATATTCTGAGCTTGCTGCGAAATGGCAAATTGCTGGGCTTGAGCTTGCGCTTGCGCCATACGGCTCTGTTTTTCTGAGCGGAGTCGGATTAAAGCTTGCTGGCGGTAGTAGATTAGAAGAGGGTCCTGGCCCCGCATCGTATACTGGTTCAGCTGTTGAGGGTCCATTCTCGCTCTCATGTTCTGCCTTATTGCGTTCTTCTCGTCCTGGGGTGCTTGACTCATTAATCGGTTGGCCAATTCCATTATCATCGCTTGATCTTGTGGTGTTAATTGTGGTTGGCCATTTTGTGGTCGATCGACAGGGTTTTGCTGTTGTTGTGGCTGCTGCTGCTGCATCGACATTTGAAATTGCTGTTGCTGATTTTGTGTCATGTTTGGAGGTAGTTGATCGTTTGCCATTCCCATCGGTACCTGCGATGGTTGTTGACCAGGCAGAGGGGACGCTTGCATTTGGTGCTGGAGATGTGAAAATCCTTGCTGAGAAGGCTGTCCTTGCATGAGCCTTGATGGTTGCCCTTGCATTCCATTCGGGTTCATCATCATCTGCTGTGCCTGTGCCTGCTGAGCATGTGCCTGCGCCTGTGCTTGTTGGTTGATAGTCTGCTGAAGACCAGCTTGATTCTGATTCCTCCTCTCGAGCAGTTGTTCCAGCTTGGCGTCGACAGCACGTTTGTATGCGGCCTAGAGTTGATTAGCGATTGGCATCCCATTACGCGCAAGTTCCCCACATACCTTGTCCATTGACTTATCGAATATCTCCTTCTCAAATTTGATGCCAATTTCCATCATCTTATTGAGACCTGGGGGGTTTGGTTGAGTCGCGCTTGCAAGCCGAAGATTTGCGATTCTATCACGTAGAAGCCAGATTAGCTTTTGCCAGATATATGCTCGTCGCGCAGCATCCCAACTTACATATTAAATATCAGGCTAATACGTTCTTGAATTAATACCTGCGATTGCCAACTCTTGGGGTCTATCTGCCCAGTTTGGTTCGTGACGGTCTGGAATATCACTTGGTTGATTTGCGCCGAGACATGTTGCCCGGCCTGATTTTGCCGCTGCTGTTGCGGCCTCTGCTGCTGCTGTGGCATCATCTGGCCCGGAACCCCCATGTGTGGTTGAAAGTTCGCTGCCATCTTGAGAGCGAAGTGGCCCCGCCACACTCCTTCCGTTAGGAGCTCCGGCTCGGGTGCTGGTGCTGGTACAGGTCAACGACCCGACCGTGACCAAAGCTCGATATTGGAATTGTGCGAATGCTCCGTACCCTATGCGCGGAAGCGGTACAATGAATGGCTTTAAATATATCCAGCGGAGGGATCGGGACGGTGCTCTTTTGTTGCCGATCGGCGGCCAGCCGTCTGGTGGGCTGCAGGCTGCCTATAGATGATCTATCCTACCCACATGAAGCTAGATCCTGTGTTGCGCGGGACTCTGTCTGGTCTTGGGGAATGCGGCCTTGTTCTGCGATGCAGTCTGAGATGTGCGGATGGGACAGCAACGGTGATGGGGTTTGGCGTTGGTATGTTGCGGCCTTCGAAGGATGAGGCTGTAAAGCGATCGACGGGCGGCTATGTATAAACTCTAGCGAATACCGGCGCGGTCAACGTGCACCGCATCCAGATTTTCAGAAAAGATATGGAGGGCACCAGAGAGCCAGAAAAACCGGCGCGGCCGCGGTGGACAGAAGCCGGATTTGAGACGTGCGAGAAATTGAGGCGATCGGTGCGGGCGGGATCGAGCGGTGTGTGGTGGTGTGCGGTTGTGTTGTGTGGTATCGGTCGGGCAGCAGCGAGGAACACCGTGCAAGACGATGGATGGGAAGGTCGTGAGAAATAGAATGACACGGATTGATCCCAGGAGGAGGGAGGGCGGACGCGATGAGGGCGAAAACGATTGTCAAAGCGTGGGTAGTGCTCTAAAGTCTCAAACCATTTGCGACACCCTTAGGCGGCCCGGCGGCGAAAAACGAGGAGCAGACGATGCCTGGGGGAGTGAGTGGTGGAACGAACTATCTGGAGCTGCGAGCTGCTGGCCGTAGCGGCGCACACAATCAAATGAACTGGGCTTCAGGAAAGATGTCGATACGTTTGAGCAGAGCGTTCGTCCAATATACGGCTGGAGTCCTGGGGCGCAGGCAGTGTGTCGAGGGGATTGGGATATGTGGAAGCGGGCGGACAGTATTTCTGGTGGCTCGGGTGGTGGTGGGCGGGTGTCGATTGATTATAGGATGTAGAAACGGGGATGTGGGATGTGCAGAAGCGGCTGCGGATATCGACACGAGAAGTAGTTGTAGATGCGGGAGTCGACGTGTTGGTGTTGTTGTTGGGGGGGGAGGGGGGGAGTCGACGTTGGTGTTGGTGATGTAGATGGAGTTGTAGATGTCGAGGTGGATGTAAGCAGAGGTGGAAGAGGGTGGATGAGCGCAGCAACGGTCACAGCAACAGGGCCGAGAGTGCTGAGGACGGAGCACGGTACGGCAGGGTATGGTGTGGAGTGATTAGTGTAGGGTAGCGGTAGTGGTAGTGGTAGTGATAGTGGTAGTGTTATTGGCGTGGTGAAGCGCGGGTCGGGGGGTTGGGCACATTCCCCGTACTGAGTGCTGAGTGCAGTAGTAGAGTAGGTACTTACTGAGTGCTGGAGTCTGGCAGTGGGAGCAGCCTGGAAGAGCCCTGGAACAGCCTGGAGGAAGCCTGTAGCAGCCTGTGGCCGGGCTGCTCCAGGGCACTCTAGGGCTGCTCCCGGCGGGGTTTATAGGGTCTTGGTAGGGTGCTGGTAGGGGTTACCGTGCACACATCGCGGTTCTCAGTACTTCTTCCGCCTCCTATTGGGCGTCTCCAGCACCCAGCACCCAGCACTCAGCCCTTCGCCCCGCCTGCCCGTTGGGAGCCCGTCAAATCATAAATACAGAGTTACAAGTCACCGCCATCTACAGATGATAGTCCACACGAAAGAAAAGAAAGCATCCGGTCGAGCTTGGGTTCATTTCCATCTCCACCCCTCAGAATGCTCAGATCGGTACGCCGTCCGAGGAACGCCTCCTGTATGTACGGTACCTTGCTCCCTACTCCGTCCGGCACGAAGTGCGCCCTTTCGAGCGCCAATCCATCCCATATATCATAGGGAAGTGGTCTGGAGAGAGGGATCGGGGACATTGAGGCAGGGTCTAGCGCTGGGACGGCGACTGGGACTGGGACTAGGACCGGGAGGAAAAGCAGGGACTACAGAAGCGCGTGAGCCTGGGGGCGAGGGCGAGGGTGAGGGCGATGGCGGGTGCGAAGAATGCGAGGGGCAACTGTTTTCAACCACGAACATGATGCCCGCCCTCCGCTGGCATCTGCTCCGGATGGCGATGCTCGTGGTGATGCTGACGCAGGTTGCTGAAAAAAGGGGGTTTGTTCAGCTGTCCTGTCGTGTCAGACGTCAAACTCGAACCCTTTCCACCACACACACTACAAGCCAAGAGCGACCACCAGAGACTCGGAGAGTGAGGCAGCCATACAATACGCCCTGGTCGCGCCCCGTCACCGGGCACCCACGACATGGCGATCGAGAGTCATGGGTTCCCGGCTCTGACGAGAGCGACTGAGATATACGGAGTTACAAGTACTTGGTGTGAAGTCATTCAAAATGGAAAGCAAGATATTTACGGGGTAGAAGCTAATAAAACGCTGCGGGGACTTCAACGTCCACCCTCCAGCTTGAAGCCCCGCGCGAGAGAGAGAGAGAGAAAGAGCTGGTGCTGGGTGCTGGGTGCTGGGTGCTGGGTGCTGGGTGCTGGGTGCTGCTGGTGCCACCCACACAGCCTGATTGCCAGGACAGCAGGGAGATCTGGGAGATCTGGGAATCGAGGACCAAGGCGGAGGCGCGTCGCATGGGATGTGGATGTGGAAGCGGATGGGATGAAGAAAATCCCTGGCTCTGGCGTTCCACCCCTCGCTCCTCCTCCAGACTCCAGTTCATGTGGAAGACTCCTCGACGAGTCAACCACTTCGACGGACGCCCCAAAATGGTCGAGGAACGGGAAAATCGATGCGGTTTGGTCTGCTTTCGGTGCGCCCTCGCAGCTGTGGTTTCGCATTCCCTCGTGGTCCGCCTTGGAGAGCATTAGGGAGTATCGGAAGAACTATGCGCCTACGAATCGACACGCAACAGCATACGGTACATTGTTTAGGATCGGAAGGCCACCCCAGAGAAAGCTTACTCAACCACCTAGACGTTCGAATCTTTTCCTTTCCTTTCCTTGTTGGCTTCTACGATAGGATGTGTCCCTCGTATAATAATAACAATATCGGGGTTAATCATTGTGGTTTCGTTTTGGCTGTTCCCCGTCGTTCACGGTACTGTACCACTCCCACAACCCACTCCCTCCTCCACGATACGTGGAAGATGGCCATGATCAGCGAATATCGAATGGTATGGGTTGTATGGCGGTATGGCGGTACGGAGTACATGCACATGAATATGTACCTCTCGTCCTACCTTACCGCCAGTCTCTTCGGCCCTGGACAGCCCTTTCTCTCCCTCCGCAAGGATCCGAACCTGAACATCCCCATCCCCCTGCCAAGTGAAGTGACACCGCCGTCAATCATTTGAACAAAGTTCAAGTATTTTGCACGTTGTGTTCCCGCACCCGATTCAGATTCGGCGCTGTACTGGATGCTTCTGCAAAGCACGGTTTCTTGGGCCGCCGCTCTGTGCTGCGTGCGTCTTTCTTGCGTGCTCTAGAGATAAGAGCTCCTCGCTGCCACTTATTCCATGCCTAGGTGCTTGGTAGTGTACCTACTGTTCCTCAGGGCTATGGACAAGTACTTCGTACTGAGCTGGGCTGGGCTGGGCATTCCTACCCATGAAGGACACCACAACACATCACATCACAGCCGATACAAGCACATCTTCCCCATACTCTTGCTCCCCTCCCTGCAAGCCTGATATAAGTACTTCCGTACATATGCGGAGGAAGATCCCCTCATCTCATTGTTCATGAAATCGGGGGCTTCCAAACCTGCCATATGCTGCCCATACTTGCTTGGTGGAACAGACTTTCCTGTGCAGCGCAGCGCCGTGTGTCCTCCACTCCAATAATTCTCCATTTCCATCTCTGAAGATCATGAGGTGGGGCTTCGGGGTGTTGGCTCCAATCAGGTCGCCCTCGATCAGCCACGGTCTGCACACACCACTGAACCGGGTGGAGTCTCAAGGCGCGGGCTGGACGGGGGGCTGGATTGGGCGCCGCGACATGGAGGCCGACAAGGCTGTTCTGTTTTACTTCGTACTGCCGGCGCGGGCTGGACGTCAACAGTCTCAAGACCTCCAAGCGTCCTCGACTCCTCCGAGTGAGTGGGCAGAGAGAGGGCAGAGGGCAGAGGGCTTCCTGTTATGTTATATCGGAAGCCAGATCTTGTGCTCGTCTCCCTCGACACCGACTGGGACTAGGACTGGTGAGAGTTGATCCTCCCAGAGCCAGGGACATTGTTGGGAATATGTCCTCGCATCCTCCTCTCCGCCACCATCCATGAGGTACAAAGGATGAAGTGTGAAGGATCGACGGAAGCAGGTACCGGCGGTACGGAGTATTCCAGACCAGATCGTCAGGACACTGGGCCAGCACCACGCCCTCCCGCCGAGTCGCAGCCGCCGTTGGAGTTGCCGTTGCAGTTGCAGCGTGCTGGGTCAGGTGACGCAACCGAATTGCCCGTCTGTCACTTCAAAGGTACTTCGTCCTGTACTTCTATTACTACTACTTGTCCAACTCCAACTCCGCCTCCAACCTGCCAACACAACACAGAATGAGGATCCTCAATGGACAGCTGAATTAACAACAAATAGCTGACCGACACCGACACCGACGCCGACACCGACTCGATCCTCAATAATCTTGCGTAATCGCGCCAATATGACACAGTCTAGGTTTGAAGCGTTGGAGTTCAGCGCTCGAGCGGTGCACGTCCATCCACATCCTTAGGTAGCCATCAAAACAAACACTCCCTTCCTTCAACAAATCCTCACCACAACACCAGACTTTTTCCCCAAGTTTCAACTCTCCGAGAAAGGGGTTCCCGTCGTGATGCACTATTTCTCCCGCTTGTTCGCCATCCCGTTCCCTTCACCTATTCCTCCCATCTCTTTTTTATTTTCCCCTTTCCACATTCTCCAAGAACCCTTGGGGGGGAATGCGTAATCTCGCATGCCAATCACTATTTTTGCAATCTATTTCCCCGCCATTTCACTGCAGCTCCGGCGGGAAAGGCAAAGGCAAGGGGTGGATTCGGGAGGGGTAAAATCAATAGCGAAAAAAACTCTTTCGTTTCCCGCCGCCCATTCTCCCCCAAGGGATTTCTTGGATCCCAACCCTCAAACGAAGGACGGATGCCAGCTCGTGGCGACTTTGTGGTAGGATTTCGTCTGCGCCACAAAAGTCCGCGGGGAGATTGAATTGCACATTTCGGAGGACCGGAATGCGTTCGGTCATGTTTTGGTGCGGATGAACGTAGTACTTCGTACTCGGCCGTCATTTAAACACTTGGCATCCGCAGCCCTTCCCGACTGTTGCGTTCGAACCCGTGTGGTTGTGCCGGTGGCCACGGCCAACAACTTCCCCTCGCCCGTTACGGAGCCTGAACGAAAATACTTATCGCTACTGTTTTCTAGGACAATATAAGTCTATCTTCTGGAGCTATGGGGCCATTAATTACTCTTGTCTTTAAGGACTAGCTCTCCCACCACTTGTTGCACGAATTTGGTTGTGACACCGTAAGATCAGTAGATAAACTTTGATATATAAAAATTAGTTAGGCAGCGAAGGCAGGTAATCATGCAGGTGATTGATGGTCAAGTGAGTTTTTTTCAAAAGCAACCTTCAATAAAATCCCGGGTGTCTAGCCCTCTTCTCAATGCCTCATGTCACCCATGCACCCAAAAACCAATACGTCCAATTCGCCTCTCCTAAGCACGAAAGATCCTCAATTCAAAAATTCAAAAAAGTTTTCGTTGGGGCGATCAAACACCCCTTAAATATATATGGCCAAAATAAGCAAAATATCCGTTAACGAAGTTCAAGGGCGTGGCACTTAGTCAAGTGTGTCTTTCTGGTCAAATTGTACTTTCGTTATCACCAGAGATGACAGGGACAAAAGAAAAAAGGCGGAAATAACAACAAAAAAGCGACAACAACAAAAATCGAGAAGAGATGTAGATATTCGATACCGGGCTGAACTCTTTTGCCATTTTAAAGCATTTTCTTTTTTTAGAAAAATAAAATGCGTAATAGGGGATTAAATATTTATTTTGGGATAACTTCTTTTTTTGTTTCAAGGTTGATTTGGCGAGGATAGGCAGATCGGTTAGTAGTCACCACCTGGAAGGTTACAATATAATGTTGACGAGTGTAAAATGGTACGTATCGATCTATGCTCAAATAGATATCCATTTAGACAATCTGATGACGTGGGTGCTAGCTCCGAAGATGGTCCCGGACTGACCTGTTCCTCCTAGGTTTACGGCTGCTGTTTCCTCCCTGGCCACCCTTATTTTCACCTACTACGACTATAATATGCCAATTGTTGTATTTGAGTCTTCTCGTCGGGGGTGAGATTGTCAATGATTGCTTGGGTTACAAGAGCTTCCTTCAGCTCCTCCTTGAGCGCCTCGGCTTGCTCAGTCGAAGGTATCTCGCCCACCTAAGGCAGATCTTATACTATTTTTCGAAGCCAGTCTACTATAATAGTAATCGAGGAGAGATCCATAGCTATCTTCAACATCATCAACATGCTAATCGCCACTATCTTGACTGGGGCTAGCCATTTTATTTTGCTCTCTTCTAGAGCTTCGTTGAGGGACTTCGACTAAGATAGGAAATTAGTACCCTGGCATACAGTGGGAGGTGAGCAGGCCAAGGAAATAAGAATCTCATCCACTATTCCTCTGAGCTTAGAAGCTTAATTCGATCCTCAATGGAGGTAAACTCCCCATAATACTTCGCGTCTATAAACCACTTGTAGAGATTGTCAAACGCGTAGCTGGACCTTTCAGCAAGACAAAACTAAAAGCCGCCACTATGTAGGGACTGCGCCATATTATCTGACAGGCGAGGTGATTCAAGAGATCTGCCTTCTTTTATTGCCTCTTCCTCACACTCTCCCAGGACTTCCAGGGGTAATTTCAGTCGAGGAATGTAGCGAACCAAGAAATCATCGAGGCCTCCTTTCCAATCTTCTGGACGTGCTAACAATAGCCACCATGGAGAACAGTATGTAAATTCGCGAGGGGCAGCATAGCAAAATTCCCAATTGATAACGCTACGAACGTTAAGGTCATCGTCAACGATTAAATTTGAGGGGCGGAAATCGTCACAGAACAGGTAGAAAGGACCGTTTTAATATTTGGTGGATATATTCCGCCCGACCTTTAAAAACAGGTAACGGGCAACATATTTTCTTTTGCAATCTGCTTCATCAGTGACTGCGTCGTTTCGCTGAAGCTTTAGGTGACGTATATGATCTTCCGCAAGTATTGAGGTGTACTAGGCGACATATTTCATGATTGCCACCTCATCATCAACCTTTTCTCTGCGAAAGATCACCCTACCCAGGGCAGGAAACCGGACAAGAACGTCAGAGCCCTTTTCAAATTTCACTCTGTAAGATGGTTCAAAGCACCTTCGGAATAATACATGGCTTCGGTTGGGATTTCTCGCAATGTGGTGATGCAAGCCTGGACGCTAACTGATCTAGTGATTTTATAATAGATACTTTTCTAATATAACAATATAAAGATTACAAGATTATAACATTTTTATTTACAGAAAGTTGACTTGTATATTAATTTTTCATGTATGCCGTTTTTGTATTATGGTGGGCTGGATAAATTTAAGTTGGAGGAGCACCTCTTTGCCTCAGTAAGGCCTTTGCTATGCTACTATGTCGGCCTTTGAACTTTTAAAATTACCAAATGGGATAAAGGGGTGGGGCGCGTTTATGTTTAGAACAGCGTCAATATAACCTTCATTACAGGGTATGGCATATATTGGTGCTACTTCTAGTTAGTGCTTTGGTGTGGGTCTGATACAAACATAATGGAATCATATCACATATGACAACCTGTGCTGGGTTATGCGTATATTTTGAAATATAGGAATACTACTAGCTCGGTTTTCCCATTCGGGTGCTAGGCTTCATCAATATGTATTGCAACCTAACTAACTGTACACTTCGAAGGTGGCTTCTTAGCTCCGTCCTCATCCCGCCTCGCCGCTATCGAGCGCGATGTGTTGGGAGTTGGCTGAACCATGGGGTACGACGCTGTATCGGGAATCCGGGAGTAACGGGACCTCGGGACTGGGCTTTTCGGACGTTCAAGTGGGGGGTTCACAACGTGATAGTAATCCAAGACAAGCTCCAAAACCAACTCTCTTCCTTCAAGTTCTGGATGGGCCATCACGAACATCACATTTCGACCTTGATCCCTGTCCCCTTCTAGATACCGAATGTTTTGGCCGGCTATTATTTGGCATAGTTTTCCGGTTGTCATATCTCGGATCTCCACAAAATCATCATGGAAGAGTATCAAGTAGGTGCTATACGATGTTGCAGAGATAGCCTGTCCAACAAAATTTATTGGAGGACGTTCTGATACCATGCCATTTTCGTCAATATAAGTGGCAAAATCTAAAATGAGTTAGCCATCGAAGTTATCACCAGGTATTTGTTCGTGCTCACTCTCGTAGACACAGAGAGCTACTTCCCCTAGTCTCCCCCAGAACATTCCTTCTGGAAGCCGAAAGAGCCCTAGAGCAGGAAGCTGGCCCTCTGCAAAGGGCGTAGGCGTAAATAGTGACCTAGAAAACCGTGCGCGTGCTAAAGGTAGCTCGTGGGCCATATTGTCAAATCCTTTACCAGTCATTATTGCAATTGAATATCGAAAGGGTACTATATCATAACAGTCTTTGGCTGAATAAAACTCGTCGTAGTCTCTGAATTTGTATACGGAAGGTGTTGAAGTCAAAGGCGAGCTTTCATGGGGAGCAGAGCTACTCGGGGAGAAGGAGAAGCCAGCACCCTGTTTCTTTGCTTTCCCTATGTTCGATGCGTATAACTCCAACACCTTTGAAAATATTAGCAAGTGCTGGTAGACAACTTTAATAATTCGTACCTTTATTTGAGTTCTTGCCTCCTGCCGTATTGCACAAAAGAGTAATATCCTGGTCTGCTTTTCCCCAGATCTAACGGACTCCATCTTGTTAAGCCTAAAGAACTCGACGTTCTCTAGAATCTTTTCTGCCGGTGTTATTTGTTGGCCAAGACGTAAAGCCTCGAAGCTCTGAGTTGGGTAAGAATATATGCTCTTTGACGCCAGTACAAGCATGATGTTCAACTCCTCAATTTCCAAAAGCTGTGTCACATCCGGGAGCTCAAGTTTTGAAACGGGTAAACTCGATGACGAGCCTCTCTCCAAAACGAAGATGGCGTGCTTGGTCCCAATAACTTCCCTAGGACCATTTTCGGTCATAAAAGTTGTTCCAAACTTGACCCCCGTACGAACTCTGGTATGCGGAGGAGCAGGTGCTGCTCTCTGGATTGCTTGCGATAGAGGAGATCCTTGAATCTTGGAGAATCTGTTTAGGCGGAGCGAGTGGGTGTTTTGGAAGTATCCATTAGATAAGACATTTAGCGAAAAGGGTTCTGCCTTCTCCTTAAAAAGAGTGGCAGCATATGCCGCCTTTGCCAACACTATGTTTTCGCACCATTCCTTCCTTTCTTCCTCGGTCTTAACCAGCAAGGTGTATGCCTCTTGATTTCCAAGATGTTTAATGTTGAATGGGGAGTACCCGGGTCTAGGAAATTCTTCCTCGGGTGCCTGGATTTCAAGTGTAGTACTTTGGCTGTTCTCGATCTTTGAGTAAATGGGAGATATTCTGCTATTGTCTTTGGCATCCTGGAGGACTAAAAGCCCCATAGGTATCGGCTACATTGGTTAATAAATTGGTACCCTTGAAAAATGAGATAACTGCTTACAGGTTTAGAAACATCGTATTTTTCAATATCGTGTGACCCGATTCGCTTTGCAAGAACAAAGTAGTTGTCAAATAAGAATGCGTGATTTGCGATGGAGAATCCTAGTGCCGCTGTCCTGAGCCGTTCAAGCTGACCCTCGAATAGAAGATGTCGACCCTCGTCGTTAAGACCGAGATCGGGTCCGCCAAGGCCTTCTCTGAAAAGTAGTGCTTTATTGAGTTCGTGAACTCGAACTTTTGCCCTTCCATAATTCTCCATCTTTTGGAATCCCTCAGTCAAGGTCTTGACATTCTCCATCATTTCTTTAAATTCTTTTCCCTCGTCCGTATTTTCACTAGCAGTTTGCCGAATAGCGGGAAGTAAAGTTAGATACTGTTGAATTCTTATCGAAGGGCTCTTCATACAGCTCAGCCAATCCAGCTTGGCTGCTTCCGAATAAAATGTTTCCTTGAATCGCGGATTGTGTGCGGCCTCACGTTGAATTAGCCACTCAATCATTGGAAATGTCACGGCATAGTGGCGGTAGCTGGACGTTGTTCTAGGTATCCAGTCGCGGATTATATCCGAGAGATCATGAACCCAGGGGCCCTGTGTTTTGATTCTGTTTTCCAGCGCGAATAGGAAACCTTCATGGAGTTCTTGTAAAGTTCCTATAATGGTAAACCCGTCCTCTACGAAATAAAACGGCTTTCCGTTTTGCATGATTGACGGGTCACGGACCAAATCTTCATGATAACGAGCCAAGCAGACAACCAGGCGATCCACATAAGCCTTTTCCGATAGCCAAATATCATGAATCGCCCTTTGTCTCTCAACCTCCTCTTGCGGATAAGTCTGCATATCACTCACCTTGAGGTCCCAGTACGAGGCCCAATCTTGGTCTGGTATTACGTCGAATCCTTCTCTCTCGCCACCCAACGTAGCGTCAGGCTGTGATCGAGCAGCTAGCTTAGTCTCTATCGCCGCTAAATGATCGACAAGTTTCGAGACGTTCTCCTCTTGTACCCTACTTTCAATAACAATGTCTTTAATGATCTTGATAAAGAACATCCTGACACGATCCACTAAGCCTCCCCATATGACTTCACGGTCTGAGCTCGATTGTTTCTGATAACATTTCCTAGCGTGTAGATAGACCATAAGCAGAAGGTCACTAAGTCCCCGTTTCGATGTCAGTTGGTTCTGAACGTTATTACTAGCCAAGGCTTTGGAGAGATCGACAAGAAGGTTGATAAATCCTTTGTCTTGATGCTCCAAAGAACCGTCTGTGCCGTCAATAATATTTTGAAGTCGTTGGTTGAAAAATGACAAAAATGATACAGGGAGTATAAGCGTTTGCGTTGCATCTGAATCCCATAAAAGATCTAAAAGCTCTAAAGCGGGATCACCTCCGTCAGTGCCATCGATGTCGAAGTCATCGTTATCCGGAATGTCAATATCCGGAATGCGGTCGGGGTCGGATAATGACTCAATAGTATCGGGATTGCTGCCAAACGTAACGCTATTATCAGATAATTGTCGTGAAATATCGGACACCTGTGGTTCGTCAGAGTCGAACTCTTGTACCCCCTCATCATCTTTACTGCGTGGAAGGGCAAATAGAGCCAATTCCTCCAGGTGTCGTGCCAGATGTCGGCAAAGTTGCTTCATTGACCCTAAAGTTTCCATGCAGAGAGGACACTGTTCTTCCGCATCTTCATCAACAGGTCTTTGACACATATCCACCAGCGCGCTTAATTGGTTTGGTGAGGAAATTTGATGTACATCCTGCATGTGGTCTTCAAATTCGCCCTGGACTTTAAAAGATTGCTGACAGTCCGCAGTACAGAACCATTCTTTTCGGTGGTTGATGAGCTCATGGTCAAACCAATCGCGGCGAGAGTCGAACATTCTACTTGCTTTTGCGCATGTTTCAAAAGTGCAAACGTAGGGCTGAAGATCTCGAAATACATGCTTTTTCCATGCGTGTGTGGTTCTTATGCCCACAATAGTGAAACAATAAGGGCACTCGAAGGGTCGACCACCAATCGAATCTCTCGGTGGGGGAGGTATGCAGAGCCTCCCTCCCTGTGATACAGTTGTTGCATACGAGGTCGAGGTCTGGCCACTATCAGACTCGACTTCGAAATCGGTTGTTCCTCCAACGAATTCGGAAGCCGTAGTCTGAGTAAGAACAGTTGTGGCAACAGTGCTTGTCTTTGCCTCAATTCTTGGAAGATCAATCGCCACCTCCTGATGATTGTCGACAGGACTAGGGTCTTGAGGAGAAATCCCCGGGGAATTTGCTATAGCTGGGGAGGGATGAGGCAAGTTCAAAGCCCTCTGTGGTAAAATGAGGTCTTGTGCGAGTTTCTTGTGATGCTTCTCACAATATTTGAAATGCTGACGACGCCTTGAGATGGACTTGCCCAGTCGTGTAGCCAAACTCTCCTGTGCTCAAGAAGTTAACAAGCCGTAATACTGCAGGTCAAAATCTGGTTTCTTACTTTTATGGCTGGGAATTTGCTTTTAACATGCTGAATATCCCATGTCTCATAGAATGAGATATCGATAGCTGCAGCCTTCACTAATCGATCGTGTGCGGAGACACCACTGCGAATCGTCATTGAGAGTTTGTATAGACAGTCAATACAAACAACAACGTCCAAAAATATCTGTTGCAGCTCTGTGGTGAGGTTTTCAGAACGGACGCTCAAAGTCGACCCTTCTTCATCTGATGAATCGGAATCGTGATCAGATGGTGCTTCATCCTGTGGCACTCGATCTCCAGCAGCTATCTGGGAGCCTAAATCACTGTAAGCTTGATGACTTTGGCCACTTGTAAAGTTGGTGATTTAAATGGTAACTACATGGGCTGTCGAGTGCTAAACTCTCTCAGGAGCAAGGCTCGATCAGATGTGGAAATCTCCACGAGTGTGCACTCAAGGCCTAGAATACAACGACGAACTATGTCGTTTTGAGTATTCCAATCAAAATGTTTCGATTCAGGCAAAGAAAGAGTTTGCGGAGGGATTTTCACGAGGGTTTATATGAGATGATTCAATAACCGGGTGAAAACGATGGTAGAAATGAACCGTTGAGGCGCACCTTCTTCAAGCAGCTCACTCATATCAGACAGAAGTCCCATGATTCTTTCCCGCAGCGGAGTGGCATCTCTTAATCGAAAGTCCAACGAGCTCCTGCCCGTTTTATGGGCGGCAATGTTGCTAAGAGTCCGTTAGAAGGGCGTTTCAAACAAGAGAAATAACCTCGTTCCCTCCTTTCTACAGAACAAAACCAACGTACCCTGCCCACACTTTGAACCGCCCTAGCTCATCTTGTAGAGCGCTCAGTTCAAGCTGCTGATGGAGCGGCGAGCTGGACTCGGCAATAATGGAGATGAGCTGCTCATAGTCTGCCAAACATACCGCAAAGTTCGCGGCAATGGAATTCATCGCTCACGAATCGAATGCACCATCGTGGGATGCTTATGAGAGTGAAGCGCAGCTATGTCCCAGGGACAAAAGGAGGAAAACATAAGACACAGAATAATGACAAGGCATTCTCGCCGTCTTACGTCCGACGAAGCAATTGCAACTCCGATGCAGCGGCTGATGGCCCGTGACAGCCTTGCTGGATGCCTTGCCTGCCCACCCAGCTTGAAGTACGAAGCAAGCGCTTCGCCCCCGTCGACTCTATCTAGACTTCGAGAGTCATGATGCACTCGATATCGACAGTGCGAGCGACATGGCCACCGGCGTGGAAGTAGCTGGCATTGTGCTCGGGTCCATTCCATTGATCATCTCGGCGCTGGAACACTACGCAGAAGGCGTCGGGACCATTGAGAAGTGGTGGAGATACAAGCGGGAACTTGCAAGTCTAAAGAGGATCCTCGGTGCCGAATGTGACAGGTTTCTGAATACGCTCGAGGAATTGTTGGCGGGTCTGGTGCCGGATGGGAGACTGGCAGACTTGTTGAATTCGCCTGGCGGTGCTGGATGGGCAGATCCAGACTTGAATCAAAAGCTTCAGGTCCGATTACGCAAATCCTACAATTCGTATCTAGACACCGTGAATGATCTTAACGACGTTGTCTCGATTCTGAAGGCGAAGCTCGAGCTCGACCCGAGTGGAAAAGTATATCAATTCCAACCCTCCCACAACCTGCGGGACCTGTGCTAACGGGAAGCTCACTAGCCAAAATGGACCGACTCAAAAACCTTTCGTCGCGAATACAAACGTATAAAATTCAGCCTTTCGAAAGCTTCATATGAGGAATTGATGAAAAGGATAGAGAAGGACAATGATACGTTGGCGAATTTAACGGGCCAGAGCCTTAGACTGGAACCAACGAGACTAAAACGGAACAATCCCACACCAGAGTTCGAGCGTATTCGGTCGCAGGCAGAAAGCTTATATCGAGTACTCAAGAAAAACCTGTGTTGCTCCTGTCAAATTCCACATAATGCAAGCCTACGCCTTGAGTCGAGGACCTCCCAGGACGCTGGAACGGGGACAAAGCTACGCTTTAAGATGGTGTTCAGTCTTGATATAAGTTATCCTGTTGGAAAATCGATAACTTGGAAACGAAGGGAGACAGAAATAGAGTCTTTGGAGATCCGACAAGAAACAGACACCATCACCAAAGTAGTTTCGATGGACTCGCCATACCCAAGTCCAAAATCACCAAGTTTAGTTAAAAAGGGGGTGACATGGGCACCCCATCCGGTTACATTGGAACCGCCACCATATAGTACAACGAAGCTGACGGAAATACATGATCTATGCTCAGTATTTGGAGACTATAAAGGGACGGAAACATGTCTTGGATTCATTCTAGATGAAAAGCATATGCGTCATCACATCTACCCAGTGATGCATAGCCCTCCCCAGCAAGAACCACCGACCGCCACAACCCTCTACAAACGCCTCACCAATCCCCATAGCCCGAAGACAAAACTCACCCGCAAAGAACGTCTTCAACTGGCCCTAACCCTCGCAGCAAGCGTCCTACAACTCCATAAAACCCCTTGGTTAAGTGAACGCTGGTCAACAGACGACATCCACTTCCTCGAAGGCAGCACAGGACCTCATGTCTCCCGGAGCTTCCAAGCCACTCCCCCTCCCACGGATCCTCCCAACCCCCCAAAACCCCTCCCCATCGTCCGCAATCAGACAATATTCGCACTTGGCGTAATCCTAATCGAGCTCTGTCTCGGCACATCTCTTGCCTCCCTTCGCACGGAAGAGGATATCAGTCCCGACGAGCAGCTGACTGATTACATGACGGCGCGCCGGCTCGTTAGTGAGGTGTATGATGAGAGCGGTGGACGCTATGGGGACGCTGTGAGGCGGTGCGTACACTGCGAGTTTGATCAAAGGAAGGCGAGTCTGGACGTAGAAGAATTTAGGACAAGCTTTTTCCAAGGCGTCGTGGTACCGTTGGAAGAGGATTGGTTGGATTTTGGCAGTATACATGCTATGTAAGGAATAGTTGGGTGGGCTGGGTAGGCTTGGGATTTGTTCATGTTCACCCATATGAATATTTATGTGATATGATCATGATATTTTCATACCTAGGTACAAAATGTAATTTATTGGAAGACAATAATACATACTTAACGCACGATATCGTATCTTGAAGTAGCCCTCAACTCCTGTCAAACTATTGGCTCAATGCGCTCAAATTAACAAGCCGCTCCATAGAAGGCTTATTGGAAACATTTCAGTGCAATTATTCAAGCAATACAACCACCTGCTCCATCCGCGCTTAGGCCAGGCAGAAAGTTGACCTGTCCATTATCCCACCCCCTCAACCCATTCCGCAACACCATTTCCATAACCGTATATGAGATCATCCAGTTATCTGGCTCGGCTGACTAGCCTGCAAGACCCTCTGCATGTCCTCGATATCGCTAATCGTCGCATTGAACACACTGACAAGTTCTGCCGCGACCTTATTGCGATTCCACTCTCCGCGCTGTCTCCAGAGAGTCTCCATCAACTCCCGGTTGATCTGTTCTAGCTGCTCGATAGAGCACCCGCTGCTGCCTTCTACCAGTCTTCTCTCTAAATCGTCTAGGAAATATGCCTCGATGATGAATTCTTTCTGAGAAGACAGTTGAGACGAGGTGGGCTCAAGAGACGAGTTATTGATAATGCTGGCAATCCCTGATGGCTTGGACATTGAAGGGCGGGAGGCCGCGTTACCGGAAGTAACGGTGGGATTCTGAGAGAATTGGCTGCCGGAGCTGGGGGTTTGAGTTTGCGACTGGTAGCCTTGGATATTGCCACGGGCTAGACCGTGAGCCTGAGAATGTGGCCATTGATCGTCAGTACTGGGATCGGATGCACCTTGCTGGCTGGGCCTCTGAGATGGATTTTGCTGCGTATCTGGTAGCTGCGAGTCTTGCTTTGCGCTGTCCACTGGACTTGAGGAGTTCCCATGGCTGATCCCGTTTGTCGCCTGGGTGCTCCAACCTTCGGATGTCTTCTTGCCAGAAGTCGTCGTGGAAGCATCGTTGATCATTGCGCTGGGGGAGGCATCATGGGGAATCTCTTGGAAGGCAGATCGTTGGGATATCTGAGACGTTGGATTCGGATTTGAGAATGGGCCGCCGGCCACGCTCCGAAGCTGGCTAGGGGGCTGCATGCTATGCGAATTCTGTGAAGCCTGCTGGGAGGGCTCATCCGTGCCGCCCATCTGAACATCATCACTTCGAGAGGGTATAGTTGTACCATTTGTAGCATGCTCAGAGTGCCCGTTCGATAGACTACTGACATTAAGGGTCGTCGGAAAAAGTGCGGGCCGTTTTCCAGGTATGGGCTCGCCTAAGGTAAGCGGGCCAGATTGGAATTGAGTGTTGAGTGTGCTTGCCGCCGGATTGCCAGGGTTTCCAACGTCATCAAATCCAGCAGTCGCCGCTGCACGATTTCTATACTTTTCTTCTTTCTCTTTCGCTCTTTGCAATTGTCTTTGATACACATTCTCACAGTCAGCGAAGACCGGCTGCGCCTCAATGGCGGCGATATCAACCTCAACATTTGCCAGAAGCTCGTTTGCTCTCAGAGTTCTCTCCTTATCGCCTATGCGTTTCGCATCCTTAGCAAGAGATCTGATATCAGCAAGGAAGTCTTTTGGTCGAGCATAGAAACCGTTGGACAACCTCTCCTCGATCGTAGTTGTTTCAAGATTGTAGAAGAATTTCCCACTTGCTGTCTCGCGCAACCCCTTGACACCATCTTTATCGGTGTCCAATTCAAATGGTCTGAATTGGGGGATATCTGGACGCACAAAGTTCGGGTCGAGCTCATCTAGGAGATATTGAATTTGGGTCGATGGAATGACTGGAGCCCGGAACTTCTTATACTTCCTATGAATCTGGTCCATGATTGGCTGAATCTGAACTTTGAGAAGGTTCAGCAACTGATGGTCTCTCTTCTTTTGCGCCTTGATTTCTTCCTTCGTAAGTGTGCGCGGTGGCGGTGGCGGTGCGATCTCCAAAACTTCAAGCTTCCGCTTCTTGCGGTTCAGGGGCTCTGGGAAGTCCTTCGGAGTCTTTTGAACATAATCGATGATTGTAGCAAAGAATTCCTCCCGATTGCGCTGGAACGGGTTAGCTTGAAATTCGAAAACCGATACATGAGGCTTACCTTGGTAGGGCGATCAATAGTTATACGATTCTTCTTTGAAAATCCGAACAAATCTCGAAGCATGTCCGGACTAGCTTTCTCTGGAACAGAGTCCGTAATTCCCAACACAAGAACAGGATCAGTTGGAGGGATTGCCCTGAGCATTCCAAGGAAAGTGGTGATCTGTGCTTCAGTGAGAGTATGATACCAGGTATCAATACCAGGTATAAAGATGACGCTCGGTTTGTGCCGCTTTACTTCAGCAAACAGCTGCACGATCGCGGCTTCAGGAGACTACTGACGTTAGTAAAGGCATTGATTGAAATTCAATAACACGTACCCTAGCGGAGTCACTGAAAATTGTGGGAAGATCAAAGCTCTGCACATGGAGACCCTCGAAGTGATTTAAAATGGCCGAACCAAGATATGCCTGTCCCATTCCAGATTCACCGCCAATTAATAGACGGGGGCGGAATACTCGGGACTTCTCGAATTCCTGTTGCATCGTTTCCCGTCCGAAACCCTGATCAGCATCGTCAAACTGCTCGTACATAGCTTCTTGGAGTGCAGTGATCTTCTTCCTTTGAGGAATCAATCCATCTAAGACAGTTTCAACCCGCTTGAGCTGATCGCGCAAAAGAGGCTCGATGAGCTTTGGAAGCGGTGCTGCGCCTGATGACGTTGCACGCTCGGAGGAAGGAATCATCTTCTTGACGGAGAGCATGAAATCCTTGGCAGTGATCTTGATTTTATCAGGATCTACTATAAGCTTATCATTGCATGAGTAGATTTGAGGATAGGTGCGCTGGATTGCGTTCAAGGCTGCCTCGGTGCAAAGAGCTCGAAGATCGGCGCCTCCATAACCTTTGGTGACGTGAGCGAGTGAGGATTTGAACGAATCATCAATTCCCCAGTCCGTTGTGTGGATGTTGATAATAGACTTGCGAGCGTCTAAGTCTGGAAGGGGAAAGTAAAACTCTCGATCAAAACGGCCTGGTCGCCGCAGGGCTGGATCTATGTTGTCTGGTCTGTTGGTAGCACCTATAACAATGACCTGACCTCGACCATCCATTCCATCCATTAACGCGAGCAAGGTTGATACAATGGATGCGTGGATTTGCTCTTGTTTGCTTGATCGAACGGGCGCTAGACCATCGATTTCATCGAAGAAGATGATACTTGGCTGGGTCTTTCTTGCTTCCTCAAACAATAACCGAAGCTGCCTTTCTGCCTCACCAACCCACTTGCTCAACGCATCAGCACCTTTGCGCATGTAAAAGGTGATCTTCCGGCCTCCAGATCCCACCGTAGCGGCAAGAGCTCTTGCCAGAAGAGTCTTACCAGTTCCAGGAGGGCCGTGAAACAACACGCCACGAGGCGGAGTTACATGGAATTTCGTGAATAATTCGGGATACAATAGTGGCATCTGAACCATTTCTTTCAGTTGATCAATATGGCCTTCCAATCCACCAACTTTGCTGAAGTCAACATTTTGATCAACACCCAAAGGATCAGCGTCAGCCAGTGCCTTCTGGCTCTTGACTTTTCCAAGGTTGGCCGGGGTTCCAGATAATGCTGCGGCGGTTTCTGGGTTTGTTTGGCCAATACCTGGAAGGAGTCCCCCTGGCATGGCGGAGGTTGGTGTCATTCCAACATTTCCACCAACGCCCGTGGGTCGCTGCATTGTCTCGTCATCACTACTGTCAGAATCGGCACCGCCAGCTGCTCCGGTTCCCCAAGGGCCACCAATAGCTGGGGCAGGGCCACCACCACCACCAAAGGGTCCAAAGGTGGTATACAGATTCCGCTCCCAAGCTTGGCTGGCGCCATTTCGTCCTCCCCTTCCTCTTCGAGTAGGGGTAGGAGCGGCGTCTTCTCCGTCTTCATCCATAGCGTAAATTTGATCCATAGGCTTGATGCTATAATCGACAGGTTTCCTCGCACGGGTGGCGGATCTTTCGTATACAATTTGCGAGGTCGCGCGAGGTCTGCGTCTTCGAGATCCGGCTTTCAGATCTTGTAACTCTTCGGCAAGTTCATTTTCGTCAAGTTCAAGCTCAGATCCCGGGCTCCGTCTTCTAGAGGTGCTCTTCGACTTGGCTTGATCCGCTCGCCTTCCTCTTCGGACAGGGCTTGATTCATACCCGGCATCTCGGTCCTTGTTCTTCTCCGAGCCACCAGACGCAGAAAGTTCGTCTTCCGAAGGATCTTCGGCGGGTTCGAAATCACTACTCGCATCTGCAGCCGACTTTTGCTTCTTTTGTGTATTTTTCGATCCGCGAGTTAGTCTTCGAGATCCACCTACGGCTAGCTCAGCGGCAGTATCTTCCTCCTCCTCAGGAGCTAGGTCAGAGACGACAAGGTTTGCCCTTGACGCTCTATTGTTTCGCGTTATGGGGACATCATCGTCGTCATCCTCATCGTCCGCAGCTTGCTGCTCTCCGCCTTCCTCGGCATCTGCAGGGTCATCGGCTTCGTCATCAGCGCCTTCTACATCTTCCACTGCGGCCGCTGGGTCTTCAGTGGTTGCCTCGGCCTCCTCCTGCCCATCAGTTCCTGCGATCTCGGTGGTCATGACAGTGTCCTGTTGCTCGTGTGAGCTAGATTCGTGCAGTTCTTCCTTTATTGTAGAAGCGGGTTGCTTGACTCCTTTGGTTCCTCGGGTTCGTCGTCCAGGTATAGGTTCCGGACTCTGACCCGGCCGGAGTATATGTCGACCTGAATCAGAAAGCGCAATTGGCTCTTCACCAGCTTCGGAAGTTGCGCGTGTGGTTCTTCTCGTAAGGAAGCCAGCAGATGTAGGCTCTACAGTGCTCCCGCTTCTCCGCGTGCGAGCTGCACTACCGGCTCGAGTTGCGCGAAGCGGTTGCGGAGCATTAATTTTCAGCTTGATGATTTTCGTTGGTTTCTGGTTCAAGGGCACCTCCTCTTCCGCATCTTCATCTTCGTCTTCGTCCTCGTCGTCTAATACCGGCCGGGATCGCTTTCTCGGGGATTTGTTCTTCGGCTTGTCATCGTCGGATTCGCTTTGCATGTCATCATCCACGATGTCCGCATCAGAATCAGTATTCTCCTCGTAATTGACCGACTTCTTAGTGGCCTTGCGCACAGCTCTTCCGGTTTTCTCGTTCATTTCGACGTCTTCGTCCTCCTCAGGATCGTCAATAGACAGGTCGTCGAAGCTGTCATCAGCGAGGTCGTCGTCTGAGAGATCAGAACCCTTGTATCGTTGGCGTTTTCGCGGGCCGCCGGAAGTCCTCTTCTGTGTGCGAGACCTCTTAGCTGACCGGCGCGGCGCAGCGCTTGAGGGATCAAAATCGGTATCGTTAGAGTCTGATTTGTTCGGGTCGAAGTTGTCAAGCTTGCGTTTCGAGGGCATGTCGGATAAGCCAGCTAGGTAATATTCGTAGAGATGCTATGCTACTGGCCACGCGGGGATCCAGATGGAGATGGAGGGGAACTCTCCCGGGTCGAGATACTTCGTTTAGTCAAGCACGAAGCTTTTGCTGCAATCGCGGTGATATCGTGGCCTGACTGTTTTGACCAGTGGCGGCATTCATCTGCAAAACATGAGGAAGGAAAAGGCACTCATGAAAGAGAAATAGGCAGGGAGACTGGCATCGATTGGGTTGGGCGTTGGATTGGGATCAACTCAAGAATGTAGTCTTGCAAGCAGTGAGAGTCTGAGAGGGAGTTGGTTCTGCCCGTGTGTCGCGCTGCTGCGTAAGGTAGCGGAACGAGACAACATTTCATTTCTGCCCAGCCAATCAACGGGGCTTAGCGACTGCGCTAGGCGAACCAGGGCGGCGAGCAACACAACAATAGTTAGCGCACCATCGCACCACTTGCACAATAGCGACCGACAGCGACAATAATAGGAGAGAGAGCTTTGCACCTCAACTTCACGCATCTTGCAACTTGCAACGCGTGGGCAGCCCCCCGTCGCCGAGCCCTCAAGCTCTAAAGGGGTCATATGCCGGTCTAGATGCCACTGGGCCATCATTTGAGCGCTCTAAAAGAACGCCAACTCGGTCCAACATGAGTATGCCAGGAGAGAGAAAAACAAGTGTTTTCTTGAGAAGGACGAGATACTCACCGTCGATTTGAAGAATGCGGCTCAAAACCTTATTTGGGTTCCTGGGCTAGCGTCTTGTGGGGTCTAGCTCAGTTAGGCCTTGTATAACCCACGTGATGCTGGTAGTACTGCCAGCTCACAACATCCCCAAAAAGAGACCTAGACTCCTCTCCCTGGTTCTAATTACAAGCCAAGGTAGGTAGAAACATCGCATTTCCTGTGTGCTCCAAGTTTATTATGTCTCGTGTTTTGCCATCATTGTGGCCGTTATCACGTGTTTTTCCCACCCGTCTCATCACCGTCCACTCACTCGTCCGCAGCGCGTCCACTATCCTCCACGCCGAGTTGATCCCAGCCTGCACCGGATTACTACTTTGACATGCAATGTCTTGCAGTAATATGAAATGCAGAAGGATAGATTGAATTTTCAATATTTCCCAATGGCTCATGCTCAAAAACCCATGACTGGTGCATGATGCGTCCACATCAGACCAGAATATTTGGACCCGTAACTTTCCCCCTACAGAGCAGAGTGCTATTAGTTCATGGCTATTTACTTCCTCCATTTCCCGCTGAAGATGATCTTATTCCCAGATATTTTTAACTTTCTATTCAGCTTCTCGATCACTTGAATTAATATGTGGTCTTTTAACATTGTTCCAAAACTTCTCATTGTGACTTCTATCTTTAAAGGAGCCTTTATAGCTGCCGGAGCATCTGTGTCTGCTACTTTCAACAACAACATCCAATACAAATTTGACACCGATGGCAACTCAATCGATTCCACAAGCGGGAAAATTGACTTTTTCGACGGAGCATATATATGGTATGGCCTTGCAAATGGATGTGGACGTGTATTCTGCGGCATTCTCTCGTGGTCATCAACGGATCTTCAGACCTGGCATCCCAATGGCTTCCTGTTTGATCCCAACACGCCACAGATTCAAGATTTCTGCGCGCCGCCATTGTCAGGCAATTGCGGTAGACCTCACATCGTCTATAGCAAGAGCACAAAAACCTATGTCCTCTGGCTTGACGAAGGATCTCCCGGTTTCGCGCTCTTTACTAGTAGTCGACCAACCAGCGGCTATACTCTTAGTGCAAACCGAGCTCTAGTTGGCTATCAACCACCAGGACCTTTCAAAGCAGGCGACTTCAGTGTAGCAGTTATCAACGGCACCGGCTACATCGCCTACTCTCTCCTTGACTTCAGCACCGTTGGGGCCTCCATCTGGCCCCCCTTCGTCCAGAGCATCTACGTCCAACAGCTTACACCATCACTCCTTAACACCACCGGCAACGTTACCCATGTCGTCTCAGCGGCCAGTGACCTCGTTGACCTGTCTGCCGAATCGCCAGATATCTTCCGTCGAGGTGATTATTTCTATATCACGGCATCCAACACGTGCGGTTTCTGCACCGGCACTCTACTCGTGGTGTACCGATCAAAAACCATCATCGGGCCCTGGATCCGCCAAATAATCAGCGCCGACACCTGCGGCGGGCAAACCACTGGCGTTCTCACCCTTCCCGGCCCTTCCGGCCGTGGGGACGCATCCTATCTCCATCAAGCGGATCTCTTCAGCACGGCGCCCTTAACAGGGATACGAACAGCCGCCCACGCCCATCAATTCCAACTATTGACGTTCTCTGATCTTGATGGCAGCGTTAATGACCTAAACTGTACCCTCTCACACAGCGCAACTGCCTCCGTCATCAAAGGAACCCTCCCGAAATCAGGCAAACCCTCCCACGAACCCACCGTCTCCTCCCCCGACCCCTTAGAAACACCCTACACACCCTCCTGTCTCCTCCCAACCTACCAACTCTACCAAACCTTCATCTCCCCAAAGACAGGCAAGCTCTCCACAGTAAGCGTCAATATCGCCGGCATAGCAAATTCCACAGGCACTTTACAGTTAACCATCTTCCGTTACGACAATACTACCGCCTTCTACACACCATTCTACAAATGGGATACACTGGCAACGGCATCCATACCCGGGTCATCCATCTCGCAGGCATTCGAAGCTATTAGCGTCCCTGTGAACAGTAACATAAAGGCGAACGATAAATTGGGTATTGCCGTTGTGTGGGAGGGGGTTGCTCCACTGTGCGTTATGGTTACGGGTGCTACGGGAACAGGTGGGGACGGAAGATGTCCTATTGAGAAGGGCCCGGGAGGGAGTGGACGGGACGGCAGTCTCTTCGCTATTGGTGCCGCTCAGGTGAGTTTCCGTGGGAAGGTCGGGAAGACCCCTCCAATTGTTGTTCTGGACGGTGAGATTAAGTGGGCTGCTGTAATTAACTAGATGAGATATATAATCCGGTTGGGCTCCTCGCAAAATTCGTGGCAGGATATACGTAAAAAAAATAGTTATGAGCTTCAGACACGTTATAATAGAGTTACTTGTCTCCGCTATATACTATTAATACAGTGATAAGTAAGCAGCCCGAGGTTACATGATTTAACACCGCCTTATAGGTGATCGGTTAAGATCACCTAATACCTCGGCCTCGGGGGTTAAGCAATTTAAGCGAATATGTGCATCACCCCCTTTTTCTATCTAGCCTTGTCTCCCTACCTAGGTGGGTAGGTAATTAAACTGCTATAGAGTTGTACAGCCCTCTTCCTGTTCTCTCCTCTATACCCAACCGTTCACTTCAAATCTTAACTTTCTACTTCAACTTTCCAGTTTCAACTTTAACTTCTCACCTTTTCTAGTAAACCTTTTTTGTATATTTATAGGTTTTTTTTAAAAGTTATCCAAATATTCGCGGCAATCGAGCTCTTTAAGTAGCTGCACCAACCCCACGTGGTTGCGACTACGGACGGACTTGACACACTCCACGAATCTAGTTTCACGGTCGAAGATACCCGACTGATTATACAACAGTACAGCGTAGCCTAGGATACAACATCGCCTAACCCGATCTACATTAAATGGATATACGGGATCGCAGCAACATAGCACCAGGAGCTTCTGTAGAATACTACCGATGATACCAAATTGGAAATTTGGTATACTCCGCGAGTCTGTCTGTATACAGTCCTTTCCTTAACCTACCAGCCCTATACATCTTGAAGGCTGGAGCCAAGTTTATCGTTCAAGGTACTCGGCAGGACGGATCGGTATGCTATCTTCTAGCATATGAGTGGCAGGACGGAAACACAAAGCACCTCTCCTGGCTTGACAAAGACCAACCAGCTACATTATTGCACCCCGAACTCCTCGGCGGCTTTACCACCTTGACGAGCTTTATCAACGGCGCTACAGGAGAGCCTGAGAAATAATATGAGCAGAATTCGCCTAGATACCTATAATGTATTCAGCTTTGTCAGTGTACTTAGGTTTGTTAGTATAATTAAGTTTGTCAATGTATTTAAGTTTGTTATGTATTAATTAGGTCTGTTTTATAATCACTGTCATAACGGAGTATACTAAAATCATGAGCCGGGCTCCCGGGATGGAACTAGACAGGAGATAAAGCCCCGGGGTGGATATGAAGGGCCTTGTTGCAATACCGGCTGCATCTATACTTTGGTCTGCTGTTTATCGTAGGCCATAACAGTAGTCTAGGTTCGTTTTCTAGGGCGCGGGTTCGGGTAGGATTCTCAAGCGTCGGTGCCCATTGTCAGATGCTTACTACTGGAATAAGTGACGCTCGAATTATACCCTCTCATATAAACCCCAAAATACCAGTTAGATAGCTATAAGCAGACAAATATTTTATTCCTAAACAACATCTGTATAATTTTCTATATACACATACTAGCAAGGTATACGCAACAATATAGACATGCAATTAAATCTCATCGAATCTAAACTGTAGCAATCTGCTGCTACGTGTACAAACCCCCCTGTGTGCAAGGGAAATGATATGTCACCGTGCTAATACATCGTACTTTCAAAGGACAAGAGATAATGTACTCGAAGAGAGGGGACGGGGGCAGGCTTGTTAAGCACCCTCGCCGTACATATCCCAGACGCTTTTAGGCGGCTCGTATATCACATCCACGGTGCCGACGACGTCTTTGTAGTCCATGTCAAGGCTAATTTGAGGGAATTGCTGTTAGTGCAAGCTCGTTTTGTCCGTTGGCTGGAATAAAAATAGGACGAGGACAAAATAAACACAAAGGTAGAGTCTAGAGAAAGAAATGGGGATGATGTACTCAAATGCTCTCGGCCCACCCATCGCGAGGCCCTTTTCAGACGTCCACACGGGCGGTGCTGGCAGTGCGATAACGCTGACGCGCAAGCCGTATTTGTAGTCTGCGATGCCAAGAGGAGCGCCATTGGCCTTGTCGAGTACCTATTGTTGCTGTTAGCATCACCTAACTTGAATTATCAAAGTCTTAAAATGTTTGGCCGTAATATAAAATGGCGGACGTACACAAATAAGATCTGGACAACAAGCCACGACTTTGTCTTCCTTCCCATCTACTTTTAGTATGGCGCTGAGATTCTCGTTCTCGAAATCTATCAACAGGTTTTCTGTGGCACTCTTCTTCGGAGTCGAGCTTGTGTTCCGCTCATTTTCGATGTCTGAGAAGGACTCGAAAAGAACACTCCCCCGAGTAAATCCCTGTGCGACTTTCCGGGTTACGGATATTATTTTGCCAGTAAATATCAGCTTGCCATTCTCCGAAGACAGTAACGACGTTATGGGATCCTCCTTCAAAGAGCGAGACAGAGCAATTGAACGGCCGATTGTCCATGCTACGTAGAAGATGGTGTTAGGAAGGAAGAAAGCGAGTAGGGCTAGGAATAAGCTTACCGTAGGAGAAACTGTTTCGTGGTAATGTCTTGGCTTCCACGCCATATATAGGATTAACAGAAAGTCCACAGAGAGAACCAAGGTTTGTGCAAGCATCTCGCATGAGGATTTCAGCCTCATAGTTATCGTGTGCCGCTGTGAAATCCTGGAGAGTGGCCGGCGTCAGTTTTCAATCTACTATTGGGCTCGTGATACGTACCTCACAGCTCCCTGCCCCATCAGCTAAGGAAGCTGGGGTGACAGAAATATCCTTGAGACAGCGAACCGTTTGCCAAAGTTTAGGATACGCTCTGGCAACAAGATCTGTATCCAGCACACATTTGTTAAAGCGGTTGGCTGCAAGAAGTGCTTCAAACGCATTCATGCCACCTATTTCGTTGGGGATCACAGCATCGAAGTCCGCAATGCCGGTTTGTTTTACTACACCTTTTATGGCATCGGTGACCCTGTATCGCGGTGAGAAAGTGTAAACCTACGATAATGACACATAACTTACTCATTCAAACCAGGGATTCGTTCCAAATAAACACTTGGTGAACCCTGCAATTCGTGAGCAACAACTACAATGGGTGTTGAAGACGGATCTCACCATAAAACCACCAACAAGAACAACAGAGTTATCAGGAAATGTATCCTGTCTTCTGATTGTAAGGGTTTCCCCATTTCGGAGGGCTAGCCGACAGGCAAGGTATGCTGGATAAGGCTCTCCACAACTCCCAACCCCGAGGACACCTGTGCCATCTTGAAGGAATAGCAGGTCCAATTCTGACAGATACCATAGATCTCCTTCGATTCTGGGCCTATAGGAATTGATGTCGGTGTGCTTGACGACGTCGTATGAACTAGCTTTGGAACCAGTGAAAGATTCCTTATATACCTCATCAGGTAATATTGCACCAGCTTTGTGAAACTCTTCACCGTCGAGGGTGGGGTTGGCGGGAAGATGGGTCTCTTCATAGCCTTCCAGGAGATCTCCTACAACGCGGACTAGGATTCTGGTCGCCCCATTTGTGACATAAGAAATTGGTACTACGTCGACGTCCACAACTTCTACAGTATGCTTATTGCCGCCTGCAGCAACGCATCGCTCGATGGCAAGCAATTTGGCGTCTTCGACCTGCTGGTCAATTGTCTTCTCAGCCGGAAAAGCTGTTGTATCAACAGCGCCGCTGATCTTTCCAATCTATGAATAATTAGTAGGGGCTCCTAATTTATGTTGTAACCAAGACATACCGCAGCACCCACGGCATTTGCTACCTCCAGATACTCTGGACGAATGACCTCGTCAGCACCAGCAATTTTACTTCCGATGATGATACTGCCACCGCCCACGAGTATGATCCTTGCATTCCCTTGCTTTGTCTTTACCAAGTCAACAGCTTCCTCCAGAATTCGAGCAATCTCGTCTAACCCGGACGTTTTGATTTCTGGCGAAATCGGATCCCATCTTACCAAATCCGTCGCCTGTAATATTCAAGGTTAGAAGCCGATTCTGACAACCACGATTTTATCAGAAACTTACAGTTAATATATCACCACCAAACGACTTGCCGTCCTTCTCTAGCCTTGAACCGACAGAGGCAGGACCGATGGTGGTTCGGGTTTCGTTAATGCGGACAATAGACCCACCACCCAAGGCAATGCTATGCACATCTGGAATAGTGAAATTTGTTCTCACTCCAGCAATCTTTACAAAAGCCGCTGACTGCCGTGGATAGCCATTCTTCATCAAAGCGCAAACATCCGTTGTGGTTCTAAAATTTATCTTAGTACCAACGTCTGAAGATTGGGGAGAGAGTTTTACCCTCCGACATCGATCACGAGCACTTCTCTTTCGTCTGATTCATCTGACATATGAGATTTGGCCAACAGGGCAGCACCCCGCGCACTATTTGTTGGGCCCGAAGAGAAGCATCGAACAGGATATTCGGACGCGATTGACGCCTTGCTCAAAGTCCCGTCATTAAGAGTAATGTACAGCTTGCAATCACCTAGATGGCTCAAGGCATGCGATAATCCAGTAATGACACGTCGAGCAAAGCGACGAAGGCTTGCGTTCAAAATGCTGGCATTTTCTCGCTCCAGGAAGCCCAAGCGGCCGATGGCGGAGGAGCGAGATATATCATAGCCTGGACCAAGCTCGGAAGCGAGTATTGAACATGCCTCCTTTTCCTGCGTATCATTCGAAGGGGAGTATATGCCGATAACGACAATACTTGGGATTGACTTGGCCTTGATAATGCGCGCCTGTTCCCTGAGTTGCTCGACGTTGATCGGGGAAATAGGCGTGCCGTCCACTACAGAAGTTAGTTGCTTGAATGTCCGATCCGAAACTGCCATAAAATAACTTAGAAAAACGAAGGTGTTCTCTGCCAACCACTTATATGGTCAATGTGGTAGAAATGGAAGAACCATCCCAAACATTGGTGGAAAACCACACCCTCCTCAAACATTTCGAGTTGATGAAAATAACCCTACCTTGATATCCACCATCAACATAACCAAAATGGCCTTCTACCAAGTTTCGCAAGGCAAGTGGAAAATCGACGAATGGGGGAGATCCTTGCGAGTAAGGCCCGCATAATCGGATCACAGCTACCTTATCCAATTTGCTCGAATCTTGTTCCTTTACTGCATTGATGAATTGCTACGAGAGATCAGCTCATATCCAAGTGGCCAGCAGAATGCGTCCTGCCGCATTATTAATGCGAGCAGTCCGTATCTATATCGGGGTCACAAGGTCGATAAGGCTCTTACCGTTGTCCCAATCTTGACTGAGTCCACGCGACAGCCCGGAGCTATGTCTGCTTTCCTAACGACCTCTTCGATCGCATGTTCCACGCCTTCTTGTATATCTGCGGTCGTTGGAGTTTTGTGACATGCCAGCACAGTGTTGCCTTGGAGGATGACCGCGTCGGTATTCGTGCCACCGACGTCGATGCCTATAACGCACGAGGAGAGCTTCGAAGGCATTGGATTTGCAGGTTGAGTTGCTATTGAAATTGGGGTGGGAGGATCACCGACTTTAACACTATCAGGACAAGACATTGACTAGCATAATGCCGGCGAAAGTCACAGCTGGAGGAGAAGTGGACGGATGCAAAAATTAACTCGGTGGTGATCTGGGAATTGCCGTTTAAGATATGGGAGGCTCAGTTTGCCATGATGTACGTATTGCGGGTCATAAACAGCTGTCACCAAGGTTTCACGGGGGGTCGGGCAAGCAAAAAGCAGCAACGTTGGACGGCCGCTGGATATATGCATACGGACCCTGACACATCGAAACTAATTGCACAAGAGTGGGATCTTAAAGGAAGTCTTAAGAGTCTGCGAACGCAGCGCATCCTTCGTTCCGTCGGCTGGAGGACTGGATGAAGGTGTTGCGGACTGGATCACTGGTCAGTTACCGTCAGTGGTTTCTTGAGTTGACAGCACCGGGCCACGTGGACAAGGATGTGGCGGACGCCTAGGTGTTTGGCGGGGTTCAAAACGATGCTATTCCCGGAGCAGCTGCAGTTTTGAGTAATGTGGTTATTGTCGCGGTACGAAGGGCAGACGAGTGAGCGAGTCAGAAGGAGCGCGGAGCCGGCCAGAAGGGGGAATCCTGCCGAATCGGGATCGCGGCCTTGGGCGGCCAGGCGAGGCAGCCGATTGAAAAGTGAGACTACCGGTATTACGACTTGGTACAGTGCTGTACAAGCACCAAGCACGAAGGGCTGCCAAGAAAGGTACAGGTATGTACGCAGTAGGAGAGCCGGAAATACAGTACTATGTAGGAGGAGAGATCTGATAGATAAGATAGATAAGGGAGGCCATGTACGTGGTACGTAGTATGATTTACGGTGTCTTGTTTTGTTTTCGTTCCAGAGGACCGGTACAGCGTACAGTCGACCTGCAGTGAGCGACCCAACTGTTCGGGCGAGGAGCAGCGGCGGGGACAATGAGGCTGAGGCTGAGACAGGCCACGAAACTCGGTACTCGAGCATGGTCGGGGTCAGTCAGCCTTGCAATAATTCATTCCCAAGGACTCGGTTTGGTCATTCCGTCACTCGACTACTCACTCACTCGATTCTCACTCGGGTAGGGTAGCGTGACGATGGATGGGACGAGGAATAGCGCCATGACCGGTCCACCAGCCATAGTCCATACCGACATGTAGCTATGAAGTGCGTACAGAGGGTGCCCCGTGACAGTCCACACTCGTCCACACTCCACAACTTGAAGGAAAAAGAAAAGAAAAGAAATCTGCTGGGTGAGACAATAAAGGGGTACATTTAGCCCGTTAAACAATCCTGAGGAGTGAGTACCTGGGTACCGTAGGTTGATAGGTTGATAAGTACCGCAGTGCACGCACCTCCGTACTCTGTACGAGCCCACGAGGCGATGAACAATGATGAGCAACGAACCTGTTTATTTTGGTCATCGAGTTACTATACGCGAGCTGCTAGCGCCGTCGGCAAGATAAACGATAAAGAGCACTCCAGAACAGAGTAAAGTTTTCTGGCCCGCCTGCTACCGAGCATTAGGGCTAGTGGCTCCCTCCACTAAGACTTACCAGGAAGCTAAGCCCACTAAGATATCTGCAGCGGGAAGACCTGCACCCACCCGTCAGCCTCTCCAGCACGGGAGTTAGCGTTTCTCATCCCGGAACTGGGCCCCCAGCTCCCCCCGCCAATACTAAGGCCCCAAAGGTGCTGACTCCACCCCCTCAGTCCGGTTTTGTTAGCTCAACCGCGTGACGCGCCAGTTTGTGTGCCAATGGGGTCCAGAACCGTGCCGCGGGGCTCCGTGCTTTCTACTAGAGCTGGTGGACTTCAGTAGCACTACCACGCTGCTGTACGTGCTTGCGTTCTTCATGCTCCCCAGGAAGTGCTAACATCTCCCTTCCCCTACGAATCATACATTCTGGCGCCATTTGTTACCTAAGTTCATTGCAAAAGGGCGTGGTGCACCCTCAAGCCCCCACCAGACTTCTAGAAACAATCTTATCTCTGGGACGCGCTGCTGCAGCATCAGGCCCGTCCCGTCGTCCCCGCCAGAGTCACAGCGGTCCCAAGTGGTCCCAAACGGCTCCAAATGGCCAATGCACATCCCAAGACCACGGAATACTCCCAGGAATGTTTTATTGTATTCCCAGCTCGAACAATGCTGCTCCTATGAGCGCCCCTTGTTTGGTCCCACGCACCCTGAGGGCCTGATGATCCCCATTCCAGGATCCCCGTTTCGCCAGAGAAACGCCCGCCCCATCACATTTCAGACGACCTGGACAAAGAGAGGTAAGCTACTGCGTACGTAGGTAGCACTGGAGCTTTTTTCTCCGCACCTCCTCAAACCATACTTCGTACTTAGAGGGAAGATGTCTCCTCCCCCTTGGCCATTTGAACATCAATCTATCCGGCGATCCTGCGATCATTTCTTGGTCTAAGTGGAGCTCGACAGTCACGCCGCGCCAGCACTAGTTCGCGCTCCGTTCTCCGCTCTCTAGACGCGCCGTCTCCTCTGAATAGCTCCGTTTCAAACATGGCCGAGCCAGAGAGTAAGCCAGAGCATAAAGCTACTGGCGATGACCATATTTCCAAGTTAGCCTTCACGGCGGTGGCCGCGCCCAACCCCTCTTCCGACTCAACCTCTTCGCGGGCGCACCGACAGCCACACGAGATACCCGACCTCGACCACTATGTTCCCAAAGGCCCCCCAGCGACGAAGAAGGAGGTTTGGTCATACTATGCCTACTATGCGGGGAACAACGGGATTGGCTCCTTCCAATAGTAAGTGGCACTCCGCTCAAGCTGGTCACGCAACTTGCCCCCAGATGTGAATGGCGACTCGAACTTGTTGCTTACTCCTACACAGCTCGAATCTTCTTTTCCAGAACTTGATATACCAAGCCGCATTCGACCCTACTGTTCTGCCATTCGGAAGCGCGGCCTGCGATCCTGATCCGACGCGTCCATGCCACGTCTACTGGGGAGGTGGGGGAAAGACCAAAGCCTACACGTCGGTCATCCTGATCGGGACGGGCTTGACGTTCCTGGCCCAAGTCCTCGTCTTCATCGGAGTGGGGAGTCTGGCAGATTTTGGGAATTGGAACCCATGGGTTGTCAGAATTTTCTCGGTGCTCTCTTGGGGGTTGGAATTTGGCTTCCTAGGTGTCCATACGCCGTCAAAATGGAGGATTGCCATGGCATTGTATATCCTGAGTAGTAAGTCGTCCCAGCTGGAAACGTCCTGTCCTCTTTCATACACCATTCGCTGACAAACATGTGCCATAGGTGTCACATTCTGGGCGTCGTACGTGTTCTTCAACGCCATCTTTCCGAAAATTGCCCACGATCTTCCCGAGGCTAGAGCTGCAAGAGAGGAGTTATTAAATGGTACGATCAACGAAGAAGAATACGAATACAAATGCTCCATGGCGCGATCCAAGATAATGAATATGAGTTATGGATTCAATAATATCGGGTTCACGGCATCCGCAGCCCTTTCCCTCGCTGCTCTGTATGGTCTTCATGCGGATGACTCCATTGACGCGAACAACTGGGGTTATTCAGTCGCGGTAGCTGTCACCACGGGGTTCTGGATAATATTGGCCATTCCCTGGTTCCTCTGGGAGAAGAAGCGACCTGGACCACCGCTGCCAAAGGGCGACAACTATCTTACCTTCGGTGCTAAGCAGACTTGGTTCGCCGCCAAGCAAGCGTGGACCTTGAAGCAGACCTTCCTCTACCTGATTGCCTACTTCTTGCTTGCGGACGGCATTGGAACGACATGGTCCCTCATCGCGATCGCTCAAACCCAAGCTGTCTCGTTCTCGGCCACCCAGAATACGCATCTGATCCTGGTTCAAGGCGTATCTGCCGCCGTAGGCGTGTTCGGTGCCTACTACATTCAAAGCTTATTTAAAATCCGGACGAAGACGATGCTCCAGTGCACCAACTTCGGCTGCGTACTTGTTGCCCTGTGGGGCATGATCGGTATCTGGACCAATAAAGTCGGGTATCACAACCTGTGGGAATTCTGGCTCTTCAATGCCCAGTTTGGGTTCACATACGGCGCACAATTCTCATACGGCCAGGCGTTTATGGCCGAGTTGGTCCCACGCGGGCGCGAGTACATGTTTTTCAGTCTACTCGGCATCGTGTCGAAGGGCTCCGCTTGGATTGGCCCCATTGTATGCAGTGCCATTGTGGATCTCAACGGCAATCAATGGACAGCCTTCCCCTTCACAGCTGCGCTCACCTTGGTGCCGTTCATCGGCATCTTCTTCATCAGCGAGACCAAGAGCCGGGTTGAATGCGCTGCATATCTCGCGCGCGAGGCATCGGACTTGAGGAAGATCAATGTCGCGGAACATACCGACCATACTGAATCTGACGAGAAGACTGGATCTTTGTAATAGGGTGGCCGACGTGATGGCTGGTGCCCATTGGCGTTACTAACTGCGAAAGTATCACAAGTTGAATAATTTATGTAGATTGATATGACGTTACTTAATGGGTTTTATATACGATTTTGACCACTTATACTTATATATCATACACATATATCTATACATATCTTTTGCTCTTCACGTTTTGTCGTTTTCCGCAGTTTGTCTCAGTGCATCTTGAAGTTTACAGTCCTATCACTGCATACGAAGGCAGTACGGGATTCCCAAGTTGTTGGTGATATAATGTGCGTGGAGGCACTGGGTAGGATCTTTCGCCCAAGCCCACCAAGTCCACCAACTGTTGGCCATACGAAGTAAAAAGAAAAAACCAATATCAGACTCGCAGGTGGAAATTTACTCCGAAGCCGCGATATCCCCCGACGCAACCCAATGAGGTAAGTTGCGAACTGACCTGTCACATTGAGGCCCAAACTCGGGTGCCCGGAAACCACAATACGGGCGACTCGGCCCTCCGATTGGTGATGACCAAGGCGGCGAATGCAAGGGATACAAGGATGCAAAATTACCGCCCGACGCCTGTGGCTGCTCAAGTTCGACGCCGAAGAGGCAGCATTACGCGGGAATAGAAGCATCGTCGGTTTCGTTTCTAACCTTCATCTGGAGTAGCGGGCAGCTCTGCTCCCGACAGCTGTCGCCGCACGGCGCTCACCCTAAAGCCCGGGTCTAAGAAACGGGTTCGGTTTGGAGTGATATGCCACTCTTGGGAATCAAATCAATGCCTATGCTGGGAGCCACCACGGCTACCACAATATCATTTTTCATGCCAGGAACAATGTTATGCGGGAGCAGCAAAGGAGAGTTTCTTCTGTATGCCTTTGGGATCAACCCCCTGCGACCCCCTCCGGCGGATGTTTCGCGATGGTGACACTGAAGGTAGGGAGGTCGACTATTCGAGAAGCCAGTCGCAGGCAAGCCCGTCAGCCTGTGCCTATCAGTCCATCCACGGCAGTGGTGTGCTGATCTGGCTGGCATGGTGGCGCTGTTCTTTTTTGATGTCTGGAACCCCCGGCATGCGCGGAGAAAGTTCTCATTTAATAGTTGGGATTTGTGCAACTCTACCAACTCTTTTTTGTTTTGGGTATCCTTGGCGACGAAAAGGCGGTAACAGCTAGCAGCGAGGAGATATAAACATTGATAAGGACGAACATCATACATATACAGCAGGTAGTATCACGAGCAAGAGGGGTAGTTTGCCCTTTTACTACCTCGTTCTGTCTCGTTCTCCGGATCTGGAGGAATTCCGCGTCCCCGCCCCGGTTCCCCATCCCCGCCATTGTTGCGTCTTGGCTCCGGCCCCACTATCCACAGCCGCCCGGCCACTAAGAAGCCCGCGCGAAATCCCCCCGGGGCCAAGGCGGCTTGGTGCTAAGTCTCGGCGGCAATCGGTCCCACCCACCCACCGTCTTTCAACAACTTCCGCTTGCAACACCACAACCACCATCCAAACACCACGACGACGACGACCGTCACCGACTTCAAAATAGCCTCAACTTCACCTTGACCTCCGCCCATCTCTTGCGCGCCGGTCAAGCTATATACACCGCGTCCTGTCTCTGTCGCAGCGGATGCAGAGCGTTCTCTGCAGCGACCGACGACGATGGCCCCCGGTATGGGCATCAAGGCCCCCGTCCCGCGCACAAGAACTGGTGGGTATTTGTCTTTGCCGGGCCCAACGCGGCTCTTCGTTCCTGCGCTATATCCAAGCTAATATACTCATTAAAACAAAAGGTTGTCTGACCTGCCGCAAGCGCAAAGTCAAGTGCGACGAGGGGAAACCCAACTGTGGCCGATGCCAGCGGCTTCAGCGCGAATGCACATGGAGCGAAGAGCTACAGGTCGTTCCGCAACGGCGCCAGGATCGCGGCTCCGCAACTGGAGCTAGAATCATCACCACTGCATCCAAGGTTCCCGCGCTGCATCTCAGTCGTCCCTCCGGACAGAACTTCGTCGTGGAATTTCCCGGTATAGAACGGGCAACGATCCCGTATCTGCACCATTTCGTCACGTTCTGCTCTCGTTTCATTGCGTATCCGAATGATAGCGAGATGAATCCATTTCAAGAAGAACTGGTTCCCTTGGCCGTCTCATCACCGGCGCTTCTTAATTCTATGGCCGCGCTTGCGGCCGCGCATTTATCGAGGAGTAATAAGCAGCATGACGTTCCTGCTGCTAAGTATTATTCGAGGGCACTTAGAGAGCTGAATGACACTCTATCGGATCCTCACCTGGCACGCTCAGATTCTGCGTTAGCAGCATGCCTCATTCTCTGTGTCTATGAGGTAACTTGAACCTTGCCCCTGCTCTCCCGCGTATATGGTGTTAATTCGGGCAGATTTGCCATTCCAAAAATTCCTTGTGGCTTGAGCATCTCCAAGGCGCAAGAGATTTGATTCTCTACCGAGGGGGTCCAAAGTCGAGTAATTGCTTAACACGCCTCTTCTCCCTCCTAGATATTTCCGGGTCCCTCTGCTCCGGCGCCGGCCCATTACTCCAGGGCAATTACTGGATCGAGAGCGGTCTCGAATCCACCTCTCCCGAACCTTCAAAGGCCCTCACTTGGCCGTACTATGACGACAACAATGTAATGGTGCAACATTTCCACGAATTAATGATATATATGGCAAAGCTCTCACATTTATCGGCCCAATCTATAAGTGATTTTGGTCGGTCACACCCAGAGGTCATTGCCGAAAAGGCGGCTGAGGTCAAGAGAGAGCTTCAAATATGGTGGGGCCAATGTCCGCCTGACTTACGAGATCAGCAAACCGGGTGGAGACGAATACCGCGAGAGCGTAAACTTACTGTAGCTGAGACGCTTGAGGCGGAGTGCTTCTCGAGTACCAGGGCGTGTATGTATGGATGCATCATTTACCTTTATCATATTCTTGATCCTCTGGGTCGTCACCCTCAAAATCCCGAGGTCACCAGCGCCGTTTTCGAAATCCTGCAAATTGCTAGGGAAACCCCCGAGGGATATGGCTTGGAGATGGTCCTGTATTGGGGGATATTTATGGCTGGTGTCGCCGTGTTCAACGATTTCGTTGCTGAGGACTTGATTCGACGAAAGTTGAAATCTGATACTAACGTCAGTATATACGTACGTACAGCCAACATCTTATTAATTCCCAAAGGCTAACAAGGACTGCAGCATGCTGACCGGGCCTTGGAACTGCTGGAAGTGCTTTGGAAAAGGCAACACCAGTACGGCACTAAATATGATTGGAGAGAGGTGCAAATCCAAATGGAAATCCAAATGTAGGTTGTTGTTTTCGGACCCCACTGGATACGCTGACTGATTTCATGCAAGTTTTATCCTAGCATGATGACAAAACGTGAAACTCCTTACCAAGAATGAAGCTTTCGGCGGCGTAGTACGCAACTTAGTGCTCGGAGATACCGCTCGGTAGCCCAACGATACAGCTTAAATCCTTAATGTCCGTCAGCCTGCATGACACTCTTAAACTGGTACATGGAAGGTACCATTGTCAGATGTATAAAGGAAGACACTTCTCGAGAGAAGGTAGTCCGTCTACAGACTCATCAACAAGTCAACTTCTTTGGGCACCTCCGAAAACGTTGTCATAGTCTGAGATCTTCAAGGCTATACATCCCAAAAGTTACATCCTTAAGCCTGCTTTACTAGCACCATGTCTTCAGCATCGTCCCAGGAGACAATTCTCCTACTCGGAGGAACAGGAAAAATATCCTCTCGAATTGCCCGCCTTCTATCAAGCGCCAATTATTCCGTACTCCAGGCCTCGCGGTCTGGGGTCGCAGAGCCACTCCCACATTGTCAGGGTGTGAAATTCGATTGGTTCGACCCAACAACCTACGAAAACCCGTTCGCCAGCTCTCCAATATCGGCAGTATTCCTGGTATCACCTATGATACTGGATCCGTTTGGACCCATGAAAACTTTTGTTGATCTTGCTCGCGAGAAGGGTGTGAATAGATTTGTTTTGCTCAGTGCAAGCGTTATTGAAGTTGGGGATGGCCCTGCGCAGAGTACAATTTCGAAGTATATCTCTGAAATTGGCGTTGAGTATGCGATCTTGAGACCAACTTGGTTTATGGGTATGTAGATTTTCTGGCCTCGGTCATCTCCATCTTTTCATCGGATATTCCCGAATCAACTAACACCATGAAAAGAAAACTTCTCTGAACAGCAACACCTCCCCACAATCCGCGATGCATCCCAGATCATTACCGCAACAGGAGAAGGAAAAGTCCCTTTTATCTCAGCAGACGACATCGCGGCCATTGCTGTCCATAGCCTTACGGACAAGACTCCGCACAACACTGATCATCTTATCTTCGGCCCCGAGCTTTTCACTTTTGACGAGGTACCGCGTTTCCCCCATCGTCACTTCATCACACCTGAAGTTACTAACGCACACTAGGTAACTGCACTCCTAACCAAAAAACTCAAGCGCCAAATTACACATGTCAAAATAAGTCAAGAACAATTCGAGGGAATGATATCACAATTCGGGATACCGGATGATTATGCGAAGATGCTTGCAGGGCTGGATACTTTTATCAAGGAGGGCCGTGAGGAGAGAAGTAGTGATGCCGTGAAGAAGGTTACCGGGAGGGAACCGAAGACTTTGGAAACATATTTGGATGAATGTGTTGCGAGGGGCGTTTGGGATGGGAAATAAAGGGATGGTTGGGTGGGTAGGATAGGAAGGGGGAAGATAGAAAGGACAGGAGAAGCAGTTTTTTGCGTAGCAAAGGTTTCTGGAATAGATAATTTTCTGGATAGCAATTAACAAGTTAACGGAAGTAATACGTCGTAAAGATCCCCGCATTATCCCCCCTAGAATGAAAGTCTGGGGTTTATTTCCCGATGCATACGTACATGTATCATCTGAGCTTCTGCATGTAAGACTCGGAACATGCATGCTACCGCATAGTCCAGGCTCTAGGTCCAAGCTGTTCAAAACACCAGTTGAGCCGCCGGCTTGCCAAGCACGAACCCAACTACGGTAACTTAATCCACCCTGACCCACCAGGAGCGGGAGCGGGGAGCGGGGAGCGGAAGCGATGGAGAATCCCCAGGTTGCTTAATAAGGCCGAACTATACATAGCGCATTATTGACCAGCAAGGATGCTCATGCACGCGGAAGCTAAAACAAGGAGCATTGAAAATTTGACGTCCATCGCCCATCGCCTTTCTACCTTTCTTTCTTGGTGCTATCCCACCTCAAAACTATCACCTGAGTCACGCATAGAGGGGCTTCAGACCAGCCACCATCAGGTAACCTAAGAGCCTGGTTTTCCTCCTAGTTGGGGAATAAGCCTTGGTTACAAGGCCCTTTGCATGCGTGATGTGCTGCACGATAGGGTTGATTAGGGGTGAAGGGATAGTAATTGCACGTTGCGGTTGTTGATATTACAGACGGGTCGAAAAAGGCTCTCCTAAAGATTTCGAACTTTTATTTACTAATTCGGATTTTCTTTAGTCCTAATATAAGCTAGTTAGTTTATGCTACAACTAGACGGCCCTTGGTGCTTTTCACTCTTTTAAGCTTTCCATGAATCTTCTCTTGATGTCCTTTGCAATCTCAATGTTGTTCCGTGCCCTTTCTCTGCTTGCGATAGCTCTCCTTTCAAGCCACTTATTTCGGTCCTCAACGAATGCCTTCATCCTCTCGTCTCGCTGTTTGATATTCGCTATCTGCAGCTGGGTCAAGTTCTGTGGAGCAGGAGATTCTGGCTGTTTGATCTCCGGTTTCGTCGGCAATCGCTCATCCACGGGGAGGATGTCCAACTTTGGGCCAGGCAGCGTCTGATACCAGTACGCGGTGGACGACCAGTCATCTCGAAGGTGGTTTGCATGACCATGTTCTAGGGTCACCTTGATTTTCGAGTTGAAGCGTACAGGATCAGGCAAGTGCCAACGGTACGAGACCTGGTAGCCCGGTACGTCATCCTCATGAATGATAGTCCCCGCGAATGGATACGCATTCTTCTGCATGCCCCATCCCTGACTGAAGTAGTCTTCGCCGCCAGTACCGTGCATGCTGGGAGGCCATTTGTCGTCGTCGATGAAGATCATGTCATCGCCTTCGCCCCACCAGGTGTTTTGGAAATGCAGCACAGAGTGGTTGCATCCGATGTAGGCCCCTGCTCCCTCGGTCTCGAGGATGGTGTAATTGCCTTTGCCGTCTAGGGCAGGCACTTGAGTTTCAAGGCTGTTCGTCTGCACATCATCTGGTGCCCAGCCTTTTGTTGGGTTTTCTCGTCGCCAGTGGGCATGGAAGTAGAGGATCTCTGACGGGTCGAATGGCGCCGGGCGAAGCTCGTAGTCGATGTAGAAGTATTGGATATATGCGTTCTCGCCTTGATTCTCGATCTCGATTCTCGCCCGCTTGTTGAACGGCATAGGGACATAGCAGTTAAAGGCGGCGTTTCCGCCGAATTTCTTCTCTTCCGACGGCTTGACACTGACGGTAAATGGCATAGATTGGAAATTCGCCGCCATAGAATGTCCCAAGCAGAAGAAGTCACCGATTGGCGCAAGTACGTTGGGTGTCTCGGAGTCGTCCCAGTACATCTTGATGATTACCTTGCGGTAATAATCTGGATCATTGTCTTCGAAGTTCAGACCCAGGGCGTTGTGGATCTCCATCATCGCAACGCCGGACTTCGAGTATGGGATCAATCCGGGACCCAGGATGCGGCGGCAGGCCTGCACAAACCACAGATGGGTGATTTTGCCAGGGCCTTCGATGTCACACAATGTGGCTGTCTCGCCTGGTTGGACTATAAAGGCGTCCTCATTCAAGCCGGATTGATCCCAGCTTGAAATTCGAGCGCTACGGGCGACCTTGCGTTGCGCTGCAGCAGACATCAAGTCGCCATCGAGGAAGGCGGTAGTAGACATGTTGAATTTGAGAAGTTGCCTCGCGATTGATGATAGATATTAAAGTGGTCAAATGTAAATAAATGGCTTATCAAATATCGAGTATCCTAGCGATCGTTGAAAGAGAAAATCCAATGACAAAAAAGTGTAGAGAAGAGTTAAAGAGGGCAAATAAATGACGATATATATACCTCGGAGGGCGGCCATATCTTCGTACAAAGGTGGGACAAATAATGCTCGCTGTCCTCCATTGCATTGGCAGTACTCTGTAAGATGGCAAATAAGGGAAACTCTTCCATACAATACCTTGGCAGCGCGGAGATGTAAACGACCAGAATGTGTTTGGACTCTGAAGGGGGTTGTGGGGATAGTGTACTTATTGGAGGCGGGGAGGTGGGCTTCTCATCGCCGGGCGTCGCGGAGCGTGGCTACATCTCCGCGAAGCAAAGCTCGCCTCCGAGACGAACTCTGACCGAATTGCCGAGATTCGGTGGGGATATGTGGATATGTAAACTAAACCGTTGTTAATTTCTACCCACCCAACAACCTTCATAATTAGTTATTAGATGCTCGCGGAAAGCCTCAAACGTTACCGCGGGTGTCTTCTCCTCTTTTGGTACGAGTATTCTCGACATCGCAAACACCGATAACTCTCGCGAAGAATGCAGCAGGAAGCACTCCAAGGGTTCGGTAGCCCGCGGATCTGTACGGACAATCCGCGACGCTCCCCATCACAACCTTTGTCTCCACGGTCCTCCTCGAGGGCAAAGACTAGAACCAGAAATGCTATTGCTTGTGATACTTGCCGATCGAGGCGGACGAAATGTGATAGCCGAAGACCATCATGCTCATACTGTCGGTCTCGTGGCATCGACTGCCACTACCAACCGGCCGTAGAAGCTCCCGCATCTAGGTATGCATGGATTTCTGACCGGTTTCAAATACGGTACTAAAGTGCTGAATAACGGCAGATTTGAAGTTGAGCTAGCTGCAATCAATCAACGCCTTGATCACCTAACCAATCTCCTCTCGTCGAGCCCCTCGCACAGCTATCCACATGCAAGTCATGGCTCGGCGAATTCGGATGACACAAGAGAACAGTTCAGTGACCAAGAAAATACCCCTTTTAAACTGCTTAGTACACGACGTATGATGGGTGTCTTGGGCCTCGAGGAGGACATTGCTGATGAGCTTGTCCGGATGGAAAGGAAGCCCTTGGCCTTGAACAACCCTGGCTCCTCTCGACTGTACATTGTCCAACACCAGCAAGCTGTCTGGTAAGCTGTTTCTTTCCCCAGAATCTTCACCTGGGGTATGAACCTGATCGTCATCCTCTATCCGTAGCGCCCTGGCGGCCTTCTCCGAGCACATCCACATCTGGTATCCAATACTAGGAACAGGATTCTCCGAACAGTACTTTCGCATTATATCGGGACCGTTAATACCTTCTCCAGAGTCATGTCTTGTCCTGCTGGTGGCTGCAATTGGGCTTTTGGCCCAAGAAACTGTTCAAAACAGTGGGCTAAACGGACGCGCCGACAGCTCATACTTCGAGGCTGCATTGGCATCTTTACCAACGGTCATCTCGGACTGCGGGTTAACGAGCGTTCAGTGCTTAGTGCTGTTCAGTATCTACTACTGCTGCCGTCTCAGACCATGTCAAGCGCATGACTACAGCCTCATTGCGTCTTTCAAGGTACAGAATTTACTAAAAGGGTGAGTCCCCATTAGGGTGGGTTCGCTCGCTATGAACTAACAGAGTGGAAATTATAGCTTTGACAGCATAGAGCGGGAAGATTCTGAGACCCGAGCACAGGCAATACGAGCTTATTGGGCTGTTTTATTGCTAGAAAGGTATGCTATGTGACTCCCAGATGCTAATTTTGCAGTGTTCTAAGGGGTTTAGTGAGTTGTGCGCCCAGTTTGATCTTGCAAAAAGCGGAATCTGGAGCCTGGATGAACATGTTGGACTCCCAGATTGCCGTAACACGTGGCAATTTGACATCGATGCCGGATCCCCCCTGGCAGCAATATCACCTGCAAGTGTGCCATCAACTACCAGTGCCAGCACGGACAAAGTTCAATCGTATTTTCTTGCGGAGACCTCTATGAGACGCATGTTACATCGATGCAACACTGCAATTAAACGGAATATAAATGGGAAAATAATTTATGCGCCTGGGATTGCGCTAGAGCTAGAATTGCAACTAGATGAATGGTACAACTACTTGCCGGAAGTGGTTCGTTTCCACACTTACCTCAACCCAACGACTCTGGAAGTTCCGCCAGTGTGTCCGCTAAGCAACTTCCTGCGCGTGCAATACTACTGCTGCAAGACTGCAATTTACTGGCCAGCAGTATACCAGGCGATAGAAGACGGAGCCGCGAATGGACAACTCCTTGATCATTGTCGAAGGTTCTTTGACTCGTATATTCAACTAATGCCGAGCATTATCGCCGCCTTCCAAGGGTGCATCGTAAATAGATGGACACTATTTGCAAGGTGAGAGATGTATTACGCTTTTGCAACATTCTTGAAGAGCTATTGCTGACAATCTCGTTTCTCGTTCTAATAGTATTTTCATGAACTCCATGGCGACGATGAAAGCTGTCAGTACAACCTGTTTGGCCGCCATTGGTTCCCCACAACTGTACCAGTGTTTCGCCTCGGTAAGGAATGTTGACCAACGCATCATTGAGATGAGTCCATCTTTAGCCTTGCTAAGAAACGCTATGGAGAAGAAACTTGCAGTCGGATAACCCTACCTAGATGACACTTATAAAGTGAGACCACGACAAGAAAATTCGCTAAGAGAACCTACCAAGAAGATATTCCACAAGGAAGAGATCCGAGAGGATAGTTCAAAACATAATCTACATCAATTCTTAATCTCTAAATGTTAAGCTGCCCGCAACTCAACAATTGCACACCGTGCAATCCGTCCCAAATTCGGACCTCCTCGAATAAAGCACAGTTTTCATCCCCAGTCGCGAATGCAGTAACGCCATTATTGCTCTCATAATCGCACGAGTACACCATTGTTCCTAGCGCAAAGCGATCATTGGCATAAACTTCGAGGATGTCTCCATCCGAGATGATACGGAGTCGAAATTTCTCTTGCTTCTCCTCGCCAGTGAGCGACTCTCGGGTTGTGAAGAGGGTGAAGGGACCCTGCTCCGGGCATTTGTTGATGTCTGCGTATGGTGTCGAGGCGCTGCGATCTACGGTGATTGTTTCTGTGACAGGAGAGAAGGCGACAGTGGTGTGAATGGAGAAGTTGTGGTTATGACGCAGGTGGAAGCCAACTGTTTCGCAGCTTGCGCTGATCGATATTGTGGCTTCAAGCTCCCACGTTGGGGACGAAGTGAAAATAAAATGTTGCTGCTGCATCGGTATCGGTCGTGGAAGGAAAACCCGATCTATCTTGTGGGAATAGAGACAGCCATGGCGGAGACGGCTCACTTCCAAGACGGGCCGGACCCCCAACGTGTGCAATGTTATGGACCCATCAAGTTCTCTCTGTTGTTCCACGCAGTCAATCTCAGATAACTGGCTGTTCAGTGCTCTGATGACGTTGGAAATCGAGAGAAGAAACACTTCACGTGGAATAGATAGAGAACCGCTCCATCCTTTTTTGCGAGCGTGTTCGTCCGTGCAATCCTCCTCGGGAATCCAACCATGCAGTATCCGCCTACCAGACGGAGGATCGACGAAGGAGTTTCCGGCATAGTAACTCCCATGGTCAAGGATACCACCGAATCTGTACTGAAACTTGATGCTGTCTCCTTTCTTTATTATGTCACCGGACATCCAGACCTGCTGTCTCACTGTCCTAGGAGGGAGAAGGGGTGGAAGAATATAGTCCTTAATGTGATTACGCTCAATGTCCCCTTCTGCGCCAATGATGAGGAAATTATGGGATATCGAGTTCGATTCGAGTGTCATGAAATTGGTGCATTCCCAATTGATCCCAAAATTACCACTCCACTTCTCCGAGGGCTGAAACCTTATAGGTAGATCGACCAAAGCATCAAGGTATCTCCATTCCCCTAAGGCTTCTGACTGGATCTCGTACAAGAATGTGGTCGGTCCCGAACCCTGCATGCCACCAGAGATGAGACCATAAAGCGAGTTTCCGCTCTTCCCACGAAGGTGGTCCAAGGCCGGCCATTCTGCAACATACGGGTCCCGGAAGCCTGTCACATTGACACCCGGAGGCTCCCCTTCTAAAATTGGATTCTTGGGAGACTTTGCCCATGTTAAGCCACCATCATCCGACGTGGCTAAGGCCAAACCTGCTGCATTTCGTGGATACGGCTGCGTGCTCCAGTGGAAAGGCAAATTGCACACAGAGGAGTAGAAAACCGTTAGCTGCTTATTATTCGCGTCTCTCACAGGAGCAAAACAACCTGTAAAGACCCCATCTTGGTCATACTCTTGGTCTGGTCTTAGTTGAGGCTGGGTGGGCGTTGTTTCCCAGGTCAGAAGATCTCTGCTAGATACGTGGCCCCATGACATGTTTCCCCATTCAGTGCCATGAGGGTTACCTGAGGTCTTCCCGTCAATCACAGAGATTTTGTTGAATAAAGATTTACGGATGTGCTCTTACATTGAAAGAAGAGGTGATATAGCCCGGTACTCGGATCGTAGCCTGGGGCACATGGATCGTTTATCCAACATGGTGCAGTGATGTGGATCGTCGGCCGGACGTGGTGGACAGTTCGTGGCTGTTTCTCGATGTGATTTGCTGTCTTGGTTTCAATTTGGGACATGGTAACTCGCCCTTAGGAATCGGGGTGATCGCAGAATCTGGTGTCGTCGGTGTCTCTGGCTCAAGAAGCAGCGTTGGCCTTTGATGCCTTGGTCCAATACTTATCTATTAGAAATAATTCGAGGAGGTATACACTTACTTATAACAGACACAGGCGAGAGCAGCTATTTAGCCACTCTTAGCGTCCCGATCCCGACATGCGGAGTCCTGTGGGTATAGTATCAAAGGTTTTTGGGACTCTCCAACCAACGTTCCTTCGATTTGCCGATTGCGTTGAACTCCGTCTAGGTTCGCTGTTGTGGAACAGCAACAATCCAATACATACTGCACCTAGGCAGTGCAAGGAAATGGTGGGTTTCAGTTGCCACTTCCAAGTCGCCCACAATGATTCTCGCGAAGCAGGGTCGTTCGATGCAAAACCTTGTTGTTTTCTTATTTAATTTTTTTGTTGTTCTATCAAGTGCTGGAGTGCTGTACTGCGCTGGATGTAAGCTTTAATATCAGGGGTTTGCGTCGCGGAAAGCGCGAAACACTCCGCGGAGCGACTAGGCGGAACGTGGAAGAGGACCGCGGGACTGACTGACTGACTAGCTGGTCTTGCCACTCGCTCTCCCACTCTTCGCCTTCAAAGTTCAAACTTGGCCTCGCGGAGGATACATTCCTCTCCGCGAGAACTCGACCATTTCAAGTTCCAACGCCACAGTAGATATTGTAGATATGGCCTGGCCTAGAGGTGGACCATTAGCGAACTATTTTAGTCGTTGGCGGGGTCCCCTTTGCCCCACGTTTTGCTTCCTCCACGATTTCTGCATCCTTGCCTGGTAAACTTTGACCACACGGTCTGGAGTCGAACCTGCGATTGAGGAAATATCCGATCTCGTCACTACACGCCCCCGACAAAGGGAGTCAGTCTTATGGATTCTCTATAAGAACTGATCCATAGCCACCAGCTCCAGGACCCATCAGCTCCAATATTCAAGATCTCCAAATATCGCGATTCGTCTTTCTCCTTCGTTAATTTGAGATCGTTACCGAGCCGGAAGCAATCAAGCTTGGCATCACTTGTCCTCTGACACAATGGCCTTGATCCACGGGTGAGAATGATAATGACAATGAACTATGACCCTTGATGTAACACCCATTAACATCATCTCACACCAGTGTCGACTATTCAGTCGTCAATCCAGACAACAAATGGAAGATCCTGAAGTCACAGATGCGCTTCGCCTTCTGGTGTAAGTGTATCAGCTTACCAAAAGCAAGGACACCCGAGCTAACTTTGTTCTCCAGCTCTTTGGATCTCCAGCGGCGTCATCATGCAAGGCTTTGACATCGTCGCTGGTGGACAACTGGCTGCCCTTCCTGCATTTCGAGAGAAGTTCGGAATCCTTCAATCGGATGGTAACCACTTGATCCCTGCCCGTTATCTGTCTGCCTGGAACTCCATTGCTCCAGCGTGCGAAATCGCTGCTACTTTCATCTTTGTCCCAATGCTGGAGAAGTACGGACGCAAACCCGGGATCCTTGCTGCGTCTTTCATTTCCGTCGCTGGTGTTTTGCTTCAACAGCTGGCCAAGAACTGGTTAGTACATTTGGCTGGACGTGGTGTCAATGGTAACCTACTCCTCTTGCTTTATACATATTAATGAGGCCTTACTAACATTTCTTGGTAGGTATTGCCATCGGTATAATGTTCACTATTGCGCCTCTTTGGATTGGTGAGACATGTCGTCCTGAGCTTCGCGGCTTCTTCCTCTGCTTCTTCAATACTAGTATTGTGTTTGGACAATTCGCTGTGTATGTTCTCCAACACCGAAAGCATATCTGAGATACTAATAGATTTTAGCGTGGTAGTATCGAAGGGAAGCAGCTACATAGATGGGAAATGGTAGGCTATTCGTGTTTGCGAGTGTGAGAGATAGTGCTGACGTTCATGGCTTTAAAGGCAGTGGTGGGCTCCTGTGGTTGCTATGTATATCTTCCCATGTAAGTCACCCTACGACCAAGATCGTACTCGATTTCTTATTTTCCTTTTTCTTTTTTGCCTTCTTTCCTTTCCCTTTTCAACAGCCACTGATCCTTCAATTGCAGTGATCCTCGCTTTAGTCTGGCCCTTCTTCCCCGAATCGCCCTACTGGCTTGTTCGCCAGTCCCGCAGTGGCGACGCCAAAAAAGCTCTCCAGCGCGTTCACGGCTTCAAAGGAGCCGACTCAGAATTCTACGACATCGAAATCCACCGCATGGAAGACGAGATACGATTTACAAAGGATCTGCAAGGTGATATCGAGGCCAAACACGATACCTTCTTGGGCATTAACATCTCCGCCGAAGCCGAATGTTTCCGCGGTATAAATCGCAAGCGTACTTTAACCGCAATTTTCGCAGCCAGCGGACAACAGATGATCGGTGCCACCTTTGTGATTGGCTATGCAACGTACTTCCTAGAACTCATTAAGATCAAGGATTACTTCAATGCTTCAGTTGCGCTGTATGTAGTCATGCTCCTGTCGAGTATGGCTGCATTTCCGCTCACGGAGATCTTTGGAAGGCGCGTATTAATCGTCTGGCCGCAATTTGTGCTCTGTTTCATGTTACTGATGATTGGGATTATGGGATGTGTTCCTAACCAGGCTCGGGCGGGTTGGGGGATTGTTGCTTTCATCTATCTTTGGGCTATTATCTACCAGCTGTCGATTGGTGCTACTGGATTCGTCCTCGCTTCTGAGATTGCCACTATGCGGCTCCGCGGGGCAACACAGGGTCTAATCACTATCACTAATGCTTGTTGGGGCTTGATCATGCAATTTACCGTTCCTTACATGGTACGTATACCAATGGATCTACTCCACTACTAGCGTGACTGTTCTTAGGGTGCTGACTAACGATATTAACAGATCAACCCGGACGCAGGGAATCTGGGGGGAAAGGTCGGATTCATTTTCTTAGGCACTGGACTGATAGCAGCCATCGGAGGATGGTATTTGTACCCGGAGACAAAAGTGAGTACTTCGATATTTATTATCCTTTATAAAACATCACGCCTGTTTAAACTGACATGATCCGCTTAAAAAGGGTATCTCCTTCGAGAAGCTCGACGAGCTTTACAACCTGAAGATCTCACCTCGCCATTTCAAGACGGCTGCTAAGGAGGCAGGTACCGGGCAGATTGTTCAAAATCCACAGGACCTCTATGCGCAGATAGTGACGGAAAAGGGGAAGGAGACGTATGTGGAACACTCGAATGCCTAGCGGAGGATTTATGTTTTCTGAGGGAGTTACACTCAGTGTGCTTAGTAGTGACACGGTTGTATACACCTGCGGTATTTTGAGGCCCAAATACCACAACCGTACTTTTTATATGATATGTTGTTTTAGGAATCAATACAGTACTAATACAATACAATACGGTTGTAATGATGTCTATTAATATAGCGTGCTGGCTACCTAGATCCTGGCGAGGTTTCAAGCAACTGGTGCAGTACTTTCCCCAGAGTATCCCCTCCGCACTAACCCCCACATAACCAACCCCCACATAGTCGGCAACTCTCGTGAAAAGACCCCCACTTGTCCAAAAAATACCGATATGAGCAAGCTAATCCCTCATGAACCCCACTAAGAACTTGTTTCTAGCAACGGCACTTCGCAGCTTCTTCCCAAATATCCAAAGTGGGAGAGTCAGCCCGGTAACAGCGACGAAGGTGCCACCTAGGACGTTGAACACCTGGAGGACGCCGTCTTTCGCCAGCCAGTCATTGACGAAATAGGTGAGGCCGAAGGTGAGAAGGTTGCGAGCGTTGATGGCGACAAATGCTGCGTACTTGTTAGCTAAGGTGGACAACGTAAATGGAGCGAGAGGGAAAGGAACAATACCCTCTTCAGTCAAGTCTTCGTAACTATCGATTACATAGCCAAATACACATCCGTTTGCAAAAGCCATACTCATATTCGCCAACCCAAACGTAAGAACCGGCCCAATCCAATGCGTCTGGAAATGCACAGTAGCACCAAACCCAAAGAATCCAGCTACACCCAAGATAAACACAGGAACCATAAGTACAAGTCTAAATTCCGGCTCGTAGATACCATGGTTCTTCTTCGCAAGCCACAGACATATGTAGTCATTGAGCGGGCCAGCGATCACCTCCCCGATGATCGTCATTATGAAGGGGGAGATGGAAATGAGGCCGACTTGCGAGACGGTGAAATTGTAGGGCGCAACGGTGAAGATGGCGGCGTTTACTACGCTGAATACCACGATCCATGTTAGGGTAACGCCGTAGATCAGGAACGCCCAGAGGACCGCGGGATACCAAAAAATTACGGCGGGGCGGACGAGGATTTTCCAGAAGGGTGCTGTGCTGTACTTGCGGCCGGTCATGAAGCGAAGGGTCCTGAGGTAAGGTTCTTTTGGTTCTGTTGTTGGGGTATGAGATGCCGTGGTGGTAAGCTCTTTCTGGGGTAAGTCGCTCTTTTCTTTTTCGACCTCAGATGCTAGAACAGGCGTCCCGACAAATCTGCTTTGCAAAGGGGGTCTGATGTAAGCCGTCTCCGGGACGAAGAGGATGACGAGGAATATAAATACGCCGAATAGGACCGCGCAGATACCGAACGTCCATTTCCATCCGATATCCTAGGGCGCTGTCAGCTCTAATTCGAGGCGTCAAATTCAGGGAGCCTACCTCGATGATATACCCGCTGACCAAACTTCCACCAGTGATCCCACAAAGTAAGAATAAATTCCACAGGGCAATCCTCGTCGCTCTCTCGTGCACAAAGTACAAATCCCCGATCGTACACTGGACTAACACCTCATACGGCGCCATACCGAAGCCGGAAACAACTCGACTTGCCAGGAATGAATCATAGTTCTTTGCAAATGCTCCCCAGATGCTGCAGGCGAACATAATAACAATAGCGATGATGTAAACTGGCCGTCGACCCCACACTTTGGCAAGTGGGTTCATGATAAATAGTGACAGGCCAATAGTCATGATGAGCCAGGCCGTTGCCTGGGAAAGGGTATTGACACTGATATTCATCTCTGCTGCAATCTCAACAAAACCTGGGGAGAGCATAGGCCCAAAGGCTCCAACGACTGCTGCCGAGAATCCGACGATAAGGAGGATGCCATCTTTCTTCCATGTTGACCACTGCTCTCATTAATATGGATACGTGGGTCCAGCAGGGAGGTAACTGACGTTCAAAGGGTCGTTGGGGGAATCTGTGGGCTGTGGAACGAGAATTACGTGCGCCAGCCGTCCAGTCCCATGTTTTAATACGGCTCGAGGGACTTGATCATATTCATGAGGGACATCAGATTGATCGTTCATGCAAGCTATAAAAAAATTAATGATTATTAGCCTAATTCTTTTCATTATATACGAATCCAGTTTGCGCGAGCGACGAGCATTTTCTTACCTGTTCCTGGAACCAAGTCCATGTGATTGTCCTCGAGAATTCCCCACGTCATGATGCCGGGAGGATTGATCGCACCTGCGAATCCCAGCTAAAGACCAAAATCCGGAAATGGCTCTCAGTAGGAGAATGAAGCCGTATTCCAGGCCAAAATCATTGTCGTGACAAAATTATGTTTTTTGTTGTTGTCGCTGCGTCTCCGAGGAGATTGGGCCTATTTAAAGGGTGGGGGATATCTAGGTAGTATCAAAACACGGTCCACGACTCACTCTGCCACTCAGCCTCGCGTTGCTTTACTATTCCATATGCCGCAATGCGCTTACCCACCTCCGCGTTTTGCTGTTCCACATGGGAACTGCCGTCCCCAGGCCCGACATTGTCGGGATCCAATATTAAATGGTGGCATGCACCCGGGTTGCAGAAACCGACAGTGCAAGAGACGCTGGACTGGCCCCTGAGTGGATTGTGAGTGGCGGATATAGGCCAGGATCCTGTCAATTAATCCCAATTATAATACCATTCCTAGAACGGAAGAAAGGCCCGCCGCTCCATCCTAGCTCTGCGTTAGTGTTAGCGCGATATCCAATATTGCATAGAAATTGCATCGCAAGTCGCAGAGAACCCCTCACACTTGCGGACATCCATGTAGGTCGACAACAAGCACTTGGGGAAGCTCGCTGCGGGGAATGGGGGTTCGTGGATGTGGAGGTGGCGTTTACTCCCCTCAATTGGAGAGATATTACCAACAAAAGTCCCGAAATCAGCCGCGCTGGGGAGGCATCCACGACAATCACGCTGTTGGGATGTATCGGCCTTAATCTGGATATGGATGGTTATCCACATGGATTCATGGAGTCAGCTTTTGGTAATAATGGGCAACTGTTCGCATGTGGGGCTAGGTCGCGAGCAAGTAAGTATACAGTAGTACCTCCTCGATTCCGTACCATCGGTAACGACTCTCCATCCTTTTTTTGGAGGCGATACTTGTTTTATACATGCTCAAGATGACGACTCTCGACCGAGCTCCTGATTCTGGAATCCGCGTCATTATAGTTGGCACTGGCTTTGCTGGTTTAACTGCCGCAATCGAATGCCATCGCAAGGGCCACTCAGTCCTCGTCCTTGAATCTTTCCCGGAACTCAAACTCCTCGGTGACATTATTAGCTTTGGACCAAATTCTGCCCGAATATTCCAGCGCTGGCCGGGCATAGACGAGAAACTCGATGCCATAAGCCATAAATCTGAAGGGATATTGCTCAAGAATTTCAAAGGGGAGACCCTTGTCAAGCAGACCTGGGGCGAAGAGGCGCGCATTTTTGGAAGGAAATATGATGGCCACCGGGGAGAGATCCACCAGATAGTGTATCAACATGCCCTGGATTCCGGGATTGATATTCGGTTGGGCCATAAAGTTGTGGATTACTTCGAGACTGATACTGAAGCGGGAGTCATCGCAAATGGGGCCAGGTTTGTGGGCGATCTAGTCCTCGCCGCAGATGGCGTCCGTTCCAAAGGGAGAACCATTGTACTTGGACACGAGGATAAACCGAAGGCCTCTGGATATGCGGTATATCGGACATGGTTCGATTCCGGCAAGCTGGCCAAGGATCCGGATCTTGACTTCCTATTCAAAGGCGAGGAACATCACAGTGCTTGGCTCGGTGTGTATGCTCTTTGTGTATAAATTTGATATGGAAACTAACAAAACAGGTCCCGATGTCCATTTCATTGCGGCAACCTTGAATGATGGGAAGGATTTCTCTTGGGTCTGCACTCATAAGGTGAGTTGTTGTCCTGGGGAGGAAGATCCGCGTATGTTAAAAACACACACAGGATGACGCCGATGTGGAAGAAAGTTGGCAGGCCCACGCTCCGCTGTCAGATGCTCGCAAATGTCTAGAAGGGTGGGACCCGATCATCCACAAGATCCTAGATGAAACCCCTGATCCAGTGATCGATTGGAAGTTGGTTTATCGAGATCCTCTCCCGACCTGGGTATCACCTAAACGGAGGATAGCATTGATAGGCGACGCAGCACATCCGTTCCTCCCAACATCAATCCAAGGCGCCAGCCAGGCAATGGAGGACGGCGCCACTATTGCCGTTTGCTTGGTGAAGAGTGGGAAGCCGCACGTCCAGGACGCCTTAGCCGCGTTTGAATCTCTACGATATGAGCGTGTACGTGCTGCACAGAAGACCGGAGAGACGACGAGGGATGCATGGCATAAAGCCGACTGGGAAACAGTCAAGAAGAACCCGGACAGTATGAAGCTGAAGCGCGACGGCTGGTTGTTGAATTTCGACGCAGAAGTGTATGCAGAGGAGAATTATGCTGCTACTGTGGCGCTCCTGGGTGATAAGGCTGCTGCGAGGGACTTCAACTTACCGAAGACGGCGGAGATAAGTACCTAGAGACTTTAGCATAGTGAGCGTTCTAGATATGATCTTAGGTTTTGGAGCTTGGAAATGTTGATAGATATCGACGCGGGAATCTCGGGCTTAATGTACCGTCGTAGCACACACTAGCACGGGTTGCATATGTACTACCTTGTACTGTAACGTGAACAACTAGGTTCGGGGGTTCGTGTCCGGGAACTTACTTATAATTAGATAATTCTGCACCCTTCCCGTCAATCTTTCCTAACTTCTTAAGGTCATATTCCCATATTTCCAAATCATAAGAAATATCCACGAAGGACCCCGGGGAATTTCCCCTGGATAACGGGTGTGGCGCGAAAACAAGCTATTGGCCGAACCGGCTAAGATGCAGATACTGTTGCAACCCAACTCCACCCCTTGCGGTCGCACCGTGGTTACACTTACTATACGAAATAGATTAGTTGATTGGTCAACACCGCAAGATCATGTTTTAGTTTGGGACATGATGGACTGGGAATTCGTCATGGGATACCAGTTAACCCAAAATGGGGTGTCCAAAATCCTGCCCCACTCGAACAGTTGTCATGCCCAACAGTGAGCATCTTGTACAGTACCTATCTTAAGGCTGCACAATCCCGCAGACGTCTTCCTACCCATTCAACGGTGCTAAGGGCCACTCAACTAATGATGTTGCTATCGCCAGCACCTGTCTCGTGGTATACCCTTCTAGGGGTTGGCCTCGCTCTGCCCCTCATCCTGCTTATCAGGGATATCGCCAAATGGTACCGCTTGCCACCTGGCCCTCTGCCAATCCCCTTTATTGGCAATAGGCTTCCAGCTTTGAGACCATGGGTCCACCTCCAACAGTGGTCCAAGATATATGGGCCGATCTTCACAATTTGGGTTGGACGTCAACCGACAATCGTAATTTCCGACCCAAAAATCGCCGTTGACTTGATGGAAAAGCGTAGTAGCAAATACTCCTCAAGACCACGTTCCGTGATGATGAAGGAAGTGTATGGAAGCAGTTCAATTCTTCTGCAGCCTTATGGGAAGGATTGGTCAACACGGCGAAGGTTATATCACCTTGGTCTTACCCCCGCTGCCTTACGTTCCTACAAAGGCCGTCAACAGGCTGAAGCCACTCGGCTTGCCTTTCACATTCTCCATGAGCCAGACAGATGGGAAAGAGCACTTGATCGGTTTGCTGCCAGCGTGGTATTTTCCATAGCTTATGGACACCGTATCGATTCTCTCGATTGCCCTGTGGTTAGGGATCGGTTAGAAATTATTCGCTTTCTAGCTACGCTCAACACTCCAGGGAGGTATATGGCCGAGTCTTTTCCAATCCTTAAGCATATGCCAAACTTCGTGGCACCCTGGGAAAAATACATCCAAGAGCGTGGGATGATCGAAGCAACAGCTAATATGGCACTTGTTGAAGAGGTGAAAAGAGATATTAGGATGGGAAAGGAAAATGGAACGGAAGCGGCACCCTCCCTAACACAGAACATGTTAGCTGTACGTGACAATGAAGGGCTTCAGATTTCTGACAGAGACTTGTCATATATCCCGTCCGGCTTGTTTGGTGCTGGTTCTGACACCGCGGCATCGACACTGTGTTCTACCATATTGGCTCTGGTCACTCATCCGGGTGCGCTTGAAGCGGCACAAGCGGAGATAGACAGCGAAGTTGGCTGTGCCCGGATGCCGACCTTTGAAGATGAGGAGCGTCTACCCTATATTCGCGCCTTGGTGAAAGAGGTGCTTCGATGGAGACCCGTTGCAGTTCTTGGCGGTACACCTCATGCAACTACTGGAGATGATATATATCGGGGCTGGTATATTCCAGGTGGCACTGCCATCATGTCAAATACCTGGGCGATGAATTTGGACGAGGATTACTATCCGAACCCTCACCTATTCAACCCGGCTCGATTTCTCAGCGAGAGTGATCCGAGATACGCCCCAGAGCTCAAGGGCAAGAAAACCCACCCAGCAAAAAACAGTCTTTCATCTTTTGGATGGGGACGAAGGTATTGTGTTGGGGCAGATCTCGCTTTGAATTCCTTGTTCATTGCCTTGTCGAAAATGATCTGGGCGTTTGATATCCTCCCAACTACAGAGTATTGTACTTTGGAGTACACCACAGTGGGGTCAAATATCCGCCCTCAGCCATTTGAATGTCAAATTCGAATAAGGAGCGACCGCCATAGAAGGACTCTAGAGGGCGAGAAGGTATTGGCTGATCAGGAGATGGAGAAATTTCCAGCGTATGATTGATAACAGCGAGTTCTCCGTGTTATATTTCCGGGGTGGCTTCAATCGCGGCGATTCCTTTTCTCGCCATCCTAGGATCCTTCCCGGAGAAGAAGATGGAATCGTTAACGTCGTACCATCGTCTCCGTCTAGCGTTTTGGTGCTCCTGAATTATATCATATTGATTTAACAGCGCATAGCTTGTTGGGAGGCGACGTTTCTGTTCATAGGAAAGTACGACCAGAACGAAGTCAAAAGAGAAGGTCGAATCATCACGCTATGTTATCAATCAAGACATAATAATTTGTGCATAATAGTGCTCCGCGGTCGCATAAACCTCCAGCTGTATTTGAGGGGTTTCTCCTCTTCAAGTAAGTGACGTCCAGGCCGAGTCACAACGAGACTGTAATATGGCGCATTCTTGGGCTGGCTGCTATCCTGCTTTGGGTCCTTGCACTACTAAGTCAGCGGAGCAAGGTCACTGGGCAGGTATAAGGGCCTAGCTTTAGGAATAATCTCACTTTGCGATCAGCTAGATATTCGAATAACAATTATAGTACTATACGCCGACTATCTAGATTGTATATAAAAGAGTATACTAGTAGGAGTGCGATATCAGATTTATATCTGAGTAATGGTCGTTGGGCCTTATAATACTAGCGAAAACAGTTTTGCACCAAAAATTCGCCCAAGAAGGCGCCATACTGTAATCTACCAACGACGGACGGAATAACCGCCGTGAGTGATCGAGGGCTGATGCAGATACACAGCTCCTATTCGCTTCACTGTTCTTCGCATCTCAGCCATGACAATCCCTTCTTAAATAGGGTCAATGGCCTCAATAGATTCGGACTTAGTCTATCCGCGTCGCTGACGACAATTCAAATAACTCGGAGCAAAGACCCTTTTGGCCGACTCCGGGCGAACGTCGAAAGAAACTTACCACCAACTCTTGACAGAATAATTGACTCTGTTCCAGGCCCGAATGTTTTTCTGGATTGACTCTTTTATAATTAAATCGCTCCTTGCCCAAGTTGGGATCAGAACTCTGGCCAAAAGTCCTGATACGCTAAGCAGGGTGAGACAATGCCAAGGGCTATGAACCCGTCACCTAGCAACGGGAGCAGAGCCTGAAGAGCCTGAAGGAAATTCGGCTACAGCGTAGGATCTAGGCTTCAGCCCCTAAATCTAAGGCCTAAAGCGCCTGGAGATGCCCTAACGCTACAGCAGTAACCGTTGCTCTGCCAGCACTACGGCAGAGTCGGGCGAGGAATAAGAAAATTGGACCATGGGGAAGGGTCTGTTATCACCGAACCACGCACATCGTGTGGACGGATCTTGGATGATACATGCCCAATAATACCCCCTTGAATTTCCACATTTCTTTAACCTCAACTTAAATTGGGCGTTGGCACGGTCAATCACACAGCGGCACAGCTCTCGTTTCAGCCTACTCCGTAGACATCCTCTTTGGAGGCTCTGTTACAATGCACACAGCTCACGTTTGTTGTTTCCACTCCTCATGTCTGTCAAGATACGATAGCAATGGATTCCCAGAAGCATGCGACGAAGAGAGGCCTGAATAACATCAGCTACCACATCGTTGCTGTGTTTATCGGCTCCCTCGTGGTCTTGTCTGGCGTGCTTTCTGTCTCAAGCAGAGTGCGAACAATTAAAAATGAGCAGAGAGTGCTCGAGTCTGAGCTGCGAACGCGTAATCTCAATCACCTCGTCGATGCCATTCCCAAATGTATTGTACGTTTTATCGATATCCTCCGCTATTTGCATTTCCTATAACCCCGCTATCTTGCATCAGAATGAAGTATTGAAGGGCCTTCCTAAACTTGTTCGATGGCTGAGGCCAACCTTCATTCAAGGCACACTGTATATTTCCACAAATCCTTGATGAGGGTTGCACCCATACAGATTATAAATGCATATGCTCAAACCTGCGAGCACTCGACGACCCAAAGCTGGTGGATCCGGATGCATATGAATTGAACTATGATGATTCATATATAGTGGATGGGGTCGACTCATATGTATTGGAGGAAGATGTGGCTATGAGGGCGTATCAGACGAGGGATACTCGATTCAGTGGATGCTTTGATGGCTGCAATTATCAAGATCAGCTCGGTACAGAACTCTCCTTAGTAGGTTTTCGTGTATAGTTAGCTAATGGCGAGATAGGTTCGGCATACACCATCCTCGATCTCTGCAACGCGTTCGAAGTAGCCGTTGACTTTCCTGAGGCAATGGTTCCTATTGCGAAGCGCCAGGGATTGGAATCTGGAAGCCGTACTGTTTCTTTGATAGCCACCCGCTCGGCCGGTTCTACGTCAACAAGATCTACCAGTAGGGTTACTTCCCAGACCATAGGACGCCAGACTTTAACTGAAACTTCATTAGGCACTACTACTACCAGTACCCCAAAAGAGACGACACCCAGTGAAACTACACCAGCCAACAACAATAACAATCCTACCAGTACCCCAACAGAGACATCACTCAGCAACAATGGTGATCCCGCCAGTAGTTCCCCCCATGGCGGTCTTTCATCTGCCGCCAAAATAGCCATCGGTTGCGGTGTTGCAATACCTATTGTTATTGTTCTCCTCATCCTCGGCGCGGGCTTTTACTTTTGGCGTCGCAGGAGGCAAGGGAAACACATGAGCAAAGCCGGCGAAACCGGCGAAGTGCCAGAGACGAACGATAGAGGCCTTCCCGAGCTAATGGCCCCCGCTGTCGACATCAAAAAGCCCGATCAGGTGCAATATAATCCGCCCCACCAAGGTCGCCTACCCGTTGAAGCAGGCGGTGTCCCGATTAACGAGATGAATTATAATACTGTTGAAGCAGGCGGCGCCCCAATCAACGAGCTGCATCATAATACCGTTGGGCGAATACCAGAAAGCGAGAAGCCGTTTGAACTTCATGGCCACACTGCACCCACTCCAGTGTACGATTCAACTGCCCATACAGGTGATAATTCTGTTTCGCCGGCACATCGCACTTCTGCCATTGCGAGAAAAAGCATTCCGGCGCCATCTGTGCCACCAGCCACGAGCTCCGCTTCGACGTTTCCCCCACCTTGGTCCGGAGGCGATGGCGCTGGCAACTGGGATAGTGTAGGGCAAAATGTTTCCCCACCTCAAGAGGCAACTACTTCCATGGAACAATCGTCACAACGAAGTATTCCGCAAGGGGTTACTTCGCCAGGAGGTTCCGAGGATGCAGAGTTGATGTCCTTGGAGTTGGAGGTTGAGCAGGTTCGACAGAGGAAAGAACGGCTACGGCATATGCAGGAATTGGAGGCGAAGGAAGAAGAGCTGCTGAGGAGGATTGATGAGAAGAAAAAGGCCGCCAGCGGTGCTGGTGGGGCTGTTGAAAAGAGCAGTAGTACAAGTTAAGAAAATTACATAGAGATACCCAATATTGTTAATACTAATGCGATTTCTATATTATTGCGGCAGTGATATAGACCGTGAGATCTAGTTAAGATCTGTCTCACCACCTTGAAGCCTTTAGCTGCACGGTTCTTCCCGGGGCTTCTGGTATCGAACCAAGCCGAGACGGAATACACTTGTCCATATTGTAATGGCACTCGTCTTCGATCAGAACACTTGGACCCAGGCTTGAGTGCTATAAATAGAACCGCGCCGCTGAATTCGCACAGTGACACCAGTATCTTACCATCTCCTGAGAATTTCGACATGGAGAATCTCCCCGGCGAAGGAAGCTCTGGAGGTTTGAACGACTTTGTGTTGCCTATTCAGAGTAACGTGGTGGATATCCGTGCGGGCCACGGTCAGAGTTTCGCCAGTGTCGTGAACGAAAAAGAGAAGGAACAGGGTGATTGGGGAAGCAAAAGATGGGAAAATGGAAACGCGGGGCTTACAACTATTAGAGTGGACACAGTGGTGGAGCAGAGATTTGAGGTGGATAGCCATCAGGCTAGAAGGTCATCGCCCAAGTAATGGGTCCGTTATTAACACGCCGCAGGAGACATCTTGGGGGCAAGAATGTCATCGGTGACTAGAGTGCTCGAATCTGTGTCAACATTTATCTCCATGGATTGCTCTGAGGAGCCTGTATATTTGGGTTGCGTTGCTAGTAGCTTTGTAAATACGGTTACGGCAAATACTGTCTCGGTTTCCGACTGGCCATAAGCCTCAGTGGCATCAACTCTTAAAAATTAAAAACCAATTCTAAATATCCTGCTTCTACATTTCAGTCAAAAATAGCGTAGCATTCATGGGGTAGAGGCGTCCATGCAGACAGGGGTATCTCGAAGAATTATGGAATGTTTCAGGAGTTATGAAACAACACCTATTCCAACGTAGTACTTGTTGGTATGTTTGATAATCCTAACTGTAAGAAAGTTCGGCATCCTGTTTACCGCCAACAGGTGCCGGTTGATGCTGCAGATCTTTTTGATGCCTTCTTCCTACCTTAGGGGACACCCTTGTCCAATCGCATTACCAAAGCTCCAAGAGGTAGGTCACACGATCAGTCTATCACAGGTGGTATCCCTCACCATTCGAAGCCACCAACCCAGGAAACCAACGAGAACATTTCCAGGCCCACCGTAAGTAAAATGCTCTCTAGAAACTTTGAGCCTAATTGTATAAAAATTACATCCTTGACCTGACTGGTCTCAATTTAGGCATTCTCGTCCCTCATATATATTTTTCACTTCCATAAAAGTTACCTTGTTGTACTCCATCCGGAGAAACGAAGTGTTGATCACTCCCTATTCCGCATAAAAGTTAAGCGAACTCCTGAACCAGGGGTGGCAGAGGCGTTTTCCCAGTTCCCCGGAGCAAGCTCCGTGGTGCGATATATCCCGGAATAACTTGGTGGTACGAAGTACGAAGTCCTTCGTATTTTCAAAAGCCGAATACTACGTACACAGGGGCAGGCCATAAAGTTAGCAAATACTCAAAAAGGGGCGTGCTTATCGGTGCATCTACCCGCCAGGAGATCTTCCAGAAGTAATGAAAAAGACAGGCTTAGCCTCCACCTGACATTTTGAGCGGTGAATGGCGGAAGGCCTTTTTTCAGCACGTTTTTGTTCTTCCTAGAGATATTGTAAATTCTCAGGATTTTTTTATAGCCAGGCATTCAATCAATAGTTAAGCATCTTTGTCTGAAAACTTTAGCAGGGAGGATATCTGGACGGTGACAGTCCTCATCCGTAAATATCGCTGCTTCCATTGTTGCTTTTCTATTGTTGCTTTTCGATTGACCGTTAGCTATTGATGATGAATCGAACGAATCATGGAGAAATCCCCAGAAATCCCACGGGCGGTTAACTGGACCCGAATTTTAAATAAGCATAGCTCGTCCGCCGGTACCCCCACACCATCGAACAGGAGAAACGGTATCGTGAGCCCACTATTCTCAGTGGTGGGTCTCTTGGAGCATCGCGGGGGTAGGCTAGAACAAACTATCTCACGGCCGCCGTGGGCCGGAATGATCGGGTACACCACAAGCCAAAAGGCTATTAGAACAGAAATTCTAGAACTGTCAACCGTTGAATCCCCATGCGTTCTGGAATCTTTTCCAACTTACCCCGCCTCATATATAGCTGTGTTGGTCGTGGCTCTCCTGATGTGGTGGCGCTGTCAATTCTGGTGAGGACTGAAGTGCTGTGTCTTGCTGGGATATATAGTGATGGAACTGCAACCGAGCATATATGCAATATCTATTTAGATAAGCTTTGCAGACGACCCAATGGGACAGGCACTCACATGATTTAAATCCCTGCGGGGATTCGGGATGGGCCACATCCAGGCCAAATCCGCGAGGCTCCAAAGTGACTAGAAGCATGTTATCAAGATAGGAGTGCTCGAGAGGCAGTTTTGGGGAACGGAATAGATCTTACGAAGTACCTGGGAACTCCTACTAAATTTACTTTAATTCGCACTTCCTATCCATGAGTAAGCAGTGATTGGAACAAAACCTTCCCTACCTATATCTCGATGGGTCTTGAGAAAGTTGATTCCGCTCTATACTCAGGTTTATGCTCCATTCGACTGCTGATCAATGACTCCTAGTGTGGCAAGACAAACAAAACAAGCTTTGGAGTTGAATAGTGGAGAACAGGTATTAGTATTAGATATTCTAAACTCTCCCGAGACGGCTCAAAGCTTTCATACAGTATTGTAGGGGACAATAGCTGTGCTATACAGTACATCAATCAGGGCCAAACGCCAAACCCCCGGCCCAATACATCAATCCAACCCACCATCCATTAACTCCTCGATCCACAGAATGCAAGTGGCGTCATGACCCTAGCCGGTCTATAATATACAATTATCTCCACTTTTCAATCATCCTCATTACTTTGTTTTCGTCGTCTTCTTCTCAGCATCGACTTGGACCTGCGCGGCCGTTCTCGATCTCTCGTATTTCGCAGATGTATCTCCAACCCAAACTGTGCCTAGGAATCGGTCCCAGAATGTGAAGAAGGGTTGTGAGAAATTCGTCTTGATACCCCAGCTCTGGTGATGGATGTCGTGGTAACCAGCGTTATTGCTTGTAATATGCTGTAGTGGATCCCAGGGTAGCGCATACCCGCAGTGGTCATCTACAGTCTTGATAGTTGAGGCCGTGAAAAAGACCATTCCCTGGCGTGCTGTCATCCCCGTAAGCGCATAGGCTATGCCGGCGCCAAGGGTGTCGAGGAGGAATCCTTCGAAGGGATGATTGTAGAGCGCGCCGAAGGCGTAGGGCACATATAGTCGATGGTGGCGGGAGTGGAAGGTTGCTAGATATGTGTTATTACTTAATTGTAACCAAGCTCAGGCATACTCACTGTATAGCCAACTCTGCATATGCATAGCCCGGTGTAGGAAATATTGCCATGTATCAACAAACATGACTGCAAACCCAAACTGCACGGCAGGCACAATATACCAATACATTGCCTTGGCAGCAAATATTTCCCAGCTCGCAAAGGCGGGGATAGCCTCTCCACTGGCGACATCCAATCCCACAGCCAAGGGATACTTTCCACCTGCAAGCACGCCGGCGACCATCGGGTGAGCGAGAGAGAGATTCTTCGAGATTGCTGCGGCGTTCAAACCGACCAGAGCCAGGAGCTTCGGCAGAGCTCGCTGTGCAAGGCGCAGTCTGGTCGCCCAGCGCGCAATATCATATTCTTCTCTTCCAGCGACTGCTTCCGGATCCATGAGTCCTAGTATCGCACCCACAATTGTCTGGATTATCTGTTGAATAACGACATCGCGTGCTACCTCATATCGGGACACGCGATTTCTCTTCAGGATCTCGGCAGGAGTGTGCAAACGATACTGTGGCCAGATGTCGTATACATCGATACAGTGGAAGATCATCGACAGGATCCAGTATGCCGCAATCGGTAGGATGAGGGAGAGGTAGAAGTCGGGGATGAACGAGATGACCGGCGGGACCGGTGAAAGGGTATATGACGGGAGGGGCGGGAGGTCGAACATCGCAGAGGCATTCATGGGGATAGTGACATTCGCCATTGCTACCAGTAGTGGTCTGCAGTTTTCGTGTTGCGCACGAAGGAGTGTAATGAATTATCTCGAGAGGTAAGGAGAGAAAGGAGTGCTGTTTTCAGGCTGTTTCAACAGGTGAGGGTGACATGAGCAGTGATGGCACGCCACTCCCGCCCAGACTATCAATCTCGTTTAATAAATCTCAGGCGTCAGCGTCTCTTGTCCGGCTTTGTCGGACTTCTCTGGAAATGGTTTTATCGGCCTTTCGCTAAATAGTTATTGCCGATACGCTGGTTGCAAGTCAGGTCACATCTGGTAGTACGATATTCACATAGCAAGACGTGGGAATAGGCAGCTCAAAAGCTCATTGGTGTTCCGCAATAGAAAGTACACACAGGAGTGGCGGAACACCCAGCCAAGGGGGCGTGGCTTCACTGTGGCTTGACCGTGGCGAATGCAGCGATCAAAATTATTGCCTAAGGCTGTCAACACGGCGCTCTAAGGCAGCCAGGTCAGGCCCCAATCTTATCCCACTTCGGCTAGATTGCCCCTCCACAAACCATTTCTTTTCAGTCCCCACCGTCCATACTTTATCGCAGTTGTAAACTCCAGACGTTCTGCTCTGTCCATACTCGGTCTCTTCCGTAACACTTCTAAGGACAGTCTTTGAGAAAATACCGCCATCATGATTATCTATAAGGTTAGTAGCGACTCCCCCGCGTCCTGCTTTGCGACGTTGTGACCCCGCTTCCAGATTGAGGCGGCCGTGCCAACTCTCAGCCGGGAGCCAGCGCCAAACTAGAGGAAGTATCGCTAACTTGAGAATCAATGTAGGATATTATCACCGGTGACGAGATCATCTCGGACTCCTACGACCTGAAGTTGATTGACAATGTCGTCTACGAGTGCGACTGCCAAATGATTACCCTTGGCGCGGTCGACGTCAGTACGTTGCAACCCCCATTCCGTTGGTTGACCACAGGCTAAGACAAAAGGATAGACACCGGTGCCAATGCCTCTGCTGAGGAGGCCGATGAGGGTGTTGAGGATGGCGCGGTCCAAGTCAACAACGTTGTCAACTCCTTCCGTCTACAATCGACACAGTTTGACAAGAAGTCGTATCTTAGCCATCTCAAGGGTAAGTCGACGCCACTCGTATACCTAGATACAGTCTAATATGTAATAGGATACATGAAGAAGGTTAAGGAGTTGTTGAAGGAGAAGGGAGCCGACGAGTCGGTTGTCACAGAATTCGAGAAGGGCGCCCAAGCCTATGCCAAGAAGATTATTGGCAACTTCAAGGACTATGACTTCTACATTGGGGAGTCAATGGACCCTGATGGAATGTGAGTTATTGCTATTGCTATAGATGTTCCCTACTAATAGCAGTAGGGTTGTGCTCATGAACTACCGCGAGGACGGAACCACCCCCTTCGTCACTGTCTGGAAGCATGGTCTCGTTGAGATGAAGGTCTAGATCATCATTATGCGTGGAGTTACCTCTAAGCATTTTGTCCAAAGCTACTCAAGCCTTTCTAGAATATTCCCCCGCAATTCGATGATATCAAACCGTTCCTAGTCTAAATATGCTATACTGTCTACTAAGATGTGAAGATGCGTGCAATTAGCGCTGCCGAAGTTGCCAATCTTAAGCGAATATCTTCAAGCTGTATGATGCGTGTACCATCCAATTGATCTACCCACAGAAATCCACTTACGAAATGGGAAATCAGAACAAACCAGAACAGTGAAAATCAAGATTAACGTCTTAACGAGCAAGAGAGTTCATCCCCCGCAAACAACCTAATCTCTGTCAGTTCTAAACCAGCACTAGCCTTCGAATTAGCTTATTTCTCTCCAAGATGGATTGTTCCGTGATATCTGTCGGGACCTACCTTGCCTAAGAGCTAGGTTTCCGTTATATGGACATTTCATGTATATACATATCTGCCTCTTCACCAGTAGCAAGGTTACACCGACCGACATCAATCCAAATCCCCTTAGAACTGTCATCAGATCACTATAAGTCTATACGCGTGTGAACTATCACTAGGCTTGCATAAAGCCAGATTATAGGGTGTTGCCTCTACTATTAGGTCGTCTTTCAGGAAAGTCTCGATGCTGTGCATGGTCCACAGGCCTAAACTTTTGATGGACTCGCCACAGCTCCAGACTGAAGCCACTGGCCACTAGGTATGCTAGCCCAGCGTATATTTGTGTGTATAAGAATGCATGGTGAGAGACCGGCCGTCGCAGCTTTAGTGCGATTACTTCCGAGACTGAGTAGAACAGCGTCAGCATAACTTATGTGTTGAATAGAACGGCAGCATCTTACAGGTAGTTGGCACGCAATAATCAACGACGTCAACGATAGCATCGATGACAATTCTTTCAATCCTACGACCTCTACACATATTGGGCCGATAGTCTCCAAGCAATGTTAACCTCGAACGGGTCCATTTGGACGGGAGTTAAGTCACTGCCCAAAAAACACCTAAGATACCGCCATTCAAAATAACAAACAGGATAAGCACTCCATAAGAATTAGCGACCAGCCAAATCCCAAAAATAGCCAAAGAAGTGTCATAAATCCAGCGGTCTCAATACGACCAAAACGATCGCTGATGGCTCCAATCCACGGCCTGGTTAGTGCCGCCCCCAGGTTTAGCAGAGCTGTGGCATTGGCAGCTTGAGAGTCGTCCAGACCTATTGAGTACGCGAAATCGGACATCGAGAAGAGCAGTATTATATAACCCAACATGCTCACAAACGCCCACCCAAGCACCAGTATAACTTCATATCGGCGAAGCAGCGCTATGTCAAAAGGATGCTGCTTTGGTTGGATGATATTATTCCGGCTCCTGATCACAATGGTTGCCAGTAAATTCATAACTCCACTAACAATGCCAGTGATACGAAGGGCCCAGGCCAGCGAAATATTGCTGATGGCTCCTCGTGTCATGAGGGAAAACATCAGGCCGCCAATGCCAGATCCGGCGGCACTAATACCATTGGCTAAGCTGCGACGATGGAGGAACCATTGAGAAGGAATAGCCATGCTAGGGATGTAGATAAGGCCTACTCCAAACCCCACCAGGATTCCTTGAGTCAGGTAGAGGTGCCAAATCCGCGTAGCAAACGAGGCCATAATAAAGCCTGTGGTATGGAGAGTAATTCCTATGAGCATTGGGACATGGATCCCACATCGACGGGCGATGACTGTTACAATTGGAGACACTAACATAGCCGTTGAGAAGTTCAGCCCGCCAATGAATCCAAAGTCCACCACTGTGGCAGTGGGATAGACATCGTTTTGGAGATAACAGCCCATGAAAACGCCGTATGGCTGTACTTTCAGTCAGTGATATTGAAGATCAGACTCGGGGGTCCCAAAACCTTACAGCAACGGCACCCCATGTGAAACAATTGATGCTGAGACAGGCCGCAACACATACCGAGCCGTATCCTCCATCAGGAGGAGGTTCGGTATCGGATTGGATAATGGACTGTCTCTCACCGAGCTCGTCTAGCTGGTTCTCCTCGCCATTTTGATTAACATTTCCACGCCTTGTCTCGTGGAATTTTGCAAATCACACGCACGATTGGAGCCAGCAGAAAAGAAACAAAACATATGTACCCCCATCATTCGTATTATGCAACCCTTAGCTTAGGTGCTCAATGCAGTCAATTTATCCGGAGAAGCCAAGGGGCCCACCTACATTTTCATATGGGTGGGAGGATATATAAGCTTTCGCCGCTGATCTATCACTGCCGACTCAGAGGAACGCCCGTTAATGCCGAAGATAATTCATTGCCTATGGGATGCTGATGGCCTGTAATTGATCACCGACACTGGTCTGGGTCTGTAGTTGTAACCAATAAATAACTTTCGTGTGGCTTGCAATGGCCCAGTTTGACATCTCGTCAGGCCGCCCGGAGAGGTCAGCCGCAGACGGCTGCTTCTCGTCCGGTAACAGCTGTGTTACCATTAAAGGAAAAGGCGAGTATGTCATGGCCTTCCCATATAGGAATTATATTGCTGGATTTTCCAACTGTGTAAAGCGGCCATAGTCCGTGAAAACGATCGTCGCTGTCAATTATGTAAATAGAGCAACCTAGCCTGCTAATATTATTAGCTAAGAGACTCTATGAGCAAGAAGCATGAGAAAAGCATATGTGATACATATTAAACTTACTATAATAAAAAGATTCTTCGTGAGACGTGCAGCGAATTAGTTATTGAACAACCTTTTTCTTTTTGCAGCGATGGAGTCATCGAGTTCTGACATATTCAACGAAGGACAATTTTGGATAGAACGCAAGTTTATCCGTCGTGATGGAGACACATAGAAAACCCATTAGTAGACCCATTCTACTAATGTTACAACGCAAAACCCATTTGATAAGTAAAGCCATGACCACGACGGGTCTAGTTCACTTATCCAGCTCACACCAACAGGTCTAAAGATTTTTGCCTCGCCCTTTATCATTTCCGCCATATCATACTCGCCGTCCATCACCAACTTAACATCCCCAACATTCTGCTCAAGCACCACCAAAGCTCCATTGGAACGAACTCTGGTGACCATAGCTACATGACCTCTTTTATCCGTCCATTTCTCACTGCCATCCTTAGCTTTGAAGTGGGTCGAGAACATCTGTAGCACGTCGCCTCTACCAACGCCGAACTTGTGTGGACCTCTGTGGGATTCGTGTGGCGTAGATGTAGATGATAGCGATAAAGTGTAAAGCAGATAGCCTTGTAGCCCGTATCGGCTGGCCATGCATGGTTCCTCGCGACGGGAAATACACTTGGCTGCAATCGCCTTGAGCCCCTCGGAGGCTAACTCCCCGCAACGTCCTGTTCCCACACGTTTGCCTTTCTTGGATTCACACCAGCTGGCTAACGCATTGGCATACCTAAGAGAGTCAATAATGTAGTCCAACGAGTAATTTGGAGGGATGATATAATACCTGTCACGGCAAACATCGAGCTCTTGACTGTTCAGTCTTCGCGGCGTCGGATAGTGTCTCTGCATCGCCGTCACAGTCGCCCCCGGATTGCTGGGCTCCCAAGAGAGATGTATCTTTGTTAATTCCAATGTATCGTGATGCCGAATGGCAACCCTGAACCATCGCTTTTCCCAAGATCCAACCATGGCACCAGAACGCACCATAACATAGTTTATTTTCTCTCGATTAAAAGTACAGGGAGGGAACGCAGGAGGCGAGCTTGTGAACCAAAGTGACTTGAGATCCAGGTCGAGATCTCTCACATCGTGAGATCTGGATGGCTGGCTTGATTGCGGAGGAGCTCTATGCTGACAATGTTCTTGAGGCGGGTTTGGAGGTTCTCTTCGCAACTGCGGAGCAATGATGTTTGCAAACTGTCTAACTAGCGGAAATTCTATATGATGAGACGATGTATGGCGCCGCTGAGGATGGCTTTGGTCTTGAGGATAGCGTGGCATCGTGCCCCTTTTCATCTTGGCTGGCAGGAAAGCATGCCGAATAGTAGAAATACTAAAATAGAACGCTGGGGATAATCTGGCTGGATACTGTGGCTTTATAGGAATTTTTTGAAGGTATGAAGGTAAGACAGCGTAGCTGAATCACCATATAGGAGACTCTGTGAATAATACAAATGAAAATATACTTCCATGATTCAACCCAGCTTCTATAGAGAAGTAAACCATTAACCGGGTTTATATGTTGTACGATATATAGGAACATGATAATGTTGGGAAAAGGGAAGCTCCTATTCTTATTCACGTATCAGGAGAATGGGAATCAACGTGATAGCTCAAACTCATCAGCGCCACAAGCACTCGGAGTTGAATTTCAATAATATACTACAAATAAAGTCCTGCAGTTCAAAGTGTTATCATTGATATCCACTTACTGGGGGCTTCGGTTTACTCGATAGAGGGATGGGAGGTGGGCGAGGTTCCTTAGATACAGCTGAGCCAGCCAACCCGGGCTTCTTCATTGGAGGAGGAGGCGGTGGTTTCTTCCTTGCTAAACCCGCCATATCGGGGGGTCTGTTTACTCCATGTGCTCCAGTTATGTTTTCTTGTTCTTGGGCTTGTGGAAGTCCAGGTGGCGGGGCGGGTGCGGTTCTTGTGCCGCTCAAGCCTCCCAGCTTGTCTGCAACGCCATATTTGTTGTTTAGCTTATTTGCCGATTGCCACCCAGATGCCACTTGATCACCATGTCTTTCTCGGAAATTATTTGCCGTACTCGCGGCCGCTCTGGCATCTTTTAATGATACCGATGAAGGGTCGTTTCGAAAATCGGTCGCCGTCTTCATTGCAGCTTTCTTTTGAGCGAATGAAGTGCCTTCACTGGGGCTTTCCGGTTTGGGTGAGGTTGGCGAGAGACGAGAGAAACGGGATTGGAGATCGTTGATTGGGGAACTGTTTCCTTGTGGAGGGGGAGGCGAGGCGTGGGACAAGCTACTTGCAGATGGGGGAGGTAGTGTTGGCTTGCTCTTTGATTCTCCAACACCGAAACCTGGAACTGATATACCGGCCGCACCTAGCCTATTTAGGGAGCCTTGATTGAGTATCCCTTTGTGAGAATCTGGAGGTGCTGTTGATGTACCGTAGCTGGGAGACGGAGAGGAGCTCGAGGGGTATGAATCTTGTCGAGGCGGTAATCGTGGTGGGAGACCTGGCGGTTTGCGTTTATCAGCCTGTGGAGGAGTCCTACTATCCTCTCTATCTTTGCGGCCAGGAGGAGGTGGTAGGTTGGCCGTAGACAGTCCCGTGGTATCTACTCGATATGGCATAGGTGGTGGTTTCGGTTTCGCTGCTTCTTCTTCTTCTGCTTTCCTTTCCGCTTCCTTTTGTGCTTGCGTTTCATTTATGTATTCTCGTGAAAGTGGTGCTCCCAGGCCTTCACTTCTAGGCGTACCTTGAGCACCCGCTCCATAGTAATTGACATGCTTCGGGGGTGGGCCAAATTCTGATGGGTCCTTCAAGGTAGATAAAGGGCGCGAGACATGTTCGTCGCCTTCTTTACCGTCCTTCCCCTTTCCCATCCATCCAGAAATTTGATTGACCCCTTTGAAATCACCCCGCCATGATTCCTTCTTCCCATCTTTGCCTTTTGGATGCCAGCCGCCTTTCGCCTTCTCTCTAAGCCCGAGTCCCGTCACGGACATGGTGGGCCGGATGCGGGGAAGGACGTGACGGTGGTGACTTTAACAAACAAAAGATTTGTTTAGACCAATATTGGGCGTCTGGGCGGGATGTATAGCAATGAGCTCGGCATTCAGCGCAGTAGTGTGAACCTGAGAGGGGAGGTTATCTCGTAAAGGCCCAAGATATGACGATAGTAGTGCAGCCGAGCCACCATAATAATCTCGGTGATAGATAAGCAATCGGCGCCGACTGGTTCCGATCTTTCCGGCCGCCCACACTAGTTTGCACCTTTATAATACAAAGTAAGCAAAACTATTTCACAACAGCACATAATAGGCCTTGTAGCGTAATGGTTAACGCGTCAGATTTCGGTACACCGAAATTAAAATCCTCTGAAGATTGGGAGTTCGAGTCTTCCCAGGGTCGTTATATTTTTTGCCTTTTTTTTATTTTATCTTTTTGCTGGTCGTTTTTAGTGATCAAGAGGCGTTAAATAACAGGACACAACAGGCCTTGTAGCGTAATGGTTAACGCGTCAGATTTCGGTACACCGAAGTTAAAATCCTCTGAAGATTGGGAGTTCGAGTCTTCCCAGGGTCGTTATATTTTTGCCTTTTTTTGGTTTTTATATTTTTGCTGGTCGTTTTTGGACATGATCTGGAGGCAGACAGCTTTTTTTACTAGCGTATTGAGTGAATGGGTCACTGTCTGAGTGCAAGCGAGTGGTTTTGCCATTCCCCCTTTATTGCATTCACGTAAGGCAAGTAAGTAAGTAATACTAGAAAGTGATGGGTTTCACTACGAAACTTGATCGAGTATCGGGGTTGTTAAACAAGCATGCAATGAAGATAGTTCTTATAACAATAATTAATAGCCACTCACTCACTGACTCTATCTAGTCACCTCACCATTCATTCACTTATTGCATTTTGGAGGTTTTAAATTTCTACACCGTCTCACCCTTCCTACCAGTCTCTTCGTTCTATACCTTTCTAACACAGGATGGGGGCCGTTGGATATACAAGCCATACATACCTTACCTATATAGCATTTTAAAGCAGCGCTGTGTCTCTGTCGCTCGAGGGACAGACACACTTCAGAAGCGAGCAGGCGAGATCGGAGTTTTTGTACGAGGAAGCGTCCGTTATTTTTCCCGAGATCGCGATTGAGCTCAAGCTCTTGACAATACACCGCTCTCCACAGTCAATTGAACAAACGCAATGTGCTTTAAGCCTGCTTAACAACGCCTCCGCTGACCTGCAAAGACTATTCAACTTATATATTCGCTCTTGAAACTCTACCAGCACGCTCCTTCAACCGCCGGCATTGGAGAAAATGTCAAGCTCTCTCCCGGGCACCCGTGAGCTGCCTCCCTCACAATATGACCTCAGTACATACTGGGGGCGGGTTCGCCATGCGGCAGATTTATCAGATCCCAGGTGAGGAGGAATTGTTATGTTTCTTTAAGCAGAAGGTGCATAGCAAGCTGGGTTAAATGTCCACTGGCCATGCTAACATGTCTCCAGAACATTAATGGTAAACCATGCCGGTTTAGAGCGCGCGAAGGGTCTCATAACGGAATATAAGCAAGGCAAGCTCGCAGGAATGAATCCGGACCTATGGAAGGCGAAGAAGATTGTGGATTCGACATTACATCCCGGTTTGCGCTGCTGTACCAAGCATCCATGAAGCATGAAGCTTATAGTTGCTTAGATACTGGCGAGCCGGTCTTCCTCCCTTTCCGGATGTCATGCTTCGTCCTGTCGAATTTGGTCGTTACAGCAGGAATGCTCACGCCTGGTCTTGGAGTCAGTATGGACATCCTCTTTTCCTTGCGCTTGCTGACCCCCGGCGCAGACATCGGGGACTCTCCTCTGGCAAATAGCAAATCAATCCCTCAACGTAGCGATCAATAACGCCAATTCGAATAAATCCACACCGTTATCCGTCTCTAAAATGACACAGTCCTACTTCCTGGCGGTTGGCGCGTCCTGTTCGGTAGCCCTCGGTCTCAATGCCCTTGTCCCTCGATTAAAACGAGTCAGCCCGGCTACAAAGACGATCCTCAAAAGACTGGTGCCATTTGCTGCTGTTGCGAGTGCTGGAGCGCTAAATGTGTTCCTGATGCGGGGGGAGGAGATCAGACTAGGCATTGACGTCTACCCTGTGCTGTCTGAATCCGACAAAGCCAAGCTGGAACAAGAAGGACTGCCAGAGTCCTCGGTCCCTTCTCTAGGCAAGAGCAAGAAAGCCGCCACGCTTGCGGTCTCAGAAACCGCTCTTAGCAGAGTCTTGAACAGCTCCCCGATTATGATAATCCCTCCGCTGATCCTGGTTCGACTGCAAAAACAAGAGTGGCTCAAGCGCAATCCGAGATTGACATTGCCCGTTAATCTTGGGCTGGTTCTTTGCACGAGTCTTTTTGCTCTGCCATTAGCACTCGGAGCATTCCCACAGAGACAGAGCGTGGATGCTTCAAGTCTCGAAGAGGAGTTCTGGGGCAAGGGTGGAGAAAATGGGAAAGTTGCGTTCAATAGGGGGATTTGAAGACCGTGCATTGGAATAAATCAATGCAATTGATAAGATACAAACAGCAATGGAGAGGAGAAGCTACATATGCGGTGCCTTGGGAACTCTGAACATATTTTTTGGCATGGTACACTCCTCCGTTCCGTTGCATACCGGTTCTGGGATCAAAGCAATAACGGTTCAGAAGCGTGGAGTCAATAGACGAGCCCCTAACTATATGCCGCAGAGAGATTCAAATAGCTCTATGTACCTAGACTCAGACATATACAAAGAAGCCCCGACTCTGCCGACTTGTCTATCATGGCGAAGTCGAAGGCCTGCACATGCATCGTCTTTCAGACTTGACCAGATTTCGAGGAGCATATGTATAGTTTCTCAATGCCTTTAATGATAGGCACCGCTCAGAACTTTTCAGACCTTACTACTTTATTTATAGCACTCATAGTGCCGCGTTTCCCATCCACTAAAGGTGCCCTAATCACGTGCAATCCATCTAAATCACCATACACGACACCCTCCAGCCAATCACCGCTTCACCAGGCGAAACAAAATGAACCAACGAGTTGCGGCCGGTGGCGGTCTTTCTAAGTGGCCAATATCGTTGAGGCTGGTACATTTCATTTCCTAATTATTTATCAATAATTATGATTAAATACCTACCTAGGTCTGTGTATAATTGTAGGGGGAACATAAGGTTTCACTACCATACTCCCGGGGGGCCGTGACTGACGTTGAAGCGTGACGGGGGGATCCTTCAGATGATCTCGTTTGTCGAAAATTGCCCCCCCAATGATAAAGGATGATCCAGACCCTGCGGCAGAATTCCAGCGGGTGCACAGTGCGGGATTCGCTCCGTTTGATGAGCATTAGTGAGGGGTGAGTGGGTGTACGTGGACGAAAGTAACTTGTACTTTGTACGGTAGATATGGATGGGTACGAAATATGACATGACACTTGCATTATATATTTTTTTTTCTTGGGAAAAGGCTGCTGGGCTTGGGAGATTGAGGGGGTTCACTTTATATTTTACTTGAAATTGTTTTGTAGGTTGCGGGTTGCTGGGGGTGCTACTATTCTGGTTTATGCTTTGGATGTGTACGAGGGAAGTACCGGTACTGTTGTCGTACGGGGGATATGGATGGAGGGGGAGGTACCTGGGGGTACGTAGCCGGTACTCCATTTTGATTTATTTATAAGAAAGAGGTTCAGTGCAGTGCAGCGCAGTGGAGTGCAGTTCCGGCAAATTATGAACATGATGTAGCGAGTGAGAGCGAGTCGGCGTTGGAGTCGAGTGAAGGAGGGGCGGAAGGGAAGGGAGGCCGGGTCTTCTGCTATTCTGTCCAGCTGAGCTCGTGGCAGGAAGGCAGACAGGCAGGGTCGGGGTTATTTATTATTGTACGGAGTGTGATGTGACGAGCGAGCTGGACGAGAGAGGAGCGTTATGGTGTTGGCTGCGGGTGCGAGTGGTGTGGGAACAGAGGGCATAATGATGGGTACCTAGGTAATTACCAACTCGTAAGGGACGCGTGTGGGCTTGGAATGGGGATATCTAGGGATCTGTGTCTGTTGCCCCGAGAACCTGGGGGGCTTGGATTGGATGTCTTGGAGAGACCAGAGAGAATACCCGTAAACGGTCGCCTTGTCAGCAAAGAGGGAGGGAGTTTGGCTGGATGCGGCCAGCGACGGGGCGAGGCAAATTGGTAAAAGCTTATTAGGTAGGATGGGGTGCAGAGGATGCTACAATAGTACCTAGGTAGGTATGCTACTAGAATACAAGTAGTCTGTATGCTGTGGCGATGTTGAAGTGGGATCGGGGCTGGCATTTGCCCTGGGTGAACCAGCCAGGCAGCGGTGGCGACAGAAAAGAGAGTTGACGCAACGACGAACCTGGATTATGGAGTAGCACGAACTACGTCCTCGGCAGAGCGTAGGTCGGGAGGCAAGCGGTAATATTAAAGGCGAATGAAGAGGACGAGGACGAGCAAGCGGAACAGCAAGTGGAGAATCGAGGGCGGAGTTGGTTCGCGCGCGTTGCCTGATGTGATGAAAGGAAAGCAAAGGAAAGGGAAATGGGAGAGGGAACAGCCCTCGCTTGTGGGGTTCAGTTCAGTACTCGTAGTAGTGTAGTGGTCACAGTTGGAGGGCACAGTAGCAGGTAGTAGGTACTGAGGACGGGTGCTGCTGCTACGGTCGTATGGGCTGTAATAATAATATGGCAGTGCCGTACCTATGGCATGTTCTGCCGCCGGAGACCAGAGACACAGACAACAGACACTGACTGAGAGTGAGAGTGACTGATGGACTGAGAGCCGGAGCCCTGGAATCCCCGTTACAGCCTCCCTCGCCTTCACGCCGTTCACAAGCTTCACACGCTTCACACACTTACACTTACACTCCTACACTCTCAACTGCTGCCAACCCAACTCTACACCATACAGCAGCGTAGTCCCTTCTTCTGCATCTTTTTATCCCGCTCCTAGGACAAATGCCCCGAGTCTGACGCCGGGGAGAATCCTCTCCATTTCACCACCACCACCCGCCGGCAACGCGCCCCCCGACCACGTCCACGACCCCCAAAAATCACACCCCCCCAACCCCAACTTCCCAACTTCCAAAACCCAATCCCCAATCTCAGATCCAAACCAGAGCACACATCCACCGTGCAATTCGGTCGATACCCCAACATAATACCAAGTCCTGCTCTGCGGCTCCAATGCTGCAGATTGCCCATCCATAACCACCCCTTCGGGCGAGTCCCCAGAATCGAATTTTGCCGTCGCTGTTGTCTGAGCCCACTGGCTGCAGAAACGCCTACGCCTCCCGATGTCTACTCCATCGACTCTGCCACCCCATCGTCCAAACTACGGATACTCTCATCACCAGAATTATCAATCTAATCCGCTATATAGAGGGAACAATACCCTCTCGAACGGCGGAAGCCGGTTGGGAGCGTCATACAGCTTCCCGGCACCCTCGAGTAACGATATCGCTCCCACCCCGAATAACATCGGGCCACCGCCCGATCCCCCACGAACAAGCACAAGTCAACCCACCAGCAATCATTCCTCCGCAAGAATAGATCCGGAACCCGCCGCCATGCCGGTGTCCGCGGCAATCACCGCCAGCAAGACCAATACCAATACCAAGAAGAGACAACGCTCCCGAGAACCAAGGGAGCCGGACTGGAACTCATTCTATAAAAATGGCCTCCCCCGAGAAGTCATTGTCATCGACGATTCCCCAAGCCCAGACCTATCGGTATCCGTTACATCAAATACCCACGGGGCCCGCTCAATAGCCGCGGAGAACGGGAGACACGCCGCAAAGAAAAGGAAACGCGATGACGTTGGCGCCGCCTACGATCCAGTCTACCCACACAAACACTCACATTCCATAAACCGCAGTCCTGACTACGAGGACTCGGTTTCGGGGTCCACCATCTCCACCGATAGAACCACTTCCGCAGTACACACAACTGCAGCCACTTCATTAGGATCCCACTCTTCAAATGGGCAGAATGGCTATGAGGCTATCGAAGTACAGCCGGGTCAAAAGAGAAAGAGAGCGGCGACAAGACTCCAGCTTGCCAACGAGGCAAAGCGGAAACAGCTGGAGGCGAATGGTGATGCCTTTACCAACTACCAACCGCCGCCCCACCCACCTATAAAGGCCCCAGAGGTGCAGGTGAAAGTGGTCTCTGATGTGAGCCTTCGGAACCGTCCTCCCCTTGGAATGGCACTGACCCGAATCTAGAACTCCTATACGAAAAATAGCAAGGTTGATGACGATGATGGGCATTATATCGTTGTCCCAGACAGTGATCTCACAGAGAGATGTAAGTCGCTTCCTCCCGCCTTGCCGAAACCGATCCCACTAACGCGCACATAGATCAAGTTACGAAGCTACTCGGCCAGGGCACCTTTGGCAAAGTAGTACAAGCCCGGGATCGGAAAAGGAACAAACTTGTCGCCGTTAAGATTATCAGATCGGTTCAGAAATACCGAGATGCCTCGCGAATAGAACTTCGGGTCCTCTCGACGCTGAAGGCAAATGACTGCGACAACCGAAACCGGTGTATACATCTTCGAGATTGTTTTGACTATCGGGGGCACATCTGTATTGTGATGGACTTACTTGGACAAAGTGTCTTTGACTTTTTGAAGGGCAACGCTTTTGTCCCATTCCCAAACAGTCAGATACAGAGCTTTGCGAGACAGCTTTTCACCAGCGTTGCTTGTAAGTTTTGGCAGATGCCGATAAACAAGAAGAAGGCTAATATGAGATACAGTCCTGCACGATTTGAATCTGATCCACACTGATCTCAAACCAGAGAACATCCTTTTATGCGATAATTCCTACCAGGCGTTCACATACAGCCGGAGAATCCCATCGTCGTCAACAACAAATAACCGCCAGGCGGCTCAGCGCAAAGTCCTTCTTGATACTGAGATTCGGCTCATTGACTTCGGTTCCGCAACCTTCCAGGATGAATATCATTCCTCGGTCGTCTCTACCCGCCATTACAGGGCACCTGAGATCATCCTGGGACTTGGATGGTCATTCCCTTGCGATATCTGGAGTATTGGGTGCATACTTGTTGAGTTTTTCACAGGCGATGCCTTGTTTCAGACGCACGACAACCTGGAACACCTGGCCATGATGGAAGCTGTCTGTGGAGGCAAGTTGGACAGCCATCTTGTCCAACAAGTCAACAGCATGGCAAGGCGCAATGGAGGAAATCCTGCCTCTAAGTATATCTCACAAATGTATCTGTTTAGTTCCTTGCTAACCTGATCCAGATTCTTCAAACGGTTAAAACTGGATTATCCTCAACCAGACACTACTAGGGCTTCGAGGCGTTTTGTGAAGGCCATGAAACGGTTGGATGTAAGCCCCTACCTACACCCCTTGTAGTTGTATTCTTTGCTAACATGTGATAGGAAATCATCCCCGATAACAACAAATTCTGTAAGAACTTTTTGGATCTTTTGAAGAAAATCTTCGTCTATGATCCAGCAGCCCGTATCACCGCGAAAGCTGCACTTCAGCATCCATGGTTTAAAGAGGCGGCTACCCCGGACGACGGGACTGAGGCTGCTAAGATACGTGTGCAAAGACAACAGGCGGCCGAAGAGGCAGCTGCCGCAGCAGCAGTTAATCAAGTTAATCATAGGCATAATGGCTACCGGCATTGAATTGGACATGAGGCATGAACACGGTGGTGTGGCGGGCGTAGCGGCGTATAGGGATTAGGGGAACAGGGCATTTTCTACAATTGGATCACCTATGTGTTGGCCAATGCATATAGGCGTTCATCATGTGTTTAGTTACTGGCAACGACTTGAACTCTTCTAGACATTGTCTTCTAGATCAGCGATGTTCAAGCAATAGAGAACCATGGTCCACATGGTGTAGGATTAACACACTACCAGATTTATGATGTAAGGACAACATCTGACTGATTTTGAACTATTGAACTGAAGTGTGTTTGACCTCTTGAATCCTTTAACATTTAATGCACTGAAATTTCTATAAGAATCCTCCATATACGGATACCTTAATTCTAAGGACGTTATCCTAGGACGCGATTGTGCTTTCCTCCTGGGGTGAATGTTTACCTCTCGATAAGGCCTTCCCGATAAGCGATTTAGTTTTCTGGCCGGATGAGTCCGCCAGGGAAATTTTCGTGACGGTTCCAAGCATCACACCAACAACTCCATGCTTGACCCATTACGCGCTACTAGTGGGAGCCCCTTATCTTTGCTTAAAAGGATCAGGACCAAGGTCAACCCCGGTGTCGAAAGAAATATCACAAGTTTTCCACAACGACGGCCCTTCTTAGGACGCTATCACGCTAAGTTTCGACGCGCTCTAGGACCTTCAAGAGCAAGTTATAACGGTATTAACGGCCGAGTCTTTCAAGGTCCACGGTTCCGCGAACGTATACGTGTCGCACTGGCAACTGAGACTCGCGGAGCGATTTACCAACCTGCGGATACACCCTACCATATCGTTTACAAGAAGACATCGAGAAGGGCATTGGACCTCCGAGAGCGGGACAACCAAGGAGGTTCTTACATGATGAAGTGCAGTTTGCAGTTCCTGTCGACGCCGACCGCGGACACGCCTGGCACATCGTTAATGCTGCATTTCGACCGGAAGCGGTATCTGATTGGAAATGTCGGCGAGGGAACACAAAGAGTTACTGTGCAGAGGAAGACGGGGTTGATCAAGGTGGGCGATATCTTCTTGACGGGCACCGTGGGGTGGGAGAACGCTGGGGGGGTTTTGGGGATGGTCCTTACGATTGCGGATTGCACGGCTACTTCGAGAGAGAATGCTCTGCAAGTTCTCGGTGAGAAAAAGCAGAAGAATGTATCCCGAGAACGCCTGGGCGAAGTTGATAAGGGTAATGAAGTCAAGCCTCTAAAGGAGGCTGAGAAGCCATGGCTGAGCATACATGGTGGGAAGAATATCACCCATCTCCTGGCGACCGCTAGACGATTCATCTTCAGGAAGGGGATGCCGCTACACACACACGAGTATACGGCTAAGAGGAATGCAGAGAGAAAGAATTGGGACCCTACATGGCAAGACAATTGGGTGAGGCTGTGGGACATGGTTATAGAGCCGGAGGGCCGCTGTGCCAGCCCGAAGAAGAGAAGACATGATGAGTTTTCCGAAGATGAGAGTTGCAAAGAGCAAATGCCTGGCGAAACAGAAGACGAACTGGACCAAATCAGACAGGCTGTTGTTTCCTCCATGTTCAACTCAGAATGGCGCCTCGATGCTCTATTCACGAGAAAGCTCTCGACAGTACAACTCCCAGCCGCAATTTTCGTCAGGACAGAGGAGGGCAAGGTTGAAAAGTACAGTGGACCCATGCCAGGTGATAGAGGATATGATCCTGATGTCGAGGTCATGGTACGGAATCCCTGGCCTGGAGCTCTGGTTGACAGCCTTCCTCCGACGACTCCATCCGCCAGTTCAGTCTGTTACATCATCAAGAGCCAACCACGACGGGGGAAGTTCGATGCCAAAGCGGCTATTGCGCTAGGTGTCAAGCCAGGTCCCAACTTCAGGGTGTTGACCGAGGGACAGAGTGTGACTACAGAGGGCGGTACTGTTGTCACCCCTGACATGGTCTTGGGCCCAGGCAAAACGGGATCAGGTTTTGCGATCATCGAACTACCAACCACGTCATATATTGGACCGTTACTCAACCGTGAGGAGTGGTCTTCGAAGGAGGTTATGCATGGTATTGGGGCTGTAATCTGGATCCTGGGCCCTGGTGTCCTCCACGATGCAAGGCTACAGGCCTTCATGCAAGCCCGAAGTGAGATGGAGCATATTGTGTCGTCCAAAGATTGCTGTTCAAATTATCTCGCACTGGAATCGCCCGCCGCAGCTGCGATACGACTACACCTCCTAGACGCTGATCGCTTCCCGATCCCTAAATACAGCAATGTTGTACCACACCCGACTGATCCGACGATGCCATACATGGCGGCGAAGCCGTCTATGACCTTGCAATTGGAGCCTCGTTTAGAGGTTCAAACCGACGGCATCATACCTGATTTTAACACTGCCACGGTTGTCAAAGAAGTTCAAAATGATGCGAAACTTATGGAATTGGCGAAGGCCGCTCGTGACGAGGTGATGGCTCCAGGATATCAGCAAAGGCTCGATGAGAGACAGAAGGATATTCCCAGCAAAGACGCCGAAGTTGTCACGCTTGGCACTGGCTCCGCTCTGCCGTCGAAATACCGCAATGTTTCCGCTACGTTACTTCGTGTTCCTGGATATGGCAGTTATCTCTTCGATTGTGGCGAAAATACACTCGGCCAGTTGAAGAGGGTATTTGGAGACGAGCTTCCGGAAGTACTGCGCGACTTGAAAGGAATCTGGATTAGCCATCTCCACGCGGATCACCATCTTGGCACTGTCGCCGTCATCAAGGCGTGGGCAACGGAGACAGCGGAGGATGAGCTGACAAAAAATAACAAGCTCTATGTCCTATCACATGAAGGAATGACCAAGTGGCTCCATGAGTACTCGGAAATAGAGGATTATGGGCATAAAAGAGTGGAAATTATTACTTTCGCTCCCTCGAATGTGAGGCAGTTCGATTTTCAAAGCAGTCTCAGCGATAGACAGCAAAAGGAGCTCGGCCTTGTCTCGTTCAAAGCTTGCTCCGTGTCGCATTGTCATGGTGCCGCGGCTGTGGTTTTCGAATTTGCCAATGGGTTTAAAGTCGCTTATTCTGGGGACTGTCGGCCTTCTAGGGAATTTATCAAGCTTGGGAAAGGAGTAACGCTCCTGATTCACGAAGCCACGTTTGATGATGAGCTAAAGGGGGACGCAATTGCGAAGAAGCATTCGACAACGTCGGAAGCATTAGACGTTGGCAGGCAGATGAACGCTAGACGTATCCTGCTAACACATTTCTCGCAAAGATATCAAAAAATCCCAGTCATGGAGGCACAAGGTGCCACAGATCAGGTCGCCATTGTGGCGTTTGACTACATGAGGGTCAAGATTGGAGATTTTGCGAAGGTAGATGCTTTTAGACCTGCACTGACGAAGCTCTATGAGGATGAAGTGGCCAAGATCGGAGAGACCGGTAGAAATTAGACCTGCGGCAAATAATTAGATCGCTGGTGGCTTCTCACATGTGTATTTTTATGGGTGGCGAGGCGTTTATGGCTTACACGCTGGGTTACTGAAGATAATTGGAGACTGTGCGCGAGATCTTAAGCATTCACGGTGCAAATAAATTGCGTTGCATTAGGGGAAGTTGTATTAAACAAAAGACATGTATTTTTATTCTATGATGGTTAGCAACCAACCGTGTCTGGTTCAGAAAATGAAGAGGACAAAGAAACGCGACTCAACTCCGGGCAAGAAATGTCCTTCTTTTGTCTACCTACTATCACAATAGACAATACTCCACAAAGCAAATTCCTAAAAGAAGTCTCCCATTTCCGTCACTCTTGATTCGTCCGGGCTTGGTGGACGTCTTCGAGGATCACCTCCCGGCCTGGATCTGGAGAACGGCTGGCCTTGGCGAGCCAAAGGTGTTTTGTAATTTTCACCAGTTAAGTCTCGAAAGGCGCGAGCACGTTCCTGAGCGGTTCGGCCTCTGTCAATTACAGAGCCGTTAGGCACGCCGTTCTCATCGCGGCTGTATACACTTTCCGAGTATGCAGCAGCTGCAGCAGGACCGCTTCGTGGGATATCTGGGGCAGGTACCGAGCCTTGGAAAGCAGGATGCAGACACTCAGACGGATCGGCACCTTGAGGCAGGTCTGCTTTCGACATCATATCGGCGTAGAAGTCGATGATGGAGTGCTCGAAATCATGCTCTGTTCTCGGATCGGCCCTCTTTCCTTCGGCGTCGTCGACGTCAACAACCCTAATGCTAGCAATAGAAGGAGAATTGGAAGATCTATATGGCGTCGAGCTTTTGCTCTTCCTAGTGGAATTCCTACTAGTAGAAGTCCTGCTGGAGTTCCGGCTGGAAGTCCTGCTGGAATTAATCCTCTCCTCCTCTTTGCGCTGCCTCTTTTCTTGCTGCATTTCCCTTCTTATACCTCTCATCTGCTTCCCCAGGACATCACTGTCGCTATAAATCTCCTCACTGCGCGTCGTCCAATTGATCCATATATCGACAATCTTCAAAAGCCGTGGCTCGGGACATCCCTTCTTCCTGCGACTCTGGAGCGAGGTTCTCAAGTCCGCAAGAACCTGATAGTTCCCTCCGATCGAGCCCAGGATGCAAGCCTCGCAGCCATCAGGCACTTGTTCAAAGCGTTGATCTGCTGGCGTGCTAGGAAAGCTGACTTGATAAAATGTCGGCGACATCCATAAGCTATTGACGCTCTGCAGTCTCTTGATGCAAGCCGATACTTCTGTGGGGAGATCGCGTCTCTCCGCAATACGCTTCACCCGCATCGTCACCTCGGCGGATACCTGGAGGAAAATGCGACGGATCAGGTATGGATTGAGCGGTTTGTGGGTTGGGCAAAGGAAAGCTCCCTTGGGTGTAAATGGTAGTGACATAGTCAATCGCGGGAGGAGCCCCTTATCCCTAAGCAGGGGCTTGGGGAAGTCCTCTATCATTTTCTCTTGGTTCTTGAGCCACCATTCGTCCGTTGTTGGGCACTGTGGGTTCTTGTTGAGCAGCGAAGTTAGCTGCTCGGCGTCGGGTGGGCTTAGATCCTCCAGGTAGGCGATAGATGGCCTGGTAGAAGACCTGCTAGATGGTCTGCTAGGCATCGTGGTTGCTGTTTTTAGTGTAATTATTTAGTAGATTGTATGTGAGGTGTAGCTGTCGCTGTGGCTCCAAGTGGTTAGAGAAAAAGCTATCAAATTAGATGAAACTTGATGTTGCAGATATGAAATGGATTTTTGTCCATCTCTCATAAGTTGTATTTATGTAACTAGTGTTGTTCTTCAAAAACAATAGGAATGGGACTAGCTCCAGGCTTGCTATTTTGCCCCTTTTTGCTCAAGATATTCCGTTGCTTTGTTGGCGTTTAGCTTGTCTTTGTTCTCTTGTCTTGGGCACTAGGTGTCTGAGACTTAGAAGCATAGTTGCACACGTTGTGTTGATTAAGTTAGCGTGTATATGGGAATAGTTAATAATATCTGTTTAGAGGGTGTGTGCGAGGATTGCAGTTTTTGGCTTTTATTTTCTGTGGAATATAATATTTGCTCTCTCAAGTGGTGAGCGGGTTGCATGGCCATTCATGGCGCCTTTTTCTTTGAGCTTGTATTGCTATTGTCTTGGGCATGACAATGAAAATTTTGATACTGCTGTCATTGTCCGTTTACCAGTGAACAAAGTTGTCCTAGGAAAACAAACAAAGAGCCTGTCTTAGAGAGGGCAACTAGCGAGACTGGTGGAGAGTAGTACTGCAGTATTCTCCACAGCAAAACAGCGAGTGATAATGGTCTATATAGACTGCCCGTCGTCCTCATGCTCTCAAATTTCGGGTTTCACATCATCACACTCACCAGCGTACACAACAAGAAGACCAGCGAATAGCAGCACTGTGCTATTCTGTCAAACAAAACAGAGAGTTACAGTAATCTTCATAAACCGGCCATCCTTTTCTTTTGAATCATTACCTTTGCTGCTGCCTAGTATTCAAATCCAACGACACTATCTCGTGATTCTATCAAATCGAGAAGATGTCGCTGCTTCCTATCATAGGAAGTGATTGTCAGCAAAAGCTTACTTGCTTCTACATGTGTGGGCATATGCAAATCATTACAATCCATAGTCCGAAATGTTGCCTTAGTAAATCTAAAAGCAAGTGCTTCGCAACTGGAAACATCCAGTTGGATTGCCATGAGACGGATTTTAAGAAAGACGAGTGCCTCTGGTGTGCCGGAAAGTTAACAACCAACAACTGTAACATTCGCCGCTCAGACCCGGAACACGATGTCCTTCCGAGACCGATCGTCCTTGCTCGTCAGAGGGCTTGGCTAAAGCAAGAGACGAGATACTGGCAGCTAATTGCAGCTGAGAAGGAGGCCGAGAAAATCATATGGGAGCAATCGCCATACCCGCAGGCTAAATCGGACCTAGTTGATTTAATAAGCCTTGTCACACAGAGCGATGAGGACACTATGGATAACAGCGTACGCTCCTGGGATGCCAGTGAAAGCGACGATTTATCCATCATCTCAGACGCCGACTTGTCAAGCACGACGGCTGAGAAGGAGGCTGAGAAAACCATGGAGAATTTTCTGCGATACCTGAAGGAGGAGTCCGTAGGGGGATTATCAAAATTCCAGGAGGCTATGCAGGAACTAAAGGATATATCCCGTGTCAGACGTAGGGACAAGGAGGCTATGAATAACTGCCTAAGTTCGGGGGATAGTAGTGGATATCCCAGTGGTACCAATCAAACAGGAATTACAAGGACCGATATCAGTGCTTGTGATAATATCAACTACAAAGACACAAAACCCCCTAATACAGCAAACACGTTGGGGGGTGGTGGTGGCCCTGAATTTTCACGACAGGAGGATGAGATTGATATGATCCATAAATCGTGTAGAAAGCTCCCAGGCTCTGAACCGACCACAAAATATTCGCCACTGTTGGCCCCTACTACAGCAAACGTGCTGGGGGCCAGTGGTGGCCCTGAATTCTCACGACAGGAGGACGAAATTGATATGGTGCTTAAATCGTGGGGAAAGCCTCCGGGAACTACACCGACAGCTAAACATTCGGCACCATTAGGCACCATGGACACGACCCTCGGTATCAAGACAGAGTGTGATGCTGCCCCTGAGAATAAAAGTGGCTCGTTCGGACAGACCTCGTCCAAATTGCGTATCCCTTATATGTTAAATTATCTTAGTGACGAGGGATATTTGGCAGACTCCTCTGTATCCTCACTGGACCTAGAGGATGTAGAAGAACTGATATCCGGATCCCAAGAGATGCCTTCAAAGCCATCCTTTTCAAACCCTGATGAGGATAAGGCCCGCGATGCAGATGACAAGGAACCTGATGACTGGGCCTGGAGCGCAGACAGCGCTCCCAAAACGAATCGCATGACGTATGGGCTTCCAGCCAACCCGAAGGTTGGATACCAGGCCCAGCCCGCTGGTAATGGCCCTCGAGACCCTGTCTCAATTTGCTCCTTTACCCTCAAACCAAGGCCACAGCCCGTCAAGCAGGAAGAAGTGATCGATAAAGAGCACCCCACGGTGTCGTCCGAGGCAATTTACAATGCAGACGGCACCATGAAGGTGGAGGTTCGAGTCAAGGCAGGGCTGAATTACTCTGTGTCAGGGTCAGAGTTCCTTTTAAGGGGACTTTAAGAGCAGCCTTAAAGCTGCTCCCTGGCCTTAGAGCCTCCAGATGCAATCGCCCGCCTCGATACATTTAGACAGGACATCAAGACGGTTACTACCCCTTGTCTCCTTCACGTTCAAGGACATTACGACACTTACTATCGCTGAACTAGTTACATTTTTGGCATGGTATCAAGACGGTTACCAGGTTCGGGCGATAGTAAGTGTCGTAATGTCCTTGAGCGTGAACGGGGTAAGGGCTAGTAACTGTCTTGATAGGATTTCAAGACAGATACTTATTAGCAAACTATAAAATAAAATATAAAAGGTTAACAGCCACCAACTCTTAGGAATTTCTGTAAAATGTGTGAATGCGTGAATGTGGAACTTCTAATAGTATTAATATCCGCTCAACGGCTGCAATGGTGCTGCTATATAATAGCAATAAACACCAAATGCACTCTGCCTGCGCTAAAAAAAAAAATGCATCAGTGATATCTATCGCTAAATTGCAACATTCCCATAAAACAAAGCCCATATTATCCCCCTTTTTCCAAATTATATCATACATGTAGCCATGTGGTGTTACCAATAACTCCAACTTAGGTATTCAAACAACCCATCGTCCCCTCCTCTTAGTCGCTAGCTCAATACCTCATACTAGCACGGCGGTCAGGCTCATAATCACTATATCTCTCCTTCTCCCTCTCCACGTATCTTACAGAGCCAGGCCTGGGGGAGGAGAATTTCTCCCGGCTCCGACTAACACCGTATCCGCCTCTATCAATAAGCGTCTCGGTCTCGATTTCATAGCGACTAGAACTATACCGATCACGGGGGTGGTTGATCTTCACCCTCTCTGGGTAACTGTCGCCGGGGCTATCAACTAGTACACTCTCGCTTTCAGTTTCTTGATAGGCAGTGCGGGAGCTGTAGTGTGTTGTTGATGAACGCTTCCTACGCTTTGTCCGGTTGTGGCGTTTGTAAAATGCCCGCCCTGCGCAAGTTAGCTACATGTGACGTTATTAGATAAATTAGGGGAAGGCTCCCTACCCTTGTTTAGAAGTAGCAGTTTTCGCTCATAAGGCCCCAAGCTCTCCTCGACCATAATCCGGTCGTTAGGTGCTCCATCTTCCGGACCACAGTATTCCCAGACCCATCGTAAGTCATCTTGAGGATTCGCAAGTGGAGATGTACCGGGACCCCAGGTTGCATTCCAGGGGATGGGATCACAGTTTTTCATGCGTTTCTGTCGAAGTCGCCATAGCCCATTCTTCAGTAGGGCATTGCATCCATACAACCCGATGTCGTCCAGACCGAGGCCCTCGAGTTCGAGACGGATTCGGACACTGCTATGAATCCTCTCGTTGGTATCTGTCATGAGCACTCCAGTTGACTCCCCGGTATCAGAGTCTCGGCGCATGTTCAGACCAGGCGTGCGAAGTGTCTTGCCAGCCAGAGCGTAAATTCCGGTTTCTGAATTGTATACTTTGCCAAGACCCCAAGGCCTGACGGGCTTATGCTTGTCGTAGATCGACTTGATGGCCCACTGTTTCTCTGGACGACGGGAGAAGAGACTAAATGGTGTAGGAGGGATTGCGGTTGGGTCCTCATAGAACTCGACGCTTTTCTTAAATATATGGTCAATGAATTCATCTCGGAACGCTACACCGACTGAGGCGAGCTGGTCCATCATCCTGCCTACAGTTAGATAGTTCCCACATCCACATAAGATAGAGGCTTACCAAGCCAGAGAGATATTCGCTATCTCTTGGTCATCATATCCACCACCAACATTTCCGTGGGCGCCAGGAAACCAAACCTGCCTCAAGTCCATCGTAGTTTCATGTTTCATGTCCTTTCTCTCCCACACTGCGGGGTCAAAAGGATGGCGATGCTCGTCAAGAGCCAGTGCCTGAAACGCATGTCTAATCACGCCGGAAAGATCAGTGTTGTAAAATTTAAACTCCTTGGTGGAACTCTTTAGGCCGATTTTATCAAATAATGAAATGTTAGGTACTAGAGAAAACCGTAAGCAAAGATTTAAGCATAAAGCAGGGTTTAGACAAGAAGAATAAAAAACATACTTCCAAGAGCGCCTACGGTATCCCAGACAGCTACGGCTTGAATGCGGATTTTAGTCCCGTCTGGGTCATAGACCCTCGTTAAATCTAGCTACTGCGGGTTAAACAAGAGCCACTCATTGCTTGGACTTCGACCTACCTTTTCAAGGCGCTTCTTGTACTCACGCCCAGCATGTGGGCCTCGTGGCTTATTCGGGAATGGGACCGTAGGAAAAATATCCTTATGACGGGGTGTTTTGAAGTTCTCCTGGTCCTTGAAAACAGCATAGAAACTATCCATGCCGACCCGGGTTAGCAGGCCGATGTTGTCGATCATGCCCGCCACGCTTCGTGCGGTGAAAGCTCCTCGACTGAAGCCGACGAGGATAATCTCGTCACCGGATTCATAGTTTGCTGCAATAAAACTGTACACTTCTCGTATGTTCTGTTTTGCTTAGCCTAGATCTGAAATGATTTGTGGTGATTACTTACCTCAGATATACCTTTCCCAAGTGCGCCGCCTGTGAAGACATCCAGCACGGCTGAGGAGGTTCCAACGCCAGAATGGTAATAAATAATTTGATGAGTGCCATCCTGACCCGTTCTGCTGAGAGCCCGAACGATTCGGGTGACGTTTGATGGGACCTGTAGCCTTCCAGTTGGCACGTATGGAATTAGGGTAGGTTTGTGAAATCCATCGTCACTAATTTATGAGTCAGAACAGCGCCAGAAATCCTGAGATATTTCAGATAAAACATACCTGTCCATCCAAGTGCCATCACAGCATAGTATAAGCCGTTTCGGCATTTTGATTATGATATTTGTACTTGTAAGGAAACTCTTGGCGTTCTGATTTGATCGCACAGTAAGTAAATCCTATAGATCTACCTTACGTATCCACCACAGCCTTCAACAGCGAATAAATCGACAACAAAAGGCTACACTTCAAGACAGAAATTCAGGTGCGAGGTTTTTGGGCTTGAAGCCAAGATAAGAGGCTTGTGAAGTAGTATTAGGATCCACTTGTTCGAGGTTTCAAAACGGGGTGGCACCACGCGAGTTTTAAACAGTCCGTTGAGGCAGGAGGGATATGTGTAAGACGTCGGGGGAATGGCCATGCCGCATCAACAACCACAGAAGATGATGGAGGGTCGGGGTAGGCCGCATTTCTACACGTGAGACTCTGTGGCTGAAATATATTGGGCGCAGCGCTTGTAGAGGACTGTGGCTCTTGTCACGGCGACCACAGCCGCGCGGATAAGAAGGCTGGGGTCAGAAGTTGGAGGTCAGAGGGGAAAATGGATAACAATGTGTAATCACAAAGGCTTTGTGGGCGGTGGCCGCGGCCTTTTTGGTGGTGGTGGTGGTGAGGCACGGTGCCTCCTTAAGGCTGACTTCGTAGTCGAGTACGGAACAGTACCAAGAGCGCCTACGACGGGGCTGGGACTTGGCAAATTAGCGCTGAGTGGCAGTGATTTGTATGACTTGTCTGACTTGTACGAGAAGCGAGTAGCGTTTTAATGCGCCTATAATTGGTCACATTTCAGCGCCTTTAGGTTGGCAGCCAAGCCCCGCTGACAGGTCGGTGTGCCTCGCTATGAACAATGTGTGGTTCTCGGTATGAACAATGTGTGGTCACTTGTCGCGATGTTGGGTGAAGCGAGGTTGCGCAGAGAGGTTGTAGAGGGCGGCCACGCCGAGGGCCAACAGTTAAAGCGACACAAAACACCAACAGGACAAAACACTTCCAACATCCAACTTCAAGAGGCCATCTATTTTCACAAACCCGGATTTAATGGGGCTCCGCTGTCTTTACATATCTCAAATATACTTATAGACATTTTGCGTCTTGTCTAATAAGCCAGCCTATAATCTAGATTCCATGGCCGACCCGCCACCTCTCAGCTCCTTAGCGATATTCCTCGATATCCAGTCGCTGATGGCCATATTCGTAATCATTGGGTTGACGCCGCTCGCGCTGGGGAAGACACTTGCGTCGCTAACATATAAACCCTCGGTTCCCCAGACCTTCCCCTTGGGATCGACGACCCCGTCCTTCTCTCGGGCGCTCATGCGGTTGGTGCCCATCTGGTGCGCGGAGGAGTATGCGGCTGTAGGTGGTTTATTTCCTATGCGTTGAAGCTCTGCGAGCCAGGCGCCAAAGCGTGGGTCAGTTACCCCTGGGTCTGGCTCATCGGCCGCTGGGGTTTCTAAAGAAGAATCTCCAACGTCGCGGAGGAAGGGTTGGAGGCCTTGGATGAAAGGGTGGATCTCAGTGGCTCCGCTCACGTAGGTCATTTTTGCGAGGGCGACGAGACCCTCCATGCAGCTCGCCCGGTCAAACGCACTCGGTGAGTATTGGATTCTGGGCGTGCCGCTGTTCGGATCTGGGTATATCCTTCCAGTATCACGGTCTCGAGCTATAGAGATGTAGCCGTTCATATTGCGGATCTTGAGAGCATTCGTCTTCCACGTGAGCCCATTGACCCAATTCATATAAACAAGGAACATGGACGGAAGCATAGCGGTTGCTTCAATCTTTGCACCGTGACCGCGGCCATCTAGATTTTCAAACGAGGTGCAGACAGTTGTTAAAATTCCACCTGCATGCTAGTTAGTTACCTTCTTGTTATGTAGGGCAGAGATAACTACCTTCCCAAGGCTTAACCTCCTCTTTGAAGACGGCTGCCACGAAATTGACCGGATGAAGGTAGAGATTTCTTCCAATGTGCCAGTTCTTGGTATATCAGCTATATTCAATATATTCCTTGACTCATAACTCACCTTGAGGCCGCTATTCATTAAGATAATTGGGCTCCACAGAGTTCCACTTGAAATGATAACTTTCTTAGCCTTCACAATCACCTTCCGGACAGTTCTTTCTGAAATAGGCCCGTCGACACCTCCATTACTATTCCTTGATGTCCATACACCTTCAACTCCAATAGCTTTTGTGCTGTTCGATTTATCGAACAATACACGATCGACCCTGAAACCTTCTACAAACTTAGCGCCAGCTTTTGCAGCATCTGGCAGCCATGATACAACAGGCCCTTGCTTCTCGTTTGAACCACAACCAAGACAGCAATGCCCGCAATAATGCTCGTTGCCTCCAGTATTTTGTGGGACTGCTTTGGCATGATACCCCAGCTTTCGAGCACCCTCCAATAGGACTTGGTTGCCATGATTATGTCTGATATGATCTGCGGAAACACCCATCCGATGGCAGACTCGATCTAAACATGACTGATATTCGGCGGTCTCGAAGAACTTGAGCCCTTTATCCTGTGCCCACTCTTTGCGAACAAAGTTCTGTGTCTGCAGACTTGCAGACCAATTGATAGTTCCCCCGCCACCCCATACACTTCCGGCAGCTACACTTACCGAGCCATCATCCGAGACCAGAACGCCTCCAGCTTCAATAACATGGTTCAAAGCAACTTTCTCGGACAGCGGGAATTGTTCCGGACCGAAATGGTGTGATTTATCGACCACCAGAACGCGGTTTCCAGCCTCCGCCAGATTTTTGGCGCAGACGGCCCCTCCACATCCAGATCCTACAATAACCACATCTGTCTCGATAACTTCTGGCTCGGATCCGGGGCCAAATTGTAGGAAGTCGAATTCAAAGCTAGGGCCGGGCTTGTATTGGCTAAGAATTGTAAGAATTGCTATTATAACTGGCACGGAAGCACTCACTCTGGTGCACGCGGAATACCGCATAGTTGGCGGTAGGTTGGACTGGTCCTCAACCACAAACTCTTCCCAATCGAGGTCATCGACTTGTAGATAACATTCAAAAAAGGCATATATGATAGTCGCCAACTATCGAGAATAGCTTCGCGGATTCGAATTGGTTGTTCGTGGATTGGTGTGGAGTAGCCCGTCAGCATCAAAGACCCTACCCGGGTGCTGTGCGAGTTATTAGCTAGTGTATTGAAGCAATCCATGTAAAAGGGGATGCCTACTTTAGGGTCGATAGTATAAATGCCAAACCCTTCCGCGATTGCTCTGGTGCGTCTTGCCCCAATGCGCGTTTTAAGAGGTCTTGGAATTGCGGGCAATCCGAAGCTTTCTCATTGAGATATTTGTCAAAAGATTCCGCGTCCGGCGCATCCTTAATGGATTTCTGCAGAGCGCGTACCGAGTTGTTGTATTCCGCGTCTACAAGTGCCAGATGCGCCCCCTTTTGCTCCCCGGCCGATCCTCGTTGGATTGATGGAATGACGGCGTCCATTAAGGCCATTAAGGTATTCCATTGTACTGGTGTGAAGGGCTCTTCGGAAGGGCCATCTGGTAAAATAGTTGGGAGGGGTGCGAGTTGCGACAATGCCATTGTTGCTGTGAGGCTGGCTGAATCGCTCTTGTTGTGCTGTGTTGACGCGTATGTACTGTACTTACAGGGAAAGGCGCAAGGAATCAGAGACGCGTAAGGAAGAATTGCGGAAATATATTCAGAAGGAGGACCACAAGAGAAATATTAGAGAAATACAAAGCGTCAACCTGGTGAGGAGGGGATTTGATCTGCTGGGTCGCAAGTAGTGAGACACGGTGACCTGACATTCACACGCTGACGTGAGTTGTGCCTCGGCGCACTTCCCCACTGGGTTGAACGTGCGCTTGAATTGCGGGGAATTTCGCCCTGGAATTGCTGGTTGCGGGGTGCCATTACTACTAGTACCTTAAGCAAGATGGGTGAGACTTTTGAGATGCTCTTTCGCCATAAGAAAATGGTTAGAGATTGATGCAGAAGAAAGGATAGAGGTCTGGAGCTCTGGAGCTGCAGAGGGGCTTCACTGCATAGTGGTTGCAGGGGTTGTCCAACGGGAAGAGAGCGAGAGCATCGAGGACGGGGTACATATACTTAAGCATCGCGATATATAGAACTACCTGCCTGCCTACCTAGGTACCTAGATAATAAGTACTTCCACTATCGCTCTCTAAGGTAGGGAACTCGTCTCCACAAACCTATAATAGTTGCAATAATATATATTCTGCCGAACAGGCATCGGTCGTCTCCCCGATTGGCGGGCAATGGGCTATGATGCTGTCTACAGGATAGAGCCGCCAACTACCGGTGGAAGTCAAGTGTTTATTTTGGATTCGTATACCGTCATTATTCGGAATATGCCCCAGATATCCGAAGCAAATTGGGTGGCGCACCTTCTTCTGGATCCCGTTTATTCTCGGACATTCTGTCACATATCATCATGTACTGTACATGTACAGCACGATACAGCGCTGTACCTTCAGATCCTCCACGGGCAATGATCCGTCCTCCCCTCAAGTAGATCTTCCTTTATGGCGTCTAATGCAAGTGGGTTGGCGAGAGGCCAACCGGGTCGGTAGGTTGGAATTGTCTTGTAGTGTTGAAGGCAGATAAATGATCCAATCCACAACTCTCCGGCCCATACCATCCTCGCCTCCTAACGCGCGACCTACGGTACTTCGTACTGCACGTCGCACATCGACGTTCAACTCGTCTTCCCGTCCGCCGGGTACGCATCCCAATCAGCCTCCTGGATACGAACTGTACGTACTACGTGCTCCGGTACTTCCCATTTCTATTATCCGGCCATTGCACTGCGTTCGTCCCATCACTCACTGCTTCGCTACTCGGCACAAGTACTTCGTACCTTATCCTATGTATTATTATTCCCCACATCTCCCGGCACATGGGCTGCACTCCGCAATACCGGAGATTCGCAACTTTGGAGCATCGAAGGAGGGATTATATATTAAATAGGACATGGCCACCCCTTCTGGAACGGAGAGCGGAGCGGGATCCCTCTCTCCGATGATGGCCATGGATTGGCTACTATGTATGGAGTACAGGACAATGTCACATATCATTATTTGATGCGGCCAACGGCGGTTGAGCTATGGTCAGCCATCCGGGATTCTACGAGGGGGCCAAGCGGAGCTTTCAACTGTTGTCTATGTCGTGCAGGGAGCCGTGGGTGAACAGAGTCAACAACAGAGGAATTACGAAGTTACTCGTCGTCTTGTACGAGGCACCCTCGAGGTGCTCGGGGTGCTCGGCCTGAGAATAACAACCGGATCTGTTTATATGCTATCGACACGCCCCTCGCCGCCAAACGATGACCACACAAAACCGTCCCGACCACCAGGCCCGCCTGCTGGACTTTGGTGTTGCCACGGCCACCACGCCTCACCGCCACTACGGGTCATGGCTCGCAGGGAAGGCCGCCGTGGGCATAGCAGTGCGAAGGGCGGGCGTATTTACAGCCTCTCAGCGGGCGGCGATAAGACGGGTCCTGGGCTTCCTCATGCAGCCACGCAGTCGCCCTTGGATCTCTCGGCCCATCACGGCGTTGGGTTTATTTTAGTTCGCCCACACGCGACCATCCAACGGGCAGCTCAAGCCTCAACCTCCCGTCGATGAACTACGGAGTGATCTGATCTGAACTGAACTGAACTGAACTGAACAATGCAACCGGAGTCGACCACCGACCAAGTGGATGGGAGTGGTTTGGCAGATGGCAGATGCGGCTGAATCCCCGAAGAAAAGAGCAAATACCAGGAGAAGAAGATACGGTGGAAGTTCAGCAGCCTCGGAAATATGTTATTTTACTCTCCTTCCCTTCTATCCTTTGCATTAATTAAGTACCAAAGTGTCGTGGAGTCCAAGTGGAGCAGGGTTGGCATTGCCACGGCCGTGATAGGTGGCTGCAGGTGCCCATTATTTGGGCGCTGCCGATTGTTTGTCTCGGCATGGGCCATCAGGTTGAATACTACGCTACATACTGTACCAAGTCCAGCCCAGCCCAGTCCAGTCCTCGAGGACGCTCCTGGAGGAAGGTGAAAATAATAATGGCCCTGTTCAGCATTAATGCCTCGCGGGGGACGGTTTGGCTGGTCGAAGGAATTAATTAACAAAGTCCGAGCACGCAGGACAAATACATTGTGATAGTATAGTACAGTGCTTCGTCGAGTTACCAGTAGAATAACAACACTACTACGTCCGTGGTACAGAGAGTTCAGCACGAAGTACTCAGGAAGCCTCCGGATCAACGGTCTCCACTATCGCACGCACCAGTCCGGTAGCCGCTGGATGATTTATTATCTAGGTTCTTACTACTGCCCGCCAGTATCCACTACGTCGCTCACTAGACTCGACCAAGCAGAGCCACTTACTCGACGCTGCTCTCGACTGCTCCCAAGTTTATTACTTAACTCCTACCGGTGCTCTGCTACGCCTCCTCAAAAGGAATAATAACAAACCATACTCCGTAAGCTCCTAGAGTCCCGACTCCTGGGTACTTACTAGCCGGGCTATTACCCCTCGACCCAGGTACCTTGTTTGCCTCCTCCACCGCATCATCCTCCTGGTACTCGTGCTGTACTTTACTACTTGCGCTCCCCTTATCTACTCCGTACTCCGTACCAAAAGTTACTCGCTCTGCTCCTCGACTACTCGACTCGACTCAACTCAACTCAACGCTCCTCCTCCCCACTCCCATCCCTCACTTCCCATACCTCTACACTACACTTCACCCTCTACTATATCCAAGCCCTCGCACCATTGACGACGTACCCATCCGCGCCTCGACTCGTACTGCAGGAGACACTGCACTTATCGATTGTCAATCCCTCCGCGACCCTTGCAGCCAGTACGCGCCGGCCCCCCATCCAGAGCAGACGCAACGCAGCGCAACGCAACGCTTCAAAACACCAAGACTCCCCTCCCCCCCCAAGCCACGATAAGTCTAGACAGCACACCCTCCGTCCCGACGTTGCACCTGCTGGATTGGACTTCTTATTCACCCGGCCCCCGCGACTTTTTCCGCAGTGGTTCTTGATCAGCCGCGAGCATCGTGGGATCCTCGGCTTCCTTCCAAAACTACTAAGTGGGTGCGACGAGGCTGTACGACCCAATACATAGACTGCGGATAAGCCAATGCAACCCGGATCGTAAGCCGGATTCTGTGGCCTGGCACTGGACGATCTCTCAACTCATCGGTCATACTTCGCCCACCGTCTAGCATAGACTTTAATCAGTCTTGCGGATACGCACGAACGTATATACCTTTTGATCTCCAATCCCAATCCCACTCTCGCTCGAGTCGGATGTCTTTTTAAGAAGCAGTAACCTAAGACCGCGTCCTTTTCTCCTCGACCTCACACGAGATCCAACGATAAGCTCCAACCTCTCCATTAAACACCGAGAAGCCATGGCGACCGGCTTCGCAATGCCTGTGCAACAGTTCACAGCATCGCCTTCACAATATACACTCTATCACTCACAGTCGCAGACGCAGACGCAGCCACAACAAACCATCTCCCCCGTCAACTCGGCGACGACAACCCCAAATAATGCATCACCTACCTCTCCCCGAGCCACGCTCGCTTCACATCTCCCTGCGTATATTCGACAGCTTCGGCCACCGAAGTCGCCTCTATATGTACCCGCCGTCTTGCGACCTACGGATCCTCCACGGAGGGCGATGAAACCGTCTCCTCTAACCCCACCTCAGAGTATGCACGGCAGCTTCGATGATCTAGATAACGCGCGGACGATGAATAGACGATCAACTGATGACTGGGGGAACCTTGGCTTGGGTTCAATAGTTGAGTCCAACTTCAGTACGGAGGGTCTCGGAAAGGTCACGGCTCTTCCCACAAGAGAACACTGGAAGGTATGTTAGCAAGTTTCTTTCGAATATGATACGGAACGTCGTTACCACAATCTATATTTCAACAATTGAGGTTGTTGGGGGGGGCATCGAGTGCTTTAGTACTTATGTTGCCATACCTTGATGGATATTGCGTGCTGAAAATATGCTGCAATCCATGTAAACTGTTCACCGGGCCCCTCATATCGCTTGGCTGGGAAACGAGTCGCGTGTCAATCAAATTTCTCAAGTCAGCTCATATACGCACCAATTCAACTATGTTGTTCGTTGCTTGCATATTTATTACGTGTACTCGGGAATTAACGCTAATCGAACGTTCTATAGCCTGACTCCGAATCAGCGATCTGCGACGAGCCTTCCTGCACGAGATATTTTACATACTTCACTCGTCGGCACCATTGTCGACGCTGTGGTAATATTTTTTGCGACCTCCATTCGATGTCGACTATTCCTCTGGATCAAAATGCCAATTTCCATCCGAAAGGTTCCCGCAGCCGGTCTTGTCAGCACTGCTGGGAGGAGTACCGCGCCTGGCAAGTATCACGATCTAATCGTTCAAGTCGCGGAAGCTCACATGGCGAACCCCAAACACCTACCGATGCTACTGCCCCTACTACACCCACTACACCTACCACACCCACCACACCCACCGTGAACTGTCCTGGTATTGCTGGTCGAAATGCACTCAGCAGTGTATTTGGACAAAAGAACCAGGGCACTCCCGAAAGTCTGGGGGCCAGTGTCCCAAGGGATTGGAACTGGAGCACGTTTTAAGAAGTACATATACGAACCAACATACGTTATCATCTACCTTCGTTACGACGACACGGCCGACATTAGAACCCAATATCCTCGACACTTCTTCCTTCGTTGCTTGCCTGGGGTGGCTGCTTGTTTTAGGGGACAACCAGATTATCGGCGGTTGCTATACCCTCTGCTGTCTGGTAATATTGTTATACCCCAGAGACCGTTTCGATTTCTGTTTCCATATTAGCGTTACGAGCCCTCGAGCTTCTAGAGATGAGCTTTCGTTTTATCATGATTTAGCGGGTCATATTTTTGGAACTAGATAATGGTGGGCTTGGGAGGCGCAACTGAATTTTGGCCCATGTACGGGGGGGCATCATATGGCAGACGGTGTTAATAACTTGCAATGTGGAGTTTGCAATGCATTAGTTTTTTTGATCAATTTTTGGGCTCCATAGAGGTTTTTATCTAGTAACAGAACGGATATGAGATCATATGTCTCAGTTGCTCTACCATGTTTCAAATCACAGATTCGACTACAGTATCTTGTACCCCGTTGCATCGTTTTGTCTCGGACCCTTGCCTACGAGTACCTTGCAACTTAGTACCACTACTTCGTATTTTACGGATAGTTGGTTGTGAAACTTGACTTACAGATCACCGGATTTCCCAATCAAGCTCCTCTCAACTGCCCCTCGTATCAAAAATCAGTAAACACCAAGCACCACGCCGCACCACATGACAAACACTTTCCTAGCCAGCCCAATACCATTCTCCTTCCGCCCACTGATTTTTCTAGATGATGAGCGGATGTAATTTCTGATTTGCTTTTCGCGTTTAGAAATATTAGGATCTTTACGTACCTTAGTGAGGGAATGGACATCTATTAGAACAATCTCGGTTATACCACTCCTACGATAGCACTGCCCTGTGCTGCGCATATAAAAGCAGCTACATCCCACGTTCTCTTTATTCAATAAAGAACTCTTATATTGATCTCACAGCTCTAAGTCCAAAGTCAATTACATTGGCTAACAGTATACCTATTCCTTAGGTTGCCATCCCTACTCAAAAATCGGTAAAAGAAAATGTCCACTACAGAAAACATCCACATAGTCCTAAACGGACCCAAAGACTGGGACGAATGGTACGGGATGATCGTGAGATTTGCCAAAAGCCGCAACATCTTCCCCAACATCGATATAACTATCCCACCAGAAGACCACCCCGAACTAGAAGAACCAGCCATGCCACAACCCCGCCACTTCCGTGCTCCAGACACGCCCAACACCCAAGGAACCACAGACACCCTACAATCAGAAAACGCCTACCAATACGACCTCTGTCTCCTCTCCCCTCCAGAACTAAAATCCTTTAAAATGGCCTGGAAGATGTGGGAGTACAGAATGACCGAATTCCACGAGAAGCAGAGGGCTTTACATAGCTTGGGTATGGAAATGCGAGCTTCTATAAAGAATTTTTTGAGGCTGTTTTATGCGCCGAAGGATGGGCCGTATGAGATATTAAGAAAATTACAACGTAATTGTGAGGCGACGGAGAGGGAGAGGAGGGATATTGCGGTGAGAGATGAGGAGATCTTAGAGCGGGGTTTGAGGGCGGCGGGGTTGCATGTGGTGAGGGATAGGATTAATCGACGGCCGCTTTATTCGGAAAAGTATTCGGAAAAGTAATCTCGCAGTGCCGGCAGAGGCTTTATAATGAAGGACTTTGTTTCTCGGTCGTTCACAGTGGTGGGAAGGAAAGTTGTATTACAGCTAGCTATTCACCGTATAGGGCATGAAGGGAAAAGAAAGATATAAAGACAGGGCTGGCGTGGGAGGTGATAAAAGGTAGAGGGAGAAAATTAAGGAACATCTCTAGGCCTAACACAATACCAAGTTCATGCCAAAGCTAAGTGGTATTGACTTTAACCCCAAGATATATAAATACCGCTCCATCTGATGATTTCCATCACGGGCTCAGGTATTATCCCAAACGCCTCATCCCTATCTATAACTTAACTTAGAAATGGAAGAACATAATACAGCTCGAAGCGTCATCTCATAACCGGAGGTCTCCCCTCCTTATTCCACTTAACCCTCGTCCTAACCCACTCCACCGCCTCCTTGACACCCGTCCCCGTCAACGCACTCACGGGCAAGGCTCTCGAATCCCTAATAGCGGCCCCCTTCTCGCCCTCGAAAACCTTCTTCACCAAACCCTCCTTGATCTTAACCACTTCCACACAATCCTCGCGATCCTGCTTATTGGCCAACACCAGCAACGGCACACCCTCCGTCTCTGAATGTTGCAATACATCCTCCAGCACTAATCTACACTCCTCCAACCTGTCCGATGCATCATTCTCCAGATCCCCGTCCCCGATATCCGTGCTGTCGATCACGAAGATAATTGCGTGGCACGAGCTGTAATAGCTCTGCCAGAGCTTGCGCAGACTGTGCTGGCCCCCGACATCCCAGATCTTGAGGTACATATCCGGCAGCGTTATCGTTGAGACATTTTGACCGACTGTTGGGACGGTCTTGAGCTTCGGCGTGGGGTTCGTGGGGAGGTAGAGCGACTTGACTTGCTCATGGAAGGTTGTCTTGCCGGCATTGTCGAGGCCGAGAAGGAGAACGGAATACTCTATTCAATCGGATTAGCAAATTGGATAGAATAGAAGACTAGGAAGGGAGAGTTTAGGTATACCTTCTTTGCTTGTCGCATAGAGGTATAATCCCTTGGCAAGGTGATACATGGTCTTGTTTATCTACCAACCACCGTGACCACCACCCTTCAAAATTTATACACTCCTCGGCTTCTGGGAGGACGGGTTTCTACAGAAGACTAACAGCCCTGGCTTCAGATACAGATCGGGCCGCATATGGAGCTAGCTTTTGCGGGTATTCCTGTCCTGTACTTGGTAGGTCCTGTGAAATTTGTGTCAAATGTACAAGTATGGCCACCCGTTGAGGCGCTGACAACTGAGAGTCTGAGACAATCAGCTTGGCCTTGCTGTGGTGCCGTGGCAAACAGCGCAAGGCTGAAGCGAATTTGGCGTGGCTTGGCTTGCACGTGACTTAAATGGTGGTATCCACAATTCCTGTCGTTCCTTCCCGGGTCCAAGCAAGGAGCATCATCCTAGCTGGACTTCAATCAAGATCCCAGGACATAACTCAAGAGGTATCGGCTTCACAGGTAGCCTATTTGAAAGCCACCTGTTGTGGGTTTTTGACTAGCTGTTGACAACTTCCTTCTTGCCTTTTAGCTCTGTTTCCAAAACTGGCTATACGGTAAAACTCACCACCAAGTGCAAACGGAGTTCAGCGAGCACAAGTAAATGCGATCATGGCTCCAGTAGAGATCCACTCGTCTCCAAGGTAGGTCATTCTCCTTCAATGTATACGGCTATTATCGCGTGGCTTTATATTTCTTTCGTTTTAGACTTTTGTATAGCAAGTACATGACTTGTATCCCTGGCCTCACTTTGACCCTGGACCTTAATCTGGCGATTGCTGATGACGTACAGCCTGATACCCGCTGCGACCGCTTCGACTCACGTATTCCTCATGGGATATCTCTCCTTCGTTGCTGTAAGAACAATATATCGATCTTATCTCGCTCTCACGCCTTCCTCTGCAACAAGGCATCGTGAGCCACTACGGCGTGGTCACATCCAGATATTCTCCGCCCTAGCACTTGCAAGCTTCGCGGTAGCATTATTCTCCGCATTTACCTTTAGCAGCTTATCGTATCGTGTATGGGCAGCCCAAAGAGGCGTAGATCTTCCCGGGAGGTTAGCAATCATTACTGAACACTTTTTTTAAGTTACATTGGAAAGTAACACATAATGCAGTCTGTTTGGAGATAAAGGAGCATTACGCGGAGGCGAACATCCAGGGAGACTTCATCTAATCCGATGGCTCAACGATACTTCATTCTATCAAGATGTACTTGAAATTATCTCAGAGAAGTACAGGTATTTCTGGTGGGGCCAGCAAATCAACCTTGGCCTAGTCCCCTGGAGCATATTCTTGGCCATTGAGGGCAGAAGACGGAACATCTCAAATCTATGGGCGTTCTTGGCCCTCTCCCAGCTGGCCAATCTATCATACGCTCAGAATCTCTTCTTTCTCGCCATTCTACTTACTCCAGTTCCGCTTCCTGAAAATGTCAGGGATATGACGAGAGATTCTATCCCGGCCACATCAAGCAGGTCAGGTGATGAAGCCCTCGATGTTAGTTCAATTGAGCTGACTATTATTTATCAGATACTCACAACTTGTGGGGAAGATCATTCCCACCAAACCCGAAGGATTTGTTCCAAAGCCAGCGCCTTATATCGCACTTCTTCTCGCCAACTTCGCCTGCATCTTTCTCATTCCATTCGCCTCAAATACCACTTCGTTCATGACTATATCTTATCTTTCCCGGGCTCTACCATTCTCATTCTTAGCTCTACCATATATAATCCCGACAAGATGGGGATCTATTCATACCCATCCACACTCCGCCCACAACACCTACACCACTCTCTTCCAAACCATCTCCATATTTTCCACCATCCTACACCTCAAAGCCACAGCGGTGGCTCTCTTCTCCAACGCCCCAGCAAGCTATTCTTACCGGCATATTCTCCTCCATCCCTTTGAAAAGGAACACCATCCTGCGCTAGACCGCGCTTCTACGGCCGTAAGTCGCCTCCTGGGTGCCATTGGCGAACACCCCGCAGTCAGTGCCGCTGGATGGGATGTTCTCCTCTCTGGCATAAGCCTCGGAATATGGGCTGGCATCCGTGGACTTGATGTAAGGGAAATGCTACGGTCAAGCGCACCCTCCAGGGCCTCTACGAAGAAATTAATCGAAGATGCTGCTCCTACAGCTATATCTGTGAAAGAAGACGCAGGAGAATTTATAAAAGCGTGAGCTCTGGCCCCCTAACTCCTGCTAGTATAATACTAATAACCACCCAGAATCGACCCTTCCAGATCCCTTCGTCGTTCCGGCCGTGCTAAGAAAAATAGTGCTTCGCCTGACGCTGATGAAAGTAGCTCTTCCGCCTCCCGTCTAAGGCGACGGGGACAGTTGATAGCGAAGGAGCTTCCTAAGATACCTAGCATCGATGTTAATGATGCGCCATACCACCCGATAGAAGGCGATCGGCTAGAGGAAGGAGATGAATGTGTAGAGGGAGACTGGGAGGCTGCTGCATTAGCATGGGGAATTATCTCGACTGGCGGCTTGGGGGTTGGCAGTGCTGGTGTATACGGCGCAGAGGTTAGAGCGCGATGAACAGTTGAAAATGCTGGGTGAAAGCTGGGAGGCAGGATGAATTATGATAGGGCGCGGCACGGAGTTTATGGTTATTTTCTAGGCTGGTTTGGTTTTGGGTTGGGATATTGGTATCGGTAAAGCAATGGGTGATATATGAGGGTGGGCTTATGGGACAGCATACGATGAGATGACACAACTTATTATTATCCCAAGGGAATAATATAAACCTTAACAAAATGACTCGGATATATGTGTCCCTGTACTACCCATGCCATCATTCTATTATAAACTCCTATCCTACCGTATCCCAACGACAATACCGAGAAACAACGCATACCCCTTAATCTCGAAGGTAAACCCTTGCCTAACAGCCTGCTCTATCTGAAAACTATACGCCAGTATCCACCCAACGCCTGTAGAAATTAGAGCCAGCAAACAACGAAAGGGACATTTAAAAGAAAATTATCTACAATCAAGCTCCTACACACTTGACTCGCTTCTGTTCTTCATGCCAGGAATCATCATGCAGTAAATAGACGGCACCAAATTTACCTTTGCCATAACCTTTTTAAGTTAACCATTGTGATCGACTAATTATTTCTACCATTAGCATTACATTCATACCAAGGGATGACAGGGTTATATACCAGTATACACATTGTGGTGCGAGACCGTTCGCGGCTCGATGAGCACTCCAGGTGTCAAAGCAATCCCTGCATACATTTTGACCGCAGCGACTACGGCACCATACAGTATCTTCAGGATCAGTGAGTTCCAAATAGCATACAGGGCAGGGCTGTGTGAGAGGTCGGCGCTGTACTGGACTCCTAGGGTTTGGGGAAGGTCGGCCAGGCGAGGGTGGGACTGCCTGCGCCCATGCGAGAACTCTCGGAGATGCAGGTGGAGATGGGGCAGAAAGAGACATGGCGTCCCAAGAGTCGGGGGTATTGGCTGCGGCTGGAGCTGCTTGTTCCGAGTCTGACGAAATAGACAGTGACCCAGGTGGGACGGCAAGCGGGCTTTGGGGAGGCGAAATGTATAGTTGTGCTGGGTCAACCACTCCTGGGAAGGGGGGACCTGACTCTACACTGGGATTTTGTGATCTTCTGTCCCTAGAGCTTTGATTAGAAGAGCTAGTGCTCGATACGGAGGGGGTGGCCGATCCCGTATGGGACCTGCGACTGGCTCTCGAAGGGGTCGAATTTTGACGGAAACTAGCACCATCGTTGTTGATATCTACAGTCAGGTTGCCGGCCCCTTGTCCGGGAGGGCTTGGGGTAAGAGAGATGGTAGCATTTAGGACTAGAGGTTCACCGTGGAACCGTTGTACAATAGTTGTAGAAGATCGATCATGTCCTCCGGACGACATCGTGACTTTGATGCGGATCTGACCTGAATCCATTTGTGGACCCATGACGGGTGTTTCCGGTGGAGTCTGAGAATGGTTTGAAGACGATGATGATGATGACGATGATGATGCTGTAGCTGGAAGCTGGGCTGGACTAGGACGGGTTGCATTTCTCATTGACTGAGAAGCGGGGGCAGGCACTGTGTCGGACTGAACTTCATTTGGATCAGTTGCTGGTGACTGTGGGGCCCTGTGAGGAGGCGTGGATGGTGGAGGTAACGTGGATCTTCGAGGAGGTCGAGGTGGTGTGGATACTTGAGGAGAGCTTGGTGGTGAAGACCGACGAAGAGGCGCCGATGTCCTCGATAGCAGTGGAGATGTTGCTGGTATCGATACTTGACGAGTAGCCAGTATTCGAGATCGTTGAGACGGCGAGGGTGATATGGACCGTTGAGCAGGTCGTGGCATTATTGGTTCTACTTGAGTAGATCTGACGGCTTGAGAAGAGGCTAAGCTGGATGGTTGATGAGAGGATGCTCTTGGAGCGGGTCGGGAAGAGCGGGAAGTTCGTTCGTTGGCCCTTCTAGTATCATCCAAGTCTTGGATAATCATAAGCCACCTATTGGCAACCCTATCTATTTGGGATAGGCGTCCAAATCGATGCCAACGAGGGCAGAGCGTGAGTTCCGCAAGCCGTGTTAGAATAGGAAGTAACCTAGTGGGATGTTCCGGGCGATATATACGTTGAGAAAGTGTCTCCAACACATCTTCTGCTTCCCGGAGATCACGGCGTGCAATGAAGGACTGCCGACATCGAACCCCTTTCTGTGTAGTCCCAACGCAGGTAAACTCTCCTTCACCAGGGTAGACATCGAGGAGGGACTCCGGATCGGGGATAGCTGTCATGGCGATTCAATGATAAGTAACTTCCCTAGTGATATTAAAGCTAGCAATATGGAGGAGAACTCGTAGGAATACTTGTGATCAACGTACGAATCGTTATAAGATAAAATGGTAGTTATATTTATCCAAATGGCGACCACCGCGACTATTTAGAAAACCTCACCTTAAGCATATACCGGTTCAGGGGCAGCCAGTTGGCGGCCACCTGGCCTCGTGATCAAGTATAATTGAGAAGGCTTCATATAGCCACCAACAGTTGTAAGTTGCCTACGCAAATGAGAGAGGCTCGCCATACACCATCAGAGGTGGCAATGCAGCTTCTACATAGCAGACAGCCTAGTACCCATGGTGAAGATACCATTTCCGGTCACCGATATGTGGCTCGCGAGCCAATCCCATGCCAGTGCAGAGGCGCAGCAGTACGCCCTACCGGAGCCTTTACATGTTGTGTTTGAGTACCGGAAGTTCCGCGGCACCACTTCCCTTAATGAGGACCTGGAAACCAAGAATTAAAGCAATGCTAGCTCAGCCACATCCGACAAGGGACAAGGCAGGCTGTATCTAATGACGACTTGGAAAATCAAGAATAACGCAACGATTTTGTTTGAGTATCGTGGGCCTTCTCCAAATCCCGAGTGGCCATGAAACATTCTGTGCACGAGGACTCGCCTGGGGCCGAGCCGACGAGACCCGGTCCCGTGCCGGCCTCGATGAAGGCCGAGGGCTTTTTCTCTAGGCCGAAAAGGATGGTTGCGAATGGCTAAGAACAACTTAAAAGACGAGTTCTGAAACTTTCCCAACTTAGACCTATGCTTCAAACCTTTAGTGACTGACTGAAGGTGTGGTGTCTCCTCCCTGGAGGTTGAGGTTCGCTTAGGGGTATTGTGACACCTCAAACGCCTTCTACATGGCGTTATAGACAATTAAAAGGATAAGCTCGCGTTGAAATAAATAATATCAAACTCGACGAATCTTCCGTACAAATAGTGTGTGGCTTAAGTTGGTGGTAGAAGGAAATTCAAGTTTCGGGGTGAGGAGAGGTTTCCCGCCAGCGATATATCTGTCCACTTGTGACAAAAAATTCCTTGCCATGTACTTTACACGGGTCTCGGAAAAGACCTTGAGATCGCGATTCAATCCATTATATGCTTGGAAGGCTAGGAACTAACCATAGATCCATACAAAGACTAAATGTAGACGTTAAAATTGGTGCGACCGTGAACCCTTGCCTAGAAGGGAACACCGAGAGTTTTCGAGCCCTACTATCGTAATCCAGTAGTCTCGATGCATTTCCCGCGAATCTCATCAATGTTTCAGCTTCCAATTCTGGCTCATACAGGACGAGAGCAGCTGTGATGTTGGGGATGGGCGATGTCGAGATCGGGGCGGAACGAACATTTTGTTAGTGGCTGCCAACTGGGCTGGCAGCTCGCTTGCATCTCCACAACACCCAACGTCACGTTTTCTGTGATCGCGCTTCTGGGACTCAAGCCTTATTTCATAAACACAGTGGCTGGTGAAGGATACATCTACAAAAAATGCGGCTCGGTATGTATTGGTATCTAGAAAGAAACCTCTGGCTGCGGGCGAGGTGGAACCAAGTGAGGGAAAGAAGCTTCGATGAAGGGCTGGAAAGTCTTCCGAGGGACTTATGCCAGCGTGCTAATGATGATGCTGGAGTTAGAGAATAGGAGCTTCCAACTCGTCTTCGTAGACCTTCGGGTACGGAATATCACGTAGTGCAGCACTTCAAGGCTTCTTGCTGAGGACATTATAAATATTAATATTAATTTGTGCCTTGTTTATCTGACCTTCGGGAAAGCAAGTGCAGTACATCATCCGCTATACTTGAAAAGCGTCACGTAGTTCCATCTCGGGGATCCCTTTGCTGACCCGTATCTTCTAGATCATTCACAATACACACGCCAATATTGTCAACCTGATCGACTTAGTATCACAGCTCTAGCATAGCCCCTGGGGTGTAGTGGTACCCATCCTCTTTCCTTCAAAGCCGCCCTTTCTCCGCCCTCGTTCCTCTCATACTCGACATCTGAAGGAGCAAATCTATACCACACTGACTGAGCACACTGCTAAGCCCGCACGTCTTCCTCCTCGGCATCCTGTTCTGGTATCAAGCGTTCCTGGCACCAATCCTTGTCACCATCATTGAAATAGTCAGAAAAATGGCCCCCTCATCCTTTCTCCTATTCCCTCGCTTGAATCCCCCCCCCTCGCCTAGGCCTTTTTATGACGAAGCTGATCCCAATCCTTGTTGTAAAATCAGCACGTTCCTGGGTTTAGATATGAGGCAGAAAATTAGACCAGTCGACAGACTTGTAAACATCGGGAGGCTGCGCTCGGAAAGCGATCAAATCTTCCAGTAGAATATAGGCTCTTGCAAGGCTATATAGAGCGCCGCATACTAAAAACGGAATAAGAACAACCAATGGTATAGTCATTGCCGGGTTATGGTTCGCAGAGTTGTTCGGAAGCCACTGTGTGAAAAGCTTCCACTTCCTCAAGAACCTTTCGCTAAGGTTCTTCCGTGATGATTCCTTTGTACTATGATTCATGTCGCCAAGTTTCATTTGTGTAAATTTGTCGCAGGCTTGCTGTTTTAGGCTAGGGAAGAAGTTGAGAAGTATTTCGTGATAAACTTCGCCAATCGTGATCGTGCTGATCAGGATAATTGAAGAGACACGCCACATGTAGCACTCAATTAACGACGGGAAATAAAAATTCCATGCGACGAAGTTGACTCCCCATGAGAAAATGCCTGCCACGATAGCTATAGCTGTGCCCCGGTAGGAAATGGCTGGAAAGTTATCATCGGCCCGTCTTTTAATAGGCTTCGTTTGTCCCGTTGGCACCAGGCGTAGCGCGCGAAGTATGCTAGGGAGTATCGCCACGCGACTGCGAAGTATGTTCTCTCTGGATCAAGAAAGTCGAGTGGAGTGTCGTTCCAAACGTATGAATGATCGAGACCTGCATTTGTGTGTATATCTACCACTGTTGCATTGATGACAAGAGATTGTGGGCATGAGATGTCGGCAGGTTTGTAAAACCAAAGATTGACACTCCGATCGTTGTTACTGCAAATCCAATTGTCGTAAGCTCTAATGTTGTGATCGCGAGTCGTTGACACGCACGACCTATGCAGCTAACGAGGAACCAGAGTATTTGCCCCACGGTGATCACCCGAACAAGTACGCTTTGCTTGTTTCTATCGTCAATGCTGGTGTCTGGTATAAGAATTTTTTTGTCATGGACTATGTGCTCCGTAATGAATCCACGCTGTATCATGTAATAAAGTTGCCTTGCATTAAGTGGCCAAGATACTCCATCGCTGGTTCGCACCGTGAGGCCACCCATATCAGCAAAAAAAGCGTATCTCATCGTCCATTCAGTGTATCCGCCATTTCGAAATTCCCGACAGGACTGGCGTGCAGACTCCCACTGCCCTATAGCCAGGTACAGGAGAAAATCTGGTCCAATAATGCAAAGCAACGCTGCCTTGCACTTCCGGAGTATTTGGAGGACAGGGCTTTCTTCAAGTGGACTAATATTAACACATAGAACAGACCAAATGCAGAGAAAGATAGTAGTGAGACAAGAGTAAATAATATCTATGGTGCCACGACCGCTAGGAGAGTTTACCCAGCCTTGTGGTGTAACTATACAAGTCAGCTCTCGCTCTTCCCGTAAAACTCAGCCCCCCTTCTACCATCTCGTGCCACTATTCCCGTCCAATGCTAACTCGAAATACCTCAGCCGTATATAGGTCGCATCCAGTGCCAGGATTCATGGCCGCTACAAGGTCATAGAACCCGCCTGATCCAAGCTATATACCGGGGCATACCTATCCTCGGCCACTGCCTCCGCATCGATGCGCACCGCGATATCCGTGCTTCTTTTGTAGGGAACAGGGCATAGTGGTAAAGTGGCAGAATAGGCCCAGCATTATTATAAGCGTGAACATTTTCTGGGTGGTGAGGGCCATCACACAGCCCGTATATCGAGGTCACGGTCGAGCAAGCGTCGGATTTCTCTGATGGCGTGTCCGTTGTTGAGCCTTTTGCTGCTTCTGGTTTTCCCACGATGGTCCAAATATTTAACCTATCTAATCGTGTTTCTTCAAAGCCACTTGGACCCCATTTAGCACCAGAGACCCGGTCGGGTATATTTCTTCAGGCGGAGCGAGGTCAGTGACCTCCAGAGCACTCTCTACATCTGAGAGCCAAAGCTGAATCGATTCTTCCCCTGCAACACCACCCTTATATAAAAGGGCCAGCGTGACGGCGTTTCTATCACGCAATTGTCCCGCGTCTGACCATTCTTCCAACGTCTTCGGATGATCGGGGGAGTGGACGAAAGCCACAGCAGTAAGTATCCTGTCGATATCAACAGACGCGATCTGAGGATGTCTCATACAGGAATTGGAAAACAGTATAAAACAACAACAGCATGTAGCTACCGTATGTTGAGGGCGCTTTGATCTGTTGCGAAGCTTGGTGAAAAGTTTCCTCGCCGAGGAAAGCTTGATGGAGGCCTGCAGCTTATCTCCAACCTTTTCCTTAGCGGTTTTGAGAGCTTGGCCGGTGCCGGACTGTTTGAATTTGGTTGCAAGCTGAGGGGCCATGTTGAGCGAATATCCCAGGAGTAAGTTTTAGATGTAAGTGCGAGGATTTAAAGGGGTGACGAGTTGTGGTGTGGTGAGAAATGTGTAGTAGTTTAGAGGCAGGATTATTGAGTACCTCAATTGGACCAGTAATGGAAGGAATTGAACTGTAAAGCTCCTGAGGTTTTGATATAGGCGAGAGAAGTATGTAGAGATGAAGAGAAGAAGTCGGCAAGAGCTGATGAGACGCAACCTTATACTTCTCCGGTCCCCCTCCGACGGCAAAACCGTAAATATGACGTTCACAAGATCTCACGATAACTAGTTCTTGCTCTCGTTACCGCGACTTTGGACTGTTAGGGCAGGTCTAATCCACACCAGGGCCGCACTTGCTCGTTTTAACCTTTACCCCTCCGGGTATAAAAAGAAGGGTTCGCCCTCCAAACCCTAGGGTCCTATCTAGCATTTGGAGCGGGAACTACCGCTTTAGTTCCTTATAAGAGCCACTCGCATAGTTACTTCACGGTGTTGACTGTGCACACTGGCATCGACTCGAGGATAGTGAATAGAGCTCGCGGTGCAAATTTCCACAATTGACCCATAGAAACGCTAGGTGCTTTCTTGCATTTATGCATAATTATTCTGAGTTCTGCTAGTAAGGGAGCAAGAAAGGATTTGACAGGATTGTTACCTTTTGAGTCAAAATTAGGCATTATATACGGGGCCAAAATAACTATATCAAATTTCCAAACGTAGCAACTCGTTCAACAGAAGGGGATTCCATTGCGCCGCAATCTTTACATCAAGTAGGATAGTAAAATCTAAAATATTTGAAGTAGAAAGGAGAAGATGTTCTAGGAAGTAATAGCGCGAGTAAATTGCATTCGGCGATATCTCGACTTCGGATCATCTACCCCTTAACATAACAGAGGAATGAATAACCCCTGGCTCAAATATAAGGACAAATCATTCTAACAGAGAAAACCAACGGATGTATAAAATCAACTCTCAGCCTACCTAGCCAATAATAAAGTGGCATCAAGCTGGGACAAGAAGGAATGTGTATTATTGTTAGGCTGGAGAATCCTGGCTCCTAGCTGTTTAGAAATACCGCGTAGAATCTGCAAAATGAGAGTGCTAAATCATTGTCAATCAAGTCACACCTCTAGTCAACTAATATCTTAGCTTCGAGCTCCGAGAAATGCTCGAAGAACGACTCAAACAACCTTACACCATGCTCAACATCGTACGCCCCTCCGCATTCCCGTATACTATGCATAGCCAGTTGAGGATTACCCAAATCCAAAGTCCTTGTGCCCAAAGCCGCAGAGAGCATGGGTCCGATGGTGCTGCCGCACGGAGAGTCATTGCGGACAACGAAGAGTTGAAGTGGCACCCCGCTAGATGTTGTAGAATCCTGGCTTGGGTTGGCCCGACGAGCAACTTCCTGTAGCAGGACAATGCCAGGAGAGTTTGTTGCATATCGCTGGTTTGCGTTGACCTTGATGACTGTTCCCTGGTTCATCTCCGGGCGATGGTCAGCCTCGTATTTTTGAGTGTAGTTCGGATTGATGGAATGGGCCATATCAGCAGAGATAAGAAACGAAGTTGCAAGACTTTGTTCATAAGCAGTGGATATGTCGACTTCGTCGTCCTTGGAGATCTTCTCGTAGGATTTATCCGAGCCAGAGCTTTGGTGTGAAGGAAGCACAGCGAGTCTTCGAAGGACAGCCGGTAGTAAATTCGACGCGGCGCCGTGTGCTGATGTGCTGCCGATTTCTTCGTGGTCAAAACAGGTTACGAGACGAATAGAGGATTCATCGTCGAGGGCTTCAGGCGATGATAGAGATTCGATGAGGCCTTCCACAGCGCAATATGTCATTCCCAAATTGTCCAGACGAGCGGAGAAGATTAGCTCGTTATTGATTCCCCCAAGACAAGCTTTCTGCGTGTCATATAGAACCATTTCAAAATCAACAACATCCTCAACGTCCACCCCAGCATGCTCTGCAATTATTTCAACAACATATGGGTGATGCCGATCCGAGAGGACCTTGAGCGGTCGAAATGATTCATCATTCCCTTCTGTCTCTTGATCAGCCGCAGGTTTTCCCCCCGTCCGGTTGACCTCAGCTGCCACGAGCCCGGCAATCGGGAACAATTCCGTCTCCTTATTAGGTTCGAAGTTCGCGGCACGATGAAGATGGATCGCCAACGTCGGGATGCGCAGGATGGGCCGGTCGACTTTCACAAGCTTCTGGATATAATTCCCATTGCCATCCTTAACCATCGCTCTTCCAGCAATACTGAGATCACGATCGAACCATGTATGCCAGATCCCTCCGCCATATGTCTCCACCCCAATCTGCATGAACCCAGCTCCCGTCTTCTTGCTCACGGGCTTAAGTCGCAGGCAGGGCGAATCTGTATGTGCGCCAATCATGGCAATTGGATTTCCCGGCTTCCATTTCTTGCCAATACCAAAGGCGACGATCGAAGAGCCGTTTCTTGTTAGGTAGTATTTGCCGCCAGGCACCAGTGTTGACGACCAGCTATCGCGCTCTTTGATCTCCTCGAAGCCGGCTGCTGATAGTCGCTGTATGGCCGAATGAACAGCATGGTAAGCTGGAGAGAACTGTCAGATAACGATAGCACGTTGGAAGCTTGGATGAAGACATACGGGTTGGGGAAGCGTTGACGAAATCGATGAAGTCGGGAGCTTTCGCAGCGGTGGCGGAGATTCCTGTGGTCTTCATTCTTGCTGGTGCGGTACTTGAATATGATCGTGGAAATGTTCTAAATGTTTTGGTGCAGGTAAAGCGAAGAAATAACACCGTCTTTGGTAGCATTTAGAGCTTCTGCTGATGTGTTGTCAGGGAGTATTTAGCTTCCTGTGGTGGCCGTGGGAAGGCGGGGGCGACGCCCGAGAGTCACAAGGCTGAAGCATACAGCTTCCACAAACCACAAACATACCAGCATCCAAGCCAATGGACGCCCGACGACGTTGTACGAATTCGCCCCTTCCGACTTATTTCATGCCGATCATCAATCCTCGTTGTGCTCGTACCTCTTATGGCCAAGGCGACAGAGAAATTCTACAGTGTATCACGAAGTATCGGTTGCCATAGGTGAACTAGTTTATGATCAAGCACTTCCATTATAAAGATAAGAGAGACTCATATCAAATAATCCACCTCCCTGGCATTGATCCATCCTCCATCCTACAATGCATCCCCCATGTAAGGCCTTTATCGACCACACTGTACAAACATACCTAGGTACATCGTCCTATCTATCCTAGGACCGTTCCTTATGTACCACACCCACCCCCTATTCATACCGTATCCCGATCCTCCTGTGCCGCCTGTCTCTATATCCGCCCGTAGAATTTTCCGTTTTTCCAAGCCGGGATCCAACCCAAGTATGCCAACACCTGTGTAAAAGAAATGCATCATGAATGATGGCAAGAATGATAGTACAGCCCTTCCCTTCTAATGCCGCAAATTGCAAGCTTTTCCATGCTGTCCAGAATCCAAAAATAAAGCACACAAACAAAAGAAATTCCGTAGTGTCGTACCAAGTCATTGAAGTTTAAAAAAACACCATCCCACCATTTTGAATCCTTATACAACACCGTCTGCCCCCTAAAAGGAGCCTTCCCAATGCGCCATTAAATCCATATTTCCGTTCGCATTCTTGCATTCTCAAATTTGAGGGAACAACATATAGCTCCCCCTCTTCTTGCCTCCGACCATATTCGCGGCCGAAGCAGACGTTCCAGCTCTTGGTCGCGTCTTGAATTCCCTTACAGTCTGGCTCACTATGGGAGCCGATATCTTCCTGCCATGAGCTTGTCCTCCGATTACCTGCTCTTGAGGGAAGGCAGGAAATAACTCTGCGACCGAACTCAGAGGCCCGATCTCATCTGCCACTTCCGCCGCAACTGGAAGAGCTGCGGGCGCGAAATGGTTAACACCCTTTCGAATCTTCATATCTAGCATCAGCAAATTGTTATGCTGGTGCTGAAGTGACGTTGTGGGGTCACTCTGTATCACCATATCTTCTGCGGGGTTCAATGTTGCGAGATTTGCACCCACTTCCTCGCTTTTTGGAATATTTACGGGCTTCCGGATAATTGATGGAATTAGCTCAGGAAGCGAAGAGGCAGACCCAATACTCCGGTGTGCGTGGTTGATACTAGCAGCACGAGATAGCAATCCCATTGAATCTTGGCTCCCTCTGGAGTTGGTCGCAGAGGTGCGTGTAGAGTCATGGGAGAGGTTTGACGATCGGTATGAAACAATGCTGGAGGAGCTCTCATCGACCGGTGAGATACAAGTGTTGTAAGACACTCGCTCAAATATAGTTGCAGAGATTGATTGATTGTTGCTAAAATGGTCGTCATAAGCAGCATCTTGTTCCATTTGAGACTGAAAGTCAGCTGGTATGAGCAGCGTGGGCGAGAGGTGGAAACCATGAGACTCCTTGAAAGACGATGCGTGCGAGGTAGAGCGACCGTGGTTGGGTCGATTGAGGTGGATTTGCGGTGTACGCGGGTCCGGCGAAACCGCAGAGTTGTTGGACATAGGAGACAGCTCTGGGACATCATATGTAGAAGGGATAAGCAAGGATGGTCGGAAGCGTCCTTGGTAGATTGAGCGGTCATCCTCTTCAACGGGCAGTTCAAGTTGCGGTTCCACACGGGCTGATTCCATGCCTGTTGACGGGCTCTGTTCAGGCGCTCTTTCTTCTTCTCCAGAGCATCGGCCCCATTGATAATCACAGTCGGCCTCAATCTCATGCTCGTAGCAGTAGTCAATGTCCTTCTCCCACGAATCATCATCATCATCTCCAAAACGGAAACCAGGCGATAGGGGTGGTCTCCCTTGAGAAGATTCACCTTCCAATGGGGCAAGGCCCAAGATTGCTGATACGCGGTTTCCTGAGTGACCGTGGGCCTCGTAAGATAGTCGTAGGGAAGGGACTGATTTAGATTGTCTCAATTCAGAGTTAGCGATAGATATCCGAGATCTTCTTGATCCTACTTCCTCCTCTTCTTGGACATCGGCAAGCTCAAACCCAAAGTTTCCGGATGGCGAGGCCGTCAAAGGCCAAGCCTCGTCGCCTGGGGTTGTCAAGGCATGTGAAGCCTGATCGTCTGGGAAATATTCCATCTGCTGCTCACTGAATAGCAAAGGCGCCGGCGACGGTCTCGGAGGAGCAAAGGGCGCAGGACGCCTGAAGCTTGGGTTGCGGTGAGCCCGCTCAACGTTCGGTTTAGCCAGAGGGTCGAACGCATCAAATAGAATTGATGAGATCCGAGTGGATGCCCGAGATGAGGTTCTCACGGGCAGTTCCAGAGGGCAGGTGGGCGAGAGAGGAGAACGAGGAGGTCGAGGAGGAGGGTTTCCTAGGTTATCATGTGATTTTGCGTATGACATTGAACGTTGAGCTCGAGGCGGCTGCACAGACTTGCGCAAAACACCCCGTTGGCGTTGTTCAATGGGAGGCACGGGTGAGTACTCTACCTCAGGCGAAGGAGCACTTAGCGCTTCGGAAGAAAAGTTGTTGAAGTGTAGGTCTTGTGCTCTGATACCTTTCAGCTCGCCACTTGTAGGTGCTTGAGACGCTCGTAGGGTAGAAAACTCCGAGACCAATTCCGTGGGGTTGGAGCGTTGTAAGCTAGGTAGCTGATCTTGAGCTGTGTGTGTGACGTGCTGGAAGTTGTACGGCCCTGATATAAGGTGTCGTCTCTGTGATTCCGGCCCCAGCGAAACAGAACCGACAGACATTCCCTTCCGCGAACTGTGCCCTTTGCCATAATAACGATCCTTCGCTGATCCTTCTTCCAAGATACCTTCGCCAAGTGCAAGGGATGACGAAGAATTGTTCCTCCTCGACTTCCTTCCACCTCGAGAGAATATCGATCCGAATATCTGAGCACTTTCAGGTCTTTCTGAGCGTGTGGACGGCATACTGCTCGCATTTGACCTGCTAGAAGACTTTCGCGATAAAGTCAAGCCATCACTAGAAACGGACGTTAAATCGCGGGAGACAAATGAAGACGATGCAGATGAGGAAGATAATGTCTCAGTTCTTGAATTGTTGCCGAAGATTGAGCTTCTCTTCATCTGCTCTGTGTAGGCGCGAATGCGTTCCGAGGAGGGCGGGCCATCGATCGCAGGCTCAAGAGAGTCCGGTGCCGATGATGTTTCGGTGTTGGCTACACTCGAGAGAATATCCTTCTTGGAAGACTTCTTAGTTGACGCACTTTGAGTCGGAGATGAAGTAAAGCTGAACATTGTGGAATCCAGGCCCGTGGTCCTCTCAGCACAACAAGAGAGGGGTTGGTAAGCAGCGTATACCTGACAAGTTATACGGCGCGCAGGGGAAACCCAACAACATATATTAACACCTTTCGGGGGAAAATTATGTATTGCGGGATTGTCGCGTGCCGGCTCAACGCGTCGGTAGGCTAATATCACACACGCCGCAGCCACGAGAGTGCCCTCTGTAAATGCTGTTCTTGTAGGTTATAAGAATACACTTAAGAGTGGTTTCCAGACAAGGCACCCGACGACATAAAGGGAGGCTGATATCGTTCTCTTCCGTCTAGAAGGGCGCTCGGCTAGAATATTCGGATTAGTTTCTGCATATAATGATTGTATTATATGGCCGATCATGCCTCGGATCACAGAGGACTTCCCCGTGAAACGGTGAGATAGCCCCCAAGATCGGACGGCTGACAAGTTCGCCGTACGGGTCTCCGTCGCAAAGTCCCCATTGGGACATAACCAGAACAGCTTCGGGAAGAATATTGACGTACCAGGAGATATAGCAAGTAAGGATTGTTAATATGAGCAGAGGTGCCCACGAAGTAAAACTCAAATACGACGAGCAGGAAATGGTGCAGGTAGGTCCTACTTGGGAAAAAGCGTTGCTGATGTCTGACGGGGTTGGGCGGCGGGCCTAGAGGGATTGCTCGTGGGTGATGTTGACCATGGATGTAACGAACCTGGAGCTCGTCTGTCATGCGCCGAGGGAAACATGCAGCATTACAGAGCAAGAAGCAGCTAAGTAGAAAGGATCTCGGGCCAAGACTCCAAGTTCCCTTGAGGAGAGGAGAAGCGCAGTGTGGCTGGAATAGATGGTATTTGCAGCAAAGAAATGATGATAATATATTTCATGCTGGCAGCAAGCAGCAAGCGGCAACACAAGTTAACAACGAGGGCAACGGATTCCCAAGGGCCGCCAGGGGAAGCAGGAAGAACAGTTATGTTGTAATTGTTGCTAGGAACCCGCATTGATAGCCACATGAACTGTGCACTCTTTCTTGCTCGATGGGTCCAGGGATCCCAAAACCAGGGCCCATCAATCCCTGGGGCACTTCTCAGGGGTCGAGGAGGGTTGTCCAAGACTCCAATAATGCCCAGCCGGATCCCTGCCGCTGGAAGGAAGGCGTCGTGACGGAGATGGGGGCCCTGATTCCTGCTCGATCACCAGGGCGGTCACACAGAAAGCCCATTGCCAGAGTAGGAGTAGAGTGTCGTGAGTAGTTCCAACTTCCCTGGGCTGGCTTGCCCTTCACTCTTCCGGTGGTTGGAGGCGCACGAAGAGCACGTACATACAGCACTTCTCGCAAATCCCCCCCGGGTTCCCAGGCGACACAAGCAGGGACATCTGGTTTGCTGCGACTCACCCGCCGCGGCACCTGCCAGACGGTGGTGTCAGTCGGTGGCAGTCCTCTGGCGATAGTGGACTATTCAGGGGAGATCCAGGGACAGTTGGAACAGTGGGGACAGTGGGACGGCGGAGGAGATTTGGATGCTCGTCGAGTCGCCAGGGCCCAAGGCACGAGGAACCCAAGCAGTCTCAGCGAGCCCGGATCAGCCAGCTGTTGGAACTCAGAACTTATTCCGGGTTAGAACGTTGTGGTCACTACCAGTATCTAGTCTCTAGAAGGCCGTCGGTTTGTCGCCAGCAGGCTCCATAGGGACCCGGGAGTACGTGGTAGCTCGTGGTAGTTTGTTCCAGAGGGTGTTTAGCGGTCTCTGAAGCTCTGAAGCCTCTGAACGGCGTGGTGGTCCGGCAGACGACGCCTGATTAGGAAATCCTCAACGGCGCCCACTGGTAGGAGCTCCGTCCTCCGTTCGTCGTACGAGGAGCTCCAGTATTTCGTACCTCGTACGGAGTAGGTGCCTAGTGATTATCGTTGTTGTTGTTATTTATTATTGCTATTATTATTTACTACTCGAGTATTATTGTCAGGCCAGGCCAGAGAGTGCCGCAGTCGGCCCCCCCCACCACAAGATGGGTTATACCGGTATCATATGCATTTGCATAGATGCTGTAGCTTATGACTATGATCATCTCTGTTCAGCAAATTCATAACCAACCAACACCAATATCGCGCGTCGGCGCAATAGCGGCGTCAATATCAGTCTTCGGACACTGTCGCGCAAGCAGCCGGCTCGAGTACTGATTCCAGAACTGTACTGTGCTGCATTCGTACAAATGTACAGTACAGTACCAACACGTTGGGTTGAGATGACATCTGCGTAGCGGCTGAATGAGTACAGTACCTGCGTTGAATCTGTTGGTTGCCCTTGCTCCGGACAGCTCGTCGGCCAGTCCCCTCTTGCGGTAACACCAAGGGATCCTTTGGCCCTCGCGGGTTACCAACCCCGAATTCTCCTCGTACATCGCCATGCTACAGTGTGTTGTAGTGCGGTAGTTGGGGACTGTACTTCGTACCTCACGCTAGCTTACAGTCCTCCTCTGTTGTACGTACTATGCGTGGTATGTAAGTAGTACTCAGCAACATGTAAGGGCCCACCATGCCTTCTCTCTGACAGCACCGTGGTGGGACCCAGTATGGCTGCATTGTGACTATCCGCAGATGAGTGAAGGGCTTCTATTCGGCTCTGATCTCGTAGCGGTGTGCCCAATCTACGTCGTGATAGCTTTTGGTGCGGAACATTACTCTGTACATCGTACATCGCGGTTTCAACCTCCGACAGGCGCTGGATTTTAGCGTTAGAACCAAGCGTCCCTAATAGTCGCTCATCGTCGATCCCATTGGGCTAAAAACAGATCGCGACGCCCAAGAGATTGGCCAGGAGGGACATAATGTACGCACGAGTACAACAGCACACAAGTCGGAACTCGACTCGGGGGCCTTTGAGTCTTTGGCTCGTCGAGCATTTCTTAACGGCTAGTACTCTGTACTCCGTAAATTCGGCATATGAAGCTCGAGCAGGTGGACGCCGCTGATCACTCCGTCCTCGAAAGGTTTTTAATTTTGGCTTCCAAGCCACCACAAGCATCTCGGTGGCCGCGGGCGGCAGCACTGTACTGAGTGCGGTTTGTTCGGCGACCTCTCCACAGTTTCCAGCAGTTGAGAACTGGAGGGCCTGCTCCACCTGCTGCGGAGCGGCCCTGCAGTCGCTATCACAGTATCGCTTGTACAGTATCACAATGGACTAACTTAAAAGTCCACTCAGTGGGGAGGTTAGTTAGCCTGTCCACGACGGCGGGATGTTAGCCAAGCCCAGGGCAGCCAAACCCCCTGACCGAGCCCTGCGAAAGAAATGGAGAAATGGCGGCCGGAAGGCGTGGTGGTTGGTTATGTTTTCGTCGAAACCTTCTCCATCACCTTCGAGAACGCAAGAGGGCCGCAGCAATGGCGACCTCCCGCACAGATGGCCCCCTTCGGAGCATGACGGCTCGCGACCCTACAGGCCGCGCATTATCCACCTGCAACAGGCGCAACAACACGGGACAGTGCGAAGCGATGGCAGAATTCAGTCATGTGAGGGATAATCTGCCCTTTGTGTGTTCTTGTTTGTTCCAACTTCGAGGAGAAGGCGATAGTATTCCTATCTACGAAGTAGTGACCTAGTGTAGCTCCGCGGCGGTTTGCCCGATGGTCACCGAGACCGAGACCGAGGGACGACGATGGAAGGCTCTCCTGGGAGTCCTGCGAGTTGACCGTACCGTACGGAGTAGAGTAATAAATAAATTCATGCTTTGGGCTCTCCTTGGGCGCCGTACGTGGAGGGATCCTGACGAAACTGCTCCATTATTGGAGACGATGACGGATAGTCCCTGCCACGGTGCCATTCTCTGCTGTAGATTGCAAGGTGCCATGCCACGCCATTCCCATTCTTTCGTTCGCGCCGGTTCTTAGAGATCCGAAAGCGTAGAGGACAAGGTTCGAACGTTGCAACTTGCAAGGGCAGAATGCATCCGCGCCCCAAGCATCGTTGAATCGTTGCTCGGCGCTGATAACGTTGTAGAGATCTCCAATTCGTCGATTGAGCCGGCGTGCCTCTGTGGTACAGCAGCACGCAAGTCGTGCTCGCAAGGCCGGGCTACTCATAACGGCCAGTTATCTGTGGAGAAGGAGGACTTGATTCTGGTCTAGCAGCGGCGCGGACTTCGTAGAAAAAGTATGGGGTACGTGCTACGTGCTACGTACGGGTACGTCGTACTGGGCCATTGGGTGAAGGATTAATAGCCAGGATAGTAGATATAATTCTGATAATATCCATATTGGGATCTTCATGGAATTGACGCGGGACGCAGGCGCTGCATACTCGGGACGGCACGATCTTTGCGGTACCTGGCGAATTGTGCTTCGAGCTTCTGGCTCCCAGTCGTTCTTACGGAGCGTTTCTGGGTGGAGCCGTAAGTTGCTTTCCTTGTCAGTAATGCAGCATGGCATGATAGTGGTGATGGTAATAAGTGATATGGGCTGACTCAGTACATGTGCTCGAAAACTTCTCAGTGCAGGGTGCAGTCGTCTACAGTGGCTCACGGTGGTTCACGGTGGTTCACGGTGGCTCTGATCTGATCTTGCAGAGTCCTAGCTCATGAGGACAGGTCTCCAAAGGGCATCATCGTACTTGGTACGAAGGAAGAGTCCGTATGCATACTCGTAAGGTACTACCGTTTTCTACCAGTATATCCCTCAAGCAGTAGTACATCCTGTACGTCCGTAATCTGTTGGGAAGACCATCCATCCGGAAGCCTGTACTGTGAAGTCTCGCCGTCAGTAGTGAGACGGTCCACTGCTGCCCCACCACCTAGGTACTGAAGGCAGAACTTTCTGTTTCTAATTGTCTGGGAGGAGTTGAACATGAGGGCAATCCCCGCTTCACAGGGGACCTCGGTGCCGTGTTTGAAGGATGATAGTCGTCATTCAGTTGGAAGGCGCAGCAAGATTCTACTTCCTTTTTCTCTCCCGTTCATCTTGCCTCGGAATCTTTTGGACTTTCTCCATCTCGAGTTGCGGGGTACTCGGACAATTCGTGTTTGGCAATTGACACTTGACACTTGACACTTGACATTTGACAACTCGAATCTCAACCGTTGAGGGTGGTCGCCCACTAATGAGGGACCTTTGTTTCGTCCATACTGCTGGGAACAACGTTGTAGACGACTTGTGGGCTGGGGAAGTCGGTATCCAGCTCTAGTCAGTTTCATCAGCGATCGACAACGACAAGCCTACTTTCAAAACAGCCCGGAGCGAAAACGGAATTGCTACTGTAGTTTCCGCAAGGTGAACCTATTTCGTACAGTATTCGGTGCTCGTAAGGACTGTAGTGTATCTGACTCGCGAAATGATTATCCGGATGCCAGATGTATAGAGGTCTGCATCTACCAGCGACCGATTCAGCCATCAAAGTGCCATCGTCGCATCGCATGTGTTGGTCAAACACTGGCGTCAGGCGTGGGTTTGGTAGCCTTCGTTCAACGTGACTCCGGTGTCTATATAGTTCGATATCTTCCGAAGCCTCAGAATCCACGGTTTGAGGGCCTCGTTCACTAGAGTATCCCGATCTCGAGCAGCTTCCCGAGGATCCTCCCCTCCCGTCGTGGTCGCACCCGCATCCAGGTAATGGGGACTGGGGAAGTCGACAGGCTGGTCGAATGCTGCATGGTTAACGCGTTTCGCAAACAAGCAGCAGCGTTCTCCCGATATTGCTCGTCCCATGGTACAGCGGACCGGAGTACAGATGTTTAACCAGGCCAGGTAGACGAAAAAAGATCTCTGCATCCAGCGCATAATGCTCCTCACCCAGCCTATTGCCCCGTGAGGCCGTAACTTGGTGCGGCGTACAGCTCCTTCGGTTGCTAGACCTGAGCCAGCTCGCACAATGATCGGGACGGTGCATCTGCTTTCGGTTTATGAAACGCTGCCGGGAGAGAGTCGTATTGGGTTGCGGCCATATCGAGATGTCGAGCAATCGGGAGAATAATAAGTGTGCTGGATGTCGGATATGAAAGATCAAAGGGCAGTTCCTTCCTCAATGTCGTAGTAACTCAAGTCATGGTCACGAAGACTCGTAACCTTCTTAGCTACACAAATATCCGAAGAAATGCATTATGTGAGATCTTCTGTAAGACCTTACCTCTCACTCATTATCGTTCAATCCATCTCTGTCCGATAATTGGTAACCACAACCACAGTCTTCTCGTGTAGTGGATCAAGGTCAAATAGTTCCTTACTCGTCCCTCGGTCTTGATACTCTGCACCTGACGCAGGATCCCTTTGTCGGGTTCGTTGGGACTCACACTTCTATTTCTCGTCGCCTCGTACATACCGAATCTTGGCTTTACAGTTTTTACCAAATAATTCCATCCTGTCCTCAGTTTTCCACTAGATCCTATGCAACCTTATGTTACCCCAGTACCTGCTACGACAGAGAAGTCATCTATCAATGGCAAGAGAACATTTCCACTTAAGGCGAAAAACAATGAGCTCTCCCCCGCAGCTTTATTCATATAAGTTACCAAAGCGGCTACTTTACTGTATCAACATATCTTACTGTCTGTCCTTCTAGCTAAGATCGCCATAATGATATTTCCCACATGCTCTACGTTTGGAGCTGTAGTACCCCTCTTTATCAAGGTATAAACTCCATAGTAGGCCTTTATGTCATTCTACATATAGTACATTACAAGCTATTACTTCCTAAAATCATGATATACACAATAGTCTTGTCACATTGACAGCTTCCGTAGTCGAAGCAACTTCCCTTGAGGAGAAACTTCCAAGTGACCTCAAACACGATCGTTATGCTATCAGGCACAAGTTGCCTTTCACAAGCCTTGACTAATTCCTATTCTGTGCCTTCTATTGCTATGAAAACTAAGACCTCCCCACGCTACTTTTGTCTAGAGCCCAACCGAAGTACCATGTCTTTCTTGACTGTTCGAAGCGCCCGGGCAACATAGCATGCCAAGCCGAGATAATACTTTCTATTTCCTTTCGAACGCGAAGAACTAGAAGAGCACCTGCTTAATTCTCCACATATACACCCCATCACTTGTTATCTCTTCCCTATCCTTCCCTCACCGCTCACTGCATAATATTACATCCCATGCATTCACAAAGTAAGTCTAAAGAGGATCCGCAAGTAGTGGCTTAGGATACCATGTAGCTGGGTTGAGGCTCACCCCACCAAGCAGAAGATCGCCACGAGTTGCCCGCCAGCGTTTCAGTCAACACCATGGCTTAAGCCCGAGTCCGACGATCACCACCTGGGAAACGTGCTTGAATACGGCTGCAACATTGGAATTTGCTCGGGCCCCGGAAAGCGGCAGGAAGTTCCCTATGATGCAAAAAGAGAAGCTAAGGAAAAACAAAAAATACCCACCTAAGCCAAATCCCACTAACTCAATATCCAGCTAGTTTATTTATAGAAGAAACCCTTATCACACCAAATAATACCCTTTATTCCACCCTAGTTATTAACCCGTATCTAGCTGCCTTTTCCGGCATTCAAAACCAACCAAGCCATCATCCTCTTCAGCCCATCCTCCCCGTATCCGCGGGCAGCTACCGAGACCTTCCCGAAACACACGAAAAGCAATCTACAGCATACAAGCCAACCGACGTCATCCATATTGAAAAACACAAGCAAGAAATATAATACCCGGCAAATTTAAGAATAAAAAAGAAACTTTTCACTGCAAGGCAAACACTCCCTGTGACTTAGCAGGTATCATATAGGATCCGGCGATGCAAAATACCGACAACCTGGGATGCGGAAATAAAAGGGGCGCGACCTAGCACGGACATAAAGGGCAGTGCGTATGTTTGGAAAAACAAACATTGGAAAATCCAACGACATGGTAACGCGCATGGCATCATCATGCAACAAGCAACCAAAATAGGCAAGTTTGGTTTCCAATAATCACCGGTTTTACGGTTCTGGATTCAGTATCAAAAGGGCCCGTACCATGTAGCTATGACCACAGACAACTTTTTCGAGTGCAGATCCATCCTAAGACTTTTCATTGCTATGCCTTTTAAGGAGTATATTTTTACAAATTTATATACAAAGTGATATCCGCCAGTTCCGCAAGTAAATACCCCCATTACACCCCCACGAAAAGCAAGATCCCACTGCTGAACCCTGAGCCGGAGCTGCCTCCGGACAAGTTTGGTCACAGCGGAATGTACGTGCAACGAACTGAGACTCTAGCCGCTGACGTGGCACGGACGGGCATGATTCATGATGCTCTGTCAAAAGAAGCAAAACTCAATGCCAAACTCTATTCATCGTCGGAATCCTCGTTAGGCGCCGGCGTATCAGGCATGGGTGTATCACCATTTGCCGTAGTGGGCGAGTCTTCCTTCTCAGCCCCAGCAGTAGTGGTGACATCCGCGTCTTCATCTTCGTCGTCGGAGTCAAGCATCGTCCGTCGAGACTTGCGCTTGCTAGGAGCGGGAGCTGCTTCCTCCTCGTCGACATCCATACCAGTGGGCTCGTCATCGCCGAAGACATCATCATTCATCTCCCTTGCAGCGTCTGCAGCACCGTCGTCCGCATCGCTGTCACTCTCAACCACAATCTCGCTGCTCTTGTACTTGCTTGGTTTGTCTTGCCCCTTTTTGGCCAATCTTCTCTTCTTCTTTGGCTTTTCCTCGTCGCTGTCCCCTCCACTTCTATTCCCACGACCGCGTCGTTTTGGCTCAGCCCCACTGTCCTCATCATCTGTGACTCCGTCGATATTCTTCTTCTTTCGTTTCCCACCGCCGCCCCCTCTGGGCTTCTTCTTCCGCTTGACTTTCTCACCCGTTTCACTGTCGGTGGTCAACTCTGCAGCTTCTCGAGCTCTGTCATCCTCAGCTCTCAACTCCGTAAGCTCGCGATCTTTCTCCGCAATCTTCTGTCTCTCCTCAGCGATCTTCTGCTTTCTTTCTCTTTCTGCTGCTGCCGCTGCCTGCTTGGCTTCTTCACGGGATCTCAGCTCTTCTTCTCGCTTTTGCTTGGCCGCTTGGAGCTTTTCGGCATTCCTCTCCTCATACTCCTTCTGTGCCTGTATCGACCGCTCTAATTGACGACGCATGGTATTCTTAGCCATGTTTGCTCGTTGTTCGATATCATGTTTGGGGTAAGGGGTCTGAGGATGTTGAGCAATAGCTTCCAAAGAGGCAATGGCTTCCTCAAGACCCGCAGCAGCAGCTTGAACTTCAGCAAGCGTACGTTGCTGCTCAGGCATGTTATAGACAGCCGTGGCGAGCTGGATCTGCACAAATGCGACATTGAACTTGAAGTGAACCTGCTCTGGGGCAAGTTCAAGGGCCTAAATTTAGTTAGCTTTTGCATTAATAAACGATTACATGCGTGACAAACCTTCAGGGAAAATTCCAGGGCGCTTTTGTACGACGGCAAGGACTTCTCCGTTTTGCCCTTCGCCAGCCATGTTCGCCCTAAGCAAGCCAAGATTTGCACGTCGTGAGACCGGTCTTTTGATAAAGCTGCCTCGTAATGCTCAATGGCTTTGCTGTATTGTCGAAGCTCGGCGAAAATGTGCCCAAGATTGATAAAGACACTAGGATCTTTTACCGTTTCGCGAATCTTGATGAATATTGTCAGGGCAGTCTTGAAGTCCTTCTTATCCTCCACGAGAGCAATGGCAATGCCCTGAGCAGCATATGCATTCTTGGGATCGAGTTGCAAAGCTTTGTCAAAGAATTCGACAGCCTTGACATACATATTGCTCCGCTTTTGTTTCTCTTGATCTGTTTCTCGTCGCATCTCACGAGCGGTCATGAGGTATAAGTTGCCCATACCAATCAAGGCATATCGATCGTGCTTCTCATAATTCTGTAGAGTGTGCTTGTAATGGCGCAACTCAGGATCTTCTGCAATGTTTCCAGTCCTCTTTCGAGAATGCACGCGTCCCAGATACCAGCCATATAAAGCCCGCACCTCGAGATCGGCCGATGAGTCTTGATAGAGCTTTGCAATGGCTTTGGGCCCATCCTCAGTTGGGCTCTGCCGAAGGTCGATGTAAGCTTGTCTCGTCCTCGCATCCGTGTAGTCACTGTGCCGGGCGAGAAGGCCCTCATACACGGTGCTCGCTTCGCTAAGCAACCCGCTGGCCTCGTATGTTCGACCAAGATTGTAGCTGATGGTGGTAACAAGAGCATCCGTATCAATGTCCTCTTGCTTCTCTTGTAGCTTGACACATGCACTCAAACCCACTTCAAACATATCTCTAGCTTGATCAAACTTCTCAGCTTGGTAGTAGAAACATCCCATGTTATTGAGCAGTTGAGGTGGAAGATTCTGCCGGAGAGTTGTTTTGTAGGCAGCAGCCTCCTCGGGATCCTCTGGAATTTCATCATCGGCAGCTTGATCCAGTTCGATTTGCTCTACTTGTTGCAGGCACTGCAGACTCTTCTCGGGCTGGTCAGCCTCGTAAAGTCGTGCAAGGTTAAGAAGCACAGAAGCATCGGGGATGAGGTTTTTCTTCGGATCTTTCCATGCCGTTCGGACGTTCTCGAGATACCCAATAGCCTTTTTGAACTCGGTAGACTTGTCTTCTTTGACGCCACTTTGTTGGCTTGCAAAGACCTCTTCGGCATAGAGAGTGCCCAAAAGGGTCATAGCTTCAAGGTTCTTTGATTGCTGAATAATTTTCTCCAGTCTCAGTTTGGCTTCACCAAAATCATTTTTCAGGACTGATAACTGTGCTGCACCAAATTTGGCAGGTAGATATCCACGGTCAGCACCACCCCGAGCTTCATCAGCTCGACGGTAATAATCGACTGCCTTGGGATAGTCATCACTATAATGTTCCTTCCGGGCCAGCAAATACCAGCCGTCACTAGCAATAGCATTAACATCCGTGTATTGTATCGCCTTATGCGCCAGCGTGTCGACCGTTGGCAAAGACTTTCGAGATAGAAAGTATCCAGCAAAAGTAGCGCAAGTTAAGGGAAGATCCTTGTCAGCCTTAAAGGCCTTTTGTGTGTATTCTGTCATTGCTTTCTTGTACAGCCGAATAAATTCAGGCCCATTCGTGGGAACATGTGCGCTGGCGTCGAGATAAAAGGTGCCGAGGAGGATGTTTGCAATCTTTGAATCGGGATTGATCTCCAAAGCTCGTTCCCAAGCCGTCTTAGCATCCTCTTTAAAGCCTAGTTGCCAGAAGCAACATCCAATGCCTATTCGTGGGTCTGGATCAACGAGATCAGGCATTTTTTGTAAGGCCTCTTGGTATCCTTCCAGCGCTTCCGCGTACTTCCCAAGAGAGTAAAGCGCCCTTGATTTGCCCAACAGCGCCATCATATTTCTGCCCTGAGACACACGCATTGCGTCCTCAAATGATTTCAGCGAGGCGCGTAGGATTTCTGCTTTTTCGGGATCGATTGCCCCAGGCGCAGCGGATTTCGAAGGAGGTTGAAGTGAGGCCTTAAGGAGTTGGAGTACGCCACGAGCGAGGTAGAGAGGAGGGAAGGCTGGGTTGATTCTGAGCGCCTCATTTAGTGTTGATGTCGAATGCTGGAGATAGTATTCCTTCGTCCTTGCCTCCGAGACAAGCATTCCTTCGGGGGCAACTCGAGGAGCCTCCCTGCTCTTCCAGAGGTACATCCAGCAGAGACAAGTCAGCATGCTGAGTCTCTCCTTTGGTCCACCTTTCATGGATTGCCCTCCCTTTATCAGCATCTCGATTGCGTGGTCGACTTTCTTCTGCTTCGCATACGCCAGCGAGACGGTCATCCAGTATGTTCGGGCCGCGCCCTCATTCTCTAATAACGTGCACAATTCGGTTGGGTCATCCAACGGGCCCTCAAGATCAACCTCGACAGCCTCATCGTCGCCTTCACCTTGAACTGGGATATCGATCGCGGAGGGGATATCTGAGAAGCGTTTGCTGATCATTCTGTTCCCTGGCGACACGAGGGGAGCAAGACCGTTAGCCTCGCCATTGACATGTCCATTGCTAACAGCCGCCATTTTGAAACGTAAACCGGTCGGACTGTCAGTGGAGGATGTAATGCGAAAGCTGGGGTGCTTGCAGCGCGCAAGCAAGCTCGAAGGGTGTCGAAGTTCGAATTCTAGGAGATGCTAAAGACGGCTATCGCACAGGATTAAGCATCTGCCATGAGTTCTCATTCATCCGCGATAAGGATGTTATTTGGATGGGATAGCGAAAGATTCGCGCCGCTCGTAGAGGTGATTGTCAATGTCAAGGCTGTAAGTTCTTAAAGTTGCGTTAGTACTTGGCTCGCGGACGCGGCGAGCAAATGTCACGACCAAGCTTCTCGCTTAGGTACGGGCTAAGCTGGATTCGTCGCGACAACACCACGGCAAAGAAGTGAACGATAGGAAACACATTAACGACGCAAATATCAAATATCAGAGAATTAATATATACAATTAAACCTGTTGGTCAAATAATCCAAGCTTGCTAAGTATAAGAAAACATGTACCTGTATATATCCCTTCGCATGTGACTTGCCCACTCGAGCTCGCTCTGCATGTAGTAGGAATTGTCGAGGTGGTTTTGACATAGGGACCTTATGCAGTCTCTGTGACTTCGGCTCTTATTGCCAGTCGGTCAGCCGGTAGAACCTCGCCACCACTCTAGCTGGTATATATATCCAAATAGACAAAAACACCATAACGACAACCTAGCTCTTTAAGACACTCCCCACAAGTGTCACACGACAACTCATATCGGAGATTAATATACCTAGGTCTAGCGACAACATCGAAACGGCAGAGATTAATTGGCTGTGGGCAATGAACTCTTTTGCCATTTTTCTTCTTTTTTCCCCTTCTCCTAGTATTGTTTCGCTCGAGTATCTCTTCTGTTGTTCTTTTTGCCTTTTTTAATATCATAGAGTATCCTCGCGTCATATTTTTAAGCGGCAGTGAAGCGAATAATATAAGTCAGCGGGCTATTCGTTGTAGCTTGTTCTGCCGTGCGGATGTAGAACATTAGATAGCGATCCAGGAGAGGAACCATATCATCAGGCTGGTATGTCTCTGGCTAGGAGTTCGTAATGCCTCGGCGAAGCACTACCGTTGCCTGCGACGAAAATGTTGAATCATTTTTCTGTGGGAATATGAACCTCGCGGGGATTGCTAATTAAGAAACTCGAAAATCGCATCCTAAACAACCCCAAAATCAAACCCTAAAGACATCAACAGCCTTCGCTCACTTGAACAGCGCAGTATGCCCGCAGCATCGGTTCACCAGCAACTTCAACAATTTCAACATATCCTTACATGTCACAAACTCTCATTGCTTTATCTATATTAGAGTTACAATCTAGGAAGAATTTTGGCCACACAAAACCAGGCGAGCGCATCTCGCATCGCAAAACGTGGTTTTAATCTCCCAGTGGCCTTCTCCTGTGCCCCTCCATATTTGAACGCCATCAACTATAGCACACCTACCCTCCCCAGCGCAAGCCAAGTCAAGCGACCTGGGCAATATGCAGGCAGACCTTTCCCAAAAACTCCAAACCACGCCAATTTGAAACGTTTAAATTACGAGACCAGCGCGGAAAAATAAATGTCACCACTAGTCATCATCATCGCTTTGTACACCACTGCTCCCACCATTCGCGTATTGAGAATTGTTAAAAGTAAGCTTTATCTTCCCGCTCGAAGGTGCAGCCGGTAACGGGGTACCAGCATTGGTCGTAGGAGCGGTTGAGCCGCCGTTGCGGGAAGAATCATCGAAATCACCTAGCTCAGGGTGGTCTATGAGCTCTTCACGGATGCGAGATTCGCAGGCATTCTAAGTTAACTAGATTAGTAACTGGTGCAACAGTCGAGTACAGTTTAACTTACTTCAATGGCGACGGCATCAACAAAGATTAGACTGCCATCCTCATTGTATGTTTTCGCGTTCATACAAAGTGTCTGGATATCTCGTTTCAGATCATTAAGACTTGAGTATTCCTCCTTCTTGATCTTCTTTTCGATCATTTTCATGGAAATTGGTTCCTTGATGATCATGTAATAATCGGGGAAGTCTTTCTTTGGTGGTAACGCAACGAATGGCCCAATGATGAGGCGTCTCTCATCTTCTTCGTCGTCATCGTCCGAACCAGATTCAGGGGCCGATTCCAAATTCATTAATGAATCAAAGACACTCCGAAGACTAGCCTGAAGAACAGCTCGGTTTTTAGCGCTAACTTCGCCGTTTGCCGCCGCGATTTTAGGACGGCTTGGTCCACCGCGCTTTCGCTTGGCTGGCGGTGCTTCATCATCATCTTCAGCTTTTCGTTTGTCGCCCTTCCCAGGCTTCCGAGCTGATCGACTCTTCTTTGGTGTTGGTTCAGGTTCAGGCTCCTCGGTGGTTTCACGACTACCCGATGGGGAATTATCCATGGAACCTGGTGGACCAATTCCCTTGAGCCTATTCTGTTCTCGTCGTTCTTTCCGAGCCTGCTTCCTGGCAGCCGCGGCTTCTGGAGAGTCTTCATCATCCTCAACAGCCATGACCCATTGCTCCTCGGTCAGACCGTCATCGTACTTAACGCGGGTCCGCTCACGAGCACCACGACCTTGTATTTCTACCGGCTCGTCGGCGATTGGGTTGCCATCAGACATATAGATCTCCGGCAACTCATTCTCTTGCATGAGACGTGGCACCCGCTTGCTTCCAGGAAGGTTGCCGTATGTCGGGTCCTTGGCTCTCTCTTCATCCATTTGCCTGAAAATGACAAGTTCGTCCTCGGAGCGTGCCAAGAGCATGTTCATATCCTCATCGTCCATCTCCTCCTGTTCCAACGTCTCAGCAGCGTCGGCGGTCTCCAACATAACACGAAGCATTGCGTCACGATCTGTTTCGGAAGATTTGTTGTCGAACCGACCTGCTTGAATAACTTTACCATCCATGTCAAGCTTGTATTTGGCCCGCTCCAGAATCTTCTCTTCAACCGAATTGGAACTGATGAGTCGCAGGATCCTAACCTCGTTCTTCTGTCCGATACGATGCGCACGATCTTGGGCCTGCAAATCCTGATGAGGATTCCAATCAGAATCATAGATGATGACAGTATCAGCGGTCTGGAGATTGAGACCCAAACCACCAGCACGAGTAGAAAGTAAGAACATGAAATATGGAGAATTTGGAGCATTGAACTCTCGAAGAAGCTCGGATCGATCGTCAGACTTTGTCGTACCGTCCAATCTCAAGAATTGCATCCCACGGTATCGCAGGAAGTCCTCCATGATATCCATGATTGCAGTCATTTGGAAGAACATCAGAATTCTGTGGCCGGTTCTGTGGTACTTTGGAAGAATGCGGTCAAGAAGCTCGAATTTGCCAGCTGTTCGCCAAAGCAGGTCATTGCTGGTATTCAAAGGGTTCATTTGGTTCTCTACCTCATCGAAGACGAAGGGATGGTTGCACAACTTCCGCAACTGCATGATCATGTTGCTGAGACCACGAGCACCAGTCTTTCCACCTTTACCGTCGCTAACAACAAGCTTGTTGTGAGTGACCATTTGCTTGTAAAGGCGAGCTTGCAATGCAGAGAACTTGCATTTAATGACCTTCTCAGTCTTGTCGGGCAGATCTTTCTCGACATCCTTTTTGAGACGACGAAGCAGGAACGGGCGTAGGACTTTATGGAGACGACGGATAACAAGAATTTGTTCTTCTTCAGTAAGTTCCATCTTATCTTGACCGCCGGTGTTCGCAAAAGGTGTATTGAACCATTCGTCGAACGATTTCACGGACTTGAAGATTGTTGGAAGGACGAAGTTGAGCAAAGCCCACAGTTCCGGGAGGTTGTTCTGGAGTGGGGTTCCGGTGAGAATGAGACGGTAACGGGTAGTGTAGTATTGGGTCAGGGTAGCACTGAGTTTGGAGGATGAATTCTTCATACGATGACCCTCATCGATGATCATATGAATCCATTTGATTTTGCTCAGAACGGGTCTATCCTTAATGATGTATTCATAGGTTGTCAACAACACCTGGAAGTTACCATAACGAAGTTGCTGCTGTTGCTGCTTTCGAACCTGTGGTGGTCCTTTGTATACGACTCTCGAGATTGATGGAGCCCATTTCTCAAATTCCAAGTTCCAATTGGTCAATGTACTCAAAGGCACAATAACCAGGAACGGTCCACTCTGCTTCTTCTTCTCAATGAGGTAGGTAATCAGACTGATCGTTTGGATGGTTTTACCGAGACCCATCTCATCAGCAAGAATACCATTGAGATTGTTGTTATAAAGCGATATCATCCACTGCAGACCCTTCAATTGATATTCTTTCAAGGTGCCACCAACCAACATCTGTGGTTGCGCATAAACCTCTTCTTTGATACGATGCGCCACAGCATAGTAATCGATTTTGCGAGTCTCTTGCTCCTCTTCTTCATCATCCTCTTCAGATTCGTCAGCTAGGAATTCTTCGGCATGTTCTCCATAATGCTGAGCGGCCTTGCGCTGTTGTGCTTTGACAGAGGCAGCGAGCTGCGACAAGAAGCCGTCGGTCTGTTTCAGAAGATGAGTGATACGAGTATCCTTAGCCTGATCAAGAAGCTTCAAGTATGCTTCCTCATCGTTGGATTTCAAAGCCAAGAGACGTTGCTTCGCGGTTCGCTCTATCCGCTTCTGCTCCTCCTTCTCGATCATTTGATGCTGAGCCACCATGTTACGTCCAACCTTGAGCATCTTCTGCCGTTGATTCTGCCCCGCCAGGTTAACTTCCCGGGCATGGTTCAGGACCGTTTGAAGATAGTCGGCGTGTTTCTTCTTCTCTCTGGTCTCGCGGGCATCACGTTGCTGCTTCTCGAGCTTCTCAGTGATGCGAGCCTCTCGTAACGATTGCTTCTTCATCCGCCTATAATGGCTTCGGTTTGCGGTCATGGCTAGATTATCGTATTGGATCATCTGGCGCCCGATCCGCTCCCGCATGGCTCGCTGCCTTGGATACAGCGCAAGCATCTTCATCTCAATCAATGCTTTTCGTTTTAACCCATCCTCTGGTGTCAAATCATCGTTGCGGACGTCCAAGTGGCTCAAATTGGCGGGAAGGGCTTTAAGTTCTGCTAGCCTGGATTGCATGCGATTATATAAAATGATCTCTCGCTCGTTTCGGAGCTTTTCGATATCAACGCCGGACGGCATAGTACTGGGGATCATGGGTCGCATCTCCCGCTTTTTATGGGCAGAGTAGCTAATCTGGCTAGATAGACCAGCATGGGGCGACTTGAAACCGGTGTATTGGTGTTGTTTCTGGACGACAGCATCTTTATCCTTGGTGGAGGCCTCTGGCTCGTTGGCTGCAGGTTGAGCATCATCGGCGGCGCGTGCTGGTGTTGCGAGATGCTGGTCGGCGCTCTGGGAGAATCTCTTCCGCTGAGCAGTGAACAGTTGTTGTTGCAGAGCCTGTGGGATGCCATTATTTTTCGTCAAACACTTGAAGGCAGATATTTGGTGTTTGAGAGTGTTCAGCTGCTCTGGAGAGAAGTATCCGCTGCCGACTGGTGCTGACCGTTGAACTGCTCCTTTCGGTGCCGCTGAGGGAGGAGCGGTGGCCGAGATGGCAGATGGGCCGAGTGATGTGGTAGCTGGGGCTTGGGTGGCGGCCGGGGTGTTATTGCTCGCAGGCGCCGCGAGGCGTGTGCCATTGATGCCATTCGCAGCTGGGCTGGCGGAATTTTGTTGTTGGCTTAACATCTGTTGTTGTTGAGCAAAGGCGGCTCTCTGCTGCTGATAGAGTCGCTGTTGTTGGAGGCTGGTGAGCATTTGATGAACTTTTTGAAATTCGGGATCCTTCTCTGAAACGCCCGATTCCTTCATCTGTTTGTATTTCTTCTCTAGTTGTCAGTAATTGCATTGGGACTATAGGGGGGTGGTGGTCATCAGAGGCGCGAGGCAAGGGGACACTTACCATTAGAGCATCTCTGATGTTCAACTGTTGTGCCGAAGGCGCAGATGGCCCCGGTTGCTGAGCGGCGGGGGCCGTCTGGACGGAAGCCATAATGCCAAAGCCAATGTGGTATCTACGCGCGGGTTGGTAGTTGTGTGTTACTTGTTATCTAGACAGCCTCAGCGCACATCAAGTGTCAGCCTCGCGCATCAGGTCCGATGCTGCGTGGGTGAAGGGCGCTGGCCGACGAGCGGCGAAACGAGTGTATGGGGCGCGGGCGACGACAAGAACCCGTGGAGGGTCGAAAGGGCCTTCGGTGGGCGAGGGCTGGGAATGTCGCGCGAGGGAGAGGCAGAGCGCGTTGGGTGTTGATGCTGGACGAGGTTTTTGGGGATGCAGCCCGCTTGGCGCGACGTCCCTTCGACTTTGAAGGTTTGAGGTGATCGGAGCGGATTGTGCTTGGGGGCGAACGGGGCGTCTGGCACCGGCGCGCAGGTAGAGACGGTGGGCGATGGAATGCGACGAGATGGCGCGTGGAATGGACGTGTTGAGCGTCTTGGTGTTTGGGGGGGTTTGGGGTTGAATATCTCGTGTCGAACTAAGGGGGGGTGGAGGAGGTAAGCGGTGGTTCGTTGCGCGGTAGAATTTGGGTGGTTCGTGATGGGATGGAAAGCTGAGAGCTGAGCTGCGACGGCGAATAATTGCTGATGAAGGGAGAGAGAGACACAGAGACTACGGAGGGAATGGATGGCGCTGCGCAAGTACGCGAAATGGCCTGTGCGCGGGTCAAGCGAGCCAATGGCGGTGGGGGATTGGGTGGTGTCACGTGATGGGCAACATCGTCCCCTCGCCACTTTCGTCGCTGTTGAACTTCGTATGGGGAGAGTGGTTGCGGGCATTGATACAGAGACATATATAGATACGCTATCACATTCTTGGATTGCTATATAGTTATTCTATCGCGTTTCCCCTATCCATACCGCGGTGATTGCAGCCACAGATCAAGGTAACGCGTGGGTCTCCCGGCCACCGGAGATTTTCCACTTTGGTACCTCGACATCCATCCTCTCTTACTCGTCCTCTTCTACCGATCTGCTGCAGAGTGCACTCTATACTCTTAGATCTAGCCCTCAGCCTTTCCTATTTCTCGAATATAGGACGCCTAGCAACTGCCTATACTCTCAAAAGAAGAGTTGACTGCTCAAAAGCATGTCTTCTTCTCCGCTGTCCCCGGCTTCTCCTTCTCCTTCTGCTTCTGCTTCTGCTTCTGCTTCCACATCTCAGATCTCATTCGGTCCTCTCTCTGACAACCCCTCCGCCTCTCATCATTTAATATATTTCATCACGGGGAATCCAGGGCTCATTGCCTACTACGACACCTTCCTGAGAACTTTGCACGAGCTTCTTCCTAATATTTCAACTTCTACCGCGTCTGCAAATAACCGTGTATTTCATATCTACGGCCAATCCCTGGCCGGTTTCGATGTAGACGAACAAATCTCCGCCAAATCCCCATCCCCCCTTCGGGAATCGCCATACAGCCTTGAAGATCAGATCCGAATACACCTGAAGGCCCTTGCGGAATTCCGAATCCAGTCGGGGCCTCGCCAAGGACAGCTCCACGATAGTGTTATTCTGATCGGCCATTCTGTCGGTTCCTACATCCTTTTAGAGATCATCCAGCGGCTACGGCAACATGATTCTGCACCAAGAATAAAAGCCGGGATACTCCTATTCCCCACGGTTACGCACATCGCCAAAAGTCCTAGCGGAGTCAAAATCAGCACCTTATTCCGGATCCCTAACTTCCCAAAAAGGATAAGTACTTTGGTGAAAGCGCTGGTGTGGCTACTACCCAAATCTTTCATGGAGCGTGCGGTGGGCGGAATTACAAGGATGCCCGATGATGCTGCTAAAGTTACGACTGGGTTTTTGAGAAGTCGGATGGGTGTTTGGCAGGCTCTGTATGTTCCGTCGACCCAGATAGCCTGTAATTTCTAACAGTTTCCGCAGACAGATGGCTAAGGACGAGATGGAAACCATCACTGAGGATCGATGGGATGAGGACATCTGGGGCATTGAACACGAAGAAGCCGATTACAAAGCAGAGATCCCGAAATTGATTTTCTACTTTGGCCAGAATGTGAGTGGATATACCCCTGACAAGACTTCTTGTTTCAACCGCTAACAACAAACAGGATCACTGGGTTGCGGATCATACTCGTGATGCTCTGATAGCTGCTAGGGCACAAACAGGTGGATTAAGCAAGTCCTCAAAACCGATCATGCTCATTGACGAGAATGGAGTGGACCATGGCTTCTGCATTAGTAAGTCCCCGCTATATACATTGTGCGATGCTCAAACTGATCATATCACAGGACATAGTGAAAGCATTGCCGAGAAAGTCAAGATGTGGATTGATACTATCCTATCAGACTTATAACGCCGTGGGGCTCAAGAGCTTTTGCTGCTGTCTCTAACCCATCCCCAAGTCACCCTTCCCCCGACAAACAAACAAACAAACAAATTCATCTAATGTTCCTATTTGAAGACGACCATCATTTGAGTTTAATACCTGTCTGTATTAAGTCCCTTCTGATGGTCACTATCCAAACCCCTCTCCTTAATACTATCCGCCCGATCACCCCCAACACCAGCCAAACCATGTCTATCCCTCTTCCCCGGATACGCCCCATCACCATGCAACTCTTTACTCGACTGCCCACTCCCCGGGTGCCCGAGACCCTGATGCACATCCTTGCTGGTAGCACCAGGAATCGGATTACTATCAGCAACACCTACACCCAACTCATTCCGCACATCAGATTTAGCGGTCCGGCCACTGACGACGTCCGCGGATTGGAAGGCCTTCCGTGCCTCATCGGCATCTATCTCCTGGGCCGGCACGTCTGACTGTGCGTTAGCCGCGAATGAACGGTCTTGCGGTGCTGTTCCTGCACGAAGAGTCTCGGCGGAGAACCCGGGGACTGCGTCGTTGCCGACTTTCACGCCCTCAGCATGCTAGTTGCTGGAAATCAGTATATATAATTTTATATATAAGACGCAGAGGAGGACAAAAAACTCACACCGCCACTCATCATCGGCTTCGAAGGAGGAACTCTAGCGTGGAATTCGCCTTGATTGCTGACGGCGTCGAGATTCGCCTTTGATGGTGGTTCCGCAGGCATATTTGTTGTATTATTTGTTATCGGTTAATGAAACAAGGAATATCTGAATTGAGTTTTTTGAATTTAATTGTTAAATCTCGAAGATGTAATTTAATAGAAATTGTGCTTTTAAAAGAAAAACGAGTCCGTAGAGAAATAAAAACAATATGTGGTTTTGGTGTGCGCTCATATGTCTCCACATGTCTTGACGTCAAGGGATGGTTACATCATAAGGGGCGAGGGATTGTAGATCGGTTGTAACTTGGAACTCTCCCAAATACCTACATCTTCTCAAATAAAAACCGGGATTTATATTTTGAAAACCTGAAAATTTTCGTGGGGATAATGTTGTAATTCCTAATAATGACGCCTTTGCGGAGGGTTGTTGGGCTTTTTAGGGGTCCTCATCCGCTCATTTCTTAGCCGGAAAGGGTCTCATAAGGCCATTGTTGTAGTTTCGCAAGGCTGAGCCGGGGAGGTAGGTTAAATGTGTTTCTAGGGAAGAGGTGTAGTACAAGCAAGCAACAATGTAACGTAGACGTAGGCGCAACTCAAATAGTATATCACTCAAAAGACTCAATTCCGCTACCTCTCCGCCTTACTCAACAAGTGTATTCTAGTCTTCCACAAATCATCTTCAGCGATGTTGCTTCCCCGGTCGCCGAAAAATCTCTCGTCCAGGAATCTCCAATACACAGTATCGAAAGCCCAGCTCTTTCTTGCGCCATAGTTAAGCCAGAACCGGCTGGTTTCCCAGCTTTCTCGCATGTAAGTGGACAACGCAACCGGTAGAGGACCGGGTTCCTCCATGCTTTCCTCGGCTCGTTCCATAGCGGATAGCCAGGTCTTTAGGCGTGGCTCGTATCTCTCTCTCCAGTTATCAATGCCGGAAGACCATGTCTCTGCCAAGTTGAGGAGCAGCCACCAGGGCGGGTCGAGAATAAACTGTGTAGGCGCGGCATATGCGAACTCCCAGTCGATGATAGCGGCTATATTGTCCGAGCCATCTATAAGTATATTGCCTGCCCGAAGTTCGTCACCCCAAAGTCGAAAAGAGTTGGACCCCGCTGGGGCCGGGGAAAGGTTGGAAGGCATTATCTTCTTGGACGACTGGGCAGACCAGTCATCCTCCGCAAACCCAAAAGTGGACACTCGACCTTGCTTAGCTAACCTATAAAAGATTTGGCGCGCTACGTACTTATTTCGGCAGTCGTCCTCTGATACCACTGAATCATTGTGTTGGAAGATGAGTTGTGCTATATTCATCTCTGCTAATGCGATATACCATTCGTCTGCAGTCCTGTAAGTCTTACCCTCCTGGGGAAGGACTGCGCGGGGAATATTAGCAAGACGGACCATATCAGTCATATTATGGGTAATAGGTCGCCCAGCCACGTTGTAGGAGCCATCCACCTCAACTAAAGACCCAATCCGAGGAAAACTTAGTCGAGATAGCTGTAGGTAGCAGCGTGCTGTCTGGCCCCAGAGACTTTCAAGCGTATTCTCCGCAATACTAGGATTTAAAACATGAGTAACGCTAAGGTCGTCGTTAGGCGTCTTCAGTCTAGCTGACATGCTCCCGTGATTTTCGATGTATTGCATGATGACAAATGGCCCTAAGGTGGAATCCCGACCAGAAAAGAATACTTGAGGAGTAGGAACCTCGGTATTGTTCGAAATATAGGCTGCCGTGGCAGCCTCATGATCTGTTTTTTCATCCGGGAACTGGACCAAGCTGGGACAAGGGAGTCGGACTATTATGTCGGGAGTAACTCCCTCAAGGTGTAATCTGTATAGAATATTGAAGCCGCCGATGATCAAGGGTGATACTAAAGTTGCCGGTTTCCTAAACTTTTGCTTTGCGAGACGTTCTACCTGGCGGCAAATCGTTTTAAGTCGCATCTGCTTCTGTGACTTATCCGAGTCTTCATCGTTCTTATCCCATACAAGATTGTCAAGCTCTTCTTGACCGCTGTACATTGAGATTGTGGGTCGGTTGAAAATAACGTCTCCGTTGTAGGCTTGCGGTGGGCGGAGAGGACGGAGAGGTAGATGGGATGGGTAACTTAAATACTCACGTATGGCAGGATTGTGGGTGGCAGAGCTAACAGGTTGGAGGTGACACGGCGGATTGTGTGAGCATGGGATGAACGTGAAAGTCTGTAGCTTGGAGGTTGGCTGTACAACCCCGATTTTACCTGTTACAGAAACGGGATTAACCTTCTATCTACCGTAGCACGTACTGAGGCTGACGAGTAGGGAGTTGGCGTAGTCATCTATAATTCTGACTTCAGTATTGCAGCTCGTTGATCGCATGCTCCGCCACATCATTATTTGATTGGTCTCGGAGGCGCTGGGGTGGGGCAGTTGACTTTATCGAATCGCTGTTGGCGGTATCAGATGGGAGTGTATACTTGTAATTATCAGAAAGCCCAATACGGAGTGGAAAGCCTATATATAGAGAGGCAATTCTAGAATAACTGACGTGCTATAAGCCTAGTAAAGTGTTTTAGAGTGCATAAATCGAATGGATTTGCATTTAGAGGCTCTTCTTATTCCTGTAAAAAATATAGATAGGCTGTTAGAATAGCTCCTTGGTTCAAAACTGTATATGCTTTAATCAAGAACTTACTCGTGACACATATGTATCTATGTCTAGTATAACCCCCCCCCCCGGTTTATAGCAAGACCTTCTTTAAAACAAGACGGTGATCAATACCAGCCTGGTCATCATCGAGCCCGGCCACTCGAGCCGTCTCTATCACCTCCTCCGATGTTCTTTCCCTACCCAGTCTTTCCCCCATAGCTGTAAGAAGGGTGCTGAGGATGATTGAAATAGATGGCACTTGAGCTTGGGAGATCATCTCTCTGTCGTAGTATAAAACTAGAATAAAGGTATAGGCCGTAGATCGGCATTGCACGAACGTATACTACAACGCTAGAGATAAAGGGGCACCCGAAGAAGGAGAACACTCCCCAGGACCATGACAATTCAAGAGAGCGGAAAGTTGCAACGGCGAGCTAATTTGCGAAGTACCTCGCAAGGCGGTTTTCCTCCGATTGCATTAAAAGTCAAGCACTAAGGAGACGAGTTTTTGACCCATTCTGACGTCGGGGTCCCATTCCGGTCCCCTCGATCCTTCGCGTCATTAGTTGACACTGTTGACAGCGGCACCACCCGTAGAGCCCACCTCCCTACAACCCAACACGTAATCCCCCAAATCCACACACAAACCCCCAGCCCCACTGTAACAAACAGTATAGGCAGTAACACCAACAGCGCAACGCCCACCCAGAAGAGGCTGAACAGCAGCGCGACGATGAAAGATAGTATGATTGTGCCGAGGGCGAAGGACAGGAAGAGCGCCAGGGGGAGGAAGGAGAGGATGATGTGCGGGATTATGAAGGACTGTGATTCCGCAGATGTTAGTTTCGGTACGGTAGGTATTTAAGGGGGATGGGATACACAGCGAACGGGCGGACATACTGTTAGGAGAGGTTGTTCTTTCGCGAATGTGAAAACTGCGTCGTAGGCGTTTTGACGCGTGGAGGGGCTTATGACGGCATTGACGAGGGCGATGGGGTATGCGAGGAGTGCTGAAGTGCGGCTTTGAACGGCCATTTTTGGCGGTGGTACGTGGTATGGAGAATAAGATTAGACTGAAGGTGATTGATTAGATTGGCGATTTTGTTTGATTTAAAGAGGGATGTTGGATGGAGGAGGTAATGATGTGGTGAGATGCGTTGGTCGTCGAGAGGATCGCATGAGGGATCTAAGCGCGTTGATTGGCTGGGATGGGAAATGTTAGGTGATCGGCGCTGTGGGATGATATTGGTTTTTGTGTTACATAGGTGAGAATGGGGCTGGGGTGGGTTTCGTTTTATGGGCTTATTTAATGGTTATTCTGAATGTAAGCTTAGAAATGGTTTTGAGGTTGAGGTGTAGAGAATAAGTATTCAAGGCAAAGCAACGGCAATTCATCGATAAAAACATCTCGAGCTCAGGTTAATCTATACACTGACCCACATTTTGAGGGAAGCAGTAGAGAGCGAAGAGGCCGATCAGCTTTATCCAACCACGTCTGCACAAGAACCACATCCTAGATCTAGGTAAGTATTTACTATCTGAAGAGCTCCATATTGCAATTGAGAACTTAAGTCTCCATTCTACGCATCCAATGCTAGTAGCTAGCTAATCAATCTAACCCAATATCCGCTTGCGCCCAACTATGCATAATTTCAATTGCACGATAAAATGCATTTAATCCAACCAATCATACATACATACAATAACTGGCGTATCGACTTTGTTCGTTGCCCGTATTTTCCTTCCTACAAGGGCCACAACACCACCAATTCCAATTTCCAATTTCCAATCCAATCCCATGATATCTTTGCCGCCGCCTTTCCTTCTTGGGTATCATTCAAAATCTTGTGCACACACACCGTCATGACGCATGAAATCTAATTTCGTTTTCCCTCATCCCCACGACTCCGCCCTATGTTGCCAAATTTACAGATATCTTCCACTTCTCTCACTCTCTCTCTATTTGTGTTGCCGGATATTCAGAGCTGATGATTTCAATCAGCTTCCCCGCTCAAACACCATGGGTGCTCTAGCACCTGGTCGATCGTTACTCGGGATTCGACGTTGCGGTCCAACATCGCACGGATCAGATCGATACTCTCCTCGCTCATCACGTATGGGATTCGAAGGTCGCGGTCCATAATTTCATCAATGCTGTAAAAGGGGTTCTCCTTGTAGATAATAGTGTATAGGAGTATGCCTAAAGCCCAGACATCTTGCTCTGGACCATGGTAAGGCTTGCCGGCTAGGACCTCGGGTGCCGCATAATCTATAAAGTAATTAGCAATGAAATACGGGTAGGGTAGGAAGAGAACGTACCAATTGTACCCACAAAGACATCAAACGGGCTATTCTTGATGTATGCAGCGCTTCCGAAGTCGATAAGCTTAATGTTCCCTTCGCCATCCAAGACCACATTCTCATCCTTGATGTCACGGTGGACAACGAGAGCTTTTGTGTGGAGGTGATGAATGGCTCTTACGACTTGAACAAAGATGCTGCGACATTCATCTTCCTCCATATTGACGCGGAGTTCAATATAATCGAAGAGATCCATTCCCGGGAGACCATGTGGGACCATCTCAATATAATAATTGACGTCGTCTTCAAAGAAGTCAACCATTTCGACAATATTCGGGTGTTTGAGTCCGTCTCGTCGGAGGTAATCAAGTACGTGAATCTCCAGAGGGACAGTGCCCAATCTTCGATCCCGAGTCCAAGTATCAACTAGAATCCGCCGTTTTGTGACGTACTTGAGTACCACCTTGCGGTTACCATTCTTCTTGTACCTTGCAAGTTTCACTTGCCCGTAGGCACCCTGGCCCATCTCTTCAAGAATAACAAAGTCATCTATCACCTTTTTATGAGGCGGCACAACCTCTGTTACCTTCTCCTTAACTTGTTCCTGTGTAGCAACAGGCCGATCGCGACCAATAAACTTGCTAGCCGTCTTTTTTGCAACTTCCCTCAGCTGAGAAGTCAATAAGGAAGCATGGGAGACCTCCCTTTTATGAGGCTCGCTATCTGAGTCCATATCAACCGGACTAGCAATTTCTGTTTGACCGGGTGAAGGCTGGTGAGGAGTTTGGATGCCCGAGGCTATCGGTGCACCTGCACCTGCACCAGGACCCTGACTAGGGCTATGAAGCTGCCGAGAAAAGGTAACCCACAACGCGTAAACAAGCTCTGCCGGTGCCGCTTCCTGGGGCTCAACGGGACTGCCTTCGTCGTCACTCCTCTCTTCGATAACGTTCTCGTCAAAGTGGGGAACATGAGGATCTGACTTGACCACTCTGAGCTGTACATCAATCTTGATCTCCGAGCCATCCCTGTGTTTGGCTGGGAGTCCATTAGGCTGGAGGAAGAACGAAGCGGCATCTGGTTTACCATCCCGCAATGCTAAATATGCCCTAGCATATCGAAAGCTATGCTCAGGAATAACAATACCGTCAGCCAAATGTACACCATCTTCCTCTGTGAGGATCTTCAAAATGCGATCGAAATCCGGGATGAGATCAGTGATAGGTCGTCCATCAGGCTTCTCCTGTCCGAAAAGGGCTGCCGAGAACGCTGAGTTGGAACTTGTGATTGTTAAGGTTTCTGCCGAGAGAACAATAATCCCAGCAATGTGAGGAAAGCTAGATACCCTTAGATCGGTACTGCCTTGGACTCGGTCGATTAAGCATGGGATATTTGCTTGGCCCGCGTTGCGGGCCGTAAAGAATTTCCGTTTTACTACTTCAGCATAATCAATCTCGCCGGTCCTCGAGTCGATCCCTTGTCGAGGTAATCTTGGTATCAGCTTCCCAATATCTATGCTAGGACGAACAATGTTCTCTCCCCAAATTGGCGTAGTAGAACCATCAATCTTTGTAACTTTGGCATCATCACTTAGACCTAGAACAACCACATCTTCATGGATCTCTTCCAGCACCCAGATTAAGCCACCCCTTTTCTCCTTAACCCACAGGCTTGCCGAACCCGTGGCTCCATTTCGCTTCTGAATTGGGACGACATCGCCACAAAGCAAGACGCCCCTGGATTTGTTGCCAAGATGGTTTAACCCGCCCTTAACGGCCTTTGCCCTTGCTACAAGACTCGATCCAGCGCCGTCATCAGTTTGTGCCCTGCGAGCAGGCTTTTGAGTTTGGCGGGAGTTTGGCCTGTTAAGGAGATTCGCAGTAACTCCCGACCTACCGAAGAGAAAGGAAATTGCAGGGTTCGAGCTACTTGGTAGTTGTTCCTGACTGGAGTCTGGCGTTCGAAGACTCTGTTTCCCCGAGCTGAACCCAGAAGCTGTACCAGGCGCCTGCAACCTTTCTTCCAGCCAGGCTCTCCTCTCCTCCCGAACAACTTCCAGAATCCCCATCTTGCGGACCTCTGCTTTTGTAACACCGAAGACGAGGCAGGCAAGATCGTTCGCAGCTAGAATTGTGTACGGTGCTGTGCTCTCAGTTGTGAAGATCGCTTGAGCAGCTGGAGTCCATCGACTAGAATGTCCATGTACCGCGTGTCCAGAAGGATGGAGGCCTGCTGATTTTCCGGTTGGCCAAGGGCCAGCGGATTGAGGGACTGTAGGAGAGAGGAGCTGATCGTTGAATTCCCCAGCTACGGGTGTCTGTGACAAAGCCTCCATCAGTTTGTTCCTTAATGACACAGGAGCAACGTCTGAATAAGTTCTTAGAAGACTCTGCCGCCGCGAGGCAGGTGGAGAGGTCATTGCGGTCGTACGGCTCTCATTTGTAGGAGTTCTAGAGGACCCTTCAGAACCAGGTTGTTGAGCAGCACTGCCTTCGTTCTGGGATTCACTTGTTTGCGGCTCATCGATATGCGTTTCAATAAGCAGAGTGGGTTTGCTGACGCCCGGTGATAAAGAACGGGGACTTCCCAGCAACTCGGGGCTCGTGGAGCGTGGACCAAAGTCGGCATCAAACACATTTTCAGCATGTTCAAGTGTGGCAGGTCCAGTAAAAGGCCCAGCGAGATATGGTTCCCCAGAGCCTGCAATATTATTTCCACCCACCAACTTCGCCCTCGCCAGGAGGTCGAGCATACTTTGCATTTCAGCATCCCCCGTCACCCGCGCTTGCGCGCTGACTATGCCCATATTTGTATGTGCCCATCCTAGCTTCTGAGTCATAAACTCTACCGATCTCTTCAAGATATTCTGGCGATTGTGGGTGAACTCCTCGGCCTGGTGGGCAAACGAGAACGAATGTAAGGACTCGGAAGGAAATCGGGTCAAATCTTCTGTGAAATTTAAAGTGGGAGAGGAAGCCCCAGAAGGGATAGCCATGGAGGCGGTTCGGGAATTAGGGTAGGTCGAGGTTCCGGATGGTGGTCCGACAGAAGGATTTCGGGACGAAGCTTCAGATGGCGGGATGGTAGGGACTCGAGATGGAGGCTGTCGAATTCGACTTAAACCTGAAGCACCCAAGCCGTGCTCATGGTCCGTCATGATCGGTGACCTTAAAAAAAACGTATTGCCGTCAGCCTTCCGTGATTCCCAGCCTTATGCGATTACATCCGTAGGCACCAGAAACAAACGGACGTGTGCTCTCTCAAGCAATTAACGCACCTTGACATCGGGTCATATCCTGCTCCCACCATTCCTGCGTCGAAGGAGAACCGTATTCGAGATCTATCCGTGGATTTGGGGGCATTCCCAACAAGGTTGCTGGTGCTGCGGTTTTTGGGTATGAGTAATTCGCTGGGTGGTCCGCCCTTCCGTCCTCGAACATGATCACCGTGTATGTCGTCGCCTGTGAAGGGTTCCATCAGTCAGTCATTATTCCATCCCATATGACTCAGCCCAATCCCCCAAAAAGAAGAAGTCTCATCATCTGCGAAGCAAGGCATCGCCGTCGTTCCTCGCTTCCGTGACGCGCGGTGTTTTTCAATCCGCAGACCCACACAATATGCACTGGAATAAATTTCGCAAGGCTCAAATGAAAAACTCTGCTCGCTCACCATGATGGGTTGGGCCATCTGGCTCCAGCATACTTGGGCACAGGTTGAATTTTTAACAGAGCTTTGCAGTTTGGTGGCGGGAGGAGTTGGTTCTTGTCCTTTGGAGGAAGTTCGGAGATAAGATCCGGGTTTCAGAGGCGGGCGGCGTGAAAGAACTCTCGAGGATCCTACAATGCAACGGCAAGACAAGCTCTCTAGCGGTGACTTTCTCTTCTCTTCTTTTCGGAAACCCTAGATTCTTTTTCCAGAGCAATGCAAACCCTTGTGGGCTGGACGACGGTAAATGGGGTTGTGGGAACCGCGCAGTTCGAGTAGCGGGGCAGATATGTTGGTTGGAGTTTGGGTTTTTGGGCGCGGGATGGCTCGTCTGGTCAAAGGCTTAATGCTCCGGGCATGCTTCGTAAAGCTATGAAGCAGATGCCAGCTGCTGACGTTATTGGCGAGGCAGGACTGATACAAGTACTATGCTGTGACTTTAAGCCGAGCCTGGAGAAGAGGAGCAATGCAATATATATGGAATTCCCGGGGCGCAGAGTGGCATGTAAAGTCGAGTAACGACAGATACCTAGAAAATAATAGTTGCGCTCAGCGCGGGAGTTCCGCCTGGAAGCTGGAGGGGTGGGATTAATTACGTCTGTGGATACGAGTACGTGGTACAACACTCGTAGCACAAGTAGTGCGTAGGGACGAAGTACCAGTACCAGTCAGCGTCTCTGTACGCTGGGGGCTATATGTCGAGCGTTGGACGCTGTGCTCTGTACTCTGTACACTGTACAAGCGTACACTAACTGTGCTCTGCACGCTATTTGTATTGTACTCTCGACCCGCGAGCAAGCGAAGTGGTACTTATGAGATTATTAGTAAAAGTCCCAACCGGGTAACCAATGCAACATACGAAGATTCGAGCTGGCTTCATGAATCATCGCAGGCGTCAGGTGTCTCCCGCTGGCCTCTTCACGCTTTTCGTCAGAAGAGAAACCACTTATTACCAGTCAAAGCTGTTAACCACCATCCGTCACCACCCCACTACGAAGTACGAAGCACGAAGTATTAGATAGCTTTCATAGCCGGGTACCGGGTACTTCACAGGCGCCTTCTACTGTCCTGGAGAATATCATCTCAAATACCTCTCTTCTGGATTCCGGAGCTCCCCCACGGCGAGAGCCAGAACACTACCGTAATTGCTGCCTTCAATGCACAATACTTATTACTGAACAATGCCCTGTCACAAAGAAATATCCAATTGACAGCTGCATGGAGAGTCCCTTTACCCGATATGCAGAACCTCAATCATCAACAATTCATTTTCGTCTCGGCAGTCAGGATCAAAGCACCAGGAAGGTTAAGGCGCATGTGAACCATCATATTATCACATCATCAACATGGTTTGAAGATGGAAGATGGAGTAGAGGCTTTAGTGAACAAGCCGCTGTCTGCATGTCAAGTGACCATGCCGCTTCCACATGCAAAGGTCGTGCTCCTGGGAGCTCTGGAGTTCTGGAGTCCTGTGATACTTCCATACTTCGTCCTTCTCTATCGATAACTCGGAGGAGTTCCGCTAGCCACACATCGCTGCTCCTTTTACCGTGTATCTCTCTCAGGGCTTGGTAAATAATAATGTGCACGGGTTTGATACTGAGCAGTTCTGGTTCGAAGTCAGTGGGATTTTGTTCGAAGCTTGTTCACAACTGCCAAGGACGCCAATGCCTTTTTGTCTTGGAGCAGGACGGCCCTTCTACGTTTCATCAGCTCCATCACAAGTCAGGATGTTCCACGACTGACGTCAAGCTACATATCTTCTTCATTTCCGGGCGGTGATCTCTCTCTACTCCCTCGACTCTCAACCATGTGACTTCTCTTGAAGACAAATCTTTGAGATGTCTGATTATTCTAGTCCAAGTCGCAGGAACAGCAATCCCATCCCACCTCTAGAGGGCACTTTACACGAGGATACTTGTCTTGGAATCGTTCCAATTGGGCCATGCTCCGCAACATCGCGAATTACCAATGGATGGCTGTTTTACCAATGCCCTATTCAAGTACTCAAAGGCGCCACGCCGGCGAAAGCCTACGGACCGATATTCCAGGATGCGTGGGGGACTGGGATCAATGATCAGCGACTGGTCAAGTCCAACTAGGGCGCTACACATGACCGATTTCTACCACCAATTTGATTCTTGTTTGTTGATGCACCTAGGGTCCTCTCGGTGCGACGCGATGGTCGGTTGAAATGACCCAGACACCCCTTTCTCAGAGGATAGAGGGTCGAGAGTAGCAGAGGCAGCGAGCATGTGGCATGTGGATATGGTGGATGTCAGTATCGCGGGGGTCCCACAAGTCACCACTATTTCATGGAAGAGGGACTTGAGGGTGGCTTTTCTGAACCAATAATCCAGGTGACTAGCTGGGCGACAAGCACGAGAACTGTGCCTTTTCTTTACCTTTTTCTGCCTCCGCCCTTTGCTGGGCCAGAGACGGCTCGGAAGGCCCCACGGATGGATTCCCCTATTGCCGGCAGAGGACTTCGTATGGACCCCAAAGGTACTTCGTAGCTTCGAAAAAATTTGACTTGAAGGGAGTGGTCCGAGTGGGAGATGGTGTCTCCTCTTGACAAAGACACAGTTTAAGGAATAACCATGATCCGAGTAGCCTCTGCTTCAGCCTCAGATCCAGCTTCACCTACATCATTTTTGTCTCGAATTGGCTATATCTCCTACCAGACCATACGATACCATACTTTCCTCTTCTACTAAGTACAGAGTGTCGGGTGATTGCTGTGCGAACTGCGCCGCCCCAACTCGCTTGAAGTTGGTTCGTTCTCCAGGTTTTCAGCACAAGCCTTTCTCGTTTCTCTCTCCGCTCCGCGCTCTCTGGGGTTGGGTTGTGGGCGAGAAGAACAATCGATAAGCAGATAAAGAATCCACGCGATAACCTTCATTCACCCCACATCAACCACATCCCCTTTCCCTTTCCGCTGTCATCTTCGCGCCCTTGATGGGTTTGCTGAACAGGTACATTCACGACACATTCACGACCGTGACGATACCAGCAACATTGGGCGCGGTGTTGACCGAAGCGCTGACGAAAAGACGCGCCAACGCCAACGCCATCCTGTCTCCTCTCTCCTCGTACCAGCACCAGCACCATCAGCATCAGCCCCCACCTGCCCAACAGCCAAACCTAAACCCAAACCCAAAATCAGACTTAGGCCCACACCTAGACCTAGCCTGGCTCCAAGACTTGGACAAGCGCGCCGCTGCACCCCCTATTTTCAACTTTTCCATTTGGTTCCGTAGGTTTGGTTTCGCAAGAGAGGTTGGCTTTCCAGCAAAACGAGACAGTTCTTAATTGATTGTGTCTGTTACTCGCACCAGTAACCGCGGGCCGGAGCATTTCCGGATTTCGGACAGCCCGTCGTTCGGCTTGGAACTGACAACCACAAACCGCAACCCCGCCCCAGGGCCATCTACTGCGCCAGGAACCACGTCACCGTTCTCCAACCAAACCAAGTAACAAGTTCGAGGAGAGGTGCGAAACCAAGCCCTTCGCAAAGCTTGTGTATACTTCTTCGCATCTCGTGCGATTGATGGCGGCCGCTACGCCCCCGTACAATGTCTCCTTCGAACCTGCGAGGCTGGCGGAGACGTCCATGCCAATACCAATTGAGCACTCCGAGGTTATGGTCGACGAACAGCCTACGAAGTTAAAAGGAAGAACCAGGCTATTGCAGGGTCTCCAACGAATATCCTCATCCCCATCTCTCGTTCAGCTGGGCAGAAAACGAGCGACGAGCAATCCATATGGCGGCAGAAGCTCCTTGTCGTGTGTGAGTTTGGCTTCAGGAAGCTCTCCACGAAACTACGACAGCCCATACTCCCCTCAGCCGCTTGGGGAAGAACAATCCTCCGCCCCTACACCGTACCAAAGCACATATGGACTCGATACGCCTTTCATCGATGGCTCATATGTTGAGCCCGCAATTAGGCGGAGGGAGCAAGGCTATTTCACCCCTGGCACATCTGTTCCAACAAGCCCTCTACCACCGGATGTGCGACCCCACTCTAGGGGAGCACTACTCCCATTTCCACCATATTCGTCGGTTGCAGAGATCCCCAAAGGCGTGTCTTTGGCTACGGCTCCCCCGAAAAGAGCACGACGAGTAAAGGTCGATTTCTGGAAAGAAATGCCCCATGAAATTAAGGTTGCTATTTTTGCATATCTGACGCCAAAACAGCTCGTGCGGATCTCCGTCGTGAGCAAGGACTTCCATAAGATGTGTTTTGATGGGCAACTTTGGACTTGTTTCGATGCCTCGGAATTCTATAAGGATATTCCTGCCGAATCTCTGGCCAAGATTATTGTTGCGGCTGGGTTCTTCGTGAAGGATCTCAATCTTCGAGGTTGCGTTCAAGTTGAACACTACAAACGGGCAGAGGTCATCGTGAAGGCGTGCAGGAATCTCATAAATGCAACTCTCGAGGGATGCCGGAATTTCAAGCGACATGCCCTTCACAATCTCCTCGAATCCAATGGGAGGCTGGCCAATCTAAACCTCACTGGTCTTACAGCTGTCACTAACGGAACTTGCAAGATCATCGCCCAATCTTGTCCGTCACTAGAAGTCTTCAATGTTTCGTGGTGTACTCGCATGGATGCTCGCGGCATTAGGACCGTCATTCAGGGATGCCGCTTGCTCAAAGATCTTCGAGCGGGAGAAGTCAAGGGATTCGATAACCTAGACCTGGCTCAAGATATTTTCGAGACCAACAGGCTAGAGAAATTGGTTCTCAGTGGCTGCACTGATGTCAATGACAAGGCACTCCAAACTATGGTCGCTGGTCGGGACCCAGAAATTGATATCCTCACTGATCGTCCTGTGGTGCCCGTCCGCAACCTTCGACATCTTGACCTCAGTCGGTGTAGCCATCTTACCAGCGCCGGTGTGAAGGCATTGGCTCATTTAGTTCCTGAGCTACGAGGACTTCAACTAAGCGGCTGCTCCCTCCTCACTGACGATGCTCTATCAGATATTCTTGCTACCGCTCCTCATCTCACCCATCTCGATCTCGAGGAGATCCCGGAGCTTACCAACACACTCCTCTCCCAAGACTTGGCCAAATGCCCTTGCGCACCCAAGCTCAAACATCTCTCTGTCAGCTACTGCGAGAATATTGGCGACGTAGGTATGATACCTGTAGTCCGGGCCTGTACCGCCCTTCAGAGTATCGATATGGACAATACCAAAGTCAGCGACCTTGTGCTAGCAGAAGCAGCCGCTATGGTTCGCGCTCGCTCCTCACGGACAACATCCCCCGAGTCTCTCCCACGCGTCGGCCTCCGCATGGTAGTGTTCGACTGCGCGAACGTGACATGGACAGGCACACGAGAAGTCCTATCCTGCAATTCCGAAGTCAAGAAACCAAGTGGTACCCAAAACGGGGCGGTGACATACCCCACTGAAATCATATCCTTAAAATGCTTCTACGGATGGCAAATGACTGTCGATGAGCATACAAAGCGGGTTCTCCGAGGCGATTTCTCAGCCGCGGGAAGACTGGAGCGCAAATGGACAGAGTACCAGATGGCCAATGAAGAAGCCGGTGCCGGCGGCGCAGGTGCCCGGAGAAGGCGCCGGAGGGCTAGAGAAGCCCAGATGCTCCATGCGGATGAGGAGGAGGGCGGGGTGGGCATGGGAGGTATTGGACGGAGAAGGAGGGCGCGAAGCAATGGATGCAGTGTTATGTAACGCGCATAGCTAGCTGGCACGGTAGTTATCGTTGTACTTCTATGACTCTCCTCCCCGGGGCCTGGGAAATCGGTGTTTTGGGCTTGGTGTGTGCAATTGGTTTATTTATAAGGGGCATGGAGTAGGTAATGGCTACTTTCGTTGTAGCATGTCATTCATTAGGATTCATGCATGGGCTATCACTGATTGACTCGAAGGTAGATAGGGAGGCTCTTGTATACCGACAGTTTTTGGAAATTATTTGAGCTATAGGGAGTGATATTCCTAGGCGAGTAATGTTAACCTACGACTTGTTGGTTTCCTATGAGGGGGTTTCTGATGAGAGCATCAATCCAATAAATATTCACCACAAGATTTAAGATTCCACAAGGTTAATAAAAAAATCATAAAACGTACATCTTCAAAAGGCACAATAAACACAGCATATTTCAATAATTCATTATTCATTTTTTGCAACGATCCACAGCCACTTTGCCTGATCCCATCTTACTTTCCCCCTAGACACCCACTCCGACGATATATGCCTTTAGGTAACAAACTACACCAAGGTATATATCGGTAATCTAATCACCACCAATATCCTCAGCAATTCCGTCCTCAAACTTCTCCATAACCTTGTCCCCCACCTCACTAATCTTCAGCTTACACGGCTCGCAAAGCTCTGATACGTAATTATACGAGCGCCACAAAGCGGAGAATTTACCCTCACAGGGCTTACCCACCTTGACAGGGAGGCATTCGTGGACAACAGTGACGTCGTAGTTGTGGTTGCAGGCTGAAAGTCGGTGCTCGTATTTGCACATATTGATGGGTTGTTTTGCTTTTTGGTGTTTTGTTCGAGCGTGGATGGTATGGGATGCAGGATGAGGTTGATGGGTGATGAAGGTGGCGAGGGAGGATAGGTACATATGTTTGGTGGTTGGTTGCTGTATGCATTCTGCCAAAGGGTGTTATTGCGATTTTCTTTGGGTGTATGATGAAGGGGCCAGTTTCCGTTCTGTGATTGAGACTGCTTTGTTGAACCGTAAGTGCCTTGAAGGGTTAATTACTCTTTCTGTTGAGTATTCCATCGTTTTTGAGATTTGAGGATAACGGTTTGGCAGAAGCGGGGTCTCTTTTGAAGGAGCACAATGCCATTATGCCATTATGAGAATGCTCATTCTTTGTTGATCCATACTGCCCTATGAATCCTGCAGACGCTTATCGATGCTTCAGTTTCGACTCGTGCTCTTGCCAGAAATTCTTGCACGCTCGGTGGCCCCAATACTCAATCCACCATTCCCCAAAGCTATCTTCAACCTGGACATCAACTTTGCTGACTCTCTCCTCCCGCTTTATACCGCATATGACGCACGGTTTTGGTGCAGTGAGACCCCCTTCCTGGGTTTTGACATGGATAGTTTCCGAGATCTCAGGTATCGTTAAATGCTGCGAGGTATCAGAAATACTCGAATTTGCCACAGCAACAGCTGAGCGTAGACGGCCAAGCTGCTCTTTCCATACTCGAACCACTTCTGCAGATTCTCGTTCTTCCCGCGTGACCTCAGCTTTGTCAACGCCTGTTAACTTCATGCCGCCTTTTCCTCCAGCTGCAGAGGGCCCAATTTTCATTGACTGTGAGAGGATGGTGTCCCTCTTCCAGCGCAATTTCCGGCCTGCAATAATCCGGGCGGCCACGGTGGCGATGAGGATATATGCACGGAGGAAGCTGATCGTTGATGGATCTGACAATATTCGATTCTTCATCGGAAACGGTTGATTTACCACTCCTTTAAGCAATGTATCTTTCGGAAGATCAAACAATGGCGGGAAAAGCGTAAGCAAGACTGATGGCGGTGGGACATTGGTTGGAGGAGGAATACTAGCTGGCTCTGAGGCAACGCCGTCTGCGGCGTCCCAAGCCCAAGCATCTGCTAAAATGCCCGAAGCTGCCTTTGTGGCAGTGCCAGGCGGAGACTCTGGAAGATCTGCAAAATCACCCCATTCATCCCCTGGTTGGTCATTGGGGGCAGGTGAGTCTTGATACGGGGCTGGTTTTGGGACTTCGAATGACGGCCACGCTGTTACCGGTGATGCGGATTGCGGCTTATCTGCCTTCTTCGCGGCCTCAACTTGATTCATGGCAAGTGCCAGTTGCTGTCCAAAAGGATTTCTTTCTTGGAAAGAAGGTGATTTGGGAGCTTGTGGATATGGCAACGTGCCAGCACTTAGAGTGAGTGGTGCTGGCGACAGGGCTTTGGAGTTGTTCGGGATTTTCGGCGCCAGAGTCGTGGCACCAAAAAGCGTTTCCAGAGACTGAGATGCTGGGGGCGGAGGCTCTGGTGCAGATTCAGCAGTGAAAGTCTCAAAATCCCCGAACTCGTCCTCATCGTCCTGGTCAGCGGATATCTCATCTGCAGCATCGAATAGTATTTCCCCAAATGAACCTTTAGAAGCCGCTGCTGGTCTTTGTGGCGGTAGACTTTCCGGTTTTGTGGCTGGTACACTCGGCATAGATTGGGATTCAGTTATATTGCTAGAGAATAGGTCTAATGTCGGGCGCCGAACTATCCTAGGCCCATTCTGACCTGGCTTTGTGGTGACTGCTACGCTATAGCTGGTTGTCGCAGGAGGGCGCGGTTGGGTAGGCTCCGTAGACACTTGTGTAGCATTCTCAAAAGATCCCCAGATATCTTCTTCGGCGACATTTGGCTTGCTATTATTCAGATTCGATTGGAAACCAGCCGCTCCCCCCCAGATATCATCACTTGGGTTTGCCGGTTGGCTCTGCCATTGCGTTTGCGTTCCTCCCGGGGCGGTATGACCGTGTTGTTGATTCGTACCCCCTAGAACAGCGAGATCATTCAAAGCTGGAGCAGTATTCGATCGAGCGTCTTGAGGGGCGGTGTAGAAACTATCGAATTCGGCGAGAAGGTCGGACGACATAGTGTTGAACTGTGTATATAGCAAGGGAGCTCTCGATTTAGTAATTTCCAGGACACGGGTAAGGCATGGAGCAAATCTTCAGTGATATTTAATCCCACCTCCGAGCTCAAGGATCCCGAGACATGTGAGATGCGTCAAAGCAATCGCTCGCTGCGTGTTTGCTTTTCTCGTCCCCTAGATAGGTCTGCACAGGAGGGAGGCTGAAAGAGCGAGCGAATTCCTGAGTGGTGGCTGGAGTCTGGACCTCCGCTTGCCAAGCCTCATAAGAGCAAGGCTGAACCGCGGCGAGCGAAGACCACAACAGGTACAGGGTATTTAGCGTAGCATTCGCTAAATTTATAGGGGGCTTTAGGGGGTCAAAACCCACAGATTTTACAACCTTACATTAACCGCTACAATTATACGAATATTCCAAAGGTTCAATTTTTAGAACGATCCAATGTATTTTAATATATGCTTTGAATTTGGAGTGTTTCGGTTTTTTGGTTGTGTTAATATTTAACATTGGGTGGTCGGGGGGCTTAAGGGGTTGATCTCAATGTGAACCAGATTAGTGGTCATTGTCCCATCATTTTAGCATCCATCTTATGGAGATACTCCTTCACTTCTTCATCATCGAATCCGTAGGCTAATCTCACCATTTCATACGTAAGCTCTTCTTCCATGCCATCGAAAACGTCGGGCTTTCCGAGTATGGCGTATATTCTCGACGCAGGGCCGTCCAGTGTATCGGCGATTGACTTTCGTAAGGATCGTCCTCTACTGTCAAGTGCCTGTTCTGCGTCTCGAAACTTCTGGCGGTACAAGCTTCGTGCTGCAACTTGGCGGGATACATTGTGGTGTGCTATGTGGTCCGGGTCGTGTAGAATACATTCCGTCTCTGCATCTGGAGAAATGAGCGGAAAGGGCATTGGGTAGTGGTTAACCTCCCAAGGGGCAGTCTGAGCAAATTCCCAGTCGATTATGGCGAAGAAATTAAAGTCCTGGTCGACGAGGATATTTTGCATTCCCATGTCCATATGGTTGAAGTGGAACGGGCACTACCAGTTTTGAAGAGGGCTGTACTGTGCACGATATCTTTGAAGATAAACGGACCTAGTTTGGCAAAATTGTTGCTGCTGTCATCAGTGGTATCGTTTTTGCAGGCCTGACGAAATTTAACCTCAGCGATAGCGGCGAAATAGTCCCATATGTCGGCAAAAGGGCCATCAGCTGGGAGGCTATCTGCTACAGCTGTAGAAAGTTTGCCGATCATGGCACCCTTATCTTTTGAGAAATGGGCGATGGAGCCAATTTGGGGAAATGTAAAGGACGCCAGCTCAGCCTGGATAGAAGTCCACTGTGTGATGATGTGTTCCTGCTTTGAGATCTGCTCTCGAAAGATTAGAATTTTGTCACGGCAATACCACATTAATAGGAATGTGGAGACGGACTGGAAGCTCGTAGATCTTGTATTGCACATCTTGTAGCGTGTTGCCGTAAAACCCTTCAATAAGCATATAGGCCGCGCCAACATCTGCTGCCCTTTGCGAGCCTAGGCCTTCATAGGCATATAGCTTAGGGGACGAGATCGTAGCATTCTCGGCGAGGAATTTCATTGTCTCAACTTCGCACTAGATTGAATACATCTCAGAATTCTCATTGACATCTTCAGTGCTATCGGGATGCCTAGGAAGCCGTACACGGGCAATAATAAGGCGGCCGTCGGCTGCCAGCAGTTCGAAACAGTACCAGAATTGACCAGCAGAGAAGGGCTCACTGATTGAGACCGACTGACTCGTGATGAGTTGGGCGTGCTCCACGAGAAGGAGCTTGTTGACGATTCTCATGAAGCTCTCAAGACGTTCTTTCATGCCGTTGTAATCCCAACCGTCGTAGGATGTCCAACCTGCGCTGGGGGGAGCCATTTTAGGCACGGTAGTTTCCATAGTTGGGCTTCATGAGGGTATTAGCGAATTGGTCTGAATAGTTCTCGAAAAAGTAGGAAGGTAGCAGGCCATGGAAGCTTGTCGCTTCCTGAATATTCTGGGAAATCCCTTTGTAGCTCTCGAATAGTTTTAGAAGGGGTGGAGGTCGAATAAGATTGACTAAGGAGGCTCCCGGAGATCGAGAGTGGAATGGCTGATTGTGAATCGCTTCCAGATGCGATTCTGGCAAACTATGCAATACGATGTGTGATCCATGATTGAAAGGTGAGATACTTGTAGGCGGTGACTGGCTCGTCGATTGCTTGAACAAGAAAGAGCGCAACCGTTGTACAGTATATTATATTCACGTGATTGCACGTGATTACACGTGACTGTAAATTCTGCGCACTAAGCTGCGAAGTTGCGCTAATACGTACATAAGTATCATTAGGGCAAAAATGGGTCAACAACCAATCGCCCAGCCCCCATGGCACAGTGGTAATGCGTCGCACTGTAAGCCATCTATAATAACCGACCACCTGAGATTTATACTAATGGATTTTGTCAATAGCGTAAATCACGTAAAATGCGAAGATCATGAGTTCGATTCTCATTGGGGGCATTTGCCTGTTTTTTTGCATTTTTGACTTACCTTAGACGCTGCTGAGCCAGCTAAGCGAGCAGATCACCTGATGAGCTCCCAAAACAGCCACAGCGGCGCAGTCCTGGGATTGTTAGGGATTGTTATAATTTTAATAAAATGGGCTAACTTAAGAGGAGGGGCTCTAACCGTCTTATTTTTTTTGGTCGTTATCGGGTTTAGTACTTTAAGTTAGAGCACAAGCACGGGTATGTGCCAAGCCTAACCTAGTAACACTTACTCCTTACTCCGGCTGTAGTCCCATCTAGAAATCAAGAACAAGGAACACCAGTCTCACCGTGACAGAAAGACCTCTGAAGACTTTGAAGCTCACGACGTAGTAATGCGATCGTTGGAAGAGTCAAGGTGCCTAATCTACTATCTGGCCCAATCCCCACCACACCTACTGACAGACGAAGGAAACGATGGCAGGCTACACAGAGGCACGCTTCAAGCCTCGGGGAGCTGAGCAAAGCCGTCAAGGCGGATGGCAATGACAGCCCCTGTGTTTCTGGTCTCCGCTCAGTTTGTTGGAAGGCAGGTTACTTGCTTGCATTGAAGCCAGAAACCAACAACTAACGGACTATTATTTATTTACAGACATTTCTACTCTTTCAAGACACTGAGGTCACGGGATGGTCACGGGCTCTGGCCAATTCCAGAAGTGCATATTCTTCCCTGAGGGAGCATCTTTTGAGATTTATAGAAAATCCAGACGAAGTCGGCTCTGCACAGGATCCCTTGGATGATGACGAGACTGTACGTGACTCGCTAATTCCCCTCGATTGCTCAATGAAAATAAAAAGATGGCTTCATCTGGTTCCTCATCATCATACTGAGATTTGCAGTCCCCTTGGAAAACTATGCGCCAAGATGAGGAGATAAGGGCAGAAATATATCAGGATGTTGAACGATGTATGCCGGATGAAGAATATTTCCGCAAGCCTCGAACACAGCGTATGTTATTGGACATATTATTCGTCTTCTGCAAGATTAACCAAGATGTTGGCTATCGACAAGGCATGCACGAGGTCCTCGCCCCGATTTTATGGGTGGTAGAACAAGATGCTCTGAATTCAACGAGCTATGATCAATCAACAGAATCTGATGCAGATACATTGATGAAGGAGGTCCTAGACCCGGTTTATATTGAGCACGATGCTTTTACTCTCCTGTCACTGGTCATGCGGTCGGCAAAGTCGTTCTATGAGCTTGGTGATCCGGATCGCAAGTCAAATATCATGTCGACAGCGACTGGAACTCCACAGCAAGCTGCTTCACCAATTGTGGAAAGAAGTAGGCGGATACATGAAGTTTATTTGGCAAGCCTGGATCCAGAGCTTGCCAAGCACCTGACAGATATTGAGATTCTCCCACAGATATTTTTAATGTGAAATTTCCTTGCTTCCCCCATGCTTCGAATAAGGCACTGACATGACCATTAGACGCTGGATTAGACTCCTGTTTGGGCGCGAGTTTCCCTTCGACGAGTTATTAACTATGTGGGATACGCTTTTTGCGGAAGATCCAGCGTTAGATCTTGTGGATATGGTTTGCGTGGCTATGCTCCTACGGATACGGTGGCAATGTAAGTGGACCGTAATGATGATAGACTGGCGCTTATCTATTTTACAGTGATAGAAGCCAATTACTCAATTGCGTTGATGCTTCTACTAAAATACCCATCCCCGATATCACCACATGGGCCTCGAACATTCGTGGACGATGCCATTTATCTTCGAGATAATTTAAATGTTGCCGGTGGCGCGCAAATCATTAGCAAGTACGGAGCAAAGCCTGTTCAGCTGCAATCGCCGGCCTCCCAGCCTTCAACGCCATCCGGCCGGCTTAGTCCAAGGCAAAGACTGCCCAGACAAATTGCCTCACCAGCCAGATTCTTGCAGCAACAAGGAGGAGTTGAAGCTCTTTTCCAGGAGGCGGCCAAGGGGGTTCTAGAGCGTGGAGAACGGCTTGGTATTAACCAAGCTGTCAGAGACGCAGTTGGCGAGGTAAGAAAGAACATGCAAGGGCTCCAAACTTCTAGGAGCAATTCGACGCGGAGTAGAACCTCAGAGGGCGCGAGATGGTCACTTGATGAAGGACGGACAATCCACCCTTCAAAAGCAAATGTATCCGCCATGAACGCTCGGAATCAACAATTAGCCCTGATGCTTGACGCAGCAATGGCTGACCTGCGAGCTGTGTCTGTGTCGAAAGACAGCGACAAAGAGGCGTGTGTCAAAGCTATGGATTTGGCAATTGCTAAGGTAGATTTTGTCAAGATATACCTAGAGGATTCAACGATGCCTCTTCTCCCCGATTCTCCGCAACTTTCTGCTACGAGTCCACCTCCTGCATCGCCGCAACCGATACTACATGGAGCTGTGCCCGTCGCGGCTCCAAAGTTGGCCGACGTATCAACCGCAGGTGCCAGAACTCAGAAAGCATCCGCCGATGATCTATTAGTATCACCTGCCCTTACCCCAGATCCGCTTTCAAGCGTGGAGAATCAGACGATTCAGAAATCACAACAAGAATTACCAGCAAGGCCAAAGGAGCCTGTGCCGACACGTTCAAGTATAGCACAATCGTAAGTGTTTCCAAGCGCAATCCCGCACTTTTTATTATTGGTCATGCCTGCTAGTTATGCAGACTTCTTAGCCATTCGCAATTTTCTAGAGATGAGAGACCTTGACTGATCTTGTGGGATAGTTCTTTCAGTTGGATGCTGGAGCCCGAGAGACCTTCGAGTTTACATAAATCATCACCTCCACAACCCCCTTCGCCGTTCCAAAAATCTGGAAGGCGGCCTACCTCGGGGCCGGGACGCGAGAAAGCAGCATTCCTCTTTGGGGAAGATGGAGAGGGGTCCGGTATGACGAGCGCCAGGTTACCTCCATTAGGTGATGGAGAGGAGGGGTTCCATCTCGGGACAATTGAACGTGGGGGCAAGCTCAAATAGGACCCCGATGACTTGGTGATAGAGAGAGATATATAACTCAGCAATTGGCCCACGAGCCTCCCTCCCCATTGAATGAAATGCCTTCTTTGCGGCGGAATGATGGGCCCAGCCGACCAATTGCCCAATCATGTTATATACCTAGGTAGGTATATATGGCCAGGTCCCCCCTCCCAAGAAAGACGGCTCGCCTTGGACTTGCTGCATGAGAGAGGAAATAGAACGGGTTGAGCAGCGAGCACATCTGCGGACTCCGTCTGGATATTCCGCGAGCAAACCCCCGTTTTGAGCTGCGTTTCGGTGCCATTTCTGCGAGGTTACTGCAGTTTATGCAAGTTCTTCATGCAGTATCCCACGCAGGCAAGCGAATGCACAATGCGACCACCCACAACCTGCCCTGCAATTAAATGTGATGAGAGCATAACTCTCACCACTCAACTATATCCTGCCTGCTATTTTCTCCTCTGTCCGGCCCGGGATATGTGTGCCGCTAAAGCCTCAACGGTTTTTTTCCCATAGCGGCCACCAGTTCACAACATCGGCTCATACTCCGTCCGAAACGGATCTGGTCCTCCAAGTTCCTACGGGCGGGCTTGTCTCGGATACCCTTCCCGAGACGAAGCCCGTGTTTTTCTTGCTTCTTCTGCCACTGGCTTAACCTGCCGAGGCGGTGGTACATGTATATGTATACTTCGTACTTCGTATGTCGCTGAGGATTGGTTGAGCAGGGACGATGTTTGGGCCAATAGCACGGGCAAAAGCGCGGAAATTGTATTGATTGATGGATGGGTTCGAGATCACGCTGAGTTTAAGACGCACGCTTTGGCACAGCTTGCCCTGTGCCGAGGATCCCGCACCAAAGAGCTCTAGGGTGCAGAGAAGCAGAGACATTAGGGGATTGCTCTTTCTCGTTCGTGTGGAGCTGGGCGCATTGAATGACAGATGCAGAGGGAGAGGGGCGTACATAAAAATGGAGATAAAGTGTGGCAAACTGGAATGTACTATACGTTGGAATTGAATTGAAATTAATTGAATTGCTGGTAGTAAACTAGCAGCCTGCCTCGTACCTGAGATGTGGAATCCCTACATCAAATGCAGCTATTTACTACACACCGTATTTATTTACCTACCTGTATTTATTGATTGCTACTTCCTAGACAGGACTTGGAGCAGATTGAGACTGAAAACACAGGAAATTCGCTAAGTGGCCCAATAGCAACCCGTCCTCACTGATCTCTAGCCAAGGGCAAAAAAAGAGCGGGGTTCTTCGTACAGAGACAAGATCAGTTGAACAGAGTCTCTCCAGTCCCAGCTGAAGCAGAGTCCAGTAGCAGCAAGCAGCAAACCTCAAAAGCTCTTTTTCCACGTTCGTCCATCAGCCTCTCTCCCTCGCTCTCTACCTCCCTCCCCTTCCCCCCCACCACCACCCCCAAGGTACGTCTACATCCACCTCCACACTACACCTTCTACATCTTCGCCTCCCTTCGTCCTCTTCCTCTCATCCTCTTCTCTCTTCACATCAAACCCAACTCTCAACTACGCGTTACTTACCCATCACCCTCTTCTAGTCCTACCTCCTCCTCGACCTTCCCAACCTTCCTCCCCTCCCCATCTTCTTCCTCATTCTCATCTCATCCTCACCTTCGCGCCAGCTCCCATTGTCGCGTCGTCTTCATCCTCCGATATCCGACTCGCCCCTCGCCCCCCCCCCCGTTGGCAACTTAACCGTCGCTTCACCCCACCACCCCTCCTTCGTGCGCTTCGTGAGAACTCCTCCAGAGGTACGAATTCTCCCTTCGCTTTCTTTTATGTTGCAATATCTGTTTATTCTGGAGCCTTCGGTCAATTGGTGCAAGTCTGCACCTAATATTGACCTGCCAATTTTTTAATATCTTGTTATCTATGCTTGTCTTCCCAACATAAACTAACCGATATTTCTACAGCTACACACAATCCCCCCCACCAATACCTACTGGCAAACTCCTCACTTGCCCAATCTGCAATTACCACCCCCTACCTTCTCTCCCAAAAACGAGATATCATATCACGAAAATGTCATCTCCTCAAGACAACCGTGACATCGCTCCTAATGGCGACGAGCTTAACGAGAGCATGAACAACCTCAGCGTTGGTGGCGACGACCGTCTTGGTCCCGATGGCGAGCCGCTGCCCAAGACCGACGAAGAGTATGCCGAAGCGCAGCTAACCCTACGTGCTATTGTTTCCTCCAAGGAAGCTGGCGTGATCATCGGCAAGGGCGGAAAGAATGTTGCAGACTTGCGCGACGAGACTGGCGTCAAGGCCGGCGTTAGCAAGGTTGTTCAGGGTGTGCACGATCGTGTTTTGACCATCGCTGGAGGTTGTGAAGCTATCTCTAAGGCGTATGCTATTGTGGCAAAGGCTTTGCTCGAAGGCGCACCTCAGATGGGCATGGGTGGAATTGTGTCAAATAACGGCACCCATCGTACGTGACAGCTCTTTTTCCCTCTAAATTTACCAAATAACGAATACTAACAATGTGACCCAGCAATCAAGCTCTTGATCTCTCACAACCAGATGGGTACGGTCATCGGCCGACAAGGCCTTAAAATCAAGCACATTCAGGACGTGTCAGGAGTCCGGATGGTCGCGCAAAAGGAGATGCTGCCCCAGTCTACGGAGCGCATTGTCGAGGTTCAAGGCAGCCCTGAAGGAATCCAGAAAGCTGTGTGGGAGATTTGCAAGTGTCTGATTGAGGACTGGCAACGAGGCACTGGCACTGTGCTCTACAACCCCGTCGTTCGCACCCAACCAGGAGCCGCCGGAATGGGCCAGGGTCTTGGTGGTAGCCCTCGCGGCGATTACAATAATACGCGTGTGATGCGCACTGGAAATGGAGCTGATTTCAGCGAGGGCGCCCCCCGCTATAATAACCGTCGTTCCGATTCAGATGCTGCTCAGCGTGGCCTTCCTACCCATGATGAAAATGGAGAGGAGCTCCAGACCCAAAATATCAGCATCCCATCGGACATGGTTGGCTGCATCATCGGCCGGGCAGGTAGCAAGATCAGTGAGATCCGGAAGACCTCTGGAGCACGTATCAGCATCGCGAAGTCACCCCATGACGACACTGGCGAGAGAATGTTCACGATCATGGGCAGTGGCAAGGCCAACGAGACCGCGCTCTACCTTCTCTACGAGAACCTCGAGGCAGAGAAGATGCGCCGAAGCCAAGGTGCTCCCCAGGACTAAAAATGGAAACGCATTCGGGTTCATCCAATTTCCTTTCGTGCTGGCAAGCATTGTCTAGGTTCTTCCAGATCTGACTTGCCGCAAGGCTGATATTGACGCGATGGATCTCCGAAGATGATTCGCCCCTCTAATTGTCCTATATTTTTTTCTCTTTCACTAAAAAAAGCATTTCATGGGCTCACTTTCAACGAATTTTTCGATCTTTTCTTTACGATCCGGACTTTACGACGTTATGGTCATCGGCGCTTGCATGGTATACGCAGATCGCTCTTAGCAAGCTGCCCATTTCCCCTATGAGACTCGACACAGACGACTCGCCTTGACATTCAAATCACTCGAGACACCGACACCCTGTCTCGATATCTCTGCCAACCCGACGTCCTTCCTCGAAAACGTACGAGAAGCGCCCTAATCTCGCCATCCATGCGGCTATGACCCGATTCTCATAAAGTCACACAAATCACACAAATCACACAAAATGCTCCTTTCCCACTCGAAATCCCCCACGTCATGGAAACCAATTCACCCCGCGTCTTCGCACTCACTCACTCCCTCAGCCACACAACCCCGCAAATAGTCCTATTACGCTCAAGCACCAGCCATCTCCACCGTGTTATATCAACCCGATCTCGTGGGGATGTCTGTAGATTTAGCCAATATAAGCACTAAACAAGTTTCTAAGCCAATGCTATATGTGATACTAACCATAAATCCTACGATTGAGAATATTGCATCGTATCATGTCCACTGTGGCTGGGATTTATACTCATTAGATCACTAATAACCCAGACTTAATAGCGAACAGTGTCTGTTTATAATTCAGCGTATGTAGGGTACTGTGTCTTGAGTCTTTCGATATATTGGAGGGCTTTCTAAATCTTCCACCCTTTGATAGGGCGGATAGCGCGATGTATCCATAAATCCCCACGAAGTCGAAGCATCCAATCATAGTTTCGTTATGCATCCTTCTCTGTATCCCACGCCAGATATGCATTCAATCATTCAATCATCTTCAAGCTATCCGTATAAGTCAACCAGTTGACCGCCCCTCCCCCACATTTACCCCCGACCCGATTGATCTACATTCTACCCTCGCCCACCATTATAATCCGCACCACCCGCCTTCCTCAACCTAACCACAATATCGCCCTCCTCCAAATCCCCCTTATCCCTCGCATCAACCTGGATGCTATGATGCCCCAACACCCTCTTAACTTCACCACTCTCAATACTAACCCTCGCCTTCCGCATAACCTTCGTACCCTCCCCAATCCAGATAATCAGCACGAACTTCACCCGCTTACTCTCGGTGTCATTGGCGTACTCGACGCGCACATAGGCATATTGGGCTTGGTTGTTGTCCAGCTTCTCAGCGAGTTCGGAGAGTCCGCCTGTGCCTGTGGAGTCTAGTTTAAGGGTGTCCCCGACGGCCGAGGCGTAGGATATTAGGAGCCAGTTCGCGGGGTCTTTGTCGGAGCGGACGGATTCGTAGGCGGCGAGGATTTCGGGGGCGTTTGCGCCGGACATTTTTGTTGCGGTATTCGTTGCGTTGCGGTGCGTTTTGGTGTATGATTCCGTCTAGTTTATGTATGTACCAGTAGTACAAGTAAGATGTATGTATTGGCGGGTAGGTACTTGGGAGAGATAAGCACAAGGGGGCGTAATCCGAGTTCGATCGAGTTTTGCGGGAGAGGTTTTGTAGTAAATGGCAGAAGCAGAAAATCCAGTTCTGTGGCCGCAATATCTATTCGCAGCTGTAAGTGGGATCTGGACGAGTCGAATTGACCCGCAACGGGGGATTTCCAAGAACGCGCATTGAATAGATCGGGATTAGGGTCCTTGGTCCCCTCTCCCCCCGTATCAAAATACTGCCCCGCCGCACCGCCCATCCCGCGACCCGATGGGGCAATTCTGCCGCGTCCGCAAGGCCAAGCTGTAAGTTGCTTTATAGTTGAGAGTTGAAGCAAGGTGGCATGTCCGGTGTTGCGCTCTCACCCATTCCTACCTCACCCTCTGCCTTTTCCACGCGCAATGGATTTTTCGTGAGATGATAAGATAGAATCTTCTTCGATTGCTATTTTCCCCGTTGTTTTTGCTTTGCTTTACTGCGATAGACCGATATTATTAGAGAAAGACAAAGACAAAGAAAGGCGCAATGGCGAGGACGAAGCAAGCTACGCCGTTAAGGAGAGACCCTTCGTCTGAGTACGTCAAGGGAGATGCACACGGGACCCCGAGTCGCAATCCGCGGAATATGAATGTGGAGAAGGAGAAGAGTCCTAGTCATGCAAATGGCAAGGCCAATGGAAGTGCTCTTGCGCCGGCACACAAGGAGGCAGAAGGTCCAGGCATAGTGCAGTTCTTAATGGCAGTAGGAGGTATCTACGGGTCATTGTACGCAGCCCCAAGTATATCCTCAACCATACCTCAGAGCCAATTTTGCTAACCAAAGGGAATCCAAATATAGTCTAACATGGGCCCTCCTCCAAGAACGCCTAACAACCACCCCCTACGGCTCCTCCTCCGCCCCCGAGCTCTTCAAATTCCCCGTCTTCCTCAATACGGTGCAATCCCTCTTCGCAGCCCTCACAGGGTACATGTACCTCCGCTCCTCGACCAAACCAGGCCAGTCGCCTGCGCCCATCTTCCCCAACCAGCGGATCGTAGTTCCCTTGCTCCTCGTGGCTATAACATCATCCCTAGCCTCGCCATTCGGCTACGCCTCCCTCGCCCACATCGACTACATAACCTTCATCCTCGCGAAATCCTGCAAGCTGCTCCCCGTAATGTTCCTGCACATCACCATCTTCCAGAAGCGCTACCCGCTATACAAATACCTCGTCGTGCTCGCCGTGACCTCGGGGGTAGCCGTCTTCACGCTCCACGCAGGTTCCGCAAAAGCCCACAAGAAACCATCCAAAGCCTCGATAAACCCAGACCGCAATTCCACCTGGGGATTATTACTGCTGGGTATCAATCTGCTGTTCGACGGCCTCACGAACACCACGCAGGATTACATCTTCCAGACCTATCAGCCGTACACGGGACCGCAGATGATGTGCGCGAATAATATCATGAGCACGATCTTGACGCTTAGCTACTTGGGCCTGTCGCCGTATCTAAGCCATACAGGCCTGGGCGAGTACTTGGGCATGGATTTATCGAATGGTGGTAGTGGTGGGGAGTTCAAGGCCGCGTTGGGGTTCATGGCTAGACATCCGGGCGTTTGGTGGGATGTTTTGGGGTTTGCGGCTTGTGGTGCTGTTGGGCAGGTTTTTATCTGTATGTTCCCTTCTCCCCCCTTTCCCCTTTATCCAATCCCCACTTATACTATACTAACAACCCCCCTCTCGCTAGTCTACACACTCTCCACATTCTCCTCCCTCCTCCTCGTAACCATAAACGTAACCCGCAAAATGCTCACCATGATCCTCTCCGTAATCTGGTTCGGACACCGTCTAGGCGGCCGGCAATGGATGGGCGTCGGACTTGTATTTGGCGGTATTGGCGCTGAGGGCATCATCACGCGTATGGAGAAACAGGCCAAGGATAAAAAGGCCGCCGGTGCGGCGAAGAAGGAGTTGTGAAAATGTTCCTTGCGTGCATGTGCGTGTGTGGATTGGCTGGGCGTTGAAAATGGGAGTTTAAATCGGGCGCATGGATGCATGGGTGCATGGAAATGTGCTTATAGATACCTAGATAGGTAGATTCATGAATGATATTTTCGTCACTGGCTTTGTGCTTTGTTTATAGGAGGGAGGGTATAGATGGGTGCATATCTGGTTATGCAAGACGAAGCATCTATGGACACCCCTTCTTGACATATTTTCCTCTATCATGTGCATAATCCCTAAATCCATCACAGTTAAACAGATCACATGCAACCAAACCTCCCCCGCCATCACACAGCACGCGCACAAACAGAGGACATCTGGGTATTTCATTTCATTTCCTATATTCCCATTCCCATTCCTATTCCTATTCCCACCAATCCAACCCTACTATATGCCCGCCTTCCCTTCTTCATCGTCATTACATTTACAAAACCCCAAAGGGGAGGGAAAGTGTCTAGGTATCACAGTTACCAACCAACCCAAAACCCCTTTCCTCGTTCGCTCTCTTATCGCTCCCAAACAACTAACGCCAGCAAATGCATTTCCCTAACATTGCCACCACAAGTAAAACGCCAAGCAATGACCCTTTCGTACTGTCTCCCCTCCGTTTCCATCCTGCAGTCATGATTGATTGATGTACTTATATATTATCTCGGGAAATCGGCCTGCTAATATAAAAAAAAGGGCCATTTCCTGATATAATGGCCCAGATGATTAATCCGGATGGGTGTGGTGTCATTCATACACTACGGGCGCTGTGGCGACCCTTAATCTTGCTGGGCATGAGAACATGCCGAGCATTCAACCCTTGATCTGAACCGGGGTATAAATGGTGCTGTGGTATATATGCGTCTTTCGATTGTTAGGTCTCTCAGAGAAAATCATCGATCGATCGCGTGATAGGGGCCTCGCCCTTCGTCGGTGGGCTCCGAGGATCCTCGTCAACCGCAAGGGACATCCGCTGGGCTGGTGGAGGGAAGAAGGATGATCGGGGAAATTCGAAAGCCACAGGCGAGAAGAGCTCCGAAGGTGGTGGCATTGCAGAACCAGTGCCGAGACCACGAGAGAATCCCTCAAGCGGATTCTGCGTCATTTCTGTCACTCGAGGAGACATTAATGTTTCCCAATCACTCTCTTGGCTAGGCTTAGCAGGAGGTACAGACTGAGACGGTCTGAAAGAGAGAGTCTTTTCGCCGAACCCGAAATCAAAGTCAGCGAATCGGGAAGCTGCCGGGTCACTATTAGGAGCATCCTTGCCCGTTTCAATCATCGATCTAGTTTTATCTCGAGCTGCGGTACCTGGTGTGGAGTTGCCTCGCGCACGGGACGGGGTTATTGGCGATTCGATTGTATCTGCCGATAACGTCGGTCGATGCCTGACTGTTGGTTTGCGGGGCATGCTGATCTTGTCATTCTTCTTCTGGTCGATAATCTTTTTGAAGTCGTTCAGCGAGAACAGAAGGGACATATTGGGGTTAACCCAGCGAGATTTAGCCTGCGCTTGGGCATATGCCTCGGTCGCTCCAAGCTCCGGATTGATGTACATCCCGTACGCAATGATAAGGGTGGCAGACCGACTAGCGCCTTGTTGACAGTGAACTAGCACCCTCTTTCCTTCCTTTACCCTGGAGTCAATCGTTTCACACAAATCCCACAATTCATCCTTAACGTCGGTATTATGGTCCCAAGGCACGTGGATGTACTCCGGCATTCGAGTCTCAGTAGATGGCTTTGGCGTCGTTGGTGATGATTCCGTCGAACCGGGCGGCTGTACCTCAAAAGCGGTTCTGAAAGAAAGCATCGTGGCTGCGGTGTCGGGAGCAATATCACCAGATGGTGAGCTGACTTCCGGGATTATACTGTCTGTAGGTGATGCTCTCTCCTTCGCCTTCTCATCTGCCGCTTTCAAAGGGTTTTTGACTTCCCGAGCAACATTGATAATAACATCAAACTTCATCGCCTCCTCAGCCTTCGGCTCCAGGTATAGATGAACGCTAGGTTCGTACATCAATATCGGCCCATCTGGATAAGATGGCGATTTTGCATCCTCGCCAGTGTGAGGTCGATCGAAACTATCTCCACCAACTGTTACCCCGGGTATCCTAGTTGCCATTTGCACACCAGCAGGAGCTTCTAAGTCGGCATCCTCGCTGATGGTGAACGTATTTGCAGCAAGGTTAGATTCTTTGAAGCGTGGAGGACAGCAGGCCTTGGGGGCTCCTAAAGTCATACCGCCGCTCGGGCCGAAACTTGGTGTCGATAGCATCTGAGGTGATGAGATGGAATGCTTCAAACTTCTCCTTTGCAACATTGATGGCAGCCTAGGAGATGCTAGAGACTCCCCCGGTAAACAAAGTGAGTTAGCCGCTCCGGTATTAAGACTGAGGATGCTAGGTTTCTTCCTTGGCTTCAAAGCTGGGGGTTTGATGAATGAGGGTGATGAAGGCTCCGAGGCCTGGAATGGCTGTGAGGATGGATTCAGATTGAGAGCAAGGCTCTTTGGGTTCTTAAACTTTCGGGGTGATGGCGAGGTCATGGGCCGCTCGTCGCTCAGAGGTAATCGGCTCGGGTTATTGTCCGCCATTTTTAAACTTTGAAATGCGTCTAGACCGAAAGTTGTTCCCCCAAAGGAGGAGAGTGGCACCAAGGTAATAGGAGATTCGGGAGAAGAACTAGGTGAAGGGTCTGATAATGAAGATGAGTCCACAGTAGATATCGTGGTTGTGGGTGATGAGTCGGTCGAGTCCGAGGTTGTAGATGTGCTCTCACGGTATTGATGACCGTGTATTTGTGCAGGGTCGGTGCCATTTTGTTCCAAATTTTGCCGCTCTGGCTGCTGTTCAGGTCGAGGGCGTCGCTGTTCTTGCGGCCGGAACGCTGTTCCTGGTAACTTTGTTCCAATAGTCGCATCGCCGTTCTCAGTTACAGCCGAGTCCATACCATATATGGACATAAATGAAGGTATATGATTCTCATACATTCTAGGCCCCGCTGTTGATGGCATCTTTGAGGAATAGGGAGTGCGTCCTCTAGATCCAGGAGCCTGCGCCGAAATCCCGTCGGCGCGCTGCCGCAACTTCCTCGACTGTGATCCTGCCGTACTCGAAACCGCTAATCGTTCGGGCGAAGGTGATATGGTGACTGCCGTGAAAGACCGCTTTAAGACACGATCATTAGCATTATGAAGACTGGAAATATGGGCCATGGTTTGGAGATGCGTAAATGAAAGGAGTGGTGGAGGCCGTGATTGCCGCAGCAAGCGCAAGCCGTCGTGTTCCTGACACGGACAGTTTGCCTATGAGTTGTTGACCAACTCAGAGAAGAGGCCTGGTAGGAGCGAGTATGGAAGCAGAGGGAGCATTACAAGAAAAGAACAGAGAGCACTTACCAGGTCCAATGCGGCGCTTCGGGGCAGGCAGACTTGATGGCAGACCTGGATGTTTACCGCCGTGAGTTAAGTGTCCCAGTTGACGCGCCCGGATATTGGTAGCACCAAATCGAGGAGAATGGGGGTCTCGAGATGTCGCTGCTATCGGCTATAATTGGCAGCAGTACCGCTTGCAACGAAGGATGCTCCGGCAGCAACAACGGCCTCGAAAACGGCGTCGTGAAATGCGCCCGAACGGTGGCGGCGGAGGGGACAGCGGCGGGCAGTTCAAGGTCGTCCAGCAAGCCCCGTCAGTCCCTACGACGCAATGCAGCAGGCGACCTGAATCAACCTGGGGACGGGTGTCTCTGGCGGTCCTGCCCTCGGTGGCAAAGGGGACTCGGTATTTTCGATGATCGAGGTTTAAAGAAACGCAAGTGCAAGCAGTGAGATCAGTCGTCTGGACGGGTGTTGGCGAAGGCAGGGTTCGACTCTCCTGTTGGCTGTTGGCGGTGGGCTGTGGACTTGTGGGCTTTGGGCTGGGTGCTAGCTAAAGGGGAGTTCAAGTGTCAGCTCGCATGCAGGCAGAGGCTAATAGAGGCCCGGGCCAGCCAGAAGCCAGAAGCCAGAAGAATCCCAGGACGCCCCAGAGAGATGCGCAGTCCCAAAATAGCCCACGAACCAGCGCCGTCGAAATGCCGTGGGCGCCAACGCCGGCGAATGGGCAGCCCGCGAAAACTGGCCTTATGGAGGGACGGCGCACTTACAGGAGCAGCGTCCAGCGGATTGGCCCAGCGACACTAGGAACGGTAGTAATCGCAGGCAAATCAGATGCTGGCCAGCAGGTGTTCAAGAGAACTGAAAGTGCCTTTACCTCCGTATCCCCGTCGACAAACTCAACGCCTCCCGCCGGTGACAAAGCGAAAATGGCGGTGCGGTGCTTCCGTTGGCTGCGGGACAAGGTGCTTTGTTCCAGAGGCTGCTGAAAGAGACTTGGAAACAGAGAATGTTTGGATGAATGAATTATCGATTATTAAGTGAGTGTGTGGGACGAGGTTCTGTGCGAGGTTCTGTGCGAAGTTCTATCCGAAAGTACTGAGGTTCTCGAAGGACGGTGGCGCCTGTGCTCCGTGTCCTGTCCTGTAAGAAAGACAGGTCTTGGTCCGAAGTCGTTCAAGGCGATAGTCGGTGTGTTTTCAATGTCGGTCGGTGTGTTTGCGTTTTGCAATAATGCTGCACCCCAAGCGAAAATAACTAAATAAATAAATAATAGAAGATCCAAAGCTCTCTGCTCTCTGCGCAGTATAATACCCAATCTCGCTGTATCAAGACTCGATCCGCCGCCGACGTCGATGGAAGGATAGAGAGGCTGGTGTTGGGCTCGAGGGAGAGGGCGAAGGCGAGAGATGGATATAAGGCTTGCGATCACCGACAATTGGAACCAGCAGAGGTCGAGCGAGGATGCCGTACGGCGAAGAAGGGGAAGGGGGAGGGGGAGGGGGAGAGGAAGAAGATTATAGAAGCATTGTGAAGAAACAGCCAGCAGCAGAGGAGGGAGGAGGAGGAGGAGGGAGGAGACGCTGGTGTTTGGTTTCGGGGCGTGGTGTTGTTAGTTAGTTCAATGTTTATTATTGAGAAGTGGAAAAATATCAACAACGGCGATTGATGATGCTGGATCCCGAACAACAATAATAATAATACGGCGCATATTACGAGCACGTCCAGACTCCAAGAAAGTCTTGACTCCCGTTGACCGTACCGTACCACTGAGTACAGTGCGTGCGAAGTGCCTGGGTGCAGCGGCAAAGGCCTAACGCATGTCGATTCGCCCAGCCAACGGACCATATAATTGCCCCTGTTGAATTCGAAACATCAAAGGCTTTGCCGCTGTGGCTCTTTTGCGGCCAGCGGGCGAAGATCAGTCGGAGACTGGGGGGAGGGGGGAGCTTCTGAACCTTTGCTAATTTGGAGCCTCACTACACCCACTTGAGGCACGACGCCACTTGACGCCGCCTAGATGTAGCTAATAGCTAATCCGAGTACGAAGGACGGAGTAATGGTGTAAATATATATAGGAAAGTATATTTAGAGAAACAGTTAGTTACGGTACCTACTAGCCGCCTCCTAGCCAAGAACAAGAACAAAAACCAATACTCCGTACTCCGCAGACGAGGTTGCTACTGTACGAAGGACACCAGGTACTGTAGATACCCAGACCCGCCATGGCACGTGCCATTAGGTGGTCATACTACCTATTTTCGTCCGTTCAGCGTTCGCAGTTCGAACCACGGTTTTCAGGGATGCTAATAACTGTAGTCTGTGTGTGGTTCGCGTGGTCTGTTGCATCTACTCCGTAGACAGGATAATAATCGTCTGTAGGAAACACTTGTGGTCCGGCTTACGAGTAGTTGATGAAGATCGTCACCTCAACTAAGAATAACCCACTGCCAACGCCCGAGATTACACTTCGAGGTACGAAGTACTACGTACATGTACAGTACATATATGGAAATTGTCCGCATCATATGCACACCAACTAATCAGATGTTCAGCATCTCAAGCGTTGCCTCGACAAGCACAAACAGCATGAAGAGGAGGCTCATCAGTGCCTCAGCTCGTCGCATGGTCTGAGGAGACGCTCGACCACTTCATGCCTTCACGGTGCCATTCGTGCCCAAGTAAGTAATCCTGAAGTGACCCCAAGGATTCTGAACATTGGATGAACGAGCCTAGGTTGGTTTTGCCTACCAGAGACCAATCAGCTGCGGTGCACAGTGGGATATCAAGTTTGTGCGTTGAATCCCCGACGCCGAGAAGCCGTTCATGACTACTCCCCACCACCTCCCAGCCCTTTCGACAATAAAATCAAATACCAAGATGATACGGAGTACGTAGTAGTACGGGGCTGTACTTCATCATCCCCTGTTGGCGTTTGGCAGCTCTCTACTCCGTACGCAGTGCCTCCGTACGAACCTCGAAGTAATGAATTCCTCCAGTCCTAGACCACCAGGAAGAAAGTGAGCCTTGTGGTTGAGGTATCATAGTGCCCCGTATCATTATCATTATTATTGAAGGGCGAAAAGGTACTACAGCCATGTCTCGGAATCTCAAAAAGAGAGTTTGCCAAGATCCGCTCGATGCCCGCCATCTCGCACCAGGCTAGATTTCGAAACTCGAAACTTCATCAATTGGTGGGTCTCCAAGAGTCCAAACGCCCCGCCACGCACCACTGACACCAGGGTTCGCAGAACGAGGAGGAACTTGCGCCATGGGCGTGGGAGGCGGCGATATCCCTGAGACCTTGCCAGCCAGCAGCCTAGGGCCGAAACTCTTTGACCGTCCAGCAGATTCGGCTGTAGGAAAATGTAGTGCGTTGCAGATTTGTTAGACGCCTGAAACCGATTCTTCCCTTTCTGATGCAGCTCTCGGTCATCTGCCTTTTGGGTTTCGTTCTCGTTGCAGCATTTGGCTCTGGCCAACGGGCACTGAACCCGCGGGGAGCGATATATGGTCTGTTTTCATGGTGCCTGAAGCTGCCACGCGCTCTTCCCGTGAAGTTTATTCGTCCCGACAATCCCGAATAACAAAGCTCGTCAGGGATTGGGGTTTGACCATGGAAGGCGCAGAATGCGACTCGAGACCAGAAGGGAAATAAAGAGATAAGTTTCAGGGACAGCGGGTCGACTCGTGTAAACTCTCTAGCTCTTTTCGGCGGCGCCTCCTTCGGTCCTTGCCCGTGGAATCCGACCCTAGAACAATACTCGAACCTCAAGGAGAAGGTCGGACAAACTCCCGACTCCAGAGCGGGCATGTAGGAGGGAGGGCGAGAGTGGAGGGCTCATGATGGGAATCATCACGATCTTGTGTTTGGAGTACCTCCGTAACATCCTGTAATTGCAAAATTCCGGTCGAGATGCACATCTTCTCCGCACTGTACTGTACCTAGTCTGTAGGACTCGTTTATTAGCTTTCCTTTCGGTTGAACTTGGAGCGCTCTGGTCTCTGGTACTGTCTCCGGTCTCGCGGAATTACGAAGTGACGATGTGACGATGCTGCATGGCATGGCTGCAGATGCGGGTGCTCTATGGTTCCTGTAGGCCGATTCTTTGCAATGCCTCAGCTTTTGCTAGGACTTTGGCTCTACTCTGTAGTACCACAAGCGCCACATGAGATAATGGAGCCACTGTCGTGGCAAAGCTGAGGCATTGTGAAAACAAATGTCTTAGCAAAGCCGAGGCATTGTAAACAATGGGCGTCTGTGGCTCCTATCTTCTGTGTGCTATGATCGGAAGTGATTGTGGTGGAGTTGATATTTGTTGAATAGCTCGCATTCCCCGCAGTTGGACCTGACTCTGCTTCTTTGCTTCAGCATCTGCATCTGTTTCTGTTTCTGTTTGTGTTTCTGCTTCTGCTTCTGCTCGTTTTGGATGTTGAGTATTGTGAATGGAGCTGCCGTCGGATGGACTGCGTGCGTTGTGCGCGTCTCGGCTGCCCTCGTACAGGCCTGCGGACCTCCAGCGGGACTCCAGTGCAGTTGAACAGTCGCTGTTGTCCTTATCCTCCCTAGAGAAGACCAGCAGATCAGACGCGGCGGTCACCAGTGCCAATAACATCGCGACACACGTCCAGCACCAGCAGCGCCAGCAATTATCGCGTCCGTCCAGCTCCCCTCTGCCCTCATTTGCGTCATTAGCGATCTCCCCTCCACAATCACCGCCGTCAGCATCAAAATCAACATCGAGAGCCCTTCAACCGCCTAGACGCAGACCCTCCGACCCTCCTATCGCAGTCACTCTTCCTTCGCCGCTCCCGTCGCAACCTACGTCCAATCCACCACGATCCAGGATCCCTGCGTCCCATAGTAGGAATGGACTATTAGAAGAGTTTTGGCAAGGACCTCCGCCAGCAATGATCACTCAGGGATCTTACAAGATCGATCCGTCAACATCAACCACCGACTCTTGGGTTGCTGCGCAACAGTCCATCACCATCGCTTCGCCCTCCCACAACCCCGAGTCGCCCTTAGGCCCAGCACAACCAACTTCAGCGAGATCCATCGACAGCAGCGGATCACGACCATTAATCAAGCCCATTCGTGGCTTCAAACCTTCCTCGCGCAAGAGCGTCGAGATGGCCTCGCGCCGCACATCCATAGATCCCGACCATACACTACGGGCGTTCGAGGGTTACGAGCGACCTCGGCGCACCACCAACGACTCTGAGCACGATGAGTTGAACAGCGACGAGAGCGATATGTTCCTCCGCGCTGCCCGGGACGAGGGTTTAACCAAGCCCAACAATGGTCCCTTAGGGGCCCTAAGCCGCTCAGATAGCACGAGGGTAAGACAATAATTTCCGCGACAATTTCATCGCAGTTTCATCTCTGGATCCACATGTGACGGGGAACGATCGCAGCTAACGTTTGTTCATAGTCCCGAATAGGACAACGTTCCTCACTTCCCCCCTCAAATACATCATTTCCTTCCTTCATATCTCGTCACCGCGGACCCGATCAAGAGGGTTCCAATGCATCACGCCTCATGGATGAGCAAGGAAGCGTTAGTCAAGCATTGACTTATCGTCCGGCGGAGAAATCTCGAGCATCAGCCGCTGGGGACCAGTTCTCCAGGAGCCGCTTCTATGAATCTAATTCTCGTTCGACGCCCGCTACTCCTCGAGCGTTGGTAGGTCGAGAGATCTCCCCACCATACTCTGGCCGGAGGCCGTCGTTACCTGATCCCGCATCGGCGCTACCATCGCGGCCATCCCCATACCGCCAATCTAATTTATCATCATATTCTCCTCGAAATTACAACTCTTCGCCCCTCGTATCCCGTACAACGGACATGCTCGAATCCCCAGCTCCTGGTACACATGCCCCGGAGAGCACCGAGTCGACCGTGTCAACAACAGCCCCTTCGACCGTCTGGGACGAGCTGGAGGACCTCAAGTCACGCATACACCGACTTGAATTGACAGGAAAGCTCCCGGCGACATCTGGTGCCGCTATGTCACGCGCATCTAATGAAAGGCCGCCAACGGCGACCACCACTGTAACTACCATATCTACGTCTCCAAAGCGGGGTCGCGGTAACAGCATATCACCAACCGATGTTGGCAGCGTAGTCAATCACTCGAACGAAGCTCATCCCCTTTTACGTGAGGCATTAGCAAAATCCAAACCAGTACTCAGCCCTGAGATATTTAAGGCTTTGGAGGCGACTGCTTCAGATGCACTTGTAATTGCATCGATGATGGGCTCTGCAGGCCAACCTGGACCAATCTCGAGTTCCCAATCAACAGTTGGCGGTGTAGCTTCAACTGTATCGGATCGGCAGGTGCGTCGAAAAGCAGACAGCCTGTGCCGGAGCCTGACGGAGTTATGCTTGGCCATGTCTGACGGGAAGAGCGAACATATACAATCAGCACCAATCCAAAACCCTGCGAGCCCCATGGATCGGAGTGACGAGGTCCGCAGCAGCATTGAACAGGTCCCGAGTCAGCGGCAAGCAATTAGCACAGATCTAGCAAGAATCAAATCTAGCCCAAGAGCACTTAGTCGACTGGAAGCACGAAGAAGCAGCCTTCTCGCCCCACGTAGTTTGCCTAGTCCTCGATTTGCTCCATCAGAGTCAGGCACGCCCACTCAAAGTTCCATGGCTGGCCGTCGAACTTCACTGTTACTTCGCAGTCACCGCGCAGCCACTGAGGAGCGAGACGAGGACGAAGAGATCAAATACCGTACACCCTCGAGAGCCACAACTGAGATAGGCCGACTGAGGAATCCGCAGAGAGAATACGTCCCACAGGAATCGATTCCAGAGAGGACGCTGACCGTACAATCTTCATTGCCCGTCAGGAGACACGCTGCATCATCAAGCCTCCCGAATACCGGAGCAGCCCCAGCAACCGCACCCTTACCAAACCTTGCTGGCAGGAGATATATAGAACGATCCACTCCAGAGAGAGATACCACAGCCCCGGTAACGAGATTGATGGATGACCGTGAGAAGCGGAAATCATCTATTGGCCAAGGCTTTGGATTAGGAAGAACTAGCAGTTTAACACGACGGACAAGACAACTCTAAAATCTTGCGGAGTCCCTCACATACGCGGGGGTGTTAATGAATAAATGGAGCGATGGAAACGCATACTTGTACCAACACAAAAAATGATAGGAGTTTGAGCGCATGGAATTTTTTCCGGGGGAAGGGACTTTTTTTTCGATCAACCCATTGTACACATTTATATATCTTTGCATCCTTTTGTTTTTGCACTGCCCTTTTTTCGCTGCTAAGCGCAAAATGGGCATTTTCGAGATACCCAAAACCAAAGAGAGATCATGGTACCTACGACCGGCATGAATTAAATGGAACTATGAAAATGCAAAAAATTCATTCAGAGAAAGACGCAAGCAAGCAAACTGGATGAACATCCCTGTTCTATACCCCTTCAATATTGTTTTTGTTTTTGAAGCGGCCTATGACCTAGGACATTTTTGTATTACTATTACTTTTACTAGCTTTCTATTCCTTGGGGTCGATAAACACAAATATGAAATCTTGCTTGGTCGGCTACCTAGCTAGCTGTTCCATGTCAATACTACTACATATGTCAGGATGAAAGTGATGAAATGTATACTACTTCCCCTGTGACTGGGTGGTTCTATTAGCGTTTTATGCTTCAATTTTGTATATAAATAGCTCAAATCTTATCCGTGATCTCAAGCGCATTAACGGATGCATCCAAGGCATCACCATTCTCCATAGCGCCCACAGCCTCCGCAGCGCCCTTCTTCCCCTTCCCCTTCACCTGCGCCCTATGCTTCCCAAACGGAGGTTTCCGATTCTTTAACGCAGCCGGCAAATCCGCAACCTTAATGCCATCCTCCCATAAAACACCACACTCGGCTTCCTTCCGGCCCACTACTTTCTTCCAGTACTTCGTACTCAGTACACCCGTCTCATCGCCCTCGGTTAGGATTACGCCGTTGTCGCTAACCCACCAGTTCGTCCCGCCGTCAGCGAGGTTTTTGCGGATGTCGATGTAGATGAGCAGCTCGGCGTCGTTACGCATCCCGCTGATCACGCCGCTGCCGCCGGTTTTCGTGCCTTCCGGGAGCCCGGTGGATAAGTGGATGTGGGTTCTGGACATGCATTTTAAGCCACCTGATGCGAGGATGGAGTCGTAGAATGAGTAGTAGGTGCCGTGGACCACGGTGTCGGGGATGTTGTCCGAGGAGAGCGTTATGGGTTTTAAGAGGGCCGCGGCTGAGACGGCGATGCTGTGGCCTTGGTTGGCGCGGATTACCCAGTCGCCTGGGTCGGTGGAGGAGGAAGGTGGAGGTGGCGAGATGGCTGGGTTGGGTTTCATGGAGAAGCGCTGTTTGGCGTTGTCTTGGACGGCGTGTTGGATGTCAGAGAAGGTTATATTGAGGGATTGGATGGGGCGGTATTTCATCTGTGGGTTTTGGTTAGCTGATGTGTAGTTTTCATCTCTGGTGTGACTGGATTGGGGGGATGAAGATAGCTTGGATGGAACATAGTATACTAGATAGTATAAGTGTAGAGAAATGTCATATAATACCCCCATTTCACTAGAAATAGTCATGTGGATGTCACGAGATCAGGGAAATAACATGATAATGGGGATAAAGAAAAACAAAAATGAGCAGAACAAAAGAAATTGAGTTATATAATAACAACAATCGAGATATCTTACCACTTGATCTAATGGGGCATAGCCCTCGGCATCGAGCTTAATCCCAGCATCATTTGCCGCGTGCCTTAGGAGCTTCGACAGCGCCTTCGAAATCACAACCTCTCTATCCAACCCTCGCCCTCCACGGCCTCCTCCTTTGCCGCCCCTGCCACGACCTCCTCCTCTCCCTCGGCCTCCTTGATTGCCACGGGCATGAAATTTTTCTTCGACGGCCAGTTCTTCCGGCACGTTTCCGAGATCTTCTTCGGCTCGAGAGCTAGCCATGGCTTGGGGACGTCCCTGAGGCGGAAATAAAAACCGTTGATAACGTGTCTTTTGCCGTCTTAGAATATGTGATGGTGCCAAAGGTGTTCTTGAGAGTCTGGCGATGGATGTAATTTTATTTAGCATCGCATGGTGTGGAGGTGAAGAGGAGAGAGAAGGTTGAGTGATGGAAGACGACCTCGCTTAAGAGTCTCTCTTGTGTCATCCGTTTGGAAAGAGTCATGCCGACAACTTACAACAGCCACCTCTAGGAACATCACCGGCTATTCGCACAAATTTGATGGGTGAGGTGTTGGCCATTGCTCTAACTCCTTCTGTTGATATATAATTGTGTTCAATGCACGTTCACGCCGGACACCTCGATAACAATAGCTACGGGGCATCCACCAAGTAAAACTTTGTTCTTCTCCTGTTCTCAATCCTTTATTCAGAAAGTATATATACATATATAAGACTTTCTACCCTCTACTTCCAACTTCTTAGAATCGCCTTACCAGTCCAACAGATTACTGACTATCAATTGTCTCAGCAATAAGTAATCTCACAATATTGTGACACGGGCTAATACCAACATCAACAATGGCAAGCAACAGATTGCCTGATGAAATCAGGAGTCTCATATGCGGCTATGTCAGCGATGATCTTACAACCATCTTGTCACTACGCCGAGCTTCCAGGTCATGGGCAGCCGCCGGTCTGGAAGAACTCATTTTACCAACGTTCCGAATTTGGCGCTACCGACATGACGTGAACCGACTTATGAGAATCAGAGCGCATCCAACGCTACGTGTCATTGCAGCTTGTAAGATTAAGAAGATCTCACTGATGGACACAGGATACGACCTCCGAGCTCTCCGGGGGCTTGCTATGGAACTTTATACAACAGACGACAAAGAACCGGCGTTCCAGGAGCTTGAGAGGCATATTACACAGCGAGATACTGATATCAAGCTTTGGGAAGATACGGATCTTCTGGTAGACTCCCTCAAGGTAGTACCCAGCGTCCACACAATCAGGATTTTTCATGCCTCGCCATTTAACAATAGGTATTTAACTAACCTATATGAGTGGTATTTCGACCGCTGTATAGTCGATCCAGGCAAACAACTCCGGGATATCCTATGGGCTGCAGAAGCTGCCAATCTGCCTATTCGACACCTCAAGCATCAATGGCTGCCACCGGCTTTCTTCCGGCGTGTCAATACGGGTGCGAGCATGTATCCCCCGTTTTTTTGTGACATCCAGACGGCTATGGGGAGTCTGAGCTCACTCCACCTAGCGATAAATGAGGACGATAGTGTTCCGACTTTCTTGACCAAAGCCCGTGCCAGGCGATTATTCTGCCGGCTAATAGAGTCAGCTCCTAACCTAGAAGAGCTCTCTCTAGACTTCAAGATCGGTATGGGGCCAGTACCATGCACTGAGCTCTTACCAACCAAGATGCACAAGTTGCATACGCTTTTAATACACTTGTGGCATATGGACCTTAATTCCGTACTTGAATTCGTTAGGTCCCGTTATCCTCAGCTGAAACGCCTATCACTCAGTAAAATATCCATGCTCGAGTCGAATACTTCCTGGATAGAATGTTTTACAAAGGTCAAGTCAGCTTTAGGACCTAACATAGAAAAGTTCCAGCTGGCTGCTCGCCTGTACGGTAGTGGTGGATTTTTCCATCTGCCCCTAATATATGACACCAAACATGACTGGAAACCCCGCAACTATATACTTGACCCGGATCCCCGCTGCCATTTTGGACCTGAAAGAATAGCGCTAGCAAAGCGTATTGAAGATTTTGTCCTTAGAGATGCTCCCTTCCCTCACAAGGACGATTTTCGATAAATGTCTAAAAGGGAAGCAGCTCGAGAGAGGGCGGATAGACGGAGGGCAGCTCCCCCTTTACCTCTTGTCAAGGTAGATATGTACAATCCCTTTGTTCTCTAACTGGAAAGACCTTTCAGCTTTCCCCTTCCATCACCGCGTGGATGATCAACCCGGTCCCAAGCTCTTAGTCACCCCCATTTATATTTCTTTTGTTTCGGATTTTCAAGGTATTGTGTTTCTACTACAACGTGCTTTCAAGAGCCCCTTCTTATTAAAGAAATTGAAGCCGTTGAGCTACAGGCATATCAATTGGACTTAAGCAAGCAACGACAGCACAATGAGAAAGCTTAGGGGGGATGAGCTTTGCAATTTGGATACATCGAAACTATTCAGTAATACATAAATAAAGACTAATATGCCTTTTTAGGAACGGTAAGTGACAACATATGATTTATAACTAACCAATTGTTATCTTCTAGTTACAGTATTTGTATAATTTTTTGGTTCGGCAAAAGTGACTGAAAGACCTCAGGATAACGTATCCTGATTATGGATACGAGAACTTTCGTGGTTACTATTTTAACACTTTTGGAGTCAGGGTGGGATTCTTGTAATATTCTACTCAACAACAAGTTAATATGATCTCACACTAATCATTCGTATTCGTCATGAGCCATATTACGTATACCTCCGTTTTATTAACGTGGCATGTCTAATTAAAGAAATCAGCAGCGTGGGGCTTCTCAGATTTCACGATCTTAGCAGCCTGTGTTGCCAAATCTTCATGCACAGAGCCAGCCGAGGATCTTTTCCTTTTTCTCTCTATCTCATCAAACTCTAGCCTCTGCCTCTCAATGTCCTTCAAGAAACTCAAGAGCTCCTCTGCAATCATCTCTTTCGCTTTCTTTTGCCCAAAGACGTTGTTAACCTGTCCTACTTTACCAGTAATGCGCGGGTCCCCCGAGAAGTAGGCATATCCATCCCAAAGAGAGACGCTCTCTTGTGCTTTCGTTAGCTCGTACCTTGGCATGTCAAAACCTAACCGGGTACAAAGGTCAGGAACCTGACTGGCAAATGTTTTGGGTTTATCCTCTGATGCAGTTCCAGTAGCTTTGGATTTGGCAGGTTCAGCTTGGGGGACTTTGGGGAATTTCACAGAGCCATCCGCGGGCATAAATCCATTTCCGATAAGCCAATCAATGGCTCTCTTAGAGGCATAATGCTTGGCAGTCTTCTTATTGCCAAATGAGACTGAACTACCACCAAAAGTTAGGGGGGTTTCGCGGATGGTGACTGTGCACGTGAACCGCGGGGTGCTCTCTGTTATTGTATTTTCGGTGTATGTCAACCCCTCGAGTGGTGGATGAGAACTGCGGTACTCTAGAGAGTGTTAATCAACGGATTCAAATTTAGAATGCCATTCTTACCATTTAATTTGCCAATCCAATTTGTATCACCAATCGCCTCCAGCGCACGTGCTTCAGCAGTAAGGGCCTCGATGTCAACTACACGTTTTTGCTTCTTTCCAAGAGGTTGCGTTTTAGGAGGTGGTTTGCTCGCTAGAAGTACTGCTTCTCTCTCATCTCCTTCCTTTATGAAGTCGTCCATGGTCTGAAATTGAGGTCCCCCATGATTTTTGCTTGAGGAGACTGGCTCTTCGGCGCTATGCTCCATCTTGATTGCGGGCCCGGAATCGAGTACGATTTTGTGCTTACTTAGCAATGTAACGCAATGCAAGTAAGTCAATACAATATAAAGTACAGAGTAGAAGGTTTTGCTACAAACGAAAGGAACAAGGCTTCGTCAAGGTGAGATTTTGTGGATTGGAGGTGAATCAAGAGACGCAGGTTTAGGTAAGCCACAGCGATAAAGGTTTAGTCACGTGTAGGAGCTCAAGAACATATTGCAAAGGGTCGTGGGGTTTAGAGTGAATTTTGAAGGAATATACTCGCTAGGCAACAAGTATAACTTGCAAAGGGTATCATGATAATCAACATTTCGGAATCTTCGAGGTCCAGCGTATGAGCCAGCTAGTGCTAGTCCTCAAAGAAACCACCCTCACTCTCCTCACCCTCTGTGTCATCCCTCTGGTGACTTTCAGAGGCCCCAAATATGGCATTCTTCTCAAATCCAATGGATTTATTTTTCTTGGTGCCTCCTTCCTGAGCACGAAGTTGACCTCTCCTTTCCCTACGATTGAGTCCCGACATGTCTGGCGTAGAAGTAGGATCTGGTTTAGGCCTTGAGGGGCGCATCTCTAGTGGTCTTGACATGAACTGTTTGGTAACCCGGTTTCTCAATTCATCTAGAGTCCCCTCTTCCATACGTTTCTCCACTTCTGCCCATAGAGGAGGTTTTGGCGGATTCTCGGCTACCTTGGGAGCCTCTTCCTCATCGGCTGTAGCCTTCTTGTGGGGGTAAAGACCGCAATATGGTTCACTGAGTGGGCAGTATTGGGTGTAGTTTAGATCGACTTCGGCTTCGTGCATCTGTGTCTTCAAATCCTTCACTTCGTCTTCGGACTGAGCTTCTAATAACTGTTTGCGCAACCGCTTCACGGCCCTGCCGGCCTTCTGTCGCTCTGTAAATAGCCAAGTTAGAATATCACCGGGGAAATAAATATCAATGTATGCAACATACCGAAAAATCGGACCATTTGATACCTCTTGACCATTTTTTGCTTCATCTTCTCAGTTTCTGCAGCCGCCAACTCTCGATGACAAGCCGCAACGGCACGCTCATCTTCTACTCTCACATTTGCGGGCAGGTCTTCTGCACGCTCAAGCCTCCTCGACGCATCGCGCAACCGTTTTTTGATAGCGTTAACGCTCGACGCGTGCACTTGCTTCCTGTTCATGTGTGCGGGGGGTTCGGTCCTGCGGGGCTTCTTGGATGGTTTGCGTTTTGGCGTACTGCCGTAGACCTGGAATTGGCGTGATTCATGGACAGCTTCTTGAGGCTCAAACTCCTCGTGCGTCCGTTTCCCAGCCATGGTGTGTTGATTTCTGGCACTTTCCAAACAGATCGTGTCACGCTTTGAGAGTTTTGTTGCGGAGAGTGTTAAGTCTGGAGTGTTTACGGACGATTATACTTTTTTCGCGATAACGTTGGAACTTTCGCGGATAAGCTAGCGGCCGCATCGACCACCACCCGCGCTCGGCCCATCGGTCCTGGACTGCACTGAAGCTCGATCTCAAGGGTGCAAGTCGCAGCGGGGAGTAAAGGAGCCTCTGGCCACCTCGTTTTCTTGTCTTTGCGTACAATTTCGTCACAAATGGCCGCCAACTCTTTTTCATATTGTATACTATGGTCGGCCAGCTACACATAACACCTGATCTCTGCGTAAAAGAGATCGGGGACGGCCTTTTGGCCCATAATCATAATTGACCGACGCCCTAGAACGTTAATCCGGCCTGCCAGCCAGTTCAGTATAATCAAACCAGTCGGAGCAGTACCTGCGAGGAAAGATTCAGTTTTATTTTGGGATCAGTGGAAGGAAAGTTAGCCCCCTGACCCTAGGATCTCTGTGGCCATTGCACCCCTTCTGGCATCATGGAGAGAAACGAGGGGATTGTGAGATGGTCACCCAATCCTTCCCGGGACCAGTTTATGGTGATCAACCTAAATGCTAGGGCTGTTCAGTTATTTGAAGCCAAAGGACATGCCCAGCCTGGGAAGTTTGACTACCAGAGGATTTCCAAGCACCATGACATACCACCTCTTAACACCTATGATTGGTCTCCAGCAATTCCAGGACTAGTGGTTGTAGGAACATCTCACGGCGAAGTCTCCCTCCTACGAGTTGATGACGACTCAAATGCATCGCTCACGCTCCCCTTAAAGCTTCAACGATCTTGTCAATCGGTGGCTTTCAACACTACTGGGTTATTGGCGGTTGGGCTAGACAGGATCCGTAATGATTCTTGCCTACAGATTTGGGATATCAACCAGCGACTAGCGGACTGGGATTCGGCGAAGCCTGGTTGGGGCCAGCTCTCTATGAATGTTGATCCAAAGAAGAAGCTAGAGGGAAGCGTATCTGTCACGAGCATCAGATTCTTCGAAGATCAGCCCCAAACCCTCGTAGTAGGAGTTAAAAACCAGAGCGTCCGTGTGCATGATTTGCGAGGTTTGTCTTCCCGCTCATATATTCCGAGCGCAATAGCTGATAGCGTTAGATCCGAACTCTGGTGTTATATCATTCCAAACCCGATGCAATAACAACCTCTCAATTGACTTTGCGGACCCCAACTATTTTGCATCCTCGTCATTAGACCACCCGGGAGTGGTTGTCTGGGATCGCCGCGTGTCCGGCCGTTCGGTTGCATCTCCAATGTATCTTGAATCCATTGATCAGGAGGAGATACCTTGGGGAGCGGCCCTAAAACTGGATCGCGCAATTGAGACGGAGCAAAATGTCAATATCAGAACACTACGATTCTGCCGAGAACATCGTGGTACATTAGGCGTTCTCTCATCTGCCGGCCAACTTCAAGTGTTTAAGACAAACAAGGAATATGTGGAACCAGGCTCCTCGAACGATGTCAGTGTTGGGCCAGAATTATTAGAAGTCAGAAAGTCATTTGACCTGGAATATCCTTGTTTCGACCCGAATCACAAAAAGAGACCCGAGGATCGTATTATCTCCTTCGACTGGCTCAATCTTGGATCTCCTGATCTAGACCCTAGAGTTGTTGCATTGAGAGCAAACGGAAGTTTTGAAATCTTACAGACTCCAGCATCCACCCATGACCAGCTTTCACAGTTAGTTCCGTGGAAAATACCTCAACGCGGTAAGTTCCACTGACTCTCTGGCATTGTATGCCGCGTTTACTTATATTTCACTAGTGGGTGACCCTTACATAACTCTAATGGATTTCGCCGATCCAAGTGAACGAGAAGAAGTACTTGGGCCCTTGTTTGCCGCTGCAGCAAAAGCCAACGTTCCTGTTTTTGGGCCAGATAGGTTTGCTCAGCCAGAAACAAAGGCAAAGCTAAACGCTGCGATCAAAAAAATAGTGCATTCAAAGGAGGACCCCGTGGTCAACCTACTCGCGTCAATAGAATCAGATATTGCGCTATCCTTGAACAACCTCGGGTTGAACAAGTCTTCAGAAGAACAAATTCCGAAGCTTGGCCTTCAAGCCGTGGCAAATAAGAAGGAAGCCACGGAATCCTCAACGATAGTTAACAAATTTCATACGAGTAGGGAGCTACATGACATGTCACACTATTCAGTGTTGAGCTGTATTCCGAGGACAAAGCCCAACAGCGAGCTGTTTCACAATGTTATGCTCCGCCGTGCTGTGGATGGCTACCTGTTTGATTGTAAGAAGAACATGGCGGTCGTGGCGAATGACAAGTGGCTGCAAGGTGTATGGGAATGGATTGCATGTAAGTTTCGATTATCAGTTACAAGTTCTATTCAAACATACTAACCTTCCATTATTAGATGCAGAGGATTCTGCCAATGATGATGGAATGGTATCGGCGCCGCTTGACCTAAGTTACATGGGCGTCTATACTATATGGATGAATATACTTGGTAAGTTTGACTATGGTCTGTTAAATGTACGCCTTACTAAATATGGGCAGGGGACAAAACGAAGTCTCGCCTCATAGATAGCTCAATCGTTCCCGACACAAGTCAGTGGGAACGACTGATTGCAAATATCAACAAGCACGCTGGGCGCCCAGACTTTGATTGTTTGGCAACAGAGAAACCACATCACCGAGTTCTATGCCTTGCAGTCTGTGGCCTTCTCAAGTCTCCTATGGAGCTTGAGGAAGATTTACAGGAGCTGGTGAAACAGCGTAAATTTACAACTGCAGCTGCTTGGGCGCTCTTTGAAGGCATTCCAAGGCGGGCTGTTGATATTCTGAAAAGCGGCGGTACAAACCTTCTATTCGTCGCAATGGCACTTGACATTAAAATCAAGAGCAATACTGCCTTAGATCTTGACAAGAGCGAGTGGAGCAAAGCTCTGGAAAACCACCCTCAGATGGCGGATGACCCATACTTGCGAGCCATATATGGCTATATCACAACTGGAGACTGGGCAGCAATCGCGGATGAGGCGTCCCTCCCACTCCGTGATCGAGTTGGAGTAGCACTTCGGAATTTCGACGATGCTAAACTCACTGACTGGCTGACGAAGCAGATGGAAGAGGCAATTCACACTGGCGATATAGAAGGGATTGTCTTGGCAGGTATAACTGATGATATGGTCGATATCCTTGCTAAATATGTCGAAAAGTTTATGGATTACCAGACCGCAATACTCATCATGTCAATATGCTATCCTCGGTATATCCAAGACATCCGCTGCGACGCATGGCGCAAGAATTATCAGGACTTCTTACAACGCCATAAGCAATACATCTTGCGAGTCAAGTTCGAACAACAGTCCACAATTAAGAGTCGCCTTCGAGATGGCACAGCAGCCATCAAACCGCCACCAAGACAAGTCACCATTCGCTGTTTGAACTGCGACGCCCAATCAACTAATGACCTCTCCAATTCCGGCGAAGCACCACACTCCGCTCCAGGACCCTCGACCACGATCCGCGACACTCGCAATCCTCTCATGGCCTCAGGTATAAATGCCGGTCTCTGCTGTCCTCGATGTGGTTCCCACCTCTCACGCTGCGCTGTTTGCATGGAATATGTTGGCGTTCCTCGATCAGACCGGCCTGGGCTCTCTCACGACCCTGCTATTCGCCGAATGGCAAATTTCCCCACCTTCTGCCTTACTTGCAAGCATGTTATGCATATGGATCACTCAGTGGCTTGGTTTGGACGTCATGTTGAGTGTCCAGTTCCCGAGTGCCGCTGTCAGTGCAACGAGCAACCTGTCCGTTAACAATATTGTTTGGAGGATGGATTATACAGGTGGGGCCGGTTTTGATTGAACGAAAGCTGATGCAGCTTTCGTATTACTCGTCGAGTTTTAAGTTTAGGGAACGATACAGTCTGCATTGGTGGCGTAAGATGGAAGGGCACAACCTCTATGTACCACCACTTATCTATAGTGATTCACATCTAGGCTATGGAATTAGATTAATAAATCAGTTTTGTCCGTCCAATTTAACGTTATAATACTCAGCTCTTGCCATGTCCTTTAGATGAAGCTCTCAAAACGGATCTCGCCAGGTATGTCTACAAATGGTAACTTCTATCCAGAAATCTAACCTCATTCCAGTATCTTTTCGATAGAAAGGACCCAATTCTATATTTTTGGTCACTTGCTCAACCTTTTCTCCCGGATAAAAAGCGAGACAGCCAACCCCCCACAAACAACTCCAATCGATAATCCAAACGCATTGCTAACGGCGCCTTGGTAGCACTTTCGCACAACATCTCTGAGACTAGGTTCCAACAGTTTAATATAATCCAAACTTTCTCTTACCCCCTCTACAATCTGATCCGCCTCCTTTCCACTCTTCAAAGCTGCCCGCAACTTGGTTCTTAGGCTCTGTTGCACCACCGTCGCCGACAGACTGACGCCTATCACGCTGCCCAACGAGCGGAATAGGTACGTACAAGCTGTAGCTATCGCCTGATCCGCCGGATTTGAGTTCGCAAGCACGCTGAGAAGCGACGTAGTTATTACGGCCCCGCTTCCGAAAGCAGAAATGCTGAGCCCAATAATGAGTCCCCAAGAGAAGTTGAAGAGGGGGCCCGAGCATATAAAGATGATGGTAGTGCCTATGAGACTTATGACGACGCAGAAGATCGTGAGGGCGTAATATTTCCCAGTCTTCTGCATGTATTTGCCGCTGACCAGTGATCCAGAGACGGAGCAAATCAAGATGGGAATAAAGCGGACGCCAGCAACCGTTGCTGAGAGGCCGTCGACTGCTTGCAGGTAGAGTGGAATATAGAAGACGGATCCCATGTGTGCCGCAAAAGCGAAGAAGTTACTGAGATAGCTGGCGACAAGGGAGCGGTGGAAAATTATGTGGCCTGGGGCGAAGGGATGCGAGGCGACTTTCATCTCGATGAAAATGAATAGTGCAAAGAGAGGGATAGAGGCGCTGCCGCTTGCAATTGTGAGAGTCGAAGTCCAAGAGACGTTGCTGCCGCGATCTAGGCCGAGCAGGAGACAGAATACCGCGAGTATGAGAGTGAAGGCGCCGAGGAAGTCGATCCGGCGGAGTTTCTCTAGCCAGTGAGACTGATCGGTTTTTGGGAGGTCGAGCAGGGGATATACTGCTATTGAAGCTAAGATGCACAGAGGAAATTGCCCTAGGAATATCCTGCATAGTTCAGCATTATATATGAGGCATGAGGAGGCGGAACCTACCATCTCCATCCAACTGAATCCGCGAGAATACCGCCGAGAGGAGCACCAATGGATGCACCTAACGTATACACAAGGTTTATGTATCCCTGCCAAGTGCCTCTGTTCCTCAAAGGCACGATATCACTAAGCAAGATGCTCGCAACTGTAGTCATGCCCCCTCCTCCAATACCTATGTTCCCGTTAAGAATAACACGCACCAGAAGGGTATCAACTTGCCCTCTAGGAAGGAGAATGGCTGAGAACCAACTTACCAGCAAAGGCTCTCGCACCAACAAGCTCCTCCAGATTCCTGGCAAGTCCACAGAACAAGCATCCAATTCCAAAAATCGAGTAAGCAAATAAAAGCGCAGCTCTACGCCCGAATATATCACTCAGCTTGCCATACAGCGGCTGGAAACTCGTGAGAGTGAGGAAGTATCTACTCCAATTAGCGTTGTCCATGCATTTCTCTATCCCAATATCCAGTCCGTTTAAAGATGAAATTCAAAGAGAAGGGGAATTTTTAACTCACGCAGTCGCAATCCAACTAGTATTATTCAACGCATTTAAATCACTCCCCATACGTGCATAGCTACTAACCACCAGCGTCTGGTCTGCGCTACTCAGAAATACCTATTTTCGCAAACACGGATCAGCTCCATCACGTCGTCGCCCAAAGACCAATATCATATTGCAAATCATTACAAAATAGCACCAATGTAGAAAGAAACAACAAGTTTACTCCCAGCGTAAATGAAACTATGGATACATACCCCAATACAAATAGCGGGAAACAGCAAATGCATTTTCTGCATCACTTCCGCATTACCCTCAAACAGTGGGTTTTCCGCCTCCTCCACCGCCCCTATTTCCTCATCCGTATCGGCATCGTCGTCTCTAATCTTGGTTCCCTTTATGGAGCCATTGGCACTGAGGATGCTGTCTGGTGTTATTGCGCCAACATCGCGTTGCGAAATCGGTGTAATTTTCCCACGTAATAGCGAAGTCCTTTCGGTCGGTTCCTCCAATGGAGCTGTCATGGTAGTTTTTTGAGGTCACGATGGTGAGACTAACATGAAGAATTAAGTGCGAAGCATTAAGCTTTATTAATTGTATTTATTTGTAAGTGGGAGGTGGGGACGATGATCACCTAAGTGCGGGCCTGAGCGGAATTCCTCCCCTGTAAGTGCTGGTTGCGTGCTATGCCACCGTTATTTCATGTTCACTAAGCATCGCCGAACCTCAGTTTTAATCCCCAAAAAGTATGGATAGGATCCTATTCCGGGCTGAATATAGGAATCGCTTTGAGACTGATATTTAAGCGTCAGAATTTTAATAATTCCCTCTTAATTTTGATCTGTGCACCGCCTAATAGCAAGACTCCTGAATATAATAAATCATAAATCAATAGTTCATGCGATACATCAATTTCCGCTCCTTTTGCAAAGTTTCAACAAAAATGCCACCCAGCCTATTAATTCACTCCCTGGAGAAGGGGGCTCTAGCCACCTTTTTTCGCCCAACAAAATAATTACATCCTCCTCGTGATAAAGTAAGTAGCTTTAGTTGCTACCACTATCTGTACCAGTGCCATTTGCCTTGAACAACACTCGTACACCTCTGCTTTCCTTACTTGGCTGCGGCAGAAACATGTCATGTTTCAATGCAACATCCCGCTCGAAGTCCATATCTACCAGTTCCATGTTATCGTATCGGGTGAATATTGTGGCTATTGTAAGGATAATTTCGGCTTTTGCCAAACTGTGTAATCACATTATTAGAGGTCAAATTCAAGATTTGAAATCCAAAAAAGTCATTTGGCAAGGAAAGCAAGCGGGAAGTACATAATTGAGATACATACCCCATGCCAATGCACTGTCTTGAGCCCTTTGAGAAGGAAACCATATAGCGCTCCAGAGCCTTCCCACCATCAGGCTGGTCCGACCAGCGCTCGGGAGTGAAACTGTGGGAATCTGGAAATATTTGCTCATTATGATGCATACAAATCGCTGACATTGAAATCGGGGTCTGTTGGAGTGAGAATTTTAGTAAACCCGGGTTTGACGTCGAATGGAATGGGACTTACGCCGGCAGGAATTACTAAATCCTGCAATTTTAAATCCTCTGTGGGTGCGATACGGGTAAGGCGAGTGGTTGTCCCGTACGATAATCTTAGGATATAATTAGCTATCTATGCATCGCAGCTGCGAAAGATATATAGGGTGTTACCTCAAGCCTTCAAGTACAACACCAGTCTATTAAATGATGTTAGCCGACAATCGAGCAATGAATAGAAGTGTGAAATCATACAAGGTATGGAAGGCTTTGCAACTCGACCAAACTCAAAGGTGAATCCTTGTCCTTGGACGCTGCCTTCAATTCGTTTTTCAATTTTAACAGCTTCGATGGATTTTCCAACAAATAGTAGGTGGTAAGGGTTAGCACGAGAGCGACGGTATCGGCGCCGGCTCCGAGCACGTTCTGACCTTCCTGCCAGAGATTCTCGAGCTGCTTCTCTTTGGGTGGCATGTCGCTATCCAGAAGCTGATGAAATATGGTACGTGGAGCTTCTAATTCGGTTGGGTCCTGTTTGCGATTTTCTTCCAAAATATCCTCAACTATGTTTTTGATTTTCTGCCCTGAATTAGAATAAAATTGCTACTTGGAATTGGAAAGACCTACGCGCTGCATGTGCAGCACTAAAACAAGTGCAGGATTCAAAGTTCCCACGATGACATCAGGAAGTGATTTGAAAATTGGCAGAAGCCAAGGAAACTGCTTGGTCCATTTCGACATTGCGGCAGTGTTTTGAGTTGTATGCCACCACCAAGGATTGAAATCAGGGCTGTCTAGATGATTCCAACTATAGTTCAGTGCAAATGATGTGATCACGTCAGTTGTCAAGCACATATAGACTATACGCATAGGCATAGCCCCAAGGTCGGCTTTCCTGTACTGATCAATCCTCTCGCATAATTTGGCAAGGTTGGCCCTGATGACAGGCTCAAACTGGAGGATAGAAGCCGGCTGGAAAAACGGATTGAGTGCACGCCGACGAACGCGATGAAGATAATGTGACACAGTACCAAAGCCTGTTTTACCTGTCCCGAATTGTGCCGTATAATATTCATGTTTATCTCGGACTGCAGTCCCTGCAAATACCACATGATAGAACTCCCCGTCTGGATCATCAACATGAATTCTATATTAAGTCAGCATTCTCGTTTTCCGTGGCTCGTGAGATAGGGAACATTTCATTAGGAAGCTAGGAAGCGAAACCCCGTAGTGGTATCTAGAGTTTCGTGGGTTAAAAGTAAATGACTGCTTACTCAAATGGGTTGATTCTGACGACGGGACCTAATGTAGGTGAGCAAATTGGTATTAAATACTCAGGCAGAAAGGTAGGATACCGTATTGCTCGTGCCATTCTCGAATCTTGAAGGAGAACTGGCCCCTCTGAATTACTTCATAGTAGAACTCGTACCAAAGTGTGGCAGCAGCGAGTTTCGAACCAGGGAACTTAGACAGAGGGCTCAAATAGAGTCGGAATATAACAAGTGAAGCCCAGTAAACGACGAGCAAGCAAACAAGAAGCAGGACGGGAGAGACATCAAGGCCGGAGATGAAAAAATAAAGCATCTGGATATGTATATAAAGGTATATGAGAAATACTTCGGTCGGTTCGAAGAACACAGAAATACAAGACGAAGTGGAAGGGGATACCTTGTTAGTTAAGAGCGAAACAAGCAAGTAAAATGTACCTTGGGGGTCAGTTGATCAGTTGATCAGTCGAGTGGGCATCGCTACAAGGCCCCTGGGTTGTAAATAGAATAAAACGACCTTGAAATGGCCATTGGCTAGCCTCCACCCAAGATGTTGGTGGATGTTAGTTTTCGGGAAGCTGTTGGACAATGATTCGCTTATCCGCTGCCACACCTCGGAAACGATAATCATGCTGTGATGAAACACGCCTCTTTTCCTGTTCAGGACAAAATAAAACGCCATATGCGAAAGTTTATATATAGTGATGCGACGGGTTTAACAATTCCTACAGATAGCTTTTGATCAAGAAAGAGTTGGGGAGACGATGCTGGTCGCTTTGACCTTCAGGGGATGCTTGGCGAGTGATAATCCGTGAGATTAGGTTGTCGATCTTTACGTAGTACGTACACTACTTCCAGAACTATTGACTGGGTTATCGAGAATCAAAAGCAACTTCATAAATACTTAAATCAATAGGGGAAGCACCTGCATGAGCCTTATATAGCGCTCGAGGCGCGCAAGCCGACTGTACTGTACACGTTAGCGCGAGTTGCCCCTTTTCGCTTGCCCGAGTGGAAGGAGCGATGAGCAAACACAACACCACGGGTAAACAAACCACCCAAATGGCCTTCAAGCGAAAAAGGACGATAAAAGAAGCAAAAGAGCCCACAATTTTGAAGTAGACATGTAGCGGAGCTCGAAAAAAGATTAAAAATAAACATATATATAAAACAAATTCTAAAAAAAAGTTACCCCCAATCCGGTCCTCATGTGGTCACAGACGCTGCTCTCGCCTACTACCATCGTTCTTAGCCCAAGATAACAGCTCTCTCCCACTCCCGTAGTGTTCTACGAGGCCCCTAGTAATAACTGATGAATTTCGGTTTTACCCTACGTTCAGCTCAGCTACACTTCAGGGATGTGCGGGGTAGGACACGAACCTGCCTAGCAGTGGAACCGATGGTTGTGTTGAGACACTGCCACTGAGCCACGAGTGCTCAGCTTGTTCACTTAATGGGATAAAGTCTTAAATTGAATTATATTGACAGTATCAGGTTTGGCGAGGAGGGAAGGTGCATGGCTGCGAGTTTGTGACCGTTGAAACTCTAATGGCACTTGCCTTGAAGAGCGACCGCTACCGTCACCGCCTGCCCTACGAAAGACCATGCTAGGACCGCTCATTATGGGCAACATCCGCTTTCTTCGAATAGCTTTCTAGGAAGGTGCGTTACCGCTCGTTCGTTTCAAAAGCGAATCGCAAAGAAGCCCAACCCCGACCCATAATTGAACAATGATAACGCTATTGACATTACTCGAAGTTGCCTTTTTTACTAGCTCAATACATTGAAGACATTCATACAAGTCTTAGCCTGGACATAAAAGGGAGGGCTAGCTGAAGACAGACGCAAAGATATCTTAAACACGGAGCCATCCACTTGCCACAAAGAGAAATAACAATGTAGGATCCAGCGTCAATGGAGCGTAATGGAACATCAACTTTACCTCGACCTTGGTCACTAGATAGGTCGTGGTAGCATGGCATGCTGTGTAACATTTGCTATTCTGATAGCTAAATATATGATGGTCCCATCCTGGATATGTATTCATATATCCCGAAGCACCCCCCCATTCCAATACGCCTTGCAACCCAATATATTGCGGAGCCAGACACTCATTTATATGCTCCAGAACCCCGGTATCAAACCCGACCAAACGCCTTCCCATGCCCCCAGGCCTCAGCCCAAACCTACTTACCTTACATGGCATCCTGCCCTATAGCCTCATCAACAACTTCCCTCCTGCCTCCCGTCTCCACAACGACTTTCTTAACATCCTCCCTCAACTCCGGCATAGCCCTCGCCATTTCCGCAGCAAGCACATCCCTAAAATCGCCAAACGCCTCTATCTTCCCCTTCATAAGCTGATTCCCCCTCCTAGCCAACTCGACAAACTCTCGCGTGTAGATATCCGGGTTGCGGCCATTATCGACGTAGTTGATGAGCTCGGGCGGGATACTAGGGAGGTTGACGGGCGGTCGTGAGGAGTCTGGGCGCGAGGCGCTGGGTCTGGCCGTGTCGTAGATTTTTTGAAGGTCAGTTGCGAGCGTGTTTCTTTGCGAACTGGTTAGCACTAATTCGGATATAGTATGGGCTAAGGTTGAAACTGCAGACGTACAGTTGATTCGCAAGCACACTGCCTGAGGGCTTTCCGGCTACGTCGTAGGCGTGGACTTGGACCATGACATGGTAGAGGTCCTGGATGACTTCTTTGAGCTGTTCTGTCCTTGAATTTTAGCGATGTTCGTTTATTCGGGACATTGGATTGGGCTTACTTTCGACCACATCGTGGTCGGATTGACCCAAAGGCGCCATGACTACTTCACCGTGGTCTCTAGAATGGAGGGACACGGATTGTATTAAGTGATGGCTCTGAGGTCGAGATAAGGTTGCGATTGCTGGGCTACTACTGCACTATTTTTCGGCAAATTCCCTGCTTTGTCAAAGCGTTGGTCTGGGACGTGGTGGGGTCACGGCCTCTCGTTCAATGACACTTACGGAGGTAGGTAATTTGTGACGCGAATCCTTCCGATCATGGCTCAAAATGTAACGATATATTAATAAAGAGAGCAGGATGGGATTCTATTTTAAATCTTTTTTTTATTGGTATGGATTCCTTGCGAAACTACTATTGAGTCATAAACGAGCAAATAAGTTGCTACACAATTGTTATAAACACCATAATCCATACAATAACGAAAATCTGTACCCGCCGTAGTGGCAATAATGAACGATTTTATCAAATTCAGAAGGTCGTGAACGAACAGAATGGGCGAATGCCATTCATCCCTTCATAGCATCGATATCCGCAGTGTAACCAGAACCAGGTACTCAACGCCAACCTTGCCTAACTCAAAAACACCCTAAGATAACGCCCCGACACCAACCATTCAAGAGTGGGTAATGCAACAAAGATTTTTAAATCGTCACCCGTTGTAATAATTTCCTAGCGCCTACTTTCGCATCTTTGGTCGAGCAAGCATATTGAGACGACTAAGGCTCAGGCCGCCCTTCTTTTTGGTCGGGCTCGTAAGTCTTGATTTTGGCGTCATTTTCTCCGCCTGAATTCTGGGGGCCATAAGCATCGCGCCTTCTGCCGCCTGAGCTTTCTGCTTCTTGGGAGAACGTTGGAATTCATCGTCTCTCTCATCATCTGACTCGACATGTTTGCGCTTCTTATTTAGCATCCCATGAGGCAAGGCAGGGAGTGGCTCGGAATTTTCCTTGTTACCTCCTGGGAAGGTGCCTGGCATTGCGGAACGAGCTAAACTCTGACGTACTTGACGTACGCTAGCCTGGCCGGAATATGATCCGAAGCCTTTAGGAGACGATCCGAAATCAATGGTGTGGTCGCTACGGAAAGTAAATGTGCTAGGGACAGATGGTGGTGGGCGTTGGGGGGACACAGTGCGAGAAGGGTCGGGAAGCGCGCCAACACCTGCGAGGGACGGGTATTCCACTTCACGGGATCGTTTGGAAACATTCGGGTGGGAACCTAGGGATGGATATTGCACTTTGTCCTCAACCGGCTCCGTTGCGCTGAACTGTGTCGTCTTGGCACGAAGATTGGCCTTGGAAGTCGAGCGAGGTATTCCGGATTTCATGGGTGATGGCGAGTTCTGAATGTTTGCGGCACGGTTTATAGTATCGGGTGTGAAGTTGACATGCTTGACGCTCTTGGAGCCATCAGGCCCGCCAGGAGTTTTGGGAAGTGCGGGTAGCGCCTTTTCGAAAGCTGGCTTGCTAGGGCTTCTGAGCAGAGACGATGCCGTAACAGTAGGTTTCTTTACGCTTGCGCTAACTTGTCGGAGAATAGATCTAGCACGTTCGAATCTACCCGGACTGCGCAGCAAGCTTTTTGGTACAGAGCGGGGAAATCCACTGAGATTATTGGTGGTCGCAGATTTGGTAAGACGACGAGGCGTGTTGGTGAGGCATGGCTTTGATGGAGATCTTGACAAAGTGGGGATTTGGGTACCAGGGCGCTTGGCACTGGCGGCTCGAGCTAGAGAGGCCTGGGTAGGTGTGGTGATCGACTCAAGGAAGTTTGACGAGCGTGGGCGGTCCGGAGTCGACACTTTGGCGGTGTTGCCTCTAGAAACCGGTCGAGCAGACGAAGTATCATCGGTGATACCCTTTCGTGAACGCTTGGATGGTGCAGTATTCTCCAATCGTTCTGTACGGCCCGAGTTCTCGGCGACGTGAAGATCCTTGGCAGAGATATCCTCCCGCTCGTCCAGTTTTGCTCGAGACTGTGTCCGCTTGAGATTCTTTGCGGGCGACGGGAACCGATCAGGTTGAGCTCTGAAAGAAGACGCATGCCCAGCAATCGAATCCATCTTCTTGAACTCCGCCATATGTACATCGCTGTATCGACCAACCTTGCCTTTGGGTTGTGCGATCTTGCGGCCACCGACACCAGTATCCTCTTCTTCGCCTCGACGCTTACGCTCCTCCTTTTCGGCTGCGAGCTTGGTCTTAATTCGTAAAGCTTCTTCCCGCAGTTCATCCATCATTCGCTGAGCCTCAGGGCCGAGTTGAGGGATAGGACGAGCAAACCGAAAATCAAAAGCAGATGAGATTCCAGATTTCGAAGGGGTATGCTGTGTGATTCCAGAGGGCTGGCCATTGGTAGTTGGCTTAATATCCGTGAATCCGAGTCTCAAACCAGAGTCCGGTTCTTTGGCAGTACTTTGGTGAGCCTTGCTTGGATGCATATCTTCCAGCGACGGCTTTGGACGGGCGGCAGTTGCGGGCGTTCGAGGAACGGAGGGGGAGGAGAGAATGGCATTAAGATTGGGCTGTGGCTTGCTATTTGGAGATTCATCGTGTTCGATGAGAGAGTCAGGGCGGCTTGAGTTAGAGCTCGTGGGCTAAGTAATGATACAGTCAGTTAGTGAAGAGAGATCCTTTGTATTTCTAATGTTTACATACCTTTGGCGTGGCAGTACTGCCCCGAAGTCGAGACGAGCGACGCCGAGGAGGCGACATGGTGAATTCGATATGGTTACAGCTCGGCTATGGTCGTAAGGGAGTGTTTGAGGGCGTTGGACCTAGCAATGGAATGCAGTGGTGATGGTCAAGGTTATTACGACTCTCAGTGGGTGGAGCTCACTGAGGTCATTTGTTTACTTTCGCCAAACCCCTTGTTGTTCGCGTATCCTAGGACTGTTGACTGGATTAAAAATTATCCGACTCGACCCCCACTATACACTCGGCAGCCGAAGTTTTCCCGGATGCTTCACAGCCGAGTCGTTCTGGTTGTGAACATGCAGCATGAACATGTACCAAGTACGAAGTACTACGAAGCACATACTTTATCGAAGCCTGCATGGCGTTTCGCCTAGTTCTTTTGGTTTATCTTCGGCCATTGATCATTGTCCGGATTATGGGGATTGTGACCGTACCCGTACCGGGGCTATGGGTTGTCACTTATTATCCGGGTTAGCAATCGACGGGCGAGCAAACGACATTTGGTGTGCGACCAAGAATCACAACTCCTTCCCCCTTACTTTTAGCCCATTCCGTCTCCCCTCTTTTCAATTTCAATAATACAGTACTTGTATGCAGGATTTGCTGGAAACAGCAGTACTATACACTGCTGCTGCACATGCGGAAGCTATGCGCTCCAACCGGCTCGGATCAAACTGAGTTGTCTTGCGCAAAATCCGTCAAGGACGACTTAAATCAGGATGTTTTTAAGGTAGGTACTGTACATGTATCTCCTTATCAGCCATCGATCTACTAAATACAAAGGACCGTTGTTATAACTGAGGTAACAAAAGCTAGCTACAGTACCTGGGTACTATGTACGTACGGTACAGCCTTACAGAAATTAGCCGGTTGAAAGGTTAAAGCAGAAGAGGAAGGACTTTCTGGAAACAGACTAAATAATGCCCCGAGGAGATGATGGGATGACCTCTTGGGGTTTGAGTCGTGAGACTTGAGCGATCTGCAACCACAATCCACAACCCCATGGACCGTGCAAGCGAAGATATTTTGGGCTGATTGATGGCGTAGGGATGTCTGGATGATGTTGCATTATTATTGCTTGACCAGAGAGGGGTCGAAACTGGCCCACTAAACAAGAGGCCGCAAGCGCAAGTTGCACCCTGCGGAGCTCGAGCCTCGCGCTGCAAAGTGAACGAAACAATGCCAAAAAAAATAGTTTGGCCGCCGCTTTGCCCGGGAATGGTACGGAGCACTATGTGGCTTGAAGGCTTTGAAGTTCGAACACAGTTTCAATGTACCGGATCTAGTCAGTTTGCGACACTCTAAAGGTTCGAGTGGCAGTTCAATTCAATAATCGCCATAGCAATAACCCGTACGGAGTAGGGGACTTTGAGACGACATCATGCCATATACAGCTGGTCTTGTTCATGGCTACGAAGTATCCTCACCACCAGACACCACAGCGTTGCCCGCTCCAAGCAGCGAAAACCTCCAGAGGACAGGTGACCCGCTAGCTCGGAAACTCGGAAATGGCCGTGCTGCTCTCTGTGCGCAGTGCAATCAGCATCATCAATATTCAGCACATGGTGGCGTCTGGGGGCCGAGTAATGGCTTGCATCAAGGTGCAATGCATGGCCCAGGAGATAAGTCCGCACAGTCCAGGCGTGGTGCAACAGCTGGTGTTTAAAACTACTGAGTGCTACGTGCTCAGTAGTCCGGAGATACAGCCACTTGGCATCGAGCGGGGGACCACCAGACCGGCCAGCGAAAAAGCAAATCCATGGGATACCCAGATTCTAATAACTCTATTCAACGTTGGCAGACTCGCAGCACGGCGCAAGAAATGGGGAGCTTCCAAGAATGCAAAGCCATGTGCGACGGGATCGTTGCCATACCTTTCCCCGTTCCCGTTCCCCTCCTATTGAATCCCACCCGGCACTGCCAGCAGCAAAGCATCCCTGATTTGCTTCCTTGGGGCATCATCATCCTTGAGCCATGGAGCACCATGACATAGCGCGAACCATCGACCCTTTGCGACTGGCCATCAGCGCCGACTCCCCGAGCCTCTCGCCAACTGCAACGGTGGAAAATTCTTCGCGACACACGCCGCTCGCCGACCCTTCGGTTTTCCTTTCCCCCAGCATTGTCCTGATCCAAGTGGGGGGCCACGGGGGAACCGCCGTCGAAATGGAAGCGATGGAGGCCACTATGTGACTACTCTCCGTGGCAGCCACACAAACCAAAATACCTCTCCGTTTTGCGGAGAGGCCAATTAATCGCCGACCAGCCTTAGCATGCCTAGCATCACGTTGTGGTGCGTTTCTGGACAGTGTTTTTCCCGCTCTAGGCCAGGAAGTGAGGCTTTAACGCCACTCCACGGCGCACTCGTCAGGACAAGAGTCAGGGCGGCCAGGACCCCCAGGGCTGCGGCAGTGGTGGATGGTGGATGGTGCAGGGTGGTTGTGAACTCGTCGACGACGACGACGACAACGAGGACGAGGACGAGGAGGAGTGTGAAAGGGAGCTAGAGATATAGGTAGTGCATTGTCTACCCACTGTCTACCTGCCCCCGAGTTGCCGACGGGGCTCCGTAAAATGCTCTTTGTACTGCGTACTCTACGAGTCCTCTACTTCCTCTTCCTGCCACCACTACTTTGTTGCCCGCTTGAGGCACCAACTCTGCAACTTAGTACTGTCTAATAAGTCTAAGACTTGAAGGGAGAGTAGACAACGCTAACCTAGCATGCAGTAGTACTTTGCAGCCGGTAACTTCTTCTTGCTACGAAGTCAAGCCCCCGTAAAGCCAAGGCCCAGGACGTCGTAAACCCACCCCGACAGCGCTACTCGAGCCACAACCCACCGCCGGCGCCGTGCCTCCTATTCGCTGCCACCGGTCCCTTTCCGCGCTCCCAAGAGGGGGGGCACTTGCAGAATTCAAATACCCTCTCACACCTGCTTCCAGTTTTCATGACCAATTCCTCCTCCATTCTATTACTCTATTGTTTTCACTCTATTCATCCTGCTCCTGCTTCCCCAGAGGCCGTCCACCAGCCTCCATCTCTCCCCTAGCCCTATGTTCCTGGTCCCAGGTACCGGGTCCCCGACTACCGGGTTCGCAGCATAGACGCCCCGCGCCCCGGAAAAGCTCCATCTGATGCGCCGCATGCCATCGCCACTTGCCTGAGTAGCCACGCATCTACCACCGGTTTGATTCGCGCCTCTGCAGCAACTGTGTAGAGTGAGTGTTGAGGTAGTTGCACAGCGTGGTGGCCTTCTTGTCTGTCGTCGCGGCGTCGTGCTGGCTTTGTCCAGGTGGGATGCCATTTGATACCGCATACTCTAGCTCCGAAAGAAATGGCAGACAGCATGTCGATCGATAAAAAGGAACCTCCTCGGGAAGGCTCAGAGGACTCCATGGACCTCAACTCGCCAACCCCAGAGGCGGAGGCGGGTGCACCTCAAGAAAACGTTACCCAGCAGAAAAGGAAGGGCGGCCGGAAGCCTGTAAGTTTTGCCGGGTCCATATCCAACCATGTGGATGGCGGTGCTGATGTGTAACATAGATCTATGCTACTTCAGAAGAGCGCAAGCAGCGCAACCGCCAGGCGCAAGCAGCTTTTAGGGAGCGCCGGACAGAGTACATCAAGCAATTGGAGGAAACGATCCGCGTCCATGAGACCAACCTCCATAGCTTGCAGACTGCGCATCGCAGCGCTGCGGATGAATGTCTCATGCTGAGATACAAAAACTCTCTTCTAGAACGGATATTATTGGAAAAAGGTAATGAATAATAGGCCCGGTAACCTGCGAACTTGTCAATTGTATTTACTGACCGACTCTTACAGGCATCGATGTTCAAGCCGAGTTGCGCGCGAAGACTGGAAGCCCTCACCTTGGCCCAACGCACATGGCCCCGAATATAGCACAGGCACCAACAGTTCAGCGCGCTATCATGAATAGGCACCATCAGGCAAGACGATCGCAATCCAGCATCGCTCCTAAACTCGAGCCGGGTGCGCCCCTTCAGTCTCCACAAGCACGGCCAACCCCATCGTCCCATTCCTCTTCACCAACCTCCAATTCGCCAGGATTCCACAACCCAGGAGTTCTGACTCCACCTGCTACCGAATCCCAGATGCAATTTCAACAGCAGCAGCAACAGCGCCTACAACCGATTAAGCCCCAGGCCCCGCACGCACTGCCAGCAAAGAATGGAGGAGTAGGGAACACTGGAGGAGGACCTGCTCTGGCACCGAAGGCGCCAGGACCCAGTGATACAAGTGCCCCGGGAGGCACGTCGGCAGCTCCATCATTCTTCGGGGATTTCCAGAATCACATTGAGCATATTAAGCAACTCGGCAAGCTGACCCGCCCCTTCTGTTTTTCCTTTCAATAGAGCTATGTTCGTCCTAGATTAATTCCGTGAGTACAGAACAGGAGTACGACGCCCAAGCCGATATGGTCGAAGACCAAGACCCAGCCGATTCCGGGCCCGGCCCATACCCCGAACCACTCCCTCCAACACAGCACCATATGAACCAACACCAGATCCTGAACCCGCAACCGCCACCGCACGCGCTTGGCCACCAAGGGACTGGCAACCCTCAAACCTTCGGTTCGATGACTCAACTACTAGACCCTTACGACCCCATGCTCGATATGGACCCATTCGGACTGTCCGCCTCGATGCAGTTCCCGTCTTCCTTTCCTTTTGATACGAGCTCGATGAGATAAAAAAGCATTTGATACCCATGACTACACGGTTTGGGGGTCGGGACAGGGGGTATTGATTTGGCGTTTGCATAAGGGCGGAGGGTTGAACTGTTATTATTTTACGAAAGAAAATAAAGGATATTGCAAAGCTTCAGAGTGTATGTTTTGGGGTGGGGGGTTACCCCAAAGATTAAAATAGCACACTATGGATAGGAAGAGGGCGTTGCTCTGCACTCAGTCACGCATCAGTATGCAGTGGAGCATCGCTAATGAGCTACGGCTCAGGGCCAGTCTTGGGTTTGACAAAGCTATCTTACCGCGAGGAACCTTGTAGGGTTTGGCATGGACATCTCCCTCAAGATAATATATAATCACTGTCTTGGAAGATGCTAGACTCTCAAATCACGGCTTTGCTTCCGCTAAATGTGAGCCATTTTGATCATATATGGTATGGCCCATACAGCCAATTGCTAGCCAAGCCTTCCATCTATCTACCACAGGACCCATCGCCGTGCGCAATCCATAAAAAGTAGGGGAAAATAGCAGGATTTATCTACTTGAGATATCAATAACTTATTAAATCACTTGCTTCACGCTTATCAGAGATATAGAGTGTCTTGACCTAATTTCCCCAGCGAGAGCGCTAATTTGAGTTAAGCTTAGTCGGTGCAGTGCAGTAGTAGCATCAGGAGCACAAGACCAATTCACAAATTATATTCGTGTACCAACAACAACTCCGTAAACTAGTAGCCATCACCTTCAGCATAACCCAATATCTAATAGAGGAAGCATTACCGGAATATTGTAGCCAGCTTATTATCATTTATATGTTTATGAGACAATACGTGATGACAAAGAAAAAAGCCCTAAGAATGATTTGTTGGGAGGCCTTAGGGCAAGCGAAGCGACCAAGTAGTGGCGCTAGTGGTAATTTATTCCTGAGGCACAGCTTGTATTTTTCGTCATTTGGCGACCTTGCGTGGCGCGAAAAGAAACCAACATCCCCTTCGTCAACCCATCAAACCGCAACTTCTCGAGAGACAGCTTCCTAGAGTATAGGAATCTGTCCGTCTCGATCTTCCCATACACCGTCTTCGAATTGTTCCCTCGATAGCAAGGCCTTCTTAGGAGGCGCTTGAGCAGGCGGACAAGATGTCGAACGGAGTCGTTTCGAAGGTACGTGCTTTTCACCGTCCAATCCCATCCAAAGACCTTGAACAATGGAAGCTCGAGGTCTTTGCGATACAATTCAATTGATACTCGAGATTCAGGAGCTGACTTGATAAATATAGAATCTGTACGAGCTTCTCGGTATGACGACACCACCGTCCAGTCGAGAATTTGACCTGGGATACGGAAGCTGACAGAATTGTTTAATAGGCAATACGCACGATGAAGACTCCGACAGAGAGCCTGATCCACCCGTGAAGGTTGTTGATAAAACCCCAGCTCGGACAACCAAGCGCAATGCTCCTGCAGAGGCACCAGCTTCCAAAGCTCCCGCTGGATCCGAGAACAGAAATCCTCGTCGTGGTGGAATTGGCGGCAATGAAGGAGGTTAGTACACTATCAAGCTTACACGATCGCATTATACTTGTCTTATTTTGCTCTACATCGTATCAATTGAACCGAAAGCTAACTAGCTCTACTTTATAGCTTTCCGCGACCGCAACGTTGGCCGCTCCAGCAACCAGGGCAAGCCCGTAGGTGATGATGCTGCTCGACCAGATCGACACCCAAGACACGACCGCGCCCATGGCACATATGAGGGCAGAGGAAACCGAGGCCGCGGTGGAGCTCGAGCTGGCTATGACAGACATAGCGCCGGACTTGGAAGGTGAGATTCTAGAACCTCGGCTATTTCCAAATTCTCTGACATCATATATAGCAACTCTGAGAAGCAAGCTGCCCACGGATGGGGTGGTAACGATGGCGATGCCGAGCTGAATGACGAGAAAGCTGGTGAAGCTCTCGCTAAGGCTGACGGAAAGGACGCTCTTGTCAATGATGCCGATGCTGTCGTTGAGCCAGCTGCCGAACCCGAGCCAGAGGACAACAGCAAGTCCTACGCTGAGTACCTTGCTGAGCTTGCCGAGAAGAAGCTTGCTCTTGGTGCCGGTGTCCCCGAGGCCCGCAAGCCAAACGAGGGCAGCAAGGCCGACAAGAAATGGGCTAATGCTAAGGCTATCGCCAAGGAGGAGGAGGAGGACTTCGTCGCCGCATCCGCTGGAAAGGCCAAGCGTGAGCGTGAGCGCAAGCAGAAGCAGGTCGTTGATATTGACCAGCGCTTCGTCGAAGCCCCCGAGCGCGGTGGCAGCCGTGGTGGATTCCGTGGCGGCCGCGGCCGTGGTGACGGACCATCCCGTGGTGGCAGAGGCGATGGCAACTTCAGAGGACGCGGAGATCGTGGCCGTGGCCGTGGTGAGGGCTCATTCAGAGGCCGTGGAGGTGCTCCACGAGGCAACTCTGGCGCCGCACCCATCAACCCTGGGGACACCAGCGCCTTCCCCACCCTTGGATCATAAACCCCGGAAAAATCCCCAGGAAAAAACTCATCCGATCATCATCAAATAGTTCTTTTCACAAAACTTTACGTCCTTTTCTCTCTTGTCCTCCCGGAGAATTTGAATCGATCGAGTAATTTGCGAAAAGGAAAATGGGCTTTTTTATCATCAGTTGGTAAATCTGAATGGGGCATTATGGGTGGATTCTTTGAAACAACAACTTTTGCTTTTGATTAATCAAAAATGGACCTTAAAAATCTTGTGTGTATTGAAAGGAAATTGAAATTACAGTTGACCCGAGAAAAACGAGTGTTCCAATATGTGTGTGTACTTTTGAAGTTCTTGATGTCTTTTAGTTTTATCAGTCATCTCTAAAACCTGTTATTGTGGATCTCTTTTTTGGCTTTTAAGTCTTTGTGTTTGTGCTGCACATAAGTGATGTAGAACGTAAAGTATAATAGCTGGCTTAAGCTGAGTTCCGTCCTTCTGTTGTGTTAGCTAATTTTTAGGAGAGGGAGAGTATAGCCTCGTCCTGTTCTAGCACATGTAACCAGCCTCCTTGCCTGCTTTTATCTCCTTCCAGGCACCTATACCGTCTTTTGACTTAAGTGGCCTGTATTACGACCGCTCCTACCGTAATTCAAGCCAATCACTTATTCTCTACCGCTCTTCCTTCCGACTCTTTGAGCAAGATATTACCCTAATAATTCCATACTCCCTTGCAAACTCTGGGTCATAGCTCGAGGTAGTTATCAGTTCTCCGGCCTATTAGGGCCTTTCTGGTCTGTTGAAGCCCGTCTAGCTTCCTTTCTTCCACCTTCAAGGGATCTGCTCTGTTGAAGCTCGTCCAGCTTCTCCCACCTTCAAGCAACCTGCTCTTTTCATGGTTGACCTCCCTCAAGCATAGACAAAGAGCTGTGAGACAACATCACCATTCCTCTCCGCTGAACTCATAGTCCCACGACATTGGTCTCAGCTATGCAAGGCCTGCTCCGGGCTTCTACTTGACGTTTTTCTCACTTTCAAACTTCGACTGAAAACTCGCCTTCTGTGCCCACTCATGTACGGGGAACTCCTGGGTGCTCTAGTACCACGATATTTCGATATACACCTTCGGTGCAAATCCACAGCAACTTCCCGCACGTTCGGCTACTTACCGCATAATCAAGGTGGCAGACATGGAACCACCCATGGAAGACACGGTGCCTTTGCTAAACACCTTCCCATATGTGTGCTGTTGTCCACGTTGTTATGCCGTATCTACGCCTTCTACATCCAAATGCCACCGAGATGTTAGAAAGGGCCGCCATGAGAGCAACGTTCTCTACTTGTCAGCAGCCCCCTCCCGCCCCACCCAAATGTAATACTAGTTTATCATACTGATGGCTTGAGTAGGCTGCAATCACGTCCTACAGAAATGATCACCCTTGTCATTGGCGCTAAAGAGGAAAAAGTGCCTTGCCACATGGCATTGCTTGGGTTTTACTCGGAGTTCTTTGATGCTGCTCTTTATGGGGATTTCCCCACCCCACAGGAAATTGGATTACCAGATGAATCCTTGGAAGAAGTCAATGTATTTGTCTCCTGGATGTATACAGGCCAAATATTTCCAGGGCTCGTTTGCGACGAAAGCCTGTGGATCCTCGGCGACAAGCTACGGAGCCAGTACTTTGCCAATGATATCATGCATTTGCTCATCTCAAAGTACGCAAATTTACCTCCAGATAGTGGGCATTACATTGAAGCTGCTACTGCCGACATGGTATACAGTAATACTACAAGCGGATCGAAACTTCGGAAGTTCGTCAAGGAAGTGATCTTGGTAGAGGGGCCGCTATCAATTGACAATTCCGGAGGGCAAAAATTCAAAGAAGACTGGAAAGCACTCATTGCCCGAGGAGGGGACCTGGTGACTGATATTGCGCTCGAAGGCTCCTTCTATAATGAAGACTTCGGGGAAGGGCCTTGGTACCCCAGCAACCAGGAAAAGTATCTCGAGCCAATCCAGACTCGCTCACTTGTCGAATTCACGCAAGGAAACTCTCGGAGTGCCGGCGGAGGACGATTGAAAGGTGGTCGAAAGGTGAAGCTGATATATAGAAAGGAAAATCATTTATAGTAGTTACCCAACGCTCTATTTTGCAATCCTTACTCATTATCCCGATGCACCCTACTCTTGCCTTTGCCTGCCTTTTAGGTACTATCCACCTGCCCATGAATTTCCACTTCGAAACTAACTTGGACCTTAGGATGAGCGAATCGACGTTATAACTGGAGGCGAAGAAGAATTCCCTATTGCTTAACTCCGTTGAAGCTCTCAAAATACTTCGATAGAGTATATTTGCAGGGAGGCAATCATTGCACACTTGCTACACATTATTGAAGAAAAGGGCCGCAGAAGTTTGTGCTGAAACTGCTTTCTATTTTTCTATCGTTAGTTGCGATTCTCGAAGATGGCTGGGTAATGTGAGCCACCCAGGCCACGAAAAATGCCAAGAAGGAAGCATAAGGACGGCAAGAAGCAGCAGCACTAGATACTCGCACTGAATACAATGAATTCTATATGCTAAAGAGAAAGCAAATTTTCATATTTTAACATATATACGCACCCCATACACTTAAATAGGCTATTTAGTACTATCCTGCTTCTTCAACACATCTCCCTCCATCTGTTCAAAAGTCTTAAGCACCTTTCCGTATGTCCCCCACGTCTTCTCCCGATAACCATCATCCACCTTAACAACCGCCTCACTCTCCCTCCAACGACCTCCAATCAACTCCTCAAAGCTCTCCCCGGCTTTCCGCTCAATAGCCCATACAGCCTTGTAAGCACCACCTAACGCACACGCATTACCGCCAACGTCTAACTTCCACACGCCTTCCGCACCACCAAGAACATCACCTATGATACGTGCAATAGCGGGGTTGAGCGAACCACCTCCCACGAGGTATATCCGTCCAGGCTGTGGTGGCAGACCGTTTTTAGGGCTATGGACGAGGTTGTGCGAGCGGAGACGGAGGGAGAGGACTTGTGACTCCACGATTGCACGGGCGTCTACCTCTTTGCTCCACTCTTCGTTTGATTCTTGCAAGTTTGAGCCGTCGTCGTTGCAGGTGTAGCGGTATGTGCCTGGTTTGACGTTGGGAACTATTTCTGGAAGTGGGAAGAAGAGACCGAGTTTTGCGGGATCCGTGGGCGATTTTTGGCCTAGAGGAGGAGTGGAGAGAGCAGCTTCGTTGAACGTTGCCCAGGGGTCGGATGATGTTGTAGGCTGCGGGAGGGTATCGCGGGTCTTTTCTCGTGCGAGTCCGCCGTTTTTGTAACACAGCATGAACATGTATAGACCTGCCGTGGTCGGGTGGTTGAAAAAGTGGTAAGACGGATCAGAGAGATATTTAGGTGTAGACATTAGGAACGTAGTTGAGGTGCCTAGAGATACAATGGCATCCAGAGGGCGAAGGGGTAATGAAAGGATTGTGGCTGGGTTATCGCCGGTGAAAGGCACAATGCCACAATCAGGAGAGAAGTTGTAGCGGGAGACAAAGTAAGAGGAGATAGGTCCCATGCTCCCACCACCATCCTCTCGAACATCACCCAGCTTTAGCTTGAGGTTTTCAGGTCCATCTTCGCCAGCGGCAAGGGCGAGGAGAGGCTCGCTCCAGGATCCGGAGCTGATATCCCAGAGATTCATGCCACAAACATCGCTAATGTCAAATGGGGCAATACGTCCTAGGAAAACGGATGCAAGGAACGAAGAGACAAGAGTAATTCTCGAGGTTGCACGATAGACTTCCGGATTTCTCTTGTGGAAACGCATGATTTGGGGGCCTGTGAAACGCTGGCAAGAGAATTAGCCAGTTTTGCTTTCCCACTCAACAGCCATTCGATTAGGAAACTTACATGATGAGCTTTGCTTCCAGTAGCCTGGGCAAGCTTCTCCGGGGACCCTAGCTCAGCATCAAAGCTGTCACACTCCTTTTGAGTGCTCGCATCTTGCCAGTTCGGGCTGAATGGATGGGCAAATGCCACTGGGGCTAGTTGATACACTATAGGCTCCTTAGGATCGAGAGCCCCGAGCAATTCCTCGCCTTTCTTGCTCCAGTAGACACTTCCATGCTGCTGGCCAGCTCCTGAAATACCCTTGATTCTTTCGAATGGGGTGTTCTTTTCTTTCAGTCGCTGGAGGACTAAGTCCACGGCTTCCAGCCACATAGCCACGGGAGCAATGACTTCGTGCTCCTCCTCGTGGATGATAACACCCTTCTTGATTCCATACTTGGAAAGGTCTGCATCAAAATCCACCTTGGCTTCGTACAGAACCTTCAGTTCTGATGTTATGACGATTGCTAAAGTGGATGTCAGTCAGGTGACATTGTGGGGTATCGTGCACGTGAAAAGCCCACCTTTCAACTGTTGGGTCGAGAGATCAAAGCCCAGATATAACGGGCCATCTTGGGTCGACATGGCGGAACCACGAGATTACCTGTAGGTCTGAATGACAGTATAGAAATTTCTCCAAAGATTGGATTGAACGATGTTCTAGAATTTGGGCGAGCAAGGGAGAATATTTTATGAAAGCGATCTGAGCCCAGAGTAGAGGGGTCCTACGCGTGGAGCTTGCTAAATTTTAGCCTAAATAGTGATTCGAGTATGGTGGGGGGCACTATAGTTGGGTTGGCAGGCTGGGCTGTGGCGTCGGTACAACGAAATGGCATATTATAGCCGTGAGAGTATAAAAAGAATGAGGAGAATTATAGTGACGAAGATTATCTCTGTAGAAACTTTGTGGATTTTGTGAATTTTTTGATATGTGATACATAGCATCTCCTCTGGACCCAACCGCCCAAACGCCGTCTTTATTGCACAATTGTGTTCGGAATATTTAGCTGGTGCCCAGATTTCGTATCACGCTTGTGAGGTTCCTATATGCACAAGTTGTCATTCATTGGATTTTCTTGTTGTCATGATCATGGTTCTCATCATGGTCCTCTGGCTCGGGACTGGATCGTGGGCTCACATCACCGCTGATGAACTCATCAAACAGCGATGTCGAGGGGTCGCCCTTGGGCACAAACCGGATCTTGACCCGGCGAACACCTCGGACCTTTGAGCCCACAGTTTCTCTTATACTCTCCTCCACCTTTCCAACTTCCTCCACCGACCAAGAGCTGGGTACAGCAAGCTGGAGATCTACAAGATAGTTCTGCCCTGACTTGACGCCCTCAACTTCACGCAGCTCTATATCTGATCCTTGACCTAAATTAGCCAGACCTTTATTTGCGGCTTTCGTGATCGAGGCTTTGGTTTCCTCGTCAATTCCCTTGTCTGCCAATTCGTACAATGCCGAGACGGTGTTGCCCCAACCTCCTTTGATGACCATGAGCGATATCAGAAACCCTCCAACCGGGTCCAACCAAGCAGCATCATGGAGAAAGTTTGCTCCTAGAATTGCAAAGAGAGTTACAATGCCGGTGAGCGAGTCGACTCGGTGGTGGATCGCATTCGAAGCTAGAACGGAGGATTTTCTTTCTTTCGCTACTTTCATTGCTAGGAGACCAATGTTAATACTTGGCTAACGAATTGGGGCTGATGAAGCCATACTTGCTTGATATAACCATTCCTTGATGATGACCGTTCCTGCAGCAATCCATGCAGCATGGATACTGGGTCCCATTGCAGCGTGACTATGGCTGTGGCCGTGTGCATGAAGAGCAGCCTCCGCAGCTGCATGGGCGTCGAGGAAGAAATGCGCATAGAGGATCTCACAGCTATTCAAGCACATGAAGCACCCTCCAAATAATAACATGCCGCTGACGCCGAGGGAACCCAAACTCTCAACCTTCCCAAATCCAGTAGGGAACATTGCCGTCGGAGGTTTCAAGCTCCATGATACCGTGGCCAGCGTAAGAACATCACTGGCCAAATCCGTCAAGCTATGCCATGCATCCGCAATCATAGATTGGGAATTGAAAACATATCCTCCTACCCCCTTCACAACCGCCATTCCAAGATTGGAGTACAGACCAATGCGCGTTATCCGAACGCCGGCATCTTTCTTGTTCTTCGAGACGAGGTACGTATTATCATGATGGTGGTGGTGGTGCGAGTGGCCCGCGTGAGAGCGCGTCTGCGTCTTTGCAAGAGCCGCCATGGGTCGATTTCGAGGATTGAGCGGATTGGCAAAGAGCTGAAGCTTCGGGAGCGATCGCAGGTGGACGTTTTCCCTAGAACATGAATTGAGGATGGCACAATTGAACGCCGCAGTTTGGAGGACGCGTGTCTGTCTTTGTTGCGAGTTATGTGTCCTTGGATTCAGCCTCAGTGTGATAGGCTTTAACGCGCGTGCCCCTTTGGCGAGGCAGCGGAAAGGCATCAAGGGGAAGAAGTCCAAGAAAACAAGGGGTGATCAAGCGGGGGAAGGGCGTCGGACAGGTCAAGCCTGCGACCCGGAACGGAGGTATGGAAAAGGAGCATCAAGATCCCTCGAACAGAAGGTATGGATGGATATTGCAAAATGAAGACGAAGATTACGAAGTCGTCCGTATAAAATCGACTGACTTATTCCGCGCGAGGAAATGGCAGACCGGGGCAGATAAAGCTGGAGCCCGCCACCAGGGACACCGAACTAGTCCCCTCCGTAAGTGCCGTAATAATCCGGAAAACTTGGCGTCTGTTTACTTGGATGATAATAGCTGGAGAGCAGGCAAGCAATTGTATTTCTTCAAAGCTGCTACTGTATCCAGGTCTGGGAGGTGAGGGTTTGATTTACTGTATGCTTCGGTTCTTATACTCCCTCTCAAGAAACCCCTTTGACCTGAACGCGGAGAGGAGCGAGGTAAGAAGTAAGGACGGACGGACTATCAGGGCCCCATATGCGGAACCACTATTTACTATTTACTACGCATTGTACCTCCGTACTGCCGATCTCGCGTATCATTATCCGTGTCGATAGCTCCGACACTACGTACAACGTACAGGCTCGATGACGCGAATAGCCACCTCGCAAATATCCAACTCCTCAATGCCGACTGCTCAATGCAAAAACCGCTTATGAGAATCCCCTATACGGGCCCTCTCCCTCCTCCGAATATCATCCCGCGGAATGCAAATACCATTACTGGCGCAGTCGCGGCCTTGTCCCGATTCCTCACTGCCCCGCCGTCGCCATCCTTATCCCTCAGTCATGGCGGCAGTGATCCCCAATCAACGGTGATATTGTCCGGCGCCGGCATATCAGTGGCTTCAGGATTGGCAGATTACAGAGGCACCAACGGAACATATAGGCAGAACAAAACATATCGACCAATTTACTATCACGAGTTCCTGGCAAATCACGAGGCAAGGAAGAGATACTGGGCTCGCAGTTTTCTAGGCTGGACGAATCTTCACAAGGCCAAGCCAAATTCGGCTCATTATGCTATCAAGAACTTGGGTGATATGGGAATCGTTCGCAGCGTGATTACACAGAATGTGGATTCCTTCCATTCAATTGCCCACCCCGATATCCCCACTCTGGAACTACATGGCTATCTTCGTGCACTAAGATGTGTAACCTGCCACAATGACCTCCCGCGAGAGACATTTCAGGAGTCTCTTGCAAGCCTGAATCCAGCATGGGCAGAATTTTTGACGGAGGTAATCGCATCAGGGGCGCTCGACACGGAGAATCCAGCAGAACGGAGTGCTAGGGGCGTAAAGACCAATCCTGACGGAGACGTCGATATTCCTGGTGCACCATATTCAACTTTCCGATACCCTGCATGTCCTCGTTGTCTTGCGAATCCCCCCATATCGGGCGATGGTACACAAACAATAGTGGAAGTAGATGCAGAAGGGGGTTTGGAACCAACGAGTACGGCTGGGATACTGAAGCCTGCTGTAGTGATGTTCGGGGAAAGTATAACTAACACGGTGAAGGAGGCTGCCGAACAAGCTATAGATGGCTCTGGTAAACTGCTAGTTCTAGGCACATCTCTTGCGACCTATTCTGCTTGGAGACTGGCACGGCGTGCGAAGGAGAGGGGTATGCCTGTTGGAATACTGAATCTGGGCGGAGTGAGAGGAGAAGAAGCCTTCTTTCAAGATCTGCCAATGGCCCAACAAGGAGAAGCTGCTGTCCGGGCCGACATGGGAACTGATAAAGTCCTACCAGAACTGGTTAACCAACTGAGACGTAGTGGATTCTCCACCAACGTCGATGTATCAGATCCAGCAGACGAACCGCACACCAATAACACAATATTCAAAGATGTACTGTCATAGAGAAGCACCACATAATATACAATCGTAACATTACAACTCGGTTGTGCTAATAGAATCCGGCCGGAGCTTTGCTCTTCGTTTTGGGTTCTGGCGTCTTTTCTTCGATTTTTTCAACTGGTCTCGTAGCTTGCAAGGTGGATGCCGTAGATTTGTCTTCCTTACCACGCGCCCTCTTAGAATTCGAGTTTCTTGAAGCCTCCAATGCCGCATCCTCCATCTCGATTTCTTGTAAAACTAGAGACCTATTAGTTGGCTTGACTTCAACACGAGGATCAAGGGGAACGTGCCTTCTTCCCATTCCTGCTCCCTCTTCGAGTCACCCGCACCTAGAAGACCCTCTACATCCACATCTTCTCCATTCTTTATGCGCTCAATGATTTCATTGAGAAGGCTGATCTTTGCATCAGCCCTGCGACTAAACGCAGCAAATTCATTCCGCAGCGCGATCATTTGGATTGACATGGATCCAATGAAGAGGAATATAATGATAAAAAATGTCGCAGGATTCCATTCTTTTGACTTGATCTTTTTCTTCAAGGATGTTGAAGGAGAACTTCTGCGAAGAGGCTTAGGGATTAAACCGAGCCAGAACGAGTGCTGAGCGACGTTTGGACTTGGTACCGTCGCATACTGTCGAGGGAATGGCGCATGGAGAGTCCGAGGGAAGGGGATAACACAGCTGCGGATGCCAGCTGGTGTTAGAAGGAGTCTTCGCAAAGCTGCTGAGTTGTTCATGTTTATGGCTGATTCGTTCCACTGCGATGGAGTACCTATGCGCTTCACAAGAATTTGTTCGGCACCTCAGCCTTTGCACTTGTAAAGTCCAGGACGAGCGCCGGTTGCCCCGTCAACCAGTTTTGGCGCTTGCTCCCACCACTACCGCCACTACGTCGTTCAATGTTCTATACAAGTACCTTACACGAACATTACTGCTTGCTCTTTTAGCACTGGCTCCGTTTTGTATAATGTCTAATTTTTGGTAGTATTGTACAGTTCTTGCCCACTACCCTGTATCATAATGGCGTCTTTGCAAGCCACTGCAGATTCGATTCGCACCGCGGTGTGTTCGACATCGACATGTACACCTGGAACAACAATAATACTCAGCGAGCTCCTATTACCAAAAGCGAATCCCGAAAGTAAACGCCCTACCACGGCTACGAAAAAAACAACGAAGACTGCGGCCGTGTCTAAGGCAAAACCTAAACCAATAAAACCCTCGACATCGAGGACTAAGAAGGCGGAACTGGTGGACAACGAGAAGGAAAATAGGCATACGGATGGGCATCAATTGTCGGCAAAGGAGCGGTCAATACTGGCTACTGAAGTCATTAATGCTACACTCAAGTCCCTCACCGAGGCTATCAAGGCTCCAGTGGCTGGCCCACTTCGACGACAGCCATCCTCGAAGGATCTTGTTAAAGCTTCAGCGCGCAAAACCCTCCGTCGGTCGATTTCGTTACCGCAAACCCCGTTACAGCCACGCTCCTTAAATCGAGTTGCGAGTTCACCCGGTCTCTCTCCTAGGCCGAGCAGATCCTCGTCTTCGGCTTCTATAACCTCCTCTGGACACAGGTCGACAGCTGAATGCACCCGGCTAGCTTTTGCATGCCTTCGATCATTGCAGGCCGCCAAAACACCCGGCTTAAACCTTCCGCCTCTGCAACTTGAAAATGGAATGTCTATATTTATTGGAAAGCTTATTTCATTAGGACTGGATGATCTGGCTACGAAGGAGCTGAGGATTTTGAAAAGAAGACTGGAGCTGGACGATCCGCAGCAGAAGCCGGCAGCAGGGAAATCGAATACAACTACAGCCCCGCAGAATCTAGCCGAGTTATTAGATTTTGGAGAAAAAAAAGTTACGGGTGCAAAGCTGGGTCTGGTTATTTCAACCCAATTGCACATCCTACGACTTATGGCCTCGTCAAGTAGAAATCACTCTCAGAATGCCGTTGCTATTTTGAATCCTTCACATCCGTCGTCGCCTACAAAGTTACTACTCTTGGCTTCTAAAGCGCCCAAGTCAGCAGAAAAAGCTGCTCGCCAATTACAGACACTTTCGGATGTCCTGCTGTCATTGTGTCCTAGTGTTTCTCCATCCGATGATCCTTTAGCTCTCGAACCGAGGCTGAGTGTAACTGCTGATGTCGCATTCCAGTTGCAGACTTTTGCGCTCCACAATCGGATTCTGTGGTGGAAGCTTGCAGGTCATCAGGCCGACCCGGCAAAATATTTATTCGACCCGTTTCTCCGCTGTCTTTCCACATTTGCTCGTCGCAGTCGGGGCGATGCCTCTGGCACATATGAGCTAGCTTCTGCGGCTTTTCTAGACCTCCAAAAGCTCTTTTCAGGCTGTCCTAATGCAAGCGAGGAAGGACTGGGGCGGATATTAATCGGCATCTATAGACTGCTGAGTTCTATGGCACAGGAGTCGAACCTGGTGGAAGATGCAATCCATTGGACTTTGGAGCTTCAAGGAGACGAGCGAACCGTCAGTTCCGATGCTAGACAGACTTTTATTGTTGCGAGATTGGCAGCGCTCACTCTTAGGCGGCCGCTGAGGAATCTAAAAGATGAGGAGCTACTCCTCACCCTGTTGGAGAGTTTGGAGCGCCCCTTCAAGGGCGATTCCTCCGAAATCGAAGATCTTCTGACTGAAGTTTCCTATACCCGAAGGGCAGCGATTGCCATTCTGGCTCGCTCGACGCCAAGTTGTAGTCCGGAAAACAGATTGACGGAAGGCATGCGGCAAATGTGCGAGTCTCTTGTCTTTCTATGCCCAAGGTTATGTTTGAGGTACCTCGGGAAGCCCGCAGACGTGACTTCAACAACGAAAGAAATTGTTCGTTATGAGCAGCGACGTCAATTTATCGGAAAATCTGCTCTCCACTCTATCGACTCGGTATCATTTCTCATCAAGACGCTCCTTAACGAAGGACGTATAACTTGGGATCTTTTAGACTCGAAACTCCAAGATTGCTTATCCTTACTCGACCAGGTTGATATGGCTTCTGGAGAGCCTCCCCTGGATGATTCGGCATTGTCCAAATCGTATCATGTCCGACTCTCGAATGTTTACTATACATATTATCTCAATGAGCGGCGGAATTCCGATAAACCAAAAGATAGTCAGCAGCTACGAGTCCTACGAAGATCGGTCGACTGTATTCGGGCAAAATCACAAACTGAAAAGAAATCGGCTTTTTTCTCGACGAAGCTTGAGCGGATGGCGGAGATTTGTAGGACAGCTGGGCGATATGACGAGCTCTTCCAAATCCTCGAAAGCCTACGCGATGAGATGGTCAGCAATGGTGTTCTATCAGGAGTTGCAGCTGCTGTTGCCTCCCAACCACTTCAGGCAGCATGGAACAAAGATGATCAATCAGCTATGCTTGCTCGTACAATTTCTTCCTTGTTAAAGACTCAAGTCAAATACCTGAACATAGCTACACATAACTCACTTGTTGACGACTCCTGGTCTAATGATGAGCAAGGAGCGGTGCTCGAGTATCAACTCCAAGTTCTATCTAGACAGATCAAGAGGCCAAATATTAAGGTACTGCAAACGGCCGCATTCAGGTCATTGCTTTCACTTTACGACAGGAAAAGCTACCCCATCCGCAGGCTTAGAGTGCTAATACATCTTGTGTCCCTTGATTTGGAGGATCGAGAGGAATTTGTGGATTTCATCGAAGACGAGCTCACAGTAGAGACGACTGAGACTTGCACCATCGATGGGACCGAGGATGAGTCTTTGCAACACTACTTGGCCCACGTCAGAACTCTTGCAATATCCACCATGGAACTGCAACAGGATCAACCACGGCTTGATATCTTGAAAAGTAACCTGTCTACCTGGTCATCCATTCGGACGAGTTGCGAGAACTTGGAGGCCTTGGAACGTCGGGTCGAGGATGTTATGGGGCTCACGGATCATTTGCAGTTTATCTCAGGCTATTTGCAGATGAAAGGATTAGATACTCTACGAGTTGCTGTTCTCCGTCTAATAGCGGATTTCAGTGAGCTAATGCTGAACGACAAGTCTGGCCCCGATGGAGTTGTCCTCAGTTTCGCTGCACTGGGGTCTCAGTGGCTTAAACTTGGCTATTCCGGAAAAGCAGGACTCGCGTTGGATAGGGCACAGTCATACAGCCATCGCAATGGTGTCTCCCCACTGGCCATGTTGCAATTACAACTTGCCTACTCTGCTTACTTGGTGGCCATAGGTAACTTCGACAAAGGGTAAGTTTTTCCCTCTACCTTGAGAGCGTAGCTAACGTATCAAAGCGAGGAGCAGCTCCTTCGTGCTCAAGCCTTCCATTCCCAGGAGAAGGAGGCTATGGCTAGAACGAAAGCCGCCCTCACACTTGAGGAACGGACCCAACAGAACCAGTTGCTTTCCGATGCTTATATGGTATATTCAATGGTATCACTCGAACGTGGTGCCGCTCATACGGCACTGAAATATGCCCGGCAGAGTGTAAGGCTATTACGGCGTGCTTGGGCAAACACCGAGGAACACCTACGACGTCAAAGTTCTCTATCCGATACCCAGCCCGAATCGCCAATAGACAATCTATCCACGAACCTCTCCAACCTCAACATGTCTACCACCACAATATGTGCAGATGCTGATAGTCAAAGTGCAAATATTGGGTCGTGTTTCTGGGCCTTTGTTGCCCCTCTTTTCCGCAGTCTTAGTCGTCTGTCCGAGATTTATGCGCATCATGGCATGTTTCAGGAGACTGTTTACTATGCGGAACAGGGCTACAAGTTTGTCAAAGTCGTTGGCTCTGAGGCGCACCAAGCAATGGCAGCCGCCTTGGTGGGAAATGCTCTATTGAAAGCAGGGACACTGGACAAGGGCGCTGAGTTGCTTATGGAATCGAAACAGCTCTCAACTTCCTTGGAGAATTGCCAAGACAAAGCCATATTATCCTACTATCTTGGGAATATGCATGGTCTTCTGGATGATCGCGATTCGGAAATTGCTGCATATGGAGTGGCAGAAGAGATTCTGGAGAGCTTAAGCCAAACGGACTATATAGACTCGATGGAAATGATCACGAGCCCGTCAGATATTCTTGAGGAATGCATGTCGCAACTAACGATTACGAAACCCAAGGGGCCAGGAAAACGGAAACCAGCAACCCGGACAAAAGCAGTAGTCAGGACCACTCGAGCCGTTGCCCGAGCTAATTCCCCAGTTGAGCCTGCCAAGCTGATATCAGAAGAATGCACGCAACTAGTATCGTTCAAAGCAACATTACTCCGTCAGAAGGCTTGGACCCTAACATTGATGAAGCAGTGTAATGAATCACTTGCACTTGTCCATCAGACAGCACCTTTTGTGAATACTCAGATTGAAGCTGTGGATCAGGCATTGGCAATGGCCAAACAGTTGCTTTTCCAAAGCATGGAGCAAATGACCGCCGACCCTGTGTATTCAGTTTTACAAGACTCGACTATCTCCTTCCCATCTGTTGTCGGCTTGTGTAAAGGCGACAAACCCACAGATAGGCCCTCAGTAACTCGAACTTCACCCCCAAGAAAGTTACCCGTGACAAAACGTGGTCGGGAGACAAACTGCTCCAAGAATACAGCCTCCGACTTTTTCGAAAAACTTCGCCAAGCCCAGGAACACCTGCTGGAAGCACATTCCATAGCTGTAACTGTTGCTCCAATTGCCCTAATCCACAAGATATCGGCTCTCCTAAACAGTGTCTCTATATTACTCTGCGCCTCGGGCCACTCAAAAGGGAAATCAATCACCCATCCTGGCTTTGCCAGCTGCAATATTGGTACGTTGCGAGTCAATCATCTAAGTCTCTAAGCTAACAGATACTAGAAATAGCCAGAACTTTAGCAATTCGCCGTGAACGCAAGGCCATACAGAGCGATTCTTCACCGAGATCTAAATCAGACGACTTTTGCTGGCCGACGGCCGCCTTCACGAACCCAAGAAGGTCTAGTTCTGGAATTCCTCACGACTTGTCTCGCTTCCAGAGAGATTACATTGATATCATACCGAAGTCCTGGACAGCAATCTCTATCTCTCTGAGTGATAGTCGCAACGAGCTCTCTATCACCAAACTGCAGGCTGGCCATAGTCCTTTCGTTCTTCGTTTGCCACTGGCACGACACAATTCAATGGACGCTGATGAAGAGGTCTTCGACTTTGAGCAGGGGCATTCCGAGCTCATGGATATTATCCAACGAGCAAATGAAAGTGCCCATGATGCGCGAGGTATGAGTAGACGTGAAGCTAAGATGGCATGGTGGGATGAGCGAGAGGAATTGGATAGGCGCCTAGGATATCTTCTCGAGAACATCGAAAAGGTTTGGCTCGGAGGGTTCACAGGTATCTTCTCGCAAAATACACGGCGCCCAGAATTACTCGCACGTTTCCAAAAATCCTTTCACAACATCCTTGACAGACACCTTCCCTCGCGGCAGAAAATGGGGAAGAGAAACACAGGTCCTCGTGTTAGCCTGGATTCCCGAATACTCGATCTATTCATTGGCTTAGGAGATGCTTCAGATGAGGATTGCGATTTCTCCGAGCCCCTGACCGACCTGCTATACTTCGTCGTCGACGTATTGCAGTTCCATGGCGAGCTTAATGCATATGCCGAAATCGACTTTGATTCAATCGTCATCGAGACGCACGACGCTTTACGTTGCTACCACGCAGCCGTGCACGCATCCAGTCAACCCGAGGAGCAAAACCATACAGTTCTGATACTAGACAAAGCACTCCACGCTTTTCCATGGGAATCGCTACCATGTATGGATGGGCAGGCGGTATCGCGTTTGCCATCTCTCGGTTGTCTGCGAGATCGCATTATCCACCAGCAAAACGATGCCCCTGATAATGCGCCAGAGGGAAGTTATGTCGAACCAGGGAATGGATCGTATATTCTCAATCCAGGGGGGGATCTCAAAAACACTCAGGCAACATTTGAAAAGAACCTGCAGAGTTTGAAGAGCTGGGATGGCATCGTCAAGCGCGAGCCTACGGAGGCCGAGTTCAAAGAGACACTGGCTACTAAAGACCTATTTCTCTACTTTGGCCATGGAAGCGGAGCACAATATATCCGTGCTCGAGAAATCAGAAAACTCGAGAAATGCGCCGTCAGCTTTCTCATGGGTTGCAGCAGCGGCGCTCTCACTGAAGCCGGCGAATTCGAGCCATACGGTCCGGCAATCAATTATATGCATGCTGGTTGCGCTGCACTCGTAGGTACGCTCTGGGATGTGACGGATAAGGATATCGATCGGTTTGCGAAGAGTACCTTTGAGCACTGGGGCCTTTTCGAGGGTAGCGAAAAGAAGGAAAGGGGGAAGGGGAGGAAGGAGGCTCAGACGGCGCCAGTGATGGAACGGATATCGGTGGTTGAGGCCGTGGCCAAGGGGAAGAAAGCTTGCAATTTGCGGTATTTGAATGCTGCTGCCGTCTGTGTTTATGGTGTTCCGGTATACCTCAAGTGAACGAGGGCTTGGGTAAATAGGGGGAGTTCGGGGTGTCTGCATAAATGAATATGACATCAGGCATTGGAAATAGAGTGAATGGCAATAATTATTTTATACTACTTGTTTTAGAGCGCTGGTGACTAAAAGTAGTATATGATCATCTCTGGGGAAATTTTGACGTTTCGCCAAAAAGGAGTATATAACGGATTAGACATCATTATTGGCATGCGGACTTGTATGTATTTACAACCATGGAAAAATCACTTTAATGAACAAAATCCCAAGCACAACTTGTCCCCCACTGAAATGGACATATTATAAATAAAGGAGAACTACTCCGAAGTCGGCCACTCAGCCACAGGGAAGCCGCTGACGGAATAGGTTGTAATCAAACATGCCAACTCGGTATCAAAGCCAATGATGAGAGCGGGTTGGGTTGCCATATGAGACTTTAAGCTCGGGGAAAGGAGGCAACGGACTTTTTCTGGCATAGATATACAAGAGATCCACTCTCTGCATTTATTAGTGATATTTCAGGGGTGAATATCATTGCATCTTCCGGGTCATGACGTGTTTTGATAGTGGAAGCTTCTAGAAACGCATCGTGCAAAAACCCAAACCCCCAGGGAGCCGACGCTTATGGGCAAATCAGCGGTGGTTGAGCCAGTAGCCCAAAAGCCCCCAAACTTTTCTTTTTGGCGGGCAGTCGAGTGTGATTGCGTGTGTTGCTCAGCTCAGCTCAGTGCCCGTGTTTGGAGACCATTATTGATCATTGACCATCTTGTGCTCTATTGCTGCGACTTCGACTTACTTCGTTTTGCCGTTCTACGTCTCCGGATTCCTCGCTATCAGATACCGTGAATAGCTCGCGCCCAGCACCAGCAGTCCCCAAGACTTATTTATCTCCAGCCGGTGCATGGATTGGCCAGGCACTAAAAGCGGGAACCGGTCTTTTTTTACCTCCTTTGCACCACCACAAACAAAACCCACAGCTTCTGCCCGCGGGAGGCCCCATCTCAATGAACTTCTTCTCCAAGTCTCCCAAGAAATCCAAAACCAAGAAGACGACTCCCAATCCCAATCCTAACACCGACCCCCCGAGTGACGACGACTCCCCGCAGCAGCAGCAGCGCCGGCGTTCCATTTCGCCGCTGAAGAAGTCATTCTTATCCTCGTCCCCATCCGCATCCGCATCCTCGCCCTCGTCTTCCTCCCGCCCTGTCAAGAGTTCGCGTGACGACAATAATCAGGCCTCGAGTCATAGCCACAGTCACGGTCACGGCCGGAAGTCAGAGCAAAACTCTCCCCGAAACAGTCGCAGTTTTCCAAAATCAAAGTCTGCGGCCCCAGGGTCTAATCAATATACACCGCGGCATCCATTCGATCCAGCCACTGACCATCCTCTGAATCTTCCGCCAGACCAACTGCGGCGCTTTTCTGCGCTCTCCGCCATGTCTTCCACGTCTGAGCCCGAGAAGATGGAGGTTGACAGCGAAGGACCAACCGCCCCTGTGTCGCCTACATCTCAATCTCAAACAAAAGTCCCAGGCTCCTTTGATACTCCTATGGCAAACGGTGCTGCAACTGCCACACCTGCAACAAATGGAGACAGTGAAGGTCCTGCCCCTCCTCCCCACAGATCCAACCCCACTAGCCCTGCTCCACCGCCAGCTCCCACGCCTGAAGACGCTGAAGCTTTCAAGAATGCCGGAAATAAATATTATAAGGCCAAAGACTACAAGAAGGCCCTTGAGGAGTATACAAAAGGTACGAATACCCATACTATAACACATTAACAACACGATCTTGCAGCTAACATGTACGTGGAAAAGCCGTTGAAGCGCAGCCCTCCCAGCCTACATATCTTAACAACCGGGCAGCAGCCTATATGTCCGCGGGGCAATATAGCAATGCACTAGAAGACTGCACGCGTGCTGACGAACTGGACCCCCAAAATCCCAAGGTCCTCCTCCGATTAGCCCGCATATACACTAGTCTTGGACGCCCTGAAGATGCCCTTAATACATTTTCTCGGATCCAACCACCTCCCTCGGCGAAGGATGTTGCTCCAACCAAGGCAATGCTGCAGCATATAGAGGTGGCAGATGATGCGTTGAAGCACGGCACAACGGGATCGATGGCACTGCATGCCCTTGACCAGGCAGAAAAATTGCTTGGTCCTGGCGCGCCAAAGCCTCGCAAATGGCAATTGATGAGAGGAGAAGCATATCTAAAGATGGGGAACGTGAATGCGCTCGGTGACGCCCAGAATGTCGCATTAGCCCTATTACGAAGCAATAGCAAAGACCCCGAGGCGCTGGTCTTGAGAGGCAGAGCTCTTTATGCCCAGGGCGAGAATGAGAAGGCAATTCAACATTTCCGCCAAGCATTGAGCTGCGATCCTGATTACAGAGATGCTGTCAAGTATTTGCGGATGGTGCAGAAGTTGGACCGAATGAAGGCTGAGGGCAATTCGGAGTACAAGGGAGGACGTTGGCAAGCGGCCAGTGACAAGTACACTGAGGCTCTTGAGGTTGATCCCCTGAACAAGGGCACCAACTCGAAGCTTCTTCAGAACCGGGCTCTCTGCAAGATTCAGCTGAAAGATTACAAGGGTGCTATTGAAGATTGCGAGCGCGCCCTTGCCCTTGAACCATCATATTTCAAAGCTAAGAAAACAAAGGCAAACGCCATGGGTCAATCTGGTGACTGGGAATCTGCAGTGCGTGAGCTTAAGGAGTTACAGGAGCAAGATCCACAAGATGCCGGTATTGCCAAGGAGGTGCGGAAGGCCGAATTGGAGTTGAAGAAGAGCAAGAGAAAGGACTATTATAAGATTCTTGGGATAGACAAAGATGCGGATGAGACGCAGATCAAGAAGGCATACCGGAGGGAAGCTATTGTCCACCATCCTGATAAGAACCCCGACGATGAGAACGCCGAAGAGAGGTTTAAGGATATTGGAGAAGCCTACGAGACGTTGAGTGATCCTGAGTAAGTTATTCGTTGATTCCAATCAGCCAGCTCTATTTACTAATGGAACTACAGGAAGCGTGCCCGTTACGACAGCGGCGAGGACCTAATGGATCCAATGGAAGGCTTTGGCGGAGGCGGTATGGGCGGTGGTGGTATGAACATTGACCCCGAGATCCTAATGCAAATGTTCGGAGCACAAATGGGAGGTGGCCGAGGGGGAGGCGGAGGCGGAGGTGGCTTCCACAGCTTCGGTGGGGGAATGCCTGGTGGTGGTGGACGACGAGGTGCTCCGCAGCAGGGCTTCCCGGGTGGCTTCTCCTTCCAATGACAAGATGCAGATGAGGACCACCAGCCAGCTCATTCTGGGTCCGACCATACCGCACCACGGAAATCCAGCTTCTTCTCCACTCCCGAGGGTAAAATATCCCAGGAAAGGGATGGTGATGCATATATCCGCTTGGTGCGCAACTGGGGAATGGCATTCCTACTCGCAGCCGTCTTTGTACCTCTTGATCTCCTCGCCCTTTTCACCGTCCTTGCCGTGGCGGGTTTCTTCTGCCGGAAGGCTATTCGTGTATGTGCATCAGCAGTTACGGGTACCCCTCCCCGGGCTTTGTAATAGAAAATTAAGGGACGCAAAGTTAGCTTATGAAAGATAGATGGTTCTCGTCATACGGCGTTAATTGGGGCCGGTGCTGATCTGGTCTGGTTTTTTCCTCGAACAGATGAGGTTGGAAATAGAATGATATATGATCGCAACTCTTTGCTTGTATGTGCAATTCTTAAGAGAAATAGATGTGCTATTATAGAATTGTGCTCTCTGTCTGGTTAATCAAGTTCCCCTTGTTTTCCTCAATTTCGGGTTTGATTTCACCTGTTTTTGATGATATGAGCACCTTCCTGTGTCTCCAACGTAGGTCATCTTGTAGTGTTCCCCAAGCTAGCCCGTTATATATCAAACACCCCTCCATATCCTCAATCTTTCTCAACCCAACACTTTGCCTCATATAAGTACCTACGTAAGGCTATTAAGAAACCATTCCCCTGCCAAATACAGAAGAAATATTGCCCTTGTGGCCTTGCCATGCTTCCGACTTCCCCAAACAGGAATCTCATGTATTCTAGGCTCTTGCAACACCCACAAAAATGTGTTCTTGTGCCTTTTATATTCATAGCTACTGTAACTTCGCAGGTCAATAAATAGGATATGGGACTTGTGGAGCTAATATACACTTCGCTGTTCAAAAGCAAGCAGCTAATGTTGAGGGAACTGGTGTGATAATAGTACTGTATCGGTATACTAATTTTGATGCTCACTCAGAGCCACGAGGCTGTGGAGATAAACTAATGCTTTAACAAATGCCCTCAAACGGTAGGCTAGCTTTTTGAAGTTAACTAGCTCTCTTCTCAACCTTCGCCATCTTGATATCTCGTAAATCAAACAGAATCAAACAACGGGTCTGTTTACCTCGCCATCGTCACAGCTATCACTAAGGGCTTATTCTTAAAATCTCCATTGGTGATGCCTCAACTAACGGTAAAAGATAGCAAGCGTACCATTATCCGCAAAATACTTCTAAACCCGAAGAAACTTTGGCTGCGAGCTACCCATTCCCCAACGCCGAATATGCAATTTCCCCCAAATCCATTACGGTAAAGCATTATCCAGTCTTGGCCTTCTTTCTGGGCCTTTCCTCCGCATCACTCGCAGCTTCCTCTTCTTCGTCACTACCGGAGCTCTCATGATCTGAGTCAAACTCCTCCGCGACGTCACTCTCACTATCCTCCTTGAAATCCTCGTCTTCGCTCTCGCTGTCTTCGTCGGCGCTGCCTCTATCCGCACGCGCGGCCACGACCTCTTCATCACTGCTAGCTAATTCCTCTGCTCTCAGAGCGGCCTTCAGGATCGCAGATGTATCTTCGTCGATTTCGTTCTTGACCCTCAAGCCCTTAATCTTGAAGAAATCCTCCAAAGGCTTCTGCTCTTCGCGGTTGATGTTGGAGAATTGTGATTCGCCGCCTTCTTTCATTGCGATTGTGATATCGAATGTGCGACTGGCTGAAACGGCGCCTCCAACGCGAGAAAAGACTACTGTTTTCACTTGCTCGTAGGCAATATAAGTTGCCGGTTTTGGCACGAACATGAAAGCCTTTTCCAGGCAGTAAAGAAAACCTTCGCTGGCTTTGATCGAACACTTGATGCCGTATTGTTGGTGGTGGCTATAGTTGTCAGTAGGGAGTTTTCGGAAGCCAAAACAGTGAACTCACCTCAAGAAGTCCTTTGCGGGTTGGTTGACTTTCTTTCCTGCAAGCCCACGGAACACTTGTGTGACAACTTGATGTAATGGCTGCTCATAATGTGGCAGCAACTTGCCCTCATATTTCTCTTTCAACAACTCATCCGTCATGTTGAGGTCAATGGTCACCTCCTCGTCCTTCTTAAATTGCATGACCAGGAAGGGATATCTTGTTTGACCTTGTCGCAGAGGTGGATCCAGGCCGATACAGATCATGAAATGTGTTTCGTCGGGCTTGGGGAGGATCATGAACTTCTTGATCGCCTCGTACTGAATCTTGTAGTCGTATGTCTTACCACGTAATCGGAAGGAATTCTCGTACATATCGATATCGAAACGACCTCTGCGGAAAGTCAGTAGATGTAATCAGAGAGCTGGATGTGACATGCCTTGGAGTAAGATGTAAAACGTCAAGGAAGGTGGCAAAGGTATCTCCAGCAACCTCCCCGATTTCTGCCTTTTCCATAAGGGTATCGTAGAACAGGTTCGCAGCATTCTGTTCCTCCTCGCCCTCAGCGTCACTAGGCGCATCTTCACCCTCTAGAGCCTCTTTCTTCGTCGTAGTACCAGGGATATAAAATCTCATCTCCACCAGCTGGTCTTTTCCAGCACCAGCCTTCTTTCCCTTCCCCCGCGCACCACCCAGCGCTCCATTCGTGCCCGTATCATCGCCGTTGACAGGTAGCGAGAACTCAATCGCAACTTCATTCTTGCCAGCCAAATTGGTATTCGAGATCTCAGAATATGGAACTTCGAACGCCGGGCGGTTCTGTACGTTAAAGGCCAGCTCTGCCTTGCCGAACTCCCCTTTGCCCCAGTTCCATCCTCGAAGCGCATGTTCCTTGTGTTCGAGATTCGTGCTATACCAGTTCTTGAAGATCTTGTTTAAGCGCTCCAGGTCCTGCTTCCATTAGCCACTAGTACCTCAGGACAGGTATGATGGTCGCTGACCTCTTGTGTAAATCCATCGAGCTGCACGACACCTGAGTTTCGCAGAAGGATCTTCACTTCATAGCCTTTCGATGCTCGGCTCCATTGTGCGCCTCCGATATTACTGTGATCGAGCGTAAAAGTATCACCACCTCCAGACGGTTTCCAACCAAGCCCCGTCTCGGCGAAGCGGCATTTGCCCGACTCTTTCGATAGATCGAGATAGATGCCGTCGAAACTTTCCCTGTTGGATCGATACTTGTCAGTACCCGTTTGCGCCATTGTTGAGTTTTGTGAATCTTAGTAGCTGAAGCTAAGGTGTGAACTTACATAGTCATCTTGTCTGATTTGCTATTTAGTTGATTGACAAAGTTGATATGAAAAAGTTGGTTGATGGAGTACGAAGTATATGGTCGCGTAAAGTGCTTCTTAGTTAAGGCGCGCGATAGAACGGACGCGCACTGAAAAGCGGAACTTCACGTGACTTTATAGCACAGAGCATTCGGTACCTAGGTACATAGCAGTTCCGATAAAGGTACTGTACAAATGGTACGCAGTAAAGGTACCTCTATAAAAATGTGTTCCTCTAAGTAAAATCCCGACGTCCATGTAATTTTAGAATAGCAACAGATTAATACAATCTTTCAAGCAAGGTAAATCTCTTTCTATACGAAGCATCTGATCGAGCCCTAGGATATCTAGAGGTGACAACTGCCTTGGAAATTACATGACTAGCTAGAAGCCCGATAGAAATACATACGAGGGAAGCTCAAACGGTAAGCCATATGTTTAATTGAGAAGGTCAGGTATTAATACCAATTTGAATAATCATTCATAGGTCTCACTAAATATAGCAAAGAGGTTGGATCCACCTACATCTGTGAATCCAACCTCGCACCCTCCTTCACCCCATCCACCTAACCCCTCACCTCCAGACAACCTCTCCATGATCAAATGCCCAAACCTCAAAGTGTGTATGTTACTTCGCTTCCATTATACCTAGTATCCATGCCATCGCGACAAATGTTCATCCATCCGTCCATCCATGCCTTTGAGAATGCAGAAAAGAAAAGAAATACCCGACGCAAAACGCAAGACGCAAGAGCCGCGAAAATTGTTGTACCAGCAGAGACAAGGCGTGAATCATGAAAGCAACGTGAAGAAAGCGCCCGAAAAACTAATGACTTTTGGAACGATTCAATCGTTTAACATCATGAGCTTACAAGACTTTTTTCTTCGCCTTTTTTTCCAAAAATCAAACCATGCGAAAGGCGAACTCTGAGATATGCAGTATCGGAAAGCAAGTAGAGTACAAAGTTCCTGGGTCTCATGAAGGAAAAACCGTGCCCTAGTATGTTACAACGTCGACGTCGTGGAATAATGGAGGGGAAACTCTGTCGAGGTGCTAAGATTGAAGGCTGCGATGAAATGGTGATTATGCGTTCGCCGCTTGAGGGCCTCGACCTCGGGGAGCTGGTGCACCTCCAGGTCCTCCACGTCCACGGTTCTGTCCATAATTACCTCTTCCACCCTGGCCACCTTGGCGACCGTCTTGGAAACCGCCTCGGCCCCGGGTGTTGACCCCCCCACGTCCTCCAGAGTAGCTGTTTCCACCGTAGGCAGTGGCCTTTGGCCGGCGTGGCTCGACATAGATGTTCTCGCCACCGATTTGGTGGGGATTGGCGTTGGCTGCAGCTTGGTAACCCTCGGCTGTTCCGTACTCCACAAAGGCACAGTTCTTGAAGAATATTAGCCATGAATCATCGAGGTGGAATCTAGCTTATACATACCTTGGAACGATTAATGTCGAAGTATACCAGAGGTCCAAATGACTCCAGAGCACCTCGTAGGTCCTCAGGAGTAATCTTCTCGGTGACATTTCTGATATAGGCCATGGTGCCCTTGTCTTCGGGGGCGGCTGAGATAGACTGGGGTCGGTTCTGTCTCTTTGCGTGATCACCAGCAGTCTGCCATCCAGAGCCAGGCGCGGTGTTCTCCTTATCCTTTTCACTTGAAGCTGCTGGGGCGGCGGCTGCTGCTGGTTGTGCCGCGGCGGGCTTAGCTGCAGGAGGAACGGAACGGGTTTGGGCTGGGGGTGTAGATGTTTTTGGAGCAACTGCAGGAACAGCGGGCTTAGGTGCAGTTCCAACTGCTGCTGCTGCACGGCTAGCCCAGCTCAATGGCTTTGCGGGGCCAGCAGGCTGGGCAGGTTCGGCGGGCTTGGCTTCAGTGGTAGGGCGTGTAGCCGCAGGGCTTGGAGCAGCCTCCTTTGGCTTCTCCGGCTCCTTGGTCTCCTCGACTTCCTTCTCGGCGACCTTGGGGGCGACGTCCTCTTCAGCCTTGGTAGCTGCAACTGGTGCCTTTTCTGCCTCCCCAGCAGCCTCACCAGTACCGTTGATGGATGGAACCACGGCGGCAACGTCATCAGACTTAGCCTCTTCCGACTTCTTGTCCACAACTTCGGCAGCCAATGGGGCCGGAGCGGCCTCCTCAGCCGCGGCTTGAGCCTTTGGCATCTCGACGTCCTCAGTCAAGGGGCGAGCTGCAGCCTCCTCCTGGGCAGCAGGCTCAAGGGTTTCCTCCTCACCCTCCTCGTTGATGTATCGGAAGATATCATTAAGCACGAAGTATCCGGTCGGTTGTTGAGCGAGGACGAAGGTCTGGACGAACTTCTTGAGTTCGGCAGACTTGTTCGAGGTCTCACCGATAACTTGGATAACGATGTTGTCGAACGAAGCTTGGGAATCGACATTCGAGACACGGACCTTGCAGTCTTGGAAGTCGAGCTCGCGGATGCGCTCCTGAATAGCCTGCTGCTGTTAGAAACCACTTGTGCAGGAGGAGTCAGTTAAACTTACACTGCGACCGACAGAAACGGGAGCGACCTCGGCCTCAAGACCGGAGACAAACTGGGAGCGCTTTCCGTAAAAGAGCTATCTGATATCAGTAGAGAATTGATTGCGTTGAACAGCGGTACTCACATGAAGCTTCTCCGGGGACTTGCTCAAGGTGGTGTAGTATTGCTCAACGAAATACCATCCGACTTCATCCTTGGATAGGTCATTGCCCGACGCGCTTCCGGTATTAGAGTCGGCAGCACCAGTGGTAGCTGGATACTGCTCTGGTGCATTCTTGTATTGCTCCTGCTGGGTGAAGCTGCCGTTGGTCGCCATGTTGAATAGAGATGGAGATGGAGGAGAGAGCGGTGGCGACTTCGGACAACTTCTGACTTCGGGTTAAGTAGTTTTGGATTGACGGAAGAGTTCTAACGCGCCAAACACGAGTGGTTTGCAGCGTCAATGAGAACGGGATTGGAGGCGGAGAATCGGGTCTTGTTCTTGAGGCTGTCAAGTCCTGTCACGGATATAAACGCGCCTTGGGACCGAAAGTGAGCAATCGATGGGGAAAGAACTCTGGAGGGGGGATGGATAAAACCACCGATGTCAAATACAATAAGATTAGAGAAGGTCTGAAATATCAGAACTGAACAGGAGTTCTAGAAGAAGGAGTGGGCAGAGTAGAGGATACGGGTTTGGATGGTTTGGGGTGGAAGATGGGCAAAGGCTCATCAAAATTGTAAAGTCAATCTACGCTAGCTTCACCACGGTCAGTTTTGTTTCCTAAGCGACTGAACCGGAGCCAAGCCACGGCGGGTGCACGTGACCGCCTCGAGGGTGGGATCCAGGGATGCCGAGACCGAGCGTCCCGAACCTGGAGATCGGCGTTATGGTAGCTGGTTATAATTGGATAAAACAGGAGCTTAAAGTTTGATAATAATGGAGAAGATTAGTACTGAGTATACTTAACGCTACAACCATGTTCCTCTAGTAAGTAGTAACGGAATCTAGAAAGTTCAGTATGGGGAACCAACTAGTTTCAATGGGCAATTCCACTGTTTATTCTGCTAGTCTGCGGCTTTAGTACCTACCTTTAAGGTACCTAGGTATACTAGTTGCTACTGGTGGTTATGCGACAAGTTGGAAAGAATGGATGACAAAAAAACTGTCTTAAATCAACTAAATTAGCTATATCATATATCTTAAAGTCAGATAAATCACTATTTCTTAATATTTATCTTTCTCTGCCTTACACTAACCTAACAACCAAATTCAAGATGTTTATATATTTTCAACTACTAATAGTAATTATAATTAACCAAAATTATCCTTTCACTTATTGCATATAAATATATTTCAAGCTCTTCTAACTATAGACTTATCCATAACCCCCTTAACAACCTCGGCATTTTTATTAAAACTGGAAGCCCTCGTAGAGTTAATGCACCGCTAACTTCTATAACACCAAACCTACATATTGATCACATCACATATATCAGCAGTTTATTAGACATAAAGCTCCAAAGGTAGCCAAGGTAAGGTATGGAAGATATGATAGCAAAGAGTTTAAACATGTACGTCCAAGATATAAATTAAGCAGGCCACGAACCTGAATTATGTGACTTTGGCTAGGACATCCTCCAGCAGCCCCCTAAACCAACGAAAGTACTACAAAGTTGGATGACAAACACGTCCCTCGCCGTCCCCTACATCATATCGTTATTATAAATTATCATTAATCCACGACCAAGAAGAATTTCCAACTCGATCCATCCTCACCAAACCCCACCCCTCCTGCTCCTTATCCTCCTTGGCCCCTCTCTCGATGAAACAGCTGCCTAAACCATCTCAATGTGCGTTTAACGGGAGTCTCTGGGGTAAAAAAGAATTCGCGCCATTCATAGAAATCGACTGTCTGCGGGCCGATCTCACACCCCTAGATCTTGCACCTGGTCGTCCAGAAGTTGGGCTTGGGGGGTCCGCCTTCTCGATCTCTTCAGCCGCTGCTGCAGCTTGAGACTTCCTGAGCACGACGCCTGGTGTGATGGGATCAGGCTCGTCGTCTTCGATGACGTAGATGCGCGGGAATATCACAAGTAGGGCTTCGTCGTCAGCTGCGGAAGTTTGGTCTGTTGAAGAAGTGCCAGGACCGGCAAATCTGAGAGTTTGCCATTCAATATCCTCGAAGTGTCTGAGCACGAAGAGCGGTTCGAGTTTCTCTGTAGCATGTCGTATTAACTCCCAGGCCTGGAAAGCCCGCCGAACGACCTGCTTTAAGTCCGACCTAAATCTCTCATACTGGGCGTCCGCGAGCAAATGGCGAACACAGCTAGAGACGACTTGGACAACGTCGTCTAAGCTCTTTGAGGCGTTCCGTTCCTGGTCTTTAGGGGCCATGGACATCAAGACGGAGCGGCAGAACGATTCTTTCTTGCTATCTGCCATGGCGAGACGGACGAGGAGTTTTCTGGTCCCATCTAATTCGTCGGAGAGGTAAGTTGGCTGGAAAACGTATTGGTCGATGTTCCTCGCGAGAATAGCTAGCATTGCAGCAATGCGCATTTGTTTCGCGGCCGGCGAGTTGGATTGCGGGATGGGGATTTTGCGTTCCAAGTGTAGCAACCTTCGGAAATCATTCCAAGCCCCGGTGTCCTGCGTTGCTGTTAGCTACGAACCGGTTTCTGGGGATTACACTTACTCGAAGGCATTCCTCCGAGAGATCTTCTTCGAAGAGTTTTTCCACAAGCCCATGAGCTGATTCCCATACCAGGTTTAGTTGCCGCATCCTTGAATTCATGTTAGTTGTAGAACATCACAATGATAGTCTAGCTGGCTGCGTACCATTCCACACCATCCTCAGCCTCATAATCATAAGTATGCAATTTCGTGGTAAAACCCTCGATATCGCCGAGCTTTTTCGAACACGATTTCAACTCTTCTTCCAGAGACTTCTTCTCTTCCTGGATATCCTTCAATTCGCCCTTGACTTTGGACACCTTGGCTTCCTCATCGCTCACCTTTTTCTTTAGCTTGTCAAGGTAGATACCCCTCCCATTTAGATTCTTCTGCAGCTCTGTTATCTCGTTGTTGGCATTCACTACCTTCGTCTTCTCCTCGTCTAATGATTTCTTAACACGATCAAGCCGCTTTCGTAACTCGTCCTGCGCTTGGTGGTGCTGAGTAGCAGCGGCATCTTTCTCTTTGATGCTATCTACATGGGCAGAATTTTCGGTTTTCAACTTAGTTTTGATCACCTCGAACGTATTGCGTTGCGCGCAAAATACTTCGACAGTGCTGGTAATTTCTTGGTTAAGTTTTTTTAGTTCGGTATCCTTAGATTCGAGTTGTTCTTTCAATGCGGGGATTTCATTAAATATGCTCTCAATTGCCTTGTAGCTGTCGTCGGAAGCTAATTGGCGGACACTTGTGACAAGAGTTTGCAGAGGGCCGGTTGCCATTGTGGAAGTTGATTTTCTTGTGCCTATGGGAAGGGAATTTCTGCAATTGGTACAGACAAGTTAAATGATTTGAATCCAAATGCAGAACCCAATAAATCTGTGTTCTAAGTCGACTTTCTATAGATGTTAGAGCGTCCTTTGCCTTGGTCAATGGCAACAGCCCATCTGCTTTCTCCGCCATATCAGGCCATTCATCGGAAATCTCCACTTCTTTGGTCTGGTGCAGCAGCAGCAGACACATCTTCGAAGTCGTGGGGACGCTGGATTGGCGCGAGCCGCGCTGCCGGTGTCACCGATCATACCCCGTGGGGAAGGCGTAAGGCGGCAGGAGCCCGATTCGTGAGAAGGTGTTCGTGAGGGGACGCCAGCTATATACGTGGCGGGTTGTTACTGTCCCAGATATCATCACACTTAGGAGATGCATTTCTATTGGGTCGATCGCGGCGTTTATTMTGTCACTCGCAGGGCTGTCGAGGTCCGTACTAGGTGGGGGTTACACAAACTAAAGATGATGGGACAGGATTTCCCAAGCTGCTAGAGCCTCATATATCAACATGTGTTACTCGGGCAGCCTGATTAGGTCGTGGTATGCTGCCAAGTCGACGCAGTTAGCAATTGCCTGCATAGAAGGAACATTGGGTGGCTTTAACCTGACAAATGCATATAGGCGAGTAGAGAAAAGACAAGAAAGGCTTACGAACCTGAATTAGCAACTCTAGAAACGCTACCAATAAATAGTGGTCAAACTGCCCGATTAAGTCATGGTATGCTGCCAAATCGACGCCGTTAGCAATTGCCTGAATAAAAGTAACAAAGGGCCGCAATTACATGACACATAAGTATAGATGAGTAGAGCAAATACAAGATAAAATCCAATTACCTTAATCAGGCCAATCTTCTGATTTCCTTGAACTCAGAAGCCTTACCAATAAACAGTTTCAAACAACTCGGTTGGCTACTCATTATCGATGCCCTATAGGCTGGAAACCACACCTCATAAAGCCACCTACCCCGCGGCATATTACCCTAGGCAGTTAGTCACATATTCCAGTTCGTAAAGCGATGAGGTTGATGGTCATATGGGATGTACTGTATTTCTTGTAGTGGATTCTGCTCTGAGAAGATATTGATTCCGAGCTAAGACCGTTAAATTGAAACTCCACCTCCAAGATCCATCGTATCGTCCTGATCAATCTGGTCCGGAGTAAACAAGCCTTCCTCAAAAGCTTCCGCCAGTATACCTTCCGCCGTAGGGAATTCTCCTCTCACTTGCACAAGCAGTGCGGAATCTCCGGAGAGTGCTTTTGCAAGCGCCTCTTTCACAGTAGCTTCAATATTATCATCAGTTGGAGGTCCCTCGGAAGCAGTCAAGCCCTTGGCCCCCCTATAGTATTTCTCTGCATTCTTGACCAACACACGCTGGTTTTTGACCGCGACATCGAGGTTTAATGGTGGTAGGCCGAGACGGGATCGCATGAGCTCCATGTCCCCTCGGAGTAGGTTGATCTGCCCCATGTTCACGTCGTCGGGGAATTTGGATGCTGCGGTCAGGTCTTGGAGGGCCTGGCTTAATATTGTCCACCGTAAGGTGCCGGCTTCGACTGTATCCCCTTCCCGGCTTAGACGAACAGAGATACTGCAAGTGCCTAGGGCATCGGCGCGTTTGCCTAAACCCTCCACGTGGTCGTTTAGGTCTAAAGGCTGCCAGGCCGCTTGGACATTGGCGACGTAGGTCTATTCAAATGAAAATTAGCATTGGCCATCAAAAGCAAATAGTATCACCCGCTCCAAAATACTAGAAACGACAAACAAGTGCCAGCTGTGGAATCCCTTACCCTTATATCAGTGCCAGGGTAGCCCAGACGAAACTTAGCATCTGCAACGGCACATGTATAGGCTGCTCGGGCGATTGCAGCCTCAAGCTCGCGATCGGTGCCATCTACCAATACAGCGAGTCTCTCTGTAATAATAGGCTCGGCGTATTGCTCGATTATATACATGAGCTTGTCGTCTTTACACACATCGCAAAGGGAAGTGAGGGTCTCGAGTTGGGCGAGGACCGTTTCGCGTAGAGTCTCTTTGGAGACTGGTGAAGTAACAGTCACCCATCGCTCTTCTTGGTCATTTGCAGCACCCTGTGCTTGCTGATCCTCGGACGATTGAACTTCGGGGCCCGTCGATGCCTCTGATCCCGGATTGGCACTGGCTGCTAACTGAGCTTGAAACTCTCCGTATTGACTCGTTTGTAGTTCGAAGCAGCGCTGGAAGAGATCTAGTGCTTCCTCAAGATATGCGCGGGCTGCTTGGTCAGAATCCTCGTTACCGACGGAATGCTGGCGATGGAGCCCTTCCGCGAGACTGGTTAGGATCTGGGCGGTATTACTACGCAAATCAGCCCAGACATTCTGTTGAAAAGCGCAATAAATGGTAATATTAATATTGGGATGCGGTGTAGGGATATCTAGGAATAGCACTCGGAGAAGCCTAGAGGTGATGTAACTTGACAAGGAAACCACACAGACTACGTGTGTATATACCTCGGTAGTCTTGATACACGAGGCGCCCACCCTACCTAGATGCCCCCTTCCACGTCCGACAGCAACTTTGCAAGTCGATAACTAACTTGAGGCATAAAAGAGTTAGATATATCCCAAGCTGACTCGGGAGAAGTCGTAAATATGGATGACTAGGGATAACTTTCGCCGAATCATCTAGGGTCCAGAGTAACTTATAGACCCATTACGAGCTTAGATCTGCCCATCTCCAATTTCCTTAGGCAACCAACGTAGGATGGGCGATGCTTCATTGAATATAAGAGATGGAAGGGGGAACTCACAATAAAACATCAGCATCGGTTTGATTTAAAGTCAACGCATATCGACTTGATTCAAGCGCAGTCTGTAGCAGCTCCCAAAGGTTTCCAGGCAGCTGGGCGAGCAGCCTCGGGTGCTGAGAGAGCTCATACTGGACTCGGGCCCTGACGATTGTAAGTCTGCGGTTCGGACCCAATTCTGTCACATCGACTCAGGGCATCCTCACTTGTTGTAGGCCAGATCAAAGGAAGTTGGGAATTTCCCCAAGCCTTCATTATAGCAATCAATAGCCCGGACGAAGAACCTCGCAGACTAAAACGTAAGCATCAGTATAAATTTTAAATAATTATAATTACTGGTATATGCAACACGTGACGTGATTGGGAAGAGCGCACAAACCTTGACCGCATCACCACCTCGCCATTTCTCACCCGCCTCTTCAAAATCGACTCCCGCTATGAGGGTAGATTAGCAGAAGTCCCGACCCTCTTTTGCTTTTTCATACCACTTGCCTGCTAAGTACTCATCGGCGGTGGTCGGACGCTATATAAATTGGGTGTTAATGGCCGGTGTGGGCAGAAGCGGATGTTGCGGATGGCAGTGCGTTGCTTACCTGGGGAGCGTGCTTGGATTTCTTTTTGTTCTCTTTCAAGAACTGCTTTAGCTTGGGCTTGGGCATCATGGGTGAGAAGTGAAATACGAGAGGTGAGATGTGAGATGTGCTATGGATGGTGGCTAGTAGCGGGGTGCAGCTGTAACAATGACGGCGTCGCGGAGTGCTTTTTTTCCAAGACAAGACCAGACAACACCAAACGAGGTGATAAGACAGACGATAATAACCCGCGGGGCCGTCTTTGGCCGAGAGGAAAATCACCGCTCCAAATTTACCCGGCCCGGGATAGCCTGGCCTTACGGAGTATTTCATACGAATTAGTCTCACACTACGTAGCCAGTTACCGGTAGCCAGCAGCCAGCGGCCAGCGCTGCTATTTCTGGCGGGCGTGGGCGGCGAAAACATGAAACCTTGGGCGAGCTGGGGACACTCCGCTGAATCATGAATGGCCAGCGGCGAGAATGACAGCAGCGCCAGGGCTTGCACACAACGCCTTTTTCCCAACGTTTCGGCGGTTTTCGCATGCCTGCACCAGCAGCCAGTGCAGACTACGAAGTAGACGACGCAGCATGACGGCCATTGACAGCCATTTACAGCCATTGACAGCCATTCACAGCCTGTGCAGCCCATCGGTTGCAGCATCAGTGCACCAGCATCGCCACGTGCTGCACAGGGGCCGGATGCCCCTTGAAAACGCCCCCTTTTCAGTCTCCCACGTTGCGAGCATCTGTGAGATCAACTTTGTTTATATTTGTAAAGCCAATAGTTGCAGGGCCTGCTCTGCCCCCTTTTTGCCGCTTCCCTCATGGCGCCGGTTCCGGGTTGTTGGTTGTCGATCACATCGTCAACTGCAACCCAACCAAGATCAGCGCTGAAGAGAGAGCCTGTATGTGGGAAGTGTGTACAGAGTACTCGTGCTCTGGACTCATGTACCTAAGACCATGCCATGCTACTACTGTACTACCTACCTTACGTATGAGTAGCCTAAACTCAGTTGTCTCGACTCTCGTGTCTGTCTACACCC